TTCCCAGATTTGTATAGAGATGAGCGTGCCTTGAGTCAAGCATTAGACCATGATTGTAGTACGCCAAAGCGAGCGCAATGCCGCTTCCAGGATTCACACCAGGGATATCCTGTTTGAAGGCATGAGGACTGTGGAAGGTTATTGCTGGTTGGACGGACTGCTGGACGCTAGCCAGGAGAATGCCAACATTGTTTGCAGTTGACGGACTGTGCTGCAATGACAAGGAAAGATAGTACAATGCAAGGATCTCCCGCACACCAGATACCATCGGTTTACCGCCAGCACCTTGTATGTTTCTGCCCATGCCGTCTTGGAATATCTTAGCAAGCGAGAGGAGAGAATTGCTCGCTATCGCTACAGCAGCGCTCTTAGCAGGGCTAGAAGGCGAAGCGGGCACATTGCGCAAGCCTGCCAATTCTCCATGGGGCGGGAAGCATAGACGAGCCGTATTTGCAGCTTGTTCAGGGTAGAGGAGCACGGGGTCGGCAGGCCCAATGTTCGAAAGGCTCGCTGTGGAGATGACAGATAGGATGTGTTTCACAAGCTGTGAGATGCCTGAGAACACGCGGCCAGTAGCGATAAGGACAGCGTCTTCGAAAGCTTTGGCTGCACCACTGTTGTCGCCCAAAGTATAGAGCATGTTACCTTTCGCGTGCACCAGTGCGAGCATACGACCATTATCAGCGCCCGGAATAGCATAACCACTTGAACCAAAACCAGGTTCCCTAGGACTCGAAGGCTCGCGCGAGAAGTCGCCATCCAGTTCAAAGTCGTAAGCTGCTGAATCGGAAACCTCAGAAGTACATGGTGAGCGACTTGCATTAGATGACATCTCACTTTGATGGTCGGAAGCCTTGTGTGTCTCGTGAGCTTTCGAAGTCCGTAGAGAACGTTCGATGAGCTCGATGATTTTGATGGCCTCTTTTCCACGCGAAGTGCTGCAAAGCAGGCCAACTAGATGCTCGACTGCCTCGAAATAGTTGGGTGCGAACTTCACGACCTTCATCCAGTACTCCTCGGCCTCCTTCTTCCGCTCGAGAGCTACCAAAGTTGCAGCTAAGTTCGACATGGCTTCGATATGCCTTGGCTCAAGAGCCAGGACTTTCAGATAGAAGTCCTCGGCCTTTTGATAACGATCGAGTCCGTATGCAATACATCCGGCAAGGTGTATGCCATCAGTCCATTGCCACGATGTCTCATCGCAGAATCTCGTGATCAAAGCTAGAGCATTCACCGCTCGTGCTGGTGGTGATGTATCATGCATGGGTGGAAGAATGGCACCAGGAGAAGGTAGTGGCGTTGAAGAGGATATGGAATGTGAAGTCTGTCCGTACGGGTAAGCATTGCCATAAAATGTTGATGAGATGTTGCTTTGGGCAGAATGAGAGCCCATCGAGCCAGTGGCGTTTGTTGACGAAAGAGCCCCAGAGAATTTTGGAGGTTTTGGGTAAAACCTAGGACCAGGAGACGCAACTTGGTACGGTGATTTGTATTGCCGGCTCGTCTTTCGTACTTGCTGAATGTACACGAGAAGTTCGCGGTAAGTCTGGAGTGCCCAATTGAAAGCTTGTTCACGTTGTTGCGCATTCGCAGGCGAGGGAACGAAACCGGAGACAAAATCAGGCGTATGTGGAATACTGTGAACACCTGCAAACGAAGGGTACACCACAGGCACGCTACTGTCATATACAGACCATGCATGAGCCGAGGACGGGTACGATAGTCCAGGTCCAGGAGCATTCCATGGATTTACAAATCCGTGTATTGAGTAATTGCCGTTGTGCTGTGAGTAGAAGCGAGGGTCCCTGACTGCGGCAGGACGATACGGAACATATGTGCCATCGTTCCAGTAAGGGCCATAAAGACCATGACCATCGATGCCAGAAGCAGTAGGACCCAGGTACTGAAAAGAAGGCTGCATGACACTCGGGACAGATTGACCGTAAAAGGGATGCGGCATTGGATTCAGATATCGAGGCAGTGGGACAGCTTGCTGGTTGACTAGAGAGTCCATGTGAGCCATCTGGGGTGCCTGGCAGTAAGGGCGCATACTGTCTTGTCGGTGGAGCAGCATGTGCTTGGTGGGTTGTGTTCCATGGTTGTTACTTTCATATGCACCATTGAGGGTACCGTTTGGTGTTTTCCTCCGCAGAGTATTTTCAGAGGATATTGGCCGTGGCGTCGAGCCACCGTACGGACTTCTGAGAGGTTGTGCGAACTGAGCAGTCTGGGAGCGAGAGGAGAAATACTCATCGCGATATTGATGGTGGTTTTGGTGGTCAAATGTCGAAGTGGTTAGGGGCCGAGGCCGCGGCGACACGGCGACGTCCATGTTCAGGACAGGAGAGGGGTGTGGTTATGTTCAACAGCACAGTGTGCCTGAGAGGCTTTCACCGGAGTGCACCTGTGCCTATGCCTTTGCGAAATGGATTCGAATTAAGGCACGACATTGCCATTCATGTACGCCGACAGAGAGAGAGGCTCCAAACCAACGTTCCAACAACAACTCTTGTAGCAGCGTAACAACTACTCAAAGTGACATACGACACGCGAATGTAAGAGAAAGACGTTCCAGAGTGTGGAGGGCGGGAAGAGGCGTTGATTAAGCAGTGGATGCAAGGGTTGGACAGGCGATGTTCGAGACAGGCACTCGGGGCTGACAGAGCGGATTCAATAGAACCAGAATAGAGGAAAAGGGAAATGATCCCCAGATGAGGACAACTGCAGATTATGTATGCGGGCAAGCGACGGGGCCCACGTAACGGAGACGTGTGACTGGATCCGGGAAGGAGTGCAGATATGTCACGCAAGATATAGATGGACGGGAGTGATTCGGACAAGGAATGCCTGCTGCCCGTATCTGCGGCGCTTGCTTCCCTGCTGGAGACTGGCAACGAAAAAGAGAGGAGCAAGAGAGAGTGTCTTGACGGGCCCGCAATCTTTGGACAAAAACGCACGAAGGAAGCAACGCGACGCGGGTGTGTTCGGCGGCAGGGAGCGGTCATGCAACTCTTAATACGACTGGGGTCTTTGTATGGAGCGACACGAATCAGAGCCCCAGGGAGCCCTGGGATCGTCGTGGAAATAACGGCGCGTGTGGCACGCTTGATCAATGCTCCGAGGACCTCACCTGCAAACTGTGGACCGTCGCAACTCGCAAGTTTCGAACACGATGATTTCTGTTGCTCGAGCCGCGTTCGATCTGCCTCCTTGCGGCAAGCTGACCTGTTTCAAGCCGAACTTGCTCGTCCTGTCAGCGTCGGAGAAGGATTGGGGTGGCCCAAATAGCGTGGCCTGCTTTGTTAAACTGAGGTTGATAGACGAGACTAGAGCCTTTGTGGCTTGCATGATCACGCATAATCGGGTACTTTAGGTGGAATTCGCGTCGTGCAGACGGGTCATGCCAACACAAGAATCTACGCATCCTAGGGACAGCGTCACGATGTTCAAGCGACTGGCGATCCGACAACTGTTGATTCAGCACCACCAGCCGCCATTAAGGAATGGGAAATTATTGAGACACAAAGAGGAGCTTCTTCGCACGTAGTCGCGCAGCGGCGTGTACTTGAGGCGCAGTGTTGTTACGCACTGCAGATCACTGCATGGTGATTGGGAGAAGTATGACTGCATAACTTTGATTGTGCTATGCTAGGATGTGTGTACAAGCGAAGAGATGTTGACCTTAAACATGGACCAGTGTGCCCACGCTCCGAAGAGGAGGCATCCCGGTGAGTAGTAGGACAAGATACGTCTTGTTTGCACCAAAATAGGGCTAAACCACGGCAAATATGGGTAGAGTCCAGAGTGTTGGCAAACTGAGTGTTGGGTAAGGGAAAGATGAGAGTAGAAGTGAAAAGCAGAGGCACGAAGCACTATGTGAGAAAGGTAGAAAAATCGTTGGGTATCATCACTGAAGAAAAAGCGCAAAACTTTTGAGCGCATAAGAAGTTCCGTTAGAGTGCTACATAGTAGACATTTACTCCTCAGGGACTGCAAATGTTGTTAGCACGATGTCTGAGATAGAAGGTGGCAGATCTAAAACTCACTCTCGATCTCGCCAGACTCAATGTCGTCGGAGATGTCCTTGGGGCTGCGGCCATCGACCTGGCAGCCGGTGGAGAAGGCAGTTCCGAGGATCTCCTTGACGGTACCCTTGAGGTCCTTGGCCATAGACTTGAAGCGCATGGTGCGGGCAATGTTGATGATCTCGTCAAGAGGAACGGACTTGGTGTGCTTGATGTTCTTCTCCTTCTTGCGGTCACGTGGGGGCTCCTTGAGAGCCTTGATGACGAGCGAAGAGGCGGAGGGGACGACCGAAACGGCGGCTTGACGGTTTTGGATGGTGAGCTTCACGGTGACGCGAAGACCCTTCCAGTCGCCAGTGGCCTTGGCGATATCTTCACCGACCTTCTTGGGCGAGAGACCGAGGGGACCAATCTTGGGGGCGAGGGCGGACGAGGCACCGACTTCACCACCGGTGGCACGAAGGTGGATCACCTTGATCTCGTTGGGGTCCATCTTGGGAGCTACAAATCGTTTACATCAGCCAGGCGCTCTTGCAGCTGCCAATCCAAAAGGACGATACTTACGCATGGCTAGTACGTAAGGTAGTCGGTCTCTTTTGGGAAAATTGAAGGGGGCCCTGAGGGTATATTGTCGTCGTTGTTGATCGTCGCAAAGAGAGAAAGAGAGGGAGACTGTACGCAAAACTTCGAGAGAAAATGCAAAGGTGCGCCAAGCGAGGAAGTTGCGGCTGTAACCGAAGAGACAGTCGTGGTCGTGGCGCACAGACGGCGGGAGTGAGTCGAAGCTTCTCCGGGAAAGCGTCTCAGGTTTGGTGACTGCCCTTCTTGATGACACGGAGTCACTGCCAAAGAGGACAACGCGCAACTTTGCGACATTTTGCTTCACGCCCTTGAGGTTTTCTGGTTCACTCACCTCGCCGCATATCAAGTGAACAGCACATTTCGTCTCACTGAACATCGGACCACTCTTTCAACATGTCGGAAGCACCCCAGTCACCGCCGCAACAGCAGCAGCAGCAGCCGCCCCAGCAAGAGGGCCAACCACAAATCAACCTGATGCCTGCAGGACTCCAGCCCGGCCAGCAACCCACCCCCGAACAGATCCAAGCCATGCAGCGTCAACTGGCCATCGAGGCGCAAAAGAACGGCATGACAGTCCCGCAATACGTCGAGCAACTCAAGGCCCAGGCCATGCGCCAACACATGCAGCAGCAGCAGATGCGCCAGCAACAAATGCAACAACAGCAGATGCAGCAACAACAACAGCAGCAGCAGCAACAGCCCATCACCCCCGGCCCTCCCAAACCCGAGGCCATCGCCGTTGCCAACTTTCTCCAAAGCCAGGACCTCAAGGTCCGCACTTGCGTCTTCCAGGAGAAGCGCAAGGACATGTTCAAAGGTGAGCTGAGGCCGTCCTTCCCTGCTCTGTGCATACTCTAACGTACGTCCTCAGTCAAGCGTGCAATTCGTGCTCTCGAATCACCCGCCTACGAAAAGGCTCGCGCNAAAAACCCTCTCCTACCTGCCGTCACCGATCGCGCAAGTGCCGAAAACACATTCAAGCTGCTCCCTCTATCTCTACTTGCCCTCCGTGTGTCAAAGATCGAACAGCCAGCCGAGCAGCAAAAGAAGAAGCGTGTCAAGGGCCTCTGGACCGTCAAGGTGGAGCAGCAGCAAGAGGCGCGCGACGAGTTCCACTACGTCTGGCTGTATGAGGGCGCCCAGTGGAAGACCAAGCTCTACGCTGTCGGTGCTCTTGCCCTGATTCTCGCCATCGTCTTTTTCCCCGTCTGGCCCTACAAGTTGCGCATCGGTGTGTGGTACCTCTCGATGGCATGTCTCGGACTGCTCGGCCTGTTCTTCGCAATGGCCATCTTCAGACTGATCCTATTCCTCGTCACCATGTTCACGGTACCTCCTGGTCTCTGGCTTTACCCCAACCTCTTCGAGGACGTGGGCTTCTTCGATTCGTTCCGCCCAGTGTGGGGCTGGCAGGAGACTGCAGACGACAAGAAAGTAAAGAAGGAACAGAAAAAGGCAAAGAGAGAGGCCAAGCGTTTGGCGAAGACGGGTGGTGAAAAGCTTGCCGAAATGGGCGAGAGGGTGCAAGAAATCTTGGACGATGGCCACGGTCATGACGGACATGTACACAAGGAGAACATCTCAGGACCCATCATGCAGCCTACTGCCGAGGGTACGAGTACTTCGGGAGCACAGGCAGCAGAGGGTCAGGCTAAGCAGCGCATCATGGCTGCCAGTGTCGAGGAAGCTGAGGACGAGTAGAGACGATTGTGAGATGCGCCATGTTTTGACGCCATGAAAAGCGGCATGTGTTTTAGTCTATACTGAATCGAAGACTGACTTGGACTTTCCATCTGCTTCTTGACTTGTACAATAGTATAATGCTGTGATGTGTGTGACTTCTAATAAGTGTCACATGTAAAAGACCCTGGTGGTTGGCTTTTGGTATGGAAATCGTCATTCTGGATTCTTCCGCTCCCCTCTTCACTCTTTAGGCAGCCACTGCGACTCAGATCTTTCACACAACTTACAACTCTTGCGACCCTCTACGCTCCGCCTTCACCTTTACTCAACATCAACATCACATTCGACTGCGCACTTCCACCTACACAAGCGCATCAAAGCCGTCAAGACCTCGTCTCTCAAATCGACACATCCATCTCTCCATCAACCAAACGCGCAAACCCAATTCACCCACCCACCCACCCACAAACAACCATGGGCTCCGTCGTCCTCCCCCATCTCTCCAGCGGCTGGCACGTCGACCAAGCCATCATGTCCGAAGAAGACCGCCTGGTCGTCATCCGCTTCGGCCGCGACTGGGACAAGGACTGCATGCGCCAAGACGAAGTCCTCTACCGCATCGCCGACCGCGTCAAAAACTTTGCCGTCGTCTACGTGTGCGACCTCGACCAAGTGCCCGACTTCAACCAAATGTACGAGCTCTACGATCCCATGACCATCATGTTCTTCTTCCGCAACAAGCACATGATGTGTGATTTTGGCACTGGCAACAACAATAAACTCAACTGGGTGTTGGAGGATAAGCAGGAGTTGATTGATATCATCGAGACGATTTATAGAGGTGCGAAGAAGGGTAGGGGTTTGGTGGTTAGTCCCAAGGATTACTCGACTAGGTATCGGTACTAGAGGAGGAGGACGGGCTACACAAACTCTCCACGACGAGCACTCTTCTGCATCCTTGTGCAAACTGCTCCTCGAGAGTTTTACAAAGCTTGTCTCTCGAACTCAACACAACTTCTGCCAGCGTCAAAACAACTCTCTCGCAGAACTTCCAACCAACAATATCGAAGACACGACATCCCGAAAAGCGTGCAGATAACGATTACGAGAAAGAAGAAACTGCTCTTTGACTACCCACAAAACATCCTGTCACTAGACATGAGCATCTCAAACTCTCGACAACCCTCCAACCAGCATCACAGGAGCACAATCAGGGGAAGAAATCAATGAAAGCACACAAAGGAACATACAGTTACGATAACGAAACCAACATTCAATTTGAGCTCTCAAGCAATGAAGCGTCTCAGTCTACATACAGATTACAAGAACATAAAAGGGTCGTGCAACAGCGATAACTCATTCGAATAAAAATAGGGGAAAAAAGGGGGTATCTTCTACAATCTCACTGCAACACACTCAATCTAATAGTCGAAGCGCTCGGGGAGCACGACAGGCGCCACAAGTGTCCAACCAAACATGCCGTAGCACACCCATGAGCTGACAATCTTGACCCACGACGCCCAGTACGTGCGTCCCACGGGTATGAAATCGCCCTTTTCGATCAGTGAGTCGCCGCCAACGTTTTGTGTCAGCAATGTGGCAACCCATGCTGTGGAAAGCAGGAAGATGATGTGGAACAAAGTGTAGTTGTACTGAGTGGCGTTCTTCTCGTCGTCGCGAGGGTGGGCACCGGGGTACTCGTCGTCATCGCTGTCGTCGTCCGAGTCATCCAGAGCCGAGGCGGGCAGAGAGCCAGATTCCACAGCTGCACGAAGGGCTTCGGCACGCAACTCGCGACGGGACGAGGGCTGTGTGGCGACGAGACCGTGCTCGTGGTCGCCCTCGCCAACTTGGTGGTAGCCGCCGGGTTTGCCGGTGCCCATGGCCAGACCGTATGTAGCAGCACGAGTAGTGGTATAGGCTACAGTCAGGAAGGTGAGGATGGCGCCCATGATGACGGTTGTTCTGCGAGCACCACGAGCGCGGACCAGGGGATTGCATTGGTGGTCATCAGGCTCCATGGCAACGGCAGACAAAGTCAGGTAGGTGCAGTAAACACAGACAAGGGCTGCTTGAGCAAGACCGGCGCGAGGGTTTGACTCCTGAATCATAGGGTGAACACTGATGACTGAGATGATCAACAGGCAGATCAGGTTGACAGTGATGGCAGCCTGGTTCATGGAACATCCCGAGCCGGCAAAGAAGATGTACATGATGATTGTCATGACAAAAGATCCCAGATACATGGTCAGAGTAGAACCGATCAGGAGCGACTTCCAGAACTGGGAGTCGGTGCTCTCGACCTTCTCGAGACAGTACTCGGCCCAACTATGGGCCAGGTCGACCAGGAGAACGAGTCCGAGGAGCAAGAACAGGACAGCACCGACGAGAGCGACGTAGTTGCCCCAGACGATGAAGAAGCCGTCAGGGATCAAGAAGGAAATGACGATGAGAGCGATCCAAGCGATCAATTTGGGACCCCAGAAGCCGTTCTGAATAGCGGATCTCTTGTCGCGTGTGTTCTGAACGCCGATGAGCAGCAGAGCCATGATTGCGTGGAAGAAGCCGAGAGCAAAGTTGATGCGGTGGACGGCGGTGAAGCCATAGCAGGCNNCCTTGCCGTTGCAGGAGATGGTGGCGAAGTCGAGCAAGACATGTTGGAGTTTCTTGACGGCCCAGTCGGTGAGCATGATCCAGGACAGAAGCGAGTTGAGCAGCAGGATGACGGCGTAGGCGATACGAGTGGCCATGCTGTTGTTACACTTGCCGGCAGCGCTGCACACGGCCGAGCAGGTCGCTGCTCCACAGCAGCTGGCGGCGAAGGTCATGAGNNCTGTATACCATGTTAGCTGAGAAGGTGGCGCGACTTTCTAGAGCCTTACCGAACCCACAGAGGGGATGGCCAAAAGCGGCAGCGACAAGAGGGCTCCCATGGCGACTCTTTGAGTGTTGGAGACGTGTGTTTGAAGACCAGTAGTAGCCTCGCCCGTAAAGTGTTCGAGGAGAGTGGGTCGTCTTCGAGATGGTGCCTGAATACTGGATCTGGGGGAGGTTTGCAACCGTTTCGGCACTCGGCCACGGCCACGGCCACGGCGATGACGCGCGGTCTGCTCTTTCCTCTTTGGGACCTGAGATAGGCGTGCCTGCCTCCTCCGTCCATCCCTGACGACCTGAAGTCGTGCTCAATCTCGAGTCCGTTGTCTTTCCACTCCTCTGCCTCTTCTGTTCCATCCACCATTTCTCCGGCCATCAATCGACCCAGCGATCAGCCTCGACCCTGTACCGCATCCCCCGTTATCTCCCCTCAGGCCTCGGCGTATGCTTCGATAGTATCGCATTGTTCTTCTCCTACTCCTACTCCTCTCATCGCCCGACGACATGCAAGATCGCGACGAGAATGCGCACTACAAGTCGCGCATCATTTCCGTCATTGCTGCTACCGGTATAGCTCTTGCTTGGTATGTTTGCTGCAACCATCCCCTTGGACCATTGCCTCGACGAGTATTCTTATCTGACTGCCAACAGTGGAACAAACGTTAGTACGCGACTTCGAATCCTCTCCTCCAGCCCTAACCCGTCTACCAGTACGCATATTCAGCATGGGCTCCCCAATATGCCGAGCGCATGAAATTGTCCGCTACACAAAGCAACCTTATTGTGAGAAGCCGCCCTGAAGATGTAGTAAGAGCTGCAACTGAGAAATACTAGGGTAGCGCTGGCAACATTGGCATGTACGCCTCGGGCATCCCCTTTGGCATCTTGATCGACACAAAAGGCCCTAGATGGGCTATCCTTATCGGTGCCTTTTCGCTGGCATGCGGCTACTTNCCCCTATACTCGGCCTACCAGAAAGGTCCTGGATCTATGAGCTTTCCGGCCCTCTGTTTCTTCGGGTTCCTGACTGGCATGGGAAGTTGTTGTGCCTTCGCGGGTTCCATCAAGGTCTCCGCAACGAACTGGCCTCATCATCGAGGAACTGCCACCGCTTTCCCATTGAGTGGCTTCGGTCTGAGCGCATTCGTCTTTACCCTGATCGGCAGTTTCGCCTTCCCCAATGATACTGGAGACTACCTACTGATGCTGGCCATCGGTACTTTTGTCATGGTGTTTGTGGGGAGCTTTTTCATGAGACTGATGCCTCCGTCTTCTCCTTATCAAGCTGTACCCACGGAGGACGAGAGTCGACCTTCACGCATTAGGAAAAACTCGCACGACCTTCGGTCAGCACGTCACAGCAGGGATGGAAGCAGATCAAGCGTCCCGGGTGAACCCAGTAAGTTCTCAAGTTCCCCTTCTCCTCTTCTTCTTTGCCTACTTTACTCTTGCACAATACCTTGAGACGACACCCAGCTCATCTCTCCAGGCACACAAAATGCCCAAGTAGATGAGAATTCACCTCTTGTCTCCCGCGCAGGGGANACCCCTGCAGATGAGTCTCAAACATTGCAAAACCAAGGCTCACACAAGAAAGATATTACAGGATGGGCGCTGGCAAAGAGTCCCTCGTTTTGGAACCTGTTCATTCTACTCGGCTTGTTATGTGGTGTTGGTCTGATGACTATCAAGTATGTATCTCTCTGCCTTGACCTTGTATAACGTAGCTGACATCTTTTAGCAACATTGGAAACAACGTGAGAAAGGCTTCGACTGAATNNTAATTGGATCAAACACTGACAAGTTCTCTAGGCCAAGACGCTCTGGCACCACTATGACGAGAATGCAAGTCACGACTTCATCCAGTCTCGTCAATTGATGCATGTTGGTATTCTTTCGATCGGGTCCTTCGTTGGCAGACTGTCTTCCGGTATTGGATCGGACTTCGTGGTCAAACGCCTTCACTCGTCACGTTACTGGTCACTCGTCGCCTCATCTCTGATATTCACCATCGCCCAAGTTTTTGGACTCACGATTGAAAACCCCACTCACTTGTATCTTTTGTCAAGTGTTACCGGACTTGGATACGGTGCCTTATTCGGCGTGTTCCCGGCTCTTGTTGCCGATGCTTTTGGCGCTCCAGGACTCGGCATCAACTGGNNTGCTATGACGATGTCGCCAGTCATCTCAGGCAACATCTTCAACACGGCGTACGGCGCCATTCTTGATAGCCACTCGGGCTCAGCGGACGGTCATCACCGCATCTGCAACGACGGAAAGTCTTGCTACTCTCAAGCGTATACTATTACCCTTGTCGCCAGTATCATGGGGATTGCNCTGAGTCTGTGGTGCGTCCGCCATGACACACAGGAGAAGAAGGCACAAAGGAAGCTGTACGAGGACCATTCACCTTAGGGATATTGCATCTCGGTGTTCTTCAGCCTTGTGTTATCTCATAGCGTCTTTTCTACCATCTTCAGATATGAAGAGCGATTTACAATAGATTTCTTGAACTCGAATGGACTCAAATGGATGCTGTGCACAGCCACATTGAAATCGCATGTAACGAGTACTTTGAGTTTGCCTCCCCGCATCCAGCCGAAAGTGTGGCGCGTAGCTTGACTCGTCACCTATGTAGCTGCCTATTTGCCATGGACTCCTTCTTCTCGTCCCACTTTCTTCGACTTCTTAATATCAGACCTGTGATTTTGTGTCGTCCTTTGTTCTAGGGGCTCGGCTTTGTGAATTTCGTGACTTCTTAGGCAGGACTCGAGTCGGTCGTGTCTCGCCACCTCGACCACGCATCGCCCATCATGCCCGCACCACTAGCCAAGGGTATGTGATTTTCATTATGTGTTTTCCTTATGTTGTTTCTTTTGTGTTTTTGCTTTCTACAACTATGTTGTTTTCCTTCTTGATTGTTGCTGCTTGTTCGATGCAACAATTTTGTATTTGTTCTATGCTTCCGTCAGCAACGCTCACGTCCTTGCGACATATCTGACACGATTCGCAGGAATCTTGATTTCCCTCTCCATACTTGCCGCTGTCGGGATAGCAGTGTATGAGAATCCTCAAGTTAAGGAATGGGTAGAAGACCAACGGCGCAAGATAGCCGAGTTTCTCGGCACCTTTGGAGATCAGCTCGACCCGCAATCACGACGAGAGGCAGAAGCATTTGCCTACAAGGGACGTTTACCTACCCAAAGTCGCGAAGAAGCTGCAGGAACAGCAAATGCCTTCGCCAGAGCTACCGGAAGAGAGACGACGGACGATTCAATTAGCAGGCGAAACGGGACAAGCCATACGCCGCAGAGTCCTGATGAAGCCGAGGAGAGAAGACGGCTGGGCAGAGCATATCTGGCCAAGCGAACCCAAGAGATGCTGGACCTGAAGGAGAAGCAGAAGATGAGGAGGAGCACGTCTGGGCTGTCGGAAAAAGCACCCCCTTCACCAACATTCGACCAGCTTGTGAATGTCGACGGCTCATTGAAGTCAGACGAGAAGGACACACAAGGAGAAGGCGAAGAGTTCAACGAGAAGACTCTCGAGCTGCCCTCGGTGCCAACGGATGAGCCAAAGTCTCTTCGAAGCATACCTATCCAAGAGGCCGCTACAGCCTTCAATACTGGCTCTCGCTACGCAAATCCTTTCGGTGACGAGTTCGAACTCTCGGGTACACTGGACTCGCGCTCACCGACACCAAAGCCTCCCGTACCACCCAAGATTGCTATCGAAGACACTAGCAAGCTTCGCAGACTGTCTGTCGCACAGAAAGAGCCCTCGGTCAGACAAATCCCTGTCTTCGATGAAGAAGACACACCTGCCAACCTCAGCTACGAAGAGCAACTGGTCCGCGCCATGTCGATCAGTCTGGCTGAGAGTGAAGAAGCTGCCCGCAAAGCCCGCGCTTTGGAGCAAGAGCAACGCGACATGGACTTTGCTGATGCCGTCGCTGCCAGTCTGGCCGATTACGAGAAGACGAGGCAAAAGGAGATGCAAGAGGAGCAAAATAACGAGCTCATCAACCTCACGCCCGATCCTCCCGTCTCCGTGCCCACCTATGAGTACACTGATGAGGAACTTTATACAGTGTCACCCAGGGTCCAACCCCGTGCTATCGTTCCGGCGACGATCCCTGGGCCCATCGTCATCCCAGCCTACGACCCTGTCCACGAAGCCGCCGCTGTCTCTCCTCCCCAACAACAACAATCACAAACACCACTTCCCCCACACACACCCACTACCGCCATGTTCTCATCTCCCGAGTTTGAGCGCGACGCCATCTCCCTATCCTCCGCCTCCTCCGCCTCCTCCACCATCGACGACTTTGCTTCTGCCCCCGGCAGCGTGGCAGCTAGCGAGATGAGTCTTATCGACTTTGGCGAGGTGGAAAGCGTGGACAGTGGTGATGAGAGTGAACCTGATGGTGTCTTGACACCCGGCAGCTGGACCGATGTAGGCAGTGATGTTGCAAGCGAGGACCAGGAGCATCACAGACTTGCTTGATCTGTTCCTGATGTCAGCTAGACCATGGCTATATTCCTATCGCAATTTCTGTTACTGTTGTTCTAGCCCTGGCTTACTTCTTGTTTCACTTGGTCTTGGGTTGGCGGGTTGCCTGCTTTTGCACTTTTTTTCGCCTTGGGTGTTTGGAGGGCTTGGTGTTTTTGGGGATTTTCTGCTTTGTTTTCGTCTCTTGTTTCTGCACTACTCGTATTGAACCAAAGAGCGGGATATACAAAAATGCAATATGCTTCCTGCTTGCTCTCTCTTCTTTTGTTTCCGCTGTCTACCCTTGTCTCTTTGCGTAGTGATTGTCCCCATTTTTTGTCTTCTTTTCTTTTTCTTTTTTTTTCTCTTCACATCCTTTTTCTCAAATTTCTTTTCTACCTAGTCCAAGAACTGTCACTCTTTTTCTCATTCGCAAAACAATGTTAAAGACCGTCATCAACTGTAGGCTCTCTCGATGTTTTCTACACTTGATTTTGTTCAAGTCGTGGCCTATCCTCTGTGGTGGTTTGTAGCATCGCATTGGTTGGTTGACGTTGATTGTCTTCGTTTTCGATACTGAAGCTTTTGGCACTAGTCAATATTTGAACATCAGGCGTAAAAACATCTTGAGAGTATCAGAGAAGTGTCTGGAGTGATATCGACTTGATCTTCATTGTGGGAAGGAGGTCCAGAGGCTGGGTACAGGGTCATACTTTCAGCATAAAAGACTTGGGTCATGGCGAAGTTGGGGTTAAGTGGAAGCAATCATGTTCATCATTCGTATGGAGCTCAGACACACACTGTGGTCACTGGCTTAGAGCTAGACTATAATTACAACCTTTCGTCTTTCATCTTCTTCAGTGGTCTTTCCACGTTCAGTCGTCTTCAGAGTTGAGCACCTTCCATGCGCCTCCCCTACGCTTCTTGCCAGCAGAAGGACCTCTGTTCGTTTGCAGCTCATCTGATATCTCGTTGGCGGGAGTAGGGATCAGTGCCGGCATGGCTATGGTGAGTACAGGTTGTGCCCGCTCATCATCAGTGGTAGCAGTCCTCTTTCTAGCTTCAACGACAGCCGCCTGTTTTCTTGCTTGTCTTGCAGACACTCTCTTGGGCATAGCCGTGGCGAGGACATTTTGAATTCGCTGATCGTCAGCCGCAGCGGCCTTCTCTTTAGCTTCGTCGGCAGCAGCTTGTTCTCTGGCTTCCTCTTTTGCCTGTTTAGCAGCCACTCTCATGACCATTTCTTCATCAATTACTTGCTGCTTAGCTTTCGCCCATACAGCCAGCTTCTCAGGATGCGAGGTCATGTAGATGACGGCTTCTCTAGCCGCAAATGAGTCTTCGAGACAGGAGTGGTTCGCCATTCCTTGCACACTCAAGCCCATCAGACTGTCGCACAACTTCTTCAAACTCGTACCACTGCTGCGACCACATCTGTCGATAGCAGCCTTGGCCAATACTTCCGAGTCCACACAGCGGTTGTGAGCAATCTTGAGGACATTTAGGTCGTGGTGCAGGGCATGGCCAACGAGAATGGTATTTCTGTCCATGTGGGAAAACAAGACTTTGCGAGCGTGAAACGCATTTCTCGAAGCAGTGCCTTCACGATCAGCCTGCACGATCATGTTGTGACTCACGCCATGGATGTCAGTACGCCACTGGCGGATGTTCAGAGTAGGCTTAACCAGAGTCGAGATCAGTACCTCACCGCTGAGGTAATCAACAGCAGTTAGTTGAATTAATTGATCAACTAGACCATCACCGCTCTTACCTCCAGCCATCTCACAGTCAAGAGCAATGGCGCGACGTTTGCTGGTGAGTGAGGGCTGAGAGACTGCAGGTGGGTGCTCGAAGTCTTCGTAGCGTGACACCAGATGAGAGATGCCACCGAAACTGTGCATGCTGTCTCTAACGACTGAACAACCCTTCACACCCTCTTCTGCGATCAAACGATCGAGACGTTGACGAGAAGTGCGACAAGACCTGCATTTAACCTTAGCTCTGAGATCCGCGAGCGGCGGCATGATAGGTTTCTTGATGTTGAAGCCAGTCAGGACCAAAGATTCGGCATCGTGGCAGTGTCTCTCCAGAGTGTGATAAGCGGCATCAATCTGGTCGTCACAGAACGATGTCCAAGCTCTGGCCTCTGGGACAGGATCAGAAGAGACGAGTAGAGGCCAAGTCTTATTGACTGAATACTGAGGGTTAGAGCTCGAAGTCGTCGAAGGCGCGGAAGCGGAGGAAGACGTAGACATGTGGATGGCAGAGTCGTCAGTGATATCGGCATCGACAGAGAGCTTTGACACATCAGACTTGGTGCTTGTAGGAAGCGGCGCAACAGCTGGAGAATCAGATGGTCCGTCGTGCTGAGGTGGAAACTGCTTACGTCGGGCACGGTCGCGATGTGGACGTTGTTCTAAGGTAGTCGGTGGCAGATGCTGTATTGCTTGAAGCGTGCCACCAGCAACGAAGGCAGGTGGGAATTGATAGGCGAGATTGCGGCTGATTGGAGCAGGATAGACCGGAGCGGGTGGACCATAGCATCCATGGTTGATAGGAGGTGATGAAACAAAAGGCAGAGCCGAATATTGTGAATCGAAAGGTGGAGGAGTAGGCTGTACATAGACAGGCCTACCTTGTGTGACCTGCGCTCCGGCATTCTCTGTACCAAAATTCATGGCAGAAGACTTGGTAAAAGATGAACTGCTGGGAGCCATGCTGATGATACGCGAGCGGGCTTTGCGACCAGTGAGTTGAGTCGCAGAACCTTCGTTAGAGCGCTGCAGTGAAACGACGACTTTCTGATTGAACAAGCGCTTGTTGTGAAGTTCTTTGACAGCACGATTGGCTTCCGCGGCCGTAGTCAAAGTGATGAAAGTGAAGTTGTACGAGTGCGGACAATGGGTGCGCATAGATATAGTTTNCACTACCGTATGTAGTCAGTATTGTTTGTTGATGCAAATTGAGAGCGTGTTTGAGATCACCCACACAATAAAGCCCCGGAACAGTATGTTGACAATGTCTTGCTCTCTGATGTTGGCAGGAAGTCGGCCAACATAAACAGCTCGACCGGTGGGTTGGGAGAGCTCTGGGTTGTGCAAGAAAGAGTTTTGGACATGGCGTCCAAGTTCTTGAACACTGGCAAAGTCGCGTTCGCAGCCAATGCAAACGATCAATGCCGGGGCCTTGGTTCTGGGACAGATGCGACGTCCCGTCGATGATGTTTCCAGGTGTTGGTCCAACAAGTCAATCTCGTCATAGCGCTGCTTGCAGCTGGAACATTGGACCGCGTTTTGAGACCTCTTCAGTATCTTGACTTGTGCCATGCCGAGTGGGTCAGATTAGTAGAGTGGAATCGAGTCTTGCCTACATGCAAGCGTTATTGAGTCAAACAAGAATGGAAGGTGAAAGTGGCAGTTGCAGAATGATAAGACCACAGCATGCAGGTCGGGGACAGATGCGACGTGAGTTTGTCTGGAAGGACACGGAGAAAGCGCTTTCTAGAACCTGTAAAGAAGTGCTGATGCCAAATGACGGGATTGCATCTCGCGGAACCATCTTACCAGCCAAGAAGGCGCCATCGACAGAACACGATTGTAGGTCTGTCGCTTCCACTACTCGCTCTCATAAAGTTCTGTTTGTCGAAAACATTGTGCAACTCTGTAGCTACCTTACCTTACATGCGTTATGGACTCTAGCACACGAAGAAGAGGAGGGTTGTCAACAACCCTACTCTACCCCTCTCAAGTGCCATCGTCTATCGTTGCTGCCTTCCTTGTATGATGGTGTAGAACGATGAATAAGCTACAGGAAGACACAGTCGAATGCAGACCATAAGTTGTATTCAGAGGGTAGAGACGACAGATTGACGGACACCTCAATTCTCTGGTTGCTTGGTGGATCGTGCATGTCAATGGCCACTGTACAACTGAGTGGGACAGGCTCAAGGTATATGGTATGCACGGTGGGATGGAGCAATGGGAGGTTAGGAAAGCCAAAGCTTATCGATAACACCTGCCACTTCGAGACGTGCCAAATTGAAACGCGTCCCACGCGTTCGAAGGCGAGACTCTATCACTCTTGGGTCATCCACCATTGTCTGTATACAATCGCTCTTCGAAATTCACAATGGCCAGAGGAATCGAAGGCAACGAGATCGCTACGCCCCGAGTGCCCAAACTCCAGAAATCGGTCTCGTCGGCATCACAATCAGGAAAGCAGCAAAAGAGCATCCTGGGCTTCTTCCAGCGGAAGACGGCGCCTGCTTCATCACCTGCTGCACCAAACGATACTGCAGCTGCTTCAAGTCCTCCGCCGCAGTCTTCACCTGCTCCTGCCAATTTTAATGGTAAAGAGAATGGTGTGCTATGCCACAAACCCATCACCCTGCCCAGTCGCTGACATTCACGTCTACAAGCAGTACCGCTAGTAAAGCCATCGATTCCGTCCTCGAGTCCTGTCCGCAATGGCAAGAAGAAAGTCAACTACGCCGAGTCCGACGACGAGGATGACGAGCCTGTCCTTCGCCAACGCTCCAACAACGCAACGGGACGCTCTACCAAGAGAAGGAAGTTGGCCGACGAATCAGACGATGAGTTCGCCATGGACGATGCTACTGAGGCATTGATGGCTGCCGCTGACGATGCTGACATGCAAGACTTTGTTGTCGATGATGATGCCTCGGAAGACGATGCTCCTGTCAAACGTAAGAAGTCTAGCCAGACGCGGAAGCCTTCCAAACAGCCTTCTCCTATTGCAGAAGACGAACCAAGTCAAAGTCCGGAGATGCCATCTACCTCGACAGCCCAGCAATGGAATTTTGATCCGGAGGACGTCCAGCCATACGCCTCCAGGAAGACGCCTCAACGCAAACCACAAACGGGTCCTCCCAAGAAGCAGAAAGCTCATATGTCAGAGCCCGATGCTCGCTACCCTTGGTTGGCCGATATAATGGATGCGGACCGCAACAAGCCCGGTAACCCAGACTACGACCCACGCACTCTCTTCATTCCTCCCTTGGCATGGAACAAATTCTCTCCTTTTGAGAAGCAGTACTGGGAAATCAAGTCAAAGTTTTGGGACACGATTGTCTTCTTCAANAAGGGCAAGTTCTACGAACTGTATGAGAATGATGCCACCATTGGTCATCAGCTGTTCGATCTGAAGATGACTGATCGTGTCAACATGCGCATGGTCGGTGTCCCAGAGGCCTCACTTGATCACTGGGCCAATCAGTTCGTTGCCAAAGGCTTCAAAATTGCCAGAGTCGACCAGATGGAAACCGCTCTTGGCAAAGATATGCGTGAGAGAGATGAAAAGACCGGCAAGGGTGGTAAGCCAAAGAAGGAAGAGAAAGTCATTCGTCGCGAGCTGGCCTCCGTCTTGACTTCTGGTACTCTCGTCGATGGTGGCATGTTGCAAGACGACATGTCAACCTACTGTGCTGCCATCACAGAGCGCGAAGTAGATGGGCTACCTGCCTTCGGTATCGCTTTCGTCGATACTGCAACAGCTCAGTTCCAGCTCTGTGACTTTGTCGATGATGTCGACATGACCAAGTTTGAAACGTTTGTCGCTCAGACAAGACCCGGCGAACTACTTCTCGAAAAGTCATGCATCTCGTCCAAAGCTGTACGTATCTTGAAGAACAACACCAGCCCCACGTGTCTCTGGAACTACCTCAAACCGGAAAAGGAGTTTTTGACCGCCGACAAGACTGCACTCAAAATCACCGGAGAGCACTACTTCAAGTCTGACGACAACGAGAATGATGATGCCTGGCCTGCTTTGCTCCGAGAAGCTAGGGAGAAAGAACTTTGCTTCTCTGCCCTTGGCGCTTTGATCTGGTACCTTCAGACGCTCAAGATTGAGCGTGATCTGATATCGCTTGGCAACTTCAACTGGTACGATCCGATAAGAAAGGCATCCAGTCTTGTACTCGACGGACAGAGCTTGATCAACCTTGAGGTAAGTCCAGAATGAGCTTGTGATCAACGATTTGACTAACCTTGAAACAGNATCTTTGCAAACAGTTATGACGGTGGCACCGAGGGCACACTCTTCGCCATGCTAAATCGCTGCATCACACCTTTTGGTAAGCGTATGCTACGCCAATGGGTCTGCCACCCCTTGGCAGATGCTGCGAAGATCAACGCAAGACTCGATGCTGTAGAAGCACTTAATGCCGACCTCACAATTACCGACCGCTTCACAGCATCTCTGTCCAAGATCCCCGATCTTGAACGTCTCATTTCCCGCATCCACGCAGGTAGATGCAAGGCCACAGATTTCGTCAAGGTTCTGGAAGGCTTTGAACAGATCGAGTACACAATGAGTCTGCTCTCAAGCTTCGGCGAGGGCGAAGGTGTTCTCGGACAACTCATATCATCGATGCCTGATCTTGCTGGAGCGCTGGCCCATTGGACTGATGCCTTCGATCGTGAACAGGCAAAAGACCAGAATCTGCTTGTGCCCAAGCCGGGCATTGAAGAAGACTTTGACGAGAGCCAAAACACGATTGAGGAGATTGAAGGTCAACTACAGTCTTTACTCAAGCGTTGTCGTGATGAGCTCAGCACTTCCGCTGCCAAGTACACCGACAATGGCAAGGAAATCTACCAGATCGAAGTTCCGGTCAAGACTAAGAATATCCCCAAGAACTGGAAGCAGATGTCATCGACTGCCAAAGCAAAACGTTACTACTTCCCTGAGCTGGAGAGCTTGATTCAAGATTTGAAAGAGGCGCAAGAAACCCACGGACAGATCGTCAAGCAAGTTGCCGGTAGATTCTACGCTCGATTCGACCAGGACTATGCCATCTGGCTCGCTGCAGTGAAGATTGTTGCTCATCTCGACTGTCTTATATCCCTGTCCAGAGCATCTGCCTCACTCGGTGAACCAAGCTGCAGACCCGAGTTTGTCGACTCTGAGCGTAGTGTGCTCGAGTTTTCCGACCTTCGTCATCCATGCATGCTCAACACAGTCTCGGACTTCATCCCCAACGACATCGCTCTTGGTGGCGACAACCCTAGTATCGATCTCTTGACTGGTGCCAACGCAGCCGGTAAGAGTACTGTCCTGCGCATGGCTTGTATTGCTGTCATTCTGGCTCAAGTCGGCTGTTTTGTACCGTGTGTCGCAGCACGCATGACCCCTGTTGATCGTATCATGTCTCGCCTGGGAGCTCACGACAACATTCTGGCTGGGCAGAGTACGTTCATGGTAGAGTTGAGCGAGACGAAGAAGATCTTGTCCGAAGCTACACCTCGTTCGCTAGTCATTCTCGATGAGCTTGGCCGTGGTACGAGCAGTCACGATGGTGTCGCCGTTGCACAAGCAGTTCTTCACCACGTCGCTACGCACACCGGCTGCATTGGCTTCTTTGCTACCCACTACCACTCGCTCGCGGCAGAGTTCAGCTCACACCCAGAGATTTCACCCAAGCGCATGGCCATCATGGTGGACGATACCGAACGCCGCATCACCTTCTTATACAAGCTAGAGCCTGGTGTGGCGGAAGGCAGTTTCGGTATGCACTGTGCAGCTATGTGTGGTATCCCAGACGCAGTCATCCAGCGCGCAGAAGATGCGGCAAAGGAGTGGGAGTATACGGGTCGTCTGCAAGTGCGTGCCGAAGAGCGCAAGGAGGGAGAGTTGCCCCTTGGACTGCTCAGCGATATTGCATGGATGCTCAAGACGGCTGACGATGTGGTTCCTGAAGGCGAAGAGGGCATCGGTGAGCGTGGTCTTGAAGTGTTGAGAAGAACTGTTGCTGCATTGTAGATGTGATGCGTGTGTTGATTGAGGATTGTTGCTTGAGGTGTTCTTGCTAGGGTTGAATTGAGTATGGCTTGCAGTGTGTTTGCTGAGATGACATGAATCAACAATGATGTTTGCGAAGCGTGGTTGCCCCTTCATGTATATAATCATCTTACTTGTCATGCAATTACGAAAATGAAGAGAAATCGTTGTCATTTTTGAGTCTATCCTCAATTTCAGCACGTTACGTATAAGAAGCACCACAGTCAAAAAAGAACAACAGGAATCCCATTTTTGTGACCTCATGATATAAAAACAGCGAACAGATTCAATACCGCTTGTTGCATCTACTCGACCTCGACGGCGTTTCTGTACTGCTTGTTGGGCCTGTAGCCATTGCCCTTGTCACGGTTATCCGCATCACGGAGCTCGGCCTCACGGTCACGAATGTAGTTTTCCTTTTCCTGGCGGACGACACGGAGAACACCCTGCAGAGAGGAACGCCACATGTCGAGGCGGGAAGCGACCTCGCGCCACTGGTTCTCGCCAAAGACGCGGTAGGTGGTGCGGTGAATGAGGAAGGTCTTTTCCTGCTGGGAGAGCTTGCCTTCGACCAAGCCGACACGCACGGCATCGATGGCCCACATTTCGACGTCTTCGGCGGGGATCTGGAGGGCCTTTGTGATGTGCTCGTAGGGCAGGGTGCGGGATTGGGATGCTGAGGCTGCGATGCTGGCGAGGGTGAGCAGACGCATCTTGCGCTCCAGAGCGGCAGTGTCGAGCTCAGCCTTGCTCAAGAAATCAGGGTTTGCCTCGTTGAAGTCGCGGAAGTCGTCGAGTTGCTGGGCGTTGAAGATTTCGAGCAGCTCGAACCAGACGGGCTCGGCGGAGCGCAGGGCCTGGATGGAGTCGAGTTGAGTCAAGTCGTGGAAGTCAAAGTGCGAGGGCGAGACGAGGGCTTGCTTGAGTGCGCGCACGGAAAGGGCTTNTGCGTCGTCCGAGGAGGCGTCTGCTTGCGACTGGATGGTGCGCAGGGCCTTGAGCAGGTATTGGTATGCTTGTTCGTCCTCGCTGGCTTCGGTGGCCACGTCGCTGACGGCAAGGTACAGCTTGCGCTGGTCGGCGGCGTCCATGTCCCAGGCCTGCAGCCATGACTCCAGCTGGGCGAGTTGGGGGGTCAACTGGTCGAAAGTGCTGTTGTTGCGCACAATCTTGAGGATGGCCAGCAGAACATGGTACCGGCTCTCTTGCTCGGGCGAGAGGGTGTTGAAGATTGTGGAGAGGACGTTGAGGGCGAGGCCGGTGCCGTTGTGCGGCGAAGAGGTGATGGGCGCAGACACGTTCTGGCAGAGTTTGGGCAGGAAAATGTCGGGGCTTCCGGACTGGTGTACCAGGTGCACGAGGAGGTTGTATGCGGCGACGAATTCTGGCACGGAGGGTTAGAACTGGGCGGTTTCGACTGAGGAAAGAGCGAACTCACCTCTCTCGGGGGCGCTGTTCAGGGCACTGCTGGCGGTGACAATCTTCTTGAGCGCATCGACCTTGTTGCCCTCCTTCAGCAGCGGCGCAACCTCTGACTGCACCGACGACTGGCTGAGTCCGTCAATGTAGACGGCGAGCTCCTCGCTCAACTCCTCGAATGAGCCTTCGATCAAAAGTGTGTTGGCCATGGTTGTGTCTGTGGTTACGTCTACCCTCGCGCAAATGCTCATCGTCAATCGCTCGCGTTGAAATTCGTCGCTTGGCACAGTTATGCTCCCTTATCGATTGCCCTTGTCCGTGCACAACTCCCTCTGTGAATTCCACCGCCCTTTTATGCATTCCGCCCCTGGCAATCTCAAACAACAAATCCAAGTGAAGCGCGTCTGATTTTGCATCTATCTACACGCTCTAGTTTCCAGGACGATTTCTTCTAATGCTAATAACGAGTCCTCAAACCATCTAATCAGCCTTGGGCTTGATGTGCTTGCCCGGCTTCTCCATGACAAATGCGCGCTCGAGGAACTTGAGTCCCTCGTCAATCAAAATAATGGGTGCACTCCATGCAAACACCAACTTCCACTCCTCCATACCCAGAGGCACGATACCAAAGATGCCCTGCAGGAAGGGAATGTAAAGCAGGGCAAAGTGCAGAGCCATACTCAAGCAGATGGCATATACAAGCATCATGTTCTTCCAGAGGGGAAGAGTCAACAAACTCTCCGACGAAGACAGAGCGTTCATGGCGTTGAGCATCTCGATAACCACCAAGATGGACAAAGAGATGGTCGATGCTGTCTTGGCTCTGTAGTCAGTGAACATCAAGCAGTCGACCGGGTGCTCGAAAATGCTGCAAGAGTGGAAGTGAGNTCTGTCGAAGGTTAGCGTTCAGTCATTCAAGCCGAATCCGTCGAGGGAACTTACCAGTGCGTGGAAGCTGACCTTGGGTCCAGCCTCACTAAACATGAAGTACCATGCGTAACCTCCAACAGTTGCGACACCAACATAAGTGCCAATAACCATGTATCTGAAGAACAGCCAGCCACCAATAAGAGCTTCATCACGCTTGCGAGGAAGACGCTTCATGATATCATGGTCAGCAGGGTTGAACGAGAGCGCAGTAGCGGGAAGTCCGTCGGTAACCAAGTTGACCCAGAGGAGCTGAACAGGAATCAGGGCCTCAGGCATACCCATAGCGGCAGTCAAGAAAATAGACACGACCTCGCCAATGTTGGACGAGATCAAGTAGCGGATGAATTGTTGCGTGTTGTTGTAGATGCTTCTGCCTTCCTCGACAGCGGCCTCGATGGTTGCAAAGTTGTCGTCGGCAAGAACCATGTCTGCAGCGAGCTTGGCGACATCGGTACCACTACCCATGGCGACACCAATATCAGCCTTCTTCAAAGCAGGGGCGTCGTTGACACCATCACCAGTCATAGCGACAACCTCGCCAGCAGATTGAAGAAGGTCGACCAANNCTCTGGACTTGTGGGTGGGTTCAGTACGGGAGAAGAGAGAGGCGTTCTTAGCAGCCTTGAGCTTGTCGGCATCGCTGAGGTCATCGAACTGGCGACCAGTGAAACTCTTGCCAGTCAGGTCTTCGTCAGTGCCAAAGACACCAATCTGGCGACAGATGGTCTCGGCAGTGTTCTGGTTGTCACCAGTGATGACAACAACACGAATACCAGCCTCACGGCACTTGCGGATGCTATCGGCCACCTCAGGACGGGGAGGGTCGAGCATACCAACGAGACCGATCAGAGTCATGTTTTGTTCGAGTTGGGCGTATTCGGAGCTAGTCTTGGCCTGCTTTAACAGAGGAGAGTTGATGTTGTCGACGCTGGCAAGAGCCATGATGCGGAGTCCACGGTTACCATAGTCAACGACCTCCTTGGAAAGCAGAGCAGAGACATTGTCGGTGAGAGCCATTCTGGTGCCCTTGGTTCCGACCAAGACATATCTACATCTGGCGATGATGGATTCAGGGGCACCCTTGACAAGCAGACGCTGGGATGAGCCATCTTGGACCAAAACAGACATGCTCTTTCTGTCGCGAGCAAATTCGTATGTAGCCAAACGAGGAGTGCTAGTTTCCCAGTGCTTGCTGGCGTGATGAATTCTTTCTTCGGGTGCGAGGGTAGATCTTGCAGAGTTGACGGATGCGTCTCTGGTACCGATCTTCTCGGCCAGGACTCTCAGGGCACCTTCGGTAGCCTCACCAACGTTGTTGTAGACACCCTTCTCGCTGTCGTAAGCAAGACGTGCGTCGTTACAAAGAGCGGCAACTTCGGCGATCTGCGCAATGGTTGAGGACGAAGCGGCTGCGTTCTCGAGGGTCTTTCCAGCCGAAGTGGTGATTGCGCCCTCAGGAGCGAAGCTGGTTCCTTCGACACTAAGTTCTTCGAGACCGGATGCTTGCTCGTTGATGAAGACGACCTTGTTCACGCTCATCTGGTTGGTGGTAAGGGTTCCGGTTTTGTCTGAGCAAATAACACTGCAGCTACCTAGAGTCTCGACCGAGGGAAGACTGCGCACCACGGCGTTCTTAGCGGCCATCTTGCGGGTACCCAGGGCGAGGCAGGTGGTAATGACGACAGCAAGACCTTCGGGAATGGCAGCGACACCGAGCGATACAGCAATCTGGGTTTGTGATTAGTCAAAATCCCTTAGAATTCAGGCACGATGGCCGCTTACCTTCAAGTAGTAGATGGCGCCCTTAGTGAAAGAGCCATGAGCAGGATCATTGAAGTGAGGGATATTGATGAGCCAGACAAGAATACAGATGACAGTAATGACCTTGGCAAGAGTGTCTCCGAAGTCGTTGAGCTTTTCCTTGAGAGGGGTAGGCTGCGAGATTTGGGAGGTGATGTTCTCGTGGATGTCGCCAATGGCAGTGTTGGATCCAGTAAGGACAACGACAGCAGTGGCATTTCCAGTGACGACGGTGGTGCCGGAGAAGAGCATGTTGATCTGGTCCTGCTTGACAGCGTTCGCATCTTTTACGGCGTCCGTATCCTTGCCGACACTCTCGCTCTCTCCAGTAAGAATACTCTGGTCGATGCGGAAGCTGTTGCTGTGGATAGACAAGACTCTGCAGTCGGCAGGAACGCGGTCACCCACAGCCACCTTGACAATGTCTCCGGGAACCAACTCGTCTGCCTTGATGCGCTGAACCTTGCCATTGCGAACGACCTTGGCCTCGTTGGCAGAGTACTCTTGAAGTGCAGCAATTGCCTTCTCGGCCGACGATTCTTGCGACACACCGACGACGGCGTTGAGGATGAGGATGGTGAGGANTCTAGCGGGCAAAGGTTAGATGCTGTCTTGAGCGCAAGGGCGCGATACAGCACATACCACGATGGGGTCGACGAAGACAGTCCAGTCGTCGCTGTCCTCAAACAGAGCGAGAACAAAAGATACGGCGGCCGAGGCAAGGAGGATGATAACCAGCTGGTCCTTGAATTGTTCGAGGATGAGTTCCCAGAGCGGTGTTGGCGGGTCTTCGGGGAGAGNCTGAGAACAGAATCAGTACACATACGTAGTGGTTATAGAGAGATGCCATCAGAACATACCATTGCGACCATGCTTCTGTCTTGAGGCCGTTACGGAAGACTTGTCGAGACCTGAGGCTTCCTGCACATCAAAGTGCTTCAGCACCGCCGATGGAGATTGCACGTAGGCGTTGTCCATGTTGGCAGATCTGCAACAATGCAAAATTGGTCGAGAAAAGGAAGATGTAACTTCCACGTCCCTTCCCAGCCTTATTGTACTCTGAGCCAAAAGTCCAGAAGTTTCCTTGATATCGAATACGTACACGTTTCGATTGAGCACCCTAGATGCCAAGAAGTCTCCGCGAAAGCCAGCTGCCGAGCCCGCTCGGCTTCCAACTCTGGAAACAGAAATACAAGAACTTGGTAAACACGAGAAACATCATCTCTCCTAGCCCGACAGGCCCACAACCGCATTGCGCGTACAAAAGGCTTGTCGCATCCACTATCTTGCCGCATACCCAGCTAAGCACTGCACACCTGAATCATGTCTCTCTTCGACCGAGAGGTTTTGTCAATTCGATTTACGTCACACCGTCAAGCACGTCTCCATCAAGGTTGCCAAACTGCTGCCTCTGTTTAGAGAGAAACCGTGCATTTCTATAGCTTATAACAACACAACGAGTTAGTGAGGCAGAGGGCTCCATCGTAAGGTTGTGGCTGTATTCTGGCAGTGCAATGCAACTTCGTCCTCCCTGCCCTGCGCAGACCAGCCAGGACAGTCCAAGAACGTCTCCTTATCAAGGTATCGTATAGTACAAAGACGTCTGAAAAACCACATTCCATGCAAACCCTGAAGAAAAGAATCCCAATCCTCCGTTTTTGGTAGTCCTTCCCGGTACGCCAATTGTTATGCATGCTCTGTTTCCTTCGCGTAATATACAACAGAGCTTTCTCCAGCCCTTAGTTGAGGAAACCCTTACAACCCACGGAACCGCAAAGACAGGGGATACGGTCGTCGCTGCCGTATTCACGCTCGAACTTATAATCATATGTGAGCTCGTCGTCTGCAGACAGGTTAGTAACGTGTCTAGATCAACAAGTGTCTTCAAACTTACTCTTGGCAATGTCCTTGAGCGCATAAATGACAATTCTTCTGGTGCCGTCGACCTTGATGATTTTGGCCGTACAGTTGGGTGTACAGCTGTGATTGATGAAACGGGCAATGCCACCCTNTTTCGTCGCGTCGATGATCTCGTCGTCAGCCATGCGGAAAAGGTAACTGCTTCCAATGCCTTGCTTGTCGTACTTGATCTCGCGAAGGTCGGCCACCTTTTGGCGCACTTTCTCGCCGACGTACTCGATGATGAGGTCGTTGGAAGCGATGTTCTCCATGGCATACAGACCCCAGCCGTGAATAGCCGATCTGTCGAATTTGACATGCTTCTTTCTCTTCTTGAGCGCATTGAACTTGATAGCATCGGCTTCACCACCGGTAGTAGTGAGGTTCTGCTTCTGCAAGTTGATGTCGTTGACCAGGCGTCGGTTATTAGCACGATTACTGCGGGATGTGGCGACAGATGCGGTTTTGGCGATTGCGGCTGCCCTTGCGGCTTCAGCGGCCGCTTCAGCAGCGGCGACAGCATTAGGGTTCTCCAAAGCTTGTGCTTCGCGAGCCTCGCGTTCCTTTTGTACACGAATGCGATGAGGCAGGTATTTGGACTTTTCGGACTCCAAAATCTTCTTGACACCCTCGGTGCGAGCACAGCCCGAGAGGTTCGGTACGTAGTATCCCTGGATCCTCGCTTCGGCAGTTGGTCCACGAGAGTTGAGTGTCTTGATCTCCTTCTGCTTCCATGCCCAAAGAGTAACGTCACCAATCTCTGCAGGGGACATGTCTTGCAGAGCTTGATGAAGGTATCGCATGTCTTCTTCATCCTTGACCATGTGCTTCCATCCGTCAATATCCAAGAAGACACCATCATCGTCTTCGACGGTCTTGCGTGGTTCACCGGTGGACACTGCCCACTCGACCTGTGGTCTATCTTCCTCTTCGTCTCCTCCGATGACTGGTTCGGCCATATCGATGTCAGCGTCGGCATCAGCGTTGATGTCTCTCTCATCGATTTGACTGCCGTGCTCCAGGATTAGAGTGTCTTCAGCAGCCCTTGCCGCAGCCCGTTCTGCTTCGCGCTCCTCGAATATTTGCTTCTTGGACTTTGGTCGCTTGCGTTTGGTGTCCTTCTTAGTGGACTTGACGGACAGATCTCCGGACTGGGCCACATCTCTGTCGCCAACGGCTGCATGGTCTGTTTTGGTGGATTCCATGTTCGGAACGAGCGTCTCTTCGCTATCGTACTTAGCGCGTTGTCTAAGGTGGAGCTCTGTTCGTGCGCGTTCTTGGAACTTCGAATCTCTAGGTAGGGTGCTGACAACCAGCTCGAGTTCGCGCGTGGCCATACGTTCGGGAATCTTCTGAATGAGGTCCCCGAGGAGCTCCTTGTGATGCGGTGCGAAGATTTCCTGCTCTTCTACTGGAATTGTCTCCCTCTCTTTGTGAACCAGCTTTCTCTNTTTAGGAGCAGGCGTCGGCAAGTCAATGGACTCTGACACGCTGAATGGTGTTGAGTTACGGCTGGCCCGACTAAGGGGCCTGCTCTCTTGTTCTTCCGTGTCGCGCGTCATTGGGGTTCTACGTTCGTCGTCGGACTCGTCTTCGTCCTCATCTTCGTCCATATGCTGCAGACGATAATGCAAGGGGCGAGCGTGGACAGGACGTGCAGCTGGTCGCTTCTTGAACCGGCGCTCATCGATGTAGGCATTCGTAGGAATTTGTCGCCCGCGATTGGGGTCGTGTGGACGTAGCGGCTTGCTGTGGGACAAAGGACGTCCGTTCCGGGTTCGAGTGGTTGTTGATGGGGCGTTAGTGGCTTTGTTCAGTAACAAACTTGGCGGCTGATTTTCATTGTCAGTTGGATCTGGAATGTCGAGTTTGCGACGTTTTGCGACGTGTCGGGCAGGATCGAGGCGGTCGTAAAGCTCGGGAATGACAACTCGTTTCTTGATGTCGTCCATGATCTTGTTGCGCAACTCGAGTTGCAATTGTTCGAGCGCACCCTTCACAGGATCCAAATCTGCAGCTCTTTCTTTCTTCTCTTCCTCGAGATCTTCAGCAGCCCATCTTTCCAATCGATCTGCCTCTTCCTTTTGTCGGCTCTGAACAGCCTGGGTTTCGGGGCTAGGACTGCGTACGTAATCGGGGTTGCCGTACTGCTGGCATTCCATGGCCATGTTGTATGTGAACATAGGACCATTGTTGCACTCTTTGAAACATCTAACCGTCTCATCTTCTCCGCGCTTGGAGTCGTCAAAGATAACATAGTATCCTGCCTTGTCAACGCGGATCTCTCGCCAGTCAAAAGCCTTGAACCTCTTCTTAAGATGTGGCACAGTGGACCCCAACACAGGCACGCTATCACGCGAAATAAAGATGTACGGCTTTCGTTTGATCTTGGCCAGTATCGGCTCTGATTCAATAACCGAGCGGCCTGTATCGCGTTCTTTCGGCGTCAAAGGCTGCTCCGATACGCCCGCGCGCTCTCGCTCCCGATCTCGTTTTGAAGCCGGTCCTTTGGGCGCCTTGGGCGCATTTGCCGGAATAGCGGGAGTTTCTTCGGAGACAGCGGGTGGCGGTGGAGGTGGTGGTGGCACCGGTGTTGAGGAACCGAGTGACTCCGCTGCCACCAGAACAGTGCGAGGAGCGTGTCGAACGGCCTCCTTCTCCATTTCGTGTCGCGCCTTCTTGAGCGTGTAAGCGACATATTTCCTGCACTTGCGCCCCTCGCGATCAAGCTCGACCTTCACTTGGGTCAAACCAATACGCTCGTTGTGCCCTTCCTTCTCGGCGCGCTTCGCGGCGTTGGCAGCCGAAACGGAAACACCCTTGATCGGTTTGCTGTCTTTGTATTTGATCAGGCAGATTCCCAAGAAACTCCCAGTATTCGGATCGGTCTGATTGCGAAATTCGGCAATGGTTCCAAAACTCGCGAAAAAGAACTTGAGTTGGGATTCTGGTGTGAAGGGGTCAAAACTGTGAACAACAATTTGCTTTGGTGGACCGGGTCCAATAGTTGAGGCCTTGTCGTATGCGTACGGTTTTAGCATGTACGGTGCGACTCGCAGCTTCGTCTTGGATACGGCCAATTTGTCTGTTACAGCTCCACCAGATGTGTAGTTTGCGATGGCCAGTCTGGGGTCTGGGGGCGGAGAATGTGANNCTGTTTTTTCAACCCATCAGCTTCAGGGTACAGAACGGTTTATTTTGTGGCAGGGTATCAACAAGCTCAGCAATCATGTAAAAATATCCAAACGTACCTCGGTCCCGAAAGACCTTATTTTCACTTTTCCGCTTTTCTTCTCTTTCTCGCTGAGCTCGTCATTTGTCGTGAGTGGATCATAAACCGTTCTGTACCCTTTCGCTTTGCCAGTCGGTGGGATGATTCGTAGGCGTTCTGCTGGGGAGAAGGTCGAGGAGTGGTGTTTTCGTAGGGACCTCGAGTGGTGTCTGCGACAGCAAGACCGAGCGGCGATGGGTCTACTTGGGTCGTGTTGAGCAGGGGCTTGGAGGAAGCAAGGGAGAATGTGATTTGACTGGAGATGAAGCAGGATATGTCAGAGGAGTAAGGGCGGCGATGTTGGTCGAAGAGTGACCATTGGTCTTTGGGAGATGAGCGTTAGCACTGAAGACAGAAGAGACTGTGCTCGCAAGAGAGCTGGTGGAGCCGATGGCATTCAACAGGTCGCCCGAGTCGCGTGCTTCCGAGTCGGATGAAGACATGTTGGCGGAAGCATGGGCAGCGCGGCCTGGTGGATGGGCCATGCGGAGCTGACAGCAACAGGCGAAAGTGGCACCTGGATCAGCAGCCAGGCATCGGATACACAAAGCCGAGGCGAGGCCAGCAGTGGAACTTTGTTTTGTTGATTGTGGGCCGAGCTTCGTTACGCCAGAGGGTCAGAGGTCTGACGGGGCAGGTGCAGTAGATAGAAGGCAGCGGCTGGGAGATAGAAGATGAGGGATGCGCGTGGTAATGGTGAGAAGAAGAGGCAGATCAATGGCCTTTGGCGACGACAGGGGCCTCGAGGCTGGAGACACAGGGCCGACTCAAGGCGCAGACCAAAGGCGTGCGCTGTGGGCGAGCAAGCAATATCTCATGCGCCGAGATGCAGAAAAGTAGCCAGAAGGCGCCAGCTGGACAAAGTGAATAAAGGAATGGTTGGAGGGATGATGAACAGGCCTTCAGCTTCCATTCCTCAGTGAGTCGACAAGACGCTCATGTCGCAAGTCGCAGAAGTTAAACACCCGGAGGACCGTGCGCCCCCAATGACGCGCGCTAGAGTACGAGCAGTCCGTGGATGCCATACACCAAGTCACCTTGTCCGGTTCAGAATCCATCTTCAGAACCATCTTCATATAGCAGCCGTGACCGACTCTTTAGAGTAGCGTGAGCTTGTGCCGCCCCAGTCGTGTCGCTCGACTTCCCTGAATGCATGGCACGGTGGCTAGGGCGGCACATCGTTTGATCAAGCACCAAACGAAGGCACCGGGGCAGACGACAAGCATCCAAGATTGGTAGTATTCGCCTCAGTTCGTGCCATCTTTACGTGACATCGACTGGGCTTGATTGTATCTTCTATATCCCTAACAGACTCTTTTGGGTTTACTGGATGAATGTCTTCTCCTCCTGCCAGCCTCTTCTCTTGGTGCCCAGCTCGACGGCCGCTGCACCCCAGTCCTCGCCATGGTTGTGGTATTTCGAGCCTGACACAAGGCCAGCACGCTCAAGCCCTTGCTCCTCGGTCAACAGGGTGAGCAGACCGAAGACGACAGGAATGCCAATGTCCAGTTGGAGCTTCATGAGCGCGTGGCTGACGGCGTCCGAGATGTACTCGAAGTGCATGGTCGAGCCCTTGATCAAGACTCCGATTGCGATGATGGCGTCGAAGGGCTTGGTAGCTGCTGCGTTGGCGCCGCCCTCCTTGGCTTTGAGCGAAAGATCGGTTGTCGACGACGAGAGGAGGTCCGTAGCAGAGCTCAGCAATGTCGAGTTGGCCGATGATGCTTGCGCTTGCGAGCATGCGTACATCTGTTGCACTGCGTAAGGAAGTTCGTAGCTGCCGGGCACCGTCTGGATCTCAATGTTGCTGTCTGTCGGGTGTCAGCTCCTCCGTCTGGTCAACTGCAGGTCGTGTTGTTGTACCGGNNGAACCCCAGCTTCGGTGAGCTTCTTCTTTGCGCCCTCAAGGAGAGCATCGATAATCTTGGTGTTCCATCGAGCGTGAACGATGCCGATGCGCAGCTTCGAGCNCTGCTACTTGTTAGCGACTTGATCGCGTGTCTTGTTACGAAGAGCTTGCCCACCGTCGTACTGCTTGCTCTCACCAATTCCCTTGATTCCGGACATGGTGTGATCTTGGTTCTGTGCTTGTTGTTGTGTTGATTCAAGTGTCAAGATTCTATCAAGGGCTCGGTGAACGTCACGGTGAGTGGGGAGGGGAAGGAGAGCATCAAAGCTTCTTTACACTTTCTCGTGCCTGACCAGGGTCATCCACCAACGACGAGCATCAACTAATCAAACGATAGTACAACAGTTGGCACAGAGGACCCGAAAATTCCCATAGCCATTGATAGAGTGTGCTTGACAAAATTTGGATTTCTGTCACCACCTCAACTTTCAAGCGGCATGAGAGTACAGCCAGAACACTTTTTGCGACTTGGACATCTAACACTCTGACAAGTTTCATGCTTCAACTCGGCAGAAGCGAAAGACGTGCAGCAGACACTCACACCCCGGAACACTGAAATCCAGTAAATGCAAGCCGCGTAAAGAACCCTCATCTGAGACCTTGTATGTAATGTGTACAGTGCTTCATGAATCATCTCTCATATCGTCGCTCACGGTTGTAACTACCTCGTCCTAGAGAACCTCGGATTTGGAATCATTTCTGCATGAAATCAATCGTGCTGTCAAAATACGAATGTACTTGGTGAAATGAGGTTGCACCGCCTCACGCAGTCGGGGAGAGCACGCGCTTTGCAAGCCATACAACGACAACCAGACCTATCAAGGCTGCTGTGACAAGCGCGACCGCCATTTCTTCCCTCATGTTGATTGCGTCGGAGATGGTGAGCTTTGCCATCTTTCTGTGCTTCTTACGTGTGTACCAACGATCTGTATTCACCGCAGTTACGGGAACAGTTCCATCTGCGCCGTCCGACAAGCTGGTCGCTGGTACAGCATTTTGCCAGGTAGAGTCGTGAGATTGATAAGGTTCGGCGTTCCACCACGTCCAGGGCGATAATTTCTTCCACCATGGCCATGGCTCGCTGTCGGCTTGTTGCGCAAGGCGCCACGCACGGTGCTGGCTGTCAACGACACAAAGAGAAAGTAAAAAGGAGATCATTGTTAGGGGCCCTAGGACGATNNCTAGATAGGTCTGTAAGTCGCGTGCTGATGAGATGTGCGACACGCCAAGTCAGCATACCCGTGAAAGTAAAGTGTCATGGCCTGCTGGAGATAGCTGCTCCGCATCAAGCTGAACAGCATCGTCGGGCACTTCTGCGAGCAGATCTGAATCTCTCTTCCTGTGCTTCCTCAAATTCTGCGGCGCATCCATAGTTGTGTGAAGAGGGTGCGTGAGGCTGATCAAGTTCCGGCGAGGGCGTAGGTAGGGTCGCGTGGCGCTGCTAATGCATGCTTGTTCTGTCGGAGGTTGATGTCGTCTTTCGATAGTGTCTGTCAGATGGAGTGAACAGAAGATGCAGCTTGTTCTTTTCTGACAACCGTTGCTCGTGTGTATGTATTTCGAGCTTGTGACGTAGTCCCCACGACCATCCGCCCGGTATGTGCAGTTCCCAAGCACACGACGGGATCTCCTGTAATCCGGCCGCTCGGGTTCGGATGTCGCTGTCCCTTGATTGTCTGCGTGAGTCTGTGAGACAATGAGCACCACGTGCATGATTACTCACCAGCACTACATCCGCTGCTGGTGCATCATGCTTAGTACTTTGCTCGAGTACCCTTCTGAGCGAAGCTCGAAAACTGGGTCCTGACCCCAAGGACTTTGACTGCCAGGACCCGGCCCCAGATTTCTCTATGTGGCTGCGGGAAGTGATATAGAGCACCATGAACTTTGCCTACAGAACTCATTGCTCTTCAGTCAACTATCGATACACAAATGTGATCTGAGTTAAAGCATGGCTGGGGAGAGCTCATTTAAGCATGGTTTTGTATGTGCCTGATATCGAGCACCTTGGTAGTTTTCCAAAGTACAGCTGACTATAGGGAAGTCACAGAGCAGGTGCTTGCCATGCGTTCGGAAAGATAACCCCGCTTGCTTGGTAGCCATTTCTCTCCTGCGGTTGCGCCTGTACCTGGCAAGATCTTGGTAGAAGGTCTACTGTTTCCAAAGCATCTCAATCTTTGATAAAGGCTGCATGCCGTTGAAGGATCGCTTTCGGCAAATATCCATGGACCATTCGAAATGCGAAAATGGTCGCTCCTATCCAGTACATGCTCTCTTGGTCGATCAATTCGGCTTCATGCAGCTGCCCTTCTAGACCGAGACCGTGTCTCGCCAGGTTGCAAGAATAGATGACGACCGTGTGTGGCTTTCTCCAATGGTCTGTCAAACACAACTTACCCAGGTACCGGTAACCCATCAGAGCTTTAGCCCATCTCTTTTGGCCCAAGAGCCTGAGATATTGGGACTTAACAACTACATGCTGCAGACGACGCGGTCGTGATGCTGGCGGCTGATCCAAAAAGGAAGACACGGCCTGTGCAAATGCGTTCCACTTTGGTCACGGTCGTCAATGGCGCCATCGTTGAGCACAACCCATGCGGCCCCGAGAGAGGCGTTCAGCTAGCTGGTTGATTAATACAGACAAGGCGGGCGCTCGATCTTGTAACCGCCCCATTATCCAGAGGTAATATCTAGCTTGACACTCGGCTTTGTATGCAACAACGTACATGCATCCGAAGGCATGGTATTCCATATTTATTTCCTAATCTTTGTCAGTGGTCTTAGCCACTACTCATGAACCATCGAGGCTTTCTCAGCGCAACTCCCATGCTGCTTCCATTATGTGCACATGATTACCGTTTTTGGAGGGCCGCCCAGACATACTGCCAACGAACTCCTGCAGCCAAATCTGCATTGTTGCAGTACCATGAATAGCCGTCGGGAAGTGGTGGCCATTGCTTGTGCCTATGCATTTCGAAGTCGGTGATCAGCTTCTATATATCTTGATGGCTACTCCAGAGAATTCAAAGTACCTAATCTCGCAGACTGCACTCGTTTTCAATCTACCAGTTACTCGGTACAAATTTTCGACCTATCTCATTCATTTGGCTCGTGGTCCTGGCTCGCCTCTTCCTAGTTCTTCTATCCAGCTCGTTGTCGGCCAAATATACATCGCAATGCCTGGCACTTCAACTCCTGTTTCTCCAGGACCTTCCGAACCACCAATGTCGTTCCAGTTCGTCAATCTTACAGACCCCAGCGATACTAAAGACCAGAAAGTCCGACGTGCCATTCGAAGTCATGTCACAAAGCAACAGCATCAAAAGGCAGAACAACTGGCAGCAGCTCGGAGATCCAACAGTGACCCGCAGTTGCTAGGCACATCCTCAGCAATAATCTCTCAAGGTCGTGCGCACGCTGTATCTTATCCATTGTCAAGGCCTACTTCCTCGGACCAGCATAGCCCAGTATCTCCGACCAGCAGCTCCGATGTGTCTTCGTTCTCATCGACCACCCAGTACCCGATGATAGATGTGTCCCAGGTCTACCCGGCTCAGTGGCTTCCTTATCTGAACCAGATTCTCGAGAACTGTATGTATATCACCAAAATCTCCCGATCCAGTTTTGGGTTCTAAAACCACNNATACGATATAGATCTGGCGTACACAGCCAAGCAAGTCCTGCAGTCAGATAATGCGCCTACAATGGCTCTCTTGAGATCTGTCTGGATGCCATTTGTCATGACCGATGTGGCACTGCTTCATGCTGTGCTGCTATTTGCTGCATCACTCTTTCGGTCTTCCATGGCTGCGCACGCTCAGGTCGTAGATCTGTTTCAGCTTAAAGACATGGCTATCCAAGCCATGAACGGAAGCCTTTCGATCAAGGATTCCATGATAGCAACCATGGCAACCATGGCACAGTACGAGGCCTTTTGGAGGGATGCGGATGCATTCTCAACCCACATGAGCGGTCTACGGCAGTTTGTCGAAATGCGCGGCGGGCTCTTGGCTCTAGGATTAGATGGATTCCTTGAAAGGATGTTGGTCGCCATCGATCTTGACTTGGCTAGAACCACTGGACACGAACGACTGTTTGCTTCAAGCCGACAATCTCCCCGTCGACAAGGATCACACGGCTAACGCGCAGTCATGATGCTTGCATCGATTTAACCCTGTATTCCACCAACACGTTCGCTTATTTCACTTCGCCCATATATATTCTCCAGACGTCTATTCTCATGACAAGACAATCTAATGTTTGGCTGCGAGATGCTTTCATCTTCCGATTCATCTATTGCGATATCTAAATCATTAGGCTGTCAGTTGACAATCAGAAAGTCTGAAGTAGCAGGTTGTATATTGTGAATTTGCTGATCCGATTGCCGAGTTTTGATGTCGTATCGATCTGTTGGAAAAAATTGCTTCTCCATATTAAATAATCAATAAAGGGTTCCCTCGGGTAGACAAACACTTGGCACCTTTTTGGTTGAGCAACTTCAGGTCTTGCTTCTCATACACAATCACATACAACAGCCTCGACGACCTCGACCACTTCATTCATATCCAATGAATTACCCTTTTGTCTGATCGGATCGAGTTGCTACAAGTAGTAGACGATGCTTATTCCGGAAGTGCATCAAACACTACCATGATAACTTGAGCTGCAAAGAACCGCTGTGCATCCAGACCCCAGCGTTTGGTACCGCTAGCGACACAGCCGACACGAAAAGTCGTGCTCGAGCAATCAGCCATGTGCTCGGGGCTGCAAGTCAGTCCATTCTCCCGTGTACAAAAGTTTGTAACCTCGATGAGAGCTAATGAAATTCTGTCTCTCCGTGGGTGCTGCCCTGCTTCTCAAGACTTTTTGTGCGTCTCTATAGCTATACGCGTTACATGCTTTAGTACATGAGGAGGATCGAGCTGGGATGAGGAAATGCATGTCGCGTCGTCTGTCTGATGGAACGTGACCGTGTCGTAGACAACGGACCAGTCACTGTTCTGAGGGGAATTGAAAGGTCGACTCAGAAGGAATCTCGCACTTGAGAAAAACAGCGAGGCTGGAACCACCTCGCTCTTCTCCATCGCTCAGCAGTTCGACTAGCTCCACTCAACATTGTGCAGATCTCATGATGCCTATAGGTGGATTCTCGAATATCGAAACACGGCTGTCGAATACCCTGTCGTATCCACGTGTCAACTTCTCTCCAGACATTCTTGCCCAAATCATCGGACGACTGTCTTCAACACCTCTGTTTGGATTCTTGTGGGCCATGGCATAACAGCCAGTACATCACATGCAAACATCTCGCTTATATTCAAGCCTACCCAACCAATCCCAGCACAATGTGCTCACTTGGCTGATGACAGAATTGTTGAATCATCATCGTCGTCAGCTGGACTAGGGCTATCATGCAGAACTTGTCTAAGTACATGAAAAGTGCAGATGTCTAGACCACTTGATGAGTTCTCACTCGTATGGCAGATTGCGGTTTTTCGAGAGTCCAATGCCAGAAGGTATCTTCTGCCGTGGATCTTGCTGTCTCTTGGTGGCATGCAAGCTGCCGAACCGAAGCAAGCATTGGACGTGTGAAGGATCGATGCAAAGCACGACCGACAAGCACCTCCACGGCCATGAGGCTATTCATTTCGGACCTGCGGCCGTTGCTCAAGCGATCTCAGTGCTTTTCGCATGCTGCAAGTCATGCAGCCCCGGGTCTCGTCTGTTCGAGATACGTACGGAAGTAATCGTGAGCCGCGGGTCCGGCGGTAGCCCTTTCCTCGACAATTCATTGGTCTCCCGAACAAGCGCTTCGTTCGGGTTGATACACATTGCATAGGCACTATTTGTCTACCAATCTGGTGTTAGCACCTCTGCAGACTGTACGTGCCGTTTTTGCTAACAATCTCGTATCGCTTTTTGCCACATACGGAACATTCGAGGAAAAGCACAAGGCCACGAGACCTCGACCAGCACAGGGCAAGACTCCGATTATGTGACCTGCAATTTTGATGACTTTCTATTGAATCTCAAACAATCGATTCCACCTACGACATTACTACGGCTGCTCCGATTTCCCTCTTCGTGCTCTCAGATTTGTCACATCTTCACGTTCGACCTCTCTCGCATGATGATATCAAGCCATCTGGTGAGCGATCAAAATGCACAGTTACCACACATCGAGGGACGAGTCCAAAAAGAGCCGACAAGATCACGATGCTCAGTGGATGTTAGTCTAGTGCTAGCGGGACTGCATTTTGATAGCTGCCATGAGGGCACAAATCTGCACATCGAGAGAACCCAACCCTCGGTTGCTCGTCGTCCAGTTCAAGTTGACATACATCGACTTTGCTGGCATGTTTAGCTACTAGAAGCACGCGGATCAGTCAGCAATTTATCTGTGAGCTTTACCGTTGCCATGTTCTCTCTGGCACATCACAACTGACACGCTTCTCGACGGTTGCCGACTTGACACAGCTTCTTTGATCTCGATGTACACCATGGTTGTTCCTCCAGTTTGTCAAGTCAGAAGGTCCCGACTCGAACCCACCTCTTCTGGCGAGCTGGGTATGCCAACAATGAAAGAACACGCCGCTCCGAAATTACCACTGCAGTCACCATGTCGCAATCATTGTGGTCAGTAAGAGTGATGAGCACATAATCAGGGCTACGACAGTCGAGAAATAGACGGCAGCAGCGAGACTGTCGATGGCAGTTTTTGCAGTTGCTGATATCGCTCTCGACGAAGAGGCTGTTCTCATCTCCTTTGGGAAGAACGAGCAGTCATGCTTGATATCTCCCTCGGCAGGGAGTGTTGCACCATTTCTGCCTGATCAGGACTGTCTTGCGCCATATCTTTGGCAAGATCAACGAGGGTTTCATCTGAGAGATGATCCCAGTGGACATTGACGCCGACACGCCCTACTGCAATTTCCATCACCCAAGGCTTTATATGCAACAAAAGTTGCGACCCTCCCAGCGTCGTTCCACACCACCTCGCTTTGGGGACGCCTTTAGTGTAGTGGGTAAGTTGCAACGCACCGCCAACGAAACCAAAGTTACAGCCACGTGTGTCCGGGAAGTACGGCGACGGCCGGCTGGCCTTGGCCCCTGACTGTGCGGAGGTTTTTTCTGGGAAACCAGCTTTTTGCTTTTGGGAATTCTGCTATGGAGTTCCTCTTTTGGTAGTTTGCCTGGGTATAGGATGTTGTGGTTGTTGTGATGTATTTGTGGTGTTGGGTATTGGGGGTATCTGGCAGAAAGATCAAGTTCTTGGCTGTTGCGTAAATTACACGCCGAAGGTCGCAGGTTCAAGTCGGAGCTGAGGCGTGTTGAGTTATATGCAACCTTTTTCCTCTCATACGCGATGCTTTACGGGGCATATTGGCGTCCACCAAGGACAGCCTAAGACAAACACAAGTCGTAGTCAATGCACAAACGTAAAGTGTTGCATAGTAGTGGCTTGGTAGTAGTTAGAAGATCTACCGTAGGGGTTTGGCGAAGACACGCATCTTCTAGCATTGTGTCAAGAGGATTAGCTCTGTCTGAAGAAACGAGCTTGGATGAGTATCATGGTTGTGACGGCTACGCGTGATACAGAAAGAAATCCGTCCAGATGTGCTTAATAAATCAAGGAACTGCAGACGAGTATTCATGGAAAGAGCGGAAGAGCTGATTCTCATTCCAAACTCAACCAGCTGCTGTCTTCTAAGGAAGGATCATTCCACCACTGACGACTGCCATAACTACCACGATCACTGAATCCAGACTACAGAATCACGAAACACAGAAGGAAAGATTGTCAAATCAAGATAGATAAAGAAAGATCAAGCTTTCTATAAGCATGGTATATACGTCGTTAAAGACAAGAGGTCTATAGAGAATAGGTAATAGTAAGAAATCAAGGTGGGCCTGGTATAGAAACATCAGGGATGAAGAATTGTCAGAAACATCGTAAAAAGATGAGTGGATAGAAAAAAAACCATCAATCGCTCGCTAGCAGAAAGAAAAGAATGAAAGCGTTCTTTAATGGCGACGAGCAGATGCGGTGCCGTTGTTGATGTAGACCAAAATCTTGTTGGATCCACCACATGCCTCGGTCTTGTTGCCACTGCAAGGGTAGTTGCAACCAGCGGCCAGAGGATCTGAACCAGCGATCAGGTTGTTGTTGGGGGCAACCTTGCCTCCGTAGCACTCTTGGTAGTACTCAGCACCACACACGCTCAAACCGCTTCTTGCGCAAGCATCAAGGCAGTTGGCGATGGTAGCGTTGTTGGCACCGCCAGTCATGCTCACGGCAGTGGGCAAAACACGGCCGTTTGTGTTGTCAGTGTAGCAAGCCATCAAGTTCCACGAGCCATAGCTGGTGTGGGCGTTGAACTTGGAGGTCCAAGTGTTGTCGACGTAGACAGACAAGCGGTTTCCAGCGCCGCAAGTCTGAGTGTTGTCGCCGCTGCAAGCCATGTTGCAGTCAGTGGCCTTGGTGCTGGATGTAGGTGCGTTGTTTGAGCACCAACACTCGCTGCCGTACTCGGTACCGGCGTACTTGTATCCCAAGCTCTGGCAGGTAGATGCGCACTTGTAAGGAGTGTTGTCGCTTCTGGAGTAAGCAGAGTAGGCCATAGCGCGAGTGCTTCCGTCAATGAAGCAGCCATATGAAGAGAAGCCGGTGGGAAGCGAGAGGGCAGTGGATGATGTAGCCGAGGCGGATGCTGTGGATGTCGAGAGTGTGGTTGCGACACTGCTCGAGGAGGACGAAACAACGCTGCTTGAAGAGGAGGAAGTGGTGCTTGACGACGAAACAGTGCTCGAAGTAGGAGAGAAAGTTGAAGAGGAAGAAGCAGTGCTCGATGAGGAAGAAGCAGTGCTCGATGAGGAAGAAGCAGTGCTCGATGAGGAAGAAGCAGTGCTCGATGAGGAAGAAGCAGTGCTCGATGAGGAAGAAGCAGTGCTCGATGAGGAAGAAGCAGTGCTCGATGAGGAAGAAGCAGTGCTCGATGAGGAAGAAGCAGTGCTCGATGAGGAAGAAGCAGTGCTCGAAGATGAAATCACGCTACTGCTCGATGAGGTCGAATCAGAGCTGCTGGGTGAAGAGATGGTGCTGCTTGACGAGGAAACGCTGGAAGAAGAAGAAGAAGCAATGGTGCTTGACGAGACGGTGCTGCTTGACGAGACAGTCGACGATGAGGCAGTTGACGACGAGACCGAGCTGCTAGAGATCGAGCTGCTAGAAACCGAACTGCTTGAGCCGCTAGAAGACACGATGTTGGAGTTGGACTTGGCGACCTTGACAGCCGAGACAACAGTGTTGCCGGCAGCAGGGTAGTCAGCCATGCTCTGTTTGAGCCAGCAGGTACCTGAGCCAGATCCTTGAGCTCCACCAACGTAGGTGAAACCCTGGCAGCCAGAAGAAGAAGCGGCATCACAGGCTGCCATACAGTCGAGGTACGAGGTAGAAGCCTGTGTGTTCGTGTACGAGCCCACACTGTTGTCGGCAGAGCATGTGACGTTGTAAAGGTTGCCGTTTGAGTCAGTGATGACCTGTCCGTTTGCTTGCGGGCAAAGGCTGGCAGAAGAGCTGCTCGATGCTGCTGCCGATGACGAGGTAGTAGTAGACGAGGCTGTGCTTGAGGATGCCGAGCTCGACAAAACAGATGATACTGAGCTCGAAGAAGTAGACGAAACCGAGCTGGAAGTAGACGAAACCGAGCTCGACAAGGCAGACTGCTTCAAGAACCCGGCGACGTAGTTGTTACCACCTGCGGAGGTTGCGCTTCCTCTGTCATTCTTCATCCAACACGTTCNCTAGAATTCATGTCAGCATCGAGGGTCAATAAGAGTGTGAAACAAGAACAACTAACCTGAGCCGACACCATTCGCTCCACCAACGTAGGTGAATGCGACACATCCTGTGGTAGAATCGCAAGCGGCCATGCAGTCAGCGTACGTGTTGGCAGCCTGAGCGTTTGCGAAAGAGCCGACGTTGGTATCAGACTGACAACGAATGGTGTAGATCTTTCCGTTGGAGTCGGTGATATCCTGCGAGTCCACAGAAGGACAAAGGCTGCTCGAAGCTGAGGAGGTGGCGGACGAAGAGGTTGCGGTCGAGCTCGAAGACACAACTGCCGAAGAGGAGGCCGATCCGCTCTGGGTTGAGCTGACAGACGAAGACGATGACGATGACGAAGATGAAGGCTGGGAAGCAACCATACCGGCAATGTAGTTAGCACCACCAGCAGTGGTAAAGCTTCCCAGACTGTTCTTGAGGTAGCAAGCACCAGAACCAGATCCGCCGGTGGCTCCGACATAGGTGAATGCAACGCAACCAGTAGAGGCCGCGGCGTTACAGGCAGACATACAGTCGAGGTAAGAGGTAACGGCGTTTGCACTTGAGTAAGATCCAATGTTCGTGTCGGACGAACAGCTGACAACGTATCCATTGATCGTTTGGCCGTTGGCGCTGGGGCACAGCGAGGCAGAAGGAACTCCTGTAGAGCTCGAGGAAGTCGATGTAGCTGTCGAACGGGCCTTGACGGTTGCGAAAGTTGTGCCAGGAGCGGACACCTTTGTGCTGTTGTCAATTGAGCCAAAGTATGTGCAGACTGATCCGTCAAATGCGGTTCCGACACACGAGGTGCTCTGAGCGCAAGTGTTCAAACAGTCACCAACGACGGCAGCCGCACGCTTCTTCGAGAGAGCCAAAGTCTGGCCAGAGTATGTCACGTTGACCTCGATAGCGTAAGTGACACCACCTACAGAAGGTGTCGAGCCATCTGCGTAGGCAGTGGCTGCAGGAGCAGCAGAAGATGTGGTCGTAGTGACGCCTCCTCCAGTGGAACCAGACGAGATTCTCGATCCAGATACAAGGTTGTTAGCAGCTCCTGTGAAGCTGCCCACGCTGTTCTTCAGATAGCACGTTCCTGAACCAGAACCAAGTGCTCCTCCAACGTAGGTGAAGGCCACACACCCAGACGATGCGGCATTGTCACAGGCAACCATGCAGTCAAAGTACGAACCACTTGCCTGAGCGCTAGAGTACGAACCGACGTTTGTGTCTGAGCTGCAAGCCACAGTGTAGGTAACGTTGTTCGAGTCCGCAATGTTCTGTCCATTGGTGGCAGGGCAGAGACTGCTAGAAGGGAGACTGGAGGCCGACGCACCACCTGCGCTTGTTGGTGAAGAACCAGCAGTAGTTGAGCCTTGGACGATGGTCGAGACAGGAGCACCGGAGCTGAGCGTGTAGACAGAAAGAGCGCCACCTGCACCACAGAGCTCAAGCGCGTTGCCGGAACATACCATAGAGCAAGTATTGTCCGAAACGAGAGCGCTGCCTACGCCGAAGTACGAGCCACAATAGCACTCAGAAGCGTACTCGATACCAAAGTACTTGTAGCCATTGCAGAAGGCTGCACAGTTCTCCAAAGTCATATTCTTGCCATCAGAGTACGAGGTAGCAGAGAGAGCACGACCACTAGACGATTCGTTGTGGCATCCAGCGTAGTAGTAGTTGCCAACAACTTCAGGGTTGGAAGGAGCAGCAGCCTGAACAGGCGAGCCGTTGGAGTAGACTGACAGACGGCCGGAGTTACCACATGTCTCGGTGGTGTTGCCAGAGCAAGGCTGAGAGCAACCAAGATCCAGGGCTTTCTGGGTGTAGGGACCGAGCGTGTTGTCGCACCAACACTGGCTGCCGTATTCCATACCCGCGATAGAGTAACCCGCGCTGGCGCAGGCGGCGGTACACTTCTCGATAGTGTTGGAAGTAGAATCGTAGTTGAGGTTAGCCAGGGTACGAGAGGCAGAATCAGTGTAGCAGCCTGCATAGGTCATGTTGCCAGCGTAGACAGTCTGGTTGGCTGAAGCCGAAGTCGAGTTATAGGCAGGGTCGGGGAAAGGATCATCCACATTGGCTTGAATGCGAGGGTAACCGAAGTCGTAAGATCTTGCGCCGTCACCATAGAAGTTGTCGCTGAAAAGACGAGCACGACCAGCCGCAGAGGCCATCATACCACCACCATCGTGGCCCATAGCAACCAAGTCGACAGTATCACAGTGGCCTGATGGTGTGTTAGGAGCTTCACAAGTAGGAGTCCACCAGTTGATGAAGTAGTAGAATCGTTCGTGACGGTTAGCACCAGTAGTGAAAGGAGCACAGTCAGACGAATCGTCGCCCATGTCGAGGGTACCGCGAGCGTAAGCCTTGTTCTTAGACTGGTAGTTGGCAAGCACTGCTGAGGTACCCGAAGCAACCAGATCAGTGTTGTAGACGCTAGGATAAGTAGCGTAATTGGAGAGACCATCACGCCAGTCATCATAGTCTGCGCAGCTGGAAGTTGAAAGGGGACGAGACGAGTTCAACCAGACCAGACTGTTCGGGTTGGCAATCCAGTAGGTCACAGGCACGCCAACTCCGATGGAGCTGAGAGGCTTGCCAACAGTGGCATAACGCTGAACAGTCTGCGCGCCAAGAGAGTGGCCAGCGATAACAATTTGGTTGAGGTTAGNGAAGTTGTTCGCGTACCACGTAATCAGCTGATCGAGGACCTCGTACGAAGAGACAGATTGGGCCTTGTTGGGGTATTGGTTGGTACCGCCACCAGCCCATTGCGACCCCTTCCATACCAGTAGGTTGGTCCAAGATTGGTTGCCACCAGAAAGCTTCTTCTTAGAACCGGGAGCGTAATCCCAGTACGGGTATGAGACATTCTTGTCGTCTCCGTTGGGAAAACTGGGTGCGTTGATGACCACGGAATCGAAGTTGATGTTAGAGTCGCCTGTGACTTGAGAGAGTGCACTCAACATCTGAAATGGTAGTCAGTATTGAGTCAACAATGGCAGTGATGGACAACTTACGTTACTCATGTAAGTACCCGCATCACGGTTAAGACCATGGACGATGATAACAGCACGCTTGACCTTGGCAGGATCGATACGCTTGCCATTCGATCCCAGAGACTGGTAGTTAACGAGAGTGAGGTTGGAATTCACTCCGGCTGGGTCCTTGACTCTGAAGTAGACAATCTCTGAGCCAGGAACACCGGGGTATGTGGCATTGGGAATAATATCTCCAGCATACTGTTGCGCAGAGACGTTCTGTAGAGGGAGAGCTGCCAGGAGGACGAGCGCCTTCCAAACTGAAGCCAGCATGATGAACGAGCGAAGCGGGTACAAGACCCTAGTTGAACGACGAAGAGTGATAGAAGCGAGCGACGATTTAGACAGCAACGGTAACGGTGGGAAGACTGCAGACTCTTATATGTTCTGATCTTCAGCTCTTGCATATTGGCACGTCCCTAGGCGGGGTGGCCGTCAGGATATTCGGTCCCAAACAAACCCCAAGCGGCTGAACACTGTTAGGGGCACCTACTATGAAGGAGCTAAAAGCGTGGTTAAGCGTGCTAATATTGTGCGCTTGAGATGGAGCAAAAGTGTAAAGCGACCTAAAGAGGAAACGGTGAACCGTGCACACGACTGGCCATGCACCTCAGCCAGCCCGTATGCACTCGCACGAGCTAGCGAATTGCGGTAACCTGCGTTAGCTCACGCTATGGGAACGGCCGGGCATCCGCATGCGAGCGTCGAAGCACTTTGATCCTCTGTTCCTGCATGAAAAATTAGGTACAAAGGTATAATCCTCCGTCGAGCAGCCAGATGCCGACTGCCCGTTGATGGATTTTCACAAGCAGATTCTGGGCTGTTCGCACCGCTGTGATGATTCATGCCGTTGAAAGAATCGTTGAGACACGCTTCTCCTCGGCAGATGGCAGCAACGTGCGTCGTTTGCCGAAAACGGTCGGTCCGTCAACATGAGTGAAACCTGGCGAGGTGATCGAAGACATGGAAGCATTTGATCGAAGACATGGAAGTTATGATGTCGTCTCTTCTGAACACACGAGCGTGCGCCTTGAGGTTCTTGAGGTGAATGGCTTGCAAGTAAGGTTGTCGGTTCTGGCGCTAATCTCGGAGATGCCGCAAAACGGATTGCAAGCGACCTGAGGAAGTCAAGGCTTGATAGCACGGAAGGCGACATCGCCGCACACTGGCATCCATAGGGTACACAATGGACGAGCGGGCTGCCTGGGGCATGCGCTGCGGCACGCGAAGAGGGGGCGATAGGAGATTGCGTCCGGCTAGAAAAGTACGAACGCCTAGAATTAGCATGGAATTCAAGAAACACCAATACCGGCGAGCTGAAGATGCAAATCAAAGCATAGCAGCTGAAGAGCAAGCCTCGACTTTGATTTCTGGACTCTGTTGCGTTTAGGTCTAGTTCTCTAGATTTAGGACGTCAATCAGCTGCGCTACTATGCTGATCTCCCGATGGGAACAAAGAGCAGATAACGCTCGGGCTCTTAAGAGGCCTCGGACGCCTTGAAAGCTTCGCTCTTGGGATTGAGTTGAAGGCGCGAAGACTACTTTGAGTAGGTATACACACGTTCAGGGGGTGGAGGAGTGCCGGAAGCATGACGCGATCCAAGGAAGCACCTAATCGATATACCGTATTGGATACAGAAATCAAGAATATTGTTGCATGGACATGAGGAAGACATACCTAGTGCAAAACGCTATGTCTACCTTGCATGTGCTAAACTTCGTCGTAAGTACAGCTGTAGAGAGACACAATACTGTTGATTGAGTACACGGCCATGTCCGCTGAGAATCGGCATCTTGTCGGCTCTCTCTGGAAGAAGCTCTGATCTGATATCCGTCGTGCATCTCCATAGCTTGTCTGCTATTCTTCACTCTGAGAGAGAGCAGGTTGTGATGGAGAGGAACACCCGGGGCACCCGGGGTAGTTAGCATAGGTATGAGACATAATCGAAGCAAGGAGAATGAAACCAATTCTTTTGCAGAAGACAGAGACGATGATTGCGATTGGCTTTAGTGATGAAGCTGTCATGACTGTCGTTAAAGATGATGTGAGCATACTGAGCATTACAGAGTTGGATAGACATTGTCCTCCCTTCGAGGAGAGTTTGTTCATGAACTTTTGATGTGTTTGATGTCTCATGGTATTGTTTGGTTCGAGGATATTGCGCACGGATCACCAAAGCTGCTAGCTGCCAAGAGAAACAATCATGACGAGTCGCTGTGCATCTGAGCGACGAGGTTTCTCAAAAGGTAAAAGGTATTCGGTGAGGTGCTCAGGTGGACGACATGATGTTGTATGGTCTGCTCATGGTAGATTGAAGTACTCGGAGTAGGTGGGATGCGCTGGCGATGTCGAGTGGTGGCCATGTCATGATTGGACTGTGCTGTGCTTCCTGAAACGCAGAAGCTTCACCAACATCGAGACAGCTTTCTGTTCATCCGCATGCAGCACTCGTATACCATCCAGAATTGCCAGCTCGTCCGCCGTCGCATGCGCTCCTGGCGTCTCCATCTCCTGGCGTCTCCATCTCCTGGATGTGTAACTAGATCTGTTCAACGTGTACGCGTAGTAGCGCCGTGGCCGAACAGGACCAAGCAGGGGAACACACGACACGGGCCTACGAGTAGTCATTCTTCCATCGACTCGCGCCGCCATCATGGATCTCCGTGACATGCTGAACAACGACGCCGCGCCGGGTCGCTCGTCGAGTCAGCAAGAAGGCAGCCAGCGAGGCAGCTACCCCCTCCGCTGGTCCCGCAGAGGTCCTCGTCAGGCACGTATCCCGGTCCGTCGCCGCAACTGCACCAACAACAGCACCAGCAACCGCCTCCACCGCAGGGCTACTATCATCAAAGACCTCCACCCCAGCACCAGCACGATGCGCGCCCGTCGAATCCATCGCTGCCCTCGACTCCGATGGGGCTACACACGCCGCAACAGCAATTCCCTAGCAGCCAGTACCCCTTCCCTCAGCAGCCACAACATCACCAACCACCACCGCAACAATACAGTCCATCGCAGGCCTATCCGCAGCTCACTCCCCGTCAGCAGAGCCACACGCACTACCCGCACTCTATGTCGCCCACTCCTCCTGGTGTCCATCGCAGCTCGCATCCCTATCCGCCGCAGCACTCGCAGCCCAGCACCCCTCTTGGCCCACCTATGCAACCCTACAACCGCCAATCTTCGCTCGCCCAGGGCCAGCATCAACGTGCCACATCTGGAGCTTCCTACGCTCTGCAGCATCAGGTTGGCATGCCCTCGCAGTCTCCTGCTCACTCGCTTCCACCGCAATCTGCCTACCCGTCCGAGTCGCCACAACAATATGCAAAGAGACCGTCTCTCGAGTATCCCACAAATGTCTCGGAGCGCGACAGGAGCCTCAGCGTCAGCCCCAAAACAAAGGTCGTGCTCCCGACGCGCCAGAACAGCACTGATTCGTCGTGGACCGCTAGGGAGAGGTATCCATCACACGAACCCCGTGCTCCTCACCGCAGTTCGACCGACCAGGCCATTTCACCTCTCACTACCACCAAGCAGTCTGCCAAGATCAGTCCTTCCCAGCCTCGCGTTGGCAGCCAGACGCCTGGAGGTTTCCGAAATATCCTGAACGACGACTCCACTCATCATTCGCCTTTGTTGGTTTCTTCACCCGCCGCCACTAGAGGCCAATCCATACCTCCTCATGTCCCGCAACATCCTCACTTGCATCACGCGCAATCCTCGCTTTCCAACGGCAGCCCTGTCCAGACCTTCGAGCCGCGAGCCCCTATCAAGCACGAGTCACAGACAGCTTTCACTTCCGAGTCGCTACTGCAACAGCCCATTGCTCCACTTCAACCCATGTCGCAACCTTCTCTTCCTTCTTCGCAGCCTCAAAGCGCACCGCAAACCACTCTCAAACGTCCCGCCGAAAGCGAACCTGAACCCTCGGCTCCTCCAAAGAAGACCAAGAAGAGATATGCCGAGCCGCCAATCTGGGCCAGGTATATGCCTTCCAATCCTCTCTACGACCCAGCAGTCGATCGCATGCTTGGACCACCGCCGGATCCCACCCAAGCAAGACGCCCATCTCCTCGTCCCAATCTGCAGGTAATCCCACCACAACAGGATCAAACCACGCCTCAACCACAGCAACAACCTGCAGCTGTGGCCCAGTCCAATGGCCACCCTCCCCAATCCATGATGAATGGTCATGGTTCGGTCAATGCAACCATGCATCCTTTTCTCGGGCCCTGGGAGCCTTGTATTAAAGGCAGCATGGCCCAATCCGATCAATTCACGCTGCACGTTGGAAAATATCTGTTTGAGGAAATTCTTAGCAGAGCTGATGTGGGTGTGGGCAATGCACAGAATGGTGCGCTCGAGATCGAAGCGAAACTTGGCACTTTGGTCGACAGAAATACTGACCAGCGAGTGCAATTGCCAGTCCAGAATCCAGTCGTGCTTGATCGTAATATGTCTTCACGACTGCGATTCGAGAGCCACATGACCGAAGCCCATCACAAACGCTTGAACGAATTCCTGAATCAAGCGGTGCAAGAGTCAGCAGCAATACCGGGCAGGCACAGACTGGACTACAAACACCGCTACGAGATTGATTCTTTTGCGCAGCTCAGTCAAGCTGGGTTAGACGCGCTGCCTCGATCGGCCTTGAACTACCTCGACCCAAACAGGCAACCGCGACTCCGGACGTCGGTCAACGAACGAGCGCCAGCCGGCACTGATCCTGTTATTGCGCGCATAGTCAAGATCCGACTTGCCGATCTCGATATATCCTGTCCCATGTCGCCGTTTGACTGCCGCATCAGTATCAACATCGAAGTGGACATGCACAGACCTGGCATGGATCCCAAAGCGATTGTGGACGGAGGCGAAACGAAGTTTGGGGAGCGCAANAAGGACAGACTTAGCTATACGCACTCGGTGTACAGTGTTGATCTGACCCAAGTCAAGGGCACAGATGGACGCAAGATCCATGAGCTAGAGATCGAGGTGGACGCCATCAAGCTTCGGGAGCAGGCGGAGCGGGAAGCGGCAGGACAACCAAACGGATTTGGAGACATGGTTCAAGGGTTGGTCAACAACATGTTTACGCTGATGAGCGTACGATTGAATTGAGATATATGGTCGAGCACAGCAAGGCCGAGACGAGGATGATGTGACGAGAGCATTTTGGGTCACGCCCGTAGAGTTGGCTGATGTTGAAGAAAGAGAAGAGCCGCCGGGTTGGAAGCAATCTTCATTTATACGTATCATAACCCTATCGACTTAATAGCATCCTATCTTCAGCATGAGTTTTTGGTCCAACAGAGCGTTGTAAGAAGAGACATGTCGTCCAAGAGAAACTCTATTCGTCCTTGATATAGACATCAGTCTTACATAAAATACAATGTACAAAAGTACAGAAGATCTACTCATCCTCATCCACCCACTCCCACTCATCCTCTTCGTCAGGGTATCCCAACATACCCTTGACACCCCTGGCAACACCATCCCAAAGCCCCTTTTTATGCGTCATAGCCAGCACAAGAACCAGCGGCAAATGCCAGACAGACGCCCAGAACAAGCCTCTAGCCGTCAAAACCGCAGTCTTTGTTTCTCCACCTCCACTGCGCCAGAAGCGGAAAGCTTCGTATGCCATCCAGCCATTGATTGCCGATGAAGTAATGACAAAGTAGCGGTCTGTGACATTGACGTAGCTCAATCCAATACAGATGGGAAACATGAGCAGGGAATAGCGCAATGCGACGCGGGTATTCATGCGCGGGTTCAGGGAGACCAGCATACGGTAGCCGGCAGCAAAGTATTCGTGGCGGATAGGGTGGGAAAGGGCGTTAAAGTGCGGGAACTGCCATGCAAAGAGGAGAGCGGCGAGGAGCCAGCCGCCTGCGGATGCTGGGCTGAAGAGCAGTGCAGAGGCTTCGTCGGCGAGGGATTGTGGTGATGAGGAGGTGATGTAGTAGCCGCCGGCGGCGCACCAGCCCATTAGTGGTGGGATGCCGCCGACGATGGCGCCGATCCAGGTGTTGACGGGGTGGATGCGCTTGAGGGNGGTGTATATGCAGGCGTATAGTACTGCATTGGCGGCGCCTAGCATGGCGGTGGTCGGGTTGACGCCGTACCATAAGATTGCAGTACCGGTGGCACCGGCGGCCAGAGCGAACAGTACAGCAGCACGAGGGCTCACCAGTCTCCTCACCAGTGGTCTGTTGCGTGTGCGGGTCATCTTGGCATCGTGGTTGGTCTCGAACAGCATGTTCAGTGTGTTGGCGCATGCGATTGTGCTGAATGTGCCGGTGGTAAGGAACAGCAGGGTCAAGCTGCTCAGCGAGGGAGTATGAGTGGCTGCGGTAGAGAGCAGCGAGGGTATTGGGTACAGCGAGTATGAGGCGGTGGTGGTGAGGACGACGAGGAAAGCCAGGCGCGGCTTGGTGAGGGAGAGATATGTGGCCATGCGACGGCGCAGAGAGGTAGGGGCGGCCTGAGCAGCAATACTAGACAGAGCACTCGAGGCATCGGGCGGTAGCTCTGGCACAATGCCATCAGTGCCAGACTGTCTTCGCCGCCGCGGACGTGGTGAGGGTGTATCGAGTGGTCGCTGCTCGGTCGTGACACTCTCTGCTTGTGATTGCTTCTGTCGCTCTACCTTGGTGGCCTCTGTCCATTTGGAGCGCATGCCAGCCATCCTCGCCTCGGCGCCATTGGCTATGAAATATCGTCCATCCAACTCTTGCGCCGTCTGCCTGACGGACCGTGATGTCGAGATGTGCCGCCTTGATGTGAAGGCTGCCGATGTGGCCAGTCGTTGTGTGATGGTTTGCTTCTGTCCCAGCGTCCTGGCGCATCTGGTGCATATCAATGCCTGCTCGCTCAGTCCTGGTGTGAGCAGCAGCCACCCGACCAGCCGTAGCCGTGTCATTTCCTTGGTGGTGTGCTGGAAGTCGAGTCTGCGGTTCTTGCAACTGCCACGACAAGTCTTCAATCCATGTCAATTGCTGTGCTGGTCGTCGGGTTCACAAGTATTGTACAAGGGTTGTTGTAAGAAAGGTGATGGATAAGATAACTCAATAATTTGTGCCCTCCATCATCGGGAATCCCTTGGACCCGCTTTCCGACCACTGCAAGTACATCAACCACATCTACCAACTGTCACTGGTGGTATTAACATGACTAGCAGGATGATTGATCATCGTTATTTCCTGTCCCTCGCGCCGACTACCCAAAGTGTATATGTTCATGCAGATCCCTTGTATGTCAAAATCGAGTATGTCTGACCACGCGCCGCGCAAGTCGGTCATGTTCTGGAATCCGCGTGTTCAAATCTCCGAAATTGATGTATCCCCGGCCCATATCGGTCAAGACGCACAAGCTTGCATACACCGAAGCAAACAGTCCTAAAGATCATATAGAGATGGATATTGAAGATATGGAACAAGATGTGATCGAGATATCACTGCTGACAGTGATGGAAATGGTTGCTGAGTCCAAGACCCTGACCACGGCCATATTCATCACGATATATCATGCCACTAGATCCCTACATAGTGTCACCAGATAGAGGCATAGAGGAGAGATACGAAGGGGATAATCTGATCCGAGTCGAACTGCCATTTGCGCCAGCGCTAATCTCGCCTGTAACTCCTTGTGTCCCTGATGGTTCGCTCCAACCGTGAACATGACTTGATCTTTCGGTGTCATCGGTTGAGCGTGTCTTTATCGCCGCCCATATCTCGACATAGTCCAATGTCTCTGGTCCAAGCATCTTGATCATCTCTTCCCGCAGTCAGTGACCGTTGGCTCTGTATGATGTTTCCACCACAGCGCGTGATATGCAGGAGATAGATAGCCTCGGCAGGAAGAGTCGAAGAGGCAAGAAAGCACAATCATCTCTATCGCTTGCGCTCGAACCAACCACTCGAGCTCATGACGGCAACACTCTGATCCATGACAATCTCGCCAATGGCAAGGTACCTCGTGATCCACGATTTGGCAGTCTCATTGTCGGTGATTTTGTCTTCGTTGATACTGGGNNGCTGGGTTGTGATTAGTTTGCGTTCCTTGCTTCTCTCTGAGATGTATTTGGTCGCTGCAGGACAGGAGGCGGATGGGGTAGGTGGATGGAAGCAAGGCGTAGCTCACGTAAGGCCTGTTGATCGCTTTACGCCGGCGAGAAAGGCGGAGAAGAGGACGGCGTCAAAGGCGTAGTGGGTGAGGCGGCCGAGCTGTGTGGGCTGTATGAGTGTCGTGTGTTTCAAGCAATGACATGTGCTTCACGTACCACCATGGTGAAGGCGCGTGTGTGTTTAGGGAAGATGCGGTTCGTGTATTAGATTCTATCGAAGGCTACGGGTATGGCAGGCGCGCGTCTTAGGTAGACTGCGAGATCGTAGTCGTTGTGTGTTGCTGTATAACAGGCAGGTAGATGGCTAGTCAGCGGCAGCCCTGGTGTCTACGAGAAGGAAGCTCGGACGACAGCGGAGGTCAACTGTCTCCTTCACCAGGGTCCTGCGGTTTGGCCTTTGCGATTGGCCCGGAGGTCAGAAGACGTCGTTCGGCCCGTAACTCGCGGCTTCGGCATCGCAGCTGCCTGACTCGGGGCCCTCCGACGGAAAGCATCCGTCCTTTCGCTGACCGAAATCATGACATCTGTCAGCAACAAAACATTTCACCCAAACAGACCAGACTGATGGGAGAACTCTCTCAAGTGCTTGGTTGATTTGCTTGTCAAGAGACTTGAGCAGAGAAGCACTCTTGTTGCAGGCTGGCAAAGATTGATCACTTCTCAGGCGTGACCGCCAGATCTAAAGATGGTACAGCATTTCATCATTGTTCGAAGAAGCGATGAGAGAAGAAACATGTTGCTCCAACGTTTCCTCCACGTGTGATGTATTTATGGCTGTTCAAGCCTCCTTCGACGCCCAGAGGTACGACGCAAGCTAGCCGAGCAGAGGTGGTTGAGGAAACACCATTTGGATGAGAAGACGGAACCGGTGAGATCAAACCGGCCAGTATCAAGATTCGGCCTCTAGCTTTTCCAACAACGAGGTTGAGAAATGGGCGTGACAAGAAACGAGAGGCAGACGTAGGTCCGACTTTGCGATCTGCTGAGATCAATGATGGTCTGATTTGGCAAGAGCAAAAGCAGGCAGGCAGGAGATCAGGGTCGGAGACGGGCACAATTTTAGTAATTGGCGATGGATGCTTATCGCGGAATTCACGGACCGAATGGTTGAGTGAGGGGCCGGTGGTTGCTACGATGATGCAGTTGCTGGAACTGCTCTCCCTCGCTGCTGAGAGCCAGGCTGGCACATATACAATCTCACATAGCTAAATCAGAACTTGTCAGATATCTTCTTCTCTCCTAATAGGATATTCCAGCAAAAGCACAGCTGTCCAGACAATCGCGGCGCAATAAAAACAAAAGAAAGCTGATACACGGGGGTATGTGCTGCGGGCTGGCTTTACCCCGCGCTAGCTAAAATATTCACAGCTTCTCTCAACAAGCGCCGCGTCTTCTTTGATTGTGCTTCTCCCTGGCCTTTCTCTTCTTCCTTTCTTCTCACCACCTCTCACATCTACTAGACACTGACAAGATGGCCGACGCAATCGCTCACCTCCAGGCTGGCCGCACCAGAATTGAGTGGCTCTCGCAGCTCAACACTGAGTATGCTCCCAAGCGCCAGTTCCGCCGCAGTTCCATCATCTGCACCATTGGTTAGTTGTGTGCGTGGACAACCATTGCGAAGAGCGCGCGCTGACAGCCCCCAGGTCCCAAGACCAACTCTCCCGAGGCCATCAACATGCTCAGAACTGGTACGCTGCTCCTACTTCTGCTCAGCGTCATGCAGCCCAAGCTAACAGCAGCAAANGCCGGTCTCAACGTTGTTCGCATGAACTTCTCGCACGGCTCGTACGAGTACCACCAGTCTGTCATTGACAACGCCCGTGAGGCCGAGAGAACCCAGAACGGTCGTCCCGTTGCCATTGCTCTTGACACCAAGGGTCCTGAGATCAGAACCGGCAACACCGTCGGCGACCAGGACTACCCCATTAGCGCCGGCACCGAGATCAACATCACCACCGACGACAAGTACGCCACTGCTTCCGACGACAAGAACATGTAAGACCCAACTCTTTCCATTCTTTGGCTCTTCAGCCGGCTAATCAATTCCCAAGGNTACCTCGACTACAAGAACATCACCAAGGTGATCGAGAAGGGCCGTATCATCTACGTCGATGACGGTGTCCTCGCTTTCGAGGTTCTCGAGGTTGTTGATGAGAAGAACATCCGCGCCAGAGCCGTCAACAACGGCAAGATCTCGTCCAAGAAGGGTGTCAACCTTCCCAAGACCGACGTCGATCTTCCCGCTCTCTCCGAGAAGGACAAGGCCGATCTTCGTTTCGGTGTCAAGAACGGCGTTGACATGGTCTTCGCTTCCTTCATCCGCTCCGGCGACGATGTCAAGGCTATCCGTGAGGTTCTTGGCGAGGACGGCAAGGACATCCAGATCATCTCCAAGGTCGAGAACCAGCAGGGTGTCAACAACTTCGACGACATCCTCCGCGAGACTGACGGTGTCATGGTCGCCCGTGGTGACTTGGGTATCGAGATNCCCCCTGCCCAGGTCTTCATCGCCCAGAAGATGATGATCACCAAGTGCAACATTGCCGGCAAGCCCGTCATTTGCGCCACCCAGATGCTCGAGTCCATGACCTACAACCCCCGCCCCACCCGCGCTGAGGTTTCCGACGTCGGTAACGCCATCCTTGACGGTGCCGACTGTGTCATGCTTTCCGGCGAGACTGCCAAGGGTAACTACCCCAAGGAGTCCGTTTCCATTATGCACGAGACCTGCCTGCTCGCCGAGGTCGCCATCCCCTACGTCAACGCCTTCGACGAGCTCCGCAGACTTGCTCCCATCCCCGTCCCCACCACCGAGTCGTGCGCCATGGCCGCCGTCTCTGCCTCGCTCGAGCAGAACGCTGGTGCCATCCTCGTCCTCTCTACCAGTGGTAACACCGCCCGCCTCATCTCCAAGTACAGACCCGTCTGCCCCATCATCATGGTCTCGCGTAACTCGCGCGCCACCCGCTATTCGCACCTTTACCGTGGTGTCTGGCCCTTCCACTACCCCGAGCAGAAGCCCGACTTCAAGAAGGTCTCATGGCAAGAGGATGTCGACAAGCGTCTCAGATGGGGTATCAAGCACGCCATCGAGCTCGGTATCCTCACCAAGGGCGACCCCGTTGTCACCGTTCAGGGCTGGAGAGGCGGCATGGGCCACACCAACACCCTCCGCATCGTTCCCGCCGAGCCTGAGGACCTTGGCCTTGACCTCGAGGCTTAGAGAGCTGACGGTTAGTGTTATTGCTAAGGCGCTTTTTTCTGTTGACCAAATATCCATGTTTCTTTTTTTTGTTGGTTCGGTTTTTACGATTGTCATATCCGGTGGAAGTTGCAGATGGGGACGAAAATAGATATCCAAGGGAATACACCTTTTTTCAAACTTCAACAATGTTCTCCCTTTGTAATATCGTGGTGCGTTACTGTTTATGTTTGGCGGTCGCCAGGGAAGACAACATGCTTGGGTCGAGCGGTAGTCTCGCGGATGACTTGAACTCATGCCTCCTGCTACACGAACGCTCTATCCCGCTGTTTCGAGCGTCAACGATGCATTCTATTGCTCTAGATCCTCAGAGTATATCAGAATATATTACGTCTGGACTGCTGGTTCGTTCTGACGCCGAGAGCACAAAGACAAGCAAACACGATTGCCTGTTTCAACAAGGACCACTGTGCAGGACCACATCAACGCGACCAAAGTCTCGCCAGCAAATCATACACGGTCCAGAATCCTGGTACAAGCGATGCCGCAAGCCCCACCACCACTTTCGGCAATATAACACCAGCATACCTTCCAAACTCGTACCCAGCCTTACTCGTCACCATGACAGCAGGAACACTTTCATACCGCCCATCCAACGCCACCTCCACTATTGCAGCTCCCAGATCAGGGTAACTGCAGCCAACACCCACAGTGTCGATACTGATATCGTAGCCACTGGCTTGTTCTTCTATCAAAGCTCCCGGTTGGATTAAAGTCACTGTTAGAAGTGATGGCTCGGAGAGAAGGATCCTTTGGCCGGCGAGAAGGTCTTGGTAGGGGTGGTGGAAGGCTAGTCTTATCATGCGTGTTTGAAGGGGTGGAGTATCGCCATTGAGTTTCTTGTTCCAGCTTGCCGAGGACAGAAAGATGAGTCGTGGTTGCTGCTTTTGGTCCTCGTTGTGGATGTCACGTAGAGCTGTGATAACTGCTCTGGCACCGTCTTCGATGATGGTGGGGCCGGGTCTGTTGTCATTCCAGCCCAAAGTGAAGATTATAGTGTCGATGTTGGTCAAGAGTTGTTTTATCAGTGCGGTGTTTGAGATGTCGCCTTCGTAGATGTGGACTCTCGGGTTTAGGTCTAGATCTGAGAAGATCTTGAGAAGTTTGGGCTTTGAGCGAACGTAGATATTGATGTCGATGTCTTTGTCGAGTAGTAGTTTTACAACTTCTTGGCCTGTTTGTCCTGTAGCGCCCAAAAGGGCGATTCGGGAAGGCATATTTGGATTTATGTGAAGGTCAATTGGAAGAAGACAGTAGTAGGGGATAATAGTGAAGAAAAATGATCGATAAGAAGTTGGGATGAGCTTGCATATTGTAGCCCGGCCGGTCCCTTTACCCTTTATCAAAACCCGTGCCTGACTAAGGTTTCCATGGCGTCATTGTTGTTGTTTTGTCCGCCTCGACAGATATCCTCCCCATGTGTTATAGTATGTAAGTGTGTAGCTGTAGAGATACACAGTGCTATCAAGAAAAAAAGGCAGTGTCCACTGAAAGCCAACAGTTTAGCGGCTCTCTTCAGCTACTCTTCTGCTTCGGGAAAGAATCGTACCTTTTATAATGTACACTTCGCTCTCCGCTCCCGGGGAGGAGAGTGGAGTTGCATAATTTAGCACCTGGGGAAATTGTCTCCTTAGTTACGCCTCAAACAATAACGGCAACACCAGCAGCCACCACTCCAGCCAGAGGAAGGAACCNCCTAACACGATTCAGAAAAGTCCACTTCTCCAACAACCCATCCACATCCTCCGTTTCGGTCACCGACAATTCATCTTTCTTGGCCTTTGCAGCATATGCCAACAACTTGTTGTTCGTAGGGTTCAAGAAGACAATAGTAAAAGGCACAATAGCCATCGTCGATACTGCCGCAATGGCAAACAGAGGGCTAGATCTCAACCCCACCGCAGTAACTGTGCGAAGGCTGCGAAGTGACCACGCGAGGAAGCCGAGAGAGATTGCTCCACTGAGTGCGATGAGAGGGTTCTGGGATCCTCCTCGTTGGAAGGTATGTTCCCAGAGTCTGACTGCGTGAGCATTGGAGAGTGTTGAGTCTTGCTTGACATTGGTGATGGCGGGGAGGGAGATCAAAGAGAGTGCTGAGATGTTGCCTGTATCTCTGTTAGTACAACGAGAGATGTGATTGCAGACCATAAAACACGTCAGTCTTTTCGTACCAGATAGCCAGGCTGCATGTGTTTGTGATCGTAGTTTGATTAAGCTGCTGAGTCTGGCGTGACCGCAAGGAAAGGCGGACAATTAATCAAAAGCCGTCGTCCGAATAGAAGACGGCGAAAGCATCGTGCAATCTCCCATGCGAAAATTCTCAAGCCGGTTGCAAGTGGTCTCAAGTTCGCATGCCGGCAAGATCTTTTTGCTCTCTGCTCTTCTCAAGGTACAGAAAGCAAAGGAAGAGTGATGATGATACAGTATTTTGCTGCAAGGGTTCGATGCAGGCGCGTATTCTTGCCGGGATTTATCCGAGAATTGCCAAATGTTGGTGCTGTTTTCGCAGTTGTCTTCTGTACATCACACACAACGACATTGATCCTGTTTTGCACTTGTGATACATAACGAAAGTATCTTGAAGCGATAGACATATGTCTTTACTCGTCCCTGTTGCTCTCTACGTCAATCGACGGCTGGCCTTGTGATTGCCTTCAATCAGTCATGTCGGTTGACCTCTGCAAGTAATCACCACAAGCAGCTGCTTGCGACGAAGGGTGAGTCCTGAGATAGATTAATCTAGATGATTCAGCAGAGTACGGATTGTGTTTGACGACTATAAGTGTTGCAGCTTTCCTTCGACTACACTCCTGCCTTTCTCTCTTCACTCGATAGCAGGCTCGGGTTATCAGGAAGGACAACGCGAACACTAGCTCAACTCAATGATGAGACTCAGATCTGGACTTTCAACAGAGTCTCTGGCAGCCCAGAATGTTGTCGAGGTTCAGAGAGCAAGCCCGCTCATCAACAAGTTCAGCAATCTCAACGACAATGCTTTCTACGAAAGAATCTTGAGAAACGTCATTGACTACTGCATTGGCGTGACGAACCGGTTTCCCACAAATTGTGATATCTGCTCTAGTCCAGGAGATCGAAAGCGTGAAGAGGGAAGCACCATACGCTCCACACGAGAACAAGTTTCGGACGGGCCAATGTCGACGCAACCAAACTTTATGACCGCGCTTCCTCTGGAGATTGTATACAAGATCATTGGCCACATAAGGCCAGAGGATTGCGCAGGACTTGCTTGCACTTGTCGCCTCGCTTTGCGACTTACGAACGATCAAGTCGAACCAGAACGGCCTGGTATTTCTGAGAAGTACCCGATGTTTGTTAGCTACACTAGAATTTGCAGAGCGTTGCGGACGGCGGAGAGAATCAGGTTTACGGAAGGATGTGCCTGTTGCATCGAATATTACACCACGGAAGAAGAAGATGACGATGAATCCGACGAGATGTTCATGGGAGACATGTTTCTAGACGACCATTCTTTGCATGTAGCATACATGGATGCGCTAGAACGTCCGTCCAAGTGAAGACAGCTTCTCTGCGCCTTCAGTAACTCTTCTCAGAATGGTGTATCTTTTCTACCCCGACCAACCGGTGTTTTTAAGCTTTGTTGTGTGAGTTCTCGTATTTAACCATGATCTTAAGTTTCATTACTGTACTAGTAATGCAGCACTCTGGCAGGTAAATATGTTCGCAGCACTTGGTTGCCGTGGCTAAGATCTTTGAATCCAAATTCTGAACCATAGTTTATTTGTGAATTGTTTCTTGTCATCAAGACACGACGACCAATCTTTAGGAATCGAGCTGCGACGTTACAGGCTTGCGCAAAGAGGTCTTGGATGAAGACTGTTGTACGATGTGAATGAAACACAAAAGGTTATATTGCACTAAACTTGTGATCCAAGCCAGTCGGCTTAAAGCTGGGCATCCGTATTGAACGTTGGTGTATCGAAGACCTTCCGAAAACTGGGACATGTTGAACTCGGGTTAAACTCTTGATTCGGAAGGAGGCGCCATGGCGGGAGGTCGTGCGGGTGCTAGAGTTCAATCTCATGTTGAACAGGTACGGTAGTTCGTCAACATCAAGTTGAACCTCGGGAGAGGTACGGAGAAGGTGCAGGCATAAATCGACATAAGCACAGACAGCATGGATTACTCTCATACAAAAAATCTGGCACAACGTGAGAGCCAGCGGATTATCAGCTCGTACCTTTGCGCTGTCTTCCTGTCTTCCATAGGTAACTCGGAATGCAGCTTGGCAATCGAAATCGATTCAACATCGGCGCCATAAGGTACCGGTGGCAGAAGGTCATCATATTAGCATCTTCCGCCTCCGCAAAGTCTAGATATGACCGTTTAACCCGCCGTTTTCACCGTCAAACGACGCTACAATCTACCGGTATACTATATTGAACGCCCGGAGGTCTCGAACGTCCCCCCCGAATCAAAGCCCCCTTCTCTTCTTTATATCTACATCGCTCCTCCGATTCATGACTTTGAAAGCCTCACCTAATCACACAACCCACCGTCGTCATGAATTTCCTCAAGATCATGGACTGGAAACCTGTCAAGGTGTTCAGGATGCTATCAAGCAACGCCTCTGCGTTAACTCTGGAGAAGGCAGAGAGTCTTATTGCATACGGAAGGCGCGGGTCTGCTCTTTCGGAAATCTTCAGCGTGTGCGGGCCAGACACTCCTGCAGCAGCAGTCATTGGTCTCGGTACCATCGTCGAGCAGGATCCCATACCAACCCCCGAGGAGCTGGAGGCACTTTATAAGATGGTCTTGATGGACCGGACAAGAAACAAAACACCTTTTGGAGATCTGGTCCGAGCGGGTGGAAATCGTAGAAATATTGTCATTTTCATCCGCCACTTCTTTTGTCCAGTAAGAAAGAGCTATTACACTGTAGCGAGAGACCGAAGACGCGATACTGACACTAGCCATAGNAATTGCTACGGATACGTCAAGGCTTTGGCCCACGAAATGCCGCCAGAAAAGCTGGAACAGATGGATCCGCCGACCACTCTCTCAATCGTCGGCTGTGGCGATCCAGTACTCATTCAAAACTACATGAAGATGACCAACTGCCCTTTCGACATCTATGCAGACCCGTCCCGCTCAACATATACCGCTCTCGGACTCTCCGTGAACGAGACTGCAGCCCCAGACGTCCCACAATATGTCTCAAAATATTCGACCACATCAATCTTCAAAGCAATCTTGATCAGCCTTGGTCTTGCGGCCAAAACGAAAAATGTCTCCGCGGGAAAGAAGAGTCAGAATGGCGGCGAGTTGATCTGGGTAGACGGACAGATTCAGTATATCCACAAGATGAAACACACCAACGATCATCTGGAGGTGGATCAGCTCGACTATCTATTAAGCAATTATTGCAATGCTTGATTCGCACACGCTAGTTCTTTGATTAGAACCATGCCGAGCGCAATGAGATTGAGCAGCGGGGCTGGCGCTCTCCGAGTCTCGCACATACATCGTCATCATCCACCGCGAATGGTGTTCTTCCAACTCTGAACCTTGGAGGCATGGGAGGATGGCACGAATATGGCGAGTGCGGCGGACGATGACTATATCGGGGTTGAACACGCACTGGAAGCGTCCTGGACATTTAGTAGGCTAGTAGGCATCATGCGATTGCTGCTCCAGGCGTGTGTGGACGACCTGGCGTAAATGCATCGATACGCAGACAAGCACAGCTTGTTGAGCCGTCGGGTTCGGGTTCAGACGTGTGCAGGGTCAGACAAGTCGAGGGGCCGCGGTACGAGCAGACCAACACCACCACCATGATGTTTGAAGTGAATGAGCTGAAGGGGCTGGATTCAGGAAGAGAAGCGGTCCGAGCTTTCTGATCGAGCCGCAGCCCCACTAGGCAAGAAGGATGGACGCTAAATGTCCCAAACGGGAAGTGTGTCAGTCGGGCATCCCGTCCGCTCGCTCTGCCATATATAGCAGTTGGACATTGTCTAGTTATATCAGATATGAAGGAACACGCTAGCTCCTTCTTTTATACAGCGAAAGTCGGTCAGAGACAAGATTATTTGTTATCGGGGCTTGGCGTTCTAGCATCTTGCATAGTTACTAAGTACGCCCGACTTAATGTTATCTTCCATTGACCATAGAACAAAAGAATACAAGGTATCTAAAAACGGCATCATGATCTCTCTTAGAACATCCTTCTTATCAAGTCTTGCAGCCATAGACGCTAACCTAAATCGACACGAAGCAGTTATAATGCAACCTACTAGAAGCATAGTAAGTCACTACATCTACATCTGGAAAATCAACCTCTAATCACAAACAGGGCCAAAACTTTATGATAGGCCTATGTTTCTCTGCCGGATGCCTTACAAACGATTACTTCCTATACAAAATGGACTGGAAGTATCATAAATCTGTGGTTTGGCGTAAATACTACTTACATCGGGAGCGGAAAGTCAAGACATCACGGACTGGACTAGGGTGATAATGTTGCATACTTTAGATGGTTGTTGGGTGCTTCAAATGAACGTCTGTGCGGGGTAGCAGAGCTTATCGTTATCGCTTGACAGACGACAGCGTGGTAAGAGCGATGCAAGTGGTATAGCAGAGCGGGCCATTAGCATCGAGACGGAAAGAACGATCGTCTATATGCTTATTGCTTTGGAAGGGGGTTGGTACCTGAATAGCTTGATCAATGTCTTGCATTTTCCATGTTGTACTTGATTAGTCCTTTCTCATCCGACAGACCGTGTGCTAATCAAGTTTTTGCGCTGTTCTGTACTGTACAAATATGTGTGTGGATGACACCTTGTATGCATCGAACACTTTGACCACGACCGACAAGCATTCAGCAAGCTATTGCGTCGAGTTGAACAATACCTCCGATGCAAAGTTTTGAACAAGTGATATAGAATCCGTGTTCCTCCTACCACCAACATCATGATGCTCAGACTCACAACCAAGTCAAGGGAGAGAATAGAAACTTTGGAAAATTCGATTCATGATGTTACAAGATAGAGACATTAGATAAAAGAGATATGAGAGAGATACGAAAAAAGTCATCAAAGACCAGTCAAAAGGACCAAATCTCCGGCATGAAAAAACATCCTGAAACCAAGACACTTAAGCAAGGTAAGACGACATGACCTCCACAACAGCAGGTCCAGCTACAGTGTTGTCATCGTTAACAACAGTAGAGTTGGTAGTCAAGATGGCAAACGACTCGCCAGTAGGACCGTAAATGCTAACAGGGATTCTGGCGTAAACCTTGCAATCCTTGACTACAGCAGACGAGAACATGGTGCCAGTTGCAAGAGGGAAGGCAACGAACAGAGGGCCAGAGGGAACCTTCATGTCGGCTGCGACGTCAAACTCGATGGTCTCGCCCTGCATGATGGGCATTTGGACGTCCTTGCCAACGCTGAGCGAGGGGAAGGCCTTGACGGGGAGTGTGGGGTTGGAGGCAGGGCAAGCCTTGATGAAAGGGGCGGCGAGCGAGTAGACCTGGTCAAAGTCGAGAGGGACGTCGAAAGGCTGGGGGAAGGGCGACATTTCGAGGTTACCGCGGATGAAAGCATTGTGGCGGGCTTCGACGGTCAGGATGGAGCCTGCTGCGGTGAGGTAGGCCTTGTTTGTGATGAGGGCGGCAGCGCCGAGGTATGCGCTCACACCAACACCCTCGATAATGGATGCGGTGGCCAGGAAGGTGGCGGGTGTGAGGTTGCCAAAGTCGTATGTGCAGGCAGCGACAGGTGTGACACCAGCTCCCTTCAAGGCGGTGGTCAAGAAGTCGACGTGGGTCTGTTCATCGCGGCCAACCTCCTGGAGGTTCTTGTAGAAGTTGGTGTCGTTGAAGCCAGCAGCGGCAAAGTCAGCGGCCGAGAACTTGGCGAGGGCCTCGCGGTAGAAGTTGGCCTCGAGATGCTCGAGAGTCAACGCATAGTTGAGGATGACTCTGTAGGAAATCAGTTGATGTCCAGCAATGCAATTGTGGGTGGACGCTTCTTACCCATCGATATCGGAACTCTGGCGCTTGACGAGAGCAGGTGCAGCAGAGGCAGCGGTGGCCAGAAGGGCGGTGCTGATGATTGAGGCCTTCATTGTGATATGGAAGAGGTTGGAGAGTAGGTTATGGAGTGGAAGTTGTGAATGCGATTGAGTTGTATGCCTTACAAGACGAGTGCGAGCTCTGCTCTTATATAGCCATGCCCTCGCTCTGGCAGGCCAACATGCGACAATGATCGACCATTCCTTCAGAGAACCCCAAGCCGCTCCATAGCTCTTTGTCATTGTTTGGAGAAGGTGTTTTGATGGCGATCAGCCACCCACGCTCCTATGTCTCAGGACGGGATGTGCCAGTATCGTTCATTGGTCGGATACAGGTTCGAGGGTCATGCGGCCTCACTAACTTAAGGTAGATGTTAAGGTTAAATATGATCAGCAAACGGTGCATACATTGCCCATAAGATCGAGCTTAGCGGCAGTTGCACTTTACCATGAACCATAGCTGATTGACTCAGATAAGATCACAATTTGGATTGATCAATATTCTGCGATTGGTCAAGAGGACCAATTGTCTTAGCTAGTGCGTTGTGAGCAGTAGCCAAGAAGAGGGTCGTTGTCACTTGTCGGGCGAACGACCCGCCGGAGAGTTCATCCAGATGCAAGGATTCGTGAGTGACTCCAGAGCGTTCAGAGGCAAGCAGATACCTCGATGGCTCTGTGTGGCGTAAAGATTGGGAAGCTTTTGTCTCTACGATGCTGCTGAACAGCGGCGACCGAGTGCAGACGCAATCGAAGGTGGTAAGATTCGATGGTATAGATCTGCAGTCTGCAAAGCTCCAGGCTCGACGCTACACATGTCGTGGCACGATTTTGAGTTCACCCAGCTTCACCAGGGTTCTTGGTATTTGCTCTGCGTACGAGCTACGAGCTACGAGCACACCGCTAGTGTTTCTATCAGGGCAGACACATGACGATCGAACTCGATACTCGACGAAAGAGGAAGAGAAACGAACGGGAACAAAAAGGCGCAGCTTCTTGGTGGATGACAGACCCCATGTTCCTGGAGAAGCTTCACCGCTGGCAACGGTCGAAGGAGTCTGTGCCTCGGAGATTTTGGAACCCTTTTGTGACCCATGACGTGCGCTCAATTGCGAGCTCCTCTTTTGTCAGCTCCTTCCTTATTCCCACCATCAATGGCATTCTTGCTTGCGCGGCCCTGCCCTTGGTCAACCTCTTCGCAAAGACAGTTCCGAGGAATGTAGGAGAACGTATCTCTGTTCACAGCCGTCTCCCGAGCGCGTTCACACCCTCATTCCAGTCGAGACTAGACCACGCTCTCTCATGATCTCAAGGACGTCGGCCAGAATCTTGAGCCTTTCGAGCTCGCGAAGGATCCAGCCCTGGGCGCGGCTACCATACGAATCAATGTCGTATCTCGTACAGTCCAATCACCATACCAAGATTTGTGGTGAATACAGTGCACTGCCTCGCAGGTCCGTCGCAACCAGGAGTAATAGGAACTCGGTGACGTAAATGCGTGTTTAGATTATGCACAAGGATATCTCTCTCTTTCGTAACCCCTAAACCAGAAGAACTCCCAACTCGAAACTGAAACAGAAAGGCCCAAACCATCAACAAGAAAAAGAAGGAAGTGGTAGGACAATCCAAAACAGAAGAAGCCCAAAGAGACAAATACGAAAAATGAAGGAGGCCCTCTCACTTCAGGTCCGCAGGCGTAAGCACCTGGACCACGGACGTGCCATCCGAGAACCTCGTCTTGAAGATCTTGTTCGCGTTCTGGAACATGCCATCCTTCAAACTGACGACGATGAACTGACTGCCCTTGAACCTCGTCTTGATCAAACGACCGATATTTTGTGTATGACTCAAGTCCAATGCAGCATCGACTTCATCAAGAATGTACATGGGTGCCGGCGAGTATTGTAGCAAAGCCAGAATAAGCGACAACGCGATGAGTGAGCGCTGGCCACCAGAGAGTTCGGTGAGGGATTGTTTCCACACTTTGCCCAGGCAGACCTTGACTTCGAGACCTTTAGAGATGTCGCCGCTGTCCTCTGGTGGGTCGAGCTTTGCTGTATTGCCGCCGGGGAGCAGTTCGTTGAAAATGTTGCCAAAGTCGACGTTGACCTTGCTCCAGGTCTTGTGCAGGGCTTCCTTCTTGTATTCGTCAAGTTGAGCAATGGTTTCTTCGATCTTCTTCTTGTCGCGGATGACTGTGCGCATCATGTTCTTCAGGGATGCTTCTTTCTTCTCCACGCTGTCAATCATGTTCATGACCTTGGGGTTGATCTTCTTCTTCATGCCTTGGAAGCGCTCACTCAAACCTGCAAGCGAGCGTTTACTTTCAGCCATGTTCATACCGTTGAAGTCGTAAGGAGTGTTGGATCGACCGAAAGAGTCGACTTCATCAGCTATCCATTCGTGCTCCTTCTCCATGGTCTGTAGCGTCTGACGTGCGGCTTGCTGTTGCTTTGAGAAGTTCTCAATCTGATGACCCAGCTTCTGTGCCTCGAGAGCTTCCTCGGTGATCAAGGCAGATTTTGATCGCGAGGCTGCTTCGAGATCCGCAAGCTCAGTATCGTAGCCTGACAGCTTCTTTCGCTCATCATCTAGTTGTGCTTGAGCGTAGTCGTGTGCATCTTTGACAGCTTGGCCTTCGGTCATCAACGACTTCAGCTCTTCCTGTTGTGTCTTGAGATTGACTTCTGCATCCTGGAACTGCTCTTGAGCAGCTGCAAGATCACTGCCGCATTGCTCTGCCTCAAGCATAGCATCTCTTACTTCTTGCTGTAGTGGCCTGATAGCAGCAGAGTTCTTGCTGAGCGACTTTTTGAGCTTGTCAAGTACCGTTTGTAGCTCGACGAGCTTGCTGTCTTTGTTGTTGTTGAAGTCATTCATGTCCTTCTCGATGCGCTTGACCTCCTTCGCCGCCTCGTCTTGACGTGCCTTGGCTTCGACGATACTCTGTTTAAGGTCAACGATACCGGCCTTGGTGTCGGCGATCGCTTGAATGATNNCTGTGGGTTCTTGTCAGTCTACGCTCTACGACAGCTAGGAGCCTGGTCAACCTACCGAGGACGACGAGTTGCCATTGATTTGCTGCTCAGCGAGCGAAATCTCATGGCTCTTGAGATCTAAATTCTGCTTGAACTTTCTCGCAGCGTCGAGCTTCTGCTTCTCTCGCGCCATGGTCGATTGTAACTGATGCAGAGCTGCCTGTCTTGCATCGAGTTCTCTTGTGATTTCATTCAGTTGCTGGAGGGTGACCAGTACACCACTTGTCTTCGGTGAGCTACCACCGGACAGAGTACCCGAAGGATCGTAGACATCACCCTCTAATGTGACACTCTTCATACGAACAGCAGGATCGAAAGTGACCCNTTTGGCAGTTGCAGCGTCCTCACAGATCAGGGTGTTTCCAAACACATACTCCATCGCGGCATTGACTTCCTCCTCATATCCGATGAGGTTGAGTGCAAGGTCACATTTGTTATTTGACATGTTCCTTGCGGCACCAATTTTNNCTGCAAACTGTTAGCACTGTCTTGTCTTAGAATGGACATAGATCAAACATACCTCAGAAGCGGCGCGGAAGGCAGAGATTTTGTTCAACGGAATAATGGTCACTCTCTTCTTCAGCTTGCCATTCTGCAGTAGTTGTGTACCGGTCTGCGCGGTATCAACTACAACATTGTACAAGCGGCCTCCGGCGCAGATTTCGAGAGCTGTGCCTGCTTGAGTAAAGTTCTTATCCAGAGTGAATAGCTGTGCCACCAGACCCTTGACTTTTGAACGGTCAAAGTTCGGTGTCGGGTCGTTATAGCTGAAGTCAATGTTCGCGACTCGTCTCTTGAGAGCGTCGGCTTGCTCTTTCAATTCGCGAATGCGTTGTTGCAGCTGCGATTGTTCTTTGTGCATGGACTCTTCCCGACCAGATTCGTAGCCGATTCTCGAGAGCTCGACCTCCAGCGCCTTTGCCTCAGAACGAAGGCCATCAAGTGACTTCAACAAGCCAGCGTTCTCCTTCTCTGCCTTCTTGGCGCGAGGCTCATCCTCTTTCAAACGTTTTTCCAGATGCGAGATCTTGAGTTTCGCTTGTTCTTGTTCCGTCGATGCGGCACTGAGTCGGTTGCGAGCGTCTTGAAGCTGACCTTGGTATCCACCTTCCTGACCCTCCTTAGAGGCGACACCAGTCTGTAATGTCTGCAGAAGTTCCTCCTTCTGTTCGACCTCAGCAGTTTGCTTCTGGAGTTCGGCATTGGCTGTGTCGTAACGTTCCTGGAGCTGCTTGTGTAGTTGAGACTTTTGTTCGAGTTGCTTGCCGAGTTCTTGGACAGTTGCCTGGCTTTNTGCGCGGTTCTCATCCTCTTCAGCCATACTTGACTTCTTGAGATCCAAGACGGTAGTCAATCTGACCAGCTCGTGAGAATGTTCCTTGACCTTGTCCTCCAGAGCTTGGAATTTACCACCTTTTCTCAACTCCTTGTCTCTTGCAGTTTTGACCTTGTTCATGTCCTCTTGCAGGAAGGCAATCTCGTTCTTCAGTTTCTCTGCGTTGCTTTCGAGGAACATGGCTCTCTGCCGCTTGTCGTTCAAGTCTTTTTCGCTCATACGAAGCTTTTCCTTGCTCTTGAGATAGTCATGAGCCACGACCAGTCGTGTAAGGCGTTCCAGATCGTTCTGCGTTTGTTGGAAGTCAAGGAAGGCTCTCTTCTCCTGTCGCAGTTTGTCCAGCTTGGGTTCGATCTCGTCGCGTAGAAGCTCCATGATCTCCTGGACCTTCATTTCCTTCTTTGCCATTGTACGGAAAGCCTTGTCTCTGCGATCCTCAAACATACGTGTGCCTGCAGCTTCCTCGACCATTCCCAGAATCTCTTCCTTCTTCATGTTCAGGACCTTAGTGATGCGACCCTGCATGATCAAGAAATTGGGGTTGTTGATGTTGAGTTGGACGGATTGGAACAGGTTCTGGACGGTGGTTTGCTGAGCGCGGTGGCCATTGATGAGGTATTTGGAAGTGCCGCCGAGGACGATTTGGCGAGTGACAGAGATGGTGGGATAGTCTTCGAAACCGATGGGCGACTTTGCCTTGTCCTTGTTGTCAAAGACGATGGTCACCGAGGCCTTTGTGACACCGGCCTGGCCGCGCTTGTAGATGAGGTCCTGCAAGTTTTGGGCGCGGACCGTTGTCATGTTGGTGATGCCGAGAACGAAACATATCGAGTCGAGGATGTTGGACTTGCCACTACCGTTCAGACCAGTGATGGAGTTGAAGCTCTCGTNCCCTTTGCGCAAATCAGTCATCAGTCGCTTCTCTGAGAATGCCATGAAGACGCACCAGCCCGAGATGACGGTGCGCACGGCATACGACTTGAAGCCGTCAATGATGACTTCGATCACCCTCATCTTGTCGTTACTGGCGCGGGGCCACTTGGGTGTGTGATGGTCGTCAAGGTTGTGTGTCTTGCGGCGGGCCAAGTTGTTTACGATGACTTTGTTTACGACCGACGCCCGACGGGCAGCTGCAGCCGACCGGACCCCTCCCGAGCTTCACATGTCAAACATGAAATAAATTGAAAGGAAAAAGAACAAATATAGCATTCTCGCTGTGATTGCTTTCTCTAATTGGCCCTCCATTACTCCTCGGCAACCAGGTTCTGTCCCTCACGCAGGCCCTCGACCACCAACTCGTGGCCCTCTGCTCTGCGGTAGATGTCACGGATATCGTCTGNTGCAGTCGTGTCAGCATACATGTCACTCATTGAGTCCAACATCTTTGTCATACCTGTTGTGGTCTCGAAGTGGCTGGTTGCGTCGTAACTTCTCGAGATGAAGATGTTGTCGTTCTCTCCGCTCTCAAGAGGCTCGTAGATTGGAATGGGAGGTCCCATGAACTTCTCCTCGATCTTGCCGAGGCGGTCGAATCCGGCCTGCAGCTCAAGGTGGTGGTTGCTGTCACCCTCGGCGATAGTCGAGACAATGGCAATGTAGTAGCCCTTGGGAGCCACATTGTGTGCCCACGAAACCATGGCAACGTACACGTNCTGTCGATTGTCAGCCTTGTCATTTATCCACAACAGCCTTCCCTTGATCTTACCGTGCTTTCTGCCAATCTGCGACTGAGGAATGATGAGCTGGACAGAGTCCGAGTTGTCCGTCTTCTCGATGGGGTGGTTCAGAATGCAGATGGCCTTCAAAAGGTGACCAACAGGCTTGACCTTGTTGGGGAAGTATGAGGGGTCTGCCAGAATCTTGCTGCACTTTGTCGTGAAGGTCATGCCCTCGCCCTCCTGATCACGCTCCTTCATGGTTGCCTTGATACCAACAGCCTTGCCGTTCTCGTAGAGAACTTCGTCGACATCGGTGTTGAGCATGTAGGTGCCGCCGTAGATGGCACTGAGACGAGCGAAGCCCTGAGGAAGTTCGCCCAGACCGTACAGAGGGTAAATGTAGGGGGACTTTCCGTATCTAGCCATTGAGTTGACGTAGAGTCTGATGCGCTCGATGGCGTCCTTAGCAGCACCCTTCTGGTTGATGTAGTCGTCGGTTGTGAACAGAGCCATGCTGTGACCGATGAAATCTCTTGTTGAAGGCTCCAGGCCAAACTTGTCGTAGACCTCCTTCATGGTGGACTGGTTCAGGTTCATGCCTATCGAATGTGTCAGTCTGCATTCCATCTAGCCAGACATGTCGTAACGCACNNCGTTGTGAGTGGCCGGGTCCTCCTCCTTGTATGCGCCAACGAACTCCAGGAACTTCTTTGCTCTTCTCTTCTCAAACAGACCCATCAGAGGACTACGGAGAGCCTCCGAGGCGTCCGAGGGAACCTTTGCGACGTTGGCCTTGTTTCCAGCGCCGGTCTGAACGTAACTGCCAGCGATCTGCTTGAACTCGAGGTATCTGGTGACATCGGTCGAGACGAGAATGTTGGTGAGTTCTCCGTTTGACATGAGAAGCTTGGGGACAAGGTCGATGTTCCAGTCATTGGGGCGGCCGTACTTCTTCCATGGCTCGCTGCCGTTGTCGTTGCCGTACTTCTTGAAGAGCTGCGAACAAAGAATGAGTCAAGAGTGATAAGAACACGGCCGAGGGAATCATACGGCTTCGATGTTGATAGAGGCAGCCTCACTGCACAGAGGTCAGTATGGCGTAACAAGAGGAAGCAGGAGGTGTAACGCACCNNCGCCGTAGTGATCGTTGCGGTCGATGTGCAGCACCTTCTTGCCCTTGACACTCAACANCACTGTCGTTCTGTTAGTCTTTTTCCCACTTCGCGCAGTCATGATTACTCACCCTGAGAGCACACACTCGGTGAGACNCTTCATGGCCATGGTTAGCTCTCTTGACCGCTACAAGGAAGGCGAGTGCGGGGTTACAATACCTGTGCCAAGCACAACAACATCGTACTCGGGGGCGATGTCCTCCATGTTTGCGTATGAGAAGAGTTGATGAAGGTTTACAGTGTTTGGGGAGAAAGCAAAAAGACGACCGGATGGTAAATGGTGGTGGTAGAGAAGTTGTCTGGGAGAGCGAGACGGGAAGCTCCCTCTGGTGACGTGGGTTTGTTTCGTGAGATTAACAGGGGCTTGGCCAAAGCCTTCGCCTGCAATAAACTACGAACATTTATCTGACCATTCCCAATCTGCGGTATTCCTTTCAAATTTTGTTGTACAGCTTGTCATAATACACTCGGTTAATATATAGATACAGGGGTTGGCTTTTACACCCGCGTCTCTTGCTGTGCCTTGACCTGCTCAGGCATGACTTGTGATTGAGCGTCTGGTAGAGGCAATTGCTCGTCTTGCTGTGCTGATTGGAACTCTTGGGACTCTTCGTACTCCTGCACAGNATGCTGTCAGTCAATTTCACATGACTTGTATGACACGTAACGTACCATGAATTCCACCTTCTCGGGCGTGTACGACGGCTCGCCTTCTTGGGAGTAGAGGTTGACGCTGGGGTCCGACTCAGCAAGTGTGCGAGCATCTTCCCAAGCGTACCAGCGCTCAGTCAGAACGTGCTTGATTGCCCTTTGGGTAAGTTTGACNNCTTGAGGCGCTATTAGAGATGTACTTCTTCATGGGCGCATTCGGCCTACCTGGCTTTCTCTCTCTTCAGACTCCCAATCACCGTAGCCGGCATCTGCTTTTTTTCTTTCATGTCTCTCGGTACAGAGTCTGTTCCTTTCCCGGACACAGACCCACCACAACTTGTGCAAGTCCTCAAAGTCCTTCGCTCTCAACTCCACAATTGTCCATGCTCGGCCGTGGCTGTTGTCATAATCGGGGGTTGCAAAAGGATATCTGTCGCGGTTGAAGAAGCCCCATAGGCCGTGATCGGGATCTACATCGACCTGGGAACGCTGTTTGCTGTCGGTGACGGGCTTGGGCAAGTCTTCGGGCTTGACGGAGAGGGTCTGGCGAGGGCGAAGACCAGTGCGACGAATTGCAGAGACACCCCTGTTTCTGTTGCCGTCACGACGAGCAGATGCCGGGCTTGTTGTCGAGAATGAAGAGGTGAAGAGAGACGGGAGGAGGAAGGGCGGCGGTAGGGTCGACTGGCGCATGTGCAAGCCCTGCGAGAAGATCCTGCTCGGGACAGACATTGCGAAAGGGTGTGAGGAGTGGTTNNGTGGCAGACCGAGCGCTTGACGACGAGTATAGGTCCTTGTCGCGAATGCAGGCGATGNGTGGATTAACATTTCCAGCCAGCGCTCTGCACGCCAAGTCTGCGGTTTTACGGCCCCTGCGCCTACCTCCGCCGACTCCCCATCCAGCTCTCCATCCAGCTCCGCGTCCCTCCTCTGCGCATGGTCAAAGGACAATCCACTGATGGATCTGGTTCAGGCACTCTCGATCTTGACCCCGAAAAGTAGATTTTGTATACGAAAGTAGAAAACTTCATTGCTACAATCCCACGTGAAGTACATTGATTGGTCTGTCGCTGTCTCTTAGTGTCTCGTGAGAACAATCAAGCAAGCAAGACGACCGAGACATTGGACCTTGAACAAGCACGAGGCTGTAGCTCTACATTGGCGGAACGCAGATACAAGGTAGCAAGGCAAACGCGAACAGATGTAGTAGATGGAAATGCGCGAGAAGCACCAGATTGACTTTAATGTTTGCGCTGCACATGGCCTTGAACGCCGCTTGCAACCAGCCACATGCGGTGGGGGTCGTGCCTGCTCTCTTGAACACGACCGGACCTCCTCACTTTGCCCATCTACTACCTCGTTCCTTCCAGTCTCGCCATACTTCTCCCTTCCCTTTCTCTTGATCGCCCGCCCTTTCTCCTCCTTCTCTCGTAAGCGCATTCTCTTTCATCCGCCAACGCTCATCTCTTTCGCGCCTGCTAATCGTGAACAAGTCGCTCCTCCTCACGAGACGAGGCCGCCTTCTCTCACATCTCGACCTCCCCACCTCACAAACACCCATCATCCCCCGTCTTGTTTTCGAATCGCCTAGCACCTCGTGACTCGTCATTCATCGCCCGGCCTCTTTATCAACATGTCAGACGAACAGCACATTGATGCCGCCCTCGACGGTCTCCACCTCGAAAACAACAACGAAGATGCCCCTCCCCGCACCGACGACGAATATGCCCTTGCTCAGCTCACTCTGAGAGCTATCGTCTCCTCTAAGGAAGCAGGCGTCATTATTGGAAAAGCTGGCCAGAACGTCGCCGAGCTCCGTGACAAGACTGGTGTCCGCGCCGGCGTCAGCAAGGTCGTCCCTGGCGTCCACGACCGCGTCCTGACCGTCCTCGGCCCCCTCGATGCCGTCGCTTCCGCCTACGGTCACGTCGCCGATGGCTTGCTCAAGGGCGTTCCTCAGCTCGGTATGGGCGGTGTCGCCTCTAACCCCAACACTCACCGTACGTCGCATCTCAGCTACTCCATGTTCACGACTAACCCTCTTCTAGCTGTCCGTCTCCTCATCTCCCACAACCAGATGGGCACCATCATCGGTCGCCAAGGTCTCAAGATCAAGCAAATCCAGGACGCTTCCGGTGTTCGCATGGTTGCCCAGAAGGAGATGCTNCCTCAGTCTACCGAGCGCATTGTTGAGATTCAGGGCACCCCCGATGGCATCCAGAAGGCTGTCTGGGAGATCGGCAAGTGCCTGGTCGACGACGAACAGCGCGGCTACGGTACCATCCTTTACAACCCTGCCGTCAGAGTTTCCGGTGGTGCTAGTGGTGCCCCTGCCAGCAACGGCGGTTCTTACCCCTCCGAAGGCCGCCGCTCCTACAACCGTACTGGTAACGGTACCGACTTCAGTGATGCCCCTGCCGCCTACACGCGCCGCGAGTCTGCTCCTCGCGCTCCTGCACCCATCGCTGCCGAAGATGATGAGGATATCCAGACTCAGAACATCAGCATTCCTGCTGACATGGTTGGTTGCATCATTGGTCGCGGAGGCAGCAAGATCTCCGAGATCCGCAAGAGTTCTGGTGCTCGTATCTCAATTGCTAAGGCNCCCCACGACGAATCTGGCGAGAGGATGTTCACTATTACTGGATCCTCGAGCGCCAACGAGAAGGCCCTCTACCTGCTTTACGAGAACCTTGAGGCTGAGAAGATGAGAAGAAGCCAGATGCCTCCTCAGGATGCTTAGTTCGCCCATGTCCCGGCACAGGCGCATGCTTGATTTATCCTCTCGAAGGATTCACTGCCCTCTGCTTTCTAGAAAAGTTTCTTCTCGGTCACATCAACTTGCGCCCTTAACCTCTATCCCCACGGTTGCTCGCCACGACAACTAATATCTCAACCCTCGCTACTCTTTCTTACCTTTCTTACCCCCGACATCCCTTGTACGTGGCCGCTTCTTCCTTCTCCCGAGGGTGCACCAGTCACTGCCTCATCCGATGACGATTTGACGAAATTCGCCTTTTCTTCTTTTGAAAGCAATCACACAAGCATTCCTCTCTACTATGCTGACTCAATCCTCTCTACTTCTCGTCAAACGGACACATTGTAAGAAGTATAGGGGACTTGGGAAATGGCTTAGATGCCCTATGGATGTACTTGTCCTTTTCTCTTCCTTTTTCTGCATGCGGAGGCGATTGCTTCGATTATAGCTCGATACCATTTCTATACTTTCATGTAGAAAAAGTCATTTCCCGAAAGAGGGAAGAGTGCTACATTTACCTTATACTTTACGTGTGTGTGTAAATGTGTTTGTGATGTAAGCATTAGCCATGTAATTATTCCTGCATCCCATCCGTCTCGTCGACGCATGCTGTTTGTTGGAAAAAACACCTAATACTTAGACACTCAGTGAGCGCCCTGGAGCCATCCCATCTCGACCACATCAATTTCATTCAAGAACCAAGTGCGAAGGAGTATATTCCGAGTCAAAGCCTGTTGAGATGACCTGTGCTCTCTCCGAAGCAATCACCTACGCCCCTATCGATAATTTCAGTTTCCGCCAAGCATACCACAAACTGACTACCAAGTATACCAAAAGCTTACAGTATGTTTCGATGGCAAGCAGTTTCAACGTAACTCATCAAGATAAGCGATATTGCCAACATCGCGGTCGTGATAGAAGAAAAGTGGTCTGAGAAACTTGTTTTGGGTATGACCCTGTCACAAATCAATCCCTAGTAACAGTCATTCACACTTTCGACCATAGGCTCTGTTGGAAGATGCCTGGCAAGAGCACTGCTTTTAGTCATCACCATCGCCACCACTTCTGCATCTCCGCACAATATATGTAAGGTGAACAAAACACAAAAATGTACTTTCGAAAAACTTTGATACAAAAGACAGAGACAAGACTACAAACAAAGCACTACAAGAGGAATATATTACTCTAACCCAAGACACGACCGGCAGTAGACGAAGTACTCCTATCCTTCGTGACTGTCTNTTTGAGTCCCTTGCCCAACTGAATTTCTCCCAATAGACCAGNAATGTTAGGTGCACCACNCGCGACTAGCTGCTGGTGCGGAGGGCATGGGAGGAGGTGGGGGTGCACCGCCCGAAGGCATAGGAGGTGGTGGAGGAGCGCCGCTGGTCGGCATGGGAGGCGGGGGTGGCGCACCGGTTGTAGGCATTGGTGGTGGCGGTGGGGAGCAGGAGGCGCAACACCTCCTTCTGGCATTGGCGGCGGGGGAGGGACATCGGGTGTTGGTGGAGGAAGCGGCGGCAATGCGGCAGGAGGTGCGGGAGAGGCAGAAGCAGGCGAGCCGGTCTCCATGGCCGACAGTGGGCGTGGAGGTGCCATGGTTCCGAAAAGCATCGAGGCAAGTTGTTTGGCACTGCCACCTGTGGGTCCGTCGTCGTCCTCATCGGAAGACTCAGAGTCGACAACAGACCAGTCATCATCATCTGCTGGCTTGGCGGTGCGACGGGCTGATTGTGCCGCAGGCTCAGGCAAGACAGTCTTGTTGGTATCTTGCTGAGTGAGACGATGGAAGGGGTTGGTCGAAGCGGCATCAGCGGCAGCAGGCGATGCGATGGGCGCAGAAGGAGCCGCGGGTTGATTCATGCTTCTAAAGAACGGATTCTTCGATTCCTCAGGAGGGCTGATGACCGTAGTGGGCACAGACGAAGGGGCAGGAGCGCTCGGCGGCGCAGGTGCAGCTTCAACAGGAGGGGTGGGCGACACTTCCCTTGGGAGCTCTTGGCTGGCAGCGGGTGTGCTTTCCATGGGAGTGATGGTCTGAGGCCCGTCATCCTCGTCCGAGCTGTCGTCGTTCATGTTCTCAAGCTGCAGTTGCAACTGTCGTTCTCTCTCCTTCGCAGCTTCGATCTCTGCACGTTGAGCATCGCGTTGAGCCTTGAGACGCGTTTCCTTCTCCTCGGCCTCCTTGGAAGCTGCCTGTCTCTTCTTCTTTTCTTCTGCCTTCTTGAGTTTGCCTTGACGGACTTGCTCTTCAAGTGCACGGAGGCGTTCAGCAGCAGCTTCACGTTCCCTACGGAGTTCTTCCTCTTGACGGCGCTCTTCATCTTCAAGCTCCTTGGTCTCTGATGCTTGAGCTGACTGTTGCTCTTTGATGGCTTGCTCCATCTGTTGTTGCTCGAATCTCTGAGCCTCGGCCTTTGCCTGTTGCTCTTCTTGCTTGCCAACGGAGTCGCCACGGTTCTTGCGGGGTGCAGGAGCGGGCGGGGCCTTCTTACCAACAGGCTTCTCAGCAGTAGGAGGCGCAATGCTTTCTCCAGCCAGTCTCTGTTGTCTCTCTTCCTCTCTACGAGCATCGTCCTGCTCCGCCTGGCGCAGGCGATCTTCGCGTTCCTTGCGCTCGCGTTCTTGGCGCTGTTGTGCAGACTCGCCAGGCTTGACGGGTGCTCTAATACCCAATGCAGCAAGACGTTCAGCCATTCGCTGCTCAGCTTGCTGTTTGATGAAGGCGGCGCGATCCTCTGCGGTCTTGTAAGTGTTGTAAGAGCCTCCACGAGGCGTCTCGCTTCTAGCAGCAGGACTCTCGACACGCGCGCTACTGCTACGGCTAACTTCTTCAGCGCGTGGCGATACGACACGATCACGGGGGTTGGGAGCTCTGTGGAAGGTCAGAATAATCACAGGAGGAATGCATCCGTCAACTTACTCATCCTTTCTGATGCGAGCAGTTCTGCTGGTTCTTTGCATGTCGAAAATGAAGTCCTTCACCTCGTCCTCAACACCAAGTCCGTCTTCCCATCTTCTTCTCTCGTGCTCGGTCGCAGCATCTTCAGAACCTTCCTTCAGACTAGACTCGATGGTTCTGCTGAACTCCGTGACTGAGTCTTCGACATCACGCACCATTCTTTCGTTCTCTTCTCTTTCGAGGCGGACACGGTTACTCTCGTCTTCCAATCTCTTTTGCAGCACCTGCTCCATCGTCACCCGAAGCGGGAGCGGGAGCAGGTTTGCCTGNNTGAGAGCGGCAGAACGAGCCTGCATCATTGCCCTTGCTCTTGCCTTGAGACGATCGGATTCAGTCACAGCACCTCCAGGTCCAGTACCAACAATGGCAGGAGCTGAGCTGGGGTTGGCCTTAGCATCCTTGAGGCGGAACAGCTCTAGCTGAGCATCTGCAATGGCTCTCTCGCAGCGTCGTACGTGAGATGCCAGCTCGGGCAGGCGGTCGGATAGGGTTTGGAGCTGTCTCTTCAGAGCTCTACGTTCGGCATCCGAATCAGTGGTACGGAATCCAGAATTTGGGTGTCCATCGATGTCTTCTTGAATGCGGCGAATACGTCTGTAAAGCTCATCTGCTTCCTTGCGATCTTTACGGTCAAGTGCGTCTTCCTCGTCGGCTCTTCCCTCATCTTCGAAGTCCATGGCGTCAAGAAGAACTTGCTTTTCACGAATAGCCTTCTTCAACTGATCAACAGACATCTCTTCGACAGGCTTCTCCTGTGCAGGAGAGGCAGTGCGACCAGCATCGCCTGTGCGACGACGTGCAGATGAGCGGTAACCAACATCCTCATCGTTGTTCTTATAAACGGTAGCGTCTTTGCGTGGGCCAGCAATACTTGCACCTGCGCCAGCGAAAGAGTGGTTCTTGAGGTAGCTGACACCAGTCTTCTGAGGCTGCAAGAATGCGCCAGTGGTTCTTCTTGATTGCGCATCTTGCGAGAGATGCGACTTCATGGTTCCGATAGCATCGTTGATGTTCCTAGTGGAAGGAGGTACAAGTTCAGCAGGAAGCTTAGCTGGGACAGGGTAGCCGTTCAGTCTACGGTAGATCAAATGCATGGCCACAGCAAACTCATCGAGATTGAGTTTACCTCTATTGTGAGGGTCTGACAGAGTCCAGATGCGCTCAAGATCATCCTTCTCGAGGCCACTCTGGCCGAATATCTCAATTGCGGTGGCACCACTGATTGCACCTCTACTTAAACCATCCCAGGCCTTGAACATGTCATCGTAGATCTTCTTCTCATCCTTGGTGATGGCCCATGGGACGGTGGCATTACCACGGAGACCGGCAGTGCTGAAGCCAGTCTCGCGACCGGGCTGAGGCATCATTTGCTGCTGGAGGGCTTGTAGATTGGGAAGACCAGAAGCTGGGGCATTAACAAGACCCCACTGTCCAGGACGACCAGTGGGCTGAGCGTTCAGAGGGGCCATGGGGAAGCCAGTAGGCTGTGGTGACAGGCCCTGACCAAAGCCGGTCGGCATGGGAGGCATAGGAGGACGAGGTCCTGTGTATCCTGTAGCCTGAGATTGAAAGCCTGTCTGTTGAGGCTGCAGACCAGTAGGTTGAGACTGGAACTGCTGCGACTGGAAACCAGTTTGCTGAGGCTGAAAGCCTGTAGGCTGGGGGTTCAATTGTGACAGGAGTTGACTGCTGGATGGTTGAGGTTGAGGTGCCTGAATAGTTGGCACATCGGGGAAGCTGGGAGCATTGCTTGCTGGCTGCGAGGCAGACTGTGCATCTGCGACACCGAAGGAGATAATGTCGACCATGCTAGAGACCTCGTTTGTGACTCTTTCGGGCAGCTGGGCAGGGAGGTCTTTTCCGGTAAGCTTCAAGTTGCACAAGTACATGGCCAAGGCAAACTCTGGGAAGAGCAATTGACCAGATTTTGTGGTATCCGAGAGCATCCAGATCTGAGACAAGGCGTCACCAGGAAGTTTTGAGCGAAGGAGAAGGTCCTTGGCCTTGTCGCCGGACAGAGCTTGATCGTTGCCAACAGCAGATCTGAAGAGCTGTTCGAACTTGGATTGGTCCTGAGCAGTAATGAAGGACAGACGGATGTTGGGGATCTTGGACGACTGGGATGATGTCTGGGTAGGTTGAGGCTGCTGGCGAGCAGGGGTGGAACGGAACGAGTCGGCCATCTGCGACGAGGTCATACCGGTGGGTTGAGGTAGCTGCTGGGGGCAGCAGTCGGCTGGGGCGATTGGAACTGCTGCTGCTGCGGTGGTTGCTGTTGTTGCTGCTGGGGAGGGAAGCCGGTGTACTGGGGCATGAGACCACCCTGGAACTGGTTCTGCTGTTGCTGAGGCGGGAAGCCGGTTGCTTGAGGCTGGAGGGACTGTTGCTGAGGTGGANNAAACCAGTCGCCTGAGGCTGTAGAGACTGTTGCTGGTGCATGGGGGCATGCCGGTGTATTGCGGTTGCATGAAACCTGTAGCCTGAGGGCCGAAGCCGGTGAAGTTCTGCTGGGGTTGCTGGCCATATTGCTGTTGGCCTGGGCGACCCTGGTTGGCGCCGCCCAAGAAGGAGTTTGAGCCCGAGAACATGGTCGTTGACCGTCGCGTTCAAGAGGAAGTCGCGAAGACGAACTGGGGAGTCGAGATTGGGCTGCTCCTCGTGGCATTTGGGGAAGCCGCGACCATCCTGGTCCATGCACCTCCATGCCAAGGCCAACGTCACCCATTGTTCGACTTGCATGTGAGAGTCCAAGGCCCACCTTGGTAACAACTGATAGCAGTCACTCATTCACAGCACCCATAATGCCGCCCAAGCAGAACGGAGAGACTGAACACGACCTGCAGGATGCCGTCTTTGCCAAGGTATGAACTCTCCGACCGGACAGCTGCACACCCTGTCCTGACACAATCTACTCCAGNGCATTTCAAGAACTCAACCGCGGCGAACAAACCGCTACCGCTCTCGAGAACCACCTCGCTGCCCTCGAAGCAAAGATAGACGAGCTTCTCGCTGCCACTGGCCAACAACACCAATCCGAATCTTCCTCCACACAATCCAACGGCACGACTCACAACACCAACACCCAGACAGACTCATGACCGAGCGCCCATCCCACATCAACCAAGCCACTACAAGACACTTACCTTCTGATATGATGTCTGAGCCTAGGCCTTGCAAAAGCCCATCTTGGAAGTTCCCTTCGACACACTTGTCGGGGAGCACTGTATTTACAACGCTCAGAGCCAGATGACTGCTGTTACGCTCGTAAAGACGTTATGTATATATAGAAAGAGCCCGATCTATGCTGAATACGTGCACTTGGGTATCACATCTCGCCTCTCAAAGGCCTCCAACAGTTGTAGGCTTCACCTCAGACCCAGAAGCCGCAAAGATATCCTCAAAATGGAACACTCCGTCTGAGCCCTTCTCCACCACTCCCTTCTCAGTCACGACTCCGTCAATCAACTCTGCCGGTGTCACGTCGAAAGCAGGGTTCCACACATCAATACCGTTGGCAGCAATGCTGACAGTCTCGATCTGCTTCAGGTCGAGCGATGCTCCCTTGAAGCAAGGTCCCTTGATCATCGTCATCTCTTTGCCTGCTCTCTCTTCAATCACAATGTCCGCTCCAGACTTGGTCTCCAGGTCGATGGTTGTGCGAGGTGCTGCTACCAAGAATTTGACTCCGTGGTGCTTGGCTAGGATTGCAAGCGAGTAAGTCCCGATCTTGTTGGCAGTGTCTCCATTGGCCGCGACGCGGTCGGCTCCAACCACGATTGCTGCAATGTTCTCAGTAGGTCCTTTAAGACGGAGCAGTGCAGCCGCCATAGAGTCTGTCACTAGAGTTGCGGGAATCTTATCGTGCACCAACTCGAAAGCAGTCAAACGTGATCCTTGGTTGTAAGGTCTGGTTTCGCTGCAGAATGCTCTCTTGAGCGACCCTCTTGCGTGAACAGAGCGAATGACCCCGAGAGCAGTACCGTAACCCGCAGTCGCCAGAGATCTCAATCAACATCAGTACACTTGTATACTCGTCTTTTCCCGTAGTGAATACTCACCNNCAGTGTTGCAGTGTGTCAACATGCTGACCTGGGCCTTGCCTCCAGCAGCATTCTTGAGGATCCAATCGGCACCGTGCTCACCAATGGCCTTGTTGTCCGAAACATCGTCGACAAGCATCTGCTCTGCAGCCTTGACATATGCGTCCTTGACAGAAGTGCCCGAGGCACCTTGGCTTCTGGCGGCAGTCTGCACAACTTTCTGCAACTTTCTGGCAGCATCTGCCAAGTTTACAGCAGTAGGTCTGCTAGTAACCAGGTACTCGAGCTTCTCCTGGATGAAGACCTCAACCTCTTCAGCGACGTTTGAGAGTTCCTTCTTGCCAGCAATAAGTTCAACTTCCACGGCCAGGCCAAGAGCAGCAACAATAGCAATGGCTGGAGCACCGCGAGTTCTCATTTCCTTGATCGCGTGCCATGCATCCTGCGCAGACTTGACCTCATCGTAAACTTCTGTGTGAGGCAACTGGAGCTGGTCCAGAATGTCCAACTTGCCGCGGCTGTACTTGATTGCTTCGAGGACCATGATTGATGTGATTGATATTCTGTCAAATGGATGAGCAACGCAGCCGCCGAATTTCTCTGCCCCGCCAAACTGTTGATTTCTGCCCCGCTGAGTGAGCTTTGACAGCACTCGTTGCCTTCTATCATAAGCAGTTGCCTTCACGATGGCATCTGAAAATGGTCCATGACGGTCCCACTTGGTCAACCTTACCGCGCGCGTAGTGTCGTCATTACTTGTAGCTAGCTCCAGTATTTGTTGACCCCTCATGCGTACATAGCTGTGAGGCCATGTCGCCTCTACAACGTCTCTCAGCTCTTTCAAAACACTTACTCGGTTCTACAAAGCTTCAGAATCGTGCATACACCATGTCTTCCCAATTCACGCTCCAGACTACCCTTCCTCTGCCGAACTCTTCGGTCAAGATTCCCGCCCTTGGTTTCGGTGTCTACCAATCGCATGGCCCTACTTGCAAGAAGTCGTGTCTGACTGCCCTCGAGGCCGGCTACCGTCACATTGACAGTGCACAATACTATGCCAACGAGCAGTTGGTCGGTGACGCTGTCAAGGAGTCCAACGTAGACCGCAAGGACGTCTTCATCACAACCAAGATCCTGAGCCCTGGCAAGGATGAGGAGGAGACATACCAATCGCTCGTCGAGAGTGTGAACAAGATTGATGAGGGCGGTTACGTCGACTTGTTCTTGATCCACAGCCCCAGTTCTGGTCCCCAGGGTAGAAAGACCATGTGGACTGCTCTTGAGAGACTGCACAAGGAGGGCAAGGCCAAGGCTATTGGTGTCAGCAACTTTGGCAAGGGTCAGATCGAGGAGTTGAAGTCATTCGCCAAGGTCTGGCCGCCGCATGTCAACCAGATTGAGGTATGTTACATCTTGGATATACTACTGGTTCGTAGATTGTTAACAAGCCTGTAGCTGCANCCCTGGAACCAACAGCGTGTGGCCGTCGAGTACTGTCAAGCCAACAACATTATCGTCGAAGCCTACTGCCCCCTGGTCCGCAATCAGAAGGCCGACGACCCGACACTCAACTCGCTGTCTAAGAAGTACAACAAGTCGACCGGCCAGGTCCTGATTCGTTACTGCTTGCAAAAGGGCTGGGTAAGTTGATTTGCCGTCATCGGTTGTCTGAAGGATCATGCTGACACGCGCGTTTCATAGGTCCCTCTCCCCAAGAGCGATACCCCTAGCAGAATCAAGGACAACGCAGATATCTACGACTTTGAGATTAGCAAGGAGGACATGAGCAAACTCGACGATCTGGACCAAGGTGCCGCAGGCGCCATCGTTCAAGCCGTAGACAACTAGACAGCCATCAAATCTGCCTTCGAGCAATGAAAAAGGAGATTGAGAGTTCCGTCAATTGGTGAACATGTCGCATGCAGGAACGCACCCCGTATCCGTTCGCAGCGTTAACAGGATTGCGCAAAAGTCAAACTCCTATCCTCCTTGTTCCCCTCACAATATGTATGTTTCAGACGTGTCTGCGACGAACTGTTGCGGAGAAACGTCCGCGATGCAGCATTGCGATGCGACTCACGAATACATGTACAAAATCCATGAGGAATATACTTTGATGAGATTTACCTTCTGTAGTCTCGCTAACAAATATAGATCTGCGGTCATCATATCTCGTACTCTAAGTTTAATGACACAAAGCGATACGGTGTGGGTGCGCCATAAGAAAGGTTCACCTCCACACACGTGCCCATCCAGGCACCAGAACAGCTGCGCCCAAGGATGTTCCTATGTAGCCTTGAGGCTTGAGCTGAAATCAGCCACGGTGTACCCTTTGTTATCGCTTGATCCACCTCTTCTTACCGATCGACCCATCTGGGGCCTTGTAGCAACTCAGTTGAATTGCTCCATGTACAAGTATTTATCCAACGTTGTTTGATAAGCCAAAGGGCATCTAGAATATGTATAGGGAACGGACGCGATGTTCACTCTGTTTTTATGGTGCTAAATTTGGCGTTGTCAAGGCCGCAGCTTCGCCGACAGGTGTGGACGGGTCGAGCAGTTCTGTTTGGGCAGGTTGCTGTTCGATGGGTGGGGAGCAGCTGCGAGGATCTCAATCGCCGTTTTCTCTCAGCTGCACGCGGTGTCTTGACGTTACTGCCACAACTGGGCCGCTGCCATCCGGAGTAAGCACACTGGTACCAGACGTTACGAAGGATAAGCCCTTTCCTTCGTATCGCCCAGAAGGAATGAACTCTATATGTACGAGAGAGAGAATATGGAGTAAGGTACGGTAAGGGAAAGGATCAAAAAGCCACAGTTAAGGTCCACCATCCCTCTAATTCTCTCGTATTCACTCCCCTTGCTTGACTGCTATCGTGCGGTCTGGTAATCGTTATAATACGCATCCTTCCCTTTCGTATATACCCCTTCACCCCTACCTTTTTGATTCTTCAGCACCTGCAAGCGACGCCTTTTTGTGTGCAATACTATTTATCTTCTTTGTTTTGCTTGCAGAAAGTGTAAAGAGCGGCGCAAAGATGGGTTCAGAAATATTGGATGAGAAGACGGAACAGAACGGACCATTGTTATCGCCAGAGGAATACGAAAACGACATCAGCGACAGTGAGAGTGTGCACAGTGAAGAGATGGCCGTCGCGCCCTCAGCTGTGTCATCGCTGCATCCTGCATTCTTTATAGCGTAAGTTGTTCGCCCAAAGCACACCTACCATCTCAACACTCGACTTATACACGAGATGCCCAGGCTATGGATCGGTATGAGCTCTCTAGTCATCCTCTTCAACAAATGGATCCTACACAATGCCGACTTCAAATACCCCATCTTCCTCACCTCATGGCATATGTTCTCGTCTGCTCTGGTGACTCAGATCATGGCCCGCTATACTGGATACCTCAACTCCCGCCATGAAGTCCCCATGACGAAACGAACGTACCTGCGCGCCATCGTTCCCATCGGGCTGTTGTTCTCGCTATCCTTGGTTTGCGGCAACGTCACCTATCTATACCTCAGCGTCAGTTTCGTACAGATGCTCAAGGCCGCAGCACCTATTGCCGTCCTCCTCGCTACCTGGATGTTCCGCCTCTCCGAACCTTCCCTCACCGCCTTTGGAAACATTTGTATTATTGTCGTGGGTGTGGTTATTGCTTCTCTGGGAGAGGTCCAGTTCAACATTCTAGGCGTCGGATACCAACTCGCAGGCATTGTTTTTGAAGCCACTCGCCTGGTCATGATTCAGAGACTCTTGTCTGCGGAATTCAAGATGGATCCTCTGGTTTCGCTATACTACTTTGCGCCTGTGTGTGCTATTACAAACGGCATACTGGCACTGGTGTTCGAGGCCTCACGCATGACCTGGGCGGATTTCGAGCGCGTGGGTATATTCATGCTCCTCCTGAATGCAGCAGCGGCTTTCCTCCTCAACTTTGCCTCTTTGCTTTTGGTACGTTTATTCCCAGAACAAGCTCGCGCCTTTGGCAATGCAAGAATCAGAAGTACTGACACTCAAATCGCANNGATTGGCAAAACCTCCTCTCTCGTCCTTACCCTCAGCGGCGTACTCAAAAACATCTTGATCGTCTTTGCATCAATGCTCTTCTACCACGACACCGTCACCAGCATGCAATTCATGGGCTTTGCGATCGCTCTCGGCGGATTGGCTTACTATCAATTAGGTGGTGCACCTGCCTTCCGCGGATACTACGGACAGGCCATCAACAGATTCTCGGAATACAGAAGACCGAGCGAAGCGGATCCTGTTTCTGCTGTCGAAGCGCAGGAGGTCGTCATGACGACAAGGAGAAGTGAGGAAGAAGTCAAGAGCCCTGGGATTGTGAACATCAAGAGTGCTTGACATTTAGGACAACCCAGTTGGAAACCCTGATGAGTATATAATGTCCTTTTTCTCTTCTTTTCAACCTTATTTATACAATCCTTAACGATCTTCAGTGTCTGATTGTAGCTACCAATCGTGATCTCAGGGGCCTCTCGCGCATCGCTGTCTGTTTTGCTTGATCTAGCGATTCTGAGATCTGAGTCTGAAACCCCTATCTCAGGCCGCTCAACCTGTGATGCTGTTCAAGGGTTGTCTCAAGGCAGCTACAACGGCTCGGCCCTTGCATAGACGAATGGTCACTACTGCGAATCTGTTGTGGTTCTGTTGTTAGGAGATCTGAAATCTGCAAACTGTAGATCACAACCAAGCTCATTTCTTGAACGGTCTGGTTTAGTGGTTTTTCCTCCCTATGGATGGACACAAGTCTGTAGGACACTTCCTTGTTTGGAGTTCATGACCAATACAACCCATCACATCTGTGTTGACCTTCCCAAGCGTGCGTTCAGACGGAAAAGGCGGGGTGAGGATGGCCCCGAATCCTTCCTTCTTTATTAGCCGGTGTCTGAAAAGGGCATGGCATGTCGGGTATGGGATGAAGAGGAACAGATACAAGAACTCCAACATACACCTCCAGTTACCTCGTCATTATACGGCTCGGGAACAATCCCTCGACCATCAAACGATCCCGCCATAATCCGGACACCCAGCCATGAACAAGGTCGACTAAGATGGTCTCCCGAATCCCATACCTTTCCACGCCCTGTGTAACATGTCCGTTTCTGCTGCTTTGGATCGTACTCCAGTCCTTCAGTCTCCTCGCCTTTGCGCAGGCAACTAACAACATCCGCCCAACCACGAGCGAGTTTGACTGGGACACCGTATCCGAAGCTCCACACCTGCAGTATTCGACATGCTACGGAGGAGGCTTCCAATGTATACCGGAAATGAGATGGCGTTCAGAGTCATGCGAAGTCAGGGGTAGTCAGTGCTAGGTACGAGCCGGTTCCTTCCGGTTGAGAAGGTGCTTATCGAGAACGAGGAAACTATTTGACCAGAGATGCAGATGTTCACGTTGCAATAGCTGTAATAAGCTTGACTAGTAAAGTCTTTTAGTATATAGATGATATTTCTCTTTTTCTATTTCTTTTTTCTATTTCTTTTTCTATTTCTTTTTCTCCAAGTGGATATTCCATATAATATCAACATTCATCCATGTTTTGCTAACAATAGTAGATTGTTTTACTTCTACACTTCATCTTGCTTATAAACACTACCCGGCAGAGTCGTCGAATCTAGTACCGCTGGATGAAACCTAGCCAAACGTCTTTCCTTTCGCCAACTTCAGATACGAGCATGACTTCCAGTCACAAGTGTTCTGCTCGATGGTCAGCCTTTGGGGATCTGCATCCGGTGGTAGAGATCAATCACAACTGACCTGGTAGACCTCAGTACCCCACCATGAGAATTTCTTGTCTACTCCGGTGTAGAAGATGGCGAAGAATATTATGACTCCCGCAATGGCGACTGAACTGTCCAACGCGGCACTGAGGACAAAGTTGTACTTCTTCCACCACCCAAAAGCCCTGCGCTTGATAATGGTTCCAAACACAAGCCCGACAATGATCCAGATTCCGTAGTTCGTGCCCGAAGCTGGAGGGATATAATTGAGAGCGCCGAGGAAGAGCGGGACATGGCAGTACTGCCACAAGCTGTTAGGAAAGCGGCGTTTCAGGAGGAAAACAGGTACAGGCAGGACAGCGCCGATCAAGAAAAACCAGAGCAAGGGATGGTAGACCGAGTCGCTTGAGAAGAAACGCTTGGGACCAATGGCCCNCCAAACGAGACTGGTGTTGAAGTGAGTGCGAGAAAACGGGCAGGTGAAGCCGTTCGGTGCGTGAAGTTGGCAGACTTCCGGAACATGATGAAAAGCCCAATTCAACACGCTTACTTGACTGAGAACAGAGACGCCAGTGCCGACTACTTGAACTAGGAACAAGTCTCGTGGTGGAANTCTGCGTCGTGTCAGATATGTATCTCGTGTACAGGCTGTAGTGCTCACGTTGCAGTATAGGCCAAGCTTCAAGTCTTGAGCGAACGCAAGTCCTTTGACGCCTGTGACATATCCGATGTCGAAAAACCAGATGTTTGCCAGAACCTTGCCTTCGAAGATATAGCCTGCGATCACTCGGCACAAGGCATCAATGCTGATTTTTGTATTAGTGGTAGCATAGACCATGGCAAACTAGAAACGGTCAGCTCCGTCAATGATATATGCCATTTCTTCACAAACTAANNCTGGGATGTAGAGGATGGCAGAGATCGTCAAGGCAAACAGTACTCCGTACCATGGCAGTTGTACCGGCCAGTACTCGCAAGACATGATCAGACAGAACAGAGAACAGATAGCGGTAGCTCCGTACCACCAGAGAGGAACATTTGGGTAGGTTCCCTGTGGAGTCTTCGAAAGTCGTTGATGTCGGATGCGGGATTTGATCAAAAGAANACTCTTCTTCAGCTCAGCACGTTTCTCCAGAGCGAACCAGACGACAAGAGAAATCACGGCAGCAAATTCCAAGCCGAAGTTGCTCAACGCATAAGTGATTGGTAAGTAGACCTTTGTCCATGTTAGCCGTGATGCATACTAGCAATGATAGTGCCATTCAATGACTCACTGNNGTGAATACTTGTTGTACTTTGCTGCGTCGAACTCATAAGCATTCGTGATGACTCTGGATACATTGTAAGCCTTTCCCAAATTATCGTACACNNTGGTTTTCAGATTTATCGTGAGCAACAATGAAGCGGGAATGACAGATTTACACACACCTGATGTGCTTTGAATAGGCAGGTAAGCGCTCAAAAAGGTATTGCTGTAGTAGAGCGAGGGACTGACGATGTAGATCCAGAAAACCAGGGATGCTGCGATGTTTAGGATTGCCCAAGTTGGTACGATGAGAGGTGACCCTATGTATGCGATCTGGCTCCCNNTTGGACAAACTGTTAGAGATAGCACTGAAGGAATGCGTCCATATGGCTTACAGTCAAACGTGGCTGGGACTAAGCCCAAACCACTTTCCATGCCAAAAAGCTGATTCACTACTGGGCTATCTGGCCAAATCCAGCAGATAAAGGTGAAATAACCAACGGCGGGGAAGATGAAGTCAGGAAACCAGTACCAGACAAACGAGATGGAGAAGGCAACCATAAAGAAGGCGTAACGAGAGATTTTCCAAGTGCTGTTGTGAAAAATAAGCTTGTGTATAATTGGCGCGCTCTTACCATGTGTAGACTGACTCTTCGCTGATGANNTCTTGTGCTTCTGATGCAATGTTTGGTTTAATGCTGTGTTGGCGAGGACTCCAGGCCAAAGGAGGTTCTCGGGCTCGACTACCAAAGATCGAGCCAGCCCGGCGAACGTGAAGCCCGTCAAGATTGTTCCGAGAGTCATAAGAATCTGAAAACCCCATCCTGCACGTAGTCCGAAGAACATTTCTTGTTCGGTCAGAGTGTCTGCACTGAGGCGGGTTGCGTAGCTGAGATTACACATGATATCTTGACGTGAACGAAACGTTAGCGGGAGTCATATCGTGTCGAAAAAGCACCGCATTAGAGCAGACCCGAAGACATACAGATAAGGATGTGTTCCTTCAGAGGTGATGTCAGCCGGTGCTTACTCATATATATGCATGCTCAAGTATGTGTACCTTTTCGTTGAAGCGACCGGGATTTAGTCGTAGCTTGGCTCCAAAGATTGAGAAAGTCCATTCTGGTAGTGCCTTTTCCCACGCTTTGCCGATCGGAAAAGCGATGAGTTGAACAACAGCCGAATTTAGAGTGATAGAAGGTTTGCGTAGACTGTACAGTGTGTTCAAGCCACTGACAATCACGGTCAATACGATTGATATGGCCCACATCCTAAGCGTCAGGCAAGGAAGTGAGGGATTGTCTGTGCTAGAGTCAATCCCAGCAGCAAGTAAGAGCTCTTCTCGGCTTGAACGATTCTCCGTATCTGTGTCCTCAGCTGAGTATGGTGACCGCGATACTCCATCTTTTGTGAGTTCTCGTATCCTGTCGACATCATCCTGCCTAGCGTTGGAAACTGGCTTGAAAGTTGAAGCCAACCGTCCCGAGATGTTTGATACACCAGTCTTGGTTACCATGGTCGTAGACTGATTGACTCGAGGGCATCTGATAAAGATCAGATTAGACAAGGGGGACGGTGATGGAGGTTTTTAAGAGTTCACCAGGGCCGCGGATGCCAAACCGGTCTTACTCGAGTAGACCCGTCTTTGACGCGTAATGGCAGGACACTAGCCCGCGACCCACACGTTCGAAGGCCGGGTTCTTGCTTTTCGAGGAGTTCCTACAAATCGAGACGAGAGTTATCACGTTCTGGTCAAACCGTTGACGAGGGCATGAAGCACACATCGGATGATTACAGTCAGAATCCTCTGTTATGACAACCTACACAATCCATACTATGTTCCCTGTAGCAGTCAAACAAGCATTTCATGTACGCGTTGCAAAGAGAAGAATCTCGTATGGAAGTGGACTTACGTTTTGATTCTCGGAAGAACGTTGCCGAAGCGTAAAATCAAGCTTTGAAGTTTGAGTCAACCAAGACGAGCGACAAATTCTCGGAGCTGACGTTGAATACTAGCAAAAGATCTTGGCCAAGTTACGTCTCCTCGAATAACAGTTCAGTGAACTGTATAGAGCTATTCTTATCTCTAAACTACCATATAAACACAATTTGATCTGGACTATTTAGAAGCCACTTTACAAGACAAGAAGCGACCAAAACACGAGGAATGATTTGTCTAGTGAAAATGGACATTACTCCTTATTCATGACATCGTTATCTATCCCTTGAGCTCTGCGTTGACGATGTAACACAACGGCCGAGTATATCAAGGGAATCAGGAACACGGTGCTACCTCACGGTCAGTGTCTGTTCGCAACGTAGATTGAGGCAATATGACTTACAGGAAAAGTCCAAGGATAAGCAGTGACAGACCGCTTGAACCGTCCACCACCATGTCGCGGATAGCGATCAAGAACATGATCAACCATAGCGTGGTCTTGATACAACAAGAGGTGAACTCAAACCAAGGTTTCAAGGTTTGGCGCGAAAACATGACAATTTCGGTGACGATGAGGACGAAGCTCCCACTGGCCCATGCTATCCAGATGGCAGCGCCGACACTGCGATATTCGTCAGCCATCATTGTTGGAGTGGAGTAGGTAGGTTCATACCGAAGAGCAGATTGTACTTTGCTGCTATATGAAGTGGCATGGTCTTGGAGAAGTGACTCTGTGCCTAGTGCGCAGGCTCCAATACCCCAGCCGACGATGCAGACGATAAGTTGGACTATCCAGAAAACGATAAGAAATGCTTTGCTCCAGGCTGGAAGTTCGTTGATGGCGTATTTCGGCAGTGCTTGCATGTCAGAGAAGCGTCGGGGGTGGGTCGATAGCCAGGATAAATCATGTTGGATGGATTGAGGTTCGTGAGGATGTATGGGATGCATGGGATGTGGAGGGTATGTGGGCGGATAGCAGATACAAAAGGGCGAGGAAGAAGAAGCTATATATCCTAAACCCTCAGACCTACCTTCTCAAGACACAGGCGCCTGAGTTTACAGCACTGACAGTGTATCAGCCATGGTTCTTGGTGAAGGACCCATGGTAGGGGCTGAAGGATCAATTGCAGGAGGCTGAGTGAAGAAGTTTGCAGCTTGGCAAGTCCGTGAACAGCTGCCGACTGACTCTTGAGCTATGGATATGTATATGAGATTCAGGCGTTCGTTGTTGAACCGGCGACACAGCCACGAGATGGAGCGTCCGCAATAACGAAGTCGAAAAACATCGTGGCGTAGACATAGCCAGAGGATCAGACAGAGGAACGGTATGGACTTTCAAGTCATGACATGGATGAATGGAACGAGTCGGTGCATTGTTACAAGGTTCGTTTCGAAAGGTTGTGAGAGTGCGAGAGTGAGACGGTGAAACTGCAGAGAAGTTATGGAAGGTGCACAAGCAGATATGAAGTCTTGGCATTGTTGTGAAAGCGTGTGACGGCATTGGAGAGCTTCAGTCCGTGGTCCGGACACTCGCAATCGGCCCAAACACCATCCATCACCACCATCATTTTGTCGCCGCCGCCTTCACATCACACGAACCCATCCAGATATACCAATCTCGCATCAGCTACGATGAGCGCCGACCCTGAGAGAGAACATGCGCTGGACGGATACAAGACCAAGCTGCTAGAGTCAAGAGAATGGGAGGCAAAGCTCAAGGCGCTGCGGTTAGAGATCAAGGGCTTGCAACACGACTTTGACGTCTCCGAGGACAACATCAAAGCCCTGCAGAGCGTTGGTCAGATTATCGGCGAGGTCCTGAAGCAGCTGGACGAGGAGAGATGTGAGATTCATCCTTCTTTCCCATCAACGGCGACACAACTGACACACGACNNAGTCATCGTCAAGGCGTCATCAGGCCCGCGCTATGTCGTCGGATGCAGGAGCAAGGTCGACAAGCTCAAGCTCAAGCAAGGAACCCGGGTCGCTCTCGACATGACAACCCTCACAATCATGCGCATGCTCCCGCGAGAGGTCGATCCGCTCGTCTACAACATGTCCCTCGAGGACCCTGGCCAAATCAACTTTGCTGGTATCGGTGGTTTGAACGAGCAGATTAGAGAGTTGCGCGAGGTCATCGAGCTGCCGCTTAAGAACCCAGAACTCTTCCTTAGAGTCGGCATCAAGCCGCCAAAGGGTGTCTTGCTATATGGTCCTCCCGGTACCGGAAAGACCCTTCTAGCAAGAGCCGTCGCTAGCAGTCTGGAGACAAACTTCCTCAAGGGTGACTATCCTCCACCACTCCTTCCTCTGACCACTACTAATTTAAGCGTCCANGTCGTCTCGTCCGCCATCGTTGACAAGTACATTGGTGAATCCGCCCGCCTCATCCGCGAAATGTTCGGCTACGCAAAGGAACACGAACCCTGCATCATCTTCATGGACGAAATCGATGCCATCGGTGGTCGCAGATTCTCAGAAGGTACCTCTGCCGACAGAGAAATTCAAAGAACTCTCATGGAACTCCTCAACCAACTCGACGGTTTCGACTACCTGGGAAAGACAAAGATCATCATGGCTACAAACAGACCCGACACTCTCGACCCTGCCTTGCTGCGTGCCGGACGTCTGGACAGAAAGATTGAGATTCCTCTGCCCAACGAGGTTGGCCGTATGGAGATTCTCAAGATTCACGCCGAGGGTGTGCAAAAGGAGGGCGAAATTGATTACGAGAGCGTCGTCAAGATGAGCGATCAGCTCAACGGTGCTGATTTGAGAAACGTCGTGACCGAAGCGTGAGTTTTATCCTTTGCGCATCTCAAGAAAACCAAGCTGACATTTACCCTTCTAGCNGGTCTCTTCGCCATCAAGGACTACCGTGACGCCATCAACCAAGACGACTTCAACAAGGCTGTCCGCAAGGTTGCCGAGTCAAAGAAGCTCGAAGGCAAGCTCGAGTACCAGAAGCTGTAGATCACCTGAAGCCAACCTTCTGCATGCGCATCTTCCAAACATGAGCGGGGGCGTTTATTTTCTCTGGGCACCACTGGTCGGCTTCTTTTAATGAAATAGCAAAGGAGGGATATGCGAGAAAGGAGAGTATGGGCTGCTCTCGAGGAAGGGAGTCATATTCTTCCGACTCGACGGATGCGAGTCAAATCTTTGTACCATAGGCCTTTCTTCAAACACAATCAGTCACGAAAGCTGATCTTGGTGCCTGTCCGTGATGTGTCTGCTTCCGTGCCAGTACCTCGTGTCTGGCGTTAGGTACAGCGCCAAGCACTTTCCCTCGACATGTAACGTCGAAATGCCACTCGGAAAAAGAAGGTCCACGGTGTTACCAGCATTGTTCTTCCAACATGGAAAGATTGCAAAAGAGCGGAACGATGGAACAACGCAGCATGGCAAAACTGCAAAAAGAGCTAGGTCGTACCCGGGATCGAACTGGGATTACCGGAATCAGAATCCGATGTGCTAACCATTACACTATACAACCTGAGATATTGAAAGATGTAACAATCTAGTATATAAAGCATTTTTGACATTGCGTCACCAATACACAAGACTGCCGATCTCGTTCCTTGTAAGCATGCTCTGGATTGTTGCCCTCGAAGACAATGCGCATGTGTTATACTACAATACACGAAAACCCTGGCTATCGGGGGTATGGAAGAAGCCACGTGACCTAAGCATCTATCTCACAAGTTCGAGCTACATAATCTCTTTCTAGTAATAGAGGACCCTTACTGACGCCTTTTCCAGCCAACGCAGCTATCAGTACCTGTCAGCGATGTAACTGTCGTCTTCAACCGTCGACTCCATGTCTTGACTGCTCATCGCCTCACCACCATCACGGTCCACCACTGAGGTAGTCTCACTCGCCATGACCCTGANGTCTGCCATCTCGATATCCATATCAAGATCAACATCATCAGCTTCCCTCTCGATCGCAGTCATCCGAACCTCAAATTCGCGCTGAAGTTCTTGGAGCCAGCTCTGGAGGACTGGCCCTTCCATTGCACCGCCACAAGCATGCATGAGTTCCTCCCTCAGCCCCAGGATGAGTTTTCTCTTCCTTCCGATGATGACAGCCTTGGAAGCTTTCTTCCTTCTCTCCACTTGCGCTTGTAGCTGTTCTGCTACTTGTGTTGCGTAATCGATTACGTCGGGAGGTAGCGGCATGACTTTTGCCAGCTGCAAGCCATAGTGTTGCTCGGAGACAACACCGTCTGTGAGTCGGTACAACATGGCCATCGTATCGGCTTCGGACATGTCCACCGCCAAGTGCTTGTTGACCACACCGTTCCGTTCAGCCAGGATCTTTGCAAGATCGCGAAAGTGTGTTGCGAACCAAACTAAGGCCCGGCTTTCCACCATAGCCTCTGCAATTGCCAAAGCTATGGCAAGTCCATCTCGCGGACTTGTTCCTCGACCTAACTCGTCGATGATCACCAAGCTATTCCTGCCAATGTTCCTCAGGATGAAGGTCGTTTCTCTCATCTCTGACGCAAATGTGGATACGTTAGCTTCAATACTGTCATCGAGGGATATTCTTGCAAAAAGTTGCTTGATGATCGGGAACGAGGCGAACTCTGCTGGAACGAAGCATCCGATCTGAGCCATCACTGATAGCAAAGCGATCGAACGGATGTAAGTGCTCTTTCCACTCATGTTACATCCTGTGATAATCTGGAAGCGAGACTGCTGAGTAGCAAACACGTCATTCGGTATGAAAGGACTATTCTGTACTTTCTCTCTGATAGGATGGCGACCAGCTTTGATGCCGAGAGTTTGCGTAATTCGAGGCCGAGTGTATTCGTGCAGGGTGACGTTGTGAGCAAAAGATGAGAGCACGTCTAGCATGGCAACACTTTCCGAGACCTTGAAGAGGACTGACATGTAGACGCGGATCTCGGTTATCAGGTCTTGTATGGCTTTGTCGCTCATCAGCAGCACTTCGGTATGCGAGTCGGAGATCTTTTGGCTGCGCTTTCGTAAATCCAAGGTCGAACACTCTACCCTGTTGTTCTTGCGAATGACGTTGATGAAAACAGGCGGTAGGTTTCGGTCTTCGAGTTCCGAGGCTTTGAGACTGAGGTAGTACTGTCGAGCATTGTCGTATTTGAGGTCCAGTCCGATTTTGTGCGTCTNCTGGGACATGGTCAGGACATTACGGTGCCGTATTATATGGTGTTTACCTTGCAACTTGTCAACAAGCTGATACACATCCATGTTGGCCTCCTTGTATGTTTGTCTAGCCACGTCGAGCAGGCCATTGACTCCTGACTNTGGACGTTGGTCAGTTTGAGTCGCTCGGTTCTCGAACGCGACACATGCCTTGACTGCGTATGTCCTCTGGTTCCGCAACTCGAGTGGTTGCTTCGCATAAGTGATGTCTTCATTGATAAACTCGTCGATAAGCTCCTTGATAGGATCGATACTGGTTGGATTGCAGTTCTTTTAATTTGTCAGTCAGTGGCGTTCGGGTGTAGTTGAGATACTGACACGTCGAATCTCTTTCAACATGACACTCCTTGACCCGGTCAAAGCATCGTAGACAGGCTTTATGCCAGTCACAAACTGCTTGAGCATGATGACCTGATTTATACTCTGCTCAGTGGATTGCAAAGATGGCTTGGTCGGAATGATGATTAGCTGGGTCAAGATCTTGTCTGCATCCAGGATGGCCTTCAGCGCTGATCTTGTAGCGAAGAACATATCTTCCTGGGTTGCCAGTTCTTCAAGAGCATCATAACGGGTTTCCAACGTTTGCTGATCGGTAAGTGGTTGCAAGACATTGCTACGTAAAAGTCTCGAACCCATTGGTGTCAAGGTCTCGTTGAGAATACCAAAGAGGCAGTCCGACGACTTTTGGCTTTGCAAATTCTGTATCAACTCAAGGGAACGAATGGTGGAAAGATCGATCGTCATAGAACCTTCTGATGCTTCGTATCTGATCCTCAAAGAGTGCGGCGGGAAAGTCTTGTTCATGGCAAGCTCGATGAACCTCATAGCCGCGGCAAAGCAGCAGACGGAAAAGTAGTTGCCCTCGACGGACATCTTGATGCTATCCACATCCTGGACGAAGCCGAATTGTTCGATGAGCTCGACGCCAGTAGTTTCGGCCCAGTAGCGACGGTCAAGGAGGATCAAATTGCTGTTCAAGTCGTCCAGATTTTCCTCGATGAGGCAGAACAACTTTGACTTTGATTTGGCGGCCGTGTCGAGGATCAAAATTCTGGAAGGGCTGAAGACTGCCAACTTGTGGAGGGTGCGAACATAGGATTGACTGTCTGGTATTTGACTAAGGACGGCCTCGCCTGTGTCCAGGTTGACGAAAGCAAGACCAACAGTGGGAGCTATGCCGCGCGACTCGCTCACAGCACAGATGATCTGCTGCGACTCTACTCCGATGGTTGATATGGCGGTACGAGGACGAGTCGAGTATTCGTAGGAACTGTACTGTGAATAGCCTGCAGTGCTTGAGCCCGCAGCTGCAGGCGATGCTGGGAGATGAAGCCGGCTATGCGACGACGAGACGCTCGTCCTGGTTGATCTGGAAGTCATATTGTGAAGGCGCGGCATGTATTGGATGCGATGAAGAAGACGACAAGCAGATGGTTTACAAGGATGCGTTCAGGGTCCAAGCCTTTCATGGGTCGCGGCTTCCTCTTTGATCATGGACCTGCTTCCTCGTCACCTGAAAACCCGGATATCTCGAGATCGATATTATGATTCTTTTCGCTATCACAGTTTCGCCTTCGTCTTCTCAAACTCGACCTTGTTGATACAGCTGCCCACGCCCTCAAGATTGACTTCAACAACGTCTCCATCTTTCAACCAAACCTGAGGCTTGCGTCCCATACCAACGCCCTGCGGACTAGTTTCGTGTAAGCAGATGTCTGTTCCTTTTCACCTTCCATTTACTTACGTTCCGGTGAAGATCAGATCTCCAGGCAACAAGGTGGTACCTTGACTCAAGATGCTGATAGTTTTGGCAATTCCGAAAATCATATCCCCTGTGTTGCTATCTTGGACCGTCTTGCCATTGACCTTCGTCGTGATCCTAAGATTTTGCGGATCTGGGATGAGTCTTGTGCTGACGATTGCAGGACCGAAGGGCGCCCACTTGTCGAAGCCTTTACCGAGGCCCCACTGGCCTCCACCGCGCTTGAGTTGCCAGTCACGATGCGAGACATCATTTCCCACAGCATAGCCTGCCACATGCGAAAGTGCCTGGGATTGGGAGATGTTTGAGCCCTCTTTTCCAATCACGGCGACCAGTTCGCACTCGTAGTCGAGACCCTCGCCTTCTTGAGCAGCTGCACAGACAGGGATCTTGTCGAACGGCCCTGTGACTGCAGTAACGGGCTTGTAGAAGAGGACGGGATATTTCGGGATGGGCATGTTGGNACTGTAGAAGATTGGTCAGCATGCATGCTTCAAGATATGATGATCGAGGTCGAGATTTACTTCGATGGCATGCTGCTCGTAGTTCAGGCCGAGGCAGCGGACAGTCCTGATGTCCTCCTGGGCTAGTGGTGCAAGGAGCTTTTGCACATCCTGACCGGCTTCAGCTTATGTATCGAAACCTGAAGTCGATTGAGAGCATACAGCTACACGCTCAGTAATCTGATGCTGCCCCCATGGTGTACCCTGAATAACCTTGGCTTGAGCCACTCTTGTCAAGTCGCTTGCTCCGGATGGTACGAGTGCGTCGCCATAATATGTCATGCCATCTTTGGCGAGGAAGCGGACGAGTCTCTACTGGTTGCGCTGGTTAGTGGACGGACACCAAATCAAGGGGAGAACACATACCGAGAACGACGACATGTTGTGTGTTCTGTCCACAAGGATGAGTCGTGGTCAGGGTCGCTCAAGAACGATGTCGGCGTCCCCAGCTTTCTCCACACTCTCTGGCAGAAGCGCGTCATGCGATTTCTCCCAATCATCAACTCAAGTCTATGAACAAACTTCTGCCATATCCTCGTGCATCCAACTCATCCAGCTTTCACCCTGCTCAACGTTTCGCACGCCGAAATAGACCATCACTACTTGGATTCACAACAGCATCGGTCACAATGGCACGCTTGTCAGGTCTTCAGCGTGAGGTTCTGTCATTATACCGCAAGTGTCTTCGCGAAACACGAAAGAAGCCTGCTGTATGTTCATGTGTAAATATGCCCAAAAGAACAAGCGTTAATGCTCAGCAGGATGTGAGGCCAAATTTCCTTCAATTTACTCGGTATGCCGGCCGCTCCTTGTTTCGTGGACTTTTAGAAACGCTGACACTCNNCACAAGATCAGAATTCCGTGAACACAAAGACTATGACAAGAAGGACTTTAGTGCCATCGAGTACATGCTTCGAAAGGGCCAACGGCAACTGGAAATTTACTCGTCCCCTGGAATCCGAAATGTCATGAAGTAGTCTTGGCCTCACTCGCCTCTTTTGCCTGTTCCATACCCGAACCCTCGGCCGGACTCTATCAATATCCGCTCACTTTCAGACTGTGTTCAGATGTTGTCTACTGTTCTCTTCGCCTCTGATGCATCGTTCGACCATCAATTGGTCAGCACCACAACATCTGAACGTCGTGTGCTGTTTGCAATTGATATCACGTGACTATCGGAACAGGCAGATTCTCGAAGCTTCCTTCCTCTTCTGGAACTATCTTTGCTTTGTGCAACCATCTTTGTCAGGAGACATTACTGGCATCTTCTAGATGCGTGTTACGCAGCAGAGTTGGTATGGTGAGATCAAGCCAGCGCATTCCGGTATGCTCTGGCGCCTTCAAGGCTGCCATCTTCGAGGTTGGCGCAAAGGTATAAAGCCAGAGTAACAGTCCATCATGGTCTCTCATCATCAGAAACAAGAACAAGTACAACAACAATCACAAACAATTATATGCAAACCTACCGCATCTCCAACAAGCTCCCTCAAGCTTACAGAATCATCAAAGTCGTTCCTCAAGCCACTCCAATCAGAACAATGTTCTCATTCCCACGCTTTCCTTCTGGCGAATTCGCCCCTCTCTTCCGTCTCCTTGACGACTATGCTTCGCACCAGATCTCTCGTCAGGGCGATGACTTTGGCAATCTCTCTCAACTCCGCTCTTTCCAGCCTCGCTTCGATGTGAAGGAGGTCAAGGATGGATATGAGCTTCATGGCGAGCTTCCTGGCGTCGATCAAAAGGACGTTCAGATCGAGTTCACCGATGCCCAGACTTTGAGTATCAAGGGCCGTACAGAACGCCACCGCGAGTCTGGCACTCCTCCCACTGCTGCTCTCGAAAGTCAGCAAGAAAAGGGCCGCATCACATCCGGCGACGAATCCTCTGAGACCTCTTCCCATTACCAAAAGCCCACTGTCGAAGACGAAACTGCCGACAAACCCACCGACAACGAGCAGCAAATCACCACTACCGACACCCAGAACCAGCAAGTCCAGCAGCAAACAGAGCAGCGTCCTCAGTCCCGCTACTGGGTTTCTGAGCGCTCGGTCGGCGAATTCTCACGCTCTTTTACNTTTCCCTCTCGTGTGGATCAAGACAATGTTCGTGCTAGCCTCAAGGATGGCATTTTGAGCATTGTTGTCCCCAAGGCTTCTGCTCCCACTACTCGCAAGATCAACATTGAGTAAGGATAGGACGACAACATCACTACTTTCAAAGCTTCTTCACGAGCTATGAGTATCTTATGGATCAAGTATGCATTTGCATAGGGATGGAGTACATTGCGGTTTTGTCCTTTTAATGCTTTTGAGTTTTCTTTTGCTTATTGTCTTTGCTGTTTCGCTTCTTGCTTGCTTTCATACTCAGTAGCTAATCTGATAGTGTTACACAATTCTGCTCTCCATCAAACCGTGTCACTGCTTCAAGTTTCATCTGCTCCAGCCATGCATCAATATGTCTCCATATGCATATGACGACCATGTACAATCTTCACTTACTCCCACTGTCAAAACAACGTACAACGGTAGTTACCAATGGCTATAGGAATCGCACACTTGACTTGACCAAACAGAAGTGTGACCACACAACCAAAAAGGCAAGTGATGCAAAGGCAACGATTGTATTGCTCACAAATCGAAGCTTTGAAGAGTGAAAGATTGGGTTTGGGAAGGAGCTGCAAAGACAGTCTGGTGTGTAGGGAGAACAATGTGCTGTAGAGAGACCTGTGATGTGAGTCTTGGGGCAAGGAAGGTGAGACCTTTGAGGCCTTTCAAGGGTGCAAGTCAAATGGTCTGTATTCAACAAATGTTTAGAGGCGCGATCAATGGTGGATAGTGACAAGAGACAGAGCAGATAATTTGTAAAATGTTGATTTGCGGGAGCATGCCTCCAAAGCATGACCTCGTCTTGACAGAATTACACCAAAGCTATATGACAGCAACCAAGAAATATTCAACCTCGCTAAACGCACGAATACCAGAGTATATACATTATGCCTTATCCCAGCTCCACTCGGCCAACACTCTCGAAACTCGTTTGATGCTGATCCTTCTAGGCTTCTCTGCTTCTTTCTGTGGCGTGGGACCATGACAAGCTGTTCTGGATGAGTGTGCACTGTTCCACTGCGCATGGATATCATTCCATGTCAATCTCTTCTTCTCCTTTGTTGTTTTTGATGTGTCGATGGTAGGCTGCTTCCAGGGCCTTACATCCGAGTCTTGGGTCATGCGATGGGCGAGATCTGGCCTTTGGGGCTGATCTTCATCAGACTGTTCCGAGATGGGCTCGTCGATCGACACTCTGTTTTCGTGGACTGCCAATTCATCCGTGGGTTTGCAGGATGAGCGTCTGCGAAGCTGTGCTGTTTCTGTGACTGAGAGTTGAGACGTGGGCTCGACTTCGGCGGTTCCAATGACAACCATAGCAGGCATGGGCTTGACTTTGTGCATTGAATCTTGACTGGAGTCTGCAACAGAAGTCGCAGACACAGACTTCAGGCTTATTGCTCGTGCTTCTCCCACCTCAGCCTCTTCCATGTCGCTCAATCTATGGCTGTTTCTGTTCGAAGAGTGGTGATGCTCGCTACGCTCGCGCCAGTTCCTGATCAGAGGACGCAAGGTAAGGAGACAAGCGGCGGTGACTCCAGTACCCACTTCAGCGACACCGAGAACAGCCACGGGGTATGCCATATTCCAGTATTGGTTTCCCATGCCGCCGAGTGCGTGGAGGAAGCCAAAGCGAGGCATGGACATGATACTGCTTACACAGCCAAGTACCAGGATAAAGCCTGCAGAGATCTTGGCTTGGTGGTTCATCTTCATGGAGCGAAGGGCAAAGATGGGAAGCAGAGCGAGTATCCAATCTGCTGTTGTGTTGATAACACTGTTGGTGTATTGCATGCTTTGCGTGGCCTCCCAGCTCATACACATGCGTTGGTGGTATCGAGCGTAAAAGTCCATAGGGTTACCACAGCGGAAAAGAATGGTGAAGAAGGTTGCCAGACCGAACGCAGTGTTTATACCAACAGTCACCTGTACGGTCCTACGTTGCCATTTCTCAAGCAGAATGCGATTGAAAGTGATTGCGAGAGATGCCTTGAGGAAGACGTTTGCAAGCGTGTAAAAGGCAAACTGGAAAACTTGGTNACTGTCCAATGAGGTCAGCTTAGGGGATTTTACATGGTCAGAGATGGTGATACTCACTGTCACGTATATCGATGCAACCTGGACATCCTCCAGACCCCGTCCGATAGTGATCAGAAGACCACTGTCAACTGTGAATATAANGCTGTGGGCGAATTAGTACAATGTTTCCTGAGCACCATGTTTGTTTCCAAGACACACCATCGTTACTACCATGAGCCAGTCGTCCAAAGCCCAGGATCGCATGATATATCCTTTGACGATAGTCCGTAGTGAGAAAGCGATCCAAGCGACGGCAAGATACGCCGCGGAGACACCGATCATGGTGTTTGCTCTTCCTTCGAGATTCATCATGACTTGTTCTCGCAGTACCGCGGATGTTCGTTGGAATATTCGGGGGTGTTCAAGAAGGATGTATTCAAATGAGTGGTAGTTTGGATAGTATCCAACCTCTCTGACGAGATTCCAGGAGAGCAACAAGTTGAATGAATTGATGGAAGAAAACAGAGTCCAGTCCCGAGCGCGATAAAAGGTCTTGCGCTCTATTCAAGAGGGAAACAACAAAACACAAGGTCAAGGAAAGAGCAAGCCAGAATCTGGGAGAGACATGCCTTTAACCTATCTCATCAGTCTCTACCACGAATGGTTCCACAACGGCAGTAGCAGCATGGCGTCGATGGATTTGTATACCATGCAGCAGTTTGTCCGTAAACATAGTTGAGACAGATCTATCGAAATGCAAAGGCTTTCGACTAAGCCCATATCGCTACAACGTTGAAACGGTTTTTCGATGGATAGCCGCAGACTTTCGGCAGTTCATAAGGACATGAGTTGCGATGAAGCCATCATGTAGCTTGCCCTGTTATAGAGAGATGGAACATTGAACAGATCTCCTGATATAGTATGGACAGGAAACATAATATCGATCTTGAATGGAAAGAAAGGAGGATGCAAGGACATGCAAGCGTTGGCATCAGACTCTTGGCGTACTCTCCCAGCCACGTCTTCGTTCATGGCTTCGACGTTCTCCGTTGTGCATCTGTCTTACCCAAATCAACGTCCATAACGATTATGTGGGCAGTTGGCGAGTCAGACAATTCGAAGCAGCTCTGGATCGTCTCGCTTGGGCCCGAGGAACCAAGATCCTCCTTAACTCGAGGTTGACATGTATTGCTCGACACGGCATGTTTCATCAAGCTTTATCGTCCCTGGTTAATTTGGCTGGCCAGATTGAATAGACATTTCACATTGTGACATGAACGATGATAGGGAAAGGGGTTCGAGATGGGTTCAGGGTAGTGTCAGAGTTTGAACTGGTTCTCTTATGCTATAGCTCGCTCAAGCCAAGGACTTGTCGTATGCGTGGGGGTCTTGTTTGACGAACGGCTCTTCAAGAAGAGAGCGCAGAGGCCGAGGATGACGGCCAAAGCACCAATCTTTGCGAACCAGCTGATACCAGCATCGTTGACAACGTCACCGTAACCAGCAGCCAACTCCTCCTCCTTGTGGTGCGACAGAGGCTCGTCGCGCTTCTCATTGACAGGGGCGTTTGCAGCGGGCACGGAGACAGGAGCAGCGAGTACTTCATCATCGTCTTCCTTAAGGTCCGCAACGGGCTCGGCAGAACCAATGAGCTTATCTGGAGACTGCATTAGGGATTGAAGCCCAGGAATTGAAGCAAGCTGAAGCGGAACCAGACGTACCGCCCGGGACACGATCAGAGCTCGGCTCTAATACCTTCTTCAGGGACCTCGAGCTCGCCACTCTTGGCAATCTTGATGGGCTTCTGAGGCTTGTCGCCAGCACCCTTGGGAAGGTTCTGGATCTTGTCGACGATCTCCCAGCCCTCGAGGACTTCACCGAAGACGACGTGACGGCCGTCGAGCCAGGAGGTGATGGCGGTAGTGATGAAGAACTGCGAGCCGTTGGTGTCCTTGCCGGCGTTGGCCATNNGCCTGGGAGAGGGAGTGTTAGAAAGAGATGGTGTGGGTAGTCAAAGAAGAGACTTACTGAGGAGACCCTTCTTGCTGTGCTTCAGCTTGAAGTTCTCATCGGGGAACTTGTTGCCGTAAATGGACTTGCCGCCAGTGCCGTCACCCTTGGTGAAGTCACCACCCTGGATCATGAAGTCCTTGATGACACGGTGGAAGGTAGAGCCCTCGTAGCCAAAGCCCTTCTCGCCAGTAGCAAGAGCTCTGAAGTTCTCGGCAGTCTAATGACACGTAAGCATGAGTGTACGGAGTGGCAGTAGGCATGAAGCTACCTTGGGGACGGTCTTGCCGTAAAGGCCGAGGACGATACGTCCAAGCTCCTCATCACCGGAGGTCACATCGAAGTAGANCCTGAGAACATGTAAGCAATGGACATCAAGGCGCACTGAGAAGATGGAAGCTTGTACCTTGTGGGTGATCTTGGGGCCCTTGACAGCCTCGGAAGACTGAGCAAAGAAGACAAAGGTGAAGGTGAGGATCACCAGCAGGGAGATGACGAGTCTCTGGAAGCTGGCCATGATTGATGTTGCTGGTCCGGGGAGAGAGATGGAGGAGGGAAACGACAGGGACGAGTTGGACCCAGAGACGACATTGCGGAGAAGGCAGGTGCACGGGCCTCCGCCGGCCTCGAGTCTTGGCATGTCCGTCGCGACTGCCGACTTTGACCAACGACGACGTCGACGTCTGTCACCAACTTTGCGCCGTCCAGAAACACTCGTTCTTACGCCTCAGTTACCATGGTTGTGAGTAGCCGTCCTGTGCGCCTTCGCTCGCTCTATCTACTTATACTCACTCTCCCGCAGCTCGTCTTTGGAGTCAACTTTGCCGAATCGCGCCTCGTCAAGAGCGCCCTCGAGAGCTTCTACGGTGTCGGCCCTCAGATCTCACAACGTCTCATGGCTCGCCTGTCCATCCACAACACTGCCAGACTGCAGGGTCTAGGTCACCGCACCGTCAACGACCTCTCCGCCGAACTCCAGAACTTGACCATTGAGAACAACTTGAGGAGGAAACTGCAAGACAACATCAAGCGTTTAAGAGACATGGGAACATACAGAGGAAGACGCCACGCCATGAGTCTGCCCGTCCGTGGCCAGAGAACCCGCACACAGGTTTGTTCAACCCACTTTCTTGTAGTCGGTCCAGAACTGACGCATTATNNCCAGATCGCAACGGCCAGAAAGTTGAACAGAGTCCTTCGCAGAGGCTGAGCCTGCCCATTCTTATACCACTGTACAATTATTTTCTTCACGGCATTGGGTGGCGTAATGGTTTGCGATACCAAAATTCGACATTTCCTTGTACTCTGATTCTCCTTCCCTTCTAATCCATGCGAAAAATTTCCCAAAACTCCCCCAAGTCCATGATCGTTATCGTGTCAAGCTAAGAGTGAGAGGATATGCACCAGCCCAATGTCCAATCCTGGGGCCAGCCCAGGTATGCATATAAACAAAAACGCCATTCCCAACCATTCAAAACGAAGGACATCTCTTCTCGCTATGTTCGAGTCATCGAGACCAAAAACACCGTGTATGCAAATGCTGATGATAATAAGCCAGTGATGGCTGTGTCGACGGTGTTGTCCGAATCTCGTTGTCTGAGGATTGTTAGTTGAGGAAGGTCTGTGTTGTGTTCGATTGATACTGACTGGATGTAGATTGATTTAAGCCATTGAAGACGAACGGTCGCCGCAACATGCGGAGAGGAGAGTGTTGATGTGTTCACTCTCTGGCTCGCGAGTGCCGGGGTCCTTTCCGGTGTCGCCATTGTTCAAGACGATGTAGCCCGGGTCCTTGCCAGTGTCTCCGTTGGCTGCTTGTAGTACGCCATTGGGATGTGTGGTGGATGATGTGTGGGAGACGACGAGGATCATTGATTGAGAGTAGACGTGGCAAGGCATCATGTACGTGCTTGGATGTGTCTGTGTGTGTATGTATCTTTGGTTTCAATGTCCGAGTGTGATGTTTCAGTTGTTCGTGCCGCACACCTGCCTTCTTATACCATCCGTGTCCCTTGATAACATGTATGTACATGGCGAAGTAAAGACCGTGCATCTTGCTTCAGTCATCAGGCAACAGACCCTTTAAGACTCTTAGAAGGCCGCTAGGTCAGGGCCGCCAGGCCAGGGCCATACAGATGACGAATGCCATTCGTCAAAACCAACAGGCTTAAAGTTAGGACACTTGCGGTGTTGGTTTCTAGAGATACCAAAGCCTGCACTCCAGAGCGGGCCATAGCCTTCCCGAGAGGAGCCTTAGAGGGTCGTGACCACTGGCCATGTCTGCCTTGCGAGGAGGCCATGAAGGCTTCCGTTTTGGGAATGAGGTGCGAGGTGTTGTTTGAGTCTCCAAGCGAAACTTTTAGAACCAACCTTTGCAATGAGTAAGACTGTTACGACTACAGAAGGCATCGATAGCCATACTCGTGCTATGATTGATCCAAACTATCGATTAGTTAATCTGAATGTACCCTGAAAATAGAGGCGGAGCCCCATGTCTGCCTTACCAAGACTGAGCCATGACGTCTGCACCAACACGCGATGTCTCGTAAAATAACTGTAAGCAAAAGTTGCTAGGCTTCCATGTTCCTGAGAAGAGCACATGGCCATTGAGTCGCAGTAGCATTCTAAGCATGGAACTGCTCCGCCGCGCCCGGTGACTCGAAACAAGAGAACGACAGTCAACCCTCGTCATGGTCGACCGAAATGTTCCGCGACATTTCAAAGCAACTGCCTAGATGCCTTGACTCTACGGCCGACAGACTACAACGAGCGAAAGGTCTCTGTCTGCTCATGTAAGCTCGAATCGGTTCTCTCCGAAAACCTTCATGGATGTGTTGATTCTTCCGTCGGGGATCCTGGACAAAACTTGAAGAGGGATGGAGGTTCAGTCATCCCAGCGCCGACATTGCCGAGGGCCTGGCAGGTGCGGCCGACTTTTGGGCCACCTGCAGGTTGATCACTGATCAAACCTCTTGCATCAGATCTTATCGTCTATTCTCAGGATCCAACCCGTTTCCACCCTCTTGCAACAGACAATATACCGTATCTTCACCATACTGCTCTACCTCCGTGCCGACGTCCGATATTTCACGCATCGTCTCGCACTCCAAGCCTCATATGGTCAGCCTACTATGCCCCGTGACGACTAACACCTTGATATGTACCCAGAAATAGGTCAACAACACGGCTTGTATTATTATTGACAGCCACGCCCTCCACAAGAATCCTTCCATGCGGCTTGTCAAGGCACAGACAAGGAAGATGAAGAAGCTCTTCATGACGCCGACCTGCACCTCTAAATGAGTGGCCCTTCCTCAAGACACTGACAGTTGTTCGCAGGAGAAGACGTTCATCTGATCCGTCGCTTGATCTTCGAGGATCTTCAGGCAACAGACCCAAGAATCCATGCACCTCCGGCATCGAGGTCCGTGCTGCTCGACCATTCTCTACATATGGCATGCTCTTGCCAGCTTACAATTCAAGTGAAGTTGACCTTCCCCGTCGGCCGCTCAAGACACGTCGCATCACTATTCATTGAGCCGGTGTGCTCTTCGCGGTATGGAGCAGACGTCATGAGCCTGATAGGGACTGGGACAACCCACGACCACTTCTACAGTGATACCTTGATAACCACCTATCACATCTCACGGCAACCAACCCAGCCATTCACCTTCTTCAACTCACCGCTGTGAGTCATTGCGTATCTTGACCATTGACCATTTTCACCAGTCGGGCTCGATTCACCGGTTGTTAATCGAAGGATTGAACACGGTCCCAACCAGCCACACAGGTTTGTCTTGTGCAACTCATGAGTTGCATGATGTTCATGTTGGATACTCGTGTTCCACCAAGTGTCAAAGTCTATATCACAATCTGTAAGATGGCCTTTGAGATCATGCACTTCTTTACCATTCTTCAGGTTGCAACCTCTGCCACTCTTGAAGTGTAATATCGATGAGTGGATGCATTCGGTTACTATTGGCTCACAGCCGAGATTGTTATATTGTCATGCATATCACCGGTTGATGCGGGGCTTATCACATGATATCGTGCCTTTGTTGATCAAGCTGGACAGCATCAGCCTTGTCGACCCGTCTCATTCTTACCGCCACGTTGACAATGTAAGGGTTTGTCAATTTGGTCAAAGTCCATGCTGCTGTGCGGTACGGAACGCTCCCTAGTGTGTCTGAAATCCTACACCAACCACCCCCGACCTCTACACAGCCCTGTACGCCCGTGTTGTCTCCTTTTGGAAGGGGAGTCAGCTTCAGTTGGACCGTGATCAAGAATGGGATCCTACGCTTACGAATCCAACAAAATGGAGGAGCTCTTTGATTATGGGCCCGACTTGCTTTCTGATAGAGCCTCGTTTCAAGCACTTATTGATGAGCTATATCCGACAGACACCATAATGCAATTAGACGTTGAGTTTAGCAGCCGTGGAACCTCACCGCGCGGACCTGATACACCTCCCTCCTCTACTGGTGGTGGTCAGGAAGAAGTTGCTAATATGGAGGCGGAGCACGAACATCAAGCCTTTGCTCAGGGAGCACTGATGACAGAGATGCTTGCCGGGATAAGAGGATCCACCCCTAACGATTCGATGAGGTCAGGCTCCAATGTCTACCATGATCCGAACACGATCGAGTCATCCTTCCATGATCCTTATTTGGGCGGCGTACCATCATCCTCCCACAGTCAAATGCCAGCTTACACCTGGGAAAGCTTTTCTGAAAGACCTTTCCAGTACGGAACTGTCTACGGCACCAACTTTTCATGGACTGATCCTGCTGCCGTCAATTTCAACAACGCAAACCCTTTCTATGCCCCCAGTGCTCAAATACTTCTCAATCCAGCAGCTTTCATTCCCAGGATGCCACTTCCTCGTGTTCCTCTTGTTCAGAACTCTACTGCAAACGTAGATCATCAGCCTATTACCGGACAAGTTTCGATGCCCTTGGCCATTCTGCAACCTGATGATGTATTGGCTAGATACCGAGACTTATCCTCACAGGATGTCATGATGATCCATGCAGGATATCAGTTCAATAACAATCCAGCAAGACACTCCAGCTTTGATGTACTGGAACAGCCCGCCATCAGTATCAGTCATCATGACGAGGCTTCTCTTGTACCACAGCAGCTACCTATTGGAAGCGAAAAGAGCCCCTTCGTTTCTGCAGAGAACACTGATACCAACCAGGCAGCCCATCTGCCGATAAGGAACAACTACCGAGATAGAGAGCAGAACAACTCTAGGTCTCCAGAAATCACACGGCGAGGCATGACATCCAGGCCTTCGTCATCCCGCGGTTCGAGCCCAAGACCTGCACACAAAGGAGGACGTTCAGGTGGTCTCGACGGCAATACACGAGCACACGCCAACCAGATGCGGAAAGTGGGAGCTTGTTGGATATGTGCCTTCCAAAGAGACCAGTGTGATCCAGGAAGCCCTTGTACCAGGTGTCAAGACCGAAGTGTTAGGGGTTCATTGCATATGTTGCCCTGTTCACGTATACACCTCCAAGACCTGGTCCACCAATTCCTTCCTGCTACGATGAACAGACAACACCGCCGTGAGGAGATTCTGTCATTCGCTAAGAAGAGTTTGGGCTTCTGGAGGGCCGATGCTCCCATCCAGGTCAACTTGACTTCCCTCGGTATGGGTCACTTTACCTGGGATCTACACGAGTACGAGCCATCCTCTCAGGATCTGTTGCTGCAGAAGCGATACAAGGTTGGTATTGCTGGGACCTGGCAGCGTATAGAGAAGAGGTCACCACCACTAGCCCTCAAACAAGTCAACTTCAGCCAAAGCCACAGACTGGAAGAGTATGTGGATGATATCGTGGATCAGTATCTTGAGATGTTCCAGGAGCAAGCATATTATGGAGAGGAAGACTCGTGTGCCATGTTCCAGAATGAACTCCTCCGAGCTTTGTGCAGTCTTTACACTAGTCTACCCGACGGAGACGATGTAAGTCCATCCACTACCCAACACAAACAGTAGGAATAAGCTAACAGAGACCTCAGNGAGAAAACACTCAAAGGTGACCTCCGCCACGTCCTCCGAATGCTCATCTTGACGTGTATCATGGACCACCCCATCACGATTTCCGACACCTTCCTTCCCACCACAATTTCCTCGATGCACTCCTACAATAACCCTCACCTCTATACCTCTTGGACCTCACCCTTCCTCGCGAACCGCCAACTCAAGTACTTCTTTGCCGAGATGCAAACACAGCAATACAACCGCACTCTCAACCGCCTGCACCAAATCCTCCGCAAAGCAGGCGACAAGAACAAACTCTGGATGTCATCGTTTGTCTTGATGCTCGGCATCGGGACAGTGCTAGAGAGTTGCCAGCACTTGCTTTGGATCAAGGCCGATGCCAAGATTGCACGCAAAGAGATGTCGGCTATAGACGCAGAATGGGAAGCTCGCACCCACTGCCAGGANATGGATGACGGGTACGAGTTTCTGTGTAAACTGTACCATTGCAAGTATCGCGGCAAGCATCGGCAAAAGACGAGATACGAGGAGTTGAAGAACAAGACGGGCAGTAGAGCAGAACAGGCGTTTGCGGACCGCATCTATGAGATTGTGGATAGGAATGGTGAGTTTCTTGCTACCTTCTTGCAGCACACACACACACTTTGGACGCTAGGCTAATTTGAAGATTTCATAGGGGCGTACTTGTTGCACCGGCAGAATTCGACGATCAATGGTATGCAGGAGAATTCGCATGCTTCTAGGTTGGTTGCGAGGTTTCTTGTCGAGTTGATGGGGTTGACGCAGTCGTCTCCTTGAGGGCAGGCATGCATGTTACATTCAAAACCAGGGGGTCTTTGTTAGGAAGGGATAAGGCGCACTTGATATGATTAATGACTTCGGACGATACTTGATGGATTATTGGACATCTCACGAACAGGACAGGTAGCGAAAAGGGGCAGGCGAAGGGAAAATAACAACAGTCTATCGTTCTTCCATGCACTTGCATCTTTAACCACGACCTCAATTCCGAACCATACAGATATCAAGCGCAAAACACCCAGTATCAACACATGTAGAAAAACTACACATTGTGGAGTGCGTGTATGAAGGACAAAAGTATCATTTTCTATATACAAAAAGATGTATGTCTATCATAGTCCTTGCTCATCATTGATGTAATGCATAAGGGTGGAGAAGACAAAGGCGCTGCTTATTTCGCCTATCCTCATTGCTGAGAATATCGCTCTTCCACTAATTGAAATAGTTAGCGGGCAAGGCATTGAAGGCCTCCCCACAGGCAAATCGTGGTGTGTGTATGTGTGTAGGTTGCGGGCTGGTGTGTTGAAATCCCATGCTCTTTCTGTTCACGGACGTGTCGCAGCGCATCCTCCCTCAGGGATACCTTTCGCTCAGATCTTGAAGCGCAAAGGCATGCTTGAAAGAACAAGACAGACAGGACTCGAATCGCGGGTTGAGCGCGATCACCTGTAGAAACTCTTGCGAGCGTTGTGGTCGACGTTTAGGAAAGGAAAACAAAGACTCGCAGCTTTTTGATCGCAGAGCTGAGAATTTGCTTGCTCGCCAAGCGGCCAATGTTTATGTCCCCTGCCCTCAGCCCAACCAAGACTTATGACCACCATTCCAACATGCGCTTCTCAAAATGCCATGTTGGCACTCATCCTAAAGCTTTCCTCTCTTTACACTTTTCACGAGCGCATATAATCAACCTTTGTTTTTGTATATCTCACGGGACAAGGGTCATATTGCGCACTAGAGAGAAGAAGAAGGGCAGGTTCTTTCTTATGACTTTTGCGTCGTGTTGATGATGTTGGAGTCTTTGACTTGCGCTTCTTTACATTGCTGTTGTTTAGTGCTTTATGAACGTTGTAGATGTTAAGTTTATGCAATTGATTCGTTGAAGCCATCATATGTATGTGCATTTTGAAGAAAGGAGAATTTGAGTAGCGGGTCTCATGAGCGCTTGCTCAACTTTTCGTCTACGATCCTTGAGACAATCTTCTCGAGAATGGCAGGCTCGCCGCCGGCTTTGCCCTCAAAGTAACCCACTACACTTTTCTCGACGTACTTGCCCACGCAATCCACTTCCACATTGACGGTGTCGCCCTTCTCCTTCTTGCCCATGACGACCTTTGCTTGGGTGTAGTTGATCATCATGATCTCAAACCAGCCTTGGTCGTCATCCACAGCCGTAATGGTCAAACTCGCACCATCCAGCGTCACGTATCCCTTTTCCACAATATAGCGCAACACACTGCGGTCCCTAGGCTGCATGCGGAATACCTTGGCCTCATTATCGGCCGTCACCGACACGATTTCTGCAATCGTGTCTACATGGCCTTGCACAAAGTGGCCTCCCATCCTCGTATGCGCAGATACTGCTCTCTCGAGATTGACTTTGCTGCCTTGGCTCAAAGCGCCTAGGTTTGTGCGGCGTAGGGTCTCTGGTGCAGCGCCGATTTTGAAGGATGACGGGGTGAATTCGGTGACGGTGAGGCAGGTGCCGTTTACGGATATTGAGTCGCCGAGGACGCAGTCGCCGAGGATGGAGGAGCAGTCGGATATGGTCATTGCGGTGCCGCCGCCCGAGGTTGCATCTTGGGGGAGGAGTTCTGAGACNNAGCTGTGAATGGTGTTAGTTAATAGTGTGGATGATGATGCGTGAGTGGGGCAGCGCTTACTGCCCAGGGTTTCGACGATGCCGGTGAACATGATGCGCGACTTGGAAACTGTATAGAGAGGGTGCGGGTGTGTGAGTGTGTGATTGAGAATACTATGACTGTGTCTCGAAATGATTTCCTTAACATGGATATGTCATCACCAAGAAGCCGTCGGAGCTTCGCCAAAACATGCCCCGAGAGAAGCTCCATCAGGGTCCATAGCAATCAATCCCACCAGCCATCTTTGACCTGCAGCTCGCGACACGCAACCCCGGGGCGGTCAAGTAATTCAATGCCGTGATTTTCGCTCCAATGTGCACTCATCCTCTAGTCTTGCTCTATCACGTACAACCTCATCACGCACGTACATCTCTAAAAGGCAAATCACACAATGAGTTTCTTCGGCGGTCCCTCGTCCCACCGCTCCACATCCACACGCTCGCACCAAAAGTCCAGCCACAGCAGACCTATATTCCCACGCGCGCCTTCCTCCACAGCCTCTTTCTTCTCACGCAATGGAGGTTCTTCCTCATACTACAAACGACGACCCCGCGATGGCTATATCCAGAGTTTAATCCACAAACTCAAGAGATTGATACGCGATCTGTGGGAGTATGCGCAACGACACCCATTCAAGGCTTTTATGGCTGTGGCTGTGCCGTTGATTAGTGCTGGGGGTGCTTTGCATGGCTTGCTCAAACAGTTTGGAGTTAGGATGCCTGTGATGTTTGATGCTGGTGTGGGAAGAGGTGGTTATGGGAGTAGTGGGTATGGTGGCTATGAGGATAGTGGGTTTGAAAGTATGTTTGGTGGTGGAGGAGGTGCCATGGATACTGTGGGCAGTTTGATGAAGGTTGCAAAGGTCTTTATGTGAGCATTGGGATGCTGTGGGTTGCAGGTCGATGTTTAAACGCTTGGAGTTGTAGCACCTACGCCGCGGATTGCTGGTCAATTCGACGACTGGCTACACCTGGGATGGGAACGATGAACTCAGTTTGGTGGACGATACCAGGGAGGAAAGCATGTTCTATGATTCTTATGTTTGACAAAATTGGCACAAAAGCGAATTTACGCCATAGAAGCTATACCGACAATACCATGTTCTTTGCTTTGATCTTGGTTGTGACAGAAGACCATGGTCACTTCTACATGAAATTGCTAACTTGCTCCCAGGTTTTAGAGGGACTTCCAACGGGCACGCAATTGCCGGGAATCCCGGGTTTCACTCCTTCACAAGATCTCACGAATAGCGATCACTTTTCAGTCGTGAGTGTGGTACAAAAGGGAAAGAAACCTGGATTCAGAACACAAAAGGCAAGAAATGCTTATTCTATCGAAACTCTCGCTTGCCAACCGAAACAAAGCCAAAACCAGACTCCCGCTGATAACCAGATCATCACGTCTTGAATGCAAGGAAGGCGTAATGGAAATAAAGAACCGTGAGTCGTAATTGCCAAAAGGACCCCAGAATACCAAATGAGGCCAAAAGGGTAAAGAGCATTTATTGCTCATCCTCTTCATCTTCTTGTCCAGGGTGCTTTGGCTTCTTGCCGTTGGTTTTTCTAGGATGAATCATGATGTTCGGAGCATACAGATGACCGCCCTCGTTCAGAAGCATATCCGGTAGTACAGGGTTATCGACTTCGTTGATATACCAAGGATTTGCCAGATCTTCAGGCAAGGTCGTCCACCATTGCCAAGTCATGCCATTGGTGAAAAAGCCCATCGAACTACCACGGTAGCGTGCAGGGCCATTGGCGATGGCATCAGGAAACGCGTCTAAGCCGCCACCATTGAGAGCAAACTCCATCTCATGACGGTCGCGCCCAGGCCATTGATATACCGGTACCGGTGGACTACTGACCTTGAGACCATGCCAGAGAGCGAAGCTAGGTAGTGTAGCTTCTGAAGGGATGCGCATGCCCGCATGTGCTTGGGCGTGATGAACTGCATTCAAAAGATCCCAGCTTGCACGGCCTTGAGCAACGACTGAGACAAATATGGGAAGCTTCGAACCCATGGAAAAGCCGTGTTGCCAACCTTTGAAGATCCAATCCTCGTCGCGAGAGGCATCTTCCAAGGTATTGAGAAGGATAAGATCGGCTTCTTCGCCAACACCCCAAGAGAAGTAGTCATCACGAGGATCCTTGACAGGCGGGTCAGGACCAATGGGATCCAAGTCATGGATGTCAATGTTGCCCCATACAGAAGAATTGCCGTCGAGCACCTCATCGATTGTGTTGAAAAAGTCGTCGTATGAGCCATGGTAATCGGACATGTACGCCCAAGACGCTCTCTCTCTGGCTTGCTTCCGCGGTTCGTTTCTGGCAAAGTCCGAGAACTTGTCGAGCATATCACCAGTATGTCCCAAGAAGCGCGAATCAACTTCTAGTTGCCAGTAGTGATCAAACTCGGGATAGAACTGAGCAAAGATCTGCAGAGGCTGCATGATCTGCATGATGGGCAAATGCTCGACAACATCAGGATACCAGCTCTCCAGCAGGGAGTCATCGAAGAGCACTGCAATATCTTGGAACTCGGGTGGGACTGCTTCGCGAAGGACACGATCATATGCTTCTGAATCCTCGTGAATGCCAGCCTCTTTGTCCTTGACGTCGACCAGAAGGAAAACTGCATATTCTCCACCGGTCGCAAGAGCAGTTTCTGTGACAAGCGATCTCAGATTCCACATATCCTCAGGCGTGTACTTGTACGTGGACCACACACGGAGGACGATGGCTGAGCGATGAAAAGTCTTGGTCGCTGGTCTTGGTTTGATGTGCGGAGTGGTGAAGACGGAGGGTAGCCACTTCTCCTGCCATGATCTTTCGCGATATGTGAATCTCGGACGGGCGTGATCGAACGTGTAAGCATCAGGAAGTCGTTGGTTGTTGATTGCAGAGCAGTTGTCCTGCAAGTCAGCCCAGTTGATAGTGGACCAGTCAACTCGACTTCTGGTGTAACCTTCCTCCTCTTCTCCGAGACCATATGGGCCGTATCTTTCTGCAGCCGTAAGCCATGACTTGTCGAGATCGAGGGCTTCGTACGATCCACTTAGAGGAGGTGGGTAGCTGAGGTTTCTGAAGTGTGTTGGATGGATCTGGTCGTCGTAGCTTTCTGAAATGGACTTTCCTCTAGGGCCGTTGCAGGGCACGCGCTGATTACGGAAGTCGATCGTGGCATCGTTGGAAGAAGATGTCGGGCTCACGGATGAGGGTTGAGAGTCGATTCGAGCTGAGCCGGACGAAGGAGCTGTCTTGATAGTAGACGGAACATGTTCGGGAAGATGGTGTGCTGAAGGAAAGGAAAGCGTATACAACAAAATCGAGATGAGAAACAGGATGATGGCAGCAACAATATGCCTATTTCGGTTGCTAGAACGAGCGACTTTGAGAGGGGTATACATGATGCCGCCTCAGCTCAATCTGCTTGTTTGCGAGGTCTGAGCGAGGCAGCCGAGAGTGAGCGACAAGGGTGGGTAACAAGGAAAGAGATATGGAAAACCGACAAACCGTGCAGTGGTCCTGCCTAAGGTCCGACTCGCTCGACCGCTGACGTGCGCGCCAGGGCTGAGGAAGGGCTCACCACAGTGGCCACTGCCTTCCAAGGCTCAACTAATCCTTTGGATGCTGCAACGCCAAGCATTTACTTGATAGCAAAATGACCTTGTTTGGCCGACAAAGTCGTCGTAACACATGGCCATGGCGTCGTCTCGGCACAGAAATCTGCTGCTGAGGACTGCTCTAGGAGGCCGTATGCACGTGTTGCAGGAACGTGTGAGACGTCGCTTGGCCAGGTGCTATGAAAATGCTCAGAAAGTATACAAGAAACAAGAATTGTTCGATACGTGTTGACTTTCTTCGTCCATGTGTCACCCACCGTGCCCTGCATGTCGTTCGAAGCCGAAGACCGTTGAGCACTTCTTTCCCGTGTCCGAGTCATGTCCAAGATGACGTCGGCAAGGTCTCCTGTTTCATTCTGATCTTCTGTCTTTCATCTGCTGTTTTGTCCATAAACTGTCCTCTGTGTGATGGAGTGAGATTGGCCTGAAGTTGCAACCGGACTTTGATGCTACGCCCATGTCTCTGTTGGCAATCAACAGACTCCATTTTCCGTACGACGACGACGACGACGATAGCTAGGGCTTGGCTTGCATAGAAGAGCTAGGGAGCAGGACCGTTGTCTTGTCCACCGCACCTCGTCTTGATCATGCATGCCTTTTTGGACAACTCGACCCATCGGCTCAGATATACCACGGACAATGGTGTACGGTCTGATTCACTAACCTTCCTATCGCCAACTGATACCATTCTCGAAACATCCAGATGCGATACTCTTTGTTTGCACAGCGCAAACTTGACGGAGAGGATGTGATAGATGCCATTACCTCTTCGAGACTCTTCGAGACCTGCTGTCCCCAGCCAGCTGTATCAATTGACCACAGCACTTGACCCTACCATTGGAGACCCGGGAGAAACAGATGTCACAAGACTCGAGTCTTGCTTATATCCTGCCAACAAAAATATGCCTCCTTCGAACCCCGGTTGCAAACCAGAAGAACAATGGAGTTGTTAACGCAGATTTCGCTGCGGAGTTTTTAACGAAGCTGTTTCTGCTCGTGAGGTGGATCGGCGCCTCTGTTAACTGATACTGAATTTGCATACATCCCCAGTCAATCCCATCCGACAACAAACCCACAGTTCCCACCTCGGCATGCCACTAAACTCACCACACATGTACCCACCCAAACGACCGCCCCAGAAGTAGAGAGACAAAATGACTGAAGACACGACAACCGCACAAAAGGAGGAGGAGGTCCGCAAAGAGAGAGTTTTCAAGACATGAACAAGATCCGTACCTCACTCACTGGCTTGAAGGTTAAGAAGAGATGCAGTTCTACGAGCTGAGAAAAAGCGCAGTAGTCACCAGAACTCGTTGAGGCAACCCAAGCCACACATCCAGAAGCCGAAACAGGAAGAGAAAAGAGGGACTGCCTAGCAAGGCGCGTGGACCAGAGGCATCAACACTGTTCAAACAAGACAAAATACCGCTTCCAAAGCTTGACTCCTTCCAGCCTGAATACAAAAGAACCATGCGTCCCGATAGGCCCATTCCCCCTAGAGCAGGTACGCACATCGCTATCAGGTCTCAATGGAGTGATAGCCGAGGCAACAGCTTCGGGTTCGAGACATCATCAGGTGAAAGCGTAAAGAGCGAAAAATCAGTTCATCGAGTATCGCAAGGCAGGTGAACCCGCAGGAAACAGCCTTAAACGACATCCTGGGACGCAGAGCAGCATTCCAACCAGGACATTTGGGGGTCAGAGCAGCCACGCCAAACGCTCAATGAATCACAGACACGAAGGGGGACAGAGCAGCCACGCCAACGCTCCATGCATCTAACTTACGAACCAGTTCGTTGAGTATTGCAAATTACCCGAAGGTAAAAACTTCACAATAATCCGGGACGCAGAGCAGCATACAACCAGGACGTGGGGGCAGAGCAGCCTCACCGACGCTCAACGAATCACAGGCATGAAGGGGGCAGAGCAGCCTCACCAACGCTCCATGAATCTGACTCGACTCTTATACGCAACGCTACTTTCTTTTGCAGACGAACGGGGGTGTGAGGGTATAGTGTAGTCGACGAGATGCTCATGCTTAGCCCAAACGTCATGCGCGCTGGGCCTTGAGTCACGTGCCTTGGGATGGACCCTGCCTAAAGACAGAGAGGACGTGGGATCAAGACTCAACTTTACAGTCCGAGGCTCTTTTCTNNCTTCTGCTCGTCTGACGATGCACGCCGGAGCGGCAACGTCAAACTTCTGGCATGTGTGCTGGGAGACGAACCTCAACTTCGCAGCCTTCACTGGTGTGGATACTTGATCCTCTGGTGGGAGCTTCATAGCAGCCTCCCAATCAGGCACCAGATCAGAAGGTTGCTCGCGGCTCTGGCGGTATTGTGCTTTTTCTGGGGCTTGAAGGGGCTCTTACGAAATACATCTCTTCTGGGCCTTCAAAGTGAGATTGGCACGTACCTCATTCTCTAAGGGTTCAAGCAAGACGGCTGTCGCCAGACAGACCCGCCAGCCCTTTACCTGAGTCTTGAAGTTGCACCAACGTCCGTGGACCTTGAACAACCTCTCGTCTTCTTGGGCTCGCAGTTGCGCGGCGTCGGCGTGACCATGTCTCTTCGATGCACAACCGTGGTTGCACGAGACAATGGGCTTCAGATCGTTTGCCTCCTCCTGAGCACGACCGCAAAGGGTGAGGACACCTGTGATGAATTTAGCAAACATTGTGTGATGGGGGATAGTGGATTGTGTGAATGGAGTTATTTGAGCTTTGAAGATCTTTTTACCAAAAACAGTATGAGAGCAAAAAGAAAGAGAAGTTCTGGGGAAGGGGGAGGGAGGTTATATACCCTTCGTCGCGGTAGTCTTTGCGCCCAATGCTGCTCCGAATGCTCCCTATAACGACCTCATGACAGCCTAGAGTGCGGGAAGCTTAAATTCCATATCGAGCACCTCGAAAAATCGACATTGGAGAAAACACCAACAACACTGCCTGGATCTTGGACTCTGGACGGGAATACAACATTTCAAGCAGACACTATGCATTACGACAGGAAACCCCGTCTCAAGTTGGTGTTTTGTTATACCAGTCGCGCTGGTCGTCTGTACTCGCGAGATCAGAGCCTTATAGGGCTCGCAGCTGCTGCCTATAAGCCCCGCCTCCTCCGTCCTGAACCACCCGAACTCCTCAGCACCCATCACAAGATACGCGCGAGATGTTCCGACGTGAATTCTCGGCCGGCGAAACACGGCTCCCGAGGATATTGCAAGAATACAGGGGAACATTCGAGGTATGTCGTGTCTGCAATGAGAGTCTAGGTTGTTCAAGCTATCCATGGCGCTCTCCTATATCTCAAAGATATTCTGCATTTCTATACAGCTTGTATCTACGATCAGGGCAGGAGAGAGAAATGCCAGGCTTCAGGATCTCATGGGTTGATTGTTGCGGCAGGAAAACATGCGACAGGCTACACAAGAACATCCGAAATATGAATTGTTTCTACTGAGAGTAAAACTTATTCAAGCTCTCAGTAGAAGCTCTCCAGATCTCATAGTGATTCTGCATTTCTATAGCACGTTCATGCGATGCTAGCAGGTAGGAGAGATGGTGAGCTTCGACATCTCAGGGGCTAAGCAATGCTGCAAAACCATGCGTCAAAATGCAGAATACTTTCCACCAGAGAGATTTCCTCCAATGAGAGCGAACAATAATCTGGCTCTCACTGGACAAGATCTCAATGTACAAACTTTCCTGCATTTTGATAGAGATTGATCTTGTAACGATGATGGGTGAGAGAAACACTGCCTCAACATCTCAGAGGTCGATACAGATACAAAAGCATGCGTCAAAACACAGAATCTTTTACAGACAAGGAGTGGTTTCCATTGAGAGCAAGGAGTATCCCGACTCTCGCTGGACAGAGTCTAAGTCTATAACATATCGTGCATTACGACAGGTAGTTCTACAAGCAACGCGACAGCACGAAAGAGTCACATAGTTCAGTACACGTTGGTAACTCGGTTTGCGAGGGGTGGTGTTCGTTATCATTTCCATACTCTTACAATCGTGAACTTCGTCTATCCTCCTTCCTCCCTCCTTCTTCTTGTCTCCACGCACAGTCTGGTGATGGTGGCGCTTAACGGCCACCATGGATGACGGGCCCGGTGCCGTAGCGGATGCCGAAATGGCGGTAGTAGCCAGGAGGGGGCTCTTCGTGCTCCTCCTCACGGCTCCAGTCCTGCCAGAGGTCGTCAAGGGCGAGGGCCTTGACGTTGGCAAGGATGCCGGTAATGACATTGGGGGCAGGAGGGGCAGCGACGGCAATCTCGACGACGAGGGTGCCAGAGGGGACGATGAGAGGGGCCTGGGGAGGCGCGAAGGAAGCTGCAACCTCCCTCTCCAGAGCAAGCGCCAGCGCCTGGTCTCTGGCCCAGTCGGCCGCATGGTTGCCGTGTCTGGCAGCAACATTGCTAGAAAAAGATGCGTCAGCACTAGCGAAAGAGATCTCTTGAAACCAAGACGTGCCCTTTGGCGGCGCGCCTGGTGCAGCCAGGTTCTTGGCAGCAGAAAGGGCCCATGTTGTGGCCGGGCATAGTGGTAGATCCCAGATGGGACTTTAGATGGGCCTTGTTGTCGGTGGTGTAGTGGCAGTGGCGGCAGCGGTATGAGGCCATGGTTGTCTGGAGAGGGGGTCGTTGGATGGTGGTTGCTGGCCTGAGGGATGATTGTGCTGTAGACGCAGAATCGAGCCAGCGCAAATACTCGGTCTCGGAAGCGCACTCGGAGGTAGCCAATATGACGCTGTTTTGGAGCTCGCTTCGCCGCACTAACAGTCCAATGCTTGGAAGCAGAGAAGCACGGTTCTCTGTGAACATATTGAGAGACCAATACGCATATCACAACTACTTGTGATACCTTCCCATGTCTGTTAGGGCTCCTCGACAGGCCTCGACAGGGCCTGAGCACACTTCTTAGACCTATATCTCTAGCTCCAGGTGCCCAAGGTCAGGTGCCTCTTGATTGACAGCTCAGATGTATGCATCAAGACACCAGTCTCGCCAGCAGCAATCTCCAGGACTGGCCACACGAGGCTCCATGCCTCCGACTTAAGAGGTTGATGCAAGATAGTGTCTCTCTCGAGCTCCTGGACCATCAACTTCGATGTTTGTGTCATGGTTCAAGAAGATGGCTGTGTACCCAGGGCACCGCAGTCGACATGTGGCACCGCGAAGCATACTGACATGAGTATTCCTGGTCCGGGTTCAACAGACTGTCGGTTCTCCTCTTAGGTTATCCAGGATCCCAGGAGTCGTGCGTCAGCACAAGATACCAGGCGCAGACGATCTGAACACGAGGCGTTGATGTGTATCGACAAGACCAGAGGCGTATTCCAGGACCAGGACCGGGATCAAGACATCAGCAGCACCAGACTGGTATCCATGGCTTCAGAAAGACCTGATGGCCGAGTCGAGCGTGTTGAAAAGACATGATGTTGTTGTTGAATGAAGGACTATCGCAAGGGGAGATCGACAACATGCAGTCCAACTGTAAGCGACCTGCGTACGGAGAGACGCCCGGTTAAACTTCGGCTCGGCTATCGGATGGCGCTGGTGTGACCCGGGCTCAAGCAGGGCAGCAGCATTATCTCCTCGACATCATGGTCTAGAGAACTTAGAAACTCTTTGGCAGGACTCATGAAGCAGGTCTTTATATACCGTATCCTTGTGTGGAGACTACTCAACGATATGGCCTAGTTCGGGCCAAAACAAGAAGAGATCCTATCTAAGCTTGGAAAGTCATGCAGACTGACAAGCAGCTGAGTAGGGTTTGTTGAACGAAGCACAGCAACCAGATTTCTTGCCCTATACCTACTAATCTTTACTTAAAGTACAGGTATTTGATATCCAAGTTCTATCAGAGAGTATAAGAGAAGATAAGGCTCGCTGATGTGACTGTATAGGCCTAATACTCAGATTCCTTTCGCCGTATTCGCCGTATATGCCTCCGAGCACCGTATCTGTACCGTATTCATGGACGCTGCAGTAAAGAGAAGGAACGACCAACAGATATGATATTTGACGAGACACACTAGAGCAACACAACAAAGATGCCGAGAACGTCAACAGTCTCACCGTTAAGACCGGCGAGATCTTTGTAATATTGTTTCATACCTCCAAAGATGGCCAAGACATAGCCTGCATCAAGAACGAGTACATTAGTTCACGCGACATTCTCGTAGAATGAGTGGTCGCCACCAAGCACGAAGACGACGAGCTGATGAAGGAAGTACGAATTCTTTCCAGTCTCAGAACACTTCTGTAAGCCGGTGAGTAGTCAGGCCAGACTCAAAACGACAAGAAATCTCACGAAAGACCGGTTGAATGTACCCAACTCGCTTTTCTCTGGACGATCAACCGATGAATTCCACACACAGCAGCAGCAACAATGGCGTTAATAACCGAGAACACTCCTATCGACACGCTCGTACAAACGACCGACCATCTCAAGCAGATCGTGAAGCTCTACAAACATCTATACAACTGCATCGAGAAGCCGGGATCCATGGTTAGCGATGGTATCGATACAAGACCGCCAGCTTTTTCCCTCCTTTCATCGTCTGTCCCGCTACAGGCTATCGCGCCTTTCAATACAGAAGCACAGCACGAGGACATCTACAACCTGCACTCGCGAAAGCCGACTTAAAGCGGTAACGTATGTGTTCAGCGACCGCATATACGGACCTCTGCCACGACGAGAAGGGAACAGACCGATGGTTCCGGCGTTGTCTCTGGAGCGCTTACGCTTCTGCTCGTTATCGGGGAGAGGGAAAAGAGCCTCGGGTCCGATGGCCTCCATGTCGGGCATGCCTGCGATGGTTGCGATGTGGGCAAGTTGGTGGAGTCAATGTTGCGCACGCTCCATTTTCAGAGCGGATAGAAACATGCCTCTGGTCCAACACACCTTCGAACCGAATACCACCGCGTATCTGGTGTTACACATGTAATATGGGATGAAATTCTGTATACAGGTATTATCCAAGTCTAACCTCTTCTACGAGTGCTGGGACTCTTGCCCTTGGGCTCAGCACTAGTAGTCATGGCGATGGCCTCCTTTCTTCCCGACTCGTTCAACTTGTGCGAGGGAGCGCTGACTTTGCTGGGAGCGCTGTTCCAGTAGTAGATCATCTGGAGGGCGAGGACGGCGTTGAGGACGAAGCCGGAGATGAAGCCGTAGAGGATAAGCTTGTCGTCGACTTCTTGGAGTGTCGTGAAGATGCGCGAGAGCGAGCCGAAGAGGTAGTTGAAGACNNCTGGAAGCAGCAAAGTTAGTACGGGTTGAAGATTGTGGACAGCAGATTGGTGACTCACAGCGAAAGCGCTCAACTGACCAGTGCCGCCCTGCTGCCAGACAGTGATGATCTGGGGCAGCTTGCTGGCGACACCAAGAGCACCGGCGCCAGCTTGGAGAAGACCCATGGTCTTCATGTCGATGATGCTGGGGTTGAACAGCGAGTAGCCAGCAGCAGCCAGACCAGCAACGAAGGCAGCGGCAGCAGCACCCTTGCCGCTGTACTGCAGGATCAAGGCTGCAATGGCGACGTTCTGGATGGCAATGAAGGCCGTCTCACCATATGTGCTGAAGGGGAATCCCATGCGAGCATTGTAGGCGAGCGAGATGAGGTATGAGCTGGTCTCGAGTGCGTAGGCCAGGAAGCTCAGTCCGGCGGCTGACTGCGAGTTCAGGAGCTTGAGGAGTTGGGGGATCTTGACAACAGCAGAGGCGCCGATGATGCCGATACCGAGACCCTTGGAGATGGCCAGCTTGAAGCACGACGCGTCGCTGAGTTGGACATCGTGGACGAGAGTCTCGTAGCAATGGTTTCCGAGCAACGAAATACCAATGTCGCGGATCGGTCCAGGAAGGTTTTGGGTGATGGGCTGCAGCACCGGGCGGAGGGCGGACTCGAGATGCTCCATTGTTTCACTGTCTGAACGTCGATGTCTGGGTTAAACAAAGTCGCAAACAAAAAGCTTCCCCTGTTCGTTTTGATGCCACCTGTCGAGGGGCTTGTTTTTGGCGTCATGTGGGGTTGACTTCCCTTTTGGTCAACCCTCGACGTCAACGTGGCACCTTCTTCATCACGTCCTGTTGTTACTTGACATAGTTGACTTTTCCATATCTCGAGCTCTGACTATCATCTACGGCAACGTTGTACCATGCATCCGATCCCTTCAAAACCACGGTCTCCAGACCTGATCTTCGATCATCATGATTCCACTCTTCGACTTCATTCGTCTCAAGCCGCTTATCCTGACAGTCGATAGAGACCACATAATGAGGTAGCTCCATTATAGCAGTCTGACGACGGCTATCTTTGGACGTTCGTACCTGTGCCCGGTATCGCCTCTTACAGGTCCAAGATGATACAAAGACGCCTGGCTTCCTACCTCTAAGCAACAACAACAATTCTGAGAGTAAGCAGAAAGGAACTCCTGTTCCTCCCCCTGATTGAGGTGAAAACTCGACCGCCTACGACGGCAACTCCCTGGGCCCGCGCCTGGTGGCTATATTATGCCTACACCAACGCTCAGGTATTGAGCCTGTACGAGCGATACGATTCTAAATCACCGGATATTAACGCACAGTCAGCATGGTCAGAGAATTATGCAACGATGGAAACAGCAACTACCAGTCGCTACAGAAGTCAGCCAGGTCGTCCGCTGGACAAAAATCTACTGCTATCTCCTGCTCACATTGACCACAGCTTTCTGTCGTTATGACTGTCATCAATGTACTTGGAAAAATAGTCTTGGAAGCACTGTCGCCAGCTGATGCACGACTGCCGCCCATCGCCTACTTCCTGTACGCCGATATCTCTGAACATGCATGGACACTCGACAAGCTGGACCCGTCCACATGGTCATCAGTCATGCTTGATCAATCTACGTACAGGTGTCCATCGCCCTCACATATTGTCAATCGAGTAGCGACAAGCCCACCTGCTGAAGAATTGAACCATACCTCAATCACGCTGGAGACCGACTGCCTTAGCTACCCCGGCAAGTCTGATGGTTGAGATGTACGACACACAGCTGGCTGGTGATATACCGTCTGAGCGACCTCACCAACATGTCAGCAGCCAGTTGTGTCACACAACTTGATCATCAGACCTGCCGGGGTAGCTCAATCGGTAGAGCGTGTGGCTCTTATCACCANGATAAAGTACAACCTCAAGGTCGCGGGTTCGAGCCCCGCCTTCGGCTATTCCTACACATTCGCTGTCATATATTTTTGCCGCTTTGTTGTCGTGCCAGAAAACTCATTTTTAAAGCGTTTGAGAGATCGGTGAAAATCTGAAGCCTGCCAAGACTTTTTGCGGACCGACGCCTGTACATTTTTGCCAAGACCTAATATACTTTTTTTCTTCGACTGATTTTGTTGAACCTCTGCCTATTCTTTCTGTTACTGTGTACGAATCTTCTGTACGCCTTCGACTAGCTCCAGAATCTCGCCGGCGCTCAGGACTTGGCTCGCTTGATGCCTGGTTACGGGACCCATGACTTCCGGATGAATGCGAAATGCACGCGCCATCTGGTGGCTACAAGATCTCCTAACGACGATGAAATTGGTCCAAAATCGCGTTTGTTACACATAAACATGATTCAGATACTTGAGACATGTTCGATGCGCAATTTCCATCGAGCGGCTTGACTCCAGAATCACAAGATTGCGTCTTGTCTCCCTACAAGAGTTACACACTCTTCTGGTCGATCTAATCTAACAGGTTTTCTGTTGCCTTGCAATTGACTTACACACATATTGTACGTATCTTTCTTTCTTCTCTTGGTCTTTCTTACCCACTACACACCACTTTCTCTCAAATGATGATTAATAATTCACTGATGGCAAACGGAGATTGAATCCCTCCATGCCAGATTGATGTTTTCTATTATTAGCTCTATCTGATATTTTCTACACTACAACCACTTTTGTTTATATCGATGTGTTGCAAAGCATTGTGCTAATTGAATCAATAGGTATCTGAACGAAGATGAACGAAGTATACCTGTTCAAGTAGTATATAGTAGATTAGCTTCTATTGCAATCCATCTAAAACATTCAGCTTGTCTTTCAACTTTGCCTATGCAACCCTTTACCGTTCAAATGAGAGATGATGATATGTATCACTCATTTTCATTTCAAGAGAAAGCGAGTAGCGATCAAATCCTCGAGTGTCTTTCTACCCTAGCGCCATTGAACCCCCATTGCTTCATCCACAACTCCATCCACTCACCACTGACGGGCTGTAGACCTGTCAATGTCTCACTCATCTCTTGGGCGTTGGTCGTCGAAAACCTTGGGTTCAGGGCGTGTTTGTTTTCCTCGAAAAAGTCAAGCAATTTGACAGCAGGGTTTGCCTCGTCATGCTCTCTGTCCGCAGAAGTTTGCAGATCATAAAGCCACTCTTCGTAGGGGACGACTTGTAGTTCCTTATCGAGCGATTTCTGTACGTGTGGTAGAATGTCTTCCCAATTGGCTTCGTGAGGGTTGAGGAGATGTACGAATTGGGAAGTTGTCTCGTCGGAACTAGCCAGCATGACTTCCACGACCGTGTTTGCCAGGATATCGACAGGTATCCAATCCATGCGAGCCATTGATCCAAGACTGGCAGGGAGTTTGCCTAGGTACTTGGACGTCTTGATGAGGCTTGGGAACCATTCAGCGTCGTTCCATCGGCCTTNTTGATGCTGCACTGGTCCGGTGATCTGTCCAACACGACAGATTGTGGACGGCACCTGATACTTCTTGCTTGCGTGATGCAAAAGCAACTCAGATACTTGCTTTGACTGAGCATATCCCATATCTTCAGAGAATGACATGTTCTCGAGCACAATCTCCGGTACAGCCTCTTCAGTCTTGTCAGACCACCGGTTGGCGGCTCCAACGCTGGAGATGAACTGGATGTGCGGTCTGTGGACGCTTTGCATTGAGAATGCAACCAGGTTTTGGCAACCCCGGATCTGGTCTTCGAATGTAGTAACTGAGAGGTTGAAGTTGACAGTCCAAGCGTTGTGGATGATATGCGTGGCTCGCTCGCTCAAACTCTTATATGATTCCTCATCTAGTCCAAAGAAGTCCTTGTTGAGATCAACCTGCTTGAAATCAACTCGTGAGAAGTCGGTGCTGAGGCCCTTTCCTGCGTTGATCCTCTTCTGTTTCTGAGAATCAGAGCCGGCTCGGTTGAGGCAGGTCACAGTGATGTTCGGGTTGGTTAGTAATACATTCAAGATGTAACTACCCAGGCCACCAGTTGAGCCTGTCAGTAGGACATGTGTAGTTTGCGGTGAAGCGGGTGTATTTTCGGCGGACGCGTTGATTTTCTCGAGAGAGTCCAGAGATTCGTCAAGAATCCTCTTCATCTCGGCCTGTGCATCCTCCGAGCGTTGACTTTGCACATCTTCTCCATTCTTGAGCTTTGTAAGAGATTCAGCGATCTTCTCAATGGTTGGATTGTTGTAGATCATGGTTTTCAATACCGAGCTGTTGGTGCCATTGTCCAAACTCGACTGGAAGGCTCTCGAGAGTCTGAGAGTCTGTAGAGAGTCAAGACCATAGGCAAACAAACTCTCGTCTTGTCGCACATGCTCAGCATCTCGCAGTCCAACTTCAGTCAAAGCTTTGGCAATACCTGCACGAAGTGCCTCCATGCTGCCAAAGTCGAGATCGTGTGTAAGCAGACCGGACTCTGCGTCTTGGTAGACCTTCTCGATATCGTCTTGAAGTTTCAGAGCCGTTGGTCGTCTCTGCACGGTGCCCTTCGTGCTTCTCAGGAAGGCTTCTGAATCTCCTAAAATCTTGGTATGTGCTTGGTCGACCTTTGCATGGCCAGGTAAGTGCTCATTGGCTTTCGAAACAAGGTCCCAAACAGAGTCTGTTCTGTCCTGCTCGTTGAACTCGGCGAGCTTCGATGTCGGCTCAATCAACACAGCAGGCTGTTCTTTGGAAGAGCCGACGATGATTGCCGCCTTGACTTCAGGATGAGATGAGATGATCTGTTCGGCGTCCACTGGGTTAAACTTTTCACCATTGGACAATACCACGATATCGTCTGCCCTGCCTTGATACAACCATAGACCTTGCTTTGTTGGGTGAGGCGCGTATAGATCCTTCAGTGAGAATTCGGAGAGCTCTGGGAAGGTAGTGAAGGGCGCGAAGTAGATTCCGTCCTCAGGCTGACGCACGAAAACCAGCTCGTACAAGTTTCCAGAATTGTATCTAAAGTCGAGACCAATTGACGGGTGAAATTCGTGATATTGCCAGTCTTTGGGGTCGGCTGGCGCGAGTTCAGGCAAATTGGCTGTCTCGGTAGATCCAAGTAGATTGTAGACGTTGGTGTACTTCGAGAGTGTATTTCCCGATTTGGCTGACAACGGTCCGCCACCGAATGAGACACTCCTCCAGGAGGATAACCTTTCTAGTGCTGAAGGTGATCCAGCCAATTCTTCTAGGATTATTGGTGCCATCACGGCAGCGTCTGCCAAATTTTGTTCAAGCATGTGTTGTACGATTTCGAGTGATGGGATTTTGTCTGGAGGCCCGAATATGAGTTTCGTTCCTTGAAAGACTGAGAAGCCGAGAAAGTCGATGCCGGCCGANNCTAGTCTGGTCAGTACATGCAACAATTGGATATCGATATGTCTTACATGAAAAGGCGGCAGAGCCGTATACATCTTGATGTCAGAGTAGTATCGAGTGGTGATGTGTCTGCCATCAACAGGCGGTAACAGCTGTTGAGCATCTCTCGCGCCCATGAAACTGTGTCTAACCATGACCGGTTTCGGTAGGCCAGTCGATCCCGAAGTATGTAGAACCAAGAACGGCAGCTGCGCTACCTCATCATAGGTCTTGTCATATGGGAACGGTCGAGCCTCAGTCGTGTCGAGAAGGTCTTCGAGAGACGGAACATCCAAGAACCTAACAGATGTATTCTGGAGGATGTCGTTGACAACAGAGTTCTTCACACCAATGAGGGTGCGACATTGTGTTTNTTCTATGAGCGAGACGTGGGCAGCGGTCTGATTGCGAGGAGAGGAGAATAGTGCCTTGGTGATCTGTTAGCTAACAGTTCATTCAAGTCATTTGCTCGCCAAACTAACCTTGAAACCAGCCTTGCAAGCCGCAACAACAAATATGAAATAGCGAGTGTCCGAAGGACCCACATAGCACAGAGTCTCTAGATACTCGCTATTGTCCAGTCGTTCTGTCAACCACCATGCTAATCGATTGATGGCGTTCGAAAAGGCTTTCCAGGTGATATCTGTCAATTGCCCTTGTGCAAGGGCTTCGATAGATGGGGTATAAGCCGCCCATATGGTGTCTGGTTGGCTTCTAGCCCATTCGTCAATGACATGAGGTACGAGTCTCTCTCCGATGGACATGATGTAAAAGTTAGTGATGATTTTGGGTACAGGGGAGGTTCAGTAAGACGTTGCTGCATTCGACGGCGGAGTTCATGTTATAAGCAAAGCTTGTAACTAAGCAAGATACTCCATATCCCCGCCACGAATCACTTGCTGATTTTCTCAACATTTGGTGTTTATTCTAGTGACATCATGTCGCTCCAGATGCTGTTTCGCGGCGGTCAATTCTTGGGGTTGGGGTGCAACAACCGAAAAGAGGTATCAACGGTCCACAGAGATGCTCAGACCCTGGAGGGACATATCTTGTTGATCCATGTGGGCCCGATGCCGGTATTGTTAGAGATCGTGATGATACATCTGCACTTGAGAGAATTCGCGTTACGAGAATACGTGACTCTCATCTAGTACAGAGCTGTAGACACTTGTGGTTCTAACGCCCCCAAGAGGCGTCGTGCTCATGAACAACATGATTCTGAATCGTTTAGCCACATCTTCGGTTGGTGACAATATACTGTAGTGTTGAAGGTGAGGTCAAGTTTGACGAGGAAAAGCTTCACGCACGGGCCGGCGAGGAGGCTTCGGGCCAGCGCTGACGATCTGCAGATCATGGGTCTATACCCTTTTAGGTTCATCCACGAATTAGGCACGATATCTTTGTCCCAACTCGATTAACAAAGCTGCACGAAGATTCAACCTCAACGATCCCTGTTCTCTACAACGTCCTAAACTCCAGCAGAAGATCACACCCGCAGCTGCTACGCACGTACTACGGTAGCCCTTAGAAAAGCATGAAGCTAGTCGATCGCGCGCTTATCTTGCCAGATTTTCCATGCGTACCACTACCGGAGTTCGAATTATCGAGGTGAATGCTTTGTAAGGCGAAGGAGGATGGTCTCAATGCGGGCACTACAATGACGGATATCATAACGACTGAATGCAAATTTTGACGACCAATCAACATGTCTGGTATATCGTTTGACGAAAGGATAAAAGAAGCAGGAAACTACGACCATGCCTATCTCATCTCAAAAGAGTCTGCGCACGGATTTCAGTGACGTCCATAAGGTCTATCGGAATGTCGACAGATCAACCAACCACCCGAGTGAGGTATTGTTGTTGATCGTGGATGACTACTCCACTTGATCTGTAATGCCATGGTCCTAGTCTTTTTATCTCTAGGGATACTCAATTTTGCTCTCTTCTTCTCTTGCTTTGGATCCGCTGCCATCTCTTTCCCTCTTTTTCCTGGAGCTCCTTTCCAAATATCGAGCAAAAATGTCCTCCACCGACAGCATACACACCGACTCTAAATCTAAAGATGGAGATATCGAAAAGGATCTACCAAACGACAAAGGCACTCCTACCGACGAACATCCACCATTGCCATTCTCGGGAGTCCACGAGATAGGCTTCATCTTCATCATCTGCTTGTCCCAATTTCTCGCTCTTAGCGGGTTGGCGCAATCGATAGCACCNCTACATATCATTGGCGACAGTTTCGGCATCAGCAACCCAGGAGAGCTGTCCTGGTACCCCGCTGCCTTCTCTCTCACTGTCGGCACCTTTATCCTGCCAGCAGGTCGACTTGGAGATATGTATGGACACAAGAAACTTTACGTCATCGGGCTGGGCTGGTATGCCGTGTGGAGCATGGTAGCTGGTTTGGCAGTCTACTCCGGAGACATTCTGTTCTCCGTCGCCCGAGGCTTCCAGGGTATCGGGCCTGCGGTCATGGTACCCAATGCTCTAGCCATCGTGGGAAGAACATATCCTCCCTGTGACAAGAAAAACCTCATCTTCGCTCTGTTCGGAGCTGCGGCACCAACAGGCTGGGTGGTGGGCGCCGTCTTTTCGTCCATCTTTGCACAGCTTGCTTGGTGGCCTTGGGCATTTTGGGCTTTGGCTATTGCTTGTGTTGTTGCCGCTGTTGCTGCACAATTCATCATCCCCACCGATGAACTCGACCATGGAGGTGCTGTCAAGTTCGACTTCCTGGGCTGTTTTACCGGTGTCACAGGATTGATCTTGTTCAACTTTGCCTGGAACCAGGCTGCTGTCGTGGGATGGGCAACCGTCTACAATTACGTGCTGTTGATCGTCGGTATCCTGTTCCTCGTGGCGTTTGTCTGGGTCGAGCTCAAGGTAGTCGACCAACCTCTTGTCCCGCTCACAGCATTGAGCAAAGAATCCATCCTCGCTCTTGCAGTCATTGCAGCCGGCTGGGGTTCCTTCGGCGTTTGGGTCTACTACCTCTGGAACTTTATAGAAGTTGTTCGAGGTTACTCGGCCCTCGCCGCCTGCGCACAAAACGTCCCAGTAGCCATATCCGGACTTCTAGCTTCCGTCGCGACCGGTGTCCTGCTCTCAAAAACAAAAGTCAGCAACGTGTTGCTTATCGCCACACTCTGCTTCCTCGTCGGTCAGATCCTTATTGCTACTGCACCAGTGGGTCAAATCTACTGGGCTCAGACTTTTGTGTCCATCATCATCATGCCTTGNGGAATGGACATGAGTTTCCCCAGCGGCACAATCATTCTGAGCAATTCGACGGCAAAGGAACATCAAGGTGTGGCAGCCAGCTTGGTCAACACAGTCGTCAACTACAGCATCTCGATTGCACTGGGCATCGCCGGTACAGTGGATAGAAATGTCAACAAGGGCGGTAGCGATGTGTTGGGTGGATATCGCGGCGCGTGGTACTTTGCCATTGGACTTGATGTTGTGGCTGTTCTCATTGCTTTGTACTTTGTCTGGCGAATGAGGGGCTGAAAGAAGAGCCTTCCATGTTGATGGGCCAAGAGTATTCACGAATACGAAGTCATGATCGTAATGTTAAAGTCTTCTTCAAAAGAATCCCCCGAACGATTCTGTTTCATGATCAGATATGTTTCTGCAACTGATGTCAATCGCCCTGAGTGCAACAATGCCTTTCACTGTAGCTCAATTTCATGTTAAGCTGGGGCTGGGCAAATGTTACCCATAGCATTATTACATCAAGCAGAATCTTGTCAACTTGGCGCCCTCTCCATCATCATCATCATCATCAGGCTGTCCGAAGGAGGCAGCGACTCCGGCGTACCTATCAACCGGCTTTGTGATTCTTTGGGAATGACAAACGAGCAGCCATGTCCCCATAGTCAGAGGCACAGGACTCCAGAGTTGAATCAGGCGTAAAGAAGTGAAATGCAAAGCATTGTTGACATGTAGAAGAGCGCTCGCGCAAGCGAAGCAATTGGTTCGAGTCGTTAGAGTGTAGCAGCGACTAGATCTCGGATGGGAATGTGTTTGACTATGAAAGGTGATAAAGTCTTCGTTATTGGGAAGGTGCAACAAACAGGTAGTTTCCACAAGTTATCCGCTTTCAACTACCAATTTTGGACTTCCGAATGTCACCACTTCTTCAAACATGAGACTCAGACATGTGTGCTGTCAAACAATACCAATTAGCGATGACAGGTGAAGCGAATGTAGGTTTCTTTCGATTTGGAGTGCTGTCACTGGACACGGACACGGACACAGCGACTCAGAAAATCTTCCTGTAGACCTATAGTAATCTCCGGATCCGGCTGTACACTAAGGTTGGGAACTCAGATGTCTACGCCTTGTAGGATGCTCGCCTGACTAGAACACCCATCTAGACTCGGACAGCTGTGTCGCTTCCGCTGTTCACAGATGCTGTTTCTCCACCACCAGTAGCAGTGCCTTGGTTCAGCGAGTCACCCACATCCCGGAGTTCAAGGGACGACTCGCTTGCCTGCGAGCTCCCAGCGGGACTCTCCGAGTTGCTGAGACCAGCCCACCTCCTAAGCACACTGACCACTCTCCCTCTTTGCGCAGTACCAGGAACCAGGAACGCACGTTGGATGTCCTCGAGACTGAGCCCACGAGTCTCAGGCATACTGAACATTAAAACCAGAACGCTGGCCAAGCATATGCCTCCGAACAAGAAGTAGGCTCCGTAGCTCGATTTGGCCAGTAGTACAGGTGTGATGATGGCGACGATCCAGTTTGTGAAGAAGCCAAGCCCTTGAGCAACAGCGCTTGCTGCAGATCTTGTAGCTGCAGGCTGAATCTCTGAAGCGTAGATCTTGCCGACGATACCCCAAGTTGCCGAGTATGCTAATCCAAAGACGAATACCAGGACGATAACAAGCCAGCGAGCTGGGTTTTGCGGCGTCACAGAGTTTGAAGCGTAGAGTATGCCTATTGTGAACATGCAAAACGTAAGAACGCAACCACCGACGATGACGCTGCTGCGACGCGAGACTTTGTCGGCAAGAAGAAGTGCGGGAATGCTGATCGCAAGTATAAGAATTGCTGACAGACCGGATGCCAGAAACGACGCGGACTTTGGTGGCAGACCGGCCTGGGCAAAAAGAGTAGGGGCATAGTAGAGNNCCTAAGTCAAGTCAGCAAGTCCTCTTTGATGACCTCAGCCATGATGAACTCACACTCCATCTATTCCACTGAGCTGAATGACTCCCAAGACGTAGAGAGCGAGCATCGCAGGTTTCCGATACGGCTGACGGAAGAGCATTGTAAGTCNCTCGACGGCACCTGGCTGACGCACAGCCATCTGTTGCTCGGCAGCAGGACCAAGCAGATCTTTCTCGGCCTCGACTGCACTAAAATCAAGGCGTTTGAGTTCTAGGATGGCCTTGTCGCGGTGACCATGCACCAAGAGCCAGCGAGGTGACTGAGGTAACACAAATGGCATTGTGGCCAAGACAAGTCCGAGTATGGACTGGATAATGTAGGGTGNCTGTCCCAGTAGTCAGTAAGGCAGAAAAGAACAAAAGCCAATAGGGAGCGACTGACCTCTCCATGAAAAGCTTGAATCGATCCGGACGCTTCCATAGCAGGTGAAATAGCCAGCACAAATGCCAGCACATGCCATGAACTGAGGTAACGAGACCAACATGCCTCTTCGGGCTGATGGAGAAATTTCAGTGATATACCTTAAGCAAAGTCAGCAAGTCCTCATCTTTATCGACGACAGTACCCACACTGTGACATTGCTCAGCCATAAGCCTTCACCTACNNTTGGACGTTAGCATATGTTCATGTCTGTATATCATTACAGCTTACCTATACCACATAATGCTCTGCCCGCAAGGAACATGCCGAGTTTGTTGGCACCTCCTTCCAACGCAGCACCGATTGCAAACACCAGCGCACCTACTGCAACGACCGCCAATCTTCCAAAGCGATCGGCAAGTTGTCCAGCGAAGAATGAAGGAAAGGCACCAGTGAGCATGATCAACGAGACAGTAAATCCACGGAGGAAGGGTGTGAGTTCGCCAATACTGGTCGCAAAGAAGGGCATTTCGGTCACAGCACCGACACTGCCTGTGTCGTAGCTGAGCTTTTGTCAGCAGGATGCTTTGTTGACAAAGAGAAGGACATCGAAGAATCTACCNNCATTCAAGAAGCCTCCGAGTGAGATGGCGATGGCTGACAGGACATAGCCTGGAGGTCGAGAGACGGTGAATTTCATGGTTAGTGGTAAGACCGATGATTGTCTAACCTCCTAGGTGAACGAAAACAACCATTGAGTCGCGGGTGCGACTTTTGTAGTCTTATCTATGAGTAGTTCGTACCTCTTGGATTATTCAGTAATCATTGATCGGACGTCATAAGTCCTTGTTCGGAAAATGGTTGCCTGCGATTGCAGCCCTGGAGGTCGACCAGAGGTCCAGAGAACAGGCAAGGTGCGGGGTTGCAAGGATTGTGTTTCGGCCGATCAGATGGCAGGAGCTGTTTCGCCCTATCCATGTGAGATCGACATAGATAACAAGGCAAGCAAATACAAGGCACCACTGTTTAGTTTGCGAGATGATTTTAAGAGCAGATCGTAGCTTTGTCTATCATTTTTTCATAAGATACAGCACCGTCTCTATCGCTCAGATGATCAAAACAGTCGTGACTTTTTTCTTGTTTACTCATTAGAAACAACAACCACAAAACGTGTTTGTACAATGCCATAACTCTTTTTCCTCTCTCACATCATATCATTTCCATGCAGCTTGTTGTTCCATTTCTTTGGTTCATGAAAAATTTAGGCCTTGGCAGAGGGGAAGACAGCCTTTGCGACACTCTTTGCAGCCTCGAGAGCGCCAGACAGACCGAACTGGGTGTTGATGCCCTCGATACGGTGAGTCGAGTTGATGTTCTTGACCATGGTGATCTGATAGCAGGTGGCGGAACCTTGACGAGAGATGATAGTGGAGTAGGCGAGGAAGTATTCCCAGATNNCTGTGGAAGATTGGTTAGCAATTGTCAATGGCATGAGTTGAAGGTGATGGCTTACTCTGAACCAGCGCTTGCCGTACTTGGCCTCGACCTTCTCGCGGTTGCCCATCCAGTTGCGGTACCAGCGCCAGAGAGTAGCACTGTAGTGAACACCAATGGTGTCAATGCTCTTGATCTCGAAGCCAGCACCCTCGAGCTTGTCGACAGTCCAGCCGAGAGGAGTAGAGGCGTCAGCACCGGGGAAGATGTACTTGTTCATGAAAAGACCCCAAATGAGGTCCTCGTACTGCCAAGGCTTGCGGATACCAGCGTATTGCATGAAGAAGACACCGTCATCGTCGAGCATGTCGTGGATCTGGCTGAGGAAGGTAGAGAAGTGACGGACACCGACGTGCTCGGACATCTCGAGACAGGTGATCTTGTTGTACTTGCCCTTGGGAACGGGAGTGTCGCGGTAGTCCATGCACAAGATACGGCTCTGCTCCTCGGGAACACCGAGCTTGCGGAGACCGCTGTTGCCCCAGGCAGTCTGGTTGCGACCGAGAGTAATACCAGTAACCTGAGCACCGTAGTGGGCAGAAGCGAACTTAGCGAGGGTGCCCCAACCACAGCCGAGGTCGAGCATGCGGTCACCGGCCTGGAGGCCAATCTTCTGGCAGACAATGGCCAGCTTGTTGTCCTGCAACTGCTCAAGGGACTCTTCGTTGTTGATGTCGGAGATGATACCAGAAGTGTAGATCATGCGAGGGCCGAGGAACCAAGAGTAGAAGTCGTCACCACGGTCGTAGTGGTCACGGACCTGCTCCTCGTCTTGCGAACGAGTGTGCATGATGACCTCGGGCATCATACCAGTGAGGAAGAACCAGAAGAGAGACAGAGTGAAGCGGAAGTTGGCCCAGTCGTGACGGTACTCCATGACCTCGAGGGCGTCGCCGTTGAAGTCGACATCGCCGTCAAAGTACTTCTCGTGGAAGGTCTCCATGGGAATCTTGCTGCGGCCGTGGTACTTGGCACGGTCGGCTTCCTTGTGGAACTTGAGGTAGTGCTCAACGGGGGCACCGGGGTAGCGAGCCTTCTCGTTCTTGCGGGGAGTGTAGCCGGAAGCAATGGTCCAGAAAGCCATCAGGATGGGAATGGCAGTCAGGAGACCAAAGAAGACCCAGGTCTTGAAGCCACCACCAATCTTGTAGGCCATGTAGGCGGGGATGCCGCCGAGGAGAGCGAACAGGACATAGTTGTTGAACGACTCGCTGCCAGCTGCGTCGGCGGGGAGGGGTGCGTTCTTGATTGCCGGGTANNCTGTAGAAACTGTCAGCGAGCCATTGGCATGCAGGAGAAGAGAGAGACTCACGGCAGTGCTGCGTACACCAAACTCGGTGCTCTCAGGAGCAGGAGCAGGGACGGCAGGAGTGTCGATGAAGTTGGTCAACTCCTCCGAGTACTCGGACTTGTACTCGTCTTTGCTGGCCATTGTTGCAAAAACGCACTCGTCTGACAAGAAGCTGCAGCAGCGTCCAATGCCTCTCCTTTAAACAATTCTCAACAGACACGAAACTGTGTCCCCTTGACAAGACGCGCCAGGTCAAAGCTCAAAAAGTTCAAAGCTTCAAACTGTCCGCGTGTGGGTGGGCTGGGGGCTTGCTGTCAAGCACAAACACCGTCTTATTCGGCGTATCCATGGCTTGTCTTTCTTAGCGACGAAAGCAACATCAACTCAGTCTTCATCAACTGATCTCATCCCTTGTACAGGTCAATCGTGACTTGTTGGTTCTTTGCAACACGCATCCATCGCAACTACCAGATTGTCTCGTGCTTCTTGGCAGGTGTTCGGTAACACGTCTCTGCCCGTTAACAAATCCTGCCGCTCCACACCGCCCGGCGCCCGCCATCTAGATAGCACTCCCGCGGGACCCTTCTTCAACGCGTTGTCGCAAGACTCAAACTCCTGTTTCATATCTCTCTCTGACTTGCACAAGCCACTGGCACAGTTCTGTTGTTTTTCCCAACTCTCATTTTATCGTGTACCATATTTACTCATTCTCTGTTGTCGTGAGCATCGATAGACTGCCATCGAGTGCTTCTTCTGCTTTCCTCAACCAACCTTTCCTTCTAGACCTCCCCATGGTTGTACAAATCGAAAATGAGGAGATTGTCAAGCCAGGGCAGCAAGCACTGCCCCCTTCTCATGTGTTCCATCTTTTGCTCCTTGTCCCTTCTCATTGTTTTCGTGGGGTCTCGTGTATTCTGTATCTCGTGTCTTCTTGACTTTCATGTCTTCGTATCCTTGTGCTTCAACTTTCAATCCTCCTCCTCCTTCTTCTTCTTCTTGGGAAACTCCTTGATCAGCATGTATCCAATGGGATCCAGCAAGTAGTCCATGTACTCGACGGTAACAAGAGCCAAAGACTTGAACGACTCGTTGACGTTCTTGGAACGCGCAACATCCGTCATGGCCTGCTCAAGTCCGACTTGCATATCTTCGAAGAATTTGCGGTGGATCTTCATCACCATACCCTGAAGATCATGTCTAGGATTAATGTCGGAAAGCTCGAAATATCTGTAGACCAGGAGAGGGAGCATCTCATCGTACTGCTGCATGATGTTGTCCGTAGCCTTGATCGACACACGCAGGTCGTCCAACTTGGACAAGCTCGAGAGAGGACGGAGCATGAGCATGTGGCCTGCACGTCTCTTCCAGTCGGTGTTGTGCTTGATAGGTCTGAAGGCGCGCTTCAGGCCGTCAGTGACATTTCTCATAGTCAGAGTCACCCTCATTGCGCGGAGGTTGATCATCTTCTTGGCGATCTTGGCAAAGATCGAGGTCCAGCACTGGGTGTGCTCCTGTTCCCAGACGTTGTCAGCGGCCTTGTTAGGGATGCCGTAAATGCGCACGTGGACGTGCAGTCTGGTGATGCAAGCAAGGTTTCTATCGGAGACGGTCTTGAGGAAGGCTCTCAGGCGCTGAGCGTCGTCGAAGTAGAAGACACTTGTACCGTAGAGAATCGGACCAGTCTCAGCATAGATGGTCTTGCAAGTATAGAGAAGACTGCTGAGGGAGGTTTCCCAGATGATGCCTTCTCTGGGCTGAGGCTTCTGGCCGGGAATGCCATCATACGAGACACCTCTGGCTTTCATCGTCTTGCGGTGAACGCTTTCAGGGGTTTGCTTGGTGGTGGGAATGATCCTGAGGGACTTGACGGCTTTGGGGCGATCGGGCGAGCGATACTCGGTGATAGCATCCACAAGGGCACTTCCCTTCTGGTATGGCCAAGCATCGTTCTGCTTGATGGTGATGAGTCGCTGGTGGAAGAGGTAGCCATAGATCTGGTTACGAATCTCCACAGGGAGGCGGAGGATGCCTGGAAGCAAAGCGTATGCCTGTTGCTTATGCTTGGAGCCTTGACCAGACTTTGATCTGGCCTTGAGCTGAGAAATCTCCCGGAAGACGTTTTCGAGTGGAAACTCTGTGAGGTATCTGGTGGTCCACCTCTGCTTCTTCTTGGCAGGCTCGTCGCTGATTGCGGTGGCTTGCTCAGACTTGGGTTCGACCTTTGGCTCGTCACCGCACAAGGGTTCGAGCACACAGGCATTAGTTGAGCTCAGGTTGTCGGGAATAACCAGCTTGGTGGCCTTCTTATCGCCAGAGGTTGCCATTGCGCGCGTTGTCTGGAGTAGTCAGTCGTTGATCTTGTTGGTGGATTCTGGAAGGCCTGAAGCATACAGTCGCATTATTGTTCTTGCGGCGAGGCCATGGACGACGCTTGGACTGGGGTTCTCCTGCCATTGTTGAAGATTGATCAATGGATCGGATGTCGGTGTTATTAGTCTCCGTGGTTCGTGGAAGGAAGGTGTACTGAAGTGAAATGAAGCTTGATGCGTGAACGCTGGAACGTCTCGAGTTCGAGGCTCGCAATCTTTCACTCAAGTGAACGCCGCACACGACTTCTCGAGTGAGGACAAAAAACTCTGTCAACTACTCTTGGTGTTAGAGTCGATGGTACCGATGTGAAAGGAGCTTGTTATGGCGCAATTTTTGATGATGTCGCGGTTTGCGATTGGTCTAGGCAGCGATTCGCGATGACTCCCACTTGGCTTCGAGCACAAGAACTACCGCTGACTTACTCGAATCCATCTGGTCTATCATTTTGAACGTCTGTAGTGTCCGCATGTTTCCACTCGAACAGATTGCGCGTTGTTTGCTTGCATACCGTATGCATCTTGCAAACAGGTTTATACCTCCTCAAACCATTTGTGTCGAGCATCATAGCCTTTATCGACCTGCTTCTGACCACAGAGCACAACGTGATATCCCTCTACATGCAGTCTGTTTCAAAGACAGAGGAAGGAGCGAAGAAAGTCAAGTTTAGTCTGAGAGTCGTAGCTGCTCTCTGACCTGAAGCCTGATCAACCGAGGAACATCCGGTCCGATGTCCGAGTTTCAGCAGCACGTTTCATCCTCCTCTATCCTGCATCCTGCATTCTCTTCATGAGGCATGCTAGAGAGACCGCGACTCAGAAATTGACTCGATAACTTGCCCGAGGAGAAGGCAAATTCGTCGCTCTTGCAAGGCTCTTTCAACTTGATACTCGAGCAAATAGCATAGCCCGCCGACATGTCTGCAAAGAGGCATGTCCGCCAAAGAATCCCAGAGTTGCAAGTTGACCGTGATCTCTGAGCACTTGATCTGATACAGCGTGACACGTTGCAGCAACGTTTTACCTGTCAAGCATGACCATAGATATGCAATCTCAATAGGTGTCAAGGCGTTAGCGCCGAGGATGCGCTCGAGGCTTTCTATTCTTACAACTAAGGACAGGCACTTGAACAGAACCAATTCCGAGATATACGGATATGAGCACTGTTGTTCATGATCCGTCGTGGGGCTGAGGCCGCCGAGCCCCGCTTAGGCAACCCGTTCCTCTTCATCTCCATATAGAATACCAGTGCTCTCTGCTTTTGCCATGACCATTGAATTTCAAAGTTTTTTTTCTCCTTTCTTTCTTCAATCGTCCAACCAACGTCAACTTACGCAATGCCTCAACTCGACTACGACGATAATGTCACGGACAACCCATGGCGTCCAGTCCGTATGGTTCTGTTCATACTTTGGATCATCCATTTCTTCGTTTGCGCGTTCGGAACAGTTGGTACCTTTGCTGACGTCTTTACCACACCGCTCGGTTTCNNAAGTCTGTATGATCTTATGTCCCGGCCGCAAAATCGCTAACCGTACAACAGCAACGCTATGGATTTGATCAGCATGTTAACAATAGATGCACTATACATCCGCCAGATGCACTTGTATGCCATGGGCAAGCTAGAACCTCTCAACGCAGTGCACATGCACAGTATCCAATGTGTGATGGTTGCATGGTTGATGGTAGAGATTTTCATGGCATCATTACACGAGATTTTCGGAATCTTTATTATCTTGTACTGCGCTGTGTTTGCGTCAGTATAAGGTTTGAGCTTGTTTGGACGGCTCGCTGATTCTGTTTCGCTTTGTAGGTCGACCTTCTTGATACTGTTGAGTGTGAGCCTTGGAATTCTTACTATGGGCCTCCGTAAGGACCGCGGTAGTATCCAGCTGCCTGTGCTTAATAGGAAGGTCTAACAAGCTGTTGCCGGAGTGGGGAAGAATTTCACCTTGTGCTAAGTCCGTAACTCCACCTGTCTCTATGAGGCGTAGAGAGATGTGCGCTATGGAAAGGCACACCTTTTTTGTATCCGAAGCAGAGGAGTAGCCAAAGAGGATCGCTAAGATGTCGGCTCTCAAGGGATGGTGCTTTGTTTCTCGGTAGCACTGTACCTTTCCATAGCTACAGGCGTCACATACTTTAGCACACCGGAAGGAAGGAACATAGATCAAGAAAACCATGCGCGGTTTCTATTTATGTACTAAACTGCTTACACACAAAACAACAACAACAACAACTCGATCATCTCAACCAAGCACCCCAAACCTAGACCTTCGCAACTTTAGCTCCCTTCTGTTTATGCAACCCAATCTTCTTCTTCCTCGCCTTCTCCTTCTTCAGCTTAGCCTTACGGATAAATGCCCTCAACTCATGCTGATACGCCACAGCATCAAACCCAGGCAACGCATGCAGCGGCGCAACAATGTTTCCCTCGATACTTCCAACAGAGTCAGGATGGAATCGATCTATCAAACTCCAGCTCAGGGGAAAGTCCTTCATACTCATGTCCTTGACGAATTCCCAAGGTTTGGCTGAATTCGCTATGTGGCGTAATTGGTCTCTGTGGACCTCGCTGTGCAGATCCAGTGGTACTGCTGCATCGTTGGTAATTATGCCCTCAGCAACGTCTGGTCGAAGTTCGTCCGATTTCATGGAGGTCTCGAAGTCCATGTCTGATTCGTGCTCGTCGAGCCAGAGTTTATAGTCGTCGTAGCGGTATCTCACGCCAAGCTGTTTGGGTAATCTGAGACTGGAAATGGTTCCATATCTTAAAGCTTCATCGTCCCAAAATCGTGGATGTAGAATCTTGAGAATATGGGATATAGGCAAGACGTAGTAAGTGTGTGTAGTCACCCCGGCACGGGCAAGGCTGTATCTCGCTTTATACTTGTCGTTTCTGTTGTCCGTGTCTGGCCAGTCGTAGAAGTAAAGCCCAAATGGAACACCCATATGCTTAGGATTACCACCAATCACGTTGATAGCGGCGCCAANAAGGTGTTTAGTCAGCGCATATCCTAGTTCGGCCACACGGCTGTCATTCATAAAAGGTTCGTGGTGTATGATCTCTTGGCTAGGAGAGAAAGCCATGTAGAATGTGTGGGCCACTTCGTGGACCATGGTCACAGCCGTATAAAAGCGTGTGCGTAGATCCGCAGCTGCTTAGTCAAGCTCCGAATGTAATTCGTCAACCCTATGCTTGCGATTAAGGGCATCGCGAAATTTCTTGCTCATGGCAATTAAGCTGCACCATCTGTTACAATGTATTAGCACGAACGAAGCAAAGCACATCAGTATAAAGCACAACACACATACCCTTGTGGCTTGAACAACACATGTTCCTTAGAGAAAATCTCTTTCTTCTTGCTGCTGTAGGTACGCATCAAAGCCCCTGCAGATCCGCTGAGATTATCATTGAACTCCTAAGCCACATGCTCGCCCAGCTCACGCAAGTGCCTGATCGTACCCACTGCATCATCCCACGAGATAATGGTCTCTGGTTTGAACTTGTACAACATACACCTACCGAGACGATGCTGTTCCTCAAGGGTGTCGGGAAACTTTCGCGCTTTGTGCAGACCTTCAAAGAAACCGAGTGTCTCGAAGTTACTCAGCAGGTCAGTCGCGAACTCCAAGACCGGCTTCAAGAGTTCATAGTCGTAGTCATCGGTGGTCGGAAAGTTCTTGCATCGGAAGATGGGGTGGAAGTGAGTGTCGTTGTACCTGGCAATGTCGGTTAGGTCGAACGGTGCGTCCTTGAGTGCTGCGTCCACACTTGAGTAGCTAGGCACTGTGAAGATGTTTCTCCTGGGTTCAACATTGATGGCACCGAACCTGATCAATGATCCGACCGAGACACTGCTGAGGATAGGGTCAGAGCCATGCCAACGGCATGCATCATTATAAGCCGGAGCGCCTGAATAATGTTTGAGGGCGGGAAAAGGATGTTCACCAAGGATTTCTTGAAACTCAACTTCGGTACGGTTCCTTCTAGCATCAAATGGCACCATCCCAGGCAGACTTTTATCGAAGAATGTTGATGGATAACATGAAAGGCGATGAGTGGGTTTGCCCGAAGGAATATCACATCTTCTGTACAGACCGAAACCGGCGATGTCTCTGTCCTGTCTTTGTCCAGCGTCCGTGAATAGTCTCATCAACGCGATAGCCCGTATCCCTTGCATTATATCTTCATTGTTCCCCACGCTTTGATCTTCATCCACGCTCAGAAAACGCATTACCCTTTTTGGTCACATTCCCCAATGAACGATATTTGTTGTAAAAATCAAGGTACTCTGGCTTCTCAGAATCTGCGTCGGGGCCCTACGGTTATGTTAGCTGATCATGTCGATATTGCAATAGTTGAGTAAGACCATTCCAAATGAGAAATGTAGTACCTCACGAATTAGAAGATGGTCTGTAGAAGAAGGCTTACCCTCGGCGTCCTCAAAGGTGGATTGCGTGGCGGTGATCGGGATTTCGAGGACCGGCGTTCTTGTTCTATGAAGGGAAGAGACCTTGGCAACCTCCTCTCCATCTCGCTGAGGGAACTTAGGCGAGATTCTCGCCGGGCAGAATGGCCAGAAGAAGAATCATCGCGACTCCTTCTTTCACTAGGGTTCGAGGCTGAGATACCTCCGATCTTGGATTCGGGTGTCCCATTGTTGGATGATGTCGTCGAAGATTTGTGACGGAGTCCTGCGCAGTAGAACGTCCGATNNTGCCTTGATCATCAATTTCACTCATGGTCCGACCACCAGGAAAAGTGTTGAACACGTGATCGACAAATGGTTTACCAAGCATCCATGGTACTTCAGACTTAGCAAATGCCTCTTTGTACATTCGGTAGAGCTCCGACTGCACCACTTTTCCTTCGGGGTCTTTCCTGAAGGTCTTACGCAACCACCTTGACGTCCGTAAAGGCTCTGGTAGATTGAACAAGGGGTCCGGTTTCGTAGGCGTAGCTTTCGGTGGTGTACTAGTCGAGGTTTGGGCATTTCGCTCGATAACAGACCGTCTTAGATCATCAGGTACTGCCTTGGTAGTAGAGGAAGCGGCTGGGGATGGCGTTTGTTTGACAGGTGGTGGCAACGGTCGGCTTGCACCTGGAGTCGTCTGTGGAGATACAGGTGCGCTGGATCTGGTAGNGGGTGTTTCAGCAGCAGGTGCCTTGTGGAAAACGGCGTTCAGCTTGGCTGAAGTCAACACAGGAACCAGATCAGGCTTTGCAGTTTGCTCAAGCTGTTCATGCCAATATGTGTCATATTCGGGGACTTCTTCGCCGTTAGCGACAGTCCGATTGGCGAATGGCAAAAACTCAGCTGGGTACAAAATCACATAGTTGTCCCATTGTGACGACGGGATGTCCGAAGACGTATGCAACTTCTTGCACAGTTTCTCAAAGGCCGTCCTATTGCCTTTGAAATTGCGCTTGTTGACAAAATGACGAAACAAATCATCAACAGTCAGATCCATTGAAGCGTTTGCGGCATTACGGGAGGCTCTCGGAGCAGGGACGATGGGACGGCTTGGGATCGAGAAGATGTGATGAATAGCTGGCTGATCTATGGGAGCGGGTCCGCGAGGGGCTGCAAAGTTACACACCACTTTATATCCATCAAAGAAAGAGTTGTGCTTCGCTTCGAGAGCTCTGCAGGCTGTTTCGACGTCGGTGAAATTGACAAAGCCAGACTTTTTCTTAGCAGATGCAGAGATAGGGTCGAATTCTTCAAACATTTGCTCAAGCTGTCTGTTGTCGATGTACGCTGGAAGCGATCCAACCCAAAGGGCTCTTGTCGGTTCGCCGAACATCCCATCTTTAATCTCTTGTCGGGTCTGGAAAGTTGAACTACGAATTTGCATATCTGCATGGTGTGAAGGTCTAGATGGTAATGGACTGACAGAGTCTGAGCCAAGAACCTGCCTGTCTGCACGACGTGAAAGCTTAGGCGACAACGACCTGATAGAGGGTGAAGGTGAACCAGGAGCAGTAGCCTCGGAAGTGAGAGGTATAGAGACGGCGGTATCAGGAACAGCGTTTCCAGACGCGACAGGGTTAGAGGTGACAACCTCTGGAGGCTTGATCACCGATGCTCCGGTCACGGAGTTATCATCTCCCTGACCACTCTGTCGGCGCCACTGGTCGACAATATTGGCCCTCTTGACGGCATTATGGTCGGCTGGTGCAGGTAAGTCAACTGGTGGTTCATCGACTTCCATCGGATCAGGTTGTGGTTCTGCGTCCTCGGCAGGCAGCTCTTGACTCCTCTCGTTCTCGTCACCGAGCCGAGCTGTCGCTTGTGTCACACGTGTGACGCTCACACNCGATACCATCAACAGGGTCTCTCTCCGTCGCTGTTCGATAAATTCACGCCTGATACGGTTCCGCCTCTGGGCGTGAGTTTCAGCCGTTTCTTCAAGTCCCCACCCGGACCGCCGGTCTCGCCGTGGCTGAGGTCTTGGGGAGTCTGCGACAATGTCTTGCGGTTGCTTGTCAGCAGCGAGGTTATCTTTGGCTTGTGGTTGATCATCCATGACAGTATCATCATCAACCTGAGGCCGATCAAGTATGAACGGTGTAATGTTGGTGTGACTGAAATTCTGCGGAACTGATGATTTGTCATCTTCTGGAGCTCGAAAACGCGCTGCAGATTCCTTTCCAACTCCTTCGCGAGACCGGGGACTTGCAGCAACTTCCAGGATGGGAGATGAGGCTCTGTTATAGGATGCGCTCTTTGTGTGAGGGGNTTGCCTCTCAGGATCTTCAGGCTGTGCTTCGAGATTCGATGCCGAGGGGTNTTCTTCAGGCGAGCTCAGAGGATACTCGGGAAGTTGTCGTAGGCTTGTTTGAGATGGCGCGAGGTCTTCAATTCCAAAGTCATTCCTCTCTTGAGACACTGAATTGGAGGGCGGACTTGAAGGCATTTGATCGAGAGATTCGTTTACCTCGAGTTCGTCTACCTGCATATGATATTCTGCACTACTGTCAGGTGGAAGCTCACCCGATGGTAACTTCGCTGGAGGTTCCGGATCTAAGATGTTGGTAGATCGTCGAAGAGTGTCCATGCGGGACCGAGGCCGATTATGACGTTCCGGCGATGAACTCCACGAGAGCATAGTATCCTGAGTCCCTTGTGGAACAGCACTCGACAGGCTCGCGCCCTCTTGTTCGGTTTCTTTCTGCAATTGAGTTTCTCGGTCTTTTTCCTTTTCTTTCGCCGCTCGCCGCTCTGCAGCTTCTTCGAGCTTGTTGAGATCTTCCACAGGAATATTTGGATGCGGAAATGTTGTTCCAGGCCTCGAAGGCCACCATGAAGCAGGTTTTTCTAGCAACCTTGTTTGATTTTCTGGTATGCGCCTTCGAGCATATTTGATCATCAATGCTGGGGGAGCTCTGTACAGTGGCCTTGGTATGCTGGACGACGAAACATCCAACAGATGCGAACTGGAAGTGCCCAGAGAAGCTGCCAGGGNCTTCTGATTGTGATGGCAAGGGTGCTCGCGATGGGGGCGCTCGTGGCAGAGAAGACTGGGTAACTTCCAGTGGCTCCGGCTGAGCCGAAGTCGGCGTGTTGTTTGGTAGGCTTACTCTGGATTGTGTGTTCAGGACGACAATCTCAGACTGAGGTTCCACAACAGACGTGTTTCTCGGAACACTGTCTCTTTCGGCGGNNGTTCGGGGATAGTGACATCGACCATAGGAATCTGTGACTCGAAGTTTTGTGAGATAGAATGTGATTCCAGTTGCGACAGTGTCTGTGGTTGGACGTTGCTGGTTTTAGCGGCTGGCACTGGAGGTGGAGCCATCTGCACAGGCATACGACTACCCATACGTAAGGCTTCTTCGCGATCAGTAGAGGCTGATGTCCTAGCAGCTGAAGCCCTACTTAGAAGCAGGCTCAGCTGTCTGCTGCGCTCCTGAGAATTGTTGGATTGGAGCTGGACAGGTTGATGCAAGTTGAGTCCTGTCTGAATCATGACGTCGTCGTCATCGTGATAGATGCGAGGCCGTACAAATCGATGAGAACTTGATTTGTTCGGTGAAGATTGCGAATGAGGACGCTTCGATGAAGTTGTCCTTGTCACGTCGTTCGAAGCATTCGAAGGAGCCTCGACCATTTCCAGGTCCACGTTATCAGTCGGTGTAGGCACCGTAATCGGGGCTTCGACTGATGTCGGAGATTCGGCTGTTGGTTGATAGGATTGCTTCAGTCGTTGCATAAATCCCTTGATCTTGTCAATGCTGTGGATAGGTATGATGCGGCTGTCATCAATGATCATAGTGGTGCTAGAGATAGTGAAGCTGGAGAGTAGCAGCTGGACTCGTGAGGGGGNAGAGCCGAAAGTCGTGTGAGTAATGTCAGAGATAGTGGAAGTGATGGTTTTATCCTCGACAAAGTCAAGTGGATACTTGTACTGATTCTGGAACCGAGCTTTGGCATGAGGAGAGACTCTGGCTTGCACAGAGACAGTGCCATCGGTGACTGTGAGTACTTGACCTTNGAAGCTGGGCTTGTCAGTACTAAAACGGTTCAATAGTGGGAGAAGTACGGATTAGAGCAGAACTAGTAGGAGATAGTCTGAGTGAGCTTGCAAGAAAATACTGACCTTGAGGACATGCAGCGAGACAGATGGCATGTTCATGCGGACTTTCAGATTGCTGCCATTCTCGGCGACATCTTGCAGCAAGGAAGGCTCGGGCTTGACATGATTGTGCTGAGCAGTTTTGTAGGCCACAGCATCACCGAGTTTATCGGCAACAGTGCTGCCCAGCCACGAAGTCATTGTTGATATGAAGAGCTTGTTTGTCGGACATGGATAAAGCCGTCATGGTAGAATGGCNNTGTCTAGTATCACCAGGCGCGAATGTGTCACGGCATCAGTCGGACGACGCGGCGGAAAGAGCAGAAGTTTGAAAAAATGCCATCTGGCAGGTTTAGCCTTGAAGCAGCAGGAAGTAGCGAGATGCATGACTCGATGGAAACATACGCATGACTCGATGGACGAGGGGGCAGCGAGATGCGGCGGTGGAGCAGTCACTTGCGATCGGCGTCATGGGACAATTAACGCAGTTCGAACCAACCACTTTGGGCATTCTCCCACCCACGACTCGACCTGTGCAACATCATTACGAGACAGAGCCTGCTGGCCCCTCTGGCTCTCAACTACAATCTAGAACTTCCTCCCACCACCTGGCGTCCGTCTATGAGCATCGATCTCCGACTTTTCGAAGCACTACACATTCCAACCCGTGAGCAAGACTGAGCTATACGGAGCAGCAAACGATGCGCGCACAACTCCTCCTCCAGCTGAGCACATAGCTATGCCTACCACAGGTCGGATGGACCCATCACCAGCTTCGAGGCGGGCCTCGCTGTCGTCCATCAACTCGCCCACTGTGGACAAGGAGGCTTTGCAGAAAGAGCTGGACCACATTCATACCACTGCCTCACGCTCAGATACTCTGACTTCATTTAGCGACTTTGAGCGTAGCCGTACAAGCAGTCCTCGTGTAGCCGGNCCCAAAGAGTTGGTCAGCGGACGGATTAGCGGTTTATACTCGCGCTTGAGGCAGAGTGTCGGAGCCGCGTCTCCTGCCTCGGATACGTCGGCGCGTCCTGCCAGTCGAGGAAGCTATACTGTCACAGATGCCTCATCGTTGNNAAGTTTCTCAAAACCAGAATCACCCACACTTCTCCGTTCGAACCACGTTTCGCGTCCGAGCGATGCCAGTGCTGTCATAGCCGAGACCGACTTTGCGCTCGCGCCATCGATACCTTCGTCTGCTGTTCATTCGCGTCCAGGCTCCCGTGATTTGACTCGCTCAGCCTTACATACCGCTGCATCGTCTCCTTCGGCGAGACGAGCTTCTCCACCCGGCCTGGTCCGTCATGCCGAAAGCAACCAGAGCCAGCCGTTCCTGGTTGAGACCAAAAGATTGTCGCAAAACCTGGATGGAAGACCTTTGTCCCAGACACTCGAAAGCAAACGGTCCTCGGTCAACTTGGACAACAACCGACCGCCACAAAACTCCGAGCGAAAGCGTCTGTCACAGTCAGACGCCCCGTTCATGGGTCCTCGGCCAGAACGTCCCACCATCACCGTGCAGACAGATAGTCAAGCTAGCGCCCCCGTCTCCGCTGACCGACGTGATAGCGATGCTTCGTCGAGGATTCAAACCCATCCAAAGCCTGAGCGTCCGCCTCTTCGTGTAACTGCTTCTCACTTGCCCAACTTGCGAATATCACAGCCGTCTGTAGTTGATGGCGTCCTTGATACCTCCTCCATATTTAGCACTACCCTCACCACACCTATGCTTGATACTCAACTCAACTTCAATGCTGGCATGCAAAGTCGTCGATTACCGCATAGAGAAGGACAGCCACTAGACCCATCGGACAANAAGTCTACCACCATACCGGCTCATCTCAAGCGGCGGGTCATAAGCAAAGAGTTTTGGATGAAAGATGAGAATGCTCGTGACTGCTTCTATTGTGGTGATCCTTTCTCGACTTTCCGCAGAAAACATCATTGCAGAACTTGCGGTCAGATCTTCGACGCCAAGTGTACCGTGACTGTNCAAGGCAAGCCCTTCGGTCAGTCAGGTACGCTCAGGCTATGCAAGCCATGCGACGCCATGATCTATGGCAGTGATGATGACTCGACAGTTTTTACTGACGAAGACGAGCCCAAAAAGTCTCCCATATATGCTTCTCACTCGCAAGACCAAGATGTCTTCAAGCCAGATGACCCAGCTCTCGCAACACCCTCAATCGGTATTCCCGTCTCGAGGAGAAATAGAGAAGCCAAAAGACGTTCTGCTGTCATCGAGTTTGACATGCAGCCCACGTTAGCACGCCCAAGTTCATCTCGTTCACTAAAGTCAATGACTGGAAGGCCACATTCTTCAAGTCACAAGCGACACCACTCTCGCCATCAGTCTGTACGCCCACTGAAAACTCCTGCAGAAGAGCGAGGACCATTCTACCAGAATATTGCCGAGACACAACGACGTCCATTCACTGCCTTCCACAATGACAACATTATTGATCCCGACTTGGCTCCATTTCTGTCTGACGATGGGTCGGATGCGGACGATCAGCCCAGCATATACACTACTATCAGTGACGTGCCTGGCCCGTCCTCGCTGGATAACGAACGAGCTGGGTTCACGAGCTTGCTGGCTTCAGCAGTGAAAAAGGGTCGCTCGAGACGGGGCGATAGAAGTGCTGGCGGTCACAGTCTACGTGCTTCTCGTGACCTGGAGCATTTCATGTTTGCTTCCAAGCACCTCCCAAAGCTGCGAAAACAGCGCAACCCAAGTATTGGAAGCGTTGGCATATCGCGTCCGTCTCCTCGGAGGAGCCGCAGTCAAAACATGATGAAGACCTTTGAGGCTGGGGCGAATGACCCGTCGGTATTTGACATCTTCAATCCTATTCTTGCAGATCAAGCTCAGGTCAAGCGAAGTTCCGGTATGCATGGTCAGAACGCTCCTGCAGTCGAACTCAACAGAGCTAGTCTACAGCATGTCGAGCGCCTTCTGACCCAGCTACTCAAGGAGTCTGCGATTCCTCGACGTCGACGTTGGCAGAAGGCTTTAATGCCCATTCTTCTGCAATGTCCCAATGATGTGGATCCAGACGTTCAAAACGGCGATGACATGGACATCAGGAATTACATCAAAATCAAGAAAGTGCCTGGAGGCAAACCTGGCGATACTTCGTACGTCTCNCGAGTCGTCTTCAGCAAGAACATTGCACTGAAGGGCATGCGACGAAGCTTTGTCCGCCCTCGCATTGTGATAATATCGTTTGCCATCGAATACGCCCGCCATAATCACCATTTCATGAGTTTGGAGCCCGTTATTGCTCAAGAGCGAGAGTACTTGCGCAACCTCGTGGGTCGTATCGTTGCATTGAAACCCCATATCTTGTTGGTTCAGCGAAATGTATCGGGGCTGGCTCTAAACATGCTGCAAGAAGCAGGAGTTACCGTGGTTTACAACATTAAGGAATCAGTACTCGCCGCTGTTGCTCGGATGACACAGACAGTTTTGATCAAGTCGATAGACAAGCTATCAATCGACCCTTCTGGATTGGGACAATGCTCCAACTTTGATGTCAAGACCTATGTCCATGGGAAGACCAGAAAAACTTTCATCTGGATATCTGGTTGCCAGCCTGACCTTGGCTGCACCATCGTCCTCCGTGGCGCAGAGATGGAAACTCTTCGTCAAATCAAGCGAATCACAGAATTTATGTGCTACGTTGTTTACAATCTCAAGCTCGAGACTTGTCTGATGCGGGATGAATTTGTGTTGATTCCCTCCTCAATCAGCACTGCCAAGTCCACCCCTCCAACCATCAACATCGCAACTTCCAAAGCAGTGGATGTCGCAAACGCCCCAGTTACACCCACAGCCCAAACACAAGCAGAAGCTGAGACCAGTACAGCAGAGCTACCAGTCGGTATCGGAGACGAAGACTCCGAATCCAAACCCAACGCATTGAACCATCTTGTGGATGCAGCTCGACATGTTGCATCTGAGCCCGTCACCAAATCACAGGGCGACCAAGATGACGAGTCCATGCCATCACAGTATAGAGAACTTATCGAAACAGCCAGGACTCGATTGATATCGTCGTCTCCCTTCGTCAAGTTTCCCGAGCCGGTCCTTCTCGCCAAAGTTCAAGACCAAGAACGACGAGTTGAACAGACAAAACGGCTGCGAGATCGCTATGATGCGTTCGAACTTGAGCATAATCACAACGAAAAAGCCAGCGAGAATCAGGAGGAGGACATTGCGCAAGCAGACAAATTCGAGTTGGTCATGCCAGAGATGATCTCTAAGGCTGTTCCTGCAGATCAAAGCCGGCCCACTCGAAGATTCCTCCGAGACATCCATGATGCGCAATACCAAATGGCTCTTCATGAGTATAACATCAAGAAACGACAGTGGGAGTCCTTCTTCTCGATCAGCAACAACAATCCGTTCAACCCCTTCAGCCATCAGAATATTTTTGTTTTGCATTCTCTCGTTAGCAACGCTTTGTCTGCACCTTGCGCTGGTCCTGAAGTTCTGGGTCTCTCATTTTATGCTGGCTGGGGAAATGCTGAGCTAGGATTAGAGGAAGATCTTACTCTTGGCCAATTCATCGAGGAGACCTGCGCAACCGCAGCCACTGCATGCAAGCAATGTAGTCACCGCATGTTTGATCACCATCGTCAATACGTGCATGGTTCTGGCCAGGTTAGTGTCTCGGTCAAACGCTTTCCATCCAAGTTTCAGAACCTTCACAGTACCATCCTGATGTGGTCCACTTGCAAATTATGCCAACAAGAGACTACATGGATACCAATGTCAGACAACACTTGGAAATATTCTTTCGGCAAATATTTGGAGCTCAGTTTCTGGAGTACACCTTTGAAGCCGCGAGCAGGCGTATGCCCACATGACATACACAAGGACTTTGTGAGATGTTTCGCCTTCCAAGGTCTTGCTGTTAGGATTCAGTGGGACAATGTTGACCTGTACGATGTCTTGGTGCCCACGCCAACGATCAACTGGGAAGTCAATGCTGGACTCGAGCTCAAGAATCAGCTCTATCTGCACTTCCAAGCGCGCCTATCAGCTTTCATTGCATCCATCAGAGTCCGTCTGAACTCTATCAATCTCTCTACTGTCGTACCAGAGAAGCAAGCTGATGCTTCAGCAACTCTGGAGAAGCTGGCACAGAGAGTAGACAGCGATCATGAGGCACTGTTGCAGAAACTTCAAGACAAGTATATGGCTTCCAAGTTTTACGAAATCATTCCTCTTAATCGAGCAGTTCGCATGATGGACGAGAAGGCGCTTACTTGGGACGAAGAGTTCAATGATTTCGAGACGAAGTTCTTCCCGTCAGAGCATGATATCAGAAGACTAGCTACCCTTCAGCTGAAAAAGCTGTTTCTTGATCGAGGCGAAGCGGCTGGAATTACCCATTACGATCTGACTGATGCAGACGAAGGGATGGAAATGAAAGAGAGGCCATCTTCAGGCATGGGTCTCACCGATGAAGACCTCCAATCGGAAAAGGCTCAGCACATGCTTACATCTGTTGTCGAAGAACACGGTCACTCGCATCCAAAAACAGATGCTAACATTGATCCACTCGAATCCAGAGGTCAAGGTGTCGAAGGTTCAGACAATCCCATTCTGTCCAAACAATTGTCACCCAGCGAAGTAGAGCAAGCCGTCGANAGAGAAGACGTCAAACATCTGGATCTTGCTGTNCCTTCAGCTTTTGCGGACTTGCCCGCGGATCAAGAGACCCCTAGAGCTGAGAATGGTCCACAGGAAGAAGAAGCGGCAGAGTCAAAGTCTCCCGAGTCGTTCGTGACCGACCCCAAACCCTTGAATTCCAGCATCCTCGAACGTATTGAACAGATGCGTTCCGCCGCCGCCGCTGCTGCTACAAGCCCTGAAGCAGGCATGCCCGAGTCAAGGATACCACGTCTTGTCCGCACCCGAGGTCCTATATCTCCGCCACTTGCTCGAACACAATCTCAGCCTGATGGTATACCAAAGAGAAATTCAGAGTCTACCCCAGAGATGCCAACCATTCATTCAGTCGCCAGTGGCGAGNNTTCTGGTACCACCACACCTACTCCTGGCAAACACCACAACAGAGATTTAGCCAAATCTATCGAACTCCGATTGAGTGACCGCTTGGGTGCTGGGTACATCAAAGGTGGAAGAGCACAGCAGTCCCTGATACCGAGGTCAGTGCCGAGCAAGGCTTTTGATAACAACACTCGTGTCTCAGCTCTCGCCAAACATTTCGAACAGCTATCTCGTGAATTCGAGAGAGAAAGAGCGCGTGAGCGTAGGCAGCGAGCGGCTCGACGAAGACAGGTCCGTGCCAACCCTCTGGCCAGCAGCAAACCTGTTGTTGAGGTCTATCGAGATGCTCGCGAAGCTGTCGGCGAAAGAACAGAGCCCGAGGTTGTTGATCCTTCCATGAGCGAATCAAACGAAACATCGGATCTCCCGATGGAAGACGTACCTGACCAAACCCCAGACAACATCCAAGATCAGCAAGATAACGATGATGCCACGGATAATGAGACTGCAGAATCGACCACTGGCCACACTGATACTGATGTTGAAGGTGACACTACCGACAATGATAATCATCTGCCCTACAAACCCGGCTTCTCCGATCCTGGCTCGATCTCAGGCAATGGGTCATCTGCGTCGCCTCATGATGCGGACTCACACCTGGAAATGACGTTGCCGAGACACGAAAAACATTCCTTAATGAAGATGCTCACCAGCTTCTGGTCTGAGCGGTCATCATCCGGCTGGATCTCTCTCGACTACCCCTTGCACTCCAATGAGCACGTCTTTGATGATAGCGACATCATCGTGCGCGAAGACGAGCCCGCATCAGTCATTGCTCTTGCGCTTTCCTCTGCAGATTACACTGCCAAGTTGCGAGAGTTTCGAGGCAATCCCAATGGTGGTTTCCACGGGCATCACGGTCATACTGAATCACAATCCAGCTTCAACTTTGCCGCAGACATCAGTAGCAACGATGCCAGCCAGCAATCCGCCATTGAGGCAAGCTTGATCAGTGAGACGGGCACGCACATGAAATACAGCTTTAGCCACAACAACGTCCGCGCGACCTGCAAAATCTTCTACGCCGAGTCTTTCGATGCCCTGAGAAGAAAATGCGGCGTTAGCGAACGTTTTGTCGAATCGCTCTCCCGATGCGCGAAATGGGATTCCAAAGGAGGAAAGACCAAGTCACTCTTCCTCAAGACTCTGGACGATCGCTTCGTCATCAAATCGTTGCAGGAAGTCGAGCTCAAAGCTTTCACCAAATTCGCACCTGACTATTTCGCCTTTTGCGCGCAAAGCTTGTTCCACGGCGTGCCTTCCGTGATCGCNAAAATGTTTGGTCTTTTCCAGGTTGAGCTGCGTAACCCATCGAATGGTGTTGAGTTTTCCTCTTACCTCCTCGTCATGGAAAACCTCTTCTACAGCCGCAACCCAACTCGGAAATTCGACTTGAAGGGCAGTATGCGCAATCGCAAGATTGAAAGTACTGGTCTGCCAGATGAGGTGCTCCTGGATGAAAATCTTGTCGAGACTATCTTCGAGAAACCTTTGTTTGTCAGAGAGCATGCTCGAAAGCTGCTCAAAGCTAGTGTATGGAACGATACAATGTGGCTCTGCAGACAGAATGTTATGGACTATTCCCTGATGGCCGGCTTCGACGACGAGAAGAAGGAGTTGGTCGTTGGTATCATTGGTAAGTCTTCTCTCCCTCTTCTATTCACTCTGTATCTGTTACTAACTTCTAGCTTCACAGATTGCATCAGAACCTACACCTGGGACAANAAACTCGAATCGTGGATCAAAGACCGCGGCAAGAACAAGCCCACCATCACCTCGCCAAAGGACTATCGCAACCGTTTCCGCGTGAGTATGATGCAATACGTCCTTCAAGCCCCCACTGTCTGGCACTCCTTCCTCGCCCCAGGTTTGCCCATCACGGGTGTAACTTTCAACGCTGCAGGTGGAGTAGAAGTCTCGAGAAATGGCAATGCAAATGCGACGGCAACGGCAAACGCAGAAGGCAGAAGCGTGGCGGGAAGTTGGGAGGAGAGGAGTACGGTGGAGGATGATCGTAGGCTGGCGCTTACCGAGGGTCAAGTGTTGGATGATGCAACCATCAGAGAGATGTCGACCATGTCGTTTGTGTAGAGTGTTCTCTTTCTCTCGGATCTTTTTGGTGTGGCCATGTCTTCTCAGACGCTTTGAGCATGGCGGTTCCTATTGTCTTTATTTTTCTTCTAGCACTAAGCAGTCACAGCAAGCATAGCAAAGGTGTTTTTGTGGGAGTAAGCGTCTGGGGTCCCTACGCAATACACCAACGTATTGTCCTCTTCATCTTCCTTGAATTGTAATACTTATACTTGTAAAAAGACAGTGGAGTTCACGGCCAGCGGCTGTCCAAAGAAAGTCTTTGGATTTGACATGCTCACTGGACACTGATTCCTCTCTCAAGAGTTTCGTGCTTTTCTACAACTATCTATAGTACTACGTCTGTTGTAGGAAGAGATGCGATAGCTAGAGATCAAGGCGAGTACGAGAACACTTGGTTGAAAGGGGATAATGTTTGTCATCATAGGTGAGCTTCGGGATCTAGGTCTGGCTATCATCCTCCTCTCAACCGTCACTCATTCCCTCCAACGTGATCCAAAACTGTATAACATAGCTCAAGCCCTAGTGCTGCAACGCTCTCGAGCTTTGCCATACCTTGTCTCAAAGCCAGATGGCTCTCCGTTGATGATGATGTACATCTCCAGAGCCAGTTCCCTGAGTTCGCTCACTACGGCCATCTGCCCCTTGCTTTCTTGAGTTCTGCTGACATTCATCAACTGATCCACTACCTGAGGAGCCAACATTGCGTTGGTTCTGTCGAGCTCGACGTCCGCTCCAGTGATTGTCAGCGTGTAACCATGAGCAGCGATAACTGCAAACGCATGCTCAAGTGCCTTGTCGGGATCATTGCGTGAATAAGCGAATGCACAGTATCGGTTCAATGTGATCAAGCCAAGGCGTGGAAGATCGCGATAGAACTCTTCTGAATAAGTGTCTTGGATCTGTGCCAGAAGGTCCTCGAACATCATCACTACTGTACGCGGTTCGACCGTGGCATTCAGAATCGGAAGTCGCTCGAGCACTTCTTTGGCTTGCTGTAGCAGAGTTTTGCGTCCGGTAGTTGCTGGACAAGTTCTGTCCGCTTCTCAAAGCTTACAATCACAACTAAATCCCCAGGTACGGAGCGCAGTATCACGCGTCTCGTAGTCTGCATTGACTTCCTTGTACAAAGTGGTGATCTCTTCGTCTTTTGCAATACCGCGAGTTGCTCGGAAGATGATCATGTCGCCGATGAAGCTGTGTTCTGCATTGTACAGACAGGAGTGGTTGATGGCCGATGAATGTAGCCAGAGTCCCATGGATCCGTCCTTGTTGTCCATTCCTGGAGTCACAAGAGCGGCGTTGCCAAAGCTGGTGAGATCAAGATCGTGAGCATACCCAAAGGAGTTGTACTCGATGATGTTCTCGACACGGAAAATGTCAACAACAGGTCAGCCGTCGAGCATGGGAATGTCGAGACTGTCCAGTGGAGGGTAGTTTGGTCCAACGTAGAGACCCAGTAATCTTGGACCGATACTGGGGTTAGCAAGTACCTTCTGGATGACTGCCGTCCACATGTTGCTCTGTGTCCCAAATGTGCCTCTCGTGGCTGCCGGTGGGATCACCAAGTGGAAGCTCTCGGGCACAGCTGGTGACGGCACAAATGCCAGTGCTTTCTCAGAGAGGACGATATCACCACATTCAATGGCTTCGACAGCGAACAAGCCACGGCCATGGGTCTCGGTTTGGCGTGCTTCAGTTCTGCGTAAGAAGTTGGCGTGGTCGACCTTGGTTCCGTGCGCCTGAGGTCCAGTGGCTGCCCAGAAATTGACACCTGTGAGTTGCTCGGCGATACGTGCCTCTGTTCGCTTGAGCTCTCGCAGACCATCGATATCGTCCGAATCGATTCTGGTGACTGAGGTGTATGCTGAATGTGCACGGTCATACGCATCAAGCTCGTAAGCTGCACGGCCTGCTCGGTAGAGGGCCTTCATGTTTTGGAAATCTGCAAAATCACGTATCTCACAGGGAAGCTGCATGTGAAGAAGCGACAGCCCGTCCACGAGATTCTGATTGACTGTGAAACCGGAGGACACAATATAAATCCCGGCTGACAAATCTCACTGCTAGGATGGTAAATAGCATTCTCGCTATCGAAAATTTACCTGGGGTGCACTCTCAGCAATTCAAGGTTATATCGATAGCTCACTGCGACGTCTGTCTAGGGTTCTGACCTTTCATGTCTAACTCATGATCAGACTCTGTCATCAGAAACAGAACATACAGCCATGTCTGTCTGTATAGTAGGGGTCCCGGGAATGGAAGGCAAATATACTGAACTCTACCTGCCCTAGTTTACCGAGATACTGATGATCTTGATGTCCTCCATTGGCTTCTCCTTCCACACTTTTGCGTTTTCGATCCTGTGTACCACATCCATACCTCTGACTACTCGTCCAAAGATTGTATGCTTGTCATCTAGCCACGGCGTTTTCTCAGTGGTGATGAAGAACTGACTGGCATTAGTGTTCTTGCCAGCATTCGCCATACTGACGGTGTAAGGCTTGTCGTGACGCAAGGCAGGCGTGAATTCGTCTTCAAAGTTGGTGCCCCAGATGCTGTCACCTCCAGTACCATCGCCCAGCGGATCACCAGTCTGAATCATGAACTTGCGGATGATACGATGGAAGATGATGTTATTGTAGTAGTCGTTCTTGCTGTGGACAGTAAAGTTCTCCACTGCCTTCGGGGCGTGCTCAGGGTACAGACGTATCTGAATGTCGCCCATAGATGTGTGGATAGTAGCGGATGAGCCTGTCTGAGCCTTTGCGGCTTCAGCTTGTTGCTTGGTTGCAATAGTACGTGGCTTTTCATTGTGGATATCGCGGTCGGATTTGTTGACATCTGTGTCGTTTGTGAACATGTAGAAGCGTACTTTCCCTGATCCTGTGGCGACGAGCATTGAGTCACGAGCTTCAGCTTGTTGAAGCAACGGGTTGTCACTGGCAGCCATTTGTACGGTGACGACACCCTTCTTCTCGGGTTGACCCTGGTAGAGGGCCAAATTTAGGGCTCTGAAAGGCTCCTCCTTACCGTAAACTTTGACAACGCGGTTGGTCAAAGTGTTGATGACCTTGGTGCCTAGTATGGATCCATAAAGGATGAAATTCGCTGTTTCATCAAAAATGACATTGATGCGCGCGCGAACGGCAGGATGCTCAATTTCACGCTCAACACCTAGCCTGCGTCCGAATTCGACATCGTCCAATTTGTCAACAGCAGTTCCAGCCTGCTGCATTTCGGTGATGGTGGCAAGTGACTCGTCGTATGTTCTGTACAGTTTTCCAGTGGGAAAGTCGAATATGCGAACTTTGCGATCGGGAAAAGACATAGTTGCGAACTGCTGACCAGTAGGAGACATGGTGATTGACGAGGGAACGGATTTGGCCTTCTTGAAGTCGAACAAGTTGGTCGAGCTCTTGATGGAGAAGACATTGTCAGGCTTCTCATAGTTGCTAGTAGGGCTCCAGTACTCGATCATGCCGCCTTCATCGACAGATACAACGCAGTCGTAGTGGTGGTTGTACGACAAGAGCGAAACCGAGACTCTGTGAAGCTTCTCCAACTTGTACAATGGTGAGGTGTTCTCGCCTCTGCCGTCGTATATAGTAATTTGAGGGCTCGCATCATGAGACACGGCTAATAGTGGGAGAGNAGCACCACGACCGTGTACGAAGCACACGGCTCTGGGAGCAATATCGGGGGTCAGCATAGCCAGCAGATCGAAGGTGATGACATCGAAGATCTTGACAGAGCCGTCGACACCTGCAGTCGCGAAACTACGACCATCAGCGCTCACGCTCACGCTCTTGACTTCTCCCTCGTGAGCCTTGAACTCCTTGACAAACTCGATGCCATCGGCCACCTNTTTCCAGAACTTCACTGCGCCATCGATTGATGTGGTAATAAGGAAGTCGGTATGAGGGGTAAAGGTGTTGAAGCATAGTTGGTCTTGGTGCATCATTGATTTCGAGTAGCGAGGCGAGGCGGGCAGAGCGGCGACATAGAGCTTTTCATATGGCAGTTTCCTACNGCTTCTTGTTCTTTGGCGCAGCTGCCGACGGTAGTGCTGGCCCAATGTCATCGTCGTCGTCCGAGGATGTGTCTGATGTCAGTCAGCAACATGGTACGACAAGCACAGACGGGTCGCATGCTCACCATCGGCGTCGTCGTTGGTCGCATTATTGTTCGGCCGAGTCGCATCCTCGGCCTCGACCTGGTCTCTCGTACGCTTTGTGCCTTGAGGCGATGCGACTGGTGCTGTGTCTGCCATTGCTGACGTTGGTCAATGGAAAAAGAGTGGTCGGTGTCGGCACATTGCTTGCCGATGGCCATCTCAGGCGCGAGAATGCGGGCCGAGCCGGGCGTGAGTCACGAAGCTTCCACATCGATGTCATCGGCGGGGCGCAGAGAGTCTTCGTTTCCTTGTGACAATTCGTCTGTTTGCCTTGCCACTTTCTACATACAAATAGAAACACTCTCGACAGTCCTCGCGCTTTTCACTTTCAAGCGTTTGTTTGTCTTCGTCCCGTTCTATCAGGCCGCTTTTTATTGAGCCTGCCATTTCCTTTTGCTGCATCCACCCATTTCGCTACGCGTGCCCGTCACTAATCACTACCAATCCACCACCACAATTTCACCACCTCCCGATACCCTTTTGAGTTCCACAGCAACCATGTCTACCGCCGAGACCGCATCTTTGCCTCTACCCGAATCTCAACCTGCCCGCTCGTCTAACCGTCCTCGCAACCGAAGACCACGCGGCGAGAGAAACCTCAACCCACCGACCCAGCAGGATGATCCTCAATCAGACGCTTCCAATCCTGGTCGCAGGCGGAGAGGTGGAGGAGGAAAGAGACGCGGTGCTCGCGACCCTCTTCTTGCTTTGAGGCCATCCTCGGTCGCTCCCTCTACTCAACCATCATCCATCGATCCTTCAAGTGCCGACGTGTCAGGCACAGAGACCACCACACGCAACCAGGATTCGCGGCGAGGCAGAGGTAGTGCACGAGGTGGAAGAGGAGGAGCAAGAGGTGGCAGGGCGCGAGAGAATAGGACTGTCAACGGCAGAGCCTTTGGCGGTCAACTTACCTCAGATGGCGAGTTGCAGGCCGATGCTACCACCTTTGTTCCTGGACAACCCATCCTCACTCAGGGTGCCACTTCACAGCAAACCCAGCCTCGTTCGCAACGACGCCGCCTTTCCAAGTCTACCGCTCCCGACATTGCCACCCGTACCCATCACGATATTGACAACGGTCACTACGAATGCCCTATCTGCACGAGCGAGGTCCTTCGCAATTCAAAGGTATGGTCATGCCATACTTGCTGGACTGTCTTCCACATGTCTTGTGTCAAGAAGTGGTCTCAGAACCAAGGATCTGCCGCTGCTCAGCAACAGGGTCGAGAGAACGGCGAAATCCCTCCTCCTCGTCAGTGGAGGTGCCCTGGATGCAACCTTCCGAAAGACACCTTGCCCAAAACATACACTTGTTGGTGTGAGAAGGAAGTTGAACCGCGTGCAGTCACTGGTCTGCCCCCTCACTCTTGCGGAAACACCTGTGGCAGAGAGCGAGTCCGCAAATGTCCTCACCCTTGTCAATTGACCTGTCACGCTGGCCCTTGTCCGCCGTGTACCCACATGGGCCCTACACAAACTTGCTTCTGCGGCAAGCACGAATCAACCCGCCGGTGTACCGATACCGACTATGAGAACGGCTGGAGTTGTGGTGAGGTCTGTGGTGACCTCATGCCCTGTGGAGAGCACGAGTGCCCTAGACCTTGCCACGAGGGTCTCTGCGGAGCTTGTGAAGTGCGTGTGGATGCTCGTTGCTACTGCGGCCAGGTCGAGAAAGCTTTGCTATGCGCTGACCGTGGCGATGAGATTGCAAGCCACAAAAAGCATGTTGCTGAAGACGGCCAGGCAGCTGTCGAAGAGTGGAATGGCTTGTTCGCTTGCGCCAATTCCTGCGATCGCGCTTTCGATTGTGGCATTCACCATTGCCAGAAGCCTTGCCATTCTCAGGAGACCGACCCAGGCCACTGCCCTCGTTCTCCCGATGTCGTGACACACTGCCCATGCGGCAGAACCAAACTCTCGGATATCTCGCCCGACGCTCGCACTTCTTGCGAAGATCCTATCGCAAATTGCAAGAAGCCATGCATGAAGAAGCTGCCCTGTGGACACCCTTGCGAACAGTTGTGTCATTCTGGCGCTTGCATGCCTTGTCTCAAGGCTGTCTCCATCAACTGTCGTTGTGGCAGGACAACCTCAACCACTGTTTGTCACCAAGGCAAGATTGAGTCTCCCCAGTGTATGAGAGTCTGCAGAGCCACTCTCAACTGTGGTCGTCATGCTTGTGATGAACGCTGTTGCGAGGGCGAGCGAAAGGCTGCTGAACGACAAGCCATTAAGCGCAAGGGTCGCAAACTCGAGGAGGCCCACATCCGACCTATCCATGATGGGTTCGAGGCTGAACACATTTGCACTCGGCCTTGTGGTAGACCTCTCAAGTGCGGGAACCACTTCTGCGAAGACCTTTGTCACAAGGGCCCCTGCGGATCTTGTCGAGAGGCCATCTTTGACGAAATCAACTGCAATTGCGGTCGTACCGTTCTAACACCTCCCCTTCCTTGTGGAACCCAACCTCCGCCTTGCCGCTTTCAGTGCAACCGCTCCAAGACATGTGGTCATCCTCAGGTCCAGCATAATTGCCATATGGACAACGAGAGCTGTCCAAGATGTCCTTTCTTAGTCGAGAAGCGCTGCATGTGCGGCAAGAAGAGTCTCAAGAACCAACAATGTTGGCTGAAGGACGTTAGCTGTGGACAGATTTGTGGCCGCAAGCTCAAGTGTGGCTCTCATTTCTGTACCAAGCCCTGCCACCGTGAAGGTGATTGTGAAGATGCTGGAGGCCGACCTTGTCAGCAACCTTGTGGAAAGCCCAAGAAGGCATGCGGTCACCCTGACGAAGCCATCTGTCACGCCCCTAGTGCATGCAAAGAGGATAAGGCTTGCACCCACAAGATCTTCATCACTTGTGAGTGTCAGGCTCAGAAGCAGGAGATGAGATGTAATGCTTCCAAGACCAGCGAAGGTAATCTCACAAAATCTCTGCCTTGCAATGAAGAATGTGCCAGACTGGAGCGCAACCGCAAATTGGCACTCGCGCTCAACATTGATCAGGAAGCACATGTTGAAGGTGGTGATCATGTCCCCTTCTCTAACGAGACCCTCAACCTCTATGCAGCTCACCCTACTTGGGCAACAAACCAAGAGCGCGAGTTCCGTGTGTTTGCAGCTGCAGATGATGAAAAGAGGTTAAGATTCAAGCCCATGACAGCTACTCAGCGAGCCTTCATCCATCATCTTGCCGAAGATTTCGGCCTTGACTCTGAAAGCATGGATCCCGAACCGCATCGCCATGTTGCCATCTTCAAGACACCTCGTTTCGTTCGATCACCCCCGAAGACGTTGAAGGAGAGTGCGCGCATCAGAAATGCTCAGCGTGTGGCATCTGGCAAAGCGATTGCCAGTAGTGAAGCACCGGCAAATCAAGTACGTGCCAACGAAGTTGGAGAGCCCTTCNNTAACAGCTTCGTTATCGTGCGTCCCCGTTTTGGCCTCATCATTGAAGAGGTCAGGACGGAGTTGGCATCNTTTGCGCTTCCCGTGCAATTCGATGTAGAATTCTTGCCCAACGAGGAGGTCATCATCAAGGCCATCAGTCGTACTCTTGATGAGCAGGCACTCGATCAGACACTCAAGAACGCTAAAGCTCCCATTGCTACTGCGATTGCAGCGAAGAGCCTGGGTACACTTCAGCTTTGTCGTACCGACTCCTCGCTCAACATCACTCGTCGCGAAACCGAAAGTGGTGTCAGCGATGGTTGGTCGCGTGTTGCTGCGAAGAGTGCGGCATCGCGTCGTCCTCTCGTTCAGACAGCATCTTCCAACAACAATCTGTTCTCTGCTCTTGCTGGTGGGAACAAGGTCACTTTCGCTAAGAAGAAGGAGAAGAAGCCGGTCGTACCCGTAGAGCCTGTTGTCGATGACTGGGAAGCAGCAGAGATCGCAGAGGAAGAGAAGGAGAAGTTGGTCAGTGGTCACAACAGTGGTGTAAAGGACGAGGCGCCAAAGATTGAGACTAGTAACGTTGCTGAGATTGTATCGCTTGAGGCTGCGGATGGCAGTAGCGAGGCTGAGGCTGAGGCTAATGCTGAGGCTAAGGCTGAGGCTCCTGGGGTCGAGACTGTGTCCGAGGCAGCGCCAGTCTTCGATAACGCACACAGCGAGGCAGATGCGATAGAGTCAGAGGTTGTCAGTTCCTTAGCTGAGCCCGAGCAAGTCGACGAAGCAGAAACAGCATAGTTGCCGTTCTCTTCAACGAGATAAATCAATTCATAGGTTGACCATCAATGTACTCCTTGGCGCCATTACACCAAAACCATCTCACGTGCGAACAGTTCAGACAGCGCTTGACAACCAACAAATATGGCATATATAGTTTCTCTATAACAAGATTGAGATGTTTATCGATCAACGACCTGACACTTATGCTATATCGAGTCGTACCTTGCAGCAGATCGCACGACAGCCACGAACTCCATGCAAGGTGGACGGAAAATTGCCCAGTCAACATCCTTCGTAATTGCATCTTGGAAGGAGACTTATCGTGTACTAATTCTAGAGCAGAAGATGGCTTGCGCGTTTGCATAATCTGTCATCAAAGAAAGAGAAGGTGAGACATCAAAGCGTGCATAATAAGTGAATCATCAGCGTCAAACAAGCAAGGCAGCTTCCTCTTTCTAGAAACCAACATCTTCACACCTTCCTTCTTCTTCAGTCCCACCAACACTTTCACTCAGTCCTATGATCTATCAGTCAAGGTCAAGAGTATGTCTTGCCGACTTTCTCATCACACCAACTCTCTTCCTAAACCAAAGAAGTTCAACTTCTCACGTCACATCACACACTCGCAGAAATGTGCCAACTATGCGTTCTCAACACGATATCGCAAAGTTCGCGCTGGCCTAAACCGCTCGAACCCCTCATCTCGGACTTGCATCTCCTGGTCACTACCGCACACACTGAACTCCGTGTTCACAAAACCTCTGCTGTTACCTCTGCTACTCAAGACACCAAGCCCTCCACCACATCAACAATCACCATCACCAAAGCCCACCCACGCACAAACTCCTCCCTCTTCACCACCCTCCGCGACATCAAACCCCTGCTCGAGCTCCTCGAAGACGAAAGAGCAAACTGGTGGAACAACAAAGCAAACGAGAGAAAGCATTGGAGGGAAACCTATCAAGAAGACAAGATTACAAAAATTAATGTCGTTAACAACAAGACTGTGGAGATGATTGAGGGGTGCAAGGCTAGATTGGGTACGTTTTGTCGTTGGAGTCTGGGATTGGAAGAAGGGGTTGAGGGACTTGATGAGATTGAGGAAGAGGGGAAGGAGGTCAAGATGGAAGGATAGAGCTCGTTCGTGACTCTGAGGATGATGCGTGAGGGACTGAGGAGAGGGTTGCTTGGAATTATCGAACTGGAAGGAGGAAGTTGCTGATGAATCAACAATCATCATGGAGGTTATCTCTCAGAACATCTGCTTCCCATACTTCTGGCAGACAACAAAACACTCTTTTGATCACTGAGATCGAGAGATAGGCGTCTACGAACTGAGAACGATATCTGTTGGTATGCGACAGGGTTGTACCTTCGACCACATTTTCTACATGTGAATTGCCCATTGATCTTTATTTCTTTCTCACACCATTCGATACATCTGAGATGCCTACAACCTAACGATTGTAGCCCTCTGAACGATACCCCAAAAGTCAAGGTCATCTGAACTACCCGTCGTGGCGATGCAAAGTACCCAAATGAACAAAGCGTGATAATGGCATAGCTGGTGAGTTGATTCTTTTGATTGACGACAGGAAAAGCGGAACGGAGAGAAGGAGCTATGCGACAGATGATCGAGACAAGGAGGTTCTGTGTGTTGACTTGATATGATGGGCCAGCGAAGCGACAATGTCGATGAACAGGGACGGTGTATATTTGGAAGGCAGACGTCAGGGGTCAACTCGTCGTGATTGCGAACATGATGCGACCAGGATCGTGGATGTCGCTTTCCTTTTTGATAGACAAGATCTAGGGAGATAGAAATACACCAGAAGGATTGAGATGAGAAGTGAGAAGAGAGAAGTTTCTTCAGCTGCTTACCTGGTCATATCTGATCTAAGGTTCACGTTGGAAAACACGCACGGACATATGAGACATCCAATATAAGATGCGACGCGAGTTTACAAGGTTGGTCACAGCGAGATGCGCAAATCATTATAGCCAGCAGGATGCGTCTGGGCGTGTCGCGTGAGGGCATGGACGAGAGATTGATAGTGACTGGTCCCGAGTGTTCGTGATGTGTAGTGGATGGTTTCCTGGCTTTGTTCCAGATGTTCGTGCGACTTGAGGCTTGTTGCTGGATGGGACCTCAAAAGAATGTTCGGGTTGTAGGGAGGATGGAGAGGGTGGATCGGAAATGTGGCGGAGAATGTTCGATAAAAGTCGCTGTCTTGGTGGTATGCTCGGGAACTCGTTGATATGGTCGGACCTACAGGTTAGCTGTCGCATTGCATCAACACAGACACTGCGAGAGGAAAAGATGCAGAGAGAAAAGAAAATCATGTTTCAACGTGTGGCATTGACTTTTTACGACACAGCATACGTCCGATCCCAGACTGGCGCAGACAATGAAACAACCCTTCCTTGCAAGTATCGTAAAAAGCCATATTTTTCCTTTTTGTAGAGTCGGGGGCGGGCGTCGTTGGGGGTTGTGATGGTATTTGTAGGAGAAAAAAGATGATGCGACAAAGGCATGTTGCTTTTTCAAGGCTGCAGAAAAGGGACTATTTTGCTCTTCCTGTCGCCTGCGTTGCTGCCCCATCCCAGAGAAGACTCCCGAAAATGACCATGGTTGTTGATGTAGCGAGCAGCTTAGAACTTGTTGAACTGCTTGACGGCCTTGCCGGTGCGGGGAAGGACGCGGAGGACGTTGAAGCGGACNNCTGGTGTCTGTATTAGTACTCTGTCTCTTCTGAAGAGCTCAGGGCGGCTCACGGTCTTGGACAGAGGTCTGCACTGGCCAACGGTGACCTGGTCACCCTCCTCGACACGGAAAGCGGGCGAGACGTGTGCGGCGAGGTTCTTGTGGCGGCGCTCGTAACGGGCGTACTTGGGGACGAAGTGGAGGTACTCGCGGCGGATGACCAGAGTACGGTGCATCTTGGTGGAGATGACGGTGCCGGTCAGGATACGGCCACGGATCGAGACCTCGCCGACGAAGGGGCACTTCTTGTCGATGTAGGTACCCTCAATGGCGGTCTTGGGGGTCTTGAAACCCAGACCGACGTCCTTGTACCATCTGCGGCCGTTCTTGCCAGCGCGGGCAGTCTTGCGGACCTTCTTGGCGTTCTGGAAGATGTGAGGCTGCTTCTGGTAAGCGCGCTCGCTCTGGACGGCAAGTTCGGTGGCCATGTTGATTGATTGTCGGTATGGAGGTCGAGTACCGTGGGATGGGAGTCGTCAAATTTGTCGTCGCACGCAGGAATCAGTCGCCAGCGAAGCCGACTGCCAAAATCTTGTCGCGAGTGTGGGAAAGAGCGACCCGTGGATTAACCGAGCTCCTTCCGCCAAGCCGTCTGCTTGGCTGTTCGCTCCGCTCATCTCTCGACTGTTGATTAGAAGGTTACAGTAGGAAGACTGTTCACTAATAATACTGTCCTCTTACAGTAGTAGCATCTGCCTTGTCCAAGCCTTTGTAGGTGCAGGCTCGTCTTGTGCAGCACTGCCATGCATCTCCTCTCCAAGGACTACTATGATAATAGGTTATAGAAATGCGCGACTGCTTCCGAACCAGAAGTGTGGCCATGAGATATCTTAAGATACTGTTTCCTCTTTGGATGGGGTTCTCGTCTAGAGATTATTGTGCACCTCTATAGCTATACTACGACAGTCTTCTGTACACGGGAATGTTGTAGCAAAAAGATCTATGGTACCGTTCAGGAGACAGTGTTCCCTAGACGTCCCGCAGGTCGATTAGCTGCTGCTCGGTCGGCCAACCTTCCCCGACGTGGGCGCTTGTTTGTTGTTATCGATTCTTCTGCATCAAGGTCGCGTCACCCTGGCGTCCCTTCTTCAGGTTCCTCCGATGCGACACACCCAACACCATGATTGACTTGGACGACAAAGAGAACCAGTCGCCGCTGCGGCTGGGCTTTGGAAAGTCTCCTTCACCAAAGCGGTCCCGCACCAAGAATACTGCCCCTGCTGCTGGTCAAGACGTAAGTGACGCGCTCAGTAAACAATCCCTCATCAACTTCGTACTCATCGCCTACCCTCTGTTTGCACTCCCAGCCTGCGACAATCGTTCCGTTCCAACAACTGACATGCGCCCNTTACAGTCAGTCCCACCGTCCGCAGTCAAGTCCATCCTACCATCCAAAGAAGATGAAGCCAAGAGACGAGAAGCCCGTCGCAAATCTCTCGCCAACCGCAGAGTCTCCTTCGCACCCGAAGCAACACTCCACACCTGGGACGTAATCGAGTACATGCGCGATGCGACCGCCTCGTCCAACTCCTCCGACCATGCAAGAGCCCACCAAGAGGCCGACTCGGATCCTCCCTCCACTCCACCAGAGCAAGCCGACGACGACGAAGACGGACTACCACACTCTCCCGAACACCAGCGCGATGCCCACCAGCAAAAGCGCCGTCGAAGTTCTGCCATTCCTCCCATGAACTTCAATGACCTGGACGACTACTCTTCCTCCCCAGTCAGCGGCAGTAGCAATGTCGAAGCTAGTAGCGATGTTGAAGAAGAAGTCGAGTCTGAAGATGACGGAGAGAGCACGGCTATGAGCCTGGATCAAGGAGACAACACTCTGCTCTCCCAGCAGTCTGGAGACAGTACCGGTTCAAGCGCTCGCCTGGACGCTGCGTTACAGCAAGCCGCCACTCAAGCCGGTACTCGAGGCATTGACTTTGACGAGTATGGCGACATGTCTATGGAAATGGCTGGCGATGAAATCACAAATGCCTTCAAGCCCTGGGCCCAAGGTCAGCACTTTGCAGCAGAAGGCCAAGAGAACAACGACCCCTTCGACTCGGTATTCCGCCCTGGACCGCAACCTGGTAACGAGGAAGACGACGATATGAGCATGGACATGACACGTGCAGTAGGCCGCATCCTACCTCAACAACAACCCCAGGACGAGCAAGAAGAGACCGAAGACGAGGGCGACATGACGATGGATATGACCAAACCCATGGGCACAATCTGGACCGCAAACCAGCCTCAGGCACAGCCACAGGAACAGGAAGAGGACGAGACACGCGACATGACCATGGACATGACACGACCAGTCGGTCGCATCATCCAGACGCACCAGGATCTGTATCAACAATCTCCCGAGAGAACCGTCTCGTTTGGAGACGAGACGATGGACCTGACCCAAGCAGTTGGAAAGATCCACCAATGGAACCCTCAAGCCCAGCCGCCTCGTAGTGCTCTCAAGAGACGCTTCGAGAGCTTTGCTACAGAAGATGTTGCTTCTCCGTCCGTCAAGAGGCTCGTTTTCGAGGAGCCCACACGACGTACCGTAGCTCAAGCACGCGATGCGAAACGTAGGCGTTCATCTTCGTCTTGTCAGTCGTTGGGTGATGCCACCATGGATCTGACCGTGGCAGTTGGTGCCATTCAGCAGAGACAGCAATCTCCTGTCAAGAAAGACAGACGTTTGAGTGCACGCAGCCGCCGCTCTTCTAGCGCTTCGTCTATCATGGATGAGCAAACCATGGACTTCACCATGGCTGTGGGCGGAATCAAACAGCAGCAGCAGCCGAAGTCTCCCAGAGAACCGTCTATCATTGAAGAAGATGATGCAGAAGAGAACGAGGATATGTCTATGGAGTTCACTGCTGTTGTTGGAAACATCCTAAAGCAGCACACAGCCACCGTGGTCGAACGCCCAGCTACACCTCGCAAATCTCCCTCGCCTGCCCGAACAGAGATTCCCACTACACCTAAGGACCAAGACCGCTTCAAGGAGAGGCGAGATCTGACAGCCAAGAAGCTTCTGACACCACTGTTCGAGAAGCAAGCACCTGGCTCTGCTGTCAAAGATTCTGCTGGCTCGAAGAGGAGCTCTGCCCGCAAGTCTGCCTCCAAGGAGCCTACCACAACTCTATCTTTCCTCGGACCGGCTGTTCTGGTATCCCCTCACCGAAGCCCTGGATCTGCTCGTAAGAGTCCTGGATCCTACAGGACTCCTTCGTCTACACAAAAGACTCCGTTGTCTGCTCAGAAGATCCCCTCGTCCGTCCGTAAGACACCAGTATCAGCAACGAAGAGTCCACACTTTGCACAGAAGATCTCCGAATCTGCTCAGCACACTCCTCTGGCTCAGACGAGCCCCGTCTCTGTCAAGCAAAATGGCTCGGCTCAGAAGCTCGCCTCTGTGCATAAGAGCCCTGCAATCATGGCTCGTACCCCTGCATCTGTCACGAAGAGTCCAGTCTCAAAGATGTCGATTCGCAAGAGCCCTGTGTCTACTCGTCGAAGTGCAAGAATCAGTCTTGCGGCAGTTCAGCCGCAGCAAGATGCGCAAGTCGAAGAGACCATGCCTATACCTACTCCTACAAAACCAACAGCTACGACGCAGGCTGCAGATGAGGTGCAGATTGAGCAGCACTCCTCAGCACCTGAGCACGAAGTGCACGATGAACCAATGGGTGAAGTCAGCTATCCTGCCTTACCTGTCACCGAACCAGAAGTCAACGACTCCAGCACGGTCAAATCACGAATCCCCGAGGCAACCACCACACCGCAAATTACCGAAACACCGTCCGCACCTTCACCAGTGCACCATCATACAGCCGTCTCCATGGCGGGATCCCCGACACGTAGCCCCGCTGTTGCCACACCTAAGCAGATTGATCTCGAAGAGCTCAATCCAACATCACCATCTCTTGAGAAGCAGCTTCGAAGTTCGCCTGTCAAGTTTGCGGCAACCCCTGAACAACCGAAGCAATATACAGAGGAGCCTCGCAGTACGTTTGCAGACTCTATCAAATTCCTTTCAACACCGAGTAAGGAGACTGGCACAAGTCCGCTGAAGCGTCTTCGTGCTTTGACGCCCAAAAAGTCCCCCGCGAAGAAGGCAATGACCCCGAAGAAGATTGCAACGCCGAAGATGTCTACACCTTTCATTGTTGAAAATCGAAATGCACCGGGCCTGCTCGACCTCGAAGCCGCTAAGAATATCTTTGCGGTGCCGAAGACTGGGCCTCCGGCAAGAAAAGTTCGGCTCAATGATTTCTTGGATCTCGCCGGTATCAAGTTCATGGACTTGACTGCATCGAAACGTAGACACACTGTTGCTCCCACGCCTAGCGAGCCACATGGTGCTGATGGTGAAGAACAGAACATGGATCTTGAAGGAGCCGTTGTTGCAGGTGCTTGCACGATGCCTATGCTCGATATGTTCCAGCATGCCTGTCGTGAACTGAANAAATACATCTCTGAAGGCAAGTCTGCCCTCAAGAGTCTGGAAGCCGAGGTCTATGATGACCCTCCACCATTCTTCCAGGCTTACATGGATGCCACACCCGAGCGTAAGTCTCGATTGGACGGCAACATGAGAGATGCCAAGACGAATGCGAGAATGAGAAGCAAAGAAGCTTGGTATGACTGGCGTAGCAAGCTCCTGGACGGTCTTTCGGATGGTCTTGGCCGAATACGAACTGGTCTTGATGCAGATGCTGAGATTTTGGGCCAAAAGCAACAATCGCTCGACGCTGTGCTTCCTGAGTTACTACAGCATTATGAAGGTCTCTTGAAGGAAGCAGAACAACTAGAACAAGCTGCAGCTGCGACTTCCGAAGAAGAAAAAGAGGAGTTGCGTGCTTCCCGCGCTCGTCTTGTTGAAGTGGACGAACAGATCGAAGAGCGCAAGCGCATGCTGGCTGGTCTTCAGCGTGATGTTGACGAGCAGGACAATCTTGCCGAAGCCTACGAGGAAAGTAAGATCGAGAGCTTGGCTGCCATACAGGAAGCCGAGCGTGTCAAGGAATCATGTCGTGGCTTCACCATCGATGAGGTCCAATCACTCAAAGGTATATATGCATCGATTCGAATACGATGTTTGGGCTCTACTAACAGAACCACAGCATCAGTGGCACAGCTTGAGAAGCAAACAGGCTGGTCTATCGCCTCGGCCTCCGGCACCAACCTCACAATGACCTATGTAAACACACTGCAGCTCTACTTCAACACAATGTCCTTCAAACCAACCTCTTCCGCACAAGCGACAAACCCAACGAACTCGCCTATCTCACTTACGCACATCACTCCTGCCACATTGACGACAGAGAAGCGCTTCTTCCTTCAACTCATGCGTGCGCAACTGCAATGTCTGGATCAAAACACCATCTCTCTGAAGCAGCTTCTCGGCTTTGTGCAGAGAGGCTGGGACGCTGCCTCACTCATCGCTGAGCAAGTGCGCTGTTTGACTTTGGAGCAGCTCGTCAATGTTAGCATCCTTAGCGATGAGCGTCTCGCTATTGACGTCTGCATCTTGCTGCCCAAGGTTGAGACGAAAGTCAAGGTGGGACTGCGATTGACAGCCACGCTCTCAGATCCCGAGGCACAAGACCTGGATATCAAACACGAGATTGATGTTGACGCCAAAGTGGTTTATGGCGAGCCCTACAACGAGAAGAACATGTCCGAATTCGTAGGCAAAAGAGTCAGAGGTCAAGGATCCGAGGGTTGGGATGCGACGATCAGAGAATTGAGGACGAGACTCGTCGCGACTGGACGTAAGGGACGTTGATTCAATTGCCGTGTTATCCTTGATTGGTGTATATATATCAGGCAGCTATATTGTGGGGGCTTAGCACACGGAGTTTGGATAGAGAGGGCTGTGAACAGAAGGAGTTCTTGGTTCATCAACTGGATAGGATTGAACTCTAACGAAGAACATGACGATATTTGCATCACTTGCTCAGGCATTTAATCCTTCCTTTCTTCGGCCATCGTTCTACGGCCGCAACAGTGCTTACCCTGAGATTGCTTAGCACGAATGAAGCCTTCGGGTGCAGAGATCCTTGGATCCTTCCATGGCGCAGTCCCCCCGCGTGGATGATCCCCGTTGCTTCCCTATTTGGTTTGTGACTGAGAGGTCAGCTGACCCTGTCCTCAAGCGACACTCGAACGACACCATATAATAAATACCTTGCTGCCTTTGTTGGAAACAGAGAGCACCAATTCACATTCATACAAGAGTCCATCAGTTTACACTCCATCAATTATCAGGACACACAAAAATCAAACAAAATGCCAACTCTTCTACCACGCTCAACAGCTCCAAAGTCCATCTTCGACGTGGATGACAACAATCAAGGGCAACCACAAGCCAATGCTTCTACTTCATCAACACAAACCCACAATGACCCCTACGCCTCCACCAGAAAACCCGAGTTGGACCCAGAAGTCTCAAGTGTATTCACCCAATCCACCATCGGCCCCTCGGAGTCAATCCACCAAGGCCAACAACCCTCATCTTCCCGCTTCAACTTCCTCAAACGCAACAAGTCAAAGTCCGAGCAACAACAAGAAGCCTCCCTACTTCCCAACAACAGCGACGGCGCAAACACCGAAGCGAAAGAGGGTAAGAAGAAGAGCAGATTTGAGAATCCGTTCAAGCCTCATGTGCAGACTGATGAAGATAGAGCTATTATGGAGAGAATGCGAGAGAGGTTGGGGAGTAGAGAGGAGGCGATTAGACAGGGAGGTGCACAGCCAGCAGGTTATCGTGGCTACGGAGGAGGCCAGGCCATGGGTGGAGCTTGGACTGGCGGTATGTAAGCAGGCGGTCAATGTGATTGTTCCTATCTAGAGATACACTACAGAGAGAGCAACGGGGCTCGGTTGTTTTCATTTCGAATGAATTTATTTCTTGATATGTCTCAATTCAAGACCTTGATGCTGGGTATGTTCTCTGCATGTCACTTTGTCAACTTTTCTTGTTGATGAATACTTTATGCCGCTCTATCTGCTATGTTTCAGGAAGGAGTGATTGGCTGTACTGCCTTCGGTACATGTTCTGTGCCTAAATTCTGCGAGGAGAATAAATTGAGCAAGAACAGTAACGGAGAGCAACGAAGGCTGACGCTCTGCGATGCAAACTCTAGAAGTGTCACTTGCAAAGAAACCGGAAGGAACGTCCGTTCGACGTTGCCCTATAAGAGTACGCGATTCCCTTGGTCTCCTTTTTCCTTCTTGCGAAGATGTGCCTAGGGGATTGTTGAAAAGAGACTTGTTTGTCTTCTGTCCCATGTCTTGTTACTACGGCTTGCCGAGTTTGAGACTCGTTAGGTGGTGGGGATAGACAAAAAGAGGTAGGGTCGCTCTTGAAGTCAGCGTGATGATATGCTCGCTACTGGCTGTTCTCGGTCGTTGTAAGAATTGTCTGCGACAGCTCCACTGGCATATCTAGACGAAGACCGCTATGTCTCCTTTGCAAGGCCACGTTCCTCCATTCTCTTGCTACATTCTTGACTGCACTTGGCTCGAATATTAGCTGGACTGATGGTCAGATGAATAAAGAGGTGCGAATGATATTAAACATGAGGAAATACTCTCCCGACAAACCCAATGGGTATCAAAAATCGCCAAATGGCACAAACACAAAGCAACAGAACGCCATGACTTCCTCTCAACTATCCCCCTCTTCGTATTTCGGCTACTGGTTCTTCCCACTGGCAGAACTCATGACGCGCTGAAGCATATGACCGACAGTGTTTGCCCTAGTCTCCTTCTCCTTCTTAGGCTTCTGATCCATAGACTCGCCAGAAGGAGGCGGGTTGGCAGCAGCAGCAGCCTCCTCAGCACGCTGTCTAGAAGCATTTCTCTCCTTGATGTCGACAATCTGGTCTTTGCTCAGCGAAGCCGTGTTGCCCGCACCACCTCTACCCCATTGAAAGTTCTTCTCGGGCTCGCGGCCGGCGCGTGGGTGGGCCTCGACGTCTTGGGTTTGGCGCGTGATGTCTGGGTGTACGTTGGGTTGCATGTTGCCCTGACCTCCTCGGCCGGTGGTGTAGGTCTGGGATTTGATGGTGGGTGTTTTGAGGTCGGCGGGCTGGAGGTTGGGCGAGGCGGGCGCCATGTTGCCTGGTCACTGTGAGCGGCGGCCTTCGTTGCTATGCGTTCGCATCTATGCAGTCATACCTGCTCCGCCGCGACCATAAGATAAGTTGGCCATTTGAGATGCGAGTCGAGAACGCGCGAAAGGGTGTTTCGATATCAAGAGTAAGTTATGCGGGGTCAAAGTCGATTAGGTATCGTTCAGTTCTCGGTCGCAAAACACGGTCAAAGAATTTCACCGTTTTGATGCTACCGTTTTTGCGCAGCTGTGCAAGCGTCGCTCGGGTGGATAGATTGTGGATGCGCAAACAAGGAAAAAGACTGCGATCTGTGCAAGAAAGGACAAAGGGGATCTCGCATCCTTTGGGTCTCCCGCTCTTGCCAAACCACAGACACATTCAGCCAAGCAACTTACCTTTGGCGCGCTGCTCTCCACGTGCCTGAGCAGAGACGAGTTGTGTGTTTTCATAACGTAACTTCCTACCACCGCTGCCACGCCTCAGCTTGGCAGTCTGTTGGTGCGCCATCTTGGCCAGAGTTTGATAACGACCTGCCAGACGAGAAGAGTAAAGAGTGCGTTTGGCCAAGAACAAAGAAAAGAAAGATGTTCCATGTTTGTACAGGAGGCTGGCAGTTTGAGGTCTTGGAATAGATAGGGGAGCAAAAGGAATGAATGGCATTAGTCACCGCAGGCCGGTCGCACGAGCTCTCAAAGACCGGCGCAGGTTGTTCATTCAACGTAATGCTAAGGGACCGACCCTGTCTACAACTTTCGACCTGCCATCACGGTGCAAACACTCACGATATTGCTAAGAAATAGAGCAGATGGCATTTGCGAGAGTATGTTAGACAGTAGGAAGTCACTACATCGCATCATACGCACAATCACAAGAAGAAATACCATGTACTTGGGGGGAAAAAACTATTTATACCATCTCATTCGTTAAAAAAGACCATAAACAGCGTCCAACACCCTCACCTTTATCCACTCAAAAACTGAAGAGACCAAAATAGAGCCGCCTACTGATCTCCTGGTTTTCTTCTAGGAGCAAAGCAGTCATAAGAAAGGTCCCACAATATGTACTGCCACCACTTGCGATAAACACAAAAGCGGCAACGGCCATGAGGGCACCACGTGCAGTGGTTATTCTTATTCCAATTCGGGTTAAGGCATTTGTGGCACTTCCAGATCATGTTTGCTGAGGTGGATGGAGTTAGTCAGTTATAGTAGAGAGAACTCGCTGACAGAGAAGCGGGAAGCATCTTGTTATGTAGTAAACGCTCGATGATGGGAATGAACAATGCCTTTGTTTCGACGACAATGACCAGAAGAGTGTGTCAATACACGTGCTACTATTCAGGAGGGAATACAAAGAACAGATTCAAGAAGTCAAAGATAAATCATCACTCGAAAAAAAGAACAAGATCGGCTGACAAAGAAGATGATGAATTGCAGTCATTATGCTTTATCCTTGGATATCCACAGAACAACGACTTGGGCTGGAAACATATGCTGAGAGGCACTAGTATCTTGAGTCACCACCAAAGCCCAGGGAATGGTGAAGAAGAATACCGATCTGCAAACAAAGAGAAGAGGAGAAAGCTGTTGATACTGACCACATGACAAAGGGTTCAAGACGGGAGACATCGTTCGTCAACGCATGCGGTGTCCGACCTCATCTTCCCGAAGAACTTTCGAAGATAGCGGTCACGAGCGCAAAACACCCTCCGAGCCGAAACACCAGTCATATCAATGGACAATCTTGCAAGAGTCGGATCGTCCAGATCAACCATGTGCCTTGAACTCTCAAAGGACGTAGGTTGCCCTGAAAAGCGATCTCTCATGAACTCAAGCCACACAGGTGTTGATGCACTGACTATCTCGAAATGGTCCACGCCAGGATACTCCTCGAGACGCACGCGATTAAATCGAGTGGCGTTTTCATACGCCCGGATAGTACATTCAGGAAGGATGGCTGTATCGCTGAGGCCTTGGATGACTAGCATCGGCATTGATGATAGGGCGCCTTGCGCAGCTGTTTGCTGTCGTGTCCATTCTTTCAGGGTGTCATCGTCCTTGGGGTGTCGTCGTCCTTGGGGTGNTGCGCCCCCGGCTGCGACAAGCTGCTCATCTTTGAGATCAAGCATAAGACCTGCAGTCGCAAAAAGACACGATTGAGCAGCACCGGCGTATTGTATTCTTTCTTCAAGTGCTCGAGCGGCCTATGGCATTTCGTAAGACGGAAATGCCGCTTGGAGTCCCATGAGAAGTAACGGAGTTTCGGCTTTGACAAGATAGTCATCTGAAATGGGTAGAGGGAGAACCTTGTCGTAAGCTGTAGTCGCGAGATTGAGCGCGTTCACGGCAGGAGCGATTGCTACGGTACCTACATAGCCCGATCGAGAGTGCTGCACGAGAGGATGTTCGGACAGCTTCTATACTGCACCGCCGCCTTGCGAGTGACCGATACTCATCCATTTGGCAGCGAATAGGTCTGGGAATGCCTTACGCACAGCCATAACCGAGTAGTATATGTCGTTGGAATGAGCAAGTAGGCTAAGGTATTTGTGAGAGGTGTAATTGTTTCCCAGGCCGACGTAATCAGTGCCGACAACAGCATACCCTTTGTCTACGAGTGGTCCCCAGCTATCGTAGTCCCGGAGCTTGTGGGCAGAAGACGGTACACAACCACGGTGTAAACCGATCGTGCCGTGAGCCCAGGCAACCAGCTTCAACTTGCTCCGTGTGTCGTGAGGATTTGGAGCCGGCAGTGCAAGAAACCCGGTTGAAGGCGCGAGGCTACCGTTGACATCGACGGAGGTATATTGAAAGCGGTATGTTTTGATGCTGGTAGGGATTTCTAGGTTCGATGCATCGAGAGACTCTATCTTCAAGATCTACACCATATTAGCCACGTCAAGAGAATAGTCAGACGATGCCCTTACGTCTCCTGGAGCTGAAGAGCTGAAGTCAGGTGCTGTCGCATAGAAGCCTTCATCAAAAGACTTCCCCAAAGACTCAAGGTCTAACCGGTTTGTGACCTCGAGAAGCAACTGACAGGTGATATTGCAGCCATGCCGGAACGCGAACACTGGACCAAGGTCAAAGTTGGTCACTTGGCCAGAAAAGTCTGCCAATGATGACTTGATCGCGATAGGAACGACGGCCAAAGCCGAGTAGAGATGCATATTGGCTGATGCAGAGATTGATGGCGAACAATGATGTCTGTGGCAGAACTTTGAATGGCGTGCAGACTCGAAGCTGTCTTTTGTGTCTGCTGTCGAATAGCTCCTTTCCAATCGAGCCGGTCTAGGGTGTTGTGTATCGACGGCTAGGTTCCACGCGTCGCACCTTCTCGTTTTACCTCTACTACAGCACGCGCACCATTTTTTCCATTGACAGTGAGTGAAGAAAGTACCTAAAGCCAGGTCGCAGCACAAGACAATTGCTCGTAACATCGAGTAGACTACATATATTCAGTAAAAGCTAAAGAAGCAACGGAACATTGGGTATCAAAACAAGAAAGGAAGATGCGATGCTAGTGATGAGAGCTCGCTGCGAACAAGCAGTACGAGTCGAAGACATGACTCTCGCCAGAACGAGAACAACATTGTCATGAACTCAGGTTTTTTCACCATCTGCCACTGGCGGCAGCAGCATCAGGAGGGAGCTGGAAAGCATCAGCTCCGTCGCCAAAGAAACTCGTGTACATGTCGCCCGAAAAGTCCAGGCCCGACAGTGCCACATCGATGGCTTGTTCGAAATCCAACCCCTGAGTCCAATCAGCGCCACCGGACTGCTTAGCAAAACTGGGGTCAAGCATGCTAGCATAGGCAGAGGCATCGTTAGCAGACATGGCTTGATGGTTTGTGGAGCCTGGCGTAGACATGACGGTAGAGGCGTAGTTTGCTGGGTTGCTGTAAGCATCACTTTGAGAGCGAGAGGGCTGATTGGGTGCTTCATGAGATGGGTATTGTGACGCTGGTGCGTAAGGAGAATCGAAGCCCCAATTAGATCGCTGTTGTGATTGCTCGGCACCTGCAGTAGCGGCCTCACTCAAGACACGAAGACTGTCGTTATCACGCGAAGAAAGGCGTTGAGGTTGGGCGCCGCGAGCGTTGAATTCCTTTGAACTCTCAACACCGTTGGGATGAGAGGTAATCCACTCCCGCAGGAGACTGAGAATCTGGTGAGCCTTCGAGAAAGCTTTCTGGGAGCTGCCTTGCGCCAGGGCAACGAAGCATTGATAGACACGGTCCAGGAATTCGGGGGCCTTGATATCCTCGGGCTTGATGACTTTGCCCAGCTCCGACCCAGGGAACGTGGCCGCGACATGCATCTTGATCAGAACCACAAGAGCATAGACGATTCGCACAAAGTATAGGAGGGCAGGGAGGGTGGAGACGGTGTCGGGACCAAAGTCACAGAAAGTCCCAATGACGTTGTGACATGCTGTGAGGCAGGCCTCGATTGAAGCCATCTGCTTCTGGCTGAGCGTTTCGGAAAAGTGACTGCCGGACTTGAGGCTTCCCTNCTGTCATGGTTGTCAGTATACAGAACATGTGTAAAGAGTAGATGAAAACCTACCACTAAAAGGCACTTTAAAGTCGTCCGTGTTGTGGTTCACATGAAGACCGATCTCATGCAGATACAGAGATGTGACGTGTTTGTAAAACATCAGTGTAGGGAGCTTCAGATGGGATGGCAGCTCCTGCTCCCACTTGTCGAGTTTCTCTTGGAGTACTTCCAAGGTATAAGCGACCTTTGGATCCAGAATAGAGATCGAAGCGGTGGGGTCCTCCATGGCAAATGAGACGGATATCTCGTCGCAGATACGTTGGATTTTGATGTGCTGAGTGAACAGGGCATCTGTGGGAGCAGCGTCGGGTGAGTTCTCTAGGATGTCGACGCACTCCTGCATGTAGTTCGACCAGCGCAACAAATTAGGGCGGCGCAAGACCTGTGAGACGCTCGCCGAGGTGTAGTAGCACGCTAGCCATGCCCTTCGCGCATCAATGGCGTCCGAGTCGACGAGTTGACTGCCGGGACCAGGAGGCAGGTCGGCACCGACACCACCGAAGCCACGCTTGACCTTGTTCGGGTTGAAGCGCTTTCCAAGACCAACATCTAGGGACATGACGACAGCCATGTGAATGAGCATGTAGAAGTTGGCCTGGGCAGGACGATCCGGAGGCTTGTGCCAGAGGAAAGCGACTTGCAAAGCCTGAATAATCTCGAGACTCTTCAGGCCTTTGCGGATGACGGCTGTAGCAAGCACGTCGAAGACCTCTTCTGTCAAAGCGTCTTGGATTTCAGTCTCGACAAACCTGAAGCAGGCGGCGGCAGTGATAGACAAGAACAGAATAGGCTTGTTGTCCAGCGTCCATTCGGGAGTGGCATCGGCCGGCAGCACGATGGCGGGGAACTCGGGGATCAAGCGGTCTTTGAAGTGGGCGAAGATTGTGCAAGCCGAGTTCCAGTCAATGATCTGACGAATGCGTTGCTTGACATAGTCGCCATAGTCGTTGTAGATGGTTTGGTACAGCGGTCTGGACGGGTCATCAAGGCGTCTACGCTTGCGACGGTCGTCGGCTTCATAATCAATGTGGGCGAGAGGTGCCTCGTGCTTGATGGGGTCGAATGTGGGCTGGGGGTAGGCGTCGGGCTGGATGGGCGACTGGAATGGAATGTGGGGGTGCTGCTGCTGTTGGTGGAGAACCTGGGTAAGGGCGTCAATCTTCTTCTCGAGCTCGGCAACACGTGTGTCGGCCTTCTTCTGGCGACGGCGGCTGGGCTGGGTGACGATGCACTGGCGACCAGCTTTGGCGCAGCGCTTGCACGGCTGTCCGCTGTTGTCCATGTCGCAGCGCACCTTGAGACCGCGACAGGCCTCGCAAGCTCTCGAACGTTTGGCATCGGCGGCGAGCATAGCAGCACCGCCAGGGCTCATGTCAACCATGTCGGCGCCGGCAGCGCTTCCCCGTCGGTCGCCATCCTCGTCGCTGGGCGATTGGCCGGTCGGCAGGGCGGCGGCATATCCATAGTAGGGCTGCGAGACGTCCTGGGCCTGCTGGGCAGTCTGCGCGGCGTCTCTGTACAGCTTGATCTGAGAGTCGGAGCGCGTCAGCGCCGGCGCGGGATACGGAGCAGGTTGATGCCGCGTTGGTGCTTGAGCCACTTGTGCTTGAGCTGCCTGGGCTTGTGCTTGTGCTTGTGCTTGGTACGCTGCCTGGACGGCGTCACTGGCCTCCAGACGCGGGTCGATGGGTTGCGCGCTCATGGTGCCGACTGAGGCTATTGTGTGTCAATTGTTCTACGGAAACACGACGCGTCTGGCTGCCAAAAGCTGAGAAGCTGCTGACTGGAAGGAAGGCGTGCACGGTCCGCCTCCACCTGCCCTTAGCTCTTTCGTGACTGCCCTACGAGGCTACGGCTGTCTTGACCTCGACACTTCCAGCTTCATTCGAATCCTGTCTCGTTGCAGCTGGACAGATGAGCCCCTAGATTTTGGTCAAGTAGCTTACTGGCTTTCTGTATAGCATAGAAGTCTTCATGGCAGATTCGGCTCGCTTCTACATCCCTCAATCATGCAACTGATGTGTTGGACACGTGCCTCGACCTCGTGTTTCCATCCATCCTTTGATGCACGCTCGATGGAACTTGCACAGACACTCCAGTCTGCCCATCTCAGCTCCTTCCTCGAACTCTTCAAAGCAAATGACGCACTCCTGCGCCTGTCCATCTTCGTCAAAACAGTCCTTCTCGGTTGCGTGATACACCAGCATGCGATGCCTCGCCGTATTGGCCCCTAGCATTGATGCGGCTTGTTGTGGCACGCTACCAACAGACGTTGTTTGGGTCTCGCCTGGTGCTGTATGATCTCCTGTTTCTGCCGGTGTGCCTCCGTGACTGGGTCCTGCTAAGTGGCTTGAAATGCAAAACTGAACATGTTGTTCCCGTTCTTCGCTAGTGCCACTGGTGCCATCTGTGCCAAAGGGATGATTCCTAGTGCCACAAACAGGACATTCGTCTTCCTCACTCAACACTTCTCGGCCTTGCGGTTGCTGCATTTGCACTTTTGCGGCGTGTGCGGCTGCGACTGTCGTTGGTGTATACGAGGTGGAACGGTATCGTGATCGTGATAGATGTGCCGTATCATTGTCAGAACGGGTACGAAGCCCCTGAGTTGATGATCTCGGGCGCTGCGGTACACTGCTCAGAGCCTGGTACCTCGCTGTGTGTAACTGCGGTCGATACCATCCTCGTCGCCTCTCTGATGATTCAGACAGGTTGCCACTAAAATCGCTCAAAGTTCGAGCATTGTGAGGCGCGGATTGGCACGTAGTCTGACCTAGGTCCGTTACGTTCAACGAGCCAAACACTCTGGCAAAACTTATGCCTGATGTTGTCCCTTCGTCTGCGGCATAAGTCTGCGCACGTGATCGTGTTGAAGGTGGTGGCGATCTCTGTTCATCCTGCTCCTGAGGAGGTGGTCCATAATTTGGATCGGGCACACACGGATTACAGACTCTGACAGTTTCGCCGCCGCCCAGAGCCGGGTTCTCAGGGTAGTCAGGAGGTCCTGTACTGCTCCGGCTGCGAGTGCTGCCATCGGGGTTCAAAGGTTCTTCTTCTGGAGGGTGGACAATGTACTGGCGCGGTATTGTGATGCGGTGAGGCGAGCAAGGCCCACAGACGAGTCTTCCACATCTTCTACAATGATGTCTTCGGTTGAGGAAGGTGAAAGCATTCCCACAGATAGAGCATGCCGAAAGCTCGCCGTCCGGCTGCCATCGTGGAACAACAACCTCATCAGTCATGTCTGTGTAATATTTATGAATTCCAGATAGAAAAAACGCAGGGGACTACAACAAAACAGAACACCGAGGATGTTGAGAAGTGAGTAGCGGTGCGGTGGGCTGGCCTGATATGGACAAGAGCTCGTGACAGAAGTCGCGGCGGACAGAAGCTCCGACCATCGCTTATCTCATTGACTCCCGTCCTCTCCGAGGCTTGACTGTCCAGTGTCCACGACTTGAGATATCAACCTGGTAGGACCGAAGCGGGTGCGTGCGAGTATAAAGGATGATTGTCTGCGACACTAGAAGGATAATACACCAAATGAACGCCACGCTAGCTAGACTATGTACACACGATATCCATTTACTTTTGCCATAAGAACTCCATCGCTGCCTGACCATAACCTGCCCTGTAGAACAAAGCGAAAGAGTATTACACTGTAGTACTGAATAACAGGGAAACCCACAATCATCGCGGTGCGTATTGGCGAGATTCCATGCTCATGGTTCGATCGTTGGTCACGATCTCCGCTATGCTTCCTTCACCAACTCCTGCACTGTGATAGACGCTGTCACTTGTCACACGTTGTTGCACCGTGCCCATACTGGTAGGCCTTCCGTTATCGCCGACACTGTTGCCGACATGGAATGGGTGACGCGGTGGTGGTGACGCCGGGAAATAGTCCTTGTCGGTTGCACTTGAAGGTGCTCTCTCTGGCTTGTCGTCTTGGTCGAACCTGATGCTACCAGTCCGAGAAATAGGTCGAAGATATGGTGGTGAAGATGGCCTTGTGTCTGTAATGTCGCTCTCAGAGTCCGACTCTTCAACTTCCAAATTGTTCCACGTCCCGCCGAGGCGACTGCCCATGTCCCCGTATCTCTCAGGGCTAATGGACCTACGAGCACCTCCCATTGACTGTGGGTCTGGCGAGTCCGAATAGGGCTGATAATTCATGGGTGGAGAGGTTTGCAGTTCTTGCCCTTCCTCGTCCTCAATAGGTTCGCGTGTCATGTTGGCAGGCATGCGAGAACTGCGGACTACTTCAAATCCTTTGCCTTTATCTTTTCGTTTCCCACCAACAAGACGCTGGAACCATGTGGTAGCGGACGAAACAGGACCTACAGGATCCGCGGGTCCAGTCTTGAGCTTCCTGGCTGGCGCATTCGAAAGAGCTGGACCTCTGACGCCGTAGTAGAAATCGACTTCCCTTACAGCATAGTCAGTCCTCTCTCTAGGTGTCAGATCTGCCAAGTCTGGATCCGAACCACCTCTATGGTGATTGCGTAGATATGGAGGCACACTTGAGCCTCCTTCACCATGATCGTCAACACCTCCCGAATGATCTGGAGAGTCTTGATATGGTAGCCTGTTCCAGTCACCACTTGTTGAGTGTCTGCTTCTGGCACCTGGAGTATACGGGTCGTTGGTGTTTCTGCGCGGGCGAGGTGCTCGATAATATGGATCAGAAAGAGGCTGTTCTGTCTTGATACCCAGGACTGGACGCTTGCCAGAACTAACAGCTCCCGCAACAGAGCCGCTGGATGGTGGAACAGCACTGTAAGGGGTGGTCGGCGTTTCCACTGTCGGAGTGTACGCATATTCGGACTGGGCGAACTGATCGAAGCCGCCACTAGCACGCTTGTCAGACAAATGCTGGCTAAGCATCATCTGAGAGCTGGCTGACATGCTTCTCGAACGTCCTCCCATCAGGTTGAGCGATTTGGCGTCCGAGTCGTTGGCTAGTATAGCAGCATCAGACATCATGCTACCAGGTCTGTTTGCTTGCCTACCTGGTTGCCGCTTGCGAAGCTGACGCCAACCGAAAGATATCAGACCTCCTCTCTGTGCTCCGTGTTGAGGATCACCTCCTGCACCTGCCATACGAGCAAAGACTTCTAGAAGAGTCTGCAAGGCGTTCATAAAGAAACCAAAGATGAGAACTATACCATGGACCAAAAGGATTGCATAGCCAATCCACCCTTTGGGCGCCTCAGTGACACCCAGAGATGGCACGAACGCGACCATCAGGAGAACAGTCGCAAGTCTTGCTGAAGCGAAGAATGTATGATAGGCGTTCATGTGGGTTGGCGAGTGGAAGGGCCGGAACGCATGAAGCGTTAGTATAAGAATAACCTCGCAGATGGCCATAATGACCAGCTGTGCAATACCCGAAGGCTGTACCGCTCCGATGGCGATACCTCGAATGAAAGTAAGAATGGCAGGAATGAGAGCGAAGGGAGCCGCCTCGTCAGAGTAGGTATTGTAAAGCGGACCGTAAAGCAAGACGGTTGGGAGATCGTCGAAGAGATACGCGCGTGGTTTCGTGCGGAAAATAAGGTTAAGGATCCAGAGAGCGAGGGCAATGATGGCAAGTAGAAGTATAACAGCCATGGCGACAACCGAAGGAGGCGAGCGAGGCGCCACTATCAATTGGAACATGGAAATGGCGACGATTGGGAGGAGGAAATAGTTGAAGATGATGCGCACTACCATGCCACCACTCAGAGGCCAGTTTTTCTGTCGAAGATCCTCTTCTGGGGTATTGGCGAGAAGGCGAACCAGCCAACGCACAAGGAAGGCCAGCTGACAGAGGAGGACGACGGCAACTGCGACAACCAGTAGCCAGACAGCCATACAAGCCCAGATGTCGCGCACTGCAGTCATTCCCACCAGCTGGCTCATGCGAGTCATGCCATAAGTTCCATTAGTAATGTATATTCCATCCTGAAGAGATTGGGTGCCGTCTCCATGAGAGACGTAACTTGAGTTGAAAAGCAGAGCGGACCAGCTCGCCTGCTTGGTGACTGGTGCATAATAGCCAGGATAGTTGAGGCTAAGCGCGCCAGTCAAGAAAATAAACTGTATGTATTGTAAGCAGTCACCGAAACCTGGTGTCACAAGACGCAGCAGATCCTGATCACGGCCGTAGTTGGTAGTCCATTTGAAGGGGTCGGTAGAGCCCCATGGAGAGTATATACCGGCAGCAGCGGTCGCAACAGCCACAAGTATAAGGATGGCGACGGGAAGGTATCTCAAAAGGCCTGACAAGGTTTGTCCAAGAGCAGGGGTGATGTTTGCAGAAATGCACGCGATGTCTGGAGCGCCGGCATCACCGGACTCTGCGGAAATGGTGGTGGCAATGGTCGCAAAAGCATACGGACTGTAGAAGTCATGGCTCACCGAGAAGGCCGAGAGCTCTTCGGGATCGTAAGGGTTGGCAAAGAAGGAAGGCCCCAAGGGACACGAGTCGTTGAGGGTCGAATTGCAGAAGCGACTGGGCTCGGCCTGGTAGGCGTCAAAGGTGAGGACTTGGTAGCGCTGGAAGAGGGTCGAGTATCTGTTGTTGGAGGGCGAGAGGTCGACTATCTTGCCAAACGTGTCGTTCGGATTCGACCATAGCGGATCGTCGGGAGGCGGGTAGTTGCCTTGGGTGGCCTGGCCGCTGACATTGCCGTAGATGGTGAGATTGAGATTGCGGTTGGGGTCAGAGGTGTTGAAGCGGGCGTCGACAAAGAGCGGGATGAACTGCAGATGCAGGGGGTTCGAATTGCGGATGTTCTCGTCGAGGCAATTGTCGAAGGTGATGAAGGCGGCGTCGACTGGCGACGGCAGGCCAGACAGGACGGCGCAGCCAAGGGCCAGCGCCGACGACAGAGGGCTGCATCGCATCTTGTTGCTCGCTCTCACGTCTGGTCGACGAGCATGTGTGAACCAAGCGCGCCCGTCTCACGGCGGCATGGAAATATTTGTCCAGTCGCTGAAGCGCAGCAGGATGAATCCAACGTCTGACAAGGTTGGGAGAAGCGTTTCGTTGATGGCCGAAGGCTGGTGTGTGTACGAGTTGGACTTGGTGTGATGCGCTGCCGTGTTTGACCGATCTTTCTGCTCTGCAACAACGAAGCCCAGTCCTTGATGACGAGCAAATAGTCGAGTTTGCTAGAGTAGGCACCTCGAAGGCTCGCAGGCTCGAATTGCCCTTCGTTCTCGAATATTATGATGATCGCAGCCAAGTCGGCCCAAAAATAGTACAAGCAAATCCCCCACGGGCCACGCTCTCTATGACGCTATTTGTGCCGTTTCTTGCCCGTTTCCTCGAGCAGCGTCCGAGGAGGACATCTTGAGTGCCCGATCAGATACGACATGGATGAATGGCACGACACTTTTTGATCGAATTTGCATCTTGATTGGGCAGCCGCAGCGTCTGGCGATACGCTTCACATGTATCTTTCCTGCTGTCATACGGCAACAGTACAGGTCTTCTTGACCAGGTCTTTGTTGGTCATGTATAACGATTGTGTTTGTTTGCACAGACATGCTCATCCAGAGCTCACGGGCGGAATGATGGCAACCTCATCTCCCTCGTTGATGAGCACGTCAGCATCTGCGTGGACATCTACGTATTCCAGATTCACAGTGAGAGCACAGCTGTGCAGAATCTTTGGTTTGATTGCAGGGTACATGTCTTCGAGGTGGTCAAATAGTGTCGAGAGCTTCATAGGAGCTGCCAAGTCATCCGACGACTTGTTGGTGAAGGATGCGGCAGAGGCGAAGTACAGAATGCTGAAATGACCAGCGCGTGGTCTGGGTGTCGACATGATGACTGTCTTTTGCAAAGTCAGCATTGGATGAACTCGAGGCTGCTTGGAGAAAAAGTGGTGGAAGGAAGTGGTAATCAGTCTCAAGAGTTTCTCATCGTCTAGATCCCGAAGGATGCTAAGATAATACATGCTATTTTTTCTTGACTCATCATGTAAAGCAAAGACAGATACAACAAATAACAGAGAGGGTACTCTACTGACCTTTTGCAATTGTTTGGTTTGGGAAGAAGAGGGAGAGCAGAAAGCTTCGATGGAAGAACGAGGGACAGCTTTGACTGATGGTCTGTGCTGAAGGTTATCTTATCGCGTGCGTCTAAGAAACAGCATCTTTTGGCGTGGATCATCGAGCATGTGAAGATTCAAGACTTTGATATTATTGCCACAACTCTGTCCACGCTCCCACCTCGATTTTGTAGTGGCACTCTCACGCAGACGGCCCAATCTGCACCCCAAGGAACAGAAATATCGGGACCAGGACATTCAGCATGCTCAGTCTTCGCAGCGACACGGTGCGACGCCGTCCGGACCTTGCCAAAATGTGTTGGAGTTGCGCCTTGAAACATCACATCTCGCCAACTTCTACACGACCGTTTCCCAGTCGCCTGTCTTTGCCGAAGCGCTCCGCTCCTCGGGCCTTGTTCTCTTCACGTTCAAGGGTACCCTCTCACCCTTACCTATCCTAGCACATGCACTGACTCTCACACAGCAACTAGATCGCCCACACCTCGACCCTGTGCATTCTTCAGACCTACCTGTATACAACCCCGCACTCCAACCTCTTGATCGATTAGAATCCCCTGACACCCCTCGGAGTGGTGGTATACGAGACCAACTGCGAAAATGGCACCAGGAGCATGGCCACCTGCACAAGGACATCAGCAACGAATACGATGTCGATGCCTCGGGCGAACAAACAAACAACTTCACTCGTTTAGGCGATGTTGACAATTTCCGCCGTCCCGACGAGCAGCTCGAGAACGAACGTGAAGACTCCTCTCATCTATTAAGTCCTACTGACTTTGAAGAATGGGATCCACACCATCGTTTCTTGCGCAAGGGCGACCTGGTTGTCCTCGACTTNCCCCGCTCCGAAAGAGAACCCATACTCGCCATCTTCGTACGAAGAGTCGGAAAGCCTGCACAATCTCAATTCTATACCATCAACGGAAAATGGCTCCACGCCGTCGAACGAAACATCCAGCACGTTGTCACCGACTTTGTGCCCTCGAGCCTTGTCGACCCTATCCTATCGTATCTCCCCGAATCTGGTATCACCGAAGAGTTGCTGGACAGAGCACAAATGTTCGATCTTAGTGTCCCTAGAGACGTCTCGGCTCCTTTAGTTACCAAAATGCTCGGGTTCCAGAGGACAAGCGAAGAGATTTACCGCCAGAACGCAACCACTCTTGATGGCGCTCATAGGTCCTTGGCTCATCCCACCGATCTCAAGTTTGGCACTCTCGATTTGATAGCCGCCCGACTCTTGGGAAAGGACAAGGACGAAGTCATCTCGCAGGAAAAGATTTATGCCGTCCGTAAAGCCCTCTCGAGAGGAGGCTTTGCTTTTGGTCATGATCGAAGAAGTCATCGCATCACTGGCTTTATCCAAATTCGATCCAAGGACCAAGTGGCAAACGTTGAAAAGGTGCGCAATTGGCTTAGAGCATGGCAAGATGATTTGGCAATCTTTGCAGCGGGCAAATCTGCAAGCCACCAATTCTCGCAGAGAGGCCAATACGTTGTCAACTTTATCAACAAGGCGAAATCGCTGATTGAGAAGAGTCGTGAACTCCGTGAAGTTACTCTTTTCGGTGGTCTGGGCATCAGCAAAACACGTTTTGATATCAACAAAGGAGACGTACTGAAATATGAGCTGACAACCGAATTTGACGATTACGACCGTGAGCTGATCAAGTTCTTTGAGGCATGGGCATGCTCTAGCTTATTCCTGGGTCTTCCTCGTATCGAAGCCTTGCCTCCTCTTATCCTGCAAGCGACCGGCATGTATGAAGAGCACAAGCTGGACCCGAGGACCGGCTTCATCTTCCTGCAAGAGATTGGTGTACTAACCCCTCACGACAATCGAGTTCGGTTCGACAGCCATCTGCTCCTGCCTTCTTCGCAGCACTCTAAACCCCTTGAGCAGCTCATGACCAAAGTCATCTCAATGGCCGAAACCCCTGGCTTTGTAGATTCAATGGCGCATCTACGCAAAGACTGGGGTGATCTGCCTGTATTTTGTATCGATGGCGAGGGTGCTCATGAGATCGATGACGGTCTCTCAGTGGAAGATGCTGGTGAGGGTGAACACTGGGTCCACGTTCACATTGCCAATCCGACCGCATTCTTCGACCATGACAATCCTCTTGCTAAGATGGCACGCCATATGACTGAGACTATCTACATGCCGGAGCGTGCTTTCGTCATGTTGCCCAGGTGGTCGACCAAGAGCCATTTCAGTTTGCGGGCCCAACGCCCTGTCTTGACTTTCAGTGCCAGACTGAACTCCGAAGGCGAAACGATGGAGCAGAAGATTCAGCCTGGCTTCATCCGGAATGTCAAGTTCATAAGTCCAGGCGAGGCAGCCCAGGTCGTCGGTGTTGCGGATGGTTTGCATCCAGATGTTGTCCTAAGAGTTGGTGGTGAACTGCCCCATCGTGAACCGAAGAAAACAGCCAGGTCTCTGCTCGAACACGAGGTCGAGATGCTGAAGAAACTGCAACTGCTTGCCGAGAAACGTCAGACAAAGCGTCGTATGGCTGGAGGTTTGTTCCTCGACTCGAACCGGCCTGAGATAAGTGTTTGGCATAATCCTAGACATCCTGGGCTTCCGTGGGAGCACCCATCCAGAGTCAAAGCACGGTACGTGGAAGGCGATCCCATTCTCGAATATCGCACGAAACCATTAACTTCGTGGTTCTCTTCTGGCGAAGGAGTTTCTGACATTCTTGTTCGTGAGCACATGCTTCTAGCATGCGAGATTGGTGCATCGTGGTGTGCAGAACGTGGCATCCCCATCATCTATCGAGGAACCCTGATCGACCCGGAAACCAATGACGCAAAGAGGTTTTATGACGAGGTACTGGCTCCAGCCACAGAGAAGAACAACGGCGAAGCTCCAATGCATCTCGCCATTGAATACCTCTCAAACTCTGGTTCCACTGTCCTGACAACCAAGCCCTTACACCATCGCGTCCTTGGTATATCCCACTACAGCAAGGCTACATCACCGCTTCGTAGATATGGTGATATGCTTCTACATTGGCAGATCGAAGCAGCTCTGCGTGAAGAAGCAAAAGCAGGCGGTCAACTCAACTTTGGAGGCGAAAACCAGGGCCTGCTGCCGTTCTCAAATGAAGCTCTCCAGACGATAGCAAAGGGACTACAACCCCGCGAGTCCATGATTCGTCGCGCTACCACCTATGCTGAGGAGCACTGGCAGGCTCAAGTCTTCTTCCGTGCCCACTACTACAAAGAATGCGAGCTACCGGCTACCATGAACGCTTACATACACATGCAGCCCAGCACTCAAAGGCCTGAGTTTGCTGTCATCATCAAAGAATTCAGTCTCGCCGCTACCATGAGCCAACCACAAGCCTATAATCTTGGGGATGCCAAGCCAGGTGACACGTGGGAGTGTGAGATTGAGAGTGTTGATGTCTTTACGCGAAGGATTTTGTTCAAGCCTATGCGCCTTGTTGACCGTTGGGAAGGATAGAAATTCTGTGGAGACTTGGTCATGTGCAGATATGAAAGTCAGGTCCTACCGATAAAAGTCATGAGTAACCGAACACGCAAATCGTCTTTAGCGAGGCTGAATGTCATTCCCGCAATGCCTGTGGAGTAGTCTCTGTGGTATAAGTTCCCCCAATTCCTCCACCTGATTCCTTGTGTGCTTTCGAGGTAATTACCGTTAAGTGGTGGTTTCACCTGACCGACTCCGCGTGCCAGTGCATGCATACAACTAGAGGGCAGGGCGTACGCTGTAGAGGATACCTGAATAGATAAAGTAGGTGCGGAAGCCCGGGAAGCAGATCCCTGCTAATAGTGGAGATTTGAAACAAACCTGGAACGACGTTGCACCTCTTTCGATTCGTTCAACGATAGGACTCAGCTATAAGATCTTGCTGCGTATAATTGGTCGAAACAAGAGGCGCACCACCACCCCAGCCCTACCTACCTGAATCCTTCGCGGGCCAATACCGCCGCGGAACCGCTGCATGGCACCTTTCGGAACGTGAACGATGAATCAGATGAGTCTCACGTGTTGCATAAGCGTCTTGCAGCCACGAATGAAACGGCAGCGAGAAAAGCGCCATCCTCTCAAGCCACATGGGGTTGTATGGCCCTGTGCAAAGGCACAATTCTGCTCATTTGTCTGGCAGGTTCTCTCAATCGTGTCTCAATGACAAGGCCGATGACCTCTAGCAGAAATCTCTTCTGTTACCGCCTATTCATCCGGCAATGCACATCTCGTCGACGACGACCTGCAGGACCCGATTATCGAGACGATCTAAGACGGCTGTTTGCTATGGGACCTAATCTCACATCGAGTGCGTCGTTCCGAGCATCTCCATAAGGAGCGGACGTGCGTACGAACGACGGCTGTTGGTGTACCTAGCCTATTGTACTGTACCTAAAAGGGATGGGCCTTGAGCTAACTCCATGCGCCGGCAAGCAGCCGACTATTGGATACCTGGGACAATTAGTCACGACTTCAACCTATTGGAGAATATAGACGTTCTTCGTTATCCATACTGCTGCGTCCTATCACTGGAGACCAAGGACATCCGATCGATCAGAGTACTCGACTTTCATGACGCTTCTCGATCTGCAAGCCACACTGCACATGGTATCATTCGGTCTTGCGACTGCGCCTGTATAAGCAAGGAGAGTCTCTCCGTCCACATGCATTACAATTTGCAAATTCATTAGCAAGTCATTTGCAGCCATCACGCTAGAACTGCTCCCCGAGAATCACCGTAGACCTGCTCACGGTAATGAAGTTTTATTGCTCTTTATACAGCATCAAGATGTCGCTAGCTACGCAAATTCAGACCCTCGCTAATGATCTCATAATGGTTTCGCAGGTTTGGCAATGCACAGGGCCGTAACGGCTAAAGTTCGTGCTTGCGAACCCGCGTTCCCGGAGGCGGCTTGATCGTTGCTCTTCGGTCAAAGCCGAAAGTGTGTTATGCATGACTAAAGTCAAGTCACACGTCTTGTCCTAGTTGATCTGAAAGCTCGAGAAAACGAGAGACATTATTAGTATGTTGCGTGACTGATGAGGGCTGTATCAAAGGAACGTGGCGCTTCTTGGTCAATTTCTAACCGTAGCCTTGGATCCGATCCTTACCACCACCACCTTCCATCGATACCCGACTTGCAGGAACATGGCGCTTTTGTGTGCGGTTCTGTTGGGTCTAGACCTCCCAGTCACGCTGTACCCTCATCGGGATCATGATCAACCAGAGCCTGCAGACATAAGGTACAGAGTAAACTGTTGACTGTCTCGAAACCATCTGCAAGATAGTTGATGGCATCCAATCCAGGAACACCGAATACGCAAGTATGATATCTCCATCTTTACCTATTATGTTAGCGAACGTGGTTCCCCAGAGTTCGGCCATCTGAGACTGTTGACAGGTGTCGCTTTGGTTCTTTAAGCTTGAAATTCGGAACCAGTTCCAGATAATTGCGTAGTCCAAAATTGGGGATGTGGGCCTCATCACTGTTGTCGTTAGTCCACTCTCCTTTCACAGCCTTAGCTCCACCGCTCAAAAGCATAGATCAAACTTTCTGTTGCGTCGTTTCATGCTGACGTGCCGCCATAGCATCCGTGTCTTTATGGAGGGTGCTTTGACATGCTGAAAGAACTTTGACTATGTTAATGATTCGCGCCCCTTCGAACCAGAGTCATGAGCAGCTTGTCAGTCTTCTGATGGAGCAAACAAACCCTTGGGAAATACAGGGGATCCCGACCATCACCCATACTCCGCAAGTTTTGTCGTCGTCCTCGTCGCGGGCCGAAAGGTCCCTGTCCGCCTCGGATAAGAAACTCAAGAAGCAAATCCAACCACGCCAACTCCTGAGTTGCACTAAATGTCGAGAACGCAAAGTNAAAAGTAAGCTTTCACAGACCCCAGACTCTATACACATATCAGATCTTAGCTTATCATGATAGTGTGACCGCACAAAACCATGCTCTGCTTGTTGTGCCAGGGGCCTTCCCAAAGAATGCCACTTTGTCCTTGGGGAAGGCGCCGATTTTGGGCCCATCCAACAATCTCTCGAACTTCGAAGACTGCGGGCTGAAAATCAACGACTCAAAGAACGTCTCTTAGCCGAGAGGTCTTCGCTCTCAGAAGACAGCGAGACTGAGGAAGGTGCTCCAAATGCCAGAACGAGTTCCATCGGAAGACAGACAAACCGTCAGCGACGACTTCGGGCGAGCGAGCAGATTGACAGCATCTACTTTGGATCTCCAGGGTTGGCAAGTGTTATAGCTGATGTGAGTGCGATACATGTGTTGCAGATTCTTAGAACCTACTGATAAGCCCCTTAGTTTGCGAATCTACAGGTGGAACCAAAATCGCTATCACACGCGATGCCCCGAGCGGCAGACATGTATGCAACTCAAGACGCCATGTATCCTTTTCCGACACTATGGCCTGCCATGTCCCGTACTCACGGTCTGCTACAATGTTTGCCGTCGCATGATCAGCTCTACCACTACCTTGATGTCTTCAGCCAAAAAGCTCGAGGGTTCGCCTTCCCTTATGTACCTGAAGACTTGTCGCAGAAGGAAGTCGAGCGTTTTCTCGAGCAAGCTGAGGAGAATGCTGAGAAAGTCCCAGATCTGCTCGCGCTCATCTTCGCAGCGCTTGCTTTGGGAGTGCAGTTGGACACATTCGGAAGTCGCAAAGACGCAGAACCTGGCGTCACCCAAACCAGCAGTCGCAAGGGTGAAATATTTTGTAAGTCGCTGACGTGTTCGTGACTTCCTTCTTGTTGCTAATGATCATANGCTGTCGCAGCAATGCAGGCTCTTCGTCTAGCGTCCTTCACCAGTCGTCCCACCCTGAGAGGTATCAAAGCCTTGATTATGCTCGCCCCTTACTTGACAAACAGTGGGCGATTCCTCGATGCGTGGTCCCTTTCGGGCCTCACAATCCGCTTGGCCCATTCTATCGGCTTGCATCGCAACCCCCGCTACCTGGACCCAGCGCCATCGCTCCGGGAGTCTACAGTGCGCAAACATCTTTGGTGGTGGCTGCTACATATGGACCAGGAGTACTCGATGACTCTCGGTCGGCCGCTAGGCATCTCTGGGATCGGAGACTGCCCTCCACCCGACCCTCTCACCACAGATCCAGTAGCGTTACGACTAAATGAGTTCTTTGATCAACTCACTATTCACGGACGACAGATATTGAGCAGTAACCAACTCACAGACTCAAAGATCGATATGTACACCGATCGGCTGATTGCTCTGTGGGATACAATGCCAGACTCTCTGCAATTCAACAGGTCCTGGATTGAAGAGGAAACAGAAATCCCTGAATGGCCAATGGAGACAAGAGCGGCGAGTAAGATATGTTTTTCCATGGCTCAGAACACATACCACTAACCACACTTTCTACANGTATCTTATTGCAGCATACACAACTACATCATCCTGCTCAATCGCCAGCGTATCGAGAACAATCGAAATAGCCCAGACTACCGACCGCGCTCACCAAGATTTCCTCACCTCGGCGGCGTTCCCGAGTTCCCCCTGCAACCAACATCACACACACCCTCACCCGCTCCTGTGGTGCCGCGAGGTAGACCGCTAGTGATCGAGTCTTGTCTGGCACTACTGGACGCCTTCCAATTCTTCTACAAACGCGTACCATCTGCGCTCGTCGATTGGACGATTGGCCAACAAGCTTTCAACGCTTGCATGATCCTGTTGCTCGATGGCCTCGACTGCGAAAGTATTGAACATGTTGGAAGAGTAGAAAAGTCATACGCGATATTTGTGGAAATGGACAAAGCAGAGATGCACCAGCTTACAGGATTGGCCATGTCTCGGATCACAGACGGGCTCAGACTCCTGAGACAACAATCTGAGACACGCAAACAGTCGATGAATGAACATGCCATATCACCTATGACTGTACCGCACAGTCACGAGGGCGTCGCTGAGAACCCTTTCGATTTGAGTATGGGTCAACAGCTATGCAGCCGTGACTTCCTGCACGAGTCTGTCATGGGAGCAACCGGCATGTTCCTTCTAGAANNAGATCCTGGCCTTCAAACTAGCGCCGCTCGACGCAAAGGCCCAGCTTCTGCTGGCAGCCTACTTACCCCTGAAGTTGCAGTTGTGCCTTCTTCAGAACCATCAAGCTTTAAAGGCGGTTTGATGCCTCACCCAACACTGCTGGACCCACGACGAGACTCTGCACATCCTCTGGTGTACACTCCCGCCTATCATCTTGCCCCAATGCCAGCCGTACCTGCCCACTATCATCAACTCGTACCTCAGCATTTAACAGAGATGCAACCTATGCCAGCTTGGAACCATGCCGAGGGTTGGCGATCCAATGTTCAACAATATCAACAGCCCCAACAGACACTTTACACACAACAGTTGGCACGAGGGGGAGGACATCATGGACCCCTGCAGCAACGAGACCAACATCAACAGTAACATCTTCTACCCTCTCTCAATGGATATTGGGCAAAAAAATCAATCCTAGCATAACGGAAATGGGGGCAATCTTTGTTCTATACCCTGAGTATTTCAGCATGTCCTAATGACGAACCATACGGTATCTACCATTAAAAGAGGTGATCCCATCTCTTGGGTGTTCTAGATGCCCGGCGTGTGAGCAGTGAAAGTACGCAAAGGCTCAAAAAAAAACAGAGCAGGCACTCAGCTAGCGGCGGGACGGCTGTACAATGCCGACTAGATGAAGACGACAGACAAAAGATCTAGATGCATCAACTACATGCATCATTCCCGGTCCGAGATTTACACGGGTGTGCTTTCGGAGTTCAGCCCAGCGTCTTTTGTAGGCGATTTTTTCCAAGCACCCAGGCGGCTTTTGGAGGCGTTGTTGCAAGAGCTTTTGAAGGCGTTCGTTGCAGGTCAACGGCCGCCCGGGTTTTTTATCCGGTTTACGAGGCTATGATCAAGGGAAATCGATCTAGAAGTCGCAGGGAATTGTGGCCTTGCTGGGGGTAGTCTAACGTGGTAGCCTCTAAAGTGAAGCAGCGAGTCGTGTCCATATGGTCAAATGCTTCATTTTCTGCAGAAGTGAAGGAAGCTTTGTGGAAACCCGTTGACTGCTCAAAACACAAAAGTGAAAGAACGATTCAGCTAAGATGAGGAAAACACAGTCAAGCGAGTCAGGAAACAAATACAGCTAAACCGAGACCCAACGTGAGAAGGGACGACTGCATACGATTAGCTAGTGAAGAAAGAACGTTTTGACTGTGATGTTATCTGGAAATCTGGCAAATGTACTGTTTACACTGCTTTGCTTACGCTTCACTCCTCTCCTCTTCCTGCCAACAAACAAGAAAACAACCTCTCAAATCAAAACAAAAACTGGTCGTGGATAACATACAAGGGCCGATAAAATCCTTAAGCGCCTTGTCAAAAGTCCCAAGTGCCAAAGATACCAAAAGCCAGGAGGTCGAAGAATCAAGGGAGGACAACTGGTGGTCTCTAGCCACTACCATTCTCCCCTCCGGTCTTGTGCCGAAAAATCATGCGTCTCGTGCCACCGACTTTGCCCATCTCTGCCCAAGCGGCGTGGTCGGGCTCGCTCTTCTTTCTCTCAACGCTGCTGGCTTGTTTGGCTCGAGTCATCATCTCTTCCACCCAACGTGCCTTTTGCTCGTCAAGTTCACGGTTACCGCGCGAGTGTTTGGCTGACGGGCCCGCAAGGCCAATCTCCTGGCCTGCCCATGAGGACGGAGAGGCATTCAGGAAGGTGTCTGCAGTAGACGGGCGTGAAGAACTCTTGAAGCTTTTGACAGAGCCAGTAGGGGTATGGTAGACATCGTTGTTGCGGGTAGTGGTGGGTGTGAGATCAATAGGTTGGGTAGTTGCCGAAGGACTGCTGTGCAGCATGTCGATTGGCAAAGCAGCCCCTGCAACACCAAAAGAAGAGCGACTGCGGAAACTCATACTGCTGTCTGGACGACCGAGGACGCTTCCGGGTCTACTAAGCGGTGTTCGGGTTTTCGTGCCCCCGCCAACACGCTTGCTGCCCACTTCCAGCTTACCGTCACTAAAAGTACGATGGCCGTGGTGCTCTGCGTATTGGCGCAGATATTCGCCTAGGTCAGCCCAACCTCCACCTACACGCACCATGCAACGTTCGCCCTCGCCGACAAGGCGGACGAATAGTTTGATGGGTTGTTCTCTCCCTTCTTGTGTCAGGTAATACATTTTCCCATCGGCATCGTTTGCGTTCGATCTTCTAGATGTCAACTCTGACTGAGCGGCTGATAGCGTGAGCTCCGTACGAAGGGGTTTGCTTGACAAAACGGGACGTGGTCGAGCAGGACCAGCAGCAGTACTTGGTGCAGGAGATGGCTCACGTGACGGAAGCGAGAGGGAAGGCTTGAATGCGATACGGGATGGCAGAGTGTTCAAAACACGGCTGACATGTCGATCCAGCTGCTCGGCATTCGACGTGTTACGCGTGTGTCCCTTTCTAGCCGTCTCGGGCTGGGAAATGCTGCGGTTGGTTTCCGAAGCTCTAGGCGTAGCTTCCGGCTCGACAACATAGCGACGCTTGTGAACTTCAAGATTCAGTGGAGGCGGTTTTGAAGCTCCAACACTTTTGGCGATGTTACTTCTCTCTGTATCTGAACGCATGGTTGGGGGAGGCAGTCCAAAGGAAGGTGGCTCACCACCAAAATCCCCNNCCTGATCGTCAAGTAGATCATCTGCTGATGGTTCCTTGACTAGCTTGGCCGTAAGTGGAGATGAGAGACTAGATCGTCTGGACACAATAGGTATTTCGATTGTGGTCAGCTCTGATCTCGGGTGGGCCTCGATCGAAGTCACAGAAGCTCTCTTGATCATCGAGCGTCTCTTGCTAGAGCTGTTATGATCATCGCGCTCGTCAGGCTCCTCGAGGACCTCATCGTGTCCAGCTCCTACCGAACTAAAATTACTCCACGAAGTATTGCTCCTAAGAATCGGTGACATCCTAGTTCCTGGTGATGTCTGTACCTGCTTCGCCCTGAAGTAGCCCGCAGATGAAGCGTCTTGCAGCTCAGGGGTCGCATCGAACGACCCGGGCGTTGGCAGCTCTGTGATAGGCTCAAAAGGTAAGCTCGTGGTGCTCGGTCTGGACATATGTCTTGGCCTCGAACCAACAGGTGATGATGGCCCGCTGCGAGGTCTATGTTGAGAGATATCACCGAGCATTGCATCGTCGAAAAGCGGTTCTTTTGATGTTGAACGTTTCGATCTGAACATCTTTTCGAAAGGATTGCTTTCTTGTGATGGTGGTCGAGACTTGGTCTGTGGTGTGCCGGGTAGACTGTCGACAAACATCTTCTCAAACACATCAGAGCCCATAGGATCTTTGGGTGTGTGGATCTCATCATCGTAAATTCTGACGGGCAGGGGCCAGTTTTCTGGAAATTCACTGGGTGCTGGTGAATTCCAGTTCGAGTCAAGTGTTGATTTGCTGTTCTCGGTAGAGGGGAAGTAGTCTTGTTCGATCTCTGGAGTGACAAATGCTTCCATGGGTCTTTCGAGGTCTTCTGAGAAGTTCATATGCGCAGGCTGAGAGACAGCACGGGTCGCGGCAGCTTGTGCTGGACCGAAACTCAGCCTTGGGCCTGGTGGTGACGAGGATTGCGCAGGTAGCTGTGATTCTTTTGTTGAATCTCTGCCGCTGTTGTTGTCAGGCTGGGCAGGCATTGTCAGAGACGAAGAGCGATGGAAGTGACGGAAGCCCTCGTGATTTTTGAGACCTAGACCTAGACCTTTGCGATTGCTTACTCGGCTAGAAGTAGAGCTGGTCCTGGAATGAGTAGGTGTGCCGTTGGAAGCGTTGTTAGTCTTGTTGAATAGCTTTGTGAAGGCCATGGAGGCATGTTCAAAGGGTCGGACAGGACTATTGACAGACTTTTGCAGCGATTGAGTACGCTCGATGCCTCCATTCAGGAAAGCTGCTCTGGCACGAACACTATTCACAGCCGGAGAAGCCTGCTCCGTAGCTGGCGCCGGAGACGTCGAAGCGGCAATTTTCGGAGATCCTAGAACGGGAGATGGTGCAATCGAGGACGAAGGACTCGGCGCCGCAGCTTCGTTGTAATTGACAACAATGGGCACATGGCGAGAGCGCGCGATACTTGGTGACAACGACTTCAAGCTGCCAGCCCGATGGAGAGAATCAGTAGCAGACACAGCTGGCTGAGCAGTGTCAATTGACGACACAGGTACCTTCTTCAGGTCTTGAGAGACGTTGTCGCTTTCGACATCAGAAGCCTCATCCAGATCTGGTAAGAACGTAGAGCCTGTCCCCAGGATAGGGCTCTCAACCAGTTGGATTTGGGCGCGCTCGTCACCATGGTCCCCGGATCCGGCAGAACCACCTTCTACGAGCAAAGCAATACTCGAGTCGACTTCTGAAGACGTTTTCAGCTCCGAGGCAGCATGTACACCGGCGGGTTCTTCATGGTCAGAAGAATTGACAGAGGGTGGAGAGATATCACGGATAGCTACATCAGTAGGAACCTGAGTTTTGCTGTCAGGCACAAGCAGAGGCATGTTCTGACCAGCGACGTGGCGCTCGGTCTGAGTACGCCAGTCACTGTAATTTGCCTCCAGCGATTCAAACGTGTCAATCCAGGCATCCGGAAGTGTTTCGTCGCGTCCCTCGAGGTCGTCTAGCATAGAGTCAAGTCGTCCACCGACCTTACCCATGCGTGACTCCAGTTGCTCTTGGGTCGCTTGTAAAGCATTGCGCATGGTAGATATATCGTTCGTGTCTCGAAGACGTTGGGCCATGGCAGACCAAGCATTATCCAAATCAGTCTTGGCTTGATCAAGGCCTCTGAGATAGCCAGGGACCTTGCGCAACAGCGTAACGCGCATCGACCAAGTGTCCAACAAGCGACCTAGGCGGGAGAGATCGGGCAGAGCACGGAGGATGGTGGCAGTAATCAAGGCAGTGAAGTCGTCGAGACGTTCGTAGAGCTCGTAGTCGGACGTCTTTGGCTGAACGTGTTGGGAGAGGACGTAGTCTTTGAGCTCGTCGACGTCCAGGTCGAATAGGGCTTCGCGGATGTCCTGGATACGTTGCTCATATGCTACAACCTGGCTCTCACGAAGGCTGCCCCAGTAGGGACCCTCGACGGCTTGTGCGGCATGGGCAGGAGGCTCGAACGAGCCAGTCCAGGGCCATTGTTGCAGTTCGGTGTGCCAGGCTTTGATGACCTTGCACGTCTGGGCTATCCTGATGCCGAAGGCTCTTTCCGAAGTCGATGCCTTCTCAATCAAGCGTACTAGGGCGGCCTGACTCTTGCTCTCTTCGCTTCCAGGCGTCGAGGTGAATGCTCTCAAGGTACGACTCGGAGAAAGATCGCGGCCCAGAGGATCGTCGGACTGCGAATGGTTGTGATTGTGTCGCGATGGAGAAGGAGATCGTGAGTGTGTGGGTGAGGACGAAGTGGTCGAGTAGGCTTTCGCGGGCGGAGCGAGTCGCGGAGGGTCAATGGCCGGATTTCGCGCCATGCTGGATTGTTGTGCCTTGGATGCAGTATAGGTCAAGAGGTCCAGTCGTTCATGTCGAATGCCTCATGGCCGTCGGACTTTTGTAGCAGTGGCTGCGCTTCCTGGCAGACGACGTGCTGGATCAGTATGAAACAGAGACAAACACAGACATGAGACACGGATCGAGTGCCTCCTTACGCAGTCATCGCCGGTGCATTGAAAACGGTACGAAAGGAGAAAGAAGAACAGGTCAAGCACAGAACGTACAAGGACGCATACTCGACATGTGCTCCGCTCGGCATCTACTGATCGTCTTCGGAGAACGCACCATCGAGACACGATGGCTTGGCTTGGCGCTTCTTCCAATCTATTATCCATACTCTATCTACGATAACAATCTGCACCCGTTCTGCTGGCACACGTTACAATGCAACCTTCTGTGAAACGGCGTCCGCGTTGGCACGCGTTTGTCGCGTTCTGATGTCGTGCCAGTCGAGAACTTCCTGCCACCTCTACGACTCGCTCGGCGCCTCCGACTCCGCATTTGTGAAGCTGCATGAGAGATCGACCTTTATTGTTCAGTGCTTCTGCTTGTCTTTTTCCGCCCTCTTCTCCTTAATCATGTTGTCAAACCTGTNATCACTTAGGTCAACTACCTTCGAAACTTGTGTTCTACGAGCGTAGCAAACTAACCTGGTGTACGCGCCGACGCCTTCGATAAAGGTCGTGGCCATCCATGACCACCAGACTCGGCTTCGGATATTGACGTTGTGCTTTCTCAGTCGTCCACGTGCCATGTGCCACGTCTCCAAGCTGTGTATGCTGAGCATTCCGTACCAGATGAATGGCTGTATCGTCCAACAGAAACGAGCGAACGCGTCGGGCACGACAGCAGCGATGGCGCTCCCAGCTTCGAAGTTTCCTCTGGTCCTGAATGCCACAAACGTTGCCGACACAATAATAAAGAACACAAGATACACTCCAGTCGGTGCTAGGAACTCTTTGACTGTAATGTCGCTTCGGCCGAGTGTCTCGAGGGATTCTTTGTCCATCTGCACGAGACGCTCTCGTGCTTCTCGGAAGGAGGTCATGGGAGGGTCTAGTGCCGTCCTGTAATTCAGACCGGCACACTCAAAAGCAATGTACTCGAGCGTTATATCGGATATCTTGCCGTGGTAAGCCTGGTAGCCTGGAAGATGATGGTAGCTCTCGAGATATCGAATGANCCTTTAAACTCTTTGTCAACAAACAGATACTTTCCCAGATACAATTGTACCTACTGAGTCATGATGGTCTGCATTCATGTGAGTGATGATGCGGGCCTTCGCTGCTGCATCTTTGGATGCCTGGTCACTCATGTTGTGTTTGCAGTTGGAGACTACACTTGGAAAGAAACGATGATATCAATACACGATGGCTTGCCTTCAGGAACCCCGATGATTAGATATGTATAACGAAGCCGGGGTCAGGCTGATGGGACTCCGGATCTTTCCCGATGGTCAAAAGTCGTGACCACCCGCCAGTGAGAGTCCTTCTTACGGCTCATGCTCTTGGACTACTCCATGATCCAAGGACAGAGAGCAGGTGGCAGCCTGTACTTGTCCTCTGATAGGATCTGTTCGAATCCTTACCTCAGTGATATTCGGAAGTACAGATGGGACCGGAGTGACCCGCCTCCGAACTGCCACCTGGGGATCATGCGAACGTCTTGCGGATTCACATCATAAACAGCGTGGTGAGCACGAAAGGTACGTGGTAAAAGGCAGTTGCTCAAAGAGGGGGAACGAAGGCCGCATGGCATAGTTTCCTTTTTGTTCCGGGCGACTTGTGCTCGCAGAAGAAGAAGTCGGAGCACAACGACGCCAAATTGAGACAGTCCTCTCAACCATCTCTGTTCGATCTCGATGACCACGAAAAGCACTTTCGATCATCGCTCCTGCCTCTGCAACAACCTGAGGCGCCTCGCGCTCCAGCACCAGCCGGTCAGAGACAAAATCATCATCAATGTCAATCGGCGTCCACACTCCAAGCAAGCGAGCGCCATGCGCGCCGGAAGGTTGAAGTGCCGTCAGCTAATGCACAGACGCAGTTCGATCGTGACGCCTCAACACCTGTGGCTGGTCTTGACATGGCCCGCAGATTGCAACTTCTAGCGAACTTGCTGCATTGGCTCACGCGCGATCAGCACGCCTGCATGCTGAGGTGCCCACTTCGGTCCTCGAGAAATGTGGCTGGTGAGCCAATGTTACGTCAAAGGACTGCCCTTTGACATTGATGCGGGTTTCGAAACCTGTTCGGATGCCCAAGGGTGCTCTGCCAGTTTTCTAAGTATTAGCCGGGTCTTTTTCCAATTCTCTCGTCTTTCTTTCTCCTCGCAAGCAACCTCACTTCCCCACACTACACCTACTACATCCCTCATACTCACAAAAATCCCTATCATGTCGGACAAGCAAGCTTCTGCTGGAGCCGAGGGCGGTGCCAGTGCCCCCGAGAGAAAGAAGCCTCAGAAGCTCGGCCAGAAGAAGCCCCAACAGCAGCCCACACCCGACCAGTCGGAAGGAGACGGTGGTGCTGACGCTGAGGCTGAGGCTGGAGGAAACGCAGAAGCCGATGCCAGCGCCAACGCCGATGGAGAAGAAGAAGCCGAACCGGAACCTCAACAACAAAAGTCACGTCAAGCATCTCAATCTCGCCGACGCCAGAGCCGTGGTCGCGGCCGCCGCGGACAGGAGAGCGACACCGAATCAGTTGCCAGAAGTGATGCCTCTGCAAATGGTGGACGCCGTCAACGTCAACGTCAGAAGAAGCAAGGAGGCGGTGGTGGTGGTGGTCCCCTGGACGACATTACTGAGAATGTCCCTGGAGGTGACGCAGTCGGTGGAGCTGGTGAGATGGTCCAGAACACTGCTGGACAGGCCGTCGACCAAGTCGGAAACACTGCCGGTAACGCACTCGGCGGTCTGACCGGCGGCGGCAGCCAAAAGCAAGGTGGCGGTGAGGAAGAGGAAGACGGCGGCAAGGGCGAGCAGCTTCGTCTGAGACTGGAGCTCAACCTGGATATCGAGATTCAGCTCAAGGCAAAGATTCACGGTGACTTGACTCTTGGACTGCTGTACGTATATCGAAGACTTCTCTCATCTCGCAAAACTAACATATCACCAGGAACTAAAAATATTGCTGCTGCGCATACGCCNAAGCTGCGTACGACCAATGTTNNGACGACACTTATAATGGGATATCATGGAGTTTTGGCCCTTGTTGGATTACCACATGTTCATNNTGTTCTTTCCTTTGCTACATCATGTAAAGTACGTTTNAGATCGAAGACGACGAGACGACTTTTATCCATTCAAGGCATTCCACACGCGTGATCTTCTGGCTGAACAGTACGAATCACACATGCCTCAGGCAACTTCTTGCTCGCTTTCAATTGCTCTTTCCCACATCATTCCTTCCAGCCCAACCTCGTATGATCAATTCAANNTCTATGCACATACACAACTTGCTCGAGGTGTTCTCGTATCAATTAAAGCTCGGAAACACGACANCACAACTCGCTAGGATCTTCTGACAACCTGACGTCGACATGCCGGNNCCAAAAGAGGCGCAGCGCCTCGATCACGAATAGTGTTCGAGCGGACCTTGCAAAATCTCCTTGTTGCAAATTGCCCTAGGAAGAGGGTGTGGCCGTGCCTTGATTTTCTTCACATGCAACGAAGCCACTTTTTACGTCGCCCAAGCCACAAATTCGGCAAAGATTGCGGTTCCAGGAACTTCACCCCGCTGTCAACCCTTGTTCGAGGATCCGAATCGAGTCGCTTTGCTGCAACGCGTGTCTGCAACGAGAGCAACGCAGTGCCGTGCAGGGCCGCTTTCTATGACGTGTGGCTGGTGTGCAAGACAGTGCGGATCCCTAGGAAATCAGGTTTGTGTGGCACATTGTTCGATCATGGCGCAGGCGCGGGGCCAACCTCGCTAGCTGTCTGCTGCCCGTAGGCGGGAGGTTTGTCCGTCGAGATCGAAGGAGAAAGAGCCGGGAAGGCCTGACAAGTGAGCGTGTTTCCCTGTCTTCAATTGCATTCCCGCGGACGTCACTGGCTTTTCTCTTTGCTTGTGCTTGCAACTGTCTTGCTGCTCTGACCACTAGCCCAACCCAACTGTGACTTCCCTACTCGAATCTGTACAACCACATCCCCATTTTCCCACCTCCAACACCAATTCAAGAGGACTATTGCCAGCATGCCGCCGAAGCCCACCGACGAGGAAATCGAGCAGGCCCGCCAGGACTGGGAGCCAGAGTACCCCTCCGGAGACGAGAAGCGATTCCAAGGAAGCCAGGCCGAGCAAGCACAGAACCAAAGNAACCGTAACGCAACAGAAGAAGCACAATGAATACTACAACCAGGAGCAGCGTCAGACCGGTACGAACAATCGACCTCCCACCAACAACCACTCAACTAACCACCACCCAGGTCTTCAAACCGAGCGTTCCAGATCCTCCTCCCGCCGCGCCCGAAGAAANNGCGAGTAAAGAACGACCAGCGCGACGGCAAATACATGCACACAAACTCTCTCGAAGCCCTCGAGGAAGCAGACGCCAACGGCGAACTCCACGAGATGCAGCCCTTTGAGCGCATCGGGCCCGACTCGACATCCATGGACGGCCCCGTGACAAAGGCTCGCGCAGACAGAGGAGAAATCCCCGTGCGAGGCAGCAACCCAAACCAACCCTACTACAAGAAGCCGCCTCAACAAGAATCCTCTCTGCTCGATGAGACTGATGGACTGAAGCTGAAGTTGGATGCCAACCTCGATGTTGAGATTGAACTCAAGGCTAGTATTCGTGGTGACTTGACGCTATCGTTGTTGTAAGTACATCCCCGATCGTTTGGAACTGACTTCTACACCTTTGCTGTCCCCGCATCGGAATATGAGTCTAAGTATCGTTCGCAGAGAATAACCGCGTACAGTGCATGATCGACGACCCCCTTCTCCAGCCAAAGGTCACCACTACGCGTCTTTTGGCATGATCATGTAATACCTTATGTACGAAACTGGACCATCATGATGGGAAACGGCGGCGTTTGTTTGTATCGGGAGCGCTCTTTTTCTTCATATCTTGACACTCGTACTTATATTCTCTGGCTAGATATGTGCTGGCAATAAAATCTTCAATACAGCTAGCGGTCTGAACTGCTGGTCCTCGTGTGTGTATGAATGTACTGGTAAGAGCTATTTTACAGCAATGGACTGTTCCCAATACCAACAAGGCAATTCCATAACCTCACCTCATCCTTTCTGCTTCTTTGCTCGCTTCTTGCTATTGCTCTTGTCTTTGGAACCTTCTGCCTTCCTTTTCCNGCTTCCACTCGTCCCTGTCGTTTCAGTGCGAGGCTTGGAGTTCTCACGTGCAGCTTTCTTCCAATCTGCCCAACCTGGCCTTGCGAACAGCTGCTGGGGCTTCTGGATGAACGCGATCCGGCCCTCCTGCATGGATACTGGTATAGGCTGCGCGCTCTGAATGATTTCCCTGATGCCGCCATCATCATCCAACTCCTTCGCGTTCTTGTGTTCAATTCTGCTCATAGTTCTCGCTCGCTCAAAGATCTTTTCCTCGATCGTGCCTTTGAGAATCAAGGTCTCTGCGTGGACCTCTCGCGTTTGTCCAATACGGTGCGCTCTTTTCAGTGCTTGAGCTTCCACCTCAGGCCTGTTGCATGGATTGATGAAGAAGACTCGAGAAGCCGAAGGAAAGTTTAGCCCAAATGCAGCCTGGCCAATATCCATCAATAGGACACGATGCTCTGGCTTCCGATTGAAACGAACCACGTAGTCTGACTTGATCGAAGGCGTAAGTGACTTGGCATAAATGAGATAGTCAATATGGAGCACCTCGAGTGCCTGTGCGATGTAATACGCGGTGTTGTCGTTGTCGTAGAACACGAGTATCTTTTCGTCACAATGAAATTCCTCAATGCGGGAGAGAAGGTAGCTCAATTTGGACGATGTGGTGCCGGCAATTTTAGTCTTGAGAAGGGCTGAATCGACTGGCAACTGCGCATCCTCGACAAGATCCGTGGCAGAGCTCTTGCGCTTAGGTGACTCAGGTTTGGATTGTTTCAAGGCTGTTGCTTTTACGCCTGAGGAACGCCGAGTTCCTGCCTGGTTGACTGCAAGCGAAGACGAAGGTATGCCTGCCTTGACAAGCACGGGTGTTTTCTCGTCCGCTGGTTGTGAATGCACAGAGGACAACGCCTTGATACCAGCTCCAGCAAGACCCTCTGTCGGATCGGACAATTTGGTCTGGCGGTTGACATGATCTTGAGCTTTTATCAACTGTGTTGCGCCGCACAGCAAATGACATATAGGTGGATCTGGCGACCAAAGCGTTAGTAAGAGTTGATTGGTCATGCGCAGATGTCTCTTTGGCGCTGACAACTCACCTGCTCTGTCAAAAGACCAGAACGCTGCAGATTCGACTGGCCAATTTTTCACAAACAGCCCAACTTCATGGCTTTGTGTCAACTTTTTCCACCCCTCGGAGCCAACCATGACTCTGGCTTGGTCAATACAACGGGTAAGCAGACTCTCATCTTCTTCTGAACACAGCTTGTTTTGCTTCTTGATGTACGCTTCACTTTGCTCTACTGCAGCCAACATATCAGCAGCACTGAAACCGGTCCAGTAGAAAGCACTTGCACGCAAGTTGTTCAATAACTGGACTCGTGCCTTACCGCTAGCCTTGTGGAAGATGTAGTCAATGTCCGTTCTCTCGCTAGTGACAGCATTGGCAGTCAGCACAAACACGAAGGCATTCACCGTGAGTTTGTCGTAGAATGACGGTTCTAATCGCACAATCTCGTGTGTGAGCGGTGGGAGCTTAATATCGCGCTCGACATCTGCAGGCTGTGTTCTGATAACAATCGATTCCAGCGTTTGACGTAGACATTTTGAGAAGCCAGAGAAGGTGCGAGTTCGTGGGTAGGGCATCTCGTGACGGAAGAAGTAATTCATCCAGTCAGATCCCCTTTCATCTTCAACAGAACACCATGGCCTGGTCTTGAGGAAATTGGATGCCAATGCGCCGATGTTGCGAACTGCCCCTATCTTCTCATCCTTAAGGTTGAACGCTTTCCTCTGGTCGAGTAAAGCATCGCGCCGAAGAGATTCCACGGCATCGCGCAGAGGAGGTGCTGCGAAATCAATGCCAGAACCGGAGCCATACTGGGAATCTCCATCATCGTAATTGGAGGGAGTTGGGGTGCCGCCGTGCGACACAGGTCCGACCAAGTCCATCTCGACACCAATGAGATCTTTGGCTGGCGTGCCGCTGACAATCCATCGGTGAGAAGCTTCAACAAGTTTACTCGCTACAGTTGCAATTCTGGTATTCTCGTTGGCCATACCATGGCCTTCGTCAATAATAACTCTTAGAAAATGGAGGGCTTTAAGTGGCGATTCGTAGAGATCCTATTATCCAGTTGGTTAGCAGGTTTCGGTATGTCAGACATTCTTACTCACATCAGGTCGTATACAGACACAATCTCGCGTCCGGGTAGCTCCAATGTATGGACAATTGCAGGATACTGGATATCTTGACATGCGTCGACCATACGCGTCTGCACCGTCTCTATCCTCGTACTCGAATCGATTTCGACTAAACAATATGAGGTCAAAGGTCGCTAGTGTCTCGGGCGAGGGAAGGGCAACACGGTTATTATCCATAACCAGCGTTTTCAGGAATCCTGTCGTATGCTTCTCCAGTTCTGACTTCCACTGTGATAACAAGTTTCTTGGTACCACGACCAGAGTTGTTGCGATGAGTGTTAGCTTTTTTGGGGAAGGTACCGTAGTCTTGCGATTCCAGCGGATTGGTTCGACTGGTATTTCGTAGAAAGGCGCGCTCTGCCGCATTAAATCTATGCAGTGTTTCATGTGTTCGCCGGTGAGGTGTTCGTGTTTCTCGAAAANAGAAGACCACGGAGCGGAGTGTCTGTTGACGGCTGATACAGCCATTTCCAGAAGACTGCTGATCTTCGGCCGAACAGTCTCCCGATCATACTGGGCAGGTGTACGAGGAAGGTGGCCACGAGTCGCGAGTATCAGCGTTATACAGATCAACGACTTACCAAGTCCCATCGACTCGGAAAGCAACCCTCCCTTGCAGGACTCGTAGAAGCGCGGGCTCCGTAAAAAAGAAACATCCCAAGGCTCGTAGTAATAGCTTGTACCATCAAGAGCGATACGCTTCTCGAGTCGAGGATCAAGCTCGAGTTTTTCTTCACATTCCCTTTGAAGCATCTGAGCCGCAGACCTGCGTTGGTAGGGATAGAGCGCTGTCTTAAGGCCAGGTAGTTGATACTCGGCATCGAGAAGGTCCATCATAGTCTCCCGATGGAAGTGACTCGTGATTCGCTCCGATGTTGGATTTGGAGATGGAATGTTGTTGAACAGGTAATACAATGATCCCTCCTCTCCAGCTGCATACGGTTCAAAAGGCTCCTGATTATTTGGATACCCGTTCCATGCTTCAGGGGACACGTCAAGGTTTTGGATTAGCGAGAACAGATGTGAGTCCATTCCCCGGTCCTGCTGCAGGTACCGTTGGCCGACATCGCTAGGCAGGACATAGAGTCTGAGTATAGCCTTCGACGGAAGACTCACAAACAGACGAAGACGTCGGCGAGTGAGGAGTTTGTCGATGCCGAGCGCGTTCTGCTCAGAGAGACCTAGCTCTAGTTGTTGGAGTGTGGCAACGTTGGTGACCTCTTCCCAGAAGGGTTCAGCATCACTGGCTGCACCGAGGACAAGTGAGCCGATGGGAATGTAATTGCCTAAATCGTCCAGGAATCGTGCACCTTCGGGTGNAAGTGAAGACAGATTTCGAGGCGGTTTTGGAGTGGTATGGAGTTTGGGGATTATATGGCCGGGCTCATCGTGACTGTCATCACTTCGCAGTTCCACGACAACTGATCTGCGCCGAGTCGCCATCCCATTGATACTGGCTTGAACTGTCTGAGATGTGCATGAGAGAATAGTCGTGTATGTTGTGGAGTGACTGCGCATGCCTCGATGGATGAAAGGAAAGGCGGCCCGAGCGTCGCTGGTGGATTTTCTGAGGAAAGAGCCTCTCGAGCCAACGAGTGAGCTGCTCGAGTAGAACGTCTTTTCTTGTTTGCGTTCTTTTTTTTCTCCGCTAATCTCGACGCGCTGAGCGGATAAAGGTGGTTCTCAGAGTCATGCGAGAAGCAGTCTGACAAAGTTATGTTGTGAGCTATCTCTACCTTGTAGCTTACTCAGTGTAAAGTTGTTCTGTGAATCTCCAAGCTACAGGATATCACAATAGTTCAGCAAGACAGCTTCGACCAATGTATCTTTCAACCCGAGCAGATGAGGTTCTGGACTTTCTACAATTTACGACATGCATATATCCCTTGTGAGGTAGTGGATATATAATGGATGAGTTTTGATGCTCGACGAAACTTGTTATTGGGACAACCCGGACTCGGATAGAGCTCCGTCCATAAGTTTGTCACACGCACACAGCTATTGTACGCTTGTCTTCGGCTCCAAAAGATCTCCACAGAGAGCTGGAAGATTTACGGCTTCTGACAGATGCTACAATGTTTCCAGATCATCTCATATATTGCACTACCAGAAGGAGAGTGGAAGTCACAGACAGACTCGGACAGGTCACAATTCCGAAGCCACAATCGTTTGTGCGAAACTGGAAGGCCACCAAGCTTTTGGTGACACGTCGGCCAAGGCCTGGGGGCCATACGAGTAGAGGTTCGTTTTGGCAACCTAGCACTTCTCACACACGTTGATCCAACACAAAACGTCTTCATGGTCTTTGATCAGAAACAGCATGGCCAACATGTCGCCCAGAACGATAGAAAGACCCCTAGAGTTTCGCAATGCCGTTGGCGGCTAGAAATCTGGCAAGCACGGCTGTCACGGAGGACGCGTCAGTACATTCGCTTGTCCCGGTAGAAAACATCGGGCACTGGGCAGCCTGGCAGGTAAGTAGCTGATTTGGGATCTATGACTTACTCGTCATGGGTCGCTGTCTTGTTTTCACTTGCCTAGCGCTTTTTCTTATTGGTCTGTTTGTGAGGGTGCGGTAGTGCTGTTGCTGCTAAAACAGAATCGATTTGATTGCCCTTTGACACGAGACACGATATCACGACCAACCACTTGCTGGTATAAACAAAGCCGACCCAGGCAACTATCCGAGCCACAGACGCAAACGACAGAATGAAGCTCTTCGCTCGTCTCAATGTGGTGGTGCTGCTCGCAATCTCGGCTCTGCTATTTGTGGCATGGAACTTGCGCTCATACCATCCAATCACGCGAGCAAAGAAGGTATGGAGTCGCCAGACGACCGAACTTGTCGTGTTTGGAGACTCGTGGAGCACCAATCGCCTCGAACTGCCTACCGGACGAACACCATCGCTAGCTAACAAGAAGCTGTGGGTGGATACCCTTTGCTCAGAGGTGTGTTGTGTTTGACGCGCTTGATCTCGACTCATTCTGACCCATATANNGGTTGTTTGCGACCGCATCTACGACCTTGGCCAATCGTTACCCTCCTCTCCGTCCCACCGCCGGGGCCCTATCGTCGACAACGCCATTCACGCCAATCTCAGCAGATCCATGAACCTCACTGCTGACTCTGAGAACATTGGAGACTTTGGACATCAAGTTGATGAGTATCTCGCCCAGGACGATGCTCGATGGCAAGACGACGGAGAACAAAGGGGCCTGGAGAGCACCACCATTTTCACAGTATTCTTCGGCATCTGGGAGTTATGGGACTTCGTAGGCCTCCCAGAAGAGGCTGTATTACCCGCTGTGGTGGATTGCATCGCTTCCATGTTTGCCCAGCTAGACCGCCTCGTCCAAGCCAAGTCGGTGTCGTCGCATCGTCCAACCATCATCATACCCACGGTACCGGATCCCAGTTTCTTCCCTCGCTGGATCAACCAGCGTTCCTCTGCAAATGGCACAGACAAATACGGTCAGCTCCAACGGCACGCTGTCATCCTGACCGATCTCTGGAACAACCTTCTGCACAAAAAGGTCGCTATGTGGGACAAAGCTCACGTTGTCATGCCCGACTTCTATGCGTGGATGCTTGAGCAAATGCGTGAACCCGAGATCGACGAGACTGGCCTGGCAGTAGTGTCGAAGATCAGGGCAGCTGCCAAATTTACGGAAGTGACCCAGCCCTGTGTCAGTTACACCGCTCCCTCCAGTGGAGATGGAATCGAAACCCGGCCATTTACGATATGCGATGATCCGTCGCACTTCTTGTTCTGGTATGTCCAAGCTTGAGCTGATTTCTTTGTTTGAGCCCACAATTTAATGCGCTTTCCAGGNGATGACACGCGTTTGAGCGGCGCCGCACATGAGCTACTCGGCAAACACGTTGCTGGGATGCTTCGTAACAGCACCGCTGTCAATTAGGCCTTGCATGTCGAAGATTCAAAGACGAAGTCAAATCGTCCATTCCCTTTGAATAAAGCGAATAGGTTGGCTTGAACGACAAGGCAGAAAACCAGAAGCTTTGTAAATACTGGGGTTGGTCGAAGGGCGGACGATTGCCTTCGAAAATCGGTTTGTTCGCATTGTCCATGTGGTGCGTTCCTAGGCAAATCTCCTTGCGTTTGGTCGGAATGTCTCACCTTGGCCCAACTTTCCCGCATGCGGAAATCTGCCCACCACCAGAACAAAGAAGTGCCAGCTCGGGTTGTCTGTCGCAACCTCGCCGTCAGACCGGATCTGTCCAGGACAATCGGACATGAAGGACGCTCGTTCGTCATGATACAAAGAAATGGCAGGACCAATCGCCGGCTCTGGCGACAAGAAAGACGAGGCGTGGGCTTTGTTGAATAATGGCCGTGAGCCCCCATCTTTAGACCTTCGTCCGCGTATTGACATGAGGACGTCAAAGACGGCATTTTGATAACAAAAGAGTGCATTCCTGGCCATCCCCTTTCCAATGTCTGTCATACGAGTACCCCTATCGGAACCTAGGTTTTCGACATTGTCGCCGACTACTACATCATCAACTGCTGAGCCATCCCATGCCCAACCCAAGATCGTCTTCACCAGGCAGTTGTGGGAGAGAACGATGCCATCTGCAGAACACGACGACTTGAGTACAAATTCCCAAGGTATCGCAAGTGACGGAGGTGTCAATTCGCGCAGGGTGTCGACCAACATATCCATCGCTCCGCAATTGCAGCACTCACCCAAATCGCGGCTGTCGGACACGCCGCTGACGCCTGAAGAGTCACCGCCTTTTCGCGACCATCGGAAGAGGAGCGCCGACGCTCTTGACCAGGAGGAGATTCAAGACGTGAGCCCTTCGCATACCAGAGACGAAAGTACAGAGTCCTTGGTCAACTTCTGTCTGTGCCAGCCCGAGCCAAAGGTCCCCAGACCCAGGAACGGTCAGTACACGAGACGTCTTGCTGCTATGTATCTTGGAAATGCTGACAGATCACANGCGTTCATCCTCTACCGCCAAAACCACCAGGCTGCTGTAGTCGCTCAGAACCCAGGTCTTGCCAATCCTGAGATCTCAAAGATCATTGGCGAGCAGTGGAGAAACGAGCCCGAAGGAGAGAAGAATCGGTGGAAGGCATACGCAGAGGTTGGTCTGATTTGTATACCAAGCTGATATTCAATACTGACAGAATGACAGGAAGAGAAGTTACAGCACCAACAGAGATATCCGTCTTACAGATACCAGCCCAAGAGATCAGGACGGCGAGGCAGTGTCTCGTCTGAATCAGGCTTCTCGCAATCAGACCACCGCAAGTGCCAGAAGTGCGGTGGCCGAACCATCATCCATCCCACACCAAGCACACCTTCTTCGGCACGAGAACGACTTGANGAACCCCGCAGTCTGGAAACAAGTCCTTCGTCAGCCTATCCTCACCCTCCACGTCTGAACGCATTCCAACTTCCCCCTCCAACGCCATCGTCGACCACAACCCCTTCCACCCGCTATCTGCCTATGCTCAACAACCTTTCTCTGTCATCTCCACATTCTCGCAACATGAGCAACGGACACCCCTCACAGCCATTCATGGTCCAGCGTGGCGAAGACGAGCACTCATCCATCCTATCACCTGACTCGAAGCGACGCAGATTCGAATCACCACAAGGAACATATGTTATGTCGACGCGAACCATGCCACCGCGACAGAATGCAGGCCCTGGCACCCCATTTCCCTTTGGCCCACAAGGACAGCCTCATATCCAGCAAAACCAACAAATGGGTCTACCTCATCAATTCCCGCCTCCACCTGGTGCGCAGCATGTCCGCAGAGAGAGCCTACCACGACCAGCTGATCTTCTACGAGGACCAGTACCACCAAACATGATGGGACCACCGCCTCGTCCTGGGCCAGGCTACTCGCAGCATCGAGCGAGCCAAGGTCAACGCACAGGTGGACCAGAGCTCAGTTTGACACTACCNCCTTTGCAAGCCGGCACCATGTCTGGCCCTCCGACATCCACCAGAGTAGGGCCCGGACAGCCGCCGAGCGGCAACAGAGGTAGCGATCCCAAGGAGCTTGACAGGCGTAGTGTGGGTGAGATCATCGTGTCAATGTCTTTCATGGCCAAGGTGCAGATCCTCGGTCGAGTTGCACCGCCTCTCTCTACAAGCGACCACAACAAGTCGCGGGCCACCATCATCGCCATTGAGGGTGATGACTCAGAAGCGGCGCGCAACGTGACAGACTGGCTCGAAGAGTTCCTGGGCCGTGAAGGTGACATGGTTGTCAAGGTGGTCGATGGCCCCAAGCTACCAGAAGGCAAGGACGGACGTGAGGTCGAAATCCCAGAGCTACTGCGAACTGTGGCCGAATGGCATGAGAACGGCAAGAAGATTGAACAAGTAGCTCGCGGAGACAAGGAGAGAAAGGATAGCGACAGCAGTTCACAATCGGGCTCAGTGCCTGACGGCGAGGCCATGGAAGTCGACTCGTCTCATGGCAGCAGCAGGGTGGTGATACTACTGCGCACGTACACGGTGACAGCGTCCAACGTCTTTGCATCGCGGGTGGCCATCAAGGACGCGTACAAGGCAGCAGACCACTGGCAGTGGACGGCGACGTTGTGGCGCGGAATCGTCGGACCGGACATGACGGTTTATGTCAAGGAGGCTGACAAGACGGAAGATGGAGGAAAAGGCGGAGTGGAGATCAAGGAGGAGAATCGGATCATGGCGGTTCGCCGTTTCAAGGGCAGTGAAGAGAACGGCGGAGTTGAGGGAATCGAAGCGGGTACATTGCGACGTCTCGGATTTGAGGTGGGTGAATGGGTCAGGAGTGGAGGGGCAGCAAAGAAGGAGTAGAGGGCATGATATGAATCAGTACACACTAGCTAATCTGTATACAAGACGGTATGGCATTCTGGAAATGCTGCTTATTACCTTCTAGTGTGCAAAAGACAGTCACAACCCTATGATCTACCCTCTTCCTCACTAACTCATTGTGTTATCACAAGCTATAGAAATGCACAGTCGTTTTCTGAATAGAGGTGTCACCACGGAGATGGCTGAACATAACGCTCTCTCCGTGGATGTCGTTCTGTTATAGAAAGAATTGTGCATTTCTACAACTACACCGTGACTTCTATCGCACGTAGGGAGGTATGAGCGACTCTTCTTCTAGCATGTGATGCTTGGCGGGCCCAAACAAAGGAAGGCGCTTGGTGTGGGGAAGCGGGATTGGTAGGGCTGTCCGTGTCAACAAACGAGCAATCAACACCGTCCTTTGGCCTCCATCGTCGTACCGCAATCGCGCGCAAGCAACAAGATACTTTTGGACAAAGTGCAATCAGAACTGACGCAGCTCTCGTGTGACTGATAAGATCGGGTGAGGATGCATCGGCAACGTCTTCATTCCTCGTTAGCGGCTGACGGAATGAGCGTGGCAGACAGCAGCTGAACAAGGGATAAGACATACACCCATATCCTACACAGCATGGCGACCTTCATGCAGACAATGTTGGTGCAATCCTCCCCTCCCCGTCCTCTCTTTCCTGTCCAGGCACGACCGCTGCCCGCGCTGCACTCGAATGTGCTGGCGGCCAGCGAGTCGTGGTCGCAACTGTCGCTGTGCTTTCCAGACAGCCCTCCCTCAGCATCCTCGTCGTCGTCACCCCTCCAGAACCGCTTCCGCAATGCCTTGGGGAGAGGAGTACACTCAGATGCTAACATGTTCTCGACGTGCAGCAACGCCAACCGTGGCACGCGGTCATCCTTCAGACCCGCGCGCACCGCTAAGGGCACAAACAGTTGGCAGCTTAAGCAGTTCGCCGAGGCGACTCTAGGAAGCGGCAGCTTGAGAAAGGTTGTTCGCCTGCCCGAGGGCGAGGACAAGGACGAATGGCTGGCAGTCAATGTCGTCGACTTNTACAACCAGATCAACCTGCTGTACGGCGCCATCACCGAGTTCTGCAGCCCACACTCGTGTCCCGAGATGAAGGCCACGGACGAGTATGACAAGCCTCTTGCGACTCTCTCTTCTTTGTCTAATGGCTAACCAATCTCTCACAGATTCGAGTACCTCTGGCACAACCCTCCCGAGTTCCCTCGCCCTGTCCGTCTCCCTGCTCCTAGCTACATCTCCAACCTCCTCTCGTGGACTTCCAACCTCCTCTCAGACGCAAACGTCTTCCCTACTCACCCAGGAGTGCCTTTCCCTCCCACCTTTCAATCCACCATCAAGCAAATCTTCAAGCGCCTCTATCGCATCTACGCCCACATCTACTGCCATCATTACGGCGTCATCAGAGGTCTCGGTCTCGAGGCCCATCTCAACACCGGCTTCAAGCACTACGTCTTGTTTGTGGAAGAGTTTGGTCTTGCTGATGAGGGTGGCAGAAGGGATGCCAAAGCGGAGTGGTATGGTCCACTGGGCGAGTTGGTCGAGAGCATGTTGCGCAGCGACTAGTCTTGCCCGCTACATCCCTCATGCTGTTTCACTTCTCTTTATTCGGCTTGTTCAGGGACAATCGGCGTCGCCTTTGCGGGTTTGGGAGACGGTCATGGATTTACACGGTATGGGCTTTTTCTGTCATCCCCACTGCTGTCACAGTGTTTTCTTGGGTTCTATATCACGACATGGACGAGCTTGAACGTGCGATCAGACTCGTACGCTCCTATCACAACTTTACATTCTTGTTTTGCCAATTTGTATCCCGACTATGTTTATCATAGTATTCGTCCTCCGACACGAAAAGATCATCCTAGCATATATAATCGTTCGCCCATCACAGCCATTTACTTGGCTGGCTCCTCGAAAGGAGTCTCGTAAGGCGCCTCGGCCTGTGGAGTCAGCCGAGCAAGGTGGCGGCGTTGTCCGTCCTGCCAATCAAGGATGGNCGGCTGAGAAGCACAAAGGTCAGCATGTTCCTCGAGAAAAACACAATCGAGTGGCAACTTACTGTGAGCAGTGACACGATTGTCCCAAACAATGACGGTTCCAGGTGCCCACTTGACTCTGGCCTGGATGTCTTGCGAGTACGCAATGTGATCGTAAAGGAACTTGAGCAAGTAGTCCGACTCTTCCTTCTTAAAACCTGCAATACGCCTCACAAATTGCTGGTTCACGAACAAGGCCTTCTCGCCAGTGGCAGGGTGTGTCCTGACCACGGGGTGAGCGTTGGCGACGGGATCACGTCGCACAATGCTGCCACGAGCAAGAGCGTTCTGCGCTTGTTCGTGAGCAGAATGAATGGCTTTGAGCCCATGCAAACGCTTCTGGAACTCTGGAGACAGTCTGCGGTAGGCTTCTGCTTGGTTGACGAAACAGGTGTCGCCGCCTGCAGAGGGCCCGTCCAGGATGTAGAGGAATGTGGTGCCTGGGGGCTGCTGCTCGTAGGTCACGTCGCTGTGCCAGGTTATGCTGTTGGTACGCTCCTCGAAGTAGTCTTTGGCGGTTGTGTCGGCTGCTGATCTGTGGACCAGGTGGACTTTTGGGAAGCCCTTTGGAGCGCCGGAAGCAGGATGGATGTGTGAGGGGCCGAAGTATTCGGCAAAGTCTTGGGCTTCTTGGATTGGTAGGTCTGCAAAGTCTTGATCGCGGAAAGCTGATATTATCTGTCAGAGCTGTTTTGCTGGAAACGGTGGTATTTGAATATACTTACCGACGACTTTCTTTTGTGCGACAAAGAGGGCCAGCTCGTCCTTGCCAGCCTTGTCGAGTTTACTCAGCTGGATACCCTTGACTTCTGCTCCTATGTTTGCAGTGAGGTCTTCGATTGAGGTGGCTCCCTTGAACAGGTTCTTGAAAGACGGATCGGCATCTATTCCGTGCTCGTAGGCTTCAAAAGGCTCGTTGGGAGGATACTTTCCTCCAATATCCTTTTCATTAACCCATACTGGAAGGTAGTGTGGGTACTTTGCTGGAGGGTGCTTTCCAACGCCCTTCAATTCGTTGTCATAGTTTGTTGTCTTGGGACCTTGGGCAAAGGCCTCCTTGTATCCTTCCTGGACTTGGTCTTTGACGTAGATTCTCTCCGAGTCTTGCGGAGTTTCAATCAAGGCAGGAGCCATGGCTGTTTGTGGATAAAAGAAAAATGTAGATTTGTCACGAGGTAGGAGCAAAAGAGATAAATCAAAGATTAAACGGAGGGAGCTATCAAGCTACTTTTGAACACGAAATCGGATACCGGCAATTGACTCGAGAAACCAACTTGACCACAAGGAATAGATACAATGACTCTGTTGATCAGATAAACGATCGGACAACAATGTCTTGCAACAACTACACGGCATTGCGTGCGATGGTCAAAGATTGTCGCTCCCCACCAAAGCGAATCACGGCAGTTGTACGGGTAGCATCCACAGGAGAAATACAACCTTAGACGAAACATTGATCCTTCATCTCAATCACAACATCACAGACCTATAGTATGCCAGTGTTTAATCAGAAGAATATCAGGCTAATGCGTTGCTCAGAAAATGTCGCCATCCTTGCCAATGTACTCCGCAAAGCACGCCATACCACAATCACTTCCCGATTAGGCAATTCTGGACGTCTGACCGCAACAAACGTGGCCCTTCACATAGCAATACAGTGTCAGATAGACGATTGAAGGATGCTGTACTCCTCTTTACTGCTGTTTAGCCATCGGAGAGAATGGCGGTGCCGCGGAATGCTACCCTTGCAATGTCTGTTCAGGAGGGGCGGTATCCACTCACGACACACAATGCTTCTGAGTACGCGGTCCACTATCAGCGCTCAACGATATTCGATTATCCACTCATGCTGAAGGGTTTGCCACGATGTTGGATGTGTGTCTGTTTGCGTACGACTACCGTTGAGCCTTGAAATTTTAATATATCACAACTGAGGTGCCTGCATTCACCAATCTTTTTGTCCACCGTACTCACCCACCCATTCACCCCGTTTCAAAAAAATATGGGCGAGATAGAGAAATCGGAAAGCGACACGAGCTCCGACCACTCAAAGCATGTCTCGGATACCAAAGCTTTCCCTCTCGCTACTGTCGATGAGCCGGTGATTTTCGACACAGCAGGCAAGACTCGAGAGTCTGCATTCGACACCGATTCTCTCGGTAGCTATTACAAGCCGATTGAAAGCTACGAAGGATATCACAGATGGGATCCCGAATTCCAATGGGATGCCAAGGAGGAGAAGAAGCTTGTCAGAAAGGTCAGTGATTGTTGGAAATCAGTCAATTGGGCTCTTGCTAACATGGCTCTGATAATANNGATTGACTTGCGCATCTGCTCATGGGTCTGCCTCATGTTCTTCTCCTTGCAACTGGACAGAGGCAATATCTCACAAGCGCTCTCGGACAACATGCTCACTGATATTGGGATCACTACCAACGACTACAATACTGGACAAACCATCTTCTATCTTTGCTTTCTGTTCGCAGAACTACCCAGTCAGATGTTGGGCAAGAAGATTGGTCCAGACAACTGGGTCCCTATTCAGATGGTCTTGTGGTCCTTAGTCGCCGCTTGTCAAGCTTTCATCCACAACAAATCCGGATTTTTGGCCTGTAGAGCATTGTTGGGTCTTATTGAGGGAGGCTTTGTAAGTATACTTCTGACGTAAGAACTTTATAACGCCTTCTGACTTCGCTAGATCCCTGATAACATCCTCTACTTGAGTTATTGGTACAAGACACGAGAGCTTCCCATTAGACTGTGCTACTTCTGGTTCTCCTATCAAATCACAAGTATCGTGTCGGCATTCCTCGCATTTGGCTTCCTACACATGCGCGGCATCAACGGCATCGCTGGCTGGCGTTGGCTCTTTGCTCTCGAAGGCTGTCTGACCGGCATCATCGGCGTAATCTCCTGGTTCTACATTCCTCCCTCGCCCACACAGACTGCCTCGAAGTTCCGCGGCAAAGACGGCTGGTTCAACGAAAGAGAAGAAAAGATCATGGTCAACAGAGTCTTGAGAGACGACCCTAGCAAAGGAGATATGCACAACAGACAAGCTCTTTCTCTGGGTATGTTCTGGAAGTGCCTCAAAGACTACCATATGTGGCCAATCTACTTGCTTGGATTGACCTGGATGACACCGGCAAACCCCATGACATCGTACCTCACGCTCAATCTCAAGAGTGCTGGGTTCACAACTTTCCAGGTCAATCTTCTCTGCATCCCGGCTTATTGCTTCTTCATCATCAACTTACTCTGGTTGTCCTATCTCTCGGAAAAGGTCAATGACCGATTCCTCATTGGCACTATATCTCAGTTCTTTGTCTTGCCTTGCCTTATTGCTCTCGAAGTACTTCCGACGACTAGAAGTCATTGGGCTACTTGGATTCTCAGCTGTCTGGTCTACGCTCAACCCTACATTCACCCAGTCATTGTCGCTGTCACATCTAGGAATGGCGGTAGTGTCCGTACTCGAGCTGTGGCTACTGCACTGTACAATATGTTTGTGCAAGCATCGAACATCTACGCGTCGAACATTTATCGCACAGAGGACAAGTAGGAAATATTTCTGCACCTGGCCTTCGAATACCAGTCACTAACACTCTTCCAGNNACCCTACTACTTTACCGGCAACAAGATTCTCATTGGCATAGTTTGCTGGAACATCTGTGCTTTTGTCGGATGCAAAGTGTTTTATGTTACTGTGAACAAGTGAGTTTTGATCGCTAAGTTCGTGCTGTGTACCGTTGTACTGACAAAGTTTATCAACAGACGTCGCGATGAAAAGTGGAATGTCATGACCAAGGAGCAAAAGGAGCATTATCTTGCTACCACGACGGATGAGGGCAACAAGCGATTGGACTTTAGATTTACACACTAGAGGAAAGTGCGACTATCCATCCCGTCGATTTCTGAAAGATTGTGTATGAAGTCGGTAAAACGTTCTTCGTTGATCGTGTGTTAGCGTTATCTAAAGAGAACTGCCTGGTTCATCTTTTAAGAAGGAGCCTTGTAATCATCAACGTCAGTGCTGGTACTCAACTTTTCGAACTTCTTGACGTTCTCCCTGTATTGATCCAGCTTGTCATTGATACCAGCATAAGCATCAGTACCGATCACGCATCTCAATGGCGGATCCTTCATGACCGCCAACTCATACATACACCTGGCACCCTTCTTGGGGTCACCAGCCTGCGTACCATTCCTCTTCTGCATCGCACTCTTCGCATCCAAATGATCATAATCCTCATTCTTGTTGGCGCCAAAATCCATACTCCTGCCCGCCCAATCGGTGCGGAAACCTCCAGGCTCAATACAGGTGAGTGAGATGTTCCACTCGGGTTTAAGTTCTTTGCTGAGGGCTTCGGTATAGCCTTCGACGGCCCATTTGGAGGCGCAGCAGAGATGATCTTCTTGACGTACTCGGCACCAAAGCCGGTGGATGTTCCTGTGACGAAAAAGACCTTTGGCGACATTTTTTTGTATAGAATGGTTCAATTGGAAGGGGCTGATAAGGAACAACTGCTTTATCGTTGATATATGGGTTTATGTTTGGGTTTCATGGTGGACGTCACTGCTCGTCATTGTGTCTCCAAAGCCGTTAACTCCGGTGCACATTGATGGCCGCTTCCTCGGAGCGTTCGTTGCTTCCCATCTCAAAATTACAAATTGTGTCAAAGTCAATGTCAAATTGTATGAGTGGAAGTGACGACAGCATCGATTTCCAGATGAATGACCTCAAATCTGACCCATCCACTTGAACACTTCCTCACCCAACGACTCTTCCCGCTCGATTCCAGTGCCCAATGCAAGAGTGGTGCTAAAGTGGTTGTGACCCTCAAGCGACACTTCACTCAAACCATCTTGTCCAAATCTCTCCTTGTACTTGTCAACAAATTCCTGACTGGCCTCGAGGATCTCGTCCTCGGGGTCCAAGGTGGCAGTCACCACCAACAACTTCGTGATAGGAGTCTCAGCTCTCGACACAAGCCCAAGAGCGCAGTCCTCCTCCATTCTGTCCTTGTAGTATGCGGTGAGCACACCCATACGATCGGAGCCCGCTTTTTGGAAGTGTGCGGGCATAGAGACTAGTATGACTCCCTGAATCACTACTGAGCCCGTCTGAACGCTCTTTCTCGATACGGCGAGCGATGGTTCGAGGAGCCAGGTTGTGGAGTGTACCGCGCCGGCAGAGTTGCCCATGATCCAGAGCTTGTGGTGGCCAGAGTCGAAGCGGGTCTTGATCCAAGCGAGGGCACCTGCTATATCTTGACCTCCCGAGGGAAAGACACCACCATCGCCTGTGCGTCTGTAATCAGGAATCACTGTAACGAATCCTCTCGNACTGTGTTTTGTCAGCTACTTAGGCTGATAATTGGTCGAGTGATTTGTCCATACCGAGTAGTAATGTCCAATGTTTGCATACGCTAAGTCCTTGGCTGCTGGCGGACTGGGCAGTCGCTTGTCTCCGCTCACAAGGCCACCTCCATAGACAAAAACAATAATCGGTGTGTCGTCAGAGATTTGCTTTGGACTGTACATGTCGAGCTTTTGGCGTGCGTCTGGGCCATATGTGAACTCCTCTCGCGGTGTTGACTCGATATTACTTCTGTTCTTCTCATGGAGTTCGGCATAAGCCTTCATTGTCGGCATCAAACCTGGGAAGATAGCGCGACCAAACTGAGGTAATTGATCCATGGTGATGAGTCGATATGTTGTTACGTCTTGGTCGAAAAGAAGGTGAGTTGAAGATGGAAGATGCCTAGAAGAGGGGTCGTCAAGGCTTCAGATATCCCGTGGTCTAATGCCGCAGCTTCTGCAACGCGGCCGGAGCTCTACTTATCCAGGTGCCGTAGACAGCGACGAATAACAGTAAGCCCTAATAACGGATTTCGGCTTGGTGATTTCAGAAAGCGAGGCAGTGTTCCTTGAGCAGTGCAGGCGATGTGCGAGGAGAAGGTGGGGTGGTGGGGTTGGTAGTGGCTTAGGGCTAAGTTAGGGCACACCCCAGGTTCCGGCCGAGCATGGCCGAGCCCTCAGATGATCGACGTGCTTAAACATGACCATGGAACAGTGGGGATATCACTGCTTGTGCTCTGGAGTGCGATAAAGACACCTATTGTCAGCAGCCGCAGGGGTACTCTTGTAGAGCAAGACACTCAGCAATAACACCAGAGAATTGCCACGTTTGTCTGAAGCGAAACCAGCAGGAGAACTATCATTCATCATCCTTCCCCACAATCCCCACATAGAACGAACGGTTCATCTTAACACCAAATTCAAGACACACCTCCACGCCCTCGGCAGGGGTCCCACACACGAAAGGTTCGAGAAGGGTGCTAACAAATCATGTGGCTTGTGTACGGTCACCACGGATGAGACCAAACCCGAATGGCGAGCAAGTGTAGGGCAAGCTGCGATATCCACATCAGGCAGGCCTCTAGACACGCACGATCGTATAAAGTATGAAGCATGCCCTGAAGTGCCATGATATCTTTCATTTACGTCGCTCCTCTCTGATCAGCTCATCGATTCGGCATCGTTTCCTCCTCTAATCATCACAACCATCAACAGCCACAAGTCACATACACTCCACCAACCATGCCCGTCCCAATTCTCAGCGAACCTCCCGGTAAACCCGACTCCAGCTACGTGCTCCCCGTCTTCAATGGCGAACTCTGGACAATCCCCACCTCAAACTCGGTCATGCGCATGCTCGTCACCGAAAAAGAATCCAAAGGCGACTTTGCCGTGGTAACCACAGGCGGCCAACACGACAACCCAATCGGCTTCCACTACCACCGCGATGCCCACGATGTATTCCTCTGCACCAAAGGAAGCATGAACGTCTGGGCCAATGATTCTGCTCGCACACTGCTACCTGGCGATTTTGCCTCCGTGCCNCCCAATGTGGTGCATCAATACCAAATTCTGGGCACACACACCGAGTTTGCAGGTCTCATTGTTCCCGGCGGCTGGGAAGAGTTTTTCAGATTCATTGGCGAGCCATTCGCTACTTCGCCCATGGGACCTCTGTTCCCTACCCGCGACAACAGAAACCCCATGGAGGTGTTGGTCCCCAAACTCATCGCCGCAACCGAGAAATTCGACATGGTGCCTAAGCGCGACCACAAAGGTGCTGAACCCACTCTGTGCACACAAGAAGACAGCAAACTCAGCAACTCGGCAACAACACCATACTTCCTCAAGTCAGATGCAGGACCTAGGTATGCAAGTGGTGGCTTGCTCGTAAAACCTCTCTGCCAAAAGGCAGATTCGAATGGCAAATTCAGCATTGCAAGACTCGAGGGTTCGGCAGCGATAAAGTCGCAGTACTTGGCTTACAATACTCTCACCTTTGCCACCTCGCACCACTGCTTCTTGGTCGATATGGGAAGCTTCCGCTTGACTGTCGCTGGCCAAGGCTCAGAGATTAGTGCTGGAGAGACCATTTTTGTTCCTGCGGGTCAGGAGTTCACCCTCGAAGTTGCGAGCAGATATGCTGCATTGTATGTATTCACCAACGGAGGAGGCTTAGTAGAGTTGTTGGTGGGTATGGGCAAGGAATACCAGAGCCAGATCATTGCCGAAGACTTCCCCACCGATGCTGGTGAGGTTGATGGACTTGCGGAGAAGGTCGGTGTCAAGGTCGGAGAGACTTCCTGATAGATAAAAATAGTTACCAAGAGATGAGGAACCTCCACTTTCAAAAACCATGAAAAGACTGGGACGAAAAGTATGTCATGAAACGGTCATCGAATATGTGTTGCTATGAATTTTGGGAGAAAACGCTGAGAAACGACAAATATGATAAAGGCAAGCAACAACCATTAGATCTATCGGCCACCAACACGAATGACACCAGCAGCCATGAGCTTCTGGACCTTTGTGCGGACATCGGGGTTCTTCATGTGCTCCTGCAGAGCGGCAGGGTCACCCTTGGCTTGTTGCAGGATAGATTGCATGATGGGGTCCTGCAGGATGGAGAGGATCTCAGGGTCACGCTGGATGCGCTCCATGGTCTCCTCCTCGGTCTCGCCTTCGCGAGCGCTGTACTGAGCCTGGATGGCCTTTTGCATCTGTTGCTCGATCTCACGGCCGTTCTTGCCATCCTTGTCGTGGGCCATGGCTTCGTTGCAGACGTCAATGACCTTGCTGTGTTCGCGCATGGCGAAAAGAGCCTGGGCCTTGCGGAGGTAGGCGCGGATGAAGTTCTCGTCCTTTGTGATGGCGGTGTTGCAGTCGTCGACGGCGGCGGGGAAAGTAAGCAGCTTGATCAAACAAGCGGCACGGTTCGAGTAGCCGCGAGGGTCCTCGGGTGCGCGCTTGATCATCTCGGTGTAGGCCTCGACGGCAGCGGGCCAGTCGGCCTCCTTGAACTTTTGGTTCCCGAGATCGCGGGCCTCCTCGGCCTTTTCGGGATCCAGGTAGGCGTCTCTCTCCGCCTTGATCTTGGCCTTCTCGGCGGCGCGCAGCTTGGTGAGGATGTCTGGGGTACGGTGTTCGGTGAGAGATCTCTGGTAGTTGTCGATGGCGTTAGGAAGGTCGCCCATCTTCTCGTAAGAGGTACCAATGCGACCGAAGGCCTTTGCAATAAGCTTAAAGTCGGCAAAGACCTCACGGCCGTGCTCGACAGCCTTCTTACAAGCCTCGATGGCGCCCTCGTAATCACCCTTCTCGAACTTGGCAGCACCAAGGTTGGTGAGGTAGGTGATGTCCTTGTACAGATCCCAGGCCTTGGAGTAGTGCTCGATGGCTGCATCGAACTGTCTCTTCTTGTAGTTTTCGGTACCAAGAGCCTTCTCCTTGTCTGCCTCCTCCTTTGCCTTCTTTTGCGCGGCGGCCTCCTCATCTTCCGGCTCGGGTTCGGGCTCGGGGCCTTTGCGGGTTCGGGCTGGCTGGGTCTGGCGTCGGGCATAGGGACGTCCTCCTCGGCCTCTCCTCTCTGCTGACCGCCCTGCTGTTGTTGCTGTTGNCGAAGGGTCGGCGAAAGACATGTCGATTCCGAGCAAGACGCTCATGACCTGCAAGAAGCGGGGGTCTTGCATGGCCTCGCCCATCATATTGGGGTTGGACTTCATCTGGTTCAGCTTCTGCATGAAGGCGGCGTCGCCCAGCAACGAGGCAGTCTTGGGGTTGCTGGCGAGCTTCTGAATCATCTGAGGGTCATTGAACATGTTGCCGAGTCCACCAGTTGCGTCGGCGCCGTCGGCGTCTGCCTCAGCCTGGATGGCGCGTCTGACGGCGTCGAGGCCGGATTTTGCTTGGGCGTTGTTGGGGTCGAGCTCTACTGCCTTTTCAAAGGCATCCGTGGCGTCAACTGCGACATTGTCAGCTTCGAGGGCCAGCGTGTGATGGCATGAATGAGGTGGACTCACCGAGATTGCCCATGCCGTGGAGGGCAGCACCCTTCCTGCCCCAACCCTTGGCCCAGTCGGGCTTGATCTCGGTTGTCTTTGTGGCATCGTCCAGGGCCTTCTCCCAGTCCTTCAAGGATGCGTACGCGCCGGAACGGTTCGAGTACAGGACGTGGTTGCTGGGGTCGAGTTCGATCGCTTCACCGAACTTTTGGCTGTGCATCTGTTAGCACTGGCGAGATGTGATGGTACGGTTGGAAGCAACTTACGCAGCGCCGTGGAAGTCCTTTGCGGCAAACAGCTTGTTGCCTTCAGCCTTGAGTGCGTCGGCCATTATTATGAGGAGATTCGTAAAAGCAAAGGGGTATCAAAGAAACGAAACAGTCAATTGATTGCGCGTAGAGAAAAATGACGAGAGTTGATATGTAGCTAGCAGCTATGCACAGGCAAACGGGGCATGGCCTTGTATATTTCTCTCGAGCTCTACCGAAACGTCTAGAAACCCATGCCAAGAGCCCCTCCTCCAACCACTCACTCTAGCAAAACGGCAACTGCAAGCGGATGCACCTTACTTCAACAGACGTCTCACCATCGCTCAACCTTACTACAAATAAACCATCAAAAATGTACGGTCAACCGTGGTGTCATGACGGCATCAGAGTCGAAGACCTTGCTCTTCAATACGCCCCCAANAGTGGTCTGGATGCCTGGGGCCGCCAGAAGCAGCAACCAGTCCTCCTCTCCGTCTCTCTCTCATTCCGTCAAGGCTTTGACACTGCTGCAAGTCAAGATGCCCTCGACGAAAGCACAATGCACTATGGCATCCTCTCCAAAAACCTGCGCTCGTTAAAACCCGTCCAGGACTGGGAGTCTTTGGACGACATGGCCCACCGTATACATCAGACCATCCTCGACACCCCGCCCGGCGCTGCTTTGATCCAATCCTGCCAGATCGAGATCAAATTGCCCAAGGCGAGTCTGCTGGGTGATTATGTCAACTATGTGTATTTTGTCGAGGAGGAAGAACACACCGGTAGAGTCTTGCATTTGTCTCGTGTCTTTATTCCTACCTTGATTGGTGTCAACGACAACGAGAGACTTGCAAAGCAGAAACTCTATGTCAGTGTGTGGATAGACAGGATACAGGTAGATGACTCTGAGTCGTATACTGAGCTTGAGAGAATCGTCACTCAGGTAAGAAACGACAGCTTTGCATCTTGCATTTGACCCATTATACTAACACATTCANNACAGGCGATTGAACCCACAGAATTCGAAACTCTAGAGTCGTTGGCCATCTATGTGCTCAAAGTTTTGAAGATGAACTACACACCTCTGCAATCACAAGAGACTAGTGTTCGTCTGAGACTGGAGAAGCCTCAGGCCGTCTCTCATGCTTCGGCTCCCGTCATCGAGATTGTGAGGACATCTGATGAACTGGCAGCCATGATTCAATGATCTTGGAAATGATATTGGTCACGGTGCACTGAGCAGTTGTTATGGATGTTGCTGTTACGAAGTTGTGATGCAAAGAGGTCGAGTTGAAGCAAGTTCGTCATGGAAAGAACGAACCCTGGATAAGGATAATGCATTGACGACATGTCGCAAATAACGAAGCACTAGGATATTGGTTTAGAGAATGAGAGTAATGCCTGCTCGTTTGGGCATCCAAAGTTTACTGGTCCAGTGGACTACCTCAACTGCCTTGATTTAAAGCTCTTCAACCATCTGCTTTTGCTCATCATACAGACTACATATATATACAGTTGTTTTTACACGACAGACCACGCTGGTCCATCAAAAAGAGGGGAATGTCTCCAGTCTGCCTGAACGCCATGCCCATCGTCCGTCCAGCCCAAACAAAAATTGCCAAACATGCTTGCTATCTTAGAAACCCAAAACATGATCGGAACTGCTTTTGTTTTCCCCATATGCATTCAAATAACATTTGTTTCTTCGTTGTATCGTGTTCATGAGTTTCTGACAACACCGACCTTGGCGGGNNCTAGAAGAAAATAGTTAGCATTGTCAATTGTACACTGCTCTGGCAAGACTGCACTTACTCTGATGACTCTGCCGTTGAGCTTGAAGCCCTTGGACTGGCAGAAGAAGACGGTGCCGTCCTGCTTGTCGGGCTGGGGTGTCTGGAAAGTGGCCTCGTGCATGTTGGGGTCGAACTTGTCGCTCTCGGCGCTGGGGTCGAATCTCTCGAGGCCGTGCTTCTTGAGTGTGTTCATGAGAATGGTCTCGGTCATCTTAAGACCAGAATGGAGGTCTGCGAGGTCCTTGTTGCTGCCGTCAAGCTTCTCCTTGGGCACAACGGAAAGGGCGCGGTCGAGGTTGTCAATGCTGTCGAGAAGGTCTCTGGAGAAACTCTGGAGGGCAAAGTCCTTGGCTGCGCGAACCTCGCGCTTAGTCTGCTCTTGCAAGTTGCGGTATTCGGCGATCTGGCGCTTCCACTTGTNCCTGCAATTGAATGTCTCAGCACTGCTGTTCCTTCTTTCGTCTGGGTTTGTGTGCGCTCAACGAACCGTGACATCGGCGACCTCCTTCTTCTTGGCCTCGAGCTCCTTCAGGGCAGGGTCCTCCTTGGTGGCTTCGGCAGCCTTGTCTGCGTTCTCAGCTGCGACATCGTTCTCCTTGGCGCCAGTCTCGGGAGTGGTCGAGTAGCTTCTCACGGCGGCGAGGGCGCGGCCTTGCTGGACAGCTCTGAATGAGAATGGTACTCTGCTCTCGACGGCTTGCGAGAGAGGTCTGGCGGATCTGGCGAGGAATCTGAAGCTCATGTTGGGTGAAATGTGGCGACTTGGAGGTAAAGAGTCAATGAATAAGTAATCAGGCGAATGAAGTGTACAAGAGGGTCTTCTGATGATGGATGACTCTGGAGGTTTTTGGTTGCCAAGAAAGTCGCCGTCAAGTTGGTGACGCCGATCGCGCCCGAGCGAATTGCGCCCGCCTTCCGATAATCCTCGTCCACGACGAATTGTTTCTGTAGACTTCGATTGCTCCAGTGCAGTACTTGAGTACAGCTTCGTCAAGTGCGAGACACGAAGCTACTGTTCAACTTCACCGCCTGCCGAAGAGAGGACCATTCTCAAACGCCAGATCAGCTATCGCATGATCAGTCTTGAACTACCATGTCAGGCATTAGATCTTCTGAACCCCGAAATGGCTGAATGTGATGCTCTCGATGGCCATGTTCACCTCTAATACAACTACTGGATCTCAGATCATTCAGCAAGAAGATTGGAAGTCACCGCTTTGGTGAAATACGGTCTCAGCCACTTCACGTATTGACCGTATCGCGTATTCACCAGTCCAGGCTCCAGCTTTGTTGAAGCTTTGAACGTCTGATCTGACTTCTTGACCATCGACTTTGTAGCGCTTGTTGATTGGCCTTGCCGTACGCGCGCTCTGGGCTTGGCTAATTCAGCCTTCGGACGGCAGGTGTAACTGCAGTTTTCGATATGTAAATAGGTAGTATGCTTCGCTCCTTCTTCCAGCTCTCTACCATCAGCATAAACACCACAACATTGCTACAATGGTCCAGTCATCGCCGCAACCTGGCGCCTTGCCCAGACAAGCTTCTCTACCATTGCAGATGGGTCGCATACGCGCAGCTTCAATCAGCACCACGAATAAAATTCTGAGCTATGATCCGCAGCCAGGCATGTGGGCAGCGACTGGAACAGCCATTGCACTTGCGCCAAACCTTACCGACTTGCGGAAGAATAACATCGACTTCGACGTGGACGGTCATCTTGCAACGAGGCTTGCATCAACAAAACCTGGCGACTGCAAGCGAGCAGCGACATTACCAAACGTTTCACCCGTGCCGTCGACCACCATACCGAGCAATGCCGACAACAAATCATTAGAGCCATTGGTACAGAACTTTAGCCATTCCACAGCCGAGTCAGAGACATCTAAAACGTGGAAGCAAACTATTTTCACTGGCGTCGTCGCCTTTTGGCGCTTCTTCAAGACTCCAACCGGATTTCTCATCACATTATACGGCCTCAATGTTGTGGCTTGGGGCGCCATGCTCTTCTTCCTGATTCTCAAAGCCGCACCTGCAATGAACCATCCCGATGGTGGTGACGCGGACTCTTCGCCTCGCAAAACATGGATAGAGATTGATTCGCAAATCTTGAACGCGCTCTTCTGTTTGACAGCTTGGGGACTTGCCCCATGGAGATTCAGAGACCTTTGGTGGCTGTGTGTATGGCGCTTTGGNGGTAAAACGGAGAGGAGCTCAAGAGCAATCAGAAGACTGGCAGCAAGAAACGTAAGCTGGTTCCGTTTGCAAGAAGGTGATCTGTTGGATCGTGAGGAAGATGGTCTAGATCCGGCATTGATAAGGCGCAAGACCTTCTCAGGAGAGCGAGCTCCTGCTACCGCGCCCTGGAAAATGGACTTTGTGGTATGGATGATGGTTTTGAACACACTCTTCCAAGTCGGAATGGCCTACATGATGTGGAGGTACAATCGAATCGACCGTCCAACCTGGGGATCGGGTTTATTCATTGGCCTTGGATGTGCAGTCAGCATGTTTGGAGGCTTGATGTGCTGGTGGGAAGGAAGGAAAATAAAGAAGATTGAGGGACCGAAACTCGTAAATGACAAGGAATGTACGGAGGTTTGAAGATATTGCTAGAGCTTCACCTACCTGGTTCAACACCATTACTCCGCTTCTTATGGTCTTCGTGTGCCAAAGACTGTCACATGTAGCTATAGAAATGCTTCGGAACGAAAGTGACATTCAACGAGAGAACGCCATTCCACTCCATGCCAACACTTTTCGCGTCCAAGTGACTGTGTATTTCGATAGCTTCTCATTTCACTATGCCTTATGTGGAAGATGATCAATGCGATATCGTGACACTTCCTAGCACAAGACGAGGATCTGAATGCCGACTGAGGCCTGTTGTCCGGCTTGGCGGTCCGATCAAACGAAAAGCTCATCTGAGTATGTCCACGTGCGTGCACATCATTCTTTTGCGTTGATACCTCGTCTTCGAGACTGGTAGGACCTGCAGCGCGTTGAAAAATATTGGCTAGAGTAATGCCCGTCGGGAACTGCAAGGCGCAATACCTTGTCAGCTGGCGTAGTACAAGTTTTGGCCGAGGTATTTTCCTTTTCGCAAAGACTAGATCAGCTGTTGCGTAGAAGATCGTACCCAGTATACTGCAATTCGTGGGAAATCGTGAGTGAGGGAGTGGTACAATCAATCTGATCCGTTCTGGACCGCCAGCCACAAATCCCGAAGTTTCACCGTCGGTATACACTCCATCTTCATGCATCCTTGGACTTCACCTCCTCAAACGCACCCCGCAACCCCGTAATTTCTTGAATGCAGCCTCCTGCACGTTGTCATCTAACTACTCCTGAGCCTCATTCAAGTATAGCCTGAGTTCAGAAAAGGTGCACATATGCTTAACCGAGCACATTATGTCCTGCGCCGTTCCTGCTCTATTGGATGATGCCCTGTAGATCACGCATCGGAGTCCCCTAGCGCCATGCCTCATACCAAGTCTGTATGAGCCTCCAGAATATGCAGAGAAGATGTACATTTCCGCCAAGGTCATGAGAGCATGGCAGGACACTTCTGCACATAACTACCAGCGGCTAAATGCCTCAAGCTCTTGAGCAACAAGCCATAGCCTCGGATACCCTACCTCTGTGTCTTCATGGAGTCACACAGCTTGCATATCCTCACAAGCAAACTTTCAATATCCTGTCGGACCAGTTCTAGACCACTTCGCTTGGATGTAGACATTCGGACGTACCAGCGATCCCAAGGTCTTTTTATTCATTCATTGACGTGTTCAATTGGTGGCCGACAGTGCTATAAAGGTTTATCGAAGCGCAGGTAAGTAGGTTTGAAAGACCACAGTCTTGTCTATACCTTGCAAAGATGATTCCCGCTCTTCTGCTTGCATTCGTTCCATCCGCACTTGGCATCTCCGTATGGGGACAGTGTGGAGGTCAAAACTGGTCTGGTAGTGGTACTTGTGACTCAGGCTTGTCCTGCTCTAGTGTCAANCCCTTGTAAGAGGCAAAAAAATCCAGAGTATCATGATCAGAAGTTGACTGTTCTCTAGACTACTACCAGTGTGTCACTGGCACAGCTGCACCGACCACAACTTCGACGAAGCCAGTCACGACCTCTGTCAGACCCACCACTACAACCTCTGGTGCAGGCACTACACTCGTTACGTCCCGCACGGCAACTGGCACTTCACCCACAACCTCGGCCGCAGGCTCGACCAGTAGTGCCGGTAACGTCTTTGCTGGTAGACAGGTCTATGCCAACCCCTTCTACGCCTCTGAGATTGCCGCCGCTATTCCAGCTCTTCCAAGCAGTCTTAAAGCCAAAGCTAGTGCTGTTGCCAAGATTGGAACCTTTGTTTGGCTGTAAGTTTTGCCGTCAAAGTACGTGCTCGAATCATGCTGACAATACTAGNNTGACACCGCTGCCAAAGTTCCTACAATGGACACTTACCTGGCTGACATTGCAAAGCAGAATGCTGCTGGTGCCAGTCCCGAGATCATTGGTGCATTCGTAGTCTACGATCTGCCCAACCGCGATTGCGCCGCCTTGGCCTCCAACGGAGAGCTGACTGTTGCAAACGATGGTCTTACCAAGTACAAGGCATACGTTGACTCCATTGCTGCTATCGTCATGAAGTACTCCTCGACCAAGATCGCTCTTGTCATTGAGCCCGACAGTCTCGGCAACTTGGTGACCAACTCGAACGTTGCAAAATGCCAGGAGGCTCACGATGCTTACATCAGTATGTTCGCCCGAGAGTCTAACAATGAGGAAATGCTAACTTGAGCAGGTGGTGTCGAGTATGCAATCAAGACTTTGAACTTCCCCAACGTTGCAATGTACCTCGATGGAGGACACGGTGGATGGCTTGGATGGCCTGCCAACATTGGCCCAGCCGCCGACCTCTTCGCAAGCATCTACACGGCCGCTGGCAAGCCCGCAGCTCTTCGCGGAATTGCCACCGATGTTTCCAACTACAACGCCTACCAGCTTTCCACAGCCCCTTCCTACACACAGAGCAACCCTAGTATGTGTCATTTTCATCTTGGTTTCTACGCAGATATGCTAATCTTTCCTGCTTCAGACTTTGATGAGCAGCGTTACGTCAACGCTCTAGCCCCTCTCTTGACAGCTCAGGGCTTCCCAGCACACTTCATCATTGACCAAGGCCGTTCAGGTGTTCAGCCCACATCCCAATTGCAGCAAGGAGATTGGTGCAATGTCATCAACACTGGATTTGGTACTCGCCCGACCGCAAACATTGGTGACCCGCTGGTCGACGCTATCGTCTGGGTCAAGCCAGGCGGTGAATCTGACGGAACTTCCGACTCGTCTTCCGCCAGATACGACGCCCACTGTGGGTATGCCGATGCTCTGAAGCCTGCCCCTGAAGCTGGCACTTGGTTCCAGGCATACTTCCAGCAATTGCTTCAGAACGCAAATCCCGCACTGTGATCATGGAAGGAGCAATAAATCTGGAGGAAGGTGGGGAAGAGGGTTGCTAAATCCCCAACGAATGAGAAGAGGAGCCCCTTAACACATTCGCTTGATATTGCGTCCCTGCTTTTTGACATTCATGCGATTAACTTCTTACATTCGTTCTCTTGTTCCCACTTTTGATAGTCTGCTTTTGACCAATTGAATTGATCCTCATGTTTATCCAGACTCAATTTTGGAATATGTGTGAACAACGTGACAAGACATTTGCAATCAAAGCATGTCCCCTCATCTCATCACATGGAAATGAATTTCATCGCATTGAACGAAGCTTTACGGAGCAAAACGTAGCCATTGAAAGCGTTCGGCATGAACCAACGTATAGCGACGCTTTAGGACAATGATGGTCCACCGTGCTGGCCAGCAAACATGCCTATAGCTCATAGCGGAGTATTCTTCCAGGCGAGAACCTTTTCTCTCATGCAGGTTCAAGGCGTAGTCTGAAATGATCGACGAGTCTGTCAGGTACCCATCACAATACCCCGCCCTCGATAGATTAAACATGGTTGTTGTTATGCAATGCAGGACTTTGCATGACTTCACGGGTACGGCCGCATGGGCATGATGACAGACGAGATGCAGCCACGTTTCATCGATAGCTCAGCCCTAATCTTTGCTGGTTATTACTTCACTTTGACGGAGAAGAACTGAAACGGTGAAGATCTGTTCAGTCCTGTGGATTATTGGCGGGAAATAAGGAGAGGGACAAGACTGTGGAAGTAGGTGCACTCTTTTGATCGACCGGAAGAATTTTGGGTGTCATAGTTGAGGGCTAATGATCTCCTAGAGCAGACCATGCTGGTGGCGAGCAGTAATAGACTGCAGGACAATACTGATGGCGAGCCGGCCCGCTCATCCTCTCGAGATCGATCGCCTAGAACGTCTCAGCCATGGAAGAGCAATGTTCCAAGCGAAGCTCTTCCTGGATGTAAAGGACGTAAGCTACGGTTTAGAACCGCATGGTTGATGGTAAGTCGGTCGTCCATAGCGCCTGCCTTCCCTTATGATCACCTCTCGGCCAGTCGGGCCGCCAATACGCTGTATGTCAGCCTCTCAATATCAAGAGGCTGGATTGATATAGAATCGAAGAGAACAAGGTACATCCAGACAACTTCTCCATGTACCTGTGCTCGGAGCTTGCTTCCACTGCATCCCTAGATGATTGGGTCTGGGGTGCATAGATGCGGGGCGGGACGCAAACGAGGGAAGCTTATGCAAGGCCTTAATTTCACCACCTTCCCTGAACCTCTCGCAGCCGAAACGGATAAATCCTCGAATAGATTGATCTGATGCTATACTAACCAGTAACCCTAGTCACCTGGCCTCTTTTTCTTCCTCCGCCCTCGATTTTTGCAAGCGAGCACACATGCGGACGGGGACATGCAGGTATGCAAGTATGCTGATGGGGAATCTTGGGCGACGACACGCTCATCTTTGCTTCGACTGGATGACCGCCAGCAGAGAGCTTGTAAGGGCATGGCAGAATGCTTCTCTCGGGTAGACAACAGGCGATAGGATGCTCGTCCAGCGGTCAAGTCAGCAACAACAGCAGGTTCGAATATAAATATGGCAAATCCACCGCCATGAAACATCCAGATCAGACATCTTATCGGCTCTCTTCTTCTACCATCAAATTTTCTCACTTCGATCACGATGATCTCTGCCTCTACTTTGGCAGCTCTTCTGGCTTTGGGCCATGGTGTTCTTGGACAGCAGGCTGGCACCTCGACTGCTGAGAACCACCCTCCCATGAGCTACCAGAAATGCACCTCTGGAGGACAATGCACCACTGTCAACACCAACATTGTGCTCGATGCCAACTGGCGCTGGCTGCACACAACCAGCGGATACACCAACTGCTACACAGGCAACAAGTTCGACGCCTCTCTCTGCCCCAACAACGTGCAGTGTGCCGCCAACTGTGCTCTTGATGGAGCAGGTAAGCAATGACCATATTGTTCCTTTCAAAAACACATTCTGATCATACCTTTGTGTTTAGATTACTCTGGCACCTACGGTATTCAAGCCAGCGGCAACTCTGTCAGCTTGAAGCTCAAGCAGGGTAACAACGTTGGATCTCGTGTCTACCTGATCAACGGCAACAAGTACGAACTGTTCAAGCTGAAGAACCAGGAGTTCACCTTCGATGTTGATGTTTCNGGGTCTTGGTGAGTGTACCCTGTGAAGGATATAGCGGATCATGAGCTGATGAATCTTCTAGGTTGTGGTATCAACGGTGCATTGTACTTTGTCAAGATGGACGCCGATGGCGGTCTTGCCAAGTACCCCACCAACAAGGCCGGAGCTGCTTACGGAACAGGTTACTGTGATGCTCAGTGCCCCAGAGATCTCAAGTTCATTGCCGGCAAGGTGAGAAGATGTCTTTCGATTTTCTTCAATCACCACGCTAACTTGATGTTCAGNGCAAACGTTGAGGGATGGGTACCATCAAGCGGAGACCCCAACTCTGGAACCGGAAACACTGGCTCGTGCTGTGCTGAGATGGATATCTGGGAGGCTGTAAGAAAAGCATACCTCATCCCTGACCAGACCTTTTACTAACCACCTTCGTTCAGNAACTCGATCTCCACCGCTCTCACTCCTCACCCTTGCTCTACCAACGGTCCTTGCACTGGCAACACCACTTGCGGTACTGGCGAGTCTCGCTACGACGGCTACTGCGATAAGGACGGCTGTGATCTCAACCCCTACAGATGGGGAGCACCGAACTTCTTCGGCCCTGGCAAGACAGTTGATTCTAAGTCTNNAAAAGTAAGTACCAAGACGTGTCCGCACGACTATGCCGCTAACATTTCTGTCAACAGTGACGGTTGTCACTCAGGTAAGTTTCAAGACGTTTCTGCACGACTATGCCGCTAACGTTTCGGTTACCAGTTCATTACTGCGGACAACACTGCCACCGGTACTCTCAGCGCCATCCGCCGCCTCTACGTCCAGAACGGAAAAGTCATCCAGGAGGCCAACACTAACGTTGCTGGTATTACCCAGACCAACCAGATCACCGACAGCTTCTGCAAGCAACAAAAGGCCGTTACAGGTGACCCTGACTCATTCTCGCAGAAGGGCGGTCTTGCTGGCTTCGGCAAGGACCTCGATGCTGGTATGGCTCTTGTCTTCAGTGTTTGGGACGACTATGATGCCAACATGCTCTGGCTCGACTCCACCTACCCCGTTGGCTCCAACAAGGTCGGCGCTGCTCGTGGTACCTGCGCCAGCACCTCTGGCAAGCCTACGGATGTTGAGTCCCAACAGGGCAACGCTGCCGTCACCTTCAGCAACGTCAAGTTTGGCGCCATTGGCTCTACCTACAAGGCTCAGTAGAGGGCAGGACCTTTTACCGAAGACAATCGAGTAAGACGGGCTCTCAACTCCCGATCATGATGAGACGGCAACAACTCCCTACATTCGTTTAGGAATAGTGTGTCTGTGACGATACGTACCTTTCATGTCATTCGCTTATATAGCCTTTGGTGTGGATATGCAGAAATGAGAATATCAGTGTTTCCAACCAGAATGCAGAACATTTCCAGTTGTTGATGATTGAATCTCGAAAACGCGACAGCGAGATGCTAAGCCACGACAATGAGAGAAGGATCATGCGGTCGACCTAGTTCAGAGAGAAAGACGTTGGCTGTCTCTTTGGCACTCCTGAGAATCTCTGTCGAGATGCATAGTGATTAGCGCTAGACTGGCGTCCAGTGGGAAAAGGTTGCTGTGGTTACATTCGCGGGACAGCTCGAGATGAACAAGATGTTCGTGTGTTTTTATGTCACCTTTGGAGGTGAAAGTAGACTGTCACGATGGTGTCGGCGAGAAGACGGAGATGCAGCTTCGCATGCGGGAACTTCCACTGACAGGCCGCAATTCACCTCCGTCACATCTTTCTGCTTCTGCATATCATCGAGACAATATGGGCTGGTTTTGGGGAAGCAACAGCAATAGCGAAAGCAAAGATGCGCTGAACAACCTGGATCCGTCGCTGCGAGAGTTTCTGGACAAGGAATCCAAGACGCGCCAACAGCAACAGCAGCAGCAACCCACACAACTACCACAAGACGCTCCCTCATATCGCTCACAAATCGGCATCGCTGAAGACCAACCGTCGCAACCCGCGCAACTTCAAACAAACGAGAATGCAGCACCGCCGCAATCACTCTTCCAAGATGGCAGATACGCCCACCTCTGGAAGAATTACCGCTCGCAAGAACAAATCGAACAGGCTGGACGTAGCGAAAGCGAACAACTAGCCGACGTCATAGACACCTACAACGACCGCAAAGCACGAGTCGCGCGAGCGGCACTTGAGAACTGCGCACTGGAGCAATGGGCCGAGCACGAATGTTTTGAGAGCGGCGGCATAAAGGCAAAACTCTATCTCTGCAAGGAGCCCACCCGCGCATTCAACCGCTGCTACACCATGCAAGCTCGCTTCCTCAAGGCATTGGGATACATGAGCATGCAACGCACAGCCGACGAGGAAGAGCGCATTCAAATGCATGCAGATAAACTCTACCACGAAATGCTGGACCGTGAAAAGGCTATGAAAGAGGCCGAGGAGAAGAAGCTGCCCACACCAGAGTTTAAGCCACTCATCACAAGCACATCGACGACGGAAGCTTTGGGTGCTCAACAACAAGCTGCGGAACCACAAGCGACAAAAGAAGGCTTAGACATGTACACGGGAGAGAAGCGCAAAGCTATTGAGCAGTCTCTGGCAGACAAGAAGGGTTCGGAGCGGGAGCTTGAGATTGAGCTTATGGCTGCCGAAGCAAGAGCCAATGCAGAATATGCAGCTGTCGTCCATGAGCATTATGAAGCAGAGAAGAAGATTCGAGAAAGCAGGAGGGAGCGCGGTAGAGAGACTGTCGGCGATACCATCAAGAGAGCTTGGGGTTGGGATTCGAAGTAGATGCAACAAGAACTGATCATCTCGACAACATGCTCATAGTCTTTGCTGTGAACAAGATGCACCAAAATACACTTTCCCTGCTGCATAAATACGCATAATCACATGTCGAGCATCATCATCTTTGCAAAGTCCGCAAACGCCGGAGGAAAGTGCAAATGCGCCCAAGCTCTTGCTCAGTTTGTACACGCGACAACGACATCAAAAAAAGTTCATTGAAGCATTGTCTCGATCATCTGTTGCTCGGCATGGTGTTGTCCAAGAGCTTCTTGGAGTTGTTCTCGCGCCGGTCGACCTTGCCGATAGCTGCTTTCCGTTGTCCTGGAAGAGGTACCAGAGGCATTGCGACCAACAATTTGGCATGCCTGCCGCGTACGCCTTTGTTTGACGCGATCAAGTCGCACGATCCAGAGAGTACAGCTGTGATACACTCCTTGTCAGGTCGCCAGTTCAGCTATGGGTCGCTTCTGAAAGACGTTGCCATTGCCAAACAACGACTTGCCGACGATGCTGGTAGAAATGCTGAAGCTCTGCAAGGCGAGCGCATCGCTTTCTTGCTCGAGAATAGCTATGACTATGTAGGTGCGCTTCGCTCCTGTCTCCCTGTCTTCTTCTCTGTTCTTTCCCTCTGCACTTCCTTGCTGTTTGATCTGGGTGAGATGCAAGTACTGAGGTATGTGGTCAACNNAGTGACGCTACTCGCCATTCTAGGTACCAATGCCATTGCAGTACCGCTTTCGCCTGCCTTTCCATCCGGAGAGTTGAGATATATCCTCGATCAGAGTGGTGCGCTCATGCTGGCCACGTCTCCCAAGTTTGCGACCAAGGCCGATGATGTTCTGGATGGCGAGCTGAAGAAGAAGCCTATTTTATCACGCTGGGAGAAGATTGTTGAAGGCAGCAAGGTCAACGAAGACGTCATTCTCGAAGACATGAAAGAAGACAAGGGTGGTATGATGTTGTACACCAGCGGCACAACCAACAGACCTGTGAGTTGTCTCTGTTGAGATGAACGAAGCCGAGTCCTGACAGACAACAGNAAAGGAGTACTCCTTCCACAATCTACTCTCATGGCTCAGGCAAAGTCTCTCTCCCAAGCATGGCGCTACTCGCCCACCGACCATTTCCTCCACGTCCTACCTCTCCATCACATCCATGGCACAGTCAACGCCGTCTTGACACCACTACTCGCTGGCAGTACCATCGAATTTCTCTTTCCTTTTACTGTCGACTCGGTTTGGTCGCGGCTTGCCGCCCCATTCCTTTCGACCTCATCCGAGCAGATTAAGAAGCCCATTACCTTCTTTACCGTCGTTCCCACAATCTACAACCGACTGCTGCAGTCACACAACGCTCTCAGTGGAGAGATGCAGACGGCAACAAAAGAGGCACTGGACCCGAAGAACATGCGCCTGAATATCAGTGGCTCGGCAGCTTTGCCCACGCCTACGAAACAGGCTTGGACAGAGTTGAGCAATGGAAATGTACTGCTTGAACGTTATGGCATGACCGAAGTTGGCATGGCTCTTTCTTGCGGTCTGGCGAATGAAGACCGAGTAGATGGAAGTGTAGGTTGGCCACTTCCCTTTGTCGAAGCCCGTCTGGTCGACCTCGACACAAAAGCCATCATTCAGTCTGGCGAAGAACTCGATGCGAATGGCAAAGAACGTAGTGGTGAGATCCAACTGCGTGGACCCACCATCTTCAAAGAGTACTGGAACAACCCCACAGCTACAGCAAAAGAGTTCACAGAAGACGGCTTCTTTAAGACTGGCGATGTAGCCGTGCGGAGAAATGTCCCTTCTGCTGGTAAGGGTGCATCAGGAGATTGGGCACAGGGACCTATGTACTTCATCCTCGGTCGTCTCTCCGCCGACATCATCAAAGTTGGTGGTGAGAAGGTATCCGCACTTGAGGTAGAGAGGGAAATGCTATCCCTACCCGCAATCTCTGAATGCGCCGTGGTGGGTCTACCATCAGAGACTTGGGGTCAAAAAGTCGCTGCAGTGGTTGTGTTGAGTGAAGATGGCAAGACTGCTGGTAAAGGTGGAAAGCCATTCGCAGCCATGGATTTGAGGAGAGGATTGAAGGATAAGATGGCTGCATTCAAGATCCCTCAAGACTTGAAGGTGGTTGAGAGTATTCCTAGGAATGCTATGGGCAAGAGTAAGTTCTTGTCATTAGTCCACATGGACGAAACGAACGTCTTTGCTAATTTGTTTTGTGCAGTCAACAAGAAACAACTGGTCATTCAGGCGTTTGGCGATCAAAAGTAGAGTAGGCGCTCGGCAGCCCTGCGAAACGCGACTTCCTGTTTCCTCCCAGCATAGGAAGGCACGACATTGGCAAGGGCTTGAAAGTTTTTGTTTGCATTTCATTGCATCGAATAAAGTCAATCCCCTGGATAGAAATGCCCCGCTCATGATCTCCTTCTCTGTATTATACATTCCCAGCAGTCGTTATCGTCCCTTCGTATCTTTCATTGTCTGTCATCCCATCCCCTTGTATCGTTCTGGTGATGGAGTGAATTGTCCTCAGCTCAAACCTCGACTCCTTCGCCAAAGACTTCGTTCTTGACCAACTCATACGCAATCAGTCCCTCATCCTCTCCAGAATCAATGTTCATACCCAGAGGCTCCTCATCATCAACTTCCTTCTTGACTTCAGCAGCAAGTTTGTCAGCAGCATATCTGGCTCTGCCTGCAGCGATGGCCTTGGCATTGTGAACGTCTTCTTCAGTCTCTGGGGTGCTGATGACGGGTTTCTTTGCTTTGGTGGCNNTCTGGCCTTGGATTTCTTCTTTGGGGATAAGATGGTTTCGTCATCGTCGGAGTTGTGGGTAGGAGAGGAGCTGGCGAGGGTGGCGGAGGAAGAGTCTGAGGGGGAAGAGAGTTGTTTGCGCTTTTTGGGTTTGGCGGCGGTGGGTTTCTTGGTGGTTACGGGGCCGGCTGAAAGATGGTTAGAAGTTTGAATATGGGAACGAGAGAGTGAGAGCCAAAGAAGTTGTGAGTGTTGATGAGGGAAAGTGCGATGTAAACACAAGAAAAAACTCACTGTTTTCATCATCAGCATTGTCGTTCATGGCACGCATTCTCTTCTTGGTCTCCTGGAAGCAGGCGCGAGCGGACTGGGCATTCTTATAGCCGACTTTTGCGGCGAGTTTGTCCCAGTCAATCTGTGTGAAAGGTGTTGTGATCAGTATGTCCGTCTCGAAAACAAGATTTGGATGTGAAAAGTGAGGGAATATGAGTTGCCAATGGAAATGTGTTGTTGAGCAGTCGCTCCGGGGATCAAAGTGAGTGCAAAGAGTGCTACACGGGGTGTCTTACATCGGNNGAGGGCTCTTCTGACACTGGAAGGCGGCTGCGAGGACCTCGACGTCGCGCTGGGTGAGGGTGGACTTGGGTGGCATATTGTAGTTGATAGAGGATGTTTGGATGAAGATGTAAACATATGATGCGTAGAAGAAGAAGGAGGAGGAGGAGGAGGAGGAGAGAAGAGATGTGTGGGAAGATATAAGAATGGAGAAGGAATTGTGAGGTGAGAGTTCAGGTGTTGGTGGGTGAAAGTGAATTTATCACTGAGAAGGAGTTGTGAGTAAAGACGAGTGATCAAGGACAACAACAGCTATAAACTCACAGCATACGGTTCTACCTAAGAACAGCTCTCGAGATGCACGACGTCTTCTCGAATTGTAGTGTGTTCAGAAAAACTTTTGAGATTTGATAATACTCAAGATCATGTTCTCACCACAAGAAGTCAAAGTCAACAGCGCTTGTGCCCATCAGAGCAGTGGCTCGGGCAGTGTCTCAGGGGGCATTCAAGATGCGCGTGTATAGATTCGTATCGATATGAGCGAGGTCAAAAGGATTCGCTGACGGAACAGGAGTTCTAACTTGAGCTACAACACACTTAATAGGGCCTTAACCCTGGTACTGGCGGTATTAGTTGCAGTCTAAGGCGCAGCAGACTTGTTGGGGCCTTCAATTCTGGTTCCGACAACTTCTTGCCTCTCACGCAACCGAGCAAGTTCGTTTTCATCGCGTACCACTTTTGCGGAACGCCTGAGCAAGTCGTGGTACTCGGACACCTGCGCTCTCATCTGACTCTCCTTTGTCTTCAGGCGTTTGTAGTCTTGCTTTGCGGACCTAAGGCCATTGAGATCGTTCTGCATGCTTTCCTTTTCGGCTCTGAGCGGAATGAGCTCCTCGTACTCGTTCTGCATTGTGATCTCCATCTTTCGCAGGCGGTCAACTTCGAGTTCCACGCCCACCGACTTGAGCTGGTGGTTCGTGCGTTCTTTCTTGACTTTGTCGTAGTCTGCCCAAGAAGGAGCGTTGTTGATCTGGTCTTGCAACTGATTGATTTCGTCCAGTGTCTCTGTCTTCTTTTGAGTCCATGTTGCTGACTTTGTATGTGGTTAGTCCAGCCCATCGTGATCCAACACGCATGCGCTAGGACTGACCTTGACTAAGAAAATGTTCGGGAAATCCTCTGAGTATGAGAAGGCGCTCTTGAAACGAAAAATACCCCTCCTGAGTTGGCATTGGCTTGTTGTTGGCCTTCGCAATGGTTCTGGAAAGGAGGTGGTTCGTGGGGCCGACTGCACCCGTGTGGTGGTATACAATATGTATGCTATAAAGATGCATAGTTGCTTTCCGACTACAATCGTCACTATAAAGACTCGACAAGAGGATGGCTCTCCGTCTGAGTGGATACCTTTCTCTCAATGAAAAGACTTGTGCATTCAAGTAGCTAAAACGTGACGGGTTTTAGCATATGAAGAGTCTGCGACATTGATGTGAGCTCCATGCTAAGAACTTGATGCGTCCTCGAGGCCGAAGTATGCGTGGTAGGCCGCATGTATCGCCAGCTGAGCAACCTCTTTGTCGTCTGCAAAGGACAAAGCTGCAACTGCTGGTCTGCAATCCATCCATATCGACTCAAAGTCCTCTCCTTCTTGTTGTGTACCTCTTTTAGGCAACTCTTGCGAATTCACACTTGCGGCATACCAGAAGATGAGTTTCAGGACATGGTCCCTTCCACGCTGGGTCACGGCAATAGGTTCTGAGTGTGATTCGTTGCCAGATCTATTTGTAGCGTGTGTGGGAAGCTTCAGCGGCAGGGTTGTTGCAGAGTAACCAGTTTCCTCAAATGTTTCCCGCAGAGCTGCTGTTTTCAAGCATTCGTTTTCATCTTTGCGTCCTTTGGGGAGAAGGATCCCGTTGGTGGAGCGCTTCCGTATGAGTAGGAGTTTTCCGTGAGTAATGTCGATAGGAACTGTTCCGCAGCTAATGACGAATCGGTGTGATGGATAAAACACCCTGGTAAATGCATCGGAAGACATGATGAGGTGTCTCACAAGTCGAGTTGCTCTGGTAGCTCTAACTCTCGGGTTGAGAGCTTGATTTACGAGTGATGAAGGATGGTGGGGTGTGTAAGCTCGGTGCGATATCATTGTAAGCGCCGAGGTTGCGTGTGATCAAGTCGTTCCTTCAGGCACGGATCAGTAGACCCTCTTGCACTCTCCAGCCAGAGCACCCAGCTTGTCCAGCATAGCCTCTCTCTCAGCCAAAGCAGTCTTCCTCTCTTCGTCGGCTTCCCTCAACTCTTTCTCCAAGGCCTGTATTCTCTGGCTCTGATTGGCTTCACTCTCGCCAATACCAGGCAGAACAGATATCAAATACTCAATCTGCTGTTCCTTGAGCACCAGGTCTCTTGCCAGTTCTCTCAATGCGGCTTGGAAGGTTGCAGGATCGTCAGGACGTGGTGGTTGATCCGGGTCTTGTTCTTGTTGTTGTTGCAGAGCAACGGCATTGGGGCCTCCCTGTTCGGCGGCAGACGCGGTCAAAGTGTCGGGAGCGGCATTTGGTTGTAGCGGTGCTGGGGCATTGGGAGCGGTTGGGTCGGACATGTCTGGTTGGTCTGCGATGCTGGCGAATTGATGGCGCGTTTGGATGTAGCGAATGGATGCGAACATTTGGGTTGCGAGCTGGTCGAGTTAGTATGCTTCGTAGCAGTGGTCGCATATGCGAGGGAGACTACTCACGTCGTCCAGACAGTCCTGGAGTTGCGTCAAACGGTCGGCCATGTTGTGGTTAGTGTTTGGTTTGGGTTGCGACAAGTGAGAAGTGGAAGGTGCAATGACGAGCTTCGGCTTGAGCCTTGCCGGCAAATTTCCAAGGTGTTTTTGGGAAATCGCGACCATCCATCTCCACCTTTCCTTCATGCACTTCCGCCATGCCCTGATCACCTTTAGTCGCCTGAGCCGATGCTCTATCCATTCGACATCCAAGCATTGCTCAATTCGTCATCCCTTGTCGACGCTCGTCAACCATGGCACACCCTCTATGCCATCAATCCCGGACGATACTCCGCCGTTGAAGAGACGCTCCCGGAACAAAGAGGCGGAATCCGTTCTCGAAGACACAGGGCCATCTGTGTCNTCCCGTAGACTCCGACACAGCACCGACAAAGAGACGCGGCCGCCCGAANNAAAGCTCGTCGATGCCACCCATGACACCTCGGGGCAGACCACCTTAGAATCACCGAAGAAGCGCATTCGCAAACCCAAGACGCCCAAGGAAGACCATCTTGCAATCCCACATGGCAGTCAGCACCACACTTGCCTGTCCGAGTTCCTCAGCTACGCCGACACTGCAAACCTCTCGCCCATAAGCACAGTCTACCGCGGCACCCTCTACGAGTACACAGTCCTGGACGCTCTCAAACGCCTGGCCTTTTCCTTGACTCGCGTTGGCCGCGCTAGTGACCTCGGTATCGACTTACTCGGCACCTGGTCGATACCCTCTCGCCCAAAGCCTCTAAATGTCTTGATACAATGTAAAGCCGAGGCGCCCAAACCGAGCATGATCAGGGAGCTCGAGGGTACTGTCGTCGGTGCCCCGGTACGCTATAGAGGAGAAGGCACCATAACTGTTCTGGCTGCCGGCAAAGAGGCTACAAAGGGCGTTAGAGATGCTGTAGGTAGGAGTGGCTTACCTATGGCTTACCTGAATGTGACGACCGAGGGTAGGATTAGGCAGTTTGTCTGGAACCACGCTGCTGTAGAGTGTGGTTTGGAGGGTTTAGGTGTGGCTTTGAGATATCTGGCCGATGGCGAGTCCGAGGTTGCTTTAACTTGGAAGAGTGTGCCCTGGTCTCCATCTTCGCCAAAATCACGCCGTGTTGAAGGAGAAGCTGGTGTCAGATGAGAAGAAGAAAAGAGCTTTCCATTACTATTAACCCAACTTGCTGGTTACAATTCACCGTAATTTTCTCTCAGTGCCTATCTCCCGCTCCCACTGCTGCCAGGTCGAGTCTTACTCAACTTCTTGCGCTCCTTCTTACTCTTCTCCTCCACGACCTCTTTCGGTGGAGGTTGGATCTCGGGACCGAGTGCGGTAGCAGCCGTGGGCGTAGGTGCAGCGGGCGNCCTGGGGACCTCGAGGACCGACCCCTGCTCTCTCATCTCTATCGCCTGGCCTCCCTGACCCTCGTCTAGCAGCAAATCTGACGCCGACCTGACAAAACTCCTTCGCGCCAATGGACTCTTGCCTGACCTGCTGCGGTCGCTTCCATGGTCATGCGCTTGTCTTGTTCTTCCCGGGACCGCTAGTACTTTCTCTGCCCCCGCTAGAGCTTTTCTATGTGCCACGCTCATGTCACTGTTCTCTGAATCCATTCTTCCATGTCCATATGTCGTCGATTCGTCGTCGCTCGCCGATCGTACCGACACCGAGTAACCCCNCTTAAGGGTTGTTCCTGTGTCGAGTCGACTGGTCTCATGCTCTTCTTGCTCGTAGTGCAGTCCACCAGCCGGTCTTTGCCGGGCTTGTGCGTTGTGGTACAGATTCTGATCTTCTGGTCCCATGATCGATTCGATTCGTCGGGGAAGATAGATCGAGTTGTGACCTGAAGTGGCTGTCACCATCGACTCCCAACTCATTCTGCGCATGGCTGGATGATTGGCGATATCTGGAAGAGTATTTGTAGAATCGACCGCCTGCCTGTACCATCCGCCAGGCATGAGCTCGGGTGCTGCAAACTTGCCCTCGAGACGCTGGTCCGGAAGCACATTTCTGTTCTTGACAGACTTCTTTCGTGTGATGGCCTCGACTGCTGGCTTGAAGGTTTCTGGCACGATATTCAAATCGTCACCCGTCGCTTCTGCGTGTTCGATGGCAGCCTGTGGTGTGGTAGTAGAGTTTGCTGCTCCGGCATCGGCACGCGGTCCTCCCCAAGTTCTCTGTCCTGCAGTGAAGATACCGTACACCATGTACGCCCAGTTGAAGAAGGGATTGATGATGAACATCAGAGGGTACATCATGATCTTGTATCGTCCAAGCTTGGCGCCAAAGTACAGCATCAGGACCCAGTTCAGACCGAGAGAAACAGCAATGAATCCAACAGGCAGATTGGAGATCTTCTGAGATGTCGTGATGATCGAGATGACCATGATGAAGAAGAGAAGAGCAGTGGTTCGGATGGTGTTTTGTGCAAATCGGACTAGGCAGAGGATCGGGTAGCGTCTCCAAAGACGGACGTCTGTAAGCATGCATACTTCGTTGGTGATGAATCCAAGGAACCATCGTCGACGTTGTTTGAGCAAACTTTGGTATGTCTGTACAGCCTCCGTCTTGCAGAAAGCGCCAGTGTTCATCTGAATCTGGTATTTCTCCTTGGCGCCGATCATGAAAAGATGGGTAAGCCATCTGTCTTCTCCCAAATGGCATTTACCATAGTCGAACAAGTCGTCACACTGTTCTGCCTTGTCCGCAAAGTAGTATTTGGCCATTGCTCTGAAAGCAGAGAAACGCAGGACCGTTAAGGCCCCTGGCAAACACGTAACAGCACCACAACCCGACTCAACCGATCGCTCGAACAGTTGACCGTGAATATACTCCATGTCTTGCAGAACCGTGATCAAACTGTGCTTTTCTGTTGTAGAGGTGATGACTCCAGTCATAGCCAGCATGTTTCTCTTGCTTCCAGGCTTCAACTCCATCTCGTACATGAAGTTTTGGATGCACACCTTGTCGAGAATGCAATCGGAGTCGATGAAGAGAACAAAGAGATTGTCGTTGCGCTTCAGGTATTCGGCATACACCTTGTCAATCAGCTTGAATGTCCTCTTTTGGCAGTGTCGCTTGCCGCCGTGGGGGAAACGAGAGATGGTGACGCGAGTGCTTCTGTAAGTAACATCGATACTCTTAGGGTATGTGTCTAGCGTCAGAGGAACACCGAGTTGCTCAATTGTCTTGAGGTAGAGTTCGTCCTCTTGGTCTCCGTCAAAAGAAAGGAAGATATGCAAACAAGAGGGAGGATATTCACAATCGGCCAGAGAGTCGACGGTCCTAAGTAAGATCTCGGGAATCTCTTTGTAGCAAGGCATGACGATGACAACCTTGGGAGCCGAATCCTCATCGAGGACGTGTTTGATACGCTTTGTTTTTCCGACAGAGTGGGTGACGAGCTGATATACGCAGATGAGCCAAGGTATGATGAGGAGTCCAGAGAAAGACCAGAACGCGAACCATTGCAAGAAGCTGACCATCTCTTGAGGAAAGTATCGCACAACTTGGCTAGGAAGAGGGAGGGTCACGACCATTATAGGTAAGAATATACATCTNNATTCGATGGTCAGAGAAAATGGGTTTGGTGATCTTGTGACAGTGCCATACCTGAGAGCCGTGAAAGCAAACATCATCACGATTGCTAAGATCTTGATGCTGAGAGTCTCGGCCTTTTGGTAGACTTTGACTAAACAGTATAGAAAAGCAGCCACCCAGAGAAACCACTCGAGAAGGGCAGCAAGCATGACTGAGCCAACAATTGCGGTGTAAGCAATNNCTGTCCATGTTAGCAAGACCCCAACAACTTTCCGGAAGGTTATCCCACTTACATCCTTTGCCGGCCAAGGATCATGTATGGATGAGATGCCATTCTCATCCACCGCACGGCGGAATATCTCTGCCCACATCTCCTATATGATTAGGTGCTAGCAAGGCACCAAAGCGGCCAAAGACAACGAACGAAGTAGGAAATATCCCGTAAGCAATACGTATGTAGAGAAGGATGCAAAAGTAATGCTCGAGGCAGGAGAAGGGCGGTCAAGTAGGCGAAGAGGAACAAGCGAGAAACAGGTGACTTTCCAGAAGACGACCTTCTTTCCTTTTCCGCCCTTGGTTGAAGCCGTAATCGCGTAGTTAATAGATCAAGTTTTCGTCGCTAGGACGGGAGGGGTATGATGTGCGGTTTCGGGGTTAGTCAAGGTGGTACTGCAGCCAAGCGGCAGCCAGTATGCAGGCCGGGACGAGATGCAACCGGAGGGTTGGTCAAGTTTATTGGAACAGGACAAAAGAGGTTCGGTCGTGCAGACGTGGATGCTGAACATGCATTCAGAAGACGAACTATTGCAGAGGTCGTCTGATCATGTGAAGGTTAGAATGGCCTGGTTTAGTTAGGCACCGGCGCGAGTGGAACGACTTAGGTGATTAGGTGAAAAGTGATTTTGAATAGACAAACAGAAGAAACGTCCAACCGGGGACGAAACTAACGCAAGGAATCGAAAAGACGCCAGGCCAATGGCCAAGGTCGAATAGTGAGGGAAAGGGCCATGGATATCAGTGAATGAATTATTCGACCATTCGCATAAGCCCTGACGGAACCCTGACCAGCCAGCGCCAAGGGTTTCACCATTGCCCAAGTGGTTCGGTGAAACTCATGCAGTGCATGAGAGTCGAGGTCGATTTATTTTGGGCGCGCTCGCCTACTCGAAACCAGTCTTTGCCGCCGCTTATCGTTACAGAGATGTCTGCGGTAGGCCAAGACCTGTGTATCAAACCATAGCTTCAACCATGCTGGAGCTGGCCGCTTCGTTTTATTGACTCGGGTACAGAGGCAACAGCCTGCAGGTTCCAAAGGAACTAAAAGACAAATAGGCGCGTTTGCATACGCATGTTGTAAAATGATTAATACATATGGTATTTTCCTTCTTCGCTCGATCTCAAACAAAAGAGAACTGAGCCGCTGCATATAAAAAAGTCCCAGGCCATTTCGTCGCTTTTTGATGCCTGCTTCGATCGTGTTCTGGATATGCCGTCAGGAAGAGCGACATTTTCTCATGAACAGAACCTCGAACTTCTGGACGGTGCTATCGAATGACCTATTCGTCCCCGTGCCACTATCGCCTTCTGGAGAAACAATGAGACAAAGAGAGGGAAAGAAACGAGATCGATCTTGTGACCACATATGGCCATCGTCGTCAACCACGCGGGAGTCGCTTCCAGCGCTCCCCAAGTAACCAATGGTCTTACACCACAACGCCTATGCTGGAAATCAAAATCATAATACGCGCGGCATCTTGCGCGATTGTATTAGTGACGGCGTATGTGTCGGAGGAAGGAGAAGATTGTGGACGATGTATGTCGATGCGAGAAACGTAGAAGGGGTCGTCATGGTGGGTTGTGTTGGCAGGCTCCCAATTACCAGCAAGTAGCTAAGCCGTGTCTTATAGGATTCCTGAATCCTTCAATGCGTTCTGTAGAATTGTCTCTTTTACAGCTGCAAAGACCAGACGAATATTTGACGTATCGGTTGCTTGTGTGANGGCTGCGAACGAGTCAGTATGGTCGGACGTTAGGAGACCAGAGATATCGACTTACTGAGGGTATAGATTGAGATGCGCTCTGTTGACCTGGTTGAACCTCCAGAGTAGATATTTTGCTGCGCGATTCACGTCGTTTCCGCCCGAGTAGTCCGGGAAGTAGTTGGAGAGCGGCGATTTACCCAGCTTTTGCCTGAACAGATCGACCTTGTTGAGGAAAAGGATGATAGATGTTCTCATAAACCATCTTGAGTTGACGACCGAGTCGAAGAGGACCAAACTTTCCATCATGCGGTTCTGNNTCGCAAGCGGTAAGCAGCTAAATAGACGAGCGATTGTAGAACCACATACCTGATCACTGGCCTCTAGGAGCACCTGGTCGTACTCACTGAGAGCAACACAGAAGATGATGGATGTAACGTTTTCGAAACAATGGATCCATTTCTTGCGCTCACTTCGTTGACCGCCGACATCAAACATGCTGCAAGCTGGTCAGAATCAAGGCTGGGGATATCCTCTTGACCACGGTACTTACTGAATGCTGAGTTGACCCATCTGGAATCGCGTTTCGTAGATACCTGTAGTCTTTGTTCTTGCTCTTAATACGTCTGCTTCCGTCGGGCAGTAATCGTCCTGTGTTATTCTGTGGACTTCGTCAAAGAAGCTNNAAGGACAGTCAGCGCTGGACCACAAGAATCATATATGGCGTGCTCACTATGATGCCGAGTCCATCATGTAGAACTCGCTCGAGTGGTCGAGGACTTTGGGTATACACGGATCTTTCCAGATTGCAGTTATGGCGGTAGCGCATCTGGCGTCCAGGTGAGCATTCGGGTCTGGGTCGACTGTAAATTGCATGATCATCTCGCAATGCTGAACGTTTTCTGGGTTTTCTGGAGCGATGTCGAATTGTTGCATTGCGCCGATGAGAGCTTTGGCGCAGTCGATGACGTTTTTGTAGATGGTATGCCTATACAGGCGCAACTCGTCGACGCTGTAGCCGTTTTGGTGGATGATCTTCATCTGCTTGACAATGGTCGACTTGCCGCTTTCGCCAGAGCCNNTTTGCGTGAGACGGATTAGCAGGTGGTATAGAGAGGACAGCTTCATGGCCAACGTACCCAGCAGTAGGATCTTGCACTCGCGCCGTAGCTTCTTGGAGTCTTCTTCAAGGCCACGATCGATTGCCTGACTCTTCTTCTTCTGACCTTCATCGTCCCCTCCCCTCGAACTCATGCAGTTACCCATGGTGACAGCTCCGAGTGCTTGGACCGGCCTCGGCCGGATGTCGCAAGCTCGATCAAGATGTCAGAGCGAGATGCGCGCGTGCTGGTACAGCTCGGCGTTGAGTTAATGGGTGCGTGTTTGGCTGCAAACAATAAAGCGGAACAATGGCGAGGTGGATGGATGAGGGTGGCTGGGCGGGTGGAGAGGGCTTTGTATGGCTCGTTGGTTGCCGGATTCCGAAAGCGACGAAGCGACGGCAGATAAACAAGGGCGATGCGGATGCGGCTGCGGACTTGCAGGCGTGGATACTGCAGAGATGGACGAGCAAGACTGAGCTGGGTGCGAGACGGCGGCGGATCGAGTGGATGGGTAGGTAGGATGACGGACGGCGGATGTGCTGTTGATAGAGTTGATGATGTGTCTGGGACCGTCGACTCTCTGGGACGCTGCCGCTGTCGAGTCGCGTCCGTGCCTTGTCTGCACAGGGCCCCCGCAATTAGATCGCTTTGAGCCTTCCTTTAATTGCTCCAGGCGCTTGCAACGCTGTAATCCTGCAATGCGAAATGGGTGCTGAAACACTCGACAGAGAGACGCTCTAGGAAAGGAGAGAGCAAGGCAGAACAAAGAAAATCCAGAGAGTAGCCACCAAGCGACTGGTCATGTCTGCTGTATCCACCCTGTATCACGACCGCCATCGTGCTGTTAGCTACACCGTACCTGCCGTTTCCTATTGGAATTGCGCCACACAATCGCCCGCCGTTGTGCCCTGCCATGGGCGCACTATCTACACGGCGACAGCCATCTCTTCGACATCCTGTGCACAACTTGTCTGAACTCTTTGCATAAACATGTCGTTACGAAACGTCAATCGCTCACGGTTACCGTCACACTGGTGCACCAGCGTTGTCGCTGTCCTGAAGCTAGCAAAACGTCCTATATCTGTCCTTCGCAATCTTCCCAATCCGGTCCTTGACCACTGTCTCGGCCTTCGCACTGTCAATTCCCGTTGTCGATTTCCTTCCTCCCTCGTGGAAACGTTGCTATCGAGATTTTGGTTGCTGTTCATTTTGTTAAGAGAAATCAATAATGCAGCGCCGCAACCTGTTTGTCGCTGCTCGTGAGATGCTCTGGCCAGTGAAGACAACCTTGACCTTTGTTCGTAACCAGCTCCGAAGCGAAGCTTTTACTGTCGCTGCTCTGGTGCAGCAGCTTTAACCGGTGTCCTCGCGAACGAACGAACCGGCTGGTGGAGCACTACTGGCTTGACTGCTTTTCCCTGGTCGCAATCAAGCGATCGCTTTATTGACAGAGTGACTTCTCGGCCGAGAGGTTATCAATACCAAGGTCACCTCCAGAGTCCCCCGTGTGCTCCCGGTATTTTGTTCTCCTTTCGAACTATATCGACTGGCCGATACACACACTCCACCTGTTGCCTTCTCATCAACCCACCTCGAATCAAAGCATTCTTCGGGTCGGACGTTGCCTGCTGTCCAGCGTCCTCTCAACACAGATGCTTGGAAGCCAACCTCGACTCCGCTCGCCCGTCAAGCAGCTCTGCAATGCACGTGTTTAGATCAAAGGAAGGCATTGTGTGTAATTAGTGACGCTGCAACAATGCGCAGTGTTTCGAATTGTGAGATCTGTTGATCGAAGGAGACAAACTCTCATGTCTCTGGAACTTGTTTGACACATGTTTAGACCTTGAAAATGCTGGGTGTTTACAAACAGTGTTGTACACCACCAATTGGAGAAGAGGTCGAAATTGGAGCTTGTGATCCTACGTGACTCCAAAGACTTGGTGCTGGGCATGTTGTAGTTTTGCTGATGGCGGTCAGGAGGTATGGAGATCATACGAGTACTGCCAATGAGTTGAGCCTTGTTCATCGTGTATGGCACACCTGCGAGAAGAAGATGCAACTGCAATCACCACACAAGATGCTATCCAGATGGGCCTGTCCCAGTGATTTAATCATTGAGGATGACTACGTCGTACGCTCGTTCTGTCTTGAAAACGATATGGTGCAAGCGACAACGACGGCTCTTAGTAGCCATGCATTAGAGCTTCCGAAGTAGTAGCAGTAACTCGGTGTAGTCCAGCGCAGCCTTTTGCATGAGAGACAGGGTGACTGCAGGTCTTGTTCTTCCAGAGAACGCCTCAAAAGAGCCGCATCTCATGTTGTGGAATTGACAGGATCGAGGACAGAGCTCATGCATTTGAGCCTCTTCTTGCTTGGCGGTCCCGATAGATCTCCGTAATCCCGCATCTGGGGAGCAACCAATGGCGGAGAGAAAAGTCAGAAGCCCATGAGGAGCAGGACATGAACTCCGTCGTGGTGATCCACGCTGTACGTATCCCGATCCGCAATCACAAGCCGCATCTTGTTCGTGGTTAGATGTTGGTGACTGCGAGATGGGCCATCTCAAATAATGCTTGCCGATGACTACCGCGTGGTCAAAGGTCGAAGCTTGACCAAGGCAGCCACTTACGCGCAGCTAGGAGTTGGCAAGTCGCGATCGATCGATCTGAGTGCGTGCGTGTGAACAAACATGGAAGTTACGGACAGTGCTGTTGTCGGTTCTCCTGAGGACGGACTTTCCTCTTTTCTTCCCTCCATCCTCCTTGACTTCTCTTGTTCTCTCAGGTACGATATCCAGTCAGCCGGCGGACAGCGACGATCCCAAGCACCTTTAGACGATCCCGCACACGCTTGCCTCGACAAGCGTTTTAGCACTTTCCCAGTCGCCACGCTCTAGCGCACCATCTCTGCAGTCTCTGTATTGCTCTCCGGTTGCTGTCTGTCTCTACAAACCAGCCAAACCACACGGTGTAGAAATTGTATCGCTGGCTTGGACTACTAGTCGCACTTTGACAGCAGGAGAATACTTGATTTCCAGCCACACAAAAACGCCCACGTCATTATTGGTTCGCTCGGCTGCCCCACGCTCCACGGTCCATAACATCGATCCGCTTTCTCGACCTCCACCCCTTCAACCAAAACACATCTGAGCCACCACCCCCATCAACACCGTCGCCATGGCAGAATTCGTACGCGCGCAGATCTTCGGAACCACCTTCGAGATTACCAGCCGGTAAATACCATTCAGCGCCTGACTCCCTGGCCGACCCCCTCCGCAAGCGCCAATGCTAACACTGTCTGCAAAGNNTTATACGGAACTGGCTCCCGTAGGAATGGTGAGTCTCTGCGATTGTGATTGACGCGCATGTATGCTAACGACACTTCAGGGAGCATTCGGTCTTGTCTGGTGAGCGGATATTATGATTGCAAGCAAAATTGGCCCTAACAAATCACCAGCNTCGGCAAAGGACCAGCTCACAAACCAGGCTGTTGCTGTCAAGAAAATCATGAAGCCTTTCAGCACACCTGTCCTCTCCAAACGCACCTACCGCGAGTTGAAGCTTTTGAAGCATTTGAGGCATGAGAATGTGTGTATCGGAAAACTTTTTCTTGCCCGGCCAATTCGTCTGACTGGTTCCTACAGNGTCATCAGTCTCAGCGACATCTTCATCTCCCCTCTGGAAGACATGTTCGTACTTTTCGTCGGCAAACTCTCCACCAAATCAACTAACGTCCATTCAGCNTACTTCGTCACCGAGCTGTTGGGCACCGATCTTCACCGCCTGCTCACTTCGAGACCGCTCGAGAAGCAATTCATTCAATACTTCCTTTACCAGATCCTGGTTCGTTCTATCCGGCAACGACGTACACAGAAACACGGCTGACGAGGTCTTTAGCGAGGACTGAAATATGTCCACTCGGCCGGCGTTGTCCACCGTGACCTGAAGCCCAGCAACATCCTGGTCAACGAGAACTGCGACTTGAAGATTTGCGACTTTGGTCTGGCCCGTATCCAAGACCCTCAAATGACCGGTTACGTTTCGACGAGATACTACAGAGCTCCCGAAATCATGCTCACCTGGCAAAAGTACGATGTTGAAGTTGATATCTGGAGTGTCGGATGTATCTTCGCCGAGATGCTCGAGGGCAAGCCTCTGTTCCCCGGAAAGGACCACGTCAACCAGTTCTCCATCATCACCGAGTTACTCGGAACCCCACCGGATGATGTTATCCAAACCATCTGCAGCGAGAACGTAAGACACAATCAGCCGGATCCATCTATGGGCTGTGAGCTGACATATACCTTGTCTAGNACCCTTAGATTCGTTCAGTCGCTGCCCAAGCGTGAGCGTCAACCCTTGACCAAGAAGTTCAAGAACGCCGACCCTCAAGGTACGTCAACATTCAAGATAACCAGCAACATGAACTGACGTCTGCGTNNAGCTATTGAGTTGCTTGAGCGTATGCTCGTCTTCGACCCTCGCACACGTATCAGAGCCGGCGACGCCCTGGCTGACCCTTACCTCGCCCCTTACCACGACCCCACCGATGAGCCCGAGGCTGAGGAGAAGTTCGATTGGTCGTTCAACGATGCCGACTTGCCTGTTGATACCTGGAAGATCATGATGTATGTGCACATTCAAAGACAAGCGCCAAATCAATCTTGACTAACCCGATTCTCTAGGTACTCGGAAATTCTGGACTACCACAATGTGGACGCTCAGAACGGTGAGGAAGTCGGTGTTCCTCAATAGGAGATAGGCAGATGTGCGTGATCCGGCATACTGCGATGATACAGAAAGAGCAAGCGCATACAGCGGAACCCCAAGGACATGCAAGCTTGGGTTCGCAATGATGGAACTGGTTTATTGTTTTGATTTTGAGAGCACTGGCACAACCCTTCAACTCATGGATTTACAAAACGAAGGCGCATTGCACCACTCGGACTGGCTCAGACACGTTCGGACAATTCCATTCACAAGGAGAACGGTGACTGAGGAGCCCAGGCCGAGTGCACATGAAGCGCCGCGTCAGCGTGGGAGAGATGAGCAAGCATAGCTGCGGAGCTTTGGGGACACAACATAGAAAGAAACAGGCAAATCAACAAAGAGGCATCATGCAGCATAATGAGAAACAGATTATGTCGATTGCAAATGCCGATGATCAGTACAGGTACATGCGATGGCGATAAGAGCCTCGTGGTCTGCCAAGCCAAATAGGTGGGAGCGCGTGAAGATGTCATACAGAATGTGACCAGTGGTGATTGGCCTAGACCGACACATGACCGTGGCATTGGCATAGCAGTGTTTATTTGCGGGCCACAAAATGACTGTTTGGCGATAGCATAGCACCATGGCCGACACATATCGCCCCGTAGTAGCAGTGGTCGACTTCCACCATCAGCGGTAGAGCTTCCCAGTAGCCGGCAGACCAAGCAGACATCAGCTCACAGTCAGTCTAGTNGGTCCAGAAGTAGAGCGATGGGTAGGAGTAGACCAAGGATACGATCCCGCCATTGACAACGACTGGCAGCTGCTGCCCTTCCTCGCCTTGTCTGACGGAGCCCACGCGTAAAACAACCACCTTCTCTGGCTGCGGCCGTCTTGACCCAAGAATCGGGCTAACCAGTCGTCTTGAAATAGTGCCACGGAAGACTTTTCGTACTTTACCCTCGTTTTAAAGAGCACACCCGAGCGCTCACTCTTCGGCATAAGCTGTACCCGTCAGCTCGACTCGAGGGAGCTGCTCAACAGGCCCGCCGATGTCACTCGTAGCACTGTCCAGAAAGCAGTCGTCGTCATTACCGAGAACCCGCAAACATTCACCGCCATACGAGAGAAGCTCAGCGTCGTGACAAAGGCTTGGTTCGCACAAAAGTACGCTCCTCCCTAGAAAGAGTCTTGGACAAAGTGGAATACAAAACGCAGGGGCTGATTCTCGTCTAGAGACTTTGAAGATGTTGAGATTCTAGAGGTTCGCTAGACTGCTGTTCTCATGGCGGTGCTATATCGCTGACCCTTGTCCTAGCGTTTTCAAGAGAGTCTGAACAAGGGCTTTGGCAGCCAGGAAGATGATAGAGACCTCTACTTTGGTAAGCCCGTTGCTTGACAATGTCTGCTGCGCTGTCTGCTGACATGTCTCTACCANGGCCTGTCTATGCGCGAGCTGATTCATCAGTTCAAATGGCAGACCCTGGTGCTTTTCAAGTGTCTGCTGTTGCAGCCAAAGGTAAGCTCTACCAATGTCCGATGAAATGGCAGTACTCACTCAGCCCTAGATGCTCTTTTTGGCTCGAACTGTGAAAAGATGTGCCTTGTCCAGTTCTCCCTCATTTCTCTCATACCAACCCTCATGCGCCATCTTCGCGATTGCGCAGATCCTCGTATGGATTACTATGCTACACACGTAGAGAAGCCTACCTCGTTGAAGACAAGCGAACGAGCTTCACTCCTGGCCTATATGGGAGTGCCTCTACAAATCTTTGGAAAAGGCAGTCTATTTGGTCCATACACGCCATTACAACAGCTGGACACATTGGCCGACCAAGACACGAAATCGTACGTTGTCGGCTCTACGAACCAACTACTTCTTCAACAAAAGGATCGCTATGCAGATATCTTGGTAAATCTCGATGATAATACCATCAACATATACTCGCCATCTCTGCGCAATGCCTTGGCTTTGTCGACTGCAGACAGACGATGGATCGATTTCCTCACTCAGTCTGTACACGACACATGGGACGAAAACATCCCAAGCCGGCCGAAGGATATGGGTTACGCAGGCAGCGAAGAATTTATCCGCCTACAGTTCGAGGAATACCTGCTCTCCTTACTCTCAGCCTCGAAATACAGCCGTTTCGTCTCTAGTCACAAGGGAGACCCTAAGGCCCTACTCTCAGAAGTCGAGGGCGATCCTGCTGTCGAGTTTGGCAGCGAATTTATGAATCAGTGGGCTTTGACTGAGAACTTTGCTCTCTTTGAACGCACGACAGATTCGCATCTTTTCGATGTCGTTGAACCGCGACACCCGTGTGCTGGTGGCTTGACCATTGAAGACGTGCAACGTAGACTCGCTGCTCAAGTCTCGGAACTGCATCTAGATGAGCGTTGGAGAGGCAGTAAGGAAGCTATGGGCAAACATATATCGACCGGCCGCGAGCGTGTTGCTGGCGCCATTAATACGCTCTGGGCCGACATTGAGGTCATGCGAGAAGCTCAGCGTAGACGTGCTGAAGAGCACAAAGCTACTGCCGCGAACATCCCACCAGCTTCCGAGGAAAAGAGTGCTCCNAAAAGGTAGGTTTTCTGTTTGCATTTGCTAAAGTATCGTCATCGCTGACCTTTTCGCGCTCCAGTGGCTCAAGCTCAAGCATCGGTTCAAGCAGCCTCTTCACGCGCCGGTGCCTATCTCTCCTCATGGGGTGCTTGGGCATCCGAAAAGCGCAAGAACTGGCAGAAGCCCGAGAACAGCAATACCGCTGCTGTCCCCAAACCCCCGATCTCGCCTTCTACTGAGATATGGGCTGCAGAGGAGTCCAGACCTGCTGTTACGACTGTATCGGAATTGAGCAACGAACGAGCAACTCAACCTGCTGCACCGATCACAAACGAGAGAGGTAGTAATCTGAAAGACGTTGTTAAGGAAGAGGATGCAGAGGAAGATGTACAGAAAACACAACAAGAGGATATTGCGAGTCAAGTAGCGGCAGAGGATCCATGGGCGCAAGAGAAGATCTGATCGGTAATGGATGTAGGAAATAGGTACAATAACCGAATCTCGAACAGACTTGTGAATACAAGAAGGGACATCTGTACATATTGAACATCTGATGATCATCTGGTTTTTCGTCAAGTGTAGATTTCCACTCAAAAGTGCCACAAGAATAGAAAGGCAAAGAATGAAAACGAAGCTAGCGAGGAGAAACTATCTCACAACTTAATCTCCCAATTCGCCCGCCCTTCAACGAAACCCCAGCATCCAATTCATACCTCGTCGGATGCGGAAAATCAATCCTCAGCATTTCTTCCAACCCCAGCGTTTCCTCTTCCTTGTCTTCCTCTCTTTGCCCATACTCAACCTCCACCTCTCTTTGCCCCTTCTCAATCTCCATCTCTACATCTTCATGCTGTACAATCTTTTCGCCTTGCATCGAGTCCTTGCGAATGCTTGTCGTGGTGATGGTTTTAGAGTGTCGGCGCAACGCGATATCGAAACAAGATCTTCGTTTTCTGAATAGGGGGATGGAGATCGCGGCGAGGATGAGGAGGAGGAAGAGTGTGCCGCCTATTGCTCCGCCGATGATTGCTGTGTTTGAGTGGTGGGTCGTTTCTTTGGCGAGGTTTGAGGATGTTGGTATGTGTGTGTTTGATTGTGTTGCCATTGTAGTTGGACTTGACTGTAGAGAAGAAGTTGTGGTAGAGTAAGAACTCATGGATTTAATAGAGTGATGTCGAACTACTCTCTTTTTGAAGTGTTACGATGACAGAGCAAGTGAAAAGATAGTTGCGAAGGAAGATGCACGAGGGTAATCACGATACATACATGATTCTCTTCCTTCCTTGCCCCTCCTGATCTGTAGCACAAAGGCTTGCTGCAGAAGGAAGCATGTATTGGAAGGAGAGACTGCGTCTTCCCCAAGCCAGCATCCTTTTGCGGTGTGTTGGGACATGGGTAACGACATATCCAAAGCTCGAACCAAACTTTGCTCTCAAGAAATTGAAACTGGTCTAGATGTGCTTGCATAGACGACTTGGGAGAGCGCTTTCTGCTGCAGAGGTCTGCACATGACATGTCTGGACTTCATGCTGTGTATGCTGCGAGAGAAGCTGCTGACATGCTGATTACCTGACATTCTTTCTGTTGAGTCCGATACATGGCAAGGATTTCGAGGCGTTACAATATACATGTGCACCTGCCCGTCTGCAAAGCAGGGGTTTCTTTGGTTCCAAGTTCTACAACCAACATATGCAGGAAGGAAAATCTCTTTATATCGGGCGCTTAAAAGTAATTAGCGAGCACGTGCTTCCTTTGTGTAACATGATGGTAGTGAAGGATCACCTGTGATGAGCTGCCATGAGTGTTCTCTACATGTGCCGAAGTGTGGCGCATTGCACCTGTAGAACTACACAACTCGGAGGCGTCGTTTTGATAGCTCCATATGGACAGAACCTCTGGTTTAAAGATTGTTGGGCGTTTGTGAAGCTCACGATATTGCATTTGTTCAACAGCTGTGAGAGGGAGATCGATCATGAGATATGTAGCAGAGGAAATGCTCGAACTCTTGGAAGCGTCGTTGCGTGGATTCTTTGTAGGAAGCGAGGATAGGCAACCATGCAAACGTACGTCGCGCAAGCCAGACCGAACGGAAGGACCTCGGCCATGAGGATATAGATGGAGATGGGGAGTACAAGACCAGCGAGGACGATCGAAGAAACCATATCTCCAAGGCAGTTATGTCAGTCCGAAGAGAATCGAGATAGGTATCCGTCAGGCCAATCAACCATACACGGTCGACATCTGTTGCACGCCACTTCCCTTTGCGCACTACCTTCTCCTTGCGCACCGCTTCTCTCTTGTGCACGACTTTGCTCTCTCCTTCTCAGTCTCCTCCTTCTCCAAAACCAAAACGCAACTCCACACAACGCCAGAAACGCTATTAGCCCAACGATGAATCCGACTGTATTGCTGACAAACCAATGTTCCTCGGGTTGGTCATTGCCTTTTGGTATCGTAGGATCTGACGTTGACTGTGATGTTGGCGATGCTGTCACGGTAGCGGTGACCACGACTGCTGGAATTGAACCTGTTGCCGAGGCGGTTTCTGTTGCTACAACCGAAGTGACTATGGCGGTCGATATTGACGGTTGTGCAGTGACTACTTCTGTCACGACAATTGTGCTTGTAGGAAGTGTCGCTGATGAGGATAGCGTTGTAGAGGGACTATCAACTGCTGAAGACATGGTGTTGCGAAAAGGGAGTGGACGTTATGCAGGCGATAGTGTTTTGTCTACGAGACAGAATGGAAAGATATCACAATGTAGAAATAGACGGAGAAGGATGGAGCAGGTCGCGATGCGAATTAAAGTTACCTCCCTTAATGAGCTGCTTTACAAAATACGTGCGTATCAAGAAGCCACTTTTCGTTTGCCGATAAGAGCGATAACCTTCTGGTGGTTGTGGCTTTTTAGGAACCGTTCCAGGCACAAGCACCCAGCAATGTGCCTATGTAACCAGGCAGCCATATTGCTAGGTGGTTCAATCAGGAAAAATGATCAAGGATAAAAGGGGATGCAAGCAATTGATGAAGTGGAGTGCAATATTTATCGTAAGTTGAGTATGGTCACCTTGATTAGTGAAATGGTGTGCTAAAGCTTGCCAAGGCTGTCGCACAAGCTTTCTACGGCGAGACCTGCTCGTCGACAGTAACGTCAACCTGTACAGGAGCTTGACTTTGCTGTTGATGTTGTTGCATTTGCAGACCAAGACTTCCAAGAGCAGAGAGGGTGGCGCCAGCAGCACCATAGTCGACAAATCTCCTTCGGCCAAACAAATGAACTGCTTCTCCGTGCGGCCATGTGAGGTTGTTGTATGCCCAGAATGCTAGCAAAGCGAGCGAAGTAGAAGTCAGGCCAAGTATTGCGGGAAAATATCTCTGGAGAAGACTAGGTTGACGTTTGATGGGCAGACGTTCCAAGCCTGAGTTGGACTTCGGTAATGGTAGCTGACTGTAGAGGCTCTGTCCAATGTAGCTGACCACGGCGATTGGACTAAAGGTCTGCGGCGATACCCAAGGAAGCTCAGCTGCACCCTTTTCTGATTGCGAAACAGCATCCAAGGCTTCGTCGGGGTGGGCATCGACCCGGAAGGTGTCTCTAAGAGAGCCAAGGTAGACGACGAGTTTTTGGTACTTGAGACGCATGGTAGAGGCAAGCCAGTTCTGGGGCATCTTAGGGTAGAACATCAAGCTCAAATATCCAAAGGCCAGGCAGTCGACGATGGTGGGTTGATCGGTTCCCAGGAGGTTGGACTGGTTCTTCAAGAGCTCTTGCAGCGGCTCGAAGAAGTTGTCGGCCAATGCGTTCAGCTTGAAGGCAGCAGCGTGCTCTGGCTTTTGTAGCAAGGTGCGGACCGTGTCTCTGCGACCCAGCAGTCTCCTGGCGTGCTTCTCCGTCTCATGCTCGAAAGGCTTCTTCTGCTGCTCGGACTGCATGCTTGATGGCTTGTCGATGACGTCCTCGTGTATATCATCAACATCGAGACTGGATACTCCCAAGTGCTGAGTGCGTTGTCTGGCTTCATGGCGGCGCTGGGGAGGAATTACGAAGTTGGCGTACCACGGGAGGATCTTTGTGAAGGCGGAGCGAGTGCGGTTGCGGTAGTTTTCGAAAGATACGTATAGCGAGATGTCGAGCAGTAGTTGACCTTCGGATTTGATAAAGGTCGAAAGNNTCTGTGTGAGGGTCAATATCTGCCTGGTTGATGGAGTTTGCGCCGAGTCTCACGCTGTCGCATCTGCTTGTTGTTGCGCTGTCAGGTTGGTGGCCAGACCAGGGACGGAGCTACCGGATGTATCGATGAGGTACTGGGCTATCCTGTCAAAGCCAGAGTATGTGTCGTCGCCGACTTGGAGAAAAGGGAGTCGAGTGCCTGGCGCGGCTTCATGGCTGGCAACCAGAGCCCATGCCTGGCTACTGCCTTGTGTGTAGCGTTCGATCAGTGCTACGGCAGCAATACATTCTGCATCTATCGACGGCAGCCCAAACGCTGGTCCTAGAATGTGCAACTTCATCTTGGAAACTTTGTCACAGTCTGCGAGATCAAGGTGATTGTGAATGATATGCCAAGCCCCGCCATTTCACGCTCTACATACAACCACTGCTCTGATGACTTGCTCACTATCTTACAACTGTGTCAGGGAATCTGATTTATCGATACGCTGAACACATGACAAAAGCACTCTACCAAGTCTTGACGAATGTTACATACATCATATTGCAGAAAGATAGTGACACGTTGGTGCGAGAGAAGTGTATGTTTCTCAGTCCATGGATTCGGATTCTCGAATTCTATATCACCGCCCACATGGTACTTTAATGATACCAGAATCCCCTCAATACGGATCAGATCATACACAAGCTTCATTCCATACAAGTACAGAGTAAGTGAGGTCCGACATGGTCGTCAAAAGGCATTTTCGAGAAGTGAAGTAGTGGTTCATGGTATGACCCTGACCTTCGCTTACGTAAGCACAAGCTTCGCAGCTCTACTATAAGTACTCGAGCTCTCCCACGCCCTCTTCACCAACCATCCAAGGTTCGTACTACCAAATCTGACCCATACTGTGTCTCAATACTAACTCTCTACAGTGCACGGGCTTAACGCGGTATTTATTACTCTCGCCGTCTTGATTCGAGACAAGAACTGACATGTGATTTAGTATCAGTGAGGATTCGTCCGAGATCGTGTTTTTGCTAGTTGAAAACTATCAACTGACTGCTCTTGATGGTCTCACGATCGTCAAGGAATTTTTGGAACCAACAACATTTCTTGTTATCTCTCTTTTTCATTGATGTTCTGGCTGCTGGCTGGGGGTTGAAGAAGAATGAGGACGGTTGCTTCTGAGGGAGATATGGAGCGCGTGTGTGAGGACTGGAGGTGTACTGGTATTGAACAGTGATGAGTCAAACGTGAAGCCGCTCAGTCATAGACGGCGTTGATAGCTAGCAAGTGATAATGGCAATGTTGTCGACTGTCTTACTATACACCTTTCTTCAGTGACGTCCGAGCGAGGAGCGTGACGTTGATGTGTTGATCGACGCGTCTTCCGCAGCTTCTTCGCGCCGGCCAGCTTTCTGGAAAACGTCTCACCTAACTGAAACCTCGACACCAAGACATTTGCATCTCTTGAGTCCAACTGCCTCTGTCTTTCTTCGAGTATACACATACACACACATACCGCCGCAACAATGTCCGTACCCGCCCCGGACTCGCAAATCGATACCTCGGCCGCCCTCACATACTGGAACTCATGCGACCCCTCAGTAACAGGCATGCTAGGCGGCTTCCCTCAAGTCTCCCGTATTGACCTCCAACAATCTACCACCTTCCTTGCCAAGCTGCGCCGCGCCTCGAAAGCACACCCGACCTCAACCCCGCTCTCGCGCATTGTCGACTGCGGCGCCGGAATCGGTCGAATCACCTTGGGCCTGCTTTCAAAAGTCGCAACCGTTGTGGACATCGTCGAGCCTGTGGAAAAGTTCACGAGACAAGTCTCAGAAGGTGATGACTTCAAGCAGCTGAGAGATCAAGGCAAGATTGGTACGATATACAATGTTGGGCTCGAGGCCTGGGAGCCCGAGCACACCTACGATGTCATCTGGATCCAGTGGTGTCTAGGACAATGCACAGATGCACAAGTTAATGCTCTCTTCACCCGCGCGCAAAACTACCTGTCACCAGGAGGTTGGATTGTGCTGAAGGAGAACTTGTCAAATAATCCGTTTGGTGAGGATGTCTATGATGAGACAGATTCAAGTGTTACCCGGACCGACGACAAGTTCAGAGCCTTATTCAAGGAGGCCAGTTTGAAGATTGTGGCTACCGAACTGCAGAGAGGCTTCCCCAAGGACCTGTATCCCGTGAGGATCTATGCTGCTCAGCCTGAAGCTTGATGCAAAACTTCTACAAGGGGAACACCATTTGCTTTACGGGATAACATCCTTCAACACGGGAATGTCTGCTCGCGTCACTGCAAGTGCTGATTCGGAGGGAAAAGGAACATCAAAGTGCACACACTCTTTAGCAAGAACGCTACGTACAAGAATGGCACTCCACGTGAACCACTCCTAGAAAGCCAGTCTACCAAAACGCGCAACACGATTCAAATCCTTGCATTTGTCCACACAGGGCCAGCATAAGCAAAGAATATCAACAAACAGTCCCACGAGGTAAAGATGAGTCCTCAGAGAATCGAAGAGATAAACATTTTCAATGGAGGCTCCTCTCTAGGTACTGTGCAACTTATTGGCCGTTTGCAACCATGTTGCGTACTTTGCGAGGACTCGACAATATGCACCTGCCAACTCCAACATGAACCTCTCCCAATCTTGCCGAGAAATAGTGAAAAGACTCGGGTAAAGAAATCGGAATATACCAGAGTTGACATTCCTTAGAAAGGGGTCTCTGATGAGAGTGTTCCATGACTAAACCACAACTTTTGCTTCCGGTTCTGGGGTACCATAAATGCACCTCTCAGTCACATTCGCTCTCCTTTTCATATACTCATCCGTAGCATATTGGTATTCGGCGACGAATTGCGCGCCAAGGCCATTGTCGGCAAAGTGGTCTTCTGCGAGTACCTCGAGAGTCTTGGATCTGACGATGCGGATTTGGACAACACCATCGATCAAGTTGTATGAAGACATGGTGTTGCCATGGGCATGCTGTTTCATGAAGCTGTCGTAACGCGCGTGGTCTGATGGAGCGATGGTGTTTCTTGTGTTGATCATGGTTGTGACTGTGGCTGATAGGCTTGAGTGTGTGGTATTGCTGAAGAGGTAGTATTGGTTTTAGTACTTGATTTGCCTGGTACGCAGCAGAATGTATGGTTAAGCTTCAGCACGGGAGAATACTATCTTTTGTGGGACTTCCAGAGTGCTGTATAGAATCTGTTGGGCTTCGAAGGATTGAACATGGACACGTGAGGCAGTCATCTGGCTTGCAGGCCGGCATGAGATATTCATGGTTGAGGTTGAAGATGGTCGAAATGGTCACTGCAATTGGTCGGTGTCCAACACATGCGCGATGCAACTAGATGCGTTCATTGCTTTCTGCAAGATTATAAAGCACTTGTTTGGATCACAATATCAACAGCGTTGAGAAGAGGGCTCTTGCAAAGGACGTTGATGGATAGACCTCGGGCGGACTTCGTTGGCTTGTTCGTCCGACGAATCGGAACCCTTCACACGCCGAGGATGCTGCAAGAAGCTTGTTGCTCGGAGGGTTTGTTGCTCCTTCCGTGAGCTCCAGGTAGGTAAGACTGGTCCCTCAGGTATAACAACCCAGTGTCTGAATTAGCTATAAGAGACTGTAAGATCCCATCGCAAAACGTCATCATCACGAACCAAATCATTCATCAACACAAACCAAGAACATCCATCTTCATAACCCAAATCATCCATCAAAACCAACAATGTCCAAAGCCCTTCTCATCACCGGTGCAACTGGCAAGCAAGGCGGAGCCACCATCGACGCCCTCATCAGCTCTCCCTCACACAGCTCAGACTTCACAATCCTAGCCGTAACCCGCAACCCCTCGTCCGCCTCAGCACAAGCACTGCAAAAGAAGTCCCCCAGCATCAAACTCGTAACCGGCGACCTCAAAGACGTACCCGGAGTCTTTGACGCCGCCGAAGCAATCCACAAACCCATCCATGGAGTCTTTAGCGTACAAGCCTTNTTGGGTCAGGGTCAAACCGTCGAGACCGAGGAGCAGCAAGGCAAAGCACTGGTAGACGAAGCTCTCAAGCGCGGTATCAATCATTTCGTGTACACTTCTGTGGACCGCGGCGGCGACAAGTCCCTCGACAACCCCACCACGATCCCGCATTTTGTAAGCAAGCACAATATTGAACGCCACTTGGTCGACAGCACAAAGGACTCGAAAATGTCTTATACCATACTCCGCCCTGTTGCCTTCATGGACAACTGGGTCTCCGGCATGATGGGCAGAATGTTTGGTGCAATGTGGAGCTCCGCACTCAAACCAGACCGCAAGCTTCAACTCATCAGTTGCCGAGACATTGGTTACTTCGCCGCCGAAGCCTTCCGCAACCCTACCAAATACAACAACCGCGGCATCAGTCTTGCAGGCGACGAGCTCACCCTAAACGAAGCGGATAAAGTGTGGAAGCAAGCGGCTGGCCAGGGAGCCCCAAACACTTTCAGCTTCATGGGCACTGGCTTGTTGTGGGCGAGCAAGGAGTTGGGTTCCATGTTCAGATGGTTCCAGACTGATGGCTACGAAGTCGATATTGCTGCTCTTAGGAAGGAACATCCTGGTCTGCAGACCCTGGGTGATTGGATTGTCAAAGAGAGTGCTTTCAAGAAGGAGTAATGGGTTTGTCGTGACTGGTGTTGGGATTAGCTTTTAGTAAACAAAGTAATAATAGAAATGTAAGGTTAATGTCTTTTATGCAAAGGGTGCTGTCTCGTTTGCAAGTGATATGAGAGTTCCCCTAGCTCTTATGTGCCAAAGCATGTAACTCGTGTAACTATACGAATAGACAATACTAACAGGGTGGCACACATGGAGAAGCGACACAGCGTAGGCTCTGTTTGATTGCATCCCTACTCTGGAAGCATCTATGTCTTTTTACAGTCGGAAACGCTCTTTGCGGTTATAGAAATACACGGGGAGGGATGGCGCCTGAAGAGAAGAGAACATGAACTGCACAATCGAGCTGGAAAGATTCAATATGATGAGAACAATAAAGTTTATCAGCAGTACTGATCACTAAGAGCTTGCACCTGTAGCAGTTTGCCCAGCTTCTTTTCCAAAGCAATCATCTATTTACTGATTCGTATCTGGTCCTCCTAGGTGTACTAGTCTATAGAAAGCCAAGCTGTATCCGCCACGACCAGCTGTTACATCAGGGAAACGTAAAAGTCATGTGGTCGAGTAAACAGACCCTTTGATCCAGAGTACGAAAAAGGCGACTTGACTCTATCACTGAGTAGAGCCATTGTTCCCCTGAGAATCGGCCTTCTTTCTCATCTCGTCCGCTCTCTTTATCTCACCAGCAATGTAATCGAAGGCGAGGTGACCAAAGACGTAGGGCTGGTAGCCACGAGGGCGTGGCTGAGCTTGTGCGCGGGCTGGAATACTAGAGCCAGGAGGTACATCTGAAGGAATGTTCAAGCCAGTAGGCGGGTTTGTGGGAATGCTCAAGCCAGGCGGAGGACGAGTTGTGGAAGAAGTAGCTGAACGCATAGGAGTCGACCATGAGGAGGCGTAGGGGTCTGGTCCAAAAGATGAAGGACTTGACTGAGCGTCGTTGGGGGGGAAGCCAGACGGACGAGGTATAGGATACGCAGCGGGGCGGATGTGAGTTGACACTGGAGTACCAACAGAAGAAAGGTTGCGGGTGTTGGAAGAGGAGCGCGCAGTGAGGGTAACTGGGCGAACATCGGAAGTCGAGGCGGTCTGCAGAACACTTTCCTAAAGTGCAGCCTGGGGCTGGGTGGCGCCGTGTCTCTGATCCAGATGATCGTAGTTGAGGACAAACTCTCTACGCTCGCGTCTCCAGTTGTTGGCGTCGAAGAAGATGTAGACGCCACGCTCACTGCGCTCGCTGACGCGAAGGGGAGCAGCCATCTGACTGTCCTTCATCATCCACTGCTGCAACTCCTTGTGCCAACGCCAGTCGCGGCTGTACAGCTCGCCGGCAGCGAGCTCCTGCACGACGTCTCTGGGGTTCTGGTAGAAGACGAAGAAAAGTGTCTCATCAGAAAAGGCACTCATGCGCGAAGCCAGCGCTGGAACGTTAGTCACCGTGTAGCCACCAGGCAGCGTGAACTCGGGAATGACGGGGCGTGATCGATTGTCGGCAAAAGGGGTTGAGAAGGTGGCGAACAGCGGTTCCGGGCTGTCCAAGTCAAGGCCTAACGAGTTGATATCGACGCCCATGGTGAAGGCGGACGATGCATCGTTACTGCGGATCTTGGCCAGCAGACCAGGTAGACCCCACTTCTCAGCCTCGGTCATGTCGTCGTAGGGCTTCAACTGTTGTGGGGCGGCTTGGTTGGTGATGGGAGCGTCGACCATCTGGGGCGCAAAGCTGGACGAGTGTTGTGAGGGCTGTTGTTGTATGCTAGCTTGGCCGATGGGTGGCTGTTGCTGCATCAAGCCCAACTGGTGGTCGATGCCCGGCGGGTTGGCGGGTCTGGGACGTGATGCTTCCGAGCCGAATGCGTCGTCCTCGTGAGAGTAGCCGTTGACACGTCCGTTTAATTGAGCCTGGTTGCTAAGAGGTGGAAATTCGTCTGCGGGCTGTTCGCTGCCGGCGCGGGCAGAAGTCGGTGACTGGCCATCGTACTGCGTCTCTAGGTTCAAAGAATCGTGCTGCTGTGACTCGTGGGTTTGGGCAGACACAGAGCGCTGCTGTTGCTGTTGCTGTTGCTGTTGTTGTTGTTGTTGTTGTTGTTGTTGTTGTTGTTGTTGTTGTTGCTGGGGTTGGGGCGGCGGCTGCTGCTGAGACTGCTGGACAGGCTGCTGTTGCGACGGAGTTGCGCGCTGAGCAGGGGCTTGTTGAGGGGTGCGCAGGGCGGTGGTGTTCCAAGCTTGTGAGACATTGGCCTGCTGCGGCTGCGGGCCGAGCGATGGGAACTCGCTGTTGTATGCGTGGTCAGTCATGGTGCTCTCAGAGAGGCCGGAGGGGATGCGATGGGCGATGCCCAGCATGCGAGCATTGTAGTCGGCATCATTTTCCAGGTCGAGACTCATATATCTGCGATTCCTGTTGCTCTTGCGACCCGTGCCCCTCCTGAGCGATTCGCCTCTTTCGGCNNAGACATGAGAATGCAAGGTAATGATGGGGTTGGGTAATGGATGGCTGGGATGGGATGGACGCAATGGAAGATGGTGGACGTACGAGAGATCGAGCGGAGCTTGCGAGGCGGACGCGCCTATGGCTTGTGCAAAACCGGCAAGTGGTGTACGTGAAGAGGCACTGAGGCCCGGGGCTCCTGCTCCCATGGGCATGCCAAAAGCCCAGCTTGATGCTCCTCCTCCTCCCAGCTTCGCCGTCTGTCCTCCTCTTTGCGACGTGAGCGGCGGGTTGCGCGTTGCGCTTGGTTGCGTCTGGAATACGTTGCCTGCCATTGGACGTAGTGCTTGCTGTCCGCTTGCTGGAGAGTAGTCAGTCTCTGGTACTAATTCTCAGGATGTGTGCTGCTTGGACTGTGTATCCATGTGTGCGCCTTTGGATCATGTTGAGTCTGACGCGCATTGTCCACCAAGCATGCGCAGACTTGACAACACGGTACATGTCTGTACCAGAAGGAACCCACGTACCTGTTCTATTCATTCCGGTGATGTGGAAGGGTGTTTCTCGACTGGATATCGAAAAGTGCTTGTCGAGAATTGTTACGACAGCTCTGTGAAGGTCTCCAAGTGTCGGCGTCGGTCTTGGTCTCGTCTCCAGTATCTCATACCGCCGGGCCGAGACGGCGCTAACGCTATCCGGCTATATCGTGTCAATCAATATCCATATGCCTGGCTGCTATCAACTTTCTCACTCACGCGATCATACAAAGACAACACCATGTCAACGACGAGACACGCTTGAATGTCACACTTGCAGAGCAGCATCCATATCTGGGATTGAAGGGGGCATCTGTCCACCAGACAAGGACTCTTGCTGACTATCGCAGGGATCACTAGGAAACACTGGCTGGCTGCATGTCCAAAGTCTTCCAATTTTGGTCATTCAGAATTTCTGGTTTGTCGGCAAAAGAGTGGGTATATGTACAGGACGGCCTATAGTCATACGAGACTTGTACTATGCAGCCTTGGTCTGATCCTTCTCCTGCATCTTTCTTCTTGCAGCAAGCACCATCTCCTCCCTTCTTCGTCTCAAGATTTCGGATCTTTCTGTCTTGTTCTGGGACCATCCTTTGGTGCCGGTCGCTTCTGACTCTTGCGTACCTTCTGAGGCGTTGAGACGAGATGAGAGGTTGTAGCGGGTGATAAGGTCGGGGTTGACTTTAACTTCAGCTACAGGTCTGCTGGAAGTAGGTGGGGCTGCAGCTCGGGGTATCGGAGGCTGGAAAGATGGTGGAGNGCTATGTTTGCTGTCAGTTGCTGCTTTCCACAGGCGAGCATAGCGGCTTGAACGTACCGTCTCCAAGCTTCTTCCACCAAGCAGTCTCTCGACAGTGGCCTGCACGCTTCCTCCGTTCCGGTGCAAGTCCCAAATGATTGCTCGTCTGTCCAACTGCGGGTACATCTGGGCTACTGCTTCGACGTGTTCGGGGTTGACTTGGCGCCCTCCATTGCGACCAGAAGACTGTGATGATGGTGGACTGGGTCCAGAGAACCAGCGGTATAAGAGAAAGCCAACGACAGCGACAGCGAATATCTGACCAAAGTTTATCGTCTCCGAGGCCATGCTGGAAGGGTAGGCAGTCACACTGGATGCGCCGGGAATGACAGTGTGGTAAGTTGTCCGAGAAGGGGATCTTCGGAAGCTTTCAGGTGTGAGGGAGCCAATGAGGTTTCCTGAAGACAGGTGTTGCGACAACGAGACAGTGGTAAAGTACAACAAAGAGGAAGCGTCACCAGCGTCGCTACGTCGAACGGGCGAGAGACGGCTGTGTCTCGGTCAGGCCAGGGCTGAGCCGCCCAAGCCGTCGGGAGAGCCTCCAACTCCGTCCCAATCGATAAGCCTGTCCAAAAATGCAGGGCAAGCACCTCTTGTGCCCGACACTCCACTCGCTGCTGCTGCTGTCTCTGACGAAACAACCTAGCCAGGTCGCATTTGGAACCTGCTGTCAACCTGATCCAAGGTCTTCGTAGCCACCTTGACTCATCCACCAGGGTGGTTTCTGACGTGGGCTGCAAGCTCCACGTGATTCGGTCACGACTGATCGTTCCTGCCTCGTCTTCTGCTGCCCCGCGTTGCAAACGACCTCTCTCGATACCTTGACTCTCTCAGCTGAATATAACCTCGTCTTTTACCGCATCTTTGCAGCCTGATTAGCGCCATCGTCGTCTGCCCAGACACTGTCGTATCCTCGTCCACTGCTATCCCGTCTCCCTCTGCTACGCTTTAAACTCCGTCTACCGCCGATTCCCGCCATCCAGGGTCTGGCCACAATCTTCCACCCATCAGTCATCGTAGCACTCTACCACTCGGTCTGCAAACGCACCGAGTGACAGCTGTCTGCATCCCTGCTTGAAGAGCTTGGTTTCATATCACACGTACTCTGTCCATTCCTGAATCTCCCTGCCCATTGCCACCCCGTCTCGTACTTCCCACCTGCCGCCGGCCCAATCGAAACTTAGACACCCCGAGAAGCCCTCGTCCTTCGCCCAACATACGGTTCAGATCACGTAGCCGCCCAGCCGACAGCGACATGGGCTTGGCATACAACGTTTACCTCAACTGCAAGCGAATCTACGGCTGCAAGACTTGCAAGACCCATCTGGCCGACCACGATGACATAGTGAGCAGAGTACGTCCCACTCATTACAACTCGTTTTGGCTTCCACCAAGCTTACGTTTGCAGAACTTCCGAGGCCAACATGGCAAGGCTTTTCTCTTCAACAGCGTCGTCAACATTGTCGCCGGCGAGGCTGGCGAGCGCAATATGACCACCGGCAGACACATCGTACGGGACATCACCTGCAGACAATGCAAAGAGACTGTCGGCTGGAAGTATGACAAGGCCTACGAAAACGCCGAAAAGTACAAGGAAGGCAAATACATCCTGGAAGCAGAACTTCTGTGCAGCGTCAACTGATCGTGTCGCTTCATCGCTTTACGAATGTCGACAAGAAGTTTTGCTACGCACTGAGCTTATGAGAACCACGCAAGGAGTTATGGAACCAGGCCTAGGAGTCGGTACGGAGTACTGTTTTATTTTGCTGTATGGTGTTATGGATGGTGGGTCTCCTTTGCTGCTTAAAACGATACGAATTTCTTATCCTATTATTTGCTACTTCCTGGCCCAATCAACGACAAATGATCGATTACTATACTGATGTGATTTGCTGAAATTAATACGCCAAAGTCTGTTATACAAGGGGCTCTCCAAATGCCCAAGCTGTCAAGTATTCATGTTCAAAAATTGATCTGTTCGGATGGAGCGAGCTCTTCCGCTTAGTGGCCAAGCTCAAATACGACTTTCTGCACCTTCATCTTGTCAAAGAGATCGTAGCCTTCCAGAGCCTGAGAGAGCGGCATGACTTTCTCGAACATGAAGCCGAGCAGATGTTGCTTTTGCTTGAGCTTCTCCAACGCTTCTGCGAATATCGAGCGGACAGGGCAACGACCCATCTGAACACGCAAGTTCTTGTTGTATGCTTGGTTACCTGTCCAGGGATCTAAACATAGCGGTTAGCCAAACATGAACCAACATGATCGTTGTCTACCACAATAGATGCTTACCTCTGCGTTGTGCACACCGACACTGGAAATGATGCCCCAGGGTCTGAGAAGATCGTAACCAAGCTTGAGCGCAGGCGACAAACCGACAACCTCGATGACAACATCTGCACCCCTGCCGTTAGTGAGCTCCTTGACTCTCTTCTCTAAGCCTTCTCTGTCGGTCTGGAAGTTCCAGGTTTCGGCTCCAAGATCCTTGGCTTGCTTCAGTCTGCTGTCTACGCTGTCGACGGCGAGTAGATGCTTGGGCTTGTAGTCCAGAGCATTGACCAATGCACACAATCCTACGGGTCCGAGACCGAGCAGGACGACTGTGCTCTCCTGAGCTTCATCCTTGCTCAACTCCTTGAATGCGTTCTTGGCTGCGAACATGCCGGTGGGGAAAATGTCTGCCATGAGGACCAGGGCTTCCTTCTCGAGACCTTCGGGTGCCTTCATCACTGTTCCCTCAGCAGTGGGAATACGAACGTATTCAGCTTGACCACCATCAAGCTTGGGGCATCCGAAAAGCAGAGACTTCTCGCAACGAGACGAGAATCCGTGCTTACAATAGAAACATTCGCCGCAGGAAGTGGTGAAGGGNNGGGAGACGACGAGGTCGCCTTCTTTGAGAGTAGTCACTCCCTTGCCAACTTCGGTGATTCTGCCTGTAAATTCGTGGCCCATGATAAAACCAGTATCTGAAGCCTGGTGGCCACGGAACACGTGCAACTCACNTGGAATATGGTTAGGTGAGTGTGTAGATACTCAGAGGCCTTACACATACCTGCCGCAGAGTGCTGTGTACTCGACCTTGACAATGATATCTCCATCTTCCTGGATCTTAGGGACAGGGCCTTTGGGTTTGTGTAAGCTACTGGTATACACATTTCCAAAGTGCTAACACATACGATCCTCAATCTCAACCTTGTGAGGTCCCTTGAACACGACAGCCTTCATTGTTTGCGACATGATTGACGATTAATTCCTTGGTATATGCTCTTTCAAACAATCAACCTCTTGCTTGATCAAAGGGAACAGCTCTAGCTTTTGTAGTCATGTCCCGAGGCTCGGTCTCATGGTGGGGCAGTAATAATAGCGGGGTCAGAGGCCAGGCCAGCGAGCGTTATCGGGATTGTTAGAGAACGGTCTTCCGCCGAAAAAGCTCACGTTTGGACCGTGACGTGATCAACACTTTCGACCTTTGCTGGACGTCGATTCATACCGTGATCGGGCCTTGTTGGAGTTTCGGAAGGCGCGCAGGGCGCAGGAGCGTGAACGTCCATCGCATTGGTGGTTCAACGGTGTCTGTACAACCATTGACATTTCCACAACGAGGACGAGTGAGAGCTTCCTCCTGCCCGAAACCTTGCATGTGTGGCACTCACGATTTAGAACTTCGACTCATCATGAGTCTCAAGACATGTCAGTATAATAAGCCTCAAGACACATCAGTATCAGAAGGCAAGACTGTAGGCTCAGACTTGAAATGACGCCCAGGGTTGCGTCGTGCATCCATTGACTCAGGTAAGTCTTGATACAGCAAGACTCGAGAAGATTGCGACAGCTAGCGATACTCCTTCGACGACCGGCATATGATCTCAGAGAGTCGTGAGATAGACCTTGCACACAAGTCTGAACGTACCAATGTGCGACATGTGTTATAGCAAGAATTCTAAAGGTGCGTTTTGGGCTTGAGCAATGGCTGCCAAACATCTCCTTTTAGCCTCATGTTTCTTTTTTGTGTGCCTTTGAATGTTTCTCTCTATCTCAATATACAATGCATCCTTTGTTCTTGGTCCTGAGGATGTTCCAGAAAAGCCTCGACAAGGTACCTATCTATTCCCAGAAAGCGTCTAAGACATAGCCTTTGTTGCAAGGTCTCAAGTCGAGCGATGAATTGGATTGTGTCTTCATTATTCTTGAGGGAGATATCACTCTTGAACAACAAGGTATTTATTCTCATGCCCGGCTATCACCCATATACTCGTGGAATAGTCCTGCACTACTCTTCCGAATCTCCCCAAGATGGCCTTTCTCTTCGAGTCAAAGAATTCAAATCTAGCCAAACTCGCCATTCGTCTCCAACGCGAAGACATCGAAGCACTCACAACCGACAATGAGGACACCGACTTTACTCTCAACCTACAGCTCCAAGAATTGAGTATAGCAGAAACCCTCATCGCCGACCTAGACCGAGACCGCGAGCTCGCTCTTGCCCTAGCAGTGACTCGCCACGAAGCAATCGCCGCACTCTTGACTTGTACGGGTTGCGAGTCACTGTTTACTAGACACTAAAGCTTCAAAGCCCCTTGTGACCACCACTTTTACTGTTTCGAGTGTCTGGCAAACTTCTTCGAGTACACTATCGGTGATGAATCGCTGTATCCGCCAAAATGCTGTGATCGTGAGATTGTCTTTGACAATATAAAGACCCTACTCGACGATAAGCTTGTTGCAAGATATACCGAGAAGAAGATTGAGTACGACACCGAGCCCACAAAGAGAACTTACTGCTGTGGTTCTAACTGTAAGGCCTTTGTTCCGGAGACTGGCATCGAAGATGAAGTGGCAACTTGCCGTGATTGCGGCAAGAGAACTTGCACCATTTGCAAGGAAGCAGCCCACCGTGGCGACTGCCCCAAAGACGAGGACACTCAAAGTCTGCTCGAGCTGGCCGAGCATGAGGGCTGGCAGCGTTGCTACAACACAAAGTGCCACCGTGTGGTTGCTCTGACGGCTGGTTGTGAGTTGTCGCTGATACTTAGATTTGGATTGTAAAGCCAACTCGTTNNCTGCAGGTATGTCTGTGGCGCACAGTTCTGCTATGTCTGTGGCGCTCGTTGGAGGACTTGCGACTGTCCTCACTTCAACGAAGCATGGCTGTTGGAAGGAGTCGACAGACCTCGTCAGGCTGGTCATCGCCTCTTCCAACCACCTCAGGATTGAAGACTCTCAGTCACAACGGGGATCGGTGATAACAGGCATGTTCACGAGGGCGTAAATTGTCGAAAATTTTAACTGATGCAGTAATGATGGGATTACTTGGAAATGTGATCAACAATAAAATATGTGGAGCTGCCCTCGCTACATGACCTTTTCATGTGTTTTAGGCTGTCATACTGCAGCTATAGTGTAGTATTGCATAATAGTTTCCAAACCAAAAGCATGGCCATGGAAAGATGTCTGGCTATATCAAGTACTCCAGGAACAGCCTAGATCTTTGATGGCAAGCGGCACTGGATGTGCTGCAACACCCCAATCGTCAGTGCGCCAGATGCCAACATGCCAATCAGCACAACCTTCGCTCATGTCTTTGACAACATCCTCACACATCCAGGAAGTTGCCCTTTTTAGTTCGGTATCAAGGTCCTAAGTAGTGACCACATGCAATCCTTTTCCTCGCAGCTCTGCAGGCGACTTGATACCGTTTCGAACATTTCGTTGACAAAGTAGCGCACGCAGAGGTATGAATGGTCCGGCAGGACCGAGTAGTTTTGCATCCATAAAGACAAGCACAAATGTCTTTTCGAACGCATTTTCGAACCTCACGTAATCAAAGTCGATAGAATATTTTCTGATATTCTTTGGATTTGGCGAGAGTTCGTGTCCTTTGAAGAGGCCAAAGCCTAATGCCGGAAGCCAGATTGTTGTCAAGGTGGTTAAGTCGGCCCTGGAAGGTTTGATGGAGACTTTTCGCAACGGATGCGATGTATCTATCATTTGTTTTGCGTCCGCAACAGTGAATGGTACAGAGTTTGAATAAGTTGCACGAGTCTCTAGCGGGTTCGTGATGATGTTCGTCAAGATCTCGGACAGCCAGTGAGCTAGAAATCCTACTCCTTTGAGGTGAAGTAGACCCCGGANAAGTACTGTCAAATTGAATGACGAGATGATCAGAAGGGTATCGGGAACCTTTCTTCGTGCTGGGACCGCAGTTTTAGGCAGAAGCCCAAGTATCCAGGCAGTCAGAGTCGGTCGGTCCATCAGTCTGTCGAATACGATTCTCGTTGACAACTTCGACCAATTCATATAATCTTCGGCTATCATAGCCATACCTGGAGGGAAGAAGGGCAACGTGGGCTCCCTTTTAGATTTGCAAGGAANAACTTTCTGCGTCGCGTTGTCGTTGGGTAGCAGGTTGTACTCGCTGTTGAAGTCGTCTACTTTCTCGAATGTGGATGGGTTCCTTAAGCATTTGAAAGCAAAAGTGTCGTGACCATCAGTGCTGGTAGACGTGATAGGGGCAGCGAACAAGAGAGCGCCGAGGGCACTACCCGTATGGTCTGTGACATTTGAAAGATGTACTCTGTTGTAGACAGTTGAGTAGCTTCCAGCAGGCTTGTCCTAACTGCTCTCTTTCTGGCCCGGTACAGGTTTGTTAGTGCGATCGGCATACAAACCCAGACCGATCTTCTCGAATGTNNTTTCACACATCTCGCCGAGGATGGGCTCGACTCTAAGGTGGCCTTTAAGGTGGATCAGTGCACTTGCCAAGATCATGAAATAGCCTGCACCGTAGTCGTATAGACACTTCGGATTCTGCGGATGTGGTGTTCGAATGTATTCGGTCCACTGTGTAAAAAGATCGGTTGCCAAGTCTATGTCCATCATCTCGGGTAGAGTGTCTGCCTTGGCTTTTTGTTCCACTTGCTCTACATCGATGAGCGTGACATTTGGCATCTAAGTCTCATCCAATTTAGCTAACTAATCAGCGGCGATGATTTTAGGGAACGACTTGTCCGCTACTAGTTCTCTTACCTTTGCGGGATCTTGGTCGGAGAGTGATGGCGGCGGGAGCGTTACACTAGCTCGGTCGTAGAGGACCTTGTCCTTCGCAAGTCCTTTTGCAAGTGGCGGTACTTGATCGGGTCCTGGCTTCCATGGGCTTAAAGATTGCTAAAAGGTGTTAAGTGCGATTCTCTTACGGAATGTATTGGTAGAGAACATCCGAGATGTCTTGTGTTGCTAAAGCTTTAGGGCATTCTTAATCGGGTCTCGATCCTTCTAGAGCACGTTAAACTAAGTGAAAGTTGCCGTTGGTTGTCTAAGTAGATTGATGGCTTTCGAGATTGTTGCTTAAGGCTTTTTCCACGCTTGCGGAGGCATGATGTGATTCATGTAGGTGTAGAATAACGTTGCGAGAATCTTATCTGCTTTGTCCTTGTTCAAGGATTTCTTGTCGGTCAAATCCTCGAGGAGCGGAAAGATTAGCATCACACGGGCAAGCACCTACGGCTTAGTGTCTATGATCGTAAAGTAATAGGAAGCCGAGTTCTTACTCTTACGCTCTTTCTCTCTTATGAATATGTCGACCTAGGTCGCATGCATGTTACGATCATCACCTATCCCAGCCAAAAGATAAGCATTCGTGGCCTGATTTGCATCTTTTGGCTTGAATATTGACTCCTGTGTGTCATTGCCTATGTGGTAGTATTCCTGGATGCCAAATCTATCGTACGGTTAGTAGAAATTGAAGACATCAAACATGCGACGACTTACAGCTAAGATTTGAATCTGGGCAAAACGTCCACGATCTTCTTCAGATGTTCGATCGAGGCTTAATCCGGGTTCGATTCTAATGCTTAAAAATTGAGTCCTTCCCGAGCAACTCGTCCGAGAGATAAGGTGTCCCCTGTCAGGCCCTTTTCGTCTTCCACCGTCTTAATAGCTTTGCTAAGCTCACTAAGGGTGATGTAGGCTTTGCATTGGCGAACCTTGAGCTTGTTCACCAATGTCTGGTCGACACTATGCGTGGAAGCAGCAAGCCGAAGTGCCTTTTAGGTTTCGAGAATGCATTGCTAATACTGACTAGTCTCGTACAAAGCGGCGGTAAGGTTCTAAAGTCGGGTCAGGTCTGATGGACTAGCCTTGGAAGCCCCTCGATAAAATTTGATAGCTATGCGACTGTTAAATAAGAAGATCAGTGTTACCTCTATCGATGCAGTGCCGACCTTCTAGAAGTTTTCCTTGCTTATACAGAGAGTTACCCTGCTGCCGCAGTCCAATTACGTTGACTGACTGCGTCATTGTTGAACCGATATGCCAACTAGTAAGTCTCAATCACGTTCAGTGGGGAGGTGAATTTTGAGGAAAAGAAGATCGAACGGAAGAGATGTAAGTTGTTGACGGCGAGGCCAAAGCTCTCGAACTGCCTCCTTGCAACCTGATGCCTCTCTCCTTTGAGCCAAAGCACCAGAAGCACTACTATATCTTTGCAACATATTCAGCTATCTCGAGCAGTCGCATGACCATCAAATCAATCGTCAGAACGTCGTTTGTCAATCTCCGGTCAACAGAGACACTATTATCGTGTTCCGAGTGGCGCCAAAAAGGATGCGTGACGGGCAAAACATACAGCAGCAGGGATTCCCACGTGGTCACCCACCGTAGTACTAATCTGCCGTTCAACTGCTTATGTATGGCAGAGCGGACGGGATGCCCAGTTTTCAGCTGACTGTGGCCGTATGTGTGTAAACATGTTTCTAAATCATATATAATGTACAAGAGAATGATACTATGCTTTCAAACATTCGAATGTATCTCAATCTCATGACTCGATGCGACGGAGGCGGAGGCAGAAAGCACATGGTTGTCAGTTGCAGTCATAGACATGACAACGAAATAAAGCGACTAAAGCGACGTCAAAATACCATGTTTTCACATGATCACGATTAAGAAGTTGGCTAGTCAAACAGAGTCATCATGCTATTCGTGCCTTTCATAAGCTAGCCCTCTGGTATAGGCAAGAGTAGACTGTGCGCTGCTACCTGTATAGAGATAAAGACTAAAGATTAAGAAACATTACCGCCGCATTCTTGGAAGAAAACATAGGGCTCAAGGGTATAGTATAATGCCCAACCACGCAATCAAAGAAACCAAAACAAAGCGGGTGCTACACTTAGGCAGCGACTCTCTCCTCTTCACGACCACGGACAGAGTCGTTGACGACGCTAGCGTCCTCCTCCTCATCGTCGTCCTCGTAGCGGTCAGCGTTGTGGTGCTGGCTGGCGGGAATCCAGAGGTTGCTGTCACGAGATTGCTCCATAGGGGCATCCTGACCGGCAAGGTCGACGGCCTCACCCTGGTGACGGTTGCGGCGGCGCTGAGAAAGAGTGCGGGTGCGGGTGGAGAGGGAAGAACTGACGGCGGCGTTCTGCTCAACCCAGTTGGTGAGAGAGTCCTCGCAGTCCTGGATGANTGCTGTGAGAATTGTTAGTATCATTAGAGATTGTGGTTACGTCATGACAAAAACTTACGCCTTGCTAGCCTCGTAGCCGTCGTATGCGTTTCTGGTCTCGCCGGGGGTGACGGGAGTGTCGTCGATGAGCTCCAAAAGGTGCTTACCGTAGCCAGCGATGATGGCCATCTTCTCCGAGTGCTCACGGAGAGCATCGAACTGGTAGGTGAAGGCAGCCTTCAGCTTCTCGCGGGTGATGTTGGAGAGCTGGGCCTCGGCGACCAATGACTCGGCCTCGGCTCTAACGAGCTCCTGCTCAAGGACAACAATCTTGGGGCTGTTGGGCTCCTTGTACTTGAGCTGGGCAATCTGATCAGTGATCTTCTGCTTGCCTGTCATGGAAGTTAGCAACTGACACGAGGGGTTTGACTCGACAAACTTACGGTCTCTGCTAGGCTGGACGGAAGCCTCGATGTTACGGATGCTCTTGATGGTCACACGGTACTGGTCGTACTTGTCGACGAACTGGTCCTCGAGCTCACCAATCTCGTAGATCAAGACACCAAGTTTGTCGGTGACATCCGAGACGTCGTCGTCACAAGCTTCACCCCAGATGCTAAGTTGTTGNNCTGCCATTGCGTTAACTCATCGGATCTTGATCAATTTTGTTACAAGAATTCGACTTACTGCGACCTCCATTCTCTCTCTGCCAACGAGCTCCATGGAGCGCATGACGTTCTTCTCCATCTTCACCAGCTGTGAAAGCTTCTTGGCGAGGTCGGGTCCGAAAGCGCCAGCAGCATTTCTGCGGAAAGAGTGGCCNNTGCGAGACGTTAGTCATAAACAATGCGACGGCCGTGGACATTACTTACCGATGTTGCTCTTGCCAAAGAATCTACCAGCCTTGGTGGAGGATGATGGAGGAGGAGGGTTCTGGATCTGCGAGGCAGTGGGTGCGCGCGACTGGCGCATAGAGTATGTGCGGTGCATTTTGTCGGTAATAAGAGTTAGTCGTGAGGATGAATAGATTCGAGCAGCAGCGACAGCGGTGCGTAGATGTGGGTTATGAGGAGTTGGATGAAAGGAGAAAGGATGGATGATGCGAAGCGCCTCTTGAAGAACGGAAATCAATGGCGTGGGCGCGTTATTGTATGCGGAAGCTGCAGACGTCATCCTCGACACGGTTGCCCCGTGCAGCGGGTTGATCTGGATCGTCTCTTTATCGTCCACAAACCTCCACGAAAATCATTCACGATCCATCCCCATGATCTGCCTCTCCGTTGACTCGGTGGAGAGAGCCAGATTGTATGGATACGTTGCTTGTTCATCAGCTTGGGATTCCTCCTTCTCGTTCTGTTCCTACCTTCTCCAGCCTGAGTCCAATGGCTGTGCGACATGAACGGAGATTGAAGCGTTGACAAATGACATCATAATTATAGCGCCAAACCTTGTCTTTTGAGCACTCACAAACCCGCCCAGTGCCTGGCCAGTGGCCACGAACACCGCCAATCTCGTCCAAGCCACCTCAAGCCTTGGTTGTTGTATACCCCAGCACCCGTGTGAGGATCTTCGGGACCTTATATTCTGATCTGCACACGGCTGTGGCTTGAGCACAATGGTGGAGCAACTCCATACCAATATCGCATGCCTCTGTCCCAAGCAACCTGTCGTTGCCCGAAGCGTGTGGCTCCTTCCATTCCCCGTTTGGCTTTGACAGCTTCGCACCACATGACAACCCAACTGCCAATCTCCCAAATAGCGCGGCAGCCACAAAACAATTCAAACCCACATTCCTCTCATCTATACGACAATCCACTTGGCATGGCTTGCTTTGCCTAAGAAAGCTTTCACACGCAGCATCAGCTATTCTTGCAACCAGGTCGAGTCTGGTATTGTCGTTCAACTAATTCTTCCAACTACTTTGCTCAGAAAATCCTGCAGCTCTCTGACCCAACTCAACCTAATCCCCTTCGAAGATCTTCCCAGTAGCTGGCATTTGAGTCCTAAAGGAGCATTCGCTTGATGGTCTTGTCGGGCATCCCATCTTGATGACGGTAGACAGAGCCATCGGTCGGCGTGATTGTTTCCTGGTTCTGGAACTTGTGTAACTCGATATTCCCGAAGTGCAGGTGTCACAGAAGTAGCACCGCATTGATTTGCTACAGGGCTAACAAAAAGCCTGGGCTTGTTGCTCACAATGATACGCGCCGGGACTCTGACCGTCTTATGTCAGTTGGGCATTTTAACTCAAACACATGTCCCAAAGCCGATTTTAGACAGAGGAAACATTGGTGAGACTTCTCAAGCGACCAAGGAGGGAAACAAACTCCGACTCAACTACATCAAGTCTCTAATGCACATTCGGATGTGCTCCCATCACGTACAGAGAACAGCCTCAACTCGAGCTCTGTTTTTACAAAATCAAATGAGATGGGACTCACAAACTTTACCTCAAGTCTAGACATCTGGGAAGTAGCAAGCTAGGTAGGTAGTAGATTTCCACGTCTGAGGTCTAACCCTGCTCATAATTTGGACTCGTGATTATAATCAAGGATCTGCATAATAATTTGAAAGCATATAGACATACCTGCTGTCTGAGGTTCACTACAGATTCACGGGCACCTGAAGTCATGGGATCACGTTACGTCTACGCTGAGAGAGACAAGCTATTCGACCAGAACGAGAGCTCTATATTGTTATCCCACGGTTTAGAACAGACACTAACCGATATCCATACCTGGGCGAAATCGTGGATGGAAACCTTCTATGATATTCTTCAGCTCACAAGGCAGACACTGTCAACCTAATACATGCGACCAGTGATCGCAGTGGGCGTATTCGAAGTTTGGAGGAAGAAGTACTCGTAGCTGCTCGGCTTTGAAGAATTCGCTCCATAGCAACTTCGTGCCCGGGCCGACCGCACGCCAAGTCGACCCCTAACGAGACGTCATTTGTGTTGGCACCTTTTCCCTAGCATCGAACAACGACATCGGAACATTGCCGCCATCATGAGATTGTGAGTAGAATCGCTTAGTTGCCATGAAATCACGACTCATCAGAATATAGAAACACGTCTCGTGGGACGCTCCGTAGGGACGCCTTCGAGAAGTTGGCTGTTCTGTCATCGCAGGCTCCACCTTCACATGCAGCTCATCAGGATATACCACGCCTTTGTTCCTTCTACAACAAGACCGACACCTCATCCAATGGAAGTGCCAAAGGTCCTATTGGTCTCCGTGAACTCGAAGTTTTGATAGCTTTGTGTCGCGCCTCATCTTCGATCGATTCTCTGCAACACGCCGAACGTCTTCTTCAACAAATAACCCCGTATCTGACGGAAGCCCACACTCAAACACTCCGACCTTCGCCTTTTCTGCGCCATGTCCATCCATCGCCGTGGGAGGTACTTGTGCAGGAGGTCGCGTCGGCCATGCTCAACGTTGGTCTGAGAATCCCTTCATTGCGCCCGCAGGTAATCAGAACTATCATCGACACAATCGACACATACGTGCGTCAGGGTCAAAGTATCAACCGTCTCGAGGCATCTGAACATTCTACTCTGAATCTTGATAATGCGTCTAAGACCATAACTTTCTCTGTCTCACTGCTCGGTCTTCTCTCAGCACTTGCCGAGAAGCCTCAGGTTCTTACAGTACAAGAACGCGCCTCCGTCACTCGCAAGCTTCGAACCTTGTATGTCGAGAAGTTTATGATTGCCATCGAAGGAAACCTTTCTTCGATTCGCAACTCTCATGGCATTCATGTCAGAGAGTGGAAACGTCTGCTCAAGGTCTATGCCTCCATGGGAAGACCATTGGGCGCAATGTTGTTGCAGAATGCTTTCACAAACTATCTGGCAGCCTCAGCTACTGCCATGGTTGCACCTCCTGACTTTCCCCAAGGTGGTCAGATCTTGGATTATCTTCTCCGACCACAAAGCCTCTCTGGTTATGGCAGTGGTGTTGAGGAACCATCATTAGAGGATCTTACTCAACTTCTGACTGAGATTGTCGCTCTTCTTGACGCTGATGCCGACTATCTGCAGGTCAGTTCGGCGTGGCAGCAACAGCTGGCCTTCTCGACTAAGGCCAGCTGTCTGATCAGTTTTCTGTGCTGTTCGCTAGCCAACGAAGATATCGCTGATGCAGATATTATCATGGGCTGGCTTGATGGTGTATTGACAGATCCAGTCCAACTTGCAGATGAGAGGCTCGCTAGTGTGACCCTTAAATGCATGGCCATCCTGGCAAAGACCTCAAAAGCCTTTGCTTCAAACTTGGCACGTTCCCTGCCTAGATTTATAGTACAAGGAAGGATGACTAGCGACACTGTTGTCATTGCTGCGAACTGCCTCGCAGACGTTCTGCAAATGCTNCCCCAGGATCTAGTCATCAGTACACTATACAGTCTCGGAAACGTGCTCAGCACCGGCCCTTCTACTAATCAGGCCAACACGTCCTTGTTCATTGATGGGAATGGCACTACGAACGGAACCATGAATGGTTCAATGAACTCATACACTCAACAACCTACAGGAAGTTCCATCTCTCTGGTCACTAACGATGATGAAGAGACAGTCCTCGTTCACGCCGCAGTGATCGAAGCGATTGTTGCAATCGCCAGGAAGTGTGAGAACGAAAAGATCACAGCACTTGCTGTCTCCATGTTGGTTCAGAAGATTGGCCGCGTCAATCAAGCTGTCGATGCTAAGATCATCATGGGATCCGCAGCTCTTGGTTGCCAAAGCGAGCCGAACGATTTGCGCCCACTGCTGAGGTTCTATGCAAAACACGTTACCGATGCTTTAGCTTCTGACAATACTCCTATGCTCCAAGCAGTCATGGAAGCTCGCATGTTGATGGCAAGAAGCATNCCCCCAACGTCTCCTCTCTATGAGATCTATCTCACTCATATGTTGGATGGCGTCGTAAGCACAAGTGATGTTACTAACCGCGATACCAAAACCATGTTGATCGACAAACTAGCTGTTGGTCAGATTTCGCAAGTGTTACCTCCTTTGGCTACGCTTGCGGCATTCATGCCTTACGAGTATGCCCAATTTGAAGACCCGGAGATGGTTTCTGCACTCAGTCGCGATGCCTGGTTCAACCTCATTGCACATGACTTTTCTCTCAACTCATCATTTGCGAAGCAACATCAGCAAGAGCTTCAGACTCTGGCATGGTACACTCCGTCTTTGATTGACAGTAACAAAGCCGACACCCAGGAGAGTGGTATCGATCTCAATACTGTCCTTCGTCGTGGCATGACTCCCCAACATGCCGTACAGCTAAAGTCGCAGTTGATATCTGCTCTACCAGCACATGAAACGGACATCAAGAATCTCAACTACGCCGAGCTTACCTTTTTGAACGCTGCTCATTTGGTAGCAGTGCTGCGTGCTCAATCCGGAGATTGCACAAGGACACTCGAATACTTCTTGGACCCCAAGTTCAAGAGCGGTGCTCTCAGTAACTGTCTGCTAGGCGTAGCATTGAGCGCAGTTGATACCTACTTGGCGCTTACCATGACCGGCCGCAGTCAGACCTTTTCGGCAGCAAATCTTGCGCAACAGCTAGCAAGGCTGCTTGAGAACTGCTGCCATCGTATCGACAAGGTGCAACAGGTGGCTACACTGGCCGCTGATCGCATTATTGATCAAGTACCTTCGTCACTTTGCCAGAGAACGTCACTCTTCGCTCTCCTAGAACTGCTCAGCCTAATGTGGATCAGTTGCCTGGAGGCGGAGACCGACGAGTACGAATGCAAGTCTTTCTACAGCTCGGCGAAGGGTAATGTTTCTCTACAGCTCTCCGACAACTTTGCTTACAGGCAGACTACACTGCGAGCATTCCAACAGAAATGTCGCCGCTGGGTACTTAAGACGCTGGATCGTGCTCCNCTAGATATGAAAGGGCTTCTGCAGACATATCTCTCTGATTACGATGACGAGGAAGCGTATGGTCGTATATCTATGGGCAGGTCGTTCGCCCTTGAACTCGGTTCTCTCATCCCGGGAACCGACCAGAGACTTGGCGCCATCGACCGTAGGATGGATCCAGGGGTCAACACTGCTTCAGATTTTGTTGCGCAGTACACCACTCGTCAAGAATACCGCTATCTGGATACGACGTCCAGACTAGACGAAGAGCTTTTCCACGCACAACAGACTGGTATCATCGGGTTACCACGGTCTGCCCTGAGTGAACAGGCTCGCGAGATCACCGCTTCCTTGCGAGAGATGAACAACAATCTTCGCAACCACCATCCAGCCTCAGCTGAAGACCTGAGATCCAATCTCAGACGTGCGGCAGCAATACTGTGTAAAGTAGACGCCGATCGCTTTGGGCTTGCTCAGCAGTTGGTCAGTATTCCTTTTACTTCTTTTAGCAAACCAGCTATCAAACTCGGTGTCTCGCTCTGGATGGGAGTGATCAAAGAGAACCCACCAATGGAATCTCGGGTCCTTGTTGAGATTGCCGAAGGCTGGGAGACGACAATCCAGAAGAAGCGAGGCATTTTCAGCCAGACGTTCAAGTAAGTTTCATTTGCCTCCATTATCTCGTCGATATACTTACATGATACATCNAGCCATCTCGACCCATTCTATGTCAAAGAAGAGTTCGCTCCTACCGACAAGAGTGCCATCACCAAACGTCAGCAACAGATTCACGACTTGATCGCACCTCATTTCAGACTCGTTCAATTCCTGTCAAGCCACTTCAACGCCACCAGATTAAGTAACCCACATACTGGTCGCGTCTTCCACCGTTTGATGCGTGTCACACTTGCAGCCTTGAGACGAAGCGGTAGCCATCCTCTTGCTCGCGAGGTCCATTTCCATGTCATCTTGCTGGCTCTTCGAGTTATCAGCTATGGCACTGGTTACGATGAGAAGTCTCGCTGGGAGCTCAAGGACCAGATTCTGTCTGCTGCTCTCAGGTGGTTCAACTTCCCCGCTCGGTGGTCTTATGGCGGGAACAAGCTGCAAGTCAAAGCTGAAGTGCAAGTCATGTCGGATGTCATCCTGGCAATTCAGGCTGTCGCTTCAATGGGAGCCAAGATGTTGCCTCCTATGCAGCCATTGCAAGCGAAACAGGATTTGCTTCTCCATTTACTGCAGAACGAGATCACCAGATTGAACGTGTGGTTGTCNCCCCTAGGTCAGGACACTCCGCATACTACATATGGTCAGCAGGGTAGAGCCAATGATGTGAGTGCTCTAATTCGTCTGTAACCGACTCGGCTAACGTCACAGACTGCAATCGCTGCTCTAATCACGACCGCTTGGGCAGAGGCCCCATCTCTGGCCGTACAGATGGCTTTCAGATTCCCTTCGTTGCTTATTCAAAACCAAGTCCGCTCGTTGTTGGTCACCTATCCTGAAAAGGCGCTACATGAGCCCGATGCTCTGCAAATAATGCTTGGTACCAGTATGCCGCATGACGTCTCATCCCAACTAAAGGTAATATGCTGCTTCCGATATGAACCATATGGCTTCTAACAGCTTATANNGTATCTATTGTACTGGGCTCCGGTCAATCCCATCACTGCTGTTACATATTTCCTGCCAGCGTACGGGAACCATGCCTTCGTGGTACAATACGCGATGCGTGCTTTGGAAAGCCATTCTGTTGATGTAACGTTCTTCTACGTACCTCAGATCGTGCAGACGCTCCGTTACGATTTGCTGGGCTATGTCGAACGTTACATTGTCGAAACTGCCAAGTTCTCTGGATTATTCGCGCATCAAATCATCTGGAACATCAAGGCCAATGCTTTCAAGGATGAAGATTCACAGATTCCGGATCCCGTCAAGCCAACGCTCGACAAAGTCATGGATTCGCTCATCTCCAGTTTCTCAGACGAAGATCGAGACTTCTATGAGCGCGAGTTTGGATTCTTTAGTGAAGTGACAAGCATCTCTGGAAAGCTCAAGCCTTTCATCAAGCGACCAAAGCCGGAGAAGAAGGCAAAGATCGAAGAGGAGTTACGCAAAATCCAAGTTGACGTCGGTGTTTACCTCCCAAGTAACCCTGATGGAGTTGTTGTGGGTATCGACCGAAAGTCTGGAAAGCCCCTTCAGAGTCACGCCAAGGCCCCGTACATGGCGACCTTCCGTATCCGCAAAGAGAGAAGTCCAGACCTCGAAGCAGTTGACGAGCAGCTGGATCATGTAGCCGAAGAGGGCGAACCCCGTAAAGAGACCAGCTACGAAGTGTGGCAGTCGGCAATCTTCAAGGTTGGTGACGATTGTCGCCAAGACGTGCTGGCCCTGCAAATGATCGCAGCTTTCCGTGGCATCTTCAACAACGTTGGACTGGACGTTTATGTCTTCCCATACAGAGTGACAGCCACAGCCCCTGGATGTGGTGTCATCGATGTCCTTCCGAACTCCATCTCGCGTGATATGCTTGGTCGCGAAGCGGTCAACGGACTCTATGAATACTGGGTATCGAAATACGGAACAGAGGACTCGCTTCGTTTCCAACAAGCGCGCAGCAATTTCGTCAAGAGTATGGCTGCTTACTCGGTCATCTCATACCTACTGCAGTTCAAGGATCGACACAACGGCAACATCATGGTCGACGACGCAGGTCACATCCTGCACATTGATTTTGGTTTCATCTTCGATATCGCACCTGGTGGTGTCAAGTTTGAACGCGCGCCGTTCAAGTTGACTGGCGAGATGATTGCGGTGATGGGCGGGTCGACACAGTCGCAACCCTTCAAGTGGTTTGAAGAGCTTTGTGTCAAGGCATTCTTGGCATCCAGGCAACATGCAGAGAAGTTGAGCCACTTGATTGTTGTCATGTTGGACTCCGGCCTGCCATGTTTCAAGCCGGAAACCATCCAGCATTTCAGGGAGAGGTTTGTGCTCGACAAGAGTGAGCGCGAGGCGGCTGACTTTATGCGCTCGCTTGTGCGCTGGAGTGGAAAGAGTCACAGCACGGGTGTATATGACCAGTTCCAGCTCCTCACGAACGGTATCCCCTATTAGATGATGGTCGGTACATAATCAGTCTAGGATCGCACCTTTTTTCAGTTTGTCACAAACTACCACTGTACTCCGTAAGATACTTCTTGTCCCATCTCGAACCTTGTACCCACTCAATAATCTGTGGGCAGGAGTACCGTCTGGTGAGCGGACCGGTCTCCGACATGAATTGTCACAAAGAGCCTATTCTGTTGGCGAGTTATGTATGACTTGGTCTATTTACTAGCTTTAGAACTTCCTTGGTGTGTTTTACTTGGTGTAAGGAGTATGCTCCGTTGCCCGGAAAAGACTGCACCGCTGGATCGAACCACTCTTGTTGAAAAACGAATACAAGTACGAGATCGTCTTTTTCAGCGGAGTCGAGTCCTCCTTGAAAGGAGTGAGGTCCGAGAATTGATAGCCAAATCAAGATGCTCTCCTAGCATCTTCTCCACAACCCACTTAGAGGGGGACAAGAAACAAAGTGGAGGTGTGCAAGAAGAGATCCTTCGTCTCTCCCCGATCGGACTCTGCTCTTTCAAGTCACATGCTCCGACCTCTTCTTGTCTCTCGAGTTTCTCACATGCCGCAAACTTTAGGCGTTGATGTAGCGTCGAGCCCTCTTTCTTTGTCGAAGCGTCATCGAAGTTCTTCCCTAGAAGCTTCTAGTGTACAGAACATCTACTATGTTGTTGTTTCCTTCGGATCTCAGCAGACTTCTCCAAGCATCTTCAGTACTTCTGCTGCGTCATTTTCTGAACGTCTAGAACAGCATCAGACAAATTGTCCCTTGCCTTGATCATCTTGACCAAGACTTCTGCATCTTCCATGGTACTTTCTCTGATTAACGACAAGACGTGTCTGTAAGCTTCCATTTGATTCTTCATGGCTTGTTGCTGTGTTATGCCTGGTGTGACGCTGTAGTTGCAGGGTGTGGTTTTTGAGATGCAAGATTTGCAGGTAGGGCGGACTCCGTCGCACTGTGAAGAATAGAAACGTGGTAAGCGAGAGTTCCTTGTTCGATGATTCGCAGGGGTATTGAAGTAAAGAAAGAGGAATCGAAGAAGTGGAAACAAGAAGAGGGAAAAGAAAACAGTGGTTGATGTGCTTTTAGAAATCCATCTGTGTGCTCAAGTGTGTGACGTGGGTGACTATAAGATGCACGATGGTCGTGAGATACAGGCTAGTTTCCATCAAGAGGCAATGCCAGATCGACTCTCTTCGGCTGTATGTCTAACCTAGGAGCAATCGTGCCTCTTATAGCTCGTTCATCGGTGCATGAGTGGAAGTTGCGGGATGCAGCGCGCAGGGTTAAAGGGGACATTTGCTGGGCAGGAGGATAGTACCTTTGATTTGCGCTTGCGGCAGGGGATACAAGCAGCTTTTGTTTGTTTGCCGCGATGACGCGGCTGTGCGTTCGCTTGTGATGGAGGGACGGAAGAATCTCTGCGTGCTGTGCTGTTGGACCTAGGGCGTTGTGTTGTTGATGGAGATGATGATGATGATGATGATGATGATGATGATGATGATGATGGAATGGGCTGTGTAGTGTAAACAATGGAACCATGAGTGGATGAGTTGTTGGAGTCCATGCGTTGTGGCGGGACGTGTCGGCGAGGCGGCAATGAAGAGTGTGGCTCTATAGGTAGTCCGGCGTGTGTGAGAATTTGATGCGATGGGAAGGGTTGTTGTTGCTGTCGTTGTTGTTGCAGTGGCGGCGTCACATATGTGATATGAGGCAGACGATGCAGCAATGACGATGACGAAGATGATGCTGTGACAGGATTCAGTGCGTCGTGAGTTGGCTCTAGCATGGCGGCGATGTCCATCTTGTTCGCTGTTGGTGTCAAGACCGAGGACGGTCTCTTCTATCAGCTGCTATAAGTGAGATTTGTGTAAACAGGCATCAAAGCGGGAAGGTCGATTAGACGGAAAGAACGCAGGACAGGATCCAAGAGTTGGGAAAGGAGAAGGTAGAAGCAGAACCACCTCACGTATAAGATGTACCCTACAGACATGCATGCCATGCCATTCGCGTCACTTCGGAGCGCCCGACTCGTGTGCGCCAATCACTTGCCAACAACACAGATCACTCACCAACGATGCAAGCCTGCAAACCGAGTTCCCTCAAGTCCGTGACTGCCACACCTACAAACGGTACTCTCATGAACGCGGATGAGACTCCGCTAAGCTTTTGCCTTTTGCACGTTTGCACAGCACAGACCTACTTGTATACTGGGATCGGCTCGCGTGCCTGCAGCTGGATTTGTCCGATTGCGCGTAAGCGAGCTGCTGAAGACAATCGTGTTTTTCACTCCTTTGCTGGTGTTGGATTACATGTGGTTCCAATCAGATATCCTGCTTGTAAAAAGAGTCGTGTTGGTCAGTAAAGGTGCCATGTCGGCGAGAGGCACCAGGTCAGGTGCGCCATCCAGAACAACAGCGCTTGAATCGGCGATTCATCTCGAGACGCGTGCAGCGTCCGAAGTTTAGGATCAACCTTCGGACCCAACTCCACGTCCTGGATTCCAACCCCTAGATCGCGATTACAATACAACAAGGAGAGCCTCAGTCCATGCAGCACTGCTGTAGACGACTTGGCGAGGTATGAAGTCGTGAGCTACCTTGTCAGGTTTCAAGATGGTGGACTCTGTTCTGCACTTATTCCGACTGCTGCTTTGCGACATCTGCGTCGCACACCCTCCCTTTTCGACAGCCTTCGATAAGTCTGACAGGCACCTGCAAACACACAAGAAGCGAAACGACACGATGACCACATTCCAAGCTTGGCTTCTGCGCGAACCGTGTCGAAAGTCAAGTGTCACCAAAGTTCTGATGCATCCACGGCGTTTTTTAGGGCCGGTGACTTTGATGCGGTTTCCAAAAGGCAAAAGATCATCAATCTGAGGAGCCAACCCCGTACCTATGTTTCCTTCTCTCTTCAAGGCCACACACCATCATCAGTTCAGTCCATACTATGTAGACTCGTCAAAGAGATTTTCGCTGTCACAACCAGACCTTTTGAATGTGTTGTATGTGATGATCGGGATGCCGGTGGCATGCAACGTGTATCCTCGAGGACTTTGCTTCATGGGTAGTTTTACTCCCGGCATTCGGCAACAATCTCACACTCGGCAGGGGTGCAAGTCCGCACCATATATCCCATCAGGCTGTCACGCTTCGGTCATTTTTGAAGCAAAGTAGGGAATTGCTGTGAAGTTGGTTAACTCTACAAACTTGCTTCCTCTGTCGCTTAGAACAGAGCGCAGATCGGAGCTCGTGGATAACTAATCATGACCATCGGCGGAAGAGGACAGCTTGTTCGGAGCTTCCTATACAATTCTTCAACCTCGTATGAGGGCGCCTATCTCCAAACAATGGGCCAAGACATCTCACGTTCTGCATTCAATCGTTGAGTTAGCCGCGTGCATGAGTATTGTTCACTTGCAGCAGACTTCGGAAACCTCATCTATCTTCTACAGCTAAATCCTTTCTGGGATGCAAGAACGCACACCGGAATGCAAAGCCGCTGCGTGCCGCTGCGCGTCTCTATCCAACCAAACGCCATAGGGCGGATTAGCCTCCGCGACCATCACATTGGCTTCTGATAGGTACCTGATTTCATGCCGCCAATATCACAACAAGACGCGCCGGGCGGACAGATGCCGCACAGCCACTTAGCCAGATGATATTGATGCAAAACCTGAGGTCGAAGATGCAGATCTGCAGGCCAACAGGACCACTTCTCCACCTATAGAGATTATATCATTATTGCTATGGGACATTGTCGCGGCTTGCATACACCTCTTTGTCTCAGACTAACTAGGGATGCAACATGGTGATTGCATGCGATTCCACTGGCATCCTACGAAGGAGTTCGTTTTTGCTCGGTTCACATTTTTTGGTGAAGGAAATGAATTGACCAAAGACTGACTGCGTGTATACAGCCTCCGATACTTGAACAGCGGATCTGCCTCCGTGGTTAAAGCCATTGGCTCTCCTGATAGCCAACAGGGGTGGCTGGTTGGTGCCGCAAATATGGGACTCCACCTGTGAGCACGACGAGAGCAAAAAGGCAATAAAACAACATGCCGTGCAGCCGAGCAAGCACCTACTGAATCAAATATGCCCATCTTGTCACATTGTGGATACAAACAGCACCAACTCAGATAACGGGGTCATAGGACGACAGCGCGAGCCGACTGCAAAGAGCAATTGACGCGGTATGTGATATCGGATCGTGAGGAAGGTGGGAAAAGAAGGGGAGAGGCATGGAGGAAAGACAAACGAATGCTGAATTTTTGTACACGGAAGGGATGGCAAGAGATAACAAAGTCCTTGGAAGCAACCACGAGCCTGCAAAGAAGGACATCACAAATACCTAATCTTCCCCAAATGCTCATGTTTGTTTCATGCTCTGTCTACCTCTTCAGAGGAGATGCCAAGTACGTCTTATCCGTTCCAACCAAATGATCACATATCCACCAACAATCTCCAGCTCCTCCCTGTCGCGGTTCCTGTCATTGAGCGGTCAATCACATCAGCTATTCATACGAGCCATACTATTGTCTCGCAACACCTGCGGAAACTGGTCTTGGGCTGGCCTGCTGAACAACTGGGCTTTGTCGCTGCATCGCCGATGGTGTCTGCTGTAATTGCGGCCCTGGCTGAGGTGTTCCCGAAGCGACACCTTGACCGCTGCCCATCCTCGTCATCTGAGGTGTGGGAGTACGGTTGTTGGCGTTGAGAGGCANTGTTCTGCGTTGGATGAGCAGAAGCCATGTTCGGACTCGGTACGGCCATTCCCGGCACTGGGCTCGCCTGTGCTACTCGTGGACTGCCGTTGTTCTGTACAGGGAGGTTTGATTTTGATGTTGCATTTGGCTCTGTTGTGCCAGAACGCGTTGTCGCATACCGGCTGCGTACTGCTGTGCATTGCCTGCCACGTTACTGCTGTTGGTATTGAAGGCTGTATGTTGGCCATTGCCATTGTTCTGATGGAAGGCTGCTTGATTCTGATTGTAGGCAGGCGAGCCATTTGGCACGACATTTGCCGCATGTGGTCCAGCAGCGGCACTGAGTGCACTTTGACGAGCCTGCTGATGGGATTGCTGCTGCTGTCCCTGCAAGTGGATGTGTCGCAGGCGTTCAGTTGCCATCTCCTGGATCTTTTCGGCCGAGGCTTGCGGGTATTGCGCCTGAAGCTGGTGAGTGATTGACGTGATGTTGGGCACAAGCCCGCCTGAAAGTTGTGGTGGCTGTTGCGACTGGCTTGTCGGAGTCGGTGGTGGTGGCATGTGTGGCGAAGCAACAGCATTGCCATTGGGGGTCGACTGATGATTCTGGGCTTGGGGACCAGGAGTGCGGACGTTTTGCATGCCGTTCATTGCAGGCTGATTGCCCACTCCATTGGGAGGATGCATACCTCCAGGACTTGCTCGATTCGGTGGGGCCATTTGGTATTGCTGGCCGTTCATCTTAAGTTGGTTGGCCCTTTGCGCCTCAAGCACTCTCTGCTGCATGCCATCTGGCGTTCCGTGAGCTTGACCGTTGGCCACAGGGCGCATGTTCGGTTGCATCTGCGCCTGTGGTATACCTCCACGCATGCCCATTTGTGGAGTATTGAGATGCGCACCTCCTTGTGCAGCAGCATTAGGGTGCTGACCATTCGGTAGACCTTGATGGTTAATCTGCTGAGGCCCACCGGGTTGTGTCGGAGTGCTCTGTGGATGAGGCATATTAGGTCCAGGACGGTTGGGCGCACTAGCATTGGGATGAGCCTGTTGGTTCGGCATCTGTCCATTTCGTTGCATTTGAGCCTGCTGTAAAATTTGTAAGCATTTGAGAANGTCGCTGGGCAGTGATACATAACATACGCGTTGCTGTACGAGCATCTGTTCTCTGTAACGTTCTTGTCGTGCATGGACCTGGACGTCTCGCTCCTGGCGCATTTTACTGAACTCTTGAGGGGTTGGGATTCCGTTCTTCGGTGCTGCGTTTTCGTGCTGCTTGCGCATGTGGGCGGCTTTTTGAGCTATCGTGCTCGTTAGTCCAGACTGCACAAGATATTTCTGAGCAATCATACCTTCGGCCTGCTTGTGAGCCTGCTGCTCCCGTTTTCTAGCCAGTTTACGCATCGCATCCACCATGTGCAAGTACCGATTCTGCCTACGTTTGTCAACCTTGAATGGCGTTGTCTTTTNTCGCATTACAGTAGGAGGTTGTCCTGGAGTCTGTGCAAGCTGTGCAACCTGTTGCTGGTACTTGGCCTCGTTGTTTCTGTTAGCTCCCTCGAGTCGTTGATTCCAAGTCTTGAAGTAAAGGGTTTTTCGCATCTCATTAGGGAGGCTTTCAAGCTCCACCCAGCGCTCAAAGCATTCCCATGGCGTGCGCCTATCAGATGCGCTAGTGAATCTGGATGATAATGATAGATTGTCTGCAATAAGGGACCAGTTGAATGAAAACTCCTTGGCAAGACGGCGCAGAGCTTGTTGGTCTTCTTCCGTCCACTGCGATGCCGTTCTGAATTCATAGAATTGCGAGGATGGCATCTGGAATTCGGATGGAGGCCGGAATGCAGTATTTTGATGCAATCTGCTTCGCAAAAGCTTGTTCTCGGGTTCGAAAAGAGCAAGATCTGTCTGCTCTGGTCGTAGGCCCGAGTCGTCTTGACTTGCGCGTGGTCTCTTCGATGTAGGCAGTAAAGTTTCGTCCATCGTGTCATCTTCATCACTGTAATCATATCGGCTTCTCTTCTTGTGAGGGCCACTGACATCAATCATCATCTTAGCAGCACAGAACTTTGATACTGCTGGAGTTGGACGTTTGACGGTCAAATGAGCAGGTTCATCATCTTCGTCGAAAGGCGTTAGTAGAGGGAGTTCGGCGAGAGCGCTGTGCAAGATCTCATTGTCTTGCATATGGAATGTTTCCTTGTCCATGTTTATAGCAGAGAAGAAAGATGACGGGACTACAGTTGCGTACTGCGGCGTCCTCGGCATGTCAAAGTCTTCGACACTAGACTCGACATCGTTGTCCAATCCGGGCGGCGACTGGGCTCCTTGGCTGTGCCTATCACTGTTCTCGAAGTTCGACTCGGCAGGTGAGTGTGGAGCTGCTGTATCCTGGCGCAACGCCTCGAGCGATTTGAGTCTAATTTGCATCGACCTCTGGGTTTCTTTGTCTGCAAGGCACCATTCTGCACATTGCTCCGCAAAGAATTTGGCTGTTGCTCTCTTCATCTTGCGCTCTTGACGAAAGTCGGTCCTCATCCACTTCATTTCGGCCAAGAGATGGTCCATGTGTGTTTTAGGGGCAGCTGGCTCAGCACAAGGCTGCATCTGCCTGAGGGACCAGCGATTCGCGTTTTGTAGTTGGTAGATCCTCCGTAGAATGCGTTGATCCTGTCTCTCGTGGTATCCGGCAAACTGCTCAGTGGTTGTCACAACCTTGCTAGCTTTTTGCAAGAGTTCATGCAAAGGTCTTCCGTTAGGAGGCTCGTGGACCTGTATGCGGTATAGAGGCTCCAGATAGTCCTTAGTGAGCTCGGCGGATACTCCTTTGAGAGCGTTGTAGCCCTCTTTCTTCATCAAATCAGAGCATCGTAGTGAAACAGGCGATTGTAGCTGATCCTTCATTGGTCGTTGTTGGCGCCTTACAACCGGCTGCTCGGTTTTGACCTTGAGTACTTCCCCTGTCGTGTGGGCGCGCTTAGAAGCGAAGAGAGATGGCCTTGACGATTCGTTTACTTCTGAAGTCGATTGAGCACGGACAGCGCCCGAAGTCTCGACAACAGCATTGGCAAGCGCAGGATCTCTAGGTGGCATAATGTTGACAAGTGATGGTCGCGGAGCTCTCTTCTTCTGTGAAGCGTCAGAGACAGACTCGGAAGGCGATGCTGAGTGAGGCTGAACTGGGGCAGCAGCTTGACATGCGTCGCGCGCTGCTATTGTCGCTTTGATGTTGTTGGATGAATTCACTGTGGTAGGCGTGGCGTCGAAAGTAGCGTCTCTGGTGGCCTTCACTGCTTGTTCCTGCTCAAGACGCAACTGCACATCTGGAGAGTCGTCCTCGTGTCCCAATGCTTCCTGGTACGCGATTTCCTTCTGCGACTGTAGTAGCTTGTCATGTTGTTCCTTGGCAAGAACTTCCTCGGGAGATGGTTGCAAGCTAGGAGGCTTAGCCACTGTCTGGTTTGCGGATGTAGTATCCTCGTCAGTACTAGTCAGAGGCGAAGGACCAGCGGGCAAAGGAGTGGCCATGGAAGGAGCGCCAGCAGTGGATTTTGGCGATGATGCAGCTTCGACCTGAGATTCGGCAGCATCTCTCCGACGTGCTTCTTGACGGAGTTGCTTTTCACGAAATCGTTCTTCCTGGACTTCCTTGGGTGGGAGATGGACGGTGCGTGGCCGATTCCTTTGGTTCTCACGACCGGGCGGATTGACTGGTGGCTCATCGTTGGAAGGCTGTGCAGGGTCGGCATTGGCTTGAACAAGGTGATCTTGAGAGCTCGCGATGGTATCTGAGTTAGCAATAGGAGCCGTCGCATGAGATTGGTTATCGATGAATCCAGGGTCAGTTGGAGCAGGCGCATCTCGACGAGCCAGGGCTTTGATTGCGGGATTCTGTTCTATGGTGTCCAGAGAGAAAGGCAATAACGAGTCCTGAAAACGTAGACCTCTACAAAGCAGATGAACAATAAGAGATGAACGATGAAACCACAGAATTACGATACATACTTNTTCCAGGTCGGCAGCATTAAGAAGAGCATCTTCGGAAGGAGTGTGTGGAGGAGAGGGTAGAGAATCAAAATCTAGGTTGAGAGCAGGAGGTAGTCCACACTGTTGGGTGATGGATTGGGTGATTTGGTTCAGAGCGCGTAGGCGGGCAGCTCGCTTGGTCAAGGATGNCCCTGCGACAGACCAGTCAGCACAACTCAACAACCACGCAGTAGAAAAAGAAACGGAGCGATTTTTCAGATTTGAATCGCGCAGGCAAAGGGATTGATGTAAATTGCGCCCGTAAAATGTGCAGATCGAGACTTACGCTCTGGCAGTCTTGCGTTCAGTAAGCGGTCCATCTCGCAATTGTGCTAGGGACATAAGTTTATCGGTGTCGCATTCACAGCACCAGTCCCTCAACAGATGAAGACGGGTGTGGGAATGTTTCGATGGAAATTGAAGATGGATATGCGAGATGGATGCGTGTTTCTACGGCGAGGTGCGCGATGGGGCGCGTCAACTTCTGCCTTGGCACCACCACCCCAAGCTTTCTCTGAACTTTTTCTACATACCAGAAAACCCCAACTCTAGTACATCAACCTCAACAACACGAGTCGCAATGGTCAAGAGAAAGAGCGAGGATGCGCAGCTGAGCGGTCGTGCTACCAATGGNAAAGAATGCCAGATTCGCAGAAGCAGCCAAACCCAGCAAGCCTGCAAAAAGTCTACATCAACCAAGCCAACAAAGGCCTCCGCCAAACCTGCTGTCGCGACCAAGGATACCAAGTCAGATTCAAAGTCAGCATCCGTCTCTATCCAAGTCGTCACGGGATCATACGAGAGGGTTCTCCACGGCTTCGCTGCCACCGTCTCTGAGGATGCCCTCCAATCTGAATCGTCAGAGGAAGAGCAGAAAGAACCTACATATTCGGATACCTTCTTGTTTGCCGCTCATTCGAGCGCCGTCCGTTGCCTAGCTCTCTCGGCACCCAACGAGGCTCATAAACGAGTGCTCGCGACCGGCAGTACAGACGAGCGCATCAACCTTTTCAACCTCTCCACCTCCCCACCTCTCGTCAGCGACAAACCTCAACTTCCTAGTCTCTCGGCTACCAGCATTATTGAGAACCCCAGAAACAAGGAACTCGGCACTCTACTACACCATGCACGCAGCGTCAACAAGCTACAATTCCCCACCCGAGGCAAGCTCTTCAGTGCAGCCGACGACAACACTGTCGCCATTTCGAGAAGTCGCGACTGGACTGTGCTATCAACAATCAAGTGTCCCATCCCCAAGGCTGTGGGACGGCCCAGTGGAGACACTGCTGGACCAGGAGAAGTACCTACAGGAGTCAACGACTTTGCCATTCACCCCAGCATGAAGGTTATGGTTACTGTGGGCAAGGGAGAGAGATGTATGAGACTGTGGAACCTGGTGACTGGCAAGAAGGCTGGAGTCTTGAACTTTGACAAGAGTTTGTTGCAGGCTGCGGGCGAGGGCAGATACAGCAGCGGCGAGGGAAGGAAACTTGCATGGGGTGAGGACGGCGAGGAGTATGTCGTTGGTTTCGAGAGAGGNGCTGTGATATACGGCATGGTGAGTGATGAATGGTATACCTGAGAAAGGACTCACGACTGACACACGTGGCAGGACTCGATGCCCAAAGCCATTATCCGGCCTTCACCTCCTACTAAACTTCACCAGATGCGCATCGTGCCCGCTGGCGAGGGACACAGCATCCTGGCAATCTCGACCGAGGACGGCAGAATCATTTTCTACGACTTGAAGACAGCGATCGAGAGTGAAAAAGAGGACGAAGAAGTACCGCAGTGCGCGGCATTGGGACAGTTGGGAGGCAATCAAGCTGGCTTCAGTGGCAGAATCAAGGACTTTGAAGTGTTGCAGCACAAGGCAGGAGCACCACTGAGCATTGTGACGGGCAGCAGCGATGGCGCTGTCAGGCTGTGGAAATGCAGTCTTTCAGAGATTCTGGACGGAGCTGGCACGGAAGAAACAAAGGGAGCGGTGCGTCAAGTTGGCACGTCGATAGGAACGCACGAGACCGGGCACCGCATCACATGCCTGGCCGCTTTTGTGATGGATGGCCCGGCGGAAGTGGCAGACGACGACGAGGACGAGGACGACGCACAGGACGAGGCCGAAGGGGCGGACAGTAATAGCGACGATGAGTAGATAGCCCGAGACTGACGGGTCTTTGAACAAAGCATATGAGACCAAAGATGTGTTGATAGAAGGTAATGGGTAATGTTGAGGCTCAAGGCAAGCATGTGAAGGAGCGTCTAAGCATGTCATGGGCTTGGCTATCGGCTGGGGCTGCCCTAATCGGGCGGATACGAGACATCGGCCAGACGTGCGGGTGCGCAGTGCAGGGTCTTCTGAGCCAGTGACCTCGCGTAGGGTAATCTGTACATGTTTACCTGAATATCCTCTCTACTCTGCCCGTCCTTCTTTGTTGTTATTGACCCCCTTCCCTCTTCCCGCGACCAAGACCCCTGGAAGACAGAGCGGCCATGTCAGGTAATCGCAGCGGCACATCGCCGCAAACCATTGGGTCGGGTCCCCCACGTTCGACGTCTCCATACGGCGGAGGCTCGCCGTCTCGCAGTTTCTCGACCGCTCGACTCGCGAGTCCCGTTCCCTTCGGCACTCCTCCCATCAGACAGATCCCCACTCCGCGCCAGCTCGACGGTCAGGACGATGTCCAAGACGACAACGAGCCCTTGCCCGGAGCTTCATACCCTCGCGGCTCCATCCCCGGACCCGGCCCCTCGTCTTTGTCGCAAGCCTTGAGAGGAGGCTTCGCTGGAAGCCCGCCTCGCTTCGCCTCTCCTGCTCCGACCGGCTCAGCCTATCCCGACGATTCTTCGTACTCGCAAAGTCCAAATAAGAATGAAGACCTCGAGGTCTTGCGCCGACACTTGGTTGGCCCTGCACAACGCACCTCACACCAGAATCTCCAAGTCTCTTCCTCGTTTCAGCGCCAATCAGCCCTNCCTGAAGTCGCCAAGTCCGTTGAGAATGGCCCTGGCATAGATGACGACCACTTCTCGAGTCTCCAGTTACAGGGTGGAGATATGACAAGACACATCTACCGCTACACCGAAGAACGCGAGCGTGAAGAGGTAGAACGCCAGGCTCGTGAGACTGGTCGTCTGAAGAGAAGTCTGAGTGTCAATCTGCCTCGTCCGAACGAGGATGACCCAGAGCTTACAAATATCAAAATGCCTGGCGGTCTGCGCAGAGACTACATCCGCCGGACTGCCGCCTCCCCTGCCCCTGAGACACGCTCTTCAAGACCCAACTACGGCTCCACTCGTGCTCAGACCGAACCTCCTGCGCGCCAACAACCTCAATTCTTGGCTAACAACTTTATCGAATTCCTCACCCTCTACGGCCACTTCGCTGGCGAATCACTCGAAGACGACGACGAGGCTCTTGGTCCTGATGAATACTTCGCATCCGAGGCGTACGACGACGACAACGATGATCAGGATGGCCAGGAGCGCGAGTGGGGTGAAGACAGTGCTTTACTGACTCCTGGCAAGCGCAAGCGAAGAAGAAAGGAGCAGGTTGGCAAGGGTAGCCCTGGTGGTGCTGCTATGCTTTTGCTAAAATCTTTTGTTGGAACTGGAGTCTTGTTCTTGCCCCGCGCTTACCTCAATGGTGGCATGATGTTCAGCAACATCGTCCTTCTGAGTATCGCTCTCCTCAGTTTCTGGTGCTTCATCCTGCTCGTCAACGTTCGTCTGAAGGTTCACGCCTCGTTTGGTGATATGGGCGGCAAGATCTACGGTAGATGGTTCCGTACCCTCATCAATTCCTCTCTCGTCATCAGTCAGATCGGTTTCTCCTCGGCCTATATCGTCTTTGTTTCGGAAAACCTGCAGGCTTTTGTTCTGGCTGTGACCAAATGTCGCACCTTTATCGACATCAAGTACATGATCTTGATGCAAATGGTCGTCTTCTTGCCTCTCAGCTTGTACCGAAACATCAACAACATCCAAAAGCTCGCTCTGGTTGCTGATTTGTTCATCGTCCTTGGCCTCGTTTACCTTTACTACTATGACATCCTGACCTTGGTCAACAACAACGGTATAGCCGATATCATCCAGTTCAACAAGGATGACTGGACATTGTTTATCGGAACTGCCATCTTCACCTTCGAGGGAATTGGTCTCATCATCCCTATCCAGTCTGGTATGAAGGACCCTCAGAAGTTCCCTCGTGTCCTGGGTGTCGTCATGGTTGCAGTCACTGTGGTCTTCATCTCCATGGGTGCTCTTTCATACGCCGCGTACGGCAGCGCGACCAAGACTGTCATCATTCTCAACATGCCTCAGGATAACAAGCTTGTCAACAGCGTACAGTTCATTTACTCTGTGGCCATCTTACTCTCGACTCCTTTGCAGATCTATCCTGCCATCGAGATTACATCTCAACAGCTCTTCAGTCGTACAGGCAAGTACAACCCCTGGATCAAGTGGAAGAAGAATGTGTTCAGATTCTTCATGGTCACGCTGTGTGCCGTCATTGCATGGGCTGGTGCTGGACAGCTTGACAAGTTTGTCGCGCTTGTCGGCAGTTTCGCGTGTATCCCACTGGTCTTTGTCTATCCTGTAAGTCAAGCTCTACTAACTCTCTGTCTACTCCGACTGATTATCTGATAGCCTCTTATGCACTACCGTGCTGTTGCAACTCGTTCTTGGCAACGTGTTACCGATATTCTGCTCGTCATCTTCGGTCTCTTCATCATGGGTTACACCACGGCGCTCACGGTCATGTCTTGGGCATCGGGAGGCCCGAAGGAGCCAGGATACTGTGATGAAAGATGAGCGGTATTTTCATTTCCTTCTTGGCTATTTCTTCCTGTTAGACTGAGTTTCCATCGCTGGACATTCTGCGACTTTTGCATGGCGTAGGGTCGTGTTTTTGTTCGATACACATATCTTTTTTCTTAGTACCGTAGATGGGACTTTTGTATGGCTGAGATGTTGGTGAATGTTGTATAGAAGAATGTTTTAACATATCACGCCTGCACCTTGTGCAAATATTTGTTATGTCATCTTCTGACATTGGCATAGAGGAACATTTGGCATTGCAAGTATCGATTGAGGAGTCTGAAACATAGATGGATGCGTACTGGAGTTGGTGGGAAATGGCGATGTTTCGCTGCACAGAGTACACAAATGTCGATGTCTCGTACCCCACAGCTTCATGTTCTGGTGCAGAAACTCGTCAAGAGGAGAGGAAGTGGCTGATGGCACTGCTTGGAGCAACCACTAACAATGATCCTGTATCGTACGCACCCATCAACGTTTAATTCTGTACGGCCAAAAACATGCTCTCTGAAATGTCATAGGAGTGCCAGAATTTATGCTGGGGTTGCCACAATACGCCTTGACGTCCATTTGCATCATCCTCGTCCAGCAGAGATGTTTTTCTACTTACGCTGTGAGATCCACTAAGGAAACGGGTTTGACGAGGTTGATGGGCAGCGAGAGATGATAGCAAGCAGCATATTATCGCGGACTTTACGCAGAGTATGGTGGCAGTGAGCATCGAGATAGCAAACCTGCTCACCCTCACACGACATACGAATCACATGAACAGAAATGACAGGATGGAGGTGGGCTGCGGAGCAGCGATCAATGGTTGAACGGCAAAGTGAAAAACATGACATTGCATGCGCCTCCATTATGGAAAAGGTGATCTTGCTCTTTCGAGTCTAAGAGATAGGCCTTGTTGATAGAATTTTTGGTTTGTGGGTTTTGTGCATGCGATTACATAACACAAGGGATATTTCTTATCATGTCCCACCATGCCCTGCGCCAGCAACCTTTGAAGAAAGTCTTCATTCAACGCCCGCTTGCCTCTTTTTGTGGTGGTGTGAAAAGTGTCGTGAAGGGAAGCGAAAGCATTTATCGGACAATGCCCTCGAATCTGTTCTTGAACCACTTGACGGTCTCGGCCTGGTTGATGCGGTGAGAGGCACCAACCTTGGTCTTGCAGCGGCGGCGACGAGCGACACGCTCACCGGGGCGCTNCCCTAAGATGGTTGTCAATATGTGTGGTGGGGTTGGTCGAGTCAAGACGGTAGTAACTTACATGCAGCAGTAGAAGTCCATACCGTAGATACCAATACCGGGGTCGTACTTGATACCGAGATCGATGTGCTCGTTGATACCGAAGCCGAAGTTGCCGGTCTCGGAGAAGTTGCGCTTGCGGAGCTCGTACTCCTTGACCTTGAGACCACGCTCGATGATCTCCTCGGCCTTGGGGCCACGGACGGTGACGTGGACGGCGATCTTCTCGTTACGGCGGATACCGAAGGTACGGACAGTGTAGCGGGCCTTGGAGTAGACGGNGGTCTGACCAGACAGCTGCTCGAGAACCTTGGCGGCACGAGTAAGTCTGTCACCAGACTCACCGACCGAGATGTTCAGGACGAGCTTGGAGATGCGGAGCTCGCGCATGGGGTTGCCCGACTTGTCCTTGCCGGCATTGTCGCCGTTCTGGTCGGCCTGCTGGGTAGAGTTCTGTCCGCGTGCCTGCACAGAAGCATGTTAGGGTATGTGTTCATCCATTTATGTTTGTTCCACAGGCGAGGGAGAGGGCAGGCCTGCATCTGTCGACGACAGCGACGACGACGATTTGTGGTGTTGTGTGTATGCGAGTGTCGAAGTGGATGTGGTGGTGCATGTCCATATCTTTTCTCTTTTTTTCTCTCTTCTTCATCCACATCCGAATCGCGTTCGGGCGGTGCGAGCGTCGATGGCAAGCGTGGCGAGGCGCAAATCGTCGTCGTCGTTGTCGAAGCTGTGGTTGCAGGTCGTGGCTCCCTGCCATGAAGGCGGGATGGTGCTCACCATTTCGTCGGTATTGGGCGATGTGTCGAAGAATTCAAAGTCGCTGGGCGGATTCAGAGATTCTGAGAAGCGCTGGTTTGATTTTGCACAAAGCTCCGCGAAGTGCGCCGCACGTGATCTTGGCTCGGCATCAGCACAGACCACTTGGAACTGCTCCAACTGACATGCTCTCTCACTTCGTTGATATATGAATACTGCTATACTACATGTTCTGATATTGTTGCAGAGTGTGTATCTTGTCAAGTCGCAGAGCATGTCTGTTGCATTATAGACCGAGCCGACTCCTCGAGCCTCGTCTTTCGGATCAGGTATAATCTGTGCACGTACTGATCGGCTACGCGAACCCAAGTAGCTTCTGCACGTATATAGACAGCTATCGCTCGAGATGTATATCACATCAAGAGCTCCCTTCACCATGCGCCGGACAGGATGACCAACTCGAGCGATTGATATCAGAGACGGAATTTGGAGGCTTTTTCTCCGCTCGGCCTGTAGCCGATAGCGGGCGTCTCCACCTTTGGCGGACATTGAGCGGCCGTCAGCCGGGACTTGTTCAGCACGCCGTGAAACATCTTTCCTCGATACGCGTCCATACCACAAAGACTAGACAAGATGGCCGCAGCAATCAAGGCCCTCAATGCGAAGATTCGCTCCAACCCCTACACCGACTACCTCTGCTCGACCCGTGAGTGCTCCGCGAGGACAAGACTCCGACGTTGCGCTGCGACCAAGCACAATCACAAGCATCCAGTCTTGCGCTCGCCCGTCGCCCACCATGCCGCACTCATACTGACATGACTTGTTCCGTACAGANNCTTCTGGGGTCCCGCATCCAACTTTGGTATCCCCCTCGCTGCCGTCATGGACACACAAAAGGACCCCGAAATGTAATTCACCTTCGTACAACCCTGCGCCGACCGTCTGTTCTGCAAGAGCTTGGGACTAATACACGCACGCGACACAGTNATCTCGGGATCTATGACTCTCGCTCTCTGCGGTTACTCTGCCACCTTCATGCGCTACGCCATGGCCGTCACCCCCGTAAACTACCTCCTGTTCGGCTGCCATTTCGTCAACTTTGGCGCACAAGCTACTCAGGGCTACAGATACCTCAACTACTGGAAGTACGTTGCTCGAGCTTCTCCCGGCCATGTTTCTGCACAGGTCCATGCTGACACGTGCCTTTCTAGCTTTGGTGGTAAAGAGCTGAAGGAGAAGGCCACACAAGAAGCTTCTCACATCGCAGACCAAGCCAAGGCTGCCGCTCACAAGGTCGAGGGCAAGGCTAAGGAGGTTGCCAACAAGGTAACCAGCTCATAATGTACCAATATCTTCTATTTTCCAGGAATTTCCATGCGCGGCCCCGAGGAGCGTAATGACCCAACCACTTTTGACACACAGTCATACTTCAATGGCCTGTATACCATCAAGACGAGAATAAACAAAGCCAGGAGCTTCTTGCATATCTGATCACCACTCTATCGCGGTTCTCATATCGGGGACAAACGATCGTATCTTGACAGCGCCCATACTTTCATCATGATGGCTATTGGGTCAAACCTTTGCTCAAATACATCGCAATCCTTAAGTTTTCACGTCGTCTTTGATGGGGTGAAATGGATAGCAAAGTTCTATAGACATCTGATCACTATGCTAATAGCACAATCAATTTATTTCGTCCCCAGCAAATTGTGTATTTTCGTGATCAATCAAACATGTTCCGTGGTTGAGAGCTGTTGCCCATGTAATCCTTTGAAAGTAGGCTCCCTGTATCTATACTGTGTTAGACTGATTATTATCTTCGGGTTGGACACCTTCTAAAGACAATCTAGCTTGCCCGGCGGCCCGATCACGTGCCATCATATTGGCAACCTCTTCTTAGGATCCTCAAAGATGGACAGTCTATCAGATCGCAATCACAGTAATCATGCATCTCTCAGCTCTTGTTGTCGCCTCATTGGCGTCTACCTGCCTCTCGGCTCCCAGCGCGAGTGTGGAACAGCAACCAATTGGCGCTTCGGAGCCCAACAGTATCGGCTCAACATGGACCAAGGAACTGATTTCGCTGCATCGTCACCTCATCTCGACCGAGTCCATCAGCGGCAATGAGTATGATGTTGGACAACGGCTGTCCGATTACTTGAAGCACGAAGACTGGACCATTGAGACGCAGAAGGTCAACAACGATAGCTCGCGTCTCAACATTCTTGCCTATCCTGGCAAGGTCCGTAATGCCGACCTGCTCATCTCAAGCCATATCGACACTGTTCCTCCATTTTATCCTTACAAAATTCACTCCAATGACTCTGAGACCATCATCTCTGGGCGTGGAAGTGTGGATGCCAAAGCATCTGTCGCTGCTCAGATCATCGCTACCAAGAAGCTTCTGGCCGAGAAGAAGCTGAAGCCTGATGACGTTGCCCTTCTTTACGTTGTCGGTGAAGAGGTTCATGGTGATGGTATGCGTGCTGCCAATGCATTGGAATTGACACCAAAGACGATAATCTTTGGCGAGCCAACTGAAGGCAAGCTTGCAGCGTGAGTGAACTAGGCCCTTGGTCCCAGCGACTTATACTAATGTTCATCCTCAACNAGTGGTCACAAGGGTATGCTGGGCTTTACTCTGAATGCGTTTGGAAAGGCAGCACACAGTGGTTACCCATGGTTGGGTCGCAGCGCAAACGAGGTCCTCGTCCAAGCACTCTCTGCCTTGATGCAGCTCAGTCTCGAGCTACCCAAGAGCGACAAGTACGGTTCCACAACCATCAACATCGGCAAGATCGAAGGTGGAGTAGCAGGCAACGTCGTCGCCCAAAACGCCAGCGCTCAGATTGCCATCAGAATCGCAGCAGGCACACCGGACGAGATTGGCAAGTGTGTGCACAAGGCCATCAAAGCCGCAACAGACGAGTTCAAAACACCCGGCCACGAGGACGAAGACATGTTTGAAATCGTATTCGCAGGCAAGGGATACGCACCTGTGGACATTGATCACAATGTCGATGGTTTCGGTACGATCACGGTCAACTACGGCACTGATATCCCCAATCTCGACAAGCTCGATGGACAGAAGAGGTATCTGTATGGACCTGGGTCGATCCTCGTCGCTCATTCGGACCACGAGGCCATCACACTCAGCGATCTGGAAACTGCAGTGCAGGACTACGAAAAGTTAATCCTGCATAGCTTGTCGTAGACTTTGGACGAAGTAGCTGGGCACAAGGGCATGACTAGGGAAAGTTGCAAGCGAGCAAGTTTCGATGTATAAGAAAAAGTAGACGGTGATTCGAGATACGAAACCTAATCTGAAGGATGGTGTAGGGCTGGAAGAGGTTTTGCGAATACGCAAACGGACTCCGAGAAGGATCAAGGACAAGACGAAAACCGATCGGAAAGCGCGGGTGTACGGCAAGAGCTACTCTGGGGTGAAATGGGCCAAGGTAGGCAACACGAGCTGTAAAGAGCGATTGTATGCAAGGCAACAAGGCATGCCAGGTTTTGACGGGGTTTGACGAGTCGAGTGCAGATAGCAAGACGTAATTTAACCAAGTTTTTGATATGTTTCGATGGGCCCTTCTGGCTTGGAAGCTAAGAACGTTGCGGTTTTAGGTAGTCCAGCTGACGACGCTTTGCTGGGCAGAATTGGCACAAAGCTTAGCAGGGTTTTAGCAGCGTTCGCGCGTGAATTAGCGCGTGGGTAAAAAGCTTTCGGCGATTCGGTGAACCACTCTTGGCCCCTCTCAGGGTGCGAGGCGAGCAGGTGTGAGGCTGGTACGATAGTAGGCGAGTCGTTTTGTGCTCGCGTAGCGCCAATCGCTTCAGGACTCCTACGTAAGCAATCTAGCCCTCCACCCCTTGAGCAGATTCCTCCAGACAAGAGAAGTCTTGATCCAGCATGCCACGCTCAAATAAGATAGCATAGCCACATGTTGGAATTGAAGCCCTTGCTCGAGCGTCTCCGCAATTTCACATGATCGACTGCTGAATCGCTCCACGACCGCTGATCATCAACATGAGTCGCTTGGACAGTGTGCAGGACAAGGGGAACGACAACCCTGAGCCCATCCACATCGGCGCCGACCAACAAGCCACGACAGGAGGGGCCCAGGACAGCGATGAACAGAGCTCCCTGAACGAGAAGGCCCACCACGACAATTCACACGCCGAGCGCGCTCGAGAACAGGAAGAGGCGCAGGAGAAGAAGGAAGAGGCACAGAAGACCGACGAGGCCAAACCGGAGGGCTCGACCGACGGACAGCCTGCCGGAGGCTACGATGCGACGCCAGTGCCGCGAGCGCCGCCCGGATGGACCGTCAAGATCACCTTCCACCGCGCGACCAACCTGCCCATGGCCGACCTCAACTCGCTGTCGTCGGATCCCTATGTGCTAGCCCAGATCAACACGGCCATGCCGAAGCGTCATAAGGAAGACCCCCTTCTACGCATGCGCACTCCCACCATCCGCCGCAGTACTGACCCCGAGTGGAACTTTGAATGGATTGTCGCCAACATCCCCTCGTCAGGCTTCAAGCTCAAAGCTCGTGTCTACGATGAGGACCCCGCCGATCACGATGACCGCTTGGGCAACGTTCACATATCCGTCCATGAGATCAACGAGAACTGGCCCGGTATTCAAGAGCAGCCCTACAAGATCATGAAGCGTTCGGGCAGCAAGCGAGCCTATGCCGTTCGCGCCGTTGCTGCCTGTATGAGCAAAGCCAAGCACATGCACGGCGACCTCTACGTCAGCGTTCAGTTGGTCGGTCGCACAGACATTGACAATGGTGGACATGTCTTTACCGTCGGTCCACAATGGTGGATCAGGCATCAGGCTCCCATGCTTGGTCGTATCGCCGGCCGCAAAGAGCCTGGCGAAGACAACAACCAGTCCGAGAAGGAAAAGCAGAAAACAGAACGCTACAACTTCCAGGCCAACCAGATCCAATTCCGCGGTCCTGTGCCTGACGGCCTCTACCATCGCTATGTCGAATTCCGTCCTTTCGTCAAGCAAATGTTCACATCCACTGGTGTGCGAGGTTGGGTCTTGTCAAAAGCCCTCCATCATCAACACACTCGAGTATATAACTTCGACCGCACCACCAAATGGGGCCACTTCCCCCAGGGCCCTTGCAAGGAGATGACACAGGCTTTCCTCGACCTCGTGCACTACGACGAAGGCGGCCGCATCTTCACCTACGTCTTGAGTCTCGACTCGCTCCTACGTTTCACCGAAACGGGCAAGGAATTCGGTATCGACATGTTGAGCAAGCATACCATGCACAGCGACGTGAGCGTCTACATTGCCTTTTCCGGCGAATTCTTCATCCGCCGTCTCAAGTACAAGAACAAGCCTCCTCCTCCAGATGCAGCCGACACCGGCAGCGCCAGCAGCGAAGACGGTGACCATGATCACGACCACGACGGGGCAAATGANCTCACACCCCCTCACGATCTCAACGACGGCCCTCCCAATGATGAACCGCCAAAGGACCCTGCACACTACCAACTCGTTATCGACAACGACAGCGGCACCTATCGCCCCAACGCCAAAATGTTGCCCCTTCTCAAGAAATTCCTCGCTGCCAATCTTCCGGGTCTGCACATCCAAACCCTCGACTGTCAAAAGGACGAGAAGAAGATGAACCGCATGAAGCAGGCCCAACGTGATCGCAAGAAGAAGGAGGGCGATCACATCGTCTATGCTCAAGCGGGCAGCGACGCCAGCAGCATCAGCAGCTCGGACGAAGAGCAATTAGATGCTCTTGAGCAAGCTGCCAGGGACCAAGAAGACAGAAATGCATCTGGGCTTGCGTCCCAACTCAAGCACGATGTTGGCCTTAGGGGCAAGGCGAAATTGGGGCATTTGAAAAACAATCTTCCGGGACATAGCAGACCCGTGAATGATGAGTAGAGGAGACTTGAAGCTACAGAGATGAAGAACGATTGAGAGCGCGGGATCGCTCTGGCTATAATGGAAAGTTGATTAATATTAGTGTTTTGTTTCCTTTTCATGTTCTTATAAGGCACCTATAGGTACTACAACGTTTGTGTTCTGTTCGTGTAAGAGACATGTTCTTTTACTCGCTCCATGAATCTGTGCACTTTCCGTGTCCGCATGCTCCTGCTGTCAAGAGCCTTTTCCCCTGATGGCTCCTTCTGCGCCTTTGGAGGCTTGCAACCATTTAGACTCGCATCAATCCTCAATCGACCACTCTACTTGATCTCAAAGTAGAGAACAGTTGGAGAATGATCGCATTATACACTACTTCTTTAGCAATCGATTACCCAACATTCAGCCATGAGGCTAGAATGAGGAAAAGTAAGGAAAAGATGATTGGTGGAGGGTAACACCCTGTCACTTCTCGCATCAAACCTTTAGTTCCGTCATTCAGATTCTTGCGTCTAGTGGAGGATTGCAATTGGAAAGAGCGATCAAGAGACGCATTCCTTGTGTTCCATGACGCAGCTTATGTGTGTCTTTTCACTTACTCGCGTGGGAGTTGGACAGCACACAGACTCCAGCACACTCAAGATAGAAAAAGAGAACAACATGGTAGAAAAAGTTCTTGCCGTTCGATCGATGATAAAAAAAAAGTAGATAGTACAGGTATAAGACAACGCCCGCCTTTCAATTGAAGAAACGCCGAATCAGAAAACCACATGACCCCTAGATCGAACCACTTTTTCAAAAAGAAGCACGATGAATCTACTCTTCGTCTTCCATATCGTCGCCAGCCTCGATAAAGACAAGCCTAGTACCTTCTGCGGCAGTTTGCCAAANTCTGCACAACAATGTTAGCAATCTTGTATCAAGACTGAAATGAAAAGGGCAACTTACGTCAAGATCAGAGTACTCATCAAGACAAGACTCGAGTTGCTGCAGAGTGAAGCCCTTGGCAAGAACGCGCTCCCTGACACGACGGAGATCGAGCTCGCCACGACCTTCGCCAGTAGCAGCAGCACCGCTCTCACGCATGCCGCGCACGAGGTTAAAGATGCGACTGCTGACGCTCATGTCGCCACGGCGCGAGCGGTCGTCGTCGTATAGCGAGGCCTTGCTGACTTCGGTAAGACGCAGCGCTTCGTCTACATCGTCGGTAATAACCTCTTCTGCGAAACGCAGACGGGCGAGGGCTTGTGACAGACGCATGACTCCGAGCAGCGTACGCGGTGATGTGTGGGTAAAGGTCTTCTTGGCCGACTCGTCGCGCTTCTGTTGTTGACGCAGACGTACATAGGCGCCTACGAGGTAGTCGGAGACGGCCTTGGGGATTGTGGGTCGGAATGAACGAGCGCGGGCTACCCATTGGCGGACTTCGTTGGGTGAGAAGATCAAACCGCCGCCTGCGGGCTCGGGGTGAGCATTGTGAATGTGGACGTGAGTGACGTGACGAGCCAGGTCCTCGTCGGCGTCGCGAGAAGGAGTGTCAAGGATGAGGAAGAGAATATCGAATCTACTCAATAACGCGGCTGGCAGATTGATGTTCTCTACCGGTGAGATGCGAGGGTTGTAACGACCATACAGCGGGTTGGCAGCGGCCAAAATCGAAGTGCGTGCGTTGAGTGTTGTGGTGATGCCGGCCTTGGAAATGGAAATGGTCTGCTGTTCCATGACTTCGTGAATGGCTGTTCTGTCACTGTCGTCCATCTTGTCGAATTCATCGATACAGCACATGCCGTTGTCTGCAAGGACAAGAGCACCTCCTTCAAGCACCATCTCGTCTGTGACAGGATCTCTCATGACTGCAGCAGTAAGACCAACACCACTTGAACCACGACCTGTTGTGTAGACACCACGCGGCGCAACCTTTGTGATGTACTTGAGCAATTGCGATTTGGCAACACCTGGATCTCCCATCAAGCAAACGTTGATATCACCACGAATGCGCATACCATCACCCATCTCCTTAGTCACACCACCAATCAGTTGCAGAAGGAGAGCCTTCTTGACGTCGAGATGGCCAAAGATTTCAGGAGCAATAGATCTGCTCAGGTACTCGTAGAGCTGGCCAGATTGTTCCAAGTCAGCCATGCGGCGCACAGTGCTGGGAGCCAGAACCATTGACTCGTAGGCCTTCTTGTGTTGATGGACGTATTGAGCCTCGAGATATGTATCGGTCAAGAGGCCAGCCTTGATAGCCTTGAAGCCAGTGTAGGGTGTGGGAAGGAAGATGCCAGCAACGTCGACGACATCACCGGGGTTGATCTGACGAGACAAGGAGCCGTGGCAGTAGATGGTCAACTGACGAGGAATGTGACCGACAGGTACTTGGTCCGACATTTCCTGGATCTTGACTTCTTGGAAAGCGAGGAACTTGGAGGCGCGAGTCGAGTGCAGGAGCTGGCCCTTGACGTTGTTCTTCTGGCAGGCGTCTGAAGGACACTGGACCATGGGTGTGTACTGCTTTGTCGTAACGGGCTGGAAGACCTCCTGACCACAGCGATCGCAAGAGTAGGCGTTGACCTGGACGGCAGGCTTGACATCCGACACTCTGATTGCGATGCCGCGGACTGTGATGAGGTGGCCCAGGTGTTCACCACGCACTTGGCGGACGGCCATGGCTTTGCTGCTCTTTCCATCGCTAGACTCGGAGGGTGTGACGGGCTTGAAGTTGAGCGTGTAACGGCGGGTGAGGGCGGGAGGGAAGAAGGAGTCGGTCGCGTTGTTGTCGGTGCCTTCGTCGAGGACTTGTTGCATGACACGGTTCGCGTTCTGTCGCTGAGTGAGGATGACATCGATGACATCGTCTTTGAAGCTGACGTCGGAGCTGGCTTGCGGCATGAGCTTGTCGACGGCGCGCGACAAGATTTCAATGTAGTGGTGTGCGTTGCGTTCGATTGACGAGACCAGCTTGAGCGATGCACCGCCGTCCTCTAAAGCGTTCTCGTATTCTTTCAGGTCGTCTAGGTCGATCAGGATGTTGTCGACCTCTCTGTCTGCCACGCGCTGCAGGTGGTCCATGTACTTTGGTTTTGAGGTATTCTGTCGTGCAGCGCCATCTGCCGTCTCATCCATAAAGTCGTATTCATCATTATCGTTATCGTCAATGTTCAACTCGTCCAGAGCATCCTGAGCCTCAGTCGAGGATGGTTTGAACGAGCGCAGAAAGTCCTCGAACGCAGNCTGTTGACGGGTTTCAGTGCTTTGTTTGCGCTTGCGTCTCGGTCAAAACAAACCTTGTTGCTCCTCGTAATTGATCAGGGAGGGGTAGGTAAGGAGCGCCATGACTGCTTCTGCTATGGCCTAATCTCGAATCGTCCGACACACGGCAGCTTGTTCCAAGAAAGATTGATGGGTTTGGGCTATGAAGGGTCTGGTGGCAGGGAGTGGGACTGAAAACAACGCGAAGCTTCCAGCGACGCGAATTTACGCGCGTTGATTGGCTTCGCGCTGACCATTTTCAGTCCAGTTGCTGCTATCTAGTAGCACATGCACGACTAGACTCTCTGTGCCTCTGGACCACTTTCGTACAGTCCCCTCGCAGTGCCGAGGATATCTGGCTAGGCACATGTGCTGGCACAGATAACGGCACGCTGTTGGTACAACTCACAGTCTGTGAGCTAGCAGCCAGCCATCTTCTCGGCCATCCTCTCTACCGCTGCCGCCAAGTGTGACCACTTCATCCAGACCACAGTCAGACTGTACCGTTTCCTTGAGAGTCAGAACAGGCTGATTCTTGTTCATCAGATTAATAATGTATCGTTTTATTATACAACAGCCATCTTATGCATAACCACGGTTCCGGGAAGCCAGTGTACGAATTCCAAGTGATGCGACCGGGAAGGCGACCCGATGCAAAGCAATGCCTACCGAGCCGAAAACTGTCTGCATCATGTTAGCAACCTTGTTTGTGCTCCACCATGCACGTCAGGTCTTTTGGCACCGCATCTCGATGACACCGCCACTCGATTGCAATCAAGATCGTCCATGTATTTCTGTGGCTAGCCGAAGTGGCTGTGCACTGTCAAGTCGCCTTGCTTGTCAAACCCGCTGGCGAGCCACGCACGCCACGGCCCACCATCGAGTAAGGCGTCATTCGTGAGTCGTGCCAATTTCAGATGGGCAGAGAGCGAAGAAAAGAAGAAAAGCATCCAACTCTTGCTGGCTTGTGCCCTCGCGTGTCTGTCAATCTCAAGAGTCAGGTTCCTTGTTCCCAGCCTTCTTTGACAGACAGGTCAGGCAACCCGGAGTCCACTGCCTCTCGCTACCGTGCTGGCGTCGAAGATGCATCCTGATTTGTCGAGCTGATCTTGTATGCAAGCACCAAAAGTATCGCGCGAAAGACGATCTAACGGACGGGCAGATAGACGGCATTGGTGTTACAGAAGTCAGAGACTATCCTGATTGGACAACGCACATGCATGAGGTAGACGTAGCTAAGCAGAAAATCCGGAATCTGAGGCTGAAGACAGCAGGTCCGTGAAACGAATCCTTGCCGTCCATCGCTCCTGACAACCCACTCCCAGCCACTTGTGCTCTTGCCTTTAGTTTGCGCTTTGACGCCGGCCATCCATGCGCGACCCCTACTGCAGAAGACGACATGGTTGCCCACTTCATAAACTCCCCGTCTCCTCTTCTGTAATCACCTGCACACTGCCTGCCACCTTTGGCCTCATTGTCCAACGGCGTTTGACCGACATCACATTCGTTAGCCCCTCCTATTCGTCGAGACCTGGTCCGCTTCAGTTGTGGCTGTGCCGTTTACAACTGCACCGTTTTATCTCCCCTCATCCTTCCACCTCTCAGCTCTGCCATCAATCGTAATCTACCCCTCGCCGTTGATCGAGCTTTGTCATGTTCAAGACTCCCTCGTAAGTCCAGAGTCGTCCCTGCTTGTCCAGGTGCATGGTATTGATGTAATCGTAGCTTCAGATCTTTTAATAGACCGGGACGCAGTCGCTCAAAGAGCGTTAAGAGTCCGTCATGTCCATCTTCAGTTTCTCCAAGAACCAATTGTATTGACGGTCTCAATAGACAACGAAGATTCTTCAACACTGGACACAATGTTTTCAGCAGCAGAGCCGCAATCCTCTGGGAATGCCTTTTCTCAACGATTAACGAAACCACGAACAAAGCACAATTCTAGCTGTCTCGGCAAAGCTGAAACAAGCTCTACCAACACCACCCCTATCAACACCACAAATGATTACGCCGAAGACGCCAGAGTTTCATTCTCCAACGATTCACCTCTTAGCATCACTGGATCTGCATCTTTCCGGAATTCCGAGTCGCCCTCCAGGTCAGCTACCAATTCACCTCATGAAGCCGTCAGATCGAGGAAAGCTTCGAACATTCCGATGAACACCTCAAAGCGCCATACTTTTGCTGCAGACAATTCCGATGTCGACGTTGCTGCCGCTATCGCTCTGCTGCAAGAGCTGAAGAAGCGAGCATCCCCTGAGGATCTGATCCTTCTGCACAAGGCCTTGCTACCGACCAAAAATGTTGAGCGCACGATTGCTCCCTCCAAGTCGGAAACCAAGGATTATGAAGAACCCATCTCTCCTCTGATCAGAAGAAGTTCGTTGCTCCCAGCTGGCGTCAAGACTCGTCTTTCTCGCGAGCTTTTGCGAAACTACTCAGAGAACAACGTTACAGTCCGCTCGGCGTCGGTTTCCAGACAGCACGCTGCTGTCGAGTCCCCCAGGCTTGACGTGCCGCTCGACTTCGAAGCCCTGGATCTTGCTGAAGGGAGCATTGAGACCCAAGGAGGGCGCCCGACTACACCATCCGACTTCTATCCTCAGATCGGCACATACAAAATGGGATCTCTGCGCATCACTAATGGGGCTGCCTCGCCAGAGCCAGCTCGTCTCCTCAAACGAGTAGAGCAAGCAGGCAATCAGCAGAAGCCTTCGGTATCAGAGTCGTTATCTGGCGAAGGCTTCATTACGGCTGATGGAGGAGAACACAATTCTGAATCCGTTCGCCCGAGTCGTGCTACAATTGTTTCCCTACGAGCACCACGAAGAAGCTCAGAAGAACAGGACAGAAAGTTCTCGTCTGATTCTCGTGCTAGATCAAAGAGTAGAGGCCCTCCTGTTCGTCACAATGTCGTAGTTGAGGCGAATAGCTCTGCTCGTCAGACAGGTCGTCCTCAAACCTCACAACGTGCTTCCGAATACGCTCAGGAATATGTGTCCGAGTTCGACGCACTCGACAACCCACACGTGAACAACCCGGCATTGACGACTACTGTCTCACGCCTAAGCACAGTCCACGATGAGTCTCCAGTTGAGGGTGGCATCGACGCTCGCGAGGAGGCCTTGAGACAACTTACAGGCGATGCACTTCCAGCGAACGATCGCACCAGAAAGCCACAGACGCAGAAGCATCTCAATGTGGCCCGTCCTCCTATGAAAAAGAGTGATAGTGGATACAGCTCTGAGGCTTCGAGGAGATCGATTATCAAGGAAAACAACTGTGACGATGTCCTCCTCGCCGCTCTCGACGCTGCAGACCATGCCGAGCGCAACCGTTCTAAGGAATCTCTCGGAGTCGGCACCATGAGACCATCGTTGGAACAGATCAACGAAGACAAGATCTCCTCTCCGCGTTCTCCTTACGTTCAGCAGCAGGTATCAGCTTTGCAGAAAGCAGAGAGACACCGAAGTCTGCCAAGTTTCTTCTTCAAGAAGTCATCTTCGAGCACCTCTGTCAATACGATTGCTAGCACTCCTGTCACTCCAGCGAAACAGATCAGGAAGCTTCAGAAGTCTCGCCCTCAGTCGCAAATCATCACCCCAGAAGAAGTTCAAGAGCCCGAGCCCGCACTACCAGAAGTCGAGCCAGAGTTCGTTCCCGGCGCCCCAGAAGACCTTTCTGTCAACTTCTCTCGTCCTACTCGCAAGTTGGAATGTGGTTCTTCTCCATCTCCTCAGACTCAAGAAGAAGATGAACGAGATGCTCGCGGAAGAGGCCGCAGCCGCAGGGGTGTCACTTCGCAAAGTGCGGTTGCTGAGAGCCCACTTGACGAAACCACCAGGAAGAGGAGCAGGAGTTTCTTCCGTTTCCGCAGTCGCAGCAGAAGCAAGAGCCAGCACCGTCGTGAGGAGGACGTAACCGTCCTCTCCGTCGCTGATGAGCCTCTTCCTACACACGACTTTTCCGATTTCGGCACAGTAGCACAATCTCTCGGCCAATCGCCTTATGATATTGCCACTAGAGGAGTCAAACAGATGGGGGCATACGATCCGTCTAAGCCTTGGTTCCACCCTCATGAGATCAGTCGTGCCGCTCCCAAACCTGACCTCGGCTCGGAGATGCAACAGAGCCGTGAAAAGTCTGTTGATCGTAGCCGACAGGACAGGGCACGCAGCCAGAGTCGTCCCCGCGAGTCAATCGATGCAGTCGTGTCCAGCTCGAGGCCACCAACAAGAGGCAAGTCCAGAAGATCACAAAGTGCCCACAATATTGCCGTCCCACGAGTGCCCGAGGCAGTACCCGAGCTTCCGAAGCAGACCGAGAGGATGTCTGGCACCTTCTCTCGCCCTGCTTCGAAGGACGGCACTGTCAGAGTCGGTACCGTTGACTTTGGCACTGGCTTCGCCCAGGGTCGTCTGGAGCCCATCCTTACCAACTTGGAGAAAGCGAAGACGAGACGTCGTACTCAGTCCGTCGCTCCACGAGCACGTCCCAGAAGTACTGTAATTCCCGAAGAGGCAATGCCTCAGCCTGAGACACAACAACCAGCCCAAAAGCTCTCTCGCGACGCACGTCAGACTCCAGTNACACGAGCTACCTCAGGTACCTACCGAGAAGCGCGCGCAACCTTGCCGCTTGAGCTGCTCGAGACACCTTCAAGAGCGCTTCCAAAGGTACCCAGACATAGGAAGCAACCCACCGACGCGCACCCTGCGCTCTCTGTGTCTACACTCAAGGAATCAATGTCTGTACCCCGTACGCCTGCCTCACCACTGACCCCTAACAGTGGATCATCATGGGAGAGTCAAGCACTGGCGTGGCGTGAACGTAAACAAAGCCTAAACGAGATGCTTTCGTCTCCCACAACAGAGAGAAAGGCGCTTCTTTCGTCTACGCCTGCTTCGCCGGCCATTCAAGCCTATTCACCCACAATGCAAGCTCCCCGACGTGCACCAACTGTCGTTGTGTCTCGCTACATCACACCACAAGGCTCTGAGTTTGCCATGCACTTGGATGAGGAAGGTCCTTATAGGGAGCTCCACTCCGAAAGGAAGCATCATTCCGAGGATTCCTACAGGAAGCTTCACGCTGACAACCCTACGGACCTACGTCCCGCTCAGGAGGATGTCGAACGCACCGATTCTAGCTCAACCTACCGCACCGCGAACTCGGAGAGATCCCAAGACTCGTTCGCTTCAAAGGACAGCGCAAAGTACCGCACCCACCGTCCTGTCGAGAACACCACCCCAGAGAAGACATCTGCTACCACAACACCTAAGAGCAACAGCACGCAGAAGAGATCAAGCCGTGTGGCCGAGCAGCTTCCGCCTCGACCTCAGCGTCGCTCTACTGCACTTCCAGAGAGTCATGACGTGTCCTTTGACCGATTCAGTGGAGGCCTGGGATACGGTTGGGAGCGTGGTGTTGGCTTTGGCGGTAGCGCGGGCACGAGACAGAAGAATGACACCAAGGCTGCCAGGAAGAGTGTGGCTATCAGCCAGAACTTTGGTGTTGATCTGAGCGACGTGCCTGTTTTCATGGTTAGGAACTAGATATGGAGATTGGCCGGCGGACGTATGGATGGAATGGGATGGGAAAGGCTTTGCCGGCTCTGGTCATGATGAATGAATAGTATACAAATTTTAATAATGTCTATGGAACACTTTCTACACTACTGCTTTCTATTCTGTTTTTGATCTTGGATGAACAACGTATCGGACCATACTGTTTGACAAGTCACATGAAGCATCTTTTTGTGCAACTGTACACTAACTGTCGTGGGAAAATGGCCTCTCCTTGTGCTAAAGACTGTCAAAGTATAGCTGTTTGAAACACGCAATACTTCTTGGGGAGAGCGGCATCCACTGAGATAACAGTATCTGAAGATATCTCTATAGTTACGCATCTAATTCGGAATCGACTGTGCATTCCTATAAGTTATGGCATCACCTACATGTTACTTTGCAACAGGAGTCTATCATGGTACAGTGGTAGCATAGGAGGAGGTGTGCTAAACATTGTCTCAATCTCGGTGACATATGGCGTTCAACTCCGCCATGAAGATGCACAATTACTTTTCAGAAGGAGGCAGCATGCAAGAAGAGAACGTTAGCTTGGGGTGCCTTTATGGCCACGTTCCTATTTTTGAAGTGATTGTGCATCATAATAGCTAGACTATGAAGGTATATATCGCACGGGAAGTGGGTTGATCGAACAGAATAGACATTAGTTTCCTCATCCATTACGCTCTTCTAAACTATACATGTGCTAGAGTGATGCCAGAGAATGCCCTCTCCTCGGCATCAACAATCCTTTTCTTGTTCTGACCATCCATGTCGAATCTATACACGAAACCACCCATATCGGTAGCGTAAATATGTTGGTTTCTCTTATCAAGCTTGATGCCAATTGCTTCGTGCATGTTGTGGGCAAGAACGTTGTACCTCGGATTATCGCTCGCGTCTTCGACATGCGTAAGGTCGCGCAAGTCGATGCTGTTGATGGTGTTGCCCATGGGCGGATCGCCACGATCTGTCCAGAATAGTTTGCCAGCTTCCTCGTCGAGTTCGAGATCGATTGGCTCAGGGAGACCGGTCAGGACGGTCTCGATATCTGATCTGGTGGTGGCGGTTTGGCCGGAAGGTATTTCAAGCTTGGCTCTGTAGATTCTGCCTTTGCCGGCTTTGCTTGCTCCTTTTTGCGTCCAGTAGAGGTAGCCTCTCTGGTTGTCTACGGAGATGCCAACGCACCATCTTAGACTGTCTTGGGTATCTTCTTTGATCTTCCAGTCGCCTCTTTGGACCAGTGTTTCTTGTTCGCTGCCATCGAGATTGCATCTTATAACTCGTAGGCCTTCGCGGTCACAGAAGTAAAGCTTGTTGTTTTGTTGATCGACGATGAGTTGTTTCGGAGTGTGTACGTCTCCTTTCTTTACGACTTCTTTAACGTCCGAGCCGTCGAGCCTACACGATTGGATGCTTCCATCGTTTTCGCTCGGGATGCCCATATTGGTCCAGTAGATGCGATTGTCCTTGACTGAGATGTCTAGGCCATCAGGCAGGGTCAGATTCGAAACCAGTGTCTTGGGTTCTTTCCCTGATGCTGATTGAGCTACGATCTTGCCTGCATGCATGATGTCCTCCGTGGCATTCATCCCAAGATCAAGGTAATACAAAGTTGGTGAGTGCAGGTTGTCATGATGACTGGACCCTTCACCACTTGACTTGGTGGTATATCCAGCAGGGTACAATCCACCCTTTCCACTCTTGCCACCGAGTGCGCCTTTGTCGATGAAGTTAGTTTGTAGAAAGTCGACGGTGTCTTTGGTCGGTAGTCCACGCTCCTTGACGTAGTGTTGTTCGATAAAGGCGACGGTGTCCAGACCAACAGCGTCCATCATACCGCAAGGACCGGCTTTCCCTCCAGAGAACATCTCCACCCAAACGCGATCCAACTCCTCAGGAGTGCTGACGCCTTCACTGAGCACGGTAAGGCATTCGCGCTTGATGGCTGCCCAGATACGATTGAATACAAACCCTGTGCTCTCCTTCCTCGCAACAATAGGGCTCATACCACACTCCTTCAGTCTTTCGACGTAGAACAAAATTACGGCTTCATCAGTAAAGCCATCGGTCATCAGTTCCACCACTCTGTTGTCCGGAGGCATCATGTAATGGACGTTGAAGATGCGTCGTTTCGTGTCTTCATCAACCTTTTCCAGCATCTCTCCGCTCTTGTAACTGCTCGAATTACTCGCTAGCAGACAATCCTTCTTGGTCAATTTCGCAAGCCCCGCAAAGGTATCGATTTTGAGTTGCAGCTTTTCAGGCACTGCTTCGATAACAGTCCATGCATCCTTGACAGCGGCGTCCAGATCTTCGAAAGCTGTAGCTTTGCCAAGATTCGAAGATGAGATGGTTTTGGCGTATGAGGCCACGTTCTGTTCAACGTAGTGAATGGCAGAGTTGCGTTGTTCCAGAGATGGGTCTCGGATATGTACAGTGTAGCCTGCGGCAGCCCATGTACATGCAATGCGTCGGCCTAGCACACCACCACCAAGTACGGCCACAGGGCGGCCTTTGATGGCCTTGACCGAGAGCTCCGGCATTTTGTGTAATTCGTGTCTTTTAACAGATGAATGTTGGAGAAAGAAGTGAGGCTGCTGAAGAAGGACTGTCTCAACAAAGTGCTGTGATGGAAATCCAACCTAGCCCATCGATGGAGCTTTGGATATATACCGTGAGCGATGACGCGTTCGGCAACGTTCCGTCAGAATCCTCGAAGCTTTGCTCATAGCCATACCGAGGTTAAATTGATTTGTTTAGGAATACGAGCATGCATCACCCGGAAGCATGGAGCTCACCGGAAATGCCATTGGAGAACGTATATTAGGTCTCAACAACTCGCAGACCAAGGCGTTCGTTTGCATGTGATTGCGAGCAAAGAAAGGACGTTGGAGCAGTTGCCAGTTGGGAAGCGGAGGTCGCGGAGCACTCTGGAAACGTCACCACAACCTTGACCGACTTTTAACTTTTACTGTCTCTTGACAACGAAATGGGATGCAAGTTTGCGAGGCTTCTCAAATATCGGACCTATGGCAGAAGAATATTCGAAGCGATGAACATGCATAATCACCATTAGGAGACCTGATCGCGCCGCAATACTACTCAACAGTCATAGACATCAATCTGAGGATACCATCATCATCGAGTTCGAAAGCAATAGGCTGATCCCAAAACATGACCAAGCACAATGGCATCGCCGCGTTGACTACCTTCGCACGTATATATAGTAGCAAGCCGTGTGAACCGTGGACTATTGCTCGTGCTCTTCTCGAACAAGCACGAGCACGAGCACGAGACAAGGTCGCGTGTCTCAGATCTCAATCTTCGAATTGATTGATGTCCTAAACAAGTTCATGCATGATTACCACACTCTTGTCTCTAGGAAAAGAACAATCCAACGATCAACATCAAGGTTGTCATGCGCCCCCTCGGCTACACCAAAGTTCAAGCACGGTGCTCTTCTTATACTCACTCATACGGTCATACCTTTACTCGAGTCGGAACCATTCCACGAGCCTCGACAGCATATATTAAGCTTTGTCATGTATGCGAATGTTCTCCTGTGTAACTGATATTGAATAATCTCCTACCAAAGTCCGCATCTATCAGCCCTTGTCTTGCGACGCGAGACATGTGTGTGCTCACATGAATGTGCAGGGCTGAACACTGAACCAAGAGTAGGGCTGACAGGACATGAAAGTCCGGTTACTTCTCGAAGATATCGCGCAACCTCATGCCTATACGCAACACGAGCTATAGTACACGCCTGACACGAACTGATGTCCGTCAGACTGTTCTCAAAGGGTGAGACTCAACCGCTTTGCTTTGGCAACGCTCGTGTGGAGATCTTCAAAATGGATTGCCGCAACACGAAGACCCTGAGATTTTGGCGCGCCATGGCAGAAACGGGTTGCAAGTACAACACCACTATCCTAAACTTCCATCATATGACGCTGCTAGCGATCTTACACTTTATTACATATCGATGCAACATCAAAGATGTCTGATGATCTACCAGATGGTCAATCATATCAGACGCAATTATTATTGTTGTTCTTGAGTTCTTGCTCTTTTGCTGAGTAACAGAGTTTGACTAAGTGCTTGCATTCAGGGTGATCGACGGCTCGGCTACAGCTAACGCCGGAGAACAGGAGTTACAGGGCAAAATGCTCAGCTGCGTCTTCTGTCTGGACCCATACCCAAAGATCAGCAGAATATGTATATAGAAATGATAGTCAGTCTATCAACACCATCTGTGCCATAAATCCTGTTCGGCCTGGTTTACGCACGAAACCCCCTCAGGAATCCTACATGTCCGGAAGAAGTGACTTTGCTGCAGGTTGTGGTGGGTTTCTTCTTGATGCATGGCCTGAGCAGACTAGCTTCAACGAGGTATCCTCAAACAGCTCCCTCGCTCCACATGATGGTCCCTGGTCCAGCGTCTGTAAAAAGCGGCACCGCATCGAGGGCAGAAACACACGGGACTTCGACCTGCACGTTCTCGCTGGTGTCGTCTATAGTTGCTGATCGACGAGAATGTACGCCCATCACATCCATGGTCGTAGCATCTGATGACAGGCCTGACCACGTTTCCGCCCACAGAGCTAAGACCGGCAGAGGGTGAAGGTTCGGTAGAGGGAGAGTTTGCCTGCTCCGTGGCTTGTGGATCGGCCCTTGAAGTGGGAACGATATCAGACCCTGAGTTTGGCCGGATATTGGGGTAGAATTGGTGAGTACAATCATCCTGAGAAATGGTCGCGAGTCCTGGATCGCTGTGGTGACTGTAATAACTTGGTCGTCGGCTCGGAGCGTCTGTTTGTGGAAACGTGGCAAGGTATGGAGTCCAGTAACCGAGATATGGCTCAGTATGTTGGCAACTTCTGTTGATAGTAGTGGGCAATATTATCTCGGAGGGTACTTGTGGCGAGAAGCACAAAGTATTACCTCCATTGCTTTGGCAGTTTGCTAGTCCTTGACTGTGAGAATCCCATATTAACGGTGGATGTGATGATGATGATGATGATGATGATGACGGATAAGTGAAGTAGTTTCCAAGTTGTGGCTGGTCAACATGATGGTTCCTGTGACCTGAACCTGAATCATGCATTAGGGGATGGTATAGTCCAGATTCAATATAAGGTGACCAGTAATGATACCAGTGTGGATTTGCGCTTGCTGTAGAAGAATAGAAAACCTCATCGTTGGTCGAAGGTGTATCGTGCTCGCTGAATTCCATGATGAAGCTCCAAAGAGCTCAATGATGCTTCCAGTCGTCTTTTGGCCAGGGTGTTGATGCATAAAATCCAGTATCTTTGCGTGGCAGTCTGGAGAAGAAAGAGTGAAGTACGACGGTCGGAACACGCGGCCGTAGGTATACAGATATTGGAGATTACATCTCCTCACGTTTTGCTGATCGTCTGCTGTTTTCCAAGCCTCGTTCTTGGTCAAGTCGAAGCGAGGCTGATGGAGGCTTGTGCTGTCAAGTATGTTTTAGACGATCTGTAAACGACGTTCTAGGTACCTAGTGTATTGCCCGAAAATCGGGCTCGAGGGGTTGGAGCCAAACTAACGCCAAAGCAAGTCGGTGAGTTCACAAGATTGTCATCCTTGACATGTCCCTCGTGTTTGTCCATGGAGCCATCCCTGATGTGTGTGATTGGCCAAGACAAGATATGCCGTCGACGTAAGCTCGAGTCAATTGATCCTTCACCTCGGAGGGCGCTCCTGGCCAATTATTGCCGAGCAAGGCCTGATAGGGGGCCTTTGAACATCTCTCAAAAGTGTTGGCGTCTGGATTTCAGGATTGTCCACCGAGCTCCCCAGTAGTTTGTCATCGGGCTTTAGGTATAGGAAATGATCGTCGATGAACGGCGTTCAGGACTGTCCTCCAGCGACAGCTCAAAATCGCCCGCGATCGATCACGGCAAATGTCGGACCATGATGGAAAGCATTATTGAACGAACATCAAAACATTTGCATGGCCGCAAGGAACTCTGCTGTCGAGGGCGGAGGAGCTCTAATTCCCGAAAAATGGAGCCTGAAGCCGCTGTGTGGCACTTGTGTGACAAAACTCTATTTCACAGTGTTGAATCCCACAGCTGGACTTGTTCTTGGTTTGCCGACTATCTCCCAACATGATTGTCAAAGAGGAAAGGCTTGAGGTCTTTCGATGCTGCTGTGACATGTGCGAGCGCCTATGCATCCCTTTTGAGCATGACCAGGGCAGTGTGTGCCGGACCGTTGAGCCGTTGGAGCCAAAACACTCGTGGCATTCCGAACGTGGGTCCGTCGTAGGAGAGACCACCGCGTGGCCGGAGAAGGAACATTCAGCCGAACGACGACGATATGGGGACCTGCCTAAGTTGGTTTTGAAGGCTATGTCTTGGTTCATACGATCATTGCTAATTACTGCTGCACAACAAACATGCCTTCGTTCCAGTCATACGCCCTCTGCAACCGTCGTCCGAACAATCTCGCCATGTGATAGCGGATCTTGTCTCCAACATGCGGCGCATGGAACTGGATGCTTTCTCCGGGAACAGACTCCGGAGGGGTAAAGTGCCAGACGGAAGCATATAGTTTCTCGACCACGAAGCCAATTGAGAGCATTGCGTGCACAAAGTCACTCCAAGTCGTGTCGCCTGGTGTGTCATTTGAAGATGGCGTATAAAAGAGGACAGAGAATGTCTTTTNTGCGCGTTTGTCGACGATGAAGGTGGACCTTGTTGAGACAGTGGCAGCTGTAAAGTTTTCTTTTGCACCTCTCTGTCCGTTTGTCGCGAGAACATCTGCATCCTGTGAATCTCTCGTGATTGATACTGATTCTTGGATGGAGCTTTGCCTCTTGTGGGAGCCACGCAGTTGGAGATATGTCGACGACAAGGGCGTGATGGCAGCTTCAAAATTCTGCGTACATGCAGGTTTGCCATTCCGCTCGTCGTTTGAGTTGCTGTTGAACTTGCCGTTGATTTTGCCCTGCGACTTTCCATTGCTTCGACCGTTCATCTTGCCCTTTGGTATGTCAACTACAGGCTCTTCCCACTCAGACGTCCGGTGCAGAGATCGCTTTCCGGAAAGTAGCAATCTCATCATCCTGTCTGGGAGGATTACAGACTGTGAAGCGAGATGCTTGTCCACCTCAGACCAAAATGCATCAAGATGAAATTCGGCTTTATGTAGTGCAGAGGCATTAGTCTTTGTTCGGCGATTGCTGATGGGATAGGAGAACCGTCCATCTCCTGGTGATCCCAGATCTGCCAGATCAACACCCTGCCAGGACATCTTTCGGAAGTTGTCCCACTCAGCAGACTTTGTATAAAACTCCTCTACAACTTGTTGTCGATCACGCGCCATCGCCTGCTCTGTATCCCTCGACCACGGATAGTAAAGAGACAATTGATGCAAGCATTCGGATGTCACACCAAGGTCACCTAGGTTGTCAACAACCAAAGCCGACTGAAGATCCTTCGCTTTGGTGTCGGCGTAGGTCAAGCGGTCCAGCTCGTCTACCAAAGTATCGAGACCAACCAAGGGAGACTGTTTATCGTCCCACAAAGTTGTATATGCCCAGAATAGACGGTCCAAAGCAGGGTCTTGACTGATGCGTGTGTTTAGCATCATGCGAAACTTCGTGGAGTGATGATCTGCTGTAGATGTGCCTTCCCGATGCCAGTAACTGAGCATCGGAGGTGATGGTGGAACATGAGATCTGATCAGTGCTATCGAGCTAGCCGCCGAGAGCTCTAACAAGTGTCTGATCTTCTTTATAGCGAACACAGTTTCTTCCGGCAGAGGCTGAAGTGGGGACGGATCTGGGTATCTGTGCGACAGTTCTTCGAACTTGCACACTTCTTGATGAGTATACTCCCAGAGGGAAAGTGAAAGTAACGCGTCGGTTATCATCTTCCTCAAGACACGATTCCAGAAAGCTTTCGTCAAGCCGGCTTTGTGTATTGGATGCTTCTTGCCTTGTGCATCCAAAAGCATTTCGGGCTGGTGCTCTTTCCATTCATTGACGCAATCTGCAAAATAGCTTGGATCCTCTCGCAACAGCCAGATATGATCAGCAATGGCGGAACGCTTAGCAGTGACGAGGGAGTTAAGTCGATGCATGTCGAGTTGCGCCGGAGTTCGGTACGGGGCGTCCATGGTAGAAATCGCCAATGTTACGAAAGTCGATTCATTGGTGGCCAAAGGCGAAGGCTGCAGTTCAGGACCAGACGTTGAGTCTTGGGATGACTCAGAAACAAGGTCATGGATAATGAGCTTTGCGCAAGCTATTAAGAAGTGATAGATGCGTTGCTGTAATTCCAGTATAAGTAGCCCTTGTCCGACGCTAAACCAAGACCCGGTTGAATTGATGTAAGCGGAGTTGTTTGTGTCGCTCTCCGGGACAAGTTCAGCGTAGTTCTGGTGAGTATCGGTGTCAAGGAAAAGCATTTTGTATCCCTTCATGTCATTCTTTCCAATCTTGCCTGCTGAGATACCAAGTGCGCAAGCACTGAGATCAGCATGACAGAAGACATAAGGATGATGGCTGCCACGAGAGTTGAGAAAGGTTGGCAAGACTCTCGGTCTCAAAAGATCTTCCAGGTTAACAGAGGGCCACTTGTAAGCATCGAGTGAATGTGATGGTTCTTTGTGGGAAGTGTCGATGAACAAGGTCAAGTCAGGTCGATGGTGATCACTCATGTCGTACCCCCAAGCTTCTAACAGGACAGATCTCTTCTGGTCTCGTGTCTTACTACGCCATCGTTTCTGAACCAAGTCGTCAAGGTTCTTGATGATATCCTTCAACTGATGCCAGTCGGAGAAGAGGCCGTCTGTGAGAGCACGTGACGTCTGTGTGACATCGTCGAAGGTGGATGGTAGTTCCGGCGCAGGCTCAAGGGATGGCAGGTCATCCTGTAGTGATTGGAGATCAAGCATGATGAAAAGAAAGGTGAATTCGTAAAGCTGTTAATGAGATGTTTCAAGAACGAGCTGGCGATGATGTAGCACTCCATGTACGAGGCAACTTTTGCCGGATTGTGAGGGGCGAATCGCAAAGCAGCGAACGCAACGCGTTGTGAACGTCACGCTTCTCCACACTAATTGCACTTTTCTGATCTCTTTAGATGATCTGTCTCTAGTCACGATATCACTGGAAAATTATTACTCAATATAACATATTACACAGGTCTAGACAAACTTTTCATCATTCCTCAGAACAAAGCTAGGAGCACGTAGAGGCGTGTGGTCTTGAGCAACACCTCTCGTCCAAGTCATCCATCAAGCAATACCAGCAATCAATACAGCACTATCCATCACTTCAGTTCATGGCTCTGTCTAGCTTCACAGCCTTCTGCAGGGCTTTGATCGCATCGAAGATGGTGCACTTCTCCTGCCAAATGTACTTTGTAATCGCCAAGAATGGCAGCTTCGCCAATTTCCTTCCGCTGAAGCCTGCGCAGTCTTTAGCGACGCTCTTGAGGAGAGGGCCAGGAGTGTCAGGATACGCATTCGCCCAAACCGTTAGTCGTTCATGGCTTGGCAGGCGTGACTTGTCGAGAATATCGCCGAGTTCCAAGAAGTCAAAGTCTTTGTCATCGTCGTTAGGAGGCAAAGTTTGAGCCCAAGGCTTGTAGGTAATGCTTCCAGCATCAATCAGCGAGTTGAGAATATTGCTGAGAATGGTATAGACAGCACTTGCGCAGGGCGGTGGTACTGAGACAACGTCGTAGACTCGGTAGAGGAAGGCTGTGTCNNCTCGAACAAAGTTAGCAACATTCTGTTTTGGATGTGAGTATCCAAGCCTTACAATAGACTCGATCAAGTTGCTCGTGCAAAAGACGATGATGTTTGGTTTGCGTCTGATACGATCAAGCGCAGTGAGGAGCTGGTTAGTCGCGCGAACAGTATCAGTGCATTCGCCGTTCTTTGTAGAGGCTTGACGCGAGGCAGCAATGCTTTCGATCTCGTCAATGAGTACACAGATGAGTTCCTTGTTATCGTGTGCCATTTTTAAGACCTTCTCGAACATCTCTGACACGAGTTTGCCGCTCTCGCTATAGAACTTGCTCAAGAGGTCCTGTGTGTTGATCTCGAACAGTTTACCGCCTCTAAAAGTCCGGCTGAGTCTGATGACCAACTTTTGGGCAAGTGCTCGACTNNACGCAAGAGTCAGCACTTTGATTTCGATACATCTCTGGAATGAGTAACACCATAGTGTCGATTTGCCGCATCCTGGAGGTCCGTGGAAGAGTATCAATCGATTAATGTTCATCGCTTCCGGAAGATTGTCCGCTTTGTGCAGCAAGGCAACTTGGAATCTGTCAGTTCAAGATGGTTCGGTCCTGGAAGAGGAGAGACGATCTTGGCTCACNNCTGTGTGTACGGCCATATTGAGAACTTCTTCTGGCTTGATATCTTGGGTTTCGTCGAACTTCANGACTATCAAATAGATGTAAGTGGAGTCGAGTTGGGATCAGGCAAGTGGGACGTACCTTTCCCAAACGCCAACCAAGGACTCATGAGGCAGATTGATGATCTTGGCCTGAGAATCTTTAGAAGTAGTGAAAGTGACAGTAGAAGCAGTCGTTGCTTGTTCGTGAAGTGTATAGGCATGAACATTTGGCTGGACGTTGGAAAACAAGAAGGCTTCATTGCTTTCTAATTCGGAATCGATGCCAGTGACACGAACGCAAACGATGTGGTCCTTGTACTGGAACTTGTNCTGGTGGCGTGGTGTCAATAAATAGTTTGAAGATAACAGTCGAAAGGGCTTACCGAATGAAAGTTCTTCGCCGTCGCGGGCTGGGTGGATGTACTCCTTGGTCAGGAAATCATGGCAGGCATTCTCTATCTGGACAGTATGAGCATGCGAAACAGGCAGCAAGAGGGGTCTTACTTCGACGCGTGTGATATACTCGGCGGCATCGGCGTCCTTGAGACGCACCTCCACATGGACTTGAGGCATGATGGTGGATGTAGTTGGGGTTGTTGTCGAAAAGACAGAGACAAGAAATGGAAAAACGAGAGACTTGGGCAAGCAGCGGAAGCAGTCATGCCTTCCTGCTGGAGAAGTTGAGGAAGTCACGAATGAGAAGATGCCTTCCTACCTGGAGCAGCGTTCTATGCTTACAACTCCCCACTCCTGCACGAGTATAACCTATCAACATGCTTTGAGAAAAAAAGTCTACGAAGTCCCCATGTACTAAAGCATGTAACGCGTATAGTCAAGAAGCAGGGCAGCACCCACGGAGAGACAAGATCGCATTAGCTCTCTTCGGTTATACCTTCGATGTTGGAAAACACTGTGTCTTTCCGTAGTCTAAAAGTGTCTTTAATCTGCAGCGGGAGCAGGCAAGGTTACAGACTTTTGTACATGGGGAGGGACTATTGAGCATGCAGTCAATCCTCAAGCCGACTTAGACGTTATGTCGCGAATTACACCATGAGTTTCGAGGCGGAAATCAGTCACAGGCGCCCTAGAATCCCGCCACACAAGGCAGAACAGTCTCAGGACTCGATGTTGACGAGCGGCAATAATAACTGGATGGCATGTCATATCATGACAAAGCAACGACTTGTCAGAGTCGGGAGGATGAGTTCGGCTAGGGCTCATGATCTGATAAAGAATTGGTGGCTGGAGTGGGAAGCTTTGACCTTCAAATCCAATTTTTGCCGAGCAACTTGACTGCCCTTTCGCGAATCTTGCTTGATTCATTTGTTTTCACAGCAACTGCCTTACAGTTTGACCTCTGTTGGATGCATCTGCACGAAGACCCAGTCGCTGCTTTACTCCAGGCGCCGGATGGGAGAAAACAACAGTTCCGTCCTGTCTTTGGCGCAGCAAAGCTGAGACACACGCTCGTCGTTGAGATGAAGATCTCCGGATCTATCCACAGATGAACGCCAATCGTCTTGAGCCCTTGGTCAACCAGTCGGTGCATGGGCGCACGTATGACATTATGAGACACTGTGATGATGTGCTCTGAGGGCCTCCTTAAAAACCAAAGGGCTTTCGCTTATCAGATGAATCTAACTTAACCCACATCTCCTAGCATCTCATATTATGCATCGCTCATTCTTGGCCTGCACGGCTGCCTCCTTGCTCTTGTTACTATCCTCACGTGTATCAGCTCGCACTCCGCGGTCTATCAAATATGAGCGGGCTCAGAATGAACGTCGCAGCAAGATGTTTGCTGCTCAACAGGAGCAACGGCAACATCAGTGGCTCCAGAAGCGTTCAGACCATGCATACTTGACTAACGCTACGGCACCATTCGCTGTTAATGGCTCTGGGTTGCCTGAGACTGATTTCGATCTCGGCGAGAGTTATTCCGGACCGATGCCTATAGGGAACAGCACGACCGACAGACTGTTCTTCTGGTTCGTGCCGACTGACAACCCTTCTGCTGAGGATGAGATCGTTATTTGGCTTAACGGCGGTCCAGGCTGCTCAAGTCTGGATGGCTTCTTCCACGAGAACGGACCTGTCAGTTGGGCCTCTGGCACATATCGTCCCGTCAGAAACACATACTCGTGGTCTAACCTGAGTAACATTGTGTGGATTGACCAGCCAATCTCGACCGGCTTCAGTACAGGCAATGCTTCCGCGTCCAACGAGGATACTGTAGCGTTACAGTTTCTTGGCTTCTGGCGCAATTTTGTAGATACCTTTGAGCTCAAGGGACGCAAGATTTACATCACTGGCGAATCATATGCAGGCATGTATTCACCATATATCGCTTCAGCGATGATTCAACATAACGATACTGAGTATTACAACGTCAATGGTCTCATGGTCTACGATCCATCTATTGGATACGATGGAGTAATCTCACAAGCGCCTGCTCTCTCATTTGTCAATCAAAACCGCAACTTCTTCCCTTTGAACGATACCGTCAATGCTCAGATCAAGAACATATCAGAGTCTTGCGGACTGAACAGTTTCATGGATACGGCGATGACATTCCCTCCCACAGGACCCCTTCCACCACCTCCATCGACGTGCGACGGAGTTTACGACTATGAAAATTGCGACATTTACGATGCCCTCTTTACTGCCATCTTCGAAACAAATCCCTGTTTCAACATCTACCAGCTTGGTCAACAGTGCCCTCTCCTCTGGGACTCTGTCGGCTTCCCCTTCTCGTACGATGAGTTCTACCTTCCTGATGGCTACTCGCAGCCCTACTTCAACCGCACAGATGTCAAGAAAGCCATCCACGCACCTTTGGATATAGACTGGCAGTTCTGTCTCCCTGGTTCGGAAAATCCTTTTGTTGGTGGAGAATCGGATAACTCGCCTCCATCTGGCCTCAATGGTGGACCGCTGCAACATGTCATCGAGCACACTAATAACGTTGTCATCGGTCATGGTACTCTCGACTTTGTCCTGTTCGCCAACGGTACACTTGCTACCCTGCAGAACCTAACTTGGAACGGTGTGCAAGGGTTCAGCGAATACCCATCGCAACCATTGTACGTCCCTTACCATAATCATCCTATGGAGAGTATGGCAGGTGCAGGAATCTATGGATCCTGGACTTCGGAGCGTGGACTCACGTTTGTGTTGACAGAATTGGCCGGACATTTCTTGCCGCAAGGTGCACCATCTGCTGCGTATAGACATCTTGAATTCTTGCTCGGAAGGATTGGTAACTTGTCTGAATTGTCTCCATTCACCACACAGCGAGATTACGAACAACCCACAGAGGCTCTAGGCAATGGCACTGCCTGGAATTAGGGACGATTAGATCAAAGTGCCTGCATACACTCGCGATCTAAAGAACAATCTTGGCTTAGGGGGCTGGAGCGTAAGCGTTATTCACAATCAAATTACATCCTCACCGTGTGCAAAAGACAGTCACAGCCTACAATACTCAGCCCCTCTCCCTCACTAACCCATTATGCCATCATAAGCTATAGGAATGCACAATTGAATTTCAAAATAGGGGTGCCACCATGGGGATGCCTGAACACAACTCTCTCTCCGTGGACATTGCTCTGCTATACAAGAAATTGTGCATTTCTACAACTACACTGTGACTGTCTATTGCACATGGGGAGGGTATGTGGTAGTAGCTATGCATGTCCACATAAAGTCCATCTCTGACTCGTATCTCTCCGGATGGGCAGTACACAGCAGCAGACTATCTATTGGAACACTTGATTCGCAGAGCAGATGTCTTGTATGGAGAGCAAGCTTAGAAAGACAAGAAACCTTGGTTAGGCATATAAGAATCCACTATAAATCCATGAAAACAGCAGGCGTACGTGTTATCATTTCTATTCGACCAGCGGAGTATCCATCATTCAAGGACGACTTGTGTCTACAACAAACAACAGGGTGAATCACACGGGGAGCAATGATGGGTTGGTTTGTATGTTTTGTATTCATGCTGATCATCTATGGATCAATGCAATTGGAGCAATGCTTTCATGCATCCATGCTTCTTATAGTACAGTGCTCTTCATGTCTCTGTTGGTGATTCGTGTCGTGAAAATAAAGGCATCCATCGTCGTGAAAAAAGGGTGTGAGGTGCGTAGTTTACTTCTTCTGGGTGGCGGGTCTGCTGGGGCCGTCGACGGCCTTCTCGACCTGACCGGCAATACCATCCTTGGCTGCGTCGAACTGCGAGCCGATAGCGCCATCCTTGGAAAAGGGTCCACCAANCCTGTAGTGTGTTAGTATCAAGCTTTTAAATGAGATAAAGCGCAGGGAACGTACGGCCTCGCCAACCTGACCGATGTTTCCATCAGGGTTGAACTGCTTGCCAACGGCACCGGCAGAGGAGATGACCGAAGGGTTCTGGGGGTTGGTGGACTTGGCCTCGCCGGCAGCCTGAGTGTTGTCCTCGATCTTCTTGTCGGCCATGCCGCGAACGCGGAAGGCGGCAGCCGATGAAGGCTTGAAGGTCTTGGAAACGGTGTTGCGGGTGAATGTGCGGAGCATGTTGATGGATTTGTTGATGAATTGGATTGAGGGAATTGAGATGGAGTGTGGTTTCCTGCAGGTGAGCCTTATAAACAGCTTGAGCTGTGGTGGAAAGCGTTTCGATGACACCCTGTGACGACACCAAAGTCTTGACGACATTACCCAATCACGGGTTTACGATCCACTTGGGACAAGGCACTTGGATATGCTGACGGCATGTTTGTTGTGCCGACGCCAGGGGGTGCATGTCTTTGTGTGCCTGTGTTTGTTGTATTTGGTAGCTATGCTGCTATGCCATGCTGTCGCCCATCAAGGTTGAAGCCGAGGCTTGAGGCTCTGTTACTAACACGAAGCTTGGTGCCTATCAATCAACTCTTCGGTAAGAGAACACCTCGCTAACAGACATCGACAATGAACCCAAATCTGTCTAGCATTGTCAACTTGGCTTGACCACTTTACAGACGCGAGATATCAAGGACTAGTAAGTCTCAAAGATAGACCAGTGCGAAGGGACCTGGTCTACAACAAGACCTGGACCGCCAAAAAGACAGGGTGCAACTCCCAACCAGCACGATTTGACCTGATTGCTCGATATTCCGGCCAACAACGATAACAATTCTCAAACCACTGTGTTGGAGGGCTTCAGCCGGCTATCGAATCCTGCTGTGTAAGTATCAAGTCGACACATATGACCTCGATGGAGTTCTACTGCTTTCTCTTCCCAAACATCTCGAATTCTGAAAAGCTTCCATGGTACACACATGCACAAGCTTCATCTCTTCGATCAACCCAACAATATGAATGACAGGCATATCTACAACCAGACCGGATGTCATAGAGTATATCTTCATACTAGCGACCGGCCAACAGCCTATAGCTCCAGAAAGAGCAGGCCGATGAACATAGGTCCACCTAAGGAAACAATACAACATGCATCCCCATTCATGCGCAAGCGAGACTGCCGCGCGCACACACACATCACAAATTCATGTCCAAAACATCAATCACACTCCGCACATACAGGCGAAGCCAGAAAATACCAACACGCAAAGGCTCGAACTATCCTGGCTCATCTCATCACAACATGCCTGTTAATTAAAGCTTGGTCGATCTGTCTGAAAGTCTTTATGTACATATCAAACTTACTAGCCGACATCCAACAGCCACAGAAAGCACAGCTTTCACATCTTCCGTGGCGCAATTGGCTAGCGCGTTCGACTGTTAGATTTGATCCTCATCAAATCGGCTATCGAGAGGTTGACAGTTCAAGCCTGTCCGGGAGAGTTTTCTTTTTGGCTATCTCTGCCAATGTGTGCGTGCTGGAGACAGGGGTTGGAAGTTTTGGTGGTGGAGCATTTGCATATGTGCTGGGACGCGGGTGGAGTTTAGCCGGGTTGTTTTCTCATCTTTTGTATGGTTGATAATTTGACAATGTTCTTGTCTGCGTATGATCACATTCTATGTTTCGTTATATCAGCAGTCACAGAGGTATATGGTTGTTATAGGACCAGACATGTGTCCAAGTCTCGAGGGTTGACCGATCGAGAGGGCATCAATCTGCTTCCGAGACTGATGTGCATCTGCACAGCCCACCTATCGCTCTGTACTGTTGTAAGAAAAGAGCAAGAGTCACCACCTCAGCAGACAGAGTGGACACGAAAGCAATACGAAGAAGAATATGTTTTCATTATCATCAAAGCATCATCTAGTGGTTCAAATAACAGCAAAAGCGCTAGCATAACTAACACTACTGTCCTCAACCCTAGTACACTCGCTACTGCGTTCGTAACGTACGAACTTGAACCTAGCAGGACTGTTCAATGCCTCCATGGCAGCCATGACAACACCAATCGGATGCCTTCCACAAACCGTATTACCAGTATCAGCCAGAGTATCAAGCCAAGCCGCATGACTACCCGTTTCACACGCATCGATACATTCAAAGTCGACGTTCTTGATGCTCTCGTGGATGGGAGGATCTCTGGGTGGCTTTGCTCCCGCTGACAGATTCACTACATTGCCGGAAGAGGGCTCGTAGTAAGTGTAGCGGAAACGCAGGCCCCAGTGTGCAAAGTCTGAGCTGATAACAAAGGCGTTGGAAGGGTCCTTGAGGTAAGGTGCTAGGAGCTCGCCGAATTGCTTTTCGGTGGCTGCGTTTGTGTTGCCGACCATGATGGGGACGAGTTTTGGGAACGCAGATTCTGAGGGGAAGGATCTNNGGGACCGGTCAGTTATGCGTAAGTTGCCAAAGAAGGAAGCAGGCGTGTACCTGGACAGCATTTTGTAGATGTACGGCAGGTGCATCTCGAGACTGTGTTCGTCTTCATCCACGCTCTTGCTCATCCACTGAAACTTGCCAGTTTCGTACAACTGCTTTGTTGTTTCTCTGTCAATCGTCAAGTCTCCTAGAGGAGTGGCATACTTGTCGCATTGACTGAGAGCACATTTGGACAGATAGAAGTGGTGCGAAGGGCCGAGCAAGAAGACACGCTTTGCCTTTGGAATATCCCAAGAACGATAAGCCCATGCAGCTGCAGGTCCGGAGTATGAGTAGCCAGCGTGTCTGCGAGACAAGTCAGTAAGCAGTGCGTGTACTGACAACAGAAAGCATTACGGAGCAATAATAACTCTGGCACCGGGTACAGGCAAAGTGCTCAAAGACTCCTGAGATGAGATTTGACCGATGGGCTGGACAGGAGTATCGACCTTGGACAGCCAGCCATCGAGTTGGCTTGAGAGTTGTGATTTGGAAGAGCTATACCAGCTTCCAGCGTGACTTGGTTCGCGGGTTGACATTGTGTCTATCTAGTGATTAGCTCGGGGATGAAACACATGACTAGGTGACGATTCATGTTTCTGGACGCTCCAAGAAACAGTGAAAACGCTGGCAAACACTACAAGATGACAAGAACGTACCGAGCCTTTGACTTTGTATATCCTCTCAAAAGGACATCAAACGGGTATCAAGGTGAGGAGAAGGGAAGCTCCGAGTGACGCAAGCGGGGAGGGAAGACGCGCGCAGTCGCGTAATCCACTTTCTCTGACGCGGATACTCGACCAGAGGCCAGACCATTCAGGTACTGCATCGTCAATTACATCCATCAAAAGCATCTCGCCGCAACCATGTCCATGAAACGCAAGCGCTCCACGGGCTCCCTCTTCACACCTTCCGTCCTCGAAACTCCCTCACCAACACCCTTCTTCAGCTCTCCAGTCCGCCTACCAAACTTCTTCGTCCAGAGCAAAACCCACGAACCACAATCAACACCGTTCGATTGGAAGCAGAGCAGTCAGCGAAACACACAGCAAGACGATGGAGAATACCAAAATCTGAACAGTCGGACACGGAAACGCTATCGAGATGGCCGACCAGAAGAGGCACATATTCATGGTATGAGCCATTGCAACTCTGCNCCCCTACATACCTCATACTGACTTGAGGTTGTAGCATCGACGGTAGAAAAGCTGTTCGAAGCACAAAAAGCGCATCCGCATGCCTCCCCGCTCCCATCGCAGCAACTACAGTCACAAAACCAATCTCTACCACAATTCCCGAACCAAGATGCGCCGCAACGATCCACACTACACTCCTTCTGGCACCTTCCGCAGGCTTCTCAGGTACAACAGCATGGTATACCTTCACAGCTACCACAACATGAGGTTTGGACGTGTGATGGTTGCGATCAGGTCTTAATACCCGAGTACGGCATGGATACCTTGGACGCAGACACGGCTTGTAGAGGTTGTGGAAAACACGTTTGCAATACCTGTGCTATTACAGCCGAGATGAGGTTATGTCTGGACTGTGCCACGCAAGGTTGATGGTGAAAAAATTGTCCCGTTCTTCAGCGCGGCGTTTAGGGGTACCCATATTACAGGATACAGCTTGTTTTGCAGCATGACGGTCGTCAAATTATTGTAGATGAAGGAAAGAAACCGATTCAATTACCACACAGCCCCTTTTAGAATCCCCATACCGACCTTTTCGCAAGAGCGACCTGTATATTCAACCCATCCTTTTGTTTACTCTCTACGCTTCTTGCCCTCCTCCATGTATCCAAGTCTGGCATCGCTCTTGCCGCGACCGTGCTTGGAAACCATGGATCCCAGAAGAGGATCTCTACTTACACGCTCGAGAGTCTCTTGATAACTTTCGAGAGCGTGTGCTGGTGTGTTGAGCTTCGGCCAGTTGACCTGATATCGGTTAGCAATGGCTCCCAAACTTCTCAAGGCATGACTGCTTACGTAAAGACCTCCATGCGAGGTGATGAATCTACCAGACCATGCAGCACCGACAACACAGATGAGAACAAAGATTCTCAAAGGCCATACAGTAGCATCCGGCAGGCGACGTGTGAAAAGTGAGATGAAGATGAAGAAAACGCAGGCGGCCAGGATGTACGGCAAAGACTGGATCAGCACCGGTCTAGTGTCCGCAAACTGATGTGCTGAGCCCAAGCCCGAAGGGTCGGGTGCATAGGTGCCGAGAAACAGATCAAAGGCGTCCTGTCTAGGTCCGTCGAGGAAGTTGTTGCACACATAGCGGGTAATTGAATTGTTCAAATCCTGCAAGGCACCAGCACGCGTTCTTTCGCCAGTACGGGTAAAGTCTGTCTTGAGAGCACCAGTCCCCGAGTAAGACTTGCTGACCACATCTGCATTGTCTGCCCAGACATTGCGGAACAAATGTTCGAATGCAGCATCTTCCTGAGCATTCTCTCCAGCCTTCAAGATACCGACATCGGTCAACATGCGAGAAAGAGTGAAACGGCCAAGCATAGACTGAACGACGTTGGTGCGATCCAGGCAGTCCATGCAGTTGGTGCGAACGACAGCACTTTGGCGGCTCAATACTTGCACACCGCCGCTGGGCTTGTCGACACCGCGGAAGTACTCTCCTTTCATCAAACCATCCTTGAGCTGGTCAAGTAAAAGCTGCGCACGGTGCCACTTCAATCCCTTGGTTTCGTTGTGGAAATCAAAGTAGACATAGTGCAATTTGTCAAACTCATGTCGGCCGCCTTGAGGCTCGAGAATGTGGAACTTTTCTCTTGTTGTGCGATCCGCTTCGGTATCCTCTGCAGGGTTCGATACGAGAAGTTTGACCACATCTTCATATGCCTCCTTGACTTTCTGCTCACGGCCCTTTTGGTTGACAAGGTTGACCAGGTAGTTCTCTCCGTAAAGCTTGATCTGTTCATCAAAGTGTAGCTTTGCTGCATGCACAGCAGATTGAACTCCTCTGATCTGCAACTTGGGAGTGTATTTCAAGGTGTTGACCTCAGCCCAGTAAACAGGGACACTGCCTCTGGTTTGGACGTATGACAAGACTTGAGTCTCTCCACCAGGGAGTTTGTTGTTGGAGAAGCCACCATCGCCAGCAAAGGTGGTCATTCCACTGGAAGCATCATCGTTCAAAATAACAATCTGCTCGGTCTCGTTAAAGTTGGAAGCATGTCCTTGCTCGTCCAGTCCACGAGAAAAGTAGCGAGTACCAGCACGGTGTCTTGAACGACGAGTGATGAGAATGAAAGTCATGGGAGCACTCTTGACTGAAGTGTTGGTGATTCTGAGCATACCGTACATGACGGGCAGAATATAAGGGTCCATGGCGGGTTGAGGACCAACATTTTGGCGACGAGCTCCTTGACCTTGACGGAAGTTGATCAGATCAGTTTGGATGAACTTGTTCCAGAAGAAGCGATCATCGGCCCTTGCCCAGATGGGAGAGCTTTGATCGATTTCGGCCTGTCTTTGGAAACTGTTGGTGAGATCGAAAGTGTATGAGAAGAACAAAGGGCTGGTCTTGAGCAAAGTGTTGACCAGTCCGAGGTAGATATCCTCATCAGGATCACGAACTTGTCTCTCACGAAGGGGCAGCAATTCAGTAGCGACAACTCTGTAGATCTGATGGCCCTTGATCCTGCCCATAGCCTGGGCCTTTGTGATTACAACGATGTACTTGTCTAGNNGGGATATGAGCATTGAATGAAGTCGAGTAGAAACAAAGAACATACCGAGGCGCAGACTGATGATTCCGAGAATACCCTGGATACTCGTAACTCTTTGACCACCCAAAAGCTTGCCACCATGAAGACGGATATCACCAGATGGACGCTCTACAACAAGGGTGGGTGCGGAAGGGGACGATGGAGACGAGAAGGCATAGTGGGTCGAGGAAGCGTGGACATTGATGTCGCGAANAGGTAGAAGAGCACTCATGTCGTCTAGAAGATGCAGAAGCGCGGCAACAACAAAAGAGCTAGACAAAGACTGGTCGATAGAAAGGCTGGCCTGCTGTCCAAATGAGCACTTCTGGAGACGCGGGCCTTGGGCGTTAGGTAGGTGGCTGGACACGCGCCAAGCTTGGCGCGGGCGTTGAAGGTTCGAGCAGCGAGCAAGATTGGGAAGGAGCACCGAAGTCCCGAGCCAGCGTGTCGCCGTCGTCATCTGCTGCAGTCAACAACTCGCCAACTTGGTGTGTTTCGGCCTTGAATCTCAGCTTCATACCGCTCTTCGACCCGACCACCTTATCGACGCTATCGCACCTCTACCACAGTCGCGCATACCGTCCACACCTCCCACATCTACCAACCAACATGTCTGCCCGCCAGCAGCAAATGGGCCGACCAGGCGGCGCCCGCTTCGCTCAGTTCAAGCTCGTCCTTTTGGGTATGCCTAATCTACCCCCAAACACGCCTCAAAGCTGTATGCTGACCATGCTCTCACAGGCGAATCCGCTGTCGGAAAGGTGCGCACTCACTTCGGATGCCTCTCAATCTCAAACCACCCATCTAACACCTAACAGAGTTCGCTCGTCCTCCGTTTCGTCAAGGACCAGTTCGACGACTACCGAGAATCCACCATCGGCGCTGCCTTCTTGACCCAGACAATCGCTCTCGATGACACGACCACCGTCAAATTTGAGATCTGGGATACCGCAGGTCAAGAGCGCTACAAGTCTCTGGCCCCCATGTACTACCGCAACGCCAACTGCGCTGTTGTGGTCTACGACATTACTCAAGCCGTATGACCCCCTCCAACTCTACACCCGTAATACTCGACTAACACAATCTACACANNGGCGTCCCTGGACAAGGCGAAGGCTTGGGTCAAGGAGCTGCAACGTCAAGCCAACGAGAATATCATCATTGCTCTTGCCGGAAACAAGCTCGATCTTGTCACCGAAGAACCCGACAAGCGCGCTGTCTCCACCGCCGACGCCGAACAATACGCCCAGGAAGCCGGTCTGCTCTTCTTCGAGACCTCGGCAAAGACGGCCGAGAACGTCAAGGAACTCTTCACCGCCATCGCAAAGAAGCTCCCGATCGAGCAAGCCACCCAGAGAGGCATGCGCGGCGCCCCCAGACCCGGTGTTGACCTCAGACCCGAGGCTTCCGGTACACAGGCTGGCCAGGGCTGCCAATGTTAGACGACTTCTTCTCGATTTTGACCTTTCACAGCGTATGCTTTCTGCTTTTGTTTCTCAGATTCGCCCAGCGAAGACGTCACGGATGCGAGGTGTGGTATGTACACACACACACACACACACACACGGCACGATTCACGGTGGATACTGCCTCTTTTCTTCGATATGAATATGAGAGGGCGTTTGGTGCATATCTGGGCTCGGGGTCTTCTTTCATCTTTATTTTCCTCTGCATCTAGTTTGTAATACCGTTCTTCGACTGATACCCTTGGCTTTCTAACCTGTATCGCTCGTCCCGTTGTTTTTGTTAGTCCCCTGGAAACAGATTTGTGAGTGTACATGCCGCTTGAACTTGCTATTGACCAGGTACCCCAACGAATGCCTTCAGGAAGGCGCGACTTCCCTGCAAACGAAAGTTAGATCTGTAGCATCTTTCCGCTATAACTCGACTGACATATTGCAACAATCAACCATCAGCATTCCCGAGCTTCGAATCTCGAGCACTCGCGATGATGCTCCTCCATCATCGAACCGTTGCAAGGACAGCCGTGCGTCTTGAGGTATGCAGTCTTCAATCTGTTGCNNTGACAAGGTTTAGAGCCATCGCCCTCACTATCTTGCCATGGCGAACACTGCCTGCTCCTACCATGCCACTGCTAGACTTGTTAGTGTCTTCTCCGACCATCTTGACGTCCCTGCTGATGCGTTTGTGTTACAGTCTCGAACTTCTGGATTCCCTAAACGCCGTTCGAATGGCATGCGCAACAAAGTCGACTCCGAAGTCAACATGAGAGCCCTCGTCATCAAGGTTTCGCAACAGCAGCACGACATCTCCAAATCTCAAGCCGAGATATTGAAGAGCCAGCACAGCAATTACCACACTCTACTTGAGATTACAGAAAACATGCAACACACGATCGGCCACATTCAGACAGTCAAGGAGGATGTACAGATCAGTGACAAGATTGCATTCGCTGCTGGATTTGGTTGTGGTCTGCTTGTATTGTTGGCTATCTGGATATCTCCCTTTGGTGGCAAAGACAAGGACGACGATGCTGAGAAATGAGGTAAGTCTGAGTAGAGTCAAACATTGGGACTGGGCTGATGTTCATCAGAACGTTCACGATAACAGCAGAATGCTACAGAAAGAAACAGTGTCTCTCCTTTGTAATGCAAGCTTGGGAATCAACTCATAATTTTGTGCTTCTACACGAAGGTGGGTGACTCGGCAGAATAATCATGATTGCGTTCAGGAGCGGTAGAGCATTATGTCGGCGGGGTTTGGGGTAACGATAATAGCACATGGCAATGATGTAACTCGTACTGACATCCGTTTCTAGCGTTCGGTTGTTTATGGCAGGAACCTTCATTTCCTTCATCTTCCAAAACATCGAATAATCGGCAGATATTTACCTGACGGCTGTTCACTTACAACAGCAGCTCTCACACAGTAGCAGCCTCACAACAGTAGCCTAAGATGGCAGCCTCACAATAACAGCCTAGCAATGGCAGTTTCACAATAGCAATTCGACAATATCAGCCTCATACAATAGCTGGCCTTCCAGGCCCTTTCCCTTATTACTTTGAACTTTTGGCTAGAACTTATCTACTCCTATATCCTATTACCTTTACCTGGACCGACAACCTTACAAGCAACAGACATACCTTCCCCTTCATCACTCCTTCCGAGGAAGTCTCAGCAGCTCACAGGCTCCAACAGCGTCCCGTTCCCGCTTGTCACATCGCCTCGACGACGGCTGCCTGTCGAGAGCTAATTCCACATTGCGGCACCGCCTCTCGCTCAACTTCCTCACCTCTGTGATAGCCTTCAACTCGAACCGCTGAATCGAAACTGCGCGCCATGGCCAATCTCATACTTCCTACTCGATACCAGGAGACCAATGATGGCTGGGTCCGTGAGGACGACGATCAACAACCCACCAGCACCCTCCACAACCATGTGCTCGATGCAAAAGACAAGTTCATTATCAGCTCATTTGACGCCAACGTCATGAAGTTGAAGATCACGGTCGGAGTGAGAAAGGACATTTGCACCTGGGAAGAGACNCCTGATCCCAACGCCTTCCATTATGAATTCGTTCCACAATGCCAAGGTCGCCAGCGTACTATACCTACCCGCTTTCACGAAGAACAAGTCCAAGTTTGCCTGGAGAACAACTGGATCCCCATGGTTGATTATCTCGAGGAGGAGTCTAAGAAGGATGAGACGAACCCCAACTACGTTACTCTCCTCTGTCCCGAAAACAGAACAAAGTTGGTGCTCAAAGCCCAGCAGAAATGGTGGGATGCAAACAAGAAGTCCTTCCCATTCCTTGAACTGCCCAGCGAATTGAGAAACGGAATCTACCGCCATGCTGCTCCTCAGGACGCCATCGAACCCTACGCTCGACACTGTATGCGCGGCAGAGGCATGCCACACATCAACGATCGTAACGACATGGTCTCCGATCTGCTCAGATGCAACAAGGTTGTCGCTCAGGAGATGCGCGCATACATGTTCAGATGCCTTCCTCTACTCATCAACCACGGACGACTGCTCAGCAAGACTCTGCGCCGAAATCTCGAGTTTCCTCGCAAGTTGCTTACTCACCTCACCTTGGCCTTCCCTACCCACCGAGATATCATCAACATTTTTGGGCTCAACGCCAGAAACATCAATACCGATGAGGAAATCACTATAGAGGGTAAGGAATTCACAGCTCTGTCTCTATGCCGTGACCAATTGCCTTTCATCAAGAAGCTGGAGATTATCATTCCATCTCGCGAGGTGCTCGACAAGACGTACGTGAACTACTGCCATACCGACGCAACCACAATGCTACTCGAAATCATGTGGCCCTACATTCAAGGCCACCCCGTCGTCCTCGGTGGCATGGTCAAGAAGTGGCAGAAGAAGTTATGGGAGAAAAAGCTCGCCCAGGCCCACAAGGAGTACGAAGAGAGTCTGGCTGATACTGAAGTCGGCGGCGTTCAAATCACTCAGGAGGACCGTGACAGATACGATGGCAAAGCAGAACACAACGACTATGACGAGGATGGAAACTGCTGTGATTGCGCCAAGTCTTGCTGTTTGCTTCATTACGAGGAGCCCGAGGACGAATACGAGTACCATATCCCATTCATCTGCCAATGCGATCCGCCATGCTTGTGGGGCAAGTGGACCGACGGAGATCGCATCAGAGACAAGGACGAGGATGAGGATTGAGGGAAGAACAGCACTCTCGGCTTTCATTGGACTCCGACCATCAAACTCTCGGCGAAGCAGACACGATTAATGAGGTTACGACATTTCATCGGTTGGAAAGACATAAGAGATTTTTGCATTTTCGAAGGACACCCAGTCCAAGAGCACATGAGAGGGAGAGATGGCAATCTTGACAATTGGAGCCGGAAGAGCCAATGCGGCCAAAGGATATGCGAAAGGAAAGCATTCTTGAATTTACTGATTTCTGGAAACGAGCAAGGGTAGGAAGAGAAGCAACGGAGGAGATTGGAAACACACTCTGAGATGCACAATTGGCAACGGCGAGAGCGAGAAGCAGAAAGCAGAGACCAAGCATAATTTACCTATCCACAAACCCAATATCCTCCCTGCCCAAAAGTCGTCATGACAAGGAACCGCCATGTCCCAAAGAAAAAAAAACTATCATCATATCTCTTTCTTTAAAGTGCAGCCTGATCCTGCGACTGCTTAATCCCCTCAACACCTCCATACCACGCCACCCTACTCTGACACCAAATCTCCACCCTGGGCTTCAACTTCGTATCATGCAACTCCAAGTCGTCCACCGTACCCACCCTCGTAATACTCAGTCCCGGAAACCCAGAACTGCGTCTATACATCAACGTCCCACAGCCCTTGCAAAAGAAATTCGTCATTGTGTTGCCGGAAGCTATGGTTGCAGAGGTTGCGTATTGGGAGAGTTTGTCCTCGCCGCGGAGGTGGGTGAGGGAAGAGTCTTNTACTACGAAGGCGGTGGTGAAGACTGAGGCGGTGAGTTTGCGGCAGTCGGTGCAGTGGCAGACGAAGACTTGGGTGAGGTCGTCGCCTTCGACTGGNNCTGTTCGAGGTTGAGTTTATACATGTTCTGGGATTGGGGGAATGAGGGGTTGGAGGAGACGAACTAGTTCGAGTTGGACGGTGCCGCAGAAGCAGGTTGCGGTTGCTCTTTGTGCCATGGTTGGAGTTTTATGTTTGGTGCCGCTTTGATTGATTGAGAGATTGAGAAGATGTTCGAGGATAGGAAAGGATATATACAAGTGATATGGCAGAAGCTCTTTTGATATAGACATGCCTTGAGATGGGGTAAGCTGACAGCAACGGTGTAGCATCATAGTTCCAGACCGTTCGAAAAGCGGGACCGCGGTTAAGAGTACAACGAAGCTCCCACTTGACCGAGCAACTTGATAGAGTTGCCAAATTCCATATTCACAAAAGGTTACAGGGAAGAAGAGTGTATGAAGAACAATCTATTGCAACTGTGTAAGCAATTCCTCTAATATCCGGGGTATCATTGGTATAGTCGAAAGACAAGAAAGAAAAGGAAAAGCGCAGAAACGACACACACAATCAGTCCATGGCATCCAAACCTTCGCCCTCACTCTCCGAGACCATGACGCCGACCAGACATGAGTTTAGCATGCCTTCCCAATTGACCCATGGATGCACCTCCATGAACAACTTCGTGCCATCTTTGCCGGCAGCCCTCAACAACTCGCCCTTGCCACCAGGATGAAACGGCGCATACGGAGTAATGTTGTACACCTTTCCATTGTAGACGCTCCAAGCATCATTCCCCTTTCTGCCATTCTTCTCTGCCAGCATCGAAGGCGTGACGCGGGTGAAGGACGAAACATTGGACAGGTTCGTGGATGCAGCTAGAGAAGCCCAGTCCAGAGGCGAAAAGCCGGGAGCGAGTTTCACCTTGCTGGAAGAGGATTTGGGAGTATCGATGCGTGGCGGCGGTGCGCGGGCTTGGGCGGCTGCAGACAGAGGTGGTTGTCTGGCTGGGATGGCAGGGACACCGAGACTCGAGCGATTCGGTCGTGAGGGAGGCGGCATGAGAGAGGACGAGTTCGAGGCGCGTTGAGCAGAGTTGGGGGCTGGGAATGAGGGCGGTGGCATGAGAGATGACGCTGTAGTTGGCGGTTTGGAGACGGGCTTCGGGGGTGGAGGCATGGCGCGTTGTTGTGAGTTTGCTGCTGGGGAGGATGGAGCCGACAAAGTGTCATTGGTATCTGGTTCCGATGTATTGGTATTGTCCGAGTCCAGAGTGAATGAAGGAACGGCAATCGAGGGGGCAACGGGCGCGGCCTGAGGAGTCTTTTGGTCGTCGTCGCTGTCCTCTTCGATCTTGATTTCTGGCTCGTCCTTGGCTACCGACTTGTCCTCGCTCTTTTCCTGCTTGCCCTGGCTCTTCTCTTTCTCATCATAATCCTCGAGTGTCGCCTTGATGTGTTTCGAGTCGGGAGGCGGAAGCAGTGTCCATGATAGACGCCATGTGTTGGGCGGATGTCGGTGTATCAGAAACGTCAGTGACAGAATCAACAACGATATGCCCCAGACAGCCATAGTATGTTGGATGTTTGCTTATTGAGTCGCCATCAGCGCAACTCACAAATGCGGCGAGCGGGAGTGAGAGTCGCCAAGACCGTCGCCGAAAAGCACCCTGATGTCATGAAACCAACACTGATTACTACAACACACAGAACATCATGTTGTCGCGCGCTGCACTGTCTCGAGCTGCTGCTCTTCTGGTTCGCACAAAGCCCACCGTTGGCTCGCGCCCATTGGGCACCCTATCACGCCCTCGTTTCGCCGCTACTCCCCTCCAGATTCGAAGCGCCTCGCATGTGAACAACTTCAACAGATGGCTGTCTACAAAGTCTGCTGCCGATGAGGCCATCGAGGAGATTACCGAGCTATACGCTACAGCTAGAGATGAGGCATGTCCCCCCCCAACTTCTCACAAGCCGATTCAGAAGCTAACATATGTCTAGTTCGAGATGGCCATGGAAGAGACCGAGAACAAGACCATCTACGCCGAAGCCGACCGTGAAGCTGCAAGGGAAGAGTTGACAAGAGTTCAAGAGGCATACAGAAGCATCATTGAGGGTGCTGATACAGAGTTGGCCGACGAGGTCAAGAGGAGAATTGGTCAGAGGATCCGCGAACTAGAGGCCGGCGTGCAAAACATGGAAGACATAGCCATGAACCAGGATTAGAAGCACGTTTGAATGCATAGCAACATGACATGACGACCAGCAGCATGTCGTTTTTTGTGTAGCGTCTACATGGTGCTCAATATCTAGAGCTCGTCCTTCTTGACGCCAGCAATGCTGACCAGCTCAGTCTCGAACACNNTGCAACCTGTTAGCACATCTTCTCATTCATAAGAGACACAATATCACATACCTAGCACGCTGTTGGCAGGAATGGGTCCCATGCCTCTGCTGCCGTATGCCCACTCGGGCTGGATGGTCAATGTGCGCTTCTCGCCAGGGCACATGTCGAGCACTAGAGTAGAATCACATTAGCAAATGACCTGAAAAACCTATGCAACACAAAACTTACAGCCCTGGTCCCAGCCCTTAATGACCTGGCCCTTGCCGACGTGGAAGCTCAAAGGTTGGCCTCTGTTGTAACTGGCATCGAACTCCTTGCCACCGTCCTCGAGAGTACCGCGGTAGTGAACCTCGATCTTGTCGCCTGTTTCACGCACAGTAAGTATTTTCGCATTGCAATAGTGATGGAACTACTCACCAGTCTGAGTCTTGCGGGTACATTCAACGGCCTTGTCGACTTGGATATTGAGGGGCTTGTCCAGAGCCGAAGCTGCCGTGGCAAAGAGAGCCAATGCGCTGGTCAGAGTAACGAACTTCATATTTGCTTCCTTATCGAGTGTTGAGAAAGAAAGTAGAACAATAACTGACAATTGGTTGTTGTGTTCCAGAAATTGGAGACGTAGCTCTAAACATGGAGGCACAGGCAAGGGAAGTGGCGATTGCGGCTGGAGCGTTGTGGCGGTGTCGTAGGGTCACCCTGCTTTAGTCGGGTGCCTCAGGCCATCCATTCCATCGGCTTGGATGCTATCATCCATGATTAAGGTATCAAAGCTATGTTCTCTGATCCCAATCTCCACAATCCCCAAGAGTCCTTATGACCGACACCTTAACAAGTCAAGATCTTCGAAGGAAGGACTTATAACCGCACGAGCCATGTCGAGGCTACTCCGCGAGTCGAAGAACGACAGCGGAACGCTGCTTCCGTGCTGGTGGCAGCTGACATTTGACAAAATCAACCCGCTAGCACTGAGTACAATGCGCCGTCCAGACGATCCTGTTTTTGTACGCTGGCAGTCTCAATGATCATATCGTTGTCTGCAAAGCCATGTGCGAGGTCTCGAAAGCTCCGTAGAGTGCTCAGAGCTCACCTCAACATCGGTACTCGTATTCCCGAAGGATCTCACAAGACCCAGGACGTGATTCATGACTAGGGCAGAAAGCAAGGCATCTATCGGAGAACCACACAGGCCCTTCTTGAGTCGTTTCAAAGCTCTAGGACATCGTCCCTTGAGCTGCGTCAACGGAGATGAACAAGAGAAGCCACGCAGGGTCTAATTGGTGTACGTAAACGCCTCCAACTTCATCCTGCATCGTCGCTTCCTCGGACACGCACGACGAGAACTTCCTCGCCAGCTCTAGATTCGTATTCCTTTACTGAACTGCCTGTTCGACAGGGACGAGTCGTTCGCCTGTCAAAAGAGGAGACACAACCATCAGGAAAACGGGCTTGCCGTGCCGCAGTTCCTTCGAAACACGCCTCTTCACACCATGTTTGACCGTTGTCATCGCTACTCATGGCCTGCAGATCCACATTCCCAATCACCTTCCGTCCAATATTTTGCCAGGTGGCCACAGCTACGTCCGTACACATGCAACTGTGAACTGCACGATTCGTTGCCGTCAAGTTGCCGTTCAGTCGGTGTTGCTCACAGGAATGTTATAGATATCTTGTCGAGAAGTCAGTTTACAGACCAAGACTGGGGTTCTGTAATAAGCATCTGCCGAATATTGGCTCGACCTACCCCTCACACCCCCATGTTTTCTTCAAGCGAGCTAATAAACAATTGATACAGCAATATAGGATGAATTCTAGCCGCGTTAAAGTCGCGACTCACAAGTCAAGCCACAGGAGCTTACAGTTTTCAGGCTCCACATGACCGAACTGTCCAAAAAGGCAGGGTGGTGTCAGAGCTGAACCTTCGGCAGGACTTTGTCTGTGGTTGATGAAATTGTGGCAGCCGAACAAGGCATTCGTATGCAGGTCGCAAAGGTGGTCGTTGCTTCGGCAAGGTACCAACCTTAAGCCTCCCTTCTCCGTTTACGCTCGAGCAACTTTGCAGCCTGAGTCGACGGGTTTGCAGATCAAGGCTGATCCATCACGGGTGTCTCGCCAGGTGCGTGCACAAGGCAGTTCCTTCGTCCTTGACGGTGACCTACAGCAGCGGCGAATAAAGTAGAAAGGATGGGTACCAGAGCCGACCCCATCCTACTTGCCGCCCGGGTTTTCTTTGCAACCGTCCGAGAATGTACCTGGATTGCCCACCCGGTTAAGACCACTCACAAGTGTTGGACAATTGAAGCACTCGATACATACCCAGTTTACTTGGTCTGGAGTGCGGGTGGCCTTGCGGTTGGCTGACTGGTTGACTCTTTGGCATCCCACTTCCCGTCCGTTTTTACGAGACATCTCAAGGGGCTCTCACGAAAAGCAAGATAAAGCTATCAGACATGGTCAAAGAGATAAATGTCGACCCGTCGACAGGGCACTATCCTTCGCCATACAGCTTGTCGCCCCTCGGACCAGTACTCAAGAAGGGTCTCATGGCGCCAGGCCTACTTGGATTGCTTTCTGTTGTCACCACACTCGGTCTTCTAGGCTTCATTGTCTATCGATTCTCGACATGGAGGCGGCATTACAGGACGTATGTTGGCTATAATCAATATGTCGTATGTAGTCCAAACATCTCACAGAGTTGAACGCACTCGTCCAGCGAAATCATGCTAATTCTTCGCTATAGNGTACTGTGTATGAATTTGTTGATAGCCGACTTCATGCAGGCCGCATCTTTCCTCTTCTCATTTCACTGGATTAAAAGAGATGGTATATTCGCGCCTTCCTCAGCTTGCTTTGCACAAGGCTTCCTACTCAACATTGGCGACTTGACGTCTGGGTTTTTCGTCATGGCCATCGCCTTCCACACTTTCTATACAGCGGTCAAAGGGCGCCGCATCGGTCATGTCGGCTTCATCGCATCAGTAGTCTGTGTGTGGACGTTCGCGTTATTACTGAGCATCATTGGTCCAATCGAGTACAAGGACAAGTACTTTGTACGTGCTGGTGCCTGGTGCTGGGCTGGAGAGCAATATCAAACAGATCGTCTTGCTCTGCACTATCTCTGGATTTTCATCGTTCAATTCGGCACCATCATCATATACGTCTTCGTCCTGATTCGACTGAGAGCAGCTGTAGCAGCCGTACAACCATCCGTTAGGGTCCAATCAACCAGCTACGCAAAGGTTGACCGCGCAGCCAAATTGATGGTCCTGTACCCCTTAGCATACATTATTCTCACACTACCGTTATCCGCAGGTCGGATGTGGAGTATGGCGCATCACGAAAAGAATCTGCCCGATGCCTACCAATGCACAGCCGGCGCTCTTCTCGCCAGCTGCGGTTGGGTCGATGCCCTCCTTTACACTCTCACACGCAAGGCCTTGATCAACGGAGGAGACTCGAACCGTCGCCATCGCTCCAACCACGGGAAAAGCAGCAAAGACGACCCGTCGAACCTCGACCCTCACGGAGGTTCCATCTTGCAAACACGTACTATTACTGTCAGCGCAGGACAAGTCTTTGCACTCGATACCATCGACGAAGTTCAACGAGGGCGATCACAAAACAAACACCAGTACAAGAAGAGCTTTACAGAGAGGTTAGCACACTCGCCCACTGGCAGTCTGGACCCAATAATTAGTGGTCACCTGGGCGTTGGCTCCGATAAAATTGGCTCCGATGTGCAAGTCACATCTGTAGCTGTCGACACTTGCAGTGACGATAATACCTCTCGGGTCTCCAGTTTTGATGACGCGAAACCGCATGCACGGTAGTTTCCTGGAACTCCGAATTCTTTTTCTTTTGTAAAATATTAAATTTTTGTTTTTCCTTGGGTGTAGTCAGACGCCCAAGATATCGTTCTTATGTCCATACATGGCAAGCACTGTTCCTTCAAACCACAACATAGATGTCGTTGAAACGTGTTTTTATGTTATCAGATCTTCCTTGTTTCCATTGTATCCCATCCGTGGTTTTCGCTTCTCTGTCTGGTGATTTCTATGCATCTCTGCAGTTCGTGAGCCCAATTCTGTTTGTATATAAACCGTCTTCGGAAAGTGTGTGATCATATAATTCAACTCAATTTTGGGCCAAACTTGCGCATCTTTGGCTGTCGGAAGACTGCCATCTGAGCTTTGCACGAGCGGCATCTTTGCTTGGTAATGTCGAGATAAGTTGCTCGAGCTTTGCACAAATGGCTCGTCTCTGCTTACTAGCAGCTGCGTAAAACGCTTCTGCTTGTCCTGGATCAGCAGATGGTGATGGGAGTAGAGTTTCAAACCAGTCCAGACGTGCTTGCGACAGCCACATTGCCGTCTGGAGTTGCGCTGCCATCTCAGTGCATTCTCTTGAGTCTGCAGGTTGATAATGAGATAATCGATGCTCTCGTAAGGGTGGGGGATTACACTGCACATGTCGTTTTTCGTCCACTCCATAGAGAGCCGAGGGCTGGTGTAGACGCACAAAGGAGTACGCGATTGTCCAATGACCACCTGGGCGAGCGTAGCGATCCACGATGACGATGGAAGCCCGCGTGTCTCTGAGAAGGGTATCAGCGAAAGCCATTCCCATGGCCCCAGCACCAATGATCAGGTAATCAGCAGTGATAGTTTCAGACATATTTGGCTATTCAAAGAGATTTGCCTCGGAGTGGCAATTGGACGTAGCAAAAAAGGCTGCGAGATGGTAATTGTATCGAATAAGAAGAGACTCCGGGGTCTTAGCATTAGACAGATTCGTAGTGAACTTTTATCGGTCGCCAGGGACCACTGTCAAGCAAGATATTGTGGAATATACCGAACCGGTAAGGTGTCAGCCACCTCACGCCCAGAGCACCCCACCAGACCCCGCAAGAAGAGGGGTGATGTTGGCTCTACTTTATCTCCTTTCCTTGCTGCTCATAGTAGGCCATCCAACCCGAAGCTTCGATGTCGAAGTTCAAAGGCAGTATCGAGGTGCGGCTTATTAAGATCGCCGTTCCCGAGGGTGCGTCAGCCTAAGTCAAGCAACTTCTGAGTCTTTACAAGATCCATAGGTCATTCAGAATTACTCGGGACCGGGCAAAACCGACCAAAGAACATTGGCTGAACGTATACGATTGGTATGCTTATACGCGAAATACGCTGAAGATATCCCAGTCTGATACCTGATGACACAGATGAAGACTCTGAAACATTACGTTAGCATTCCATTTCTATCCTTCCTGACAGCTCGATAGATGACTAGAGCGGTGAAAATATCTACCTCAAACATCTCTGCACCAATGACAACTACGATATTAGAGCATGCAAACGACATCCACGCAGAAAACGTCGTGTATAGGCATTTCTATGGCCATACCTCTATTCAGAGAGTGACTGTGCAGTGTTATAGCATATAATGACATTATATGTCAGTGTAGGAGAGAGGTCGATCGCCGGGGTAGGCACGACACCAGAATAGAAGATCCTGTTTGCCTTAAAAACAAACAGGGCGGCTCCATGGAAACTCCGCTGTCGATCCCTCCCCATTTCCCGATAGTTGTTTAATATAAATCGCCTTTGTCCGCCTCACAAGAATATAACGACCCATTCGATTCATTCCTGCTATAATCGATATAGAGAATCATGGAGCAAGCAAAACAAATCGATGACACGATTCCGCTGCCGGGATCGAAACGGACGATTTTTGAATTCGGACGATTTGATCATTCCGAGATTCCGCTGGAGAAAGAAGAGATACCTGTTGTTATCATTGGAAGCAGTATGGTGGGTATGTTTATGGGCCTGTTGCTCGGATACCATGGGTTTGTTGCTCCTTCCTTCTGCTAGCAGCTATCACCTAATGTTCAGGTCTCAGCNATTCACTCGATATCTTTCGACCGCCATCCCTCAACGGCAATCCATCCACGGGCGGCTTTGTTTCTACTCCGCACGGTCGAAGTGCTACGTCAACTCGGACTTGAGGACTTGTTCGTGGCAGAGAGCGANAAAAACTTCGATCTTGACGCCGGAATGCTTGTTGTGGAGAAACTATATCAGGGCAAGATCCTTGCTGCACATCAGGAAAGCGACCCGACTGAGGTCGCCAAAGTGACACCATGCAAACGTCTCTGGCTCACACAGGATATGTTTGAGCCCCTCCTACGCCGAAATGCTGCCAAGTATGATGCAGAACAAAGATTTGGCCAGGTGGTAATGCACTACGAGGAATGTGCAGATGGAGTCATCGTTGTCGTCCGAGACGTGGAGACCGGCGCGTTGAAGAAACACAAGACCAAATATCTCGTCGCTGCTGACGGCAATAGGAGTGCCACAAGGCAGTGTGAAGGCATTGAATGGCATGGCCCAGGTCATCTTGCCAACAGCATCTCCATCAACTTCAAGGCAAACCTGGTTCCTTACCTAGGCACCAGAGCAGTTCATGGTGTGACGTACATCATGAATACTCACTTTACCGGAGGATTTCGACTCGATGCCGGCGGCAAAGGTGGTTTCTTGATAGTTTCCAGAGCCAAGAACAGGGAAACCGGATTCAAGCCCGACTCGGTGTCCGCTAACGAAGCACGCCAATTTTTCGAAGCTTGTTCAGGAATCGACGCTGATGAGTGTGGATTCGAGGTCGATTTCATTTCGTATTGGACGGTTGCTGCTTACAATGCAGACAAGTACACCAGTGACGCTGGGAGGGTCTTTCTCATGGGTGATGCAGCACACACAATGCCACCTGCTGGNTCAGTATCTATTCTGGCGAGGTGATAGATGGTTGCTAACGTGATACCAATCACAGGTGGTATGGGCGGCAATACAGGCGTTGCAGTGAGTCTTGGAACAAAATATCCAGATGCTAAGCTTACGACGACTAGNGACGCATACAACCTGGCATGGAAGATGGCCTATGTCTTGACTGGTAAAGCGTCTGAAGGCTTGCTCGATACCTACAACCAAGAACGTCAGCCGGCTGGCGACTTCAGCATGAACCAGGCATTTTCTCGACTTGTCAACAGAGTGTTCCGCGATAGGAGTTCGGAATGCGTCAAAGAGCTGCCGGATCTTGTTTGCGAGTTGGGATACCGATACGCTCAGGATACAGTCGATTCGAGCGTAGAGAAGAGCGTGGAGAGCATGTACGAGGATCCGCACGAGCCCTTGGTGCTTGCAGGCTGCAGGCTACCTCATATATGGCTGACTGGCGGGGATGGCAACAAACTGTCGAGCCTGGATCTTGTCAAGAGAAACTTTGTGTTGTTCACGGTAGAGGCCAGGTCACCATGGATGGAGGCTGCTGGAAAGCAGAGGGTACAGGTGGATGCGTATGCCATCAACGCATCATCAGGTCCTTATCATGAAAGCGAGAGGTCAGCTAAAGAGGTTTGGAAGCTGCAAGAAGATGAGGCGTTGCTAGTCCGACCCGATGGTATCATCGCGTGGAGAGCAGTCGGAATGGCGAGTGGACATGTCGGCGAACTCGGTCGAGCGTTGGGTGCTATACTGCGCACTGAATAAGAGCAAGATAAAGCAGTTGATAGCATAAACGTATCATGTGGTCACTGTGGTGATGGGTGATATGTTGATGTGATCGAGGTTGCAGGGAGTTGACCAAGCAGGCGCAGTCAACGGAGCGTCCAGGACAGGAAGGTCTTGACGTGATCGACCTCGGCTAGATTGTGTGTGGGGGAGGGTTCGAGCTCTCGAAACGGGACGGGCACGGCTTGGAGTCACGAGAGAGCGGCGGCGAGCCTGAAGATAGGTCGTTCCAAGAGGCAGGCACTTCGATAGTCCAGTCACTCCTTCCTCGTTGTGTTGCAAGTGTCGTTGCTGAAGGGAAGCGACCAAATACCTGCCTACGTCACGCCCAGCTGCTGCACCGAGCCGCTCGAATCCCTAGTGGCGCGTCTCGACACGAAATCCCACTCAATCACCGACGACTCGCGTGCCACTCGTGCCTACTCCTACCATGAGGCTGTTATGGCTGGCCGCCGGCGGGCTGCTGTCTTCAGCGACAGCATACAAGACCAACCAGTACCACTCTGACTTCTCCAACTCGCTATCTTCGTCGACACCCTTCTCGATATACGGAGACCGACCAGACGACTGTCCACCATGCTTCAATTGCAACTTGGATAACTTCCAATGTCATCAGTACGCCAACTGCACAAAATCAAGTGGCAAATGCGCTTGTCCCTCAGGCTTTGGTGGCGAGGACTGCTCACAGCCGCTCTGTGGTTCGCTGCCGGATGGCCACAACAGACTGCCTCGTCAGGGCCACGACTGCGAGTGCAAAGAGGGTTGGGAAGGCATAAACTGCAATGTCTGCAAGACCAACGACGCTTGCAATGCCATGATGCCCGAAGGCGAAGGCGGTGTCTGTTATCGCGAGGGCCTGGTTGTCAATGAGAACTACCAAATGTGCGACATCACCAACCGCAAGATCCTCGATACGCTCAAGGAGAAGAAGCCCCAAGCCACCTTCTCCTGCAACGTCGATCGCGCAGAATGCAACTTCCAGTGTATGTCTTTCATGCCACACACTCGCTGTAGCTTCCACTAACAAAGTTCAGTCTGGGTTGACCAGGTAGAATCCTTCTACTGCGCCCTCGATACATGTACCTGGTCCTCCAAAGCCGAACCCAACCGCAACTCGACGTCGTACCATTGCGAGAACATCAAGTGTCGCTGCATACCGGGACGAATGCTTTGTGGCGAGGCCGACTCGATCGACATTGGAGATTTCTTGGAAGAAGACATCAAGGGTCCTGCTAGTTTCTCGTCTGTTTCGACCGAAGGCGGCAGCGCATCAGATGGCAGCAAATTCCAGGAGCCCGCTATGAACGACCTCATTTCCAACGTCTTTGGAGACGACAGCATCACTCTCAAGTGCCATTCTGGAGAGTGTCTGTATGTCACCGATGTCCCTGGCTACGAAAGACCTGTCAAGAAGATCAACACACCACTCATTGCCGGCGTCATTGCTGGTTGTGCTCTGTTCGTCGTTGCTGTCATCCTGATCGTCTGGTTCCTCTCGCGCAGAAAGACAAAGTACGGCCCCATCCACCTCTCCGACGACGAGGACGATTTGAATGCCGCCCTTCTCGCCGACCACAAACCCGCCAGTCTCTATTTCGAAAATGTCTCGTATGCTCTGAAGGGTAAGCAGATCCTCACAGACATTCAAGGTGCTGTTCATCCTGGTCAGCTCATGGCTATCATGGGTGCCTCTGGCGCTGGCAAAACCACTTTCCTGGATATTCTGGCAAGAAAGAACAAGCGTGGTACTGTTATCGGCAACTTCTTGATCAACGGAGAGAAAATCCCCGACAACGAGTTCAGAAGCGTTATTGGCTTTGTGGATCAGGACGATACCATGCTGCCTACCTTGACTGTTCACGAGACCATTCTTGACAGCGCCATGCTTCGTCTGCCGAAGGAGATGAGCTACGCCTCCAAACTGCAAAAGGTCGAAGATGTTGAAAGGCAGCTCGGCATCTACCACATCCGCGATCAGCTCATCGGCTCAGAAGAAGGCAATGGACGTGGTATCTCGGGCGGTGAGAAGCGCAGAGTCGGTATTGCCTGTGAGCTCGTCACCAGCCCAAGCATTCTCTTCCTCGACGAGCCTACGAGTGGTCTGGATGCCTTCAACGCCTTCAATGTCGTCGAATGTCTTGTTCACCTCGTCAAGACCTACAACAGAACCGTCGTCTTCACCATCCATCAACCCCGTTCCAACATTGTTGCACTTTTCGATCAGCTAGTCCTTCTTGCTAAAGGCAGAACCGTCTACTCTGGCCCCTTCGGCAACTGCCAGGCCTACTTTGACAACATCGGCTACTCTTGTCCTCCTGGCTTCAACATTGCAGACTACCTTGTTGACTTGACAATGCACGCTAGCACCGCCCATCCCCAGATTCCCGAAGACAGCTCTATCTTCCGCCAACCCATTGGACGCAGTACTCGTGCAAGCAGCGCGATCGCTGTCAAGTCTGTCCCAAGTGTATCCAACTTCAGCATCGAGCAAGGAGGTTCCATCACATCCGATTCTCCTCTTAGACCCAAGAACAGCCGTACTGCTTCAATCAAGCAGCAGCAAGACAGAGCACTCTTCACGAGGAAGCAATCATCACGAGAGCCGCCTGCAACTGCAAGCACTATCCGCTCTGATGCTTCCTCTCTGGAGAACAGCTTCGAGAACACACAGCAATGGCTCAAGATGAGAGGAGTACAACAAGCACACGATGATCCTAACGGTCTTCCTCCCAACGCTGAAGGAGTTACAACCACAGATCTTGATAACCTCGTCCAAGCTTTCGCCGAGTCTGATGTTGCTGCTTCTCTTCGTGACGATATCCATAGTGCTCTCTCCGAGGCCGCTCAGTCGAATGGTCAAGCTAATGGTGCGGCTAACGGCGGCTCTGCTCAACCTACAGTCAAAGGTTACCGCAAGACTGGCATTCTAGGCCAGTTCGTCATCCTGTCCAAGCGTACTTGGCGCAACCTCTACAGAAATCCTCTGTTGATGCTGACCCACTATGCCATTGCAATTCTGCTCGCTGTCTTCCTCGGGTTCCTCTTCTACGGTTTGACCGATGACCTCAAGGGTTTCCAAAACCGTCTTGGCTTCTTCTTCTTCCTGCTTGCTCTCTTCGCTTTCAGCACTCTCACCTCTTTGACCGTCTTTGCTCCAGAACGTCTATTGTTCGTCAGAGAGCGTGCCAAGGGATACTACTCTCCTCTGGCTTACTACGCGTCCAAGGTTGTCTTTGATATCGTTCCTCTCAGACTTATCCCTCCTGTGATCATGGCCGTCATCGTATATCCCATGACCGGTCTTCTACCTACGGCTGCTGAATTCTGGAAGTTCATGTTGTTCGTTGTTCTCTTCAATCTTGCCGCGGCCACGGTGTGCTTGTGCATTGGCATTGTCATCAAGAACCAGGGTGTCGCAAACCTGGTCGGTGTCCTTGTCATGTTGTTCAGCTTGCTCTTCGGTGGCTTTTTGCTCAATCACGAGACCATCCCCAGAGGTCTTCGTTGGTTGCAATCCGTAAGTTCCCGCTTGCCTTTCGAGTCTCGTGACCCTGCTGACCATTTCACANNGATTTCAATCTTCCATTATGGCTTCGAAGGTCTTATTGTTAACGAAGTGCGTTACCTCTCACTCATCGACCACAAGTATGGTCTGGACATTGAGGTACCTGGCTCGGCCATTCTCAGCTCTTTCGGCTTCAATGTCCTGGCGCTTTGGAATGATGCCGTTGGTCTTGCAGTCTTCTGCGGTGTATTCTTGGTGTTGGGATACGTGGCAATGCATTTCTTGCTCGTAGAGAGAAGATAGTGTAATGTCTAGTGTTGTCATGGAGTATGGCTCTTGGGATAGACTTTTTCGTTATTTCTTGTGCATCATTCCTTGTTCATAGGTTGTTCGTTTGTGTATCAAGACGTTTAATTATTCGAAGTTCCTACAACAGGAATTGGCCCATCCGCACCGCACGTAAAGTGGTATGGATGTGTGACGAGGACAGCTAATCAACGACTGCCACCAAGGCGGAGATTTTGCATCCAGTCAGATTCTGACATTCATGCTGAGTTGTTTCTTCGGCTCTTTCCTTTTCACTGTCCCTTACGTCCTACTTGGAAGTCACAATCTGAGACGCAATATGACGTTTTCTATGCGGTACCGTCTGTTCGGGTCGTGTTAGTGCTATAAGCAGGAGCGCTTGACAGCACATGCATCAGCTTGCACTATAAGACCTTCTTCGATCTTGGGCATCAATTCTTAGCTTTCTAATTACTCAATCATCGACCCTCTTTCGAACCTGATCCTCTTGCATCGGCTTACACTCTTGACTTTGTCTGCCGTCTGCAGCAATCTTTGCATCTGTTTCAAAAAACACCAACTCCTCTCGCTTTCGATTTTGAGACACATCCATCATTTATCTCTGCCATTCCTCCTTTCTTCACTTCACGAAATCTTCACGTTCCTCACAACCTGGTGCCTTCTCACACGCACTGAGAAGAGGCTCAGTCTGAACTGTGCATGTGATTGATCACAAGCCCTTGCACCACCCAGAGAAACTCGACACCTATCATTGTGTACAAGCACACACGAAACCCCTCCTACCATCTGGCACAGCCAAGTTTCAATCAGAAAAATTCACACCTTTCGGCAACGCAAATTTATTGCTGGTTGCCTTGGGTAGTTCAAAGCATTCGGGGTACACAGCATCTGCGTAGACGCCCGACTTTCCGATTGTGCTTCACTCATCAGGATCTACGATCATCCGAATTTTCCAGAGCTTCACAGCCTTCGTTCCCAAGCATTTCACGCCTTGGTCCACTATCCAGAATCTGTCATAACGACAACATCAAGAGCTTTGTGAGCAGATAGCTATTCTACCAACAACCGGTTCACCTCTTTGAGTCGATCAAAAATGCCAGGATCTCACAATCTCAGTGTTGAGAATCTACGCCTACACGAGCACATTGTGGGCTCTGAAAAACACACCCAGCATGTTGTCAAGTCAGTGACCTCGGTCCCCACAGCACACCACAGCGCAAGGCCACCTGCGAAACCTGCGACTGTGGCTCGATCTCAGGCTCCCTCAAAAGCAGGCTCCAAGGCGGGTTCGAAGCGTGGAGGAACTACCGAAACAACAAGACATGAAAGAGAAGTCTTGGTAGTTACAGTGATCGAAGAGGGTGGTGAAGACGAAAACTTACCACCCAAAGCTCCATCAATCGCCCACAGTTCGAGCAAACACGGTTCGAAGAAGGCACCTTCCGCANNAAAACCGAAAAGTCTCACGCCTCCCGTCGCTCTCATCGTAGTCGCCATGAGAGTCAAGACGTATACCACATTCCCGCTGGTATCCCGCCACCGCCAGGTTTCTCTCAGATGCCCGACTTTGTTGACATGCCTCCTATGCCCAAGATTCCCGAGTTTNGATCTGGTAGAGAACAAGGAGATTGCTATGATCAAGATGCCTCTACCTCCTCCCGCAAGATCCGTTGCCTCGGGAGCCTCAAAGTTGGTTGCCCAGAGATATCCCGCATCGCACGCTAGTCACCATAGCAGGGCTTCGCACCACAGCAAGACGAGTGGTAAGTCAAAAGCCCTTGGAGGCAGCAGTAATGACACCGAACTGATGGATGTTCTCGTCGAAGAAGTACATGAGGTCACAAGGCGCAGATTCGTGGTCAAAATGCCTGGAGACACGATCAGAGATTGGAGTTTTGCTGATTGAGGGTTATTGAGGAGTTAGGCGGAAGTATCGAAGCAATGACCATTGAGGGCTGAACGAGAACAGCCAAAGGAGGGCAGAGGGGATGAAGTACATGCGAGGGATACGCGAAGGGATACGCGAGACATGAGAGACAAGGGAAGGATGATGTTGCTTTTGCTGCCATCTTGCAAGAGCGTTCTTGGCTTGGACACCTCCTTCTATTTTCGGATGATTGATCTAGGCTTTTGAAAGAAAAGCGAGAGATCATATGGCCTCTCTAGCTCTTTCTTATTTGCCTCTATACTCACAATGATCTTTGTCGATAGAGAACGACACGACAAACGAGTCTCCTGAAAATGAGAAGGTGCGGTCTTACAATCTGTTGATTTTGTTTCCCGCTTCTTCACCAAAACTTGGTATTGCAATCGATTCAGATTGGTAAAGTGATGGGAGTGTTACACATACGTGCCTCTGTCAATGCTTGTCGATACAGGGGCACGCGTTTGCCAAGAACGGAAATGTGTAAACGAGCCACCACCTGGTTTGATCTCTCTCTATCACACAAAAATTACATTACCATCGCTGAATCGAGATCAGAATGACAGCGACTCTCAAACGACCATTTCAGACGTATTTGCCACTCATCGCGTTCGGTGCTGCCAGTCTGATCTTAGCCATCAGTAAAGATGTTGTGTTCAAAGGTCCCATGCTTCTCGACGACCCTGCGCCAAGCTAGGAAGTATTGATGAGTGAGCGCATCAAAAGCATCGAGAACGAGAAAAAGGTCGTTTGTATCTTGCAGCGAAAGCCTCATCCGAAAACCGTACACACCATTCTGGTACCGCAGCAAGGCATCTTCATGGAAAGGTTGTGATTGACTTTGTACCAACGTCTTGTGCATCCTGCTTTTCCCATTGGCCCTCAACTAAAGGCCCGCTGGATACAGCAACTCGTGGCTGCAGTTGCATGGCTGGATGATTTGGGCATTGCGCATGGCGATCTTCGTCCAAACAACATCCTTGTATACAAATCTGCGAATCTCAAACTCATCGACTTTGATTGTGCGGTCAATTGTGGAGACAAATTGATCGCGGCAAGCTCGCCATTTTGCAAATTCAATGATGACTTCCAGTCGCCATTGGCTGGTGTAGAGAGTGAGGTTTTCGCCATCGGGTCGGTCATCTACAATATTCATTTTGGGTACAAGCCGTGGTCTGGTATGGATGAAGATGAGATGGACGAGAAGTGGTGCGGGCATGAGTATCTCCATACTGGTGACGATGAGACAAGGGTGATCATCCAGAAGTGTTGGAATGGCGAGTTTGAGTCTGTGGCTGCACTTGATGCTGTTGTCAAGACTTTGCATACTGATGGTGTGGTGGCTTTAAGACCAAGTTTGCTCAAGGCTTGATGTTTATGCACTGAGTGTCGCCTGTTTTTGGCAAGAGATAGATTGATCGTGACTTGTGGGTGGAAGGCGAGACTGAAAGCTTGGGGTTGGCATGGTTTACACGTGTTACTATCCGCTGCAACGAGCTTGGAACAGAGTGTCGTTTCATGGTCGCCTGTACGATGATACGATAGGTCTTGTCGGTTCTAGTCCTTTCTTGAGGTATCGGACTCTGTCCACTGATGTTTCAATGCATTTGCAGTCCTGTCGGTGCGATATCCGAAGTGTTTGTTGATGTAATCCAAGAACCGAAGAGCATGGTCACGCTGTAATGGATCGATGATGCGATGCCCNNGCCTTACTCGTGTTAGCATCTTGCTTGATCAACTTGACTTACTTGATATCGTTCTCTTACATGTGATTAAAATATGGCAAGCGGGAAAGTTTGCATCATCCAACCAGGCGTTTGATCGCGCGAGGCCGATGATAGAGCACATTGAGCTGATTGCTGCTTGATACCGATCGTCCATTAGCGCTTCAGGTATAGCTTGCTGAGGGTCGAATGATCTGTGCAAGTTGAGGTATACTTGACAAGTGTAATAGTACTGGAGAGCAATAACNNTTCACTGATAATCAGCTTTGCCATTCTTTCCAAATGATCATGGAAGACTCATACCTTGGGGCGCGCTGATCATGCTGATGATTGGAAACGGCTGGTCTGCCTCCACGTTCGTGTTTTGTTGAAAGAGAGGCTGAAAGTCCTTATCGTTGTACCAATCTCTGACAGCATCTTCGAGACCTGACCAATTGGTAGAAAGACTGTCCCGGTCTGTCGAGTACAAATGGCGCAAGATCTTTGCCCATATCAGAATAACTGCATAAGCAGTCGCGCTGGGATCTGCACGTCTCCGGAAAACAATCGAGCGGTCGAAATCTTCCAATCTGAATTTGGGAGCCTGTTTGCTCATCATCGCAATGAATAGGTCATGTCGAAGAGCCACCCAAGCAGCCGCCTCTGCCAGCCCGCCTGATTGTAAGAAGTCAGGTATAGCACTCAACAGGCCGGCAAGCCCATCAAGATGAAGAGAGCTAAAGGTTTCATGACTGAACAGTTCGTACAGTCTCAAACAGACAATGGTCACAAGCAAATTCTCATCGCGGCAATGTTCTCGCTGTGAGAGGGCTGGTATGACCAGCTCCAAGCATTTACTAAGATAGTCTGAAGCTTCGTGCCAATCTTTGTCTCCGAGAGCTTGGTGTCGAGATGACGTCGCTAGTATCGCGAAAAGCAGCATCGGAGACTTGGTTGCCCTCGAAGGCACTTCCTGAGCAAATTGTGGAACATCTTGCAGTACGTCAANGCTGATTACACTATTAGTGTACCATTCTCGATTCAGTATTGTTACGCGCCTTACCCATGGCGATACAACGCGGATGAAGTATTGTGTGAGAAGTACTTCGCGATGTGTAAGGGATGCGGCTGGATGAGTTGAGAGATCCGTAGAGCGAGGACTGTATGAAGGAGCATCGAGATCAAGGTTGTCGGGCGAATGTGTATACGAGCAAGCGGTAGAAGGCTTGCTGGCCAGGGTTAAAGGTGGTGATAAGATGTGGGATAGCGATGTCCGCGTATCAGGGATGGTTTTCTGCTCATGTCGGTTGTGTGTTTTCGACGATCCATCATCCTGGCGAGTGAGAAGCTCTATAGCAGTATGTAGAGGTTGTGCCCAAGCAGTGTCTGGCGTCGTGTTGATTAACTTTTCAAGATCAGATTGAGCATTGTTTTTATCATCCTTTTGAGATCTTGAACGTCGGTCGCTGGTGCATATGTCGCCTTCTGTACCAATGACTGATCCATCATGCGTCATTCCGACATTGTTCTCCAGGCCATCGCCGTTTTCAAAGACGAATGTCAGCTTCATGCTCGTTGAAACCCATGGCTGCGAAGGGCGATACAGAAAATTGGTACGCTGGCCAGCTATAGTAGCGTTTTTGCATAGTTTGATCTTCCATACCGATTCAAACATGCAACGCAACCTACCCAGCTGTTGGCATCGCATACACACATCTTGATCTTGGCTGATAGTACACTTGGTATGTCGGGCTCGACAAGACAAACATCTGGTTTTAGTCATTTGTGCATCTTGCAACGATTGTGGCGATGCGAGGTGTGGACAAATTCGAGTCGTTTGAGCGATAAGGGAGGGAGGTGACTCTACCGATGACTATGGACGCCTGTACCTTGACCGCCAAGAAAGACTTCGGGAATTTCCCTTCTTCCATCTCTCGACCTCCGCTTTCTGCTTCTTCTATTTCTTACAGCGACAGCGAGGCGAGAGAACATGCTTGTGATCTAATCGCATTCGTGTCAAAGAAATTGTAATTGCTCAACTTATCCATCCCACCTCTCCAAGACGTTTCCGAGACATATTTCCACCACCGTTGGAAGGGATTCATACCGTTATGCCGCTGCAGCTATCATTGCCTATAACACTCGCATGAACGCTCACAGTGGCTAGCTGAGTCTCATGTCGGTAATCCAGATCTGGTCTTGGCCTTCCACTCCTGAGACCAGAGTCAAACAACCATAGGTCATGTACAGCTGGAGACGCTGGATTGTATGGCAAAGCACGTGGATTTACTGCTGAGAGCCGTTGATGTACACTGGAACCTGTTCAGGAACGAGTACTCTAGGCTGCTTTCTTTCCCAACCGGCCTGCATGTCTCATTAGATGCATGGCATGGATGTGATGCCGCCTCTCGATTTGCGAAATCTCGTCCGAAGTTATAAACGGTAGGTGCAGCGCAGAGTTCTCAAGGTTGCTCCTTCCTCTCCATTGCCGCCAAGATGTATACCCACCTATTCATACCCTTCCTCCTTTGTTTCGTTGTACAACTAGTGAGCGTGTCGTCCTCGCCACTTGTCGAACGTGCAGCTGCAACATGTTCTGCAAACGATATCGCAACAGTGAAGCGCACAACTCCGGACTCTGTGTATTTTTGTCAATGGTGGCAGCAAGCGTAAGGACCACTACCATGGCCGTCTCAGACTCAGGAAACTAACAGCCTGCGAAGTCCGCGCACTGCATCACCCTTTATGGAGTTTAGCCCCACTCAGGTCGATGCTCTCTGCAAGTGCATCTCGCCAGTCGCGACGGGAGCCAAATGCAAGCGCAGGCGCAAGCGATCGAACATTGAAGAGAGAGCCGATGCCGCCACAACTCGATCTGCATCCTCTTGTAGTGCTGAAGTCAGCGCACAGTTCACACAGCCGTGGCGCTTCTGTACTTTCTTCACTTCCTAGTAAGGTTACCCTGTCGGAACAACGAAGCTGTACTGACTAGTTATGCAGCCCGAGAACTACATCGCCATTCCAGAAGTACACTGCATCCGCTTTGACTAGTTTGTGCAAATGCGCGATTACCAAGCCTGCCTCTACAACTAGCAAAAAGTCACTACAACTAGCAAGAAAGTCACCACAACTTCTATGAAGGTCACTACAACTAGCAAGAAAGTCACTACAACTTCCAAGAAAGTCTCTACCACATCAAAGAAGGTTACCACGACTGCTCAGAAGATCGTTACGACCAGCAAAAAGGTTTCGACAACAACCAAACCTACGACAGTCCAGAAGCCTGTAACAACTAGCACTAAGAAGCCGACTACAACAAGCACTAAGAAGCCGACTACAACAAGCACCAAGAAGCCCACGACGACAAGCACCAAGAAGCCCACGACGACAAGCACCAAGAAGCCAACCACGACGAGCACCAAGAAGCCCACCACGACGAGCATCAAAAAGGTTACATCGACAAGCACGAAAAAGCCTACTGTCACAAGCACGAAGAAACCTGCGACTACGTCGAACAAGCCATCGTCATCAAGTACTAAGAAGCCTACCACAACGAGCTCGAAAAGATAAGGTGTTGATCGTTCGCGCCTTTCTCCAAGGTTATGTGTCGCGAGGAACTTGCAACTTTGACAGGATGATTCTGTTTCTGGGATTTTTATATTAGACAACGTCAAGAAGCATCGGGCATTGATGCTGGCTGATGCAAATATTATGCACAAAGCAACCACTATCCATCATGACACGGCTGCCATTCTCAAATTGTCTGGCTTAGCAAAGACGGCCGCCAGCTTGACACTTTATAACGTCTTAGAAGCACATGCTTACTGCACAGTAGGCCTTCTGGGACATGCAAATCAGTAAACATCAACTCTAAAGCCATGTATCATATCACTCACAGCTTACCTAGATCTGCGTATGGGGGCTGTTCCAGACGTGGAGGCCAGCGATACTTGTGTTGTAAAAAGCACGATCGCGTTCCGGTTAGAGCAGTATCCAGAGAGCCAATGAGACAAGCATTCTCAATGGACCTCGCTCTATCTTTGAAGAATTCTATGCAATTTTACAGCTCACTCATTACCCTGAGCTGTTGCAGAGGAACGGTGAGGTGATGCCGACACATACGACAAGGGTGGGAAGCGACAAGATCAGCTATTTTCTTGTCGGTCTTTATGTCGGCAGTAAGACCGGTCGAGACGGAGTCTACCAACGCACCGAGAAACATGAGAGGGTTAAGAGAACCGGAAAGATCCCTAAAGGCGAAGCCCATTCCGCTCACCTCAACGAAGCAGTAAAAAGGGCTCTACCTAGCACATACGCCCGTTGGTTCTGGCAAAGAAGGGGGAGGTCCCAGTGTCAACTATCATTGCTCTGTCGCTTTGTTTACTGATCTATGCAACACGATGTACACCGACGAGCCGTCAGCCGGCCGGTTCCGAAACGCAAAGGTCATTGAAGCGTATAAGGAGGCGGTTCCTGTCGATATGCAGAACGTGCCATGGAAGCCTTTGAACCGCGCACACCAGCTTCGCCAGGGGCACGGTCCACTCGCATGCCATGATCAATTGCTGGCTGCCACAATGAATCTGCCGCAAGACGATTCTCGCAGGGTTTAACGACAACAAACTTGTATACGTGTGTATCGAATCATGTCATCGACGCCTGAAAAAACGCCTTAAGCGCCACACATCATGAACATGGGATCAGCAACTTCATCTCAACCTAAAAAGGCACGTGGCGTCGATGAATCCATGGTGATATAAGGAGACGCTTAAGTGTTGGTGCACTGCTGGCCACCCTCTTTACAGTCGGTGTGAGGCTGCCAAAGGTGAAGAAAATGTATCCTCCTGTAAGCATTGCTACTATAACTGGGATCACTTCAAAAAGAGGTATGTAGTTAATGAACCAGATGTTATCAAGCGCAAGCATTGAGCTAGGTTCGCGAGTCATCTAAAGAGCGGCGCCAGAGTCAGCAACTTTGTCTGGGTCGACAAATAGTGCGATATCTGTAAGGGAGAGGTCCAGCGGAATCAGGATAAAACGAGATGAGTACTCAATGAGATGATGAAAGGATGACGGCTGACACATCAGCACAGTCAGCATATGCAGCGACCAGGCGGCACTTGCCTCGACCATCAGAAACACCCAAGCCCAAAAGACGCAGCAACCGCAAATGCCTAACTTCTTCCTTATAAGTCAAACGGAACAAAAAGAAAAGCCAAGCGATCTATCTGCATAAATCAGAACGAGATGCGGCCTCCATATCCCAATGCTTCATCATCTGATCCTGTCGTTGATAGGAGCTGCGCGAATGAGTCTTGCATTGGATCCCGATGGCACCGCGCTCGTGCAATCAATGAAGTTGGCTTGGTCTAGTTGAAAGATGCCGAGGACGCTAAGGTGAGCCATTGCGGGCGCGAAAGCTGCATTCCACTTNNGCCTGTTTATGTTGTTAGACTTGAAAAGGCTTGGTTCGAAGGTGATAGTAAACGTACTCTGACTGTTGACGAAACTCTGGAATACCTGACCAACAGTTGAGTTGGGGTTAGACAAGTTGACGTCGGACTCAAAACTGTAGACGCCTCTCGGGTGGCTGTCTGTCTGAGAATAGTATGCCACATCCCACTGGCCTGGTGTAGAGTCTTGAGGTCCTGTGCCAAGGCAATTAGTCTACCATTTTGCTTCACGACAATGTTTGTACTGACCATTATAAGGAACACCGTATTGCTCCTGGGCAGTTGCCTTGGATGCAGTGTGCGCACCAATCAAAGCAGCAAGCTCAGGCTGACTGATGCCTTTGTCTTCAAAGAGCTGTATCAGTACTTGCTGAGCAGAGCCTGGTCCGAAGGCTTTCGGCAAGAGGTTATCAGGTGCTGGGGTACTGGTATCCTTGCGACCGACGANCCTATAGATTGCCTTAGTCGAGTTCATATTTGGAAGGCTTGTTCGGCATACAGTCTGGATTCTCGGTCCTCCAGGACAGCTAACAACTGCCACACTGGCAGCGAACTGGACCAGGTCCGCAGCACCGACCCGAGGCTTGTACTGGTCGTATTTGCCATGCAGAAAGCTGTAATACTGTTGAAGGCCAGCATTCTCGTCTCTTGAGATTTCTACAGAGCTCAAGAGAAGAGATCCATCGGCACCACCAGTCGCGGGGGCATACGCTGGTGTCTTTGAGGAGTATGATCCTGNCAGAAGAAGTCAGTGTGTGTTGCTTTTGTTGGGCATCTGGATGCACATACCAGCGTCATGGAAAGCAAAGCGGATGGCACCTCTTGCAAGGTCGGTACAACCATTGGGACCGATGAAGGACTGCGAAAGATCTGAAGCGATGGTCGACCAGATGGCAGGACACTTGCCAGANNAAGCTTCTGCGAGAGCTGTGAGTGCCAACAGAGCGATAGCCTTGCTAAACATGTTGTTCCTCTTTAGTGAGACGCAAGCAGAACGATGGTGAAGTTTGAGATCTAGAACGATAGTGCCAGATGAGCGTGTAGTTTAACCTAAAGAGAGAGTGCTGGAATTTGAGTTGTCGGTCGAATACTGCGTACGCTTAACACAAGGGCGGTCTTGCTTTATATACATACCGCTATCTAATACAGACCGCCTTCCGGTGAAGAAACTTATTTTCGTAACTATAAGCCTGAGTGGACGACCAAGCACTATGAAAGGGCCACGTGAATGGTCGCCAAGCATCGTGCTGGCAAGACGAAAGGTAGCGGCATAAATTTAGAAGGCCACGTTCGAACTGGTGTCACAGAGCTTGAGATCTAAATGCATCTTCGGGCTATATCTTAACCATTGTGTGGTCAGACTTTCGAGCGGTCTCAGTCAGTCATCACCGACAAACTTGCGTTTGTACTCTGCATCCCAGTAATCGCTCCATCGGACTTTTTTTGACTTTTCCATCCCTTGAGATTTGTTGGTTGTCGGCTTGTAGTGCTGACTATGTGTGTAGCCAAAGCGGCATTCGGCACGCTTTTATGCCGGGGACCGCATTCTCATGGAAGACCAAGTTCTGGTTCGGACGTTGCTGCGGTTGAGACTTTTTCTGCCTGTGTGTCATCAGTAAAGAGATTCCATAGTTACCGTCTCAGGGTTCTTTGAGGCCACGCCCGGCAAGGCAACAGGATAACGACTGAATGCGGGTATCCGATTGGAATCATGAAGCTCTAACGTGCTTGTATGTCGTGGAATGCAAGCTGCAGCCATCCGTAAGCCCCCTGATAGATACCGGTGTAATCAGCCATTGATCGAGTAATATTGGTTCATGACCGTTCTGTTGTTTTCTGGATTCCTATAGTCTGAAGCCTTGTGCAGTCACGCGGTCTATCAACTTGTATGCAGAAAGCTGTATGTCCCTTCTAAAGAAGCCGGCTTGAGAGGTTCGAGTTGTGGACACTCTCATCGCCATTGCTACGCATTTAGCGAGAAACCTGTACAAGAACCGAGCGGTTCCGCATCTCATGCGAAGCCTAGGAAACATGGATACTGTTTTCTCAGAATCGTCACATGTCTATATGCCTTCAAAATCAGCCACACCAAATCGAGACTTACACAACATGTAGGCAACACTAAATTACCGACAACATCGTCTATTGCTCCGAAAGTTTCTTGTGCCTCGATTTTCCTGCACGCCGGCCGATGCCCCCGCTCCTGCAACATACAACAACAGGTGGTTCTCGACTATCGGACTCAGTGATCACAGACGAACAATGCCCTACAAGAGAAATTCAAACACCCTAGATAGAAAGCTCAGAAAGCTTATCATATCGTTGAACTCTGATTGGAAGCTGGCACCCAGCAGCGAGAGGGTAAGTGCGAGGTCCGAGATCCTGCGCATCCCGTACGTAAGAAGGATGCCCTGTCCTTGTTCTTGTTCCTGGACCTGTAAGCCAGATCTTACTATAGTTGATGATAGGAGGGCATTATTGCAGGCTACCAGGGACACACGAGGTATGGCAGCGCGTGCAAACTGGGAATTGAGAAAATCCTTGGAAGATCCGGAGGTAGAAACCACGTTGCGTGGTGATACCATACCGCAAGAATGAACACTCGATCGTGTGTAGAAAGGGAGAGTATTTAATTCTGAACCAGGCAATCCAATGTTCAGGACTTCGCAGGAACAGGCATCTGTCGTGACGAAGGTTGGCTGCAGGAGGTTGTCGTCGGCGTTCAGTCGGCGATCATCGGTCATGCTTCTAGTCACATCCATTAGCACCTTCGCAATCAGTCTTGGCGTGAACCAGGGAATCAAATCGATTTCTTGGATTCCTGATTGACTGACCGAAACGTGGAAGTTCTCGTCAAGGTACGGTCATACGGTAAAAGCCGCCTCTCAGTAGATTGCATATGCTTGTTCGAGCATCACAACGTAGCCGAGTACGATTGCCGAGCATACTCCTGTATGGTGGGTGAGCCTGACTGCGCGGTCCTTGATATGAGCCCATCTATTTCGATAGTGTGCTTTTGATTACATGATGATTGGGTGTGTCGCGTCGATGAAAGTGTTTACGCACACATCTCTCAGGTCGCCGCGACGAGTGGATCGATGTCTGAGCCACGAAGATGTCCGGCTCTCTTCAGATTAGAGATGATTGACGTGAGCTGTCGAGATGCCGACTTTCGGCGGACGTTGGCCTGATACCCACGAAGATTGATCTGCTACCACTCCGCGGGGAAGAAACAGCACGCAGGTGTGAGAGGCTACGTGGTTGCATGGCCCGGAAGTTTCCTCCGTCTCGAGGAGCTCTCTCCGACCAACTGACAGTCCTCGGCGAAAATGCGGTCCACCAAGGTGGTGCCTGCAAGCATCGCAAAGCGATTGCCGTGAAGATGCGCAGGTTTCGCAGCAACCGAGGAAAAACATCAACAAAGCGGACACACCGACTGAATCGCTCGCCCACCTTGTTGGAACACATGCACTTTTCGACATGGGACTCTTACAAGCCATCGCGAGATCTGAGGCTCTTCGATCGCTGCGAAGAGCTTAGCTTGGATCCACTCAGCCGATCAGCCCATTCGGGAATGCTCCGATTGGGCTACCGAGGAGCCTCCATCCACTCCTCCACCGGTTCATGAGCTGTAGAATCGTCATGATATTGCACAAATGCGCGCCAATGTTTCTCCTCACCTGTCCTGAAGCGCGTTTGACGTGTGGATGACACGGGTTACTCTAGTTCTCCTTGGAAAGAAGCAGCCGACGACAAAATGTCAACGTCACGTTCGCTCCAGAGGAGGGGGTGAGCTTGAGCTACCAGTTTAAGTGACTACTCCCTGCATCCCTAGACATTGCTTTCGAAATGGACATTCCTTCCTCTCTCACCTCGAAACTCTCAATCATGTCTTCCAACAGCAATCAGATGAATCCTCTTCAGCACCCGCTGGAAGCAATTGCTTCTGGCATTCAGGGAGCTACCTCCGGCGAGGCTCGTGCNCCCAGACTCGCTCACAACATGTCCACCAACGAAGGTCCCGCCGACATTATCGCTAAAGTCTCTGGTCACACACAGGGTGGAAAGCGTGAGGATGATGGACGTGAGTAACTGAGTCCCAATGGGTTCAGAAAGTGGTGGTTTCGTTGGTGGTTTCGTTGGTGGGAGGCTTCACCAAAACACTACCCACCACTTTTGCGATCCCATAGCACCATCACCTCTCCCTAGAACTCTGCTGACCCCCTTTTCCAANNAGCTTATTTCACGAACAACGAAGGAATTCCTTTGCCCGATCCTGCACACAGCAAGAACATTGGCGGTATTCCTCTTGTCAGCGATGTCCACCTTTTGCAAAAACAGCAACACTTCAACCGCTCCAAGAACCTTGANGAGTGAGTCGAGCCTACAACCAGCAGAAGGTAGTGTCTGACATGAACAGGAATGGTGCATCCCTGCGGTAGTGGTGCCTTTGGTCACTTCGAGGTGACCAAGGATGTTTCGGACTTGACCAAAGCCGACTTCTTGTCCACCGTTGGCGAGAAGACCCCCGTCTTTGTCCGTTTCTCTACCGTCACACTCGGCCGTGAGTTCCCTGACGAGGCTCGTAANCCCCGTGGTTTCGCCATCAAGTTCTATACCAAGGAGGGCAACTACGACATTGTTGGCCTAAACTTCCCCGTCTTCTTCTGCCGCGATCCTATCCAAGGCCCCGATGTCATCCGCTCTCAAGCCCGCAACCCTCGCAACTTCCTGCTCGACTACGATGCCACCTTCGATCTACTCGGCAACACCCCTGAGTCGATTCACGCTGGTGTCATGTTCTTCAGTGACCACGGCACACCTCAGGGCTGGACCAACAACCACGGTTACGGCTGCCACACCTTCAAGTGGGTCAACAAGCAAGGCAAATTTGTCTACATCAAGTACCACTTCCTCGCCAAGCACGGACAGAAGCAGTTCACCCAGCCCGAGGCTATCCGCATCTCGGGTGAGAACCCTGACTACTCCAAGCAAGAGTTGTGGGAGGCCATGGAGCGTGGCGAAGAGAAGGAATGGACCGCTCATGTTCAGATCATGCAACCCGAGGATGCCGACCCTGCAAAGCTGGGCTTCGATCCCTTTGATGTCACCAAGGTCTGGCCTCGTGATAAGTTCCCCATGCAAGAGTACGGCCGTCTGGTCCTCAACAAGAACCCCGAGAACTACCACCGCGATGTTGAGCAGGCTGCCTTCTCGCCCGGCTCCATGGTGCCCGGTATCGAGGACTCGCCCGACCCGTTGTTGCAATTCCGCATGTTCTTCTACCGCGATGCCCAGTACCACCGTATTGGCATAAACTTGCACCAAGTTCCCACCAACTGTCCGTTCATGGCACGTTCGGTGTCGTCCATCAACTTCGATGGTGCGATGCGTGTAGACGCCAATCACGCTGGCAACAAGCAGTACAACCCCAACAGCTTCGCCCACAAGTTCCGTCCCGACGTCGCCGAGACAGCATACACGGTCTCGGACAACGTTGTGAGCCGCAAGAGTCACTACTACCACGAGTGCAAGGTCAGCGAGTACGACCAGGTCCGCGAGTTGTACAGGCGTGTCATGGATGACGGTGCTCGTGCCAACCTCCACTCGAACACCGCTAAGATGATGAGCCACGTCAACTACCCCATTATCCAGAAGAAGTTCCTCGCCCAGATCTACAATGTCGCTCCCGAGTACGCTCGCGCTGTGTACGATATGACTTCCTACAAGAACGAGAAGTTCGATTTCTCCGAGGTCGAGAAGCTCAGCAAGGACGCTCACATGTGGTACAAGGAGCCCACTCTCAGACCTGATGAGGACAACAGACTTGTCGGATTCGCTCCTGCCAACCCCTTCTACCATTGAGCGGGGTACTTGTCTGTCATGGATTTTTTATGTTGCTACGACCCTGAGCTCTATTCCCTTTCCTATAGTTTACGATACCATAATCAATTGAGCCTTTCAACCTGTAATATGTGCCTCAGAACTTTCTCAACATTTTTTGACAATTCTTCTCAGTAGTTGAAACAATGTGGCTGTCGCAACAGGTACGTAAGACAATACAGTGAGCGTCGGTTTTGATTTCTGGTATACCACGGGGATATCGGAATTAATAATCGGAGATGATGAGTAAAGCTCATATTTTCACAAGCAAACAATAACCATACAAAGGACAAGCATGCAGGATTGCCTTCAGGGGCCAGTAATTAGCAACTCCGAGATTCTGGAGTGGAAAGGGCGAGAACTTGGATTGTGGTTGATGAGAAATGGATGATTGTTCAGCAGCGCTGACATAATCCAAGATCGCGTCATCTCCATGTCCCTGCTGTCTTTACGATCAGCGTGCCACTCCAAAGCAAGGCCTCTGTATATAAATGAATTGCCCCTCCCAAGCCATAAGCATCAAAAAGCCCTTTTAACATCATAACTCTACATACCCATGAGCTTGTCCCGAATCCCACGCACAACCAAAAGCCTACGCCCGATTCTGTCACCTATCACACGTACCACTACTACCAGACCTCAAAGCACAATGACTACCGCCGCCTTCAAATACATCGACCCTACATCCTTTGACCCGACCGCGACCGAAGCCTTCAAGAAGCCCTGGGGCAAAGTCGACGGTCCTGGGTACTCGTTCAGATTGATTGACCACCAGCGTCAAGTCGAGAACCTACGCGGACAAGAAGCCAACTTCAACACCGACACATCTGGATTCGCCGTCTACAGGTCGCCGTCAAAAGAGAAGGATTTTACAGATGATAATGCCGTTCGCGAAGGCTACTACAAAGAGGTGGAGCAAGCTCTTCGAGAGAAGATTCCTGGCATCAAGAAGGTCGTCATCTTCGACCACACCATCCGCCGTCGGGAGAAGGCCTCCCCTCGTCAGCCTGTTCAGCAGGTTCACGTAGATCAGACACCACGAGCCGCAGAGATTCGAGTGCGTCGTCACTTGCCTGCCGACGAGGCAGAGGAGCTGCTCAAAGGTCGCTACCAGATTATCAACGTCTGGCGACCAATCCGACACAACGCTAGTGACTTCCCTCTGGCTGTCATTGACTGGCGCACCACGACCGAGAAGGACTTTGTCAAGGTCGACCTGCTGTATCCAAAACGTACCGACGACGATGCCGACGACAGAGGAAAAGAGGTCCTGCCCGACCCCACATCAATGACTTCTACTCAAGGATACGAGCCAAAGGGCGAGACCTATGCCGTCGCTCCTTCCGACAAGCACAAGTTCTACTACATGAAGGACATGACGCCCGACGAGCTCATGCTTCTCAAGTGCTTCGATAGCAGAAGTGAGTGGTCCCCCAACAGCACTCCCGGTCTAGCTCACGGCACGCCCCATACTGCATTTGTCGACCCTCAGACTCCGGCAGATGCTCCCGGCAGACAGAGCATCGAGGTCAGATGTCTTGTCTTTTACGACTGAATACGGCAGGCACCTCAGCCCTAGAACAGATATGAGCCCTGGCATCCATAAGAGTCCGGCATTTGGAGTATGAAGCAACATGAGGTTATGATTATGCTTATTAAATTGCTTCCATTGCATATGTGCCGTGCGCTTTTAGCTTCAAATCAATATTTAATTCGAACTTGTCTCACCCTACACCCCAGATTGATGTGAGAGATGCCTGCTTTTGTTGCCTGTTCGACAAACCGTGGTCCAGTAACGCACTTCACGGCAACTTGTGGTTCATTGAGCACGGGGAGCTACAACGCATAACAGGATAATTGTGTTAAGGTTGTAGACCTCACAGATTGTGGTGACCAAAGATGGCAGGCTCGATGCGCAAACGTCCTGAAGCGCAACCTTTGTATCGAAGCTCGAAGTCTGGCAACTCCAACCTCAGTTCTGGCCAGTGACAAGCGAAATGTCGCTCCGACAGTTTGAACATTGGCTATCGTTGACGAGTCCACGAGACGTGAAAAGAATCGGCCGAGACCTTTGCCATGCTCCGGCCACGTTCCTCGCTTCTCCAACAGTTCGACTTCCCTCTCGACCCTCGCATGTTTCGTTTGGCTCGCATCAAGACTCCGTCTAAGGCTTGCCATCCGCAGCGCCACTGGCGCGATGGGTCCAGTTCATCAGTAGAAAGGCGTTACACAGAATATTGCATTGCCCCTTGGCTGGGAAACGTGTCGGCGAGACGTTTCCCGTCAAACGCACGCCTCTTTGAGAAAGAGCCGCCCCCGAACGTCACTGCAGTCAGTTGCAATAACTTCAACGAAAACCTCTCCCCGTCGCTTTCTGTTCGAGTTTCGCAGAGTATCAACTGCCCTTGAGATGTCTGCAAAGTTTTATTGCTGTCAGGCAATGAGTAGCGTTGGTAAGTTAGGTTTGTCTCTCTCGGTGTCCCGAGAGGAGGCTTCAATATCCCGACCGTTCAACATTCAAATGCACCCAACGGCTTCGACAAACTGACTGTTGGCGTGGCAGAGAGAAAACTCTGACTGACTCGGTAGCCGAATTACATGCTGGAGCAGCAACCACTGATTGCTCAGCGTAAATCCTGCCCGATGCGATCACCATTTGTGAGAAGAACCACATCGCGGGGACGAAGGCTCTTGACGGCGTAGCATACAAAGGCACTAGGTATCAACAAAGCAGTCAGCTATCACGGCGGCTATATTCTCAACCCAATCAGTCCCAAAATCGATTGAGCAAGCGCTCAATTGATGGCATGGCTAGATCCCTTCCCACGTGGGTTCGCAAAACTCTGGACTCTACGTGTTTCTCTATTCTGCCAGGTGTTGGTCTGGATAGTCCCAAACCATCGTCATACTGTGTTCAGCCTTATCACCGTACTAGCATCCTACCCGTCTGCACTTTACATCTGGAGTCACGCTTGTTCCAGGATGACCAACGGTTTCTCAACGTCAACGCCCTACTTGTCTCTCACGCTGCCCAGAACCAATTACCGATGCATAGGCCTGCCCTGATACTCACGCGGTCGCGTGAGGTTGGAGTAGGGATCTCGCCTATCCGCGGGTTCGCCATCTCTAATCCATCACGTTCCAGTCCTCAACGCTGGCCGCTTCAGGACAACGGCCCACGGTCCCGCTAGCCGTGGTAAGTGGCTTTCTAGACGTGGCAATCCTCACCTGCCCGAGCATCAGACTTATACACTGTCGAGAGCCAGGTTCAATATCCCCTGAATCCCACCGGACATGATCGGCCTTTGCTCTTCCTGACTTCGACTCCTGTTCATAACAGTCATGACCCAATGACTGACCAGATCGATACTAATCACAACTATCCGCTTTACTCGGAGGACCATCCTAAGTATGGCAGCACAAATAATGTGGTACCCACGATCCAGGTGCCGGCGGAGGCACACACCAAGGACGTACCTCAAGGACTAGGCTTGGACAACTTTGCATCTGATATCGCAGCGAAATATCATGCCCAGCGTAATGTACGCAAAACTTCAAGGGCTGGACCCGACTTTAGAGAGTTCCTCAATCGACGGAATCAGCGACAAGACTCACAGTCCACGCTGGTCGACTTTGCGCGCCGCCCATCGAGGACGAACGAGGGAAAGTTCCGACTTCAAGTTGTTCCTGATGACTCGTTCCCACCGAGTCTCCTCAGGCCCGGATCTTCACGCCGTGGCTCAGCTAATTCACGACCCGAAAGTTCGGGTGGGCCGACCAGTCCTCCAACAAGTCGTCCAACAACACCCTTGAAAGCAAGTCCCGACATCGGATCCCGCTCACCACATCTTGGTGGAGGTGAATGGGGTGCTTTCAACTGGAGGCCAGATATCAATCCCATCCAACCTGTCCACGCGAAACTNAAAAGATTGGACTCCGATGCAACGCTTGTCGATACTGGATCATGGAGACGAGGATCCCGTCAAGGCTCTCGTTCAGGGTCTCTCACCGAGGACCCATTCAGAAGAAAATCCGACTTGTCTACGCTGGACGCACTTCCAATTATTAGACTACGACAACCGTCGTTCTTTCAGCCTATAATAGAGATCGATCCCTTGGTCGGAAAGGACCGCGGGCTATTGATTGGAGGCGTGAAGCCTTTGGATCCCGATCTTGACCAAGAGAAGGATAACAAGACCACAGAACCAGAGCTGGCAGTCGTGGAACCTCAGACAATCACGGAAGAGCTTAAAAGCACGCACCAAGAGCAAGTCGTTCCCACAACACAAGAAACCTATATCACTACCACATATCCGGAAATTGCAGACCCGGTTGACCCTTGCCGCAACTTGACTCGCAATGATCTGATCAAACAGCGCGTTGTATTCAGCAGTAACATCTTTGCTATCAACGTTGCTATGCTGGTCTTTGCGCTCTGGGCCCCTAGAGCAATCTCTGGACGCTGGGTGCTGTCGTTCATTGTCTTCATCAAGTCCAAGGATTGTATTTCCTCGCTCATCAGCTGCGGCTATTTAATCTACAAGGCAATCAAGGAATACTTCAAGCCACCACCCCCAGTTGAATCCAAATGGATTCTCTCGTTGATTCCCGCATACTCCGAGTCGGAAGAGATGATCAAGAATTGTGTCTTTTCGTTGCGAGACAACGATGCGCAACCGCACAAGCAAGTCATGTGCATCGTTCTGGATGGTAAACCAAGAGATGTCAAGCAGTATATGCGCATCACGACCACTTTCAAGCGTCAATATGTCACATCGAGGTTCAAGCGCAATCACCTAGTCATTACGGCCGGGTTCATGGAAGATGTGCCGGTCATTGTCTTTGAAAAGGTCAAGAATGCAGGCAAGAAAGACTCGCTCATTCTGTGCCATGACCTGTTCAATGTGATGCGTGAAGATGCGCCTTTGTACACGCGGCTGCTACGCAAGGAAATTGAGAAGAACGTGCTGCCCACGCTTGTCGGCGAGGACTTTCCTGGCTTCGATATGGTCTTCTGCACGGACGCCGACTCGGTCATTCACAAAGGTGCTGTAGCAGGTCTGGCGAATGCTCTCGTCCGCGATCCAAAGGCCATTGCTTCCTGCGGCTTGGTGTTGGTTGAGCTCGAAGCTGGTGCAGAATGGTCATACTGGAATCTGTACCAGCAATTTCAGGTATGTTGAAGCAGCTTGCAGACTGATGAATTGCGCTGACCTTGCAATAGNTACAATTTTGGACAGTTTGTTCGCCGACAAGCTGAGAGTGTCTGGGGAAAAGTTACATGTCTTCCTGGATGCATCACCATGGTTGCAGTGCGACCTGAGATGGCAGGAGCCATGACCAAATACGCAGCTCCCATTACTGCGTACCCGGTTCTCTTGCATCAAGTCCAGTATCTGGGAACCGACCGAAGACTGACATACTCGATGCTTTCTCAAAGCAAAGACTTGCACACAGTGTTTGTGCCGGACGCCGTCAGTGAGACTGTGGCACCGCAATCGCTCAAGCACTACCTCAGTCAGCGAAGACGTTGGGGCAGCAATGCATATTTCAACAACTACTTTTACTTTGCCGGTGAAAACATGATCTGGATCACGCGATTGTGGGCGTGCATCGAAGTGACCAGACTCAGCCTGGTATACTACCGTGTGGCCAACACGGCTCTTTTCATCTACGGGCTTATCAACAGCTTCAATCTCATGTCCATCATCCCACTATTGGTGGTCTCGCAACTACCGACAATCTGGTTCCTGGTCAATACAGCGACCAACAAACAGCTTCGTCAACGAGCACACAAGATCTTGTTGGGCTTGTGCATCAACAAGGTCATGGCGCCCATCATGTCTGTTGCCGTCTTTACAATCGTCGTCAAGAACCTGGGCTCGCAAGCATGGGGACTGACTCATGGTGCGACGACTGCAGCACCAGCTGCAGTGGCAGGAGCGGCCGAGACAGAGAAAGCTCGTACAGAAGAAGGACTTCTCGACCAATTCAAACCTCGCAACGGCTCGATCATGTCCATCATCACCGAGGAATCGACCATTGGGACAAACACACCCAAGGCCGACTCGATAGCCGGCCAAGACAGAGAGGGCGAATCGGAGGTCAACGAGATTGATGAGGTTGACCCCAGAGAGAAGATTGTAGGCCATCTCGCAGCAGGACTGTGAAGAGGGCGGAGTTCGAGGCACATTTTCCTTTGTCACCGAGTACGAAGTTACGACCTTTCTATGAGTTACGAATACAATAACACCACATTAGCATCACTATCAAAAGTTTGTCAATCAATGGTTTCAATTGAAAATGGCTTGGCTCAGCTGTGGGAATTGGACTTCTCTCGACCAAGTGGTGAAGCGAGGACAGGGTTGACGAGTAAGAGACAAGACGGGCTGATCTGGTCGGGTCAAGGATAGCTGAGGCAATAGTGGGATGATGTTTCCAACGGTTGTGTTCATAGCAACGGCGTGTTGAGAGGCGCGGCAGAGGCAATCAGGGCAGACGAGGACGGCCAGGGCGAACGTCTCTTGTCATCGACGAGGAAACACAACGGGCTCGTGTGTAGAGTTCGTAGGAGATGGTGCGATGTATATAACTAGTATGGCACGGCCGTAGAGGATCCGAGTGAAAACAGAAAAGATGTTCGCGGCATCAGTGCTTGCAGCGACGTGCATCAGCTTGGCGGTCGCTCTTCCCTCAACGACGACAACATACAACAGCAACCTGAGATACTACTTCCCTCGCCAGACACTGCCGCAATATCCTTCTTCATTCGACCCGCTTGGAAACAGCGCGCTCGCCGTCTACTATGGCAAGGCGCAGTACAACTCGAACCCGTCGCTGTGGGACCTCTGCAGCGTCGACGACATTGACATGATTGTCATGGGCTTCATCCGCAGCTTCAATGGCTACAACAAGCAGCCCACCTTCGACATCTCGTCGTGCAAGACGCCCTACCAGCCCGCCGCCAACTTCACCGGCATCACCTGCCCGACGCTGGCCGCCAACATTACGCGCTGCCAGAGCTTGGGCAAGAAGGTCATGATCAGCTTGGGCGGCTCCAGCAGTGACCTGGACCTCAGCAATGCCACCGACGCCCAGCAGGCTGCCACCACCCTCTGGAACGTCTTTGGCGCCGGCACCGATACGCCCGACATCAGGCCTTTTGGCAATGTCACTCTTGACGGCTTCGACTTTGGTAGCCCTCTCGCTCTCTCGGACCCATCGCCCTACTGACACCATCACNNAGACTACGAAAACTACGCCGACACGTCCTACATCGATGTCCTGTCAGGCACTCTGCAGTCGCTCTTCAAGACGGCCAGTCCCGACCGCTACATCAGCGCCTCTCCCCTCTGCGTAAATAACACCGTCATGCCCTATGACTTTTACAAGAATGCAAACTTCATCTGGCCGCGTTTCTACAACGCAAACGCCTGCAAGGCGGGCGGCAAGGGCTACAACGATTCCGTCACCGCCTGGTCCGACTTCCTCGTCGGTGTCGACTCCAACATCGGGCCCCACTACCCTCGCTTTTACATCGGTGCCCTCGGCTTTGAAAACTACAACAACGGCGGTGGCTTTGTCGCTCCCGATGACTTTGGCGATCTGGTCGAGTACACCAAGGATCGCGTTGGCAGTGAGAGATTTGGCGGCGTCAGTGTCTGGGAGGGCACTGACGCCTTGCAGTCGCAAAATGCGGATGGCGTGAATATTCTGAATATTACCAAGGAAGCCCTGCTCGAGCCTTTTACCAGCGATGCCTGTGGTACGTCACTCGACACCCGCCCTCTTAAGTTAATAAAGTTGATTCGTGTTAGATTAAATCGTTGGACTGGGAGAAGCAACAAGAGAGCTGTTTTGCAAAGAGGGCGGAGGTGGCAGGGTATGGGTATTACATATGCATAAAACACGATTATGACGGACGAACTGGGAAAACATTGCTATGACGGATCGCATATCGGCATCCTAGCTATACAAAGTTTGACATGATGAAATCTAGGACAAGATGGGAGGGTGCTTTGATACGTTTCGATCTTGACGCTTGTCTCATGATCCAAAAGCGATAGATAGACAAACCAACCCAACAACCATTTCAAACATTGACCCGCTCTGCTCTTTCCCTTCCATCTCTCAGGCTTTGTCGCACTTTCCTTCCATACACCCCTTCTCACTTTTCTTTCCCATCAACCCTTGCTCACAATCAACATCGCTATCCTCTACCATCTCAACGGTACCCTGCTCCTGACCCTCCAACATCTTATCCATGACCTTTTCCTCCTTTCTCGCTCTCCTTTTCTCCAAAACAGCGTTGCAATATCCCACACAACCCCAGAGCGAAGTCGTGACCCAACACACCATGACGAGCAAATCACACGCCACTGCCACTCTCATACTCGTCTGGTTTCCTCTTTCTCTCTGGCGTCTTCATCATCATCATGACCCAGATAGATCATGCCAAACACACCAGATAGAGCTGCCCACAAGACTGCCACACAGAAATCCCAGAGAAAGAGGTTTCGGGTGGGAGTTCTTGGGACGGAGTAGATGATGAGCGTGAGGAGAGTCAGAGTGCAGCAGACCAAGGCGTAGATGTAGGCAGAGGCGACTTCAGGAGATACGGAGAGAGAAGAGGCGTAGAGGGAGAGAGAAACTAGGGAGAGGAGGCATTGGGTGCTTCGGAGGGAGAAGTAAATGAGGGCGGAGTGTGTGAGGGCCATTGGTGTGGGTGCTGGCGGGGTTGTCTCTTCAGAGGTTTGTGTTCATGTCAATCTCCGGGCGGTACGAAGGTTGTGTAGATGGTGTCGTTGTTTTGCGTATCGAGCGTATAGTCTTCAAAGACCTCTGGGAAGTATACGGAGGTGGGATTTTCTGGCGAAACAAGGAGATTGCAGGAGGTTTTGCTGGAGATGAAGCAGGCATGTGCTCCTTCAACAGAAGTATTTAAACAGATGGATTTGCACGGCTGGTATTTTCCTGCTGGGTTCTAAAGATGGAAACATGATGTGGTGGTGGTTGAGGAGATGGGGTATACGGTACCATACGCAACTTTGTCCTTCAACGTATACGGGTACCATACGCATCTTTTTGTCTCCTTGAACCAATTCTTGAAAAGTGTCGATTACAAATTGCGCGTCTTTTCGCGTCTTTTCTTGTCCGAGTTTGAGGCGAGGAAGCATCGGTATTTGAAGATTGGCTTCTCGAATGTACTCTGACGAAAACTTGGACAATTCATGGAAAATCATATCTCATGTACAATATACTAATAAGCAACACTTAGAAGCCCATACGTCTGCGCAGTTCCTTTTGCATGACGCCTACAGTGCTTTGCATCCTCTGAGCTGCACTCTGATTCTCCGTCGCTCTTCGCACGAGGTAGTGCATGCATTCCCTTACACTACCCCAATTCATGCACTTGTACACCATGGGAGCTGCAGTGTTCCTTTCGGCTTGTGCTGCTTTTTTGTTGCCCATGGCTAGCAATTCGCAACTGATATCGTCGGCCATACCCAGCAGTTGACCAAACTTGATGGGAGGAGGTGTATCGCCTTTTTGCAAGAGACCTTGATACAGGGCGTATGCTTTGCGGATGGAGTCTGAGTTATGGCCTGCAAGAAACAGTTCCACGTTTGGAAAATCTTGCTTGGAAAAGCCAGGGAAGGACTTTGTGAGTAAGTCTGCGGCTATGCTGTCGTAGCATTCGTCTGTCTGAGTCTTGGTATCGTGAATCAAGGTCCGGGTTTCGCTTCCGATATACGCTCCTCTNNGAGATCAATTAGTATGATACACAAGCGATGGATGAGTCGTCTAGAGTTACCTGACTAGCTTGATCCCCAGCGTCCAGCCCTCATCGTGGGCTTGTCGCAACAACTTCTCAAGCGTGCCTCTAGCAGACTTGAGATAGGCTTGTAGTGTCAGTGACACGAGAGCTTCACCGTTTGTGTTAAAACGTCTCATCATGTCGACGGTCCAGCGGTCGATTGTGGATTGAAAGACTTGCTGCTCGGCATCAATCCACACTCGACTACCCTGTGCAGCGGCACGTTCGCAGATGGCGTACATGGCATCGAGAAGTTGCTGTGGTGGATCTCTGTCCTGTGCTAGTGCTTGTGCAACTCGAGGTCCTGCACCTGTAAATCTTGAACTCGTTAGTACAAGACATTAGTATCATCAGTGTCTTCAAACTTACTTTATGCCCACGTAGTCGCCCGGCTCGACCATATCCAACGTCCTTACGTTTCCATCTCGCCATATATCAATATCTTCGTCTTGAGTCAGTGGTTCTAGGTCATGCAGTTCTTCTACTGGCATCGCGGGTATCTCTCTCGAGTAGATAAGAATGACGCCTCTGAAGCCCATGTTCTTGAGGTAACTCAGAGTGCCCTTTATCTCGAGCTTGTTTGTGCCGGCACAGAAGTGATCGTATATCATTGGTTTGATCAGAGCACATAACAAGGTATTCTTGTCTGGATCCAGGATCGCTGATCGGGAGTTTGCTATCTTTGACAGGCATGCCACGCCATATTTGAACAGGAAAGGCGATGTAAATACCTTCCCAAGGACGATGCCCCGGACGAGATTCACGGTTGAGATGCGATGTAGTTGGGACGGCTGACGCTTTTGATCGTCCACGAAAGAGGCATTTGTATGTCTGGAAACTAGAGACGATTGGTGTCGTGAGGCCTGCCAAATAGCATGGATCTGACCCGGAAATCGAGNGGTATTCTTGGACAGCTTCAGACTGTGTCTAGTAACGTTCATGGTTTCTTGTGAGGGAGGAAAGAGTTCAAAACATCTGGGAGCAGTCAGTCGAGAAAGGGTTATCTTGATATCTGTATGAGATTGGCAAGCATCATCGGCTACAGACGGCTGCTATCGGTCAATACAGTGCTTATCAAGGAGTCTTCGTGATGTTTGGAGCAGGCGAAGGTGCGGGGTTTGGCCTATGCCGAAGCAGTAGCTACAGTTCATCGCGATCAACCTTAACAAGACTCAGGTTGGGTGATGGCTGAATATCAATCAGCAAACTGACAACATTCTACGACCACATGTCTTCGACTGTATTGCCAGAGGATATGCGAGAGGGCAAGGTCGGTTGTCTGTCGGTTTGATGGGCTCAATGTTCAGCAATTGTGTCTCCGTTCGAGATGGCAATAAAGGGATCAGCAAATGGTGACCTTAGTGAGACATTGAGGAGTGCAGCCGCGACGCATACGAATATCTCGAATACTGATAGAGATGGAAGTCGCTTCGCTGTCATGCTTACCGGGAGACTTGGTGGAGCCCGTGGTCGAATGCGGGGTTTATAGATGATGCCAACACTTCCATTTTGGTTGAGCTGCGCGACCTCGAATGCTGACAACCGACGAACCCATATTGTCTCTTGAATACAGAGATCGCGAAGGCTTTGACTACACCTCTCTACCAGAATAACACAGACATGGCAAGCATTGAAGCAGAAGGTCCTGATGTTTCGGGCGAGATTCCCCAGGTGCCGATCAACTTCGTTCCTGCAACAGAGGGCGAGACCTTTGCTTTGGGACAGTTGACCATCAGAATCATGGAAGATGGTTCTAGGACGGGTGAGTAGCTTCGAAAATCAAACTCGACTTTGTCTTTGACTTACGTATATNNCCGGACAGACAACAGAATTGGCACAGTCGAACTGACTGTTCCTGCCAACACCTCTGGCCCACCACCACACTGGCATGAAATGCACGATGAGACTTTCCTTGGTATGAGTATAAAATGGCCGATGATCAATGTACTCGTTGCTAATAGTCGCCANGTAACCGAAGGCACCATCAGATTTACTTGGTACACGACTACGGCATCAGAACCGACCAAGACAGTTGACGCGCACGCCGGTGATTACGTTGTCGTGCCCATAAGAGCGCCTCACACATTCTCCAACCCAACAGACAAGCAGGCCAAGTTTGTAAATACCTTCACTCCGGCATTTTACGTCAACTACTTCAAGCTCTTGGCAAAGTACATCGGTAACGGCAAGGTCATGACTCCAGAGGCCAACAAGAAGGCCATGGCGACTTTCGCGACCATTCCGTTGCCAAAGTAAGCATGGTCAATCAGCTTGGCTTGAGTAATGGAATATCCATGTGTTCTGAAGTGAAGAATATAAAGAATTCAATACACGACGGAGTAAAGGCTAGACAACAATCCAATGCTCGAATCGATTAAGATCATCTAGATGCTTGTGGGATTCGTCGTACGTTTGGCAGGTGGAATCGATCGTCTTTTCGTGAGAGAAAGCCGTGTGTATTTGAGTAGACGAGTCTGAAGAGATATGGAAAGGACGAGATGAATAGAGACTCCTTTCAGGATCAATGTCAAATCACTGGAATGCACATGTGCAAGCACATCTCAGATCAAGCAATCTCCTGCAAATTGCGTGGCTCTCGAACATAGTCGAATACGGGGAAGAAGATAGTCGTTGAGGCGGAGTCGGCAATGGTTTTAGCACTGTCCGAGATGAGCTTTTAGGGCCCGTGCCTGCGGATAGCACGTTTCATCTTCCTGCAGTCGATTCCTGGGCAACCATTCAATCGTCGTCCAACAGTGTCCAACAGCTGACTGTCGATGTGTGGTTGCCATGCGTATGGATACGTGTTGGTGTAACAAGTCAGCAGATCATGCCAGACGCAGCATCAGAATCAGGGGAAAGTCGTTTGTGAAGCTTCCCCTGACGAAGCTACACGACAAGAAATAGTCCACGACTCGAAAGCTTGCCCAATTTCTTGTCGGAAGGGGCTGCCGCGTGGACCAGAAAGCACACCAGGAACACACCGTTTTGGCATGTGTGGTGCGAAACGCCTGTTGCAGGGTGATGCAGCCTTACGCCCTCTTTGGGGGATGGCGAGCCCTGGGTATCAAAGCTTGCCGTATGGCGCTTGTCAATCACCATCTCAATAGTCTGAGTAAGTATAGTAATGCAGTAGCGCCGCTACCTCGCCCTGGTTCCTGATCTGCCTTCTCTTTCTCTCTCTTCTTCCTTACCCCATACATTCTTTTGCAGTGTCGCCATGACACGTTCGACATTACCGCAGCGGTTGCTGCAGACAGTCTTGCTATGTCTCTGCGCAACACACACCGGTGCCCTGACACTGGACACAACTAGTGCAGGTGAGTGAAGAAGACATGACTGTCCCTTGGACACATAGAGCTGACCAAGGCGTTGCACAGATTCGATCAGAGAAGTCTCGTCGCAAGTCGCATATGGATTGATGAAATGGTATACGGGCAACAACACTGGAGACGTACCGGGAAACCTGCCTGATCCATACTACTGGTGGGAGGCCGGCGCAATGTTTGGAGAGATGGTCGAATATTGGTACTACACTGGAGACACAACATACAATACCGAGGTCAAGCAAGCCTTGATGCACCAGGTTGGCGAAAACAACGACTACATGCCGGCCAATCAGACAAAGAGCTTGGTAAGGGAGAAACACACACTTGGCTTGCCTTGTAGCATGCTGACCCAGCCANNGGGAAACGATGATCAAGTCTTCTGGGCATTCGCCGCAATGACAGCCGCTGAAGTCGGATTCGAAGACCCTCCGGAAGGTTCTCCNTCGTGGCTCGCACTAGCACAAGCTGTCTTCAACGAACAAACAGAACGATGGGACACGTCCTCCTGCGGTGGTGGCCTCCGCTGGCAGATCTACTCGTTCAACGTCGGCTACAACTACAAAAATTCCATTTCCAACGGAGGCCTTTTCCATCTCGCTGCTCGCCTTGGTCGCTATACCGGCAACCAAACATACATCGATTGGGCCAACAAAGTCTGGGACTGGTATGAAGACTCGGCCTTGTGGGATGCCAAAGACTTCACAATTCTCGACGGTGCAAGCACGACAAACAATTGTTCCGAAGGCAGCAGAGAGCAGTGGTCTTACACATATGGCGTCTTCCTGGCCGGTTTCTCCTACATGTACAACCACGTATGTCGTCTTTTGCCTGGCTTTTTCCAAACCCAACTGACCTTCCACCCCACANNGACTGAAGACGCAACCTGGCTGAACCGCATCGACGGCATGCTGAACACGACAGCCAACGTCTTCTTCCCTTCAAACATGGGTCCCAACATCATGGTCGAGACGACCTGCGAACCTCTCGGAAATTGCAACAACGATCAACGTTCTTTCAAAGCCCATCTCTCTCAGTGGATGGCCATTACTGCACAACTTGTCCCCAAATATCACGACAAGATTTTCAGTCTCCTGGCGCCCTCTGCTAAAGGCGCTGCTGGTCAGTGCGATGGCGGATCCGACGGTATTACTTGCGGCAAAAGGTGGAATAGCACCACCTGGGACGGCACATACGGTGTAGGTGAGCAGATGTCTGCATTGGGTGTCATTCAGACCAACATGTTGAATGTCGTGTCGTTGAAGCCACCGTATACGTCTGTCTCTGGTGGCACCAGTAAGAGCGACCCTAATGCTGGCACTGGCACGAGTGGCACATCCTCTTCGAACGGCCAGGCAATTCATTTAACGTCTATCACTACAGGCGACAGGGCTGGTGCTGGCGCCATCACTGCTGCCATTATTCTATTCACCATCGGCGGAACAGCCTGGCTGCTGATTGCTTGAGATACCGCAGATTTAACGATATTTAATTCTTCCCTTGATGTGGACACATTTTCGAACCCCTTCAGGCTCCTAGGTTCCTACGTCAAGATGTTCGCTCTTGACTCACATCGCGTGCTTGACTTGCTTATTTTGACGCCTGCAGACATTTCGTTTATCACAAGTTCAGGTTTGAAGGTTGGTCGCATATTGAACGCCACGATAACGGCTATGGTGTCTTCTTTCCCAGGTCAGCTCTGGCAGTCAAGTTGCTCGCTATCAATCGACAAATCCAGCATGAAGCGTCTCGTGCTGTACGGGAACAACACGTTCTGTTTCAACTACTATGCTGGTCAAGAGTTCCTCTCAACGATTGGTTCTTGTCAGCGCCTAATTCGTCATGTCGGGTCGCACTCTGTCTGGTCTTACAAAAGAATGTGTACACTTCTTTGCGTTCGCCAAGATTGTTACCGAGCAAACTCGGAAACTCTCAAATTTGATATTTGGTGTGATCCTCAATGCTCCAACCTCGCCACGAAGCTTGTCCGGTACCGTTCCATCTTCGAAAGACTTGTGTACCTAAGCGATATGGTACTGGTCGTCAAACTCACAATAAGGACTGTTGGTGGAGAAGCAGGGCCAGAGTTGGGGGCTACATTGGAGAAGGCTTTCAGACCTTTGTTGATGTCCTCGCTCTGGATACAGTGGACGTTCATTCGCTCGACACCACGACAAGGATGCGAAGGGTTCACCATGAATAGGCATATCTATGCCGAAAGCAAAGTTTGTTCTGGTGAATCGGTTCTTAATGTTGAATCTTTGTAGGCCTCAGGTTTATCACAATGGTTGTCATTGCGCAAAGATCAGGGGTTTGTGGATAATAGGCCGAAGAGCCCTTTTAGCTGAGAGCGAAACGGATGGTAACAATGCCACTGCTGGTATCCCTAGGGTAATCTGTGGAAAAATGCCAGAAAAAACACAGGTTACAGAGTACTCGAGTAGTTGCGTTGTTAGATGCAAGAATGGAAGGATCGATGGGGGCTTCCCCACCCAATAATGATCGGCTGCTTCGGCTATCTTTGGCCTATCTTTAACCCGCCCTCTGGACGAAAGTAGAAGGTCGTGCCATTTGTGGGGTGAATGATGATATAAGGTACACAGCCACTCTGCTTCCCAGTTGTTCCTTCCTTCCATTGTTTTCTCTGTCGAAAACAATAGACAAGATGGATGAGAAGCAGCAGCTCATCGGGTCGCTCCCGGTCGTAAATGATATCTCCGAACAGCGTGCACAAGCAAAGAAAAGCTCTCGTTGGGGAACCATCAAACTTGTGAGTCTTTGAGATGACTAGCTCGAGGTAGCTATGCCAATTAACATGCGCTACAGGTCACAGCATGTGCAGCCTTGATTGCTCTCCTCCATTGGACCTTTGTCCTTCCTCAGCTGCCCTTGAAGCATCATGGAAAGCATGGCAAGCACCACCACCACCAGAAGTCGCAATGCCCTCAGGTTGAGCCTCTTGTACCGAGCCAGCAAAGCGACCAATTAGTCAACATGGATGCCTACCTCAAGTCGCCTGCTTTCCAAAACTCATCAATCCAGCGTCTCTCAGGTGCTGTCCAGATCGACACCCAATCGTTCGATGATCTGGGCAAGGTTGGCGAAGACAAGAGGTGGGAAGTTTTCTTCCCTTTCCACGAGTACTTGGAGAAGACTTTCCCTTTGGTCTATGAGCATCTCAAGGTGGAGAAGGTCAACACCCACGGCCTTGTCTACACTTGGCAGGGTTCGGATGCTAAGCTGAAGCCCACTCTACTCATGGCTCACCAAGACACTGTTCCTGTACCCGACGCAACATTGTCATCTTGGACTCATCCACCTTGGTCCGGTTTCTTCGACGGCAAGGAGATTTGGGGCCGTGGCTCATCTGACTGCAAGAACCAGCTTATCGCCATTCTCGAGTCCGTTGAACTGCTACTTGATGCCGGTTTCAAGCCTGCCAGAACTGTTCTTCTCTCCTTCGGCTTCGATGAGGAGATCAGCGGTGGCCAAGGTGCAGGCACTCTCGCCCCCTTCATCCTCGAACGCTACGGTCCCGACTCGCTGGCGACTATCGTAGACGAGGGTGCTGGAATCGACGACGTTTGGGGTGTCACTATGGCTACTCCTGGCGTTGCAGAAAAGGGCTACACGGATGTTGTTATCACTATCCGCATGCCTGGTGGTCACTCTTCGATTCCTCCAGACCACACTGCCATTGGTGTCATGAGTGAGCTTATCACTCTGATCGAGGCTGACAAGTACCCTCTTCGTCTTGATGGCAAGAACCCTTACCTCGGCCAGCTCCACTGTGGAGCCGAACATGCCCCTGAGTTCCCTAAGAAGATCAGCAAGCTACTCGAAAAGGCACAGGGTCAGTGCAAGGCAAAGCCTGACCTGCTCGCACATGAGGCAGCCAAGGCAGGGCCCGCCATTCAGTACTTGATGCAGACCTCGATTGCCGTCGATGTTATCGGAGGTGGCGTCAAGGTCAACGCACTTCCTGAAAGAGTCCAGGCTATTGTCAACCACCGCATCAACGTTGGAGAGCACCCAGCCGATGCTCACGCCAAGATCACTGGCCTTGCCAAGGATATTGCTAAGAAGTATGGCCTTGCTCTGCACGCTTTCGACAATACTACCGAAACGCCTTCCTCCATTTCGCTCTCTGCTTTCGAGCGTGTTCTCGAGCCTGCTCCTGTTACGCCTACTTCAGTCGATAAGGAGACTGCCTACAGCGTTCTCTCTGGTTCAATCCGTGCTTTGTACGGCAGCGAAGTAATCGTATCTCCCGGTAAGTTGAGCCCAAGGTGAAGATACCACGACTTCTACTGGCGCTCTGCCCTAGTCTGTGCGAACGACCCGTGTGGCGTGAGTTCGAGAAGCAACGTTGGAACGGCATCTCGCAGATTTGAGCGCACTCATGTAGCAAAGCTGTGGTGTTCTTCCGTCGAACCATATGAAATCATGCTAATTGTATCTTTGCTTTANGGAATCATGACTGGTAACACTGATACCAAGTACTACTGGGATCTGTCACGCAATATCTTCCGTTTCGCTCCTGGATACGATGGCGAATCGAGCGGTCTGGGCAACATCCACACTGTTGACGAGAGAATTTCCATCAAGAACCACGTCAACACTGTCAAGTGGTTCTCGCTTTTCATCCGCAACATGGATGAGGCCGAGCTTGAGTAAGCGGGTGTTGAATGATAATATATCGATGACATATACCAATCTGTTATGTGCTAAAGCTAAAGACTGTGAGGCTGTAGCTATAGAACTGCATACCTGGTATTTCCCTAGAGAAAATGACTCCACCTAGAACATTTTTTTCGGGCATTCCATGGCCACACTTCTGCCCGGAAAGCGACTGGCAGTTTTGCAGCTTGCTACATTCCTGTATTCTCCCGTGAAAGAGGCCGATGAGAGCACTCCGGGCATTCAGGTTTACATAGGTGACAGAAGCTCATCAGGCCTTCCAAGTGTTTGTAAAAGAAAAGAAAAACAAAGTTTGCCGCGAAACTCGGCTGTCCTTTGTCTTGGCAGTTTGACAGCTCGCAAATGAGCAGGTAGGTCGATGGATCTCTATGACAGGCAGAAGCCGCAGCTTGTGCGAATTGTGTAACCAAAGCCTGTCAAGCTGTATACATAATGGAACAATCTGGTATAGCATCCTGGCTTCTTCCAAACTCAAGAAATAAAGATGCATGTCAAGCAACGAAGGCGCGCTCAAGCCTCGGCTTGGCCCAGGCCCAACGTCATCACCGTCAGGGTCCCGTTTTCTACTCTTGATCCGTGCAGCACTATTATCCCATCCCGAACGAAACGAGATGTGAATTTTGTAGCCTTGTCAACCGGCCAATTCGTCATCTGTGCGCGCGAAATAACAAGACGAACAAAGCTCTCTGAGTGACTGGCCTCTTGGGTCTTACCTTTGACGGCTATCAGACCTCGAAAACATCAATTTCTGGCTTTTACTGGCTCTCCGGATCGCAACGGCTAAGAAATTTTTCTGGCAAGCTTGGTTGTGTACGAAATCCCAAGAAGCAATGTCTGGTGCATTGGCAGAACAGGAGAAAAAGGGCGGTTCGGCGCCGTCCTCTGCTCACAGTGAACCTCTGCACTCTGATCTGGAAGCTCGCAGGGTTTCTGGCACGACACCGACACCTCTGGATGTACTGGATCAGATCAAGGCAACGGATGAGGCGCATCCTATGCATTGGTCGTTATGGAAGAAGTGGTTCGTCATCACCGTCTATTGTCTACTACAGGTCTACGTGACCATGACTTCCACAATGTACGTCTCAGTCGAGACCTTCATCCAGGAACGGTTCCCTAGTACGACACAAGTCGTGACGCTTGGCCAATCAATGTTTATCATCGGAACTGCTGTTGGACCTGTTTTCCTCGGACCTTTGTCAGATCTCGGAGGCCGCAAATGGGTATATGTTGGATCTATCTTGCTCTATGCCATTCTCAACATTGGCTGTGCTTTGGCATACAACCTGCCCATGTTGATCATCTTCTGTTTCCTGATTGGTGTTGCTGGATCTACTGCTTTGTCTAACGTTGCTGGAACCATTATTGACCTTTTGGTGTATGTGATCACATGTTCGTGCCTGCTGTATACCGAATTGCTTATAACTTACGTGTAGGCCGAAGATGGTGCAGGCCAGCCAATGGCCCTCTTCGTACTCTCCTCAAACTACGGTGCGAGTTTGGGCTCGCCAATTGGTGAATGGATCGGCATCAACCCAAACATGGGATGGCGCTGGNNAGTACGCATTAATCCTCTATCTTGATCCCCTTCTACCTGCTGACCTGAGTTGTCAGCCTTCTACATGAACATCATCTTTGGTGGTGCTTTTGCTCTCGTGATGTGCTTCATGCCCGAGACGCTACCTTCTATTGTCATCTCAAGAGCGGTCAAGAAGCGCAACACTGACGACCCCAACGCCAAGGTCGTCGCTGCCGAGTTGACCAAGGTCAATGTGTTCCAAGAGATCCGCTTCGTCTTGACAATGGCGTTGCGCATCATGTTCACTGAACCCATCGTCATCTTCCTCGGCTTCTATAACGGTTTCGCCTACNNGGGTCAGTAGCCCTGCCCTCTGCTTCTCAACAACCTGCTGACAAGTGATAATAGTCTGCTCTTCCTCTACCTCGATGGTGTCTTTGATGTCTTTGTGGATAACAACGGTCTCAGCTACGTGGGCGCCAGTCTCTCGTACCTCAACTTCTGCGTCGGCGTGACCTGCATGTTCATTTTTGTTCCCGTCCAGACCTACCTCTTCCGCAAAGACCGCATCAAGCACGGCAAGCACCGCCCCGAAGCCCGCTTCCTTACCTCTCTGGTCACCGTCTGGTTGTTCCCCATCACAATCTTCTGGTTCGCATTCACCTCCAACGGTGAAACCTCTTACTGGTCTCCCATTGTTGCTGGCGGTGTCCTCGGATTCTGCGACCCATTGCTCTGGTTGGGTATGCTGAACTACCTCGGCGATACCTATAGCAATGTTGCCGGATCGGCTGTGGCTGCTTTCTTGATCCCGTCTTTCTTGATTGCGGCAGCTATGTGTCATGCCGGTGTTGCCATGTTCGAAAACATGAGTACCACTTGGGCGTTTGCGACTCTGGCTTTTGTCTCCTTGGGTCTGGTCGCTTTGGTGTATATCCTTTACTTCTTTGGACCTATGCTCAGGAGACGCAGTAAGCTGGCGAACGTTTACTAGAGAGTTGATGCACCCACTTTGGATCTTCAAAGTGCTGTAGAACCATTCTTTGTCATTTACTTGACGAGGCAAGAGTTCCCTTCTGTCTTTTCCGTCAACCTGCTTGACGTGTGTTGACACACATCCTGGTTGTATAAGCTCCGAAGCCTTCGGTCCACAATCCCTTCATGTACAAGTTCTTTATCTTCAAGCGTTTAACAAAAACACCTAGAAGGGGCATGGGGCGTTCGGGATGTCGCATCTTTCTGCGGTTGCACAAAACGACATGTACATATAGATTAGATCACCAGCTGCATAAGAATGTGGGGCGTTTAGTTTGGAGGATATTGAACACATCGTTTTGCAAATCCCTATCATGCTTAGCACCTAAGACTGACCAGACCTGTCAAACTGACATATAGATGTAACGATATGCCTGGTACTCTAGGCTCACACCCATGATGCTTGTTATACTCATTTTAGAAACGTTGCTTTACAAGCTCTTCTGTACCAGAATAGCTACTCCGAGTAGAGTAGCGGGACTATTAGATGGCTTCTACACGTGACCGGTGATTGCTGACCAGAGAGGTGTCGAGCAAGATCTGGCCAAGACAAAGCAAGGTAGACAACGACATGACTGAAGGCATTCTCAGTTCAAATCGTGGAGACGCGTTCGGAGGTGGACGAGATTGTGAGCCCAAATGGTTGTCGTCAGGGATCGGTGGCAACAGGAACAGACCGGGAAGCGGCGGGCGTCGACCCTCGGCACAAGCGACGCCTTCCCGGGCGGCCTGCGAGGCAGAATCATCATACGCACGCTGATTGGCTGAGCGTCCAGATGGACTGGGGCAAACCTGAGAAGTGCCAGAAGCAACTGCCAGCAACATCGTCGTCGACTCTTCTGTTTCCCTCGACCCCCATCCTCATCTCCACTCCACACACTCACACACGACCGCAACCATGTCGTTCAGAATGGCCACATCGCGCATTGCGCCCCGTATGATGTTCCGCCGCTCCATGGCCACCACCGTCGAGTCGAGCAAGGGACCTCTCGCCGGCGGTACCGAGGCCATCAGCGCCTCCCGCCCCGTCCTCTCGCCCAACGAGACGTCAACCGTCAAGGAGCCCTCCAAGGATGCCGACAGCAAGATCAAGACCTTCCACGTCTACAGATGGAACCCCGACGCCCCCAGCGACAAGCCTCGCATGCAGAGCTACACCCTCGACCTCAACAAGACTGGCCCCATGATGTTGGATGCTCTGATCAGAATCAAGAACGAGCTCGACCCCACTCTTACCTTCCGCCGATCCTGCAGAGAGGGCATCTGCGGTTCCTGCGCCATGAACATTGACGGTGTCAACACTCTCGCCTGCTTGTGTATGTCAACTGCCTTTGCACTCACACTCTCAATCGCTAACAACTCTAGGNNCCGCATTCCCACCGACACCAAGGCAGAGTCCCGCATCTANCCCCTCCCTCACACCTACGTCGTCAAGGACCTCGTTCCCGACCTTACCCAGTTCTACAAGCAGTACAAGTCCATCAAGCCTTTCTTGCAGCGCGAGACCGCTCCCGAGGACGTGAGTCTATCCTCCTTCTTCTACACTTTCCCACATCCGTACTGACATATCTACCAGGGCCGCGAGTACCGTCAATCTCCCGAGGAGCGCCGCAAGCTCGATGGTCTGTACGAGTGCATTCTCTGCGCCTGCTGCAGCACTTCCTGCCCTTCATACTGGTGGAACTCGGAGGAGTACCTCGGTCCCGCTATCCTCCTCCAGTCCTACCGCTGGATTGCCGACTCGCGTGACGAGAGAACCGCCACTCGCCAGGACGCCCTCAACAACTCCATGTCTCTGTACCGCTGCCACACCATCCTGAACTGCTCCAGGACATGTCCCAAGGGTCTCAACCCTGCTCTCGCCATTGCAGAGCTCAAGAAGTCTATGGCCTTCACCTAGACGCTTGACAAGATTCAAAATACCATCATTTTTCCTTTTCCTGTTCACCGGTGTACATTTTTGGAGCGAGGGTACCCACAATTTGCTTTCTTGTCTCAGTTCTCTTTTTATCTTCAGATCATGGAAAGGTAGATACGATCATTCTGAATCATGCGCTATTAGGCATTCATCCCTTTCAATATCATTGTATAATGCAAAGAGCTTTGCACGCAGAATGAAAAATTAGAAATCGCATTGAAATGCATTCCTTTCTGCTTTTGGTGTGACAAATGTGATCACACGCCCACGATCATCGACATATCGAACTATCCTCACAACAGTGTATCTCGTTTCTCGGTCTTTTTGCATGTGCTGCCCTTCATCCAAAACTGTATCCTCCCCAATCGTACTTTTCTTCATCCAGCACATCCCATTCCATTTGATGAAACAATTCCAATGCAACTTTTAGATCTCTTTCTAGAAAAGCTGGTGGGCAGGCAGGGATTGGGATTTATGATAAAGAAGAAGCGGGCACGTCTCGAAGTATACAGACATCCAGAGCAAAAATCACACGTAAAGAGAAGAAAAGATATCCGAGGGGCAGAGATGTGTAACGATTGAACTTTTTCCTTTGTTTTTGGTGTTTGAATGGTTTGTATTTCTGCTGTTGTTTGGGCTTCTGCTCTAGTCACCCTGGCTGGTTTTTCCCATCATTTGTTGTCAAAAGAACAAGCATACATCTCTTCGTTCCAAGTGCATCTAATGCAGCCACTGCTTTTGACAATTCTTGCGAGGAAAACTGGAATAGAAGTGGGTGTCGATGTTTCACCAGAGCAGTGTCGATAAAACACAATGCAGAAGAGTAAGGAGTATGCAACGAATGATTGTGTCAATCATGCTATGAAGAATTGGTCTTGACTATGAAATACCATAAACTATATTGACTACTTGATAGAAACTGGGGTCGTTATTGATGTCCGTGATATCGTAGAGGAGAGGGTGAGGATAAGAGCGAGGGGTTATGAGATACAGAAAGAACCAAGACCGACAAAAGAAAGAAAAGGAAATATAAGATATGTAGAATAGGCACATGCTATAGGGTATCAAGGTCGTGGTCCAATCTATTTTGCTTTCCTTCTTTTGCCAAACCGTGATCATCATTCTGTCGTGTCAGTCTGTCTTTACCATTGTTGCCTTGTCTCTGCACAATGCAAAGAGACGCAAGGAGCGTCGTCAATCAGGCCTTCGCGCCATTATGCTCCACCTCGAAGCCACTCTCCTTCTGCCTCAACGCCTTCGCAAGCATCAACTCTCTCATCCAATCAATCCTCTCACTGCTATTGCCAACAGCAAAGTGGTGAGTCTTACCGCTAACCAGTTTGGCCCTCTCGCCACCAGCAGCAGGAACGAGTTGGAATGCAAATGCACCAACAGTGGCAACATCACTTTTCTTGTCGCCACCGAGTTTGAGTGTCTTGAGAGCGGCGGTGAGTTTGTTGTTGGAAGGTAGTGATGCACAAGCAACGGAATAGTCATCGACGTTGATGCTGTCCAGCATGATGGCTGAGAGTCTGTTGTTCTTATGCATGGCTAGCTGCGTGCCATGGAGGCGGAAATGCGCATTCTGCCATTCGTGGTGCAAGAGTTTGGTTTTACGCTTCTTCATGAAGCCGGTGTGGGACACGGAGCTGCCGTAGGTGGCTTGCATGTGTGCCTTTTTCATCTCTTNTTGCTTGTCCTTGTCGACCACATGCAGGAGCTTGGTGGGGGTGCGAGCGAGTGCTGTGGCAGGTGAGAAGACTGCGTTCTCGTCCAATGCGGGTAGCGTGCCGCTGGGTTGACGGCGGAAGTCTGTGCGTGTGTGCTCGCGGTATTGCATGTTGGGTGGCACAGATTGACTCGTATCGCGCGAGATGGGACCGATGGGGATAGCGGTGACGGGAACGTCCATCTCCGAGGCGGGGGTACCATAGCGGTAGATGTGGTTGGCTCCAGGAGAGGCGGTGGCACTGCGACAAGGAGACATGACGGTGTCTGCAGGAGAAAAGACATTTGGCCTTCCCAACCACGGGTTTGCACTGGCAGAGCGGGGGATAGATAACTTTGGCAGATGCTTGAGGTTTCCATGTGGCTCTTGAGTTACTGATGGGCGCTGCAGAGAAGGATAGGCTTCTTGGTGGATGCTAGGAAACATCTCGAAACCATTGCCCGGGAAAGTGTCAAGAGGGGGCGTGGGCGGTGCTTCGACTTGCGGCTGACACACATGCTGGAAGTTGAGGAATTGCTTGACATTCTCCTGAGGGTCTCTGGTCTGTAGCTGAGCAAGCATGTTTTCATGAAGTGCAAACGTAGGTAGTTGACCAGGACCGAGAAGATCAGAAGAGGCCACAATCGACGGCGGCATGTTCTCCGAAACAGGTCGAGTCGATTCTTCTTCAATATGAGGTGAGGCTTCTTGCTGGCGGTACCCATTGTCGACGACCTTGTAGGCAGTGGTAGCATTGCCAGGGTCGCCTGTGATCAAGATATGGCCGCCATGCTCAGGGCTGATAGGATATCCTTGTTGTTCACGAACACGAGCAAATAGTCTCTGTTGCTTACGCCATTTGGAACAGTTCTCGCCCTTTGCGCAGTTGTGCTCCTTGGGCATCAACTGTTCGATGGCAACAATGGAGACAGACTCTGCGGGAGTGATGATGTCGTCATGTTGACGATTCTTTCGACCACGTCGTTTCTTGTGGCGAATAGGAGTGACTGGTGTCATGTCATCTTCCAGCGACAGAGCAGGTAGTGCATCCCGAGAAATGTCACCATCTGACATCGATCTAACGTTGGTAGGAGGTCGAGAGATATCCTGGAATGGCGTAGGTACGGGGCTTGGACCACGTTCACCACCTCTGAGATTCTGTATCGCGTTCCAGAGCTGATGCCGTTTGCCAAAAGATTCAATCCCGAGCTCCTTCAAGTTCTCAAATTTGAGCTCCATCAGGATTGCTCCATTGATATCGTGCTTCTCGAACTTGTCGACAACCTCATGCGGTAGTCCGGTCTCGAGCATCCAGTTCAAGACGTCTTCTGTTGACCATCTCTCCACGCTATATGGAGAAGGAGATTGGAGTACTGCATCCAGACCTGGGACGTACAAGTCCTGTGGAGAGAAGGCAAATTCCTGGGGCGGAGTAGCGATATGCTGTGGTGGCAGCTCCATAGTCTTGGGAAAGAGTGGAGACATTTGCAGAGCATAGTCGAAAGCAAACTCTGCAGAAGAGCAAGAAGCACGGAACAGATGAGGACCTTTGGGCCCTTCGACTGGCTTGCCACGGAGTTGGAAGGGACCACTCCGCTCAAAGTGGACATCAGAACGAGGTGTTAAGGCCTCTTCGAAAGACGAAATTGTAGTTTCGCTCCTTCTTCTGCTTTCGAACTGGTAGAAAATCAGTATAAGAAGAGACAAAAGTAGTAGGCAGTCACTCACTGAACTGAAGCTAGGTTTGGGCGAGTTCTCCTCAAACAAGCTCTCGTCATCTTCCACATCAGTTTCATATATCTCGGTCGCTTCAGATAATGGTCGACTATATGGTGTCTTGGAAGGAGTTGAAGAGGGTGTTCTCAATGTCTGAGATTGTGAGCCTTGGGCACCCACGTGAACGGTGTGTGTCATGGCCAGCTTGACTAGTCAGCCAATGTCTTGGACCCGGAAGATGCATACCACCTACCATGATGGTCGAAGCGAGAAAAAAACAACAAGCAAAAGAGGCAACGTGGAATCCAGATGAAACGACAGTCGACACCGTTGCCAGTGAGATATTCTATAACGTTTACTTTCGTGACACGAAGGGACGGCAACGAGACTGGAAATTCGGGTCTTCGCGCGGCAGCAATATCGAAGGCTTTTGTAAAGATAGCTCGTTGTGTGAATGGGAGGGTACACCATGTTCCCGTATCCTCCTATGTGCGCAGTGGAAGTGTGACCAGCCATGGCGGCGGGATCAACAGGCGTCAACGGAATTGGAGCGGTTGGACAGACGGTCTCGCTGTGCCTGTAGATTTGATAGATTACACACGTATCCTAGGCCTCGAGTTTGACGTTGTCCGTTGGACGCTATTGAACATGCAGCACGCCGTCGGGGCGGTGGGTGTGATGAGAACATGCGGCGCATATGTAAAATTATGCAGAGCTTGATTGGCTCAAGAATCGAGGTCAAGTTTTCGGCTGCACACAGAATAGATGAGTCAATTCTAAATTGCATCGGAATGGATAGCCACGAAAGGAGACACATGCTGTGTCACCCAAAGAATCCTGGATATCGAAGCGCATATTACCCCGCCAGACACGCAGAGCAATATGCATAAGGTCTGCGTATACAGCAAACACTGCAGCGATCACGCTGTTGAGAGAACCTGGTAAGCGTTGCACATGGTCACAATGCAAGTCAAGAGGAACAGCACACGTTCTGTACGGCCTCGACGCGAGCGATGAAAGACGACTAGACGTCAAGATGCGCTTTAGCCGCCATACCAGCTCGCCTGTTTTGCTCACATCTGACGTCTCTCGGGCAAGTCCGGCCACCGAAAGTCATCGATAAAATGGATTTCCAAAGGAAGATTCGACGCCAGTACTCGAGGATGGATAGCGGCGGACGTTCTGCGAAAGGCCGAATCTTGAACGGGGGATGGCGCGTGACTTGATAGCAAAAGCCAGTCCTAGACGCTGGAAACCAATGAGAACAAGAAGGCGGAATGTTCGGTGCTGGTTGGTGAGTAGGTCGACAGCATGACCCGCCCTAGTAATGTAGGATATTTTTACGGCCGTCCAAGGTTAATAGGCATCGAATCCGCACCACCTCTGTAGGTGTATGCAAACTCCATGTTCGCAAGGATTGATTTCAATGGACTTGAGGCAGTTGAACCAAGATGTCGGAGACTTGATACAGGACAGGCAGGTCACATACTGTTTGATGAGGATTGGACATGAGAGACGGAGGTTCCTGCATGATGTTCGTCAAAAGTGTGCTTGGCGTGGCAGGAGAGTCAGCAATGCCTGCCGTGTCGTCTCGCGAAAAACAGGGTTCAATCAAGGACGGGGAGGCCCGATGCCGTGTCCCAGGCAGCCTAATTCGCTGCCAAGCCACGTCTGATTGGTCAACTCAGCCGGCAGATTGGCGCGACAGCGCATCAATCACATCGAGCTGCTGCACATCCTACCCTCATCGTCACATCCATCAGCAGTTCCCAACCACTCATTGCACCCTCCCTCTGCAGCCATGCCAAATAAGCGCGTGTGGAGATCGCTGTAGCTTGCACGAATCAACAGCCTAGGCGAATCAAGCAGAACTCGAAGACCCTGGAGAAGACCGTATGCGCTCCTGTCATCCAGAAGCCTTCGACGCTTCACCGCTATCTAATGCGAAGACAATGAATGGAGTACCAGCATCTCCGATGTGCTCCCATGTCACACGCATTGCCCAATGCAAATGTGCTTGAATACAGAATTCGGGACATCTATCTATCGGAAGATGCAGTGTTGATCAGGCCTCTCGACTCTCCGCTTTCCAGCAATGAAGCCCAAATGATTGCCGACGCTTTGACGTTGAGTTCTTGCAGGTTACGGCTCGTTGCAAGCGGGGATCGGCTCGGAGTCTTTTCGACTCGAGCTGTGCAAGTCGAACTCTATGCTGCTCGAGACGCATCTATCATTGCCCATTGGTCTGAACTAACTTCTGTCAAGATGACTTGACATTGTTGACTTGTTTACATGACATCTCTTGACGAACGAAAGACTAGAAGAGGGCTTTGGTGCTTCGATTGGATCTATCGACATCTCACCCGATATCCCCAAGATTCGTCAATTCTTCCGGCAATAACCAGACTGCATGTGCATTGTACAACCCATGCGGCTCAACGAACCATGTCACCGTCTGTCCGACAGTCATGACTCTTGGTGGCACACAGGAATAGCGTGAGCCGATCTGCTCTCTTGGTCCCGTGCCACTCGAGTGCAGATAACCAATCGCAGTTCCTGATGCCCTGCATATCGCATGACTAGACCAGAGTATTAACCCACATTGTTGAGCAGTCTAAGAATAGATGCGGTGATATTTGGTGCCATTCTTCCACGTTTGGGCATATAAGGTACTTGTCTCCTCTTGCACTTGACCATAGCCAGCAATCGCAGGTCGACTTAACACGCTTTTCTCTCTTCTTTTTGTCCTTCGCCCTCTCTCCCCACTAGCCAGGCTGGTCCAGGCTCCTCTTGCGCTATCGTTTATTCAAGAACCGTTTTTGCGCCATTATTTTCTTTCCCAGACCTCTGGTCCCCTACCAGCCCTCATTCGATTGGGTTGCCTCACATTTATCTGTACATATAGATCAGACATGTCGTCGTCAATTGCTCCAGCAAACTCCAGACTCAACACCAAGATGGCTGCCTCGAAAGATGCAAAGTCCAATACTTCAAAGATGCACCGTCGTTCGCGCACAGGTAAGTTTTTATACTTCAGTTTCTGATTACGCACGTCCTTTGCTCACCCCGGATCTACAGGCTGTTACACTTGCCGTTTGCGCCGAAAGAAGTGTGACGAGGGAAAGCCAGGTTGCAAGGCATGCAATCACTTGGGTGTCTCATGTGTTTACAAGCGTCCCATGTGGTGGAGCAATACTACCAAGCGAGCAGAGCAGAAAGAAATGGTCAAAGAGAGGATCAAGTTGACGCAAACTGCCAAAAAGACAAAAGATGCAAGCACGCCGCCTCCAAGCCTTTGCAAAACCGAGACTTTCTCCGACTCGAAACCTTCATCACGAACACCGTCTGTCTGCACGCCACATGCTCCCGAGATCAGCTTCAAACAAGTCTCACCGGAAGGTTATTTCGCTCTACCTCCACCAGAGATACTCATGTCTCACCCACCGTATCCCATGCTCTCTCCTTACGAGGTCGATATCAAAACTGAGCGCCAAATCTTCATCAATGACGTTCCGACTCGACGAGACTCGACGATCTCAACATTTAGCACCTTTCAGCCACCACCAATGGGATCAAGCTGTCATGGCTTTGCTCCGGAGACTTGGGTTCAGCAAGACTATTACGAGATGCAGCAAGAGTCTTTTACGGAAGAGCCTGTCAACTTCGACTTCTTCGACCTGCCACATGAGAAACCCGCACCGAATCACGAGACCGTCATCGAGGTAGACGAAGCCGACAAACCTTTGCTCAATCACTTTATCCAAAAGGTTTCAAAGCTCATCTTCCCCATTCTTGATGCCAACCAGCACAGCTCCACTCGCTCGGACATCATCTTGCCTGCGCTTGAGACGAACAAGAGTTATCTGCACTGTTGCCTGAGCGTTTCCGGGCTTCACAAGAAGTCTACTGAAGACGTGCCCTCGGAGGAGATTGACGAGCACATTCTACGACATCGTTATGCAGCGATATCTGAGCTATGTGCCGCGTTGAACGAAGACAAGAACCATGCTCAGATTTTGGAAGCTACTCTTGGCATGATCTTCTTCCAATGTTCTGTAGGCCGACCAACAGACTCAATCCCCGACATCCCTTGGCACCAACACTTCCAGGCTGCTGCTGATCTTGTCGATCGACTTGAGCTTCCGACTACCGTCATCGGTGCCATGCAGTTTCGTGATGTCTCGCGTCCTCCCTTCAACATGGCTCTCACAGCTTGGATTGACATCCTTGGAGCAACCATGCTTGGACGTTACCCAAGGTTTGCCGATACTTATCGCGACCTCAACATCGGCAAGGGTAGCGCTGGACTGTCAGAGCTCATGGGCTGCGACGACAACATCATGTTCCTCATCTCGGAGATTGCATGTCTCGAAGCTCACAAGCTGGAAGGCATGGATGATCTCGTGCTGTGCGACTACGTCAAGATCCTCGGTCACAGTATTGGCTATTGCGAGCCAGGACCTGGTGCAGTGAAAAGTGCTTTCTCAGGCACCGGGGCCATCAAACCCAAACAGCTCAGCATCAATGTGACGGCTGCCTTTATGTATGCGGCTCGCATCTACCTTTGCTCTCTTGTGCCCGGCTTCCGACTCGACGATCACAATGTGACCAGCTTGGTCAATGCTTTCTGTAATGTCATGGAGTACATTCCGGCTGGACCGGAAGGACATGATCGCTCATTGGTGTGGCCACTGCTCGTGGTCGGCTCGGTGTCGTTGCCCACATCAACGTTCCGCAGCATGTTTGAAGAGCGCTGTCTACGACTTGGAGAAGCGGCCAACTTTGGGTCATTCGGTCGTGTTCGTGAGCTCTTCAAGGATGTATGGATGTTGGTCGACAGCGAGGCAGCATTGGGAAGCTACCAAAGCGTCTCCTGGAGAGACGTGATGAGACAGAAGGGATGGGACTTCTTGTTGATCTGAGATCCTTCTCTTGTGCTTGACCTTGACGGTCATGCATATCTTTCTGTCCATCCTGGTTTGGTTTCTTCCCCACTTTACAATAATATCTGTACATGCAGCGGAAGTTTACGGACTCACGATATACCCCCAGTCATGACTTGCGAGTCGTGTAGAATATTCGTAATGGGAGCATGATTTGTTATGGCTTTTGTTTTTCTGTTTTTTTCTCTTCGGCATTATACCCATGTCACTGTTGGCTGACATTGAGGCGGAGTCGCGACTCTTGTCTCATTTCGAAATGGAGAAGCTCTAGGCGAGCTTGGCGGGTTTAGTATTATACAGCTCTGGGCAGAATACTACAGCGCATACAGATGAGGAATTGAAGAATGATGAGAATCAGACTGAACAAGAACAGATGGATGTGAGAGTTGTCGAGGAATGTCGGTCGGCGGAGAGGCTGGGCGGGAAGAAGGGCGCTGCAGAGAGGGCGTTGCTATTTTGGGCAACGGGCATCGGATTCGGAAGCGACAAGACTGCAGATCATGGCAGCTCGCAGCATGTGGCAGGTGAGATGGCGCTCAGATTGCCCAGCGATGCACCGATAGCTCCTGCTCTGACATGCAGAGTCTACCATGTCGCCGGCTACATGAACCAATACCGACATGCACACGACGACGACTCGCGACTGACAGCTTGTACCAGGCTTCCAAAGACTCGACCGAAGTCGCAGACTGGTGCTCGACTACTGCTAGCTGCAGAGTAATTAGCTGAGACGAGCCACAAGGCGACTGATCCTGGCCCGCCTAGATAGACAGCAGCTACACACGTCTTGCACTTCAATCATCCTTCTCTTATTTCGCATCCGCCAAAACCGGTGAACGACGTAACATGTCTGCTCCTCCGCACCCACCGCCGCTTCAGACGTCGACTCAGGGCACCTTTTTCGCCAACAGCGGCACGTATACGCCCTTGACACCCGACCAAGACCATGTCGAATCACCATCCTTGACTTCGGGCAATGCCCTTGCTCGCTTCGAGTTCGAGAGACCGGCTGGCGACAAGGCTGGCACAAAGATCTTGATGGTCGAATGGGAGGATGACGACCAGACCAAGCAAATTCCCGGCCAATGGTCTGTCGGCTGGGAGGCCAAGCGTGCCGCCGTGCTCAGCTCCAATGCTGCCGACGGCAAGAGAGAAGGCTTGCATCGACTGTACTTCTTGCTCTCTGTCGCCGAGCGTGTACCGGCCACCGTCACCCTCATCCTACGGCCGGACAATCAAGAGCGGGAAAACACAGTCTGGCGCACACATCCTCTACCCGCCATCTTCCCGCCTGAGCTGGGGGCTTCGGCTCGTCAAGCTGGCAAGAAGGGTGTGCTGCATACTGTGTGGGCCAAGAAGCGTCTTCAAGTCCTCAAGCAAGAGATAAACCACGAAGAACAATACAGTCCTGAGGGTGTCGCTCTCTCTATGGCTATACAAGAGCGTGACTGGATAGAGTCGAACTTTGGTGTTCGCACAAAGCCCACGGGCCTAAAGATCGCTACCGCAAGCTCCTCTGGCTCCATGGACCTTGGCTTGCCCAGTCCAGCCAGTCCTCATAGTCCTGGTCGCGGTCCGCTGCTGGAAAGGCTCAAGGGCCTCAGTCTTGATACCAAAGCCCCAACACACGACTCTAACCCTCTGAGTCCTGAAGGGTCAGACGTCGCCGTCAACTTCAACACCTTCGCTGCACTGCACGGCTTACCCGACCCCAGCACCCTTGCTGCAAAACCTCCTCAGCGCATTGTACATCAGAATCAGCAAACGAACTCAACAGCACCACAAGCCCAACGGAGAATCGCACCCCAATTACCACCCGACTCCGTCCTTGCACAGCAACGACTACAAACTGGCAATAGCATGGCATCATTGAACGCTCTTGCCATTAATGAAGGTCCCGTCGAGTTCAAGACCACTTCTTCGACTGTTCTTCCTTCGGTAACAAGGAGTGACTCAGCTGCTGACGAGGATGATCTCTTTGCCTTGCCATTGAGCCCTCGCAGCCCTGCTGATCAACCGGCCGGAGGTTCTGCNTTTTCTTTCGCTGCTGACCACGTTGCCAAGTACACGCAATGACCAGAGTTGGCAGTCACTAATGCCAAAAGCCAAAGACAGAGTAGACTTGCAATCAACTCGTCAAGGATGCATTGACATGCCACGGAAAAGACATGGCCGTCTCTTCCTGTTTGGGTCGGACGCACTCTTTGTTTCTTTGCCTCTTCTTCTTCTTTTTCTCTTCTTGTCTCCGAACAGACTTTGAAATGTTCATCTCTGATCTATTGATTTTCATTTCACCACCATTCTTCTCTGTCCCATTTTGCCCAACTCTTTGAGCTTGGAGGAACGTCTTCTCTATTCTTTTCTCACCATGGTCTGAGATCCCATATACACATAACAAGGAGCAATGAAACTGTAACATGTCAAGCAGGAGCTTGGTTTCACTTTTTATCGCCTTTGTCTGAGTGCATTCTTGTTGACTTGTGGCTCTGACTTTGTCACTCTGCGCTTGTCGACAGCTACTGTTTTCTGACTTTGCTACCATTTCTTCCGATTAGCAGGGGCCATTAAGCTCTTACGTTTGTGAAAGGACTGTAATGTCATCACTTTGGGCAAGGAAGCAAAAGAGGAATCGTTGCGGATATCGAATTGCTGGTTTTGTTCTCTATTCTTTCCTGGATTCTTTGCGTCCTTGCTTCCTTTTGCTCTTCAAACTTTCGTTGATATAGTACAATTCCTGCTCTCCTGCTGCTGGTGTGGTGCCCGAGAGATCGTTTCTTACGCGGAGTTGCTGTGGCTGGATTCTTGAGTGCGAGGGATTGAGAAAGCATTGACATGAGAGGTTTGGTGTGTCGGCTTTGTCTTCTCTGGGACCGAAGATTTCACAGCCAGTCCAGCATTAGGGAAGTGTCTGCGTGTTGAGTGGATACGATCAAGCTGAGCCAATGCTTCGTCTTCTCGGAAGAGTAGCGGGTCCAAATTGACGGGGTCCTTGGAAGTTCTGGGAGATTTGGTGTGCGGGTTTGTGTCTTCGGACGACCAGGCCTCCGCACCCAGCGCGGGAGAAGGTTGAGGGAAATGGGCAGGACCCAGCTTCTGAGGATTGACTGTTCGTTCATGCTCAAGTCCTTGCGTCTTGCGAAGTTCGTTCCTGGTACCGGAAGACAACGTCTCATCGGAGATTCGAGAACGTCGAGCTTGAGTCGATTCTTGAGTTTGGTATGATTGGGGTTCCGAGAGTTGCGACTTGAGGTATTCTGATGGGGGCTGCGAAGCAGACGAAGAAGTAGCGGGTCGCGGACCATGGCGTTCTTCGGTATGGTGAATGCTTGTGCTTGGAGAACCGTGTTCAACTTCCTCATCATAGCGCTGCTGGGCCAAAGTTCTCAGGCGAGGATAACAGTCATGAGTCAATCTCTTGGTGACGAACCCAGCCACTCTCAGATGCAGTTGGTTGAGCGCTTCCAAGGGATGATCAGACCATTCAGCACGCCCATCAAAGGGCTCATGGTATTCTTGAACGTTGCCATAGTTGTCGTAAGTGAGAAGAACACGAGTCCAGTAAGGCTTTCCGTTCTGATCGTGAGTAACGCACGAGAGGACATGCGCGCCGATCCTCATGAACTACAGATTCTCTTGCAACTGCAGGAGCATGAAGGCCGGGTCGTCCATGGCTGGAAGACTGACTGAGTTGAGATGATGAGATACATGGCGAGGCGTGATGGTGTCTTATATCTGCCATGCTTGCTAGTAGAAACTGGTCATTGTTGTGCAAGAGAAAGAATGATAGGTGCCCGGGATTTAGGAGAAATGCAGGCTTGGCGGAGCTCAGTAGCACTTTCCATCGGAAGCAATCTCGGGCGGCAACCGCTGCTTCCATATTTGCTTTGATGGACAACAGAGGAGACAAACACGAGCAAGCGTATGCTAGTGAAATAAAGGGCTCGCAAGAGTGCTCTCTTCTAGCAACTCCTCAATACTGGGGTGTCAACTAGCTGTCAAAACAAAGGATACACATATACCACACTTCGTTTGATCAGCCCTCAAGGTACAAAGCTGAAAATTAGCAGACTTGGCTGTCAATGAAACTCCTCTACGCGCTTCATAGTTGTGCACGAGGCCTGTCTGCTACCTTCTCCCAAGCACTGTCAAAGCCAGCCGATCGCACCCAAGTGGGCTCAGAGCCTTCGACAGAATCAATAGCCATATGACCAAGCTGCAACCACATATTATCTTTGACCCTGAAGTTCTCCTTGTGCTCATACGGTTTGCAGATCTGCTGTCCATGCGCCAATGCTCTGACCAGCTTTGAGCCATGTCCATCATCCTCAAAGTTCTTTACTCGCTCGATGATATCGTGCCAGGGGTCGGTAGATGTAGATGTTGGTTTGCTCGGCTCGTAATTCATGATTTCGTCGATGAGAAGGTCTGGGCAGCCCCGCGACGCGTACAAAGCAACATCGTTTCTGACTTTCCATTCGAGCAGGCGGACTTTGTTGGCGTCGCTTAGCCAGTCTTGTTTGAGAAAAGCAGAGAAGAAGATGGAAGAGTTGATGCAGTGCATGTAGAAGAAGTCAAACTNTGTGTACCTAAGAATCTGTTAGTAAAAAGGGCGGAAGCCTGATTGTAGGCCACTTGCCTTGTCGCGGCGTTGAGCAGCACCACTGAAGTAGGCAGCGGCATTTGTCATTTCTGCTGTGCGCTCTTCGAGTTCTGCAGGGCTGCTGATGTGATATTGAGCGACGATGTCGACCATTGTCTGTGCCTCGGTCTTCAGTATGCCGTCGCGAATGCGATTGCCATCCACATCGGCAGCTTTGGCTAGACGCTTCTCGGCATGTGTTTGGTTCAGCAGTTCAACGATGCTTTTGGAGGGCCCAGAAATCTCTGTGCGGGTCCTCTCGGCACCAGAAAACAAAGGTTTCATCCAAGAATCATGGACGGCAGCTTGAGCAAGGCCTTCGGCGACGATGGCGGGCTGGTGAAACTCGACGCCGAAGCCCAGATGAATAATAGGGTGAAGGAATCCAGCAAACATGCGGACCAGCATGTCGTCTGCTCGTTCATCTCGGGCAAAGACGTACTCGTTCAAGACTTGCTGCCAACCTTTCTTGTCCATCTCGCTTTGGAAGAAGCGGAGGTAGTCATTGTAATAACGCTCCTTGCCCAAATACTTCTTGAACTGTGCAGGGTCTTCCATACCTTGTATGACGGTTGACTCAACAGGCTGGGGTGGTCTTTGGTAGCTCACGTTGTCATCGTAATGCTTTTGAATCTGCGAGGGTGTCGCGGCCAAAGAGTAGACTGTGAGCAGATGATGAGCAATATGGTTATGGAAGCCAGAATTGTTGAAGAATATGTGGTGTTTCTCATGATTTTCTTGCAACAAATCTGAAGCCCTTATTGCAGACTCTTGTTTGATGTCCTTGATATAGAATTCGGGCCATTCGCCAAGAGAGAGTTGAACTTTGGAAGCTGTTGCCATTGCTCGTGTCGTTCTTGATGCCGAGATAAATCGTGGATTGTGTGATACAAGCCTTAAGAAAGCAGTTTGACGGAACATATATAGATTAATGATATCTTCAGGCAGCCAGGCGGTACTTAACACGTACAGTCCATGTGTGATGCCGCCATGAAGTTGATGACCAACAATTGCGTTCGACGAGAGTGCCAAGGCGGAGCGGCTTTTAGATGCGGAGGACAAGCCAGAAGTCGCAGCTGTGAGAGTTGAAATCTGCCAAAGCGAGAAACGCTCCGGCCAGAAGTCTTGTCTGACAGGGTCCTACCAGTAACAATGCTCCAAGGGTGTGACATCAAAAATGCACATTTTGATAGACTGGCACAGAGCTGCAAGTCGCTTGTTACTTTGTCGTGTCCAAATCTCTGGAATCCGTCTTCGCTGAAAGCTGTCTAAGATGCTTGAGACAACCATCCGATCAGAATTCTCCTTGATGATAATATATCTGATTCGTACACTTCGTATCTATGCTTGACGATTCCTTTATGACTTGATAGTCACCGCAAGATATGGTATACCGTTGGGTAAGCACCGTACTTGTGCAGAAAATCATGACCCGTGAGGTTCGTGTGCGCGTGAAATGATTGGCGGCATTCGACCCGGCAGATCGGACACGATCGGAACTGTCAGACCAAACCTAAAGAAGATAGGTATCCGCATCGCGGGGTTGTGGGGGCGGCGATAGTATACGCTGTCACTGACAAGACACACAATTTATAGATGGTGATATGTATCAAGAGATCCACCTAGAATCTGTCACGCCATACACTTCTCTTCCAAAGAAGACCACTCTGCATCTCGTCAGAATATCATGACGCATAACACAGCAACTCTGGAGGTGGACGACAAGGATTTGTCGTATCCAGAAGACTTCCCTACTAGCAACGAGCAAAGCACACTACGTCGCGTTCCCGATCGGATCCCCTGGATTGTTCTTCTGATCCTCATTGTCGAGCTGGGCGAACGATTCACATACTTTGGCCTGAGTGCACCAATCCAGAATTACATCAAGTGCGTACAATCGTTCCATGATATAGTGCGTCGAAAACTGACACATCCAGGNAACCCACACAACCCCGAATCCGACCTCCCGGGAGCGCTAGGTAAAGGCCAAGCCGTAGCAACAGCATTAGGTAACTTCTTCAAGTTCTGGGCCTATGCTTCGACAGTGATTGGAGCCATCATTGCAGACCAATACCTTGGCCGATTCAAGACCATCGCAGCAGCATGTGGTGTCTACATCGTGGGTCTTGTCATCTTAGTCACGACATCTGCTCCAGCGGGCATTCAATCGGGTGCAGGGTTCGGAGGCCTGATTGCTGCTATGGTTGTCATTGGCTTGGGCACTGGAAGCATCAAGGCCAACGTCACTCCAATGTGCGCTGAGCAGTACCGACCAGAGACTGCTTACACCAAGAAGCTCAAGTCAGGAGAATGGGTTGTCGTTGATCCAGAGCTGACTGTGGAGCGCATGTTCAACTGGTATGTCGCAAGAACAAGATGGGCTCGAGTGTTATCAAGAAGCTAACATAAGCAAGGNTTCTACTGGGCCGTCAACGTGGGCGCGCTGTCGCCATTGATCACTGTGAACGTCGAAGCACATGTGTCCTTCTGGGCTGCGTATCTGATTCCCTTGGTGTAAATCCTTCAAGCTTCCCCTCTGCGGAGTCAAGTTCGTCTGCTAACAAGCAACAGAGTCATCGTGATTGCTGCAACCGTATTCATCTTGAGTAACCGACTGTTCATCAAGACTCCGCCTCATGGGTCAGCCGTCATCGATGCTGTCCGCATTATGACCATCGCAATTAAAGAAGGAGGATTCGACAAAGCAAAGCCAAGTGCTCTGCAGGCACAGGGGACCATTGAACGTCATGCCTTCGCTCAATCGCCAAACGATACGGACAAGTCTGTCAAGGATGTACAGTCTGGAATCACTGCCTGCAAGGTTAGTCTTAAGCTTGCTTGTCTGATCGTGATTGCAGCATTGACTCGTGGATAGTTCTTCCTTTTTCTCCCTCTTTACTTTGTCTGCTGGATTCAGATTTGGAACAATCTCATCTCACAAGCTGGTGCCATGGCGCTACACGGAACTCCAAATGATCTGCTGCAGAACCTCGATCCGATTGCCTTGATCATCTTCATCCCTTTACTTGACTGTAAGTTCTTGAGAGCGACCAATAAAGCGCGGACATGATAGACTGACGTGTGGATANNAGTCGTGATTTACCCATTGCTTCGCAAGTACAAGATTAACTTCAGTCCTGTTCTGAAGATGACAGCTGGCTTCATGATGGCTTCGTTCTCGATGGTGTACGCAGCCGTGCTCCAGCACTACATCTACATCTCGCCTCCCAACAGTATCCATGTATGGATCCAAGCTCCGGCTTATGTGTTAGTTGCTTTCTCCGAAGCTTTCGTGATCATCACTGGTCTGGAGTTGGCTTACACGAAGGCGCCCACGAGGTATGTGAAACAACCCGATTCCTACTCGCAGTGACAACAACTGACCTTTTCAAGTCTGCGCTCTCTAGTTTCGGCCTTGTTCTGGCTCACAATCGGTGTTGCAGCTGCTATCTGTATTGCTCTTGCACCCGTCTCTCAAGATCCTTATCTTGTCTGGATGTATGCTTCTCTTGGCATAGTTGGCTTTGTTGCCGGATGCGGGCTTTATCTCTGCTTCCGAAACTCTTTTGACGACGTGCCAATCATCGCAGGCCAAGAGGCAGCGAACGTGGAGCTCGACGTGGCCGGTGTGGCCGAGCATGGAGGCAAGCTTGCGGTCGAGGAAGATAGATGGCACAAGTGATTAGTGTTTCCACGTGGCCAAAAAGACCGAGGAGGTTCGATGGTCTATGGCAATGATTTCATCTGTTCATAGCTTATAATTGTTGCTGTTGTTGTAAATTCGTAGTCAGAACATTGTCCAGCCCTTTCCAGAATATACTGTCGATACGCAAGAGTGGAAAACGTAAGATCTCGAGCGATTTTGAGTGCAACCGGATGACTCTTCGAGCGCGGTCAAGAAGTACTTGGCATTCTTGAGCTTCCTCGACACTATCCGCAGATATATGAAGCAGAAGTGCAAGGTTACAAAGAGTGGACCACGCTAAGGTACACCCTGGGACGTTTAATCAGCGAACCCTCTACTTGCTGATTAGGGAAGTAATTGACTTACAAAATGGCCAGAATCCCTGAATCCAACTACTCTTGAGATTAGCCGTGAATGCCACAAAGCTTGTGACGCATGCCTTCGCTCCAGCTCTCGACAAACGATGCGCTTCAGCCTCGCGTGGATCAGATGATGCTGGTTTTGCGTTCCTAGATGTACTTTTGAACGGTCTTAGTATGGCACGGAATAGAAGCACCTTTACGAAGTGACCTCCAAGCAACATAGGGCCTGAGAGATTGACGTCTTCGGATTGCGCTTCCGATTCAATGTCAGAGGCGACTCCTAACCATCGGTTCAGCTCTTCCATTAACAGCTGTACCTTGCGTAGCGTCGTGTCATAATCTCTTGCAAGATTTTGTACCGCTCTCAGCGAACTGTTCATGTCAATATGGTGTGCGAGACATTGACTAGACGCAACACTCACAACAGTGTCGTCAATACTTGGCGCAAGATCAAGGTCAACTCATGCATGTGAACAAAATGCTTCTGCATTGTCGTCTGGTTTTCCTGATGTGAGAAGTCTGTGGATCGTGGCATCGGGACCAGCCAGTCATCTTCTCGTATCAGGCAACTTCGACCCAGTGCCGCGGCATGCCAGATATCGATCATTTCGACAGTCCATGATAAGCGCTTTCGAAGGTCAACTTCTGTGAGCGGAATGTTCCAATGGCTTGGATCAAATTGCAAGCCCAGAGTCTGAGACATTGTCACCATTGTACCAACAAGTGACCACTTCGTCGAATAGTCTGGCATCAATGGGTTGTGCGATGGCGCAACCAGAAGCAGTATCACTGTCTGTAGTGTAGCAAAATCTGACCGGTGCAACTTTCGCTGAACAGTGGCTAAGGCGAGGTTCCACAACTTCCCTGCATCTGGCAAATCGTATGCTATCTGGACAGAGAGATAGTCGTCAAATGCAGCGAACGAGAGTGTGACGAGATAGATCGCAGCAAGAAGAGAAGGATCTGTTTGTTTTGGATCCGGGAACTGTGTCAAAGGAATCACGGGAACGTGAGGATATACGAATTGGTAGTACCTACAATCGTCAGCCAAGCTCAACAACTTCCCGTTCGTGTACACGTAGTCCATACAGGGAGATCAATCTGATGCCAACATCAGGCTCTACCAGTTGTTCCAAGTGTCCTCGAGTGGTGTTGTCGTCTGAGTCATCGACGTCTTCGACCGCGTTCGTTACAAGCAGTTGAACAGGATGAACGTCCTGCGACATTGATCGCACAGAAAGCCGTTTGAAAACAAAGCTGTTATCAGGACCAAAGTTGTATCGTCGCATAAGATAGGGGTCCATATCCCCCGTGAGGCCGCAAACTATACTGGGCATATCTCTCTGTGATTGATTGGGAGATGGAAGAGCGATTTGCTGTGCCATTGCTTCGTCCGGAGAAGTATTCATGTGATTGAGAGCCTGCATGTCGATATCGATCATGGCTTGATCAAGCCAGAAGCCATCTTGAGGATCAGTCATAGCGTTAGATAAAAGGAAGTCGGGTGCTAGATCGTCCAGATGCTGAATGCCATTGTACTGAGTCTTAGCGCCCGGCAGCTCGCCCGGCGGCTGCTGTCCAAATTGTATATTGTTGGCAATCCCAGCTTCGGGTTGTTGACTAGCCATCACCGAGCCAGCGGTTCCAGATGATGGATGATTGTCTCCATTCGGAGACACGTGCGACACGGTCCTTGTATCATTGCGCGTTGTCGATCGAGGAGTCCTCTCGAATGTGCACTCACGTCCGGAAAGATGGCAGAGCCGACATGGTGGCGAGGATTCAATTCGACACGCGCTTTTTCTTGCCCTGCAGCTGTCGCATGCTCGCTGTGACTTGCTCATGTATTTACGCATCGCCTTGTCATGATGTCAAGAGTTTGGTAGATTGAGAAGGAACGGCCGACATGCAGTTCTCAGCTCGCTGGCCAGGCTTGGCAGAGTCAAAAGATGCTCCGTGTTTACCACTGGCCACAGAGTGTCTCGACACACAAACCAGACCACACTGTCGAATAATAGCTCTGGTTTCTTCGACACATTTGTGATCAGGTCGAGTATTACGACTTGATTGGGATGAGACGCAATTGCTGCTCGTAACGTAGCGACCAGCCGAGAAAACCCCACCAAGAATTTCGTCAACCCGCACGCTTCTTTGCGAGAACACTTGAATTAGTCGCAAATACGTCCAATGCGACTACAAATGCATTACTGGCTCTGAGCCTCTGATTTTATGGGTAAGGCATCTACGAACGCCGAAATCGATGGCCATAAGCACGATCGCCTCATCCTCGCCCGTCGCAAGATCCTTCAAATACCATGTGCTTGTTTCAAGACCTCACAAGTATCATCAATGTACTGCCGGCCTTTACTCAGCCCCTTTTGCGGATGGATATAGTGCCCGAAAGCATGAGGTACCCCCGAATAACACTTCTGAGTCACCTTGTTGCCACTTTGGGCCAGCAACTCCCCATACCTATGCGCTTCATCTCGACAAATGTCGAACTCAGCTGTGATGATATGTGTTGGAGGAAGATTCTCAAAAGACTTTGCCAATATCGGCGAGGCCATCCAATCCTCACACGCACCCTCTCTTAGACCTGCAACAAATTAATTCGATTGCCATCGAATGAAGGGGTTCTGTTACTCACCTTTTGGAATCCAATAGTCCAGAAACCATTGTTCTCTCTTCAAACCACCCCACGGCGCTTCCTTGTACAAGACTGTACTTGGATACTTCTTTGCGACCTCCGAACGAAGCGGTTCTTGTGCGATCAACCACCTAAAGTCAGTCGAAGGTACAACCATCAATGCCAGCTTGAGTTCGAGCCCTGCGTCGCGCGCCATATGCGAAAGAACGGCAGACATGTGTCCTCCTGCTGAGAGGCCACCGATTGACACCCGACCTCCATCCACATGCAGCTGCTGTGCATGTGATATCACCTGGGAACTGTCAGACTATGATCGAGAATCGCAGAACTGACCTACCCATTGTATGGCGTCCCAAGAATCATATATCGCCGCTGGAAACACGAACTCGGGTGCCAGTCGGTAACCAACATCTACAACCACGATCCCAATCTTTTTACAGACGCTGCGGCACCAAGCAGCTTCGCTTTGAAAACCACCCAGTACCCATCCTCCTGGTCCGGATTAGAAAGACATTATAATCTTGATTGGTCGCATACTAACCGCCATGATAGTTCATATGCACGGGGAAAGGTCCAACACCTTCTGGTGTATACACCCGAATCTTGATCTGACCAGCAGGCCTTGTTACGGGTATTTCAAAGTCGTCCTCTTGGTACACTTGGGGTCCTGGCAAACTTCAGCACTCGTGCGTATGACAAAGAAGCTTTACTCACCAGCCCAGGTTGGATATGTGAAGCTGTATTTCGCAGGATTTTGGCGGACTTCCTCAATAGGGACTTCCTCAGCTTGGCAATGGCGTCCACCATGAGTGTTCCATATCTCAGCCCACTCCGGGTCAAGTTTGTCGAGCCATTGTTTCGGTGCTTGATGAGTAGAAACTGCGGCCTTGGCCACGGTCGAAGGTGGGAATCTTGTCATTGTCAAATTTTGCTGGATAGCAAGGGCTTCTGGTTTGATATTGTCAAACGACCGTTCCACAGTAGGTCAATAGAGTAGGCAAATAGATGTAGGGATTCTTGTTGGCTGCCTCTTTCTTTTCCCTCTGTCCGTCGATTTTGCTTGTCATGCTTGATAAACCCATTATCAATCGTACGGCGGATCTGATAGGAGTGCCAAGACAAGGATACCTATCGGTGCTTCCGGCAGCTGATAGGCGGCGACGCCGTCGAGCCGATCGCCCTCCGTCCTGACTCTTCTCCGCACCTCCTTCCGCCTGCGAATGCGCTTGAGACCCGTTTACCGGAGGTCAGGTCGATCGGACGGCCGGAGGCACTCCTGAGCAGATGCGCAATTGAAATGTAGCATGGGCAAGAGCTATCGGCTGATGTGTAATGATTCACCCACACCGGCGGACTGTCACGATGAGCTGTTTCTTCTGTGATACAAGACAAAACATAAACCTTGTCCAGCTACACCATCTTGTGATATCGAAAACTTTTCTTGAAACCCTTGAATCGTCATCATCTACTCACGAACACATCTCAGCGACAAGATGCAAGACTCAATAGTGATCGTTGGGTAAGTCTTGGTCCATGACTCGATGACCATCAGTTCAGCAGAATTTACAATGAGATAGAGCTGGTGTAATAGGGCTTGATGTAGCTCTCGTTCTTGCCGAGGATGGCTACGGCCACCACATCACCATCGTTGCGCAACATCTGCCTGGAGACACTTCCATCGACTACACCTCGCCTTGGTAAACCATAGATCTTTCGGAACATCTATCGAACAGCGACTGACATAGAGATCAGNNGGCCGGTGCAAACTTCTCTGCGATATCCGGAAGCGACAAGAATGCCCTGATTTGGGACAAGGCTGGCTACAAGCGTTTGATGAAGCTCGCATCGACAGAAGGACCCGCGGCTGCCATCGGAAAAACACAATCGTTCGAATACTGGGATGAAAAGCCCGTCGAGCAGAAGCTAAGCTCGCTTGCAGACTATCTTGAAGACGTAAGATTATCGCCCTCGTCTGGACTGTACATTGTGTTGTTGACTCTGCCGAATTAGTTCACTGTTCTGCCCTCAGATCAACTGATTTCCGGAACTGCTTACGGCGTCTCGTTCACAACAGTCACAATAAATGCACCTCGGCATATCCAATATCTGAAGAGCAAGCTTGAAAACCTCGGTGTTCGATTTTTCCGTCGCAAGCTCGAACACCTGGACCATGGCTTCCTTAGTGAGCGAACCAAAGTTGTGTTCAATTGCACAGGAAATGCCGCTCGACACTTGCCAGGCGTTCAAGACCAGAAGTGCTTTCCGGTCAGAGGTCAGATCTTGCTTACACGAGCGCCCCAAATCGACACGAACATCATGCGACATGGCAAGGATTACGAAACCTACATTATTCCACGTCCATTCTCGAACGGCAATGTCATTCTCGGAGGATTCATGCAAAAGAACAATNNGGGTAGGCTTGTAATTACTGATCTTGGTTGTAACATACACTAATATTTCGGCAGTACTGGAGACACGTTCGCCCACGAGGTCGAGTCCATCTGGCAAAGAACATCGACTCTCGAATCAGCCTTGGACGCACCTGAAACAGAGGTCCTTGCGACATTCGCTGGACTTCGGCCTGGCAGGCACGGCGGTGCACGCATCGAATCGGAAACACGAAGCGCTGGACGTCTGCTCGTTCACAATTACGGAGCTGGAGGAACCGGCTATCAAGCAGGGCTTGGAATGGCCATGGAGGCTGTTGGTCTTGCGCTACCTCATTTAACCAACGCTTTGAAAGACTCGGACGTCGTCGATCTCGTGGCTGCTGAGAAGGCAGTGGTTCGGGCAAGTCTGTAGTGTAGACCTTGCTTGCTTGATGTCGTTATCAACCGTCTGCCGGCCCCTGTACGTCAGATTGAACTTCGTTTGCGTAGACTCCTATGTCGTCATTTCAGACCTCCTGATATTGCTGACTACGTCCAACGACCCCATGATCCCTTTCTTGCAGCCCGCAGATCATCAACGTTCAAGACACTGGCACCCTGCTGCAGCAGCACTTGCCAAATCTGATCGCGCAGTGAACGTGGCCATCTGGGCGTACCCCAGTATCTGGATCTCAGTCCCCTGGTTTCAGCCTTGCGTATATGCTGTGCGAGTTCTTCAATCTGGTCTGGAGTGACTGCAAACCAGAAAGAAATGCTTCGATCAACAGCCTTGACATTGCTGGATGCGTACCATGAGTTGCTCGGGTTGTACTTGTAGCGTAGCACACCAATGTCCCAATCTGACGAGGTCGCTGCAGGTGATGTGTTTGTTACCGGATCGCCATCAGCTTCTAGGGCTGTCAATGGGGCATCGTAGAAGACATCACGATATGTCGTGTTGGAGTTTGCGATCACATCAAAAGGTGCGTTGCCAGATACGACTATAGTGATCGGTCGCTCCACACGATTCGTTCCATTCCAGTGCGTGAGCCATCCGGCATTGCGAAGTCCTTCCAGCTGTTCGTGCAATTTCAGGTATGTCTCCGGACCATTGGTCTTGAAATCAACGAGCAGAACAAGTGTTTGTGCTGAATCGGTAGCAAACACGCCTTGCTTGCCATCACTGGCCACGCTTCCGATGACCGGATCTCTGTTCGCCGCTTCCAGGATACGATGTAGAGGGTTAAGATACATGGTCTTGAGTGTGGACCGAGGAGTCAAGCTCTTCACGCTATGACCGACGAAAAAGTCATCGTCGAATAGCCACACATCTGCTTCGACGCTGATACAGCCCGAGGCTAGTGCGGCATATAATGGTGTTGAACGCCAATAGTCATTATGTGAATGACACGGCACGGGAAGCACGTTGTGCAGAAATGAGTATTGTCGGTTCTCGAACCTCGATGATGAGAACGTGTTTGCATGGCCATTCTTGAAGATCACATCATACTCGTCGCGGGTATGAAATGAGGGCAAGAGCCATAACAAGAAGCTGCGCTGTGTCAGCTGGTTGCTCATGCCACAGCGTAGTTTGACGATGGATAAGCTGACAGTATGATTGAGCAGGTTATCACACTTGCGAGTATAGGTCGTTTCAACCCTCGACAACTGATGCCAGAAAGCCTTGGCCGTTGGTATTGGAAGCGACTAGTCACACTCTCGAGGTCGTCGTGGAAGTTTTGCTCCTGATGGCCTTTGAGAACGAATTCGGCCCAGTCTTCTTCTACTTTATGCATTTTCCCTTGTTCAAGGAATGTCCAGAGGCTTTGATCAATGCGTTCGAGGTCGATGGAGTCCAAGGTCATGTTACTGCTTTTTGTTCTCCGTAAGTGTAGTTCCGACAAGTCGAGATGACAGGCAATGCTGCGGTATCAATTGAGCACATTCGCATCATATTTATTCAATTTCATTGGTACCATATCCCTTGCTTACCGGAGCAAACGATGATATATCTTGCTTTGCTGGGAATACGAGGGGCCATTGTTCAGAAGGTGACGCGTAATCAACGGCTCCCCAAATCACGCGTCAGGTTGTGGTACCGCAATTCGCGACAAATGCCAACGAGCTAGAATGTCACTCGAATGTTCCTGGGGCGGGATTAAGGATGAACATACTTTCGGCTAGCGACTTATCAAGAGATCTCCAGGGTGCAGAGTGCAGAGTGCAGAGTGCAAGGGTGCATAAGAGTCCTCTACTGTATGGGAAAGTCGCGACCAAGCTACGGTTTTCGATTGAACCACCTTCCCGTATGTTTGGGAAATCATGTGTCAACGAACAACCACGGCCCGGACTCGAGTCCAGGCATGAAAGACCACAAAACTCGGAGTGATGTCCAAGTCGATATACTTCTCCACGAGATAAGCCTATACAAGCTTTACGACAGCCGAGGACCAAACCATTGGTGAAAGTTAAACCATCTGCATCTCCAAAAGCACGAGCTGACCCGTTCTACAAGCGCTGACTATATTCAGGGTGCACATATACCATGAAGATCAAGTTTGCTGGTTAATAAGAGAGATTTCAATGATACCACCACGGAGCTCTAGATCCAAGGGTGAGCCCAGGACCTACATGAGCTGCAATAAAACCACTCACCGATAGGCTCAGCTCGGCTTGCGGTATTTTTATGCCTCGTAACATCTCGTACGTTGGGCAACTCTGTCCAGGCCAACGAGTTTCTCCTGCAGGAGCATCTGCCATCATCCTCTGCTCCCTGACATCGTACATAACAACTGCGTGCAGGCTTGACTTGATTTCTCACGTCAAAGAGTGGTAGGGATGGGTGAGGAGTAGTGAAAAGAAGCTTGGCATATGACACGAAATGCTTGTCATTGAATTGATAGTAATGTAGTCTACTGAGAGCAATGAGATAGAGACGTTATCACCCAGCTTGTCAACTCCCCAGCGCCGCGCTTATGACATGAACCATTAAAGTATAACTCCGCCCTTGTTCTTGAATGTCGTGAAATGAGTTGATATCTCACATCTTCACGCGCAAGAGGTAGCGCAGGCGGACTTGAGCGATATCGTAGCAGATGTACTCGTTGTACTGGAGGTAAGCGCCAGGGACATTGGTATTGCCAGGGTTCTTGGTGGTGTCGGGNNCTATATGAAGTTAGAACGAGACAAGCCCGAGGGATGTTGGAAGAGAACATACCATAGTTGCACCAGTGAGAGAGGGGTGAATGCATCCTGCGTCTTTCCAAGCTTTGGGTGCGGTTTGACCTTGACCCCAAGTGGAGAAGGCGCCCATTTCTTTGGCGGTCTCGGCTGCTTGGTAGCTGGCATTGGTGAGAGTCTGCATCGGCTTGCCCAGTTCAGCCTCGCAGAGGAGGAGCAGTGCATGACCGTCTGAATCGTAAGAGGAACAGTAGTTGGCACTTTTGCTGCTCATGTCGGCCAGATAGATACNCCTGTCGTATCGGTCAGAAATTGCACTGAAATGTGGAAGCAAACAACATACCTTGCCGAACATGTAACCATTGACAGGAGCTTCGGGCGGAGCGATGCGAAGGCCTTGACTGAGTATGCCACCATAGTTAGTCGAGCGAGAACTTTCCGACATGTTAGCTGTAGTTTCTGAAGAACGTAATCCAAGAATCAACTTACCNNCATGCCACAGGAGGCGACGGTCACTTTCAACGGTAGCATACTTGCTCTTGTCGAATCTCTCGAATTCTCCCTCGCGCTGGATGCGGAAGATGTCCTGCACTTCGTACTTAACGGCGTGTGTCGAACCGCAGGTCTTGTGGAGGTACTGGTTGATTTCAATGAATTCTGAGCTGGATGGCTCGAGGACCTGCATCTCTTGCATACCGAGACCTTGGAAGCGCGAGTCGAGAGGGTGGATTTGACTGGCCGCCTCCTTTGCCTTCTTCAAGATCTCATCGGCGTTTTTGAGATCGCTCAAGCTGTCCAGCAATTCTATCTCTGGTTTGAGCATATCGAGTGTGCGGATGATAGGTGGGCGGTTCCTTCCGAACGAGTGAGGAATGTAGCTGTAGTACTGGTTGCTCAGCTCCTCGTAGCCATCCAGGTCTGGAGCAAGTGATGTATCGCTCATCAAGGCAGACAGCTCCTTAAGGATCTCGAAGCCTTTGGTGATGGTGGCTTTGCTGAGCTTTCCCAAAGGAAGCTTATTGACATCGTAGTTGAGTGATTGCATGGTATTGGCAAAATGCTTTTGGTTGAAGATGAGCTCCATGAGCGACTGGATAGGCAGATCCAGTGTGCATTTGGGTGGCGTATATTTGGCATCTCCATCGTCGCCATCAGGAGAAGCGCCGGACTGAGCAGGAGCTTCGTCGTCGTCGGCAAGGTAGCTGCGTTCGACGAAGACATACTTCTTAGGCTTGGGTTTCTCGCCTCTGTCGTTCCATCTGAGGCCAGATTTGTCCTTGAATTNTTTGTCGAATTGGCCAAAAGCATCTCCAAGAGAACCATCACCGAGCATGGCGGATTGTCCGTGCTCGCCAACGCAGCCCCAGCGGGTCCATGTCTGGTATTTCGTGCCAGAGCTACTCTGGAGGAGCTNGGGGAGATATATCAGCACCGTCAAACTGGGAAGATAGAGAATCATCCATACCTGAACACGGTAGAATTTGTTGTTGTTGTTTGAAGCATTGGTCTGGTTGAGCGAGGCATCGTAGATTATACCGGTGTCGGGGTCAACGAAGACGTGCCAACCAGAAGAGACACCCTCATCGATGGGGATATCGAGGTTCGCTCCTGCTGGTGCGAACTGAGCTTCGGTGATCTTGGGAGTGGGTTTGACAGTGTCGGTTGGAGTGTCGGCGGCAGCAGTAGGCGGCTCTGGCTTTGCCTTTTTCGGCTGTTTGGCCCGAGTGGGGGCAGCTGGCACGGGCGAGGACGCCTTTCTCTTTGTCGACGAGCGCGTGCTTGTCTTCACTTCAACATTGGCATCATCAGCATCAGCATCTTCTTCCTCATCATCATCTTCAGCTGGTTGTCCTGATGCAGCATCGTCTTCCTCGAGAGCGTCAATGATCAGCTGTTTCTTGGAGAGTCCTGTGGCCGAGAGTCCGCGTTGCTTGAGGAGGTCCTTGAGCTCGGCGACTTTGAGCTTTGAGTAGTCCATGACAGTGGTTATTGTGCAATCCGATCAATGCGAGTTCGTTGGAGCAGTGATTAAAGGATGAGCTTGCCAATTGCAACGTAGGCCAAAGGATTATTTGAAGGAATCGAGTTGAGTTGCAGTGAGTCGGGATAGCAGGCAGAAGCAGCAGCCTTGGCGGAGAAGGTGCGACGCTGCTGCCCGCTGCTGCCTCAGGACCACGCGCGCCACGCCATTTCCGCATGCAGTTCGTCACCTCATCTGGTCCATCCTTTGAGCTCTGTTATACAGTGCCTCTGCGCACACGAACAACCTCAATTATTGCTTTATTCACTTCTGCATTCACAGAAACTTTCCCAACCATGGCTCTCGTCGACTTGCCACCTGAGCTGCTATTGCGCGTAGCAGCCTTCCTCACTACCTCTGAGCTTGGCCATTTCAGACTCGCTTCGAAACACATCGAAGCTGTCTTGTGTGAAAGCTTCGCTCGCGAGTTCTTCACGAAAAAGCAGTTCATGCTGGAACAACCCAGTCTCCAAGCTTTGCTCGATATTTCCAACCATCCAACTCTTGCCTCTCGCCTCTCCGAGGTCGTCATCAGTACCCACGTCCTTCCTCCAGACCCAGAAATTGTCACTTCGACTGGAAAGGCCATGTACGAGGCTGGCTACGTCAGTCACGACGTCCTCATGGCTACCGGTCAAGCTCTCCATATGTTGTCAACCGCCTTCTCCAAACTGCCAAACCTGCGTACAGTGGGGTTACGAGACTACAACGGATTGGGTCGTTATCGTGACGGACAATCAGCTACTTGGAAAAGCTGGGGCTGGTCTTTTGGCTGGGATGGCCTACCTACTTACGACCCAAACGACAGGATTGGCCAGCGAGCACTCATGATCATGCCACCAGAGCCTGTTCTGCCTCTCCTGTTCTATGCTCTAGGCCAAGCCAAAGTCTTGCCAGAAAGTATCCACGTCTTTCTGCGCAAGCGCGCAAAGCTTACTCAGCAATCTTTCAACATCCTTGATGGATACCTGGGCGACAAGATCGGACCTGTACTGTGTAACACGAAGGACTTGATGTTGGCTATCGGAAGCGAAAGAACAGGCTATTCTTCTCTTCTAACTGCTCTACCGACGAAACCGGGAGTTTCCACCAATGCACCTCTTTCACGCCTGCTGCAATGCACGCCCAAGCTCGAAACCTTGCGTCTGAACTTCGAACAGGGCCAGCCGGCTTACTCTGGTTTTCTGGATTGGCTCGGATCGCCAATTCCGAATACCCAAATCCTCTCTTCAGGTCCAGTTGCCGGCCCTGTCTCATTGCCTCGATTGACTGCTCTCGAACTGGGCATGGTCACCGTTTCGAGTGCGGCTCTGTTCAATGTCCTCACCAAGTTCAACTTGGAGTCTTTTAGCCTGTGGAAAGTCCAGCTTCACGCTTCATCGGCTAGCGAGCCTGAAGACTGTTGGCAAGCACTACTCAACGATCTCGCAGCTGCTCTACATGANAAAACATGTCTCAAATCTGTACTCGTCGGGTACCCTTCGCAGCTGCATTGCGGCAGAAGTGACATGGAACAAGTCTGCTATTTCAAGCCTGTCGGAGCTGGCGAGGAGGACACTCCTGGACTGATGTCGGAAGCTAAACATCACGCAGGACCAGGTACAATTATGGGTGACTGGTTGCAAGAGCTATCGAAGCGGACGTATATTCCGCCTGCGGAGGATGACTCAGATTCCGACGGAAGACTTTGGGATGTTGATGGAGGACTCGGGGACAGCGACGACGACAACAACGGGGATGAGGATGATGATCATGATGATGACGACGAAGATAATGAAGCAGACGTTTGAGATGAAGATGGCTCGTCGTAGCCACGCCGAGTATAGTAGCTTCTAGTAGCTTGGCTGCTGCAGACAATGAAGGTCTCGAAGCGGAATGGATGCAGCAATGCAAATTATCATGTCCAGCGGTGGTCTTTGTTCTGCAAGAACTTTCTTGACTGTCACAGTCGAGTTTAAGGTTTCGGCTAGATGGAGTATGCTTAAGTCGGTTGCAGTGTTGATGATTTGTTGTTGTTCACAGATTGCAAGACCAAGAAGCCAAGAACAGCGGCTTCTTCGGGGAATTGAAGCTGCAGAAGTGTTATAGCACATGGATTAATACGAAATTGGGTATCGGGTTCGGCTTTCTCTTCAGACTAGATCCTCAAGCGGTCAGTGAGTGAGATGGACGTACGTCGGTACGAGATGTCGCGATGTCACCATGTCGCATGAGCTGTCTTGGCAGTGACATACTGGAACCTGTGCCACGTGCAAGCGCGCTACGTGTAACCGTCGGGGGTTTGTCATGGCCTGCTGTTATCATCTGTCGACAGCGATTGTGTTTCTGAACGAGAAATGTTGCCTTGCAGACTTTTGTTCCTGCAAAATTCACCAACTCTGGCAATTCGAACTTTACCCCGAGCGCATTGGACAGCACCACGATACATTGACCTACCACTACGTCAATACTCCATCATGTCTGGCCAACGTGTTCATGGCGACTTGAACAACACCGAAGTCATGCGAGAGACCAATTTCCTGGTGCCGGACCCTGCTTACGATGGAAAAACATTGGCTATCCCTGAACAAGAGGACGACGCAGCAATCAGATCAAAATACAGACCATTCCTCACAAGCCCCGAAGTGGCAAGCAGCGACTGGATCTCCCAATCCGAACTCAGCACCGCATTAAAAATGTCTGAAGCAGACATGGCAAAGACTGGAGGTAACAGACTCAAAATTTTGATGCTATATGGCAGTTTGCGGGAAAGGTTAGATCCATAGATCTCGAGAGTTGATGAGATCAAAGTTGCTGATAAGAGATGTTTATCNAGATCGTATTCGCGCTTGTTGGCTTTTGAATGCTCGCGCATACTTTGGCGTTTGGGTGCTGATGTTCGTGTTTTTGATCCTGCTGGATTGCCGGTCAAGGATGATGTTCAGCATCAACACCCAAAAGTGCAAGAGCTGCGTGAGTTGAGTAAATGGAGTGATGGTCATGTTTGGGTATCTCCTGAACAGCATGGCAATCTAGTATGTACATCTACTGGACATGGAATTGATTCGTCGCTAACCCCCATAACANNGACCGCAGTATTCAAGAATCAAATCGACTGGGTCCCGCTGAGCACAGGCTCCGTAAGACCAACCCAAGGACGCACCCTAGCAATCGCTCAAGTTTCTGGCGGTTCACAATCCTTCAACACCGTCAACTCTCTCCGCATCCTCGGTCGCTGGATGCGCATGTTTGCAATCCCTAATCAGTCTTCAGTACCCATGGCGTATACCCAATTCACCGATGCACACGACGAACAAGATCACGACGCTTTCGTCAAAGCGGAAGGTGGAAGCAGACTTAAGCCTTCTGGCAATCGAGATAGAGTCGTCGATGTCATGGAGGAACTGTTCAAGTACACCCTTGTCATGAGAGAACACTTTGATCTATTCGGCGATCGACACAGCGAGCGAAAAGAGAAAGAGACCAAACGATTAAGAGAGGTCGAAGTCACCAAAAAGGAAGAAAAGGCAGGGCAAGAAGGCAATGCAACGAGCATGATCACTGCAAAGCTCGTCAACGGCATTGATGTCAACGGAATCTGAAAGACGAGAAAGAGTCAATTTTGAGCGCCTGCCATGAGGGTATCATAAAGTCCACCGAAAGAACCCCAACCCAAAGCCGAATAAGTTACAAGAATAGAAATGAATAAACATGAAAGTCATACATGACTCAAGCTCACAGACCCAGGTTGACAATCCTGAAGCCACGTTCTTTGGCAAAAGACACCCAATCGACTTCAGCAGCATTGCCACCGAAATCGGCTCTTGCCCTCTGCTCCGCACACACTGCTTCGAGTAGCTCTCGAGATTTGGTGACATTGCAGCTAATGCCGGTGCCTTCCATGGCGCGCATGATACCAATGGCACGGTTCTTGTCGTGGTCGTTGGCGCTGTTTACACCGGCCAAGAAGACAGAGAAGATAATGTGGTGTTGCTCAGTACCCCTTTCTGCGACCACTAGGGCAGCCATGGAGAGAATGTGACGACAGTGGTTGGCGACTTCCTTGCGTTGGGTCGATGTCATGTAAATACGTTGACCACGATACATGCTTGTGTGCAGATACACCATGGTTGTAGAATATTGAAGAGATGCNNCTAGAGTTACTGTCAGCCTTCTGTCTCGCAAGTGCAACATTCTGCCCGGGCAGGTGAGAAGAAAAAAAGAAAAAAAGAAAAAAAGAATAAAGCTTACAAAGTCAAACACTGTTCGAGCAAGGGTCGGCAGTCTTGTCCCAGCTTCTGGCGAGTCCCGAGGTAGAAAGGTTGGGTACCTGGAATTCCAAGACAAGCACAGCTCATTTCTGAATGTTGCCACAGCGTCTTGATGTTCAGCGATACTGCCACGACCGGCTTCAACATCTTCCCGCATTCGCAATGCCAGCTGGCTCAGTTCGGCAAACCGCGTGCACATAAGTTTACTGAGACCAGACACAGCAGATAGACCTGCTATCTCTAGATTAGGTTGCTGTGTTGAGCTTTCCGGTTTGCGCCAGGTCGGTAGACTTGCGCCGTGCATCAAATATGTTCGGACGAAAGCCCCAGACTCTGAATTTCCAGTCAGGCACGACTGTGCATCCAAGAAGAGGGTATACCAAAGGATATATGCTTGTAACTCTGTGACTTCGGAGTTGTCTCGGGAGTATGCTAGGCGAGCGAGTTGTTGGAAATGCTGTGACCACATGACCCCATCCGGTGAGCAGTTCTGAGTCGCGCAACAGATGTCGTAAAGAAGAAGGATAAAGTGAAGATATATGAAAGAGCCTTGTGACATGTCTGTGCTTGATATGCATGCGGAAATGGCTTGCTGATAGTGTTGGAAGGCTCCGGCTAGGAGGTGTCGTTGTCCTTTGAGCGCCAGGCTCAGCAATGTAATGGCGCAAATTGCGTGATATANACTAGTCGTTCGTTAGCAGGGATCTCTTGCTTGGATGTAAACAGAACTCACAGGTGGGAAAGATCGTGATTCTGAAACAATAAGATCCTCTTGGCCATGTTCGATCAGTCGGAATCTCGATCCAAGGGGCATCATCCTCTTGGATATGAACTCTTTGTAATGTGCCATGACTTCATCAACGTCTGCCGTTCCATTATTCGTAAGGTCCCGTTGGACTGATGGGGTATAAGAAGCTTGAGTCGTGTAACTTGCGAACGAAGACTTGCGTTCGGGAAGGGCCATGAAATAGGGTGTGTCCTCAAATTCGGAAAGAACAATCAGGTTGGGGTCTTCCAAGAAGCCATACCTTGAAGATCCGCTTCCGCTTCGATATCGTCTGATCAGTCCGCCATATTCTGGTAGTCGACCAAAGCTCTCTGGTGTGAGGATGACGTTGAAGGTCCCGGGAGGTTGTGTCAAGGCCTTTCTTTCTCTTTCGTCTTCGTTGCTGAGTTCGGTGAATGGCGGTAGTGTGGGCTGATGTCTAGTATATAGTTGACGAGCCATCAGGCGTGCTTGGTTCTTCTCGTCCCACGATGGACTTCCGGCAACCGATACGTGCTTATGTCTCCGTCGTGTGCGTACGCTCAAGTCGTCGAATTTCCATCTCTGGCCCCATTCGCAATCTTTCCCTAACCGGCTACATGACGCGCATACCGGTCGAACCTCGTCACATTTGACCTTTCTCTGGCGACATGTCCAGCATCCATTCCTTGATCTCGGTTTCGATTGTCGTGTGCCCGGTCGACGTGGTTCGCCAATTGCCGAATCGACGTCTGAAGTCGACCCCGATGACTGTGATTTGGAGGGACTGGAACCGAGTACCGGACCTGCGATCACTTGGTGCCCTGATCGCTTCGGAGGAATTGTGAATACAGCGTAACGACTCATGACCTGAAAGTCCCGAAGAGCATGGGGCAGCGAGCCCTTGTGATGATGTTATTTGACAGCGGCGGTGTTGCGGGCGTTTGAAGCCGGGCAGTATTAATGGTGAGACTGTCGGTGGTCGTAAGACAGAAGCATTAAATTCGGAAAGAGATGTCGACAAATATGAAGCTACAAGTACAGCCTTGAAGAATGGATAAGCTAAGTGTGTAGTGTTCGAAGGATTTCAATTTGCTCCTTGAAACAGGGCACATATGGATCGATGGGCCTTGGGATCAACTGTTTAAGTTCACTTAAGTTGCACCCTGATGTTCCCTTGCAAGTTGCTCGGGACAAGAAATTCGTAGCTTTTGGGGAAACTGCAGAAGCTTAAACAGCGTTGCGCTAACGCACCTCACCGTGCGGCATGCGGCATGCGACGTGCCTCTGTACATGCCGTTAACAACCTGATCTGCTCAAACTTTGGTTCCATCTCCGTACTGTGCCTTTGACGTCAATCCCGGCTGCCGCGCCAAACGCTTCATGTACTGTATGCTTGTGCTTGGACTGTTTACACGGAGATACTCAAGAAATGGCGGTGGCGCTGCTGGTACAACGGATGACCGGTAGCTTTGGCGGCTATACCCCGGACTAGACACCGACTGTGTCGAGCTTTTCCTACTGCGAAAAACACAGCCACCGTTGACATCTGTCGTTTGTCTGCATGGCTCAAAGCAGATAAGCCGTTCCCAGAAGAGGTCAGAGCGCCAATATATGATCCCTACAACCATCATTTCAGAAATCAGATGAAGCAGTGTGTAGGAGTAGCTACGAGTCTGTGACCTCCGAGTCTAGATCTGACTTGGATTGGTAGGGCTGAAATGGAGGTGACCTGCTAGTCCAATCCTTCAGGCTTCAGGTCAAACAGACACCGCTGGGGGAGCGTTGTAAAATCATGAACGCGTAAGCAATGAGGATATGCAAGTCGAGGTGGATGCAACCATGGAAAAATGTAGCATCTTTTCCAGAAAAAGGTGCTGTTCAGGGCTGCAGGTTTGCAGAGTTCGAGACCTGTGACTACATAGAAAGGACGTTTACGGTGTGCGGTGTGCAGGCGTTTCACTGATCTCCAGGTGGAGTGCACTTACATTTTCGGCTTCAAGCCAGGCGTCCGCGACGGGGCAGCCACGTGAGATTACGCATCGTAAATTCGGCAATCGACGGCGTCTGCAGGTCATGCTTGCTACATTGGGTGATTGCGAGGGGATTTGCAGAGACCGGCCGGAGCATGGAGAAGGGACGCTTCGGCGGCGAACCTGAGTCAGCCCGATCTGTGTCAACTCGGAAGTCGCCTGTTCATCGGTCCGGGTTATAAGAGTAGGTACCGAGCTAACAAACGGCTCCAGTATGACAGATCTTCCATCAAAACCCGAGCAGCTGCATCTGTTTTCGTTCAGTCAGTTAGGGCTGAGCAACCAAGTGTTGCCGCCGGACGTTGCGGCCCTCTTGAGATGCGTTCGATCAGTTTACTCCATCGGACCGACAGGGGTTATAAAAGTAGGTACTGAACTAATACACGGCTCGACTCCAGTAGGATAGATCTTCCATCGGACCGACAATGCAAGGACGCTTTTTAGATGTAACATATATCCCTAGAGACGATTGTTCGAAGGAGAAGTTAGCGAAGATCTCGAGAAGAAGCTTCGACCCCTGACACTCATGCCATGTGGGAATGAGGCTCGGGGATACTGAAACAGGCGCTTGCACCGGTACGCTGGAAAGCATGCCAAAGAAAGACTCAACTCAATAAAGCCATCATCGCCATGTGTTTTGCGGGAGAAAAGGCTGAACTTTGATGCCTCGACCTCATCGTGCATAGCAATAACAATAAATCCGCGGACGCGCCCATGCTTGCAGCTGCCGGGCACAAGCTTTTCACGAAAGGGGTATGGAAGCAAGGGGCTCGTGGTCGAACCATGCAACTGCACCGTCAGAACCCATCTCTACACGAGCCCCACTCTATTTGACGATCGTAACAGAGTTTATCGGTACAACGAGGTCCCGCCGCAACCCCAGTTGTTCGCTTATAACGAACAAGCTCAAGAAGCAGTTTGAACTTTGAAGCCTTGCAAGCCAGGACAGTCGAGAATATGCAGGGAGCCGAAAAGACGCTGCTGTCGCTGTCATTTGTCAAACTATGATTACCTCTTCGTTTCGCGTGTTTCCCGGGATGTCAGTGGTCTTGACCTCGAGTAACAACCTTTTCTACAAGCGAACATAATCGATTTCCCGTCTCAATGTAGCTTTGGGATACATCCTGCTTGTGATGAGAAACGACATAGAATGACCCCTCTCGCAAGGTTCAACAGTTTGCGCAAGGTCCACGCTCCGAACACTACCTTGTCTGACTCAGTAACAGAAAGAACATCGGATCAACACCCTAATTGTGCGTAACTCATACGCCTTGTCAAGATATTGTGCTAGCGTCTCTTGATGCCCAAGTCGTCAGTGTTCTTGACATTCTTCATCTCCGCAAAATATCACCACTTAAAGTCAATCTCTTCAACTCCACAAGATCAACGGGTCAAGGCTTGCCCTCATCAATGCCCTAGAAGCTCCGCCACAGAGATGACTGTAGGTTTGACTCCTTAAATTCTCTCTGATGGTTGGCGTCCTCATTCTACTGCTTAATTGAAGCGCATATATGTTGCTGCCTTCGGTGTAACCTTGTAACTCGCCTCTTTCCCGTTGGAGCGCCATGGTGGTGACGATGTACTATTGCTATGCTGACGACTAGGCCTCTGCAAACAGACCATTGTATCACAAACGATTATGGTAGACTGTTGATGGCTGAGTATCCTAAATACCGTCCAATACGAATGCGATTGCCTATAGACTGATACGACGTATACAATCCCTCGCAAGTCTTACTGGAAGAGTTCGATGGCGTCCAGAATCTGTCCATGTCAGAAGTTTTTCAAGGTGCTGTGTTGCAAGTTGACTTACAATGTTTGGGGCCAAGTACATGGCACCACTCGAACCTGATGCGACAGTAATGGTAATGGTGTTTGCTCCCGCAACCAGAGTACCAGCAGGAATCTTGACATCGTAAACTTCACCATAGCCGCGATATGCTCCTCTGGTAACTCCGCGAGAGTCGAGCTTTGTAGGGGCAGCAGGAACAGCGGCACTGTAGTTGTTGATTTTGGCCTGAGGTCTGGCACCTGCAAAGCTTAATGTGGTTCCAATGCGCAGGGTTGCAGCACCAGCCTGAGCTGCCGACAGCGTGAACTTGATTGTCAGTGGATCATTGACACCTTTCCACAGCGCCATGGGAACGTCGGTCAGTTTGCTGGTTCCGAGTGTATAAGTAAGCGGGCCCCAGCTGGACATCCTCTTATCCGATGGATGCATGCGGAGTTGCTTATCAGCATTGCGAAAACCAGTAGGTTGACCATCCCAGTCACCAATTGCCCAGATAGTCTTGCGCGTAGCTACTCCAGATGCAATGTTCTTGCTTGCCGTGGAACCGGCAGTCACAGTCACGCTAGTCTCGGCCACCTTGAACTCAGTCTGATACAAGATCATAGTATATGTTCCGGGTCGCATGGCTGGAGATGTAAACTTGCCAGAGGAATCGGCATATTCCCAGTACTGGTTGTTTGTGTTGTGCCAGTGGATGACTTTTTGGAAGGAGCCCCCAATACCAGAAGCCGTACCGGAGACATGACCACGACCGGAATCAGCTACGTAGCCTGTGACGCCCAAGCTTGAAAAGAAGGATGTGTCAGCCTGGCTAGCAGCGGGTATACCAGAGCGACTAAACGCGATCGTATAAGGACCATGGGGGCCTTGGCGAAAAGGCTCAGTCTGCACATGACCAGAGTTCATATAGAAGTAAAGGCCTGTGTAGTCACCAACGTTGTTGGAGTTGATGTCTCTGTGGAAAGGTCCACCACTTGAAGCCTCGTATGCAGGATCTTGCAGAACCATACAAGCGTGAATAGGATCAGAGCCATCGCGGTAGACACAATGAACCTTGTCATCAATGAAGCGCTGACTCGAGTAGAACTTGCTTCGGGTCTCGCCATTGACGAGATAAACGTCAGAGCCCTCGACAGCGGAGGTACTGCCAGCGATAGTTGAAGCGGCTCCGAACGGATATTCCAGTGGCAGTGTTTTGGAGTTGAGACGAGCAATGAACCGAAGTTCGCCAATGGTGGGCTCTGCAGTGGTGTGGGTTGCCATATGGATAGAACTATCACCACTCCTGATGACTATGTAGTGGGTCAAAGTGGAGGTCTTGCAAGTAATCTTTGCATATTGGCTGGCGGCAACCTCTCCAGATACAGTTGCGGATCCAAGGCCTGAGCTGATATGGGAGCCTTTACTTTTGTATTGCAGCTCTTCGCCACGATAGAGAACGGAGGTAATGTCGCAACTCTTTCTGTCGACAGTCACGACGAGCGAGTTGTACGAGCCAGCATCGACGACAAAGCTATTGCCATCGCTGGTAAGACCGAATGCGGCAGAAGCCAGAGGAGAAAAGAATGCTATAGCAGATGCGAAAAGGCCAGATGCTAGCATGGCGGATGTGTTCGAGAGATGTCTTATATGCAAGAACTGTAAACACGTCGGGCAGGCTCTTTTATACTTAATAGCTTTCTAGGAGCAGGGACATCTGTGCCGAGGATGGAACATAGTGCTACTTCGACGGAGGGGGGCTACGTGCGGATAGGCAGTTTCACCACGTGCATAGAAATGCTGGGCAAGTCTCGCTTAACTGCAAAGACGATCAATAGGAAGCATATAGCCGTGGCTGTGGAAGCAGGCGAGACAGATTCGAGCAATTGATAGTCGCTGAGCGGAGGAGTTGATAGTAGCGGCAAAATTCTCTGGACTTGATGCTGGATGCTATAGGTGGAAGTTTACTACAGCAGTCGAAGTCGAGAAAGGATTATCGGCCATGAATACACCGAACGAGACGACATCTGTTGCAGAGGGGAAGACGTGGAGGTCCACGCGAAGGATCGGCATGTTTGGTATAGATACTAGATCATTGGTGGACAAGCGCAGTCGTGTGTGATGTTAGAGTAACAATAGATGGTTGGAAGGTGCGGAGGTGATGGCCATGTGGACAAAGATAGTGCATGGATTGCCGTTAGAAGTTAATTGCAAGTTCTTGGCAGTAGCGTTGCTCGATACATAAAATATATGAGCAGGCTGCACAATTGAGCATACCCCACAGTCCATGTACAAGGTCGCAGCTGCCAAAAAGGACCCAAATTTCTACATCAACACCAGAAAATGCAGCGAACAATTGGCCAATCATTCGCGCGTCATGTCTCTCTTCGGAGGAGGAGATGAGAGTGGGCCTCCTTCGCCTAGCCAGGTAAGCGACTTCTCCATCAGCACTATCGGCGAGGACCAAGGGTTCGCGGCGCATTCGGAAGGCTCGCCAGACACAGCGGCTGGTCACAACGATTACAACGACCACGACGATGCAGGAGACGAGGCGGAGAAGGTGGCAGGAGAGCCGCAGGACCAAGGAAATAACAGGAGTCCATCAGCAGTATCAGATACCAGCGACGTCGAGGTTCGACCCAATCGCTTCCGAGGCTCAGACCGCGCGTGGCTACACCACACACACGACGACCGCTCTCTTGCCGCATCGCTCGACCAGCTCAAGGCACACGACCTGAGTCTGCACCTATACAGCGCCCATCACCTCAAAGCTCGCCTGCGCCATCAAGAAGCTCCGTCGTCGTACAAGCCCTGGAGCAGAAAGAGTCGTTGGATCCCCACCAATCAAGACATCCAGAAGCCGTGGTATCCTGAATCCGACTGGACTGCCTGGCCGCTTCCTCCTGATCTTGCCCCGAATGGTCTTGAAACCTTTGGTCGACCCAACGATGGTCTCGACGCCCACACTCTGCGCAGTGCCAACCAGCCCACTCCCACCGACAATCTGCGACACCAATTGCATGCTGTCATGCTGAAGCGAGCGCACGACGACTGGAAGTCCCACAACCAAAAACTCTCCGAACAGCTCCACATCACGACCGCACCTGCTGCTGCTCCTATCCGACACTCCCCACCGAGACGAGGACGAACCCGCTCTCTATCTGCTGGTCCAAGTTCGGCTCCTTCTTCGCCTTCAGTAGGGGACGACTTGGCTCCCCTCTCATCGCTGGATCAATCTGTTGTGGAACAGGGAGAACAAATTCATGCCGAGTCGCATCCGGACCCTGACATCAAAGAGGAGGGTGAGAAGTCAAAAGACAACCACCTCGCGCGTCCAGTCTTCTCGGCTGATGACGACCGTTCCCATGCTCTTCTCCATCCTACTGTCAATCATGTCATGTCCAAGCTCGACAGGCTCCTCCTTACTTTGCACCAGAGCAGACAGACACACGTACATCGTGCAAGAGACGGTGACACTTCAGATTCTTCTGCAAGATCAAACTCTCGATCACGTTCCACCTCCAACAAGCTGTCCACCAAGGTTTCGAACAAACGTTCCAAGAAGCCGTCTCAGCCTCAGACTGTCACCCGAGCCAGACACAGCCACCGCCTCGGTTCTGCTTCACGTCCAACTAGTCCATCGGATTTTGTAGTCTTCGACGATTCAGGAGAAGATGAGACATATGAGCCAGAGACTCCCAAACGACGCGTCCGCTCACCCAGCAACAGAGCATCATCAGCGGAACCCGATATTCAGACTACTTCTCCAAGTGGCAAGAAACGTCGTAACCCTCCCAGACCAGGCCTAAGAGATTGGAGTGAGATTTTGGCTATGGCGGGCTTGACTGGCTGGGATCCTGCCGTCATTGAAAGAGCCCGCCATCGATGTCGCGACCTTTTCGGGGAGGACATGCACCTCTACACCATGCCCGAACATGATGATCCTTCTGCCGGTGAAGCCGAACCTATTAACCATGCGCCGGACTCTCGCTCGGCTCGATCAGCAAGCTGGCGGTGCCCCTTTGTCAATTGCTTTCGTAACATGCAGCCTCTTGAACAGGGTTTCCGCTGGCGTGAACATATGCGCAAGGCACACAAATACGACAACGATCAAATCGCAAAGCTAGAAGAACAGTTGGTCCAGTCTGGAGACATTGCGCCTGTCTTGAAACGTCACCACGTGTTGGCCCACAATCCTCGAGGCTGGCAACCCCCAGATCCGCTAAAGTGTCCGCACTGTCCTGCCTCAGAACACGTCTTTCCCAGGATCAATCGTCTACTGGACCATATAAGAAGGGGCCACAAGTACGACCCGCGTATTCAAGATCCACCTGAACGTCTTCTGAACAAGATCGCTGATCAAGACGAAGACGATACTTCTAACAACTCAAATAGTTCTGACGACGATAGCGATGGCTACATGATGGGTGGCGTACACACTGACGGGTTTCTACAGCCCGTACTCCGGCATGCTGGGTCAAGAGGAAAGGATCTTGAACAAAGGGCAAAGAGAGCCAATGCTCGTCGCTCCAAAGCTGAGTTGGCCAAATCCAAAAAGAATGCAAAGAAACGGCAACACACAGAAGAAGCCGACTGGTCCAAATAGGGCGTTGAACGCTGGCTTCGCACCACTTATATTGATATGGGATGTTCAGTATACCTTTCACCATTCTAACGAAGACAATTGAGTTTGGAGCTAAAATCGAGACCAGGAAGTCGCGAATGCTTTGGTCCTTCCACATTTGCACACACTGATGCATCGCCGTGAGAAACCTGACCAGTATCGCACCTGCCAATAATGAAAATGGGATCTTGACTGTTTTGAAATCTCTTCACTCCTTGTGTGTCTCGAGTACTGAATCACTTCTCGTGTTCTCGGTTTGATCTTGATCCAATTGCCTCCAATGCGGCCTGTCTCCCGAGTTGCATCTATGATTGAGAAGCCCCTATGCAACTCCTGACGATATGTCAAAAGATGACCAACAACACTATGATGGCGGTCTCGAGACAATGCTGTTGTCCTGGCTCGACTTCAGAACACTGTGGATGTAAGTGAGCAATCGGACGACATTCACGATCGAAGTCCCAGTAAATTCCTCGTCGCCCTCGACAGCGAAGCCGCGCGATCGTAGTTGATGCCACGACGTTGTCTTTCACTCTGAACGGTGTCTTCGACAACAAACGAAGGAGGTGTCACTTTCACTGTGCAGCTTTCGCTTTTTCACCCAACACACATCTTGTTCATCCTGCTTTCTCTTCCACTACCACACCCACACAACCGCATTCACATCTGCACTCTTCCACAAAAGATAAGTGCACATCATCCACCTTCAACAAAAGATCTTCGCCGATAACATCAAAGGTAACATGAATCCTTCACAGTCACCACACTTCGAATGACTGACAACTCTATAAGAAGATGACTACCTTCACCGAACGCGAGCAGAAGCTCATGGCCGCTGCTTGTCAGTCTTTCGAAGGCGAGCCTAAGGTATGTTGATCCTTCTCACTCTGATATAATCAATTGCTAACATGATCATCATAGCTGGACATGGACAAGGTAGATCTCTCGCTGGTACTCCTCCCATAATCCATCATTGACAAGACCTCTCGCAGTTCGCCCAGCTCTCTGGCCTTGCTGTTGGCTCCGCTCGCAACGCCTGGGCCGCCCTCAAGAAGAAGCTCTACGCTCACGACTCCACCGCTATCAAGGCTACCCCCATCAAGGCCTCCGCCACCAAGTCTGGCAAGAAGCGCCCTCCCCTGTTGTTCTGCCCCCAGCGACAACGGCTCGGACGACGAGGAAGTCTTCACTCCTTCCAAGAAGCCCAAGACCCCCAAGGCCAAAACCAAGGGCAAAGGCAAGAAGACCGCCAACTCCGACGACGAGGACAAGCAGAAGAAGGAAGAGGAGGAGGACGAAGGCTATGTCAAGGTCAAGAACGAGGCTGCCGACGAAGACTTCGAGGAGGTCTAGGCATCTGCTGTCTTACTCCGAGCTTGTTTTGTCTCCAGACTGTGTACAATCAAAGGCGATATCATGGCAACATGGCCACTACAAACACCGCATCTCGCTTTACACACTAGCTGAATTGCGGATTGCAAGAACATGATGGAGCGAAATATCAAAATTTAAATTGATGATCCAGCAGTCAACAAATTGCAATTCAGTGCAGTGCGTGATATAGTGATATAATCCATGTGTTTGAACCGGGCGCAAAAGATTGAAGAACTATGGGTCCTCCTTAACATCCTCATGCAAGACCTGGAAGTCAGCCGTAAGCAGTGAAGGATTTAACGCGCAGGCAGAAGATATTGAGTTCTTCCAGAAGTGACCCGCTCCTTCACTGCGCTTGAGTGACTCAATTTTCAGGGTAAACTCTTGCGACATGTCCCTTTTCACTGGTGGCGCGCAAACTCGCTGGCTGATTGGACGTGGTGTTACAAGATTGGGGAGGCGTGACCGCGTGGGGCTGAACGTGGGTTCCCAAACAAGCAAAGGGTTATCCATCTAGTACCTGCGCAGCCGCAGCTGACTGAGAAATAATACACCTATCTTCCGACCCGCATGTTGCCCAGCAAGCACTTGAAGAGAATATGGCAAGCCTTGTTCTGAACGGAGTGGATCTGAAGAGGTATAAGTATCCCATCTGGCCGCCGTCCGGACCTACTATCTTTGAAAATATCACAGTATCCGAACACATCACAGTAATTTCATCTCATTGACATTGACATGCATATCTTTATTCTTGCAGCATTTGTGGCTCTTGCCGCAGCTCATCCTTCGGCCCCTGCCCCTAATCCACCTTCTCCACCTCCGCCTGGCCCACCCTCAGCAACATGCATCTCAGCCCCGGACGCTTCTCTGGTCGCCACGAACTTCGGATTCACAATTTCCAACTCCACCAAGGATGTAGCAGTCCAATTATTCACCAACAACTTTACAGATCAGTCTGATGGCGTACTCACTCTGATGAACGAACCAGGACTGCAAGCCCAAGACGTGAGTAGAGCCAACATAAACTCCTTCCATCTGACACAGCCAATAACATACCTCACCCAGCTCGGCAAACTAACCTTTTCCTCCAAAGCGGAGTTTCTCGCCGCCCAAGGAGCTCAACCCAACGTCCCCTTTGAAATCTTGAACTTGTGGAATACATGCAATACCGTCATTATCCGTTGGTTATCTGCTCAAACACCCTATCCGGTTCAAGGTATCAGTGTGGCTACGGTACAACCTGCTATCAAAGGACAAGGTGGTGGCTTTGGCGTTGGACCGCAGAAATGGCAGATTAATAATATTGTTGCAGAGTTCAACTCTGAGGCTTGGTTGGGTAATCTTGGGTACCCGGAGTGTGGATCTAGAACAGCCTCTTGAGGTAGGAAAGGGTTAGTGTTGACTTTCTGGTATATTCATGTAGTTGGAGTGAGTCCACGACCAAAGTAGTAACAGAGCCATTGGCTTCTCATTCAGCTGTCATCAACAAATCTTGTTTCTGCTGAAACAGATCGTCTTCATGTAATCTCATTATATGTTGTTACGAGAAGACAGCCCACTTAACCATACCAGTTCCACTTGTCAATCTTCATGGTACCGTGGTCAACAAGATGCTTGTGCATGTCGAATGAGTTGAACAGCATATGAGGCTCATGTCCCATACCCTTGCGCAGGCATTCAAACTCGGCTTTGTTGAAGTAGTCCTCGAGGATGGGCACGTAGTCCGGATGAGCGCACTTCTTGATGATAATACGAGCACGTTCGCGAGGGGACAGGCCACGGACATCGGCGAATCCTTGCTCTGTAACAACGACATCTAGATCATGCTCGGTCTGGTCGACGTGCGTACACATTGGGACAATGCACGAAACACCTGTCGGGTCAGTCTTGCTGGGACGAGTGGAGGGGGTGTGCATGATGGAGTATTTGGCCGAGCGCAGGAAATCGGCACTTCCACCCAGACCGTTCAACATGCGCGATCCGAGAACGCAGGTGCTGTTGGCGTGCGCGTAAATGTCGACCTCCACGGGTGTATTCATTCCGATAACACCAAGGCGGCGAATGACTTCAGGCGAGTTAGAGACTGCCTGACTGCGAAGCAAGAGCTTGGGATAGTAGTGCTCCCAGTTTTCATAGAAGCGTTTGAAACCATCGGGAGAGAAGCGAATAGAGGTGGCAGTTGCAAAGTCAAGGTTGCNCTGTAAAGTGGGGATGCAGTTAGCATGTTTTTGTGGTAATTGCTCCGAGATACCCTCTGGTCGATGGAATCGTGCTATCCGTGTTTTCCCTTGCATACCTGAATCGAAGAGATCGAGGAAAGAGTCTTGCAGAACCTCAGTCCAGACTTTGAGATTCTTGAAATCGGCGTTCCCTCCGGCAAGACCACCAATGACGGCGTTGGCAATGTTTCCAATGCCAGATTGAAGTGGCAGGAGGTTTTCGGGCAGACGTCCTCTTTTGACTTCGTATTTCAAGAACTCGATAAGGTTGCTGGCAATGGCTCTGCTGGTATCATCCTCTGGGGCATTAGGCTGGGTCTGATCTGGGTAGTCTGATTCGACAATAGCGACGACACGTTCAGGATCAATAGGAATATGTGGAGTGCCAACGCGGTCCTCAGGAGCCATGATCAGATAAGGTTTGCGACGAGGGGGAAGATCAGTCATGGTGATGTCGTGAAGGCCTTCGAATGAAGGTGCAGCAGTATTGACCTCGATAATGATCTTGTCCGCCATCTGAATTATCTCTGGTGAGGCACCAACAGAGGCACCAGGGATTACGCCGCCATCTTCGGTGATAGCGCTAGCTTCCACGATAGCAACGTCTAAGCGGTTGTTTGCCTTTTCTCTTGTGTAGAAGCCGTACATCAGATCGACGGGAAACATGCTCAGATGCTTGTCGAAAAACTTGATGTTGCCATTGTTGATGCCCTTTGCTATCTCTTTCCCGACCTGGTGGGGAGCGCGACGCTCGATCATGTTGAGTTTGGCCCATCGGTTCTCGGTTTCAGCGCCTGAAGAAGCGCCAACAAACAGGTTGTACTTGAGTTGACCTTGGAGGCCATTCTTCTCAACGTGATCGGCCATGGCTGTTGGGACCTTTCTGAGCTGGGATTAGCCATGGCTATCTTCTACCTCCTCTCAAAGGACAACCCTCTGCTTGTCGAGAGTACTTTGCATTTCTATAGCCGTACAAGATAGACTTTCACAACGGGCAGGCTGATTTGGGGCGGCTTACTTGGGATATCCAACTCCAGTGAAACCGGACCAGCCGATATAGCTGCCATTGGGAAAGTGGTGCATCAAGTCCTCAGCTTTGGCAATCTTCTTGAGGTAGCTTGGGCGCCTCACGCGGCTCTTGAGAAGGGCTGATGCCGACATCTTGCCTGAGTATGCTCTACTCTCTTAGTTGTTCTGCAAGAGTATAGCGAGGAGACGATTGAAAGACACACGACCGCTTGGTTGTGGTTGTCCTGTATTGTCGAAGGAAGCTGTAGCATGACGTTGTGCTGTAGGCGAAAGAATCACCTGTTCTCGCGTGGCGCCTGCCAGATTTGAAAAGTCACATGCTTCTTGCTTCAGCACAAACAAGACCTCGTCGGTGTCGACTTCGAGGACTTCATACAAAAATACAGACCTATCGACGAAGGGGGTCATCATTCTCGACTTCTTGAGCTCTAGGACACCCGAGTGTTTATACTTCTGCGAGATATCGCCGAACGAACACCCTGGACTGTTGGGAAAGTGCGTCAATAATTCTCGTACATGCTGGAAGGGAAAGCCCTCAAGAGCGCACATTTCGAAAAGAGCGTAGAATCCACAGCGAATATCGTCTGATGGTCATACAGAACTGGATTTTCTTTGTCTATCTCCATGACGACCGCACAGACAGCGCCATAGCTGTCTGGAGAAGTGGGCCTTCTTTCACGCAGAATCCGGGGTCAACCAGACAAGACCAAAGCCATCCTCGCCTCTTCAACTTGTCATCGGGACACACTTCTATCTTCTGCAAACGAGTCTAGCCATCGGGGTATTAGGGAAAGGTGTCATCCGTTGCGACAACCACGGAAGGTACAACTGATGACCTGTAGTTGGAAAATATATGCAGTGGTTGCACATGTGTATCACAAGGAGCTTTTGAAAAGACATCGAACATGTGTTCGAGCAGCGATGCAACAATTTTAATGTTCCATTGTGCAAAAAGCCTCCTATGCAGATGTCACAAGAGTGAGTGTGGAGATATCGCTACACAATGTGAAGAGGATGGTGAGAAACAAACAGTCTGCGGATACTAGCATTAGTGACCATATAGAAGAAGACAATATGCCGGATCAGGATAGTTGTCGGCATCGAACACATTTTCGGGAATGAGAAGAGCTCGATGCTATTGTCGACGCACCAAGCTAGAGCTGGTGGACCAGGAAGGAATAAAAAAACAGTGGCATATCTATTGCGAGTCCGCATTTTTCAATCGTTGCTCCTCGAGACTTTTCTCCATACCATTTCCTTGACTTCTTTTCTTCGCCTTCTGTAGATAACCGAGCGTCGTTCTTGACTGCTAATCTTGTATTACTCTTCTGAGATCCCGACTTACAGATGAGGGCGTAGATGAAGTAAAGCAATTCTTTGCCGGTGAGGAAGCCAAGATGAACTTGACGTGAGATAACATCGAGCCAAGGACCTGTCAAGAGTACGATATCGCGGCGAGCAACATGTATTTGACCCATTCGTAATATTGTCCAAGAAGAATGTTGTACACCTCGAGAGTCAAGTGAGTGTCGAGTAAGCTTACGCAAAAAGCGAAATCTCATGTGCAAAGCCTGTGAGTCCTCTCCTCGAAATATTCTGGTGATGTATAGCAACGTTCGAAAAAGGATGCGCGTGAAGCTGTCTTGTAGGCCTTACTTGTTGCTCAAGATGATTGTAGTTGTCGGCCAGACGCGTTGCATACCTGATCACAGGAGGGAGCATGCACAATAAAAAGTGCTGCGTCAAGGATGAACATTATCTGCCGCGTACGTGCGGTTGACTCGACATGTTCTAGAAAAGCGCTCAGTGAAGCGGCCCCTATTTCTTTTCTTTTTCCCTGTATTCGTACAAGATCCAGGTGTGTCGAAGGGTGGCAACAAGTGAGGCAAAAACTGTTGTTGTCGGAGTTGAGTTTAGCGAATGAGAGCGGCCAACGGAAACAGCATGCGCACGGGCGATGTCAATGGTCTGAATGTGCCAAGGCTGAATGTTGAGCCCGGCAGAGTTTTTTCCCCAGCGTCGACTATTTGAGTCTCCCTTGCTCGCCTCGACGTCCTTTCTTTCCTCATCCACCAAAATGGCAAGCAAACAAGCCAAATCTGAGAACCAGCAGTCGCTGAAGGTGCTCGAGGAGCTCCTGGCCAAGCTGAACGTCTCCAAGGCCCAGGATGAGATCAACGGTGTCTCTCAGGAGATTGCCATCTTCATCAACGGCGACATCGAGGAGGAGGATGCCCCCACCAAGTGAGTCGCCTTGCTGTGTATACCACGTCGAACTGCGTCTAACATGCTCCCAGGNGCCGTCGCCACCTTGAAGAAGGCCCTTTCCAACAAGAAGGACGCCCTCGCCCGTGAGCGTGCCTGCGATGCCATCAAGGCCATCGCCTCGCACTCCGAGGTCAGCTCCGCTGTCGAGCCTTTCCTCGTCGACATGCTCCCCGCTGTCCTTGCCGCCGTCGGCGACAAGATGGTTCCCGTCAAGAACGCCGCCCAGGCCGCCGCCCTTGCCATTACCCGCATGGCCAACGCCAACGCCGTCAAGGCCCTCATCCCCCACTTCGTCGAGTCTATCCACAACGCCCAGAAGTGGCAAGAGAAGATGACCGACCTCGAGTGCATTGTCGCTCTGTCCGAATCCTCCCCTATCCAGACCGCTCTCCGTGTTCCCGACCTGATCCCCATTGTCTCCGAGGCCATGTGGGACACCAAGAACGAGGTCAAGAAGGCCGCCTACTCCACCATGGAGAAGATTTGCTCTTTGATCGTCAACAAGGATATCGACCGTTTCATTCCCGAGCTCATCAAGTGTATCGCTAAGCCCGAGAACGTCCCCGAGACCATTCACTTGCTCGGTGCCACCACTTTCGTCACCGACGTCCACGAGCCTACCCTCGCCATTATGGTTCCCCTTCTCGAGCGTGGTCTTAACGAGCGTGAGACCGCCATCAAGAGAAAGTCCGCCGTCATTGTCGACAACATGTGCAAGCTTGTCGAGGACCCCCAGATTGTTGCCGCTTTCTTGCCCAAGCTGATGCCCGCCCTCAACCGCAACCACGACAACCTTGCCGACCCTGAGGCCCGTGAGAAGACCAAGCAGGCTCTTGACACCCTGACCCGTGTCGGTCACGTCGAGAACGGCAAGGCCCCCGAGATCTCCAAGGATGGTGACATGTCCACTGTCGCTGCCCACCTCAAGTCTATCGTCGGCGCCAAGGCTGACAAGCTCGAGACCATTGTCAACTACATCGGTGCCATCGGTGGTCAGCTCGTCGACGAGAAGGTCGTCGAGCCCATGGTCTGGGCCCAGAACACCGTTCCCTTCCTTACCGTCATTGTTGGCGATGAGGCCAAGAATGTCGCTGAGGAGCTTCGCAAGAANGAAGCTTCCCCTCTCGCTGCCGCCGGCCGCGATGTCGAGCCCGATGAGGAGGAGGGTGAGGATCTTTGTAACTGCACATTCAACTTGGCCTACGGTGCCAAGATTTTGCTCAACCAGACTCACCTTCGTCTGAAGCGTGGTCAGCGTTACGGTCTTCTCGGTCCCAACGGTTCCGGAAAGACCACCCTTATGCGTGCCATCAACAACGAGCAGGTTGAGGGTTTCCCCAAGCAGGATGAGGTTAAGACCGTCTACGTCGAGCACGATCTTGACTCTGACGACACTGAGAAGACCGTCATTGGCTGGACCATGCAGAAGCTTGCTTCCGTCGGTGTCGAGACNCCCGAGTCCGAGGTCCGCTCGACCCTCATCGAGTTCGGGTTCCTCGAGGAGCAGCTCGACGGCCCCATCGGTGGTCTTTCTGGTGGTTGGAAGATGAAGTTGGCTCTTGCCCGTGCCGTTTTCGAGAAGCCCGATATTCTTCTTCTCGACGAGCCCACCAACCACTTGGACGTTAAGAACGTTGCATGGCTCGAGAACTACCTCGTTACCTCCNNCCCCTGCACATCGATCATTATCTCCCACGACTCCAAGTTCCTTGACAACGTTATCCAGCACGTTATCCACTACGAGCGCTTCAAGCTGAAGAGATACCGCGGTAAGCTCTCCGAGTTCGTCAAGCGTGTTCCTTCCGCCAAGTCTTACTACGAGCTTGGTGCCTCGGAGATGGAGTTCAAGTTCCCCGAGCCCGGTTTCCTCGAGGGTGTCAAGACCAAGGCCAAGGCCATCGTCCGTGTCAGCAACGTCTCCTTCCAGTACCCCGGTACTGCTAAGCCCCAGATTGAGGAGTGCTCCTTCCAGTGCTCTCTCGGCTCGCGTATTGCTGTCATTGGTCCCAACGGTGCCGGAAAGTCCACNCTCATCAACGTCCTCACTGGTGAGCTGATTCCCACCAAGGGTGAAATCTACCACCACGAGAACATCCGTATCGCCTACATCAAGCAGCACGCTTTCGCTCACATCGATCACCACCTCGACTCCACTCCTTCCGAGTACATTCAGTGGCGTTTCCAGACTGGTGAGGACCGTGAGACCATGGACCGCGCCAACAAGATCGTCACCGACGAGGATGAGAAGGCCATGGACAAGATCTACAAGGTCGAGGGTACCTACCGTCGCGTCATTGGTATCCACTCGCGTAGAAAGTTCAAGAACTCCTACGAGTACGAGTGTTCGTTCGCTCTCGGTGACAACATCGGCATGAAGAACGAGAAGTGGACTCCCATGATGACTGCTGACAACGCCTGGATCCCCCGTACCGAGATCATGCAGTCGCATCAGAAGATGGTTGCCGAGGTTGACCAGAAGGAGGCTCTTGCCTCTGGTCAGTTCCGCCCTCTCGTCCGCAAGGAGATTGAGCAGCACTGCGCCAACTTTGGTCTCGACGCCGAGCTTGTTTCTCACTCGCGCATGCGTGGTCTCTCCGGTGGCCAGCGTGTCAAGGTCGTCCTCGCCGCCTGCTCATGGCAACGTCCTCACTTGATCGTCCTCGACGAGCCCACCAACTACCTCGACCGTGACTCCCTTGGTGCTCTGTCCAAGGCCATCAAGTCCTTCGAGGGTGGTGTCATCATCATCACTCACTCTGCCGAGTTTACCAAGGACTTGACTGAGGAAGTCTGGGCTGTCCAGAACGGTCGCATGACNCCCTCCGGTCACAACTGGGTCCAGGGTCAAGGTGCCGGTCCTAGACTGGAAGCCAAGGGTGGTGACGAGGAGGAGAAGTTCGACGCCATGGGCAACAAGATCGAGACTGTCGAGAAGAAGAAGAAGCTCACATCCGCCGAGCTTCGCAAGAAGAAGAAGGACCGCATGGCACGTCGCAAGCGCGGCGAGGAAGTGTTCTCTGACGAAGATGACTTCTAGAGTTGGTGATGTTGTTGCACTAGAGGCATTTGGCCAGGCGTCCCGGATTAAAAAGGGCTATGTTTATGACGTTTCTTTAACTATTCCCCGTTGTGAATCGCTCGTATTAGAGATAGATTCCATCTACAATAAAGATCTTTCTCGCTTTCGAATTTTGGCATTTCATTCCCTAACAGGCTCATATTTCTGTTGAAGTGGTGCGGATTTTGACAGATACAGCCTCGAATCACATGACGTCGACGCCAAGCCTGCGAACTCCGCCCCTTGAACACAGACACCGCCATTTATCCATCTTTCTTAGGTTCATCAATCAAACACTTTGTTCAAAGGAAGTCGCTTGCCTTCTCAAGACGTCTCGCTCCTTGGTCCCTCGCCCTCAAGGGCCTCGTTCGCTCACCGTCTTCTTTCCAGGCTCGAGATAGTGGAGTAGGGTCACGCCTTTATGTCAAGTGCCCGTCGATATACACACTTCTGATGGAGTCAGTAAGGAAACCGGTTTTCGAGGTTGCGACACTTCACTCTGCGGGACTACTACCTAACAACACAATGACCCATCCTCTCCGCGTGCTAAAGACAGTCACAGTGTCGCTATATCAATGCACAATACTGTCCATAGCAGAGCGAGATCCACGGCGAGAAAGCCATCCTTAGGCATATCTTTGGCCACACCTCTTTTTCAAAAGCGACTGTGCGTTTTCTGTCGCACATTATAACACTATATGCCAGTGTGGGAGGGAGCTCATTGCGATGTTATGACCGTCTTCTGTACACAGGGAGAATTTACACCATGGGTTGGAAGAGCATGACTGTTTTTGTCATCAACTACATCATATCTGCTGATTTACTTTGACAGCTTGTATCTCTGATCACGTTACAATCAGTCTGACAGAATCAGTCGACGATGCGCGAGTCCTCCTTGGAGCAAGCGGTGACAACAAGTCATTCGAGTGGTGCTTCAAGAGAGAGGTGTCCGAGTTCCGCGGGCTCATCAACGAGCTTGTGGAGGATGCGCGAGTCCTCGTTGGAGTGCCTGGACATAGTAGGTCGGGTTCCATTCGTGTAGGGTGCCCCGAAGGAGAGATGTGCGAGCTTCCTGAGCTCATACTCCTGACTTTGTTGAATGCTTTCGACCAGCGAGCTCTTGCCCTCCACTTGGACACGATTTTGGCGACTGTTTCTGCGTTGCTGGCAACGGTCTTCAAGTCCTCGAGAACGAATACGCCTGAATCTCTCTCGGCAATCTCTGTTGATCTCTGTGGAGTGCGAATGTCGATGTCTCGATTCTGTCGTTGGTCTTCGAACTGTCGAATGCGCGATCTTGCTTCCTTCTTGGCCAACTTCAGTCTTGCTTGTTCTGCGTCCGCGCGACGTCGTTGTTTCGCGAGCTCGAACATATCTCTTTCTCGGGATGCTGCATCAGGTCCTTTNNGTGTCTGTTAAGCATACTGTTTGTTTCTCAGCGCGACAAAACACTAACCTTGACCAGTGGGCATTGACAAGCTAACGGGACCACATCCGGTGTATGTGTAGCCACGCAATTTGAAAGCACTTGCGATGTGCGAAAAGTCGACTTTGTCCAGGATCATGATGGTTTTGTGGTTTGTGTATGGAGTCTGGGCTCTCGTATGATTTGCTCGAAGGATTTATTTTTTCGAATTTTCTACAAAAGTAGGTGTGATTGATGACCGTGTTGTGAGCCTTTATGAATCCCTGAAAGCGGAAGTTCGATATAGTTTCACGTTTGCGCCTCCCTCGCGTGGTTGCAGTTCCAGCCGGAATGACAAAGCCTTGTGCACGCTAAGCCTGCATCACGTATGCAGCCGACCAATCAATATAAAGGGAGGCACAGCCTTGTCTAACATCTTTCTTGATCACGGCGGCTGTGTTTTATTGCACCGACTGCACAGCCCTGGAACGGAAACCGCAAAGCTGCGCCCGAAATGCAGAGCAATATTTTCGTTGATGGGGAAGGATCGATAGACCTCGCAAGGGTCAATCAATATCGAGAACGCAGCCACCAACCATTTCCCGTATCGAGGCTCCTTTGTACTTGCTTTCGACATCCGTTTGCTCGTCTTCTCAAGACTTGTCGAAATCATCGCACCAGGTCTGTCGCAATCACATGCACGTCAAGCGTGTATTCGACCATTCGTCATCTGCTCGGACGCCGACATGCTCGAGAAGTCTTGTTGGTCCCGGATTGTCCTGTCTTTGAGCCTCATGTGTGATACGTGTCATTGGTATCCGGCAGGCAGTCTCAACCCTTCCCGTGTGCCAAAATATGTAAATAAGATGTTGGCTCTCAGTGGACACTGTCCTGTTCCTTGAAAGCACTGTGCATTTCTATAGCTACACGCGTTACCTACTATAGCACACGGAGAGGCGTGATGCTGCAGTCGCGCCTCGCTCTTATGACTGTGCATGCTGAAGGAACACTAAACACAGCCATCGGCATGCACGAAGATGATTAACACCATGCGCTTACAATATACCCAAATGATTCTTCTATATCATGCAGGCCGAGGCACACGAGAATTCCTCAATTTCGTGCCTGAACTCTGTCTTTTGTATTCGAAGGAGTCCATCCTCTACACTCACCATCGGACAAGTCGCATCCTCTGCCAAACACTGCGTCGAACCATACTCTGATCCTAACAGAGCCTGAACAACATGACCTTTACAACAGAACTCCGACCAATGTCTCCCAACTCTGCCATAAGTTCTCCGCCCACACCTCACATCGCTTCTGGGACACAAACACCCGTCGGCCAACGAATGGTCGCAGCGAGAAAAGCCGATGGCTATAGGTTATTCTCAGACTTCATCTCCTCGGACCCGCTACGGTCTACAACTATCTTCCGACGTTTTGATCGTCTCGCTATGCGCAACCTACTCTACCTGGAGAGCGAACTGGCAGCACTAGAAAGCGAGGTCGAAAGATTGGACATGGATCTGATCCCCGAGACGATGATCAACCATCTGGGAGATTGGACTATACTCAAGGCCGAGGCTGAATATGCGGAAGAGGATACAACCGAGAACATATCCGAAGAAGAGGCCCGGAAACAAGAGTTGATGATAGCAAGGATGAAATTAGTAAAGAAGATCAGGGTCAAGGTGAAAGAGTATCGTAAGCAAGCAACCCTGAGATCTCAAACGTATTATTGCTGACCAGCGGCTATAGATGAAGCGCTGAAGTTGATGAATGAGATACTTGCTCTCGAAAGACCAGAGCATGATGATATTGAAACCAACGGCCGTATATTCGTCCAACCGGATGATGACGATTATGACCCTGATCATTGGCAAGACAAGGCCGAATCTCATGCCATTATTCAAGGTGCAATGTCAATGCATCTCTGCGAGGAGAACCGAAAAGACCTTTGCACTTTGGCGCCACAAGTAGAGCGAGATCCCTTTACCCGTCTTGTCGAGAGCAAGCATCAACTCCGCAGCATGATCAAAGACAAGACGACCGGTATGACCAGTCTCTCCAAATGGAAGCGCCTGAACAAGGTCATCACCTGGATTAGCGTATGTGTTGTGGTGGCCTGGCTCGTCGGTGCCATCCTGGGTTTGTTTTTCTGGGAGTCAAACACCGGCCGCCTCATTTTGCTCAGCGTCACGACTATGGGCTTTGCAGTTTCAATTCTCTGGCTGACCACTGCACGACGACACGATGTATTCGCATCTACGGCCGCATACGCTGCTGTACTTGTCGTCTTTATCGGGAGCACGCTTCAAGGTAATGGATCTCAGAGTGCTGCAAATGCTACATCGAGCAAGACACGAGCAACCAGATATCTCCAGCCCACTCGGACGTATCTAACCTCTGGATTTGGGACAGAGTACACCTCGAATAACACTTATGCTGTGACGCTGATAGGTGGGATGCTTGTTGTCACTAGCGTGTTACTCAGCGCGTTATTGTTGCTGCAATTAAGAAGAGGACGTATAAGACTATAGGGCATATATCCATACCGACAACTATGCATCTTCAAGGCGTACCATATAGCACTATTGTTTGGCTTAAGAAAGCGATTGATTGTGAGATGTAACGATTTTGAGCATAGGGAATATTAAAGGTGACCACATTTTCTTAAGAGGACTTCTATATATATCTGTAGGCTTAATCATAGGGTTATATTATAACGGGGAATAGTTAAAGAAACGTTACAGACATAGCCCTTTTTTAATCCGGGACACCTAGCCAAATGCTTTTAGTGCAACAACATAAATACCTGAAAGTGTTTTTATTAGAAGAGACCTTCTTATTACGCTTACGGCGGGCTATGCGGTCCTTTTTCTTTTTGCGAAGCTCGGCGGATGTGAGCTTTTTCTTTTTCTCGACAGTCTCGATCTTGTTACCTATGGCGTTCTACAGTAAAGGGAAAGTACAATTTAGGATATTCTTACAATAGATGGTTAGCGCGTAGTCTAAAAACTGTTTACTTTCGCCTTGACAACAGCTTTCATTGGTTAGATACCCTAGTTATGCAAGAGGAGATCATACAGACTAATCATCTAATGTGCCAACAGTCCGTAGTAAGAACAAGGAATTCATTAGACACTGTACTGAGATGAGACAAGGGGATGTTTCATCTCTATAACGCCAACAAGCCAAATCAAGAAATTCTGAACATATCAACGCCAGACTAGGCAACTAAGACAACAACTACAAAACAGCACGGTTGAGAACAGACACCATACCCAGATTTTTCGTAGCCCCTATCTATCAAAGATGCACGGCTTCAGACACGCTTGAACTTGTGCCACTTGTCCAAAATCTTGTCTCTCAAGTCGCTATGCACACGGTCAGCAGCAGTAACAGGTCTGGGTACAAACTCTGGACTACGTGAGTTGCTCAGTCGTAAACCACGATGAGAAGGCTTTGAAGCTCTTCCACGCTCCTCCTGCGCCCAGCCAGCACGATGATCTAACGGCACAGGACGTTGACGTTGGCGATGAGACATGTTTGCTGCAGGAGCAGGAGCGGATGAAGGAGGAAGAGGCTTGTGGATGTTGGGACATGGCTTACTTTCAACACTCTGGTTATTGGAAAACGAACGAATGGGAGCGGTGTTCAGCAGTGCGCGACCAGGGTGTTGAGGAACAGGGCTCAGGATCTTGGGGCGAGTGCTGTTGTCTTGGGGTGAGTGATGACGAAGTGGTGAGCCAGGAGACGTGTAAGAGATGGGTGGGAACGGCTTTGCTCCAGGAGGCAGTGGTTTACGGGGGATCTTGAATGGCCTAAACAGGGGCGTTCTGGGAGGTGAGTAGGAGGTGTGACGTTGAGAAGGAGAGTGCTGAGCACCAGCAACAACATCAGAAGCATTTGACGAACTTGCATCAGAGAAGTGTGTGAAGTTTGATGAGTTTACATCGGAGAAGCTGGGTGTGACGGGTCTCTCAAAGCCAAAGGGTGCAGAACTCATCGTCTGTCTGTTTTTGAATTTCTGAGCACCATAAGATCCAGCAGGGTGAGGTTCATACTTCTCTTTGTAGGGATCAAATGGTGCTGTAGGGGCGATGAAAGGTAGATAGTTGGTTGGAGGCTCAGAAAACGAAGAAGTAGTCGAGGGAAAGGAACCAGTGTCAGCAGCAGGCTTGAGCTGATCTGGAACAGGGCTCGGTGGAAAGGNGGTCGGCTCATCAAAGGGGTTGAAGACAGACATGAGGCTTGTTCTAGGCAGAACGGGCAGTTCAACTGATTGAGAAGGTGCAGGTGACTGGTGACCAGTACATGTTGTGTTAGCTCCAAGCTCATAGATGTGGTCACCAGAGATTCTGTTCAAGTCAGGATCTTCATACAAGTTGGAAGCTCTGGAGAGATTGTTGTTGTTGGCCATGATCAACATTCGCTCAGCATCAGCATCAGTCTCAGCTCTAAGGACAGAGTAGCGATGCTCGTTGACAGCTGGAGGGAAGCGATTAGCCTCTATGAAGACTGAGAGTTTATTGCCCTTCATCTTGTTGACTGTTGAAGATGCTTACGAGCTCGATGTTATGGAAAAGAGAGGATTGTAGATTGAAGTACTGTCCAGAGATTTGTTGTGTGTTGTGTTCTTCGGCAGCAAGCGTTGGATACTCCTATTCATCTATGGACGAGTTAAGAGGAGCTAACCCTAATTATCACTCCACCAGGGGTCGTGATCAAACAAAGAAACAAAGAACTCATCAAGGCAAGTTGATTGTTCTATAAGGAGAACAATGCCATATTCTCGAACAACGCACACAAAGAAAATGGTACGTACGTCACGATCTGAACGAGACTTTATGGACATTGGAACTGGTTTGTTCAACAACTGATACCGCTGCAGTAATGACGTTTCGAAGAGCGTCAGGCTGTTCATCTACTGCATCTCACCTGACGACAGCACTTTCAAATATGGATACCTGCTTACTTGAGTTGGATAGTGGTGTGTTTTGTGTTTCGACACGACATACCTACTATCGTATGATTCTCCAGACAGTCTTTGGAATCCCAGCTCGAGCATTGTTAGAAGATGCATTACGACACGGCGGCCATCTATACTCATCTCGAAACTGAAAGTCGAGAGACGATTCGCAAGGTTCGGATCAGGCAGAGACACAAAACAATGAGGACCATGAAAGGCTTGCAGGATTGACTCCAAACCAGCTTAGGTACAGTAGGTAAGAATGGACGTCCAAATCGCATGGTATCTTTGAGATGTAACGTCTATTCTGATTGTCGATGATACACATTCGAAGTTTGCTCAATGCCAGGGTCGTGGATCATCTCGCTATCTTGAGGGACTTCTCGGACTCAAGGTTAGGTCGTCTGGACAGCGAAGAAAAGAGTTGAGAGTAGACTGAAGAACTGAGCAGTGGTCGAGCGTCGCGAAGCAGGAATCCGCGCTGGAACATCTCGATGTCAGTACGAATCTGTATGCGAGCCGAAGATCTGACTCACACAATACCAAGAAGTCGCATGCGCGCAATAGATCGTTTGGTTGTGACAACACTGTGTCAGTATTGTCAGGTCACTTCGAGTACGGAACAGTCAGAGAATCAATGGCTGGTTCAGGTCCATTTCAGTCCCAACGCAAAGCTGAGGAACNNCTTTCGAACGATCAGCACATATTCTCAATTTCAGAGAGGATGAAAGTGTTACTTGAGTGTACTCGGACGCTTTCAGCAAGGCGCGGGTCATGTGCAGAGCCTATGTAGTGTTAGTCACGTCAGAACAACGATACTGACCATGACTTGCCTCCTTGTATGTCGGATCCGGGTTAGTCTTTGTGGACTCGAGGAATGCCCAGCTCATGGCACNCTAGTTGAATGACATGATGAGATACAGATTTCAATTCGCGTGGAAGGACACACTCAACTCACCTTCAGTGACACCATTTATCTGGGCGTCGGCACTGGTTTCATCGTCCCTGCATCCAGAGAACATGGTGACGGTCTTCCTCGCAGCTTCCTAGTCTTGAGAGAAGTCGTCTGAAGCAGCGAGGCCGGTCATATGTTGATTGTGTCGCAGACTGCGCAAGAACGAGGTTGCTCCAGCATAAAGGTCTCGAGCTTGAGCTTCTCTGTCAAGGTTGAAACTGCCAGTGATCAATCGTTTTGCTTCTTTCAGGAGCGCAACTCCGGCTTGGTAACCGTCTAGTGCATGGATATTGCCATCGTCATCGCTTCGGTAGACGAACGGCAACTCCAAAGTTGACCCAGAGTGGCAACAGTCAAGGATGAGAAACAGAGTGCTGCTTGGCGGTAACTTGGTCACGAGATGTTTATGGAGCATATCCGAGTCAATCTGGCCATTATCTTCGAAGTCCACAGGTACAATGGTATCGAGCAGGCCCGATGGACGTTTGCCGTTCGGGTCGTCAATCTGTCCACCATGACCAGAATAGTGGAAGAAGCATGTTGTATGTTCTTCACTGACCAGCCAGTCCATCGCCGCCAGGAGGTTGTGTCCTGTCGGTGCGTATTCTTCGGCCAAGTCGTCACGGAGAACAACTCGGTCTTGTGGAGTGTCCTGATAACCTCGATACTTGATGAATTTTGCAACATTGTCGACATCTTGGTGGCATCCATTCAACTCATTGTCACTCCCAGTGTAGTTGATGCCGATCAATAGAGACTTCCGACGAGGCATGCAGTTTGTTGGGTATTGTTGATGCTCTGATGGGAGTTTGCTGGTTTCGGATTGATTCTGATGATATTTTGATAGTAGGTGGGATGCGTGTGAGTGATCGTAGGTGATGTGCGTGTGTACATTGTTGTTGAGAAATTGATAGTTGTTGCGACAAAGTTGGCAACATCGTCACCGCTCCGCAACCTTCCATCTCGGCCCCTCTATCGCTCTTTCTGACACTTTTGCCGCCGCCATAAGTACTAGTCCTGTTGCCCTTACGAGAGAGTCTTCCAACGCCGTCAATGGCGCCGCCATGCAAAGATTCGTCTTGAGAACTGCTACGCCAGTCTCCTTCCAAAAAGCAAAACCTATCAAACTTTCTGGTCTTGTAAGAAAGACTTCTGTCGCTCGCACTGAAAACCCAAAGCTGACATTGCAGATTAGATCGGTTCCCGTCAATCAACCCGAGATTGTTCGTCGTCCCAGCATCGACTCGCTTGACTGTGTCGCTGGCTCTGAGAGTGAGCGCTCATCGAGCAACATTTCGATCGCTGGTGCTTCTGAAGAATCTCCCGATGATGGCTCGCTAGGCACGCATGCACGAATTCTCAAAAGAGTTCTTCTTGAATCTTTGGAGGCTAGGTCTCTCATTAGAGATTCTTTTGTTCCCAAGTAATTGCTTTAGGTGAGTCTTCTCCTCTTCTCTATCCTCTTTCTCATCACTCTCGTGTGTCTTTAGCCCTGGTTCTCATCGTCTACCGGAGTTTGGTGATAGCAAGGTAAGGCGTTAGTCGATTCAACAATAAAATCAAAAGTTTCGAACAAAACTACGATGTGTCAATTACAATGAAACGTGCAAGACTGGTGAAACAAGTGATTGTGGTAGTTGTCGAAACACCAAGATAGAACTTGTGACTGCCGACGATGCTGTCGAATGAATTAAGTGTAATTATGTATGTTATCACCTGGCATCGCTCCACTTAGGAGGTCTCTCCGGCCTCGTGAACTGATCTTGAAAGTGCTCCTCCCACCAGGTAACAGGAGTAAACAGATAACTGCCAATGACACAGAAGATGGTAGCCAAAAACTGCCAGATAGGCACAATGACGGAGATCCAAGGCAGAATGAACTTGATGAACTGATCTGTCTGGTATAGGTCGTTCTGGCTGGAGATGTAGTATTTTATTCTGCCCTCGTCTTCGATATCTTNTTGAGGGGATAGATGTAGTACGGTGACGAGCGAGACTTCTGATCGGTGGGTAGGGATGGCCCAGATGGCAAAGACTTGGGTGAGGCCGACGTAGAGGACGAGGTTCTTTTGGTCGAAGGAGACGCTGTGAACCTTTGCGGTTATGCGCGGCGACATGATCTTGTACCATCGGTATATGCGCTCGACCAGGTAGCGAGAATGTGCCGAGGAGCCGGTGCGGCAGAAGGGATGGGTGAAGCTCGCATCGGGGGTGAAGTACTTGTTGACGGCGGCAAGCTGTAATGATGGAGNGGTTTCGGTCAAGAGGGCGATCACGTAGGGGATCTCGGCCACAGGGTCGTCCATGTTGAGGGATTGACGTAAAAGACAAAAGTCATGATGGCAGTCGTCGGGCTGGGAAGTTGTTGATATCGACTTTCACATGCTCGATCAAGGCCAACGTCATGAGAAGGACCCTTGGACTTGGCCTTGGTTCTGCGGCAGGCGCTGCCGAGTCAAATTCCCCGCCAAGAAGGAGCGATAAGGCTTATCGGGATACCGACTTTCTGCGGGTCGTAAATTTTATTCGACTGTTGCCGCCCAACTGCTTGTCAAATAACCACGTCGTCTGGAAGTTTCACATAGAGACATTCAACATGGCCCCGGGAGAACACCATCATCGGAGTACGACCAAGCAGTCGCACAAGCCCTACAAGTCAAAGCACATGAGCAAGGGCGCAATCAAGGACAAGAACAAGGGTACGTGAAAGAGACAGTCTCTGCTAGAATCTCAGTCGCCAACACCATACNNAGGCAAGGTAGAGTCGGTAGGCTTCGAACGCGGAACCAGAAAGACGCCACACCAGCAGATGATGTCCAAGCTGGACCGTCGCAACCAGGCCAAGCANAAGCGCCTGGTCAAGGACGCCGAACACGATCGCCAGACCAACGTCTTCCACGGAAAGAACGCTGCTCCTCGCATTTGCGCCGTCATCCCTCTCTGCGAAGACATCTCGAGCGCAACCGCCGTCCAGAACCTCGTCCGCAGTGTCGATATTGAAGAAGAAGCCCCCAACTCGAACCTCTGGAAAGTCGACGTCGCCCGCTTCAAGCAAAAGCTCCAGTTTGTTACCCTCGGACGCCGTGATGTTCTCGATGCTCTGGACGCCTGCCGTGTTGCCGACTTTGTCATCTTCGTTCTGAGTGCCGATCAAGAGGTGGATCCTTTGGGCGAGCAGATGCTGCGTACCATCGAGAGTCAGGGTGTGTCGAATGTCATTACTCTAGTCCAAGGTCTCGACCAAATCGAACCCGCNAAAAGACGCCCGCAAGTCTTGGGCTCGCTCAAGTCTTTCATCACCCACTTCTTCGCTACTCAGGAGCGCGTACACTCTCTGGACGCCCGTCAGGACTGCGCCAACGTCGTGCGCTCGCTTTGCACCACCACACCAAAGGGAATCCACTGGAGAGAGGCACGAAGCTGGATGATGGTCGACGACATGGCCTGGCCCGAGGATGCCTCCAACACTGTTGTTTTCACTGGAACCGTGCGTGGAAGAGGCCTCAAGGCTGACAGACTGCTTCAAGTTGGAGACTGGGGCGACTTCCAGATTGAGAAGATCATGGCTGCCGCACCTTTGGAAAGCAAGAAGAAGCACTCGGCTGATGACATGGCTATGGACGACGCTCCTCAACAGGATAACATCCTTGAACTTCCTTCTGAGGATCAGGACGATATTGCTGATCTCGCACCTGAGGAGACGGCCATGACCGACTTTGCACCTTCAGTAGCTGCCACGGAACGCAAGGGTGTTTTGCTGGACGACCACCACTACTTTGACGAGGACGAGGACCCGGAGGCCTCAAAACCAAAGAAGCTGCCCAGAGGTACCTCGAAATACCAGTCTGCCTGGTACGTTGGAGACGTTTCAGACTCTGGTTCTGACCTAGAGAGTGCCGATGAGGAGATGGACGATGCAATGGAGGACGCCGTCCCTGCTGACGGTACTGAAGGATTTGCTCCCCGCGAACCTACGGAGTACGCTCCTTCAGAATACCCACAATCAGAGATGTTCCTGGACCGATCACCCGAGGACGAGGCCGAGCAACTGGCTGCCTACCGCGAGTCACGAAAGGCCGAGGCTGAGGAAGATCTCGAGTTCCCAGACGAAATCGAACTGCACCCCAATGTGTCAGCTCGCGAAAGACTGGCTCGCTACAGAGGTCTCAAGAGTTTGCGCACCAGCGCTTGGGAACAAGACGAGGACAAGCCTCACGAGCCTGCAGAATGGTCGCGCCTGCTCGAGATTGCCAATTACAAGGCAGCACAGCACCGCATGGTCAGTGAGGCTCTGGTTGGTGGTGTTGCCGCAGGAACCCGCGTTCACGTCTACGTTCGTCTGGGCGACTCGTCTCCTGAGACTCTCAAAACTCTTCCCACACCAACAGGCATCTTCTCGTTGCTGCGCCACGAGCACAAGCGTACTTCGGTAAACCACAGTATCACTCTCAGCAGCGATTATCCTGCACCGCTCAAGTCCAAGGACGAGCTGATCATGCAATGCGGCCCTCGTCGCTTGATCATCAANCCCCTGTTCTCACAAGCAGGCAATACCCCCAACAACGTGCACAAGTTTGACCGTTACCTGCACCCCGGTCAAACAGGCATGACATCCTTCATCGGTCCTCTAACATGGGGCAATGTGCCTTGTCTATACCTCAAGCGCACCTCCACCATCCCCCCTCCCCCAGCCGACTCAGATAACGAAGACGACGACGCCATGGACGACGACTCCGTCAGCAAACCCCTATACACACTCATCGCCACCGGCACCTCCGTCGCCCCCAGCACCAACCGCATCATCGCCAAGCGCGCCGTCCTCACCGGCCACCCCTACAAGATCCACAAGAAACTCGTTACCATCCGCTACATGTTCTTCAACGAGGAAGACGTGGCCTGGTTCAAGGCCATCCAGCTCTGGACCAAGCGCGGTCGCAGCGGTTACATCAAGGAGTCTCTGGGTACGCACGGCTACTTCAAGGCTACCTTTGACGGCAAGATCAACCCTATGGATGCTGTGGGTATGAGTCTGTACAAGCGCATGTGGCCTAGATGGGCCAGAGAGTGGAGACCGGGCATGGAGACTGCTACTCTGGAGAATGAGAAGGGTGATATGATTGCTTAAGAGATGTCTTTCCTGCATGTTTATACATGATGTGGGAGTTTGTCGATATTTACAGGCGCTGCAAGGGTCATGGAATGGAATAAAAAGCTTGCTTCCTTTTTCGACATGAGTTTCCTGTTACTGTAGTCACTCAAATTTATAATGCTGCCATCACTCTTTCCTTCTCAGAAGACTGATGTGCTATGCTCTGAAATGATCCCACCACCAATGACCTCCACCTCGAGACACCATGCCCATGAAATCATCTTGATCGTAGGTTCCTAGCCACTGTCATTGACTTTGAACCATAGCCAAAAGCGTTTTGTGATGGACGGGTTATAATTCTCTCTCCCGTCTTTCGGGCCGGTGTCAGGATCTTGACTCAGTGTTCCGCTGCTGAACAGTGATTGGAGGAAGGAGGGCGGTCCTGATGTCGGAGTAGTGTGGTGCTTGAGCCATGGCCGAGACTCGTCGTTCATTCTGTGTATGATCGCTCTTTGTGATAATATGGCAGTCGCGATGCCTCCTGTCGCAGAAAGGGGTGACGTCTGGCTCTCGACCGTACCTCCTTGTTCGGGTCGTATCCTAGAGGAAGGGTGTTTTTGTTTCGCTGACACCTTTGCGACATACGCTTCATTTCCCCAGGGGACAGATGTAGTCGCATACTCTTTCCCTCTCACCCTTCCACCCCCGAACATCGTATCCTAACTTTATATCCATCATCCTTCTCTTCAAGCAGCAGCCGGCAGTTCCTCAACCTCATAAATCACCCGAATCATCAACGAACAACTCGGACACACGGCAATCTCCTCTCCATCTCTGAGATCCTCAATGTTGATCTCAAAGCGATCGCCACACGGGCATGGATAAGTGTAGAGTTGGGTGACGGGGTCGTAGGTCATGTCTTCGATCTCGATCTCGTCGTAGATTCTTTCTTGAGAGGTGTCGACCATTTTTGCGGTTTTTGGTTTGAAAAGGTTGGGCGGACGAGGTGTCGGTTGTGACGAAGGGCGGTTCGGAGGACTGCGTGTAGCGAGTACAGACGTGGCTTCTGTACAGAGTGTGGGTTGTTTTAGTCGAAAGAGTCAGGAAAAAATTGTTGATGGTCATCCTCGAAGGGGTGGCGTGCGGGACGGACACGGCCCGAGAATCGGCCAAGTCGAGAACACCGAAACATCCATCACGACCAAGGACTGTTGATGACCCTGGCTTCATCCTTCACCTATCGTTCTCGACAAAGTCTCTGATCAGCATGACCTCAGGATCTGTACATATTCTGCGGCTATGGAACACAAGTGTAAAGAGCCTCTCTTGACACCCGCTTTAATCCGTGCGTCACTCATTCTGCACAGCAAGATTTTGTTTGGAAAGCCAGCTTGATACCAGTTGCGCCTCGTCAAAACGTCTACGACTGCTAGATAAGTTTGCTCTCCGCGGTCTCGATCAAATGTTGAACACTCAAGTTCTGCCGTCCTCGCCTCTCCACACACCCTGATCTGCCAGCAGTTTACTAGGATGGTCTCTCGAGCCTTCCACCTGCAATGCAAGTCTGGAGTCATTGTTCAAACCAGCAATCTCGCGGCGTGCATCTGTATCAGCGTCTTCAGGATCGTCTGTGTAGCGCTGAGCGGGATATTCGATGACTCTGCTGGCTGCATCAGACTCCTCTTCCAGGACGCGATGAGGGAGGCGCATGCTCTCGTGAGCCCATGTAGGATGCAACGCCGGCGTGACAATGATGATGGCCTGCCACTAATGTTAGCATGAATGCGAAACAGACAAACTTGAGAAAATACTACGCACCACCCAGACAAAAACGCCTACTGCAACGCCAATCATAAGACCAGCCACAGTCCTCTCCTTGTCTCTCCACGCAGCCTCGCAGCCAATCTGGCGGTCGAAACGCTGCGAACACGTGTCGACCGTAATTCCGTGGCCAGGAAATGGGTATGGCATATCTCTCACACTCCTGAAGCCGCAACAATCGAATGCCTCCTGAATTCTTTTGATCTTGCTGGCATTCTTTTCGTGGAACATGCTCTGCCATTTTTCCCTCAAAGTACAGCCCAGACCTCCAACAGGCGAGATGTGTGTACCGCTGAGTGTTGCGACTACAGTGATGTAGACCAGCAAGCCAAGGATGGTCAGGGTAGAGGGCAGGAGAACGGCAGGAAAGTTGCGTGCGTGACGGTGTCGAAGTTTCGGGTGTTGAGCCAGCGACGTTGCAAGTGCAGTACTGGTCTCCATGCACAGGCCTGCGAAAGGTGGGAGTGCGAGTGCGAGGGTCGTGAGAGATGAGGGAATCGGCAATGAGAGCGTCGAGGTCTGGTGTACGGCATNATCTGTATTTTGATCCATCAGTTGATGGGGACGGCGACCTTGCAAAGATTCAACCTACGCTGCCATTGCAGTCAAAGCTCCGAGATACTATACTGCATCAGTAGAGGACAGCTTGAAGTGTTATACACGGCTTACAAGGACGCTCAAGATGACCGATATTTGGCGCCTGGTAAGCGACGCCATTTCGAATTACGAAATCTGAATTGTTGTTCTTCAAGATGCTCGTTGGGTTGATAAGAACAAGCTGCTTCACTTGTAACGTGCTTCAAGTAAGGTAGTCGCTATCAGTGTTGTAGCGTGGATGCCGATTGAGGATGTAAGAAAACTGAAGAGAGTAATTCAAGGTGGAAAGAGCTTGGAGCAACCCCTTCTCCGTTCGTCCTTATCGACATGAAACAAGGAAGCAGTCATGGATCAAGATGCTCATGGCGTGAGTGCCAAACACCAGAAGACGAGCTGTTGTTGATGCATGCAATCGTCATCTTCTCCGCATTTGCTGATCGCTCGGCAAGGTCACTCTCAAGGGCCCTCGATCTCAAGCAGAGGCATTTTCTAACTAACCAAACATCACACTTTCATGGTAATTCATGCAGAAGAAATGCCTGTTGATTTGCTGACCGGCAAAGATGGTGTGTGGTATCTCGGTTGATAGATTGTTCGCGCTTTACAAATTGGTACTTTGCATGTGAAAGACTGTCACGCGCCTTCAACACAGCCTAATTTTCTGTCCCATCGCATTTCACGTCAAAGACAGCATTTCTGCCATCGGCCCTACTTCAAGTCAACCTCCTAACTATCTTCAGCACACGAAATGCCTGACAACAAATCCAATTCAAAGTCAACCTCGGCATTAGTCTCTGCGACTTTACGAGAACATACCGCGCCGCTGACCGAACGGACTGAAGCCATCGTCTCAGCTTCGCAATCGATAGACGCCCAAAAACGAACTCTGGTTCAAGATACGCAAAAGCTATCACGGCAGGCGGAAGAGCTCGAGAAGGCGATAGGTCAGAGCGTTGACCAGCTCAAGGAGATGGGCGATCTTCAGAACTGGGCTGAAGTTGTGTTTCGAGACATCTCGGTAATCGAGGAGACTTTGAGAATGGTAGAAGAGCAAGAAGCTGGAAACGACCAAGTGGTTGACGGTGCCGATAGGGGAAACACCTAGGCCAAAGCCCGACCTTGGTCTCCCCCTAGTGGGATGATCGAGAGGTTGAACCTGCCGCGGGAGAGAACTGAGATGAGGTTGGAAATCATCTCAGCCCTCTTTCTGAGCTTCTCTACCACGCTGGCTGTTTTTCAGACTCTTCATGCTCAATCTGGGTCTGCTTTTACGTGTGTTTGCTGTCGAAGCTTTCTTACCACCTAGTAAGGAAGCAACCATAGGGGGTCTGACAGCTACGAATTTACCCTTTGGTGAAAACACTTCGACTTGTGGGAAAAGACTCTGTGGAATTTCCTCCTCGGGCGGGCCCAATGGCTTCCAGGTTGTTGTCTCGGAATCCGATGAAGTGGGCAATGTGCTAGTGTCTGTAGCCTTGCTCGAAGGTGGCGTGTAGGTAGGCTTATTCTTGGTCGACTTTCGTACTTGTGCGACAAGCTCGACCCAGCCAACACCTTCGACCAAGATGTCTGCAGAGTAGACTATGAAAGGCAGCTGCTCAGGCTTCAGCTTGGCGGCGGACTTCGAAGTCAATGGGCCAGCACGTTGCCTCGTGACATCCCATTCGAGCTTGAAAGTGCCTGCTGATGCCATATTCTCGCGAGCTTCCTTGGTCATGATGGTGCGTAGCCCAGTGGCTCTTTCGCCGCTCTCGATAGCCACAGCCTTTTCGGTAGAGGTAATGTGAGGGTGTAAAGGTAGGAAAGTGTATGACAAGAAAACCAGATCTGGCGTCGTGGGAGTGATGCGAATAAGACCGCCTCCTAGCAATAATGACTGGCCAGGCTTGATGGACGTCTGCTCAGGAACTACACGTGAACGCATGACAAGGTCCTGATGATGCTCAGGGAGAACAAACTCTTCGAGGTTGGATCGAGAAACGCCGGGAAGATCAATGAGCTCACCCTTTCCGCTACCAAAGGGCACGCGAATGGGCGAAGCTGTGGTTCCAGGCAGAGATGATATGACAGGCATGACTGGGTAGGGTGTCTCGACTTGAGCAGGAGGGAGTAGTGAACCTTCTTCCACGTCAAATACGTCTGGCTCATCCTGATCAACCGCTTCTAGTTGAGGCTCAGCCGGAGCATTATCAGAAGCACTGCCTGTCGAGTCGGCAGCAGTAACGCCTGCATCCTGAACATCGGGCAAGTCGGAAAGAGACTCGGTGGAGTCTGCAGGAACTGACGGAGTGTCTGACTCTAGCTGCACATGCATAGGCTGCGGCGTAGGAAGCTTCTCTTGCACCCTACCCTTAGGGAAGGCAACCTCGAACAGATTACTCTTGCCCACATTGACTTTGCCAACCATCCAAGCAGCACCACCTCTTTCCCAGATGTCTTCCTTGACCTGCTTTGTCCACCAGCCACGCTTTGCGCTCACACATCGCATGTTGCCCAGTCTGACATTCCTTCCGGTGCGACCAAGAGCGTCACGAAGCGTCTCACGAAGATATGGCATCAGACTGTCGACCTGTTCCTTATTCGGGGCAAGGAGATCGGAGCGAGTGACGATAAAGGAGACGTCGGCAACGCGATCGCGGACGTATTNTTTGTGCTTGGAACGGCGATTTTGAGTGCGCAGAGAAGGAAGATCGAGGCGGTTCAGAAGGTCGGGGATCAGCGACATGGGAAAGTCTGCGGCATCGATGATGTGGTAGATGTGGTTGTTCTTGTGGGGAGAGTCTTCGATTATGCTACGGATGCTGTCGATAGAAGGGTGGAAGATGGGAACACCGGTATGATGGTGCAAGAGGTTGTGGCATCGGTCGCAGATGGGAGTCTGCTTTTGTGGGTGTTCCTGGGCAGCAAGGGCTCCGCTGTCGAGACCCAGCTCTTGCAGGACCTTGTTGTCAACCTTGTCCAGAGTTGCCTGGAAGACAAGATCCTCCTTTTTGGCATCATCCTGAACAAACTTCCTGATGGCAGACCTACTCAAGTTGTAGAAACCAGCTTCCTCGGGAGCGACCGTCTGACTAGGAGCGCCACAGCCTGGGCATGACAGAGGTAGCTTCAGTGTCTTTTGCTTGGTGTCGTTCTGCTTGCGTTGGATCAAGTCATGTTGGTCGTGTGCAGTAGAAGATGCCTCGGTTGAAGAGAGGCGTTTCGCACCAAGACTCGACAAGCATAGTGACGAACGTAGAGGGAGAAAGAATGGCTGTACAGACAACCGGGCTAACGGCTTCCTTGCCAGAGCATTGCGTGAGCGAATGGCCACTCTACTAAACATTTGGATGTTGTGGCAGCTCTCAGAAAAGTTTCTGGAAGAATCATGGAAGTCGAGAATGACGAGCGGCCAAAATGGTCGGCCCGAGCACCTCCGCCATCCATGAGTTGCTCATGCGCCACCATTCAATTGCATTTGTACCATCCAAGTCCACCTTTGGCCATTTCACACTACAACACGTCCAACATGTCATCGCTTAACCTCGCACGCTTCGCTGTTCGCTCTTGCTACTCGCCTGCTGCTCGCCGCGCCATCGGCACGTCGCCAGCCGTTCGTTCATCATGGTCGCCCGGCCCTTCGCCGCCACGTCTTCCCAAGGATGAGCAGGAAGTATTCGACAAGCTCATGAGGCAATCTACTGGTGCATTCAGCACTCCTCAGCAAGCTCCTGCAGAGACCGTCGCCGAAGTCGCCCCTTCCAAGCCTCAAGTCAATCAATCGCCTCAGATCAACCAGTCGCCCGCTCTCAAGGCAGACGGCAAGGGAGAAGAACTACACCCCAATGTCCGCCGTGGTGCTCCTCCAGAGTTTGAGGGTGATGTCAACCCCCAGACAGGCGAGGTCGGCGGCCCCAAGAACAACCCTCTGCGATGGGGCCATCAGAGCGACTGGAGTTACAATGGCCGTGTTACCGACTTTTGAGCCCAATCTACCCTCCTCTCTCCAATCGTCCGACTTCCTCCCTCACTCTGGATATCTCGCTCTTCATCCTCGATATCTCTTCGACCGCCTCCCTAAGTCCTGCAACTCCCTCGAGTCGCTCCAGCCACTGCTCGCGATCCCTGAGTCTCCTGCGTAGTCCCACACTTCGAGCATCCAACTCTTCCTTCTTGCGCACGAGTTGCTCTTCGGCTCTTCCATCGTAGACCTGCCCCGCCACCGTCTTCCTTGCAACCAGCAATCGCTTCTCCAATCCTTGCGCGACTGTCGCAAGGTGTTCGGCTCGCGCCCGAGTGTGTCGTCCTACACTGCCATGCATCACCTGCTCCAGTATCCGAATTGCTGTTTGTAGCAGTTGCGCATTGGTCTTGAGGAGTTGAGTCAGTGTGCTTGTGAGCTCGATACGTTGGACACCAAGCTGCCAATTCGCTTCTTCGACCTGTTTCTGCAATGTCTCGACTCGTGCTGGAAGTGTCGAAGGGTCTGGCTGCTGTTGTGTTGGATCNNTGTTTTTGTACAGATATGAAATTAGCATAGCTCCATACTTTTCAATGATACCCTCTCCTTTTCTGCATATACGAGACGTACCCAGTATTTGACATAGCAGCATGACATTTTGCTCCATGTGTGTTTCCACCGTCGCTCTGACGGTCTCGATGTTGGACATGAATTCCTCGACCTCGACTTGGACGATATCCTTGTCTTGAGGATCTAATTTCCCATCCAGTTGTGCAGAAACAATCTGTGCAGTTTCTCTCAACTGCAGTAATGTCAGCTACTATTCACCCCTTGTCCATCTTTCAAGCAAAGCAAGACTCACCTCGCCAATCAACCCTCCCTCACCCTCTCCAAACGCAACAGCCCTCACCGCATCTATGAGCACTTCTCTTTTCGCCCATTCGATTTGCTTGCTTTTGAGCAACTCTCTCGTCGCCACTGTTTCTCTGTCCAGAGCAACGGTTTTGGAAACTCCTTCTCTGGTTATTTTGTTGGTCGTCAGGTCTTTCCATAGTATTGCGAATTGAGGGTTCCGTGCTAGTGTTTCTGCGTCTGGTTGTGGCAGCATGTTTGGTTTCTTTGTTGTTTCCTCTCTCTTTTGATTTTGTTGGTCTCGTTGTAATTGAGTCGATGTGTTGCTTTCTGTGTATGGTCTTTGTTTGGTGGGATGGTTGGCGGGGGGGTTGAAGTGGACAGGAGAAGGGTTCGGGAGTTGCTCGTCTGCGCTCTCCGCAATGACCATCTTGATTCACAATGTTGGCAACAAGTCATCAATGGGCAGGACTTCTCAAAAGCAACAGTTAATATTGTCTGTTACCTAACCATGATGATGTTCATACTCGGAACCAATCCTGTGACCAAGGAGTATCACACTGTAGACACTGACAAGCAAAGACATCATCTCAAAGAAAAGGTGAATGCGATGAAAAGTTCTTGTCCCTGAATCTGTTTCCATCAATGATGAAGACTACTGACTTATAGAGACAAGAAGAAAAAGGGCTATGGTACAAGAATTTTAATAGGGGAGGCCTCCGTCTTGCCAATTATCTTGTCAAACCTCCTCATCATTCATCAACCCCGGCAAGGAACAGCCCGAACTCCTGCAATCCTTCCTCTGTGGGTATCTCTTTTTAGGGGTGTGGGGTGCGAGAAAAGAAATGCATTCCTTGAGCAAGCATGTGTTCTTGGTGAATGGATGTTTGAGGTGATATCAACGGGGTAAGTCGTGTGTTTTGTCATTCGTTATCATGTTCGCCAGCTGCTTGCTCGCGTCCCATGCTTTCTGGCCTTTGGTCTCGTTATCGTCCATCACAAACAATGAGTGGTGTTGAATTCTACTTCTGGCATTCGAGCCCGAAGTGAGCAAAGAAAATGATCGGAAGAGTGAGTCTACTCTTCTTCACTGCTCTCGCTGTCGTCGTCATCACTGCTGTCGGCGTGGTGAGGAGCTGAAGGTGCTGCACCGCCACCAACAGAGTTGACATCACCAGACATAGCAGCCATCTGCTCCTTGAGCTGTCTGATGCGGTCCTCTTGCTCGTGCTTCTTCATGGGCTTGTGCTTCTTCTTCGCAGCTCCGCCAGAACGTGCTGACGGCTTCTCGGGCTCATAGTCGTCATCAATGGCGTTGGCATCCATCTCGACTGGCTCAGCCTTGGGGAAAATGCTGCGGACGTAACGTAGCAGCTTGTGCTGCACCTCATTGGGCAGATCGTCAATCTCGAGCTCAACATCGTCGCCGGCCATATCCTTGTACTTAGCAACATTTTCAGTGATGATGTTGGTCAGCTTCTCAACCTGTTCGGCACTCATGTGTTCTGTAGCGCTGCTGATTTCCTGCTTCTCATCATATGTAACCAGGCGTTGCTTCTTAGGCTTAGAACTGGTCTTAATGGTAGGTCGAGAAAGGCTGGAGCTGCCACCGGACTTCTTGCTGGGTTTGCTGACAACGTTGCTGCCACTCTTGCTCTTCTTCTTGTTACCAGAGGCCTTGGGAGATGCGCGTTTGCCGCCAGAAATAGATGCAACCATGTTCTGCATGGCGGCCAGTTGCTCTCTGAGCAGAGAGATCGTAGCCTCGTTGTTGTCATGTTCGTCGTCTTCCTCGTGAGCATCATCGGACTCATCGCCATCAGAGACATCTGACACGGGACTAGCGCGTTGAGATTGAGACGTGTGTCTCTTGATCCAGCTATCCTTCTTGGCCCACTCTCTGTGGAACTCGGCCTGGAAGTCTCTGCCCATTTGGTGCACAACGTTTTCAGCAGGGTTGAATCTGAAGCAGTTGGTGAACATCAATTCGAAATCACTTCTGAACTCTTCGGCAGTCGCATACTGTCCTCCCTTCAGCCTCTGAGTGATCGTAGAGATGTCCATGGGATGCTTGATGATGCTGAAGTACTGGGGAATATTGAGGGCAACAGGATCGACAGGGATGCGGAACGGAGTGGCGAAGCGGTCGTACTTTGACTTGCGGAACTCTTCCAGAATGTGCTCGCAGAACTTCAAGCCAGTCTGAGCTTCCTTTCTCTTGGGCTTAGATGTTGAATAAGGCAGATCGCGTGGGGCCGGAGGGACGACTGCCCGCTTGGGCCTGCCAGCAGTTGAATCTCGGCGGATCATTGGAGTTCCATCAGGCAAGAGAGCAAATGTCTCACCAGCAGGCGACTTGACCGGTGCAGAAGGCTTGGTTGACTCAGGACGAGGTAGAGCTGCAGGCTTTGGTGATGCCTTCTTGGCGACATGCGACTTTTGTTTGGGCAACGCAGCTTCTCCAGTAGGGCACATTTGCATCTGCTTCACGAAATAAGCTCGGAGGTTTTGCGCCGAAACAGAAGCAGCATGGTTAATGCCGTTGAAGGTAAAGCAGTTGGTGACCATAAGCTCAAAGTCAGACACAAGATCATCGACCGATGAATATTGGTCGTTCTTGAGTTTTTGCTCAATCGTGGTAAGATCCATAGGCTGCTTGATAACAGTCGGGTAGTGGGGAATATTCAGAGTCACATAATCGACAGGCTTGGTGAACCAGTAGGCAGACTTGACTTTCTTGGTGTTCTTCATCTTTTCGATCAAGAAAGCCTTTTGGTTCTTGGTAATGGGGCCAGAGCTTATGCGGGGAGTGTTCTGAGGGCGAACAACAGGGACGGCAATACCATTGGTTCCACCGTTTGTTGTGACAGGTGCAGCCTGAGCAGCGCTCACAGCTCCGTTGTCTTCGAATTCAGCTTGCGCCTCATCATTAACATCATCTGCAGTCTTCGTGCGCTTTGCGGAAGGCTCGCCAGTCGCATCGTCTTCTTCGCGTGCGCGCACAGTCCCTGCTGAAGGCGCATCTGACATTTCTTGGTCGACTGAAGTGTCTACTGGAAGCGCGGCAGGCGCCTGATCGGCGAGGCCGTCCATAGTAGGTGCTGTTTCAGCTGCCGCAGTCGAGTCGGAGATGGAACCGTTGGCGAGGGGNNGAAGATCTGATGCGGGTTTAAGATCGTCAGGTTTTGACTGGTCGACAACACCGCTTGAAAGTTCTGTGGTTGAGAGTTGATTTGAGTCGGGGTTGGCGGCAACAACACCATTAGTGGTGGCAGCGCTTGAATCTTCAGTCACTTGAGGTTCCGGCACAGTGGTGGTGGAGTGAGTCTCAGCCGCAGTCGCAAGTGAAGGTGCGTCAGTGACCTCGGTGTCCTCAGTGATGTGCGCTTCACCATCGCCGAGAGGCTCTGACGGTGAGACGACAGGCTGGTCAAGGTTCGCGTCAGATGGAATGAACTTAGCAACGCCTTCGATGCCGGAAGATTGTTCTGTCACTGGAGCAGCGTCGGATGTAGGTGGACCGTCAACAGTCTGCGAGTCGGCGGGAGTCGGAGGGCCATTCGCTGAAAGGTCAGTGGCAGCCGGCGCCGGCTTCAACGCGTCGGCACCATCGACAGTATTGTCGAGAGGTGCCTTGACAACATCGTCCACGGACTCGCCATTGGGTTCCTCGCCAAAAAGATCATCACTTTGTTCAGCGGCGACAGGCAGGTCTTCATTGGGTCTGTAACAGATTCTCAATATTTACATTCAATAACTGATGATGAAACGGAGAGAAGTATGCAAGGTGATGATGATGAGGATGGTAGGATGCAACGAGGTGAAACAAAGGTGGTGGTATAGGAAACAGCAGAAGTAATAAAGGATGAGACTCACCGGTCGACGTTTGCCATCTCCGGTTGTAGTCCTGTTTCTGCTGACATCTGAGATGAAGATGGGTTGTGCAGTGTTGTGGTAGATAAAGATGGCACGTGAACGGCCGAACAGAGAACGGGAAACGACAATCAAGCGACGACAATCTAGAGAAAGAGCGCGACGGGACTACTGTTGTATTGGACAGGACAAGAGGAAGTAATTATGCGCGTGGCACAAATGATAAAAAATCCAGAAGCCGAGATGGAAAGTGGTTGTGGATGGTGGAGTTGGTCGGCGAAATTTTGGGAGAACGTGTCGCGCGAATCGGAAAGCCGGACGTGGACGTGGAGCGTGTTTCGACGCGATTGGAACTCGCAAAGGATGCAAGTTTGGAAAGTCTGGGAGATTTATGATGCTGCCCCTAGCGCCCGCCTCACGTGACGTCGAGAAAAACGCCGTGCGGCTGTGTCGCCACAAGGCTGCCGAGTCGAGCAAGAGCAAACGCAGGGGGTTCTGGATGAGCAAGATTCTCTGGTGTGGCACGACACTGCCTTTTTTTTTTTGAGACGTGAGAGAATGAGGGCAAAACAGGAGCAGATCAAGACGGAAGTCGCTCACGGGCATATAACTACCTTGAAAGAGACTGGGCATGGAAGCAGTGTATCGTTCTTGCCAGATTTCGTCGTACTTGCCAGAAGTCTTGGTTTGGAGCAGTCGCCCTCAAACCTTCAAACGGATACGGATGCCTACGGGGGAAATGCAAGGCAGCAGCGTAGGTGCAAAAGAACTGGATTTTCAGCTGGCAGGAGGCCCGTAAGTCGCAGTCGCAGAGCTGCCAGGCGATACAGTCAGGTTAGATACATTCTCGGGTGGAGAAGAGGGTGAAGAAAAAGAGGCACAGGCGCTGCTCCAGCGAGCGGCGGATAGTCGGAGACACGCACAGACCTCAAACTTTTGGCATAGCGTTCCTAATTTTTTATCTCAGCTGCAAAGGACCAAAGTCCAAGTAGCACACGACGGACCAATCCATATAATATTCCACCATGAGCACGGCAAAGCGAACACGAGCAAGGCAAGCAGAGGCAGGAGCAGCGCCCTCGCTGCCGCCGTCGAAAAAGGCAAAGACTTCACAACAGCCTGGTTCTGGACTGGCCTTCCTGACCGATGAGAATCAACGAGCCGGAAAGAAGCTGCGCGCAAACTACACCAATGGCGTCAAGGACTCACGAGCAGACCGCGTCGACGAGTCCAAAGCTCAAGTCGAGCAACACGAGGCCGAAGCACCAGAGGTAGTCGAGATTTCGAGCGGAGACGAATCGAGCGTATACAGCGGCTCCGACGACGAGGCCGACGACACCAAGCCAGTCACCAACGGCAACCACGATGCCGATGCTGTCATGGCCGATGCCGACGAGGGTATGGAGGATGGCGCAGAAGGGCAGTCGTTTGGCGACATGCTGCAGGCAGCGCACCCCGAGACGATCGATGTCCAGTCCGCCTTCGCCGATCGCGAAGAGGGCACCCAAGCTCTGGTGCCTATGAACCAGGATCGCTCTCTCGCCCTTCCCACAGCCACCTCCCTCGGTACCGTCCTTACCCAAGCTCTGCGCACCAACGATCGCGACCTCCTCGAGACTTGTTTCCAGATGACCGACCTCCCCAGTATCCGCTCAACCATCCAGAGACTCCAATCACCGCTTGTCGCTTCGCTTCTTCAACGCCTGGCTGAGAGACTACACAAACGCCCTGGTCGTGCTGGAAACCTCATGGTCTGGGTACAATGGTCGCTCGTCTCCCACGGTGGTTACCTTGCCAGCCAACCTGATGTCCTTAAGAAGCTTAAGACCCTGTCGCGAGTCATCAAGGAGCGCGCCAACGGTCTCCAATCTCTCGTCACACTCAAGGGCAAGCTCGACATGCTCAACGCTCAGATTGAGCTCCGCAAGAGCGTTCAAGAGACAAGAGATGGAAGATTCGATGACGGCGACAACGTCGACGACGATGTCATCTATGTCGAGGGTCAAGACGATCTATCATCCGACGACGACAACGACCTCATCAGCAACGCTGTGGGCAGCGATCTCGGTGACCTGTCCATGGTCAACGGCGCCGACCAAGCATCGTCCGATGTTGAGGAGGAAGAGGCTGGCGAGGGTATGTTCGACGAAGAAGCTGAAGAGACCTCCGATGACGAGGGCGAAGAGCTGTCCGATGAGGACGAGGAGAGTGACGAAGTCGAGGAAGAGGAAGACGACGAGTCATCCGACGATGACGAGGCCCCGGCACCTGTCGTCAAGCCATCGAGGACACAGCAACGCGCCGCCGGACGGAGAAGATGAACGACCACTTGAGTGCCGATTGTCTTGTAGATATATCTCTTCTCGGGAACGAATGAAACCCAGCAACCGCCATCACCGCCACAAGATGGGCTTGGTGTCTGAGCTATCAATCTTCTCGAACTATCTGGCGGTTGCCATGCGCATAAGGAAATGAGTGTACATGCATCCAAGCTGCGACGGAGTCTTAAGGGGTGGGTTTTGAATGTGGAGCAGGCGGCGTTCAAAGAAAGTCTTCTTTTCTGTCTTTTTCAATTGTTGGATCTTCTTGTCCTTTCTTCTGCATGGCGCGTACACTCGGTCTTCTAGACAGATATGGAAATGGCATCACTCTACCGTCGTTCGTTCTTGCCTTCTATATTCTCGTGTGCTTGGCAAAACCAAGGTTAGTAGTCACCCTGTCTCGAAACATTCTCGTCATTCAAGGAGGAACAATATGTCCTTGCTCTTGAGGCTTCACACTCAATGTTGATATATGTACTGAGTATGCCTCCGGGACTTCCAAGCTGATGATTCGTCTCGTATGACAGCGTTCAAGGAATCCCTGCCATATTTTGAGATGTTGCCCGTGAGGTAGGCGGGCGACCACGTCCTCCAGAATTCCAAGCACAAATTAGTTTCAAAAGCAATCTCTACCCTCAACGCGTGTCCACAAAGTCTAGTATTCCTCCAATATATGCTTGATATGCACAAGAAGTACATATTGTAGAGAGAAGACATGGGAACCAGACCATACTGTCATATTATGATTTTGTTTCTCAAGCATGTTGCTACTGGTATAACCCTGTCATGTGGTTCACAAAACGGATATATACGAGTATCTCAAATCTCTTGTTCTAGCATTCCGGCATCATGTCATTGTACCGCATGTACTCCATAGTTGGTTCAAGGTTCTGACCATACGGATGTATGGTTGTTTGCAAGATGTCATGCTTGTATCCGAGGACAAATGACAACATTCTTGCTCTTCTCGGCTACTGTACACCTTCAAGTATCACAGCACAGGTACACCCAAGATGAGGAACTCAATACAGTGAGAAGAGAATACACGAGTTGTTTGCTATCGGACCTTTCACCACCATCGATCAACAGCAGCCGTGGCTTCGGCAACCAGTGTCCCAACCTCCGCCTTCTGCGCCTCCAGATTATCACGAACCCAGCTTGAGATGGGATCGTGGANCCTCTTCTTGGCCTCAGCATCAAGGATAGAGGTGAGCACTTCCACACTGTCCTCCTGCTCCAACAATCGAGCCAAGATGTCGCCGTCGACGTGCATATCATCGGCCCTGTGTCTCCTGAGCTTCCTCACCATATCTCCACTCCAACGAGTTGCGTCAGACGGGTTTTCGAAACCAAGAGGCGGCAGTATCATCGGTATTGCTTTGGTAATCCCGTTTTGCGTAATCGTCGGCGGTGTGCTGTAGGTAAAGGGACAGATTTCAGGGCTGCGCTGGCACAGCCTCTGCACCCATCGCAGGCGATTTGCTGTGTATTCATCAAGAACCGCGAACCCGTAAACCGTTCCGTCTGTGGTAATGCCGACGAGGTCGTCTTTGAGGACGGCGGAGGTCTTGTGTACAGGCTTCCATGGTGGACGCACTTTGGCTTCCACAACACGCATGACCGAGCGGAAGAGTTTTGCAGTGAAAAGCTTGTCGTGGGAAGCTATTATCGGGGGTTGGCTGGGGTCTGGTACCCTCAAGCCGACGAGCTCTCCGTTCAGTGTGCTCGTCAGATTGAAGCTCAACGTTGTTTGATCATCTTGTGAGACGTCGATGGTTGTATGGCTAGTAGATTGCCGTGCTCCATCACCCCTGGCGACGTTTCGAAGTATCTTCGAAGTTGGATCGTTTGGGCTGTTGACCAGTTGGAGCGTAAGCGTTGAGTCGCGTTCGGTAGTGATGTGTATGTGTGGTGGCGCAGTAGTCACGCGCATACCAGCACTATGCATAACAAAATGGCATACTTCATGGAACCTGGAGATTCTGTCAGCCTATAACTGTACAATGTGAGCAACAACCATACGGGGCACTGACCTTAACGTTTCGACGTCACACTCGAAGAAGTATACCTTTTTCCCAGAGCACACTATGATTTGCGTGTCGCTATAGGTTGCAATCGCTGTTACAGGAGATTCGAACTGCAACTGCTTCGATTGTGAAACTTGGATGTTGCCCTCTTTACCCACAGCTGGAGGTCGAAGCAGGTAGATTTTGCCGTTCATTGATCCGGGAGGAGCGACCTCGTCAAATCGCGTAGCCCGGCCAACGGCAACTGCGATCAAGACATGTCGTGCAGCGTCGGGTGTTCTTCTGAAAGACCATTCGGTCATCGAGTGAACCTTCCAACCGATGTCTGTCTCCCAGGTGCAACTCCAGTCGCCTGCGCTAAATTGAACCACATCACGTAAAGCCCTAGTCGTCGGAGAACGCTTCCATACATAGGAAGACGCGCTGACAAGGCAGTTCAGTGGTCTAGACTCGATCAGTGTATGAGGAGATCCCGGAACATCGATGTGATTCGGGATCATCTGTCGCCTATCGGATACCGCTGTCACGAGACAGGAGTCTCCTGAGATGACGATAAAGGCTTCGGACAAGCTCGATGTCTCATGATACGGGACCATTGTCATGGCCACAACAGGATCTTGGTGGAAGTAGTGCGAGCCCTCTGTTAGGTATACATCAGAGATGTTTATGGCGCTCAGTCTGGTGTCTTTCATAGTGATACTGAACAACCCATCGCCACAAGTTGCAAATGCAGACATATGGCTCCTCCCGAAGTTAAGATTGACCGTCGTCAATCCCAAGCTAAAGTGTCTTTGCGAACTGATATGTAGTGATGCNNTATATCGATGTGAGTAGTGAGCTCGTTTAGTACGTTGGATGCAGCACTTACCATCTAGACCGACTCGAAGCTCGAGTGCATAGACTGAACCACCTCGCAAGCCGCAAAGGACAATAAGATCGGCAGGCTTCTCTGATGAAACCTGCTCGCCCAGGACAAGAATATCTTCGCAGACGTTCAAGGCCTCGAGGTCATCCAAGTGATCTGGGTTCTGGAGAATCTCATGCTCCAGGTAAGGCTCGAGTCCGTTCTTCGGAGAGACTCTGAAGATATGCAGTGTGCCGTTGGAGTCGCCAGCGACGACGAACGTCAACATCCCGGTAGAATGGATGGCCAAAGATATCACCTCACCCTCTGTTTGTATAGGCTTGCCAAGATGCGAAATAGACACTGTCTCGTCATCAACGTCATCAACTTTGAGTGACCGAAGTTCTGATCTTCCTGCGATGCGTAGTGCGATGACTGCACACGGAATGTTGTTCTCGATCGCTGCCGCGACAGCTTTGTACCCCGACGGCCACTGCTCAACAAGCAAACTGTCTTGAGCATTGCGACTAAATGAGATCGCAGATTCTGTAATCTGGAAGACACAGTTGCCCGCTATCATGGCTACGGCGAGCGTCGAGTGCTGCATGTCAAGACCAGCGGTCCTCACGGCTTGTATGTCATTGAAGTCAGAATGCTCAGGAGAATGCGGTAGCGACAAAACATGGGTCTGCCCTGGACAGGAAAGAACCATGAAGAACACATCCCCTACTGGAAGAGGAAGAATCCACGCATGTGACACGATATTGAACGGAGCGTGTCCTTTGACACGAGCGCCGATGCGTGCTTCAAGACCCATGCGTAGCTCCGTGATCTGGCCGTAAGGTTGTCGACCACTAGGTGCAAATAGAGTGTCCCTCGAGTATACCGGTAGTCTTCTACGTGACGTGGGCTTAGCTACCAGATCCAGATTCTCTGACCAGTTCGGTAACGAGCTCACGACGAAGCCGTGCATACCACCCCTCGGCTCTGAATCAGTGGCAGGAGCTTGGCGACACTCGGNTCTGATATCTTGTCAGTCTTGTCCAAACTTGCGATTTGACAGCCCATCACTCACCATCCAGACACAACCCGTGCTTGACGCACCATGGACGATTAGGATGTCCCCTTGGTTCGACCTTCCGAACGGCGCACATGCTGAATCCACATGACATTCCAGGCTTCCGACAGGATTGACAACGACGCCTTCTCCAGGCGAGTATTGGTCAAACACCAGATAATAGACGTTACCATCCTCGGATATCAGGTAGATGTAATCTTCCTCTTCGTCCTCGATGTCTCTTCTGGGTCGCACCCATCTGGACCAAAGCGGTTTATATGAAGATGGTGGATAGTGCTCTGGTGGATCCTCTCGATCAAGAACCAGAACGCTCGTGGTCATCGATGAGGTCAAAATGTTCTCGAAGATCTTGAGGCCTCTTCCGGTAGCGAGTACAAAGGCTGCGTTGCCTTTCAAAGGTATCAGGAGATTCGGCATTTCACCNNCGCTAAGCTGAGTTAGCAATGCCACTTAAGCCGTGATGAACCGTTACTCACACAAGAAGATCCTGTGAGCCTGCCTGATTGCCGCAGACTCGGCTTTTTCGAAGTTTGACCACTCAACCCATAATGGTCTTACAACTTTATCATGCAGGACAATCATGAGTAAGATAATCCGGTCTCGATCGTGTTTCGGCGGGTAAAGGAAGTCCATTAGCAAGATAGTACCAGGCACTTCCTTGATGGTCTGGGAGCTAGAGACTAGGATGAACCCCTCGTTCCATCTTTGTTGCCCCGATCTCAGTAGTTCTGCTCGATTCGCATAACACACAAAGACTTTGTGCTCACCGATGGCCACTGCCACAGCTCGAGAGTAGGGATCCACCGCTATAGCATTTCCGTGCACTCGCGGCGGATTGATGAAGATAGGCATAGGTACGCACAATCCCTTGAAAATAACTTTGCCATTCTCGGCATCCAAAGCTGTGAGAAAGAATAGCTGCGCTGTGCCAATAAGGGTAAAGGCAAGCATCTGTGGGCCCGTAGGGCTTTCAGAACAATTGCTGTTGCCACCTGTGTTGTCACCATCTGTGTCGTCGGTGGACTCTTTGTTTTCGCTTTCGTACGGATCGAAGTGACCGATAACATTGGCCGAACCAATCTCGCTGTCAAAGTCACTCTTTGTCGCGATATGAGTGACACGGGCATCGGACTCAACCTCAAAGAGTTGAATAAAGTCTCTGCCTATACAGACATAATCGTCTTTCGTCGATGATCGGATCCGGACTGGGATTATCGAGCGAATAGTCGGAGTCGGCACCAATGTCCTTGATAGCAGACCGATCTGGTGATGGATCCTTTGTTTTGAAGAATCCTGTACGAGCTGTTGCGGACTCATGGAGGGCGAAAGATCCTGTGTATAGCAATGCAAAATGAAGACAAAGGGGGATGGGTCAGGCTTTGCAGTTCTTCAAAGCGATGTCGAGACAGAATTTATATCGAGAGCCAACACACGCGAGCCGCAGAACCATAAGATACGCAATCACTGTCTGCAATGCAAGGACGTAATGCTGCGACCTGTCACCGAAGACATAGAGTTCAGAGAGATTATTGATGCTGCAAAACGAGAAGCTGAATCGGGTGCTTACTGCATGCAACTGGCACGGATTTGTGCGTCTGGCCTACATGATGAATCAAGAGTGAGCAAGTGATTTGATAGGGCACGAACTAGTTGAGTGACTAGTGGTAGCTGGGGAGAAGACTGACGAGGTAGAGGTCAAGGTTGATGTTGGTTCAGTGATGGCATGCACCCACGGCAGAAGTTGAGCTTGGCTTGGCGTCCCTGCGCTCGGAGCCGCCAAGGGCGACTGGCTTGACCATCACCAACATCACAACATTCCTGCCGTGCTACGAAACAACTCCCTTGATGGCCAATCTCCGACCGACACAGACTTGTGGTCGCTAGTCCTGCTCTAAGGCCTCGGTATCATTGCGATACAGAAGGGGCTGTCTGTTGCACATTCGCACCTAAATCAGCCGCGCAAAGACTGCGCTACTGCATGCAGACGTATGACCCACAACGCTGGATTTTGTAAACTCCATCGACGACCGCTCCTCCTGAGTACAGTTCGAACATGACGGACGACAAATCTCAGAATTTCGATCAAAGTCGTGGTGATGACCACGACGCTCCAAGCTCTGGCCAGCCTCTCTCTAATTCATGGCGAGATGAGCCTCTGACACCTGCCGAAACATTAAAAGTTACGGAAATTCTCCGAGCGTGCAGAAACAACGACAGACAACAACTAGTAGCACTTGCCACGGCCTCGGGCGGTCTCGTAGAGGACCATGTTAGACGTATCGCCTGTACGTAATAACTCTATACTCATGCGGCTTCTCATCACCAACATTGTTGCCANGGGCCCATCCTGCTTGGCAGTTCTTCTACCGATGCCGATCATACAGACGATTGGCAAGAGATGCCTGTACACGGAGATGAAGAACAGGTCAAGCTTGATGTTCACCGCGCTTTCGTGTATTATCCAACTGGTAAGCACCGCGGACGCATCCGATGGTCGATGCGGTCTACTGACATGCAGTANGGCGAATCAGAGAAGCAAATCGAAGGCCGTAAACACGAACTCTCGGACCTCATCACTGGCCTACTGCGTCGGCATCCGTGTCTGCACTACTTCCAGGGCTTCCACGACATTGCGCAAGTGCTTTTGCTTGTGTTAGGCGCTGACCAGGCTGCATCTCTCCTGGCCCGCTTGTCTCTTCTGCGGATCCGGGACTACATGCTTCCTACTTTCTCGGCTAGTGAATCACATGTGCAGCTACTGCCGGCAATAGTCTATGCTACTGATCCGAAACTTTGCCAGCATCTGGCCAGATTGCGGCCGTACTTTGCTATTGCTGCAACTCTGACCCTCTACGCACACGACATCGAAGAGTATGGCGGCATCTCTCGGCTGTTCGACTTCCTTCTGGCACATGAAGCTGTGATATCGGTGTACATGTATGCAACGGTAAGCCTGATATCCCTGCGTTCAGCCAAAACCGGGACAACTCTCCCGGATGATCACTCTTGCTGACCAGGATCCAGNATAATCATGACCCGGAAAGATGAACTATTGGAGTACGAGTCCGACGACGAAGACATGATGTACGCAATATTGTCCAAGCTCCCCAAGCCACTGGATATCGAATCACTGATCAAAAGAACGACTTTACTCTTTGCACAACACCCGCCAGAGACACTGCCATTCAGTGCATGGCGTAAAGTGTCAAGCTACAGCGTATTGAAGACCACACGCGATCCAGATGAACTTGCAAAGCAAACGCTTGCGGATGGTGAACATCTTCATGCAAAGCATGCAGCACAGATACAGCGTCAGGAGACAATTCAGAAGATGACTGCTCACTCTCGTTTGTTAGCTTATAGATATCGCAAACCTGTTGGAGCGTTCACAGTCGCGATTGTCGTTGGTATTTTGTCGCTATGGATGGGCAGAAGCGGAAATGGCACTTCTATTTTGTCACCAGCCGCATTAGTTGACGCTAGAGACAAGCTGCTGTGGGTCATCAACAGGGCTTGGACAGGTCTCCGGCTTTGAGTGGTTGGAGGTTTTGAACCTCGATTTCAACAAAATAGGTTCATGTCGCACGAAATACACGAACTTCATGATTCAAACGAATACGCATTCACAAAGGTGGAGTCTGTCTTGGTGAGAATTCTGGTGAGGAAAAGTTGACTTTGCTGCAAAGATTGATTCCATTGCGACTTTCTGCGGGGCCAATGTTCAGAGAAAGAGTGCTCTGAAGACAAGTAGAGGGGTAGCCGTTGTTCAATCCGAATGCCCAGTGTTTGACAGCTATGAGTGAGGTGTTGGTAGCGGAGAGTCGAATCAGCGAGCTTGAGATCGACCTTGTATGTAGCCGCCTATCAAACGAAATCCGAGATGTCAAAACGACTTACGAGACATCATAATCTGCCGAAGCTTTTGACTCATAACGAAGAGAATAACTTCTGTCGGTGTTGAACCTTAACCACGGTATGACTTTGGGCAGCTTTACATCAGCCAGCCAGCGAGCTCTCGGATAGCTCGTTCCTACCCTCTTAGATGGTTGCAGAGTCCACTAGTTGTTCGACCTAGTAGGAAGGTGGTCTGGCCTTTCACAATCTGTTGAAGTTTGTCACATGGCATAACTTCTAGAGAATTTGAGGAGAATTTATCAGGAAAACACGGCGATGACAAATCATCTCAAAAGATCTCGAATCATGCTAAAAAGTATAAGTGAGAGAAACACATGCATAGTCTTCAATGAACAGCACTATTCAATAAATGGAGGATCTGTGATCTCTGACCTTTTCGTCAATGAAGAGGACGAGCTGTCAATTGCGTAGCCACCGGGAAGGGCCGTTGGGCACTCGTATATCCACTCAAACAACACAGGGGCCAGCGGAATTACAAAGTTTTTGTGGAGAAGAACTATGTTGAGAATCTTTCTCTCTCCACATAGTGATGCCTCCTGATATACCGGGCTCGACTGTTACTCAGCGTATCCCGAACGGCATGCTGGTTGACACGCCCGCCGGACACCTATGATGCACAGGGATGCGCCGTGTGACTCTAGCGTTGTCATCCCGAAGCCTCCCCCTTGCTGACCCTTTCGCAGACCTGCTTCAGAACCTTGCCGGCCCAATCCCAGTCCTCCATGGTGAGGTAAATCTGCGCACTGAGCCTGACCCAAAAAGAGCCTCCGTAGAAAATGATGGCGATGAAGGTGTTGTACTCCTCAACCAGCGTGGCCGAGATCCACTGGGCGATTTTCACTGGCTTCCCAGTTTCACCACCTGCTAGAGCGGTGGGGTCAAGGGGTAGCCGAACATTTGCAAAATTGCATATGCCCAAAGTGCCTTGGTCGTTCTCCATCACCTCAGTGGACAGAATCTCGGCCACTAGCTTGCCTGCCTCGCGTGCTTGGTGCTGCGTGAAGCTGATGATTGCATCCTCACCGCTCTTGCCTTGCCATGTAATAGTCTCCCTGAATTTGAGAGCAGCAGGCACGCATATATACGGTGCATTGTCCACCGTTCCGACAAATTCGAAATTGACAGCGAAAGCGGGTTTTGCGCTGGGCGGCAGAGGGTTGTTGATCCTAGCCCCACCGCTGGGCAAAGGGGTAAAACCGTGACTGGTCGGCAGTGTAGACCGAATAAGACCCTGATTCCTCTCGGGAACATAGAGTAGGGCGCAACCTCTTGGCGTAAATAACCATTTATGAAGGTTTGTGATGAAGAAGTCTGGATCAAGCTGTGCGAGATCAAGGGGGATGTGGCCGATGCTATGAGCACCATCTACAAGCGACAAGATGCCATGAGACCGGCATACAGAGACCAGACGTTCGAAAGGAACGCGTACACCAGGCAAAGAGACGATGGTATCGAAAATGGCTACTTTAGGCTGCTTGCCGGAGGCTTTGGTCCGAGCGATTGCCTTCTCAAACGCGTCGCATAGCTTGTCATCCGACACAGGGTAGATGTGATCATCGATCCTGACTGACTCGGCAGCGGTTGTTTCTGTGATATAGGCAACTGTCTTTTCGCATGCTCCATAAATCGTGGCAAAGTACAGAATGACGTCTCCTTCTGCAAACTTCAGACTGCGTAGGACGGTGTTTACTCCAGTCGTGGCGTTGGGCACAAAGACGCAGGTATCAACAGGAGCATTGACCAAATTTGCGACGGCCTGCCTCGATACGTCTAACGCTTCAGGATAGGCGAAGCGAATGTAGCTATCGGGTCTTGCCTCGCATCCGTCTTGAGACTGTCTTAGAGCGTCTCTCACGGTACGAGGGAAAGTGCCGAAGCTACNCTATGGATGTGGCTGATCAGCATGATTCGGCCACATGGAAATTATCTTTCACATCTTGGTTCCGCGACAGGTGTGGGTGGAGCTGGCGCCGAAGACGACGGACACAAGTGTATGGTTTCTAGAACCAGAAGCATTGATGCTTCGCGATGAGGGCAGATCCTTACCATGGTTTAGATTCCTCCAGCCAGGTGAAAACAGGAATTGGCGTTTCAGCAACTCGCTACCGCATACATAAGAAGTCGTCTCCTCGAAGCCTGAAGACATGGTGATGGTACTGTATGAATGTCTGATCTTCTGAGCTGAAATGATGGGAAATGATGTGAGAAGAACCACTGGTATATGCAGAAGTCTGATGGATTAGCCTTTTGGGTGAACTACGACTTCCTTCTTGGATCTTGGAGACGCCAGGCGTTAGCAACATGAGTCATCGACTGGCGTCAGCAACAGGCTTGGCGAGCGTTGCCCACATAGCCTCAGCACCCAGCTGGGAAGGGATCGTTGCGATGCCTTCCTGATATCAACCGGCCAATTTTGACCTGGATTCATACTTGCTCAAAGGCCGAGGGGGCCGGCCATCCAGATGATTTTTTCGTTCCAGAGGATTGCCCTGTCGCGAGAATAGTTGATCGAAATACCCCAATGAAGACTTTGGTCTTGTGCTGTATCCAGGATAAAGGTTGCTGAAGCTTTGGAAAGACCTTTCGACAACCTGTGTTCGGGGTGCGCGCCTTCTTCCTCTTCAGCTGCACTGAAATCTGTTCACGATATCAGTCGGCTTTTCGCTGTCGAACTTTTCTTCGAACGAGCTTTCGCAACGGTCTTCACCGGATGTTTTAGTCACCTGCATCAAGACGCACTCTTGCCAACGGCTGGCCAACCGCTTGTCGCTCCAATCGCAAGCCGCATGGTAGACATTGTTGTATCTCAGTGTCGTTGCTCCATCATGGATGAACGGTCTTTTTCTCAATAACACTGTGGACGCTCATGTTGATATTTCGATAGAGGAATCCGAAGTCGCGTCTTGACCGCTAATTACGCTGCGTCGCTTACATCTCAGGCAATATAAACTGGTTCTTTCGCTTTCCACTAGATTTCCAGGATCGATATTAAAAACACGCGCGCTTTCAACACCTCAAGATGCCTTGTGGCTCAGTCGTACACGAAGAGGCATATATCTAATAAAGCTTACTTAGCTCCGTGCACATCTGGATGAATGTCAAGGCGGTATGAATGGACCTACTACAGACGCACTGCCTAAGAACTGGCAGCAAGCTCGTGGTGCAAATTGTATGAGCAATCTCGTGTAGCTGGCATTACAACATCCGTTCCTGTACTCAACTTCGAGCCGAGCCAGCATCTAATCTTTTTACTATCGGATCTGGAGTCATTAAATATTTTGATTGCCCCCATTGACGTTGAACGAGAAGAAGATGCTGGAAATCCAGAGTTCGACCACCGAGTTCGAGTTGTCCTTTGGGTGAGAAATCAAAATCGCTTTCGATCAATTTGTTCACATGTCTTTGTACAGGGATGTCAAGCTAACATCTCATGTCTGATATACTGGTAAATATAGTGAGCGTGCTCCTGGCGATACGTACTCGTACAGTGCCGCCGCTTCAGCACCCCAGTTTGTGTTTCACTTAGAAGGGTTGTTTGAAGTGTTGGTATGACTTGCGTAGCAGGCGTTACTCGAGTGCCGCATGCGTCATTCACATTCCCATGCGGAAGTGCTCGCCGTTGACGCATGGCGGATGAGCTTATTTGATTCCTTGTGTAAGCTTGCCCTCAACTGTACCTACCTCAAGCTTGGATGATATTGGAATATTGCAATCCAGAGCTTCAAGCATTGACTGGTCGCTGCTGAGCATGTCAGCAGCACAGTAACTCACAGCTCCTCGATTTGTATCTGTTTGGACCATTCAGGTACTTCCCCGCTGTCATCGTACAGTAATAAACTCCGTATTCACCTCCGGTAAAGGCCCGATTTGACAGGGCTCGTGTAAGCGTGCGGGGACGCGCCAACTCCAACTTCGTCTCCAGATCGACAGCCTTAGCTCAATCCCACGAGGTTCGATGGCATTGCAAACGCGAAAGACTCCTCTTCTGAAGTCGAGTCTGCTTAATCTTGTAATCAAACACAGCGTTGCCTGTCTGATGATTAGTGGCAGGCGATGATGTCGATAGACTCAACAGTTTCTATAAGATCATACTCACAACTCGCACGTTTTTGACGACTTCCATATATCTACTTGTGTCACCAAACCGCTGCGTACGAAAACAGCCACACGCGACGTCATGCTCGGATACGCACGCGATCCATGGAAGATCTCGACATCCTCTGGCCTGCAAGAGTATGATCAAGTTGCTAAAGGTCTTGTATATAAGGATCTGACTTTTCCCCTCGACAACATGCACTCCCATAATCGTGTTCTCCACGTTGTCTCTCCACACTTTGATCATTTGGCAGCAGCATGTCTGGAAAGACAATGGCAAAACCGAAATACTTCGGTATGACTGGAACATGGTTGACAGTATGGGTTACCGTCGCCTGTGCCACAGACATGACCCTATTCGGTTACGACCAGGTGTGTAGAAAAGTCGGTCTATCTAATGAGATATAACTAACCATTTTGACAGGGTGTTTTCGGCGGAGTCGTTGTGACACAAGACTACATCAACCAACTTAACCTCGCCAACAACAACAGTCTACTGTCAACTATTACCGCCATCTATGATATCGGATGTTTCTTCGGAGCCATTGCTGCAGTCATGATTGGTGACCCCTTGGACGAAAAAACTCAATCCTGCTAGGAACCACAATCATGTCTGTAGGAGCACTCCTTCAATGTACAGCTTTTGGAGTTCCACAGATGATTGTTGGCCGTATTGTGGCTGGCATTGGTAACGGCATAAACACGTCGACAGCTCCAGTCTGGCAAGGAGAAACATCCAAGGCATCGTGGCGTGGTAAATTGGTCATCATCGAGATGATCATGAACATTGCTGGTTTCAGTCTTAGCAATTGGGTTACCTATGGGTTTTCGTATATCGATGGAGGCGTCGCCTGGCGTGTACCATTAGCTCTGCAGTTCCTCTTCATCTTCGTCCTCTACGGCACTGTACCGTGGTTGCCCGAATCACCTCGCTGGCTTATCAGCAAAGGTCGTGTCGAAGAGGCCAATCACATCCTTGCAGCGCTCGAATCGACTACTCATGATGACCCACGCATCATCGCCGCGAGCAATGAGATTCAGTATGCTGTCGACTACGAGCGCCAAAATTCGCCTTCCTGGGGCGAGCTCCTTAGGGGCAAGACTGGCAAGGAGGGAGGTACCTGTACTATGCGACGCCTCTTCCTAGGAATGGGTGCTCAAGCAATGCAACAGCTCGGCGGAATCAACGTTACCTCCTACTAGTAAGTCGATGTCTCCTCTGCACCTCAAACTGTGCTAAATTCTACCTTGTCCATCAGCTTGCCAACCGTTTTGATTCAGTCTGTCGGTCTCACCGAGAAACTGGCCCGTCTTCTTGCAGCTTGCAACTCCGTTTCTTACCTCTTGTTCTCTTTCATCTCGATTCCCAACATCGAAAGGTGGGGTCGTCGCAACATGGTATGTATAAACACAACAGCCACCCCTCTCAGTATCGAACTTCCATTCCGTTGCAGAGTTCTCTCCAGGACTGGCGTAAGTTCATACAGAACTTGCTGTCGTTCGCGAGAAGGCAGATCCGCCGTGGTAATCTCCGCCTCTGTAGCAACTCTCTGGAGTGCAACACTCATGCAACATAACACTCCTTGCACAAGAAACGTGCTAACCATACCTTTGATCTATAGATGCTCTACGCCTCGCTTGGCCAAGGTTGTTGTTACCTGCTGATCACTATCCTTTTGCGTTTCAACGAAATGGACGGCTATGCTCACCAGAACGAAGTTGCATCTGCCTCGATTGCATTCTTCTTCCTCTACTATGTCTTCTTCGGCATCGGCTGGCAAGGTGTTCCTTGGCTTTATCCTGCTGAGATCAATTCTGCATCGATGCGTACCAAAGGTGCTGCTCTAGGGACTGCAACGAACTGGATCATGAATTTTATGGTGGTTGAAATTACTCCCATCGGGATCAACAGCATTCACTGGAAGTTCTACATCATCTGGACGGTCTTCAACTTCAGTTTCATCCCTATTGTGTACTTTCTGTATCCAGAAACGGCTTCGAGAACACTTGAGGATATGGATCGCTTCTTCCGGGAGAACCACGACCCTCTTATATTCCGCCACAAAGAAGCCATCAGTACCAAGCGACCTCTAGCCTACATTGAGCGCGAGCAAGAAGAGGTCAGACGTACTTCTTCTGTCCATGCTGGCATGGCAGTGCAAGCAGCTCGCAACAAGAGCAATGCTACCGAATTCAACGAGAAGAGAGAAGGCAGAAACCCAATGCTTAGTACTGACGGTAGCCACGATGAGTTCAAGGAGGAGGTCTAGATCATGTTATGTCTTTTGTTTTGTCTGGGTGAAAAAGTCCAGGACCTGGCATTAGGCGCATCAGGCTTCGAGTTGATTCTAACATGAATTTATGAACGTACATACTCTCGATAAACCTGAGTATTTCTAAAGAACCAATCGATCACTTGAACTATTGAGATGATAGATTACCTGCCAAAAACAAGCAAGAATGAAAAATACCCATTGTAGAGCAGACATTAATCGAGACAGGGTGACGACCTGAATGTGCTTGGCGGACATTGCGGACATGTCGCCAACAAGCTGGAGAAGCTACACGCAACCCAGCGACCTGTTACATCAACACAAACCACACAACAACATGACGGATCAATTGCTAGCACCGCCGACACACCTCTCGCCAACCGAGTCCCTGCGACTGTCGCAGCTGGCGCCCAAATGGCTGCGTAGCCAAGCACCCAGCAGCCTGCCCTACCCGCTGTCCCTCCTCACCACCTCCGAATCGGCCGAACAATGGCAAGCCAACGAGAACTTAATGGTCGCCTGTTTGCGCACCGGCGACGACGAAACCGCTTCAATCTGCCTGGATAAACTGTCTCAGCGCTTTGGACCCGACAACGAGCGCGTACAAGCATTACGTGGACTGTACGAGGAAGCTACGGCGACGGACGAAAAAGCCCTCTCGAAAGTGCTGAAGGCCTATGAGGATATACTAGAAGAGAAGCCGGCGAATGTGCCCGTCATGAAGAGAAAGGTTGCGCTGTTGAGGAGTTTGGGCAGGCTGGCCGATGCGACAAAGACGTTGACTGAGCTGCTAGACAGCTCGCCCATTGACGCTGAGGCATGGGCTGAGTTGGCTGAGCTGTACTTCTTGCAGAGTATGCACTCACAGGCTGTCTTTTGCTTGGAGGAAGTCTTGCTCATCATGCCGAATGCTTGGAACGTGCGTTTAATGCTCTCTTGAACCCTTCTGCCTAGGTTGCTGACAACGCGATAGATCCACGCTCGTCTTGGTGAGATGCTCTTTGTATCTTCCAATGCCGCCGAAGATGCTGGTGGCAAGCTCAAGCTACTCGCAGATGCTCAACGCAGCTTCTGCCGCAGCATTGAACTGTGCGACGACTACCTCCGTGGCTATTACGGTCTCAAACTCGTAAGTCTCCTTTACACTCTGGATTCTCTTCCGCATTTGGCTAATGCAGCAATACGCAGNACATCACAACGCCTCCTGGAAGCTCTGTCACAATCAAGCGGCAAACCTCCGAAAGCGCAATCTTCAGATGCAACAGTTGGCGACTTACCGCCTCCTTCTGTGACCTCGGTTGAAAAGCTGCGCGAACTCTCGACCAAGAAGCTTTCAGAGATCGTCAGACGTAGCATGAGTGGTGAGCGAGGCTGGGATGGCTATGACCAAGCCGAACTCATTGCTGCGAGAGAACTTCTGGACAGAGATACCCAGTCTGTTCAACGATAATTCACCAACACCCCGAACCGTCAGAGTCCGTGTAGATAAAGCAAGCCAGATACCCAGCCCCATTACTAGATGTAGGAAATACGTCATGGAAAAACGTTTCATTGATAGGGGTATTGCATGCATCGTGGCCATCTTCTCCGAAAACAACAAAATAGCAGCCAATTTGAACCAAAAGTAACCAGTCATAAGCTTCATGAGTTCAATATCGCTCAGCTGATGGCATGAGCGAACACCTTGCTTGCCAGTTCACTAAGCAGGCGCATCTTTGCCGGCTGGTCCAATTCTTGGTAGACAGAGTAGACACTCTTGCCCCTGTTGTCTCTGACAGCACCGAGTCTGTTGCCAGCCACGGTACCTGCGATGGCGCCTGGCACGTTGGCGATGATGAAGCCCATTGCACCTCCGCTGACTGCACCGACCATGGACCAGAATCTGCCTGTAGGAGAGTTGTTTTCGCCCTCTGCCATACCTTGCTCCCTGTTCAAGGGTCAGTCATCGAAGAGCATGAGTTTCAGAAAGTGGGGCGCTGCATACCTGAGCATCTCCTCAAAGACGTTGCCAAATTGTTCGCTGCTAAACTTGTTCGCGTCCTCCTCGGTCTTTGCTTGTCCACCGAAACCAAAGGCGCTCCATGGGAAGCTGAAACCTCCTCCTTCCTGTTTACCGGCCTCTGGTCGTGGAACCTCCTCCTCTGGATCGCCATAGCCCCCTGGAGCTGTGTTTGAGCTTGAACCCGAGCCAGAGCCAAATCCACCAAATCCAGAACCGAATCCATGGTAGCGTCGTGTGGCGTCGTAGTCTCTTCGTCTTGTAGGATCCGAAAGAGTATAGTAGGCGTCGTTGATCTGCTGGAACTTTCTGGTGCGGGCTGCACGTTCGGGCGAGTCGGCGGGCACACGATCGGGATGGTGCTTCAGTGCTTGNNTCTGAAGGCTTGTTAATGGGCGTATTCTCTGATTAGACTAAGCAACGTACTTCTTGTAAGCTGTGCGGATTTGCTCCTGTGTTGCCTTGGAGTCAACCTCTAGGGCAGCGTAGTAATCCACTGGCGGTGCTGATCTGTTGTCAGCATGTCGCTTTGTTGATGCAGTCTGATTTTTATACCTGACATGACTGTGGCTAGACGGTGTAATGTGTGTTACTAGGAAGAATGTGTCCTCTGGTAAGGTAGTGCTTTCTCCAGGTTCGTCGTATCGAAAGGTTCGAAGCGCTACGTCACTGCGACGCACACGAATCAGGGATCTCCCACGCGACGACTTGACAAGCCTTCGAACCATCAAACTCTCGCGAGTCTGCTCACTTCGCTCTCTCCACAAAATCCAGAGATCTTAGTTCCATCGCGATCCCTTCCGAAGCGATGGGATATGATGCCTCCATCAGGCATGCGCCAGCAGCCCCTGACCAGCCATCTCCAAGAGCTCCCCTTCTGTCATGTATGCCTGCTGCAGGGCGCGCCATGGCTTTATATATCGTCGAGTATTGACGTGTCATTCACTTTTCCTGAATGCACTCTGGCAGATGCTTTTTCTCTTCGCACGCCTCGCTGCTTGTACTATCGTCTGACTGCATGCACCAGCATTGTTCACACGGCTGACGCCTTGGAGTCGGAGATTGCGTCTCGTATACTTTCAGCCTTTTGTCTTCTGGCCAGACGTGTGTAATGAGAACTCATTGCTGGAAATCTCTGTATAAGAGGCATCGTCTCGTACGCACGTAAGAGCTGTGGTGTGGTGAGGCTGAAATTGCCAGGTTTGTCACGACTGGCGCCTTGAAGCTTCTGCTAGGCCACCGTCCAGATTGTCTTTGGCCATTGGAGATTATCAGCAGACTACATATTGCTGTTTGCATTAATCGTTGAGTATCGAATAATAAGGATAGACAAATAAGCACTAAACAAGTTCCTGAGTAGATTGGCTGATATGGAGCACATCATATGCATCCCGAGAACTGGTCTTGACGCGTTAATCAGGACGGTCGCGCTACTGCAATGCCGGCATGGTAGTTTGTGGGAACTGAAGGCTGGTGAGATGGTTTCCTCCCATAACGGTGGGCGGCCCTTTGCAAGCCATTGCCGTGGCTAAGCGCGGCGTAGCTGTGTACCTAGGTCGCATATCGACCCAGAACCCCGAATGAAGAAACGTCGTGGCTGTCATCGGGAAGAGTTGCGCCATATTGCTGGGGCGTAAGTTTTTGAAGTAAGATTGTCTCAGATTGGTGTGTGCCTGCAGGTTTCAGTCGGGATGCATCGGGAGGTCAGCCATTGCGGGCGTCGCTTGCGAGTGAGAGATGTGAGGCACAGAGGATTATTGCTTGAGAGCAGTTCCACAGTCAGTGATTGATGGCAATAATCGCGAACTGAGGTCGTTAAGCTCTCTTGTGGATCATGGCACGAGAGATTGAAGTATGGCGCAACGGTCTGGAGGCATCCGATTCGTTCCCGGGCGGGCAAAAAGGTTTTCGGTACGCTCATTCGGTACAGACTAAGAGGCCCGAACCCAGCCTAGTGGCGGTTCTCTATCAACCAAAAGATGATGGCGGGCGATCCAGGTCCAAGTTGATCAAGGCTTGGACGCGCTGCTCCATTGCTCCTTCCTGTCTTTTTCTCCACTCTGCGTGAACAAGTGTCGCGATTGATCTCGTGCCTGCCCGTGACAGGTCCAACTTGCTCCTTCCAAAAACCCAACCCGAGTCACTCGCTTCTCGCGCACCCGCCGCCGAACATTCCTCTGTCCGACAAGCCCAAGGCTAGATTCACCCATCGCCTTCGTACATATACGCAGCCGACTCGACGACACTTCCTGCTCCGCGGCTGGCAGACCCACACGCTGCTGTACACTCCCTCCTGAACAGTACACATTCTGAAACGCACGGCCGCTGCAACGTGGGCGCTCTCCGGTTGTGTAACGCGCGCGACTGCCATCTTGTGGATGCGCTCGTCTTGACACAGACAAAAGACGTTCCCTCTGCACCGCAGCCTTGACTGGAGGAACCTTCACTTCGCTCTCCCGTGTGCGATTTCTCGGATCGACCCAACCCTGCTCTCAGGTCCTACTCGTGGCTCTAGCCTCCTCCCAACCTCTAGTTCCCGCGCTCCCGAGCTTCAATTGGCAGCCCATCTCGCACCGCAGAGCTTTCTTGGATCAATCCACCGTCTGGCTACCACCAACATGGCTCAGACACAGAACCTCCCGCCCGTATATGGCGGCCACCCCGGATATCCCGCACCCCCTCATCCTCAGTACGATCACAATCGACAAGTGCAGCTGCAAGCAAACGGCCAGGCGATGCAGGCAGCGCCCGTGTCCCAAACTGCTAAGACGTTATCAGTCGTCAGGGACGGCTTGAGATTCTCGTTGGTCGTCGTGCAGCAGCCCGTCCGAGCGCGCATGTGTGGCTTTGGTGACAAGGTGAGCAATGGACCCCGTGGCACGGGATGTGACCCATCTGAGACATTTGTANNGGACCGCAGACCCATTACTCCTCCGCCATGTGTGCGGCTTGTTGTTACCGACGAGCAGACGCACAAGGAGGTTCCCGCTGAGTAAGTGGTGTCCGAACCATGTCTAACACGAGCTCAACTAATGCTTACATGTTACAGTCAACTAGACGCCAGCTTCTTTATCCTCCAGGTTGATCTGTGGGACGAGCACGGTCAGATTGAGAAGAACATTGTCAAAGCAGCCACCAACTCGCCCGCTACATCCATCTCGACAGCCACGACCACCTCATACCCTCCGCCGCCAGAGCGCCCGGCTGTCTATGCTCCTCAGGTACCTTACGCAGATCCTCGTACCGGCCAGTTCGCCGGTTACGGCCCCGCGCCCAGTTACCCTCCCGGATCTTGGGGTTACCCACAAGCACATATGCCGCAGATGTACATGCCNAGGTGCCCCTCCCCTGCTGGCCACTACGCCCAACCTCCCATTCCTCCCGGCTATGGGCAGTATCCCGGTGCTCAGCCGCAAATGTATCCTCCAGCTCAATATCAACCACCCATGCCGCAACAACAGCCAAGTAGTGGCATGTTCACCCGCAACCTTATCGGTAGCCTTACCGTGAACGCCAACCACTTGCGCGATCCCTCAGGAAAAGAAGGACACTGGTTCGTCTTACAAGATCTGTCTGTCCGTACCGAGGCCGTGTTCCGTCTCAAGATGAGCTTCTTCGACGTTGGTGCTGGAAGTAGCGATGGTGGTTCGAAACTCTCCACCGGCAAACGCCCTGTCCTGGCTACCGTCTTCTCTGATCCGTTCCAAGTCTTCTCGGCCAAGAAATTCCCTGGTGTCATTGAGAGCACCGAGCTCAGCAAATGCTTTGCAGGCCAGGGCATCAAAATTCCCATAAGAAAGGATGGTGGCAAGCACGAGGGCAAGGATGAGGACGACGAGTAGAACTTTTCGTCTCCACTTGCGGAGCGGAGATCTTCATTCCCGCCTGTGGTGCGGTATAGAAAGGAAGGGAAGAAGAGGCTGTCGTATCCTGCCCTCCGGTCAGACCCAACCTCTGGATGAGAAGGTCCACGCTGAGCGTAGGATCAGCAAGCCTGGCCTTTGCCAACAGCCGAGGCTTTGCATGACCGTTTGCATCCCTGCCGGAAAACACCGACTTCCATGAACATGAACAGGCAACACCAATCACAATTAGCATGTGCGCTCCCGCAATCAGTCGATTGTCCAACTCGAGGTCACGCCTTGTCTGCCTTGCGAGTCCGGTTGCAGACCAAACTACAACAGCCTCTTTATCCATCCGCCCCGATCCCAATGTACCGAGTCTACTATTCATCACCCACACAGCCTATATCTGCAGACACGAAGTCTAGAACAGAAAGCCCTTTCCAGGCACAAGGATTAGACGAACTTTTGACGCTCTATTATCACTTGGAGGGAAAAAGGTAGAGATGGGCTCTGGCTTCTGGCTGCCATGCTCTTGACGATGCTCCAGCCTGTTTATCTCATCCTCTAGACCTCTTTCGGCTTTTTTTTCTTCTCGTTTTTCTTTTACATCTTCTTCCCTACCCCAACTCCCTTTGGTTCTTTACATACAGCAAGGGGACCTTCGCAAAACCGGTACATGGATCGAGACGATACACATGAGCTATATACCCTTTAACCACAATGAGAAATAATTTTAATCCTTTACTTTATTTTCCTTGTTTTGTACTTGCATGTGAAGATGAAGTCCGCCGAACGTACCATTAGCTATAACCCATCAACAATGCGGCTTTCTACAAATAGCTTCGATGTGTTGACAAACAATCTCTATGGCCAGAGAAGAGATACACTAAGGCACGCGTGCTGCTTGTATAGCATATTTCCCTCTTGTCTTGTTATGTTGTTTCAATCATTCATCAGCCAGCAGGTTTGACTCTTCCTAGACTGGCTTGAAACGGTTCGCCGCTTCCTTGGCTTTCGCAGCCACTTCGAGCAAAAGCAATGCCCTAGGAGTAGGGAGAGAACCTCCACACTATCGGCCTCGTGGGGGAGGGTTTACAAAGTGTGCCGAAGCGGGTTGTCTTTGAAGCAGCAGCCGGGATTCTCAACCACTGCTTGGGGTGAAAGGCTAATATGGTTATGGCAGAAGAGTAGGCTTTGCCTCAGGTTCGAACACCGAGTGTGCCACAAACCAGCTGATAGTGACTGCTGCTTGAAAAAGGAATTCTTTTGCGGTATGCGTATGTTGTTTAGACTAGTGTGCGTTGGCTGTATTGTTGTTCGAATGGACGAGAGTCTTGGCTTTAGACTGAATGGCTATGCCACGTCCTCTATGATAGAAGCAACTGGTGCTGCGATCCAGAACAGAACAGAATGATGTCGTTGCGGCTGTAAGTGTCTAGGCGTGGCTCTTGACCATTCCAGTCGTTGGTGCTGATGACTTCCACACATGCTCGAGAGAGGCATCTAGGCTAGCATTCGAGCTTGCCACAAAACATCACACCCTCCACTCCTTGAACCCCCAACAAGATGAAGTCTCCCCAACTTGATCTAAGAACCCGCTTCTCCACAAACACCTCGAGATAAGACAAGCGTAAAGACAGCAATCCCATGCAACAGTAGCAGATGGGAGTTTGCTCCTTAGACGGTACGTCTTCGAGTCTCACAAGCCCCGTAAGGTCATTGGAGTAAAGAGTGTCGCGTGGCGTATTGTCGCTGATGAGTAACACAAGCATCTTGTAGTGTTGGGAGATTCAGGGTAGGTCTGTATGTGGTGTTTGGTGGATCCGCTCTTTAGGCATTTGTAGTCCTACTCTTGTGACACGTTGGATGGTTGGTCGGTCGAGAAGGAGGATGGTATGTGTGATAGTTTAGATGGTGATCATCATCGTTTCGAGATCAGAGGACGGATGATCGAAAGGCTGTCTTTGCACATCATGTCCGATGGAAAGACCAGCGATGGTGTTTTTGGATGGCTTGGACATCTGTCCTTGTCAAGGAGCTCGACAAGCATTTGGCGACGAGTGATTCCGTTGATCGGTGGGCGGAGGGTGGAGCCATGATGATACGGGCTTCGATACCATTGAATGATGATAGGCTTGTAACAGAAAGATGATATCAGGTGTTCGAGCATAGGTGACAAGCATGCACGTGGAAAGTAGGAGAAGCAGGAAAAGAAGACGTGTTGACCAGCTAGATCTGTGCTCAATCACTCGAAAGAACGTTGGTTCGTGATGTAGATTCCAAAGGAAGAGTCTTGAGGGCAGAAAAATCAATACATGGGCTGCTAAGGGCTGATGCAATCTGGAAGGTGCAACCATACAAAATGTGGAACCTCCCCGTGTGCTAAAGTATGTAACGCGTGTAGCTGTAGAAATGCACAGTGCTACTAAGAAACAAGGCAGTATCCACCGAAAGCCAACATCTTGGCGGCTCTCTTTGGCTACTCTTCTGCTTCGAGAAAGGATTGTGCCTTTTTATAGTATATACTTCGCTCTATGCTCTTGTGGGAGGAAATTGGAGTCACAGACTTTAGCACATGGGAATGAAGGAGAGACGCAACGCAATGTATCGATGGAACGAAGTTTGGATGGAGTTACGATTCATATTTTTGGAGCAGGGCAACAACCAGCTCAAGTAGATGGCGCATCCGCTTGCTCATCAAAATTGAGCTGTCTCTTCTTCTTTCGCTTCGTTTTGACCGTAGCTGCCTCCGCCTCTTCACCAGCATTTTCTCCTGCATCCTCCACATTTTCCTCCTTGGCCTTTTTTCTTCTTCTTCTTTTTGACTACCGTTGTATCTTGCGCATCATCGCCTAATGCTTTTTCTGATTCTAACGGCTTCTCCTCCTCAGTCTTTGTTTTCGTCTTCTTCTTTTTACGCTTGACTACGGTGCCTTCTTCGGGTATATGACTTGCTTCTACTCTTTCCTGTGCTCGCTGCATTTCCAGACGTGCACGTTCGACTTCCTTGATCGCTTTCGCCATCTCTTCTTCCTCTTGTTGTCGGCGCTCGAAGTCTAGTTGTGTTTCGCGAGCAGAAGCGTCCTCTGACAGGGAGAGAGTCGAAAGTCCACTGCTGTCAACGTGCAATAGAGACTTCTTGGGTCTGCTGAGAAGAGATGCCTTGGCGGGTACCACTACAGTCGGCGTGTCGTCGCCGATGGTCTCGTCTTGAGCAATCTCGACGCGTTTGTTGCGTGACTTTTTCGAAGCCTTGGACTTGCGAAGGCGGTCTGCCTCGGCCGCAGTATTATTGCTGTCGAGTTGCAGGTCCATGATAGGAATTGAATCAATATCCAAGTCTTCACCATTACTGCTCTTGAGGATGTTGTGTAACGGTGTTGAAGTTCCAGACCCGCGCTCAGAGTCGATGTAGAATGGATCATCACGATAACGCTCACGTCTCTCAGCCTGCTTTTTCGCAATGTCCTTGGGATCAATGTTGCGGTCTTCGGACTGATAAGAACCAGTCTGCTGTGCTTCCTGCGGCTCCAGATAATCGGCAGCTGCCGTGGGCTGGACCGCTGATGCTGAAGGCTTCTCGAAGTAGAACTTAGAAACATTGTCTTCATCCGGATAGGACATGTCATCGTAGTCTGCTTGCGACAAAAGTATTTGTAGGTTGTCATTGATTGGCGTGTCAAGATCCAATCCTTCGGTCAGCGGCACTTTTGTGAGAGCACCAGGAGCAACAGGGTTTAGTTCCTGTCCCATAAAAAGCGAGGGTATGGCCTGAGAAAGCAGTAGCGGAGTATCGACGAATCCATCGTCTTCAACTTCAACAGCATGAGCCTGAATTGCTTCAGAAGTGACACGCATCAATTCCAGATATTCAACAGCTCGCTCCTGAACTTCGAGATTGGGATGTTGTACAAGCGGTTCCAAAAAGTGAATAATTCTGGCCATTAGCAGATCGGATTGTGACTTGCGAGAGGCAGTCCATGATCGTTCCTGGTTGGAGGTCAGACGGGCAAATACTTTGGGTATAGCTTGGACGTAGATTGCAAGAATATTGGCAGGGAGTTGAGCGCTCGAAGAATGGAGTAGCGAACTCAAGACGGCCTGTGGATCAGGAAGAAGATCAGGGTACTCGCCAACCATCCAGGCCACAGAAGCGAGGACAGCCTGTGCGCCATTGCCAGAAGCAGGGAACATGTCTCTTCTCCGTTCAACTATTATAAGCGATTGGGCTGCAGCCACCACTTCTGGCCGCACACTCTTTACGCGGACAGCAACGTTCTGAAGTTCGAGGCCAATGTTGTGAGCGACGTCCCTGGTGGATTTTGCGGAGTTGTCCGAGGCCTGAGTGCCCACGGTTGGACAACGACCGACAAGGTCAACCAAAATGCCAACATACCACTCGAAATCGGTGATGTTGGAATACGTGTCTCTTGAGCACATGTCGAGTATCTTCTCAATAACACTCTGACGGTAGTCTTCAGGAAGCGGTGGGGCTTCTGAGGAGTGCGCCTCACGTCTTCGCAACGACTCGGTTGCCTCTTCGTCGTCTGAATCTCCTGAAGGAATCACACCAGCATGCATGCCTCTGTCGTTGATCGGATCATCGGCAGCCGAGGCTGGAGTGGCCTCTCTAAGCTGACGAAGAAGACGCTCGACAATAGGCATGAGGTTGTTGGAATCAACCATTCCGGAGACCAGATCCAGAGCTCTTGTGCGAATCGAGATGTCAGGGTCATCGATACATTCGACAACAACGTCAGAGTGTAACGCGACGAGTTGAGGGTGAGAAGCAACGATCTTGTTGAAAGCAAGCAGAGCGACGTATTTCAGGTTAGGATCGCCCTCAACCACGAGCATACCGCGGAGCTTGCTGACGCAGAGACGAGCAATCTCGTCACCTTCAACAGTTCCTTCTGCACCATCCAGGATGCCGCCCTGAACGATGCCGTTGATACACTCGTAGAGTAGACTCATGGCAGGGGTTGTCTTGATCAAAGTGGTCAAGGGAGGCAGCAGCTTCTTGATTAACCGAGGCTCTAGAGGGACAAGAGTAGCAAAAAGCTTGATGATCTTAATAGCCATCCAATTGTTCGAGCCTTGGACCAGCAGCTCGAACAAGCGAGGGGCTAGAGGCAGGAAGTCATGTGGTCTCCTCCAGCCCAGCTCGCACACGACATTGATGATGGCAGCGGTGACGCTCGAGTCTTCGTTCTCGTCAAGCAGACGCTCTTTTATCTTTGGCCATGCTGGGCGGAGAGTTTCAGGATATACTAGGGCCAGACGGTATAGAGTGACGATGGTCTTCTTGCGGATGGCGGGCGAGGAGTGGGTAAGGCGGGGTAGGAGGTCGGTCAGGAGCGAGTTGGCCATGGAGGGGTTGACGACATGAGGAATGGTGACCAGAGGAAGGCCGATGGTGGGCAGTTGCGGCGAGTTCAGGTCCTTCTTGAGCAGGTTCTCGGCCAGCATCAGAACCTCGGTGTCGGGACGGAAGGTCTGGACAGCAGCGAGGTAGCCGACGCGCTTCTGCAGGTACTTCTGGCTAGACATGACCTCGAGGACGTTGAACGAGGCCCAGGACATGTCGTGGCCGAACATCTCGAGGTAGACGAGCTTGAGCAGGGCGGTGGCCTTGTTGTCCATGTCGGGACTGCGAACTTCGCGGCGGCATTCCTTCAAACTGTTCTGGATGTATTCCTTCTCGTTGCCCTTGTGGTTCCTCATGCCCCGGATGAGGGCGTAGAGGTCTTTTCGAACCTGCTCGTGGTAAGCGGCCGTCGCTATAGCCATAGTCGCATCGTTTGCGAAGCCTACATGGTTGCGCTGCGGGCCTACAAGGCGTCACGCGAGGTTGGGTTCGGTCGCGGGGATGGGTGTGTGTTCCTATATCAATACCGGCATTATGTCTGCAGCATAGCGAGTGCGAATCGAGAGCGAGCCCGAAAGGAAGAAGGTGTCTTGTGTTTGCTAATCAACACCCGCTCGAGCACTTTGGAGACTCTCCGTTCGAGGCAGGAGCGTCATCGCGCATCACGCATAATTGGATAATTAGACTTGTGTCAACTTATGCGCTCCATCATAACATAACCATCCGCTGCAACCATCAACTCTGTCTTTCTCTCACAACCAACGACATGTCGGTCGAATCTTTGCGCTCGCTCGAGCAGGTGCGCCAGCGCCTGAACACGCTCGCCAACACCATTGGCAAGTTGCTGCACGATCTAGACACCAACGACCCGCTTCCCTCGTGGTATGCGACAGAGCCACCCTCTTACCCATCCAACTGCTCACTAATGCCCAAGCCCTTGAAAACAGGNCCTTCACTGCAAAACTCGGCCAACCTACTCTACCACAACCTCGACTCGCTGAACAAGGTCCTCTCTGGTGCTCAGCCACTTCTCGCCAACGCCCACGTCTACCCACTGCCCTCGTACCCAGGCCGCACCCAGGAAGACTTGCTCACCCAGCTGCTGCGCAANAAGCTACAGCCACAAGTCGAAGACTGGATCGCCAATGGAGACCGACATGCTGCAAACACCGCCATTGATCCCCCTCAGACCAACGGCTCCTCTGCCAATCCTGCTCCTTCTGAACCACAATCCATGACCACAACCCAGTTGACCGATCTCTGGGAATGGGCTGGTCGGGAAGGCAACAGAATCGCTCGCGATATGGGTGTCGATGCATTTGACGATGTCTTCACTCTCGAAGAACACGAACTGGGCATTGAGAATGTCGTTACCGGCCTGCGTCGCAAGCTGTGGGATAGCGACGACGAGGACGAAGACGATGAGGACGGAGCACAAGGCAAGAAGCAAGACGACAAACAGCTGGAAATGGATGTGGACATGGTAGACACCATCCCCGAGCCTGTCAAAAGACTACAACGACACAATGTCGACCCCTCAAAGCCACCAATGAGCATCGAGCACATATTGAGATTCGCTCTGACCGCCAGAGAGCCCCCGAACGCTGTGTAATGCCCGCTCCATCACAGCGCTTTGCTCTTCATTATATATGCTAGACCGAACCGGTCGTGCTGCTATCTGAAAACAGGGGCTTGTCAGCAGGCCCAGAACTAAGGGAATACGACACTGGAGTGCTGCGGACAATTTTCTTAGATATTGGGTGAAATCAAGCTTGATTTCAGATGCGTCAAACGATCTCGTCAGAAAAAAACGTGACTTGATTGCAAAACCCCACCCCCTCCCCTGTTGTGTCAGCTCGCCGTCCTATTTCAAATCGTCATTCAGGAACCCGTCGCACAATGGAGATTTGACTCGCATGTAGTTCATTTCCCTTCCCGCCATTCATGTTCCTATCTTTCTCGTGTCCGCCGTCCCTTTCCGTCTTCACGTCCCATGGCCCTCTCGCTTGACAAATAATTGTTTCCATCGTAAAAGGAGCTGTGCGAAAGCAACGCTGTCCAATCAAAATCGCAGGGGAACACTCAATAATCAAAACGCGTGATCGGGGTGATAGTCGCTGTGTGCAGGGCATGACTTGAGTCGTCTCGTCTTTATGTGTCGTGCGCAGTGGCCGGGTAATTTTGTGAGGCTCAACTGGATGCTTGAATCTCTGAGTCACTCGCTTGGATCTTGTTATCGGTGCTTGAGCCGAGGGCAAGAGTGACACGATTGCAATCCGAGATTGGTCGTTGACGTTGTTCTGGTTCAGAAAGTGTAATACATGCAAAGAGTGTTTGTGATGACCGTTGCCGTTGTTCGTTTTGGTGTTGGCTTTGGATGCTCGAGGTGTTTCATCGCCACGTACGGGTAGGGAAAGCGTCTCGAGAGGAAGGCTCTGGAGGTCCGTATCTGACGCCAGGACCGTAGTTATGGACTTTGGGCTTGGGTTTAGGTCCAGGCGGTTTGCCGCCGGACGAGTTCGAAGATGGGGTCTGGTTGCCCGAGGTCGATGAAGAGTTAGACGGCATCGTTGTGTGTAGCGTAGACTAGTCGATTGAATGTGCTTGTGTGCTGTTTGGTTCCGGCGTTGACCTAGTATCAGGTCTGTGTCGAAGTTTGATATGCGGTATGCGGTAGGCAGATGATAGATGATAGGTGGTATAGGGAGCAAAGGTCAATCTCTTACGGCGCAGACAGGCTTTTTATAATCAGAAAGGGAGAGGGACAGGGAAAGCAACCAAGAGGTCAGTGGCTATGCCGCCAAGGCACTCCTACCCTCTCTGCGACGAGGTGTGCCACGATGATGAAATAGAACAAGTTGACGCAAGCAAACCTCGGCCGCGGCCGTTGCGTCCGCACAGTGGTGAGGGATTGGGGGCCAAAACTAACCCAGGCAACGGACATCGTGACTTGCTCGGCCACGTACCTACCAGAACACAGCCCCAAGATCGAAGAGTCATAGTCTCAAGGCAACAGACCAAGGACAGCAAGGCCGAAAGACTGGCATGATGCTGAAGGCAGTAATCGAGGACTAGAGCGCTGCAGACTCGAATCTCGACCGCGTCACACAGTCTGAGAGGGTACCTGCAGTACTCCAGGCACAATTCGGTTCTCAGGATATGATGCAAGGAACGAGCAGGTCAATGTGAGAAAGCTCATGTTTAGGCTGCCACTAGCCCGTCCTCAGGCTAGCGGCTGCCTAGGGTACATTCGTCATTGTACACCTCCCTCAGAATACGACGGCGAGATGCGATGGCAGCATCACCGTCAGGACTTCGATGATGTAGTTTCAATAGAGGCGGTGCTACAATCAGAGAGCGGCGCAGTTGAGGTGAAGGTCCAAAGATGGAGTCCGAAGGATGCCAAGTCACGTTGGTGGCCCGTGCCCTGGAGCACGCGGCCAACACGAAACCCAATGTGCCCTGTTTCAGACGACCTTCTCTGACAGAGGACTTGATCAGAATAGAACAGGTGAATGCGCTTTTCCACTCGGAATTAGAGAACGCGTTGCACGGAGGGCCATGCGTGTCTGCGTGTAGACCCATCTCGTGCCCGCCGTCACAAACACAATCGCCAGCACCTGCGTCATTCTTTCACATGTGAGTGGATGCGGGTCTCTTCAACAAGTACAAGAGACTGTCATGGCTATCCGATATGTCATATGGAGATGGGTTTGGCTGTGGACGAGTGGACGAGGACGATTTGTGCTGCGCAAGCAAATAACCACAGACAAGATCAGACATCCTGGCTCATGTGTCCACGAAGCATTGTCTTTCACGTCACTAATGTGCAGCCCTCTTAGAAGGATGCACTCCTATCACTCTCCGGTTCTCCTCGAAGTTCCTTCGCACACTTGCATCACCTTGAATTTATCCCCTCGCTTAGCCTCCCACTCGCCACCTTTTGATTCACCACGGATTATAGCCAAGTTGTACGAGACATATCAAATAAATTGTTTCATCAAAGGACTGAGACTCCTGGATTAGGCTAGCTGCTGTTATACAGACAATGCATGCTGAAATCATCGTCACTAGACCTTGAGTGCTGCCAATGCCTCTCCTGGGTCTTGGTTAAGCTCGTCTCTGAGAATCTTGATCTGCTTCTTGAGCTGTTGCCACAAAGGAAGCTTGTCCAAGTCAGCATCATGATGTCCTTCTTCCTTGTCGCGAAGTGCAAGAGCTAGCAGGGATGCTACAAAGGCCTCTTGCATATATGCAAAGGAGAAACCATCTGTGATCGACGATACTGCCTCACAGAGCTTATCTGGGAACTCTATGTCCTTGTTGTCCTTTAGTTTTCCTTGCCAGAAGTGTGCGTACATGACACGTTGCTCAAAATCCGGGTTCGGGAAGAGGTACTTGCGATCGAAGCGAGAGGGGCGCTTAGAAATGCCGGGATCCAGACGATCAAGGTGGCNTAAAAGAGAAAACGGTCAGCGAAGTTCCTACTACGATAGTGAGCCCCACCGACGAGCCAATTCTAAGAGTTGTGCTTGCGGCACTTCGCTGCATAGAACCGGCTTGCCGTGTCTCCGATCTACCTACTTCGTGGATCCAACCATAAAGATGCCATCGTTCGAGCGTAAGCCATCAACCTCGTTTAGGAAGTAAGAGCGCGTCTGCTCAGTGATGATAGTGTCGAGATCCTCGAATATGAGGAAGCACGGAGCATAGCGTCGAGCTTGTCCGAAGATCATTGAAAGTGAGTATTCAGGACCCTGGTAACNTGTGAATTGTCAGAGACGAATGGGACACTTGGTGAAGAGATATACATACCTAACGAGTGACTTGACGTAAAGAGTAGGAACTGGGTCCTTACGTTTGTAGAGCGAATGCATCAGAGCTTTGATACTGATCGTCTTGCCATTACCTGGAGGCCCGTAATAGATGACTCCGCGCTTCCAGGGCACCTTGAGCTTTTGGTATGTGTCTTGGCCATCGAAGAAGTTGTCGACATCTTTGATCAAGTCGTGTTTCATGCCTTCGTCAAGAATGACATTGCTCCATTCTGCTTCCTGGATACTCTCCCACAACTCGTGGTTCTTCTGCCAGTAGCCTTGATCGAAGACAAGCACCGCTCCTTCCACGCTGTTGGTGAAACGACCGGCCTCAAGCAGAAGCTTTTCGGTGGCGTGGACTGAAGACGACAACACGTACTGATTGCGGACTATCGGATAGTATCCTTGGCCATCGCGGCCCTCGGCAATGTAGACGACATACTCTTTGCCCTCCCAGTCAATCAGGAATTTACCAAACTTGACACTGTCTACAAGACGACCATTTTCTCCGGTGAGACGTCTGGCCGGTGGCGCGAAGTCCCGAACATACAAGCGGTCGTTCTCCTTATCGATTGGAGCAGCCGCAGCCTTTCCAGAAGCAGCGAACGCCAAAAGGTTGCATGAATTCACCGGAATGACAGTCAGATGCAGTTGAGGGTACTCGCGGCGGATTGCTTCCATGACAACCGCGTTAGTGTCCACGCGAATGCCAGAGGCATGTTCGAAGTAGGCATTGGAGGTGTCGTTAGCGAAACTCGGGTTGGAAGCAAAGTTCTCTCCCGTCATGCTGGCAAGGTTGCCGGTGCGTGTTATTGGCGTTGAGAGTGGCTTCCAAGTCGAGAAATGAGTCAATGACAGTGAGATCGGTTCAGCGAAGTGATGTTGTGCAGAGAACAGAGACTCCTTGTGTATTGCTAGAGGACCACAAGTGAAGGGGTCAACACAGTTGATAAGGTAGCCTGCCAGGCGCGGGGTACTGAAGGAAGCTATCGAAGGATGCAGCTCTGCAGGAGATCGCCCTATCTAGGTTTAGATCTGAGATCCTTCTATTTTCGTCTTTACATCCAGGCACCAGCACATCACGATGACATGTTATGTTTCCGCTGCATAAGAGAGCCTCATGACTGACAGTCAAGTGTCGTCTAGAATGGAAGTGCTCCAGCGCCTGTTAGACCGGGGCTACTCCAGTGACATGACGATGACGTCACCCGATGCGTGCTCAGCGATATCGACAGACCGTCCTGTCACACTTGAATGTCGACAATGATGCTATACCATCGACAGAGTAGAACCACTATGTGGAAGCTTCTTTGCTCTGTGTTTCCCAGCAGAGGAATTGCTAATTGCGTGCTCACAAGTCGAAATGGCGTCGGCAACAGCAAGGCAATAGCACCGATTGCGGGGACTTCCACGCCTTTCTAGAGCTTGCTGCGTAATATGGAAGTCCATTACACATGACTTCACGCCTCAACTCGACAAGCATATTCATATCTTAAACCACCAATCATACAAAGTACTCAATACAACAACTGCAACCTCAGATAAAGAACCCCAGAGAACTTAATCATGTCACCCATTCTGTCTCTCGAAGGAAAGACCGCCATCGTCACTGGAGGCGCCGGAGGCCTGGGTCTTGCCATAACAGACCTCTTCCTGGAAGCAGGAGCAAACGTGGTCGCAATCGACATTAACACGGAACTGGTGCAGAAGTTTGAAGCTTCTCACGATAAGTCGAAAGCAGTTGCCATCGAGGCGAATGTGACGTTGGAGGAGGACCTACAGGATCTGTTCAAAACGACCATCAAGCGATTTGGTCAGATTGACATTATTGTCAACAATGCAGGACTTACTGATCGTCTTGGTATGTTCTCCCAGACCAGTGACAAGGCAGACACTTTTGCGTTCTCCTGTTGTCGAGTCCTGTCAGAGCGGTAGCCAATACCCAAGACTTGTCGACTGCGTGGCAAAGACCTCCTTGATCCTTTTTGAGATGGTTTTGCTAACTTTCTTTCATCGAANGATCCGGTAGGCTCGCTGGAGAAAGATCTCTGGGACCGCATCATTGCAGTCAATCTGACAGCTCCCATGATGGTTACCAAGCTCGGCGTTAACCACATGTTGGAGAAGTCGATCAAGGGCTCGATCATTAATATCGGATCAGTGGCCGCTCTGCGCGGATTTGCAGCTGGTAAGTGTCATATCTCGAAGATCCGCTCGAGGACGTGCTAACACATTTCTCTNGCAGGCGCTGCTTATACTTCATCCAAGCATGGCCTCGTGGGGTTGACGAAAAACACAGCTGCATTCTACACTGACAAGGGTATCCGATGCAACGCTGTGCTCCCTTCAGGAATGGAGACCAACATCTCCAAGACCATCACGAGTATCAACGACGAGGGATACTGCCATATGATGAAGGGGCCTGTGACCATGGTCAACCCTAAGGAGGTTGCTCAGACTGTTCTGTTCCTAGCCTCAGACGCCTCGAACACTGTGAGCGGATCCTGTATCGCGACGGACCTTGGCTACGCGGCTTCCTGATTTGAGCATCTGGAACGCACCAAAGATGTAGCTGTTGCAATGCGTAGATCTATACGATGTGTGCAACACAGACCCAGGTTCAGTTTCATTGAAACATGTACCCCAACCCTTGTTCAGGGACGTGTGGATCAGCGGTTCCGACTTTGGAATGTTTCGCGTGGAAGCAATCCGGGATATGTTGAAGGACATGGCACTGAGCAACGAACAGTGTTCGACGCCGATAAAGTGCAAGCTCGGAGAAGATGCCTAACGACCTTCCAAAACGTATGTTGAGAGTGTTAAGTAGTAATACAGGGGACATGCGCATACCCAGTCAGGAATCTCTTAAGCGTAGCTGCAGGCAAAGTATTTGTTAGTGCTAAGTGCACTCTATGATATTCGTGTTCGACCCCTTCGGAGAATTTCTGATTGGCTTCTCCTTACCCACGAGCAGGCTCTCGTCCTTCCGCGCTCACTAGCTGAACCACAAACCCACGAATAAAGATGAGTCGCGTAGGATATCATCCATGTCGAACACGTACTATACACGTGCATGTGATGTTTCAGGATTGATAGAAGGAGCTACAGGATTCCAGCCCGCAGAAGTGTGGAACTGAGACCACGACACAAATCACTACCCCACAGTATCTTCACTGCTCTTACGGACATATGTATGATATGAGCTTCCAGAAAAAGATACGCTCCAGCATCTGCGTTGGTGGCCCAGCACTACCAAGTCGTTGACCGGTAACGGCCTGTCTGTCGTGTTTGTAATCCACGGCATCTCGGATAGCGCTGGCGGGCGAGAACTCGTTGATCTATCACCGTGCACACTATCCACCAGACCTCCGCTCCGCCGGCCCATGGTCGATCCATGCAACCGGATATTACCAAATCGGAACCACCAGCAAGACCCGGGGGCTTGAAACACTGTTCGGTGCTCGAGTTCTTGCAGCGTCTGGAAGGTGTCCACAACAGCGAGGAAGACACGCGCAAAGATCAGATTATCTGACAAAGAGGTCCTGCGGCTCCGATTTACCTTCTGCACAACCGGCTTACGGCTATTGATCGACGGATAGTCGTTCACCGAAGGAGAAGATCGGTCGGACTGACTGACAGAGCGCCTCAGCGAGTGATTAGCCAAGAACAGCTCAGCAAGTGAGATGCAGCAATTTGGGGATGTCTGCGAGGCGGAGCGATGTTGTGAATAAATGTTTGGCTGACCGGCCTGAACAGACGAAGCTTCAGTTGGTTGAGATGAAGCCTTTGCACGCACAGATGGCGTTGCTTGGCCCTTCAGAGGTAAGCAAATTGCCCACGTTTGGTGGCGCTCCGTTATTTGCTTTGCGACGCCTGAAAGTCAGACTTTGGACATCTGTCATCCATCTGTGAAGTCAGCGGCATACGTAGGGAGACAAGCCCTCGCGATGGCGCACATCAAGACTGGAAACGAGGAGCAAAGGAGAGGGATCACGCGGCGGGGAGTGGGATACCGCGGCTACTCGGATCGTCGCCTGGGCTGACGTTGGCAACGAGCGTCCCATGACATATGCAATCCGTTTCGAGAGCCATTGTCGAGCGAGCTCACGACACCCAGAGACATGGCTCATGCAGGGTTTTGCGAGGACCTAATGGAGGCGGCGGCTCGTCGGACTCATTTTGAGATGCCCCAGACGACTGGCAACAAGCGACTATCATAATGTGTGCTTGCTCGATTTCATAGCAAGAAAGATCAAAGAACAGTCTCAAAAACATGCTACGGATCAGAGATCATACCTCATGACCTCCAGGGTTGACAAAGCAATTGTGGTGGGAAACAAGACAACCAACGGCTCTGCTCTCAAATAATCAGCGGCACATTGCCGCATGAGCTAAACAAACTCCACGCTGGAGCACGGCTCTACCCCACGAACTCCAGATAATCGTCACTGACGCTAGTGGTACCGAGTATATTATGAAGGTCCCCTTGCCGTTCGAGTTTTTCCAATCTCTCCGCATTATCATCCAACCCTCTTCTTCTTTCGACTTGGTCCACTTGTTGGCAGCAGTCCACTCCACCTCTTCTCGACCACTTCACACTCCGACAAGTCTTTAACATGTCTACTGCTCAGGAGCAGAACGCCATCAATGCCGAGGGCTACGCTGGCATGGACAAAGAGGCCAACGGTCTTAATGGTGTCAATGGCTACGACCATGCGCCTCCCAACCTTGCCCCCGTCAAGCAGCGCAAGCCCTACGACTACGGCGGTAACCCTCTGGCACACATCAACACTGGTGAATCTGTCCGTCTTCCTGCCTTTGGTGGTGAATTCCAGCCTGGTCTCTACAAGCCTATCAACGACCGCAAGTTCGCCAACCCTGCACCCCTCGGCCTCAGCGCTTTCGCTCTCACCACCTTCGTCCTCTCTCTGATCAACCTTGGTACTCGCGGTATCGCTGAGCCCAACATCGTTGTTGGCGCTGCTTTCGCATATGGTGGTCTGGTTCAGCTCCTCGCTGGCATGTGGTATGTAAACAAAACATCACCGAGGTTTGTGTGAGTCTCTAACGATGTCGCAGGNGAAATGGCTGTTGGAAACACCTTCGGTGCTACTGCTCTTTCATCTTACGGTGGTTTCTGGATCGGCACTGCTATCATTCTCACCCCTGGTGGCTTCGAAATCGCCAGCGCTTACGAGGGCACTTCATTTGACGACGTCTTTGGTTTCTATCTGATGGTAAGCACGATGCTTTCGAACCCAACAGTACATTCAACTAACCACTGCTTANNGGGCTGGTTCATCTTCACCTTCATTCTACTTCTCTGCACGCTGCGCTCGACTGTCGCCTTCTTCTTCCTCTTCTTCACTCTCGACCTTGCCTTCCTCATGCTCGGCATCTCATACCTCCAGCACGGAAACGTTGCTTGTCTCAGAGCTGGTGGTGCTTTCGGTATCCTGGCTGCTTTCGCCGCCTGGTACAACGCCCTCGCCGGTATTGCCGACACCAGCAACTCCTTCTTCATCATCCCCGTCGCTCACTTCCCTTGGTCTGACAAGGGTCGCGAGAGACGTGAGAAGGTTGACAACTCCGCTGCTCGTGCCGCTGAGTCGGTCTAAACGATACCCTTGACGATCAATGTTATGGATATTGGGATTTCGTGGCTACCCGAGAACGGCGTGCTGCATGATTTTGAAATCCGTATGACTACTTTTCGTATGTTTTTGTTACTATTTGCAGGATACCCAGGCTTCACGAAGGATTGAGGGGGAGCCTCAACCGGAGGATCTGATTCAGATCTTTCCACACCATTTCAGTTAAACCTCTTAATACTTGATGCAAACAATTTGACAATCTATTTCAATATCAAGTCCACCTGTGTTTCTTCTCGTGTGACAGGAAGGTCAAGATCTGACAATCAAACTTCGATGCGAACTGTCATGTACAAGGTACGTTCATGCACACATGGGTATAGGTCTAAATTAGCATTCCCAGAGTCACGCCATCAAACCTCCACATTTGCAAGCCTCGCAGAGGAAGTTCTTGTCGTTCAGCCTTGCCAGTTGTCTCTCCTTCCATATCTGTGCCCCTCCAGAATCTGGCGGGTTCGATTGTGGAATGCTGTTGCTATGGCACTTCGAAGCTCGCAACCTTGTTGTCCTAGGGGATCGGACATCCGAACTCGCTAGCGCAGTACTGATAAATATAGCCGCGAAGTTGGAATAGGCTAAATGAGAGTGAGCCCTAGACTTCCTTCATCCTTCCATGCGCCTCCAGGGGATAACCCTCTCCGTGGCACATTCTTGTCGCTAGGCTATGAGCCGCTCTCTGTTCCACTCTCCCGGCGGGAGGATCGCTATACCAGTTGCCTGTAGTGGTCCGAACGGCGGATAAATTCGACAAGAAGCCTTCCCTGAGCATGTTTCGTGCCACAAGCTTATCTAAGAAAGTGCATCCTAGAGTATGGGCCAATCTAGACATTGTCGAGATACGGCTTTGCCAAACAACGTGCATGAATTGTTGCAATACATTTGCAGCTCCTTCGGATGTACGATCGTACTCCTGGTGATGATATCTGCCACAGTGCTAATTGTAAGTTGATAACCATGGAGATGTTTCCAGGCCTTTGCGAGCTTTTACTGCCTCTCTTCTTTCATGAGTCTCTCTCGGACTTCCATCTGCGCCTTGCCGAGCAAGTTCGTGCCCCATTTACTCTCGTTCTCTGCAGCCTCGTCTCCACGGAATCCGATACCCCAATTCCTATCTGCAGGGTTACTTTCCCCAANGATCCTATCCCCTGTCGCCAACAAGGCCTCTTTGCATTCAGACACTTGCGAGAATTTGAGCCAAGTTCCTTCCACAGCAACATCAAACACGCTCTTCCGCCATCTCATGCCATCGAAGTTCTTGACCTGACGGCCAAGTGCTTGTGCTTCACTTGGCGTGGCTGCCTCGAGAATCCTTGCCGCTGTCTCCTTGTCGTTGAAGCACATGGCTTTGCTCCACATTATGTAATGCTCCATTGTTTGAAAGCGGATGCCTGGATTCTTGGGGTCTGTAAAGGATGAGGGGTACCAGTTCTGAAGCCGGGCCTCTGGCAGTTGCAATTCGTGTCCGTAGGTGAAGAGGTGTTTGTCTGTGTACCATACTGAAGGTCCATAGGGAACATCTTCGTTCTTGCCATCATTCGAGGTGAGTGTTTTTGTGACTCGGAAAGACATGGTTCTGGATGTCGTAGCTATGCTCAGCTCTGAGATAGGGTTGTTCTTGATGTTCCGAAGATAGAAGAGAGCTCGGCTCATCAGTCGAACACAGAAGACTTGTGATTATATTGTTCCGGTGTTAAGCAAACAGCAAGGACCAAATTTGAGAAGTTGTGAAGTATACTTTTGGCAGCTAAAGTGTGACGGCTTGACTGACAACAGTGGACCTGTCCTTAACCTACGTCACCAAAACCGATCCGGATCTTGCAACAAGCACACGACTGCGTTTGAAGGTCTGCTCTACCACCTGCAATGACTTTATGTCATACGGTCATTAAGAATCGCAATGGCGAGATTTCTGTCTAATCTGAATTGTGAATACCGAGAATGAAAAAGGTAACTTGTATTGACTGAAGGTATACATCACGTGCCCAACGTGCATCAAACTCGCTCTGTACGTGGTTGCCAACACCGACGCGCTCCGCCGCCCAACCTCCAAAGAGCTTGTTCTTGTGTCTCATGAGCAGTTCTGTAGAGAGTAGCCAAGACTAGAAGTCTATCTGGTATCGCGCCTCAGCCAAGAACTAATATAATGGGTTCTCGGACGTGGTAAAAGAAACTCTCGCTAGATAATGCGTGCAGCTTTTTGGACGCGTCAAAACACGTCAACCTGGACCTTCGCACACTATGCCCAAGATAACGCAATTATGGCTGCCGCAGTATCAGAACCGCCAGATGCCATGACGACGTCTGAAGAGGGATACCTTGCAAAGGAAATCGATATGCTCTCTGGTGATTTGATGGAAGACCTCCGCGAGTATTTCGATGAGATCAACATCACTGGTCGTTTCGCAACCATGAGAAAGCTCGATCAGGTCGTTGATCCACAAGTCCGATTAACAGCAACAGATGATACTCCCGGACATGACATCTCAATTCTGCAATTGAGGACGTTCTGGAGGAGTCTCTGAAGTTGACTCGAGTGGTTGATGCTGATGGAAACGTGATCGTCACTGACCTCGAAGTTGATGAGTGCGATGTTCTTCAGTCAGAATCCTATGACGATCGTGACCCTGACGAACACGAATACGAAGGCTGGACTGGAAATGCTGGAGCAACATCGACACATTGGTACAGAGATTCGGTTCTCCTTTTGGTCCCTAATGAGCACATCGCGAGCGTTTTCGTAGGGCAGGATCGCGACTATGGCTATGGTACTAGTGGTGATACCAAGGTTCTGGCAATTCTTCGAAATCTAGTGAAGCGAGCTCGATGCCGCCCTGGACCCCAAGGAGAATCTCTCAGAAAAGGGTTGATGCACATGGGGTACACCATATCGAACAATCGTATCAAGACCACACATTCGGGGACAAGAAGCCATAAATACACGGATGCTACTGTGTCTGAAGCCATCACGGTTTGTGTAGAGTTTGGCCTGACTGATGTGGTACGGGGCCTGTCATCCGCTTTCAAGGACAGTCTTTCTGAAGGTGCTCTCCAATCCCTAAGCAACTTGAAACATACAACAGATGTGAATGTTCCAGAGGAGCGTACAAGGCTGGAAACCATGTAAGCTTAGAAGATCAAGCTCAGTGCAAGGAGAGGTCGTACTAACTTGTGTCAGTTTCAGAAACATTGTACTAGGCTGCAAGAGTGTTTCTAAAAAGTACGAAACTCTTTCGACTCTCCTCGGCGCTGAAGCTTTGGATGTGCAGAATCAAGAAGACTGTATGCCTGAGCTCAAGGCTTGGGTCACAGATGTTTTGGCCGCGATGTTCTTGAATCTGGACTCACTTACGCGCGAAGACGGCGATGTGATAGCCAGAATAGCAATTTCGGACACCAGCGGGTTTCTCTTGAGAGATCGGTATGTACAGTCGGACCATATATGCTCTTTGCGGCGATTGATAACAATGCTTCAGAATCATACCCAACATCAAAAGCCAAATGCAAGGCGCGGACCCAGACAAGCTTCATGATGGCATTCCTTTCCAAGATGTTCGAGTCTTCAGGATCGCTCACGGAAAACGTGTTGTCAATCTCCAAGCCTCTGATAAGGATCGTGATTACCAATTTCTCACTTCGCAAGTCGCAGCCACCTCAACCTCGTCCTACTTATACTTACGAGACGTATGGTGCATCCTCCGTAAAACAAGCTCCTCGCAAGCCTGCGCTCGACGGTCGAATATTGGCAAACGTCCTAGGCCACATGAGAAACTTACAGCTTCACGAACACGGTCAGTTACTTGTGGCCAGTATCATATCAGAAACATCTTCCATGGATCCGCAAGACTACAAGCACACCATGTTACCCTGCTTGAAAAGCATAATCGTGCGGCTGCTGGAGGGAAAGGATGAGACTGATATGTACAAGGAGCTGTTTCAAACATGTCTCTCGCGATACATCAATCGATTTGTTGGTCAGGAGCCCGTTCAGATCAACTGGTCCAGGAATCCGGTAAGGTGCAATTGCCGTGATTGTATGGATCTGAATGCTTTCCTACGCAGTCCTGTAGATCGTGTGAAAAGACTCCGCGTTTCGAAACAACGTCGACACCATCTGCATACCCAGCTGGATACATACACAGATTGCACTCACATAACCGAACGCGGATACAAGGAGACTTTGGTGGTCACCAAACAAGGCAAGAGCTTCGAAGAGAATCTCAAGACTTGGACAGATAAAGCCAAGTCGGCATTAGCAACACTTCGCTCCCTCGAAGATCAGGAGAGCACATCGGATTCTCCAAGCCAACTCAGGAAACTACTCGGGGACAAGTACGCTGAAATCATGACGCTGAGGAGAGTGGGAATCATGACTGCTACACAACAGGAACCAACGCAGACTGTCGTCGCGTCGTCGAGCGCTTCCAATGCAGCTACTGCTGGGACGTCAACGACTACTGCAACACAGCCCGGGATACCTCAAATCGCCGGGCGGAAACGAAAGGCTGTCGTGATTGATCTGACATATGATTGATCTTGAGCTCATAGTGGTTGTCGCATTGTCTTTGCTGCATGTATCTTATGTATAGTTGATTGCAAAAGACTTGTGATACACCCTCTCTGGTATGCATACAGGACTACATTGTAATCTGGCGTAGACCAATATTCAGTCTAGATGCAGTCATATGACCCAACGAGTAGATTTCAGACTCGTGTCACGCGACCATGTCATCAGTTACATCTGCTGGTGGATGGATGACTGGTCCCGAGCGGAGTATATGTTTGTGGAAAACGGCAGTCTTGGCCGCTTACATACCTTTATGTTTCAGGCGCGACCATGCATTGGTGTGCATACCGAACCTGCGGGTCTAGGGCTTCTCCGGCGGTCCGATGCGTGAAGATAGATTCATGGAATTCGGTCGACATTGTTCTGGACACTATACTGTGCGTCAAGACGAATCCGTCGAGAACATGCTAGCGAATCACACCATGCCAGCGTAACGGCATAGCAGAATAAATGGAAGGGCTGCGCTAGTACCTGACGTTACTACACATACTTATGAGTTCCTTGCGAATTGATCTCCTGGGACGAACTATCTTGCTCAACCATCACTTGTTTAAGTTCTTCCCAATCTTCAACTTCAGCACCCGCGACACTAGCATCAGCGACAATGTGTACGTTTGAGTTAGTCAAGTCACTAAGATGCGGCCACCTGGTCAAGCGCTACTATCTCGAGTGCCATACCGCAAGAACGACTGGACGAAGATGCGAGCTATGGCCTGCGCAGAAAGAAAGACCTCTGATGATCAAAGATAGAGGGCCGATTGCTGTACCGGACTACTGTGAGCGCTGTAAATCCGATGGTTTCTTGGCTTGGTTCTGAGTTGAGTTTCCGAGTCTCAAGATGACATCCAAAGGCGGTCATTGACGATGTCGATTTGGTTCAGGGACTTTTGGGTACAAGATCGGATTTTGATATCGACGGTGCTATCACCGTTCGAAAATTGAGATGCAGGACGCGGAGCAACAATGTGGCCGAGTGGAAGCTACGAAAGGAGTGTAAGCACCCCCACCTAAGAAACCACCCCAGCGCCAGGCTTGGTCTCGTGACGTGGGGGCTTCATTACCGAGCTCCGGCTCAACCTCACCCCTTATGTCCGAGCTTCGAGGCATGAAGTTGGTCGACCAGGACACGGTCAAACATAAAGCCGTGTGCTCGAGAACTCAACGTGAATGCGAAGGTATATCAGTGTCGCTGTTTCTCATCCATCCATCCCATAAACACCATTGTCACAACCGAACAGACTTCGACAACAAATTCTCTAGAACCAACCTATCTCAACCTAACTACGAGATGGATTACGCATCTATTCTTACGTTTCTGTACTCGCAATTCTTTGTTACACCCAAGTACCCGGAGCAGTCATGTAAAGGGCAGGTTTACATCGTCACCGGAGCGAATGTTGGCCTGGGACGTGAGGCTGCTCGTCACCTGGTGCGTCTCGGAGCAGACAAGGTCATTCTCGCATGCAGAAACCTGGAGAAAGGTGAAGCAGCACTTAAAGATATCGAAGAAAGTACCAAGAGGACAGGAGTCGCGGAGGTATGGTCTCTGGACCTGTCTTCTTTCGAAAGCGTCAAGGAGTTTGCGAAGAAGGTCGACACCTTGCCTCGCATTGATGCCATAATCGAGAACGCCGGTGTGTCTGATGTATAAATACTGCATGACTATCAGCAGACTGACCATCATATAGGCATCAGTACTACAAACTTCAAGGTGTTCGAGGGTCAGGAGTCCACAATCACAGTAAACGTGATCTCGACATTCCTTCTTGCCCTCCTTGTCTTGCCTGCATTGAAGCGATCATCCCAAAAACACAACATCCAACCCAGACTCACAATCGTCGCCTCGGAAGTTCACCACTGGACAGACCTCCCAGAGCGAAAGAAGGGCGACTCAATATTCGACACCTTGGCAACACCCGAGCTCTCCGAGATGGGCGTAAGATATCCAGTCAGCAAACTCATGGATGTCTTTTGTACTCGTGCTCTGGTCGAGAAAACCACATCATCATATCCGGTTACGATGAACACCATGAACCCTGGTTTCTGCTACAGCGAGCTGTCGAGAGAGATGAGCGGTTTTGCTTTCCAATTGATGTACAAGCTTTTGGCCAGGACTACCGAAGTGGGTAGCAGAACACTTGTTGCTGCCGCGCTTGCTTCGCATGATACCCATGGCCAGTACATGAGTGACTGTTTGGTCGAGCCGCCTTCCAAGTTTGTTAGGAGTGAAGAGGGCAAGAGAACGCAAGAGAGAGTCTGGGCAGAGTTGAGTGCCAAGCTGGAAGAGATTCAGCCTGGTATTCTCAAGAACATCTGAAGATGCAGCGTAGTCATGATCTGATACAACTACAAGAACACTGCAAATGCATTGAATATGAGAGCGGACACAGGCCGTCGAATAAACCATAGTTTGTGTTTTGTTGCCCAACCTTTTATCTTGACTTCCAAGTCACTCGATCGTCCCTTCCACATCTTATGCCAACTTATCGTGACGTTTGCACCCGAGCAAGACCATCGCACCTTCCTGGAAGCGAACAGACTTAATACGATTGTTCTGCACGACACAATATTTGTACTTCTCAAGGTGCTGACACGGAAGGAACAAATCGATTTCTCTAGAAAATTTATCGCACGAGAACAAAAGACGATCAACGCCATGCTAAAATTCAAAATCTGCATCTTTTAAACACCGCTAGAAGGAAAAGAAAGCGATAGAAGAAAAGAGCTCTACTCTTTCTTCTTGCCCTTGAAAGGCTTCTTGATGGCTCCAACCAAGCTACCCAATGCACCAAAGAGCTTTCCAAAGCCAAAGCTCCAGCCCTTGATACGCACAGTGTAGATGAAGAAGTACACCAAGGCCCAGTTGGACACAACGAAAATGCAGAAGATACCGAGGTCCCTCCATGCTTGGCTGGCCTTGATGTTAAGGGAGGCAAGGTAGCCATTGGCGTACTCGTAGGGGCAGTATTGGCAGTCTGCGGTAGCGTCAGGGTTGAGAAGGTATCCACCTGCTGAGGCTGCAAAGGCGCCAGCGTAGGATTGGCAGGTCTGGCCATTGGGGACGTTGAACATGGCTGTCTCGCTAGGTGTGCATTCGACGCGGATTCCGTCGAGAGTCTTGGCGAGAACACCGCTGATCCAGTAGGTTGAGGGATTAACATAGTANNCCTTGAACGAATATTAGCAAATGTTCGACATGTAGCCATGACATGATACTTACATCCAGAAGCGCCAGAAGACGGGGATTGACGCATAGGGGCGTACAACACCGTTGAACAGTGAGAACATGACGAAGAAGAAAGGCAAGACATTCGAGATGACCGTGAAACTGGGCGCGAAGGCACAAATCCATTGACNCTGCGAATTAATGTTAGCCACGATGTACACTGCAATACTTCGTTTTTTTCCGAACTCACCCCACGAAGCCTGGAAGAAGAAGAACAAGAGCGTCATGAAGAAGACATATCCAGCGGTAGAGCTGTCGGTAGGTAGTCCAGATGCGAAGTACCACAAAAGCCAGTATACCAGTGCACTCACAACTGCGATGGGAATTTCGGCAACCACCATGGCAGTACTGAAGGCGAACCAACCATAGATACGCGATGGTAGCTCTCTAGCCATCCAAAGTGCCATGTTCTGGTAGAATTTGGGGACGACAGCGTTGACGACGGTAGGAGGAATAGTTAGGATCAGGAAAGCCGTGAACATGCGGTTCTGCATATCTTGGATCGAGTTGCCGAGTTGCCAGAAAGTGAAACCGTTGAAAATCCCGACGATGACTGCAACGAACAGCTTGCCGTAGAGGTAGGAAGGGTCACGCCAGTATTGGGTGAAGACACGCTTGGTGAGCATGGTAGTCTGCAGCCATACAGGCGCAGCGAATTCGGTAGCTTCATCATCATGCTGCTTCTCGTGGACCGACTTACTTCTCATGCGCTTGAGTCCGTCGATCTCTTCGATGACTGCTTGGGCCTCCTTGCTATTACGCCATTCCTCGTTCCAGTCAATCTTAGATCCGTCTGCTCGCTTTCGGGGCTTGATGGCAGTCTCGAGAAGGAACTCTGCAACGTTCTTCTCTGGAGGACATTTGACGCCACGTTCACCGAAGTATTCGATAACATCTTTGCCGTTCTCTCCGATGGGCCCAAAGTAGAATGTGTTACCTCCAGGGTTGAGAGCGAGAACCATGTCGAACTGCTGAATCAGTACAGACGAGGGCTGATGGATGGTGCAGACAATAGCTTGGCCAGCGGCAGTGAGTTTCTTCAGGAAGCGAATAATGCTGTACGCACTTTGCGAGTCGAGACCACTGGTCGGCTCATCCAAAAAGAGCAACAGCGAGGGTTTGGCCGCGAGCTCGACACCGATGGTGAGACGCTTGCGTTGTTCGACACCGAGAGAAGAAATGATGGCATCCTGCATATCGTTGAGTTCAAGCAAGTCGATGACCTTGTCAACATATGCGATCTTTTCACCACGAGGAACCTTGCGGTCCTGGCGGAGGATAGCCGAGAATTCGAGTGCTTCTCTGATGGTCGAAGTGCCGTCGTGGAGATCCATCTGTTCACAGAAACCAGTGTTGCGCTGGAACTCCTTGCCGAGAGGTCTGCCGTCGACGAACATCTCGCCCTGGACGACACCCATCTTCTGCCTTTGACTGAGAGTGTTAAGCAGAGTTGTCTTTCCTGCACCAGAGGCACCCATCAGAGCAATCATAAGACCAGGCTTGGCATATCCGTTGACCTTGTTGAGGAGTTTGCGCTCACCACCGTTGTAGGGAACGGTGTACTCGACGTCTCTCCAGGTGAAGATACTCTCGCTCTTCACGATTGAGTCCAGGGCTTCTTGTTCTTCCTTCTCGCCGGTCGATCCACCAACAGCGGTATCACTGTCGGATCCAATTTTCTCTTCGTCCGAAGGGCTAGCTGACTTGACTTGCTGCTTTGCCTTTTTAGACTTTTTGAAAACCAAAGCACCGCCACCGCTGCCAACAAAGCTGAAGAGTTCGGTGGCAGCGATAGTAACCAGCAAGTAAAGAACGGTGAAGGCAATAACAACTCCAAAGTTGCGCCAGAGATGGGCGCGGGAGTATGTGTATTGCGTCTGGAGATACTGGGCGCCGTTGACAGAGTGGGCGTTTACCGCTGCGCCAGTCAGGGTACATCCCTGGAAAGCAGGATCGATACCAGGACCTTGGGGAACCAAGTTGTCCGGCGAACATTGCATCGTGCGGTCGGAGAATTCGTTAGTCAAGACGGCCTCGAATGAGTAAGAAATAGGGTTAATGTAGTAAATCCAACCAAACCAGATGTACTTGCTAAGTAGCTGCGTCTTGGGAATGACATAGCCGGTGTAAATAATGAGCAAGTTGAGGGCGATACCAGAGAAACGAACGGCATCATCAATGGTTGGCGACAAACTTGCGAACATACGATACAGAGCGGTGATACAGATGGTGTTGACGTAGACGAACAGGAAGTAGATCCAGAACTTGCCGGCATCGACATCCAGGTTTGTCATGAAATACATGACAACGGTGAAGAGACAGACTTGAACCAGGATAACCGGGAAATCAGCAACCACGCGGGCAACACTGACCGCAGAGGGGCGATAGAAAGCGTACTCCTTTTGGCGAGCAACGACAGCGCGTCCGCTAACAGCCTTCATCAGTTCAGTAAGTTGGAGCCAGCCAAGGAAGAGAATAGAGAAGAAAAGAGAACCACCACGCGAGAAAGCGCCATCTGTGTTGAGGGATTGTCCGTAGAAGAGAGAGCCAACGATAAGACCGTTGGAGATGATAATGAACACCTTCGTATACAACGTTGTGGTGTCTCCCCAAAGAAGCCAGAACTCACGCTTGGTGCAAGCAAGTACTTGGCGAATGAAACTGACAGTATACGGCGATTTCTTGGTAACAGTCTTCGACTTGCCAGCCTGAACAGTTTCCTCAAACTCTTTTGCATCCTCGTGGTTGGTTTGCTCAAGGTGTTGTTCGTACGTCTCGACATCTTGCATGTTGCGAGTAAAGAAAGAAGATTCGCGGAAGGCGCGCTCCAACTCTACAGGGGTCTTGGGAGTGCTGGCCTCGCAACCTGGTCTGAACCGCCTCTCAACAGGATCGGTGATAGCAGTCAAAAAGTCGGCGGTAGTTTGTCTCTCAGGACATTCGAACCCGAGGTCGATGAAATACTGCTTGGCGGCTCCAGCAGGTCCGGTGAAGATACAACGACCTTGGTCAATAACCAAAACCTTGTCCATTAGGTCATAGATGCCCTGACCTGCTTGGTAGAGAGTCACAAGCGTGGTTCTGTTGCTGACGTCGGTCATGATGCGAAGTGACTTGGCGTAATCCAGAGCTGTCGAGGCATCGAGTCCACGAGTTGAGTTGTCCCAGCAGACCACAGTGGACTTGGACGCGAGAGTCTCTGCGATCGAGACACGTTTTCGCTCACCTCCCGAAACACCTCTTGTGTATTCATCGCCAACAAGAGTCATCTTTGTGTGGCTGATTCCAAACATCTTCATCAAGGCATCAGCGATTAGAGGAATATCTCCCGTGGCCTTCTTCTTAGTCTTTGTTAGGAGAGCGAACATGAATGTTTGCCACACATTGAGGGTAGCGAAATGAACATCATCTTCCATGTTGTAGTTGACTTCACCACGGTACATCTTCCTCTGCTTTTCGGCAGAGATACCACCATATGAGACGTCGCCATCAACTTGCGCATAGCCTTCACGGTTGTTGGCAATGGCTTTGAGAAAGGTTGTGCAGCCGGCACCAGGTCTACCCAGAACTAGCATCATCTCTCCATCTCTTACAACACCTGAGAAGTCGTTGATGAGTGTCTTCAGCTCACCGTTTTTCGAGCGAAGGAAGGGGACGAATCTGGAAAGAATGTGGTAGAAATCTGGTCCAAATGTGCCTAAGATGGCATCAGGTAGGGTGCGGACAAAGGTTGCACCAGCTCCAACACCCTTGACGGTGAGGTTCTTGTATACCACACCGACCTTCTTGGCTGACTTATCTCCCTTGCGCTGACCGAGATGGCCTTCTCTCATAAAGTCACCGAGTTCGAAGTCGTCCTCGTCCTTGCCCTGGGCCTCGGTGTTCCCTCCGACTTCGGATTCTTCGTCTACAACATCGGTAGCCGTGCTGTGTCTTCTGGATGATTGTTTTCGGCCAAGTGATTGACGCGTGCTAGTTTTTGATCTATTGGTGAGCTCTCTCCTTAAAGCCCTGTAGTCCTCCATGGCCATGAGTTCGTTTGGAATGCCGGCATCGTGTTCACCCCAGGTACCGCTGCGATCGACATCTTCTGAGCTGGATGATTGAGAGTCCGGATCGTTGTGTAGTCGTTCAGCACGGGGCTCGGCGGGGTTGTGCCAGGCATTCTGCCCTTGACTTTCCAGACGAACAATGCGCGGGTCGTCGGTCACGCCGCTGCCCCACATGTTGGCGTTGGTATAGAGCGTTCGGCAAGGGGCTTATTGTCGTTTGCAATGTGAATTGGATGTTTTGATATCTCAGTGGGGAAACACCGTCCTGAAGCTTGCGGTGTCCAGGAATGGCGACCGATGTTTGTTGGTCGCGAAACTTGCGTCACAAAAAGATAGAAAGGATCAAGCGGGGTGAGTTCGCGAGAAGAGGGTTTGCTGAAAAAGAAATTTGGCACGTACGGCATTGATACATGGCTCGGAGTTAGGATAGCGCGCCGCTGATGAATAATGCACGAGCAGATCTAACACATTTTGATATCGACGTCAGCGCTCCCCAATTCAACGGCTGTTGAGCCGTGCCCGTCGGCCGAAGTCAGGTAGCGCGAAGGTAGATCAGATTGGAGCTTATTCAGACCTACAGTAGCCGTAGTGATTTTGCTGAGGAGATGCCGTCGCGAATATGTACCTCTGGCTACTTCTACCGTTTAGCTGCATTTCTCTATTGGAAGGCATGCAACTCAGTCAACCAAATATTCTCTGTTCCGTAGGGTCTGTGCAAAGGTCGATGTGTGTTTGCTTCGGTCGCACAAAGGGTTTCTGCTGAAGGCGTTGAGTAAAGTTTCACACGGAACGAGAGGCGTTAAAGCCAAGATGATCCTCGTGTCTTATTCATGGGTCTGACGCCTTACTCCATATCTGAATCGCAATTCTTCAAACTCCATATCAAGTGCATACATACATACATGCACAACAGCGTTGCATCTGAGGTTTCGACATATCGAAAGGTGTAATGCATCCCAGGATGTCGATTGCTTTTGTCGAATCGCCATGTCGATGTCGTGCGTCCAATCCATGTCAGAAAGGGGAGTGCTTGGCATGCGTTGGTTAGATAAATAGCATGCGCTTGCTAAAATAAAAACATACCCGTCCTCATATCAAAGCTCAGCCCAATTTTAGACAACGGAGATTGACAGGGTGGGTCTTTCTATCTCGCGTTCGGTTCTTGGATTGTTCGGAAGGGAAAATAGCAACGACGACAGGAAGGCTTTTGAAGAGGGAGGATGGAATTTCTCACCCTGTCTCCTAGAGAATCGCCTACATGCTTTAATGCGTAAATCCTTGCATATGACTGGTGCTCATGAGTTGCGACCAGGCAGCAGACAGTCGCGACCACAGCATCGCAGGATGTTTCTCACCTTCGCGCAAGTAGTTGTGAAAGCCTTGTCGAGCTCTTCCTGCATAATCAGTTCGAGGCTCTGGCGGCCTGAAGCAGTTCAACGGAGATAAGCGTTGGCGGAATTAGGAATTATCGTCGGGCATCCACAGCGCAAACTCGCGTGGGATCAATCTCAAACACTTGTGGGGGTCAGTAGGATTCTGATTCAGGTCAGAGTCATGTTCCGAGCCTCAACAGAAGATCCTGCTACTGTCATATCCGACTTGGCAGCTCTCAGATTATGTGAGCAGTGTCTTGCTTACAAAGTGAGAAGCAAACCCATCGGACTTGTCCAGATACATCATCGCGACGTTGTGTTAGAGACGGTGCATATGGTAGGGGACGCGATCAGAAGCGAGCAGCTGTCATAGAACCTCTATTAAATCAGTCAAAGGAGATCTTCTTGCCTTCGAAGGCTGCCGTGACCTTCTTTGCTTCCTTGGCCTTCTTTGCGGCTTCCCAAGAGGGATGCAACGAACCCTGGTCGTCTCTGTGTTTCTTCTTGGGAGGCTCAGTGGCGTCATTTCTGGCTCCACGATCCTGACCAGGTCTCTCAAAGCGGCCCTTTGGTGCTCCACGGGCCCCACGTGGACCTGTTCTGTCTGTTGCTCCGCGTTTCGCATCCCATCCGGCGTTTCTATCGTTCTTGCCTGCTTTCTCCTGGTTCTGTAAATGTTTTGCGTTCTTGCCAAACTTCTTCTCCGCAATAGCTTGACGTGCTCGTTGACCTCTTCGATTCTTCTTTGGTGGCCCATCTTCAAATTCCTCTGCTTCTGACTCAGACCCAGACCAGTAGCCGCCCATGGTGAGAGACGGCACAAACGCAGATGTACCAGCTTTGGTGGTTCTAGCTGGTGGAGAGTCTGATTCGGGAGAGGGCGACCGTGAGAGAGATGGTGATGGTGAAGGAGACGCGGATGCTGACTGAGAAATGTCACCAAGAGCAGCTCGTAATGCGGCCGCGCGTGACGCTTTACCCTTCTTGAGGGCTACATCGTTGTCATTCTCTTTTTCGTCTTCGCTATCGGACGAGCCAGCAAGCCTGTCGTCGAACCCTGCAAACTCGTCCTCACTGCCACTGGCCAGTTTGCGGTGTGTAGGTTGTTGAGAGTCGCTTTCGTCGTCAGGTTCTCCCATGCTTACATCGCCAGACTCGGGCTCTGCGGTAGGTTGTGGTTTCTTGGTTGATTGTTTTGGTTGTCCCTCCTGTTTCTGCTTCTCGATGTCTTTGGCTCTCAGCCTCTTCTTGCCTTCTTTCACATCTTTAGGCTCAATGCCAAGGGCGCGTTGAATGTCCTTGAGTAAGGGAGGGAGAGCTTCCTTGACAGGATTTGAGTTGCAGAGTCGGGCAATGACGTTTGCTTTTGCTGTGTCGCTGATGGGTTGGGGAGGAGAAGATACAGCCTTGGGCAGATCGGGCGATTCGGCGACTGCCTTGAACTTGATCAAGGACTTGTGGAGGTAGTTACGTGCGGTAGCGGAGAGATCGAGTGTCTGTGAGTAACGTAGTAATGAGCATGTTGCGGTACGGATTGAGGAGCATGCGCAGCCCTCCCATGTGTCGATGCTCCCACGCTCGTGGTCAGGGAAATGTGAGCTGTAAAGATGCACAGCTCTTTCCAGACTAGGGTTGTCTTGAAGGCAGTGCATCGACACTAGCCATGTTGAAAGCCCTGTGCATTTTACAGCTGGAGCGTGACAAGATTGAGCACATGGAAGGGAGGAACGAGGAGCAGAACGAGAAGAAAACGGAAAGAGATACGTCAAGAACGACCCACCTTCAGAGCAGCAGTCTCGGCTTCTATGCGCGCGACCTCTTTCTCATCGCTCTTTGCACCAGCAGTCTTGCGCCGCCTGCCAGACTTTTGCGCCTCGAAGCCCTTTGCCGTCTTGAAGGCACGCGCGAGTTGCTTATGGGCATAGTCGAGCTTGTGTTGCACTCTGTGCTGGCGAATGCTGACGGCGCCTTCCACACCTTCTGTGTCACTGGCGGGCGCCTCAGAGCCATCTCTTTTCCTTTTGGGCATGGTGGAGTGCATATGTACAGAAATGTTGTTGTCAAGAAAAAGAACAAAAAACTTGTCCGAGCACGCGCACCGGGCCGACCACGAGACGGCCATGCCAAGCGCAGCGCAGTGCCGATCCGATTCGCATCGTCTTGCCCATCACCACTTCAACGTCAAGTGACTGCCACGCTGTCCGACTTCCAGCTGTCCAACTGATGAGAAGCCTTGCACTTGGACGTGTCGCTTTCTTGCCTGCTGCCGCTGCGGCACTTGGACCTTGCCACCTATCCACATCCGACTCCATACGTCAAGCCTGGAGTGGAGCTGCTGTTCTAGAGTCGCCGCGATGCATATCTGCATGTCCGGTAGCATGCATCCATTGGCCATCAGCTAGCCGCTGCCGGACCATCCAAGACTGCCGTTTGGCATCTTTCGTTCGTCCGGTGCTTCCTGCCTCCTTATTCGTGCCCTCCAATTTCTCGTCACCTTCTGTGCATACGATATCTTTGTTTCTTTTGGTCGCTTTCCTGCCCAAAGGTGGAGACTCTTCTGCAGGGAGCCTCTTCCTGCCGCCAAAAGCTGCACCTGCATAGCAAATGCTTCGTGCACCCACATCTCCCCCTGACCCAACCTGTCATGCGCCTATCCCACACCCTCACAGTCAGGTTTCAGAACTCGTTGCGCAAACATCCTTCTTTTACCTGGTAGGCGGTTGCGGATGCCCTCTCCACACAGCCCAAAAGCTTGTTTGCACCGTGCCATGCAGCTATGCGAATCGTGCAGCAAACGACACCACTCGTAAACGTCCTTGGTATGTTCGAGTACGCCACGTGTGACGGCCAGTTGGAACGGCATAGCATCGAGCATGGCTCTAGAAAGGCACTCCCTCCTGTTTGTCCCTCACTTTAGTCTTGGTGTTTCAAGTGTGATCGTATGCATGTGATACCCGTCACTATAAACTCTTTACTTTTCCCTCACTTCTACCAAATGGAACGTTTGCTTTGTATCTCTCAAAGTCTTCTACCCAGTCACTCCTTTACCTTCGTTCTTCCTTCCTCCTTTCTTCATCTCTCCACAAATTTCATTACACTCTATCTTGTTGACCAAGATGCGCTCATCACTCTCTCTGAGCCTTTCGCTTCTCGCCGGCCTGGTGTCGGCTACCAACTACAACCTCGTCAAGGACTACTCCGGCGACAACTTCTACAACCAGTTTGACTTCTTCACTGGCCCCGATCCTACCCAGGGCTTCGTCAACTACGTGTCTCACGACAACGCTGTTGAGTACGGTCTCATCTGGAACAAGAGCATCCCCACCTGGGGTGTCGACTCCTACACCCACCTCAACGCTGATGGCTCCAACGGCGGTCGCACTTCTGTGCGCATGACCAGCAAGGACACCTTCACTCACGGTCTCTTCATCGCCGACATCCAGCACATGCCTCAGAGCTCTTGTGGTGTCTGGCCCGCCTTCTGGACCTTTGGTCAGACTGGCAACTGGCCTCAGTCCGGCGAGATCGACATCATCGAATTCGCCAACCTCGCCGACCAGAACAAGGTCTCTGGTCACACCATGCCTGGCTGTTCCATCTCTGGCACCTCGCAGAGCGGCCGAGTCCAAGGCACCGACTGCTCGGTATGTTCCTCATACATTCTCGTTTTGACACAGAAGCTAACAAGCTACAGNTCCGCAGGTGACGGCGCTGGCTGCGCATTCCTCTCACCTTCTAGCACCTCCGCTGGCTCGGGCTTCAACAACATCGGCGGCGGCGTCTACGCCATGGAGTGGACCTCCCAACACATCAACGTCTGGTTCTTCCCTCGCAACAACATTCCCTCATCCATCGAGTCCGGCAAGCCCGACGTCAGCAAGTTCGGTCAACCCATGGCCAACTTCCGCGGCTGCGACCTCGACAACTACTTTTACAACCACGCCATCGTCTTCGACACCACGTTCTGCGGCACCTGGGCTGGCGAGACGTTCGCCAACGATGGCTGCTCTGCTTCCTCGTGCGTCGAATATGTCGCCACCAACCCTTCTGCTTTCAAGGATGCCTATTGGGCTGTCAACTACCTCAAAGTCTACCAGCAGAGCGGTTCCTCAAAGGTCAAGCGCGACTTCCTCCGCCGTCACGCCAGACAGACCCACCACAACCACGTTCTCGTTTGAGCACTCTTGCCACCAGCGTGGCAGTTTGCGTTTGCTTTCTTTCTCGCACACAAGGGCATGCAGGACATGTTTCTACCCACCTTCCTTCCGTTCCAAGCATCAGCAATGGCGTTTTTCTTTTCTCATACCTTCACTTCTTTGTGATTGTTGATCAAGGCTTTCACTTCATGTTTTACTTTTTAACGACGAGGATGAGGGCTTTTTAACGACTTCTTTTGGGCATCAAGCGAAATTGGGGGTTTTCGGAAGTTGCTTTTCGGGGTCAGTCGTGGGATGAATACACTCTCGCTCAAGAATACAAATGAATTTATCCATGCATTGCTCTTCTTTTCTTCTGTCTTGGTGTTTTTTCTTTTTCTTTTCTGTTGACCAGTGAGATTTTAGCTCGGTCAAAGGACACTTTGAATGATATCACATAGCAGTGCATAGTGCAAAACAGTCAAAGGGAATATTATAGTCGTTATACTTTCTATGCTCTAGTCATCATCAAATCGTTTCAGTTCGTGTGATCAAGCTCTGGCAGGTCTCTTGTCGCGGCGGTCTGCAGCTTTGACGCCAAATACCTCCATCCCATCCTTGACACCATCTCTGAGTCCGCCAGTAACGCCATGTACCCACCAGAATACCATGTCTTCAAGTACCACACCAACCTGACCGTCATTCCAGCTACACATGGTTCTGGCAACGGTCATGGTATTCCTGCTTAGCACATTTGCAGTGGTCCAGGACTGATTAAGTAGTTTCTCCGAGATGTGGTGCTCTCGTTCATACTGGTATGCTCCTCGGCAAGTTGTTTGGACATAAGGCCAGAGGAAGGAGAAGAGGAGGAAGACCTGAAGCACAATCATTGCCACTATACGATGGAGCATCGTTGGGTCTTCTTCTTGTTGCGTGACCTGATCGTCATGAGACTGGCTTCGAATGATGACCTTGTCAATAGGCTGCCGCGGCGGTATCATCTCAGATGGCATAGCAGCTTGGAGCCGTATTGTCTCCTCAGAAGAGAGGTTGTATGGCAGGCCCCGAAGAAGATAGCTGACTGCATCAATGTACAATTGGCGACTGAAGTTCGGGTTGGAAGATAGACATGATGAGCCCTGAAGAAGACTCTGGCNCTGTGGGATAGATTATGAGAAGGTGAGCAACAAAGATGCTGCGTGCTAATTACCTTGACGTGCAAACTCCCATTTTATACCCGCTCGTTCATCACTGCCGAAAATGGCGTTATCAACGGGTAGAGATGTGGGTGATGTTGGTGGAGTGTCTTGGAAGTCAATATCAGACAGGACGGAAGTAAGGGAAGCGATAGGCTCTTGGTAGGGCGGTGGAGGGGTCGCTGAGCCAGGTCTCGGACTCTCTGTGCTCAAGGCTCGAGCGTGACCGACTAATGCAGCTGCACGGTTGTAACCCGACAGTGAACGGCGCAGAGAAGGCACCTTTGGCATCGACTTTTTGATAAGTGGAGGCAGTACGGCATAGATAAGCGAGGTGTTTTCTTCGTCAGTAGAGTGCAATAAAGGTGATGCGGGAGCCATTCTAGTTGAGCAAAGCAGAAAAGATGAGTTGGAGTCTACAGCAGCATAACTGAGGCAGATTCTCTAGATATAAAGGCATTGCGGCGGCTACGAAGGGAATGCGTTGAGCATCACATGCATGCAGAGACTGACAGCCAAATGAGAGACAATGCGGGTGTTGAGCTTGAGAGGCTCAGTCGTGCCTTTGGACCCTCGCTTCCCTCGATCCAACCAGCAGCCCTGTTGTGACATGTGAAAATGGCCCAAGCGTCAACATCTACCGACGCACAGACAGGTCAGCGCGTGTACGTCACCAAGGTCGTACTCGACTTTCTTTGACTCTGTCCGTCACGCGAACAAGCTTCCGTCAGCTACTCACATGCTTCTCGCCAGGCTGCCGTTGTCATGGGTGTCACTGGCCTGTGGACCGTCGTCCAGCCCTGTGCCCGACCTATCAAAATCGAAACCCTGAACAAGAAACGACTCGCCGTCGATGCCTCCATCTGGATCTACCAATTCTTGAAGGCCGTCCGCGACAAGGATGGCAATGCCCTGAGGAACAGTCACGTCGTTGGCTTCTTTCGTCGTATCTGCAAGCTGCTCTACTTCGGTATCAAGCCAGTCTTTGTATTCGATGGCGGCGCTCCTGCCCTCAAGCGCGCTACCATCAATGCTCGCAAGCAGAGAAGAGAAGGAAGAAGAGAGGATGCCACCCGCACTGCTGGCAAGCTGCTTGCCCTCCAGATGCAACGCATCGCCGAGGAAGAGGAGAACAATCGCAAGCGTGCCACACATGCTGCTCCACAAGAAGAGGAGGAGCCGCTGCCCGACAACCTGGTCTATGCTGATGAGGTTCTCATGAACCCGCAGGAACGTCAGCAGAACAAGGCTTTCAGGAAGAAGGACCAATATCATCTCCCTGATCTAGGCGTCCCTCTTTCCGAGATGGGTGCACCCAACGATCCAAGAATCATGTCCCTCGAGGAGCTTGAGACCTATGCTCGTCAATTCGACACTGGCGAAGACATCAACGTCTACGACTTTTCCAAGATTGACTTCGATGGTCCTTTCTTCCTCAGTCTCCCACCTAGTGATCGTTACAACATTCTAAATGCAGCTAGACTGCGAAGTAGACTNCGAATGGGCTACTCCAAAGATCAGCTGGACACAATGTTTCCCGACCGTATGGCCTTCTCCAAGTTTCAAATCGAACGAGTGACCGAGCGCAATGACTTGACTCAACGCCTGATGAACCTGAACGGCATGAACGACGACCTTATGTACGGCCTGGATGCTCCTGGAAGAGTTGCTGGTGAGAGGGGCAGAGAGTACGTGTTGGTCAAGAACGATGGTGTTGAGGGAGGTTGGGCCTTGGGTGTCGTTACGGGCAAAAATGATGGTGTGGAAAACAAGCCAATCGACGTCGACGCTGCCGAACAGGAAGTCAATGAAGACCAAGATGAAGATGAGGACGATGACTTCGAGGACGTTCCAATCGAAGGTCTAAATCGCCTGCCCAAGACAACGACTACTCAGCAAGAGAAGACATTGGGCACGGAAATGGCCAGAAGAAGACAAGCTTTCTACAGATCGAAGAGAAGCGCTCCTCGTAGGCGAACTAAGGCTCTTCAACCGCGCAGGCCTGCAGAAGAAGCCGAGGGCTTGTTTGTAGAAGATGACCAGGATACAGCTATGGAGGTCGACAACGAGGACGGCAGTGCTTCCGATGATGAAGAACTTCAGCGAGCTATTGCTATGTCTATGCAAAATGAGGACGCCGAACCTGAAGAAGAACAGATGCAAGAGGAGGAAGAGAAAGAAGACTGGTTTGATAAATTCCAGCAGTCCCGTGCCGATGAGGGTCGTCCTATTCCGCGTGGTGGCGGGCTCGCTATTGCGCATATCGTCAACAGTCGAGCAGGCAAGGCAGTACCAGTCGCGCCGTCACCAAACAGTGACAATGACAACACAGAACTGCAAGCTGCTCTCACAAAGTCTCGTAACGAGGCCATGCCCAAGTCTAACGCTTTTGGCGAGGAAAGTGATGACAGTGAAGACGATATGGACTTCCAGGCCGCACTGGCCGAGTCACGCAAGTCAAAGTACCAATCTAAGCAGCCACCGAAGAGTCGACCCGAATCTCCTGCTCAAACTAAATCCGCTCCAGTACCCAAAAATGCTGCTGGCTTTGCAGGACCTCTTCCTTTCGAAAAGTTAGATCTGGGTAGCTCCCTGCTCGGTAAGAAGAAGATGCAAAAGGCGCAGGAGGAGATGGCAGGAGGCTTCGAGCGCGATGACACCGGCCCGGCCAAGAAAGACAAGTCAGAACCTCTGCCTCCATGGTTTGATGGAGACCTTGGCGCCAACATTGCTAAGCAGAAGGCTCTCGAACGCGACGACTGGCAAAAGACCAAAGCATACAACGAAGAGTTTCAATTTGCCGAGGTGCCACCTCTGGGCCGTCACTCATCTCGTGAAGTTATTGATCTCGACCTTGAAGAATCACAACCCAAGGATGTTAGTCAACAAATAATCGACATCTCGGACGAGGAAGAGGAGAAAGATGCTTCTCCAAAGCCTGCAGACACGAGTGCGGAAGAAACCCCTGCTATGGGTGACTTAGCAGATCGTGTTAAAGCAGTGCCTCCAATTCTAAACAGTTCTGAAAAGGAAAAGGTCGAGACATCAACGATGCCGGTCATTAGTCGCAAAGACTCAGAGGGAGCGTCACAGGATGAAAGTCCCGTCGTCTCAGAGCAAGCCAAGCAAAATATCGCGCCTTTGAAGAACAACCCATTCGCAGAAGAAGAGGATGATGAAGAAGACGAGGCCATGGAGTGGGAGCAAGTCGACAATCAGCAGACCAGCTTCGAGAATGAACCATCAGCAACGATTCAGTCTCAAGCAAAAGAGCCTTCGCCAACACTCACAAAGCAACCCACGCCAGAAGCCGAAAAAGAGGCTGTTAAGTCCCCATCTCCAGATTTCGAGAATGTAGACATCCCAGATCAGCCTGAGGAGATACAACCGGCGAGCGCGGAAGATCAGCCCACAGTGAGTCCAGCTGCTGACATTCCAGGATCTGTGACTGGTACAGCAGACCAGAATCTTGCAGCTGAGCCTGCAGCCGACGAATTTGGGTATTACTCGGACTCTGAGGATGATGAATTGCTCCGTCAGCTTGCCACTGAAACAGAAGAACATGCTCGATTTGCTTCGTCTTTGAACCACAAGACGCAGCAACAAAACGTGGAAGAGTATGAGCGCGAGTTGAAGCAGCTTCGCTCCCAACAAAAGAAAGATAGACGTGATGCTGATGAAGTGACCCATGTCATGATTCAAGAATGTCAGCAACTGCTGAAGTTGTTTGGGCTACCTTACATCACTGCACCAATGGAGGCTGAAGCACAATGCGCAGAACTTGTCACTCTCGGTCTAGTCGATGGCATTGTGACTGATGATTCAGATTGCTTCCTTTTCGGTGGCACTCGCATCTACAAGAACATGTTCAACCAAGCCAAATTCGTCGAGTGTTACTTGACCACCGACTTCGAGAAGGAGTTTGACCTGACACGGCAGAAAATGATCGGCATCGCCCAACTCCTCGGCTCAGATTACACAGAAGGCCTTCCAGGCGTAGGTCCAGTCACCGCCCTTGAAATCCTATCCGAATTCCCTGATCTCAAAGACTTCCGCGACTGGTACAATGCCGTTCAGATGAACCAGATACCCAAATCAGAAGATGCGGCAAACCCCTTCCGCAAAAAGTTCCGTCGCCAAGTAACGAAACTCTTCCTTCCTTCCGAATTCCCAGATCCCAGAGTGGAGACGGCATACCTACAACCAGAAGTAGACAACGATCCATCTGCATTCCAGTGGGGTGTTCCCGACTTGAGCGCCCTTCGCAGTTTCCTGATGGCAACTATTGGATGGAACTCTGAGCGCACAGATGAAGTCCTCGTTCCTGTCATCAAAGATATGAATCGCAGGCANGAAGAAGGCACACAAGCCAACATTACTGCATTCTTTGATGGTGGAATTGGTGCTGGTGCTTATGCGCCTAGAAAGAGGATTGAGCAGGGTAGTAAGCGTATGGGTAGTGCACTTGACCGCATGGCGCGGGAGGCAAGGAAGAAGAGGAAGGGTGGTGTTGTGGAGGATGAAGAAGAGTATACCGAGACTGCTGAGGCGGAGAAACCGGCGCCTAAGAAGAAGGCAAAGAGGAACTCGAAGAGATCTGCTGCTGCCAGCGCTTCGGCTGATGTTTAGATGATAATGTTCCACTTACATCTATCAGCAAAGAACCATCATCCTATCGAATATGCTGAACGTCTATCATGTAACATAATCTTGCAAGCATTGATCCAAAGCTCGACGCCGCAACAAGCCCTGGCGACTCTTAACTTACCGTCTAATCATGCTTCTGCTTCAGCCCAGAGCATGCATTGTACTCTACATTCACTCGTGTTTCTCATGCTTCACTGTTCCTGGAGCCTGCGGAAAGATGAGGCTTCACCGGCTATACAGTCATGATTGAAGCCACCACGAGCAGATCTCCGCCCATAACCAGTATAGTCAGCTGCAGGGCAGTCTAGCCGGTGCCCTCCAATACTCCTGGAGCCCTGGTAGGTTGCGAAAAAGTGCAAAAAGGATAATGAATGCGATGGGACTCGAACCCATGCAACTTTCGTTACCAGGAAACTCATATAACTGAGAAGCTTTTAATCGCTTGAATCTGGCGCCATAACCACTCGGCCACGCATCCGGGACTTGGAGAGCTCAGAGATAGAATCGTATATGTAGTTCACACCAATTTTTCGATTGAGGCTCCACCGAAGCCTGAACCACGTTCTAACGAGATACTGGCGACAGCAATACCTACCAACACACCGCCTCCTTGAGTATGGCCAGAGTATACCACTAGAGAGCCTCGTGGCCATCTCGTGTGTGGCTGGAGTAATAATGGGAAAGGATCGTAGGACGAAAAATATGTGACAGGTGAAAATTTCTTCCTGCTCACTTCCGTATCAGACAATGAATTCCGTACGACGGGAGCATAGCACGCCTTCATCCCTCATTGATGTGTCTAGTCTCTAGTCCATATTGACCATTTTCTCATCGTTTCTCTTCTTTCTGTCATTTGGGTATCCATGATAGCAGATGCATAGACAGTCCCGAAAGCGCAGTCTTAATCTCGGGGTTCTACAGATAGACTTTGTGAGCGAAGCCTCGAACAACACACAACCACGATTTGCTCGATCAACAGTCTCTCGGAAGGTATGAGGCAATCACACGGCTGACACTGAGAACAAATCTATCCGCTGATGTTGTGAACAGTACATAAAGATACGGGTGTAGGTCTATTCGAGTACACAACGAAATGCTGTTATATAATAGATGTAAGCGGGATGACCCTGGCTCAGTGTCATACCAAGCTCCAAGCGGAAGTGCAACCACACTTTACGATGATCGCATTGCCTGGTTTCCAAGATTCTGTTTGTCGAGCACCAGAACGATCATTCTGGATGGTGGTTTGGTGATCGAGGAACAGGCAATTGCACGACGTGATGGTCGGGCAGCGGTTTCGGAGACGGTGGCTGTCCCTGGCGCGTCATCGGTCGAATTTTTGGAGAGCGGCCGATTAGAGTCATTGGGAGGGGCAGGTGTTTCCTGAGCTCTTTCCCTTGACAATCTTCCAATTCAGCAAACATGGACGTGACAACATTTACAGAGAAGGCTCGCGACTTCCCAAAGAAGAAGTGCGGTTGGTGCTCTGGAAGCCCCATTGGCTCAGGACCAAGCTGACATTCTGGTGGCTANGGTGTGTTGGGAGCCACTGGCTCTGTCGGCCAACGATTCATTCTCCTGCTCGCCCTTCACCCCCACTTCACTCTCCATGCTGTCGGTGCCTCTGAGCGCTCGGCAGGCAAGAAATACAAGGATGCCGTCAAGTGGAAGCAGTCGCTGCCCATGTCCAAGCAGCTGGGCGAGCTGGTTGTGAGGAAGTGCACTCCCGAGGAGTTCGCCGACTGCGATATGGTCTTTTCTGGTCTGGACAGCGACGTCGCCGGCGATGTCGAGATGGCCTTCCTCAAGTCCGAGCTTGCTGTCTTCTCCAACGCAAAGAACTACCGCCGCGATCCCCTTGTGCCCCTGGTTGTGCCTACCGTCAACCTGCCCCACCTGGATGTCGTCCACCACCAAAGAAAGCACTACGGCCTGAACAAGGGTTTCCTTGTCTGCAACTCCAACTGCGCCGTCATTGGCATCGTTATCCCCTTCGCTGCTCTGCAGTCCAAGTTCGGCCCCATCAACCAGGTTTCAGTCGTCACAATGCAAGCTGTTTCAGGAGCTGGCTACCCTGGTGTTAGCAGCATGGACATCATCGACAATGTGGTTCCCTTCATCTCGGGCGAGGAAGACAAACTCGAGACTGAGGCTCAGAAAATTCTCGGCCAGGTCAACTCGGACGTCACTGGATTTTCAGACCAGAGCGACCTCAAGATCTCGGCTGCTTGCAACAGAGTCCCTGTTTTGGACGGTCACACCGCTTGTGTTTCGCTCCGCTTCGAAAGAAGACCCGCTCCTAGCGCTGAAGAGGTCAAGCAGGCCATGCGCGACTACGTCTCGGATGCCCAGAAGCTTGGCTGCCCCTCTGCTCCTGAGAAGGCCATCGTTGTTATGGACGAGCCCGATCGCCCGCAACCCAGACTTGACAGAGAGACTGACAGAGGTTACGCTGTCAGCGTAGGTAGAGTTCGCGAGGACGAGAGCGGCATCTTCGACATCAAGTTTGTCGCTCTGAGCCACAACAGTAAGCATACTCCACTCAGGAACTTCTCAAACCCAGTACTAACCCTCATTAGCNNCGTCATTGGTGCTGCTGGATCCTCTATCCTCAACGCAGAGGCTTGCGTACTCAAGGGCTTTGCGTAAAGCAGTCTTTGGATATTTGTTGTGTAGTTATGGATGTAAACAAAATGATCAGCCAAAATCGAAAGACGGATGTGACAATGTCTTTTTCTTGCCTCTCCAGCTTCCTACTTGCCTTGTATTCGAGAAAAGACACCACGGAAATGATGTGGGCTCATGAAGACCACGGTTCATTCGGAGCCAAGACACCATTCGTTCGTTAGAGTAGGTACAAAACGTCTGTTGTCGTCGGACAGGGTCGGTGACGGCGAGTTGGTGGGGAAGTCATTCATGTCCGTCGCGGCTCCCTGCAGCCGGCAGCCCCTCGGCGCGTCAGCGTGCATGGCCTTGTGATTTTTGTTCAATTACGATAAGATCCAACTTCGCAGCGAGAGGAGATGAAGGCTCAACGATGAACCAACGGGCAAGCTCGCCCTTCTCAATCGCCTAGGACCGCCACATTCCTCGATGCAGCGGTATTGAAGCATCCCCGCGACGACGCTGTTATACTCTCTCTATACACATATGATCTTTTGAGACATGCTCTTGATGCTAGGCTGGCACTCCCCTCGAATCCCCTGGCACGCTAGAAGAAGAAGACACAAGCCGACAGTATGAACACCACCCCCAGAGGACAACGCCATGTCGCTCCCCAAATAGCAACCAACAGCCCATTTGCTCGAAGCAATGCCACCTCGACCCCGACTGGACCTCGCTCGCCAATCAAGCTCAGCAGCCGTGACCGTCAAGAGCTGGGTCTGAGTCTGAAACGCGTCATTGGCACCACCTGCCAGTCTGTCTTCTGCTTCGATCATCTGCCCGAAACAAGAAGTTTTGCCTATACCGCAGGCGCCGCTGCGGTTGTTGCCTCTGTACACCCCGATGGAAACATATCACAACGCTTCTTCAGAGCCAACCCGGCATATGCTCTGCAGAGGCCCAATTTCACACAGGCCATTGCTGCCTCCCCCGCCGATCCTAGGCTTCGCTCTCCTCTACCACCAACCGACCGCAGCGAGTGGAACGATTCTTCTACAGGACACAAGAGTAGTGCTGTACGCGAACGTGTCAAGGCCGCCACCGCAGTAAGCTTCAGCCCGAACGGTCGCTTCCTTGCTGTGGGCGAGACTGGTTACAAGCCGCGTGTTCTGGTCTTCTCGCTTGCCGACAAGTCGTTCGCCGATTCGCCTGTATCCTCTATATGCGAACATACTTTTGGCGTCCAATCTGTAAGCTTTGGCCCAGACTCGAGGTATCTAGCTTCCCTTGGGACTGTAAACGATGGCTTCCTGTACATCTGGAGTATCGATGAAAGAGGAGGCACACCCACTCTGGTTGCCAGCAACAAATGTACCACCAATGTGCGCCACATGGCCTGGATGGGTTGTAGTTTGGTGACAGTGGGACTGAGATTTATCAAGGTCTGGAGACCAAACGACCTTCCAGCAAGCGTCAACGAGAACTCGGAACGAGGCTACGGCCTCTACAATCGACAGCACAAGCCGTTGGCCGGCCGAAATACTCTGTTAGGTGATCTGCTCGATGCAACATTTACATGTGTGGCCTCCTTCTCCGAGACAAAGGCCATCATCTGCACTGATGGTGGGGATGTCTGTATCCTCGACGATGAAGACAAAGCCCAACGACTAATCAGGGTCGCAAACGTAGACTTCAGTATTACTGCTGCGTGCCTCGGCCCTGATAACAAAATCATCATTACAGGCCTGGATGGTAGTATTGAAGTGCTTGATCTCGACCAGCTCAGCAGAACCTTGATCTCACCAAATACGCCACCAGGGCGTAAAGCATCCGCAAAGCCCTCAAACTCTGGCTATGTTGCTGTTGGGTCGGTTGGAAATGCCATAGTGACCGTGGACAATAGCCATGGCATCCAGCTACGACATGTCTCTCCAAAATCTCGTGATGATGATCCAAACCATGAGGTGATGCGGAAACTCCCAGCACACTCAGATGCAGTCCTTGGAGTCCGTGCTGTCACAGCACCGAACGAACAAGACATTGCCTTCATAACCTGGTCTGCAAATGGCACAATCATCTTCTGGTCGTCTGAATGCGAGGCAAAAGCGAGAATTTGTGTATCGATGGACCAATACGTCGATATGTATAATGTTGTAAACGAGCTCAAGACAGTTGTGGCATTCTCGGATGTCTCTCACGCAATATCTGGAGACAAATATGGCGTTCTGAGGTAAGTCAGGAGAATCAACACAGGAATGCACGTGAGAGCGCACTAACCGACCTACAGAATCTCAAATGTCGATACCGGAGAAGACGTCTCGCGAGTGAGAGCTCACGCAGGAGAAATCACTGATATTGCTATCCATGAGAATGCAACATACACCCTGATCGCATCAAGTAGTCGAGATCGAACTATCCAACTCTTGACATGGAGCTCAGGCCGTCTGGACCTCCTACAAACGCTGGACGAACACGCAGGTTCGGTCTCTTGTGTTCTTTTTGCCAAGAAAGGCGAACAATTACTGTCGTGTTCAGCCGACAGATCTGTAGTGGTTCGAGAGGCTGCGAGACAAGGATCCGGCCCTCCACTTTTCATCATTACCAGGACGATCACACTCAAGAGTTCACCAACCTGTCTGAGGATGTCCCTGTTTGATGACATTCTTCTAGTCTCTGCAACCGATCGAACCATCCAGCTCGTCAGCACGCGGACTGGTCGTGTCATCTCTTGCTTCAAGGCTGGCGATACCGACGGGGGAGACGCCGTGATCATGTCCGGTCTGGTACATCTACCCTCCACTGCAGGATCGCCAATAATCGCAGGTGTAGCTGGCAGTGATAAATCTGTGCGCATGTATTCAGAGGATGGCACCCTGCTCGCACGAGACTGGGGCCACACCGAAGGCGTCACGGACATCGCAGTGCTGAAATCGCATGCAGCGCCTGACGACCTAGCAGCGATGAAACTCGTGAGTGTTGCTGTAGATGGTACGATATTCATTTGGGCGACAGTGCCTGAAAGACCTCGATCAAGAGACTCCTCAGATACAGCTCCGTCGTTCGCAAGCATTGCTCCAGGCATTGTCTCTGCAGAACAGCCGCTACGAAAAGTCATCTCTCACAGCGAGCTTGCCAGATTCCAACGAGCCAGGTCAAACGAAACAGAAAACCCAGACGTGACAGCTGCAACAACAAACACAGGGCTGAAGAAGAAACCTAGCAGATTGAGCATCCGCCCACCGCCACCAGCGCAAAGGTTAGAACCTTCGCCGCTGGGGACCTTGCGTAATGGTCTGACAGTCAGGAATAGACAACGAAGTCCAAGTCCTACACCACCCAGTCCGAGCCCTAGATTACCGCCTAGTCCGCGGACGCATCCGAGGAGTGCACCGGGACGCCATAGACTTTCTGTAGGCGCTGTACCGCCTATGCTTGCCAACACATCCACAGAGAAGGGAAACAAAGACAGCAAGGCAGAGGCCAGCACAACGGGTTTTGGAAGCATCGCAGCATCGACAGATCAGCTATCACGCATGTTGCGAGCGTACAGGCAGAAACTCGATGGGAGCTGCACTGGTTTGACTGATGAAAGACTTAGGGAGCTGGAAAAAGAGCTAGAGGCCACAGTCCAGATGGTGCAACAGAAATTGGCGCGCCACAAAGATGCAAAAGGATCTCAGGATGCGAGTAGCGCTGCAGATGACAGTGGGACGTCGAGGACGGCATCGTCTTCACAAGACGCTTCATTTATATCTGCACAGACACAATTAAACGAAGAGACCGTCGGTGGTGCTGAGGCCACTGCGTCTTGAATGCGACAAAACTCTATCTTTCTCCATTGTATGTGATAGCCTCACAGATCGTGATCGTCGATGGTTGTTGTTGCTTGGTTGTTCCCTTCTCCGGGCGTTCAAAAACAAGAATCTAGTAGATTCTGGAAGCAGGTTAAGCACGTACGGCCACAGTCAGCTGAGAACTGGGCATCCCGTCCGCTCTGCCATACATAAGCAGTTGAACGGCAGATTAGTACTACGGTGGGTGACCACGTGGGAATCCCTGCTGCTGTACGTTTTGTTTCTGGTTTCCTTTTTGCTGTTTAGAAAGACGTCCAGTAAAGTTTATACGAAATAGTTCTCTACATTCTCTTGGACAGGCAAAGTGTTTCAAAGGCACTTGTACAATTCTACAGATCAAGCATGGCAGACACGAAACGGACGAAAAGCTATATGATCAGGATGATGAGAAAAGTATGTTCATATTTGCTAACGATCAAAGAAAAGAAACGACAACTTCATAAAAAGGGAGATTTGTGTCCCGAAATGCACCCATAACATAATTCATTCACAATCTGCTTCTCGACAAGATTGTCGCATCAGTGTCATATCCTTGACCATGAGAAAATTGGGCAGTTCTGTGTTGAACAGGGGCAGTCGCAGATCCATGGACAGTGAACAGATACTCACAAGCGACCTTCAGTGAGAAGATGGTCATATGACTCTCTAGCATCCAGAGTAGATGGCTGTTGAGGAAGAAAACATCAGCATATGGACATTCAGCAAGCAGTGATAAACATACCGTTAGCGTAAAGAGCATACGAATCAGCGTTGAGGACAGCAGCAGAGCTGGAAAGACGGGTGGCAGCGCTGTAGCCGTAGCCGTTGTCCTCAGTGCCGGNGGAGTAGACGCCAGGGGCGTGGGTCTCCTCGTGCAAAGCGGTGGTGGCCTGGTCCTGGGCGTGGCATTGGGCGGTCAATCCGGGGAGGTCGCTGAAGAAGAGGGGGCAGTAGGCGATGTAGTTGTTGGAGGGGAGGGTGTAGGCGAGCACGCCAGACGAACAACCGCCGTAGATGTCAGTGCCTGTTCAAAGATGATTAGTCGGATGACTTTCTTGTGATATTGATGCAAGAGACATACAGTAAGTACGGGTCTTGCTGCTGGAAGTAGAGCCACAGTCGGCAGCAACGGCTCTCAGACGTGCAGCAACAGTACTGCGGACGCTGGAAGAAGTAGTCTTGAAGTACTCCTGGAACTTGCTGGCAGAGCCAGAAGTGGCAGCAGTAGCGGCAGCAGTTGCCAACTTCTGGCAATTGCTGAGGGCACTGCGGACGGCGGTCAGGCGAGTGCCGGTGCAGTCACTCTGGATGAGAGTGCGCTTGGAGAGCTTGCTGACGGCGCTCTCGACCTTGGCTGCCTCGGCGGCGTCAACGTCAACAGAGAGGGTGTTGCTGGTGAAGGCAAGGGCACTTCCGGTCAGGGCAGTGGAGTTGAGCTCAGCGTAGGGGATGGCGCCAGCAGCGAGGACGTCGTACTTTCCGTTAGATGAGAGCTCGTACAACTCGGCAAGTTCGACTTCGACCTCGATCGACTGGCCGGCCATGATGGGCTTGAAGACATCCTCGCTAAGCTGGGTGTAAGCCAGACGCTGCAGGATGCCAGTGAAAGGAGCCTTGGTCTCTGCATCATACTGTCAGTATTCTATGTCGTCTAGTGGGGTTTCACTAAGGTATGACATACCTGCAGTAGAAACATGGAACTTGTCAACAGGGGCCTCGCTGTCCAGGAAAGTACCCTTATAGAAGAGGTTGTAGCTGGCTTCGCCATTGTTGGTCACAACGGCCTTGACCTTGGAGTTTCCGAGAGAGGTAAGCTTGACATCGAGGGGAGTGGCTCTGGCCTCGAGGTTGATTGCAGCGCAGTTGGCAGTGGCTGCCAATGCAAGGAATTGGGCAAGAGTGATCTTCATGATTCAATGTCAGGAAGGTGCAGGCTTTGCAAAGTTTCGAGAACGATAGTGGTAGAACGAGTGCAGTTGTAGCGAAGGTTGAGATGATGTTGTGATGAGATGTTTTGTGCGAGGGACACACACGTACTTATATCTTTGCATGCTTGGGAGGGAGCTGTTCGAAGACCACTGACCTTCCTAAAACTCTCATCCTAACAATCTACCGTAGGCGATATCCTACATACGTGCTGTAGATTTGGTAGATCGGCAAACTTTACACCATTGGCCACTTGGGCATATCGAGAAACGACGGATATAGTTGGGCACGATATCAGCATGCAGTCTTGAGAGCATGTGGTCCAGGGGACAGTGACGAGCGGCGTGGTCCGCATGGCCGTGTGAGGGGAGAGGGGTTATTGCATGATGTTCTAGTTTCATCTGTAGATCTGTGGATAGTTCTAGTACAGGCAAATGTTTCCGACCCTGTACCTTGCAGCCGGATTGGTCGAATCATCTGCTGGACTGTTTGGCGATCTATGGTATCAACTTTCGAGTCCAGAAACTACTCGAGCGATTGGTCGGCATCGGCCGTAGCAGGACATAGAAGGAGCATTAGCCTCGCTTGACGAGTGCTTGTGTACTATAGGCCGAAGCTTAAGGCAGGGTTTAGTTGTTGTCTTATGGCAAACTGGCCAGAGCCGACTCTATACACGCTCAGCCAATCTCAATGAAGCGTGCTCATCGAGTTTCCAGCCTGTCGAAGTCTTGATCTGTATTGAATATCGAACCAGCAGTGTTGACGGTGGGTGTTACTCGCATACTGTCGTGCAGAGAAACCAACCCTCATGGTGGCCACTGGTATCCCATTGACAGAACGACACAACAATCAGGTCTAGCGCGTATATTGCGGTGGGTATAGTGAAGTCCATGTGCAGTCATCTTTGGCGAGCCTTCAACACCGAGGTTGTGTTGATCCCGAGGCCGCAGCAGCCCGTATCACATTGAGCTTATAGTTGTACGAGAGGCTGGAAACCTTGGAGATCAAGGGGCCATCTCTCGGTATGGAGTCGAGTTCGAGCTGCTTGGCTGCAGGGTAGCTGCAGCAGTGGAACGAATAGGACCTTGATCATAGGTAGCCCGGCCCAGAGGCCAAGGCTTTCCCATGCGCCAAGACATCGCATGTCACGCCTTCGCTTCAGTTTAATGTTTCGTTCACGATGATCCATCTTGACCTTCCACTTCCGCTCGTAGTAGTCGGTGAGGGCGAGATAATGTGTTTGCTTTATCTTATTGAACCAATGTGACCTTCCTTTTCTGTATATATGCATCTCAACACCTTGTCTGCTGGAGGACAGCTCACATGATATAGCTTCGACAACCTGGAGCTTTGCTTGGCCATCTACCCATGGCAGCTCAGACAGTTGTCGTGTCTTTGCTTTGCTTCGTTTCATTCATCGCCATATACAGGTCCGACGCCTTGACTTACTACAACATGTCGTCCTACCCCTCATACGAGAAAAGCTCGACTCGAGATCTCAAAATCCAGCTATCGCCGGGCTCGTCTCCATCGGTCCTCAAAGTGACCGTCGAGAACGAGAGCCAAACACAAGCCTTTTCACTGTTCACTTGGGACACTCCTCTGGATGAACAAGCTTTGAACATCGGGGCTCTGACGCTTGAGGATGCCAAGACTGGTCAAGCAGTACCAGGACCGCAAATGAAGGTTAACAGGAAACTCCCTCCTCCCCGCGATGCGGTGGTGGAAGTTCCTCCTCAGTCTACTGCCAGCAGAGAGGTCAATCTCTCGTTTCCATGGATCCCCAAGGATGGCAAGGTCTATCGTGTTCAGGTGCAAGGATCGTGGAAGGCTGTATGGGCGAAACCAGCATCGCAGCTCACAGACGAAGAGCTCTCGGAGATGGCTGGTGATAGTCAGCTCGAGGAGAAGATCCGTGCTGAGAGTGCGGAGCTACAGCTTGGAGAAGCAAACGCTTCCTAAACATGTCAAGCAGAGGTCCAGACCTACGAATACATACACCTTTTTGTTTTGAGAGCCCAGACACTTGATAGCTTTAAGTCACCTGAATGCTCGCTTATGTTTTCCTCTCTTCCAACAATCTTGACTTTGAAACCAGTTACATATGTGTCAAGAGAGAGGCGATGAACGTCCGGTGCGATCCTCCAATCACCATAGGTCTCAAAAAGAAATGTCAAAAGCCTTACCCATGTTCACACACGACTTTTCGTTCAACATTGTTTTACATAGAGATCAGACACCAAAATTGGGATCAACTGGCACGGGATGAGTGAAATTGATGGGACAAAAGGTGCAAAACATACAGCAGCAGGGATTCCCACGTGGTCACCCACCGTAGTACTAATCTGCCGTTCAACTGCTTATGTATGGCAGAGCGGACGGGATGCCCAGTTTTCAGCTGACTGTGGCCGTATGTGCTTATTGGGTCAAAAATATAATAACTATAGCTTATGGTATTGGGTTGCTTTGCATGTCATTGACACCTTGGATGAAACAAGGGATGATCCTTCGCTGTGCATCTCGCGCGACGCCACCCTCATTTGCATGCAGCCGGTCAACAGCGATTAGTCACTCCCAGCCACTAATAGTGCGATGCTCAGTTCGTACACACGAAGGCACTGCAAAACCGAACCCACCTTGCGACGCTACATCAAGAGAGGGAAAGATGGGACATACTGTAAGAAGCCTGCAGGCTGCGGTCGAATTCTATGGTTCGTGGGATTTAATATGCATGCAGCGTGGGGCCTGACAATTGAGCCTCGTGCAATATTTGCAGTTCGGTGAGCGTAGATAAAAATGTGTTCACCCGCTGAAGTCACAGGAACGGTCATATGTACACATTTGCTCAAAAGATCAATGGCGTCGTCAGACTTAGATCCTGGTTGTTCGCAGACTACTACGCCAGATGACAGCAGCAGCACCCGCGATCATGAGGAACCGACTATCTCGCCAGCCGATAATCCGACCGAGAAAACCTCCGTCAGACATGGCGAGGCAGAACCATTCCTTGAAGGAGAAAAGGATGTTAAGAGCGCGGCTGAGTATAACGTCGTCTACAGGACAGACACCCTGTCGATGCAATCTCAGAAAACGAATTGGCTGCCCATGACTCTGCGGCTTCCTTACCTGGTTTTCTTAGTCATACTGTCGCTTGCACTGGGACTTGTGGTGTGTGTGCTTACAGCTCTATCTGCTCGAAATGATGGCTTGGGCAACGACACAGATTCCTCTGGGCTTTTCTTTGGCTGGCGCTTCTCTCCAACTCTGATAGCCACTGTCTACGCACTTTTGGTGGGCTCTATGCTCAACGATGTTCGAAGGACCGAGATATTCGCTCGTTTGTCAAGACCTGGAGGTGCTAACGCTACTCATACTCTTTGTTTCCCAGCAAGGGCCTGGTGGAATGACCCTCTCGATGCCTTGAGCAAGACTAAGAACGACGGCGTACGCAGCTTGGCTCTACTTTTTGCTTCTCTTGTCAATATAGTTGTCTTGCTGGTCGTTTCACCATTGTCTGCCGGTTTCCTGTCTCCAGCCAACGTCCTGATATCGAAAGATACGCATTTCCAGAGTGCGACCTTGGCCCCAGGCTCACAGTGGCAGACAGATACATTTGACTCTGTCGTGTTCCGTACTGTTGCAGGCTCAATCCTGAACAAGTCTACGTCTGCCTGGATCAACCCCGATTACGCAATGCTTCCTTTCTGGCTCCCTGATACGAGCAAGCCTGTTGGATCCAATCTTGTCACCGAATTTGGTCCACAGCAGTGGCAGTCTCCGACCACCGTCTTCAAATCAGAGTTTGATTGCGTGGACCTGAATGTGGCCAACATCTTTACATCTTTAGTGGAAGATACAGGAGAAGGCATCACGACCACTATGAGAACAACACAGTTCAACTCATCAGATGGGTGCAGTATCACAGTCACTGAGGGATCCAATTCCGTAGAGGGGTATCATGGCGGTTGGCTACCACGCAATCCGCAAGACTCTGAGTTATTTCTCAGTGAAGGCGGATCGTGGGAAAGTTCTGAAGGGTGTGGCAACCGCTCCTCGATAATTGTCAAAACCGCGGACGACGAGTCTATGGCATACGTGGCCAACCTCTGTGCGGCAAAGTTCTACTCGGCAATGGTAAACGCAACCGTCGACATTGATGAAGCTTCGACTACTGTCAGCTTCAACGAAGAAGAATACACGAAGAACCGCAAACAGATGGTCCCTGTTCAATACAATCTACCTGTTTTGGAGGACACCTTCCTAAGCTCCAACTGGTCAAACAAGTTTTTCACCAAGATAATCCATGTTGTACCTGAATATGCAGGCCCTTTGTTGGCCATTGCTGCGAGCCCAGATTACAACAACGACGCGGAAGCTCTCATCAACAGTCCAATCCTGTGGGACAGGACAAAACGACTACATCAACAGTTCTTCGGAGAGATGTTGCTTTTGGCGTTAGACTCGACACCTAGCGCGCTCAAACATACTGCTGGCACTGTTGTCATCCAGGAAAGACGCATCATCGTGGTATCAAGCATTGGTATAACTCTCGCAGTACTGTTGTTCCTGGCCTGCATTTGTGTTGTGGTAGTTGCATACACGACGCGTCTCGACCAGCGTGCGCTCCATCTCTCTCATGACCCAGGAAGTATCACTGCTGCCGCTGCTATGATCGCCTTGGACCGTAATGCTAGGATGGAGTTCGAAGGTACAGATAGGCTGCCAAATGACGAGTTGGAGGACTTGTTGGCAGAACGCCAATTCGCGATCGCAAACGGCGCCTTGTTGGCCACTAGCGACGCAAGTCCCAAGGGTAAGATGGAATTGAAAATTCGCACTAGAAGAACCGTGCTAAAGGTCCACAGGAAACTCTTCTTCGAAAGACTCGGCTCTNNGTCAGAGACAAAATCGAGCGATCCACGGCCAGGAATTATTCGTGTTTGGATGGGTTGTCTTATACTGTCGGTGCTGATAGCTCTGATTGCAGTCCTGGTGGTATTGTACAAGATATCTCGCGCTGGAGGCCTCCGACAGACCGCTCTCCTCGACCAACTGAATGTTAACATTCTCGAGCTATCTACCACACTTACTCCATATTCAATCATACCAACTCTGTTGGCCGTCGGAATCAAGCTGTGGTTCCGAGCCATAGCGGAGACATTCAAAAGGCTGCAACCTTTTGTGGTGATTGCCAAATCTCCCGAAACACCTTCTAACTCAATCTCGGCAGAGTATGCCAATACTCCCATCGCCTTGGTTTCTATTAAGGCTCTCAAACACTCACATTGGTTGCTTGCTCTGATCGGAGCCGGCGCTTTTGTGACTGAAGCGTGTAAGTGTTTCAAAAATTTGCGATTGGAAAGTCACTAACGAAGTATTGAAGTCACTGTAGGTATGTCAGCTCTCTGGGATCGCGAGTTGCGAGATACTCGGTTTCCATTCAATGTGTCTCGTCAACTTGAGCTACGGGGTTCGCCCCAACTCTTTCACCATTCAAGAATGCACACATCCTTGACCGGCAAAGAGGTCGCGCTGACTTCGGTATTCAATTCCTCACTTCAAAATTGGTTGTATGGTGCTACGATTGAAATTACACAATCTGCCTCCACTCCACCGTGGAGTAAAGACACATGGAGTTTTGTGCCACTGGACAGCCACGTCATGCAAGAGGCATCATCCTTCCTGAACGATACTGCTCGAAATGTTACTGTACAGACACCAGCATTACGTGCTCGATTGGAGTGTACACCCGTAGACTATGCGTCTAATACGTCCGCATGGCTTTCCAAGGCCGATTTCGGAAACACAACACAATGGAACGTGACTAATACTCCTCCGGGCCTTAGTCAAGGCTACTTTCTGAACGGGCTGGCCATACAAGGTCCGGGACTGAGGTCGGTAGCATGCTGCGCAAACAACACGAAAGACGGTCCAGGAGAGGCTGTCGTCGGGTACTGGACAGACACTTCAACAATTTACGGTCCCCTATCGATGCAGGTCAAGTGGATACATGGATCGCCCTTGGACGGTACATTTACTCCGAATTATCCCATGACTCCAAGATACATCTGGCCAGAAGCACCTCGGATCGCAGCAATCAATTGTGCGCCAGTCATCGAGCAGGCTAATGCTTCTATCATCGTTGATTTCGAAACGGGAGTTGTCAATAGCTATGCAATCTTGAGCTCACCTCACAACGCCACCGATGCCTGGTCTGATCCTTACTTGTACCACGGCGCCGACGATAGCTTCGCAGCGCACTGGCAAGAAAACATCACAACCAGGTAAGTCTTGGTTGTCTGACCCACGCCGATCCTTTGCTGACAATTGNNCAGTTATGGCTACATTTTCTGGGACTCGCTGCTGGAAGCTGCTAATGCTGGAGGACTGGATAACATGAAGCTGCTACTCTCTTCCGCTGAAGACCTGTCGGACGGTATCTTCAATTTTCGCGAGCCTGGGTTGAATACTGACTTCATGTCTTACTCGATGTTGGCGATGGCTAATAACAGCAAAGAAGCTCTCTTGAACCCCGCTACCTTGCTTGATTATGCCAACAAGACCTTCGGTATCTTCTTCAAACATTTTGCTTCAGAGGAGGTCAGCAGTACTACAGGAGGTAGAGCATATCAACCAATTGGTGAAAAGCTGCCTGAAAACTTGGGTCCTGTCACCAAAGGCCAAACCAACCTTGGACAAGGAGCTCTTGCAACACAGAACGATAGGATCCCAACCACCAGAGAAACTGAAGCCAAGCTGATCATACCCGTAGAGCAATTGATCATGTCGCCAGTCGCCGTCTTCCTCTCCATCTCGTTGCTAGCGTTCCTGGTTCTGACCACAATCGTCATGTACACGGTGAATCGCGGACATTACAAGTTGCTGCCTCGAGATGTAGATACACTGGCCAGTATGTTGGCTTTTGTTCATGGCAGCGAAAAACTACTCGACTGGTCGCAGAGCTCAACCCGTACTGGTGCTTGGTATCGATCATGGAGCTCCAAGGATCATTCATCCGAAGATGCTCACGTCAAAGCCCAGATGGGCACTTTTCACGACAAAAGTGGCAACGAGAGATGGGGCATCGAACTCGTTGGGATGTTGCACACGAACGGACAAGAGCAGAAGCACATCGAAGAGGAAGGTGTTGAAATGCACGACATCACTGCGGAAGTGCATACGGCATTACTCAAGTGAACGAGCAACGTCTTATAAGACCAGTTTCCTTGAGGTCTCTAGCGAATGTCCCATGAATTTGTCTCCACTAGCAGTTTTGGCGGTTGCGGAAGTACCTATGTGTCGTCGGCGAAAAAACGTGTGGATATCAATCAAACACATGAGAGCATCAATGTCTAATGCTCATGACTTGTAAATCAATTGTATCGCTTCAACCAAGACCCCGAATACTCCTTCCTCCAGCACATACAATGAGTATTGCGCTACATCGAGTCTTGGTCTCTAGTATGGAAGCAGCAACGAACAACGTGGACGCGCTGTCCCTATCTGCAACGCCTACATCTAGAAGCAACACAACCCACTTCTTTTCTTGCAATGTACGGCCTTCCAGTTCCACATCGAATTAGTATTTCCATCATATCTTTCAAGATCTACAAGCCAAGAGTCTGCGGCTCATGTTGTAGCCATCTCCGAGACTGCGTGCAGCGCATGTTGTTGTTTGCAGAAGGCGAACGTGAGTCGAACCAGCCTGATCTTTTGTACTGAAAGCGTTGAGCCTCATGATGAGATTCGAATTTGTGTCATGGTTGTTCAAGAAGAGCGCTTGTAACAAGAAGGTTCAAGGGGCGCAGAGCAGAGTTGGACCCCTAGAACGCGTGTTCGGAGGCACTGGTTTCCCCGCAGATCTGGATGCCTGTTTCACATGTTTTCCAGGAGGCACCAGAAGATCTGGAGTCGTATTCAACACTCCAAAACTTCAGCATCCCCTTGATGCAGCATCCCATCTCTCTGACGCGTTCGCTATGCGGGCTCTGTCTCGTATTCTCATCGGCGGATTGATATTGGCGACGCTGGTATGGCTCAAGGGCCAGTTCGTTAAGCTCCACGAGTCCATTCTTCAGCTCGACAGGCTGTCACAGGACGGTGGACTTTTGAGCCATACACATATGACAGACAACACACATGGATCGAATTCGACAGCAGAGGATCCGCTCAGGGCGGTTATGAACGCCATCTCCAATTCTTTCCTCAACGGCACCATCGAGAAACTTGCGACACCGAAGTCTGGTCTCCGAGACACAAGAAGCAAGGTTGTAGTCGTTGCCAAAACTGCAAAGGAAAAGACGCAATGGATCTCAAGCATGCTACCCAAGTGAGTCTAAACGCGATCCGCATGACTGAGCAATACCTGACCACCTCTTGTTCCNAGTTGGAAGCATGCGATTTACGTGACCGACGATCGTACCGCACCACTCCATACGGCGAAGAACAAGGGACGAGAGGCAAACGCCTATCTCACGTACATCATCGAGCATTACGACCATCTGCCCGAGACTATCGCATTCATACACAGCCATCTCAGTTCCTGGCACAACGACCAAAACGCCGCGAAAGCGCTGCAGTTGCTCAATATCGATTTTGTGCAGAAAAATGGATACGCCAACTTTAGATGTCATACTACGCCTGGCTGTTATCCTGCAGAGATTCAGCCGTTCCGTAACAAGAAAGAGCAAGCTGGTATAGACAAACACGAAGCAGCGACCGAGAGGGCCTTTGCTAAGGCTTGGACTGAGCTGTTTAACTCGACTGCCGTCCCAGAACAGATCGGAGTGGCATGCTGTGCACAATTCGCTGTGTCTCGAGACCAGGTCCTGCAAAGACCGCTTGCGCACTATGTCTGGTTCCACAGCTGGCTGATGGAGACGTCTCTGAGCGACGCGACTGCGGGAAGGGTGATGGAGTACCTGTGGCATATCATTTTCGGCATGGAGCCAGTTTACTGTCCCAAGGTCTATCAGTGCTTCAGAAATGTTTATGATATCTGGGATATCCTCTCGTAGCACCACGTTCGCGGCTGCAGGTGTTGAGACAGCGAAGGAATGCCGCTACTGTATAGATAATTAACTGCGCCGCAGTCTCAGATTCAGCCGCCGGTTCGCTTTCATTTAGAGACCAGGCAATTTGCTCTGCCACATCGCGTATCCGGACAATTATTGCTCCTGGATGAATTCAACCAATCGATAGTATTGAGCTGAGGGGAGCCGTACAGTTCCAAGTAAACTTGTTGTCTCTGGATGAAGAAGCCGATTCTTGAAATCCGAGGCCGGGCCCACGGATGGTGGACCAAGCTCGCGATAGCCGTCCAGAACCCAGGAAGAACGGAGCTCCTTCGGTAGTCGTCCCTCAAATGTGCTTGCCCTGCATAAAAGTATGCACAACCTCTACCCTATATCATGCTCTCGGAGTCAGAGTTTTGGTTGCTTGCAAGCCAAACAGCGTTCATGAATTTCCAATCGACGCCGTTGTGCTGTGCAGCGTGACCTCTTGACGTATGCCAAATAGTTGAGCCTCTTGGATCTAGCCAAAGTCAAGCGAAATGATAGCCGGCGAGCGAGAGGAAGAAAGCTCCCTCGTCCGTGCCTACTCCCCGCACCTGCTGCTGCTTGGCCCTATGAGCATTAGCCAGAGCCAAAGAATATATAGGTGGGGGTAGGGAATGAAATGAGCTCGCACAAAACCTCCGAATTCCCCTGTTACTGATCTCGTACGACTTTGTCTTTGCGATCCGGACATTCTGTTCATCTGTAGCAGCTTCAGACAACTTTCGCGCGCTACAACGAAGGCCAACAGGTGTTTACCACGGTTTCAAGCAAGACGCCAATCCCAGAGTTGCCCATTACCGGCTCGAGCCTCGGAAAACCGTTTCAACTCGAGTGCCATATAATCCCTTTGTGCTCGAGCATCTGCGACCACACTTTTTCGGTCCTCTCCCTCTTCGTCGTTCTTACTCACATCCTTCTACACAATGTCTGAAGGAGACGTTCAACCACCAAAGCCCTCGGCCTCTGTCGTTCCTGAGGCACACGAGGTAGACACTTTCCACGTGCCGAAAGCCTTCTTCGAGTGAGTTGCGAGCCTGAGTGTCCTTGGCATTGCGCGCTTCTAACAAATTCTTGCAGCNAAGCACCCCGACAGCAAGCCTCATTTGGATGGCCTTGACCACTACAGAGAGCTCTGGAAGGAGTCAATTGAGCAGCCAGACCAGTTCTGGGGGCGCATGGCCCGCGAGCTGCTCACATGGGAGAGAGACTTCCAGACTGTGCACAGTGGCTCCCTCGCCAACGGCGACAATGCGTGGTTCGTCGAGGGTCGCTTGAACGCATCCTACAACTGTGTGGATCGCCACGCCTTCAAGAACCCCGACAAGACAGCCATCATCTACGAGGCTGACGAGGTCAACGAAGGCCGCAAGATCTCGTACGGCGAGCTCCTGCGCGAGGTCTGCAAGTTGGCCTACACTCTCAAGCAGATGGGTGTCAAGAAGGGCGACACTGTTGCTCTGTACATGCCCATGATTCCTGAAGCTGTCATTGCCTTCCTTGCTTGCACCCGTATCGGTGCTGTTCACTCAGTCGTTTTCGCCGGATTCTCATCCGACTCGCTGAAGGACCGTATCATTGACGCAGACTCCAAGGTCGTCATCACCACTGATGAGGGCAGACGCGGTGGTAAGCTCATTGGCACCAAGAAGATCGTCGACGACGCACTCAGCAAGTGCCCTGGCATCAAGCACTGTTTGGTGTACAAGCGCACTGGTGCAGATGTGCCCATGACTGAGGGCCGTGATTTGTGGTGGCACGAGGAGGTCGAGAAGTACCCCAACTACATCGCCCCCGAGCCCATGAACTCCGAAGACCCTCTCTTCCTTCTCTACACATCTGGCTCGACCGGCAAGCCCAAGGGTGTCATGCACACTACTGGTGGTTACCTTTTGGGTGCCGCTGCCACTGGCAAGTACGTTTTCGACATTCACGACAACGACATCTTCTTTTGCGGTGGTGACGTTGGTTGGATTACTGGTCACACATACGTCGTTTACGCACCTTTGTTGCTTGGTGTTGCAACGGTTGTGTTCGAGGGTACTCCTGCATACCCCGATTTCAGCAGATACTGGGACGTGGTTGCCCAGCACAAGGTCACACAGTTTTACGTCGCTCCTACTGCTCTGCGACTCCTGAAGCGCGCTGGTGACCACTTTGTCAAGCACGAGATGGAGCACCTGAGAGTTCTGGGCAGTGTTGGTGAGCCCATCGCTGCAGAAGTGTGGAAGTGGTACTTTGAGATTGTCGGAAAGGAGGAGGCTCACATTGTCGACGTAAGTTTGAAACACTGTATTTGCGACAGGATGATTCTAACAGTTCGCAGNACATACTGGCAAACAGAGACCGGCTCGCACGTCATCACTCCCCTTGGCGGTGTCACCCCTACCAAGCCCGGTAGCGCTTCCCTTCCCTTCTTCGGTATCGAGCCCGCAATCATCGACCCTGTCTCCGGCGAGGAGCTTCACGGCAACGACGTCGAGGGTGTTTTGGCCTTTAAGCAGGCATGGCCCAGCATGGCCCGCACCGTCTGGGGCGCACACAAGAGATATATGGACACATACCTGAACGTCTACAAGGGATACTACTTCACTGGTGACGGTGCTGCTCGTGACCACGAAGGTTACTACTGGATCCGTGGCCGTGTCGATGACGTTGTCAACGTCTCCGGTCACCGTCTGTCTACCGCCGAGATCGAGGCTGCCTTGATCGAGCACAGTGCCGTTGCAGAAGCTGCTGTCGTCGGTGTTGCAGATGAGCTCACTGGCCAGGCAGTTGCCGCCTTCGTGGCCATCAAGAACGGCAATGAGGCCAACGATGCTCTTCGCAAGGACTTGATCATGCAAGTAAGGAAGAGCATTGGTCCTTTCGCTGCACCCAAGGCCATTCACGTAGTTCCCGATCTTCCCAAGACCCGCTCTGGTAAGATCATGCGCCGCATTTTGCGCAAGATTTTGGCCGGTGAGGAGGACCAGCTTGGCGATATCACTACTGTAAGTCCCAGAACACAATCCTACCCGCAGAACCAAACACTAACCTATCTTCTANNGCTCTCGGATCCCTCAGTCGTCGACAAGATCATCGAGGTTGTGCACGCCAGCAAGAAGTAATTGCATTGCAACGATTTCATCACGCATCTTTGCGATCATTTTCCTTTGGATACCACTTTTTCGTCTTCTCTTAACATCATGTCTACGGACCCTGTACGAATCGTCTATAGACGCTGCGGGATTACTATTTATCATCTCTTAACTACTTCCAGATCTTTTTTGAAACAAGCTACTACTATTATCATCGTGTTCTCCACCTAGACCTGACCTTGATCGTTGGTGATCAACTCGCGTGCCATGCCTTGCTTTTAGGGCTACGGACCCTTAGAGCGAGGGCAAGCACTGCCGAATCGATAGCCATGAGCTATAACCATCACTCCATCTATCCCTAACATGGCAGTCCTGCCGAAGAGGATAAACCTCTGTATATAGTATCAAATCGAGGCTCGGGTCGTCACGTCGATAAAGATGAAGAAAGGTGCGGCTGAAGCGAGAACCCTGAAAAGCATGGAGTGCAATTTACCATGTCTAAATTTGACCACGAGACAAGATGCAATTAAGCGAGATGTCATTCTACAACCGATCGTTTGTGTTTTTCTTCTTTGCTGCTGTCAAAGGCTGACTACACGAAACTCGGGAGGTAAGAAAAAGGAAGTTGGAAGGGTTGTGCAAAGGGGAGCCTGAGCATTGATATTCAAATCGTCTTTCGGCATGTATGTCATGGGCTTCGGAATTCTCAAACCAAGACATGCTGCAGTGACGATCAACCCAACCAAAACATCTGTGGTTCCTTGAACGTTCTACAGGTTTCGTGTCTCGCCCGATTCCCAGAAGATGACTTGTTCGGAAGCAAGCTCCAGAAGACGGCTGTGAACGGGCAAGATGATCTCACCTATTGTGTTGCTGGAGGAGAGCAAAGCCTTTTGTCAACCAGGGAGATCTTCAGGCACACGCGTGGGGACCACCGTTAAATTAGCTTGTTTGGTAGAAGTTCATGTTCGTCTGTTCCTGCCCTTGGATCTCTCCGACATCTATCAACTGGATACACAATGTCTTGAACTCTATGAGATAGAGTGACATCTGCAGTTGCGTGCTCTGTTGCTGTTTCTGGCATACAGGCCGCCCGATATGGCAGCTGGAACTGTGCCTTAGTCGGATCAGGGTGTCGCAGGTTTGGAAGCTGAAACGATCCAGCTCGAGCGGAAAGTGCACGAGCTGCAGCTTCCCCGGAAAGACCTCCGTTTCTACTGCAGATCTTTGATGATCATCGATCTTGCCAGTCGCAGCTCCCTCATCCGCTTAGTTTTGCGACTGTCCGTCCATAGACCATGCTCGTTCATCTCTTGGCCATTCATGTTTCTCATGTCAAATAAGCTGTGCGACATACTGCATATGTTTGAACAGTTGGAGCCATGATCGCTGTCGTGTTGACCTCGATGAGTTGCCTTACTCGCCGACGAAAACACCAGTCATCCAAGCAAAATACAGATCCAATGCAATGACCGATTTCATCGCACTACGTCTACGGGAGCTCAGGCTCCCGATTACACAGCCTTATATGAGAAAATCTCTGTAAGTGCGGGTTGTTGATGTCAGACACCGAGGCCAACCATTGTCACGTCTCAGGTTCGGCCTTAAAGGACCCTAAAACAAATTAGCGTCATAGTTTCTGGTTTTGGACGTCTCAGACGCAGCTATCTTATACTATGGCGACGGCTCCACGTAATTGTACCTCGTGTCGTCCAACTGGTCTTGTCTCAACTCTACCGCTCGTCACTCTTTCGAAGCCTCTCCTTTCTTTCGTCCACACCAAACTGACTTGCGCCTGTCAGAGTATTGTCGGCAACTGCTGCCCTTTCTGCAAGCCCTATATGCAACATTGAAAGATATCTGGAAACCCCTTCGAGTCTAGGCACATCTCTAGCTTTGTGCATGAAACAACTGTCGGCATTCAAAACCAGAAGCGCTCAGGAAGTGCTCTTCGAATCAAAGACGTACAGGAAAAGCCATACTCGACCTGTTGATTCATGTATGTCTCTAACTATGCATGACCAGTCTGCATCTACTGACCGGCAGCTAGTAGTCACATCACCAACATGTCGGGCAACGGTCAATATGCACTGTTTCCCAGATCGGATAGCCAGATTCCGCCAATCAGATACAAGCTCACACAAACTCCCGGAGAGAGGGCCAAACTCGTTCTGGTGAACGAGGCAGTAGGACATGAGCCAAAGCCTCTCTTCAAAGAGGTTTCTCGTGGTCGTGGAGTTGTGAGAGGACACCGTCAGGAGCATTCCGATGTTCTACCCTTACGCAATGTGGAAGACCTCCGCTCTAAAGGTGACACGCACGAAAAGCAGAGGTCTTTGTCTTCAAATCCTGGTAGACAGCGATCAATGATTGCACAGGAGATGTACAGTCGACCTCGAGATGCGAGATCAGCAGAGGCTCTACAGCCCATGCTGCAGCCGACATCGTATGAAGCACCGCGCAAGCCTTCGGTCGGTGACCCTCTGGAGAAGTTAGGAGCAAGAATTATGGCGAGGAAGAACTCACGGGACGAGACTCCTGTTGCGATGAGGAAAAGCTCGCGAGACGACAGCTTCTCATCAATTCGAAAAGGCTCACGAGAGGAGATTACCGCGTTATCAAGAAAAGGTTCGCGAGACGACACTGCTACACCAAGAGGCAACAACAACATGGAAGAATTATCGGATTCAACAAGGAGCACACCACGACTTCAACTCACTACCGTACCGGAAGCTCGCGACGAATCAATCATGCAACGAGGCCGCCCAATATCACGACGAGACAGCAAGAGAGGAAAAGGAGAAAACACCGACCCCTTCTCCGGCAACATGAGCCCTCGATCACACTCTGCCGCACCCACTTACACACTACCTCAAACATGCTACGCACCTTCAATCTCCTCTGTTCAACCATCGCCTTCAAAACAATCTACGCTTACACGACCATCACTTCATACATCTGCATCGACATCAGCCGTCACCCGATTGCCCTCGATCCAGCAATCATTATCAGCACCTAATACAGCTCGCCCAACATTCCACCAATCATCCTCGACATCCGCCGTCCGTACCCTCCAATCATCGCCCTGGGAACCCAATCACCCACGCAAAGACTCTCTAGACCCCATAGGTTTCCGCACAGAAGGACCCTTCCGCATCGTTCGCGCCCTCCGCGAAATCGACAAGTCCTGCCTGCGCCTGTTCGACGAATGCGAGGTCCTCCAACGCGAACGCCAAACCCTGCACACCGAAATGCTCTCAGTGATCAACAACAAAAACTTTAACGCCGGTCATTTGGCAATCATCAGGCAACAACAGCAAGATCTGGTGGATCTGGATAGCAAAATCGACGCTTGCATGCACAATGTGATAGAACGACAGCGGCGAAAGGCTCAACTTGTAGATGGACTTCCAGAGATTCAAGAAATGGATAAAGCGGAAGAGTTGAGAGAGAGAATTACTGCGAGAGAAGCAGAGAACACTGGAACTCCGGTTAGTAGAACCGCGTCTCCCTGGGGTCCAAGAGAGAGTTCGCTCAAGACGAATGGTCTGCTGTCGCCGCCTTCGACGGTGAAGGCGCAGCAGAGAGGTACCGTCACCTATTCGGCCATTATGGATTTTCTTGACGAGTTCGACTAGGCTAGCTATGACTCGTTGTAATGTTTTGTAAATACCACAACCAACCACATATTTTCGGTCTTACACCATTTTTTCATCAATGTCTCTTTTCTTTTCTTTTTTGTTCGTTCTTACTGTGCAAGTGCTGAGAGAAATATATCCAGTTGCCACGACTAGAGAGTCACGAGAGGAAACCATGCATGATAAAAGAACAATATGATTTCCATAGGACTTTCAACAATAACAACAACGGGATATAGTAAAAGAAGAAAAGACTACCAGAGAAACTACCCAAAAACGCCCGACTGAGAAAACATCAGAAGAATCATTACAGTCATCCAACGCGCAAACTTTCACCACTTTCCAGACCAATCCAACAACTTCCAAACCCCACGGCCAGCCACTCCAAACACACCGAGTCGACGATCAAGCCCTCTACCAGCCTGCATCCGCTGAGCTATCTAAGCGGCCGTCCCATCATAGCAAATCTTCAAACTCGCAGGGAAAGGGAAGTATTGGTCCCAGTCCTCGAGCAGGTAACAGTGATACATCCACTCGGGCTTGAACTCGACGTCGGGGGCGAGGGCCGAAAAGTCCTTGACGACTTGCTTGACGCTGTCGACGGGGCCGGGCCAGACGGGTGCAGGCCGCAGATTAGGCAGTTTGCAGAGGGTTTTGAGGATGGCGCCCATGGCGACCAGCGTCATGGGTTGCCCGAGGCATTGGTGGGGTCCTTGGCCGAGGTGGATGTAAGAATCGATGGGGCGGTCCAGCTTGATCGTTTCTGGGTCGGGGAAGATGTTGGGGTCGCGAGATGCCGAGCGGAAGTTGAGGGCAACTGTGTCGCCGACGTTGAGCTTGACTCTGCGGTCCATGTCTTCGATGATTGTTTCCTTGGCGACAGTACGGTAGACACCTGTCTCGCTGTGAAGACGTGAGAACTCGAGGAAGTAGCGCATGATCTTCTCCTCGGCCTCAGGGGTGTCTTGAATGGCGAGCTCGTGCAACACTGGAAGATGTTCCCGACCATCGCTGAAAAGCCAAGCAATCACCTGGCCGAAGAATTGACCTTGATTGGCACACATGCTGCCTGCAGTAGGGATGATCTGTGCCCATACGAGCTCCTTGACATCCATGCCCGAAGTCTGCAACAGACGCTCGATCATGTGCTTGCCATACTGGGTGAGAACTGAGCGATCCTTGCCCGACCACCATTCACTAATGCGATCAACGGCGTTGGAAAGATGTGGCATGTTTGCTAGAGCCTGAACCTGCATCTCCATGAGCTTGCCGACAGCTTGAATAGCACCGTGAGCGCCTTCTCGGAGAGCGAATGAGTGTTCAGGATCAACATCGAAGAAAACGCATGCAAACACAGCTGCCATCACAAGGTACATTTGCTTCTCAGTAAAGGCACCGTTCGGGTTCTCTTCTGTCTTGAGTGGCAGATTGAAGACTTCTGAACAGAAGTGTACATGCACAATGTTGGACACATCGCGGATGAGATCCACGTAATTGGTGCCGGCAAGCTTGTATGAATGCTTCTGCAGTAGCATAGAGGTGTGCTCTTCATAGAATTTGCGGACTTCCAGAAGCCACTTCTCCTGTCCTGTGGGTTCTTTGCGTGAGAACTTGCCAAGATAGAGAGCCTGCTCCATCATATTGCGAGAAGTTGTGTTGGTCTTGGTGTCGCCCGCAAGCATGAAGCTTTTGGCCAAAGGGCCCATGAGGAATTCGATCTTTGGGCCCCAGTACACTTTGAACGTGTCTTGATCGTAAAGAACCTTCTTAGCGGCATCGTAAGAGAACAACATCTTGGTTGGTGGAAGGCGAGTGGGTCGGTCAAAGTTGTACTTGTGAGCTTTGCCTAGACCAGTCAAGACCTTCTTCATCTCAGAGGGCACTGTGAAAGGGAAGTGGACGTAGACTGAATCCGGACGGAAGTGGTTAGGAAAAGCCTTCATGAAGAGCTTGTACATGACACAGCCGTGGTTGATTTTGAGATCAGAGCCTTGTTCGGCAAATCCCCAATTGGTAAGCGATGCAGGATGATGAGAAGTTGTATAGAACCTATCGCCACGAACCAGGACAGTGGCATCGGAAAGAATGGCGCGAGAAGTCGTGTATGAAGGACAAAGTCCAGATCCAGGGCGCATTGCGAATTTTGCGTCTTCAACGACTAGACCAGGATACAGCTCAACATTATCCGGGTGGTCGTATAAGTGCTTGAGGGACTCAGAAATGTCCTTGTCAGCGGTGATCTCTTCAAAGGTTGAGTAAGGCTTCAGAGAGAAGTGCTTTCTGAACTCGTTGAGAGTTGCAAGATTCCAAGCTCTTGCTTGTCTGATGCCCAATACTTCGATCTGCTTCATAACTAGAGGTACCTGGCGGGGACCGAAAGCATTGGCACAGTCTTCCACGCCCTCAACCAGAATCTGAGCAAGCTTGTCGTCCGGTAAGGTTCCATCGGCATTTCTCTGAATGTCGTGGAAGTTACGCTCTGTAGGATCTTGGGCCTTCAGATCGACCTCCATATGACCTAATGTCTTCAAGAACTCCATCTGAGGAACCTCCTCTGGCTTCCTTCTGGGGAAGAGTTTGGCAAAGAGCTCTTGAGTCCACTTGTCGTCCTTGTCCGACACTGCCGAGTGCCAGCGGTAAACCAGGTTGAACTCGGCACTGACTTGGTTACCACAGCCCAGGTCAGGCTGACCAGGGAATTCAGCACGTGGGTTGAGAGACCAGTCAGAGTCTGTCTTGTTGAGATTCAAGATTGTTCTCACGTAGTCGATGAGAATGACGTTGATGTAGAGGCCACAGGTGATCAACCTTCCAGTCTGGAACAAATCGTTGTCGAACTTGATCCACTTCTCCTTTGCCGCGTCTTCAGCAGGCCGGGTAAATCTGCTGTTCTCGTTGATAAGAGCAAGTTGCTCCACGATATAGTTGTGGAAACGATTGAACATGATCATAATCACACCGACTCCAGGAGGGAAGGACAGGAGACGAGTCTCTGCAAACGAGTCGGGCTTGATTTTGCCATCCCTGAATGTTCTGATTGTGTCTTGTTCGCTCTGGTCGCTGCCATACAGTGGAGACAAGTCCAGATATGATGAAGTGTCAGAGATTCGGAAATCCTTGTGATTCGTTTTGAATAGATCATGGATGATAATCGACGCCATATAGAACAGCATGCTGGAAATCTTGTTGGGGTGCTCAGTAGGCTTATCTCTAGCCATGAGAACATCAAACAAGACAGCTGGATCGGGTAGGTTGCCTGGTTGAATGGTTGCCGGCTTGACTGTGCGAGCATAAGACTCGTGAGCGGCTCCCAAGCTAGGGTGGAGATAGCTGTTGTCAGATCCGTCTGCGCTGCGGTACTGATATCTGTCACTCATGAACACTTTTGGAGGATGTTCCAAGTCGTTCCAGAGAGTCGTTACAAAGCCATTCGTGAGTTTCTGACCAACTACGTCGTTGGGAAGTTTCTGGGCAGCCTGGAGAATGTGATCAGCAAAGGTTCAGAACAGCTGACATGAGAAACATACGCCAATCAAATATTCCATAAGATATTCCTTGTCGTCAATGTAGTCTCCATTCTTGGTCTTGATGGTCATCTTTGCGACCTTTTCGACAGAATCGAACCCAAGATGAGATACATCCTTGACAATGGTAGCAAGGGTGGAAGCAACCGTCTCATCTTTCTCTACTGGTAACGCCGAACCATCACCTGAGCCAGTGGGAAGCGGAGCCTTCATTGCAGACAAGAGAGTACCCATTGCACTAATTGATTCTCGGACTTTGTCGGCCATGCCATCCAAAAGCCGAGGGGGGCAATGGAACGGAGGTCTCTCCGAAGTGGTTCATCTCGACTTGGTTCACCCGTGGCTGCTTCTTGTTAGTGGCGTTGGTCTTTGACGGGCTCTCGATATAAACAATGCCATGGTCTTGGTCATCATCGGGTCGGAAACAGGATGCGCTGCTGAAGACTCGACGAAGACCCTTCATGTTGGCTTTTTCTGGCAGGAGGAAAAGGAGAGCAAAGAGATGAGCTGCAAGAAAGAAAACTGCTCACCTCGACCATGAAGGGCAGTTTAAGAATATTCGGTGCTAACAAATTAGGACGACGGGAGAAGAGGCTAAAACGAGGGAATCGAGCTATACCCCAGGGGGCTGAAAGTATAATTCAGCTTTCAGCTGAGCGACCGTTGATAGATACGACTTCTAGAGTACGAAGAAAGTTCGATGTCGAAGAATGTAGACAGTAGGATGGAAAAGAAGCGAGACTATTGAGAGACGTTGGAGCTGATGGATATAGGAGAAACAAAAATTTGAAGATCCTGAGGTGGTCTTTTTGTAGAAGGAGCCATCTTTCACCAGATTGGGGGTGTGCTACCATTTTAGGAACGAGGTCGGGCACGGCTGACGATGACAGCTGAGAAAGCGCGGGCCGTCGCGACATGGTTCCTTTGCAGCGATACTTGGTAGATAGCATGATCGTATACTTTCCTTGTCGCAGGAACAATAGTGGTTGCGAGCGGGTCTATTCGTGCGGCGCAGAGGTGGTTGTGGAGGCACTGTTGGTGTTGGATGCCTCAGCACGGGCACGGTGGAGGCCGAGAGGTAGAGGATTCGTGTCTACGCAATTAGGAAGCAGAAAGGCTGAGGCTGTACAGTCATAAAAGACAAAAGCGCAGCAGTACAGGGTGTACAGTATTGGTCGAGTACATATGCACGGCAAGACGTGGGCTGCATGCAGTATATCAAGGCAGGCTCAGCCTGGATGCCTTGGGGGGATGTTTCCACCTTGGTCTACGGGCAGAGCGAGACAAGCAGTGCTGCAGCATCGACGGTGTAGAGTCGATGCACGTGTTGGCAATTGAAAATGGACCAACTTGCAGGGTTGGTTGATGAGCGACCAATGTCTTTTCTCTGCATAGTTCGGCGGCACCGAGTAAAGGGGTTGCTCGAGGGCTTGAATGAGGAGCCGGCGAGCCTCGGCACGTGGAAGTCAAAGGATTGTGTCCAAAGCTTCCCTGCCACTAGCGCGAACATGTCGCGACGGTTGCACTTGTCGTCAAAATAATCATTCCGGCGATCCGCTTTGCTCGTCTAACTGTCCTCTTCTGACAAGCAATTAACTTCGCATCAAAATCACACCACGGAATCTCCGTATACAACATGGCCTCGAAACCGGTGAACCTGGTCATCAAACCCAGAGGTGACGATTGATCCTATGCCCTGTCGCTTACCACGACGCCACGGCCCAAGCTGACGACCAGGGGCTTAGGACGCACAATCAAGAAGCTCCCCACCGAGGCCACCACATATCTGCAGGGCAGTACCCACGACCTGTACCAGCGCATTGCCGCCGAGTCTGGCATCTCGATTCACCGTCTACGCCTGACCAAGGGCAGCGACGGCTCCCTCGTTCCCAATGCAAAAGACTTTACTGTCGAGCGCACTGGTCTGCGCAGCGACAGCGTCGTCTATGTGAAAGACCTTGGTCCGCAGATTGCCTGGCGTACCGTCTTCATCATCGAATACCTGGGCCCGCTGCTCATTCACCCTCTCTTCTACTACCTGCGCCCATACCTGTACAAGAATGCTCCTGCCGAGCCATCATACCTCCAGTCCCTCTCCTGCATCATGTTGGCTCTGCACTTTGCAAAGCGCGAGTTCGAGACGGTCTTTGTGCACCGCTTCTCCAGCGCTACCATGCCCGCCCGCAACATCTTCAAGAACTCTGCTCATTACTGGGCACTGGGTGGTGCCAACATTGCCTACTGGATCTACTCNCCCACCGCTCCCACCGCTGGCCCCTCGAATCCCTTGATTACCTACCTCGCCATCGCTCTCTTCGTCATTGGCGAGCTGGGCAACCTCAACGCTCACTATGTGCTACGTAACCTGCGCAGCACTGGCGGCACCGAACGTGGCATTCCCAGTGGTCTGGGCTTCGATCTCGTGACGTGCCCCAACTACATGTTTGAGGCAGTGGCATGGATCGGAATTTGGCTGGCATCTTGGAGCTTGAGCACTGGTCTTTTCGTCGTGGTTGCTGTGGGCCAGATGGCTGTTTGGGGCAAGAAGAAGGAGCGCAGATACCGCAAGGAGTTTGGCGACAAGTACCAGAAGAAGAGATTCTCCATGCTTCCTGGCCTGGTATAAACAACACCAGACGTAGGACAGAGTTCACGAGTCATGGTTGCAGACTCGTGGACATGTGTGGCAGCATGACTTGAAAGAGAAAAGGCCAGAACGGTCGTCACGCCCAGATCAAGGGTTTGTATACATAGAGATAAAATGAATAGCAATGTACCGAGTAAAGCAAAAAGAAAATTACGTTAAAGAATCATGTACTTTGAAAAGTGACTCCTGTTTTGCCTCGTGACAGAGATAGAAAGAGACAATAAGAACAGAGAAAAGACAAAGCGTATTGCAACGACCAGCGTCTACGACAGGCTTTTTATCTCCTCGAAGACCTCGCACCCTTGAAGATCAAGCCGCCAACGACACCGGCAGCCACAGCCAACCCACCAATAATAGCAGCACCCATCAAGCCCTCCTTGGCAACCTTGTCATCAATCAACTGCCTCAGACTCTTTGCTTGCAGATTGTTCGGCTCCAGATCAATAAGCAGCTCATTGTAACGACGAGCCTCTTCATACGAGCCCAGCTTGTAGTTTCCAAGGGCGAGGTAGTAGAGACATTCGCGACGGCGGTCGGGCGACGAGCGGAAGATTTCGGTGAGCAGACGCACGCCTTCTTGTTGTTCGGGCCGCTGGGTGGACTTTATGAGGCCCCAGGCAAAGTTGAATTTTGTCTGGAGGGAGACGTATTCGCCTTCTTTTTCGTATTGAGAGCGTAGGACTTGGAGTTCGGCGGGTTTTAGGGGACTGAGGGGGAGGTTAGTCTACTTGGGTGCTCGGTCAGGTAGACGGGGAGGGGGCGTACGATTCCGCGTCTGCGGCATCTGTGGTGGAGCGTCAGTATGGAGTGATATAGCTAGACGAAGGCTCAGACTCACATGGAAGATGGTCACCCATGATTGTGTGTGTTTGGTGTTGAGCAAGAAGGTGGATGGAATTGCTGGTGGCTGACGGAAGTCGCATGTGAGATCATCGGCGTCGGCCAGGGTCTCTGCACGTGGAGGAAAGCGCGTTGCTCGGCCATCGCGAGTTTGTAAACACTAAACTTCACTTTCGCCGTTCACCACAATCACCACCAGAACACATCAATCACGCCTCGAAATCACACTCGCATCCCATCCCATCCCCCGACAAAATGGTTCTCTTCGACGAAGACCCCGTCACTGTGCGTAACCCCAGCGCCAACACCTTGCGACACACAACTGACAACACACGCACCAGNCTCATCCGCCAAACAACCCGCAACTTCCACACAGACAGCGACCTGCAATCCATCTCGCGTATCCACTCCTCTCTCTCCACCCTGCGCAGCGCCCGCTCTCTACGCTTGAACGCCCAACACACCCAACTCGCCCAGCTCTCCCGAAAAGCACAACACCTACGCGCAACCCACGATTCCGAAATCTCACGTCATGATCCTGCCGCTCACGCTTCCGATATCTTAGCACTAGACACTGAGAAATTCAGGGTCGCAAAGGCTGCCAATGAGCTAGAGATTGAGGGTGAGAGATTAGGGTCCGAGGTTTATACGCTCAAGAAGCAGTTGCAAAGATTAGAAGAGCAGGGTGATGATGTGGAGAGTGCTGAGAACAAGGCTGAAGATGAGGTCGTGTAAGTGCTATTTTCCTTCCAACTGCCTGCACATTTCTCGAGGACAGAAGACTGACCAACCATCACCAGATTAAAACTAGGCGTTTACCGCAGCTTGGGCATCGACGCCGAGCAAGATCACAACACTGGCGATTTCTCCCGTGCCGTCATTAGGAATGCCGCAAAGGGAAGCGTCAACGTGGTCAACCTGGATCCCAAGTTCGATCGCTTCTTTTACGCAAACCATTTCTGGAACAGCATGTAAAGAAGAGAAGCCTTACACATACATCTTCTTCTCTGTTTCTGGTTGCACATGGGAGGGGCGTCTTTTGGTGATCAGTGAAGGCGTTTGTTCTTGGTTTCGGTCGGATCAGTCTATATACCCACCGCCTTTCTCGTTATGGCTTTATGAACTTTTCTTCATTTCTTCCTTCCCGATAATCCATCAGACAAATGGCATATGCAAAAGAGACACAGATACAAGCAGTTTCTCCAATTTCTGAATAGTCGTGGAATGTACAGTCATTTCGCAATAAACCACGAACCATCTCGCTCAGCACCTCCGTCTACAAGGATCTACATCAGATGGCCAAAACTCTACTTCTTACCACCCTTCTTCTTGGTAGGCACAACCTTGAAACTGCCATTGTTCAACTCATCCTTGGGCTCCTGCTTCGGCACCGAAGCATTCTTCTTGGCAACTTCGCTCCAGCCGCCGGCTTGAGAGGCAGCGGCAGCAGGGCTGGCCGGCTTGGTGGTGTCGACCAAACCTTTGTCGGCGAGCTTGCGGCGGCGGATGAATTCTTCGGCAAAGTGGCGCGAGTCGATGGTGTGGGAGACGCTGTGCACGGCTTCGGTGACGATTTCGAGTTCGGAGGGGAAGGAGAGGAGGTTGGTGACGAATTCGTCGGNCTAGAGTGAGAATGATTGTTAGCTTGTTGTTTGTTTGGAGAGAAGTTTGTGATTTGACTTACCAGTCACGCTCTTGTTAAGATCGTGCTTGAGTTCGTTGACAGCCCACTTCTTGAACTCGTCAATGGCGTTGACGGCAGAGGGTCCTGCGGTTGCTCGGGCGGGAACAGTCTTCTTGACGGCTGCTACAGTAGGAAGCACGGTCGAGCTGGCCACTCTGTTGGCAACGGGAGTGGGGGCAGGCAGAGGAGTCTTGACCTTGCCACTTGCACCGACAGTGGTCCAAGCACCTCCGATGCCAGGAACAGGACTAGCAGGGGCAGGAGACGATGCCACCTTGCTGGCAAGATCAGCATATCTCTTGCCAGCGGCAGACTGCTGGACAGGAGCAACACCGACAGCTGCGGCGGCCTGAGTGGCTGCAGCAGCCGCGAGACGCTTCTTGCGAGCTTCTTCCTCTTTCTGAATCTGGGCCATGCTCTTGGCAGTAGCAGGGGCGGCGACTATCTTTGCAGCCTTGGCCCAAGGCGAGGGAGCGGTGCCAGTGGCGGGCGATGCAGTGTTGCTGCTTGCCCAGTTGGAAGTCAAAGGCAAACCGGGTGCAGGTGCAGTGGACAGCTGGACTTGTGCGAGCTCTCTCTCAAAGGCAACACGGCGAGCTTCGGCAGCAAGTGCTTCGGCTTCAGCGGCCACCTTGGCCTCGGCTTCTTGGATCTCCTTGAGAGAAGGTCCTCTGGAGGACTCAGCGGGCTCCTTGGCCCAAGGAGCAACTGAGGCACTNNAGGGGTCTCAGCTGAAGGAGTCTGCGAGCGAGACCTGGACTCGGCATGAAGAGCANNTCAGCAACATGGGATCTGTTACGCTGAGCAGCAGGAGCAGGCAGGGGAGACTGCGAGGGTGCAGGAGGGAAAGGTTGAGGCAGAGAAGTGTCGACCTTGGCCCATGCGGACGAAGCAGGGGCAGGAGACTGCTTGACAGATGCAGCCTTCTGCACTTGCTCGGTCAAGGAAGGTTCCTGCCTGGATTGAGTGGCAGCGGCAGCAACAGCCTCCTGATGCTGCGCAAGCGCCTCAGCTTCTTCTTCGAATTGAGCGTCGTACTCTGACTGGGTCTGCTCGGGAGACTGAGCTTGACCCTGCTCTTGTTGAACTTGCTGCTNNGTTCAGATGGAGGAGCAATAGGCTTGCCGATGACACCTTCCGAACCGACGCCGAATGGGTCGGCTCTAGCATGCTCTTGCAGGCTTTGAAACTGTTCAAACTGTTCGTTTCTAGCAGGCTGGTCGTGCTGGAACCGGTGAGCGGCATCATGCTGTGCCTGCTGCTGTTCGAGACGAGAGCGGTCATCAAGCATTGTAGAAACGCGACGCTGCTCGTCGGATTGGGGGAATGGCTGACCAATTCCACCAAAGTTGCTCTGGGTTGACCGTCCGAGGTTTAGTCTGTTGACCATGCCTGACACATCTTCTTCTCTAATGTTGCCGAGCGCGTCTACGCCAGCACCGATAGCACCGAGACCGCCAAGGGGACCAGCACTTCTGAAAGAGTTGTCGAAGAAGCCAGGGACATGAGTGCTACCGCTCGAGCCGGTGCTACCAAAAGTGCTTTGAAGAGGGGCGGGCGGGAATGGAGGTGCAGGCGAACTGAGGCTACCGAAGCTTTGCTGGCTGTGCAAGCTCTGGACACTGGATTGGTGGTGCAGCTGTGGGAATAGCAACTGGCCAGTCTGTGCTTGGAAGCGCTGTGCAAACTGTTGCTGGGCAAGATGCTCCTTCTGGCGAGCCATCAAGTATTGCTCTTCTTGCTTGCGACGTTCCAAGGCGTTCTGCTGATCAGCAGTCAGGGTGGTTCCAAAGCTGGGGAAGCTGTTGGCGAAAGGAGGCTGCGCTCCTCCTGAAGACAAGGGGTTAGTCCAGTTGTTGGCTGGGGGCTGAGGAGCAGTGGGGTTGCCATGAGGGATGCCGATCTGAGGGACCAGGAATGGCTCGCGAGAGTTTCCAATTCTACGGATCAGCTGGGCCAAGGGCTCATATTCGGGATCCTCAAACTTCTTAACAAGCAACTCAGGGGAGAAGAAACCGGCTTTGTACCAGTCATGCATCTCCAAGCCTGACCACGGGCCTTGAGTGACTCCCTGAGGGTCACGGTAGATCCACCTCATACGGTCGGGCATAACCATAGTCTTCTGCTGAGCTGGAGGTGGTTGGTTAGATGCGGAGCTGCTGACAGCCTGAGCCTGCATAGAAGCAGAGGGCTGAGCAGGGCGTTGGCCGATGGGCTCCTGTTGAGATGGCTCCGTGTTGCGGTCTTGTTCAGAGAAGCCAGCAGCCACGTCAGCAGCACGTCTGAAAGGACTAGACGTGTCGCGAGGCAGGTTGGCAAAGTCTGCTGAACCAGCGTCATCTTCATCTTGTCGACCATGTTCAGGACGCATCTGGTCCTGTACGCTGGTCGGGAAGAGAGAGCCAAGTCGGCTTCCACCACGGCTCTGGCTAGGGTGCGCGCCGAATGCTCCCAGGCCGCTCAGAGCAGCAAGGCTGGGAGAGCCCAAGTCAGCGGAAGAGCCGAAGGGGTTATCGCCGAAGTTGCCAGCCAGGGCAGCCCTGTCTCTACTAGGCGTACCAATTGATGCTTGAGGGCCACCCCAAGCGGAGGCGCCGCCAAGACCAGGAAGAGCACCGAGGCCAGAAAAGGTGCCGAAGCCTCTGTTGGGACCAACACTAGAAGTCTGGCTACGGTCGCTTGGTGGAGCTGCCGGAACACGTCCCAGATTACCAAGTCCATGGAAGGCACCAGGACCAGAAGACATGGGGTCGTTCATGATGCCACCCAGGTTGGGTAGATGAGCATTGTGAAGATCGGATGGGTCGTCGTCAGCGTCAAGGTCAGCAGGTACGTGCTCAGGACTATGGTAGGGGTTGGTATCCGAAGGGCTCATGGCATCGTTACCAGTGGGCTGTTGCTGTTGAAGACGGCTGTGGGATTGATCGTGCTGCTGGCCCATCATAGTACGGAAAGGATCCGATGTCATACCAAAAGCGCCATGGCCAAAGTCGTCACGCGAGTCCTGACGACTCGGAGTACCGAAGCCGCGGCTGCGGGGAGGAGAAATATCCTGACCACCACCGAGAGCAGCACTACCAGTAGCATGCTGCTCACGTTGCTCTTCGTGTAGGACTGACTCCAGGCCTCCAGGGTNTGCTTGCGATGACTTGGCGTCATCATTGTCCTTGGCCATGAGTCCTTTGAAACGACTTTCAGCTCTACCACCGGCCAGTCCTGGACGTTTATCCGCAGTCGGGGTGCCAGCAGTAGCATTGGAGTTGATAGCAAAGTTGCCAAAGGCTCCCATTGGCGAGAAACCAGCGCTCTGTGGAGTGGCAGACCATGGAGATGACCCACCACCAACAGCCGTATTCAAGGGACCAGTGACAGTGCGCTTGAGGCCAGAGAACGGAGGACGAGCGGTATCAGTAATATCGGCAGGAGGCTTTTCATCCGACGAATCACCAGTGTCCTTGAAGTCGGCTCTTCTTCTGGTCAGAGAAGGAGGAGGAGAGTTAGGACGGGACTCGACGCGTGAAGTCTTGACGACCGAGGGCGAGTTGAGCTGCGAACTCGAGGGGAACGGATAGGCCTCCTGCGTTTCGCGGCGTCGAGGACCTGGTCTGGCACCACCCGGCGAGCTAACACCAAACGCACCGGGACTGTTGACATTCTGCGACACAGAAATCTTGCGCATGGGTGGATTGACAGCATCCTTGGTCACGGTAGTGGGTGGTTTCAAAGGCGAGTTGACGGACGAAAAGTNGCTGGCCAGACGATTTAGCAGCAGATCAACGTGTGGCACCAGAACGTGACGTACCTCCCTCTCTTCATCGTCCATATCGACCAGGCCTAAAGGACCTGTAGAGCCGTCTTTTTCCCAGCAGACTTCGGGACCGGGAACGTGGTCTTTTGCTTGTTCGTCTCTCCTGCCCCATCCGCCCAAAGAGACACCGTTGGTCTGGTTTGGCTCCCATCCTGCGACGAACAAAGGGGAAAGAGAGTCATCTAGCGAACCTTCTACGTTCTGCTTGTGGTACAGATCGAGAAGTTGGTTTTTGGAGTAGCGTGTGTCCGAGTGGGCAGGGCCGTTGCGATGCGGAGGCACATAGACGGCGGGTTGTGCACCAGAAGTCGACTCCCTAGCATTGGAGCTCATCATCGAGGTAGCGACAGAGGGACGGCGGAAGGTCTGGGTTGCGCCGTTCGTTCGACGAGCNNCCTAGAGATCACGTCGGGTCAGTCGCTGGCACATGGCTGTGTTTGCGCCTCCCAAGCTTCGTGCCCAGCAAAGCTCGAGAAAGCCACCGTCGACGTACCATTCTCCGGCCGAATCGGTGCGCGGAGTCGTGGGTGTGTTTCGCCNCGCGGCGGCCGATGCGAATGTGCTTGGAGGCGCCATGTTTTTGAAGAGGACAAGCTCGGAGGTGAAGCTCGTGGAATGATGATAGCGATAGGTGGCGACTTGACGTCTGCGGTTGGGAGCGAGATGCGGGTGGCGTGCTTAGAATCGAGCGTGCGAGTGCGAGAGATGTTGCGCGGTGAATCGTTGGCTGCGTGAACGATGGTAGAGAGAAGTCGATATTCGCATACTAAACTGTCCCCGATGGCGTAGAAATCTTGGCGTTTGGTGGGTGACCGCGCGCAAATCCTCTCTTCCCTTGCAATCCAATATCCTTAACTCCATCGCTGCGAAACTGTTTCGGTGCCTGTTTTGCTTGTCTCTCATGCCGGTATACATGTCTCGGCTCGTATATGAATGACTGCTTGCCCTGACTATCACGCACTACGCATCTGGTGCAGCATTTGAGAACAACTGTAACATTTGTAGTCCTCGCACTTGAAGCTTCGCTACAGTCGTTTTAGCTTCAGTCGTCACATGAGCAGCCAACCATCCACCTAGTATCCAATGCACTGCTAACGACCCCCAAACTCTTCTGCCTTCTCTGCAAAGTGTGCTTTGAGTTCCTCGGCCATCTTGCCTTCTGTTTCTGCAATAATGGTGCCAACCAACGAGCAATTGTTCGCAAGGAAGCGATCTCTCTTTTNTTGTTCGGCAAAGCTCTTGCTAAGCTTCGTTAGGAAAGCTTCGAAATCGTTACGCAACCTTCCTAGACTGTTCTGAACTGGCTCGTCGTCGCCAGCCTCGCTGCTCAATGCTAGGATTCCCTGTGTGAAATTTGCAAATCGCTGGGTTATTTGATGAGGTGCAATCGATTGTGGCGCAGATGCAGATGTCAGAGTGAGCGCTGAACCCGCAGGACGTCCTGAAAGTGAAGAAGTAGCTTTACGAAGGGATTCGCAATGAGCATCCATAACCATCTGGAAGCGAGGCCATAGAAGCATGTTGGTGCCGTTGACATAGCCTTCCATAGCGGGTACTTTCCGTCGTTGCAGTTCGAAAGCGAAGTGCTGGTTCAAACGGACAGTAATTAACAGTCCGAGTGCGTCGACAGTCGGGTCGATCAACTGCTTTGTCAAAGCCTGGCCAAGAGCAAATGTTGGTTGGAATATTTCCGCGAACTTGCGATTTACTTCGTGGTATGACTGTTTTGAGAAGAATCCGGTCAGAAAGGAGTACTCGCCCGAAGCGTTATCCATTAGCGCAAGGTTGAAAGCTCTGAATGGCGCCTCGAGATAGTATGCAGACTTGTCTTCTTCTGCGATGTGTGAAGAGAGAGCTGACTTGAAGCTGCCCTTGAGCATATCCATACGTCTACCCAGCGAGAACGCATCGTGTGGAGCGGCCTGTGTTCGTGAGCCAGACACTGCGGTTGTTCGTTTGGTAGTATCGTCTTGTGCCAGAACTTCGCTCTTGTCAACAACGTGGAGGTTCATCTTGTCCAGCGATGCTTTGTAGCGCGAAAAGTTGTGCAGGTAGAACCAGCGCATAGTATTGATGTACGCACGGCCAATCTCCTGGCCCAACTGAGGTTGGTGGCGGTCCAGGAATTGGAAGGCGTCCTTGTATCTCATAAAGTTGTTTTGCTGCAGAAGTTGGGCGTTGACGCCAGGAGCGCGCAATGCTTTGATTTGGGATACGACATAATCACGGGTACGCTCGACAGCCTTGTTTTTGAGGCTGTCTATCAGTGGTTTGAGATCTGCAGCACTTTTGGACCTAGGGGTTTTCGAGTCAATGATCTTGGAGCGTTTCTCAAGATCCTCCAAAGCTTTGATCCAGGCATCATCGATAGGCCCGTCTGATATCTTTCGTACAACGGATGGCGAGATAGTCAAGGCATCAACTTCTGGAGCGAGTAGCTTCTCAACTTGCTTGCGGGTTTCAAGTTTGGTGTTGAGGGCAGAGGAACGATTTTGCAGGGTTTCGATCTCGGCAGAGACAGCGGCCAGATCAGCCTGGAAGCTGGTGAGGTAGTTCTCTACAGACTTGAGAACTTCATCACAGGCGACAATGGACTTGTGCAAATCCTCAAACTTGCCTTTATCCTTCTCGACTAGACAAACCTAAGCTTCAGGTGGGGGCCAGGGTGAATGAGGGCGTGCCAACATACATTCTTCGACAGACGGCTGTTCGGAAGGTTGATCCGAAGATGGAGAGGCATCGGCAAACTCTTGCAGACTCAGCTCGCCAAAGTCGATGTTTGTGCCATGAAGAGCAGGTGCATCCGGAGGGATGGATTCAGAATGGACAGGAGCTAAGATGTCGCGTAATACGTCAAGTGGATGCGAGACATTATCAACAGGGAAAGCATCGAGCTGGTTCCTCAGGTTGGAGTGAGCAGGCGCATATCTGGCAGCGGCAGGCAGGCTGTCGGTGGATCCATTCGTGAGGAGAGACAGAGAGGAGGAGCGGTTCGTGATGGCAGGTCTGTGGGNGAAGGGGGCTCGGGGCAGGTGACTGGGCCTTCGTTGCGGCGCTGGCGAAGACGAAGGCGACGGGTGTTGGGAGTAGCGATTTAGCCACATGCCATCTGCAGTTTGGCGGTCGGACGGGTGAAAAGAGGCGACTGGTCGACGGTGTTGCGGTTGTCGAGTGGATGAGACAGACTCGCAGCACTGCGGACAGATCAAGGTGTTGGGTCGAGTTCTGGAGATTGTACTGCTTCCTTGCGGCAATTTTCGTCCGTGCACCGCGCCTTCCTTTCCCCACTTCACTAATTTTCGACTTCATCCTTTTCTTCATCCTTTCGCCATCTCTATCACCACACCCCATCCACCACCCATCACCACCCATCCACCACCACAACACCGTCAAAATGGCCGACAACGACGCCCAGGTACGTCAGTTCCCGCCTGGAGCTCTGCGGTCCTGCGCGAATGCTCCTCCCCGACCCCGCGCCGCGACAACAAAGCCTCCAAGCTCAATCCCGTCTGCCGTTTGCTCAACATGCTGACCACGTTCTCCTACAGCACGAGCAGCACACCTTCGAGTCCACCGATGCCGGTGCCTCCACCACCTACCCCATGCAGTGTTCTGCCCTGAGAAAGAACGGCCACGTCGTCATCAAGGGCCGTCCCTGCAAGATCGTCGACATGTCGACCTCCAAGACCGGCAAGCACGGTCACGCCAAGGTCCACTTGGTCGCCATTGACATCTTCACCGGCAAGAAGCTCGAGGATCTGTCTCCCTCCACCCACAACATGGACGTCCCCAACGTCTCCCGTCGCGAGTACCAGCTCGTGAGTTGCTTCTCCCCAAAGACTCGATCCAGTTATAGCTTATACTGACTCTTCTGCTAGCTCGACATCACTGACGACGGTTTCCTCTCCCTCATGCTCGACGACGGCTCCACCAAGGACGACGTCAAGGTCCCCGACAACGAGGTTGGTGAGCGCATCAACAAGCTCTTCAACGACGAGCAGAAGGACACCAGTAAGCTATGCCGCTGCTACAAGCACTAGTCTCCAGTAGCTGACCACTTATCCNNAGACGTCATCATCCTTACTGCCATGGGTGAGGAGTGCGCCATTGAGGCCAAGGAGGCTCCCAAGTCCGGTTAAACGATTTGCACATCCAACACATCGAGACAGCGCTTTCCACGCGCTGCTTCGGCGCCAGATGAGCATTGCAACAGTTCCGCTCAGCATAGTGGATGCATGGTCGTGCTTGCCTTCCGCTGCTGCTGCAAGCCTTTTGTTCGATCTCGACGGCATCTAGCCGCATGTTTTTCCTTTACGACCCCTTCTTTCCCACGGGCGAGTTGACGTGCGCGTCTAGACAATAAAATGTCACGAAGCGATGGTTTTCAAAAAATCTACTCAATGCAAATCAATTTCCGAACAAATTCAATGAGTGCACATGTGACACGCAAACAACGTTGCTCATAGGAATCTGCAGAGCTACAAATCTATATATTGAGTAATGGGCAGATCATCCATCAAGGTAATGTTCCAAATGGAGCTTTTTGTTAGAATCATTCGAATGTTGGCCCGAGTCGAAGTGACAGACAGGGTCACACTCCAAACTGAATACATAAGTCGACAAAGTACCATTGAACACCGTAATTTTGGGTTTGGGCGTGGCGAAGTGATTGTGTCTTTAACTGTGGGCATCTACTGTATCGTTGTCAGTGAAAATTTGTTGTAGATCGAGGTCATCTGGGATGCCTTGTCGTGGTCGTCGTCGTGTGCTGGCCATGACAAGAAAATCCGACTATCCAAACACCAACAAACTTTGCCTTCACGACTCTGGTCCATCGACTTCAATTGTGACCACGCATGCTCTCATCGCCTTGCGCCTTATTAGAATGATAATCGAGAGAGCGCGCAATTTTCATCGCGCCTTGATAAATGGAATTCGAGTGTGAGGCGGGCTGTGGTTCGTCGACTTTTCAGATTGGCGATGATGGTTTTACGTACTGTTCTGAAGGTCATCGTCAATGGACGGTAAGTTTTCAGATTTCCCATTCTCTATATATTTGATATGGACTGATGATCTGTGTANNGCGAGGTACTCAAGTAGTCGAAGACACAGAAGGAGCGCCAGCATTTGGCNNAAAAAAAGCACGAAGGGAGAGAGACGTCGAAGACAACGCCGAAACTGGTGAGGATCCTATATCAATTATTTCAGACGTTTACTGATCATCNACAGCCTTGACTGGTAAAAGAGCGTTCGAACACTATCTACTGTGTTTCCAACTGGTCCTGTGGAAACAGGTACATTGGTTGATCAATGCAAAACACCTTCCGAACGAGCTTGAAGTAAGCCATGACTTGCGTCCTTCGGGTGTCACTCATACTGATTTCAACGAGACAGTGGTACGTGATATCTGGGCTCTACGTCTGCAGAGCCTTCAATCACGGGTCAGTTACGAATCAGAGAGTGAGGCCGAGCATAGTTCACAGTTTTACAGTTCTCAGTCCGAGGCCGAAAGGACTGATGACACAGCACAAACCCGCCGAGCAAGGAAGAGCAAGAACGACGCTGTGCCTAAGCTTGTTGATGCCCTAAGTATGTGCTATATTGGCTGCCTGCTGCTTCGATTGCCAGTCACTGTCGGCGACTTGTACACATGGGCAGCCAGTGGTGATCTGATATACTACAGGGCTGTCAAAGCTTTATCCGAGTCGATGAAAATGCGTCTACCTTTCAACTACCACAGGATCATGGACCCTCAAGAAATTTTGAGTCCAGGAACGATGCAACAGGCGGTCCTCGACAACATTACAGCTTTCGATCGTGCCTTTGGCATGGCTACGCCACCTGTCAACCATATCCTTATCCTTTACCGATGGATCAGAAGCCTTGCACTTCCTCTGGAGGTGTATTCGGCGACCTTACGGCTGGCCAAACTTCTTGACATCACGTTCGTCTATGATGTTCAAGCCAAACGCTCGTCAAGATACCGTATACTACAGCACGCTGAACCTCGACTTATGGGCGCCCTTGTGATCGCAACAAAGTTGTTGTTTCCTTTGGACAATGTCAAACGCTACCCGAAGAATCCGACCGAGCTCTCAGCACTCACCATGGACTGGTCAAATTGGAGCAAGGCACGAGCGGAGTGCAACGATACGATCAAGTCAGGAACACCACTGAGCTACCAAGAGGCCATGCAGATTCAGGANAAAGATGTACTCGACATGTCTGATGACAAACTCGACGAGTATATGGATTGGTACGGCTCAGTCTTTGCAGAGGAGACTGTACGCGAGAAGGGAAGAATAGGCAAAGAGGCCGAGTTTCGTAGAGCTCTGCTTCGTCTGTTCCCTGTTGAACGCACCGCTCAAAGTGCATCCGATGCCATGGATGTAGACAAGGAAGCAGAGCCAGCGCCCGAAGACGAGCGGCTGAGGAAGGTTCAGAGCAACCTAAAACCCACTCGTGTCAAGGCAGATGTCAGATCAACTGAGCCCAAAGTAACTCGACCAGGCAACAGCTACAAACGATACCGGAATGTGGGAGAACTCGATGGCTACGCGAGGGAGTTCTATGACGAGGCTGCCGATCTGGTTGCACTGCCTCTGAATTCACTTGTGAGGTGCGTCTTNTTCCTAGAGAAAAGGCTGGAGAAGTGGCAGAGTAGCGAGAGAAAGAAGTAGGCCAATACTGCCATGTATACTCCCTTCACATACACATACATGTCCCAGATGCACTTATGGTAGATTGGTGAAATGAATGCGAAGCTTGCTCGGGATCGACCGCTTGACTTGTGAGCTATCATGGCTACAACGTGGTTCTCACAGAAGACGAATCTAGACTCGCGATGAAGCGTCCTAGAGCCTTTGACTTTCGTTCTAGACACAGACCTTTACTCTTGTGAATGATTGATGAAATAGTCGAGAAGTGATGACTTGGTCTTGGCATGATACTCGGTAGGTCGGGCGGGCTGACCCCGGAAGTTGCCGCGTCGGCACCCACAGCGAGCGCTATTTGCGATTCTCAAATTCACGTCTGCTTCTCGTCGCGAAATTAGGTATTGTATTCAGCACACGAAGACCGTCACCAGTAAGTGCTATACAGAGCGTGTTTCTGTCGCATGTCGAACGTCGCTAACATGAATTTGTGTCACAGTGCAGATGTAAGCCTATCGAAACCCAGCCGCCGGGCTCGCGCACCGCAATGCAGAAAGGACTCCCACTGACAGCAATCGCCACACAGCTTCGTCAAGACCCTTACGGGCAAGACCATCACCCTTGAGGTCGAGTCCTCCGACACCATCGACAACGTCAAGTCCAAGATCCAGGACAAGGAGGGCATTCCCCCAGACCAACAGCGCCTGATCTTCGCCGGAAAGCAGCTCGAGGATGGCCGCACCCTTTCCGACTACAACATCCAGAAGGAGTCGACCCTTCACCTTGTCCTCCGTCTCCGTGGTGGCATCATTGAGCCCTCGCTCAAGGCCCTCGCCTCCAAGTACAACTGCGAGAAGATGATCTGCCGCAAGTGCTACGTAAGTCGCCACGCTCCCACCCTCACCTCCGGATACACGCGACACGCCTGGCAAGAGAAGAAGACATTAAGAAGACGCAAAACGCGATGGACGAACAAGATGATGATTAAGAATATTTCTGACATGGCGCTCCTCTTTACAGGCTCGTCTTCCCCTCGTGCCACCAACTGCCGCAAGAAGAAGTGCGGTCACACCAACCAGCTCCGCCCCAAGAAGAAGCTGAAGTAAACTACTCGCCCCATCACTGCTGTCTTGGCTGTTGTGCTTCGTTACCTCAAGGGACTAGGCGTTTGGGGAGGAGGGATCTATCACGGCGTCTCGACCAGATGCCCGAACCGCGAGTAGTGGTAGCTCAGAAATGTCATCACTCTCCCGCGTTGATGTCCGAATGCAAGAAAGAAAAAAGTCATGCCCCCAATCTTCAAACTCGACCATCGTCTCAGTGATGTTTCTATCTCATGTCGCCTAGCCGATTCTCTTTCACAAGTCTGGATCTCAATGCAACTATTAGGTCTGCTACGACCCTTCCACGTACCTGCTTTGTCCGCCTGCATCAGAACAAGAAACCCATCATTATGAACTAAACTCAATGCACAATCTGACGTGCAGTACTTGTCATCGAAGTTCGAAAGATGAGCCAATAACCCCGTTGCATCCATCTAGCGTGCAGATTGACAAAGAACAGATTGAAGAGCTGAGGCTCTGTCAATTCAGATACTTGTTGTCTTCGCTGTGCTCCAAACATGTCCCGATATCAGTTTTGAACAGCTCTCATGTGCTTTTCTAACACGAGTCACCGCACCACGGCAACAAGCACAGAGAGACGAGTTAAGTCATGAGACATGTTTCTCCATGTCTTGCAATTTTGGTGTCGATAGAAATGGCGCTAGGCTATGTTTCAATGACATGACAACTGCTCAGCCAAAAGCCTGTATAACAAAGATATTTGCAGGTGGTCTATCGGTTGAAACATGATGAATTTGCATAAATTATATTAAGACAAGTGACTCGTATAAGCTGGTGCGTGTGGTAAGAAAGATCGATCGAAACAGGTTATCGATCAACGTCTTGCTGACGTGGTGACTGGAATGCTCAATCTAGATATGCAATTTGCTTCGCACAAGAATGCACAGAGATCAAAGACAGGATTGTCGATGGCTGTCGTTCGACGCGTGCGAAGAGACCAGAAACCAAGGCACGAGAAGTGCTTTTGTCGTCATTCGATAGATCGGTGCAGAAGTGGCTGGGCCATTAGGGTTTATGAATCCAGGTACATGATGGTTAAATGTTTAACCATGCACAACGGTCAGTGCAGGCTTCATCTGCAGGCTATCCATGCACCAGTCTGCTCGTTGGAAGCAGGTTATAGAGTCTAGTCTTTCTTTGAATCAAGACCAGTTAATATACAAATGTTCACCAAGAAGAAGGAGCAAGGAACGGGGCAGAAACGAAAGTCATAAAGTCGTAGCTGCCGAGTATTGGTGGAGTCTTTGGGAAGCTTTGGCAATCGCGAAACGCGCCTTCCTGCTCGCGTTCCCATTCCCACGCAGCAAGGCCTTCCTCGTCCTCTGCACTTCTGACCACGACCACTCTCTTTCAATTAATTGACTTTCGCCCTCTCTTGATACCGAGTATTATTAATCCGCCATCAGATCGAGCATTCGACCCACCGCCCGCCGGCTTGTACTCGATATACGACAATTCTGACACGCGTGAGCAGAGAACGGGCATCTCACGCGTGTGCAGACCAGAACAGAGAGCATAGTTTCCACCATGGACTCGATCTCTCATTCCAAGAAGGTGCTTCCTTCGACCGAGAAGCCTGATCCCGTCAGAAGGCCCTCGCTGCTACCCGCATTCGAGCCATTGTCGTCGTCCCCCGGAGGTCTCCCTCGGGCACTGAAGCGCAAATTCCAAGAAGACGAAGACGATACGCGCAAGTTCTATCCTACTCCCGTGCCGACCTCTGCCACCGGTATCCTCTCGTCATCGCCAAATCGACGCGTCCCCGGCCTGCAACGTACCGCGTCTTACTCGTCGCTTTCCGAGAGAGCCCCTCTGGGCACAGTACCCAGTGTCAAGCTACCTTCCAATGGCGATCCTCTCCTCATGGGACGTTCGAGCAACTCTTCCGACTACCAGCTGTCAGCCAATCGTCTGATTTCACGCGTCCATGTCAAAGCCACGTACAATGCACCCGACGGTCCGCGTCTTGGCGAGATGGTCGTCCAGTGTCTAGGATGGAATGGAGCAAAGGTCCACTACCAGGGATCTGTCGTCGAGTTGGCTAAGGGAGAGAGCTTTGTGTCTCAGAAGCCTGGTTCGCAGGTCATGATCGATGTCCAAGAAACTCGTGTCTTGCTGGCATGGCCCCAGGAAGAGAAGCAGTGTCCCTGGGACCTCGAATCATCCGTCAGCAGAGAAAACAGTGCCGTGCCTGAAAGGATCGCGTCAAGTCCTCCTCCTGTCCTGCCCAGACTACGCTCTCCAGAGTCTCCCTCGCCCAACCAACACGACAGCGTCAACGACACCTTCTCCGAGACCTTCATCGCCGATCCCTTTGATCTTCCCAGCAGCCCAGCCCCTGTCCACGTCTACGAAGACAATGAGCCAGCTGAGGACGATGATCTGCCTGCCTCGTCGACCCCCGTGCCTGCAACCAGGCTTTCNCCCGAACCTGTCGACCACTCGACGCCCACCCCTACCAAGGCCAGTGTACAGCAGTCCATGTCCACCAACCCTTCGGACGCGCCTGAGGAAGCGCTCGAGAACGATGAAGAGAACGATCCCATTGTCCACTCGTTTGGCCCATACGGCGACAATCTCCTCTCACGCTTCGAGTCCTTCAAGTCGACCTGCAAAGAGGAGGAACGTCCACGCGTTCCTCTCAAGATCAGCCTCAAGTCTGTCAACCAACTACGCGCTGATCCTCAATCAGTCCAAACGAGTCGCAACCTCTCGCCTGTCAAAAACCACATCATCAACCAGTTGGCCTTTACACGCATCCACTCCCTGCCCATCTCGGCCATCTATAACAATCTTCCAGCAGAGATGAAGGGTGGTCGTAGCTTCGGCGAGAAGGCACTGTCCTCGGAAGAACTCAAGGACCTTATGGACAGAATTCCTTGTGTCGGCGAGATCGCTCGCTCGGGTAAAGACGCCGCTGGCAAGGCTCTGGAAGATGAGTTCTACTACGTTCCTGAGATGGACACTGATGAGCACCGACGCGCCGCCGTGAGCATCGCCAAACCTCCTCTTAGATCCACTCGCAAACAACACAAGGTAGGTGCTTCTTCTGTCTCTCCTCGATTGCATGTCCTAACTTTACTTTCTAGNCAATACTACTGGAAGAAGCCTCGTGTCTGAGCTTGTGTTAATAATTTGTCTCTTTCTTGCTCCGAGCGTTGCTACCACGCAACGTTCTCTTTGCCCTGTTCTGTTTTTGCTTTTCACCGATACCAAACACCCACTATGCAGAGCGTCGCCTGCCTGCTGTTGCTAAGCAAAGTGCACGCTCAAGTGTGCCTTGCTACCGCTTTGCTCTATTTCCTTTTTCTTCTATTGACGGGGTCTCCGATGAAAGTGAAGGGATAGGAACAGGACATTACTAACGATTGAAGAGATGGAGGATATGGGTGTTTTTTGTGTCCTGCTGTGTCTCTTTCTTCTCTGTTTTCTCGCAATACTCTCTCCTTTTTCTGGCGAAACAAACTTGTAGTGTAGAACTAGCGACTCGGGCGAACTGTTTTTCAGGAAATGTGAAACTCACTTTGTTTAATCCATGTCAAATCTCCTTTGCTCCACATGCATGTGACGCTAGACTATTGGCTCCCTGTTCTCATCTCCCAGTTCAAGATACTTATAGTAAGAGAATGGAATAAATATATCAGCAAGTATGCCAAGTCACTAGCTGGAAGGGGATGACCCTGACCTAGGTAAGGGAAATTATCACTGGCCTCCTTTCCCTGACTAGAGATCATTGGTTGCTAGAAGGAGGTCGGCCAAATGGCTTGTGCCACTGTCAGCAAGGTTGTTAGTGTCCCATGAAGGAGAAAGGTCGAGTATCACCACGGGACGGATAAATCCTACATTCTTGAGGAAGCATACCGGGCAAGATTGTGATGTATACCTAGATCTTGGGATGATATCCTCAGTATTTGTTGACGAAGTGACATATATTGACACCTTAGTATCCAGTCTAGCGAATTGGCTGGGTATGCTGTAGATATTCGTAATTGCTTGTCAATGACAAACTTTGCACTCAGAAAGTGGATATGCTCAGATATCGACAGGGTCACCTACTGACTAGGGCATATGTATGTGGTGAGGTCCAAAAAGACACAGCAATGGGAGGTTGTATTCAGTATGGCTAACAACCATTCCGTTTCAATGTACTGTAGACTAGTAGGTATGTGTTTTGTGGTCGGCAGGCCTACCGAGTCCATTTCTGATCTTGTCCTCCTTGTCAACGACATTCAGGGGTAGTCCAATGCCTACACCGGTGAACACGAAGATGGCCCACTTGTAACGGAAGGGATTGATGACGATGCAGAAGAAGAACCACCACAACAGTTCGCTATAAGTGAAGAAATCGAATGCGCCAGTAGGAGCGCGAGCTTTGAGCCATCTGGTCATGTCGACCCAGAATTGCATCCAGTAGGTTGATGGTCGGGTAAGTGGATCGAGGAGGAACATGAGCAGGATACGGGTGTATATGCCGATGTGGAAGTTTCCAACCGTGCCAATTCCACCAACGTAAGTGCAGTTGTTGGCACAGATGGACTTGTGTTGAGGAGGGAAGGTTTGGAGATANNCCTGTTGTTACGAAGTCAGTGCGGGCTCTGTATTGCTACACATGATGGGGGAAAGGACAACGTACCAATTGGGAGCAGAGTAAGGCTCAGTGAAACACTCCTCAGGCAAGAAGCTCAAACTAGGACGCTTGTATCCTGTTGCCATGATGACGACTTCACCTTCCTCTACCTTTTCGTAACCAGGTCCGTTCTTGGGCACACCTTGTTGGCGGCGGTTGAATCTGATGCCATTTTCTTCAAATTCCACGATGTCGCCACGCAGCCAATCGGCATTGCCCTCTCGGATCTGCTCCAAGACATCGTTGTTGACCATGGGCGTCTCCTCGAAAAGACCAGCCGAACCAGGTGGAGGTGAGATGTCTGCCAAGTCACGGTAGAAGAACTTTCTCAGAAGTTTCTCCGGAATCCACGAGAAGACGGTCTCTTGTCCGAAGATGTTGAAGGAGAGAAGCATGTCTATGACAGGGTTACGAGGAATGATCCATTTCTCAGATCTCGAAAGGATCTTTACTTTCTTTGCCTTTTGTTTCGTGGTGAACTCCATGGCCTCAATGGCACTAGCGCCGCCACCGATGATTAGAACGGTCTTGCCTTGGACGTCTTTGCCGTCGAGTTCGCTAGAGTGGTATATTTGTCCTTTGAACTTGTCTTGGCCGGGCATAGAAGGCATCTTGGGATCACCACAACTGCCAATTGCGGCAATGATACCATCGAACTTCTCGTCCGAATTGTCATTTATGATCCATCGACCTTTGTCATCTTCCTTGACCGACTCGACCTTGTGATCGAATGTAGTCTTCTCTTGGAGGTTGTACGTCTTCCAGACCTTTTCGATTTGCTCAACGATTTCTCTGCGATTGGGATAGCCTTTACTCCAGAATACGGTGGGGAAGAAGCGATACATGANCCTGCAAGACAAGCGTAGAGTCAGCCCATCTGCGGTAGAAGAACCCATACACTGCCACAGATTCAAAACAGGCATCACGATTCTGGCACTCACAGAATGTATCTGCAAACCTGAGGTGTTGTTTACTTTCGCCCAGATGCCTCCCAGATGTTCCCGAGGGCCTGCCTCGAAAATGTGAACATCAAAGCCATTGCCGACACAGTGTGCTGCGGCAGAGACACCTGTGAGTCCCGCTCCTACGATAGCGATTCGAGGTCTTTGCAACCTCTTTCCGGGAGGAGGAGGGTCTGGCGAGAGGATCTTTGCAAGCACCAATTGGTAGATACGGAACCATATGATAACGAATTTATTAAAAGCAGCGGCCGCCGTATCAATCGGACCAGCCATAGCGATAGTTGTCGCTCGACAAAGCGACAAGACGATTGATGTTACTAGGTGGAAGCAGAAGAAGAGGGATGTGTGTTTTGTTGAGGAAACACGAATGTCGACAATCACATGCAAAAAGATGTGCTGGTTGACGTCACCGAGATACACGTGGGACACTCCCTTGGTCCTCTCGTCCTCTCCGATCTTGACGTTAATCAGGTTTGAACGTTACCTGTAAAACGACTGATATAGCTTTGGAGTACTTGCGACTATGGTGGTGTGGTGCAGGCGCATCTATATGTGGACTGCCCAGGGCTACAGCTATGGAAGGCACGATCGTCTTGCCAGCTTCCAGGCACATCTTCTGACTTCGCAAGCTTGGAAGCAGACACAAATCAGTGGCATTGTCCTGGCTGATAGCTGGAAATGTGTTTATATTTGGACGACGCATTGCAAGATGACTCTGGTCCAACCCCAGCTGCCCCTCGCTTGTGGCAGTCAAGCTTCAAGGTCAAGCTTCACATCAGATACCAGGCAAGGTTTGTAGAAAATCTTGTTGACCCTTTCAAAGACTAGCACATAGCCAAAGAGATCACTCTGCAGCAAAATTGTGTCCTGAGTCCTGATATACCACATGTCTTACTAGTTGTCCTCTTGTCAAGCGTTTGACTCGACAAAATTCGCTGGTGACATGTCGTGCCGACAAACTCGAACGGAAATTCTCCGAAGACAAGCCCTCACCATCCTTCGTCCCGTCAGAAGTCATGAACCAACGACCTACGTGTTGTCCAGTGTCCAAAGTTGCCTAGATGCAGCCCGGACAAGAACTCGACAGCCTTGCAGCTGGTCCTCGCAAACTTTTCTGATTTGTCCTCAAGATTGTTGTTAGTCGCCCAGACTCTACGCCCGCAGTTGAATCCTTCGACATTGCATGGTAGTTGTCAAACAGTGGCCGCTCTCGAGCCTTGTAGGAATGCATACGCCTGTGTATCCACGACTGTCCACGCCGACATGTATATTTCTCAGCCACAATCGCCCAATCTCAACTCAATCTTCTTACTTGCTCTGCGCACGGGCTAGCTGCTTTCCACGATGCCTGAATGCGCGTATCGACCCGAATCGACACCATCTCTTCCCTCATTCTCCGTCGCAATATTGCACCCGTCATCGGTGGAGTCATTGTTGAAAGAAGTACCTGGAGATGGCTGTTCTACATCAACATCCCCTTCTGTGTAATTTCTCTGGCTGCAGTGCCATTTGCCATAAGATACTCGCGGCCCAAGACAACTACCAAGGACCAATTACTCCCCATCAATTGGATGGGCATTCTTCTCAGTATCGCCAGTACGACTTTGTTCTTGATCGGTATCAGCTGGGGTGGTACAGAATACTCCTGGTCCTCTGCCACGACACTCTGCCCTCTGGTCCTCGGACTTGTAGGTGTTGTTTGTACTATCGTCTACGAGATGAAATATGCCTCAACACCATTCCTTCAAATCTCCATCTTTCACAATCGATCGGCCATCACGGCGTACATCTGCACAGTACTCACGGGTCTTAGTATTTACGCCACTCTATACTATCTTGTACTGTGGCTCGTCGCAGTCAAGAAAATTTCAGAAATCATGGCGGGAGTGTGCACCCTTCCTCTCGGACTGACTGTAGTCCCAATCAGTGGCATCGCCGGCGGAATCATCACACGTATAGGCACATACCAGTGGGCCGTCTGATCCGGTTGGGTGCTCGCTACCCTTGACATTGGCGTCTTGATCCAGCTTCATCCAGCCATAACAGCCGTGGCCTATGTCTTCATGTTTATCTGTGCAGGCATAGGACTCGGATTACTGATGAACTCACTCAGCGCCGCAGTGCAAGCCGTCTCGCCTACAAAAGACATTGCATACGCATCCTCCATGTTTGCATTCATGAGGAGTCTTGGTCTGTGTCTCGGTGTCTCTATCGGCGGCACCATCTTTCAAAATCTATTGTCGAGACGCTTGGAGTACTATGGTCTGTCTACCGAACTCGCAAATAATGCTGAAGTGTATGTTGCTCTCATTCGTTCGTCACCATTGTCGCCGGAAAAGATTTTGCTGAAGGACGTCATGAGTTGGGCGTTTCAAAGACTGTTCGCTGCTCTGAGTAGTATCAGTGGGCTTGGGTTGGTTGTTAGTGTTTTGGTCGGTAAATGTTCTTTGGATAAGGACTTGGACTCGCAACATATCATTGAGTAGATAGGTCAGAGGCTTGCTACATTCAAATGTCGTCTTTGGAAGAACATTCTGCTTTCTGACGGTGGTGGTATCCTGAGGTACTATGTTGACGTTCGTCTGTTATGATATTCTCGTCAAACGCGGAGTGCTTCAAGATTGATGAAGTGGTTTAGCAAGAGTAAGCGTTATTGTCTATTCTCTAGGGTCAACTTCATGCAGCATATGTTGCTCGGCTTATTTGCTTTCACTCTTGAGTCGTAAGATCTTCACCAGAAGCCTATCACGTTCCGCCTCGAGAGCCTGAACGTCTTTGCCCTCCAGCTCCTTACCAACACTAGCGCTCAGTGCATCAAGGCTCTCGTTGTTGAAGACAAAGGCATGCTCTCGCATATCCGCAAGCCACGCCTCGGTAGCAGGACCTAAGTGTTCGAGCAGATGCCTGAAACCATCAGTGCCGCCACCACCTCCCATGGCGTTTGACATCAAAGGACCGGTTAATGCATATCGAGGGCCCAGACTGTTGGTAACACAAGCATCTGCATAACTGTCAGGATCTCACGTCGAGCAAATAATTTCAGGCAATACTGACCAAGATCTTCTGCAGAAAGTATACCTCGGCTAACTAATGAGTATGCTTCACTGCACAAGGCAGCCTGGAGTCGATTTGCTGCAAATCCGGGCACTTCCTTCTTGATTATAACAGGTCTCTTGTTCAGGGATTTGTAAAACTCCACAGCGGTATCGACGCTCGCTTTGTCGGTTTTGGGATGGGGGACCACTTCAATGAGAGGCATCAAGTGAGGTGGGTTGAATGGATGTCCAATGAGGATCCTGCCAGGGTTCTTCGTGTTTTCAATAAATTTTGAACTTGGTAGTCCAGAAGATGAAGAAGCAATTACAACATCAGGACGTGTAGCAGCATCAATCTCGGCCAGTAGCTTCGTCTTGATTTCTAACTTCTCAGGTGCGTTCTAGCACTAGATATTAGTTCAACTGTAAGGATCAAAAGATCGAGACAGTTAGGCTTACCTCTTGAACAAAATCGACCTTGGAGTAATGATCTTTGAGACTAGCACCAACGAACTGATAATTGTCAAGTGAAGCACCAGGCGCGAGGCCAATCTTCTTCAAATCAGGCCAGATGGTTTTGAGATACTTGTCGAGCTTCTGTCCAGAGCCTGAGGCAGGATCAGAGACAACAACACGTAATCCTCTTGCGAGGAAGAGACCGGTCCATGAAGCTCCAATAACTCCAGTTCCGACAATGCCGACGGTCTTGATCATAGACATAATTGATGATGGTGTTGTTACCTGTGGCTCGAACGCACAGTCAAAGAGACACGAACATACTCCCGTGTTCGTCGGTGCTTCTGAAGTATACAATGACCAGACAAGTTGATATCCGAGGCACGTTGGCAAGAGATCAGGAACCTTGATGATCTCGAGTCAACCGAGGCTGCACGTCTTCCACCATCCCGCGAAGTCGACGCCTGCTTTAGCATAAAAAGCGATGAACATGGTGATACTGAGCCTTACGGTATACGTCTATCCATCGTCCCTGTTGCATTGAAGGTGCAAAGACGCTTAATGTTGACACACATGTGTTCGATGATAGGCGCTACTCAAGAACTGCTCTCTAAAGATTCTGAAACGTTCGCTATTCTCGTATCCACAAGTCGTGATAATTTGCCACCCATGGCTTTGAATCGATTGAAAGTTGCAAAACTTTGGAAATTTCAGTATGTTTTGTAGTTTTGCGCAACAACCATGATATCTTATACCCTGTTATCCTATAGACTTTTACGCGGCAGTATAAGCTATAATTACATATAGCTTGTAAATAGTATAGATGTATATGCATTGCGCAATTACTGCATTTGTAACTATAAAAATAATGTTAACTTTGTCAAGACTTGCTAATTTATTTACTGTAGAAAAGATTTAATCGGATCTCAAACCTTATTTTCCAAAAAGTATTGATCCGTAGATAATTTATAAACCAGCAGTATATATAAGAAACAGATAATGTAGGACTATGAAGCAAAGTGTCTACTATGATATGTTAGGTTTCTAGCTACCTATATGTAGCAGTTGTTGCGCAATCCGTATAATAATACGTAAATTTTAATGGCTAAAAAATCCGTGACAAATCATGATATAACTAGCTAGATATCTATCCTACTATGGGAAAATAGGGTCGTAGCATATATCTCAGGCTACCAGCTATGGATGCGCAAATCTGTAGCTTGTTAACTTTGTTAGTTGTGGCGTTATTCATATAAATTCGGTGCAACACGACGAAATCCTTGTTCGTTTGACTTCGAAGCAGACCGGCAAATTATCACGACTTATGAATACGAGAATACTAAGCTTGGTCAGCAAGTTCAACATACGCCTAGTATACTTCCAACGACCTCCTCTTCCTTGGTAATCCGATCCTTCGCAGAGGTGTCGTGTTGCTCTGTCCCATAACTCATATTTGAATTGACTTTGAATTGTTTTGTAAGCTTAAGGATGTATTTGTGCATATCTCGCGCACAGGAAAGAGCGAGACGAGCCCGTTCCTTCTTGTGCCTCAGGTCAGCAACATTATGATGGTACAATGTTCCTCCGTGGCTCCTTCTGTGTTGGCACACCTCATGGCGAGGGGTATAATCTATGCATGTAAGATGCCATGGCTGGTAGGTGTATATAAACCACCACATCTCGTGGTGGTGGATTTCTCTTCAACACATCATCCCACACATCTTCTATCACCAACAGCCCTCAAAGCTTTTACCTTACACAAACCAAGACCACTTTTCACGGTATCAATCGCAATGTCCTCTAAATTGATCACTGTATTCGGAGCCACTGGCAACCAAGGCGGCTCTGTCATCAAGCACATCCTTGCTGATACCCAACTCTCCTCCGAATTCAAGATTCGCGGCATCACTCGCGATGTCAACAAGCCCGCTGCCAAAGCACTCGCAGAACAAGGAATCGAAGTGGTGACCGTAAGTCGTCCTCCTATCCTCTCATACACGATCAAACTAACTTCGACAACAAGNGCCGACATGAACGACAAAGCCTCAGTCGCAAAAGCTATCAAAGGCTCCCACACCATCTTCCTCGTAACCAACTACTGGGAATCCGCAAACCCAGACGTCGAACGCAGCCAAGGCATCAACGTCGCCGACGCCGCAAAAGAAGAAAACATCAAGCACCTCATCTTCTCCTCCTTGATAAACGTCTCGAAAGCAACTGACGGAAAACTCGACTTGATGAAACACTTTGACTCCAAAGCCGACATTGAAAAGCACATCCGCAGCACTGGCGTGCCCTCTACGTTTATGCTGGCAGGCTACTTCATGTCAAACTTTGCAAACATGTTCAACAAAGGCGAAGACGGCGTCTACAACTTCGCTCTCCCCGTCAGCGAGAACGCTAAATTCCCTCTCTTCGATGTAGTCCAAGATACCGGAAACTTTGTCAAGGCAATCCTCAAGAATACTGACAAGTTGAATGGCAAGCAAGTGCTCGCTGCCACTTCTTACTATACCCCCAAGCAAATCGTTTCAGACTTTGAAGAGGCTACTGGCGATAAGATGAGATATATTCAGATCGAAGGTGATCAGTTCAAGTCTTATTTGCCTGAGTTCATGGCCGAGGAGATGCTTCAGAATCATATTTTGCTTGATACGACTGGTTACTATGCTGGTGCCAGTTTGGACGAGAGTCTGAGTCTGCTCGAGGAGAAGCCTGTTACTTGGAAGAAGTTTGTCAAGAAGAGTGGAATCTGGTAAAGAGCGCAGTGAGTTAGGAGGAAGGGTGATCGATGTGGGCTCTTATCTAGCTAAGCAGAAATAATGGGTAACTTATGATCATAACTTTACAAATGAGCCTATAGCGTTTGACATTTTAGGACAGTGGAAACATGTCTGAATATCTTGTCACTTTGTACGCGAGCGATCCCTTCATCAGCTGGTCACACGTTCGTCTCACGCCTTTACACAATAGATTCTCGTTTGGAGATGCATAAATGAATAGAGCTTGATATTCTAAAGGTGCCGAATTTTGGAAGACAATATGATTGGGGATTTCATGGAATTGGTTGCGCAAAGATACTGCTCTACATGAGCTGTTGTAGTATAACGATAATTGAGCCCGACTCAGGTGGGCGTCGAGAGGAGATCGGATAACACGCTTCGAAAAAAAAGATCAAAAGGGGTATTTATACATTAAACTGGAGAAAGAAAAGGCCAGTTTGTCGTGACTTTTGTGGGCGGAAGAGTCCTCGTGGTGGAGCACTGCTTGAGAATAGTCTATCTCCTGAGCTGCTCGCCGAGGTACCCGAGCACCTTGGGGTTGATAATGCCTTGGTTCACGAGATGCTTGCTCAATCCCTTGACAACCTCCATCTGTTGTTCGGGAGTAAGGCCAGTGATGGCGGTCTCGATGACACTGCCAACGGAAGCTTTGTAGACAGCGATGAAACTNNAGATACGGTCAGTATTGAAGGCAGGTTTTGAGTGAAGCAGACTTTCTCACCTCTGGTAGTACATGTAGGCGAAGAAGCCCATGATGAATTGGCAGTCCATACGGTCAGTCATACCACCGTGGCCAGGAATAGAATCGCCAAAGTCCTTGATGTTGAAGGTACGCTTGAGCCCAGATGCGAAGAAGCCACCGAAGGGAGCAATCAGAGAAGCAAAGGTAGCGAAGATCATGATGTGGAACTGAACAGGGGCCACGGTGATGGTAGTAGGCAGGTGAGTCCAGTTGGGGGGNNGAATGAAAGGAAGCTGGTAGGTGTGAGACAGGAAGACGGGGTTGGGGTCGCATTCAAGGCCAGTAAAGATGTTGGCACCGAGGTTGTTGACGGGGCAGATGAAGTACTTGGAGCGCATCAAGATGTTGGAAAGGCCGAATGCAAAGATGATGGTAAAGATCCAGGCGCCAACGAAACCCTCGACAGTCTTCTTGGGACTAATCTTGATGAGCTGAGTACGGCCGAAGGTGATACCACAGATGTAGGCAAAGATGTCGTTGGTGATGACCAAAGCAGCGGGGAGGAAGAACCAGATCATGCCCTCAAAAATATTGTTCATGATGAAGTGAGCTTGTACGACAATCAAGTAAAGAGCCATGTGGGTCCAGGCGAACTGCTGGAACTGGAACTTGTAGTGGCCCTTCTCGAGAGAGACAACGAAGAAGACAAAGCCCATGACGTAGAGCATGAAGCTGATGAAGCGGTGGTGGGTAGCAAAGGGCAGGAGGACCTTGTCGACTAGGATGATGTGCTTGAAGTAGTAGATGACACTCTCGCCGTAGAGGAAGTACATTGTAGAGCCAAGGAAATACCAGTTGAGCGTCTTTGTAAAGCGTAGCTTGCGGGCTCTACTGGGGACGTTTGAGATGGCAATGACCTCCTTGAAGGAGATGATCTGGATGGCGGTGACGATGATAATGATGTAGATGTGGCCGGCGAACATTGAGACGAAGAAGAAGATGATCATGACGAGGGTCCAGATTGTTCTGGTGATGAAAGTCTGCTTCTTCTTTTCGTAATCGCTTTGCGGCGCGGGCTCCTGGGNGCTGCAGGGTGACATGTTAGCATCTAGAGAGATTCTGGCAGAACGGCATTGGCTCGCCTTGTCGTCGTCGGTCCAGGCACCGTCGTAGGACATGTTGCGGCTTACTTCTGGCTTGGTGACATGGCCATTCCGACTAGGGCTTGATGCGTCGTTTACATCTTGACTATCGTTGGAGGATCTGCTGGGCCTTCTTGCTTCCTTGTGCTGGAACTTGACGTCCTTCTTCGGCTTCGTCATGGTGGACGGATGGTCGCAGTTCGCGACTGGGACAAGAGTGACGGAAGCTTGCGGCAGCGGGAACGAGATTTCCAAGGAGGTCGATGGGTTGGTCGGAGTGGAACCAGGTATTTGTCAAGAAGGCCTTGTCGCGTGGATACAAGACGGCAGATGGATACTAAGGACAATCAGACAAGCATCCGGGAGAAAGAAACGAAGTCCTTGGGTGTCGGAGAACAAAAAGGTTGGCAGGACCGGGCAGGAGCGACTTGGAAGCCGGGCAGGCACGAAGTTCGAGATGACGCGAAAGCAGCCACCAGCCTTGGCGGCATGTGAAGGTCCCAAGAGTCCTTCTACTGATCAAACAAACATGGCCGCCGCCGACGACTCGCGCTCTTATGGCTGCTCTGGACCATGACCTGGACTTTGACGACAGCGGTCTCGACCAATTGCCGCAGTCGACTCTGCAGAATCTCGAGCTAAATGCCATCTCGTCGACGCAGCGCGAAGTTGCCGCCCGCAAGCAATGGCAATACCAACAGACGACCAGGCCTCTTCGCTTGACACGTCCGAGTCTACCGCCAGTCACTGCTCCTCAGCTGACCACCACCTCTTTCAATGCCCCAACGTCGCCAGAGTCCGACTATGGTCTGGACGACAATGACGACGAGGAAGTCCTTGACTTGAACGCCGACACGACCATCTACCAGCCGACCCTGCACCAGGACTATGCCCAATCTACGAACAATAATACTCTCTACCAGGATACCGAGCCCATAGTGACACATGACGCTCCACCCAACTATGACCAGCTCAATGACACCAATACCACCCTTCAGCCCATCGACACGACAGCCATTGATGCCCACATCCGAAAGGTGCGCATTGAATTGTGTCATTGATTTCCGTCGCTGACACGCTTGGAACAGCTCGAGGCCGAACTGAATGCTGTCCGATTGTCCCTGCAAAACGCAAAGGCCGAGAATCAGAAACAGGCCGGAGAACTGTCTATAATTCGCTCCAAGCGTGACAAAGACGCCAAAGAACACGAACTTCAGTTGCAGGCTCTCAACAAGTCGCGCGCTGACGATGCTGCAAAGCAAAAGGCCGATTTGGATGCAAAGAAAAAAGAGATTGAAGCCTATGAAACAAACAACCGTTTCCTAGAACACGATCTAGCCCAGGCACGACATGAAAGGGCNAAAAGGCTCAAGCCCACCAGAACAAGTACCGGTAGGCTCACACGCCAGCCCTCTCAGTCATTGCCTTATCGTGATGGCTTTGATGACAACGAGATCGTCAATCTATCTCCTTCCAAGCCAAAGGATAGATCCAAATCTTCCACTCCCAAGGTAGGCGAGAAGCGGAAGAGGAATGCCGTTACCAGTCCTGTTCCTCATCTGCAACTCAATCACCAGCCCTCTGTTTCCTCTTCGCCGGCTGTAAACGCCGCCGAATCAACGCCTGTAGTCGAGGAGTTGATTCGACCGCAAGATGATTCACAGTTTCAGGTAGATCTTGTCCAAGTCCCAGTTTCAGCTCTCGAAGCTGACTGAGTATAGATGATTCGCCGTCTCATGAACCATCGTCCATCCAATTCTCGAGAACGAGTCTTAGAAACACTAAGTCGACTTGCTTTTCCGTCTATGCCTGGACAATCCATCTCTGGTCTCATAACCGAAGGCTTGTCCCAATTCGTTGCTGTGGACGATAATGACGATTTTTCTCTTTTTGCTGGTAATCTTCTTTCGGACCTGTGGGAAAGGTGTTTACATGACAAGATGTATACGCCGGTCTACCTGATTCTAGATCTGTACGAATTCATCTTGGCCATGTCGTCCGAGCCTCCAAGAATTTCACTCATTGAGCGCTTCCTTCCGCTTGCAACCAAGACGGTCGATCTGGTTGCGCTGCCGCGTGTACGCCTTCATTCGGGCGCCCATGTAGATCCAGATCTACTCGAATGCATCGACGTGGAACAGATTCTCACCCTGATGCACGGCATGGCATTCGACGCCAGTCTCGACGCCGAATCATGCCAAGTGTTCTGGAAGAAGATGGAGTTTGACTTCACTTTGATGATGCTCAACAAAAGTCAACCACTCCCACAAATCATGCTAGTTCTCCAAATGCTAGGCAGCTCCGCTATGCCGGAGTCATTCAGCATCATAGTGGATGATCCGGAAAAGCAGTCTACTTTGGAAGGTCATACCATCGACCGGCTTACAACTTTGCTTTTCGAAAGGCCAGAAGCCCCAGCAGGAGAGCCACCGTATGAGGACAACGAAGTCGCCGTCCTGCAAATCGAGACAGTAAGAGTCTTGAACTCACTGGCTGTCACAAAGCATGGAAGCGAAGTGCTCGCTCGACACCGTACAGCCGTGGGTCGACTCGTTCGACTGTTGCATGTGTCGGTCACCAAGCTTTATGATCTTCCTCCTACGACTCAGGATGTTCTTGGTGAGACGAGCGAGTCAGGCAGCTTCAGCACAATCCACGAACTCACGACGAGTCTGATCAATCTGACGGTTCGTCTGTTGTATCATCTGCTGATGAATTATGCCGACATGATCAATCTGCGCGAGAAGCTCATGGTGATACCTGGTGGACATCACAAGTTTCTGGTATCCTTGACAAGGCTTGCATTTTCGGAGCAACTATCATACGAAGCCGGCCTTGACAATGAAGCCCTCGACGCTGCGCATGAAATATTGGATGGAATTTTGAGCCCTGAGGAAGGTGAAGCGGTCGTCCAAGCCATTGAAACTCCGAGAGGGCCAAATGGCACGAGGATGTCGACTCTTAGTTGAGTGATTGCACTTTTGAACTTGTGACTAGACTTGGATAGACACAAGAGTATAAATAACGAATCATGACCCGGAGACCATGTCGACAGAAATAGGAACCAATTGTGATGTACTCTACTTCCGGTGGAAATCAATTGCACTCAAGCACGTGACGCGCGGGGGAGCCCTGACGTTTTTGGGAAAGTTGAGAGTCACAAGCAAAACCGACCACGCTGTCGCCGCATTAATTCATACGCCAGTCCACCGCAATCATGTCGCTCACAAATTGCCGTTTCTACGAAGAAAAGTACCCCGATGTCGACTCGCTCGTCATGGTCAACGTCCGACAGGTCGCTGAGATGGGCGCNATAGTGAGTCCGACCTGCCAGCCAGCGCACTCACAGGCAAACGACTGACGCCAGACCTTCAGTGTCAAGCTGCTCGAGTACGACAACATTGACGGCATGATCTTGCTCAGCGAGTTGTCCAGAAGACGTATCAGATCCATCCAGAAACTCATCCGCGTTGGAAGAAACGAGGTCGTCGTGGTGCTGAGAGTCGACAAGGAGAAGGGTTACATTGATTTGTCCAAGCGCAGAGTCTCGCCCGAGGATGTGCTCAAGTGCGAGGACCGCTACAACAAGGCCAAGATGGTCCACTCCATCATGCGCCACGTCGCCGAGAAGACCAGCACACCCATGGAGGACCTGTACAAGAGCATTGGCTGGCCGCTGGACAAGAAGTACGGCTCGAGTCTCGACGCCTTCAGAATCTCCATCTCAAAGTACGCCGCTGCCGTCTCTCATGCATGAACAAGTCACTTACACAACACNAGCAAGACGGTTTGGGACGAGGTCGAGTTTGCCAACAACGTCATCAAGGAAGAGCTCATCTCATACATTGGCAAGCGCCTGACACCCCAGCCCACAAAGGTCCGTGCCGATATCGAAGTCACCTGCTTCGGCTACGAGGGAATCGACGCTGTCAAGACCGCTCTGCGCCAGGCTGAGGCCCGCAACACCGAAGACACCCAGGTCAAGGTCAAGCTCGTTTCTCCTCCTCTCTACGTCCTCACCTCGCAAACTCTCGACAAGACCATCGGTATCACTGTCCTCGAAGAAGCCATCCAGGAGGTTACCAAGACCATCACCGCAGCTGGCGGTACCTGCTCCGTCAAGATGGCCCCCAAGGCTGTTACCGAGAACGACGATGCCGAGCTCCAGGCCCTTATGGACAAGCGCGAGCGCGAGAACCAGGAAGTCAGTGGCGACGAGGACGAGAGCGAAGAGGATGGCATTGTTGCCGTTGACGAGTAAACATCTCCGCCAACCACGTTTTGATCCCTTTTTCCGCACACGACGCAGCCACCACCCCCTCTGCTTCTGGCGTCTGGAGTTTCGATCGTCACGCAAAAGGAAGGAGCACAGCGCTGCATGCATATCGAGTCTTCAGGTTTGGATTAGACATGGCGATAGAGTTTGGGAAGCGTCGCACGGGGACGAGAGAAAGAGGACACGCGCCGAGGCGGAAGGAGGCATCATTTGCTGAACGCCAAATCTACACATGATCAAGGGACTGCCCATGAGACTCGTTGCGATTTAGCGTACGACCCCCAAAAGAATGAAATTTTCCTTGCAAATACAAGTTATACGCCGTTTCAAAGAGGTGGAAGAAATATCCAAACATCTACCCAGTGCCGTTTTGAGTGGCTCCACCAGATTCCATGCTGACATCAGCAGACTTTGAGAGGCTCGCGATTGCTCGACTTTGCCTAATCTTTAGAATCACAATTATGCCGCCCTCCTGGATCTATACAAATTCATACCATGGCTAACTCTACACCGATCTAACGTCAATCAAAGCTATATCGAGAACGAATCCGATTATAGAAAACGTCCGACATGTCTCAGAAAGCTCGAGGCCCGTTTCATCCTGTCTCGACTCACAGATCATCTCAACCTGTGACGTGCTGCTATTCTGAGGCATACTCGCCATCCGGCGCCAAAACTCACCCTTCTGGAAGTTCTTCGATATCATGAAGGGGTCTCTCCTCGCGCCCCTGAATGCGCTTGGCGAGACGTTCTACTCTACAACTCGGCCATTGCTTTCACACCTCCTTGTTCAACCAACATATCATTGTTATCAGAATCACCAGCTTTGTTGGAAGAGGATAAGCCATTGTGTATCGTTAGATCTATCTTTGTCGATGGTCTTGGAGATACCTTCGCATACCATGAATCTTTCATGCCTTTGTTCTTGATATGGCCGAGTATGAATGTTGAAAAGTATACATAATCACCGGTTCTTCATCCTCAGTATTCGTTCTCACCAGCAAGCCTCAGACAAACAATCTACTAGCAACAATATTCGACGATAAGTACTATCAACATCTACCTGACTCCCAACCACTTTTAACCCACTTCAGCTGATATTCTTGACAAAAACAACATACCGAAGATGCATCATTGTCCCGGAAAGCGTCGTGGCGGTAAAAACTGCCGCAAGCCCGTCAAGATTTCTGGTGTTTATTACTGTCCTATGCATCAGATCGTCTGTACTCATCATAAGTGGTCTCACCTGATTGATGAGCCTTGCTGTCAGTGTGAAAGGAAGACTTCTTGTGACCCAGACTCTTCGACTGATGAACAGTCGAAGTAGAAGAGCCATCTTCTGCATGGCCGTATGGTCGGCGTTATCATGACAACTTGATGACGACGATACCGCTGAATACTGGGTCAAGGGAGCTGGACTCCATACTTGACTTCACACGCTCTACACCTCTGCCCTCAATAAACCCTCTGGCTCAGACTCATCATCCGGTAAAAGCCCTCCACCCGACATTTGTGCTGACGAACCCATCTTGGATCTAGTTACCTGCAACTACAGACTCCCAAAATCCAGGAGTCCTGGAATTTGTTATGCTCTCTCTATTCCTGACCAACTTGCCTGGCGGTTGTTTCCTTACCTGTCGCTCTCTTTCCACGTCCTATAGGACTCATTTTTTGCTTTTGCACTTTCGATCTCTCTTCTGCTACACGCTTCTTTCCTTTGTACTTTGTTCGATGTGTTCGCTTCTTTCTTGTTTTCTACATTGATTCCGGGGCCGAAACCATCAGATTAGTTGTTGGAAGTCTATGGTTGTTCTCTTCTGTTCGGAACATCATATCTTGTATACTTGATTGTTCCTTTGATAGCAGTTCATCTCGCTGATGATGCCCAAGCTTTGTTACCCAAGTATTCTCTCATTTGTAGTTGTAAAAAGATTATCATCCGCCCAACGAGAACAATAAATACTCAATCTTGTCATAGTAAAGCGCCACAAACGGAAGTTGACCTTGAGAAATATGAAGATGCCCACGATGTATGTTTCAATAGCTTCGATTTCTCCTGTGATCAATCAGAGCCATGTGCTACAGAGAAGAGATTGAATATGCTGCGAGAGATGCTCCGCATGTCTTGAAGCATTCAAGACCTGTCTCATCTTCTCCCGACGTTCATTCTCTCCAGATATAAAACACCAATATCCACTAAACAGCCACAGTTGATGGCATGAGCATGAAAATGCTCTGGGTGCCTTCCACAGGTCTCTCTTCGAGTTCTTTTTGATGCTCTCGGCAAGGATATGGATCTCGAACTCAGCCTCCTCACAACTCTGTCTCTACTTTCACACCTCAGCTTTGTTGAGACAAAAGTATCTTTTATCCCAATTCCTGCTTCTTTGCAGACTGAATATGTAGGCTTTGTAGGTAAGACACCATTCTTTGATTTGGTTTGAGAGTGAAAGTGCTTCTCCTTGATTCTATCCTAGTCGTCTATGTCGTAGACGGGAAGGCATTCTGGTGAGTCACTATGTCTTTCAGGTCTTTGCTTTGATGCATTGCACTCGATATTGTCGAGGAAACACTACATAAAGACCTTTGAATCTACCTCTTTTCACAATCTCATCAAAACCCTCCAGAGCAAAATCAATCTACAAGATCAAGCACCTCACAACAAACCCACCTCTTTCACCACTACCTATCCACTTCATTCCAGCTAAACTCTAAACATGCACAGAGGTGGCAGAGGAAGAAACGACCATCACTGCTCACAGCACAACCGTGGTAACTGCAGAATGGTCAATCAATCCATCCGTCGCTGCGCTGTCCACACTTTTGTGTGCCCAATCCACAACCTCCCTCACCAGACATAGCAGTCTTGCCTGAGCTGTGAAGGTGAAAGAAAGTCTGCTGAAAGGGCACTCAANGAACAACAAGGTCAGCGAACCTCCTTCTAACACCATTGTAACCAAGAAAGGCAAAAGCAAGAAGAAGTAAATCGATCACGCACTCGATCATTTCTGTCAAGCAACACTCATCTGGCTAGGTGCATCTCCTCATATGACAAGATTGCTAAGAATCATACAGTCTACCGAACAGGATTGGTTCCTCACCACTTGCCTATCCACAAGACCTCAGGANNTACCACAGAGTACCCAGCCCACGAGATCTTCACACCTGCTTTCTTTTTGGTGTCTGGTCTGCTTGTGCTCTTGTTCTGGAGAATCCCTTCTGTTTGAGTTTACACGAATCTCTTTGGTTTTGGTTTTTCTCATTTGTTTGTCTTGATCTCTCGTTGGAAGGGGTTATGGAGTCGGTCTTGCGATTCGATCTGACTCTGTTATCTTCGAATGCATGGCAATTTACTGGTGCAAAAGAAGATTCTCTATCTGTGTCTTGAGCATTGCATATCTGTAACTGAACGTTGAAAGAGCGCCATCCTTGACGTTCCTCTATGTTGTCTATTGTGAGACCCCAATGGATCACTGAAATCAAAACAAAGCTCAAGATATCCAAAACAGTAAATCAGATTAACCACGCACTCGTTCACTCGCCTTGCATACCAGCACTACCACCTCAAGCACATTGCCACCATCGCTTTACCGCCAAGCGGTGTTGGTCCAGCGGTCTTGCGCCAACTTCAATGTTGGCGACCCCGCTGGCATCTCAAGGTCTTTGGATCGAATCTCGCCATCACCAACATTTAGAGCCATGGACGCTCCTACCCCTCGACATCCGAAATGAAACCAGCGAACTGGTGGCTCTCTCCCTGCGAACAGGCTCTCAACGACAGAGTCCTAGTAGCGGGGTTTGTTTTGCAAACCTGCGGTTCCTGGGAAGGAGGTTTGATGATTTCGTTTCGATTTGACGAGAGGTGGGAGCGTCGTGGTTTGAGGTGCGTTGATGCTGGAAACTCGGAGCATGATGGCTTTGATGGGTCGGCTGTCCTTCCAGTATATATGACTCGAGTTGCTGTTCTCCAATTCTTGGTGTCGGTAATGCCGTGTCTTGTTGGTGTTGAGTAGAAAGCACGTTCGTTCTACTCTTCCTCTTAAGCTCCTTCTCGCATTGCAACGTAGATTGAGCCTTCTTTGACCCAGTGATGCAGAGCGCTCTTTCCTTTGGATGGTGTTCAACTGCACTTTCCTTTCCTGCGGCTTGGCTGTTCTTTTTTAACAACTGACAGGTCTTCACTCCGTTTCACAAGCTCGCACGATGACGAATTTGAAGGAGCAATAGAAACAAGGTTGCGGTTTACCTTTTCCACTCAGCTGCTCGACAAGGATTGTGGGTAGATCTTTCCTCGGATCTTGTAGCATCAACATCAAGCTTCCGCAATCTCCTCGTTGATCTCGTCAATTTCGAGTGATTGCCGCCGAGTATCTCTGTCCTCTTCTTTCTTCCCAACACCTTCAGGACGGTAAATGGCTTCCATCTTCCTGACATATCTCGTCATACTCTCACACAATCTGTCCAGCACGAATGCCGCTTCGCTTTGCTGCGCCATGAGCGGACTATGCTCGCCAATCCAATCCCATTCGATCATGCCATCTTCATCAGCTTCGTACCTATTCCCGCCTTCTCCTCTGTCTCCTATAGCCGTGAAGCGGATCAACTGCGTGAATTTTACCCACTCTTCGTAGGTGTAAGATCGTGGTGGGTCCTGCTTCAAGTCTTGGGCTACGTGTTGGATGGCGTGTGCTAATCTTCTAGCCAGCTCGCCATCACTGGGCGCTTTGCTACCCTCTTCTTTGGCTAGATTGTCGATAGTGGGTTCATCCTCTTTGACACCGGTCTCAAAGCCTCGTTCCAGGCGGCGCTGGATGGCTTTGCGCTCCTTGTGTTCTTCTAACCATGTGCGCCAGATGCCATGTTTGGGTAGGATGGTAAAGTCGGCTAGACGGAAAGTGCCTTGGTTGAAGCTGTTGACAATGGTGGTCGACATGTCGGCGACTAGAAGCGTCATCGTCGGAACAGCGATAAGACTCCAGACCACGAAGAAGGGACGACCAGCATTTGATTTCGGAGCGAGGTCGCCATATCCGATTGTGAGCAGTGAGACCCAGCAGAGGTAAAGCGACTGGAAATAGGTGATGCCCTGGACACGGCGCTCGGCGATCCAGAAAATCAAGGCACCAATGCACCAAAGAATCGAAAATGCCGAGACTGAAATACAAAGACCGGACCATTTCTTCCATTTCTGAGTCTTTTGTTGTATGCGTCGCATCGCGTTGAAGCGGTCTTTTTCTTCGCGAAGGAGCAAAAGACGAGGCTTACGAGCTGGCCGGAGCACGGTCAATGGTATCGTTGCAGTGCGTCTTAAAGCGCTGAAAGGTCCCTGGTCTTGATTTGAATCGTTGTCTTTTGATTGTGGAGCATCTTCTGCAAACACAATACTGCGGTTTACCGGATCGAAAGGCCTCGAAATCGTCGGTCTCAGGCCCAATGCTAGTTCTTCGCGTTCTCTAAGCTCGATCGAGCTTGTGAATGATCTCCCAATCGTCCGAGTACGGCTCCTCTCAATATGCTTCTGGACTATGTTGTCTTCTCCAAGCTCGGCCGCAAACGTTGTAAGACTGGTCACTATCAGACCAAGCATAATGATGCCCCNCACGGCGTAAGGCATGACTAGCCCTCGGCCAATATTACTTGTTGCATACAAGTCGCCGAAGCCGATGGTCAGTACAGTCACCTGACAAAAGTACAGTGCATTGACGTAAGACCAGTTGAATAAATCCTGTCCGTACTTGCTCTCGACCAGCGAGAACACACCAGCGCCTCCAGCGAGCCATACAAAGAATAACATGGTCTGTAGGATAAGCGTACGATGAGAGTCTGTGAGATTGAATCGTTGTGGGTAATGCCCGAGGAAATATCCAAGCATGTTGACCATAAGCAGCATCGAGCAAATCAGATAGAAGATTGCAGCAATAACGGCATACCAAAAGCCTTGCGTGTAGCTTTGTTGAGGCCGCTGAGGCGGCACGTACTGGATCATAGATGCTTCAATACCAATTAANNCTGAAGAGGTTAGTACAAACTGATTCTAACGACCGGGCTTGCGATTGCTCACAATTGCAGTCGCGGCATACCACAGGACGATGGTCAGAGGAAGCGCAATGATGTATCTAATACGATTCGTGAAGTTGAATAGTAAGAAGATATTTCCTGCGAAGCCTAGTGCGAGCGAGAATATGTTGAGGGCGTAACACCAGTGAGGATCTGCAAAGGTGTGGCCGTCGAGATCTGCAAGCAGCTCACTCGACCCGTTCCATGGACAAGTTTCTGCATCAACTCCATCAAGCAGACACATTCTCCACGGTGTGACCAAGGCCGCAATGGACAAAACGTTTGCGAGAGGACCNNTTCAAACAGCGTTAGCAGGTTTTCGTATCTCGACCTGATGCGAGCTGCAGTCCGGAATCATGATGAAGAGTTGATTTGCACATTGTTGACTGTTCAGTGTAGCAATTCAGGCAATATGCAGATCGATGCATGGTTGTTGCACATACGTACCCATAGTCGCAGCGAGGAGTGGGATTGCAGTGCCAGCGAACCACCAATCCTGTTTTTGGTCATCATCCCAAGACCTCAGGGTAAACTTCCACCAGTGTCTATGGTCTGGAGCTCTCTCGATTGACCTTCTTCTTTCTGAAGATTTGCGTCGTAGACCAGGGCTTTCTGAGCCTCTGCCACGCCATGACGGTCTTCTCTCATCGGTATGTTGATTCTTCGAGAGACCAGTACAGTCTGAGGATCCTTCGAAGGCACTCGAGCCGCGTTGCTCACTCATGGTGGTATCTGATGCTGACAGATTCTATAACACCCTGATTACAGACATGTTTGAGTATGTAGTATGTGTGGCGGAAAAGTGGAAAAAGGCCTCCCAGAGGGTTGGTATGTCGACGTTGTTATGATCGGTATTTCGCGTCCATGAGCCTGATAAACATAGTACTGATGATAGATGTTGTACGGAAGACGACAAAGATATGTCGGGCTTTCACATGTGTACCCTCACAATGAATAGATGGCAGAAGAAGGAATTACTGGGCGCGCCCAGCTGAGAAGTACAGTACCGCGTCTGTCCGGGAGTCGCGGTTCGTGGCCGGAATTCATGGAAGTTTAACGGCAATCGTCATGAATCGTCGCAATTTCGTCCGTGTCTTGCACCCACAGAACAATCGTCGCATGGCCAACAAGAATAGGGAGGATGGACAACAAGAAGCATATGATGTGATGCTGTTTTAGACAAGCATTCTTGGTGTTTGGCGGCGAAGATATTTATTGTGGCTTGATATTGAGGGAAGGATCATCCGACCTCGGCCTCGAGTGGACAGCGGGCCGATGGTGGAAAGTGTGTGATCATGAAGGGTCCAATCAACCGCAGAAGGAAAAAATATAATATGATGTGACCGAGCCGTTCCCACCACTCGCTGTCTCCTCCCAACATCGCTTGCTCATCTCGTTGATCCGACACAGTCCCTCTTCAACTCTCAGCATGTCGACCCAAATGAAGCATCGCGGCAGCGTGCAGAACCTAAGAACCCTCTACAATCCGACCTTGCCGAAACCTCGAGCATGGACTCTGACGAACGCTACCTGGTATGAGGTGATCGGAATCTCGAACGGACGAAACAGATGAGTCAAACCAAGCATCCTCCAAACGCGCATGATGGCCACAGGTGAGTTCGAGGCCAAGAAAACAATCGGTTCCACAACGACAATTCAGCAACAAAGTCACTGCACGCGGGCATCTGATCCACCCTTTGCCTCTCGTAGGCATTGGGATGGCATCAGGTTGAGAAGAACCGCACGAACTTGATCGTCTTCATAGACGCGTAAGGAGATGCAGAGACTATCGAATCGGCCTTTCTTGATTCCCCTTTCCGTATGTCGGAGAACATTTGACCTGATACAGGGCAGAATGCGCTCGGCTATAAGCAAGTGAGTGCCTCTGCCAGAAAACGTCAAGAAGCAGTTCTCTAACAACCAGCCAGACTTTGCACCGCCAATGGAAGTTCGCAGAGAGCTTTTCCGCCAGCTTTGGTATGCAATCCAGACGCTCCATCGGCAAACCCGTCTAACGATCATGCAGCTGCAATGTATGTTATCGGTGGCATCCGAGCAACATTCTATATCGGTGTCGAAGCTGGAGGTCCTGCAGCCTACTGGTAAGCTCGCACCCCAAGCGCTCGCTCCTACGACACATCGAAGGCTCGAATACTGATGAATCCAGGNTCCTCGTACCTTGTCACTATGGTCTTCACCATGATCACTGCCGCTGTCCTGGCAGAGATCTGCTCCGCCCTTCCNGCAGCTGGCTCGATCTACTTCTGGGCCGCAGAAGCTGGCGGTCCTAGGTACGCCAGACTCTTCGGCTTCATCGTTGCGTGGTGGTCGTGCACGGCATGGACAACTTTCGTGGCTTCGCTTTGTCAGAGTACTGCCAACTTTATCCTGTCCGAGCTTCCGGTCTTTGGTGTCACCTCTCTTATTACCGACACTGGCGATATCAAATTCCGCGCAGTACAATGGGCCGTGTCCGAAGGCATTCTTTTCCTCGCCATTGGCATGAACTACCTCAACCCCAAAACCTACAAGTGGATCTTCAGAATTGCTTCTGGCCTGATCTGCCTCGACTTCATCTTGAACATCATCTGGTTCCCTATCGCAGTCTCTCAGACCTATGGATTCCAGTCGGCCAAGTTCGCATTTACAGCCACGGAGAATCTCACAGGTGCTCCACCAGTCTGGAACTGGATGTTGTCTTACTACGTCACTGCAGGCATTCTTGTTGGCTTCGAAGCAAGCGGTCACATCTCTGAGGAGACTCAGAACGCAAATGTTGTCGCAGCCAAGGGTATCTTCACATCCGCTCTGGTCTCTGCCTTGATGGGCTTCCCTATGGTTATCCTGTTTTTGTTCTGTTGCCCAGACCTCAGCAAGTTCAACTTTGATTACCCTCAACCGTTTGTTGGCATCTACGCGCAGGCTATGGGCAAGGGAGGCCATCTTGTCATGAACATCGTTTGCATCCTTGGTCTGTTCTTCAACACCACTGTCAGCGGAGTGGCCTCATCTCGTCTGATCTGGGCTGTCGCACGCGATGGCGTCTTGCCGTTCTCAGGCTGGATATCTGCTGTCTCTGCCAAAAAGGAGCCAAGGAATGCGGTTACTGTCATGTTGGTTGTCGCTGCATTGCTGCTTTGCTCTATCCTTCCCTCTGCTACCGCATTCGCGTCGTTGGTCTCTGCTGCAGGCGTTCCCACCATTACAGCATATGCATTGATTTGCTTTGGTCGCACTTTCCTCACACCGGGAGAGTTCAAAAACGCCCCTTGGTCTCTCGGTCGCTGGTCTCGTCCCCTGAACTTCATTGCTCTCATCTGGAACCTCTACCTGGCCGCAGTCTTGTTTTCTCCTCTCGAGTTCCCAGTCACCGGTCCCACCTTCAACTATTCGCCTGTGATCTTTGGTGCAATCACCATCTTTGCTCTGCTCTCTTGGTGGTTTATGCCTGAGGACAAATGGCTGCCTGCAGCTCGCCTTGGTAAAGTCCATGAGTTCGAGGAAGAGCTGAATGCGAACAGGACTGGACGCAGCTCTAGCGTCTCAGGCCCTTCATCCTAAAGAGCACGAAATAGCTCGACACACTTGTGTGAAATTGGTGATAAAGTCACATAAGCAATGCCGACTGATTGAGAGAGGGAGGGTCATGTTCGATGAGGGAAAGTCTCGAACGAACTTGACTCTGTATAATGGGTCATAGGTGGGAGGAAGGCCGGAAGTGGAGTAGGCGCGATGGTGGAAATGGTTGCTAGAAGATGTAACTGTCCGGTGGAATAGCTCGAAAACAAACACGTTCGTTAAACAAGATCGCTCTCGATCGTTCCTGCCTGAGGCCGAAGGATGAATGTAGAAAGTGGGGTCCGAACTGGCCGTGATGCTTTGCCGAGCGGGGTCAATGTTGCACACCAGACGGCCGTCTACTTGATTGCTTCCCTTCATTCTAAAGCTGCGACTTTGTTTGGTATTGACAGTTGTGTGGTTACCAGTTCGCGTGATTGAGATCACTCGTGTCACCGGTTCCTGATTACGACACCATGTATGCAGCCAAGCGTCTTATACATGTATCTCGGCTGACAGCAGCAGGGTATATACCGCGTCCTTCGCCTTCTTTGAGGCTATATACGAGGTATCGTCTATCAATCTCTGCAACTATCTGCTCGATCCTGACCAAATTAACTTANNGGCCGGCATCACACATTGCTTCGTCAACCTTGGCTCAGACCATCCCAGCATCATCGAAGCAATCGTCAAGGGACAGAACGAGAAGAATGGAAACTTTCCACGTATCATCACTTGTCCCAATGAGGTATGAACATGGTTTGTTGCTCGAATTGAACCTCTCGCTGATGATTTCTAGATGGTTGCTCTCAGTCTGGCTGATGGATATGCAAGACTTACCAACAAGCCTCAATGTGTCATTGTCCATGTCGATGTAGGAACTCAGGGCCTTGGTGCTGCAGTCCACAATGCTTCTTGCGGAAGAGCACCTGTCCTCATCTTCGCTGGGCTCTCGCCATACACAATTGAAGGCGAGTATCGCGGTTCAAGAACCGAATACATCCATTGGATCCAAGATGTTCCGGATCAGAAGCAGATCATTGCACAGTACTGTCGCTACACTGGAGAGATCAAGCGTGGAGCCAATGTCAAGCAACTAGTCAACAGAGCCTTGGCCTTTGCTACAAGTGAGCCGAGAGGTCCTGTATATTTGGTTGGTGCTCGAGAGGCCATGGAAGAAGACATCGAACCGTACAAGCTCGACCAACGCTACTGGACTGCAGTGGAGCCGAGCGCCTTGACGCCGAAGCAGACAGAGAATGTGGCCCGGCTCTTGGTCGAAGCCGAATCACCCCTAGTCATCACTGGCTACAGCGGACGCAACCATGACGCTGTCGGAGCACTCGTCGAGCTCGCTAATACCGTCAAAGGACTCAAGGTCTTGGACACTGGCGGTAGCGACATGTGCTTNCCTGCCGACCACCCAGCATGGCTAGGTCTTAGATATGGCATCGAAGACAACATCAAAACCGCAGATGTGATTATAGTGCTGGATTGCGATGTCCCTTGGATCCCCACTCAGTGCAAGCCCAAAAACGACGCCAAGATCATTCATATCGATGTCGATCCTCTCAAACAGCAGATGCCAGTGTTCTACATCAACGCCTTGGCCAGATATCGTGCACACTCCGAGACTGCTGTGACGCAGATCACAGAGTATTTGAAAACCAAGTTCGCAAGCGAGATCACAAGCAGCAAGTTCGAAGAGAAGTGGACCAAACTCCAGGACTCTCACAAGCAACGTTTGCAGACCATCTCTGACCAAGCAAAGCCTGGTGAAGATGGTACATACGGGTGTTCATACTTGGTCCACCAATTGCGCAAGGCGTGTCCCCCAGACACCATCTGGGCCATCGAGGCGGTAACGAACACGGCATTTGTTGCAGACCAGATTCAGGCCACTTTTCCAGGTTCTTGGATCAATTGTGGCGGCGGTGGACTTGGGTGGTCAGGAGGCGGTGCTCTAGGAATCAAGCTCGCTACTGACTTTGAGAATGGCGGCAAAGGAAAGTTCGTGGTCCAGATTGTTGGCGATGGCACATATCTCTTCAGTGTGCCAGGATCGGTCTACTGGATTGCACAACGCTACAAGATCCCCATCCTCACAGTTGTGCTCAACAACNNAAAGGTAAGAGTTTGTGATGCCATGGCCCTTATGAACATTTGCTGACAGCAAATAGGTTGGAATGCACCACGCAAGTCGCTCCTTCTGGTCCATCCAGACGGCGAGGGCAGCAAGGTTTCGAATGAAGAGCTCAACATCTCATTCGCACCCACGCCTGACTACTCGGGCATTGCAAAGGCATCCTCGGGTGGTAAGTGCTGGGCAGGCCATGCCGGTACTGTGGAAGAACTAGCGAAGATGCTTCCTGAAGCCATCGAAGCAGTCAAGGGCAGTGTTTGCGCTGTGTTGGATGCGCATCTTGATGGACCGCAAGGAAAGTATGGTGGCGGAAAGGCTGCCTTGGTGGGATGAGAGGACTCGGAGTCATGACTGGAAATATATATCTAGACGTCTTCATTGACACAGCAACGTGTTTACGAAAGCATATACCGTCTGTGTCATAGTAACAAAAGCAAATAGGGGGGTATCATGAAATCCAAAGAAACGTACATGTGTCTTTCCATCTTCCTTTTACCTGGCAGAACCAGTGCTCCTCCTTCCTCCATCCCGTCCTCGATCCTTGTCTCTCTTGCTATTCAGTGGCGAACCTGGGTTCTTGCTTGACCCAGACACCACACGCGCAGTGCCTTTTGCAGCCGGGCTCTTTGTGCCGGACTTATTGGTCTCTTCGCTCACATCCATGGTATAGTCGAACTTCAGCGTCTCATCTTTTAGTCCCGCCGCTCTGGCTTCGCAATAGATTCGGGTCTGGAGAACAGNACTATATGTTCATAACACAACAGCTCACCCATCAGCCAGCGCTCGTCTATACTTTTGGTGGTGTTCATCATTGTTCACACAGCGCGTCGTTCTGTTCTTTTTCGGTCCTTGTTGCGCAAAGAGGAGGGAAAGTGGTGCCAGATTTTATTGACCTACCTCGTGTCTTTGTCTACTCAGCAAGAGCAGCATTTCCTCATTTTCTAGGACGCGGGCGGCGCGGTTGCGGATTTCTCGCTCTTCGTAGGGGAGATCTGAGGGTTTTGGTTTGTCGGTAGGGGCGTTTGTGCCGGAAGGAAGGCGTGGTTTTGCCGTGGCGAGGGGGCGGGTGGCTGGGTCCGACATTTGTGTTTTGTGCTGTCTGTGGTGATTGTTTGTGGTGATGCTAAGGAGGAAGAGGGAGAGGAAGTAGTGGTGGTAGGTTTTGGCAAGCGCAGGTTTGGTCCTTCTTTCTTCTATTTGTTTCGTGGCTTGGGGGTTTTAGGCGCTGTTGTTTGTGATTGCTAGTGACTGCAGGTTGGTAGGCTGTGTCTGTTATAGCATGTGTACCGTGGTTGAGAGGGTTTCGTGTGTCGCTTGCTTGCTCGTGCAGGTTCCATGATGCATGATGGTTCGCGAGTGCTCGTGTCGCGATCGCGTTGACATCATTTTTGCTAGATGGATGACCCTGGCTATATGCTTACCTTGTCTTTACCATCGACCATGCCTTCCTGAAGACTATTGAGCTGCTTGTTTCGGCATATCGAGGGTGTTCTATATTCATGCAAGGCTCACATGTGATGTCTTGGGTGTCAGAGGTGTTGAGTCAGTAGTCGGAACGAATATGAGAAATTGATTAGATATATCGTGAACATGCTTGAGAATATAACTGCGGTCAACCACCAACGAAAATGTCCTACACCCAAATTAAAAACAAGAAAGTATCTTGCCTCACTTCAAGAGACAGCCATTGCAATCACAAGGCCTAGCCACCAACTACTTCTGAGTACCAGTCTTAGACGACGACACGGCAACCTTCAAACCCTTTTTCCCAACAGCACCACAAGCCCCCGAAGCACCACAATAACTCTGAAAGCCCACCACAGACTTCGAAACCGTAGTCGAAGCAAGCGTAGTAGTGCACCCAGTACCATTGGGGTTAACACACTTCTTGCCAGTCTTGGTGTTGTACTGATGCTGCAAGTCCAGCTTGAAATCCGTCATGGTCTTGTAGTTGGAGACTTTGATGGAAAAGGCGGTGTCTTTGCAGGGTGTCCATGAGGAAGTGAGCTNTTTAGTCCAGTCCCATTGGATGATGCAGGTGGTTGAGGCTTTGGTCTTGGAGTCGGTAATGGGGAAGGTGATGGTGGAGTAGGCGGGCGTCTTGATGCCGCTGGGTGTGTTTGAGTTGAGAGTGCCGAGAGTGAGATACTGAGGCGTGGTGGCTGCGCTGACCACCGAGGCAGCACCGGCGCCGAGAAGGAGTGTGTTGATGAGATGCATATCAAAGAACTAGGTTGAAGTATCGCAACAAAAGATTGACGTTTGCGAAAAGAGGTGTAGTTGGAAGCGATATTGCAAAAGAATGTAACTGGAAGAAGGATATCAAACCGGGGACTGGGAGGCCATACCCATATATACATGTCCCATTATTGGCCATAGGGCGGATCGCAAAAGGCTCTGAACCCCTTCCAAAGAAGAATACCGTTGGTCAAGAAGGTTGGAATCACGTTTGAAGTGTTCATGTCTTACAACCTCTTTGCTGCCCATTGCCCTACCAAGAACTACCCTATCAATACGCCTTGTCGATAGCGCGGGTTCACAAATGCCTTGGTCTGGAGAGAAACGGTATAAATATAGACGTTGTTGGCTCCAGATGCGGCCATGGCGGCCGTTGACAACCGTGTTCACTGCCGGCAGTCGACCAGCGCTCGCGATTCGCTCTATCAGGTACATGTTAGACTACGGTTGGGCTGTACACACATACGTCAGTTTATGCGTGAAGTATCTTCAAATATTTGGAGGATGGTGCGTAGCGTTGTATTGGAGAGGACCTCCACAGCATGGAAGTCACACTTCGGAGCGCCAAGCCTTTTCTCTTATGTCAGCTTCCAAAAGTCATCAGAACGAGACACAGTCACAACCAGACACCTAAAGACGGTCAAAGAACTTGTTGAGTAGAAACAATTAGCTCTATTGTTGATGTACTGGCGGAATGTGCCACTCTCCAAGCGCGACCCTGTCGTATCCACGCATTGTTTATGTGAGTACTATAAGCGGTTCCTCATCGTCATCTGCCTTTGTGCGTGCCTCATAATCATATATCCACATCATATCCAGTGTTTTAAAGATCCCAGATTATTCCACAGTTTCCCACACGAAACGGCGCGAAACAACCTATGCAAGCTTGGTTCTAGCGATAGAATCGTTGTTGAGGCCTCCCAAGACGACACCACCAACTGCTGTCAAGAAGGCGTTGACCCAGACACCGATCGACATGGCCTTGGTGTAGTGACTGTCCAGCTTGTAGTGTTGCCAGGCGCCAAACATGGTTGTGATGTGGTGGAAGATGGAGACGGCGATGAAGGCGCTCGAGTAGGTTCTGCTAATGCCGCCCTTGGAGTAGCCACGGGAGAGGACAGCCAGGGCAGCAGCTTGGGAGATGAGGCCCCAGCCATCGGTGCGTACGTTGTACAACTCGAGGTCTGTATGATTTTAGGCTTGCGCTTCTCTTGCTGCTACAGCTGCTGAGGGCGCGGGTCGCTTACCGGTAGGCTTCAGGTGTTTTTCTACTGGAGGACGGAACCCNNTAGAGGTGCGTTAGGTGATTTCGGTATCAAAGCTCGAAGGCCTGCAGGACGTACAGCCAATGACCATCAGAGGGTCCCAAACACGGCAGAGTCCTCTTGAGCCATACCAGAGGGCATTGCCCCAGCAGTATCCGTGGAGGAGCTACAACAAGCTCATGTTAGCTTCTCAATCATTCAATCTGTAATTGGGGTGTGGTTGGGACAGCTCCGAACATTGGAGACATGTCGGGAAGCTCTTGAGGTTCACATACAACTTTGTCCGCTGTAAGTGCCATCTTGTCCGTTTAGTAGCGAGGTTGTACAATGTTTGAAGAATGATGAGAAGCTTCGCAAGAGCCCGAGATTGCCAACTACTCAGTTATCTGCTTCCTGCCTCGGGAGTCATGACGTTCAGCCTCATGCGCGAGTGCTTTCGTGGACATTTCGTGATCAACAAAAACGTCATGTCTGACCACCGCGGTGGGCCTCGGACCTTCCCCGCATCCTTCGGAGCATTCTTCCACCGCTCACGTCTTAGGGCCTTTGATTGTCAGGCACGCGGAACTCTGTCCGACAAAACCATACGTGTAAGAACTCTTGTTTGCCATGAATCGCTAAAACGCATTACAGTATATAGAACATACCCAAAACATCACCCAAACATCCTTTCCCAGAAAATGCTTTGATATACCAGCGCCTTAGATGGAGCAATGCAGCCCCTTATATGCTTCTCCACTACCACGCCATGACCCATCGGCCACGACTTCGAATCTCGCTTTACAGCCTCTCTGTCTGACTGCTTGTACGCCGCCAGACCGCAACCATGGAAGAAGGTTCTTGCACTGGCTGACGTCGAAGAGCGAAAGATGAGGGCATCCGTCTACGACGCTCTCAACACCTTGACCAGTGACTCGCACGCACCCGCGCACCGAAAGGTATTCCAGCTCCAGAAGATGTAGACCAATGCAGCGGAGACTTGAGTCCGAGACGGCCGAGCCACAGAAGGCTAGATCGAGGTGCGTGAGATGTGTCAAGCCTAGCGAGAGAACTTCAGTCGCCGTGTCTGAAAGTGCACAGCAAAAAGACTAGGGAGAAAAACATGTTAGCCGTAAACTTTGCATAGACGATGGGCATGCGCCTTTGAAACATACCAGATCTAGCTCTTTAAGTCCTCGAGCGGCGTTTGCGATGCCCACAATCGCCTGGTCGGTTAGATATGTGCAATCGGCCAGGACAAGCTTGCGCAATCGTGGAAAATTGTATAATCCCCAGTGTTGGAACCCTTGATCCGTAATCGAGGTGCAACGCGTTAGGTCAATACTCTCGAGTCGATTGGCTGCATGTGCAGCTATATGCGCCATACTCCGGTCTTGTACATGTTTGCAATAGCTCAGTGTCAATCGCCTAAGTCCTGCAGCTCCTATTACAGTGCCTGGAGCAGGTTGATCCGCTTGTGGAACCACTGCGCTGCTTGCATTGCGTTTCATCGCTGGTCGGCGAGACGAAGAAGCAACTGGCGGTAGTAAAGGTGCTGCATGTCCAGGTAGTGGTTGTGGCACAATCCAGCCTATGATTCGTGCCAGAAGATTGTCGCCAACCTTTCGGCAATTGCTTAAATCGATATCCTCTAGGCGTTTCGCACGATTCACCAGATCCAGGATACTCTGCCCTGTTACGTCCCACACACTTCGCATCCTCCAGCTACGTACGCTCTCGCCGCAACACTCAACCAGCGCGGCAAAGCCGTCATCGGTCACATGGAAGCAATTGTTGATGTTGACGTGGCGCGCGCGAGATCCCACAAAGGGGCAGATAGCCTCTTTCAAGGCATAGTCTGTAACGCGACGGTTGTATCGCGAAAGGTCAAGGTCCTGGATGATGTCTGGGCTTGTTGTCAAGAGGCGGGTCCAATGAGGCGAGACCATTCTCAGGCGCATGAGGTCGGGCAGATCTAGGTACTGGAAGACCATAGTAAGCACCGAGTCTGGCAGAGGGCCTCTTCCTGATCGGCTAGACGGCCTGCCGAAAACACTAGGGCGTCGGCTGATGGGACGTCGAGTCTCAGACGCAGGAGATAAAGAGGAGACCGAAGACCTTGGTTTCAAGGGGGATGGTGGAAGGGCACGGCCTGCGGAAGGAGGCGAGGGTTGACGATGGGTAGTATCGTGCATAACGGGCTCTGGAGACGGAGGCGCAAGAGAGCTCCTCCTCGACTTTGCACGCACGTTGTCCATATCAATGCTGAAGAAAGGATCGGGATCCATGGGTTCAGCTGTGACAGGAGACATGTCTCTCGTGATGGCACTTTCAGGTTCGGTGTTACTGAAGGTAACGGTAGGCACACTCTTCTTCCATTGATCTTCCGGTGGTAGAGCTGAGAGCACATCGACAGCAGAAGGGGCGTCTGGCAGGATAATGTCTGTATCTTCAACCTCTTTCAGTCTCCGCTTAGCCTCTTGTTCGACCTGTTGGCGCAGATTCGAGGACCAGTTCTTCCAGAGCTCGTCCAAGACTTGTCCCGTGATACGCAGACATTCAACGCCATTGATAGAGCGAACCGTGGCCGTTCTTTTTGGCGCCAAAGAGAGACTGGTGACTTCACCAAAATATTGGCCAGGCTTGAGACGGGCTCGTACACGCTGCACCGGTAATAGCTTCCCCGTCATCTCGTGCGTCTTGTTGCCAGGCGTCTCAGTCACAACCTCGACTTCGCCACGCACCAAGAAGAAGACGTCCCGGCCTTGCGAGCCTTGGGTAATGATATCTACGAATGGACCGAAAGAACATGGCTGGGCGTTGACGCCTAGGAAATGTAGAATCTCGGCAGGTAGTCCAGCAAACAGGGGCAGCTCTTGCAGAATTTGGCGGACGGTCAAGTTTGCGTTTCCCAAAGCACTATTGGCGGCTGCCTCTGCAAGACTGGGGCTAGGCGATTTGCGACGCTTGTTGCTATCGTCCTGTGGCCCTACATCTTGCATGTCGACATCACGCTCGATGAAGTCACGCGATCGCTTGCGCAAGCCCGAAGTAGCGGGTAATGTGACGCGTTCCTTCTTCAGGCGTTCGAGGATGGATAGGCGTTCGGTGGCCTCGTCGCGTATGGCTCGCTCGACCGTGGGAAAGGCTGGAAGGACCTTTTGCAAGTCCTCCTTATTGAGCTTTAGGACTAGTGAGCGCAATTGAGCAATGATGGTGGCGGTGCGCGGAATGTCCATCAGAATGCCAATTTCGCCAAAGAAGGCGCCAGGTTTGAGCTCGGCGTATGTGCTTTCTCCATCTCTTGACGTGACTCTTAGCGAACCGCGGACCAGCCAGTACATTGCTTTGGCGTCATCGCCTTCTGTGAGGATGTATTCATGTGGCTGGAAGAGCTGAGGGCGCAGGAACTTGCCAATGGCGGCGAGAAACGAGTCTGGAGCCGAAGCGAAGAGCGGAAAGGAGCGCAGGCGGTCGGTCAGCTCGAGTGGTAAGCCATGGATGGTCGAGGCCGTCAGCGGGGAGGAGCGGACTGGGCGACTGGGATTGGATTCGTGGTCGTATGCGCGGAGCAGCGAAAGGGGATCGTTGGAGGGCAGAGCGGACGGAGGTTGGTGCCGACGCATTGTTCAGGTCAGGCACTGGCACTCGTCGACGAGGGAGAAAGGGAAGCAGGAGACGAGCACGCGTGCTCAAGGTAGTACACAATGCACAGTAGAAAGCCTGGAAGAGATTGAGAGAGCTCGACGGCGCACGGGCGCGGTCGGCGGGGGATGATGGCGGTGTAGAGGGACGAGGCCAATTGCTGTTGCGTGTTGCGGATGCCCGTGGTGGAGCAGCGTTGAAACAAGCAAGCAAATGTTCACCTGAAGCAATTCACCTCGAACAGAACCACTGACTTGCCGACTGCTAACATGCACCACTTGACGACTCCTGAAGCACACGGGGCTGTCTGTCCTGGACTATGACGCGAGGAGGACACGCTTTGGCATCAGATGGCACTCTATTACTGTATGCTCTGCGGTAGTGCGTAGCTTCGCTGCTCATGAAACGCCAGCTCGTCACCGTCTTTCTAGAGCTTCTATTCTCACCGCCTTGGACGTCTAGCGCGATGCACCGAACGACCATGTCTCCGGTATCAACCCACAGCTTCGACTGTCAACCTCTTGGATCCAGCTCTTCTCTGCTGTTCGGGAACACGACTAGACACTTGCACACAGGCATCATAGCAAAAAAGAACGGCGGCAGGTGCGGAACGGTACGAGTTACTTCCCGTTGGCAGCGGAGGAGGGCTGACCGGATCCATGACATATTCCAAGCGCGCGAGTCATTGTCAGATCGCCAGGGATCCACGCCCAGTTTCAGTCTTGCACTCTTCTGACGCGCAACCTTGACAGTTCCTGTTCGCCGGTCTGCTGAAGAATTTCTCTTTGGCCGGATGAGCGAGACGGTGAAAGTACAAGTCTGTCTATAAGGGCTGAAGTGATGATGTCTGCGAGAAGTGTATCTTCGTATGCTTAACTTAGAGCCGCGAAGCCCTTCCCCGCGTGCTAAAGTCGAAGTCTGCAACGCATCTGGACAAAGTCGCACATTACTTTGGAGAAGGAGCGCAAGTGCAGTTTCCAATGGAAGCACTCATTCTGTCAAACATACTTGGACAGTTCTACTTCTATAGCTTACATGTTGCTCTTTCTGCGAGTAATCGAGGACTTACAAGGTCGAGGTCCCTTGATCTGGAGCGGTGGCAGACAGGAAACGCTCGAGCGTGCACCCCGCACTACTGGTCGAAGCGCTTTGGTCAGTGGATTCTCAAGTGGGATCGGGGTCTTCGGTCTTTGGTGTGAATGCCCAAACCATCACCTTTTGGCAGCATGTCCAATAACCCGGGCACCTCTCCAACGCAGTCGCACTCGATATCGCTGCCCGGTCAATCGCGTCTACCCTCCGTCTCGGCTCAGCCGTCGTCGCTACCGCCTGCGCTGCCTACGGCACAGTCATCGTCATCCATAGCTTCGGGACCGGCTCCAACACCGCTACGGGATGCTCACGGTCGCCTTCTAAATCCGCGCTCTTGCGTAACCTGCCGGAAGCGCAAGGTCAAATGCGACAAACTGCACCCTTGCTCCAACTGCGCTCGCGCCCACATTGAATGTGTCTTTCCCACTCCAGGCAGAGCGCCCCGTAAACCTCGCAAAGTCAGCGACTCTCGCGATGCCGAACTGCTCGATAGACTGCGCCGTCTCGAAGGTGTCGTCAAAGGCCTCGGCGTGGACATTACGAATCCCGACTCGTTTCCCGATCCACCGCCTGACTCCCACGTAGAAGCTGGCCCTTCAGATAGAGGCATACCTGAGCTCGAAGAAGTGACATTCCATACAGCCCGCACATGCCCAAATCCTCCCGATCCTACGCACAGCAACAAACACGGCAATGAAGACGAGCAATGGGCAGCAAAAAACCAATACGTAGACGAGTCTCGCAGTGCCAAATTCGAAACCAGATTTGGCCGTCTGGTCATCAACGAAGGTCGGTCGAGATATGTAAACAACTCCTTCTGGGCCAACCTCAGTAACGAGGTTGAGGATCTGAAAGGTATAATGAACCGCGACACTGACGATGAGGCCGACGATCCTTCTCCAGTCCAGTCCCAGCCCGATCAGCACCACGGCTGGATTTTTAGTTTCAGTTCACAAAATGTTGATCTGTTGTCTCTACATCCTATTGCTGGCCAGATCGAAGCATATTGGAATGTCTACAAGGAGCGCGTGGACCCTCTTGTCAAAGTCCTCCACATACCTACCATCGAGCCTACCATTTTGGCATCTGCTTCTCATCTTGCCAATCTGTCCAAAAGTTTCGAGGCTTTGCTCTTTGCAATATACTATGGCGCTACCACCAGTCTTTCCGAAGACGATTGCCTCAACAAGTTGGGCGAGGAGAAAGGCCTCCTTCTATCACGCTATCGATTCGGTGTTGAGCAAGCTCTTGCAAGAGCAAACTTCCTTACCACAGAGGAGATGATGGTGGTGCAAGCAATCGTGATTTTCTTGATATGTTTGCGCAGAAACAACGATGCCCGCGTCATCTGGACACTGACCGGCCTTGTTGTCCGAATCGCTCAGACTCTTGGTGTGCACCGAGACGGTCTACATTTCAACCTCCCGCCATTCGAAATTGAGATGCGAAGGCGTCTGTGGTGGCAGATATGTATCCTCGATGTACGCGCTTCTGAGGATCATGGGAGCGATCCTACTATCAGTAAGTCCACATCTCCCCTCGCTATATTAGGTTCAAGTGCTAAATGAGTGCATTAGCTNGAGCAAGCCTTCGACACCAAGATGCCACTCAACATCAACGATAAAGATTTGTATCCTGCCATGACCAAGCTGCCTGATGAACGCCAGGGTTGCACAGATATGTCTTTCTGCCTCATTCGATTCGAAGTCGCCAACACATTCCGCCGCCTAAACTACATCCCACCTGGTGAACCGAGACAATGCGGCGACTTCTTTGCCTCGGTCACACTTGAGGACAAGGAGCGATGGATCAATGAATGTCACAAGAGGCTCGAAGAACGATATCTCCGACACGTGGACATGTCGGTTCCGCTGTACTGGGTCACCGCTACAGTCGCTCGTCTGATGATGAGTAAGATGTGGCTGATGATGTGAGTATCTGCGAGAGAACAGTCAACCACTCGACTAACAATGTTGAAGNNTTATCATCCCTACCAGAGACAAGACGGCGGCAAAAGTCTCTCCGAAGAAACCCGAGAGAAGCTATTCATCACAAGTCTCGAGAACATTGAGTATTCACTGCTCATGGAGACCGAGTCACGCACAGAAAAGTGGAGTTGGCTCTTCAAGACGTATATGCAATGGCACGCTCTAGCCTTCCTGCTTGGCGAACTTTGTCATCGTACGAGTGGTGACCTGGTCAATCGAGCATGGTCTTCGGTCGAGAAATGTATCCAGGCCAGCTGGAAAGAAGCAGCTCCTAAAGAGGAATCACGTAGCGGCCATTTATGGAGGCCACTAATGAAGCTTCTAGCCAAGGCTCGAATGGCGAGATTGCAAGCCATCAGAAAAGACGAAGCGATCAAGCAAGCGACACCGCCAGGAATTTCACCGGTTCTGCCTCAACCGCGCATGGTTAGGGCACCACTGAGTGCAGCACAACTGTCTCGCTTCATGCGCCCTGCTGCATATGGCACCCAACCACTAGACTCGACGGAACTCATGAACTCTCCCAAAAGCATAGAAGCCGTGGTCCTCAGCGACGACCCGATGGATATCTCACTATTGGCGCCAGAAACAACGAAAAGCATGGATCAAACCACAATCCCTATGCAAGCATCTGCAAACAATTCTTCGCAACGAGGCTATGGCTCTTTTAGTGGTGTCCCTTACCAAGGACCTTCTCCCCAAGCGACAGCAACCAACAATTATCAAGCGGCGAACCAAAGAACACCTAATGGCGATGTCAGCATGAGCATAAATAACAACAATAACACGACACCGCCTGGATTCTCACCGTTTGACCCCGCAGCAGACATTGACTGGCAAAACTGGGATCAGCTTGTGCGCCAGTTTGGACTCGAGGACAATGCAGCAGTGCTGGATCCCACCGCCGGCCAACCAGTAAGTTGGTCTGGTAATTGGGGCAATGGCAATATCAGCAGTGGTGGTTGGTTCTAGGGGGTTTTGACGATTGCATTACATCTTGTCGCTACTCAGACAGCACGAGCTCGAATGCTCATTGGCGCTTGTATAACTTATGCAGCTGAAGAAAGAATTGAACGGTTGGCTCAAAACACACAAGCAACGTAATAGCTCGCAGAACCACCATGCAAACCAGTACCGAGTCCTCATATCGTTCCTACTCGTTCTTGAACAAAAATGCTGTACGTATACCATCATGCTTTTGAGAGCACCATCAAAAGGAAACGTCCATAAAACCACAGCAGCAAGAAGCCAAAGAACAACCCTGGTACACCCGGAACCACAACATTCTAACCACCTCGACCGCCCCTAGCGCTCCAAGGCTTGAAACTACGTCCCATGCCCAGTCTGCGTGCAGTGCCAACTCTATTGCCCACTTGCGCAACACTGGTTGCATGAAACGTAGTTGCCGGTTTAAAACTCTCCATCACTTGTCCTTGACCTGCACCACTTCCCACTCTGTCTTCTTCTGGCGGAGAAGATGGCGGTTCTGGGGGAGGAGGGCTGGAGAGAAACGTGTATGGTTTTGAAGCTGTGGGTGCATTGTCGCTGCTCTTTACGGATGTGGGTTTTGTTGCTAGGGGTGTGGTGCGGAGTTTGAAGTTTGAGATTTGAACTGATTTTGCTGATGGTATGACGGAGTGCTGTGGGTGGGCTGATGGGCGTGAGGAGGATAGGTTTGAGATGTCGTTAAGAGGATTTGAGACGTGACCAGGCATGGAGGCTGGAAGTTTGGGTGGTGCATGTATTTCTGGGACGCTGGATGTGCGTGTCAACTCTAGCGACTGTGGTGCTGTGATGGCAGGTTTTGGTTTGCTGAAGAAGGACATGATGTTGGCTGACCCTTCGGCAGCTTTGTTCTTCTTGATTGGCGCTTTTCGTGCGTCGATGTCTCGGAGTCTAGCTTCTTCCTGAGCATTGTTCAGCTCTTGCATGCGAGAGGTAGCTGTCATGATCTTCGGCGGGATCGTCATGGAAGCTGTCGAGAAACCTGCTGGGTTCTGCGTCGTGACTTTAGAGGCCGGCATGAATCCAGCTACCGGCACTGTAGGTCCGCTTTGTTGCTCAGTATCCGTCCTGCGTCGCTTGTTTGCGTAGATGCCTTCTTTAAATTCAATCTCGCGTCCTTGGTCCCATCTTGTATTTTCGCTCTTGGGGAAAGTGCCATCCACTGGCCAATGGGTGTCTTCGGGAGTCTCGTATGTGCTGCGTGCTTCGATGAGTTGCTTCAAAGCAGGCTTGTCTCTTCTCAACGTTCTTGCCAGCTCGACCACTGCATCGTCATAGAGCTTGGGTCCTTGAGTCTCGAAGAATGCTTCTATTCCTCTTTGTGTGAGAAAGTGAGACATGGTCGTTTCTCCTGATTGACTGTTCTTGTTGGGACAGCTCAAGTACAGCAAAGCTTGGGCTCTGGTCATACCGACATATAGCAGTCTTCGTTCTTCGTCAATGTCATCGGCTCTCGAATGTGGTATTGAGCCTTCGTAGCAAGCAGGGATGAAAACGACAGGCCATTCGAGACCTTTTGCTGCATGTATCGTCGATATGGTGACATGCTGCTGAGTCTCGTCTGGATTCTCGTCCTGCTTCCTCTGCACTTCGCTGGAAAGCGCGATATTGGCAAGGAACAAGGTCAAAGCATCCTCATTCGCATTGATGAGACGCTGCTCCAAGCCCTCAATATCTGGGAGAATTTCCTCCTCGACAAACTCCTCTCCTTGTGCCATAGCTGCTGTCAAGTCTGCTGTCTGTGCCTTGAGTTCTTCAATGTTGGCCCATCGAGTCTCATAATCATCAGGATACTTCTTTTGCAGGAACTTGGAGAGTTCCAGCTTCTTGATAAGATATTCGACCAGATCAAATGGAGATGCTTGTTGGTCTCCCGTGCCTGTGATTTTCTTCTGTCCAGTCAAAACAAGGTTAACCAGATCTGTCAAGCCCTTCAGTGCCTGATTGGAGAGCTTTGTGTCTGATCGTGCTTTTCCTTGAACACTGTTGAGGACTACCTTCCACAGCGTACTACCTTNTTTCTCGGCTTCGTCTATCAAACTTTTCACCGTGACATCGCCGACGCCGCGTGTGGGTACGTTGATGATCCGTAATAATGCATCGTTGTGATCCGGTTGGTTGATGACGCGAAGATAGTCCAGCACCATCTTGACCTCGAGACGGTCAAAGAATTTGGTTCCTCCGACCATGCGATATGGTATGCCAGAGTTACCGAGTGCTGACTCGATATGCCTAGAAACAGCTGCTGATCTGAGCAAAATCGCAAAATCATTCGGCTTGAGCAATTCTGCACTCAGCGCCTGTGTTCTCCTGATCTCAGAGACGAGCCATTTTGCTTCCGCGTCAGCTGTAGGAAGTTTGCGAAGGACCGGACGGTCTCCAATGCCAAACGTGGGCTTGAGAGCCTTGGAAGGTCTGCTCTCGTCTTGCTCAATGACTTGTTGAGCTGACTGAAGGATCGCTCCTGCTGATCTGTAGTTCTCTTCCAGATGTATTACGTCCGTGTCAGGGAATCGTTTCTCCATGCGTTCCAGGTTCTTGATCTCAGCGTTTCGCCAACCATAGATACTCTGATCGGGATCGCCAACGATAGTGACGTTCTTCTTGGATTGAGAGAACAGACACATCAGCTCAAACTGTACGCTGTTCGTGTCTTGAAATTCGTCAATGAGGACGGCTTCGATGTTGGAGACACACTCGGGATGTTGACGAAGAAGTAGAGCACAACGGAGCAACAAGTCATCGTAGTCCAACAAATTGGATGTTCGCAGAGCTTCCTCATATTCAGCGTAGACAATACTGAACTCTTGCTCGGCGGCTTTGCGAGTGACACCATACTGCTCAGCACTGATGCTCTTGGCTTTAAGACTTGATATCCTGGCTCCAGCGCTTCCGGGTTCGATAGAGAAGCCTTGGCGTTTGATGATGCGAGTTATGATGGCTCTGCTGTCCGACATGTCGGCAATACCGAAGTTCTTCTCAATGCCGATCAGGTTGCCATATGACACGAGAAAGCGTCGAGCTACCGAGTGAAAGGTACCTAGGATGAGTTTCTTTTCCAAGCCATCGCCAACGAGGTCTTTAATTCGTTCTTTCATCTCCCGTGCCGCTTTCACGGTGAAGGTGCAGACAACAATGTTCCATGGCTTCAGTCCTCGTTCAGCGATCAGATAGGAGACCCGAGCAGTTAGTGTTTTGGTTTTGCCAGATCCCGGAGGCGCCAGCACCTGTAGTGCTAGTGAGGGCGAAGTCACCGCAAGTCTTTGAGCGCGATTTAGCCCATATAGTAATTTGTCCATGTGTGTTGGTTATTCCATTCGTCAACTTTCGGGGAAGACGCGATGGAGGCGAATTTGGTGACGCGCATTCACGTGCACTCCTCCGGCCACGAGATTGGTGAGAAACCCATCGGAATTCTGCAGGCGTGACGAGTTCGCAAACATGACGAAGGTTATAGGCAACACAACATAACACAGGTCTCGATGTCGCGCCCCAGCCAGGCAACAAGAACTACGACTAGAGGAGAAGAAAAAAACAACGTAAAAGATATGCCTCGAGGGAGAATCGAACTCCCATCTAAGGATTACCCAAGCCATGCTTGGTCATTTCGATGACCGATATGAGACCTTCGTACTAGCCGTTATACTATCGAGGCGGGTTATGGTAATCAGCCTCAGTCGGCCAAAATATAATCTTTCAACGTGACTCCCTGAATGCGCCCTGCGACTATCTTGTTCTCTCCACGCATTTCAACCCTCGAAACGCCTTACCGAGCTATTTTGCAACTTCCAAAACGCCGAAATGAGACTGCGGGTGTGAGAAGCAAGCGAGATCCCAAAGTTGATCACATGCGATGACGTGGGTGCCTGCCGCATTCGATACAAGCGTTGTTCGGTCAACTCTTCCCCGCGATAGGCAGTCACGTCTCAACCACGAGATCTCTCTGCTCTTCTTGCCTCTCTAATCACCAACATCAACATGAAGACATCATCTATCCTCGCCGCATGCGCGTCTGGCCTTGCCGTACAGGCTTTCAGCGTTCCGAGAATCGCCCAGAATGCAGTCCAGCAAGTGCAAGGCTTCATGTCGCCTGAGCAGTACCTGATCGAGCTTGCTCCTGGCGAGACCAAGTGGGTAACCGACGCAGAGAAGTGGGCACTGAGAAGGGTGTGTTCTGTCAAGCTCGTACTCTGAGAGGCTAGACTGACGCATCGATAGGAAGGCATCTCGTTCTTCGACATCACCGACACACCTGACTTGGGCTCCGTGCCAAAGTCCAACGCCGCCGTCAAGTTCCCAGCTCATACCGAGTACAATGCTACTGTCAAGGGCCTCGCCGGCAACCTGACCAAGTCGAACATGCACGACCACCTCGAGACCTTCACCGCCTTCCACACACGCTACTACAAGAGTGAATACGGCGCCAAGTCATCCTTCTGGCTGCTCGGCCAGGTCAACGACACTCTGGCACATGCCGGAGCTCTGAAGCACGGTGCAAGCGTCAAGCACTTTGAGCATGCTTGGGGACAAAACTCCATCATTGCCACCCTTCCCGGCAAGACAAACAAGACGGTTGTCATTGGCGCCCATCAGGACAGCATCAACCTCTTCTTCCCTTCGCTTCTTGCCGCTCCTGGTGCTGATGATGACGGTTCCGGCACTGTCACCATCCTCGAAGCTTTGCGTGTCCTGCTCCTCAACCAGGACATCATCCAAGGCAAGCAAGAGAACACTGTCGAGTTTCACTGGTACAGTGCCGAAGAAGGTGGTCTGCTAGGATCTCAAGCCATCTTCCAGACCTATGAGAAGGCTGGTCGTGACGTCAAGGCTATGCTTCAGCAAGACATGACCGGCTACGTCCAGCAGACTTTGGATGCAGGCGAGCCTGAGAGTGTCGGTGTCATTACCGATTTTGTCGACCCTGGTCTCACCGAGTTCATCAAGAAGGTCGTGACCACATACTGCGACATCCCTTACGTACTGACCAAGTGTGGCTACGCATGCTCTGATCACGCCAGCGCCAGCAAGGCCGGTTACCCCAGTGCCTTTGTGATTGAAAGTGACTTCAAATACAGCGACAACAAGATCCACACGACTGAGGACAAGATCGAGTATTTGAACTTCGATCACATGCTCCAGCACGCAAAGCTTACTCTTGGCCTCGCCTTTGAGCTCGCCTTTGCTCGTTTCTGATCAGCTTGATAATGTTATTGTCAAATGCATACCTGCATAGATGAGGCGTTGGTGGTGCATCCCCCATATTTATATCTGTATCTAATCATTATTCTGGTCTTATTCGCCATGAGACAATGGTCATATCTATTTGCTACTGCGCGATACTAAACCACAGAGATGAGTTAATACATCCTGCTAACATACTCTAAATCTTCAAGAAGACCAGAAGTGGCCTGCCGCTTCAAGAATCGAATCATCCGTCGAGAGAAAGAAAGATCGATTTTCGAGACGATATTCCAGCAGCCGACTACTCATGCCCTAAAGGTACGCGGCAGGGATCAACTGTACTCGGCCCTGTTCAGCTTGACGGAAGAATTTGAAAGGTTCATGCATGAGCTGAGGGCTCCTTCATCCCGCCATCAGCTATCCGTATGGACGTTCGGGAGATCATGGAGCCTTGTAGCTGGACCAGGCGGCCCGAGACATTTTCCATGATCAGTCCAAAATCTGTGGCTTTGCCTTGATACGAATAGAATTCCGTCCTTCACTCCACTCGAAGGTCCCGGCATCCAAGGCTGGCAGGTTCAGTGCCAGACCGAGACTCCATCTTGCAACGGCTGCTATCAGCGGCAGCTAGGGAAGCGATTAGATTTCGGAGCGAACGGTGATGAAACCGACAGTTCGTCTGATTCAACGAACAGACATCGACTTTGATACACCTAAACATGTGTATCATGGTCGCGTTGCCTTGTCTTCCATTCGCAGCCGCCTGACCCAGGGGTATGGGTACATAGATGCTTGTTTTGGTCTTGGTCCTGAGCTTGTCGGGCGGGCTGCAGGAAGGATGATTGACAACAGCGGGCTATCCCGAGATGCCTGTACGTACATGCACTATCTTCACTGTACCATGTCTTGACTTGTGGATTTCTTCCGTTTCTGCCGTGCTGAGTCTCTTTCTTTCCCTGGAACCGAACATGTATGCCCGTTTGTGTAGTTGCCCTCGTTCCTGGATCCCCAGCGGCTCTGCTGAATATCGCTTTCGCATTTGATGAAGTACCTGTATGTGCTATGATGCATGGTGGTCCATGACCCATGCAAATCCATCTGATTCAGGAAGGATGCCAGAACCCCAGCATGATCGTCCGTGGTGCGGAGGATCGTTTTCATCCCGTGGTGCGGAGGATTGTCTTCATCCCGAGCTGCTGGGCAGACCGACTTTGGCAGCTGTCAGCCATCGAGTCGGGAAGGCTTTTCTTCCGAAGACCCTGTACATGTCTGATTCGAACATGCAAAAATAGCCCTCACATCCAACTCGACAACGGTGCTGTCAGATGAAAGATGCAGCAGGAATCGCCTCCCATCTTCACCGCACATCTCTCTCGACTTCAGCTGCTCTGTATCCCGTTGGACCATGCTTCAGATCACAACGACTATCTTGGGCAAACTGTGGGTCCTTAAACGTTCTCGCCCAAGTCGAAGTTTAGACTTGGCGAATTTCTCCGGCGGCACGTTAAGCGACATCTGGAGCCTTCCCGAATCCTTCACCACATGCGCCACGAGTTTTGACAGCCTTCGCATCCACCTGAGTGGTGGGTTTCGGAATCCATAACTCCGTAATTATGGCGTCTGCCAGATGATGTCTTCGCAAGCCATCAAAGCCACCGAAGTTTGTGAATCTTCCATGGGTCACTTCGCTAGGCATCCCGTCACCCCATGTCATTGAACATTACAAGGGCCCAGACATTTGCGAATCGATATTCTTGCATGGATTTAACGAGTGAGAGTCGTACCTTCCAGAGCTGAGTAGCGGTTCGAAAATGCTCTCTGTGGATCGTCCTCGCGGCGCAGCACCTCATCCTGCAGACATCCTGCATGCTCGCTAAGCAGCAAAGCTGTAGAACCTTATCGTTGCCCTTAAACTATTGGGGAAAGGCTTGTACTTTGTCCAGAGTATCGGCAAATGTCGAGAAATGAATAGACAACCTAAATCCTGCTAGTTGTCCCGCACAGGGAACCCTTCAACATCTCTTGGACACAGTATCTTGAGACTGACAGAGATATTCATTGAGACCGATTGTTGCCAGTTGACACAATTAACGGCTTCGTCGGTTCAATATCTAATAGGCAATGTGCCTTTACAGATTTCGGTTTCGGGATTCCTGTAGCTCTACGTCTGTTTCCTGCCTGCTGGTATCACTATATCCTTGTTAGTGCCATGCATGGCTTGACGCTTGTTTGCCTCCACGTCGGAGAATATACGTGTACCTGGCCGCCTGCCGCAGCAGGAACAGCCTTTCTGGTACTCGACTAGACTCGATCCATGGCCCATCCAACTAGCCGGCTCTTCAGGCCGATGACTACCTATCATTCGGCTCTGCCGAAAGGCATAAGATATTGGGCTCTCTGTATGCTCCCATTGATGAGATATATTAACTGCATTGCCCATCCTTTACTAAACTCCTCTCTCAGACACTTCCTCACTCTAGCACTACATTCGCTCATTCTTACCCCTCTTTGAGAGGTGGCCACCATCGTTATGAAGACTTCAATCTTGTCCGCCGTGGCTAGCCTTGCTGCTATTGCGGCTTGTCAGAACTCGACCATTACTTCTTCTACTACTTCGCATGTTGCATCGGTCTCGTCGAGTTCTCCTCTTATTTCATCGACATCCTCCACTACCCCTCTTCTAGCATATCCTCCTCGGTAACCGCAATCACAGTCGCTCTCGACGGTTCAGCTCAGTTCACCGCTATCAATGCTGCCGTCAACGCTGCTCAGAACAGCGGCATTCCTACAGTCGTTGTCAAGGCTGGCACCTACTCCGAGTCCATTGCTATCAGTGGAACTCAGACTGTGACTATAATCGGCCCAACCGCGAGTTCCGTCGCACAAAATCAGGTCAACATTGTTGCAAACAACGCCATCGGAGTTGTGAGCATTACTACATCTAATACTCAGGGTATCACCTTGAAGAACTTGAACTTGACCAACCCTGCGACAAGTGGACTTGCTCCTGCTGTATCTGTCAGAGGTTCCAAGCACGGATTTTACACCTGCGCCTTCGTTTCCAGCAGTTCCGGTGTCTACTACTCTTCTCTCGGAACTTCTTTGATTGCCAACAGTTACCTGGAGGGCACAGACAAACTATTCTACAACTATCTTACTGTGTACGTCTACGGATCTACAATTGTTCCCACCGCAAGCAGCGCCTCTATCATGTACGCCCAGGGTGTGGCCGCTGGTCTGTCTAACGCTGGTAACTCCACTCTCGTGGTTGACTCTAGCTCTGTGATTCAGAAAGCTGGCAACACTAATACGTACGTCTATCTTGCGGCACCCAACGTGAGTGGCAACTTTACCCAAGCTATCTACCGCAACAGCAATCTCGGAAGCTTGATTGCACCAAGTGGATTTAAAAGCACTACTTGTAGCTCTGCCGCTTTCTATGGAGAGTTTTCCAACTTTGGCCCGGGAGCTTACTCGGCCAATGCACAGAGTAGACCTGGCGGCTGCGACATCCAATTGTCTGTCGATCAGGTATCTGCTTTCACCATCGATAAAGTTTTCGGGAACGCATTCGCTGGATACACTTCTGATACCACCTGGATAGATTCTAGTGTCTTGAGCGCGATTCAGAAGTCCGACTCCGCTCAGATTGCTACTGTCTCAGGCTCCTCCTCCGCCTCGAGCTCCTCTGCCACGAGCTCCTCGGTCTTGAGCTCCTCGGTCTTGAGCTCCTCGGTCTCGAGCTCCTCGGTCTCGAGCTCCTCCAACAGTCTTTCGGCATCATCATCTCTTTCGTCTGCCTTGTCTGTATCGACAGGTAGCAGCACTGTTTCAGTCTCCAGTTCGAGCGTTTGTGCTACACCCACTCCTTCGGCAACTCTTGTTGTATCTCAGAACGCTACCGTGTGCCAGTACAATAACATCTCTGCTGCTATTGCTGCTATTCCCAATGACAGCCAGCCTTACACCATCTACATCAAACCTGGCGTCTACAGCGAGCAAATCAGCATTACCAGGAATGGCAAGGTTACTCTTATTGGTGAGACTAGCTTCAAGAACGACTATAGCCAAAACCAGGTCAAGATCCAATTCTCAAGTGGTCGCGGTACAAGCTTGGGTCAGGACGAACAGACTCCTGTTATCAATTCAAAGAAGACCAACGACAACTCTGGACTGGCTTTATACAATATTGATTTCGTCAACACCTATCCCCAAACTGCCAACACTGCCGCTCTTGCAGCTGATTTCTATGGCAACAACATGGCCTCTTATGGGTGTTCCTTCATTGGTTTCCAAGATACTCTTCTTGCCAACAAGGGTACCCAAGTCTTCTCGAACTCTTACGTTGAAGGCTCGATCGATTTCATCTGGGGATACGGCACAGCATACTTCTATCGATCCGTTATTGCTTCGAACACTAAAGGCGCATGTATCGCTGCTCAAGGCCGTGTTGTGACTACTCCAGCTGCGTACATCTTTGATGAATGTTTGGTCACATACACCTCTACCTACGGAAGCACGTTTGCCGCTAGTTATCTTGGTCGTCCTTACAGCAATTACTCGACAGTTGTCTACAAGAACAGCTACCTCGATAAGCACATCAACGCTGCTGGCTGGCAGGTCTGGCAGACTGGAAATCCTCAGACCTCCAACGTCGTGTTTGGAGAGTACAACAACACTGGTCCCGGAGCATGGGTCTCAGGAACTGCCCGTGTTTCTTTTGCTACCAACATGACCGACGATCAGGTTGCAGGCTACAGTCTCTCGACTTGGGTTGGCGACACCAGCTTCATTGATCAGGCTGCATGGAACTACGAGCCGTCTTGGAGCTTCCCTGCGTCCACGACTACTAGCAGCGCTAGCAGCACTTCCTCAGGTGTTTCTGGACCTACTAGTACTTCATCGATTAATGCCCACCCTGACAGTGGTAGCGTCCCTCCTCAGTACGCAGTGGTCGTTTCGGCTGATGGTCAACACAATGCTTCATTCACAAACTTGACTGCTGCTCTCGCCTCTCTGCCTAACGATAGTACCAACCAGACCATCTTCCTCTACGCAGGCTCTTACAACGAGCAGATCCCTTCGATCAATCGCCCAGGTGCCGTTCGTGTTATCGGGTACACTCCTGGTAGCCCCGGACAGAGCTACAAGGATAATTCCGTCACCGTGACATTCGCACGTGGTCTTTCGGTGTCCCCTCTGCCCACCGGCCACAGCGATGCGGAAACTGCGACCATCGCCACTGCCTCCAACAGAATCTCGTTCTACAACATCAACTTCATCAACTCTGATAACCTTGATGGACTGGAGTCAAACTACGTGACATTGGCCGCCTCGATCTATGGCAACGACATTGGTTTCTACGGATGCTCCTTCGAAGGCTGGCAGGATACTCTTCTTACTGGTGCAACTGCTGGCTACCAGTATTATGAATCCTGCTACATTTCTGGAGCCATTGACTTCATCTGGGGTTATTCGAAGAGTTTCTTCAAGGGCTGCACTATCGGCGCTAAGAAACAAAAGTCCGCCATGACTGCTCAGAGTCGTGCTTCTGCTTCCGCCATTGGTGGTTATATCTTTGATCAGTGCTTGTTTACGGCTGCCACTGACGCAACGGTTGACCTTACCGGTACAGTCTACCTTGGTCGTCCTTACTCCGCTTATGCACTTGTTGTTGTCAAGAATTCTTACCTTGATGACTTGATCAATCCATCGGGATGGAAAATTTGGTCGGCTACCGACCCTCGCACCGACTATATCACCTTTGCCGAGTACAACAATGTCGGTCCTGGCTCTTGGGCAAACAATGTTGCTGCACGTCAAGCTTTCGGCAATGCCACTCTCTTGACATCTGATACCTACTCTCTGGAGACAGTCATGGATGACACTGTTTGGATCGATAAGACTTATTGGAATTCAATCGTTACACCTGAACCTGCCGTAGTCAACACCACCACCTCTACCAACGTTACAGTCTCTGGATCGAGCTCTTACAATGGTACCGTGCCTCCTACTGGCGCTCTCGTCGTTTCTAAAAACGCGATTGATGGTGTTACGACTTACGATACCATTCAAGCCGCTCTTAATGCTGCACCCACCTCGAGCAATACCAATGCTACTATCTTCATCTATCCCGGTGTCTACCAGGAACAGTTGATCGTCAACAAGAGCGGCACAACCATCTTCATGGGCTACTCCGACTCGACCGATGATTACAACGAGAACCAGGTCACCATACAGCAGTCTTATGGCGAGGATACCCAGGGTACTGGAAGCGATGTGGACGCTGCTACTGTCTACGCCACTGGAAACTACTTCTATGCCTACAATGTCAACTTCAGAAACAACAATGGCACACAGCAAAATATCGCTTCTCTCGGCTTTGCAGTCAAGAGCAGCAAGTATGCCTTCATGCACGGCTGTCAGATCTATGGTAATCAGGATACTCTTTACATTTCCGGAAACATGTTTACATTCAAGAGTTACATTGAGGGCAATGTTGATTTCATCTTCGGTGCTGGATCTGGTTACTTCCTCAACTCGACCATTTCACCCAATGAGGATGGTGATTCCATTACTGCTGCTAAGCGTGCAACCAACACTACATCTGCTGGCTTCGTCTTTGACCAGTGTTCTATTGTTCCTGCTGCAGGCTCCTCCGGATTCAATAATGTTTCGCTAGGACGTCCTTGGAACAACTTCGCTCGTGTGCTCTATGCTGGCTGCTATCTCGATGGATCAGTTGGCTCAGCAGGTTGGACTCAATGGAGCAAGTCTTCGCCTCAGACTGATGGTGTCACCTTTGCCGAGTACCATAACTATGGCCCTGGAAGCAATACTTGCAATCGTGCCAGCTTCTCGCAGCAGCTGTCTGATGCTGATGCCGCTCAATTCCAGTTGGCCGACTTCTTCCCTACCACTTCATGGATTGACTTCTCTGTTGTTGATGTTCAGCCCTTCACCGCTGGCTTCGGCTCTGCTCCCGCTGGATGCGTTAGTTCTTCATCTTCCTCCATCCTTCCAACATTGTCAAGCACCAGCTCTACAACATTGCCTTTGGCCACGACCCAGATTACCACAACCATCATCCAGAAAGCAACCACCTATACCACAGTGGTGCAAGGAGATGTCACATCGACCGCCGTGATCTACGTCACCGAGAATGATGGCACTACAGTGACGCCCGATCCTATTCTCAAAACCTCAATCGTCAAGTCAACTAGTGTTGTGGTTTCTACAACAACGAAAGCAGGCAAGACGACTACAGTCAAGTCTACCTCGGTTGTTCTGGCTACTGCTACCGCCTCTGCGAAGGATGTAACCATCAAGCAGACCTCGGTCGTCTCGAGCGAAACAACCATTGCAGGCAAGGATACCACCGTCAAGAGCACTGAGACCGATTACTTCACGACTACCGTTGCCGGTAAAACTTCGACTGTCAAAGCAACTAGCACCGTTCTTGTCACCTCAACATCATCTCCAAAGCCAACCACCGTTACTGAGAATCTCGGCTCTCTGGTGACAATTTATCAAACTTCGACCATGAAGGGTTCAACAATCAGCAGTGTCACTACGGTTCAAGCGCCAGATGTCACATCCTCGACGACTCTCAAGCCATCAACTGTAACCGTCTCGAGCTTCTCGATCAAAACAACCACGAAGGGAACAACCATCACCGCTTCGTGTGTTCCTACTGCAGATGCTGCCAGACTTTTCAAGAGAGGAATTGAGGCTCGTGCTGCTGGAACCACTACAATTTATATCAGTACTACAGTGACCTCGTACGTCAAGACTTCGGTGTTCACCAGTGCGGGATCAACCATCTACACTAGCGTGACGAGTACTAGCACTGTTGCACCGACCAGCACACTCAAAGCAGCTACTTCGACGGTTCTGAGCACTTCGCTTGCAACATCGATTCAAGTCGTCACCGAGAGTGCTGACGCTGCAACCTCGACCTCGGTCATTCTGTCAACTTCGGTGACTACGGAAACCATTGCAGGATCTACCGTGACCAGTCTTGCATACAGTACTGCATTCGATACTGTTTCTCTGCCTGGAAGCACTTACTACAGCGTTGCAACCATCAGCTCGACCGAGAGTATTTCTGCATCAGCAGCCACGGTGACAAGCTTCAAGCTCGTTTCTAGCACCACTGTCGTTACTGCCGAGCAGTCTACATTGACGATTACCAATTCTGCAGATTCGACAACTACAATTCAGACAACGCTTCCGGCATCTACTACGACAGTCTTTAAGACTAGCTCCCTGAAGGGCAGCACGGTCAAGGTTTCTGTGACGCCTGAGCCTACAACCAAAACGACGGTTGTGAAGAGCACATCTACGGTCTTCACGACTGTTACAAAGACTGCAAAAGATGCACCTGCTTGTACAGATTAGAAGGATTTGATGTTTATTGTATGAGGGAGGAGTATTCCAGCATTCTGCCGCTTTGACGAGATTTATGTTTTTATATCATATACGATTACAAGCTTTTAATGTACATGCCTATGCTCAACACTTCTGTTCTCTTCCATGTTGTTTGTAGCACCTACTTCAGAAAAAAACATGTACGGTCATACACCTGGTTAAATCTGCTTCAACAACAACTACGCACCGACATCCTACCTCGTCCTTGGTACCTTGATCGATGATCATGCATTTGAGTTGATTCTCAGAGCAAAAGATCACAGCGGACCAACGGAATTGAGGAAATGGTCTAGTGGTATGGCATTTCTTTGGCACGTGACTTCCGTGTTGCAAATAAAGCTAGCTGGCTTCTTTCACGGACATGAAACCGAAGAATACTTGATAAACTAATAAATCCGCCTTTCTGCATGGAAAAGATCGGGAAACATCATAGCGAGACCAAATCACTACGGATAGATACGCAAAAGGATGGAGATAAGGGGAATTGAACCCCTGACCTGTCCCATGTCTGTACGATGTCTGTACCTTGCGAAGGGACCGTCATACCCCTAGACCATATCCCCCGTTCCGTTAGAGTGCTGCGATCGTTCTAGTCTAAGAATCAGCTCAAACGGACGAGAACTGACTGAGATATCCATCCCGACGATCTCGATGCTTGGAGTCCAAATTCTCCCCTACTTCGAGGCCACAAGCAGAAAGAGCGAACTTACAGCTTTCCATGGCTGTGCTCAGCTTCATCATAGGTCGAGTTTTGAGCGAGATAACGTCGTCGCAAGTTGTGAAGCCTGGATCACAAAAATCCGCCATTAGAGCACTTTTACCAGTGTTCTACAAGGCCCATTGTGTCCTTTGGCCATCGAACGTGCGACGATATCAAAGAACGATAGCCTATGAGCTCTTTGACCGAGTATCTTCGAGTTTTCGAAGGTGGTGGGGTCCGTGAGATATAGGCGATCTCCGAATATTGACGCCCCGAACTCGAGGCTTCACGCCAAATTTGCCTAAAACGTCCGCAACGAGAGAGAAATACTTGCTCAGTGTATCTGGATATCTTGATTTGAAAGATAGTACATGCCAAGATCATTTGAATGTTCTGGCCCGGGATATTCAGTCCTCCATCTTAGGCATCTTCACGCCTTCAACCTGGCTGATACATGGAAAACTTGTGGGTCTCCTTACAATCGTTTCGAGGTTCGGTGTCGGTAGTTCCCCTCTTTTCGAACTCAGCAACAGTGATTTCTCGATCCGCGGGAGTTATACTGCAAGTAGCTTGGTGGTCTACAGAACGGTAGCTTGCCGCAGGTCGGACGAATCGCTGCTGTTTAGACGCAAAAGAGCGTGCTACCGACACCGAACCTCGAAACGATTGTACAGCTTGTGACAGCGGGTCTGATACTGACCTAGCGGAGCCGAGCACATCACGTGGTAAGGAATTACCATCAGCCTGGTCGGTTAGCTCAGTTGGTTAGAGCGTGGTGCTAATATCAGTCCTTCGTGGATACGATCAGGTACGCCAAGGCCGCGGGTTCGACCCCCGTACTGACCATCCTTTTGCTCGTGGAAGGGTGGGAAAGACCGGTATAGGTTGATAGAAGGCGGTGGTAGAGAAGGGGTGATGATTTTGGAAATTTTGGCCCCAAGAGGTGGACGAAATGGGGCCGAGCTTATTCTTTTTCTTGTTCTTTGAACATCGATAGCATGTGAACAGAGACCTACCTTCAAAAAGACTTGCCTGTGTTGTTTGGATTGAGTGGGTTGAGAATATTGCGCTTGGGGGAAGCTGGCTTAGAGCGTCTCAGATGAATATCTCCGGAGAAGAAAAACACAAATACACCTTGGACAAACAAAAATGCTTGACTTGCCGCAGACATCATCTTAGATACAGCAGAAGTTTGAGATTGTCAAACAAGAGTAGCTTGGAATGTGGTTGGAGATTTGGCTGCGTTCTCGGTGAAAATAATTATCTTGCCGAGCATACAAACGAAGGCCACAATCAACCAGCCTTCAGATATTGCCAAGAACTGTAAAAACAGAATGGAAGAGTTTGTATTTTAAGTAGAGAGAAGCAACGAAGTGTATTGAAGCACCTCGATTGCACCTAAGCTGCATCATCCCGGTACATTCCCTGCTTCATCACGCTACCAAATCCAGCTTTGAGGACGATTTGACCCTCTGAAGTTGTGTAGTTTGGAACACAGGTTCCAATCATGTCTTAGTCTTTCCGAGTATCCTTGGTCTTGTGGTCTGTAGTGATGATAAGATCTTACTGCCCGTTACCATCGCCTCGGCAAAATCAAGCATTACACCGAAGCGGAGTCATATGCGACGAACGATCTTGCCNATTCCCCTCCATCTTCTCGATATTCGACCCGGCGAGACAAATTTGGTATTGTACATTTATAGAATGGACATGGCAAGAGTCTCGAGACCTGCTGAGCACAGAGTGTCCAAGAAGCCGAGAAAGAGCATCGCGTATGTTGCTATTCACCTCTCATCAGGCCTCGGTAAACTAATCGAATATACCGAGCACAGCTGCCAACGATGCCATTCTCACAAGATCAAATGTGATGGTCAGAACCCTTGCAAGAACTGTAAAGTTGCCAACGATGCTCTATGCGAGTATCCCGTCAAAGACCGTAAGACCACAGTTCGAGAAAGGTAACACTTTTGCAGTAAGACNAAACACATATTGCGACTAACATTCTCGNNAAGCTATATCAACAACCTGTTGAAAGAGATCGAACGTCTAAAGCAACAAGTTTCCACACCACAGAGCGAGAATCGACAGCAGAGTCAAGACGACACGCCTGAGCCTTCTGCCACGACAGATCCGGGAAACCCATTGGTTCGAGATGACGCTTGGTTCGTGCCACTAGACGAAAGCACCATCTTCATTGGCGAGGCAGCATGTACTGCATTCTCGTCACGTTTGCGCCAGCTCCTTCTGCACACGCAAGCAGAAATTCATATGCCTAGAACTCACTATGTTCAAGATGGTCAAATCCTGCAAGCAGCAGATGAGAATGCACCATGGCCAAGTAGACCACAAGCTTACCTCCTTGTGGAGTCTGTCATTGCAACAGTGGGACAATGCTATCATCTCTCTTCTTTGTCTAGTGTCCGGGGTATACTAGAGAAAGCATATACTGATCGATCAGCCCTCAATCAAATGCAGGAGTGCAAGTTGTTTGCCTTGTTCGCACTTGCCCAGGTTTACTCGCCTAGATTGGCTGAATCTCAAGACTCGGTGTTTCCAGGATTGCCATATTTCGCAAAGGCTAGGGCGCTCCTTCCTGTGTTGCCTGAGCGCGCCACGGCGGATCATGTGGAAGTGCTAATCTGTATTGTGAGTTGAGGCAGCTGCGATCTGACCTTGCAAGTGCTGATGCCAGATAGNACTATTTACTCGTTGGCGATGAATAGGCGCCATTCAGCTTACTGGTATATTGGGTCTGCGATGCGGCTCTCCATGACTTTAGGCCTGCACCACAACATTGCAGAGTCACAACTGCCGGGTCTAGCTGCAAGACAGAAGAGAGCACGTCTCTGGTGGACAGTCTACGCTCTCGATCGTTTTATCGCCAGCAAAATTGGACATTCTGCATTCATCCAAGACAATGATATAGAAGTCATTCCGCCTTCAGATACTGGTCTCACCGATGCCCAGAAGGGCGATGTGGTCAGCGCCGACTATCTCTGTGCGAGTATGCGGCTGGCGAGTATCGCTGGTGAGACAATTTCTACCTTGTACAGTCGCAAGAAGAACGATCGACCGTTCGTTCAGAAGGTGCAAGCCATCTTCAAAAGCCTTCGAGATTGGTCGGCGACATTACCGGAAAGTGTTAAGATGTGGCCAGATAAACCTGCGAGCTGGCATATCGTCGCTTTACATCTATCTTTCAATCAGGTATGTCGATACTGCCGATGCCCCTTGCTGTGGCTAATAGTANNTCAGTGTGTCATCCTCGCCACAAGACCAACCTTGCTGCAGGTCTTTCATGTGACCAACCGCACGAATCGAAAAGATGAGATTCCTCAAGCTACATTCATGCTAGCCGAGACTTGCGTGCACACTGCGAGACACACCTGTCGCCTCATAACCCAAGCTTGGACAGCGCTTCCAGCTCTGGATTATTCATCGGCGCAGTATCTCTATGCTGCTGCGACCATTCTTGCAGTTTCCAACCTCTGCCTTGGATCCAACGCACAGGCAGACAAGGAGACGTTCCAATCTGCACATCATCTCATGAAGCAACTCGATCGGCTAGGAAACATCGCTGCAAGAGAATTCTGTCAACACCTGGATGCTGTTCTCGAGTGCATTTCAAGATTCGAGGGCGAGAAGTCTGAGCAATTGTTGGGAGTCACACCGCAACAGCTGTCAAACATTGATCCGCTACGGATGGACGAGGTGACGAGCGAGATGGCAATCTTCCAGAATGTGCAAGACTTGTTGTCGTATGACAATGCTGATTTGGAAGCGCTCTTCCCTTTTGACACGACAGATATATGGCCGTATGTGTCGATGCCGGACTTCGAGCTGTAAGGTAGCTAGAGTATGAGTAGCTAGCTTCGAGATGTTGAGCTTGTGAAACAGTGCGAGTCAAACACTATGGGCTGCAAGGCCTTGCTGCATAGTATACCAATAGTGAATGGCCATGTATTGAAACGCAACCCTCGTTGAATGTGTTTCCAAGTGAAATCCAAGAGGATGAAGGATGTCGAAAGCATTTTCGAGTTGGCGGCGCGCCAAGCGTTGTCTGCAGTCTGTCATCATCGCGTCCCGTCTCAGAAACGGGGATACCTTTGACCATCCAGCTTGACTTGAGCTTAGGCATTCCATAACCACATTTTCGCAGGTGAGTGAAAGTCGGTGAGACATGATGTTCGAGCTCGGACGTCGCTAACTCAGTAAACTCGCTGCAGAATTAATACATCCCCCTTCTCTCCTGACTTCTGCCTATTCTCCAACCAACTCCTCACAACCACACACAAGATGCGTTTCGCCCCGGTCGTTTTGGCCCTGCCTGCCATGGCAGCTGCCCAGCAGCAAGTTCCTCTTTTCGAGCAGGCCAAGGGCTGGTTCAATAACTTCGTCGGCGCCGCTACCTCGAACGTCAACTCTGCCAGCTCGGCAGCAGCCTCGGCCGCATCTGGCGTCCCCAATCCCGTCCACGCCGCCGCTGGCCAGGTCGAGCAGCTTGCCGTTACCGACCTGACCAAGGAGAACTACAACCAGGTCCTGAAGCCTGGCGCCGCAACCGCCAGCCCCGGTATTGAGGACTGGATGATTTACACCACTGGCGGCAACCGCACCTGCTTCGGCATGTGTGCCCGCGCTGATGTCGAGTGGTCCAAGGCTGTCTCGCTCCTCTCTGCTGTCCCCAGTGCNCCCCAGCTCGGTCGTCTGGACTGCGAGAAGGAGCCTCAGTTGTGCAATGCATGGGGTGCCGGTGCCCCCAGCGTCATCTATATGCAGCTTCCTCAACCTCTCCCCGATCAAACCACTCCTGCTACCACGGTCCACTTTATCGCCTTGAACCGCACCACCGTTTCCGCTCAAGATATCGTTGAGATTGCCACCGAGAAGGCCTTCAAGCAGCGTACTCCCTACGAGGGCTTCTTCCACCCCTTTGACGGTGTGCTTGCTAAGACTGGCCTTGGTATTCCTTTCGGTTGGGTCGTCTACGGTTTCTCCGTCATGCCCAGCTGGGCTTTGATGATTGGCATTTCCTTCTTCTCCAGAACCTTCATGTAAGTTGCTTTGCCTCATTCGCGAAATGCTAGAGTGGCAAGATACTGACAATCATAACAGNNGAGCAAGAGAATGGGTCCCCAGGGTGGTGCTGCCGCCAGACCCGCCGCCGCTGCCCCTGCCGGTCGCACTCAGTAAACGACAAAACTAAAACAGTCCACAGGATCACTCTCTCAAAAGGGTGATTTTCAGTGCAGAAAGATTGCAGGAACAACAGGATATACGAAGCACAGCCGAGTGGAGGAAGCAAAAGTGTAATAAGATGCAGTTTTTGAACATTAGTCGTTCTTGTTTTGGAGAGGAATATGCTCTGGTTTTTTTGCGAACAAGCGCTTTTTGTTTCTCACGACACACTTTGTGAGTTTTCTGTATAGTGGATATTATCACCTTCTTGTTCAAAGCACTCGAATGATGGAAGAGAAACCTGTGAGGACTCATGCATATATGTTTTGCAACACGACCAACGAATTCTTGTAGCAGGAGTAGCCACTCACACACAGAGAGAACTGCAAAGGACAGGAAATTTTAGTGATCGATAATGTTTGTTGCATTTGCTGGAAGCCGCTTCTTTGAATGATACTGGAAAACAAAAATGTCGCTGTTTCGAATAACGCCCATCCCAATGCTTGCTTTGCGCCCCATGTCCACCTGACCCTGAATCAACCGTAGACCCAAAAGAGACGCCATGAAATAAAATACAGAGAAGCGGCAAAGCCTAGAAAAATTTACTCCTCCATGAGCTCGACGGGAGGACGAGCGGTGTGAACCAAGGGCTTCTGTGCATCCATGCCAAAGGTCTCATCTACAGGCGATGTTTCACAGCTAGTATCCTCAACAGCGATGGCAGGGAGATGAGGCGAGTGGCCCTGCTCAATAGGCGAGTAGACAATAGTCCTAGAATCGGCTCTGCTTCTCTGAACTGCAGGGGCAGGAGCAGAGACAGGAGCGGTCTTTTCCTCAACTTGCTCGATATGTTGCACCTGCTCGTCTTCAGGCACAGACGACAATCTGTGCAGTGCCTCTGCCAAATCCTCGGCGTGAACCTCCTTGTTAGGAGGGTCCTCATGTCTGGACTCCCAGCCATGAGGTGGCGAAGGAGGAGGCGAGATGAAGAACAACTTTCCCGTCGACGGAGCCTTCAAGTGTTGATCCTCTTGTGTGGTGATTTTTGTCTCTGCGCCAAAGTAGACACGGATGCGTTGGCCGAGCACGTTTTCGCCATCCAGCTTGGTGCGAATATCGATTGCGGCATCGACACTGTAGAAGGAGGCGATAATGCGGCGGAAGGATTTTAGGGGTGAGAAAGAGTAGGTTGTTGCATGGCTGTCAAGAGCGGCCTTGATGGTTGCGAGGTTGGTGGCGCCGAAGATGGCAGGGTCGTTTAGGCCGGTGATGATGAGTGTGTTTGAAGGTACGGGGATTGTGGAGAGTTGAGGTAGGTTGCTGAGGTCGATGGAGAGAGAGGGCGAGTGCTTGCGCTTTGTGGGCGAGGCCGAAGGTGAAGAGGCGTGAGGAGACATTGGTGGTGTTTGGAGGGAAGTCACTGCTGCCATTGCGGATGGAGATGTGGAAGTCGCGTCCGGGCTTTGTCTTGCTATATCCGTTTGAAGGAAGAGAGATGACCAAGTATTGTCTGTTATCTCTTTGCTTTGCTTTTGCTTGTACTGGAAGGTGCTGCTGATAAGGTCTTTGTGCTCTCTGGCCTTGCCCGATAGGCGGGCCTTGTAGCATTTACATATGCCATGGTGGTCTTGCACTGCCTCATCCGACCATGGCCGTTTGCGCCGTCCTGCTCGCGCGCACGGACTCTATACGGAATGGCTCAGCCGCCGACGCTTCGGGGCCTCCTGCCACCAGCTGCTTTGTTCCCCGTTGGCGCCATGGCTGTGGTTGTTTGACCATTTGTCTCTCTTTACACAGGCCAGCCGCCGCAGCACTCTCGCTCCGACTGTCTCTTCCCTCAAAGACACACCGAGTCGAGACAGCCTAGACAAGTGTCACCTAAAACCTGCATCGCTTAAATGGAATTGCATACACGGACCTGGTCCCTCCTGCTCTCTAAGCCTCACAGCTTGCCACTTCCACATCATTCACTGCACAGCTTTTGCTTCTCACAGACCACTCTCTGGGCATTTGCTTGGAAAGCAGTGAGAAGAAGACAGAAGAAGTCCCTCGCGGCTACATCCAAGCTGTACACAGCCCTGTTCCCTTTGTACCCGCTCTTCTTTCCGCTGTGTGCCGAGACGATACTGTAAACCAAAACTCAGCCCCAATAGCTGTAACTCCACTTGGCAGAATAAGGAAGGTCAAGTAGCAACACCAACTCTGCTATCAGTGTCCCGCAAAGACATACGGCGATATACCAAGCCATCGAAATACACAATGCATTCAAAGTCATAATTCCACATGCCTTGTTTGCACGCCGTTTTAATCCAAGTACCATCGTATAGTCATAGCTATTTGGATGACAGACTTCGCACACAGAGGTCACCTCACCGGTCTACTAACCTTTGTCCTGATCGTAGGAGCCTGTGAGAATGCGCTCGGTCTCACACTGCTTTGCCTTGCTGGTTGGTTCTAGTGGTCATGGCTATACCAAGGCAACAGGATTCATCATTGCTTCGTACATTCCTCCGGGATCCCCAGGAAGACGCGTACATGGACGGAGCTCACGTACAGCCTTACGACTCTGCTCCGCCTTCTGTCTAGTGCTTCCATACTCATATCGATCCTTGGAAAACAACTCTGTACTGTTGCAGTTCAATACTAACATTATCTTACTTAGGGATTGGGCCCATCCGTGATATACGCCCTGTTGCTTCGTGTGTTCATGCCGACCACATCCACCATTCCATCTGCCGATCAATCTTTTCCAGATATCTCTCGTGCAATGATTTTGTTTGCTAGTCCCTTTTCCTCTCCGATTGTCCGGGATATGCGAGATTCCTCTAGTCGGTTCATCGACCGGATCCACGAAGTTGCCGTTCGTACGCGGGCTCGCTTTGATCGTGCAGACCACGCAGAACAGGCAGAACAACTGCACTCTGGGCTGACTTCACTGAGGAGTATTCAGCACGGAAGCGAGGGGCTGTGGCTAGGAGTTACGAGAACCAAGTCGAGTTTATAAAGGTCTAGAATGGTCCATCTTCACCACGAATAGCGCAGAGAGTGAAGTGAATATGTTCTGTCTTTGCAAACACAATGAATATTCATTCAAATCAAGAATTCGATCACGGAATGTGCGGAATCAGTCACTCCTGAAGATCGGATTGATGATCATCGATAACCATTATGCTAATTAGTCTCGCTGATGTTAACTAAGCTACCGTGCATCTCTTGAAGCAACGTAGACAGCAATCACCAGCCTGCTTGATGGAGGCAATGTAGAGATAGAAGTTGCCGCTATAAGAAGCCATCGGAGCATCACAGCAAGACAGTCAGCCAGTAGTGAGCATGTTCTTAGCAGACTCAGTCCATCAATCTTCCTTGTGGCTTGGAATGTCGCTCTTCTTGATCACGCTGAAGGAGAATTCACGTTCAGTTANCTGTAATAAATCAGCCTTTGCGCGTAGAAGTATCAGCTGAAATATATTACATCTCAGACAATCCTTGAACTCGGCAATAGTCTCATCTGTAGGACTTGTTCCAAGAAACTCCAGAATAGCAGTGCCCCGATATGATCCNNGAAGTTGAGCATATTCGCGGTATTCCGTATGTCGGTGGAATCGCTCGCTCATGAATTCTGCATTGATGAAGATAAATCGAAGTGATCCAAGCCACTTTCCGCAACACAAGCAAGTACCCAAGATATGGGTTTCCCAAGAATCTCTGTATGTGGGGTTGAAATAGATTCGTATATGTCTGACACGCTGGAGAACAACTTTGGTCAAACCGTGGTCAACTTCGCTGCTCCCGATCGTTAGTCGAAGCTGGTATTCAGGACGATAGCCATGCCGATCAAGCTCAAAAAAATGGACATCGAAGCACGTTTGGTTGTAGGGAATTGGAAGAGCTTCTTGCGAGATCAATCTGCAAGTTCGTAAGAGACTAAGTGGGCGATGATGAAGACTTGTGTTGCGTCTGTCGTAAGGATCACCTAGTTTCAGGACGAGCCCGGAGTTGGACTTGTAGGTCAGGTTCCAGCAGACATTCTGATGTCCAATGGTATAGCCATAGATCATGAGTCTGATCTCAGGAGGAAGGTCCAGCAAGTGAGATGATTGAGGCTCGGCATGGCGGACATGGTCTGGTGAAGCAGGAGGCAAACGGTCGTCATTATGGAGGCCCATAATGGACAGAAGCANCTGCTTTCTAGGATCAATAAATGGCAGATCTGTGGGTAGACGTAATCTACGTACGCGCTCCAGGACGGTCGACCAGAGCTCGATAGAAGAGGACTCAGAGGATCGAAGTGGTCAAAATGTGAAGAGACAATCCCTGTTGTGCACCGCGGAGGATCTATCAAATGAGCGACGGAGTGCGCAGTTGGTGGGACGAATTGCAAGTCGAAGATGGAGACAAGGTGGATGAGGATGACAACAGCATGGAAAGGAAGTAGCGACGCGAAGGGACATGGCCGACGAGCAAGCCAGAACTCACGAAGCCGAACTTAACTCTAGTCACTGAATAAGGCAAGAGCGACTGTGAATAACTTTTCTTCAAATTGCATCCTACAAAAGAGCGTAGGACTAACGGCGATCTGGCCAAATCAAAGGCACTTGTGATGAAAGTGTCTGGCCTTAATAATCTACAAAGCTCTTTTAGAGACTGGCTTCTGTTACAAGCAAGATTCTTCCAAGATCGCCCGTAGCATACCTCTCTTCCCCTGGTGATAAAATATACAGTGTAGAAGATTCTCAAATCTGGCACTTTTCAGGCTCTTAACCCATGACCATACCCTTAAGGCCGGACATGTCACCCTCCTTGGCGGCAATCTCGAAGTAAGAGTAGATGATNNGCTGGGATTGTTGTTAGTCGGAATCTTCTGTACGGGAAATGGATCAAACTTACGTGACAGCCATGAGGATACCAGTGCCGCTGCCGAGAGCGCCAACAAGATCACTGACAATGGAAAGAGCACCAATGCAGGCACCACCGAAGGCGGCAGCAGTGGGGATGACACGCTTGAGCTCACGGTACATGGACTCGTCACGGTGACCGGCCATCACAAGACCCTGCTCCTTGAGCTGCTTGGCAACATCGCGAGGGCTGGAACCGGAGACCTCAATCCAGGTCTTGGAAAAGGCGGCGCATGCAGTGAGCATGTAGACGATGAAGAGGGCAGTGTGGACGGGGTCAAGAAGGGCATCCTTGAAGTTGAGGGAGGGGACCTGCGTGAGATTGTTAGCCATTGCGCTCGAAGCAGATGAGAAGAGCAGAATCAACTCNNACATGTAGTAGACAAGACCAGAGATGGGGAGCATCTGAGAAGAGCCCTCGCGAGCCTCCCAAACTCCGATCATCTTAACCAAGAGGTTGTCGCTGAAGCGAGAGTAGAGCATCTGACTGACAAGGAAGACGTTGGAGGAGAGAGCCGACTGGAGCATGATGGGCATGTTCGAGGTGTAGAAGAGACGGACGGGGTAAGAACCGCGCATACCACGCTGGCGCGAAGACTTGACGGGGATCTCGACGCGGAAACCCTGGAGATAGATGACGGCGCTGAAAACGGCAATGGTAGCGATCAAGTTCATAACGTTGGGCAAGTTCTGGCGGTAGAAGGCCTCCTTGAGGGCAAGCTGCTTGTTGGGCCAGGTGACCAAAAGGTGAACAAGGGCAATGATGGCACCCTCGAACTCGGGACCTCTGCCAGTGTTGATGGTGGTGGGCGAGAAAGCTTTCCAGACGATCGACTCGCAAATGTTGGTGGCGATGAAGAGCGAAATACCACTGCCGAGACCGTAACCCTTCTGGAGGAGCTCATCGAGGAGGATGACGATCAGAGCGGCGGTAAGAAGCTGGACAACGAGAAGAACGCAAATACCAGCACCGAGGTCGGAGGGCTGGCCGTAAAGACCGGTCAGGACGTAAACGCAGGCTTGGCCGAAGGACAGGATGATGGCGAGGANGCTAGGAAGATCAGTATAGGCTCCTCTTGGCGCGTGGTTTTTCTGGGAGCTCACCTTCTGAGCAGTCTGATAGAGCTCACGGTCGGCCTTGAGGTCAAGGTTGACGTCGATGAGGTGGGTACCAGCAAGAAGCTACCAAATTTGTTAGGGCTTCTTGTTCATAGGTATTGTAGCTTCTGAGCATCTTTTGCGCACCTGGAAGACCATGCCGGAAGAAATAATGGNGGTGATACCCAACTCCATGAGGGTACCTCTGTTACTGGCCATCATCATTCTGAGCCAGTAGAGCGGGTCCGAGGTGTNCTGGACCGCGTCAGTATCGCTGTCGCGTGCGAGATGGTGCATGTGGAGCTCACCAGAGGACACAATGCCGTAGANGGGCATCTGGGACATGACCAGGAAAATCAGGAGAGTGACACCGGTCCATATCAGGCGCTGCTGGAAGGGAGTCTTGGTCTCGGGGACGGCAATCTCAGGGATGAGGGNGGTGAAGGGCTTCACCAGGTCGAGGAAGCGTACTGCGAGCACCACTTGTTAGTCGTCATGCGACAGACGTGTCAATTGACGTGCTCCGCTGCGCCAGCATTGTACTTGTTGCAATACTGCAANGGCATTGCTGCGGAGCACGTCGCAGGGTGTAGACTCACGGCCGCTCATGTTGACAATCTCTATCGGACCGGAGGGAGTGACGACGTATGGAGATGAATCAATGGGAGAGGGGAGTCGACCACCAACTGCTTCTCCTAAAGCTCCAGAGTGAGGCCAGCTGGCGACCGATTGCGGCTGGACCCGACATGGAATCTTGGCGACCATCTCCGCCATTTCAGCCCCTTGAACAAACTTGCCGTGCGTTTCACAGCTGAAGCCTTTGAGCACTGGGGAACATGTCGGCAATGCGTCTAGGTATCCGAGCTCAGAAACTGTGTCTACAGGTAGTATTGTCTGTCTAGGAATAATTCGCTTTGGTTCCTGCTCAACACCCCAGAGCGTCTACCAACATCTCAGGATGATCGCCAAAACACTCCCTAATCCGCATAGTGGTTTCTGTAGTACTTCTTGTGCTGCTCCAGGAAGAGGAACGTCGCAACAGTGTGAGGTCCCAATCGGATAAAAGCTGGAAGCTATCCACGAAACATCCATGCTGGTCCTTCCAACCCGTGCACTGCCTTGATGGTTTTCCACATGCCCAGGCGTTCGTCTTTAGCCATGATTCGCGTCTTCAATACATCGAAGGGATTGCAAAGTGTCGTCGCAACCAGACCTGCAAGAGTACTGGCTGCGATATGCGTCATGGTGCCATCGTGCATCTCGGTTTGAGCCAGAATCTCCATCTTGAACACGTCGTATCCAGCCAGCTGCCCAGCAGCCATCAACACTCCTCTTCCAAGATTAGGCACCATGCCTCTGAAAACACTCTGCTTCCAGCCTTCCTCCCGTACGATGGTGATGAATCCACGAATCGCGTTTCCGTACTTGCGGCGCTCGGCAGGCGGCAAAGCAGCATCGTTTTGCATCCGGACGTTCAGAATGTCGGCAGGGTTTCCAACAACACTACCCACCAATCCGGAGATGGCTGCGAGTCCGACAAGAAGAGTGTGTGGAGCTTTAACGCCATCGTCCTCGGCCATGTACTTGAGCTTTTCGTAGGTTGCGAAGCGCGCAGTTGAGTAGGTGAGTTGACGTAGGATGGATGCCGAAATGCCACGATACAAGCCAGCTACGCCTTCGCTACGGTAGACATGCTTGAACGTCTCGGCCATGTCGAGTGCTCCCTTGTGATGTTGTGCTTGTAGCCGAACCTTGACTGGATGACATCAGTGACAGTACGGTGCATGCGTCTTTGTCAAGTGCATACCCAGATCCAGCGGGTGAGAGAAGAGGGCAGCCATGGCTGAGGATGTACCACCGAACTACAACGGGTATTCGATTGGACCATTGCCGTAATCATTGCTTTTTGCAACGGCCTTGGTGATGCCCTGGTTGTCAATTGCCGGAAAGATAGTCATGGTTGGGGTGGCTGTTGAGGAAAGATAGATGTCCAAAAATGGAAGATGCTATTAGCTGAAGATGCGACGAGAGTTAGAAACTCAAACTCAAGATGCGATATCGAGGCACTCAACGAGTCTCGAAAAGGATGGGACTAGCATCGTACCTGCCGTCGCTGTCGCGATATCAGTTGGTCATGCCGAAAAGTAATGTACGGGGAGCACCCTGACATAGCCACGCACTGACCTCCCAAAGCTTTCTTCCAGCCTCCGTTCCAGAATTGAGCATCGCATACAACCAGGTTGGCAATTGGATTTCATAACATCCCGCTGGAAAGGATGATGAATCTGATGTCCATTCGAGCATCTGCCTCGCTATGTGGCAGATGCTCAAAGGCTACCAAACACGCTTCAATCACATCGTTGACAGTTTCGCGGCGACACAATAGCTCAGGTCAGTCAGTAACAATATCATGATTCGAGGATGGACGACGTAGAGAGTGTGACTAGAAGAAGCTCTAATCTCAAAGCGAGCTTATTGCTGGACCACATTTCAATATGCTGCCTCAACCATCGCTATTTGGTCACANAGCGAGCAATTCTACACCAAGACACATTGCGCACGATACCATATATTTTCATGCTAACAGCAGAACGCAGATTCCAAACAAAGGGAATTGACGATACACGGCAAAGCATACCCATCAGACTCGTGGACAAATGTGCCGAGTACTATTCTAGAGAATGTATCACGAAAGTTGCACCAGCAGGACAATCACCCAATCACTATCACAAGGAAATTGATCGAGTCTCGCTTCCCAGGATACCAACACCACAATGAGTTCTCCCCTGTGGTGACTGTTGGTCAGAATTTCGACTCCTTGGGCTTCCCACTTGATCATCCTGGACGTAGTCGAACAGACACCTACTACATCAACAAGAATACCGTACTTCGGACACACACATCTGCACATCAAGCCGATGTCTTCCGCGCAAACACAAGCGACGGATTCACCATCTCAGCTGATGTTTACCGTAGAGATGCCATCGATCGCTCGCACTACCCTGTTTTCCACCAAATGGAGGGTGCGATGACATGGGATCGCAATGCTGTACCCGAAAGAAAAACTCTCGCACAACAGATCTGGGAAGATGTAGAAAAACTACCCAAGCCCGATATCGTCGTTGAAGACCCAAACCCTACCACTCACCCTGAACGCAATCCTCTGCAGAAGCCTCATACTCAGGAAGAAGCCGAAGCTGTTGCTGCCCACTTGAAGCGCTCTCTGGAGAATGTCGTTGTTGAGATCTTCTCAAAGGCCAAGGAGGCAGCAGCTGCATCCACCATTGACGAAGTTCGCAACCAAGCTCAATCACAAGAACCGCTCAAAGTTCGTTGGATCGAGGCATACTTNCCCTTCACCTCACCCTCATGGGAGCTTGAAATCTTCTGGCAGGGCGACTGGCTCGAGGTCCTCGGCTGCGGTGTTATCTCTCAACCACTCCTCGACAACGCTGATGCACCATCAAGAGTTGGCTGGGCTTTCGGTATCGGTCTCGAGAGAATTGCCATGTTACTCTACGAGATTCCCGACATTCGTCTCTTCTGGAGCAAAGACTCTCGCTTCTTGTCTCAATTTGACGAGAAGAAGATTCGTCGCTTTGTACCATTCTCCAAGTACCCCGCTGCACCCCGCGATGTTGCTTTCTGGCTGCCCAAGAGCGTCGCTCAGGACGATGTCGTTACTGCCACTACCTCGAACACATCGTCATCGCCTTCTCCTGCCGGTGGTCTCGCCTCCGAGGCAGCTGCACCTGCTCTTGCATTCCATGAGAACGACATTATGGAGATTGTGCGCAGTGCTGCCGGAGACTCTGTGGAGGACGTCACTCTGGTTGATGAGTTCACCCATCCAAAGACCGGCCGCAGAAGTCTGTGCTACAGAATCAACTACCGCAGTCTTGAGAGCACATTGACCAAGGAACAAGCAAATGACATGCATGAGAGGATTCGACAAGAGCTGGTTAGCAAGTTTGCTGTCGAACTGAGATAACGCGATGGACTGTTCCTGATAGAAAACATGCCGTCTGAAGTTGCGGGATATCTTGTAAATTAGTTGTATCACATATATGGGTTGCTTTCGGTCGTAATGCTTGTGCAGTAGAAATCAGCCAAGGCAGGATACTCGTTTACGGGAAACGAGGCGAGGATGTATCTTTGATCCTTTTTTTATTTTCGCATTACAATTGGTTGGTCTAGCGAGAAAGATCCGCAAGAATTGAAGCCGAAGTATTCTCAGGGATGAACCATCTTTTCATCTCCAGTCCGTGGTTCTCGTTGTCGAGATGTCGATTATCTTTCGTTTCTCTCCAAAAACCGAAATCAATAAAGGGCATGGCATCATGTGCGCCCTATCTTTCTTTTGTGTACGATCGCACCATCTCGATCGTCAAGACTCAAGCGAGTCGTGGGAGTTGTGTTTGTGGACGAACCCGGGCGGCGGTCAGAGCTGCTTGTTGATGCTGCTTCGGTTGAGGGCTTCTGACAGCTCAGGTCTGTCCTTCAACAAGCCGATGGCCTCCTGATAGCCCATCCACCTTCTCTTGCGCTTGTGCTTTTCCGGCCACTCCTCCTTGACCTCGTCGACGGTGGCCTCGAAAAAGTGGTATGCAGCCTTGGGGGCCTTCTCGGTGAGTTGGTCTGGCTTCCTCTTCTCTGGGATCTTGCCCAGGTCGGCGTGGATTTTGCAGACTGCACCGGCTTCTTCCCAGGCCTCGCGGCAGGCGGCTTCTTCGACAGTCTCGTCAACTTCCCAACCACCCTTGGGGAGAACCCAACCACCACGGCGCATTGACTGGATGAGGAGGACGGATTTGCGGTCGTTGGAGAGGGGCACGATGCCGGCGACAAGACGTTCTCCTTGAGATCCATATCCTTTGTGAACTAGTCAGCACACAGCGGGTAGCTGGCTTCACTGCGGTCGGACGCACTNCTGGTTCTCTCTGCCGACACGAGCCTCCATAGGGCGCTCGACACTCAGGTCTTGAGTCATGTTGGTGAACGAGGCTTCTTCTGGGACGTTGAGAGGATAGACGAGTAGAGGTCGTCTGTCGAGGGTCGATGTTTGTGGCTCACGTGTCCAGCCAAATAAAGTCTGAGGCGTTCAACAGAGGCTGAGTTGACTCAGAAGTGAGTGTGAGTGTGAGTCGGGTGTGAGAGGAGGATCTAGAGGGAGGATCCGAAGGTCAGAGCCGTTCGCGGCGGGTGACTGCTATCGGAGTGAGGAAGTCATGTAGGTAGCGGCCGTCTTGTTGTGTAGTCAATTACAGGAGCGTCTGGGGCTGGAGAATTCGAGATCAGCGGAACGCTTTGCCGAAGACGAAACACATGCCTGCCTGCTGAACCCACTCTACGTTGAATACTACTCTACTACACTGCCATTCTCTCACTTCTTCAATACTTTATCGAGTAGCTTGCACGTGTAGATGTACCATCAGGCATCTATGAGGTCTTCATGAGCCGATACAAACTGTCGTTAATTGCCGCCGTACAAACAGCGGCTCACATGCTTCCATCGTCACCCAGAATTTCAGAGACTCGACGTATCACTGCCTACACTACTTATTCTTACATACTGTCTCAATCTATATATTTTGACCCCACTACCTCTCCGCCACCTTCCCTGAAATCGTCTTGACTCTTGACTGACCGACACCCCACTGTCACGCGTCTCCTCTTCTTGACCTTTGTTAGCCACCGACGCAGCCGCAAATCATAATGCCCGCAGCCGCGACCTTTCTTACACCAATTGGTAGGTCCAAATCAACAATCCAATAAAAAGAGCGCATCAAGACATGTGCTTTGCCAGCTTCCAACAGCCCGGCCGTGCAGCATGTAGGCTCCACTCCTGTAATTGTATTGGGCTGACATGGAAAACCACTCCAGGATATCAGCCAGGTGACGCCTCTCAAGCCTTGCGATCCTGTGTACAGAGTTGACATTACTAAAAAGGCGACTGTGGCTACTGCAAAGGCGATGATTCAAGTCAGAGAACCCCAAAGTCTCGTGCGTATCGATTACTTGATGGACGGCCCCCTCCCATCAATCATCGTCGCCGTCTACATTGTCACATGCAGATATTCTGACACTTTGCAGGTGGTTCCTACTATGTAATCACCAAATCTCTGAGCGCCAAAGTATACCAAGACTTGGTCGATCGCGGCTGGAGAAGGTAAGCAGTCTTGTATATTCAAAGTATAGAAAAGCTGCAGCTTGAGGGCATGAAGCTCAACAACTACCTCGCTTACTAGAATATTCTGTGATTCATAGATACAGGACGCAGGCTGACAGTTGTANNTAGATCCGGCAACCTCATCTACAAACCCGATGTATATCGATCATGCTGCCCTCACTACACCATCAGGTCAGCAAAACATCATCGAGCTCAGCCAAATCTTGCTGATGAGTTGTATAGACTGCCAGCAAAATCACTCGCCACAAACACCAATCAGAGAAAGGCTCTGAATAGCTGGAACAAGTTTGTGCTTGGAGAAGAGTATCTCAAGGAGACCACCAAGCGTTTTCCCAAAACAAAAGAGTAAGTTCGACATGTTTCTACGTTGGTTGCTCCAGTGGACTAAATACAGTGGTTCAGAGAAAAAGCCCGACAGAGGAACGGCTTCGATCTGTTGCATACAATCCATGAAGCAGAAGTCGACCAACTGAAGCCCGTTGCGTCAGCTCATCGTTTTGAGGTCACCTTAGAGCCCGATGATTGTACCGAAGAGAAGTTTCAGGTCTACAAAAACTACCAGATTCACGTCCACCATGACAAGCCTGGAGAAGTCACGAAGAAAGGCTTCGAGCGCTTCCTCTGCAAATCTCCCATAGTCCGAGAGACAGCAAAGAAAGACGGCAAGGAACTTCGCCTTGGATCATACCATCAATGCTATCGACTCGACGGCCGACTCATTGCTATTGGTGTGCTGGATCTGTTACCACATGCAGTCAGTGGAGTCTATTTCATCTATCACCAAGACTTCGAGAAGTGGAGTTTCGGCAAACTTAGTGCGATGAGAGAGGCTGCACTAGCGCTCGAGGGTGGTTACGAGTTCTACTACATGGGCTACTATATCCACAACTGCATCAAGATGCGCTACAAGGGTGACTATAAGCCACAATATGTGCTGGATCCCGAGACCCACGAGTGGGATCCGCTGGATGGAGAAGTGCGCGAGCTGATGGAACAACAAAAGTATGTTTCGTTATCACGCGAGCGTAAGCATGAAGATGGCGAGGAAGGAATACCTTACCTGCTAGATACACCAGTAGAAGTGGCTGCAAGCCCGGAGGACCTCTTCGAATGGGGAATGCCCGGTATGATGAGTGTTACAGACGTCGAAGCACAAGTGGACCTCGACAAGATGCGCATTCATATCAGCCAAGGGATGACGGTGTATACAGAGGTGAGTCAAGTCATCCAGACACTACACTCAAGACGCTAACACAACGAANNGGACCTTGTCGCGTGGGAAACCGGCGATATCGAAGACCCAAGCTCGATCAAAGGAGTCGTTGGCAGATATGTTGCCATGGTCGGACCTGAGGTTGCTAAGGCAGCTATCCTAGACTTCTCTAGCCACTAAACCAAGAGGCGTTCGATAATCGTTGCGAATCTCAAGGGGTTCATCTCAAGGAACTTGTCTCAATCATCGCAATCGGTAGACTTTCAATGTCTTTTATTCACGCTCATGTCAAGGCCTCAGATCCGAAAATTTGATGTATGACTCGATCGCAAACGTTGAGGGATAACAAGATCATGAGGAAGCCGCCATCGTCTCGAACTCTTTCCTACGTTAAGCAACGGACATCAATAAAACGATTCTGCCGACACAAGATCAAAGCTACTGTCAGCGAAGTCGTTATCAGAATGCCATCAAAAGAACATTCTGTCAATACCCAAAATATGTCCAACAACTATTATAGTGTTCTGGCTTCCAAAGGCAGCGACGACGAAGACGATGACGACTCAACCAACTCAGCCAAATCAACCGATTCCGCGAATTCAATCGACGCACCGAGCACCAACAAAACGCAATAGCAAGAAGTCTCCAACCAAGAGGTCGCCAACGAAGCCCAGCAATCTGAGAAACTAGTACAAATCATCAATGGAGTCCATCGGCAAGGACTCATCACAAATCAACTCTACAACGAGGGCTTCTGGTCAGGATACGACCGAGGCTACAATCAAGGCTACTCACACGGCAAGCATGGTGACTCTGAGGTTTCTGCCACCGAGCGTATGCAGACGGAAATTGGTATATCGCCTACTCGTCGGCGCGACAGTATTCATACATCAGCTCCTGCCACTCGAGACTTTGACTACTTGACGTACCCGCGATGCAAGGATGAGGTCGAGCATGTACAAGAAAGCGATGATGTACAAGAAAGCCCGATGACGAGTTCGATCAAGATCTTCATCACGAGAGATACAGGACATGCGGAAGAGCTCTGATGAGAAGCAGGGTTGACCCTGTTTGGGGTGCAGTGATTGTAGAGCACTATATACACTTCGCTCGGTCACGATTTCGGTTTTGAAGCATCGCATTGGTTCATTGGCTTCTCCTCTCCCCGTACGTTGATGATTGGCTGTAAAGAAAAATGCGTGCTGAGAGATAGCGCGGTCCCCCTCGAGAGAGGCTGTCTCGACGGATCATCTAGACAGAGCTCTGGCTCAGAGAAATTTGTGTATTCTGCTTATAGCTAGCTATGTTGCCAAAAAGAGAGAGATCGAATGTGAGAATATCACTAGTCATGGGTTTGGGATTTCGATCACGGTATGAAAAAATTAGTCACGGCTGGACCAGCAGAGAATGACTTGGAAGCATTTCCAACAAGAAATTTGGTTTTAGATATCGAGTGAGGCCCTGGACTCTCGATCGAGGGAGTAAAAAGGTCTACACCTGCTATCTGGAACAAAAGACAAAAGTTTGGACGACTAGGGGATCGAACCCTAGACCTTCAGCATGCAAAGCAGACGCGCTACCACTGCGCCAGACGCCCAATTATAGAATGTTGCTCGTTTAGATAATCCATAATTCGATGTTTTTGATGCCTGAGTTCGGAGCTACCGGTCCATAGCAGAGTAGGCTCCAATCAAGCACTGGAATGGCAGTTTCAAGAAAATGCAGACACGCAATCATGGGATATCTCTTGGCAAGGCACAACAGAAATCTGGTTCTGGATGAGACTATCGAACCAGATAGATTATTAAAAGCGTAGGCTTCGCTCGGGCACTTGAAACAGCATCTCAAAGAAAGCGTCTTCGTTATCTCGTCTACAACGTATTCTGGCAAGAATATCTGCTATCAAAAGAACAAAACACCCCGTCCAATGCCCAAGTTCACCACGCTAAAGTGTCATTCTGTGGTCGTAATTATACAATTTTGTTCGTCGAAGAAAAGAGAAGCACAATCCTGTTGGTACATCTAGACCTCGGGCTTTCCATGCTCAATGGCCCACATCTCGGCCTCGTGCTTGAGGCAGCGCTTAGCATACCAGAAAGTGGCCAGTGTCCAGACACCAGCCCAGATGAAAGGGACGGTCCAGCCGACCACATAGGCAGCATCTTTCTGGATTGAGAAGACTAGGGCAGTTACCACGGCAGCTGCCACCTCGGCACCGATACCCCAGAACAACGTGAGACGATGAAGCATCTGGCGGAAGTAATGGCTTGCTTCATATCTTGTGTTGAGTCTCTCGCGGAATTCGATGTTACCGGCGCCATCGACTGCAATAACGTCTTCGATGATCCAGTAAATTCCAGGACGGATCTGAGAGCCGGCAGGCATTGAAGAGATGCGGAAGGGAGAAGGGATCTTGAGGAGACGCATGCCGTCTTGAATGATCAATTCCGAGCCAAAGGCAAACATGAGAGAAGTGACAGGCATTGCCAGCAGGCGGATAGGCGGATTCTCGGGAATAGTACCACTAATAGACAGTCAGTATCGCGTCCGAAACAACTTTGGATCTATCACTTACACGATGAGTTCAACGATGATGATAACCCAAGCGAAACTGAAGTTCCAGTGGAACCAGTCGAGCTAGGTCAAAAGTCAGCACCATGATATCTTGAGCTTGCAAGTGGTATATCTTACATATGATCTGCGACCGCCTATGACTCGGCATTTGCTGCCTTTCTTCCACAGGTGCCAGAAGCGTAGTGCGTATTCGAAGATACTGATACCACCTAGAGCGGCCGTGACGATGGAGAAGACGGTATTCGGCGAGAGATCAGTGCCGTACCAGAGACCGAAGTAGAGAGCCAAGGGCATAACGATCGAGTCGAAGAGGATTAGGAACCAGAAGATGAAGATGCTACGCTTCCTCTGGCGCAAGTCGTATTCTAGCGATGGCGGTGCATATGGGTTGATGGCTCCGGGGTCTCTGGCGGGTGCTGCAAGACTGGTTCTGGGCAGGGCCAAGGATCTTCGAGGGCCGAATGGGTTGGACGATCTACGTTCTCCCGTGGGCGAGCGTACACCACCACCGACAGGGGATTGCACACCAGATGGCGACCGTGAACCGTCGGCGGCTGGCGACATTGGTGGTGAGCGTGCATCGTCGGCCGCTGGAGATGCTAGCGAGGGCGCAAACTCGACTGCTGGAGACGTCGGCATGGCGGATCGTGTGCTTGGTCGTGTGTCGAGGCAGTAATATTATACTACCAGTCGTCAGTAAGCGGTGAAGTTGTACATTCAAAGCGTGGGCGACGCACGTATTATCAAGTGTGAAACAGGGCGATTGTTGGAGAGCGTTTTCCCACTGGCTTTCTGGTTCCGGGCCGCGGGTAGAGATTGGACCGAAACAAAGAGCAGACGGCCTTGGACGATGGAAGTACAAGTAGAATCAGCACGGGGCTGTGTATTCAAAGTAGAGCAAAAGTAGGTGCTCAACACTCGCAATACGTGTAACAAGCTCAAGACTAGAGACCGGCGGATCCTGAGTGTTATCCACCTCTGCACGCGGTTCGAAATCGAGACCCTGGCCAGGAGCGTGACGTCTGCCGCGCCCTTATATTGCAGAAGTCGTCATAGGTGCCGGTATGAGGCTGAATGCCAAGGGGTACCTAGCCCGCAATCAGGAGTTGCTATCAAACGCAGACACGATGCTATAGAACAGATGCTCCTTTTCCGTCACGAGTTTATCACATGCCTCCGTATAGTGGTCCATACAATGACTCAATATCTGCGAAGTATTGACTGAAAGCGAAGTCAAACTTGGCTCTATGACTTTCTCTACTTGATCAGCTAGACTTTCTGCGTTTTCATAGCTTGTTTCAGATAAGAGTGTTAGGTGGCAGGGCGGGTGATGGATAACAAAGCTTACACGCTGCGTATCAAGTCGTTCAAGCCCCGGCGGTCATCAAAAAGCATGGCCATATATCACCTACGTACGTCCCTCCGCACATCACTTACGCACCTCATGACATAGATCATCACAATCAAGATGCGCTTCCTTCTGCTATCTCTCCTGAGTGTGCTATCGGTTGTCACAAACGCTCTTCCAGCTCATCAAGTCCCTCTGCTTCGCCATGCTGCAGACAACCGCACAGTCTCNCCCGAGCTATTCTCGGATCTCGAGGAGCTCGCGCGTATCGTCGACATATCATATTGTGTAGGTCTCACTGGTATAGGCATATCAAAGCCCTTCAAATGTCTCAGTCGGTGCTCCGAGTTCCCAGATTTCGAACTTGTCAAGGTAAGAGAGTGTTTGTCTTGACCGTGTTTTGACCATGCGCCGACATGTTACCTANNGACATGGAACACCGGCCAGCTCATGTCCGACTCTTGCGGCTACATCGCTCTATCTCACTCACAGGCGACTCCTCGCATCATCGTCGCGTTCCGTGGCACCTACTCAATCGCAAACACTGTTGTCGATCTCTCCACCGTACCTCAAGAATACATTCCCTATCCCGGTGACCCGGACTCGGGGGCTTCAGAAACCGGTCATGAGAAACCAGAAATCCCACGCTGCAATAACTGTACGGTGCACACGGGTTTCTACAGCTCTTGGAAAGTGGCTTCCTCTGCCATCTTGCCTGACTTGGAGGCTGCCATCGCAGCTTACCCAAACTATGCCTTGACTCTTGTGGGCCACTCACTTGGAGGAGCTGTTGCTGCACTCGCTGGCCTAGATTTCGTCTCGCGTGGCTGGAACCCAACCGTCACCACCTTCGGAGAACCTAGACTTGGCAACCCTGCATTGAATCAATACCTCGATCAGCGATTCAACTTGCTCAGCTCCACACGCGAAGTCTGGACGAACACTCTCGACGAGCGTCAGTTGTGCTATCGTCGTGTCACCCACATAGACGATCCGGTACCTCTGCTGCCACTTACAGAATGGGGATACCGTATGCACGCCGGCGAGATATACATCTCCAAGTCTGCCCTGACCCCAGATATCCAAGACCTTCAACATTGTGTCGGTGACCAAGACCATCGGTGCATCGCCGGACAAGATGGCAGTCTGTCAGCAGAGTCAACACTTACCAGACGCGACGACCTCAGAGCTCAGGTTCAACGCTCAGTCGATGATCTTGCCGAGGAGCGCGAGTTGGGGAAGCGAGGTACTGGTTCTTGGGTCGTGCCTTCTCGCTACAAGTTGTGGCAGCTGTTCTTCTCTCATCGCGACTACTTCTGGCGTCTCGGATTGTGCGTGCCTGGTGGGGACCCATGGGACTGGAACAGAAGTCCATATGCACCGCTTGATGGAAACGAGCAAGAGTTTGCCTGATCATGATGAGACGATGAGCCAAGATTGTATCTTGTATCCGGCGAGTTCTTTTCGTTGTAACTATCATATGCACTCATATCTTTAACTATCAAGCTCAGTCTTTCTTCTTCGATATCAACATGAGTATATTCCTCACATGCCTCGTCGATCCTGATGGACTAATTTGGTCGTCTTGCAGTGCATCAATGGCTTTGTGTACCATGAAGGACCCTCCCCTTCATTCCGTATATTACAGACAACCATAGTGTGGCTGTAAATATGTACAATGGCTGTCCACCTTATCATGGTTTTGCCGCTGGTAATACAACACAAGACCATCCTTCGTCCCACCAGCAACTGTCCTGCCTCTCACGACATCTCTATCAACCCTCGTCCTTTCGGCAATAATGCCACCTCCAGTGACATCTCCATCGGCACTTTTTCGTTCGGCAATGACAACGCCTTTGACGCCTTCTGTCCTGGAGCCTCTCATTCAGATCATGACCAATACGAGACCGCATTATTAGACGCTACTTTAACTTCAACTCTCCGCGATGAGAACCAAGCCAGTCCAAGTCCAAAACGTCGCAGGGTTTCTCAATCTGAACACTTCGACTTCCATGACGCACTACAAAGCGGATCCGAGTCCGACTTCCACCTGATTTCGTCCGAAAACAATACCGCCTTGGAGTCTGAGTTCGATGGATCATCGTCTGGAGATGCCTTTGGCGCTTCTATCAAGAGCATCGATGACAAGTATCGCTGTGACAACTGCGGCCATAATTTTGAGAGCTATAGCAAGCATTGTCGCATCGCTCACCCTATATCGCCCACTGTCTCTACGGGTACCGACTCTTCTGTTGCCCCATCTGCCGACCTGGACTGCCAGTATACCTCTATGGTCACTCGCGTTATGGAAAAATCGCGTCTAAGTTTACCAAAAAGGGTCCTATCTTCACATGTCCGGTTGTTTTCTGCACCCACTCATTCAATTCGGATGACACACTTGCAGACGTATGGAAACACTGTGCCGAATCAGCTCATCGGTTCGCACTATATCGTGACAACCATCTTCCATTCGAGTTGGGATACGAGATGAGTTTCTCAGACACCCTTGCCCGACTTTGCCATTATGGTGATCTCCAGTGTCTTCGTCAGGTTCAGTCATCCCCTCGTTGCCCCTATCCCCGGTGAACATACAAGCTACGAACGGAGATCGGCCAACATGCTAGCGGTGAGTTCCTGCTCAACAGACACGGCAAATCCGCATACCACAGTGACAGCGCACCCTACGAGGACTCTGTTTGCAAGCTTGGGTTTATGCGGCATGTGGACATGTTGTATCGTCAGACGGGGGGTCCTAGTGTTACATGCCTCTATACTGCTAACACTCGCTCCCATCGCCACAAGCTTTTCGCTATCTTCGACATCCGCTACATAGTCAACTGCTCTTAGTGTGTTACTGTACCCGTACCCCTTACTTAGCTAGCTTCGAGTTCCTACAGATACGTATCAAGACTAAATTTATAACCCCATTGTATGCATGGACCACTTCAGGCCGATGTTGTGTGTCAATGGAGAACTGCTATGAGTGGATTCCAATCGCCGGTGCAATGGCATTGATTGTCTAAAACCGGCTGAGGCTTTTCTAAGGAAGACAAAGTAAAGTATCTCGAGAACTCTGCGCGCATGACTGCAGTTGTTAGCGCCCAGATCCTCCATGCTCTTCGCAACGACAACATGCCCGTCATTGTGACCAATGGCCTTACCGCATTCTCAAGATATCTTTGTTGTGTCACTAGATCTGCACGAATGTGCATGATTGGAGTCACGGATCGCACTTCATCAAAGGCAACCGAAATCACGCAAAAGTTAAATCTTGTATCTCATTCAACCGTGCATGTGTAAATCACCTAGTATAGACTAGCTGCAGATTGTCCAAATATGCCGAGGTAAAGACCTTCTAAACAGTGGTCTTCTCCTCCTGATGAATGGTAATCGAACCCTTTCTCTCGACCTCCTCGACACGTCTCTCGAGCTCGCCGGTAGCAAAGCCCTTGCGACCACCAGCAGCAGTTCCAGGTACAAACAGAGGGGCTTGAGTAAAGAGGTAGTTCATCTCTTCGAGGGGACGACCAGCAGTCTCCGGGAGGATAGCCCAGAAGAAGAGAGCGTTGGTGAAGTTGCAAACGATAAAGACAATGTACCATCTCCAGCCAATGCTGGCAATAGCCACAGAGGTGGTCTGGCCAATCATAGTGTTGAAAGCGAAGGAGACCATAGTGGCGATTGAGACACCCTTACTGCGGGTTCTGGTGTCGAAGATCTCGGCAGGGATGATCCAACTCAAGGGACCGCAAGTAGCTGAGAAGGAAAAGTTGTACAGCCAGCAACCGACAACAATGAAGCCCCAACCAGCACCCTTGTTCGACTTTGAAGGATCATTGGCATCCGGAGGGAACTTGGCGAGCAGAACAGTTGCAACGATGAAGCAAAGAGCATTGCCGATGTTACCAAGAATGAGAGGCCAGCGGCGGCCAAATTTGTCGATAAGCATCAAACAGCAGAACTGTGCCAAAAGAGCGATCAGAGAAGAGATGGCCTGGTACTTGAGAGTGTCGTCTCCGGAGATACCAATCTGAGCAAAGATCTCAACCGAGTAGTACTGAATGACAGATACGCCAGTCATCTGAACAGAAGCCTGCAGGGCAACAGCGATAAACAAGCGACGGAAGCTTGACTTGTTCGTGAAAAGCTCCATGTAAGACTTTGCTTCGTGCTCTTTCTCGTAAGTAACGGCGTCTTGAATAGATTCGAATTCGGCGACAACCCAGGCGTCTTGAGTGTTGCCGTTAGAGTGCAATTTGGCGAGAGTCTGAAGACCCTTCTCAGTTTGCCCGTTCGACATAAGCCANNCTAAAGCAATGTCAGCCATATTGTCGAGTTGCAATAATAGATAGCCACGTACTCTTGGAGACTCGGGGAAGAACAAGATCAAAGCAGCGAGAAGCACGGCAGGGAGCATCTGGACACCGAGAGGGATTCTCCATTGTCTGCTGTCGTGGTCTCCATATGAGGTGTAACATCCGAAGGCGGCCCAAGATGCGACAAAAGCACCAATACCCAACATGAACTGCTGCAGAGAAGTAACACGACCACGGATAGAGGGATGCGCCAGTTCAGCCTGGTACAGAGGGATAATCATGACCAGCATGCCAACACTGTATAGGAGTCAGTAAAAAGTACAGGCCGAACTTAGAACTTGACCAAACGTACCCAANNGACCAGCAATGGCACGGCCAGCGTAGAGGTAGTGGAGGTTCTGAGCTGCAGTCTGGAGGGCTCCACCGACTATGAAGACAATCGAACCGATTAGGATAGTCATCTTTCTACCGAGCTTATCACCGCATGGGCCAGCGAAGAAAGCACCAAAGAAAGCACCACCAGTGAACACACTGACGACAGCACCAGTCTCGTTGGAAGTAGGATCGAATTCATTGTTGAAAGACTTGGAACCGATGGCTCCAGCGATGACACCGAGATCATAACCGTAGAGTACAGAGCCCAAAGAGGCAAAGACTGAGACGAGGAACTGATACCACTTTGGAGGCAACGCCATGGTGAGCAGACAGTATAGTGGAGATTGAAGATGATCAGAAAACAAGTCCCCATGGGGGCCACTTCTAAGATATATATACAGGGACGATCACAACCGCAGTGCTTGGTTCCGTCCAACCGGACGTGTTCCTTCCTGCGGCAGATATTGATGCCGCATGTGCTACAAGACTCACATACCATCAGCTCGATGCAGCGGTAGGTCTCGTGGGTGGCGCTACCATTAACATGGAGACGCCTCTCGGTGGGACCTCATAGACACTTCCTTGTCATTTCGGTCGCCTATTCGCACTAGGGCTTTCAAACGGATTAGATATTCGCAAGGTGCTTAGCGCGGTACTCCGTGAGATGCTCGTGGGGGTCGATGCAGGTAGCGTGGAGAGTGGCGGAGAAAACATGGAGTCGGTAAAGGCGCCCGGAGAAACCCTCGGCCACGATGCCTCTAAAATGCAAACCCTAACCGCCATATCAACTTCTTGAGGCTGAGATGTTCGCAATCAGACCTGTTTTCGGGCAAGTCGCACATATCAACCACATCTACCGACCGAGAAGCAGTTTTTCCGTTCTCTTTCGGCACCTTGTTCCTGCCAAGTTGTGCATCTCATGGTGGGAAGGATCAATGGAGGATCTTGTACCTTGGCGAACGACTGAACGTCTAATCGTCGCTGCCGTTTGGATATATGTCGATCACCAGACCTTCAACCGCGGTGTGGACGCCCTCGCGGATAATTACGAGTAAAGAGACAACTCTATTGGCGAGATCCTGTACAAGAGCTGCGTACCAAGACTCTTGCTGCGACTCGGGCCTTTCGCTACACGCCTGAATACAGAGATGCCGAAGCCCTGAGATGAAACTGTGGGCCACCATTGAATTGCTCCTCCACCGAAGTGTGATCATGTGGTGAATACAAACGACAATTTAGGACTGAAGCTTTCCTGGTATTGAATAGGTATCTTCTCTTCGTACCTCTTCGTACCTCTTTGGCTGCTTTGTTTTTGTAAAGATCTCGAGAGTTGAAGGAGTATTGCAAACCATCTGATCGTCACTTCCCGAGCACCAGTATGGCCACTTTCACCAAGATCCCGGATTCCGAGACTCCTGTGGTCTCGGTCAACCACCTTAACAAGATCGCAAAGATCAACGACAATGTTTATGGAGGCTTCACCGAGTATGTCGACGTCATCTATACCATCCGTCACTTATCAACTGACGTGTTGAAAGGNCACATGGGACGCTGTATCTACGGCGGCATCTACGACCCTGGCAACCCCCTATCAGATGAGAACGGTTTCCGCAAAGACGTAATTGAAGCCTTCAAAGACCTTAACTGCCCTGTTGTGAGATACCCTGGCGGCAACTTTGTAGCTACTTATCACTGGCTCGATGGTGTTGGCCCCAAGGACCAGAGACCTATAAGGCGAGTCTCCGCCTACATATTCGAAACGTGGACTTGTGCTAATACTTCCNNCAGACCAGAACTTGCTTGGCTTGGTGAGGAGAGCAATCAGTTTGGCACTGATGAGTTCTTGAAATGGTGCGAGGTCGTTGGCACCGAACCTTACTTTGCCCTAAACTTTGGCACAGGCACATTGGACGAGGCCTTGGGCTGGTTGGAGTACTGCAACTCTGATAAGAACACTTACTATGCTAACTTGAGACGTAAGAATGGTCGTGACAAGCCTTATAACGTAAGTCAATACTGTGTGTGAATGCGGGAGTTAGCAGCTGACTGTTTCACANNGGTCAAATACTGGGCTCTCGGAAACGAGATGTGGGGACCATGGCAGGTTGGCCAGATGACCAAAGAAGCATACGCAGACAAGGCCTACCAATGGGCCAAGGCCATGAAGTTGCTAGACCCTAGTGTTGTTCTGATTCTCTGCGGCGAGACCGGCTACAGCACTTGGGACAGCTACGTCTTGAAGGAGTGCGTGAAATGGGACACTCACACTCTGGGTGGCAGCACAACCGCCTCGCTCATCGACATGCATAGTATTCACATCTACACAGCCTCAAACGACCACCTGAAGAATGCAACAGCGCCTCGTAGTGCCGAGCGTGCTATCGAGATCACTGGAGGTCTGATCGATCTTGTCCGTATCGAAAACAAGGTGCCATACACAGTACCCGCACCAACCATCTGCTTTGACGAGTGGAACGTCTGGGACCCCGTACGTGCTCCCGGTGACATTGGTGCAGAGGAGAAGTACACTCTATCAGACGCGCTTGCCGTCGGCGTCTGGCTAAACGTCTTCATCCGTCAAGCCAAGTACATAGGCATGGCGAACATTGCTCAGAGCGTCAATGTCATCTCCCCTCTGATGACAACCAAGGACGGTATTCTCAAACAGACGACTTGGTGGCCGCTTTTGCTGTTTTCCAAGTACATGCGCGGCTGGACCGTGGCAGTCAATGTACGCTGTGGCGAGTACGAGGGCGAGACCGAGCCCAAATGGATCAGAGGCACTATTGAAACACCGTGGTTGGACGTCTCGGCCACTATCAACGAGGAGGGTATCGTCAGCATGGCTGTTGTCAACGTTTCCGACAGCAAGGACTTCTCCACCAAGCTTGAGGGTGTTGGCAGTGACTCTGTCACAGTCTACACTGTTACTGGCGACAACCCCATGGTTGCCAATACAAATGGCAACGAGGAGGAAGTTATCATCAAGGAGACCAAGTGGGATAGCAAGGGCGAGTTCACCTTCCCCAAGCACTCGGTCACTATGCTCAGATGGAAGGCTTGAATCAGCGGCATCACAAAGAAAAGCAGTTCATGTATGAAGTAGTTGGTTAAGAGGTGACATTTTAGAGGCATTATAGATTCAAAGACTTTCTCAGATCCACCCATCTGCCTTTTCGCAAAGGATCGAGCTGTTCCAGTTGATCTAGCCATGCCGTCAACTCGAGTATGGTGATCTTCTTATTGCCAGCATCAATTTCGAGGTATTCTGGAGTGTAGGTCACCAAAGCTAGGTAGATCCATTTGCAGTCCTTGGTATCTTCGAGCATGTCCTTCAATAGATCAAACTGTGTGTCGAAATACTCGATACGATCTTGGTTCGTCATGTCAGGCACTATCCTGAGCTCTGATGATGTCTTGGGGGACAGATTTGTCATGAGGTAGTTGTGGTAGAACCACAGACTCTGGTCATATGGATCAGTGTAGAGGGCGGTGATGATGAGTTCAAACTCGTCATCGAGAAGCTTCTTGCGAGCAGCAACATCGGCGTCTCTCTCCTTCAGGAGCTTGGGTATGAGCTGCAGTCTGTTGTGCCAGGCAGAGAAGTTTGACAGATTCGTCTTGATCATCTTGGTCGTGTATGCAAACTCGGACTCGGTCATAGACTCTCCTGGTTTATTCGCTTCATCGGTCTGACTCTTGTCTTCTTGTTCGAGGGTTGAGAGGTGTTCGATGGACTTGACGACTTCTCTTCGGTAGCTCCAGCCGTGGAAGTTGCGCGAGTCGTAGGAGAGCATCTTGCTGACCAGAGCCATCTCTTCTTGCCATAGACGCTTGGCAGATGTGACGGGCAGGTATTTTGAGGCTTGCTGCAGGAGCCATGCGCGGTGGTTCCAGACCCAGTAGCATTTGGGAAATTGCTTGAGCAGAGGCAGCAGGAAAGCCAGGTCTTCGCGGATCAAGAGGGCAACCTCATGTTGTGCGGGATTCAGACCGGGCGCAGGCTTTGATTCGGCGTCTTCGGCTGGCGGAGAGTCGATTTCTTTGGCAAAGACATGTTGGAGGACCAGTCGGCGGTGATTCCAGATGGTGTAGTATTCGGGGTTCTGGGCGAGCAGGGCGGACGTCAGGCTGAGCGTTTCGGCCGTGTACTCTTCTGCCTTGATNNCTAGTCATCTCCTTAGGGACTGATACAGAACTAGGTGATCAGAAGTGCATACCTTTGCCTGCACACTGTCGACCAGGGTTTGGTATGCGTCAATCTGCTTGAGCTCCTTTCTGCGCGAGGCGTCCGTCTTCTCGCCGACCGCGACGCGGGGCACGCCGTGCTGCACTGAGGTCAGCTCTGGCCGGCCGTCGTCTACCTTGATACTAGACACTTACACTCATGTCCCTAGTAGTCTATGTGTTTGTCTGATGGTTGCTTTGAGTGCATCTAAGTCTAGCTCGTTCCATGCCGCAGCCCGACCATGCTTCGAGCTGGAGACAGAAGCACCGCACGCGACATCGTCGCTTCTTCGAATCAAACCAAGACATCAATGTCGGCCCTTTCTCTTTGACCTTGAAAGCACGCTACCCTGTTCGCACCTTCTTCAAGAACCTATCATTGCACTTTTCCCTACATCGTAAATCCACCCACAAATCAACGTCTTTCCACATCCCTTCTCACCCCATCAACCATTCTTCAAGGCGACGTGGGAGCTCAACCTCGCACCGCACTATTCATTCCGTGCCTGTTTCCAAACACCGTTGGTTCAATTCTGATTGATCGCCCTTCGTCTCTGTCCCCTTCTCCGATCCAAGGACACCCATACAGGACACAAGATGCACTCCCAGCAGAGGTCCAGCGAGAATGTCCGACTTGATACTCAGCCATCTTCGGAGACCTAGCACGCTTCGAAGCCAGCCCCTGGTTCGTGGCTAGATGTCCGTCTTTCGAAGCAGCCGCCTTCATATCATCGATGGGTGTGTCCCGTTTCTCCAACCCCTGTCAAGCCGACTCCTGCATCAACAGTCTGCCGCCTCATCAACTCGTTCAACTTGGACGGTTGCAACGATGACATGGACATAGATCACGACGACCTTGACGCATCTGATATTGACACCGATGAAGAGCCAGAGGCCACAGAAGATGATGAGCCAGAGCCCATGGAAGGTATCAAATACTCTGAAGATCTCGGCTCAGCTCCTCCAATCACTCCACCTTCTCGTCGGCCCTCTATACTCAGAAACCATATCAGCTCTAGGCCTAGACCATCGAGAACACCTGATCGCTTCGTGTTCAACAGGAACCTTGACGTGCAACCTCGAGAGAGATTCATGCTATCCAGTCCTCCTCAAGAGCTGACTGCTAACGACAGGTGGAGCCGTCGACAATCTCATGCCCATGACGCCTTTGGATCCAGCACAAAGGTCACTCGAGGTCCGAGACTTGCAAATTCTCCAGTCGTAACCCGATCTTCCAGGACTCCAAGTTTGTTCATGACTAGTCGTGTCAATCCTCTCGGCCTGGTTACTCATGACAGTCCTCGAGAGGTAAGCCGAGGCGCTGTATGGGATGTTGGAGGGTCGTCCCCTGCTAGCCCCACCGATGGTGTTCGAAGTATAAGCAATGGTCGAGGCGGTCACATTACCAGCGGCACAAACGCCCCAATGTTCAGATCAGACTTCTCCAACCACATCCACGACGATACCGACTATTTGTACATTCATGGAAAGCGTCTGGGTGCTGCTATGGAATTTGATCAAGCCAACAGGGTTCTGGACCAAGGTTCTGGTCTGCTCACTCCAGGGCGATCGCCCAACGCCGATGCTGCTGCTGGTTTCAGCCCTACTATCTGGCGAAACAATGAATGGATGAAACCTGGTTCTCCTCCGCGTGAGTATCCTACCATCTTTTGCCAATCATATCTGACCGAGATTTCACATAGTGCAACGCATACAGTACAGAACAAAAAAGACCGTTCCGGTCATTCCATTCAGATAAGTTTATGTAGNACAGGTACCCCTCTGCCAAAGCTAACCTTTTGCACAGTTCTGGATGCACCAGCTCTTCGTGACGATTACTACTGTTCTCTTCTGGCATATTCTGATACAGCAAAGTGTCTCGCGGTCGGCCTTGGGCCACAAGTTTATACGTGGTCTGAGATCCGAGGGGTTGAAAGTCCTGAGAGTCTGGGTCAGCCTTTCTCTGGACACGTTACATCTCTTTCATTTTCATCGACAGAAGGTGAAGGGTCCATTCTTGCTGTTGGGCGATCTGATGGATCCATAACACTCTGGTCCCCATCTGAGGAAGCTCCACGATTCAATCACACTCATCGCTCCTCGGTCTGTTGTGTCTGTTTTGGTCCCCGAACCTTTCGCCGAGCATCTGTTCAATACCCTGGAGTCAAAGCCCAGGTGGAGTATCTTTTGGTCGGTGACGAAGCTGGTCACATCTACCTGTACTCGATTGAGTGGCCGGACAAGGAGAACGTGGACATCTTCGCATGGCCTGGCAGCATGACCGTTCTTGCACGTCTAGATCTTCACACACAGCAGATCTGTGGCCTGGCCTGGAGCCCCGACGGCCAATTCTTCGCTTCGGGCGGTAACGATAATGCGCTGTGCGTCTTCGAAACACGACGGGTTCTACAGCTTGAAAACATAAAGGCACAACACTTGATCATGGTGAGAGATGACTTTGCTTACTATGCACCCGCTGGTCAAGAAGAAGCACTGTGGATCTTGCCAGGCCAAGAGAGTCATCACTACATGCTGAACGCGGCGGTCAAGGCCCTGGCTTTCTGTCCGTGGCAGCCGTCTCTGCTAGCGGCGGGTGGAGGTAGCAATGATCGCTGCATCCACTTCTATCATATCGTCTCGGGAGCGAAGCTTGCAACTATCGACTGTTCGTCACAGGTCACGAGCCTGGTCTGGAGCAGAACTCGCCGCGAGATTGCTGCTACATTCGGGTTCACACAACCGGACCATCCTATCCGCGTGGCCGTCTTCTCGTGGCCGGCATGTGAGTGTATCGTCCGCATCCCTTAGTACGGCGAAGAGCGTGCTCTCTGGGCTATCGGGTTTCCTGGCGGCCCCGACAGTTCCACTCCTGATGAAGGCTCGGGCAGATCATCGGCAAGAGAAGGGACACCATGGTATGCGAGACGAACGCGTGCAGAGGGCTGTCTGGTCGTGGCCTCCAGCGACTCGAGCATCAAATTTCACGAAGTCTGGAGTGAAGAGCCAACGTCGTATCGCAGTGGACCAGTGACGCCTATGGGGACGAGCATGGGTCTCATGGGCTGTCTTGGAGGAAGTGATATCCTTGAGTCGCTGCATGGGGTGGAGAAGGAGGGCACTCCGGTGATTCGGTAGGCTTTTTTGTATTCTTTGCTGGTCGGGAGGATGAGTGCTTGGGAGAAGTCTGGATTGTGGTTTCATTGTTCTTTTGTTTTTGTGTTTCGTTACTTCACGCCTAAACAGCCGCACATCAATCGATCCTAAGATCATTCGCTCGGAACACTTTTGCAGCAAGGTGAAGGTTCATTGCAAATCATTCTTTTCTTATTCAATCCATCTCTACTGTATACACAGGCTGTGACGAGGATGAAGGTAATCTAGATGCAAGCAAAAGAAAAAAGACTAAAAAGTACAAGCTGGGGGCGTGATATAGAAAAACAACAGATAAACTCCCTCCATGATGTCCCATGACCTTCGTGATAATATATGAGAAAGAAAAAGAAGCAGCAGCAGCAAGCAGAAACGCCTTTTTCTTTTGTTTCCAAGAAACGAGATTGGATTCCAAGATGAAAGGGAGCAGCAAGCAGATCAGATCAGAGAAGAGGGCACATCTATGCACCAGCCTCAGTCTTGGTCTTCTTGGCCTGAGGAACCTCGGCCTCTTGATCGACCTGGTCTTCAAGCTCGCGCTTTTCGGCGACGCCGTTGAGTTCCCTTTGCTTCTGCTCGAACTTCTTCTTCTCCTCTTCGGTCATGTTGGGCAGGAGGGNGTCTTCGGTCTCCTTGTGCAGGTTGCTGTAGAAGGTACGGATGATGGAGTCGGCGTCGTCAATGGCGATGGGGCGGACGTCGGCGAGGGCCTTGATCTTGGCTGTGCAGAGCTTGACCTGGGCGTCGGTCATTGTGAGGGAGAGTTGCTCGACACGCGACTTGATGGCGTTCCAGCCGGTCAGGCGGGAGGCGAAGTGGACGTAGCGCTTCATGCCGAACTAGTGGGTTGTCAGTACAGGCTTCAGAGCACGAAAAGGAGAGAGAGAACATACGTCGGCAGGGTCAATGATCTCGTAAGTGGAAGGGTTGGCGAGAATGGCCTTGGCGTGGATACCAGCCTTGTGGGTGAAGGCCGAGAAACCGGTAATGTAGTTGTTGAAGGGAATGTTGATCTCGACCGAGTCGGCGACCAAGTCCTCAATGGCCTTGAGCTTGTGCAGGTCGTACTTGCCCTTGACGTAGTCGCGGTCGGCGACGATCATGCGGGCCATGAGACCACCCAGAGGGGTGATACCGTTGCGCTCACCGATACCGATGACCGAGGTGTCAATGTGAGTGGCACCGGCCTCGANGGCACAGTATGCGTTGGCAATGGCACAGCCAGAGTCGTTGTGGAAATGGCACTCGATGTCGCAGCTGACGACACCGCGGAGAGTTCTCACGAGGTCGTAGACCTGTCTGGNGGAAGCACAGCCGACGGTGTCAGCGATACCGACTCTGTTGACACCGACCTTGTCGACGGCAGCGTAGAGCGAGAGAAGATCGACCAAGTCGGATCTGAAAGAATCCTCTGACGAGAATCTGATTTCGAGACCCTTGGACTTGACGAACTGAATGACCTCGATGGCGGCATNTCTGAAGGCTGAGTTAGTGTCTGAAGGAGGAATTGTGACTTTGACAGTGACTCGTACCTTGATGTAGGTCATGTCCTTGCCGTGCGAGTGCTCTCTCAGGAAAGAGCTGGTGCCAATGACGACGTCGACACCGTCGACACCAGTCTCGACGGCAACCTTGACATCGTCCATGTGGCAGCGGACGTGGGTCAGGATCTTAGCCTTGAGACCGAGCTTGCAGATGGCCTCGCAGTCGAGGCGCGACTGCTCCGAGGCACACGGCGAGGTGAGCTCGATGCAGTCAACACCAAACTCGTCCAGAGCCTTGGCGATCTTGATCTTGGTCTCGGTGTCAAAGTAGGCATTGGCAAACTGCTCGCCCTCACGCAGCGTCGACTCGATGATCTTGAAGTTGGACACGTTGGACAGGAAGTCGCCTACGGGTTGGTAGGGGTTCTTGTTGACGGTGTGGGGCTTGCCCTTCTTCTCGAAGTCGCTCTCGAACTTGGTGAAGCCATCGTGAGNCTGTTGCACCGTGTTAGGAAAAGGATGGTTTGCAAGGGATTTCAGTTGCTTACAGCCATTGGCTTGAACGCCGTTGGTGGCAGGAGCGCCGTCGTCGACTGTGGGACACATTGTGGTATAGATGGGTGTGGGAGGGTATGATGGAGGAGGGAAAGTGAAACTGGCATGCGAAAGCCGACGAAGTTTTATGAACAGCTGCTTGAGTCACTGCGAGCCACGGCCACAAATTCGGGTGGGGAACCATGACATCGCTTGCAAATATGCACCGACCACCCCCGACATCGCCCTTATTTTCTTGGAGAGAAGGTCAGCAGCACTCCACGTGCAGTTCGAGAATATTCATCCACTGAGTATCATCCTCTCAAGGAGTCTATCAAGACTTTCCTCCTGGCAGTGAATCACTCGACTCACACATACAGCTTGCAGTCTGCTGTCTTTTGCAGCCTCCGGTCTTATCAATCCCTCTATTGATCACCGCTCCAACAAACAAAAAGAAGTTGAGCCGGCGTCATGTACGGAGACTGCCGTTCGTTCGGCCTAGACAGCGGTTGACAATCCACCATCTCCGCAGCCCTCGTTGTCCAACCATCGGCCCTCTGAATTCTATCACTGACTTTACGCATCCATTTCGTTGAGATACGCCTTGTCTGTGTTGCAGCAATCAATTCGATCTTTGTACTGAGCAACAACCTGCGAGCCATGCCACCATTCTGTATGTGATGTTGGTTTTTCTCTGCCTTTGGGTTTCAACTCCGCTTCCCCACACTCGATGCTCGCGTGTCTCCTTGGTCCCTTGTTGTGGGTTACCGTATTGTGATTGAGAGGCGCTGGGTAGTAAATTTGTAGTATGAAGCCTGGTCATTGTGAACGGTTCTGAACCAAGATATGCAAACAGAGGGCGAGAAAATAGAATTGAAGGGTATATGCACAAACGATTGCTTTTACAAGCCATGCTAGAAGAAGGGTATGCTCAGAGTGGGAAACAGAGAAGCCCGACATGACCCAGATGGCAGTCAGGCTTCGAAAGGACAAATGCATCAACGACGATATTCTCGTTCTCTACCGCTCTCAACCACTATCTCTCTTGTATTGTAGCTCGAGCGACTGGCGTGAGGGTCATCAATGTGGCTGTTCCTTGGCCCAAGGTTCCCACTACTGCGATGGCCCGAGCTGCGAGGAGGTTGTACATAGCGATATGTATCGTAGTCTTCTTTGTGCGGGTGATGGTGCGGGCTTCTGCGTTCTCGCAGATATTCCTTCTCGCGAAGGTGGTATTCACTCTGAGGGCCAGTGGCTCTGGAGCGTGATGTGGTTTTGGAGCGACGGTCGTCGCTTGAACTACTGCTGCTGCTACTGCTCGAGCGCGAGGATGGCGTTACTTCGACGTATTGGGGGCCGGTGTGAGAGTGTCTTTCTGATGCAGGTGCTGGGGGTGGCGGAGGTGGGTCGTAATGGCTATGGTGGTCGTGGTGATCATGGTGCTCAGATGGCGGGGCATAGGCTATGACGGGAGGAGGTTGCGGAGGTTGCTGTATAATGTATGTTCGTTCTTGAGCACGCGGGGGCTCCTCGTAGTATGCACGCGAGACTCTTGTGGTGCGTGGAGGAGAGCGACGGCGGTCTCGTCGTACTACACGGGCTGGGACGGCGTAGTCGTCGTGATCCTCTTTACGCTGACCAGACACATGGTGGTATACGCGGGCAGATGCAAATGAAAAGAGCAAGACAAGAGAGGTGTCAGGACCTACGTTTGAAGATACAGACGGGATCAAATACAAGCAGGGTTGCGACAAACCTGCTTGCCAGTCGAGGTGTGGCTGGTTGGCGAGATTGCGACTGGGCTTGCATGAATCTTGCGGAGCCCCAGTCCCACTACGACACGGTCGTGACCAGGATACAAGCAAACATTGTGTCGTGAAGACAAGCGGATATCTGCTGGTGTGACAAGACTTTGCAGGTACTCGATCTGACTATTGCTCGGTGGAGCGAGAATGGAAGAATGCGATGGTCTGGAACGCAACAAGATAGGAAGGAGCGAGAGACTCGGATTGCGCGACTTCCGTTTGATGGAGCGTGCGGAGCTCCTTCTCCAGACTGACGCACCAAGGGTCATTTGTTGTTGTCGGTGTAAAGTGGAAAGATCCAAGAACAGACAGTACATGCAAGCATGTCGCCTGCTGTTTCCAGTCTTCTCATATCGCATAGAATAGCAACAAGATGACTAGCAAGCCTTTGCCCAGGGCTGCTGCTGGTCCAAATGGCCTTCCTAAACAAAGGGCCGGTCTCACAAGTATCGATGCGCCTCGCCGACCCAACACACCAAGCAATGTTTTTGCTTCGCTCAAGGTCACTCAGATTCTCACCTTGAAGCCTGTCTTACCTGCTGGTCAAACCTCCTGAAGGATACTTCATCCACTACACAAATCATGCTGACCATAACCAGAACTCATTGCGACCATCCTTGATTACCTTCCCGTGTCCGACTTGATAACATGCGCGAGAGTATCCAAACGCTTGCAGGAGATGGTATATGATGACACACGATGGGTTGCCAGACTAAGGGATATGAGTGTGTGGAACGAGACGGAAGCACGACAACGATACGAGGAATCAAAGAAGAAGAGACTCAGTGGCCGTCCACAGGCCGACCGGAGCCATACACTTTTCGACGCCCACGATGAGGAAGAGAAAGTACGGAAGTCACTAGAACAAGCTGCGATACCCAGGCGGCCGAGGCACAGCAGTGTGACTGACGGCTTTGATGATATGGCCATATCACAAAATCCTACTTTCGACGCAAAAGCTGCCACCACTGCTCTGCGTAGAGTTCGTTCTATCCGAGGCCAGGCTAGACAAGAGTACGGCAAGGTCCACAGTGCTTTGGCTCCTTTCTACTACGATCTAATTCGCTCAGAAAACTCGGCCGATCCAGCTGTCTTTCGTCTTGTTCAAGACCCCGAACAACAAGCGCGTATCCTTGCCGACCTGAGAGTCTTTGCACGAAGTGACGGTGCCCAAAAGTGGCGCCAACGTCAAGACAAGCTCGAATCTATGCTCGGTATCTTTGAAAATGCCAGAATCAACGACTTTGAACAAGCATACCAAGCTCAGGACGTCGATCGCATGAGGCGCTATGCTCATGTCTTGGTCTCTCTCAATGGAGGAGCCGCCGGTGTCGACATCTTCATATCAAATCACCCTTATATGCGCCGGAAGGACCAGGTCGGAAGTCCCTTGGATTGTTTGCAAGACGTTGCTCCTGGACATGTGGATCTGAATCCTTCACAGAAGTTTTTCGAGAAGCTGGCTTCCATGTTGTCGATGCAGTCGTCTCTCATTGATCAAATCTTTCCGAACTCCATCAACGTTCTCCTTCCGTTCACGACCCGGGTTTGCGAGGACATAGTCTCGGACTATATCACGACATTGTTTATCGAAGCCCATGAGAACAACGTAGAAACATATCTCAAGGCTGTATCAGGGATATTTGAGCAAGCCATGCGCTTTGCAGTTTCTATTCAACCACCAAAAGCATCCGGCACAGATTTCCACGACCAGATAAAAAAGGTCATCTCACACATCTTCGAGCCACATGTGGATCGCTACCTGACAGAAGAGCTTGAATACTTTATATCCAAGTGCAATGACGAAGTTGGTGCCTGGGAGAAGCAACTCTCGGACCAAGAGGCAGAGACTGAATCTTTCTTCATGTCTGGCGTTAACAGACAAGCAGCGAAGCGCGATTTCTTGTCTTCTTTCAANAAAGTGGTCATGATGCCGGTTAATGCCCTACCAACCTTCCCATCTGCAAACAAGGCAACACCTGTAGTTGTGAATCCTGGCGCAGAACAGACCTCGCGACCAGAGACACCAGATTCACTAGCAACACCCAGACCGGCGCCGACAACAGAGCTGGCAGCCAAGACTGCCATTATGAACTCACGACTCGAGGGTATCAAGTCCTTGTTCAGCATAGAGGTAGCGTTGAGCTTGATCCACCATGCAAAAGCGTCGATCGAGCGAGCCGCAATTTTCATCCGCATGGGTGACAAATATGCCACGTTAACGAAGGAGCAGTGCGACAAGATCTTCGTCAGTCTTTTGGAGATTCTTGGTCGACGACACATTCAAACCGGCTTTGACAAAGCAGTAGGTCATTTGAGCAGCTACAANCCCCGCGCCGTCAAAGAGTTCCGCTCAGGACAGACAGAAAAAGAAGGAGCGACTGGTGGAGTTGAGCCACTAGTGACCTTCCTCGAACTTGTAAACGTCGGAGATCTGATTCAACAAATGGTCGATGTCTTTTACATGCAAGAGCTAGTCACACCTGGCCTGACTGACCGTGATGATTTCTTGAACCCCGCCGTCAAGGAGAANAAACGCTTTGAACAGATGCTAGACGAGCGTGTGGCAGCAGGCATGGGCAAAGGCATCGACGTCCTCATGGATGAAGTCGAATACATGTGTGCGACCCTCCAACTCACCTCCGACTTTAATACTGATGCTGTGGATGCCAAAAACCTAACAGCAATCGACAAGCGCGTCAGTATTATGGGGCTTGTCGACATTGGGCCTACAGAAACGGCTAATCGCGTGGTTGATACCATTCAACAGCACACAGGCATGCTAGTCGGCAGCACAGATAAGAATATGCTGGATGTGTTCAATCAAGAAGTCGGGCTGAGGTTATTCGGTGTGCTGTGCAAACACATAAAACGTCAACGCATCAGTGCCGATGGAGCGATAAAACTGATCAGGTATGTTTTCCTCCTTCACTCTCCGAACTCTGTCATCTCTAACACCTCACCNAGCGACATCAACCTCTACAGTTCCTTCATCACCTCTCTCCGCCAAAAATCACTATTACCTTACTACTCTGCCCTCCGCGAACTCTCTCAAATCTACCTGGTCGACTGTGGCGGTGGCAATGACAAGACATCAACATCCATCTTCTCGACCTCTGCTTCTTCGACGACGCGAATGGCGCGCTGTAAGGAACTGGCAACCATCATCGCGGACAACGATAGATATCATGGCATCTTTCGCGCAGAAGAGGTTTATGAGTTTGCAGAGAGGAGGGCAGATTGGTATGCCGTGAAGAGAGATGTCGAGAGGGCCATGTATGGTATAGGATGTACGGTCATGTAAAGGGCACACTTCAACTTCAGCAAAAGAATAGAATTGGCAATTTTGACCACCAGCCTTTCTTTGTCCAGATGGTTCTCCCTCTCAAAAGTCAAAATAGGGGTGGACTTTGGTTCTTTTGATATTTGGCCGATCATAAGCAAAAACGGAACCCTCTATAGTACATGGGTCCATTGAACCTCGAAGCATGTGCGAGGGTGCCTCCTGCTCGTCAAAGGGATTGCTTGTAATGTGCGGAAGTATCTTAAAAGTCTTACGTCTCGTTCCGGTCCCCAAAGGGTTCAGGTATGCATCAGAAGCTTGTGTCTTCATAGCAGAATCGTATCTTGTTCATGCATGCCTGTCTCTGCGTTTCCTCATGCCGTCGTGCTCTCTTCCGTAGATGAGAAAAAGGCGTCACTCCGACATGGACGTGCTAGTTCCATGGTCTCGTCCATGACTTCTAGTCGTCTCCGATACGTGGTGGTGATTTTGACTTGGGCGAGCTGAGCGAGAAGGGACTGTGTTCGCCGCGATGATGGGATCCACTGTAGTTCTCAGTCAGCAACAGTATCTTCTTGGGGGCAGCAAGAAAATAACTCACGAGCGTCTCCTCTCCCCCTCTTTCCTGAACATCTCAATCACCCTCAACATCTCCTTTCTACCTCCCGTCGCATCCACGTTTTTGCCCTTCATACTCATGCTAACCTTGTCTTGCGCATGCGCCTGCAACAACCTTCCAAGCAACAAATGCTGCATCAACAAACACACAAAAACACCACAATCACTCCCATTCTCCTGCTGCGGCGAATCGTCCAAATTCACAAATTTCAGCGGCTTTTGGAGTAATTGAGAGATATGGTGCGACAGCATCTTGGCCTCCTCCATGTTGGATGGGCAGAGTGAATCGTAGTGGAAGGCTACACCGTCGACGACGCTGACGAGCAGTAAACTCCAGTGGGACCCGCCTTCTGCGGTTTCGACGTCGCGGCAGTCGTTTACGGGGAGGAAGATGTGGGTTGTGTGTTCGAAGCTCGGCAGGGCGGACTTTAGACTCATGGGGTCGTTGGTTTGGAGGAGCATAAAGGCCATGCTGGGGCGGAGGAGGACGATGCGGGCTTTGGGGTAGGCGTTTAGTTTTTCGTGTTCGAGGTATTCTTCCCAAAAGGCAATGGCCTGGTGGTTTTACGTGTTAGTTGAGAGAGGCTGATTAAGAAAGGCGGGATGGGCAAATACGTTATCGGTGAGCCAGTCGTTCTTAATGCAGTCGACGTCTTCGACCGTCACTGAGTCGGTTGGTCAGTATTTGGTGTACGGTTCGGAGAGACTCTGGAAGGGACGAGCATACANTCGAATGTCGTGATCTAGGGCCTGTCAGCTGGTGCCGCTCTATGGTAGCATTGGACTCTACTCACAGCTGAGATATGCGTCGTCAGGTTGCAGGGANNCTGTACCATGTATCTGTCAGCATCTTCTCTTACAACAACGACGGCGTAGCATTTCAAGTCTGCGACATACCTTGTCGCCGAAGCGTCTGCTTACTCGCCCTCCAAATGGGTGGAATCCCGATGACATGGTTGCTTCTAAAGGCGTGTTTCTCGAGCGAGTGTTTCGTCTTTTCTTGTATGCAGATCTTCTTTCTCGGTTGACGGTTTGGATGGAAGGTGACGATCACAGGCAAGAGTCAGAGTGTCCTAGGAAAAACAAGGAAACACAGCGTCCTCGTTGTAGGAAAAGAAAGTCGATGCCATTGCGCAACGCCTATCACGTATTGAAGCTATGACGACGTGCCGCGCGCCTCGGCTCGGCTGCAACGATAACACCGCGACAAGCATAACTCTTTCATATATTTATGCAGCAACTATCATCTAGCAAATATCAAGACTAATAGCTACTGTCTAAAAACTCAATCCTCTGTCTCAAACCTGTCGAAACAGCAAATTCTCCCTAACGTTACTCATCACTGGTGATAAGCTTGCAAAATCTGCTCCAGTCTTCCCTTGGCATCCACTTGCTTCGATAGCGTCTTGACATATCTCCCACTGCTAGCTTCGATGTCTTTCATGTCTTTGCGGAGGTCTCCACGCGCTTGCTCAAGACCCCTGACAAAGTTCTCTTGCATCTTGGTCCGCTTGATGCAATACTGCTCGAGTCTTGCTTCATTGTCCTTTTCGAGACGCTCAATGAGTTTCACTCCATATCTCTCGTAGTCGTTGCTGATGTCCTTGATAGCAGACTCATGATCCTTCAGATGGTTCGTCAACCGACGAGCTATGCGTATCAGTTGATCGTAGACATCTCCTTGGTGTGATTCTAGCGCATCTCTCCACATTGACAGAGCGCTCTTCGGTTCGTTTTCGCCATCTGTATCCGACGAGTCTCGTGATTCAGAGCCATCGTGATCATCATCGTCTCCATCATCCGAGCTTTCGTTCACAAGTGTCTTGTCCAGATCGTCTTCTTCCATTGGTTCGTCGCCTTCGGGGTCTTTCTCATCATCTCCTCTGACTCCTTGCGCATTCTTTCCAGAGATTACCCTTGACTGCAGAGCTTCCACCAGGCCAAGCGTTCTTTGTATAGTGTGAGCTCTCCGAGGCGGACTTCCCTGCCGTTCCGCGAATGTGTCTCCCACAGGGTCCTTCTGAAGCTCAAATATTGGCGTGTATTCAGCAGTCACCAGAGCGTCTCCGTCAAATCCGGCGTGCGCGATGGCCTGCGAAACCTGACCTGTGGAATACTGTGGTGGAGCATGCATCTCCTCCAAGGGACTTTCTGATCTGATTGCCTCTTTACGCTTCGATGCCCCGACTCGGATGAAGGGGTCATCTGTAGTCTGACACGTCAAGAAAGAAAGCGGGAGTAAAGCAGCGAACGTCCTGTTCTGTCTTGCTTGAGGAATCATTGGTGACTCTCGAGGCGCATCCTCTCCGTACGGGATAGGAGATCCATTGTCATTGACCTGAGAGAGTCTTCGCACGACAGGATTTGTTGCTGCTAGTGGTTGTATCGATCGAATGTGGGAATCTCGAGTGCCTGCTCTCAAACGTTTGGCAGGTTCTCCAGTCATCTCAGTAGACGGCCGCTTTCGATCGAGTTCAGGCAGTACCGTCTGGCTGACTTGCAGATTCCTTCTTGTAATCTTCCNCTGACCATCTTCTGCTGGGGGCATTAATGTTTTACTGCCACTTGCCTTAGACGGTCTGTCGATACGTGGCGGCTGGATAATCTCAGGGGACACTGTTGCATCATCCTGGGTAGACAAAGCTTGGGTGTACGGTTTGGCGACCGACTTCTCCAAGGCGACGGGAGTCGGCTCTCTTGCAATGTCAGACTCGGTTTGTGCACTCTCATTCACCAGCGGTACCAAAGACTTGGTCGTGACTTTGTTTCTGTGGAGCCTCTCGTCAGGTTTTCTAGGCTCCTTGGATATTTGTTGAGGAACATCTTCGACCAAGGGCCCAGACTGATCTGTGGATTGAACAACCGTCTGCTTCTTGTTCAGGGGCATCTCTTCTGTAAGGGCTCTCATCGATCGAGTGTTCGGACGATTGTGATCATCAACAATTGGTCTCATTGATAACTCAGATCCTGCTGATCTCGCGCCTTTGCCTGCAGAGACCTCAACACTCACTGCAGTTTTGCGAGGGTGACCACTTGCTGCTTTTGGTTCAAACGCAGGATTTTGATCGGATGTAGTATAGAGTAAAGAAGCGACAGTGTCAGCATGAGCAGGGATTGTAGGGGCATCGAAGTTGAGTCCCTTGTTTGACTTTAAGTTTGAACCAGACGTTTCGTCGAGGGTGGCCGGTAGCTCTTCTGTAACGAACTGATGAACATCTGGAGAAGAGGCTTCTCTGGACGGTGGGTCATGGATGGAAGGTTTCTTGCTGTGTCGCGATCCCTGATTTCTGGGACCGTTGACTCCGAAGCCTACGAGGTTTGGCTTGCGCTGGGCACGCTCCTGCGCCAACGAGTCAATACCGGAGTGGCTGTCATCTGTATGGGCTACAGACGGCCGGGTTGGTGGTTCGTGGGCAACTTCGAATTGGAACTCGAGAGGCCGATTTGTGGTCGGGGANNGTTTTTGCTTCTCCTGTGTGTTCTGGCTCATCACCTCATTAATGATCTTGCTGTAGCTGGCATCGAGACCTTGGTTCATGGCATCTTCATCGTCTTGGTTCAGATCCTCGTCATCGATATTCACGGGATGTCGTTGCGTGGTGCCTTGCTGAGGTATGGGTTCATACGCTGGACTCGAAGGTTTCTTTTGGATGGGGGCTTCCTTTCTTCCCTTGGGCCGAGTAACGGCTGGAGTTGCGGNCACTGTACACATCAGTAAGCAAAGAAACCGTGTAACGAGCGTAGTTTCTTACTGATCAGGACTGGAGATGGCTTGCATGAGCTGTGCCTCTTTTTCTGTCCTGCGTCGAGGTTTCGCTTTCTCGACTATGGGAAATATCGCTGGCTGGACTTGAGTTGCGAATTGTGGTCCAGTAGCACCTTCCGAATTAATGTGAGTCACACTGTCCTCGAAGTCTTCAATCTCTTCTCCTCTATTTGGCGGTACGGTCTTTTGTGACACAGATTTCCCTTTCTTCGAGGCCTCATTTGCTGTAGCGTTTCGAGTGGAAACGTTGAGCCCATCGTTCTTGGTGACCTTTTGCGTCTGAGCACGTGTACTTGCTCGCGTCGTGGTGGCTGCTCTTGACCTGTGCGTTTTGGGTGCGTTATATTCCTCATCGTCATCATCTTCATCATCCTCATCACTGGCTGGAACCTTGGCAGTCTTTTTCTTAGGCTGACTTTTGACATGCTTCTTGCTGGGGGTTATGGATGCAGCTGTTGGTTTTGTGGCCCTGGTCGATCTAGGATTTCCTTTTTCAGGACGCTGTAGTACGGTAGACTGTTCATCGACATCTGGATCTGGCGAGAAGTCATACTCGCCGCGACCCTCAGGGGCTTNGGATTATCCGCGACGGCTGTTTGGTGGGAAGTTTTTGAGACTGACTTTGGTGTTGTTGTGCGGGTTTGGGAGCAGGCTTAGTTGCAGGGGCTTGAGAAGGCCGCGCTGAAGTCTTCTGAGAAATCTTAGTTCTGGGGACAGCCTTGGGCACAGCCTNNCTGATACTTGTCGTGTGGTGTTTGTCTGGCTGGTCTCCCCGGCCTTCTTCTGTCGAAGAAGAGCAATGGACGACGTTTCGCCTTGGTTGACGATATCAGGAAGAGGCGGGGCAGGTTTGGATGACTTCTTGAAAGTTGTGCTGGCTGCTTTTCGGGCTTGGCTCGCGGAGGTGGTGCTCTTGTCAGTCGAAGATTTAGGTGGCATGCTGGGCGTAGAGGGACCAGTGGTGGCGGAAACGTTGAGGTTGGAAGATCCGGTACGATTCAGTGGAGTTGCGCTATTGATATGTTCGACCCCAAGAGAATCAGATGGTATTCTAGCAGAGCTAATCGTTCTGGTGTCTAGCTTGGCAGGTGGGGTGGCAGGTCGAGGACGGACTGTGATACAGTCTGCTGTGTCTTCGTCGTCGTTTGCTGCCTCAACGTGTACAAGACCGTGTGCTTGCGTCGAAGCCTCTGTAATAGCGTTTTGTTGAGATGAGATCAGAGGTTGCGGTTGGTCTGAGTCTTCCTGATGGTTGCTTTCAGGTGATAGGTTCTCTGGCGGCGCAATTTGGACCGAATCCCGCTCGATAGTGTGGTTTCCTGAAGGTGGCTGCTCCTGTGAAGGGGCTCCGATGGAGCTCAGCAGGATAACCGGGGCTGGCTGGCTCGAGGTGATGACCTCTTCCTCACACGAGTCCTTGACAGGCCGATGGTTGTGAACAGGCGCACTAGGCTCGAGGAAGTTGAGTAGAGTGCTGGGCCGACGGACAGGCGCTGGACGTTGATACTCAAGAGAATCTTGGACGACTTCGTCAGAGCCCGTTTGCGAAACAGTACCGAGGTCGACTCTCTGCGAGATGCAAGGCGACCTAGGCACCTGTGTAATGTACTGAGCTTCCTGTGATGGCGGCTTCACAGGTGTTGGATCAGAGCTAGCGTTGATGGGACAATGGTAGATGGCCGATTTGAGTTCAGCAGATGTCGCCGAGGCCATAGCTGCAGAAGTGGACGAGTCGGTTCATGTTTGCGCCTTCGCCTGGTTAATGTTGTTTCGGACTGCGAGGGAAGTCGCGCCCCGGTCGAGTTCTATCACATGTTTGCCTAGCACCTACCTGATCTGCCACTTTGACTCCTCAGACGCTCTTTCCTTTTAACATGTCAACCATCTCAGTGCAGACTACTAGTCCAGGGTGATTTCCCGACTCCTCCTTATCTGTTTCCTTCCGCTCAAGTGTCTTTCTTGATCCTCGTCTACCTATGCCACTCGTTTCAGCTCCTGAGAGTGTGGAGGAATCCAAGGCAGCCAGACAGACTGCTGACCATGTTCTGCAGAAGGTCCTGACCGTATGTCGACTACCAAATGCACGTGGATATGATACACAATCAGCACGAGAGAAGTCTCCTGCTCGGGACCAAGAAGGACGGAAGTGATTGTTGGTCCGAAGCCGATGGATATGGTTGAGCACAGACCACCAGCGTCATTCTATTACCAATCTCGGAACGACAAAGTCGTCGAAACACCCTCGTGGAAGGTCAAGTACTTGTGCTCGTCCATTCGTGCACCACCGCATTGTATCACTCGACGACCATGATAGACTCTCCAGAAAACACTTGCCGATTGGCCAAGGCTTATACTAGCCTGCGCGACGTGGCACGACAGACGATCCGCCCTCGAGCTCTCGCTCTCTCGACCTATCCAACATTACCAGAAACAAGCCTCGAACGAAGGGAACAATCCCTATCTGCTGCTGCCGAATCCAGATCCGAAACCTTCCTCTATCTCGCCTACGGCTCCAACCTGTGCAACGAAACCTTCCGAGGCAAGCGTGGAATCAAGCCTCTGTCGCAGATCAATGTGCAGATACCAGAACTACGCTTGACCTTCGATCTACCTGGTATAGCCTACTCGGAGCCATGCTTTGCAAACACCGATCGCCGCGATCCTGAAAAGGACCTACCAAGCCTGTCGGAAAAAGAGGCATCCAATGACTATCACAAGAACAGATGGCACAAGGGCTTGATTGGCGTAGTCTATGAAGTCACAGCCACTGACTATGCCCATATCATTGCCACCGAAGGAGGCGGCGCTTCTTATCAGGACATCCTCATCGACTGCTATCCTTTTGAAAATTCGGACCCGGCCCGCCCAGTACCCGTCTATCCTACCACCAAGCCTTTCAAGGCCCATACCTTGTTCGCTCCTGCTGTGCCACCCGGCTCTCAACCTCCGAAAGAAGGAGGGAGAATTCAGCGTCCAGACACCTCATATGCTCAAGCCTCAGCCCGCTATCTGAAGCTCATCACCGATGGGGCTGCTGAGTGCAGACTGCCATATGAATATCAAGACTATCTGAACAACCTTCGACCATACACAATCACATCAAACAAGCAACAGATGGGCCAATTTATCTTTCTCTCTCTATGGCTGCCTTTCATTGTGCTCGTTTTCAGCCTCAACGGAAAGTTCGCGGATGAGCATGGTCGCACGCCGCCCTGGCTACGCATTCTTTCCGAGTCCATCTTCAGGGCTTGCTGGAGGACCTATGATGGCTTCTTCAAACCAACATTTGGCGACGGCGAGCGCACGGTCCCGGCAGAGGGTCAAGATAGCCGTGAAGGGCAAACGCCCATCGAGGACTTGCCTCGACATCTTGAGAGCGATACTTCAATAGACGAGAAACACTCTACAGTTGTATAATCTTGATTGGCAGCCTCTGAAGGTACACGTTTTGATCATCATTCGCGCGAAGTATCACGCACAATGTCTGTGACTTGTGGCAACTTGCATCTCTTTGTGTTCCTGGTTACACACAAAGGAAATTACAAGCATTCAAGGCTGATTTCGTTGGCGTAGCTGGCACTTGAACAAAGCCGAATGCGAAAGTGAGATGCTCACAAAGGACAACATGATACCGAACAAGCTTTTTCTTTCACGGTCTAGAAGCCACATCCTTCTTTCGAGCGAACAAAGTCTGTAATATATATCCTTGCTGCCCCTTGGGCGTGCCGCAATAATCTCACATATAACACATACCTCAACATGTACACCAAAATTATTCCTGCAATCCTCCTGGCTGGCCAGGCCCTCAAGGCAGCAGCACTCCCTGCCACTACGATCACAATACACAGTACTATAATCAGCACGACGGTAGTGCCTGCCATAACCGAAGCCGCTGGCTCTAACCCTTCAAATGCTGCAACTCCAGCTCGTTTCTCACCCGAAGCCAACACTACCCTTACTACACTCAGTAGTTTCAGCGATGCTTCGCCTTCTCGTTTGACTCAGCTCACCATTACCGTAACCGAGACCGAGGCTATGCCATATCCGATCCTTATTACCGTGATTGATTACTACTGTCCCACCCCTACTTCTGAGGTTGCTCCCAGCACATCTGCTGCTTCGCCAGAAAGCAGTTCAGCCACTGCCTCGAGTACTGCTACCCCAGCACCCTCGAGCGCCATACCATCTTTTGAGACGACGTCGTCTTCCGAACCCACTAAGCTTTCTTCTTCTTCTTCGTCTGCTCCTGCAACTACTGCAACAAAGGCTTGCGTTTTCCCAATCCCAGGTGAATGTGACATCTGAGATCAAAAAGGCGACCGCTTTTGATTTTTGTTTTTCTATTGAACATTTAATGTTGTACGAATAACGCCCTAAATTGATTTCATATTTCTTTTTTTACATTTTTGTTCTTGCAATCTGCTCCTTGTCTGCTTGCTGTGATCACCTTTGACCTGTTTTGTCTTGTCATATACTAAAATGTGTCACGCATATAGGTATGAAATTGCACAATGGGACACCGAGCTGTCAACATTGAGCGATAGCATAGAGTAAGCTCTCTTTGGTCACGTCACTCATTCTGAGACTTTGTGTATTTCTACAGTCCGCAAGCCACTCTGGACCGTTGTGGGAAAAAGCGATCGTGGCTCAAATTGCAGAAGTCAAGACTGGTCGCTCCTATCTGTTTGCAAAACTGCAGTCAAAGGGAGAGCTTCTCACGTGGAAGACCACTCATAAGATGCGGGACCAAACGGCACATACTAGTTAGCTCTTCCATTGAAGTTTGAATTTCAAGCATCAATACACAAGCGTGCAGATCAACACATTAGTGAGAGAGCATATCAAGAAAGTAGAACGTATAATGGGGTTAATGTATTGGCTAGATAAGAAAGCAAGACTGACTCAGAGAAAGTATTCGTCTAGACTAAAACGCAATGTTGTAGAAGATGTAATAGAGGAAGATGAAAGTGACAACAGAGTTTGTAGAAGCCTTGCCTCTAGCGATCTTGAAGCAGGCGGAGCAAATGGTCTGGATGATAAAGGACACCATAATTCCTACAGTACTTAGAAGAGATAATGTGCGTCTACCGACCTTGTCGACGGAGAAGCATTGTCCGACAGCAACAATGAATTAACATCACTAGAATCCATCTCGCCGATCAAGCAACTCTCCAATCCATCCATCATTCCTCAATCATTTCCGTCGCTCAAAAACGCAAAACAAATTCCCGTCCGCTCACCCCTAATTCGAACCCTGGGCCTCTTAGCACAACACACCATATATTCAATTCAAGATTGAATAAACACATCGATCCGCTAAGTTTGGTGCAACGGTCCAAACAAACTCACGATCACGGTAATAAAACCACCGTTCGAATCCCCGCCGTGTACGTCTTAAATCATGCATTACAGCCAGATGTCTGTCTGGTGACTTTGATCAAGGGAATTGACGAGAGGTTTTTTCCAGAGCGAAGGCTCTGGAAAAACGCTCTTTTGAGAACAAAGATGGGATTGAGGATGGAGGTAAAGGGGGTTGGAGGTAGCGGTGCTTTAACTTTTGGGAGATGGCGCGTTCGATGACTGCGGTTGTAAACTTCTTGTCAATCTTTTGACTCGTCGAGCTCGCTCAGTGAATAAAAAACTGACTCGATTACCCGGCAAGCATATCACATGTAAGACCCCTCCTTTTCCTCCTCCACTGTATCAGAAAAGGTGAAGCTCTCAAAGTTAGGCGGAAGACATCCTCCAGCAATCTTACAAGTTTCTGCAAACTTTCTGATCTCTTTCACATCCTCTTCGCTGAGCTCCACACTTGCGGCACCGCAGTTCTCCTCCAGGTACTCAACTCTCTTGGTTCCAGGGATGACCAAGATGTCGTCACCTTGCTTGAGCAACCACGCGATCGCAAGTTGAGCACTTGTACACCCCTTACTCTCAGCCAAGTGTCTCCACTGCTTGGCAATCTCGACATTCTTCTCTTTGTTGCCTTCCTGGAACCTGGGCATAAAAGACGGTCTCATGTCTTTTGGGTCCAGAGGTGTGTTGTCAGCAAAGGCAGCCGTCAAAACGCCTCTTCCTAACGGCATTGCGGCGATGATGGCAACATCCAGAGATTGACACGTTCCCAGAAGCTTTGTTCCTTTGTCATTCTCGATGTCGAGTTCGAAAGCAGAGTAGCCCACTTGAACGGCCGAAATCTTTGCGATCTTGGAGGCTCGAAGCAGGGTCTTTGATGATACGGAGGAGAGACCGATGTACTTGATCTTGCCCTGGTCTTGAAGTTCTTTCAGTCCTCTCATTGTGTCTTCGATGGGCGTCTTTGGATTAGGATGGTGTAGGTAATAGAGATCGATGTACTCTACACCAAGCAGCTTCAAACTCTCCTCACAGGCCTTCTTCGCATACTCGCCAGTACTATCCAGTTGAGGAAACTTTCCCTTGACGAACCCGAATTTTGTCGCGAGGAAGATTTCGGCTCTTTTGCCCGTTCGCTTGAACCATTTGCCCAATGTTTCTTCGTTGTCGCTGTATAGNNGCTGTATGATTTCGTGACTCGCATCAGTGATCATCTTACTTCTAGACGACAGTGAGAGATTGCGAACATACTCAGAAGAGTCCCAATGTCTGGCTCCTAGCTCATAAGCTCGGTCTAGCATGGCGAATTTGTCTTGTTCGCTGGGGACGCTGCCGTAGACGGGCTGAGAAAGACCCATCATGCCATATCCCAAGGCAGGCACTTCAGGGCCATTCGCACCGAGTTTGCGAACAGGAATCGATGGAGTCATGTTTGTCAGAAGTTGTATCGATTGTCAATGATACTGTGTCAGCGGGTGTGTTGAGTCTCAGACTGTCGGAGCTGGAGTTGCAGCTTTATGTCTGCCCATGTTTGCTGAGATGCATGGGTATCGTGATCTGTTCGGTGACCGGTCGGCGCCTTGATTGCGACTCCCCAGAGAGAAGTGATTGTCCATGTTGCAGCAAGCCGATAGACCGTTCGCTCGATTGTACTGAAATCACTATGTTTGGTCAACGAAGGATGAGATCGGTCCATCAAGGTCGCGGACGCACGCCCGCAATCCTTCTGTGGAAGCGGTGTCCAGAACAGGCCACCGCCCATCGCTCCCTCCCACAGAATTTCCACTTCCCAAGGCGTGTGTGTCTTCACGCACATCTAGTCACCATCTCATACAATGGCACCACAACTCGCAGACATTCTCCAAGACTCCGTGTTCCGCCCGGAGCTTGTCCAGCGCATCACTTTCCGCTCGGCCCCAGCAGCTCTAGAGGTCGTCCCCTACAATCCAGCATGGCCTAACCTCTTCGCCGCCAGCAAAGAGCAAATGACCGCCGCGCTCGGCGATATAGCCGTCGCCGTGCACCACACCGGCTCCACAAGTGTGCCAGGCTTACCAGCAAAAGACACCATCGACATTGATCTAGTCGTCCGAGATAGCACCAACGAAGCTGAATACGTGGACAAACTCGAACAGGCAGGCTTCAAGTTTCTGTTGCGAGAGCCACATTGGCATGAACATCGCTTTTTCTATGCTTATGTGCCTCACGCCGTCAATCTTCACGTGTGGAGTCCGGATTCTCCTGAGGTGGAGCGTCATTTGATCTTCCGACAGCGATTACTTGACTGCCCCGAGGACAAGGCCATGTATCTCAAGGCTAAGCAGCTAGCAGCTTCTCAAACTCGAGAGCACAATGGAAATCTGCAGGACTACAACTTGCTCAAGGAGGATACAATCCGCCAGATATTAAGGAATGCATTCAAGGAGTTGGGCTACATTAAATAAATCATGACTATGATGAAATATCAGAGACGAACACGAAGCCGTGGTGGTTAAAAAGACGTGAATTATTAGACAAATGTTTGGATTAGGAATACAGGCGGCCAATGAAACCAAACAATCAAGGTATAAACGCCATTCTCTGCTATGCGCATGCTTTCTTTCCTGAGTCCTGGTCGTAATACTACACCCTATAAGCAAAACAATGACTCTCTCTACTCCTCTAACTCTCATTTGGGCGTGATAGTAGCGTAGGTTGTATCTCGGCTGAACAGAAAAGATTTGAAACAGTAAATCTTAGAGGGGGCGGAAAGTGATGAAGATAAATGCCCCCATAGAGTGCAACCAGATGGTGCGGAAGAAGGGTCATCAGATCATCATCTCTTGGCTGCCATTCCAGTCATCGTCAGACCTTGAGGCAACGGCTTTCCTTGTGCAGGGCTGGGGCTCTGTACTCTGCTGGGTGCGGCTGAAGGTGCCGCCGAACGGTTGTGCGCCATATGGGCTCTAACAAGGTGACCGGCAGCAAGCGCTGCGCAGAGAGACAGCTCACCAGCAAGGACACCAGCAGCGACAATACGTGCAAGCTGGCGAGCGTTGTTACCGGGACTTGTAGGGTGAGCACCACGGACGCCGAGCAGATCGAGCATAGCCGCCTGTGGCTCGAGAACTGTACCACCACCGATGGTACCAACCTCAATACAAGGCATAGAGACCGAGATCTGAAGGTTGCCATGAAGACNTGTCGAGACGTTAGTATGTGATTCGAAACGAAAAGATGGACAGAGAACTTACTTCTTCATGACCGTGATGCAGTTGCTGCTCTCGACGTTCTGAGCGGGATCTTGACCGGTAGCGAGGAAGATTGCAGTAACAATGTTGGCAGCGTGTGCGTTGAAACCACCAATGCTGCCTGCCATGGCACTACCGATCAGGTTCTTGGAGATGTTGAGCTCGACAAGAGCATCAACGTCGCTCTTGAGAACCGAACGAACGACGTCACCAGGAATGATGGCCTCGGCGACAACACTCTTACCACGTCCATCAATCCAGTTAATAGCGGCAGGCTTCTTGTCAGTACAGTAGTTGCCCGACACCGAGATGACAGCCATGTCTTCAAAACCACTCTCCTTCATGACACTGAGCGCCTGCTCAACACCCTTCGAAATCATGTTCATACCCATGGCGTCACCAGTGGTTGTCTTGAAGCGGATGTAAAGATAAGTGCCTGCGAGAGCGGCCTTGAGATGTTGCAGTCTGGCAAATCTGGAGGTCGAGTTGAAAGCGTCCTTCATGATCTTCTCGCCAGCTTCAGAGTCCAGCCAGACCTTTGCTTGGGCAGCACGCGCAAGAGTTTCGAAACCAACACAAGGTCCACGGGTCATACCATCACCAGTAAGAACAGTAACGGCACCACCGCCAGCGTTGATGGCCTTTGCACCTCTGCTGGTACTTGCGACAAGCACACCTTCAGTAGTAGCCATGGGAAGATAATAGCTGCGGCCATCAATATCGATGGGACCGGCAACACCGAGAGGGAGAGGCATGTAACCAACAACATTCTCACAGCAAGCGCCAAAGACACGGTCGTAATCGTAGCTCAGGTAAGGCAGCTTGGAACGTTCCAGATCGGCGGTGACGTGCTTGGTTGCGGGAGTGCGAGAAATGAGAGAGCGACGAATCTTGACAGCACGAGTCTTGTCACCGAGAGTCTTCTCGAGGGCGTAACCAGGGATCTTGCCACGAAGGGACAGCTCCGTGAGTTCTTCGTCGTTCAACTCGGAAGTTTTCTTCTCGGCAAGCAGGAGTTCACACTCTTCCTTGGAGCGCTTCTGGACTGCAACGTTGGCGGCATGTCCGTTCTCAAGACCTGCAGCATCAATGTTCATCTTGGGGTCATACTCGGCAACAGGGGCCAAGGGTGCAGCCTTAGGTGCAGCCTCACGAGCAGCAGAATCGCTGTGGCCAGGTTCTTTGATACTCCAGCGAGCAGCATTGAACAGATAGCCGTTAAGAACCAAGCTCATGGCGAGGGCGATGATGATCCACTTGCTCAAGACGGGGTCTTCGAAGCTCTTGAGAACGCCTTCGACAACTCTTCCACCCATGCTGGAGAAGATACCGTCGGCATAAGGACCGTCAAAGAGAGACCATTCGGGTCTGTCCGAGGAATAGTGAACAGAGGGGTACTGAAGCTCGTACTTGATAGGAGACAGAACAGTGACGGCGGTCGATTGGTTGCGGACCTTTGCCTGCGCCAAAATGTAGTCAAGAGCGTTTCCGGCAACCTTGAAAGGGTCCATGGAGCTGGACAGCGAGGGAGAGTTGTTGGCGGCGCCGGTGCGGAAGGGGATAGTGCAGAAGTTGAGGACGTTGATAACGATGAAACCAGAGACCATCAGGACCTTGAATCTGGGGATGCTGCTGTCACGGACCTTGCGCCCAAAGATTGAGGTCTCGCCATTCACAGCGTCAGGCTTCAGACCGTCGTTACTGGAAGCGACGCTCTCGGCGACAGTGCGGCTAACGCCATCTTCCTCGAGAGCCTTGCGCAGAGCGACATGGCGCTTGATGCGGTTGACTTCGAGCTTGATGGTAAGAACAGCCGTGTAGAAGGTGAAAAGCAGAATGCAGTCGAAGAACAAGACCCATGCAGCCAAGAAACAGAATTGGCGGAGACCGCCCTGGATACCCGACATGGCACCGGCGATAAGCAGGGCAATCTCGACCATGTAGTCGCGCACGATGCCCCAACCACGTTCGTGAACAGCTGTTTGCACGGCGTTCTGGATGGTCAAAGGAGCCTGGTCGCTGTTCTCGCGTCTAGGAGGATTGAGAGCGGCCGAGAGCACCGCCTGGGTCAAGATGATCGGCTTCTCAAATCCAACGGTTACAACCAAGAAAGGCAAGCCTTCCGAGAGCAGAACAACATTGACAGGAACACCCAGCTTCATCGTGACAACAAGACCGAAAAGCAGAGCAAAGGCTGACGAGAAAAGCACACTGGTTGCCAGCCAAGCATTAGAGCCCATACGACGCATCGAGACGAACAGCGAGGCAAAAGTCAAGTGCATCGAGAGGTATCCGAGAGCCATGATGATGATATCGAGAGTTTCGGCGTTGCGGATCAAGTCGGTGAAGGCAATCCACGAGTTGCGGACCCATTCACGCAGGGAGAAACGACGCGCTGAACCTCTTGCTGCTCTCATGATCCATCTCTTTTGCTCGTCGTCGTCCTCAGCGGTTTCTTGAGCCGAGATCTCCTTGATTGAGGCTANAAAGGCAGGGGTCTCGTCCGAAGGAAGCGAGAAGGCAAGAGTCGAGTCTTGGGTCAGAGACAGGCGGCTGGCCGAAGAAGGAAGCAGCTCGGCCTTGCTATCATTCGGAATGACGACTGAAGGAGCATCGGCGTACGAGTCTGCGAAGGCTAGGGTGATCAGGGAGAGATGNNCTGCCAAGAAGTTAGTAGACTTTAGGGGCGAGCAAAAAGTGCCTAGACGAACCTCTGCTTGTGCGTGGTTGGAGACAGCTTCTGATTGCCACTCCCAGGCAGTCTCGGGACCGACACTCAAGGTACGGCTTCCCTGGGAAAGAGCAGAAACATCGACTTGGTTGTTGCTGAACTTTGTGGAGGGCTCAAACAGGCCGGTCTCGAGGAGGCCAATGTAGGTGGTACTGGCGATCAAGGCGCAAAAGACAATCGAGTGGATGGGGTGAGTGCAAGTTCTGCGAGTGATGCTCTGCAACAGAGGCGTGACATGCTTGCTGTAGGGACCTGGTTTGGCCGGGTCCTGGGNGCTGTAGAAGCCTCTCCAGCGCGCCGGAATCAATGAAGCACCCGGCATTGTTGTCTTTGTCGTGTATATGGTCCAGGAAGGAACGAGTCGATGGTTGAGCAATCGATCACAGGCGCATCCCCTCGCAGGCTACAAAGCAATTGACACGCTGCGAAAGACGAAGAACAATAGGGACGGACAAGAAGACTAGGCAGATCCAAGGCGCATCGCTCCAAAAGTTGAGGACCTGCTCGATCAAAGGCGGTCAGGCGCACGGTGCTCTCACAAGCGGGACGCTGCTGCCGTTTGGAAACACACGCGACAAGCTCAGAGAGATTGCCGGATGAATCGCCATAACTTTGCCATAAGTCACTTTATACCTTGCCGTTCCTCGTACAAGTCTGCGCCTCTCTTCTCTTACAATTCCATTCTGCCGCAGACAAAGGAATTGGGAACTGGATGCTGTGCCTCGCTTCCATCATGCACCATGCCGTCTCCTGCAACCGCCTCACACTTGAATTCCGCTGCCGCAGATTTCGACCATCCCCAGATTTACCATTCATAACCCCTGAGTGACAAAAAGCATAACTTCCAAGACCCTCCCCAAATCACTCATTTCCCTCAACCAAATTCCACGACGCCTCTGTCGTCGTTGGTTCCGATCGAATTGCTTTGTCTATTTGCCGTGTCTCTCCTTTGTCCTTCCACATGTTTCAAGCTGCACAACCACATGTTTCTCTCTCAGACAGCACGTTGTGAACGTCCAACTCTTTTTTCGTGTGCCGGACGCGCTGCAACGCCTGCCACTTGGAAATGGCTGCAAGATGACGCTCCAGAAGTTGATCTACCATGCGCAAATCGTACCACCTTGGCAGGTGCTCCCAGCCTTCTTTAGAAACACGCCGCGCGCTCGTACCATTGTGGCCCTCCCTCGGCCCGCTCGTGGCTCTCATCAGATAAGATGGATAAGATGCTATGGAGAAGATAATCTCACACGCTTGATCCACCACATGGCAATTTCAACTTCACGTCTCGACAAACACAGCTGATCCAAGGTGAAAAGTGATGTGGATTGTCTCCAAAGAGTGGATGGACTATAACAACAGGCTTGCGTGTCCAAAACCGATGCCCTAATTCGTCCCACTAGACAATGAAGCTAATAGGATCCAACCCAGCCGCTGTCGCTCAACCCGGTAGAATGAGAGAAAGAAAGAAAACATTACTCAATACCATTGCTCGTCGTTCCATGATTTCCAACGCCCGTGATATGCTCGTATCCTTCAATATATGCCTCAACTGTGCTAGTCTGGAATCTAGCTGTAGTCGTATTCGTCTTCATCGTCGCTGTGGTCGCTCTTTGCTCCCTTAAGCATCGAGAACCACCCAGTACCCGCCTGTTGCTTTTGGGGCGCCACAGGTGTCTTTACAAGTACTGGCTTGTTGCCCGACATTGACAGTGGTGCAATCTCTTCAATCTCAATGTCTTCACCATTCACAGAAGAGTCATCGTCGTCGCTCTCGTTGTGGGTGTCGCGTACACCAACGATTTTCACAAACTCAACCACCGATGTGGTAAGATTGCTGGCTGCTGCGTCGACAAGTGATATAGGTGCAAGTCCGTTGGCCGCTGCGTGGTTGCGAGTTACTGAGACAAGGTTGTTTGCGTCACGAGACACGCGAATCTTGAGCGTCTCTGGGGTCGGGCCCACGGTGCTTTGTGAGAGATGGGTTGTCGAAGAGTGAGGAGAGTTGAGGTTCGAGAAGGAGCCCTCGACGCCAGATGTCATGTTTCGCACGCTTTGGACAACGTCCTTGGCCTTGTCGAGTGCTGAGTGTGGCGCAGATGACATATTGCGGGCTGCTTGTAGTAGTTCGTCGATTGAGATTTGGAAGTTTGTCACATCCATATCTTTTACCAATCCGTTCGGCTTGATATGCTCATGCTTGGAAGACAGTGCTCCAGGAGCCATGTGTTGGATCGAGAGGCCAGTTGAGGATGCTTTTAGTGTCCTCAACTGTGTCCTGGTCTTGGCATAGCGGACCTTCCACTGCTCGTTTTCTGCTTCCAACGATGCAATGCGAGACTGCAGTTGTTCCTCCTTCTCCAAGGCCGATTCGCTTTGCTCTGACAACAGGCGCATTTCCTGCAGGTGCTGTTCGGCATTGCGGCGTACCTCGTCTGTGATCCTTTGTTGCTGCGCAAGCTCTTGCTCTAGCTCTTCGTAGCGATGCTGCCAGTCGCTGTCGTCCTCCATCGATTTGGACGAAGGAGCATTGGCTCGAAGCATGTCATTCTCCTTCCTGATCTCGTCCAGCTCAAGGTGCAGATCTGACACCGCTTGTTCTGTACGGGCACGCAAATCAGACTCAGATTGGTCTCGATCTGCTCTAGAGTGCTCGAGTTCGGCATGTAATGTGTCTAGCGTCTTCTGAGAATCTGCTATCTTCATGTCGAGCTCTTCTCGTATTTGTGACCATTCGTCTTTGTCTTTGCTGTGGCCCCGTTTGTGCGTTTCGATTTCTGTATCCTTGTCGTGTAGCTTCGCTTCCAGGTCCGCAATCTTGGCCTCGAGCTCTGACACCTGAAGTTCAAAGGCTTTCATTGTTTCGGCATCTCTTTGGCTGGTACCCGACACTTGCCCCAAACCATATGTCTCATCATCATCATCGTCGGTCTCATCGTCTTCCACCATGGTGCTTTTATTGGGCACCATAGTGTTGCTTTGGAATGTCTGGGGAAGTGGCCTTCCGAAACTGCTGTTCGGGCTTATAGGGCCACCACGAGAATCGGTACGTGGAGGAGGCATGCTTTCGTCGGAGGGTGAATATGGCGAATAGGGACCGTTGCTGGGCGGCCCAGGCCTGATACCAGGTGGAGGAGGCCCGCGCATGCCATTTTGTTGGCCCGACGGACGGCGCATGGCGTATGGAGGGCCCTGTCCCTGTCGGCTAGATGTTCTCGCGCTGGTTCTGCTCGCTATACTGCCTGTAGGACTGGTAGGTCTATCCCCATCGGCGCCTAAAAGAGCGGGCATTCGGCTTCCCAGTTCGAAGAATACATCAGTCGCGAGTTGGCGGAATCTCTCGGNGGNGAGAGTCGACAATTTCTGGCGTGCTTGGTTCCGTTTGGGGTGAAAAATGTTTCTGGGTGGGAGAGATGGGGGCACAACGCCTCCTGGTCGTCGACGATCGTCCTCACGTCTCTGCAGCTCGTCGAAGACGTCGGTACTCAGCTCATTGAATTGCGTAGGCGACAGACGGAGCAACTTGTCCCNTGCCCGAGTGGGACGTGTGTTTCNCTGCTCGTCTCTCAGGTATGGCGCAAGGTAGACCTTCAGGACCGAGTAATGGTGAGCCAATGCGGCCTCCTGGTTGTTGGACTTGACAGATGATCTGAAGTCGCTATTGGCTGGCGAGTAGACACCAGGACCGCCGCTGACTGAGCTCGAGGAGGAAAGGTGGCTGTTGGTTGCGCTGGGTGAGCGCTGGGAGCGAGCGCGACTGGAGAGGCTGTTGTCGGTCGAGCCTTGCGACAATGGTGGAGAATTCTGAATAGGGACAGCAGTTCTGCTGGCTGCGGCAGCATATGGATCGTTGCCTAGAGGAGGGCCTTGGTAGCCGCGACCAGACAAAATCTCGTCGCGACTGAGGTTCGGAGCGTGCATCATGGTGCTGGAATCGATGTTGGTGGAGTGGATACGAGGTTCTAGGATGACATGGACGTCGTATAACTGTAGATTGTTTCTATTTTCCAATCATGCGCTTGACTCGCACATCGGAGCTGTAAGGAGTGTTGTCCAAGATACGAGAAGACAATCGGCCAGAAAGGAAAGAGGAAAGAAGAGAAACAGGCCAACAGTGAGCAACCAGGGCAAGGCGGCAGATGAAAGAGAGTGTGGACAGTGGAATTGCTCACGCGCGAGTCGAGTCGAGCGAGCCTCCCCTGATACCGTAAAGTTAGACAATTAACGCCGTTAGATCGACGAAGTGTGATTCGCTGCCCTCGAGCGCCAGGGTCGAAGCGTGGCTCCAGCGTCGACCCTGCCAAAGCTGGGCAGATTCCTGGAAGCTTTGAGGACTTCTTCCATCCGCCGTCCTCCAAATGATCAAGACAGAGCACGCCCCGTGCCGCGCGTATCTACACATACGCCTGCATACGATTATGATATGCCTTCTCGTAGCTTTCCGCCTGTCATGCATCTAATGACATGTGCTTCCTCTATCATTGTAGGCCACGAGTCGCTGTGTGAAATTGATCATTTCTAGAAAAACGCGTCGACCAAGGGCGTTTCGCGCACAGGGGTCGTTTGCACCGACGCCACGTCCGACATACATAGCCGACGGCTCGGCTGTCCAATTGCTATCTGTTATCTAACGAAAGCGGACGGTATGCCTAAGAGAGTCCTCCTTGCCAACTTGCACCCACAACTTATAGGGGTAAGGCTCAGAGAACCTTCCTGCACTCGACTAATCCTGCTATCCAAGCACTCTCTACCCACGTCTATTGCATGCCGTCCAACCAAGAAGCATCATTGCCCTACTGGCAGGTCAACGTTCCCGCCGACCAAAGGTCTACCGAGTGTCCGGANTTTTTGAAAGATGCCAATGAGAAAGACCAAAAGATCCTAGCCACTCCAGATTCGGATTTTCGTCGTCTGTCGTGGTCAGAAGTCCAGGGACTTATACGGACGAACCGCATCGATCTGTTCCAACGTGTACCAAGCGACCTTCGCCGATACAAGGCTTACACTGCGAGGATACGAAACCAATATGGCTCGGTCATGAATTTCGTCATGACCGAGAGATTGAAATGGCAAGATCTTGTGCCTCAAGGACAGCCCCTCGAGAATTCAGGTACAGTATCTGGAGAACCGCTCCAGGCCTTACTCGATTGTTGACCTTGACTNACAGACGACATAAAAATATTGTTGAATGACTGGCCTTACGGGATTGATACAAGGATCGTGCATCTCGTTGTCTGGGTGAAATTCCAAGTGGAAGAAGACGACGTCAGTGGAGACTTGACCGATGCAGCCAGGCAACAGATTGATTCCTACGTGGAACAAAGGTTTCGAAATCATGTCGGATCCGAGAACTGCATCTGGTTCAAGAATTGGGCTAGTTTGAAGTCCATTCATGCTGTCGAGCACTTTCATGTCATGTTGTTCTCTCCGGACAAAGAATTCGTGCAAGACGTCACAAACGGTGATGTAGCACTGTCAGACAAGCTCGAGTTCAGCAACGTTTGAGGCTGTATGTGAAGCATATCAGAGATAACAACGATCTACTGTACCAATTTTCGTATATCCGAACCCGAGGCACGGAGTTTACTCCCGGAGGATAGCAGAGCGGGCAACCCTGGTCTACCATAAACATTCTCTCAAGCACTTTTTCCATCAACATGATACCTCCTTGTGGTAAGATACTGTTCCCATTTCTATTACAGATAGCTCACTGTGTTGTTCCGATTCGATTTATAGTTCTTGACACGCAGTTGCGAATTGTTTGAGTGCTCACACAAAACTGTGCCTAAACACAATTTTCCTGCCTGACAACAAGCCTGATTTGTGCGCACAGCGAATTCGTATGATCGCAACGCACAACGGCATCTTTTCAAAGCTACTCTCGTTGCAAGGATATCTGGAAAGCAATCACATTCTTAGCTTCTAGGCAAAATTTGGTGTTTCCTCTAGCTCCCGCCATTCTTGACCATACGCTTGAAGCACTGCTCGTATGCATCATGAACCTCGGGGATCTCCACTCCATACTCTCGAAGCTTGTTGACCAACTTATCAGTATCAAGCTCGCAGTTTGAACGTCCTGCCTTGATAACCTTGCTTTGCTCTTCCAATGAGAAGTTCTTCCATGTGAAGCTAGGACGGACAATCTTCTGGAATAGCCCCAGCACCTCGTTGTGCGAGATAGTACCGGGATTGGTGAAGTTGTACACGCCAGTCTCGTTGTTCTCGGCGAGAACGATGGCGGCGGGAAGTAGATCGTGCAGAATAGTGTTGCTGTTTGGTACGTCGACGACGCGTTCGTACTTTATGATCTTGGTGACAAAATTGCGAGGGTGCAGGTCATCGGATACTGGCATGCGAAGGCGCAGGCACAGGACGTTCTCGCAGTTCATCATGATCTGCGAAAATGGTCAACAAACACATCTCAGTACTCGATCTTATGGTATACTCACCTCCTCAACCTTCGACTTGGTAGCCGAATAGAACGATCCAGAGAAGTTGGCAGGGTCAGTTTCCTTGAAGCCCGCTCCACCGATGGGATGTGCCTCATCGTAAGTGTAGATACATCCTGTAGCAAAAACACTGATGTGGATGCCGCGCTGCTCGCAAGCATCGGCCAAATTCAAAGTGCCAATGACATTGCTACGGATGGTGGCAGCCTTGTTGTCTTCACACCAGTCGACATTGGGACGTCCGGTGCAGCCTGCACAGTTCAGAATATGTGTAGGCTTGACCTTTTCTAGCTCAGAAATGACTGCTTCTCTGTCCTCCATGCGGACAGTGGTGGTATGAACAGTCTTGGCTTGACCCTTGAGTAGCGACTCAAGATGACCAGCGATCCATCCCTTACCACCCCAGATCAGGAAAACGTTCTGGTTAGTCGAAGAAACCATTTTGGTAGTGTTGTGGAAGTAAAGTTAAAGAGGAGATGCTGGGAATTGTAGAGTGAAGAGAAGAGAATCAATTGCAAGATGTGAGGCAATGAAAATATTGGACACAAGGCAAGGGAGAAGCAAGTGATGTAGGAGAAGGGAAGAGACGGCAAGGGGCAGCAGAAATGGAATGTACGACGATCAAGGTGGCCAGACCTGCACATCCCTACCCAGACGCTCTTTATACCTTCCTTCTTCTTCTTCTGGTTTCAATCTGGTTTCCCAAATATGCCGTACGTCAAGACACCGCAGAATGAGAGTTTCCCTCCCTGGACATGGTCGGAAGCACCTCTTCTCACAGGCTCTTCACGCCACGAGCCGGACCCTGAGATCCGCAACATTATGATCACTAGTGGAGCTGGCCTCATCGCTTCGTGGGTAGTCCGTCACCTCACACCTACCTATGGTGACCACTATAACATCGTCTCCTTCGACAAGCTCGATTCCTGTGCGTCTCTGAATAACACAACCCAATTCAATCACCTCGAGAACTTCTCTTTCTACCACGGAGATATCATGAAGGCGGATGAAGTCTTGGGTTGTCTTCGAAAGCATAAGATCGATACCGTGATGCACTTTGCAGCGCAACCTCACGTCGATCTCTCCTTCGGAAACTCTTATGACTTCACCTACGCCAATGTCTACGGCACTCACGTGTTGCTAGAGTATATAAAGACGTATGGAATCAAGGAATTCATTTATGTCTCTACGGACGAGGTCTATGGTGAAGTCAAAGACGGTGCCGACGACCCTCTCGAAGATGCCATTCTTGCTCCTACAAACCCCTATGCCGCATCCAAGGCCGCCGCGGAGATGATGGTACACACCTACTACAAGAGCTTCAAGGTACCGGTCATTATTGTCCGCAGCAACAATGTCTATGGACCTCATCAATTCCCCGAGAAGGTTATCCCGAAGTTCTCGTTGATGCTGCAGCGCGGGTTGAAGCTTCCTCTACACGGCAGCGGAGACAACACACGCCGCTACCTGTACGCAGGCGACGCAGCAGATGCGTTCGATACCATCTTGCACAAGGGTGAGATTGGCCACATCTACAATGTCGACTCGCATGACGAAGCCTCGACTATCGACCTCTGTGCCCACCTACTACGNCTTGTCGGACTACCTCACGCCACAACCGAAGACCTCTACAAACATGTCGTTCACACCCAAGACCGCCCCTTCAACGACCATCGCTATGCCGCCAATGGAGATAAGCTCCGTCAATTGAGTTGGGAACAGAAGACTCGCTTCATTGAAGGCTTGCATACTTCCCGAAGGTATGCACCTGGTCAACCATCATTAGAATATATCTCACGGAGTTCATGGCATGCGTGGTCGCTATAGATTATGTGGTTGTTGTCAATGTCCATAAACACCCTCTTATTACTGTAATCGATGGCCCAGTCTCATACGAGACGTTGTGTCAGCCACTCTGTGACCTGACAAATTAGATGATGCAGAAGATCAAGAACGTTCTCGTCTATGCCCAATGCCACGAGATATGTGATAGTGGTGTTGGGCCACTTACCGACCAGTGGCTTTAGTACATCTGATGCTTGTATGACGGGAATCGTAGTCAGGACTCAAGAATGTTCAATACGAGCACAACGCTTCGACAGCTTCATCTCAAGAGAATAGCGAGCCTGAATCTTGCTGTCTGCAGATTCCAGAAGAGAACGCGTCGGTGAGATTGAGGCTGGTGCAACGCGTGACGTCGACGACCTTGCGACGGCGGCTCATCTTCGCGCGATCATGAGGCCTATTCTTGATGTTGCACGATTTCGCCGCAAAGTTCAGACGAGCCGTATCGCGTAGCCGGCGCTCTGTTTGTCACAGATTGCACAAGTGAAGGACATCCGACAGAGTACAAACAACTGTACCGAGGAAGCCGAAGCGGGGACCAGAGAGGAGATGGACCAGATCCGAGATCGACAGACTCGACCAGCATTATCGGAAGTCAGATAATTGAAAAAGTGAGTAGAAAAATACCGTAGAGAGATGCCGTGAGTGAGTATTGAGAAAGTGAGCGGAAGAGGTACCGTAGAGAAATACCGCGAGTGAGTATCTACTTAAATCAAACAAGTCGGAGTGAGGTGTTTAAAGCAGACGAAACCAGCCCAGGCTGCTTATACATCAAAGATGACAACCACTTGAACAGTAACTCGAACATCACACATTCAACCATCAATCCAGAACCCACCAATCAACATTGGCCGTTTCGACAAAATGTCTGTCTTACAATTCTACCTCAATGGTTTCAGGACAGGTGATCCTCACGATCTCTACCGAGCACGCGAACAAGGAAGCGATGCAATCCAAAACGACGTCCCAGAAGAAGTCGATGTCCTAATCGTCGGCTCTGGACCAGCAGGACTTGCACTCGCAGCACAACTCTCACTCTTCCCAAACATCACCACCCGACTCGTCGAGCAAAAAGCCGAACGACTCACTCTAGGTCAGGCAGATGGCCTTCAAGTCCGCAGCATTGAAATGTTCGAGGCGTATGGATTCAGCGAGAGAATACTCAAGGAAGCCTATCACATCAATGAAATTACATTCTGGAAGCCCGACGAGCAGAATCCAGAGTGTATTGTGAGAAGTGGGAGGATCAAGGATACGGGTGATGACCTGTCCGAGTTCCCGCATGTCATTCTCAATCAAGCGAGGGTGCATGACTTTTTCCTCGATGTCATGCTCAGATCGTCGACAAGACTGCAACCATCCTACTCGCGCAAGCTCAAGCAACTCAACCTCCAACCAGCAAAGGATGGCTCTTCACGAGACACATCTTCCGTGCAGGTCCAGCTCGAAAGAACAGACCCCGGCCATGAAGGACAACTCGAGAACGTACGTGCCAAATACGTAGTCGGCTGCGACGGAGCACGCAGCGCTGTCCGTCAAGCCCTCGGCCTCAAACTCGAAGGCGACTCTGCAAACCAAGCATGGGGCGTCATGGACGTGCTCGCCGTCTCAGACTTTCCAGACTGGAGAACCAAAGTCGCTATCCACTCGGCAAGCCAAGGTAGCATCTTGATCATCCCCAGAGAAGGAGGCTATCTCGTACGTCTCTACATCGAACTCGACAAACTATCCGCGAACGAGCGTATCTCCAGCAAAAAGATCTCGGCAGACCAGCTCATCGAAACTGCTAAACGCATCTTCCACCCATATACTTTGGATGTCAAGGAAGTGGTCTGGCACTCCGTCTACGAAATTGGTCAACGCCTCTGCAGCAGATTCGATAACCTCACTGCACAGGAGGCAGAATCCAGATACCCAAACATCTTCATCGCAGGCGACGCATGCCACACCCACAGCCCCAAAGCCGGCCAAGGCATGAATGTAAGCATGCAAGACGGCTTCAATCTAGCCTGGAAACTAGCCTCTGTGCTCAACACCACAACATCNCCCTCCATCCTGCACACCTACTCGACCGAGCGTCAGAAAGTGGCTCAAGACCTGATAAACTTTGACCGCGAGATTGCGTCCATGTTCAGCGCTCGCCCCAAGAAAACCAATGATGATGAAGATGGAATAGACCCTGCCGAATTTCAAAAATTCTTCGAGAAACAGGGTTTGTTCATGGCAGGCTTGGGAACAGCCTACGCTCCTTCCCTCGTCACTGCCAACCCAGTCCATCAAGAATTAGCAAAAGGCTTCCCCATCGGTGAGCGTCTACACTCGGCACCAGTGATCCGTCTCGCAGACGCAAAGCCCATCCAACTAGGCCACATCGTCAAAGCAGACGGCAGATGGAGAGTCTTCATCTTTGCTTCCGCCCAAGACCCTGCAGTGCCTGCTTCACCTTTCCAGCTCGCCTGCAAGACCATCGCAGAGGTGGTGGACAAGTTCACACCTGAAGGTGCAGATGTGGATTCCGTCATCGATGTTCGCGGTATCCTGCAGCAGGGACATGCGTCGTTGAACATCAACGACATGCCTGCCATCGTGTGGCCGCAGAAGGGAAAGTTTGGGCTCAGGGATTATGAAAAGGCGTTTTGCGCAGAGGCTGTGATTGGACATAAGGACATCTTCACTGCTAGGGAGATCAATCGCGAGAAGGGCTGTGTTGTCGTCGTGAGACCCGATCAATACGTCGCCAATATTCTGCCTCTGGATGACCGTAATGGGCTGGAAAAGTTCTTTGGGGGTTTTATGCGAGCAAAGAAGTGAAAATGGTAGCAGACTGAAAGCCAGCCAAGAATTGTATTATAGTATAAGGTCAAAATCAATGACAAAAAGGACTTTTCTGGTCCACCAAAATCTATCTCTTTTGTCTCTTGGCACTGCGTCCCTCTTCCTCTTCTTGTACAGGCTTGTACTTCTCCAGCTGTGCAGAGATGAGCTCCTTGGCTTCCTTCAGAAGCTTCTTCTCCCCAAGACGGACGAACACGGCCATTCTGTGTCTACCCTTAAGATCGGAGTTCTGGAGCAGTTGTTCGTCTTGCTCCACAGTGGTGCCGTATTGTGCTAGTCTTGCTGGGATGACCGCGTCCAAGATCTCGTAGTATGCCGACTTGAGTTGCTTGCGCTGTGCCTTGTTCGGCCCACGGTTCACATCAATGCTCATTGCCGGACCGATGACTTGACAAACTTGCTCCTCAAGTTCTTCGGGGAAAGCAACAAATTTTGCTGGGTGAGTGTTGATGCCAGTATCGTCGGGCTCGCCAGACTCACGCTCCAGCACAAAGCCTTCCTCCATGTCTTCCTCGTCTAGAGCGCCTTTCTTGCCAGTGTATCTCTTGTCGATAGTGCTGGAGATGATCTCCCAAGGCACTTCGACCACGTCGTATCTTGAGTGCTTGGCTGAAGTGTAGCCATAACGACGCAGGAGATCGCAGTTTGGTAGAGGGCCGTAGTAGTTGAGGACCTCCTCTCCAGCCTTGATTTCTCTCAACGAGGTCATTGTCAATGAATCCTCACCATGGTTGAGATGTGCGTTGAACTCTGCGTCGGCGTTGAGCATATCAGCCATGGGCACCATGCCCATTGCTTGAGTGCCCTCCAAGTCTTGGACCCAACCTTCCTGCTCGTCGTCCTCGTCTTCCTCATTGTTCTCCAAGTCGAAAGCGTAGGCCATGATGATACTGCCCATGCGGTGTGCGAGCTCGACAATCTGCTCATCAGAAAGCTTTTGAGCACCGCCAGCATAGAAGATATCCTCGTGAGCCTTGATGACAGGCAAGACCTTTGTTTTGAACATCTCGTCGGCAGACTCTTTGCCAACCTTGTCCTTCACTGCACTAGCCTGCAACTCGTTGAGTTCGCTCTGTCCCCAGAACATCAAGGTGTCGAAAGTCTGAGGCAGAACCTCGAAATAAGTCTTCCAAGCAGAGTTCTCACCCTGCAAGTACTCGTACACCATAACCATGATCAGATCCAGCCAAGGGTCAGGCATGTTCAGAGCCTCCTCATCGTCATCTCCATCAGCCATACCATCATCACCATCGGCATCAAGATTCTTCAAGCCAGTAAAGATTCTCGGCAGTTTCTTTGACAGATCCGAGTTCTCTACACTGATGACGCTTTTCCTAGGAATCGTGAAGAGATCTGTTTCGGCCGGGATGTCCGAGGTGGCAATGATACCTCGTCCTGCGCCTCTGTCTCTCAGATCCGTGAGTTGGAGACGCGAGTCGAATGTGGCTTCAGATTGAGATTTGAACCAGTTCAGAAAAACATCGGATTTTGCTTGGAAGTCGGCCATGGTCCGAGAAGCTTTGCAGATTCTTGACAGAGCGATATGATTTTCTCTTGTTATCGAGATGCGAATATCTGGCGTATGATCGAAGAAGTCAGACTAGGCTCTTTAATAGGTAGAAGACTAGGGAAATATCGTGATTGTTCAAAGAGTTGCGAAGGTGGTGTACCAAAGGTCGAGGTGCAAAATGTTTTTGCAGGCAAACAATGCTCGACGGAGAAACGCCGCAAAGTCCGAGCGAGTCTGGCAAGCGCGAATGACCAACAAGCAGTTGCAGCATTTGTCCTTGAAAGCGAATGCACATTGTTCATGTTCAAATTTGAGGACTGTTCTGATCAATAGATAGCATTTTTGTTCCACTTTTGCCTATACAAACGCCAGATATCTGATCACAGTACAAGGACCTTCGCCATAAAAAAGACAACCGATATAGCCACACCAAAACACCTTGCTTATGCACAAAACTAGTTCTTGGCCTGTCCCTTCTCGATCTTTCTTCTCTTGCCTCTCAGCTTCTCGGCCTCTGCGTCCTTCTTTGCGTTTGAGTACTGCATCTTCTCGAAGATCTTGCGCTTGCGACGACTCATCATCATCTTTTGGCGGTCCGTCTCTTCTTGTGCCTCCTTGCGCTGGCGCGAGATGGCCTTCTGTGCCTTCTCGGCCTCCTTCTTGCGCAGAGCCTTGGCGGGTGTAGCACCGGCATCAGCGGTCAATGAGCGGCCCTCTGCCTCAGCGGCAAGCTCACGCTGGTGACGAGTGGCCTCGTCCTCAGACTCATCCTCCTCTTCGTCCTCGGTGAAACCACCGAACTCCTCGTCCTTTGTGGCCTCCTCCTCTTCATCCTCGTCATCGTCTGACTCAGCAAGCTCGACATCCATGCCTTCGCCGCTGACGACTTCCTTGCCACCTTGCTGCAAAAGTTTTGACTCCAAGTTGCGGGCCTCATCGTCTCCACGGACACCATCAACCTCCTCACCATCCGAACCAGCGTCCTCGTCGGCCATTTCTTCGTCGGACTCTGCCTCGGCAGCCAAAGCCTCGCCATCGTTCTCCTGCTCGGCCAAGGACTTGGTGGGGTCATATTCACCTTGCTTGGGCTTGACCCATGGCGAAAGATGAGGGGGCATAGTAGCACCAGGGGCGTACAAGTCGGCTCTCAAGAGCTTGCCTGCGTTGATGCAGTCCCAGACCCACTGGGGCTGAATGTAGATACGTCCAGGAACACGCTCGCCAGGTCTCAAACGTTTCGAGGCGTTAGCTGCAGCAGTCTCCTCGTCCTCAACGGGCATAGCGGGAAGAGGTAGGTTAGGTCTGTCGACAATTTGGTGAGTAATGCGACGGTCAGCCTCGTCAGAAGTGTAGGCGCCCTCGCCCAAAACAGTGTCCCATGCTACACGCTTGCAACCAAAGGCACGGAGAATGAATTCCAGAGGATGACGGGGAGTCTCGCGCGAAAGGTAGATGGTGAAAGGCTCGAAAAGGTTGGCAGCGGTTGAAGCGGAAACGGTAGGTTGGTGCAGGACGTCCGACTCGGGGTCGATGGGTGCAGGGAAGGCATCGAGCTCTCCGTCTTGTCTGTCCTCCTCTTCTTGATCCTTGGGGTTTGATGAGGGGTTCTCCTGGGCTGTGGCGTATGAGCTGGTGGGTTCCTCGCCGGATGGCATTTCCAAAAGCTTGTCGGCCTCAGCCTGAGCGGTAGCCGAGACTTGCTTGGGAGCAGCAGCGGGCTGCTCAACCTTGTTGTCCAGAGCACCAGCAACGTTGCGACCCTCGATAGCGAAAGCGGCCAACTCAGCACCGTGCTCGTCGGCCTTGGCGTCGAACTTGGGAGGGTAGACCAGACCAAGGCTGGTGTAGAGTCTGTAGTTCACGAAGCCGAGGAGAGTTGTGTAGAACTGGACAAAGGTGCCCATGATACGGAAATCAACATCGCCAGTAACGCGCTGGACGAACTTGTAGGGAACAAGCCACAGGATGTCCTGACCCTGGATGGTGGCCTGGTAGTAGATACCCTTGATGGAGAGNNGGAAACTCTTGCGCAGGCTGTTGCTGCGGATCAGGTAGTGCTCGAACTCGTGAGTGAGACGCTGGCAAAGCTGGATGGTCTTGGNGGGCACGGTCTCGGTGGAGGNGAGGTTGGCGAAGAGGAAAAGCATGGAGAGACAGTCGTCAAGGTCGCGGAGAGCGTCGACAAAGGTAGGGTAGCGCTCCTTGATGATGTGGTCGAGGGTCATCTTGGGAGTGAGGTTCTTCTCCATGCGGTTTGCGTCGGAGATTTCATTGCGACCCAGAGCACGACCAATCTTCTTGGCCAGAGCCTTGTGGTCGCGGAACTTGTTGAGGAGGGGCTCATGGAGCAGGTATTGAATGTCGCGCGTGTAGTAGAAGGTGGTGGCCTGGGTCGAGTTTGAGTTCTTGGCTGCCTTCTTCTTGTTACGGGGCTCGCGAGGGTAGATTCCNNTGTGGAACGACTTAGATGATGGTATTTCGAGAGAGTAAGGAGTGATCGTACCCTTGAAGATACACAGGCGACGGAAGTCAGGCAGGGAAATCTGCAGTTTGCGCACAGCCTGGGTACGGGTAATGTAGTTTTTGGCCGCGCCCTTCTGGCCTGGAAGAGAGTCAGTATGTCGAGTACATAGAGTAGCGACAGCGGTTCAGCGCACCTCTCTTCTGAATTTTGGCCATGATGAATGCGACAAGAATTACACAAATGGATAATCCAAGACTTTCTGAGGCGCGAGAACCAAAATTTCCCTTGATGGAACTTTCGAAGCGGGAGCGCGATTCACCGCCTTCGGCTGACCTTCCCGATTGGCTGTTTGGAGGGTTGCGGAGAGAGCAGCGGCTTCCCCGAGAGCCTCGACCATTTACTTGGTAGGTGTCGCCATTTACCAGTACTTGGTTGCTGCCGACATTCAAACAAACACTCGGCTATGTCGACGGCGACGTACGACCACGCCCTCTTTGGCTCGGCAGCTGCTGTTCGGCTGCTGCTGCCATGGGCCTTTCCTGGTCTGCTCGACCTTCTCAGTGGGCGTGTCGAGTTGTCCACGCCTGTGACGGGCTTCAAGAGNATGTATGCGCCCACCAAACCCTTGAAGCCAAAAGACTCACGTTCTCTCACAGTGCAAGAAGGCCTCTTTCTATACAACCATGGTCTATCGCCTTACGACGGTGGTGTCTTCCACCAGGCTCCTCTACTCTTGCCGCTCTTCTCGCTCCTCCCTGATCCCACCCGCTACCCTCTGGTCACCGTCTTGCTGTATACACTGGTCGATCTCGCGAGCGCATACGCTCTCATGCAAGTCTTTGCTTCGGGCCAATCCTACTCTACCCGTTTCTTCACATCGTCGCGCGAGTCGAAGCGCTGGTCGTTGTCTGCTGTCGCTGCCACATACCTCTTCAACCCCTTTATCATCTTGACATGCCTGGCTCGCTCCACCAATGTCTTTGGGAACCTCTTCATCCTGATAGCTACACTCAAGGCCTGTCGCGGTGCCTTCATGAGCTCCGCCTTGGCTCTGGCCATTGCTTCATACATGTCTTTGCATCCTCTGCTGCTGCTCCCACCCCTCACCATCCTGTGCTACGACTCGTGGCTTCTCCGTCGCAAAAATACCGATCAAAGTGCATCGGCTTCCACGTTGGTCTCTTTCGCTGCACGTTATACATTCGTACTTGTGGCTGCCATTGCCATCTTGTTCGCCTTGTCATATGCACTTATTGGTGACTGGTCATTCATCTCATCCGTCTACGCCTCTCGTCTTCTGCTACCCGACTTGACCCCCAACGTCGGCCTATGGTGGTATTTCTTCATCGAAATTTTCGACTCGTTCCGCAACTTCTTTCTGGGCGTCTTCTGGCTGCACATGGCCTCGTATTCGCCTGCCCTCACAGTCCGTCTCCGCGAACAACCACTAGCCGCCATTGTGCTTCTGTGCGGTATCTTCGCCATCTTCCAGCCATATGCCAATGTCGGTGATGCTGGTTTCTGGCTTTCCATGCTCTCCATGTATGGCCATGTTCATGAACGTGAGTCCCCTTAATCCTTTCAACCACTGCGTTGGACATAGCTGACTAACACTGGAACGATAGTTTCACGATATGCTTTCCCTGCCATCAGTGCACTTATATACACGACGTTGCTCGGTCCTGCATTCTATTACCTCTGGGTGTATGCCGGTAGCGGTAACGCCAACTTCTTCTATGCCATCACTCTGGTCTGGAGTCTGGCTTTGTCCGTCATTCTGGCTGATATACTCTACGCCATCATCAGAGACGAGTGGGAAAAAGAGCGTCCTGAAATGAAGGGCAAAGAAGCCAGGCAAATATGAAATAACTCTCACTCTTAACCAGTGCAGATAAAAAGTCGAATGAAAACAGTTCATAATCTTGATTTACCTGTGTTTCCTAGAATTGCATCTTCAGTACACTTTCCACTCAACATAATCTATGTTTCGGGACGGACAGGAATACAAAGACGCTCACATGAAAAGAAAATCTATACAAATGCGAAGTATACCCAGAAATACGGCTCCTCACAACGCTAGATATGCTTGACCTTCTCAATCGCGATCGAACCAACGGCTCCAACTACCTTTACTGCCCTCGGTACCAGCAANAGCTTTTTCATCATCCTCCCACTTTCTCCTCTCAACACTCCTCCTCGCGTTCCATGCACGCACGAATCTCCACAACTCGGTATCGGCCAGGTTCCAGGCTTCCACTGCGTCACGGATGCGAACACTGTCACGAGGGCCTTTGCCCTTGAGCACCAATCTCGCTTTATCGAGGAGCGTGCCTTCGCGCACAAGTTCCACGGGATCAGGGACCCTGCCTTCGGGTTTTGGTGCTGGAGGGCGACGTTCAGGACCCGGCACGGGTGTCTCTGAGCGGCCGGAGTCGAGTGTAGATTCAATGGTTGGCACAGGGAAGCCCAGTGACCAAGCAAGGTCGCGACGGAGTATAGCGTTGTTTTCCTCGGATAGGTTTTCGGGTGTTAGCCAGAGGGAGCGGGCGCTGCCGTAGTCGGAAGCGACGGCGTCTTTGAGGTGGGGGATACGGGCGAAACTGCTCATGCCTGTGCCCAGGAACTCTTTTGTTGCGGCTAGGAGCCATTCGTCGCGTTTGGTTGTGCGGCGGATGAAGCGTACGGTTAGAGATTCGGTTTGGTGTTGTAGAGATGCCATGGTGTAGGGGTGGGGTACAGTGCCGATGGTGAAGAGGTCCGAAGTGTTGCGGAAGTACATGGGCTGGCTGATGCGAAGTGGGTGGCTGCTCACACAGGGAACACACTTCTGTTGATTTGGCGGGCAAGATGAAGGTTGCGGCGATTCGGTGCATTGTGACAGATTGCGAGCAAGATCGATGGCTGGCTTGACAAGAGTGAACATGTGGTCTGGCAGCGGTTTCAAGACGGCAATGCCGCTGCTGAATGAGTTCTGCCAGGTGGTGTGCAGATGCGAGATGATGAGCTGAGGAAGCAGACGCAGACCTTCACGGCTTATATCCTTGTCGTCCGACGCCAGTTTCTCGGCAATGGCCTTGTAGTATTTGTTGATGTTCTTGCTCGAATAGAAGGCAATGGCTTTCTGGTTGTTGTCGACGTGGATGGTATCCTTGGATAGCATTTCGATGACGGACTTGGCCATGACGGGCTTCTTAGCATTGAGGACCTGTTCGATGGCCTTGTTGATCTGATCTTTGGGACCGTCGAACAAGCCACTCTCCAGACCTTCGTATCGCGTGAGCTGGGGGTATTCACCGCGACGCAGGTAGGAGAGCAAAGGGTCGTTATGTGCAGCCATAGGCAATGCGATATAGTTGGCCATGACACCGGTTCCCATGTTGCCCCATGCGAGCCATCGCATCACGTCTGTCTTGAGCTCGTCTTCCAGCTCCAGAGGAATCAATTTTGTGTACAGAGGGTTGTTCATGGCTTCAGGGCGGCCCAGAACGACAGGCTTGAAGCCTTGAGCCCACCAAGCGCGTCTCCAGATCAGGAGAAGGTGGTGGACAGATTCGAGAGCCGTCTCGTCCTTGTACCAGTCGGCGTCGAAATATGTGTATACCGNGGGTCTTTTCCCCAGAGGGGGCAGCACCGCCCTGTTCTCGTCGAGTGTAATTGACGAGGAAAAGGGGTTCATCCACTTCCAGTCGGAAAACCATCTTGCTTCGCCGCTGGTGCTGTTGGCCTGCTCGGGTGGTGGTGAATGTGCCGGCGTCCTGAATGGGTTGAGGCCTTGTGGGAGACTCGGTGTCTTGGGCAGGTATGAGGATACTCTTCGCGCGCCTTCGTTGACTTCATCGCGATAAGGTACATCGACGGTCGACTGGCCAAAGAGGACAATGCAGAACAGGATGAATAGGGCCAGACTGGTCACTATCTGCAGGCGCCGTGGCAGGTATGAGCACGGGTTGTATGTGCGTGGTGCCATGATTAGCAGGACAATTCGTTCAATTCGTGTCAAGTCATGCGTCGTCCTTTGCGACTCCCCGTCCAGTCGTTCGCTTTGTCTTTGTAGAGAAATTGACGGCCTCCTTGTGATTAACCGCGCGTCATGGGCTGAGAGCTTGGCCAAGCTGTTCGGAGGTGCCCTCTTCTCCGCAGTCACCCTGTCCTGGCCTTGATATTATATTGCTTGATGATTCCTACGCAGATAGGTACTCGTCTTTCTGACCGTCATAACCACCTCATTCACAAGTACTAGACAGGGCCGGTGGTGTGGTTTTGTATTGCCTCAGGCTTACTTGCTCCCAGAATGATCAAATTGTACAGTCTTTGCTCCAACCCTAATGTACATGAAAATAAACACCAATGTCCATAAAGCCTTTATCTTGCCTGCTCCCAGTTCTTGGAGAGGGCCTCGTCCACCCTTTGTTGGAATTGTTCTGGTCTGCTACTTGTTGCTTCACCACCGAGGACATCGACAGACTCGAATGCTCCCTCGACTGGCTGCTCTTCCTCGACTCCAAACTCAAGAGGCTCACCTGACATCTCGGCATCAAGCAACTCGTCGGGCAGCTGGTTGAGCTCGGTAGCCAAAAGTTCGTAATCCAACTCGGGCAGACCCAGCGCACGTCTCTGCTGGTTGAAGCGCTCCTGTACCGACTTTGTGGCCATGATCATGCAACGCAATCTCCAGCCCTCCATACCTAGCGTCTTGATGCGTGCCGACTTGTCGCCCAGCAGGTACTCGTCCAATCCTCCGACCTTGTCGATTGTGCGCATGACTCTGGTGCTAACGCGAACACGAATGCGACGGTTCAGCGCATTGGAGAAGAGAGCCTTGCGCTTGATGTTGGGGTACCAGCTCCTTCGTGTCTTGATCTCGGTCTTGCGTGATACGTTGTTGCCGAATTGGATGCGTTGGCCGCCGTAGAGGCCCTTGTCGGATTGCTTGAACCACCGCGCGGGTCCGTATGGGTATGGTGGTACGTTTGCGTGCACTTCGGCGAGTGCGTTCTTGTGTGACTTCCATGCGAGGTTTGCGCTAGTTGTGAAGGTGCGAGCGGCGGGCGCAGCGTGGAGGCACTGAGGCCGAAGCGAGGCGAACATTGTGGCGATTGTGATGTGTATCAGGTCGAGAAACAGCGGACAGCCTGTTGGGTTGTGCCTCGAGAGTGGTTGGCCAAAGACAATACGCACACCAAGTCGTCGTCGTCTCCAACTGCCTACCAAAAGTGCATAGCGATTTCTGGACTTTCGTCTTGGCAGGGAACACATTCCGTTGCCAACGATTGTGGTCAACCACAATACTAACTTGACTTCACTGCTCATCTAGAGTAATCTTCGAATATTTATCTTGTCCTTGATTTTGTCTGACTACTTTTTCTTGAGTCTGCGTTTTGCTTGAGAGTTTCTCTGTATCAACATATGCTTGACATTTGTCACGGTCACTAGGGATAGTTGCTCTTTTACGACAAGACCCCCGGTTCGAAGTCAAACACCGTAGCCATGTCGACAATCTTTCCGACATCTTCCACAAACTTGAGATGAGAAGGATCCTTGTTTAGATAATAATCTCTATCAGCCTCTGACTGAAACTCAGAGACGAATCCATACTGGAGGCCATGNNCTATACTAGTTAGCAGGGTAACCCTGACTTAGGTCGGCGCTCTTACTGCGGCTCCCTCAGGGCTATTGTTCTTTCCACCTCCGTACGATTTCATGTACGCCTGTTGTGTATCAGGGTGTAGACAAGTGTCTTTGAGTCCGATCATGCGGTTGCAAATCTGTCAAGGTTGGTGTGAGAGTTCATCACAAAGCACGAAGCTAGATGAAGCTTGACATACATCCTTAACCACTGCCGGCTCAGTGTCCTCCTTGAACTTGAACAAGACAATGTGTACGATGGGCATTTTGAGAAGGCGAATGAAAGGTCTTCAATGTGTGTTTCCTTGTACGGACAAGTAGAGAAGGCCGAGTTGCAGCATAAGAGTGGTCTAGATGATGACGTTTGGTTCTCGGACTCAAAAGTCCCGAGATGCATCTCAATCCATCTCCGACAGCAAACATCTTGTCGCAAGACACAGTGACTCCGTCCTGACATTCAGCTATGCTAGAAAGCTAGATTGGCGCGTCGTCGGAATGCGCAATATACTGTAGACATCGACCCTCGCCAACAATCGACACGGTATTCGTTGGACGACACGATGAGTGGTTTGTCACACGTCCAGCCAGTTGATCTGGTCATTCGATTTACTGCTGCTATACCGGATGTCGTGATAAGGGTGCCCTCTGTGAGACTTATCACACCACTTGGTCTGCGGCAACAGATCAGACTGCAATTACCTGCCTCGTACGCCGCGAATCGCCTACGTCTCATCTCGGCAGGAAAGGTACTCCCTGACGCGACGGCACTTTCGAAATGTATCAACATCCCTCCACCACCACCTCGCTCGAAGAACGATTCAGCTGGAGCAAAAGACAGTACCAAGGGCAAGGCTCCTGCAGAGAGCACCGTCTCTAGGGTTTACATCCACTGCTCAATTGGCGACACTCTTACCCCAGGGGACATTGCTTCTGAAGCAGAGGCCGCTGAGAATGCCGACAAAGCACTCTTGACAGATGCTCAAGTCGAATCCGCTCCAACGCAGAGTCAAGATGCTACAACGACATCGTCCACACCTGCTCCTCGTGGGTTTGACCGTCTCCTCTCTGCTGGCTTCTCCCCTGGAGATGTAGCCAACCTCCGTGCACAGTTCATGGCCATTCAAGCACACACTCATACACCCGACACGATGCCGACAGGAGACGAACTTCGCTCGCTGGAAGAAAGATGGCTTGAGAATGACCCTGCAAATGCTGCAAACGGTGGTGCGGCAGGCACTGATGAAGAAGGTGGACTGGAAGATATGCTCTGGGGAAATCTCATGGGTTTCTTCTGGCCCATCGCTGCTGCGTGCTGGTTGATGCGTGAAGAAGGCATTTGGACGAGACGCATGCAAATTTCTGTACTCAGTGGGTTGCTGGTTAACCTTACCTTTGGCTTCCTGAGAATTACGTCTTGAGTATGCCGAACAAAGATTACTGTAACGATTCGTACTCTCATGATGCAAATGCGTTCGAGTAAGCGCAGGCGCAACTTCGGTGGAGTCCAGTCAGTCGCTCCTTCCTCAACTACAGTGTCTAAGCTTCGTCATCTCGAAACAGTCTGGAGTCTGGAGAACTTCATCGACTTCTTGTGCTTGAACATCAACCACCCACTCATTCATTCAACCCTAAATCCATCATCAGTCTCGTAGCGCAATCACGATGGCTCCCAAGGAACCTTCCAAGAAGCCTCCCAACAAGCCGGTCAAGAAGAAGCCACCCAAAAGCCGAAGCCGCTTGTCAAGAAGCCCGTCAAAAAGCCTGGCAAGAAGGGTGTCCGGATGCCCAGCAAGAGGCCTATCAAGAAGCTGCCTGTAAGGAAGCCACCCCCAAGAAGCCAAAGCCACCTGCAAAGAAGAAACCACCTGTGAAAAAGAAATCGCCTGCAAAGAAGAAGCCTCCAGCAAGGAAGCCAGCAGCGAAGGAGCCAGTCAAGAAACCAATCAAAAAGCCAGTCAAGAAGCCAGTCAAGAAGCCAGTCAAGAAGCCAGTCAAGAAGCCAGTCAAGAAGCCAGTCAAGAAGCCAGTCAAGAAGCCAGTCAAGAAGCCAGTCAAGAAGCCAGTCAAGAAGCCGCCGGTGAAGAAGCCTGCTGCGAAAAAGCCACCTACAAAGAAGTCGCCAGTCAAGAAACCACCAGCAAAGAAGCCCCCTGGCAAAAAGCCGTCGCCATCCAAGAAGCCTGACAAGAAGCCTAGCAAGAAGCCACCACCTGTGAATAAGCCAGACCACAAGCCAGCGCCAGTCAAGAAACCCGACAAGAAGCCGCCACCTGCAAAGAAGCCTGACAGCAAGCCGCGGTCCGTCAAGACGCCTAACAAGAAACCTGATAAGAAGACACCGCCCAACAAGAAGCCGGGGCCCTCAAAGCCCTCGTGGGAGTCGATTCTCAAAAATCCCTTCAAGAAGAAGTCATCATCTGACAAAAAGCCGGATCCCGACAAGAAACCACCGCCAGCCAACAAGCAGCCCTCGCCTGATAAGAAACCACATCCAGACAACAAGAAACCACTGCCAGGTAACAAGAAGCCACCGTCAGACAAGCAGCCCTCGATCGACAAGAAGCCAACAGCAGACGGGAAGTCAATACCAGACGGGAAGCCAAAGCCATCTGATCCCGCTCCTGCGACACCATCATGGAGGTTAGCGCTCAAAACCCCTTCAACAAGAAGCCAGGTCCTGATGGAAAGGCGCCGCCAGACGTCAAGTCAACGTTCAACAAGACGCCAGCCACTGGTCAGAATGCACCTTCTGCAAAAAGTCATCACCTGACTCGAAGCCAACGCCGACTAAGACAACACCACCTCACAAGAAGTCACAGCCTCCGAACCTACCTTCCAAAGCACAGCCATGGAAAACGGTTCTCAAGAATGCCTTGGACAAGGAACCAGTGCAGCAGGACCCTTCTGCAGGGCCATCGTCCAGTAAAACCTCGTCTGAGCCACCATCTGTCACTGGGAGTTTGCCTCGAAAAGGCAAAGTCAGATCGATGCCGCCAACTAACCAGAGCAACGGACCAACACCTTCTCCTCAAGATCTACGATTAGCTTGGATGCTCTTACCATTCGCTCCTGCTGCTTCGAGCGCCTTGGCTGGTGCCGATACCCCAAGAGTTCTGGCAACGCTCTTGTTGAGTCTTCTGACTCTGAATGTCGGTGGCGCTATGTTGGCGGCTGTAGATGTTCATAAAGGGAAAACGCGTCCTCCTCCGCCAACACGTTTTCTTCAAGCAAAGTATCCTCTTCAAACAATGTGTCGTCGGGTGGCTCTTTTTCCTCAAACAAAGCAGCTTCGCAGTTCGTAAGTGGATCAATTTCGACAAACAATGCTTCGTCAGCATACGCCGGTGGCTCGTCTTCTGCAAATAACGCAACATCGACATGCGCAGGTGGTTCTTCGTCGGCACTCAAGAGTAGCAATAGCAGCAGCGTCAACAGCTCTTCGTCGTCTAGCAGTTGGAGCACGGCCAGTTCATCGAACTCAAGTTCCTCTTCGTCATCGGGCTCATCATCTTCGAGTTCATCATCAAGCAGTGGTTCTTCGAGTTCAAGTTCTTCCTCGTCCAGCTCGTCTTCCTCGTCCAGTTCTTCGAGCAGCTCAAGCAGTTCCAGTAGCTCAAGCAGCTCAAGCAGCGGGTAGCATGATGGTGGAGGTACTCGTAATACTGTTGAATACCTCAATCGAGTTGCCTAGTCACATCCTGATCCCCATCATTCCTGAATACATGCCTATAAAATTGTACTGCATACTATTGATTTGGAACAGTGTGAGGTCACAAAAGCGTCTTTTTAAGTTTGCATCAAGGAACGAAAATGATCAAGTGTAATCTTACTGGCTTGCGAATATCGTGAGCATTTCCCAACCAAAAATGCTAAAGGCAATGTAAACGTAAGTCTGATAGACCATTTTTATTTTCAATCTTTCCAAAAACAGCTCGATAAGGCACTTCCATATCTCTATCAGTTTACTTCAGGTCTCTTACGAATGATGGTAAATCTGTTTGGCTGAGACTGATACTGTTATACAGAGCCAGGTCGATTATCCCGCTACTATTAAATGTGTGTTTTGGAGACAAAGAGAGTTTGCGAATGCACAGTAAAAGAATCCAAATCTGTTGTCTCCAGAGACGTGACCAATGTATAATCTGCTCGGTGAGTGAAGTGAGGTTCCTCAGCCCGAGCTGCTGACAAGCATGCTTCGTCCTCACGCTGTTGTTTGCCGAAGCATCCGAACATGAATAGTCAAGGAGCGAGACGTCATGGGAGCGACTGAGACTCAAAGAGCTCCAAGGCATGAGCATTCGGCAGTTCCTCCAGCTTGCTGAACATAAGTAGTCACGACGAGAACTCTTTTGAGAAGATTGTTCAAGAACATCCCACTACCTGTCATTGAGCCTGCCCAAGCTCTCAGTGAGACCTACACTTGACCCATTCCTATCAAACTCCAGAGGACCATGGCAGACTCCAAGAAACTNCCCACTTTCCTCACAAACACCTCTCTACACGCTTCCTTCGACAAAGACATCAAAGACACCCATCTGATCTACGACTATGCCGCTCAAGCCCCAGACGGCACACCCGAAAAATGGCGCTACGAGATGTGGTTCTTCTCCCCACTCGCATAGTGTGTAAGTCACTCCCCTCGCACATCCACACTTAAACCTCACCCAAACACTAACACCAACATCAAAAGANNTGCCATCCACGGCGGCCCCATGGCCGGCCGCATAAACTACCAAACCTGCACTTACCAATGCATCCGCCCAGGCGAACTCTGGCAATGCAATTGGCTGGAGGAAACAGGCACCATATGCTCTCTGGTCTACGATATCAAGAATGAGAAAATAACTACGCTGATCGCGTTTTCAAAGGGTCATTGGGAGAATCCGGAAGAGGCGAGNGGGGATAAGAGGGAACAAGAGGTGTTTGAGAGATGGAGGGGTTTGGCGAAGCAGGGTTCGCAGGTGGAAAGGTTTATGTTGAGTGAGCAGGCGGATATCAAGGAGAAGTTCAAGGGCAAGGGCGAGTTGGTGCCTATTGAGGGGGATGCCGAGACTTTTTAGAAGTTGGAGTGGATGGAGTGGACACGGTCTCAGACTGGACGTATGACAATGTCGGCGAAAGAGGTAACGTTAGAAAACGAGGACGGAAAGAGCAATAGCAAATCTGGAGACACACAATCACATAGGGCAGGAATGCAGAGTAGTTGACACAAAAGAAATCCAGTTGATGGGTATCATAAAACGACATAATCCCAGAGAGAAAGGTTTGTAAACATGAAAAATTTTGAAGAAGTTTTTGAGAGACCTTGATGGAATGTTGAAGAGCATTGTTCGAAAAACGAAAACTCCCAAACGCTTTTGATTCATTGGACATTCCAGTGACGACCATATCCCGACTCCCACGAAGCCGTTTTTGCATGGCACATGACTCTTGACCTGTAGACACGACTTGCATATCTTGTGTCTTAGCCAGCCAGCCTCGTAGCTTGACCCATCCTACTCTGCATTGAGATGGCAAGTTTACTTGCGCATGGAGGAAGCACGACGCTTCTTCATCTCCTGCTGCTGGCTCTTGGCCTCGGCAACACGCTTGTGGAGGATGTTGGCGTACTCGGCCTGTGATTGTATTAGCGGGACTGTGAAAAGGACACAACGAAGAGCAGGGAGACGTACGGCGGCGTCCTTGGAGGCCTCGGCGTTGCGGCGCTTGAGGGCCATGCGGTGACGCTTGTGCTGGAGACGCTGGGGAGTGACCAGGCGCTGGATGCGAGGAGCCTTGGTGTAGGGCTTGGCACCCTCCTTCTTGGGCTGGACCTCACGGCGGATGACGAACTTGCGGACNNCTATTTCACGACACAGTCAGTATACTTGTACACTCAGACTCAGTCCGTGGAGATGTTTAATCTCTGGACTGGCGACGATGGAAAGGGAGGTACCCACATCATCATCCTTGCTGAGACCGAAGAAGCGGCGGATCTTGGTGGCGCGCTTGGGGCCGAGACGCTTGGGGTGGACAACGTCGGTCAGGCCGGGGATGTCGTTCTCACCCTGCTTAACAATAGCGAGGGCGAGGACGGACAGGTCCATGGCAACGATGCAGCCGCGGACGGACTTGCGCTTGCGCTCACCGGTACGACGGGGGCGGTAGCACGAGTGGCCCTCAGCAAGAAGCAGACGGACACGGGTGGGGTGCATGACACCCTGCTTCATGGGGAAACCCTGCTTGTCGTTGCCACCGGTGATCTTGAAGACGTAACCCTTCCACTCGTCACCGAGGGACTCGGCGGGAACCTCCTGACCCATGCGGCGGTCCATGAAGACGCGGAGACGGCGCTCATCCTCAACCTCGATGAGCTTCTGGGAGCCGTTGGCGGGGTACGAAATGTTAAGCTTCATGGTGGCTCTGAGAATCTGGTCAGTACGAGGTCTTCAGTGTGGTGAAGGCTGTGTGGCAGTCGGCTGGGCTGTGGGTTGGGCGATATGGCTGCGCTAATCTCCTGGGCGACTGGCTGGTGTGTACAAGCGTGCGTGGTGAACGCTGTGCGCGTGTTTTGTTGTTGAGAATTGTTTATGGAGTGCGTCGTGTGGGAACGCAGAGAAATTTTCAGGCCATCGAAGACGTCTCTTGAGAGCTCATCTTCCTGTGTCGACGACCTTCGTGTCTCTGGTGATTGTGCGCGAGGTGCGCACAGCGATAGGCGATCGAAAAGTCGGGCGCGAGACGTGTCTGCAGGCGCCGCGATTGTCGTCGTAGCCGTCGGTGTCCAGAGGATAATTGCAAGCCATATGCCCAAACCGCATTGCCCGTCATTCATACCAGCAGCACGAGGGATGATTCTTACTATTGTCGAGGATTGTCGTCGTCGGTGGTCGCTGCGCTATTCGGTCAAAATTGAGATTCGAACTTTGCTCGCTGATTTTCGCACCCGCTTAGTCATCCGTGGGTGCGTCGCGACACGTGACCCGTGCTTCGAAGCGACTTTCAGCCACATCCAACTTCACATGAGCCTGACCATGGCTTTCTGCTGCAGCCAACTCATGATGGATGTCTGATCCTATATTCCATTTTCTTTGCAAATATACTGGCCGTGCTTTGTGACTGTATATCCCTGTTTTACACTCCTTCTGCGTAACGTCTGCCGGAGTGGAGGTAGTCGGGTGGCACCTTCTCATACCGCGTATTATCTTTTCTATACATTACCACCGCTTGGTCGTCCGCATTGTTCAAGACCGCCGGCTCCTTCTTCAGTGTTGCAACGCCATTATACCTTCCTTCCGCAACATCCTTTGACGTGTGGAAATCATGGGAACAGCTAATGCCCACTTCTAGATACATTTCTTTCTCATCGGCCGCGGTCGCTATGGTTGGTAGTCGAATGACAAATGCAACCTCGCCGCATAAATTTGTGATGACTGCCATGTAGTATTGGAGGCTCGCAAGCCTTTTAGAGAACCCGTGGTCAACTCCAATTTCCTGCTGTACCCCTGCCTCTTCGTCTCCGTGTGCTAAAGACTGTTATACTGTACTATAGAAATCCACAACATCTTCCACAATAAAGTGTCAGTCAAGGAGAGCTATCATTTTGAGGCTGCTTTGATTGCCACACGTCTAGTTTCACAAACAACTCTGCATTTCTATAGCATACTATAGCATACTATAGCACCATCTGCTCGCCTGAGTACCGAGATGACCGCAGGCTCTCTATGATTTAGCACATGTTTTTTCTTTCTTTCTAAAGGGCCCCACGAGGAAGACATGACTGTTTCAACAATCAACCACACGATTCATATTTTGTAAACATGACTACCACTCTTGCATCGTGCAGTTGCATAAAGATCGTGATCCATAAGCTGGAAATATCATGACTTGAAAACCATCCTCGTTTCTTCCCTAACCAGATCAACGTGTAGTCTAGAACAGCCAAGAAAGGAAGGTTCTGTAGAACCAGCTGCCATCACGCTTAGCATCCTTCTCATGCTCGACAGCCTTCCAGTACTCCTCATCACGATCAAAGACATCCTTGCCAGTGAACAGATCAGCCTCGTGAGGCTTAACACCCTTGCTCTTCTTGATAAATTTGTATCCGAATAGGAGGATCAAGTACAGAGGAATACCCAAGTATCCAGTGATGAAGTTCTTGTAGTCAAACTTACCATAAGTCTTCTTGTCGTGGGTGAAGGCGGCAAAATTCTTGGTCAGAGCGATGAGACAGCACCAGAAGAGGGAGAAGTAGGAGCCCCAGATACCGAGGGGTGCGGCGTAGGGCAGCTGCTTGGNGGTAACACCTTGAGCCTTGCAAGCACGGCGGAAGTAGATGTGGGTGACGAGGATGGAGATCCAGGTCAAGAGACCGAAGATGGTGGTCAAGTTGACAAAGTAGCCGAAAATCTCCTTGCTGCTGGATGAGACGTTCATGTATGCCAACAAACAGAAGCAAGTCGAGAGGCCGAGAGAGTAGTAAGGAACACCACGCTTGTCGGTTTTGGCCAGAATCTTGGGTGCTTGACCACGGAGAGCAAGACCGTGGATGGTGCGACTGGCGATGTAAAGATCAGAGTTGCAAGCACTGAAGACAAAGATCAGAATGCAAGCGTTTAAGAATCCGGGGAGACCCTTGATGCCAGCAAGCTGTATAGCGACGACGAAAGGCGATGCAGCAGCAGAGTTCGACTGCTTGGTAGCAAAAGCGAGCTTGTCGCTGTTGTACGGCACGATCATGCCGACGAGGAGGACAGACAGGATGTAGAAGAAGACAATACGGAAGAAGGTCAATCTGATGGCCTATGGTACAAACGTGATTAGTATGATGTTTTGCAAAACATGCATCGTGTGTCAACTCACTCTGGGGATGGTCTTGCGAGGATTCTCAGCTTCACCGACGGTTACACCAACCAACTCAGTTCCAAGGTAGGCGAACACAGCGGTAACCATTGAACTCCACAATCCGAAGAAGCGACCGGCTGCGCCCTCGCCCTTGTACTCCTTGAAGGCTCCCTATAATAATCTGTCAGTGCCGGTCCTCTACGAAGATATCACGAGGTACCCACAGGNGTTGTTCCAGTAGCGGAAGCCCTTTCTATCGCCATCAGGGCCACCTCCAAGTGCGAGGACAAGAGAAAGAATAATCATGCCGCAGACCACGAGGACCTTGATCGAAGAGAGCCAGAACTCGAATTCTCCAAAGAAACGAATACCCAGGTAGTTGATGGCGACGATCGCAATCAGGAAAATCGTGATCCAGACACCAGGATTGACTTTGTCTGCGTCAACCCAATACGATATGACCAACGCTGCAGCCGTCAACTGATTGGGCGTGACAATGATGTATTTGAACCAATAAGTCCATCCGAGAGCAAAACCAAGAGCAGGGTCGCAGAAACGCGTAGCAAAAGGTGAGAAACCACCAGCAACAGGAATCCAAGCAGCCATCTCACCGACGGCAGCCATGACAATCCAGACAAGAAGACCAACGAAACTGTATGCGATCAAGATAGATCCGGGGCCAGCTTGAGCAAGAGCTTTACCGGTTCCGATAATAAGTCCAGTACCAAGTGCACCACCTACGGTTAGTTAGCATCTAATAACTCCATATGCACATCGATCCAACTTACCAATGGCAATCATAGAAACCTGTCGTGAGTGCAGACCACGCTGGAGCTGCTCTCCGGGAAGGTCATTCGAGGTTCCTTCCTTAATGGCAGTGATATCCTGGTTTTCATAATCGTATGAGGCCGTCTTTGCGATCTCAGGATCGGGTCCTCCTTNTTCGTAGGAAGCCATAACGAAGGAAGCTGCACCAAGAGGTCAAGACGTTGGGGACTGTGGGGGAATCTGGAGAAAAACATGCGATCAGCTCTGGGGATCTTTAAAGAAAACCGCTCTCCAAGACTAGAGGGGCATATTACGTACAGGCAAGGGTAGAAAAGAGGTTGCCCAGCAATTGGTCAACGTGGGGACCGGCACTCTCGCCAAAAGGAGCAATCTCTCACTAATGAGAAATCTCTAGTGCCTTGAAGGATGTGTGTGTGAGGAGGGTGGAAGAGAGAAAAGGAAAGGAATGCAACGATGTTATGAAAGACGACATGTTTGTTGATATCGCTGTCCAGAACGCCATGGCCATACTTGCAGGAATGTTTTCTTCTTATCAGCCAAACGAAAAGTCACCCGGTGGACTATTGGAGATGTTCCTTTTCCATGACCCCAAGGTGTTATCACATTGTTACTTGTAAGCGCCAAGGATACTTCCCCAGCCATAGCAGTACGCCTTACCACACCGTGTGCGCCCTATACCGAACTCGCGGGCTGAGAATTTTGCACGGATTAAAAGATGTGACGCTGAAAGGTAACCATTTGCTTGAAAAGGCGGCCGAGGCTCTTGCAACTGTGCCAGCTTATCAGGCCCAACTCGCAGGCGAATACCGACCGGTGCTCTCGAGCGAACCGATACTATGGGTGATTTTCGCTTGGCAGTCTCTCGGCGGTCTTGGTATACGATAAGGGTGTTTTCAAGATAGCCGACCCGAAAGGAGAGAGTTTGCCATGCTCTTGGCGCCCAAGCAAAGAAGCGCAAGCATGGGTTGAGAATACGGTGTTGCAAAGTGGAATTCAGGAGATGTAGTCGTGCGTTCACAGCCACTGTTTAGGAGAATTCAACCAGAAGACCTCTCACCATTGAGCGTGGTCAGATCTCCACGCTTTGTACCCCGCATTCTCGCGGCTGTCATTACCTAAGCGCTTGCACACGAAGAAACCTCAGCCACTGGGGGATGGGGACAGCTGGATGACTTCGACGTACATCAATCACATTTCTGAAGATGAGGAGAGCACGCGACCGCTTGCTGACTGACCTGAGCTCTGTCGCTTGGATATGACTTTGTTCTAACGCTGAGATTCGTAGAGCAGGAAGGTACTACTGACATGAAAGCTTCAATCGGATTTCTCTTCTCCACTCAACGACAACGTACAGCCATAGCTCATATCGAATCCGACCTTTGTGTCCATCGGTGAAACCCTCGAAGGTCGTCGCCGAGTGGTCAGTGCCAGAGTCATGCCCTGTTAGCCCAAACAGCGGTATGTTCTGCTAGGAAATTATCGCGATCATAAACATCCACTTTGTTATAGATATTCAAAGAACGAAGCTGTGGATCTTCGCGATAGGAAGGTCAACCTGTTACAAAAATGGCTATCTAGACGCCATTCCAACAATAGGATTTCTATAAGACAGCGGTATGCGCCAAGAGGGTGGCCACGCTGTTTATTTGGGACACATTTGTGCATTTCCATAGCGTTGTCATCCCAGGCATCCTCTCATCGTTGCTCGTAAGATGCAAATAATGCAGTGTCGAGTGAGACATTTGTATATATTCATTCTAGAAATCGGACGTTGTGATTACCACTCTATCCCTTAGCCATATATTGAATCATCGAGCAGCAGAACAAAGAAAACAGCTCAGTCTTTGTGGCAAGCTACTATTTGAATGTGATAATCAGCGGCTATTGAGGGTTTGTCATTACAATAAAGAACATCTGTTGGACTGAGCTTTGCTTTGTGACGGATTTGCAGCATGTTCACATGCTGCGACATCAAGATGCCTAACCTTGTGAAGGGCATGACGACAGGATTGATATTTCCGAATGCTGGGATACTTGTAGAGGTAGCTAGATATCTACTTCATGAGCTGTGAGACCTGCTCGTTGATAAACTTCTTATCCTCAGCCGTACCGGCACCGCCACCAGCAAGATGACCCCAGATACTTTCAATGACAGCCAAATTTCCATTCTTGATATGCTTGACCTCCTCTTCGCTGTCCTCAGGTGGGAAGTAACAGTCGGTTCTTGACGGCATAATTAAGGACTTGGCCTTGATTCTTCCCAAAGCTGTGGGAAGGTCTCCCTTGTCTTCAGGGAAGCAAGCAGCGATGTTGCCATTCTGCCATGTCCATAGCATGGATAGTAAATCGTTTGCATCGTTTGACCTCTTGTCCCAGTTGTTCTGGAGATACTGCTCGAGCGTATCGTAGCCGAGAACTTTCCAGCATTGCTCTCTATACCAGGCCTGGCTGAGCGCCCAAGTAGAGTAGACTCTGCCGAAAGCGCGAAGGCCTCTAATAGGTTCTTTGTTGTATCTGCCATCCTCGAAGTCGACGGCTGACTCCAAGGCAACTTTAGGTCCTTCCAAGAAATTGTAGTTGTGCCATGAAGTGCGTGCCGAGGTTGCCAGCATCACAACATGAGACACGAAATCAGGGTACAGCACACTCATATAGTAAGCCTGCTGCCCACCCATCGAGAACCCGATATAAGCCTCCAAATGCTCAATCCCCAGACTCTGGCACAAAGCATACTGTAAACGTATGTTATCCTCATACGTCACCCTCGGAAACTCAACACCAGAGAACGGAGCAGGCTGGTTCGAGGGCGACGAACTCTCACCACCACCCAATTGCCCAACAACCAAAACATGGTAGTCAGACAATGGCAGCGCGGCAGAGTCAGATTCGTAAATAAAAGGCGTCGTGGTTTCGAGCTTGCCGGCAAAACACGTCGGCATCAAGACCGTGGGCTTGGAAACGTCGCCGAGGCTCCAGTAGGCTAATCTGCCTTCGAAATCCTGCCCGGCATGAGAAGAGCCAGGAGACAACTTGATGGTATGCGAAAAATGCTTAGTCTCGGGCATGGTGATTGCGTTCTTGGAGATGATAGGTGCAAAAATGGGCAGCCCCGAGAGTTGTTGTTGTTGTTGTTGTTGTGGATTTCGGGTGGAGAAGTTTGGTTAAAGAGGAAGGAGGTCGGCTTGTGGAGGTCAAGCTTGTTCGTGAAGGTGGGTCATCAGCGACGAACGCCTCCCGATCGCCACCAAACTTCGATTTTATCCAAGAGATGCTGTGTATGTATGTGTCTTCGAATTTGGCCGCTAGGCGCGGATATACTGAGTGATAAAACAATGTCACAGAGAACAAATGGGAAATAAAGGTGATCTGAGATGGAAGAATCATAAATTGAAAGTGAATGTGTATTCAGACATCCAAGCATCGTAGTACCCATTATTCACATAAAGCCGCCAACCACATGTATCCCAGCCATGATATCTTTCTCTACAGCTCTCTGTGTTCGATAGTCATGCCATCCTTTTCACCAAGACCACCCATCTCGGCTGCAAGAACCTTGCCCTTCTCGGTAGCGGCGGCACCACCGACGACAGCGTCCTCGCCATCAAAGTACTTGGCAATCTCCTCGAGAGNGGTGTTGCGAGTCTCGATGTAGAACTTCCAGACGATGAAGAGCTCGAATCCAAGCCAGACACAGTAGACAATGTAGTACTTCCACTGGATGTGCTTGAGGGCGACGGGGTTGACGTATTGGTTGAAGAAGAGAGCAAGATCAACGCACAGGAACATGAGAGTCATGCCCTTAGCGCGAATGTTGTATGGGAGAATCTCAACAGAGTAACCGACCAGGAGACCCGAGAAGGCGATGTTGTAGAAGACGTAGTAGATGAAGATGAAGGCAACGACAGAGTTTGCAGAAGCCTCGCCTCCAGCGATCTTGAAGCGGGCGGAGCAAATGGTCTGAACGATGAAAGAAATCATCATACCNNTAACCGTACAATTAGAATAGTTTCACAAAATTGAGTACTTTCGGCATAACCTACCAGTCGTGGAGATCAAAAACAGCGTACGACGTCCAACCTTGTCGACGAAGAAGCATTGTCCGACAGCAACAATGAAGTTGACGATTTGCAAAACACCGTTGATAATGAGCTGAGTGTTGGTGTCGGTGATACCGATCTGGTCGAGGACGAGGGTAAGGTAGTAAGAGACGAGTCCGTTGCCAGACCACTGAGAGAAGAAACCAACCGAGCAGAGAATAATCAGACGGTGGCGGTTACCGGNGGTCTTGAACAGCTGAGCCCAACCGTTGGCTTCGAACTCCTGCTCCATCTTGATGGTGTCTCTGATCTCAGCCATCTCGAGCATGACAACCTCGTCGTTGAGGTTTCCGTTGGCGTGGACATCGGCCAAGACCTTGTGTGCTTCCTCAACCTTGCCCTTGGAAATAAGGAATCTGGGAGACTCGGGAACGAACCAGATAAAGGTGAGCTGCAGTACTGAGGGGAACGCTTGCACGATCGAGGGGATTCTCCAGGCCCAGTGGTTAGGAATGTGGAAAGTTCCGAAGGTGAGCCAAGCAGCCACAATGGAACCAAGGTACCAAGTAGTGTTGTAGATGGTGGTGAAGAGAGCACGGTGTTGAGGGTGGGTGAGCTCAGTAAGAAGCAGAGGCGATGCACCGTGGGCGATAGCAACACCAAATCCAATGAGGAAACGAGCGCCGACGAACATGCCAAATTTCATGGCAGCAGATTGGATGACAACTCCGATGATCATGAGGATACAACCAGTGAGGATACCAGCGCGACGACCCAGACCATCGGCGATGTAGGGAACGACGGGGAGAGCGACCAGAGAACCGACAGACATAATAGCGTTGAGCAATCCCAATGATGATGCAGAAGGGTGGTGGAAATCNNTGTAGACGATTAGCATGTGCTCAGGACTTGAGATGCGTACAGACATACCATCTTGCCAGATAGTAAGGGCCTGAAGACCGTTCATCATGGAACCATCGTAACCGTTGGTGGCACTGGTGATAACGACGAACATCAAGCAGATGTAATTCCTTCTCAAACCAGGGTCAGTAAGCCAGTTGACCTTGGGGAATTCACGTCCCGCCAGGCGGAAGTGGCCTTTGGTAGCGGCCTCCATGTCGACTCGGTGTTATGAAGAACGATTGTTGGTTACAGAAAGAGAGAAAAGATCAGCGAGTGCAATTGATGCTCAAGAGACAGTGGAGTCGAGTGCCTGGCTGATCAAGTCATATTGGGAGGACAAAGAAGCTATATATCTCAAATGAGTCTTGCAGCACAAAGTATGCCATCTCATTTAGCCGCCAGGCACGAGCACCAAAAGACCTCCATTTCGAGGCGACAAAGACGATTGAGGCTCGCTTGTGTCGACCCGGCGGCATGGCACATGCAAAGTGAAGGCCAGAGTGGTCTTGGCCGCTATCGATTCTCGTTTACCCCACGACAATGTCTTTTAGCCACGCGGGGCTCCGCATGAATGGGAAAGGGTGATCGCGTGGTTCGTGGCCTGGCAGCCAAGATGCCTCGCCTGCAGAACTAGGACTAGCCACGCGAAGGATCGACGTCGTTATTAGGTTGTGAGCAGGCTAGCAGACGGTGGCGTCCTGAGAGGCGGGAGCGGGTCCATTGCCATGAGCTTGTACATGCGTTCAATGTTCTTGGGCGTTCAGACAATTGTTGAATGTCGAGATATACTGTATGGAGTGGACTCCTACACAATCGAAAGGATCATCGCTCGAAAATGTGGAGGAATCTGGAGATTGGTGATCCGGCACAGGGCGGTGGACCTCCCCACAGCTCCACAAAGAGGTGTGAGAACGTCCGGAGAAGAAGGGTGCATTGCCGAAAGGGGTATAGTCCGCTATACAGGCTGCACCGGTCACAAGGTACTGCATTTAGCCGGCGAATTTTGCCTGTACCACGTCAAACCGTGATCAACATTCAATACCAAAGTTGGCTCGAATAAGCTTCGTGGCACGCCTTGAGACGCCATTATTGAAATCAGATTTCAGAACGGTGACGGCGACAAACAGTCGTAGGCGTAGGTGGTATACTTGACTTGTATAGACAGATTGTCGCTAGGGCTGCTCAAAAGAAGTAAGTTAAGTATTTGCGTACAACAAAGAAGCCGCACAGAAAGAATATGGGCCGTTAACATGAGGCTTTAGCCAATTGTCGTCTGTGCGGGTATGTTGTCGCCCATAGACCTCCTTCTGCCAAGCATTGTCGATGGTCGAGGAATCGAGACACCCATTTGTAAAGAAATAGAGAAGACGTGCCACAAGCTTGTAGTGTCAATCTCATCGAAAGTGAAATGACCAGAACAGCCTTGGCGTTTCTTTTGCGCTCCAGAGATGTCTAAATCTACAAGGCTGCATATTGAACAATATGCGCGGCAGTTTGTGTACAGCACGCCAAAACACGTCTCAGGGTCTTCATCTGTCGACAGACACACCAGACGCGAGTAGCTGGGTCAACACTGTAGTTATGGGCCAATCGTAGGGTCACCCAGACCTCTCTCCTATTGTCGATTTGCCAGTGTCGGACGCAGGAGAAGCGTCTCGACGACGATAGGCTATTGTTGGCGCTTCTGGCGGCTAAAGCAGTACCTAGCACTGCACGATACCGGAGATTCCCACTGAAGACGAGCGGCTCAGGTGAGGGCTGGACCGTCGGATCTCTTCACGATCTCCCGGGTCGCAGTAGCGTTGCGATCAGGCCCGTTCTGCGGCTCCGGGGTGGTTCAAGGAGTTTTGGGGTCGCCCGACATGGGTCGAGTCTGGAGACACGGGTCGCAGGATGTGCCCGAACGTGAAGGATGCATACCATGCGGTTCGAAGGCCCGGTGTTGCCGATCTCAGCAAAAGTAGTGGCGAGAGATGATCTCGAGACCACTCGTGATACCAACAATATATTGGTAAAAGCGATGGATCAAAGAGGTTGCTTTTGACGATCTCGATACGGGTTGGAATAGCTGTGTGATAGGCTGTAGTCGTTGTGACAGCCAGAGGGGCACACCGCGTGTATTTGTCACATGTGTCGTGTGGGTGTAAACCGTCGCATAAAGAAGCTGAGGTGGGCACTTCAGGAGCCGGCAGGCTTCTTTTCGATGACACTCCTCACCCATCTCACACCATCCCAGTACTCCCGCTTACCAGTCATAATGTCCTCATTCTCGTCTTCGATGAAGGCAGAATGACCAGTCTCGCCGAGGTGAAGGGCAGCTGTCTCTTCCAGCAGTATGCCCAAAGCAAGCAAAGCAGTCTCGTCCAGAGATTGGAAATCGATCTGGCCCTTGTCCGGAGCGGCCTTTGAGTAAAATTCGGATGCATAAGGGTGTAGAGATTTGAGTAGGTCAGAATCTGGTAAAGGAGTGGTTGGATGGGGAGCCTTGTAGACGTCGGATTCTTCATAGCGCTCAGGGGCTCCTTGACGGCGGAACAAGACTTCGTCTGGCGGTACAGATTGCAAGGAATTTGTTTGGGTGTCTCGATACTTTGTAGCAGTCCGCTTCTCGCTTGGGAGAAGACTCTCGTAGCCAGCTTTGCCAGCGACGGCTTCGTAGACAGTGATTTTACGGCGTTTACGAGCGACCACCTCAGGCTCAACTGCCTCCTCGGGATGCTTGTAGCGGTCTAAACGCTCTGTACGAACTTCCATGTTCAGCGTATGGGCTCATAGGTCATGTGAAAGTTTTGTTTGTGGTCTTCTGAAATTAGGATGGTCAGAGGAAAGCGATGGCTTGGCGCGAGGTTGGAGTCACGGTTTCCCGATACGTCACGCACCTCGATCGTTCCTGCTCTTCCAAGCAAGATCAAGCATGTTCAAAGATGAATCAGTCCCCGGATGAACTCGTTCTTACTCAACCGCGCTCTTGGTAGCGTCAGTCCCGCCGCTCTTGCGCGGTCGCAAAATACCCGTCTCGTCTACTCCATCCAGCCGGCCAGCCATGTATCACTGAGCATCAACCCTCCGGACACAACCAACGAGGAAGATGCCCTGCAAAATGGCGTCGCACACCCGGCCGGTGTGAACACTATCACAGTCGACAAGTTCGAAGGGCGTTGGCTTCTCTCTGGTGGTACAGACTCGTCGATTGGTATCTGGGACCTCGAGACTCCGACGAGCCAGTCTGATGAGACTCGCCTCATCCAGCCGCTCGGATATGCCTCCAAGACCTCGAAAACGGCAAACTTTGGCATCACTCATGTCTCGTTCTATCCCTTTGACTCTCTAGCATTCCTGTCAAGCAGCTATGATCACTCGCTGAAGCTCTACTCGTCCGAGACGCTCGAAACCTCAGCCGCCTTTGACCTTGAAGCCGTCGTCTACTCACACGCCCTTTCACCCATCGCTTCTCACCTGCTAGTGGCCTGTGCTACACAACACCCTGCCGTACGACTTGTCGATCTCCGCTCTGGCGCCAGTACCCATTCACTTGCTGGCCACAGTGGTGCCGTGCTCACAACCGCCTGGCACCCGAAACGTGAACACGTGCTCGCCAGCGGTGGCTCTGATGGCCTAGTACGGCTTTGGGACATACGCCGTAGCGCAAGTAGTTTGGGTGTGCTCGACATGGAAGACAGCAGGGGTGTCGGCGTGAATGGCAACACACTGCGACGCGAGCGCGGCAAGGCTCATTCAGGCGCCGTCAACGGCATAACATGGGACGAGGCAGGAGACTTCCTCGTTTCCTGCGGACAAGACGATAGGATCCGCGTCTGGAACGCAAATACGGGCGCAAACACCCTGACCAATTTCGGCCCTGCTGTCAAGAGCTCTACGACATCCACTCTGCTGCCCTTGCTCAGTCCAAGTCATCTCACTGGTCCGACAAGAGAAATCCTCGTATATCCCAATCCTCGCGAACTGCTTGTGTACGAGATGCACACAGGTAAACTCATCACACGCCTGAGAACGCCTTCATACGCCTCTACACGCATACAAGTCGCGGCAGGATCGGGCACACGAAACGTCGTCAACAAGACAACAAGTCTGGCCTGGCGAGCCCACAACATCGAGCTCTACTCGGGCCACTCTGACGGCACAATTCGCTGTTGGAAACCAAGGACATGGGAAGATGCGCTCGATGAAGACGGCGAAGACGATGATGACGAAGAAAGAGGTGAAGATGCCATGGAACGAAAACGCAAGAGGGATGAGTTGGACGATATAGTAAACGGCCTGACCAAACGTCAAGTAACGTATATCTAATGTCAAAGAAAATTGAGTTAATGCGCTCAAACAAAGCAGTCTATAAAGGGTATCATTGCTAGCTATGCTCGTTGCCCTTTCTTTCCAACTGTCCTTCACAACATGACAACCACAATGTGCAAGAACCCATCCGTAAATGCAGCAGCTCTCATGAGGTCCTCGACCGGTGCATTCATAGGCACAACCGCTCCATGCAACACAGGCGCCGCCAATACTGGGTTTCGCCTACTAGGGAACACAGTCGGCAGTATCTGATTCAAGGCCATGCCCAGTGTATTCGGTTGACCTGTCGTACCATTGCAATCAGCATATCACGTCTGAGAAGCAGAATCATCGAAGAAGAAAAGAGGAATAAACTTACGCGTTGCAGAAGAGAGAGCAACAAGACCTTGCACTGTCCTTATACTAGCCTGTACTGTTTCTGTCTCATCACCACCAGAGCTTGATGTCGGTGCCGTTGTAGGGAGGTAGATTTTGATCGGGATGTTGCGGAGAGGTGTACCCGGTGGATTGAGCAGTTTGTTGTTTATCGTGTTGAACTTGGCCAGATCATCTGTGTTATCGTTTCCTGATCAGCACACTGTTCCTCTCGTATAGTGTACNNACCAAACAGAGAACAACTTACGCTCCTGCACTGCTTGCCACAGCGCATCCGAGTCATCTTTGCTCAACCCCATATACACATTCCNCTTGCCATTGCGAATCACATCTGCCTGTTTTTGTGCGTGTCAAGTCAGTTAAACATATCCTCATCTCAACATGAGAAACACACTCACCTCTTTAACAGCATTAACATAACAATCCCTCAACACCTTGCCCTCCGCATCCAACCCCATCAACTGCTCATCCGGAAACTCTGAATACCTCAATACCAGTTTCCAAGGCAGTGATTCTTGTTCTTCAGTGCCATCGTCCTCGGGATTTGAAGGTGCAGCGCCAGAAAACAAGTCGTAGAGTAAGCCGATTGGGTAATGGTATTTCAACGCCACATTCTCAAAGGATAACCAGGCGTTTTGAAATGGTATCGAGGGATCTATAAGCTGAGCAGAGAAAAAGGCGTGCAGACGGGNGAGTAGAGAGGCGAGGTAGGATAGACGGGGGAGGTTTATNNCTGTGAATGAAGTTAGAAGATGTAACTTTTGTGTTTTCGTGTTACATTTCTTCTTTTGGAAGTGATAGAAGGAGCAAAAATATACCAGATATGGATCCGTTTCGTCGTAGGTTCTGCAGTCTGCGCTTGCCAGTCGGATCTCGAGCGGTAAACTACCCGCCCACACTTTCTTTTGTATGGTTGCGATTACCACTGGAGGAGTTGCCATGTTTGATGGTGAGTATTGGGATTGATGCCAGGAGGTCTGGTAAGAGTTAACGAGTTATCATTCGATTGTTCTAATGAGTTGTTGTGTTGCAAAATGGTGAGATGATGTTGGCGTCGTGGTTGATGCCTACAAATCGACAGGGTCACCCTGGTCACAAGAATCACAACGTATCAATCGAGTGCCACAATCACAAACAAAGCATGGTTGGAGAGAAAATCAGGGAGGCATATATGACCATTGCTTGACTGTGATATAAGCATGTCTTTTGTCTGGCTCCCTAAGTTCTGAGATTTGCCCCTAGCAACAGCACACTGGGCTCTTTGATCAATACCTCGAGCCAACGCATCTTCCTTGTACATTCAAGAGCCCACACTAACATTGCTCTCCGTTGAAGCGAACAAAGTCAGTTGCGAGTAGATCTGACCATGTTCTTGACGAAGCTGTCTTGTGTATAAGAAGCTATTGGCGATGTAGAAGAGATCAGCGGAATCCTCGAGAAGAGATAGCTTGCCCTCAGTCGCCTCCTTGAAGGAGCCGTTAGAGGCAGCACGAAAGTAGTCGGAGTAGAAGCAAAGCAAATTCTTGTGGATGACGAAGGCCTTCTTCTCAGATCCGACTTCGATGGTGACGACAGTGCCGAAATGTTCGCTTGAAGATCGTCAGCAAGGTTCGTCTCGAGCACGAATGTATGTGTCTTACCTCGAGGGTCTACTGGCAGGCACAGAGACGGCCTGGGAGGGAGGGCGCAGTGGGGTTGCAGATGGAGACGAGCCGATGGCATTGTCGATGACGGGTATCTGTGGTTGTGGTGACATGATGGAAGTTCTTCGCTTTCAGCGGTCGATAGATGCTGATGAAGGTGGTTGTTGGAGATGTGACTGGAGCAAAGTGTTGGTGTTGAATGATTTCGGAAAGAAGACGAGTGACCATGGGTTGGAGTGATGAGAGGAGCCAGTGAACAAAGCAACGAAGACGAGGCCAGTAGTGCTTGCCAGCCTGAGACACAAATCTGAGCTGTGATTTGAGACCACTGATAATTCATCGGCCAGACTCCGATGGAAAATTGAGTGAAGTGAACCAAGTTACTGAATCGTTACTGTGTTGCCAGGAAGATGCAATATGGAATCAGTTGGCAGGAGCGTTTCTAGCCTACAACAATGTTTGGCAGTGATTCTACAGCAACAGCAACCTCAATGAAGCCGGCAGCTAGACCTTATAGCAAAATGACTTCATACACACCTTCATGCATTGCACCTCAATCCTCATCCATGTTATCCTCGTCTTCCTCTTCATCTTCCGTGTCCGCCTCGCCGAGCAGCTCTCTTTCATCATCGTCCAACTCTGCACTAGGGCCGATGGTGACATTGCCCTCATCATGCATATCTTCATCTTCTGCTTCATTATCTGCTCGTGCGGTGGAGAGTCTTGAGTCACCTGGCGTTCCGTCCTTTGCCTCTTCCGCCAGCTTACTCGCACCGCCTTTTGATTTTCTGCTTGCACCTCCGCCTCCGCCACGACTCTTCCTGCCTTGTCGGGGTTTGACAATCGTGGCAGCTAATTCGTCCATGGCTTGCAACTCTCGTTCGTCTTCCATGTCGTCAACAGGCTTGAGTGGCGGTGACGGGAGTAATAGACTGCCCTCGACATCTGCATTTTCTTCGCGGTCGAGTGAAACCATTCCAAGCGAGAAGGCTCGAGAAAAAAACAGTGCCTCCTCGCCCACATCATCTCTTGTCACGTTGGCAATGCTGTTCAGGGGACGCTGCTTCTCTTGCTCGAGCTCCTTGTCGGTGAGTGGCAGAGCAAATCCTCCAAGAATGCGGACACCGCCAGCAGCACGACGAAGCGCAGCGGCAGCCTTCTCTTCCTCTTTTGACTTTCCTTTACCGGAGCCGCCATCATCCTTGTCCTTGTCTTTGGCGTCTTCTTTACCTTTGTCGGCTGTACCTTCATCTTCACTGTCCCAACCTGAAGGCAGCATGCGAATGCGCTTCCAGGCCCGCAATAGTATACCCTCTTCTTGACGCTGACGCTTGGCCGCTATGTGGCGTCGCCTAATACCGGTATCGAGGATCTGGTTGATACGCACACGGCGGTAATCGCTGACTGCTTNTTGGTGTGATGTCAGCGGACGGTTTCGAGTCTGGAGTTGATACGGAGATGTCGGGGCGTGGTCTCGTTGGAACTGCAAATAGACGCCATCCGGCACGGTAGGAGGGGCAGGAGGNNATGTGTGAATAGGGTTGGGTAGCAAAAAGGNGTGGTGTAAGTTGGTGTTCCGGTTACCTCGTCCAGCGCCTTNTTTGGGCAGTGCTGCAGCTTGTGGTGTGCCCACGGATGGTGAAGCCAAGTGGCGGATGTCATGTTCTTTCTCATCGACCTCAGTCAAGAATGATTTGGATGCCAATGGTTTCGAAATGGTGTTGACGGCCTGGAAAGAGCTCGTGGGAGGTGTAGGGGAACGTGTGTAGTCGCTACCAGCATAAGCCCGGCGCAAAGAGTNCTGGGTTCAGTGTCAGCTGTGGACTTTCAGAGGTCATCCGAGAGGAGTCGAACCATGAGGTGCTGGCGAATCGAAGTCGCGGCTGGGGGTCTTGGTTCCAGCATCCGAATTTGCATCACCGAGACCCGCCGCAAACAAGCTGCGTTCTTNTTGTTCTCCCAAGTTAGTGTTTAGCCATCAGTCGTGCCAGGACAACATACCTTTTCGCGCGCGTTTAAGAGCCGTCATGGCAGGACTCGGTTCGCTTGCCACGATTGCAATCCGTTCCTTGCGCTTCTGTTCTCCGTACTCCTTCTCTTCTTGACTGTCAACATTCTCCAAAGCAGCCTGTTCCTCAGTCAAGCTCTCAAGCGATGGAACTTTGATTGGCTGGCCGCCACCTTCTGGTTCGCAGCCTGCTCCGAAGGGGTTGCTGAGTGCAGATTCGTTGGAGAAGTGACTCTCGAGGTACCACCACATGAGCCAGAGGAATGCCGTCGCTCTGCTTCTACTGCTCAAGCTGGGTCGCATGACGAGGTCGAAGAAGTCGCGAGGATGGTTGAAGTGGAGTTCCGAGATCTTGGGCGCATATTGTGACAGGACGAAGATCAGGTTGACGGGGTTGGTTCGTGGTATCGAAGCCTGACGGATGTCTTCGATTGTACCCGGCTGGGGCGTGTCTTCGGTGGCACCTTTGAGGATCGACTTCAAACGTGGCGCATCTTGCAGTTGCTTGTAGGCGTTCGGATCTTGGTGTGCTTGCAGAGCCGGAATCGAGTGGTAGGTACGGAGTTGAGCGCGCATCTCAGGAAAGAAGTTGAGAGTTGTGTTCATACGACCGACATTGACGAGCAGACAGACCATGGCCATAGTGATGGCCGAGTCAAAGTCTTCCTTGAGCTTCTCTTTGAGGATCTTGCTGCACTTGCTGCTCTTTGCCATGGCGTCGACGTAGATTTCGGCAAACGTGTGTCCCTTTGTATTGTCCGAGTAGCGGGTAAAGACGCGATGGTCATCCTTGAAGACGATGTCGAGGAAGTCGTACTGGATGTCTTTGCGCCATAGCGGTACGCCGTCCTCCTTCTTCAGGTGGCGGATCTTGTTTCCCGAATAGACTGACGACACGCTGCCGTTCGCATTGCGCCGCGTTGTCTGCGTCGTCGATGTGTACAATGGAGTCTCTGCCTCATTGTCGTCGTCCTTGTCGCCCTTGGGTGCAGGTGATGGCTCGTGGTCTCCTGTAGCCGCTGCCGATGTGGCTCGTATCGCAGGTGCGGATGCTGGTGTTGTTGGCGGTGCTGGCCGGGATTCTTGTCCGACGGGCTCGTCGGCAAGGATGTGTCGCAAGCTGCTGCGCGAGTCCTGCTCCACCATGGCGCACTCGTGTTTGATGTCTCGTGTGGACGTGATGATGAAAGAACAGATTCCCCTTCATCACGCTCCTGCCCACGCCTACCTACAGATTGCGGCTGCTCCCGTTCGCTGTTTCCCTGTGACGACGCGGAGCGTCTGGGGCAAGCTTCAGATCCACCGCAAATCTCGATGAATCCTGCCATACCATTGACACATGGCGACAACCTCCTCCGAATTGCAACTCACACGACATGGCTTGAGGCCGCACAACTCTGACACATCTAAGGATCACATCCGCGATGTACACACATAGATTCAGCAAGCTACAAGAAATGCCTTGATTTGCGCATCTATATCAAAGACTCATATCAAAGACTCGAAACGCAAAGAAGGAGAAGACAGAAGTAACTTTTTTTGGGATTGATCCTGCCGAGCGACCAGCATATCCCCTTGCAGGCAGCCATTTTGCCATGCCTATCTCTTCCTGCTTCCAGATGAAAGAAGTCTATAAAGTTTGGGGTATCCATCCGAAAGCGAAAAAAAGAAAGCTGCCCATGCCAAATGCGACAGCCGTAAACATCGTTGAAAGCCCAGCCTGGCCCAGCGTCCCATGAGAACGCCTTTCCAGATGCCCTAGAGCTTCGTGATGCAATGAAATGCCAGGATCGTTATTTGAAAGGAAAAACTGAAAGAAACACAACTGGTATCGAAAGATGTCCGAATCCTCTGGAAGCCTCATCTGCCCAGACCGGATACCACGCTCGTCGAGTGCATCGAGCGTTTCATGTAAGAACGCTCAAGGCCGTGAAGAAAGTCGTAAACCGTGATGAGCGCCGTCTCCGTGCTGAGAATGAAGAAAAATCAACGCTGTCTATCATGCTGACTGGGGGTATGAGCAAGGACCGCGTCCATCGATCCGTAGGTGTTATGGCGTCCAGAGAGAAGGACCGCGAAACGAGAAAGCTAAAATCAAAGACTGAAAGAAAAAGGTGACCGGAAGGTCAGTTGACCGAAGGAAGCAGGTCGGTCATCAGCGCGCTTGGGGAGTCTACCACCAAGAGTTGGCTCCAGGGCCGGAGGGACCAGAGGGGTTGCCGTAGCTGCCACCACCCATGCCACCACCGTAGCCACCGCCCATACCGCCACCATAACCACCTGCAGCAGCTCCACCGAAACCGGCGCCACCGCTGCTGCCGCCCCACTGGGAGCCAGCGTAAGCAGGACGCGAACCGCCGCCGAAGCTACGGACATCGCGAGTAGCAGTAGCACCACGGCCACGACCGCCGCCGCGGCCACCGCGACCACCACCGAAGCCGCTGCCCTCACGAGCGACAGTCTCAAGGAAAGCGGGAACCTCCTGGTTAGCCTCCTTGAGAAGGTCGAGAAGGTCACGAACGACACCTCTATTGCCGCGGTTGAAGAAAGCAGTGGCGACACCAGTGTTTCCGGCACGACCAGTACGACCGATACGGTGGACATAGTCGTCAATGTCAGTGGGGAGATCGTAGTTGACGACGTGCTTGACGTTGGGGATATCGAGACCACGGGCTGCGACAGCAGTGGCAACGAGGATGGGGCAACGAGCAGAGCGGAACATCTCGAGGGCGCGTTCACGCTCGCGCTGGGTGCGATCACCGTGGATCGAGGTAGCGGNGAAGCCCTGGTTGATGAGGAAGTCGGAGAGCGAATCAGCCATGCGCTTAGTCTCGACGAAGATCAAAGTAAGACCAGCGCCGTGAGTGTGGAGGATGTCGAGCAGGACGGAGCGCTTGTCGACGTCCTCGACGTACTCAATCTTTTGGGTGATGTTCTCAGAGGTGGATCCGACACGACCGACAGAGAGGAAGATATACTCCTTGAGGAAGTCACGGGCCAGCAGCTGAATATCACGGGGGAAGGTGGCCGAAAACATGAGAGTCTGGCGACCAGTGGTAGGAGGCATATCCTCACCCTCGACAATGCGGCGGATCTGAGGCTCGAAACCCATGTCCAACATGCGGTCAGCCTCGTCAAGAACGAGGTACTTGATGTTCTGGAGCGAGATGCGACCGCGTTCTATGAGGTCAACAAGACGACCGGGGGTAGCCACAAGGAGATCGCAGCCGCGCTCGATCTGGCGGAGCTGGTGACCAATATCGGCACCACCGTAGACGACACAGGGGCGGACCCATGAACGGTAGGCGAACTTGCGTGCCTCCTCGTAGATCTGAGAGACAAGCTCACGGGTAGGGGCGAGGACGAGCGAGGTAGGGTAAGCCTTGCGCTGGCGGGCCATGCCGGTCTGGACGGGGGTAGCGCTGGGGCCATTCACAAAGGCCTGGGCGAGGATGGGGAAGAGGAAACCACCAGTCTTTCCGGAACCGGTCTGGGCACAAGCCATCAAGTCACGGCCACCCATGACAATGGGGATCGAGTACTTCTGGACGGGAGTGGGGACCTTGTAGCCGGAGAGCTCGATGTTGCTGATAAGGTGATCGTCGAGAGNGGNGTTGGAGAAGGTGGTAACGGGCTCGGGAACGCCTTGACCGCTGGCCTCGACAGGGATGTCGTCGTACTTCTCGAAGTTGATACCGCTGTGCTGCACGTTGGGGTCGTTGGGGACACCGAACAGCTCGCGCTCAACGCGGGGGTTGGAGGGACCAGGGATGTGCTTGCCGTCCTTCCACTGACCGTCACCGGAACCGCGGGCTTGTTGGCCGCCGCCCTGGCCAGGGTTGCCGTAGGCGTTTCTGTCGAAGCCGTTGCCGCCTCTGGGGGTGAAAGTGGGAGCACCGCCCCAGCCGCCGCCGCCACGACCAGCACCGTAGCCGGGTCNTGAAAATTTTCGTCAGCCAGATGCACGCTTGCAGTGAAGATGCGAGGAGACTTACCTGGGACCGTCAAAGTGACCGTTCATGGGAGGTGCGCCATCCATAGCAGCGGGACCAGGAGCGGGGCCTCTGGCGCTACCTCTGGCGTGAGGAGGGATGTAGGCAGAGCGGACGAATCCACCGTTGCCATTCTGTCTAGGGGCGTGCTGAGACTCGCTCAGCGAGAGGTTGTTCATGTTGAGTTGATCGGCCATGTTTGCGATATCTTTTCTTCGGATTGAAAAAGTGGTCGGGTTATGGTATGTCGATTGTTGGGATAAGGCGTGTGATGACTGAAAAAGTCCAACGGGCCTGGTTGATTATATGAAAGGAGTCTGGCGGAGAATGGACCAGAGACTTGTATCGGATGCGCAGGAAAACAACTGCACAGACGACGAAGCAAATAAGAAAACAACAGAACTTTTACGAGTGAGGTTTCTTGTGATGTAGAAGGGAGTGAACGAGTTGAAGACGTGAAGGTACCCGCAGCAGACGAATTCTCTGTCCGCCACGGCCGCCAGTCACTTTCTTGGCGCGCGTCGACGAGACCCTGACTCTGTCTAGCGCCCTGCTTTCTCTCCAATCACTTCCATCCTTTTCTTTTGCTATCTTTGCCAATGCAAGGGGACGAAACATCACGACGTTTAACTTTTGTGCTTTCTTGTGGAAGTCGGTGGTTTCGTCTAAATGGCTGACAGGCACAGCAACCTGGTCTACCAAAATAATTACCGGTAACTCTACTGCGTACCTGCCTCCTATGTCATTGTTAAGATAGAGATTCTCAGAGCCCTGGGTTTCTGGTTGAGAACATGCCTTACCGATTACCCAGTGACATATGGATATACCATCTCGAACACTCTGCTACTCGAGTAGCTACATGCGGGTGGGTCTCACTATTGTCGTATGCAGACACTGGTAATCTATGTTTGACGTGGTTTCACAAAGCCTCGGGGCAAAGCAATAATGAAAAGGAAAATATATTCATGAGTCTTCGTATATACACCAATCCAATCTCAGCAAACGAAATGCCCTTCGCCAGAAACGCCTTTTTCATGTTACGCATCTATGCAAAACCATGCCGTTTAATTCCAAAAACACAAAACGCTACTCAAGCAATTCACTCGGAAAAGTTGGCTTCAGGGCTGGCGAAAAAGTCCTCCCTGCGGATACCACTGCGATCACACATGCTGCGGAAGATGCCTCCCTGGTCATAGAGAGTAATGGGGCGGTCGAGCTCGGCGATTTGTCCCTTGTCCATGACACAGATACGGTCGTAACCGATAATGGTCTTCAGACGATGGGCAATGCACAAAAGAGTTTTGCCCTGGAATCCCTTGACAATCGTGCGCTGAATCTTCTGGTCGGTGTCGAAGTCGACCGATGAGGTTGCTTCATCGCAAACGATAATGCGGCTACCACGTACAAGAGCACGGGCGAGAGCCATAAGCTGGCGCTGACCAANGGAGAAGTTCAAACCCTCTTCCTCTACAGGAGCATCGAGATGAATACGCGAGGACGAATCAGCGATGTCTTGCTCCTCACCGACAAGATCGGCCTGACGGAGTGCACCCCAAAGTGCCATGTCTGTATGCTCGTTGAAAGGATCGAGATTACTGCGGATAGTGCCCTTGAACAGAGTAGGGTCCTGTGGAATGATGGAAAGGCGTGATCGCAAATCTTTGAGACCGATTTTGGCGATGTCAAGACCGTCGACGGTGATGCTTCCGCCACTGAGTTCCACAAGACGGAACAGGGTGGACATGATTGTCGACTTTCCTGCACCTGTACGGCCAACAACACCAATGCGCTCACCTGCGTTGACGTGCATGTTGAGGCCCTTGAGGACAAGAGGAAGTCCTTCACGGTAACGCATTTGAACGTTGTCAAAGACAATCTCACCCTTCTCAGGCCATGAGGGGCGAACATCAACAGTATGTAGAGGAGCTTCCTCTTCGAGATTGTTGCCGTAGTAATAGATGCGCTCAGTAGAGTTCATGTTGTTCTCGACTTCAGCAAGCTGGCGGACAGTGAACTGAATCATCTGCACGACTGAGAGGATGTACGACAGAACCAAACCACCACTGCTGGGGTTGACCGAGAAACTGGCTGTGACCACCAGAATACCAGTGACAAACACAAGAAGGGTACCGATGGCGTCAAGGCGAACAGACAACCAGCGTTGGTTTGAGAAGGTGAGATAGTAAGCAGAGTTCATGTTGTCGATCGCATCACGGACCGATCTTGAGAACTGGTCTTGCAGTCCGTAGGCACGGATGGTAGCAACACCAGACACTGCTTCGCTGAAGCGAGAGAAGACGCTGCTACGAAGAACGGCTTCGTGACGCTTGATCTCGCGTGCCGAAGAGCGATAGTAGCTTGCAGCGAACAAGAACATGATGAACAGTGGACCTAAAGCGGCAGCGAAGTAATAGTAATAGGCGATGATCAGGATGAAGACAGCAATGATCTGTGCGAGCGTCATGAAGAACATACGGAATGCATCGGTCAAAGCGTTGTCCATAGTATCGACATCCTTAGAGAAGCGGTTGGTAATACGTCCAAGCGGTGTGGTATCGAAGAAAGACATTGGTGCGCGGAGAACTCGGGTGACTGCATTGTGAAGCAGGGTAGCACTGGCTCGAGTACCACAGATGGTCAGAGTGCTGGAGAAGGTAAACATAAGCACAGCCTGCGAAACTCCGAGTCCGGCGTAGACTCCGATGTATGTTCCTCTGTCGTAGCCAAACTTGTTCGAAGTCCACCACGACAGCCACAAGCTGGTTGAAATGTTGGCACCTTGAGACAAGATAAGGGTCAGAAGAATCAGGGGAGCAACAGCAAGAGAACCGGAAGCCTTGATGTAAGCCTTGTAGATGCCGAAAGAGACACTCTTCACGGCACGCTCTTCGGTTTGCATGAGTGCTGCGGCTGGCTTCTTGCCACCACTCTCCTTTTGGACGTCCTTCTTCTTTTCCTCGACTTCATCACCGTCGACCTCTTCGTCTTCTTCCTCCTTCTTCTCCTCTTTGGCAGTGGTAGCCATAAGTTTTTGGAAGTCTGCATCGGTCGCCATGAGGTTGTCGAATGTGTCAATCTTGTACGCAGTGCCGTCTTGTACCCAGATGATGCGATCGCAGCGATGTAGCACGTGAAGCTGATGAGTTGCAAGCACACGAGCCTTGTTTCTAAGAAGACCACAGATGGCGTTGTCCATGATGTGTCGTCCGACGTGAGCATCGACAGCTGAAAGCGGGTCATCCATCAGGACAATGTCGGCGTTGAAATAAATGGCTCTAGCAATGTTCAGACGTTGCTTCTGACCACCAGATACAGTGATACCTCGCTCGCCAATCTCGGTAAGGTCACCGTTAGGAAGCATGTCGAGATCGGGTCGGAGAGCGCATGCATCTACCACGGCGTCATACCAATCCTGATCGAAGGGTTTTCCGAAAGTAATATTCTCCTTGACGGTGGCATTCTGAATCCAGGCATACTGAGGACAGTACGATCGTGAAGCTCCAAAGGTAACCTCACCCGAAGTCCTGCGCATTTCTCCTCCAAGAGCAGCCAGAATGGAAGTCTTACCGGAACCAACACTTCCGATGACTGCGACAAGTTCGTCACGCGCAATTGAAATGTTAAGGCCCTTGATCTCAAACGGATGCTCGCTGTCTTCTGCCAAAGTAGTGCTGCTGTCAGAAGCTTCGAGGCCAACGCCCTTGTCAGCATTCTTCAGCGCCTCCTTGGTAGCCTTCTTCGCATCCTTCTTCGCCTGTTTGTCGGCCTTTTGATCGGCTTTCTTGTCGGCTTTCCGGGCAGCCTTGGCTTCTTTAGAACCAGGAGCTCCTACTGTTTTCTTTTCTTTCTCCTGAGTTGGAGTTCTTTCCCAAGTGAAATTAGCGTTCTTCATGACAATCGCATTTTTGCCTTCGTAATCCCATGCTGCTTCATCCAGTGCCTCTTCGGCCAGCAAGAACTCTTCGATTCTGCGAATAGATGCAGTAGCATCGACAGTTTGGCCAATCACAAGTGGCAACAAGTTGAGTGGCAGTCTGAGACCGTTGAAAAGCGCCAAAGATGAGAAAATCTTTCCTGCCTGAAGGCCGTGGTCTGTAAGGCTGTAGGTAATGAAGGCCAGCATAGAAGCGAACACAGGCATAGACATAGAAACAGCCATGATACCGTTACGGATGTTCAACAGGAACTGGATCTTGCCAATCTCTCTACGTCGAATCTCCTTCAGACGATCAAGGAAACTGCTCTCCCAACCAAAGTATTTGACGAATCTGACACCAGCTAGAATTTCCTGGGTAAGTCCGACTCTCTGGTCAGTGACTTTGTTGATGGCCTTTCTGCGAACGAACAAGCTTTTGATCGATCGTCCAAGTAGGGGCATAGCGACAATAAGGAGAGCAAATCCAGCCAATGCACTGTAGGTGATGTTGATGAGAAGTAAGACGAGCGTCAAGACGATAGAGATTGGTGAAGCCCAGATCATGTGAAACATGCCAGAAGCTTGATCGATGCGATAGGTGTCAGTGGACATTAGATTGACAATTCTGCCGTTTGACCAGCCTTCTCCACTGCCAGAAACACCCTTTTTGTCTTTTGGGCTTGACTTTTCCTTCTTGAGCTTTGCTTTCAGCCATTTCTTCTCTTCCTTACTACCGGGTGCAATACCGGNGGGCAGACCAACAGGCTCTGTGTTTGATTTGCCTCCGGCTCTTGCTCTTCCGGAAAGTCTCATGGCCTTTTCGAAGATCAGAGCGATAGTGACGGCTCGAGCTTGGCCACCAACCGTCATACCTCGGTACAAGAAGTGGTTTGTACAGACACTCTGAATGATTTGCAAAACAGTGACTCCAATGACCAAACCAATACCATGGCCAATATCAGGTCTGGGTGTCCCTGCTCTCTCAGCCACCCAGACGGCGGTAGAGAACTGGATCAGATAACGGAGAACGAAAGGAGCCAAAACTTGGACGACGGCGGCAATCAATTCACACAATCCTCCCAAAAGAAACTCGTTTCTGAAGGTATCGTAAAGGGCCCATTTCAGAGGATTTTCGGTTCCGTTGTCGACTCTCTTCTTGAAAGCGGCCTTCAGTCTCGCAGACAAGACGTCTACACTGCGATCGGGGTTGACTTTCCAAAGATCATTGAGCTCGAGTGGTCGTTGGTATCCAACGCTCATTATGGGAGCCATCCATTGGAAGGTAAGGTGACTGAAGAAGTTGGCTTTGTATTCTCTCGATTCTCCCTGTTCGGCTGGTATCGGCGGCTTGTGTTTCCTCTTGAGTGGGTTGATCTTCTCGCCCCATGTCTGCTTTTCGGTTTCTATGCTTCTCTGACTCTTGTCGTCCGGCGTGTCGCTACCCGAGGACGATGTCCAGTCGCTTTGATGGCGATCAAGTGGAGAGCGATCATGTTTCTCTGCGTTCTTTTGTTGCACATATTCCGGGTCCAGTACTTTCTCGTCGTTCAATTCTTTTGCTGTTCCGACTCTTTCCAAAGGCTCGGTGGCCACTGATCCATGTTGTGCAGTGTCGGCAGCCGGGGGCGGGTTATTGGCGTCGCCCGATGTCCAGACCGTGTCTGGCACTGGGGCAGACATGTTCCGGGAAGCGTGTTGGGGGTCGCAGGCTCAGATTCGATGGGGAACGAGATCAGGAAGAGGAGCGGGCGACAACGATAACATACGAAGCGGCAGGCAGCAACCCATTGTTCATGACGCCTCCATGTCTGTGTATCGTCCCGAGTCGGCCTCCGCTTGTGCCGTCTTTGATGCATCTTCGATGGAGGCGATGCGCTAGAGGGCATAAGCTTTTGGATAGCGAACATTGGTAACCCGCTCATGCTGCTGCCATGCTCCGCACATGGAAGAACATGTGCCACTGGTACTGATATCACGTGTAGACGTTGTGCACATTATCTCATCACATATTGATTACATTCAACCGTATCCAGTTCTGTCCTATTGACAACTGAGGGTGTTTGCACATCTCAGACTGCTGTTGCTAGATGCAACTGCCTAATCTGCGACCAACGTCGTATTGGTAAGCAGTGAAACGTTCTCTAGCATGGGCTGTCGACGGGCTGCAAAAGTCGGCAGGTCGGCGAAAAGGCGCCCTCCACATTTCCGATTGCAGATGAATCAAAACACGGCAGATCCGGCTTGCAGATGTGCAGCAATAAGGTTCAGCCTCTCAAGGCTTGTATCCTCTTGTCTTTGCCTCGAGAGTCAGTGGCCGCCGGGGTGTAGTTTCGCCGTGACACTGACGCTCGCAGTATCGCCTTACAAATCCACCCAAGCATGGCTCCAACCATGTCAAGTCTCGAGAAACACTTTACGACGAAGGATCAATAGTTCAAAGCTGAACGATAGAGGATGCGACTCCTGCGGCTTGCACCAATCATCTATCCTTGATTGACCTGCCACATTTGGCGACGGTGCCGAAAGCCGGGATTCCGTAGTCCGTAGAGCAGAATGAGCTGAGCATCCAACAGTCAGAAACAGCAAGAAGCACCAATCAGTAAACGAGTGAATGGGGAGGGGGCCTCGACATTCGCTAGACCAGAGAAGCAGGTCTTCCAAACCACAACATCTCAACACGTTGCTGGATGAGAGACATTCGAAGAGGGCAGAGTTGGTCAGGTCGTCGGTTAACCAAAAGTCCGACGATGCCTCGGCCGACGACCGTGTGAACCGTATTGCGCGTATTGACCGTATCCCGCATTCTACCACCTAGCTCCAGTTGCACACAGCTCGTCCATCTGCATACACAATGTCTGACTTTGTTTATGATGGTGGTTCGAGCAGCAGTAACACGACTTTCCAGTATCCGTTCGCCTCGGCGCCAGACATAATCCGATCGCACCAAAAAGATGCCTACTTTCAGGGCGTGCTGCTGGAGCGCCTCTCATCAGTGCTACGGAACCTCTATGGCGCTCGCTTTGCCCAAACACACATGACGGGCACGCGCACATTTGCCGACCTACTATACCTATCTTTGACCACTGTAGTGGGAAACCGCACGCTGGGAGAGGAATACTGCGACATTGTCCAGGTAGAAGACGACACGCTGCGCCTGCCAAGCGCATACAGAAGAGGAGGATACATACTCGCTAGCGTCCTACTGCCGTACGGTCTTACTAGACTCCTACCAGCCTTTCGAAGGAAGCTGCGCACAAAGTTGGAAGCTTCACTGCGACGACGAAACACCAAACCCGACCAGTCATCCTCGTGGCTGACCAGCCTGCAAGCTTACGTCCTTCGGAACCTCGACGCCATCACTTCTCCCTCGCCAATACATGCCCTTAGTCTGACCGCCTTCTACTTTACCGGTGCTTACTACCACCTCGCAAAGCGCATCAGCGGCCTCCGCTACATCTTCACTAGACGTCTAGATCCCAGCGAGCAGCGCATCGGCTATGAAGTCCTGGGTGTACTGTTGGTCCTACAACTTGGTGTCCAGGCCTACCTACACGCTCACGAGACATACTCGTCTGTCCCTGTCATCAGCAATCCCGCAAGCTTGGGCGGAGGAAGTGCCGTGCTTGACAATGGTGTCGAAGTCTCTCTGGACCCAAATGCCTACAGCTCAAACAATGCCCTATTGTTTGAAGAAGGCGGTACCCAACGCGATCCATCAAGCCTACACAGTAAGGTTTCGAGAATGACACATACACCTCTGCCGCCTTCAGACTCGGAAGCTGCTATTCTCAATCTCGAAAACGAGGAAAAACTCGCGTGGATAGAGAGCAGTCAACAGAGAAAGTGCACCCTATGTCTGGAACCCATGCGTGATCCCAGTGCCACCACCTGCGGCCATGTCTTCTGCTGGACTTGCATCGCGGATTGGGTGAGGGAGAAGCCAGAGTGTCCGTTATGTAGACAGGGTGTCATGGCGCAGCATATTTTGCCGCTTAGAGCTTAATCGGAGTACATTTTGGCATTACAGCATAAGCATAACACATCCTAATGAGCAATGATTACAAGAAGATACTCGACTCGACAATCTGCCTGCGAAGACGAACCAACTCATACTTAATGTCTACATCAGGTAGATATCTGAGACAAGGATGGACTTTGTTTCTCTTATTTGACGTATTGAGAAGATTGCATCTTGCCATGCATACATTGAGTGTTTTAAGCTTGACGATCCAAGATACGCTCAGAGATAGACATCTCAGCACTGTAGTCTAGCCCGTCTTCAAACTATCATCGTCAATCATCTTCTCCTTCTCAGCCACGATCCGTCTGTAGTCCTGCGTTACACAACAAAGTCAGCCTTACTCCATGACCAAAAGCAGCAATATACTCACCTCACAAGCCAACCTAACGCCATCCACAAAGTCTACTCGAGGATGATATCCCAACACCCGTCTCGCCTTTTCGTTACTAGCATATCTAGTCCCCACCGCATCCCTAACACTCCCTCGACTCAACGTACTAGCCTTTGCTCCAGACACCAACGTTTTGACCTCTGCCACCAACCCGGCAACCCAAGCCAAAGACGTAGGCACAACAAACTGAAACGGCGGCACATGATCAAAATGCTTCCACACCGCCAGCATAAAGTCGCGAAAATACACAGGTTGCTGATTAGAAATAAACATGGCATGACCAGCCGCAGACTCGGGAAAGCGCTTTATTGAAAGCAAGTTTTCGAGCGCGAGAAGATGGGCATCAGCGATATTGGTAATGTATACGAAGTCGTAGATGTTGTCGCCTGTGCCGATTATCCATGGTGTTTCGCCTTTGGCGATGCAGGTGTGCATGGTGGCGATTACGCCGTAGGTGTCTCCGGGTCCGATGATGGTTGCTGGTCGCAAAGCACAGGTTTTAAAGTTGGCGGTGTTTGCGGCTAGGACTGCTAGTTCTGCTGGTGCTTTACTTGCTCCATAGGCTAGAGTGGCATGACCAATTGGCAAGTCCTCTGTCATGTTTGGAAAATCATGGTCTTGATCGTCTGATACAACTGTACAGCTGCTTGTATGCACGAATGCTTTGCATTTTGTGTTTTGGGTTGCAAATAGGACGTTCAAAGTTCCGAGATGATTTATGGCAAAGGTTTTATCTCGTAAGGCTTTGGAGTTGCTGTATCGCAGAGAGCCATTGGGCACCCATCCAGCTATATTGACTATGGCATCAGGATTGGCTTTGCGTATGGCGATATCCACTTCAGCAGCTTGCGTGATATCTGCTTGAATGAAGTTCACGTTAGGTTGATGAGCCGGCGGCGGTCGTAGGTCCAAGTTCGTCAATGTCCAGTCTGGATGTATGTTCTGAATCGCTGTGACAACTGCTTGTCCTAGAAAGCCGGAAGCACCGGTAATGAGTATATGAGGCATTCTGAGTGCAAGTTCACTGTCTGTAGTGGAAAGTCTTGCTTCGTGATGCACAATCAAAGGGAAAACTAGATTGCAGAGGCCAACTTGCAAGTGATCATGGGAAACATGGCGAAAAGTAGCATCTCGAAGTGTACAGGATGACGCCACGAGATCAGATCATGATCGAGGAGGATGCGATACATCAAATCAGGACTTAGATGCAGGACAACTCACTTGATGTATATTCACTGACCACGACAACTTCCTTGACACTTCACAAGAACATGTATGAGACAGAAAGGTAGATGATGTTTTGAAGACGGTTTGGGTGGTGAACTCTGAACAACCAGTCTTGGCAAAGTGTGAGAGAGATCTAGCGGGTGTTGCGCTTCTACCTATTCATTCGTTTTTCTCAGGCACAACTTCAATATGTTGCTTAACGAGCATATAGGTAAGAGACTATGGTCTATTCGAGGATCTCTATGGTGGAATCTGAACGTACATACTCGCAGCACTGGTGACATCTCAAATCTTGCTGTGTCCTTACAGCGAGCATCATGTGCCAACATATCATGAATGGATGAAAGACGAGGTATGTCAAGATCATTATATCAACTTTTCCTGTTCCACTTGCTCGTATATCCACTCTCCACCTTGTATCGTCACGTCCCCATCATCCGTCAACCACAAATGTCAAGAAACAACAAAAACATATACAAACGAAAGTGAAAGNGAACTCCAAGAGCTCACGGCTTCTGAACCTCTGAGCCTCCCTGAGGAATACGACATGCAACGGTCCTGGCGCCAGGACTCGGACAAACTCACCTTCATCGCTTGTCTGCCTCCCTCGTCTCCTCTAACCTCAAATACAACCATCACACCCAAGCAAGACGACGCACCCTCCCGCATGATCGGCGACATAAACCTCTTCCTCGTAGACGACGACGATGACGATGAAACCAAACCCAACACCTCCACCCCAAAATCCGTACTCGGCGAGATCGAGCTCATGATAGCAGTAAAATCCCAACACCGCAAAGGACATGGCCGCGCATCTCTGCTTGCCTTTATGCACTACATTCTCACCAACACTGCCGCTATTCTGCAGGAGTACAGCAAAAACCGAGCAGCAATCTTACGCTACCTTCGAGTCAAAATCTCAAAGGACAATGTCAAGAGCATTGCTTTGTTTGAGAGTGTGGGGTTTGAGAGGACGAGTGCCGAGGCCAATTACTTTGGAGAGGTGGAGTTGAGGTTGCAGGTTCAGGGCAAGGAGGATATCGTCTTGAGTGATCTTGAGAAGGTCAAGGGATGGGACGGAAAGCCTTTTGTTGTTGGATATCGCGAGGTGTAGGCTTGTATAGTTGTTATGAGAATATTGTCTCTGGTAGGCCACACCAAGAGTTGTTGAGAAGAACATACATGGCCCAGAGAACATGTCACAGCTATCAAAAGACGCAGGACGGAGAGAGAAAATGACAACTTTTGGTTGTTTTAGATTTTTGTCCGTGCCTGGTTACACTCATTATACTTCGTTATAAATCATATCAGGAATTGCTGCGAAACATCCTCTTTATGCCGAGCCGTTGGTAGTGGCGTGCTTTCTTCTCTTCTGGACGGCATCGGCCAACTCGGCAAGCACGCTCTCGGTGTCCTCCCAGCCGATACATGCGTCGGTGATGGAGACTGCGTATTTGAGACCCGACTTGCCTTCCTTGGGCACCTTTTGATTACCCTCGTTGATGTGTGATTCGATCATGACGCTCATGATGGCATCTTCACCGGCGGCGATCTGAGTAGCAAGCTCGTGGGCGACCTTGGGCTGGTTCTTGTGGTTCTTTTCTGAGTTGCCGTGGCTGTTTTACAGGTTAGTATTACTGTTGTCTTCTATTCTCGGTTACTGAATCAAGACGTACCTGCAGTCGACCATGAGTCTGGGCTTGGTGTAGCCAATCTTCTGAAGCTTCTCCTTTGACTCCTGAATGTCCTTGGGATGGTAGTTGGTTCCCTTCTTTCCTCCTCTGAGGATGACAAAGCAGTCGTCGTTGCCGGCAGTACCGACGATGGCGACGTTGCCAGGCTTGGTGACAGACAAGAAGTGGTGGGGGTTCTTGACTGCGCCAATGGCGTCAATGGCAACGTCCAGAGTGCCGTCAGTGCCGTTCTTGAAGCCGACAGGGAAAGACAGACCAGAGGCCAGTTCACGGTGGACCTGGGACTCTGTTGTGCGAGCACCGATGGCGCCGAGAGACAAGAGATCGGCAGTGTATTGAGGGGTAATGGTATCCAGCATCTCGCTGGCAATGGGCATGCCTCGCTCGGTCAGGTCGAGGTAGAGCTGTCTTGAAACACGAAGACCTCTGTTGATGTTGAAGCTGTCATCGAGATCGGGGTCGTTGATCAGACCCTTCCAGCCAACGGTGGTGCGAGGCTTCTCGAGGTAGGCGCGCATAATGATGACCAACTCATCCTCGTACTTCTCCTTCAAGGTAGACAGCTTGTCGCAGTACTCGAGAGCGGCCTTGGGGTCGTGCAGCGAACAAGGACCAATGACGACGAGGAGTCTGTTTCTCTCGTCCTTGCCTTGGACGACGTCGGAAGCTTCGTTGCGGCCCTTGAGGACAGTGTCTTTTGACTTTTGCGATTGTCTGATTTCGTGCTGGAGGAGATCGGGAGCGGTCAGAGGAGTCATGCCACGGATGCGCCAGTTCTCGCTGCTACTGCGGTCGCCAACGGAGGCGTTCTCCATGAAGAACTGTATACCACGTCAGTCATGGCTCCTGCTCGCTTCAATGCGGCGTCGAAGAAAGCCGCGGGGCAACTTTTTCTGGAGCGCGTGAAACACTTACTTCGGTCGACATGATGTGTGGTTGATGCGGCTGTCAGTGAGAAAACTTGGGCAGATGTGAAACAAGAACGAATTGGGGTATCAAGACGAGTGAGGAAGGAAACAATGATGGGAGGGAAGGAACAAAGGACAACAGCAAACATGAACATGTTCGTGAGTCAACCGTCACTCTACTCTCCCCAGCCTTCGGCCCGACAAGCCACACGCATAACCAACCTTGCTCAGCTCGTGATTCGCTCAGGCTAGATCTGGTGACCACCGGTATCGCTGTCTCAATTCTGCTGCTTGTCATGTCCACCTGCTTCCAAACATGCACTCTCACTTTGCCGCGACTCCATGTGCTGGGCTTGGATCACAGCTCAGGGCAGATGCTTTGTTGGCTGTTCGTTTTCTCTGCTCTTCTCAAGTCCGAGGGGGAAAAAAAGCTGTCTTATGACATCACATCAGACGTGATGCGGGGTGCTCTTCGATGCTGAGATGAATAAGGCCTCGAGCTCATCATGATGAATATAACAGCGGGTCACTCGGAATAGTTGAGTATATCACTTGGTATCTTCTCATTCTCTTGTTTCCCACTTTCATACTCAATCTTCACAATCAACCTCTCAAAATGTCACTCACAGCAGGCAACCTCAGAAACATCCCCACTTGTTACGCCAGTGTGTCCATTGGGTGCAGAGATGAACACACTCTTCCCAAGAAGCTAGAAGCAATTTCCAATGCAGGCTTCATTGCCATCGAGCTCGGTTTCCCAGACCTCCTGGCTTTTGCATCAACCTATATGAAGAAAGAGGTCGGAGCATATGACTACGATGATCTCGTCGTCTCGGCCAAGGTTGTCAAGGCCATGTGTGACGCAAAGAAACTGAAGGTCCTTATTCTACAACCATTTGCCAACTTTGAGGGCTGGCAAGAAGGCAGTGACGAGAGAAAGGATGCTTTTACTCGTGCCGAAGGCTGGATCAGGATTATGGATGCCGTCGGAACAGACATGCTGCAGGTAAGAAGTTCTTGTATCATGCTCATATCAGCAGATCTAACCGTGATACAGGTCGGTTCCTCAGACACACCTGCCGAAAAGATTGGCACCGACCGCAACCGCTTCGTCAGCGACCTGCAACAACTCGCCGATATGCTCGCAAAGAAGAACTTCCGCCTAGCTTATGAGAACTGGTGCTGGTCGACCCACGCTCCCACGTGGAAAGACGTGTGGGACATTGTACANAAGGTCGATCGCCCCAACGTCGGTCTCTGCCTAGACACCTTCCAGTCTGCTGGCTACGAATGGGCAGACCCCACTACCGAGTCAGGCCTGGTAGACAAGCCCAAGGATCAACTCGAGAGGGACTGGAAAGAATCGCTCGACGAACTCGCTCGCATCGTCCCAGCAGACAAGATCTTCTTCCTCCAAATCAGCGACGCATACAGACCCAAGCAGCCCTTCAGCAAAGATGTCGATGAGTCTGGTACCCGTCCGAGAGGTCGCTGGAGCCATGACTTCAGACCTCTTCCCTTCCAAGGCTATCTGCCTGTTGTTGACTTTACTCGAGCTGTCTTGAAGACAGGCTTCCGCGGCTACTTCTCGTACGAGGTATTCGACGGGGGTGAGGATGGCAAGGGCAAGGACTACGAGTTGCAGGACTTTGCGAACGAGGCAATGGTTACTCAGTGGAAGCTCATACAAGCTTGTACCGAAGCTTAGAAGTCCCTGCAGTCTTGTCGCTCCAGCCGGCTAATGATGTTCATGAATGCTATGTATCAATTACAAAACACGATTATGCTGTATAATAGCATCCGCCATACCCACTTCTTCCTTATTGAAAGCGAAGATAGACCTTTAACTTGAACCTTTGATTTGATCCATGTCTGGCTTCTCGCTGCCCTCATGCTTGTTCATCGTGCCATAGCTATGGGTATGCGACCACGAAAATACAGTTAGTGGTAGCGATCTCCAAGACGATGAGAATATGATGGTAACGAACGTCAAGTCCGAAGCCATCAATCGTCCGATGCATCTCTACGAGTGGCTAACGCGCAGTGGCAGATGCATGACTCAGACGAGAGTTGCTCGAGCAGAGGGTGCTCCCCTAGCCGGCTTGGCTCGGGAAAGGGAACAGCAGCCGATGCTTCGATGTGATCGTAGATGCAGCAAAACACCACTTTGCGATCTCGTGCCTGCCATCACGATGCACCAGAAAAGAAAAGATGGTGTTGATTCACTGTCTTCTTTCGGGGTTCGTCCTCTTCTGTCAACACGCTTCCAAACATCGCGAGGCATTTCCATCGTGCTTGAGGTCGAATGTCTTTAACACAGAGTCGCGTTTATCCTGTCAGCTCTCTCGTCTCAATCGATTCAGTACCTATCACGCTATCCGCGCGTCGCCGAACCAAGAACAACAGTCCGCCTGAGCAATTTGCCTCTCCCTCGACTCGGCCTGCTACGTCGTCGCATTATAACAGCCTGCCAAAGAGTCCCATTAAGGCCTCTGTACCTAAGGCTGGTGCATCTCTCAAGCCATGCGCCACTAATAGTATCCAAAGTTTTGGGGCCGCAATAGGTCTCGAGCAAGGTGACAATGGAATCCTTCTGGTATCTATGGCCAGTGATAACTCAAAGGCTATCCTTGGCCACTCACCAGAGGACCTGTTCGCTCTACGAAACTTCGTTGACCTTCTGGACTATCATGAGGCAGACGCTTTGCACGAACACATCACTTCCGCGCACGATCGTGCCAGCTACTCCAGCACCCTCAACGTTTTTGATATGACTATCCGGGATCAGGGTGGCTTGACCAGGTCTCTCTCATGCGTAATACACGCTGATACCTGCAGACCTACCTTGATTTTCTGCGAGTTTGTCCCTTTGCCTTCTGCTTCTCTTGCTTCCCGTCAAAGTCAGAGGACGCACTCTCGGAAGACAAGAGACGCCCGACCTACGCTTTCTAGAAGAGGCAGTGGAAGTGCAACAGACACCCTTAATACAATGTCCAGAGCACATAATACCATTTCGGTTGCTTCCNNAACGGTCGAGGGTCTGCTCGAAAACCTTGTCGCTTCCATCAAAGTTGCTACAGGGCACTCGAATATAAGTGTTCATCGTTTTGACGGCCACTGTAATGGCCGGCTTGTTGCCCAGAGCGACAGCGACGAAAACTTCGCTTGTTTCCCGCACTCTTCTGGACCAGAATCCTGCAATTTGTCACCTGAATGTCAGTCAATGTTTGAGACTCTGGAGATACAGGAACATTCCAATCAGGATCAAGAGACCGCAAATCTGATGTTCCGCCCTGGAAGCACGCTTGAACATGCCTTTGACAGCAATCCGCTCTATCTCCGGACCTTACCCGACTTTCCTGTACATTGCCTAGATGGTCTAGATGAAGGATGTGCCAAGTCTCGCGTTCTGATTCCTTTGCGGGTATCTGGAAAGCTCTGGGGCGTCGTCGTCAGTAAATCTGCTCCAAGCCATGCCGCAATCACATTTCTCGCTCGCGGTCTATGTCGTATCATCGCAGATTCAGCCTCGACGAAGTTGGAGAACATAAATGCTTCTCAGATTCTAGATGCCCAAGGACCTTTCTCACGTGATTCACGTTCGAACAAAGAGTCTGCGGTTGCTTTTGCAGGCCCACGAGATCTGGTCAGGATACTCAGAGCAGATTTTGCCATATCTTTCATTGATGGTGCGAAAAGTCTGGTTGGTCCCGCGCGAGAGCCGCAGGAAGGGCTCGCATTGGTCGAATACCTTCGATTGCGTAAACATACTGACATTCTTACGTCTGATGATTTTGCAAAGGACTTCCCAGGCCTACAATATCGGCCAGGANNTTTCCAATCAGTCAAGGGCTTACTGTTTGTCCCACTCTCTTTGGACAGCAGTGATGACTTTGTCGTCTATTTTCGGGAAGCACGCTCCAGCGGCTCTCTCGACCAAGGCATTGACGCATGGAGTGATGCCGACCTTCGAAACGCAGCTATGATGCGCGTAGTTTATCTCAAGTTCAGCGCCATCTGGAAAGAGAGGAACAGCGCGTTGCAGGAAAGTCACATGTACAAGCTTCTGATGTCCAATTCCAGCCACGAGTTTCGAACGCTGCTCAACGCTATATCAAACTACCTGGAATTCGCGGAAGAAGGACGGCTCAACGTCAAGGTCCATGAGGTCGTGAAGAGCGCCAAAAGTACTTCTCAATCACTTTTGTTCGCTGTCACGAAGCTGCTAGATTGTATTGAACAAGGGTTGGGAACTTGAACAGTGTATGGAGAAGACATCCTTGCAACCATCACTGAGTTGTTTCACAAGCTTTCCAAGATCGTCTTCGAGCACACGAAACATGCCGCTCCTGGCTGTACCAACCATCGCCTCGTCTGCACCTGGGTATGGCACTAGGCTTCTACCAAATTGAGCATCGCGTAGACAGCGGTGTCACAAATGTACGAGCATGGATCTAAAGCCAAGATAGGCTCAACATCTCATGTCACTGTTGATCAGCAGAATCCACGTGACCATTACCGATCTGCGTGTATACATGCAGACTTCTGTTGTTCTTACACAGCAGAACACGTTTTCGTCCACAGTGGAGACCCAGAGGTCAGAGCACCTCTTTCTCCTACAGTGTTCCACACTTGCGGCGCGCTCGACGCCCCTCGATGTCGCGGTATAAGACAGTGTGTCTAGGGTGTAACCCTAGAAGCTAGAGTCTGTCACTAAACAAAAAGAGATGTATGATAAGATATCACTTTTCACCGAGTTTAGTTTGCACAATAAAAAATAGAAAGCATAATTCCCTACCTTGAACTGGGATGCTCTTGGTTGGCGATGTATTCCAGCATAAATGAAAGCCTGGTTATTCTTATACCACTCGCTCGGTAGAGTAGGCCAACATTTGAAAACCAAAAGATGAGACAAACAATTTGACCCTCGCGAGCCGCATCCTCCAGCGAGGAAAAGCCGACACTACCCTGACCTACCCAATGTTTCAGAAGCGATCAACGTCCACTTCTCAAACACCCCTCATCCAACACAATCAAACCGATTTTCTTCGTGAAGCAAAAATGTCAATGAATTCACTGCCACCAGAGCTCTTCGCCAACATAGTCTCTCTAGTCGTCGCCAAGCAGAAACAACTGACTAAATATGCCACACTATCCCGAGCATGGCAGAGGGCCATAGAAGAACGTACATTTTCGCATTTGTCTGTCTTCAGTGATGAATTAGACGAATTCGAGTCGTTTGTTCTCGAATCACCATATACACATCGTCGTACAGCTGTCAGACGAGTAGAGTTCAGCATCAATCTTCCAGACTATGATGACAACGCCTGCGGACGCTTTGAGAGACAAGCAGATAGACATGTCAACGACACGGCCTTCACCAAAGCAATGGCTGGCCTTTTCACTGCGCTGGCAACCATCAACTCTGGTAACGGCTCTAGATCAATTGATTTGCATCTACTACACTTCTATTCTTCCATGGATATCAATCGCAGAGACGAAGAGAAATTAAGAGCAGACAAATTGGCTAGAGCTACGGGAAACCGACATGATCTCTTCGACCTCCGCTACCGAGACTCGTATCTCCAGCTGCTTGATCTGGAGAGTCTACCTCTACTGCACAACGTGACCTCATTGACCGTTCATGGTGACACTGCGCGCAAGCTAGCGCCAGCGGTCGCCGGTGGACTCATGTCGAGGCTACCCAATGTCGCAGCGATTGATTGCTCGTTCTGGGACGGGGAGCGACGACGACCGGATCAGCGAAGGCAGCTGCGTTCAGAATTAGCCAAGCAGCTGATCTCCCTCGCCGCACCTAAGAGTCTCCAAAAGTTAACTTTGAACTTGAACAATAGAGAGCCGGGCAATAGTAATTTTGTCGATGCGGATGTTCGCGGTAGTCTCTATACATCCCATGCTGACGATCTGTCCACTGAATTGAGGTTGTTTTTGCAAGCAGCGCCGTGCTTGACTGAGTTCAACCTGACGGGGCCAATATCTATTAGTGCAGATCTCTTTAGATCACTCGAGGACGCAGAATCGGGTAACAAGCAGCGATGGCAGAAGCTGGAAGAGTGCATTATAGAGCTCAGCGCAGTCAGGCCCGACGGTGGCTGGTACACCGAGATAGATCACGAACGCGATCCTGAGACCTCAGGTGACGAAGATGAAGAAGAAGAAGAAGACGAAGACATGGACAGTTCTTCCGACATCGTCCAAGATGACGCCCGTAGTGAAGGCTCCTCATCGGGCTATGACTCCAGCGACTCCTTCTTTGCCATGGACCAACTCCCACCGGACTCTTACGGCTACGGCGAAGAGAAACGCGATGCCCGTTTCAACGGCGACGAACCATCTACCTCCAGCTTCCGCACAAGACCCACCCAAGAACTAGAAGTCCTCTTTCTCGCGGCTGCGTGCGCAGTACCGCTGATGCCTAGACTGAAATACATGAACGTTGGCCACAAGATTCGTCCTAGCGAGAGAACGGGAGGACAATTTCAAGAATTGGGTTTCGAGTATCTAGCTAAGGGTGTCGAGTACCCGGGTGATGGGGCTGATGCGATGCAGTTTAGCCGCCTCTACTGGAGCGTCTGTCGCGGTTGGCGTATGAGCCAGGAATTGGAATCACAGTGGAGGCTGCTTTTGGGTGATGATGCCATTGTGGAATATAACGAGTGGTAAGAGCACTATCAAAGGAAACCAGTGGCAGTATGTTGTTGTACAAGATTCAATCTTGTAGACAGCTACAACAGCACCGTGATAGCGTGCTACGAACCATGTGTGCTATCATGGTGCATCTTAGGCAGGGGCGAACATGTCTAGCACTTGGGGGTAACGACTCCTTACGTACGTCTCAAGAATTCGTTGTTTGAGAAGTCGCACCTCGAGGGCCACCTTCCCGCTCTCATAGAAGAAACTAATTACCTTGTATTCTCCTACGACGCCCATCGCCAACGCACTACCTTGTGTCACCCCACAGCGCTACTGTATTGCTGGGAAGGAGCGAAGCGTCGATGGGTCAACATCATACACAGCCAATTCTGTCGCTTTCGGAAGTCATCACCTACTTCACGATGAATTATCTTACTCCCACTATTGCCGTGCCCGTCGTCAGTACTAGGTGTTCCATCTATTCTTCCAGACTTTCCTGGACATGACTCCGCTATCAACATCATTGAATATTTCCATAGCTACATGTGCACGAAAAGCTCACTTGGACACTCGAAGCAAAACTGCAAAATCATAATTTCGTCAAAATGCTATATGCATCTACCATTCTAATCTATCGTCACACACAAGACTGACATCATATCTCTCATCCGCCTTCCACACTTTTGATCCATCATTGGCCTCTGCTACAATGCTTCTCAGCTCTGAAATCATGCGTCTGGGTCCACTGGCATATACGGTTGTTCTTCCGCAGATGGTCTCGTCGATGAAATCTTTGACCATAATGCTCAGATCTGGATGCCTGTGGATGGGCTGGTCTCTTGGATCAGAGGCTGGAATTGCGGTCTTTTGAACGGCGAAGGAATCGGAAGGTGGGCCGCAGCAAGGATAGGCGGCTGAAGTTGATGCAGCGGACGAAGAGTCTGGTGTCTGGTCGGATTTGGATTTGAAGATGGGTTCTGACGCTGATTTGAAATCTTCTGTGTATTTGGCTTTCTCGTTGATAGTGGAGTTTCCTTCTGCTTCTCGAGTGACGAAGATGCGGATGGTCAGGTCGATTGATTTGGCTAGCTGTCTGAGGCAATCGAGTTCTGGTTGCACCCAAGCCATGTCTGCTTTTTGGCGCATGGCCCAGACGAGTGTGACTTTTCTCTTTACGGAGCGAGGTTGGTGTGCGAGGCCGAGGAGAACGGGGAGGACATAGGTGATTCCTGTACCTCCAGCAATGCAGAGTATGTTGACATCTTGAGTGAGATGAGTAGTGATTTCCTCGCCATAGGGACCAGTCAAGATGACAGAAGTCAGAGGAGCTACTCCACCAGTGTGTTGCAACTTCTTTGCTGCTAGCTGCGCAATCTTCTTGGTCTCGCCACCTTTGGCACGGAAGATGTAAGAGTGCTGGACACCGCAACTCACATCATCGTGAACAGGAAGGCTCAGAGGTGTGAAGGGATGGGATTGCCAGATACTGCTTTCAGGGAAGCAAAGGTAGAAGTGTTGACCAACAGCCCAGGCATCGTGTGGGTGAACAAAGTCCAGACGAACGACATCACCGTTGGAGTCAGAGAAGATTGTAGTTGAAGCTTTGGCAGGACCAAAAGCGACTTCACCACCAGGCAGGACGGTGTAGTGTAGAATGGCAGTGCGTACGAGGCGAGCGCCACGGTCCAAGAACCATACGATCAACGCAGGGACAAGGTAACAAGACAACTTGTCCCAGTGACCGATGCAAGCGCCAATATAGACCATGGCCAAAACGTAATGAGACTTGCGGAAGAACTCGTAACCCGTAATACGGATAGCCCAAGGTGTGCTGAGAGCAAAGAGAAGGAACAGGAGGATCATGGCGACACAGCCCCAGATCATGTATAGTTGCTTGATCCATTCCCGAGCAACAGTAGGCTGAGGTTGATAGAGCTTCGCCTCGATAATAGTCCAACCAATCGTGTGAAGGACCGATTGTGCTACAATGATGTAGCCCAGCCAGCGATGAAGGAAGTTGAAGCTTTGGTATGGCAATCCAGTGAGAAGCGAGAGGATCGATTCACGGCTTGAGAGAAGGATCGACAATGGTGTCAAGGCATATGCAAGAGTACCCACACGATCTGCCCAAGGTCCAAGACTGGTGCGAGTGTTGTAGACACCAGGCATCTTCTTCACAGGTGTGACCCACTTGCCATATACAATGCCAACAAAGGACCACACGGCGAGATATCCCGTGAGGATGAGTAGTATAAGGACGTGTAACCGTGTAGTGCGGCCAAAAATATGTCGTGCAAAGTCGGGAAGGAGATATCGCCGAGCATGTGCTGATAATGAACGTTGAAGTCTCTCAATGCCACCTAGAGACGGAGATGACGATGCTCGTACAGGCACAAGAATTTCCTCATCTGCACGTCTCGAGGGAAACAATCGACGACTCAATGTCCATATGAACAGAATGCCAGCAACAGTCGCCCAGAAGATACCAGAGTAGAGCATTCCCAAGTCGTGAGAGTGATAGACGACATCGAGGTATTTGCATGATCCAGGGTCATTGGTGCAAGGGACTACGCGATCAGCGTAACCCCAATGAGGCTCTAGCGAGCTAGCATCTGTGAAGTTCTGGATATGAACCATTGCTGCCAAGTACAAAGGATAAAGATAACGAGCGATGGACGAACCCCGAGAAGGGCAATTGAAAGGAAGAAGTATACGTGCAAGATCACAGCAACATTCGTGAGGACTACGGTTATATTAAGTACCAGGAGCAGAACACGTTCATGCCACGATTATGCTCCAACGCCATGAACGTTCACCTGGCTCTAGTATGTAACAGCATGGTCCCAAAGCCTAAATCAGTGGAGCCCAGAGTCAGCTAGTGCATAGTCGGGAGGGGATTGAGCAAGTATTCGGATTGGCACGGGTGATTTCTGCAGCTGTAGGATACGAGGCCTAGTACGGACTCCATGGCATTTATTGATTCAATGCCTAGAACGAACATTGGACTGCAGAGTTGCAGAAGTCGAGACGGAGTGATGTTTGGCAAGCGGAGAGTATTTTCCTTGGCAGCCAATCATATCGGTCTATTTCTCGGTTAGCCAAGGAGTGAGGCTTGATATAGCGTCGGAGTTGAGCAAGTTTGAGGTGGCTGCACGTTTGATCTCCGACTGCCATGGTCGAACATATGCAAGACGAAAAGGGTCTGTCGAATTGATATAATCTCAATGGAAACACATGGTTTCCAGCACTTACCAAACAGCTCCTCATATGGTCCATCAAGACCATTTCTCAGTATATCATCCATTCAGACCATAACTCATCTTTGAGCAAAACGAACTTCAAAACTTCAAACATGTCTCATTCAATGTCCATGGGTGGTGGCGCAGGTGCACAGTGCAAGATCTCGGTATGACTTCCAACTCAACATACCTTGTGCAACTTCTGACAAACCATANNGATGCTCTGGAATTGGTACACGATAGACGCATGTTTCCTCGCATCCACCTGGCACATCAAGACCCATGGCATGTTCGCCGCCTCATGTATCGGAGTAGCCCTCCTCGTAGTCTGCCTCGAATTCCTCCGGCGACTCGGCAAAGAATACGACGCCTATATCCTTCGTCAGTTCCATCGCAGAGCCGCGAGTCTCCAGTACCGACGCAGAGTATCGTATGTGGCTCCCAAGTTTGACGATACACGGGCTTCGGGTGGCTGTGGTCCTGATGCTTCTTGTGCTCCTCCTCTGCCTGAGCAGCGGTTCATCACCTTTCGTGCAACCCCTGCTCAGCAGATTGCTAGGGGTGTTATCCATGCTGCAACTTTTGGCGTTGGATACATTGTCATGTTGCTGGCCATGTACTTCAATGGTTACATCATCATCTCGATCATCTTGGGTGCGTTCTTGGGCAAGGTTCTGTGCGATTGGATGGTCGTGAAGTTGCCCCTGGTGGCGGGAGAAGGCTTCGAAGAGTCGCAAGACGAGGCACCTGGTCTCTCGGAGCCTACTGTGTGTTGTGGATAGTTTGGAGTTTGGATCATGTCAGCGCCAGCCTACGAATGCATGACAGTAGTGGTCTCAACCATACAACAGAAATATCATGACTTTCTCCACTCCTATTGTTGTTAACCAGAAACCACTATGCCGTGTCGTCACCCTTTTCATTCTCTCACTGCATTCAACTTTACCCACAGATCAGGTCTGTACCACAGAGTATGGTGCTCAAGCCTCTTCTCCCACCCAACACTTCTTGGGTCCAGCTCGATGTCGAAATTGAACAACATCTTTGCAAACACCAATCGTAACTCTGCATACGCGAGGTTCTTGCCTAAGCAGCTNNGGTATTCACTTTAGCATGTCTGTGACTGAGTAATGTGTAGCGAAACTTACTTTCTGGGTCCAAAAGAAAATGGTTGCACGATTGCGAGATTGTCATTAGCATATTTCTGTGGCGGCGTTGCAAGCCAACGCTCTGGGACAAAGAGTGCTGGGTCGGTGAAGTTCAGAGCAGAGCGGTTGGCAATGTATTGGCTGACGGAAATGGAGGNCCTAGATGTATGTGAGTGGATTGTCACAACCAGAAGGCCCGATGATGAAGCACATACATTGCCCTTGCCTGAAAAATGCACACCAGCGACATCTGCGCCTGTATCGGGCACTTTCCTCAGAAACCCTGCGGGAACAGGAGGATAACATCGCAAGATTTCGTGAATGACGGCGTTCAGGTACTCGAGCTGGGTAACGGAGTCGACGGTGATCTCAGCATTGCTCTTGTAACGGCTTCGGATCTCTTGCTTGAGTTTGTCCATCGCGGTTTGGTTTTCGAGTAGAAGATAGCTGCCGATCGAAAGTGTTGTCGCTGTTGTCTCCGTACCGGCTACCATGAAGATACCAAGGTTGCTTTCCAGCTCGCCCTTGCGCAAGCCCTCGCCTTTCTTGCCGTCTCCTTCTGAGTTCTGTAAGATGGAAGTCACGAAATCTGGTCGTTGTGTTTCGGCGGCGACTCTAGCCGCGGTCTTAGCTTTGATCCACTTGAAGAGTTCGACGCGTTTGTCGAGCTGCGATTTCTTGATGATGAGAGAGCCCATGTTCCTGACGATAGGGAAGTAGTACGTGACATAGGCGAACTTCACAGATTTGAGACTTTCGAGGATGTTGCCGACCCAGGGGTGTTGTTTCATATCGGCAAGAGAACCAAAGGATTGCCCGAAGCTCAGGTCTGCAATCACATCAAAGGTGAGGCCATTGTACCATTTACAAAGCTCAATCTTGCCGGTAGAGTCCCAGCCGTCACCACCAGAAGCGTAGTCTGGGTTGCGGTCTACAATATCGCGGAACCTCGAGATGAGTAGATCGACATAAGATTGGAGCAAGCCTTCTTGTTCCCGAAGAGCTCTATCAGAGAAAGCGTGACTGATGACACGTCGTTGACGACCATGATTCTCTCCTCGAGCGGCTATGAGATGCGGGATTCCATCCATGGGGGTAGGATACCAGACAGGATCTTTTTCGAAACTCCCTGTGTGCTTCTGCTTGCCAGTGCGGAAACCATAGATTTCTTGCCACGGGTTGTCCTTGCCCGAGATGACAGACACCTAAGCTAGAGGTTAGTTCTATAGATGTAGCTCTTTCTCGCAGGTATATGTGAAATTGTGCAAAACAGCTGTCACCATTGCTAGGAGGGTTCATTGTCATGCGCCTACCTCGTTAGGACTGTATCGAACAATCTCACCATACTTCTCATGCAGCTCTTGCATCCATGACAGAAGCGTGCCGTTCAGACTGTGACGTATGTATGGAAGACGAGAAGCAGCGAGATACCAAGGACCAGGAACATTGCTCAAGGGGTGGAAGAAGATGGTATAGATGATATTGAACAAATGGTATGCGACGTACTGAAGGTTGTCAGCTTTGTTGCTCGTCAGTCGGCAAAGCAGGCAGGTTATACTAGAGCGGCGAAGCTACCGGCGATAGCCAGAACGTGGCTAGACGAGCTGGCTAGAGTGTCCATAACATCGGTTAGAAGGGCCAATGGAGCTTATGAATGTAGACTGTGAATTGACGTGTAGACAGAACTGTTGAGCCCGAGAGTCAAAGCCATACTTATAATCATACTGATACATAGGGCATCACACATTGGTGCCGTGAGCCGACTACAACGGAGCTAATGCTGGAGATCAAGACGGTAAGCGCCAGGCGGGTCGTACAAACATCACCTCATCTTCTGACATGAAGGTTCATAAGCAGATCAGGACTGTCCATGGAGCTTGTTTGAGGCACCGTCGCGATCCTTGTCTAGCTCGGGGTTGTGCAGTTACGCACGCAAATCGAGTCGCCGGTCAGTGTATATCCAATTCTCCATGATTCGAGGTGGGGTCGTGTCGCCGTCTGTTATTTTTGACAGGTGCGTCCCGCAGTGTCCATGCTTTGTTGCAGGCGAAGTGTTGAAGATCTGCAAACGCCGTCTCGCATCGCTCGGTTGTAACGAGCCCGAGCGACGTGGTTGAGAACGGACTACCCTCTGTTGCCTAACTTGCTTTCCTCGCTATGATACTCAACTATATAGAGCCGCCATAAATTCGAAGGCAGGCTGCTTGACGATGCTTTTCACGAGTATGGACAGTGGACGACAAGCCAATGTATTGCTGGTATTAAGTAGAAGAAGATACGGAGGTCACAAGATGGCCAAGCCGAGGTTGTTTTTCCGGGCCTGCCTAAGGGCTTGAGCACCCTTGGGCAATCCTGAAAGATAGTGCTTAGGTTAGCAGCCACCTACATCGTATAACAACGGCAAGACCATCCGGTCGATACTGCAGGGGTTCAGCGGCATTCTTCTTTTCCGAGGTTCCGTTGGATCGGATGGTGCTGGCGTCCGAGAAGACTTGATTCCTTGATCATCGATTGAGCTGAGGATTATATCATCCAGAAGCATCTGTGCTTGTCTAGTTGTACGACTCATCGTCCCACAGCATCCCACGCAAGATGCCTAATGTGCACACCAGGAAAGAATCTTACAAAGACCGCCTCACACCCACCCGAAGAACCCTTGCGCTCCTGATTTCCTCCACTCCTCTCAATCCTCACTAACAGGCTCCGGTCGACTTCCAAACAGGATCTTATACCTCACAATCTCCACCATTTCCACCGCACCTTCTTCCTTACCCTCAGCCTTCCTCAACACCGCGAGCGGCTTAGCAAGTTTCTTGACCTCGCCAGTCATACGCTGATGCCTTCCAATATAGAAGTAAACTTTTTTNNTCATCCAAGCACCTCCCTTTGGGTCTGAAATCCCTTCTGTGTAGTGGGGGAACGCCAAGCGACCGACTTCTGTTGCTGATGGGGCAGAGTCTTCAGAGGCAGGGAGGACGGGAAAATTGATGGTTCCTTGGAGTTCGAGGATTGCGAGGCCGGAGGGTGTGTGTAGGAGTTGTGGGAGTGGGTTGTTGGGGTCTGGTGTTGTTTGTGGTGTGGAGATGTTTTTGTNTATGTGCACTGGTGTGACTGAGGGCCATGTTTGTGAAGACATTGTTTTTATGTGTCTGTGTTGTTGTTGTTTGTGGTCGGCTGTTGACGATTTCCTTGAGGATTTTCTGTGATACAAGGCGGTGATCTGATCGTGATTAACTGGCTGTGATGTTGATTCGATGTTGATGATTGAGTGACAATGGTTTCGTGATGAATCTACCGAGGAAGACGCGTCGCAAACAAATCGCCTTTTCGGGACGGTGAACTGACTGCGTTTCCACGACTAGGACAATGGCAACAATCAGAGTATCTCGAACAAAGCCTGACTGGCTAGCACGTCTTCTAATGAATATACAGATAGTACAATTTATTGCAGAAGGAGACTGGAATATATATCCTTTCCAATTTTCCACAATAGAATCCACAAAAAACGCCTAATGCCATGCGTCGTCGTAATAACAAAAAAGAAAAGGTGGAAATTAATGTGCAACACAAGCGCTTCCCTCTGAAGATGCCGTAGCGAGGTAGTATATATGCTCACATACCCTCTTCCATACTAACATGTCTCCACCAGGGTGAGGCGTTATCCTGAGGACCATTGACCATCTCTTCGGCGTCTCCGACCTGTCGGCGTTCGCTGACTTCTCTGGTCGCAACACGCTTCAACTTCATGGCGCGAGACGCCATGGCCAGACTTATGTTCTGCATAGAGGGCTTCTTTGAAGGAGCTCTCTGTGGCTGGCGCGTCAATCCTTGGGATGGGAAATCTGATGGTGAGCCTTCGTCAACCATCGGTCTGTCGATGACTGGTTGGAACCATTCATCCCTCATGACTGGTCGTTGTCACTGGAGTGGCTCGGAAGAGGAAGACAGACGATTCAGGTGGAGGTAGACATCAGTGCCGTAGCTGCGGGTTGTGTTAGCGGATTGTCACATGCTGCAGGATAGCACTTGGCACTTACCNNCCTCCATACTGATCAGCTTCAAGTCTCCACCGAAGTAGCGGGCATATAATCTGGAAATGGGCAATCCATAACCGAAACCTGCCATTGGTGCCTTGAAGTCGCTCTTGTTGAAATCAGGGTCAAGTGTAGGCGTTTGGTCGACAGTGGTGTACATGTAGGTCCAGACTAGTGGGATGGCGCTTCTCGGAATACCACCACCCTCGTCCGAGATCTTTATTGTAATGTCTTCCTTTCCTTCGGCAACGACGACTTTGGTAACGGGAAACTCTTCCTTGTCTTGGCCGTGGGTCTCGACGACGGCACGAAGAGAGTTCTTGAGTGTCTCGAAAAGCATGTGCGACAGATGGCCAGGAACGTACATGAAGTTGAGGTCGGGGTTGCAGACGAGTTGTACCTTGGGGGCATCGAAGAGACCGTAGTGATCCTCACATACAAAGCGAGCGTTCTCGATGGCTTCTTGGGCCAGGTCGCGCACATTTGTCTTTGTACAGATTATTCCGACATAGTTCGGGTCCGAGTGGGCCCTTTGATCGGTCAAGGCGATGTGTTGTCCGATCAGCATACGGATGCCGATACGGGACATGTAGAAGCGGTCGAGGAAAGCCTGGATGTTGTGGTCTATCTGCATTCGTTGACGCTTGCGCTTGTACTCGAGGATGCCTTGTGCGACAGTGGTCACGACGCTATCGTGACGGCGCTTGATCTTTTCGAGAGTCTTTGAAAAGCGAGTGTTGTAGTCGTTCAACTCTGGCGGCCATTCGCTGGTATCGTCACCGGAACTATAGTAACGCTTGAGGGATTGCTTCCTCTCGTTATGGTCGTGGTTATTGTGATGGAGCTGAGAGCGATACTGGCCCTGGTTGACGCTTGGGTTCTTGGTAGCCTCGCTCAAGATGCGCGAGTTCTTGCCATTCTGGGGTCTAAGGAGGCGTTCGCGGATTTCGGACGAGAGGGTAGGCTTCGGTAGGGTGGTGATTTCCTCGAAGGACTGGGCGTACCAGTCTCGTACTCGGCCGATCGAGGGCATGTCGCCCAGTCCGTCGGGCAACTCTTGGAGCTCCTGGACGCGGTGTGCCAAACGTATGGGCAGCTCTTCTGACATGAATTGGGAGGCTCGGAACAGAGTGCNCTGCGTGGGTCGTCAGTGAGGGGGTCTCGGGTGGTCGAGTCGTGTGGTCTTGTTCTTACCCACTGACGGGCGCTCGCCAAACTGGACCATCTGGCGTAGACTCACGCCAGTAGCAGNGAAGTTGGCATAATGGCGGATCGTGTCCATGAGCTCGGTCGACTTTTTCCACGACATGGCTGCGCTTGTCGAGGCCTTGCGGCCAGAAGTCCTTTGGGGAGTGACAAGCTCGCGAGCTCAGGCTACGTGCTGCCGAGTGCTCAGCAGAGGACAGTATTGGCGGCGATGTCGCGTGCTGTGTGGCAGGTATAGACAGAAACAGAGAGCGGCCGTGAGTCAACAGCGCGCTCACTGCGTGTGCACCAGGCCCGCCGTCATTGAATGTGGAGAACCTGACCCCAGTCGACCGCTGCTGCTTCCATAGCACCGAAAATCAACACACACGTGCCTCGGTTGTTGCACCTTGCCGATTCTTTTTCGTAACCACAACTCTCCTCACTACACGGACAATTGCAGTCCGTCCTCTTGATCTATTTCTTTATCGACTGTCCTCATGTCATGGACTGCTCCAGTGGATACAGTCCTCAAAAGTCGTACATTATGCCGCTCCAGACATGGCCGAAGCCGGACTCCCTTCTTGAAAGCGCGGACCATGTCTCTTTCAGGGCACACTCTGCAGACATAGGTAGCGTTATGACTATTACGAACTTTGGACTAACGATAATGTCCTCAAGAAGAACAATGTACCTCCACTTTCTATTACCCATGCCTCTTCTGTGCCATTGCTCCCAAGCAATAACGACCCAACCCTTACTCGGCTTCCCCAAAGAAGTATAGAGGTGCACTTGTAGCGCTGTTGACACTCCTCATTCTGACCACCGCACATTCAATCGTTTTTTCTGCCTGATCTGGTATCTCTGCTTGCAAGGACTGGCGTCGACCCTTGCCCCTTTCTCTTTTGCGAGTAACCGTCTTCAAGTCTGACAAGCTCTTCACACCTCTCAACGAGCGTGCACGACTGAGTAAAGAATTTCTTCGACTAGGCCTCGTAAGTGTAGTCTCATGACCATCTGGCTGCACCACGTTGCATTCTTCCTCGACAATCGGTATGGGAGTCGAGTGCCGACGACGCTGAAGCACTGTCAATGCGTCCGTCGTCGTGGATCGGCCTAGCAATTTCGAAGTCACCCGGTGCAGACGCCCACGACGCACAAACTGTCTGCATCGCTCCTAATTCCCACCAGAAAGCTGGTCATCGTGAGTCCTGATGCGTCCAGGAACTTCGTACTAGAAGTCACGTCGAAAGACATCGACAGAGACATCCATGTCAGTGTTGGTCTTGGTCTCGGTGACATTGTTCGAAATGTTTGCGACGTTTTTCTGATCGGTCGAAGCATTTATGCTGAGGTCGCGACAGTGTTCTGATGGCGCTGACAGGCCCGGACAATGCAATAACGGAGCGGAGTGGATGGGTTTCCTGTNAATAAGAAAACAACAGAAATAAGTAAAAGCAAATAAATCAAGTGAAAAAGCCATAGGCATTGTTATTAGAAAGAGCAACAGATATGTCTCTTCGTGACAAAGAATTGGAGGAAATCGGGCACAAACACCTGAATACAGGGCTGACGGAAGAAAGAGACAAACCCAGAAATACGCAATCCCAAATCCTGCAAGTGTTTCTTCCTACTCATCAAGACATGAAGTGGCCCCATCTGTAACATGTAGAAGGGAGGAGAGGGAGGAAGGAAAGGGAGGCACGGAGAAGTGAAGAGAAAGAGGCAAAGAGACAAGGAGATTTTCATGGTCACCTTCTCCCTATACTGCCGTCCCTGCCACTCCTAGATCCGGTGCTTTGCCGCTTGATCAATCGACTGTCGCGATCGTTGGGACTGTGTTTCTCACTTGGCAATGCCGAAAGCACATCACCTGCAGAGTCTTTGACGCCCAGTCCCAAGTGTCTCCCAGTTTTCTGGTCAATCTTGAACTCAATGTACTGTTGTGCGGCTCGTGACAAGGGTATAGGCGCAGGTTGTGTCGGAATCTCTGCTCCGTTCTGGAGCAAAAGCTCGGCAACGGGGAAAGGCTTCCTTAGAGGGGTAGGCGTGGTTGGGCGTGAAGGTGGTGCCAATGGATCCAACGCTGGTGATGATAGCGTTGATGAGCCACTGCGTTGCTGCACAAACGAGCTGGATGGGGACGCAGGGTCTGCAGCTGCCAGAGCAAGGAACACTGCGTGTGTCCCTCTCGAACGGTCTGCAGCATTGGGGTTCGCTCGCAATGCGAGAGCATACAATACTTGCTGTATGTTGTTCTGTTTGATGCTGACTAGCAACGTATCTTCTGGACTCTTGAAGTGTGCCATGGCATCTGTGGAGCCTTGAACGTACAACCTGTCGCTGTACTTGCCCGTGATGAAGTGTAGACGTTGCTCTCTGGTCACGTTAGGACCCGGTTTGAGGAACGCATCGAGCTTGGCCTCCCAAACCATGTTGCTAACACGGTTGCCAACCAGCATAAGTAGCTCAATGATATCTGGTGTGAATGCCGAGGTATCGAGAGTCAAAGATCGCACTTTGGAGATGTGCGTGCCCAAAGATCTGTGAATACCACTGCACTCGATACACAGGATTATGCCAAGGTTGATTGACACCCATTCGACCTTCTGATCGGAATTGCAATCAGCGCAGTATTTGTTGCCAGCATCAGCTTCCCGTATCTGGTTCAAGAGTGCTGACGGCGTTTCATTATCAGGCTTCATGTAAGTAGGTTTATCACCCGTTGTTGCATGACGCGAGACGATCTTGCTCGAAGAACTGATATACGATGAGGTTGCATTGGTGGACGCTCGTTGAGAGGAGAACGGTGTAGTCTTTCCGGTCAAGACTGCAGCGATGGTGTTCCGCGTAGAGGTGACCTTTTCAGCGCTTAGCGCGCTGGTAGATGGTCTAGATTCGAAGGCACTCTGAAGGGCATTGTTGATCGAGCCAATCCACGATTTCATATCCTCTTCCGAGGGAGCTTGATAGACGCGAGTGTATTGTGGCGTGATGACCTCGAAACAGAACCGCCTGTCGGCGTTGCGTGCTTCTCTCACAGATGCGACTCGCAAGTCGATGGGATCCATGTGGAGATCCAGCCTGTCTTTCCAGTTGGCATATTCGGATAGCTTACCCTGATCAAGCACTATCCAGANATCTGCATTCGTTAGCGAATGGACATTATGCGATGCACAAAGTACTCACTTGTGCCACCCAGCTTTGTTCATGATAGGATCCACATGACTGCCAGGTCGGCTCAAAGACCACAACAGTCCCTCCTTCTTGATCTGGCCTGCACCAGCAACGGCAGAGGCAGAATTGTCTTTCTCTTCTAGGTCCCTGATACCCTTGAACTTGTTGCTCGTGTTCCTAACAGGCAACGGGCCATTGGAGCTAGAGCCAGGGGGGGAGATGATGCTAGACGGGAAGCCATTGGGTGCCGAGGGAGATGTCGACATTATCGAATTACGCGGTGCTGATATAATGCTCATCGCACGATCGATATGAGTGGCAGTTGAGCCATTGAAGATCGAGGGCGGACTCTCCATTTCAGGTGATTTGGCACTGTTGGTCTCCAGTGCTCGTCGCTTCTCCTCACGTTCCGTACGTTGCATCTGGAACTCCATATCGGCATTCGAAACTTCGCGAGTCAGAGCTTCCAACTGTGGCAACATCTCTTCGACTTNTTTGGCCGTGGTAAGATACCCTCGAGCCTGTGCAGATGCATACTTTGTGAGCTGAGATAGCACTTCTTGCTCTTTGCGACCACCATTCAGGTCGTGCATGAAGGAGGAATAGTCGAAACGCTTCAGCTCAAAGGTTCGTCGCTTGGCTTGGTATTTGGCATCACTCTCGACACGCTTCTTCTCTTTGAGTGATTCGGAGCGCTGGCCAAGGTATTTGCTGACATAGGCGTAATAGTCCTTACTTTCTTCGTCAAAGTCTCGTCTTTTGGACTCTGCTTGCTTGATGTCGAGACTATAGAGCTTGTTGATGGGTTCAATGATGAGTTTTTGGAGATTTGCGTTGTTTTGGCGTTCGTAAAGCAGAATCTCTCTAGCAATTGAATCGAAGTAATGCTCGAGGGCGGGACGGACAGCATTTGCGTTTGAATTGGAAGCTTCCCTAAGCGCGTCCATAAAAGCAGAGTGGGCGTCGTTACAGGCAGTTTGGGCGGCTTGTGCGGCCTCGGCAGCTCTCAAGACTCTCTTCATACGAGATCTCATTGTGCCGGTTTTTTGCTCCAGGGCTCGCATTGTGGCTCTGAAGACAGGACCGTCTTCGCTGGTACTAGCATCCTCGGCTGGACGACCGACACAACTGATGTCGACTCTGGGAGTAGGCAAGGAGGCTCCATTTGAAGGGACCAGTCCAAGACCGTACTCTGGAATGGCTTCGATCATGGGTGATGAAGGCTCGCGGGAAGGCTCGCGGAAGTCGCGGTAGTCTCGAGAGTCCTTAGGATCGCCGCCGTCGGAATCACTGACGGCGCTAACTCTGGACTCGATGGATTGGGCAGATGGCACTCTAAGCCTGGGAGGGGACAAGGTGGGTGAGTTCAACCAGCGCTGCGTATNCTGAAGGAATGTTAGAATGAACACAGCTAAGGGCAGGAGAAAGGATGGCGTACTCGTGACCCAAAAAGAGAAGCTGGCTAGCGTCTCGAGACGATGGGCGCGCGAGTTGTACTCGACAAANNCTGCCACAATCTATTAGCAGCTGATCACGAATGGTAGTCGCAGGATGATTCGTACACTGCAGGTATTGCGCCAGCCTCCGCCGTGGTCTTCGGATTGCTTTGGGGGCCTCCACTTCCAGGACCACTGAAACTGTACGGATGCTACACCACCTGTGTTGTAGTCGCCCACAAGTTCGACATTGGGGTTCTTGTGCAGGTTGGGGTCGGCGTGGAACTCGCGTGTGACGAGCTGATCGATCTCTTTTGTACTCGAGCCAAAGACGTAGGTCAGGCCGCACAACTGGGTATCTGAGGATGGTATACCAGTAGGAGCAACGATATGATCGCCGATTACATTGGTCGGAGCCGAGTTCGATTGACGCAGGACGCATGTGAAGGTGAAAGTAAGCTCCTCATCGTTGGCCAGGCGTAAGAGGAAAGACGGAGAGATGATGGAAGAGGGTTCGGGGTNCCTTTCTGGGGTCAGCGCATGTCTAAAGAAGTTATGGAACTAAGAGAGAAGTACCTGGACGTAGTCGACAGGAGTGTTGTCGCCAGTGTCGCGCCTTGCGTGGTAGCGCGTGGCAGGAAACGAGTTGGGACTAAGCGAGACGAGGGTGCGACCACGCGAGTTTGTGATGTTGACGTTTGCGATCGAGACTGTCGGGAAGAGGAGGTCAGAGGCAGGCTATGGCGCGAGAGGCAGCTCGTACGCACATCTCGTCTGGTCCTTGAAGTAGACGGGAGCACCATCGTCAGGTCGGCTTCCTACGTTGCCCATGCTGCGAGCAGGGCAGACGCGCCCCAGCGCCGAACGTGGGAGTCAAGAGGTCGAAAATATTGTCTTTTGGACTAGCGGTATATGGCGAGTGCGATGGCCGAACAATGCGACTGCGCGGGCGTGGGTAGCTATGTATATGCGGTTGCGATGCGGATGAGAGATGGCGATATGATTGGCGAAATATTGCACGAGAGGGCGCGCAGGCAGAGGCAGCAATGGTCGGACGCAGACGACAAGACGAATTCGATAGCCAACCAACGCTATGGCTATGGCTATGCTGAAATGATGGGGATGCGAGATTGGAATTGGAATCGGTCCTCTGCTGGCTAGAGGCAACCTACTCCACAGCAAAGCACGGTATACAAATACGGCCGTCATGCTCTGCGAACTCCTGAACGAACGTTGGCAAACTCTATTTATCTGATGCCATCTTTAGAGCCTTCGCGACAGCGCCATGGCACCATGACACGACCGCGTGCACCTCGTCTGATCCAACATGCACAACCCTCGACCACGTCGCTTCTGTCGTCTTGAGCCTCGAAAGATGCGTGACAGAGGCAGTGCTCGGTAATAATGCTTTGACCATCTGAATCTCGAGAAATCTCTCTGCCTTCGCTGCGCATCCCCCAAGCATCCTGTCATTCACCCTTGTTTTCATCATTCTTTCCCTTCTTGCTGACTGCCCGGCCCGCTTCCAACCGACTGTGTTTCAGCCTGTCGCTGATGCCTCGCGCCCGTGCCGCACCTGTTCTTGTAGCTCCGGCCGCCCGCTCCTTGTGCACCCCCTGCCTTCTCGCTTTCATCTCTTGAATCTCTTGACCAATATGGCGTTTGCCAGACGACTGCTGAAATCCCTCTTTGGCGTGTATGGCCTCTCTACAAGATCACAAATGTAGATCATAGGTGTTCTCAATCGCAAGCCGAGGTTCGCAATTCCTCGGCCAAGCATGGCGGGGACCATCCAACCGTCCTAACACCTTCTGTGTGAACCACTTCTTTAACATTGATCTTCCCTGCCTCCTTTCTCGTAATTGTCAACCACCATTGATCATCATGTATCCGTTTTCTGATGCCACTACCATCACCTCAACAGGTACACACACGTATACCGCGAACTTTCCAAAAGATTACTGCATTGGCTCAGGTACCATCGCTCTAAATTGTCATCTATAACCATCCTGTGTTTCTCATCACACCGTTGCGTANGTTCCTCATGGCGGATACATCACTTCTTGCTTCATGCGTGTAGCACAGCTACACTTTGCTACAACCTTGGCCAAGCAGAATCAACCTCATACCATGTCAATGCATCTGGAGTTTCTCAGACGTACTAGTATTGGACCTGCTCTGTTCAACGTCAGAGATGTGAAGATAGGCCGAGGCACTTCGGTCATTCATGTCACTCTATTCCAAGANGGGGGCGACCGCGAAGAAGTGGCTGCCTACATTACGAACAGCAATCTTGCCACAGAAGAAGGCACTTCTTTCCCTACAGGCTGGAAATTGGAGCCCGCGCCTCCTCCCGCCAATGTCTCCGCACTGAAATCTGGCACCGATGATACTTGGAAAGAGCAGAAATCCATGCCTTTCGCCATCTTCCGCCGTGCAAGCCAACACGTCAACTTCTACTTCCCTAGACAAGGTCAACGTATGCGCAGTCTAGCGGATCAATGGATGTGCTTCAGCAATGGCGAACGTTTCACCAACACCAGCCTGGGCTATGTGTCCGACATGTTCCCTCAAATCCTCGAGAGCTATCGTACAGGCAGCGACCCATATGCTGTTGAGCCTCTACGTGACGCCAAGGAGATCAACGAGCTGGCCTCTCAACAAAAGGGCTTCTCTTCCGCCTGGTATCCCACTCTGCTGCTGAATCTTGACATCAAGAAAGTTTTACCTGAGGAAGGTGTCGAGTTCTTGTTCCTCAGAGTTCGCGCAAAGCAGATCAAGAATGGCAGGTACGACCTGGAAGTTGTCATCATGGACGATACTGGAGATATCGTTGCGCTTAGCCACCACGTCTGCATGGTCATGTCGGCCCAGAGGAATCTGCAGGCAAGATCGAAGCCGGCGGAAAAGCCGAGCAAGCTCTGATCGATAGCGAGAATATTTGGCGTACTGTACAGAACAATACACACTTGTGTCACGACATGGATCAACTGATGGACAAGGGGACGACTTCTTTGTTTGTGCTTGTGTGTGACTATCAGACTTGTTTCAATTTCATCCCAGCTTCACAGCTCCTTCACAACTTTTCACAGTTTCTTTGCAACACAACCAGTTCGAGATCTAACATAGCAGGGTTAATCAGAATGGCCTTAAAATCAGTTGGTAAACAACAGTGTTATCTTCAAGAGCATCGTGCTTGTTGTATTGCATAATCATGTTCGAGTCAGGGTCTTGCATTCAGCAGTGTTTGGCAGAATCTCACCGCCCAGAAGAGAAACAAAGCCTCTCATCATATGAAGTGACACAATACATACTTCCTTCCTGCATATCAAAAGCTATATTTGGACTAGACATAATAATACAGCATGCGAGAAGGCGGAAGATGTGTACTTCCCCCAACATCAACCGTACCTGCGTCTAGCGAGCTTGGTAGGCCGACTGCACGATGCGCTTCAATCTCACCTTCACGAAAGCACACTCAGAAAAAAAGCACTCTTGAATTGACTAAAACAAACGGGTGCCCTGAATTCTGCCATGAGCTTCCAGACGGGCTCCCGAATGCCGATATCATTGACCAGCCGAAGGATAGGTCTGTCCATGTGTGGGCGGAATACAAGGACCCTCTTACTCGATCTCGTCCATGTCGTCCGCACGGCTCCATGGCGATATCGTTCAAGTCGCCGCCGTAGTCGGTTGCTGTGCCCTCAAACTTTATGGAGACTTTTTCCAGAATGCCGGATCATGAGATACGGCTATAGAAGTGCACAGCACTTTCGACATGCAGAGCAATTCCCACTAACAGATCTCTTCGCATCAGTCTTGTTCAACAGACCTCTGTTTCGAATCCAGATGTGCGATGCAATAGCTTGTATGTTGCCCTACATCACGCGTGTGGTGGTGGTACTACTGGGGCTCTCGTGCTCCATGCATGCACTCGGCAAGACATATCTTCGGGAGTCGGTATCTGGGCAGCTTTAGGCGTTTGGCCCAGAAGCATATGCTCCTCGCATCGAATCCCTCTCAGACGTAACAGTCACCCGACGTGGTTGGAGGAACTTATCGATTCGATACTTGAATGCCGAGAACACCCACCAAGTCCTCGTCGACACTGCTTACAATCACCAAACAAACCGAGCCTTCCTGGTACAATGTGTTGTGCACTCTCCAATCATAACTGATCGCCAATCACCATAATTAGATGGCAAGCACTGATGTGCTCTCTGGGCATATCTTGACAAAGGTTGGCTCGAGCCCAGAAAAGCCACCTTGACGCCACCAATGCGGGATAGCACCGATCCAGCAGTCCCCGAGTAATGGGGCCAATTAACGTTTGATCGTCGCACACATTCGTCCTCAATTCTGACCGTACTCCGCACGTGTCATGAGCATCCCTTGCTCGAGGATTTTAGCCACTTTTAGCCGACGGAAAGTTATAATTCCGTCAGAGACAAAGATAGGTATAAACAATCCATTCCCCCAGACATTGTGGGGACCCCAGTTGCAACCCCAGACCCACCTCCACCTCCACACGCCCCATATCTGCTTATCTCCTGACCTAATGGACTCGACGGTCGAGAAGGGCGACGCCCAACACCTAGAGCATGGCTCCGACACGGCGAAAGGTCTTGCCCTTGCTTTCGAGNNGGAGGGCAAGGACGCCGGCTTGAGCGACGCCCATCTTTGTAGCGAAGAGGACAACAAGCGTATTCTACGAAAGACCGATCTATGGATGCTCTCGCTGCTCTGCATGGTCTACTTCCTGCAATCAGCAGACAAGNNGGGTAAGCCATGCTCGATAGACCACAATGAATAGCCACTGACTCCGAGAAACAGTATCATCGGTCTCACCGCCGTCTATGGCCTCAAGAAAGATGCCAAACTCAAGGGCAACGACTACTCCAACATCGGCAACATTGGTTACTACGCACAACTCGCTGTCCAACCCATAGCTGCATGGGTACTCGTCAAACTGCGATACCGACAAGTATTGCCCGTTATCATCACCTGCTGGGGAATCTCAGTCGCTGCCGGACTTGGTGGCTCTCGCAATTATGCTGGCCTCCTTGCCTCGAGATTTTTGCTTGGAGCCTTCGAAGCCGCTGTGGTGCCTCTATTCTCCATGATCACTATTGCTTTCTATAGACGCTCGGAACAGCCATTCCGCGTTGCCTGCTGGTACAGCTGCTACGGTCTGAGCACTCTTATTAGTGCACCCATTGTCTACGGCTTCGGACGTGTTAACTCTTCCACACTGTACCGTTACCAAGTGGTCTACCTCTTCTTCGGTCTCTTGACCATCTGTGTTGGACTCATCACTTACTGGTGGGCACACGACAGCCCTGGAGAGGCCCGCTACCTTTCTCCTGAAGATCGCCTCAAGGCTGTTGACCGTGTGAAGGCCAACCAGCAAGGTATTGTCTCGCACAAGTTCAACTGGAAGCAAGTCGCCGAGGCTTTCACAGAATTGAAGTACTGGCTTTTCATGATCATGGTCATCGCAGTCAATGCCGGTGCTTCCGTATCATCGGTCTTTGGCTCCATCATTCTCCAGAATCTGGCTGGCTTCACACCCGATCAAGCCGTCCTGCTCAACATGCCATCTGGCGCTCTCCAATTTGTTTCGATCCTCGGTGCTTCTTATCTCGCCTACCGCTTCAAGCGCAAGTCACCATTCCTGCTCGCTCTTGTGTCAATCGTCATTGTCGGAGTTGCTTTGATGGTTGCGCTCCCCAAGACCAAGAATAACAAGGGTGGTCTGCTTGCCGGATACTACCTTATTGCGTTCGTGTATGCCATCAACCCTCTGCTCATCTCATGGATGGGAGGCAACTGCGCTGGACAGACCAAGAAAGCCATCTACTACACCTCCTTCAACGCTGGAAACTCCATTGGCAACATTATCACGCCTTATATCTTTGACTCCAAGTTTGCACCTCAATACGTAAGTAGATCCCCAAACATCATCCCTACAATCATAGACTAACAAGATATCCAGGTAAATGCTCTCAAGGGTATATTAATCATTTGGCTGATCCTTTGGTAAAAAAATCTCCATTCCTGCCATAAGTCGTCCTTGAATGCTAATTTCTCGATTTCGAATAGGGTGGTCGTCGTCCTTCAAATTTTCAACATTATGTGGATCCAGAAGAAGAAGGGTAACCAGCGCGAAGCAGCAGGGCTCCCTAGAACTTTCGAGGACCTCTCGATGAGCGACAAGTTCCATGAGGCTGGCGCCGAAGTTCACGGCGAGAACGGTCTGCAGGATATGACGGACAAGCAGAACCTTTACTTCTCGTACCTTCTGTAGAAGGTTACGGATACTGTGTTTTTGGACCTGTAAATCTGAGTGCCAGCTATCATGTAGACAATTGTTTATGATTATGACTATTTATCACGTTTTCTTGAGATCCATGTCTGTCTCTGTGATTGACGTTCTGATCGCATACGACAGAAAGCAGGAAGAATGATTTCATCAAAGCCTTTGCCAGAGACACGCCTTTTTGTCAAGTCTTCTGTTGAATCGCGCCAAACAGACGCGGTCTCTCGCGCCACAATATCAGTTTCAACCGGAACGAGAGGAAGACAATGGTTTCTTTGGACTCTTGCTGCGCGCACGTCCCTGAAGTATGGGTATCCTGAAGCCCTTGCTAGCGTAACCTGATTCGGTCTGACTGATTCCCACCTTTACAAGAAGAGAATTGGTCATCTGTTTAGGGTCCCACACTTGGTTGCATTAAGGACTGAATCACTGGCTCGGCAGTCGTGGTGGCAGTGAGGCAGATCTGCGCATGGGTGGTGATGCTGACAGCTATGCGCGCGACAACGCCAAGATCACGGGACAGACGCGCTGCAGACAGAAGCATCACTTACTTTGACTCCAATTTCTCTCAACCGGTAGTCGATCTCTGCGTCCGTCATTTCCGAGACTGGTTTGTTTGCCCATGTCATTGCGGGTTCGTCCAGAGGAGCGCGNGAACCTGGCCAGGAGATCTGGATCGTAGCGCTCAGGATGTTTGCTGCAGGCGGAGTAGAGGTGCTCAGCCTCAAGGCGACAAGCTTCAGCGTACTCCCAGTCGTCGATAAGCATGCATAGCATTCCCGGAGTCTTGAGCCTCGAGAGTGAGGCCATGTCATAGTTCTCGATGAGGTCGTAGAGGAGATTCACGCACTCGTCCAATGAGTCGTCGTCGTAGAGCTCATCGGCTCTGACAAGTTGCTTGTAGACGAAGTCGGCGTGTTTGGCTGATTTTGCCAGAGGTTGCTCCATGGTCGCAGAAACGTGTTGTTGACAAGGTTGAGTTGTGGTTTGGTCAAGTAGAAAGCCAGTTGATTGACGCCGAGTGGTAAGTGAGCCACTCCCATGCAGGTGACCGTCCAGCTCTTTTTCGGTCTTTTCCATGATTGCTGCTTGCAAGTTCTAGTGAGCTCCATCTCCAACTCCGTCGTTCCAGTCTTTCCTTGCCACTCCGCCGGACCTGCAAGTTTCCAATCTCACTTCAACTCCGTCTCAGAACGCCTTTTGATGTATCACATGGTCCCCTGAACTCTCCTACAAGACCATTGTCGCAACACATGCTTGTCTTGTATTACTCTTTAGACACAGACAGGTCAGTGAACCTTTGGCCAGTCTGAAAGCAGTCTCGCCCGCAAGGTAAGCTTCACTTTTCCCACGAGAAGTCTCACCTGGACATATAAAGGTAGGCAGCGTCACTTGCTGGAAGTTGTCACCAACTCCTCCTTTTTCCTCGTGTGATCTTCAAACATCTACTGCTTCTATCAAAGTACTTTCTACTTGAGACTCACCATCTCCGTCGCCTGTAGGTCCCTTGCTCAGACTCTAGACTGGATACTGAAAGAGCTGGAAACCGGACTTATCCACTCCTCTGCTTCAACTTGTACAGCTTCATCTCAGTCCTGACGTTCTTTCAATCAGCTAGTTCTACTATTAGACATCTCGCATGATTGCGATTGTCCTCCGTCTCTCTGCTTGACTCCCCTGCGCTCTCAGCCCTTCCCCCTGCCACGAATCAAATCATGTGGGATGAGGATTGGATTCCAGGTCCTGAAGACATGGACGATCATGAAGATGAGCAAGAAACGTACCTTGATGATGATCAGGACGAAGCCGAAGATATGTAAGTAGTGCCAGCCCTAAGGCGAGCCAATTTGAGACGCTCTCGCCCTATCTCTCGCATCAAATCGAGAAACGCACAAAAGTCGGCAATGGTATGCCCCGTGCTGTAGAAGCTCTCACTTCGGAGCCAAAGAGCACCTCCGATGCCTTGGATCCCGCCCATGAACTAGGAAACCAATCCTGGCACCTAGCGCACAGACGGTCTGTCTCAATCGTTTCTTGAAGGCAATCGACGATGGCCTCGAAGCAGACCCAAACACTGATATCTAGCGTCTCCTATCAAACGATCCCGTATTGGCTCTTTCAACGGTGGTGCTTTATGTAAAGGCATTCAAGTCGAGAGCGCAATTCTGTATTTACATCGGAATGTTGTCTTGTCCTAAAACAGCTATATAAATAATGTCAGGCTGTCCTCAATGGCCGTATCACGAAATAGTGACCATAGAGAATGAGAAGAATAAACGTCTCAACACTCCGCCTCAGCATGAGCAGCCCTCTGTCCGGCAATAGCCCNCGAAAAGCCCGAGACCGTGCAGTAGCTGCCCTTGACGGCAATAACATAGGAAGTGCTGCCATCAGTCACGGTTGAAGTAGTTCCATCACAAGTAACAGTAGCAGAAACCCCACTGATACTTGCCTGACTGCCAGAAGAGCTGCTTCCACTATCCCCGGTCGAAGGTGCCACGACACCAGCCGAACATGCCGCATAAGCAACACTGTCGAAGCGGAGTCCGTCGGCAGAGGTAAAGACAACCGAGTTGATCTCATCGGCAGAGGCACTGGCGCCGTCGTTGTCTGCTGCACANNGCTTGTTGCTGCAGCGGCTTGCCTCTCGTTTTGTACGGATTGTGCATTCGATGCATCTGCTACTGTTGCGTTTGTCACGATAGTGACCTGGCCTGCTGCATTGGCAATGGCGGTGGAGTTGGCATTACCAGTCGAAGCAGTGGAGGAATCACTCGTGGTATCTTGGGCAGCACCCGCAGCGCTAGATGAAGTTTTAGTCATTGCTTCCCCGAGAAGAAAATACGACTTACCTTGCGGCGTTGCCGCTTGCAAATGTTGTTGTGACGATTGTGGTTCCATTGGCAGATCCACTAGCACTGCTCATTGAGCTGCCATCAGGAACCGATGTGGAGTTTGTCACAGTTGTGATTTGAGAAGACGTGGTCTGATTGTTATGGATGTTGCCAAAGAAGGAGACGAGCTTGCCTTCTACAGCAGCCTTTGGAATATTCCATTTGTAGCCGCCGAAGTTGATCGGAGGGAGTTTGGTCGAGCCGTGTGGGACATTAAGTTGGAAGGATGTGTCCAGAGGGTAGCACTTCTCAGCAGTTGCTTTCTTAGTTGCTGGAACGGCCAGGACTTGTGATAGAGATGCAATGACAATGGTGGTAGCGAGTGTGAACTTCATATTGTCTGGAGTGGAATGTTTGGGATAGAAGATTCTCTTTCGTCGAGCAAGTGGACGTCCAGAATATATAGCCACCTAACTTGTCCTCTCTCAACACGGCATATGCGGGAATATGCTACCTCGTTCCAGATCACAAGGTTCGTGCAGCCAACATGCTGTCTCCGTGGAGGGCTCTCGTGATGCAATAGTGTTGCTTTCCATAGCCCGAGATGGTCATTAGCTTTAGATCTGCAGGGATGGCGATACAGCTGTTCGAATCCAGGAATCGTGTCGATTTGTTTAGACTACTGTGAAAACCAACAAGCACACATATTAAACTTACAAGATAGCAAGATATCTATTTCACTGCAACCAAAGCAGATATATTGAGAGACCTTGGATAGTGCCATGTAGAAACAACAGCGACCTACTCGTACCTGCAAGTCAAGAACAAGTACACTGGTCTTACCGGCGATAATGCGCCTAAGTGGATACCTATAGCGAGTTAAGCTTTCTATTCATTTGAGCCTCGGAGGTCTGTATTGAGTTGGGACAAGAACTTGTGATTTGCATCGTATGTCTTGTTGGCTGACTTCCATTTTCTAGAGTATAGTAGATTGACTGGATTTAGTGACGGTATGAAGGCAGGCGTACCCTCTTGTGCAGAGGTTCAGCGAGTCGTCGCGTGTACCGGAGCTGGGGATACCGAAGTGAAGTCTGACGAGTGTCACTGCTCTGTGCACTCCGGCCGTTGTTGATCTTCGAAGGCGAACAGCCGCGGAAGCATGCACGTTGGAAGTATTGATGTGAATAGAAAGGTCTTGAAGCCGTGTTTCCACACATTTCTTATGGTGTCAATGCGATAGATCAGGAACGACAAACGAACAGCATGAAGAAGTGCCGATGTTTAAGCGGTTGCTTATGTTGGATTTGTTATGCGTTTTGTCTCTTTGTCCTCCTGCTCAGACACTAAATTCGTCATGCTTTTCCAGATGACAAGCAGATATCCATCTGTTCTTCTGTGGCTCTTTGAACCTCGGTCATTCCTGCTTCCAGCAATTGCGTTAACGAAAGCTTCGATGCGTTGAGCTCGAGGTGTGTCTGGAAATCTTCCAATATCAATTTGTTCACATTGATCTTGGATACACCAGCGGCAACACACTGATGTATCAGATCTTTGCCAAACGAGTTTGTCCCGTGTAACACGACCCTTACGTTCTTCGCTTGTGCGGATTCGCGAATGTTTTNTAAACGCTCGAAGTCCAGTTGTGGACCTCTGGAGCCGTATTCGCCATGCACATTGCCGATTGCAGGAGCAAGGAAATCAACTCCTGTGTCGATGAACTCGGCCACTTCTTCCGGAGTTGTCAACATGCTTTCAAGATCTGCTGTGTCTGCGATGCCATCTTCGCCGCCTTCGATACGACCTGGCTCGGCTTCGGTCGCGATACCCCTGGCATGACAGTACTCGACAAGCATAGCTGTCTTTGACAAGTTTTCGGCCTTCTCGTAGTGTGACATGTCCACCATGATCGAGTCAAAGGGCAAGGTGTCAGCGGCCAGTCGAATAAGCTTCTCATCCTGTGCATGATCAAGGTGGACGGATACTGGCACGCTGGCACGGCTGGCAGCATCAGCTGCTGCTCGAACTAGCAGCCCATCACTTGCAGTGATAGCCCATGGAAACACTTGAATGATCAAAGGTGATCGCTTGCGCTCTGCAGCGCGTACCATGGCGACGATGTGCTCAACAGTATNAGCTGTGACAACTAATATCAGCATTTAAATCACATCAGGTTCGGGTTGGGTATATTACACTATCGCCGCCAAGACGCCATATCCTCCTCGTTCAGCATCGCTGAGTATCTTGACCGTCTTGTTATCTTTTAGTAGGTCTTTTGAAGGCATTGTACCTTTTGGACGTGGAATGCTTTGGGTGAAAGGGCGATGGGGTCTGTACACGACAGCTTATAACCAACAGACTATATGTCGATGGAAGGCACGAGACGGAGGCACGAGACGGAGGCACGAGACGGAGGCACGAAGAGATATCCATTACCGAGACGAGGCCTGCACAACTGAGAGGTGGTGACGCCGTTCCGATTGCCGACCCCGCGTTGGCGCTCGTCTCGAGATTCATCCACAGATCGCTGCCGCTCGCGTCGGGATGGACCACCGAGTCGGGGCACGTCTTCTCTCTTCTATTCTTTGGTACCACGACACAGAGGAATATGCAAGCTATGCACAATTTTCTTCCAAGAACAGAAGAAATCCTCCAAATTTCTCTCTCAACACGACATAAGCCCGAGAACAACCATATCTGTACGACTAGGCAGGTACGTGTGACCGACTTTGCAGAAGCAACGGCCGCGGAGCCTCAGACATCCGATGGGCGATGTTCGGATACAACACCGAGCGACAAGCATTTGATCAATCGCTTCCATGGAGATACACGCCGTCTAATGGCTGATATCAAGCAAAGAATCCGTTGAATATCAGGCAATTCAGAAAGAGTGAATACACCAGATGCGCAGGAGGGCACCTTTCGCGGTACTGGCTGTCTTCATGAATTCACTAGTTACCAAATCCTCGTGGTTCCCCGCGGTACAGCGTGCCTGGAGGAGCTCGTCTCGAGATCTATGACATTGAATCTTCGACGTACTCACAACCTCCCCGAGCCGATCCCCCATGGGGTGAAACTACAACTCATGAGGGGCTGTGGTAGTTTTGTGGAGGCATCTACGGTTAACGGCAGACTGTCCATCTCAGCATATATCATCCACTGCCTGATCTGCATTTACATCTCACTCCTCAGACGACTTTCTCATACTCACATCATCTCACCTAGCCTTCATCTACCCTCATCTTCACCTCAGAACCTTCAACATCCATCCATTGACGCTATTTGCTAGCCATCAAGAGCTACAATGGACGTCAAAGATGTCAAGTACGACGAGACGGACTACGTTGAAGAGTTCCAGGACACCTCTGACCTTCAATTCGAGCCGGGCGAGGAACAGAGGCTAGTCCGAAAGATTGACCTGTTCCTCATGCCCACGATATGGCTTATGTACCTCCTATCCTATATGGACAGAACCAATATCGGCAACGCAAAGATAGCGGGCATGAATGCGGACCTCCACCTCAGCAGCAGCCAATACTCGATGGCCCTCGTTATATTCTTCATCAGCTATGTCTTCTTCGAAGTACCGAGCAACCTTATCCTCGCCAAAACCAGACCTTCGATCTTCCTACCTACTATCATGGCCCTCTGGGGAACAGTCACCTGCTGTATGGCCGTCATTCAGGATTACTCGCACCTCCTAGCGCTGAGGTTCGTCGTGGGTATCCTCGAAAGCGGATTCGCTCCTGGAATCCTGCTCATCATATCTTCTTGGTATAAGAAAGAAGAGCAGTCGAAACGCTTTGCAGTCTACATCTCTGCTGCAGTCTTGTCAGGAGCATTTGGTGGCCTTTTGGCTGGCAGTATTACCAGCAATCTCAACGGTGCACATGGCTTAGAAGGCTGGAGGTTAGTTCCATTAGTCGCTCGATCCTCAATCCCATCGCTAACCTGCTTNAGATGGCTTTTCATCGTTGAAGGCGCCGCCACCGTCGGTTGGGCAATCTGCGCGCACTTCCTCTTGCTCGACTTCCCATCGCAATCAAGCAAGAAATTCACCGAACGCGAATTACTACTAGCAAGCAAGAGACTAGCTTTGGACAACGCGTCGACTACGAACACAGAGGGCGACAGACCCAAGGTCTCCAGCTTTAAGGCTCTCGTCAAGGCCGTGTCAGACTGGCGTACCTGGATCATGGTATTTGGTTACATGGTCATCGTAGGATCGTCCACGTTGAGTTACTTCTACCCGACTCTGGTACAAGGCTTGGGTTACAAGAGCACGAAAGCTCAATACATGGTCATCCCCATCTACGCTGTGTCGTTTGTCACAGTCGTTGCTTCTGGCATCATCATGGACCGATACCATCAATACCGTGGACTTGCAATCGCAGCATGGCTCGGACTCTCTACCATCTGCTGTATTGCAGTCTGTGTGGTCTACGACTTCACTGCACGTTACGTGCTTCTCATCTTTATGGCTAGTGGCCTATGGGCTAGCAACGCGCTTGGTCTATCGTTTGCTAGCAGCACGTTTGGAGACATGGAACAAGAGACCAAGGGTGTTGCTCTTGCTCTGGTCAACGCTCTTGGTAACCTTGCCCAAATCTATGGCGCGTATCTTTTCCCCAAGGACGATGCCCCAAAGTATCTCTTGGGCTTTGGCGTTATCGCAGGAATGTGTGGGCTTGGTGTTATGATTTACACCAGTGCGCATGTGCTACTTCGCAGGAAGTAGATTTCACTGGGGGCTTTTCATGTACTAAAAGATCAAATATATGCTACACAGATATATATCATGCTTTATGAAAACACGGGATACAAGCTCAATGTCTAAAGAGTCAGCATTACAAAAAGTCGATGTCCCTTTAGTGATATCGTACGTGCTGTCTAGCTGAGTCTGTATTCCCAATGGATTCCGTCTTATGCTGAGCTTCTATTATCCCTGACTTCCCNCTCCATCGTCGTAGAGGTTTCTTCATCAATGTGGATTTTGAACATCTTTGAAGCCATGCCATAGCTCTTTGCTACAGCTTCACTTCCGTAAACCCTCATTTCCTTCTCGTAATCTGCTGTTGCTCCTTCGTAGTAACCGTTCTGCAGCAGTCTACCTAGGAGAGCAGAGTCTCTGACAGCAGTGTTTGCTCCCAGACCTCCTGCAGGCGTCATTGAGTGCGCTGCATCGCCTATAACAGTGACACGGGGTTGGTTGGGCCACACAGGAACACCCGATGGCGTTGAGATGGTGATTTTCCAGAAAGCCCCCTCAGACGTGTTGGACTCAGTGAACAGAGGCTTCAGCTTGGGATGCCAGTCTTTTGTGAGATCGCGAGCGATGTTGGATGCAGTCTCGCCAACAATGGTGTAGTCGTCGTTCGGGGCTTTGATGACGCCAGGTTCGCCAACCATAGTCCACCCAAATTGGATGTTATTATCATCCATATCGCCAGCGCGGACGTTCGTGATGACAGCGAAAGAGCCGTTGGGTCTGCTGTTGTCGACAATGCGGAAGACACCTTCGCCGAGTCCCTTGAAAGCTGTCGTGGGAGCTTGACCATGTATGCCACGAGCTCCAGTGTCATAGACCTTTAGTTTGCCGTTCGACAACTGTCTGGCGACATAGGAGTTGATACCCTCGCCTCCGATAAGCATACATCCCTCCTCCGATTTTGTGCCATCGCTGAAGATAGCTCGCACGCCATCGGTCGTCAACTCGTATCCCTTGACATGCTTGTTGAACTGAACAAAATCTTCACAGCCTTCCATGAACAGATTGCGCATATCTCCACGCGCTATACCCACAACCTTGCCCTCTCGCGAGTTCAAGCTTTCATTGTTACCACCCCCACTACTGCTGTTGCCAGCAGGTGCTGCAGGTGGTTGCTCAATGGGCTCGCCAGTAAGAGCATCTAATACTTTCATACCACCGCCGCCAGTCTTGCCACATCTATCGTAGAATTTCTTCCATGCTGCTGGTTCGAGAGCTGATTCAATGGCGTCGAGACCTTCCGAGGAGAGCCGAAGCCGGTATCCCTGGCCTCGAGATGCCAGCGATGCATCACGTTCGAAGACACTGAATGGAATCTTGCATCGCAGAAGTGAGCGTGCAAGTAACAGTGATGCGAGTCCAGCGCCAGAAATCAGGATGGGTTTTTGTGTCATGGTTGATGTGGATGTTGTTGGCAGAATAACGCAGACGTGGGAGAGATGGAGCACGTCATTGGTAACTGACCCTGGCACGACGCGCTCCAGACCTTGATCCACTTTGTTTGTGCATTGTATTTGTCGCACTTTAGACCCCCGGAGCATCTACATAGATCGCAGACCAATTCTGTCTTCCATAGAGACGAGGGCATCATCATCCAGACAGAAGTTGACAAGAAGGGTTTCTCGAAAGCTTGCACGAAAGCAGACTGATACATGTTTAGAACGAGTTAAGAACGAAATCCTAAAAACACAACTGATTCCGATCAATAACGAGTTTGGCAAATACCGAAGTCTGGATCTTGCAGTATCTTCATGACGAGGATCGCAGGGAGCTGAGAATGGTCAAAATTGGAGTAGGTAGCAGGCGATATGGGAAAGGTTCGAGTAAGAGATCATGACATGAACAAGGTTGTCGATCATGGAGATCATGATCAACCGTCAAGTTCGGAACGTGCACGGCAGACAGCAACTGCCCGGCGATCGCGGTGCCGTGCTTCGCGAACATAGATCGGAACGTAACAGCATGTTAAAGTGCCGTAGATAGTCGACAATGCAGATGATACATCAGAAGGGCGTAGTGTCAATGATGGCTGTCGTCGAGCAAAGAATTGGAAAGCATTTCGTTATGCGGGAAAATGCAGATAGGAATGCTTAAAGGCAAGCAAAGACACGAGCACGAGCGAGTACGGGCGTCGGAGAAGAGGTCTACGATGTAGGAGCCAATCGCATACTTTTGCGCGCCTAGTTTGAGTTTCGTGTGACAGCCCCAGATGGATTGACAACCGAGGGCTTCCTAGTTGTTCGAAGTTGGTGAAACCGTAAACACTGTCGCTCGTTTCCTTCAGTCACTACCGCTTTGATATCCGAGTGCGACTGATGCGAAAAGGCGACTGCACCTAAGGGACAAGTCTCTCGAATCCCAAGCAGTAACAGCCAAGATGGCGTCCAAACAAGAGAGACAGCACAAGGCGCGGGAGAGGGCGCTGACGCTGCAAGAGCGTGAAATGCACCGGTGCGACACTCGACCTTTTCGACGAGGGTAACCCACACTCATGTCACTAAAACAGNNTTTCTACCAACCTTGGCTTGACGCCCAGGGTACCGCGGCCAATGTCGCCGCCCATGTTCAGGACCTCGCCCATGTCGACGACTTCGCCATCAATACCCTGTCCGACAAGGGTTTCCGTCCTCTGGCCTCGCGCGATACCACCTTGACCGCTTTTGCCCAACTTGCCGCCCTGCGCCTCAATGTACGCCGTGCTATGGTCAGCTTGATCGACTCGAAACACCAATATATTCTGGCCGAAGCCACGCGGACCCTCTCTTTGGTCGACGACACACGACATGCAGACGGCGATGCCTTGTGGCTCGGAACCACCTCGTTGGCCAGGGAAGATGCTGTGTGCCAATGTGCCTTTACAAGACAATACACCGTCAAGGATGACGACGGTCGCTCTATTACCACAACTGCCGCTGTGATGCCCGACTGCCGATTGGACGACGATTTCAAAGACAAACCCTATGTCATNTCCAGGGAGCCCGGTGTGCGTTTCTATGCTGGTGTACCCATAAGATCAAGATCTGGCCACAACATCGGTGTCTATGCTGTCAGTCACGACGCCCCGAGNGATCCTCTTACTTATGATGAATTACGTTTCATGCAAGATATTGCCGTTGCTGTCATGGACCATCTGGAATGGGCAAGAGATCGTGTGGATCGCTACAAGGGCGAACGCATAGTTCGTGGCATGGCCGACTTTATCGAAGGCGCTCCCTCCATGCGTGCTATGAAGAAAGAGATGGATAAAGAAGATCAATCTGCCATGAGCCCCAAGAACCCCGATACAGCATCGGGTTTGAACAACACCTCCAAAAACGATTCTGAGCCGCGACCATCACCCAAGAGAACAGACAGTAGTCGCCCCACCCTGGAATCCAGGTCCCAATCCTTCTCTAGACGCCGTGAAGCCAAAGCCGACAACATGTCCAAATTGCTCGATCGTGCCTCCCGCATATTGCGGGAATCTACTCTNGCTGAAGGTGTCGTATTNTTTGGTCCATCTGGAAACAATCCCACGAAGTCTACCTTGAGATCTGCCATGGCAGCCCGTGACAGAATGTCGGGTACTGACGACGAATCTGCGAAACACCTCTCAGTCGATTCGATTGATGTTGAAAATTCAACAGACTCTGATGCTAACCACCATATTCACACCTCGAAGATCCTAGGTCTCTCTTTGATGAACAAAAAGGACAGCTCTCTTTTCCACAATACAGCGCTAGATGTTCTGACTCTCGAAAATTACTTCAAGCTCTACCCTAACGGCAAAAGCCTTCATTTCTCCGAGGCCGGCTCAGGTCTTTCATCTGAGGACGACAGCGCTAGTGAGAGTCAGAAGTCTGCCAGTGATAGATCCAAGGCAGTTCCTGAGACTACATCGCAGAAGGTCATTGGGAAAAGGAAAAAGATTCGAATGAGCCACCAGAAGCTCCTCAAGAACCTACCGGGCGTCAAGAATGTCATATTCCTTCCACTTTGGGACTATGTTGAAGAAAAGATGTTAGCTGGCTGCTTCTTGTGGACCAGCAGTACTGGAAGGATGATGAACTTGGACGACGATTTATCGTTCTTGAGAGCTTTCGGCAATACCATCATGTCCGAGGTCGCACGTATGAATGCGCTCAAGGACGACCGAGCAAAAACAACATTTATCGCGTCTATGAGCCACGAACTACGCTCTCCGCTACATGGTATTCTCGGGTCTGTTGAATTNTTGGAAGAAACAGCTTCCGATGCCTATCAGTCCAGTCTGGTACGTACGATGAGATGCACAAACCAGGGATCGACGGCCACCGATTTGGAGTGGCTCATCGACCTTGTCAAGATTTCCATACCACACTATGCTGACTTTGACTTTCTAGATNNACATTCGATCTCAACTTGCGGCAAGACTCTGCTAGACACTCTTGATCACGTTCTCGATTACGCCAAAATCAACAAGCTTGGTCGGAATCGCATGAAGAAGGATGCCAGGTCAAATCGACTTGCTTCCGCCACGGATTCACCTTCGGAGAGTTTGAGCATCTCAGCCGAGATCGATCTCGGCTTGGTTGTGGAAGAGGTTGTTGAAGCTGTTTGTGCTGGCCACGCGTTCAAAAAGATGCATACCGGAGATCTCAAATCGCGTGANGGGCCTGTGATCACCATGTCTCGCCACGCGTCGGCTGGCAAGCTTTCCACTGCTGATGGTGGAAACATAAATGAGGGCGAGGTTGCAGTCCTGCTTGATGTTAGCCCAAGAGCTAGCTGGATGGTGCGCACGCAGCCGGGAGCATTGAGAAGGATTATCATGAATCTGTTGGGTGAGTTTGTCTGCAAAGTGATGCGGAACAATGATGACTGACGTCGGTGATANGGTAATGCTCTGAAATACACCCCTAAAGGCTGGGTAGCAGTGTCTCTGCGAGCCCAGGAGAGCTCGCATCCGCAGAAGATGGATGTGGTATTCCGAGTTGTCGACTCTGGCAAGGGAATGTCTGACGACTTCATGAGGAACAGGTTGTTCGTTCCTTTCAGTCAAGAAGACACCTTCCAGCCTGGCACTGGATTGGGTCTTAGTATCGTGAGGCAAATCGTGGATTCACTAGGCGGGACCATCGAGATCAAAAGCGTGCAAAACGTTGGTACAGAAGTAGACGTGCGTCTGAGCTTAGCAGATGCCTCTGCCAGCAAAGTCTCAGACAACGAGATCACTTCGGTGGCTGCCAAAACCAAGGGGTTGAGACTGTGTCTTCTTGATCCTAACGGTGAGAAGGAGAGAGACCAGAACGACAACATCAGCCGACTCGACACCACACTATCTGAAGTCTGCTGGGGCTGGTTCGAGATGGAAGTAACGAGAGCAAGCAGCCTAAAGGAAGTCGACGCAGACATGTATATGTACACTGAGCCGCCCTCGGTTGAGTATCTACTGGAACACCACAGCGTCAACAAGAAAGAAGGCAGCACAGGGGGCAGAGGAAAGGAGGTGCCGCTGATCATAGTCTGCCTCAATGCATCAGAAGCTGTCGGAATCACTGCCAACCATATCAAGGTACGTCATCAGAACGCCGTCAGATAATCATGGAGCTGACATATGTTACAGGCTTTGTCGGATCTCGGCCGTATCGTGGAAGTGATCTCGCAACCATGTGGACCTCGCAAATTGGCTAAAGTATTAAGCCAATGCGTCAGACGTATGGAAGAGACCTTCAACAAGCCCATGAAGCCCGATCGACAACCACAACCACAAGGGATGCCCCACCGCTCACGACTTGAGGATATGGGTGCAGCCACCATGCTCGGTCTGCCGAGTATGACTCTACCACGCCTCAACACTTCAGAGGAGAGATCCGAGTCTGTTCGGGCTCGAGAGTTTATCCGCAATGCTGCTTCCGAGATCCCTCCCAGTACAGCAGTCTCGTTTCCCAGCATCAATCGAGACGAAGGCAATGCCCGGGAACCACAAGCACAATCACAATCAACCTCAGTACCTCACGTCCTGCTCGTCGATGACAATCCAATCAACCTCCAACTCCTGGTCATGTTTATGAAAAAGCACAAACTGCCCTACCAAGAAGCCGTCAACGGCCAAGAAGCCCTCGACAAATACATCGAACACAGCAGCGGCAACCCAAGCAAACCTCCCTTTGACTTTGTGCTAATGGATATCTCCATGCCTGTAATGAACGGTCTAGAATCCACGCGACGGATCCGCGAATTCGAGATCGAACAGGGTGTTGCAAAGAAAGCTACTATTATTGCTTTGACGGGTCTGGCAAGTGCTGAGGCTCAGGCTGACGCCGAGGCATCAGGTGTTGATATTTACATGGCGAAACCGGTCAAGTTCCAGGCGCTGAGGCCGCTTCTTGTGAGTAAGAAGCCTGAGAAGAAGGCCGAGGAGCAAACATCTTCTTGATCTGGCGGAGTTGGTCGTTTGCTGCCACTCCCCAGTTGCATCTTTTCTTATTTCTTTTCTTTCTCCCACAGGCTCTTTGGATATCCTTTGAGGGCTGTTTTGTTGCATCATGGCGTTTTCTCATCTGCATAGCACTTGCGTCACTGCACGACAACGGCGTTTGCTTTTTCCTTAGATACATACAAGCATTGTGGCGGATTTCTCGTGTTGACTAGACTCATTGCATGAGGATTACACATTTTCAATTTGCTTTCCTTGTGGCAATACGACCGAAGATTATCTTCTTTGATCTTGGATCTCTCGTTGCTCGTTAATGTCTACTTCTGAAGTCTTCCAGGGATTGATTACATGAGAGAAGTAGCTTGTGAAAAAGGGATATGCTTTGCTTGCGCCCCGTCCCCACCCACGAAAAGCCAAAGTGCGGTGATGGTAGAAATTTTATGCACAACGAGTACACAAGGTGTCGTTGAATCGTTCCTAACCATAGCCCCTTATCATAGCGATGAGTCCATCTGTGGTGCTGGAGAGGAAGAAGGGGCGGATGTTGCACCTGCTGTTGCTGGAGCAGGAGTGGTGGTCACGACGTCTTCTGCTGCGTACAAGTTCTGGTTCAAGATTTTGTTCATGGTGAACATGTGGACGCGATCTGTCTTGAAGACTGCGCGCATGGCGTCGTCGCAGACGATCTGACGCTTGTCGGCGGGATCTTGGAGGTCTCTTGATTTGACGTATTCCCAGATCTTCTTGACTGTCTGAGGTCGTGATAGTTGAGTCTCACCGAGCAAGGCAGAGAGGGGTTCTGATAGGTTCATGGGTTTCTGCGTTGCTTTGTGTAAGTATTTCGTCACATAGAGAGAAGGATTGAGACTTACGTGGAAGCCACCTGTCTTCGGCTTTGACTCTCCATTGGTTTCGACGTCACTACCGTCTTTCACTCTAGCGGCCGACTTCTTCTTTCTCTTGACGGGTGCTGCTTTTCTGGTTGCGCCGGCTCTGGTGGGTCGGGCTCTGCTGTTCTCCTCGCGTTGTAAACGGGCGGCATAGGCGGCATCGTCTTCCTCGGCATCCTGCTTGCGGGCTTTCTTCTTGGGTCTGTCGTCTACTACATCGGACAAGTCTGATTCATCAGAGGGTTCTTTGCGCTTCTGGGGAGAGGAGTCTGAGGGGGATGGAGAAGCGCCATTGGTACCATTCGCGTTCTCTGAGGTCACTCTGTCGAAGCAAGCCTCGATCAGGCGCTGAATCTCTTTNNCTGTGACCATGTGTTAGATTGGGATCAACGAGGGTTGGACAGCAAGGGAAGGTCGACTAACCTTGTGTTCGCTAACGTCGTAGCCGAGTCTCTCGGAGAGAGCATTGCGGATCTTCTTTGCAGAGACGGTTTCGAGGTCGCTTTGGCGCAAGATGTCGTAGATCAGGTCGGAGAAGCGTTTCTCATCGTAGGACATGGTCGCGACAGATGACGTCGGTCGTGTTGGACAGAGATGGTAAAAGAGGTCGGGTTGGAATTGGGATGGACCAGAATTTCAGGGAAGAAGTCGCCTGGCAAGATCTTATGTAGCGATGGGCGGACAACAGAGGTCAATTGCGAGATGTTTGTGAAGGTGGATTGATTTCTTTGTAGACGACGCGCATAGACGCGATGGAGGACCACTTTCGGTATATATGGAGAGCAGCAACCACTAAACCGCTAAGCAGGCTTGGCGTCGACAAGAGTTGTCCAGCGCACACAATGACTGGGCTCGATAGAAAGACGGCAGCAGGTCAGAGAAGCACTAGCCTGAGGGAAGAGGTCTTTGACATGTTGTTTGTCAAGATTCTTAGAAGCAGAGTTTGAGAAAGGACGACTTGTGGTTGCAGCTACCTACCTCCATAGAAATCAGCAAGCCGCCTGTGGTAGACGAAGCACGTGATCCGCCCGCGCCTGCACTTTTTGCACATCGAAATCGAATAGCGGCAGCCACGACCACCACATAATACACAACCGCCAACATGGCTCCAAGCTTCGATAATCTCGACAACGACGAGAACTTCGACGATGTTGAAATCGACTACTCTGGTACGCCGCTCCGAACGAGAAGACACTGGGACAGGCGCGCGCGCCGAAACATTCAACGAGGAGAGAAATTCAAGAGCCCGACGCTGACTGCTATCTTACANGATCTGCGCGAGCAGTTCGACGTGCGCATGGAGGAGGGTCTCGACTCTTTCGTAGTCGTTGACGGCCTTCCCAAGGTCCCCGAGGAGAGCAAGGGAAAGCTGATCAAGTTCATCCTCCGCAAGCTCACCACCGCCGGCAAGACCAGCGAGGACCTCGTCCTCATGCCCATCAGCGACGAGACCAAAATGACCGAGGGCTACGCCTTTGTCGAGTACGAGTCACCCGCACAGGCCCAGGCCGCCGTCAAGGCCTTGAACGGCACCCCTCTGGACAAGAAGCACACCATGGCCGTCAACAAGCTCACCGACATCGAGCGCTTTGGCCGCGAGGGCCGCATCGACGAGGACTACTCNGCCCCCGAGGTTGAGCCCTTCCAGGAGAAGGAGCACTTGCGCTGGTGGTTGGGCGACAATGACGGCCGTGACCAGTTTGTCATGTACCGCGGCGACAGTGTCGGCGTTTTCTGGAACGAGAGAGACGAGCAGCCCGACTCAATTGTCGACCGTGCCCACTGGACCGAATCCTTTGTGCAGTGGTCGCCCAAGGGAACCTACCTGACCTCCATGCACGCCCAGGGTGTTCAGCTGTGGGGAGGCAAGTCGTGGAGTAGACAAAAGCGTTTCGCCCACCCTGGAGTCAACCTTGTCGACTTCTCGCCTGACGAGAGATATCTCACCACCTGGTCTCACCGCCCCATGCAGGTCGAAGAAGGCCACCCCGTTCTCTCGCTCGACGAGGACGGCAAGAACTACATCATCTGGGATCTCGAGACCGGTCTTCCTCTGCGCTCCTTTGTCACCCTCGACTCGGCTGGCCCCAACGTCGACGAGGCTGGAAACCCCATCAAGAAGAAGCTGCAATGGCCCGCCTTCAAGTGGTCCGCCGACTCCAAGTACGTTGCCCGTATGAACCCCGAACAAGGTATCTCCGTCTACGAGCTGCCGCGCATGAACCTCCTCGACAAGGTGTCAATCAAGATCGAGAAGATCCAGGACTTCGAATGGTGCCCCGCTACCCCCAACCGTGAGGGCATCAAGACCTACGAGCAGCTCTTCTGTTACTGGACCCCCGAGGTGGGTAGCAACCCCGCGAAGGTCGGTCTCATGAGCGTTCCCTCCAAGGAGGTTGTCCGTACCCGTAACCTGTTCAACGTTTCCGACGCAAAGCTGCACTGGCAAAGCGACAGCTCCTTCGTCTGTGTCAAGGTCGACCGTCACAGCAAGAGCAAGAAGTCCATGGCCACTAACCTCGAGATCTTCCGTGTCAGAGAGAAGGGTGTGCCCGTCGAGGTCGTTGACGCCATCAAGGACACCGTCATCAACTTCGCCTGGGAGCCCAAGGGTGACCGTTTCGTCCTCATCACCGCTGGTGAGGTGCCCGTTAGCGCCGCCGTACCNCCCAAGACTTCCGTCTCCTTCTTCTGCCCGGAAAAGGCAAAGGGCAACCAGGTTGGTAACTTCAAGCTGATTCGCACCGTCGACAAGAAGAACAACAACGCCATCCACTGGTCCCCCAACGGTCGCTTCGTCGTCGTCGCCACTGTCCTGTCACAACAGAGCTTCGACCTCGACTTCTACGACTTTGATTACGAGGGCGAGAAGGATGAGAAGGACAAGGACTTGACCGCCAACCTGGCATTGATGAACACGGCTGAGCACTACGGTGTTACTGACATCGACTGGGACCCCTCAGGCCGCTTCGTCGCTACCAGTGCTAGTGTCTGGAAGCACCGCGTAAGTCTCTCAATTAATATCCAACGGAATTACACCACTAACAAACACAGNATGGAAAACGGTTACCACCTTTACGACTTCCGCGGTCAACTCCTTCGTGAGGATCCCATCGACCAATTCAAGCAGTTCGCATGGCGCCCACGTCCCGAGCGTCTCCTGTCAAAGGAGGAGCAAAAGACTGTCCGCAAGAACCTCCGCGAATGGAGCAAGCAGTTCGAGGAGGAGGACGTTGCCCGCAAGAACACCGCCAACCGCGCTGTTGTCGAGCAACGTCGTCGTCTCCTCGACGAGTGGCTCGCCTGGCGCGAACGCACCGCGGCCGAGCTCCGCCAAGAACGCGAGGAGGATGGCCTTCCTGCCATCAGCCCCGAAGAGGCTGTTGCCCAGGACGAACCCTCGGAGGAAGGCGAGCGCGAGGGCAAGTTTGTCGAGGAGATCCTCGAGGAGATCTTGGAGGAGACCGAGGAGATCATCGACTAAATCGCATAGACGGTCCTGACGAGAAAACGCTTCTTTATTTCTGCCTCGTTTTGTCAAACAATGTGTATAGCACATTGTGGGGAGCGGGAAACACAAAAATCTGGTGTTGTTTTGTTCCATGTTACATACTTCTTTCTGCCTCTCAGTCTGCCTGACCCTCGTCCCTCAATCCTGTGATGACATGCTCGTCTTGTGCGTAGGGCACTCTTTCTCCAGTTCCACAATTCGCTCCTTCATGCTTGGTAAACCATCACTGCATTCTGTCGATCGTTCCTTACTTTCTGCTTGCGATCGTCGTTCTTTCCTGCTTTGTGCTCCTGCGATCGTTCATTCCTTTTTGCTCTTTGATTTCCCCTCATTCTTTCTCGTTGTGAACAAGCAGATTCGTTGAGGTTTCCGTTTGCCCTTGATAGGGGTTTGTTGCCTTCTTACATAGACGTTATCGTTTCACACATTGCCAGGCCTCAAAGCTGGAGTGTGTAGAATGTGAGTGAACAGAAGAAAGGCAAGTGAACGATGATGGTATGAAAAAGAGGCAAGAAACCAGGGTCACCCTGTCTATGCATGCTTCTGATTTTGCTTGCTCTACGAAGATACACGAGGAAACAAACGTAGGTACAATGACATTTATGGATGAGAAAGACGCTGCAGACTTCGTAAACAGAAAGGCCGATACATTGAGGGGATATCGGGAAAGAGCAACGGAGGATCACAGAAGTGGCAAGTGCGATGGGTGTATCAATTTGTTATCGATCTCTTGGATGAAGCGACAACAACAGTAGACCACTTCCCCCTCAGAGACCATGTTTTCTTGATAATCCTGTCGATCGTCATGTGTGTTGGTGGATGATTAGCATCTTGCCAATGCCGTGCCTGCCATACTCCTATTACATCCTTTGTCCTACTTGGCAAGACCTTTTCTGATTGTTTCCGTGTCATGCCCATGAAGTCTTGTAGCCCAAACGCCTCGTAGCCTAGCCTTACATCCACGTCCAACGCCATTAGCAAAGGTGTCATGTTTTTGTACTTCGCTATAGTGTTTTGTGGCAAACAATAACAAAGAACTTTGGAAAGGACAAAGAGATACAAGAATCAAATGACGATGCAGTCATGGTGGGCAGATTGTGGGGTGGAAATGCAGATGAAGGTCCCACGACGATGGCCATGCGTTGTATTGCATAATTGGTAGAGGCCAACAGCGATAAGCTGCAATTGAGCCCGCTATGTGTACTCTGAATGGCACATGACAGCGAGGGTCGGAAATGCAGATGTGTGTTGCTCATGGATGAATTCATTCGTAAAGCGGTGTCGTAAACGTCGTCTCGGATGTTGATATCGTAGATTTGCGTGAAATGAACAACGTCACAGCTCTTTTACATGGATTAATCCATATAAAAATCGCCCTTGAGGATCCTCTCTTGGAATTGATCGGGGACGTTGACTGGCTTGGGGTTGTCTCTGACGGGAGTGTCCATGACAGCAATGCTCTTGGAGCGAGCGTGAGTCCAGCCGCCAGTAGGAGGGGAGGCAGAGAGGCCCGAGATGGAACCCCTCTCGGCGCGGGAACGCATGTTGTCGGCCCAGTTGAAGCCCTCTGTAAATGGAAGAGACAAGTCAGCACAATGATCTAGAAAAGATGGGCTCAAGCACGTCGGCGGCACCAGAAGAAGACACAAACCTCGACGACCCAGTGAGGAGGAGGTCGGGGCCAAAGTCTTCTTCTCCCCGTCTACGACTTCTTCTTCTGGTATAGTAACGGTGGCGGTGGGCCTACCTGCTGGCACCGATGCCGAACCACCCTTCATGTCCTTGAGAGCACGTGCTCCGAAGCTGACTCTACGAGCAAAGGGGCCGCTGTTGCCAGGCGTGGCCGAAGAAGGTTCGTCGTCGATGGCCGACTCGTCGACTGTAGAGCTGGAGACACTCTCACCTCGCATTCTAGCCGACATGGGCGAGCCCTGGTTGGNGGAAGCACCCATTCCGAGGGTGCTGACCGAGAGACGACGTCGGCTGGCCTCAGCAGCAGCTGTTGTGATTGGGCCTTGGGCCGGAGGACTGGTGCCGGACGACTCGGACGGGCGGCTGCTGCGGCTGAACATGTCGCTAAATGCTTGGCCGACAAAGGATGAGCGACGACGTTGGTTGTAGGTTGAGTTGGGGGNAGATTGATCGTTCTGGTCTGCCATTGTTGACGAAGGAGGGACTGCTGGTCTTTAAGGGGCGAGTGAAGTGAAACGTTAGGTAATCTTAGAAAGATATGGTAGGTTGTAGGTTGAGGAACCACGTGCTCTAGACGTGACTTCTTTGATCTCCAAATGGCGTGATGATGTCAGCCTTCTCCGGCTTCGGCGGTCTCTCGGACAGGCAAAGTTCGACCGGCTGTTGAGTCGATTGTTGTGCTTGAGTCGTAGGGAATTGGAGTTTGGTGGGAGAAGAAGAGTGGAGGAGGAAGAGAGAAGATAATGAGGGGCAGGGGAAGGAAGAGGTAAACATATAACCTTGCACAATTCATGGCGTGGCCCTTGCGAGGACCCTAGTCTCGAAAGTCCCCAATCGTCCCCGCCAATTAAGATATGCGGGGTAACCAAGCCACAGTCCGTCAGTGCCCGCCCAATCACGGCTACCTTTGCCAACGACGATCGCATACCTTTGCCAACCGCCGTCTCGTCCAGATGCATCACGCATGTCCCAAATCAAACTCAAAGGACATAACTCGAAACGCTTCGGTCCGATTATTCGTCTTCCTCTCTTGAAAACCACGTCCAAAGCCACCACATCTCACGCCGCTCTTGCGTCAGATCCCTGGCGGCCAGCCCTCCGGCTACTCTATCTCCATGTAGCACGCAGTTCCGTTATCCATGTTTACGGGGTTGCTTATCTTGTGTCACATGCCTCTTTGTGTACTTTTTGGCCCTGAAGCTTCTGGGCTCCAATCAGCAGGGAGTGATAGGCATGTTTTGATGCGCCCGGGTACGGAGATCGTCCTCTCCGTCTCACGGCGTTGGAGCTTAGCTTTGTCTTGTGTCACGGCACCACCACCCTCGCTCCTTCCGCACCTGCCATGCATACCTAATATGCATGCTCAATGCACAAGTGCCAAGTACCCTAGTTGCAACCAACTGTCGTGGCTGTTTTGAAGAGTGTGGTATATGTTATCATTATGTATAATGTATAGCTTTTGATTCAACCGCTGTTGAATCGAATTCATGGGGTTCATATTTCAGACCGAGTCTTCTGTATCAGGCTCTTGTACCTCCAATGTGCTACCGAGGGTAACACGTCCAGTGCCTCCTGCAACCTCGCGGACTCGTAGGGAAGGCGTTCCGATTTCACGACTTCAAGGACGTAGGAAGCTACCGTACCTAGGGCGAGAGGTGGTTGCCTCATCGCTTCGGCCACTTGCTGAAGCTCGAGGCCTTGAACGTGCCATAGACTATAGGCACGGATGCTGGTCGACGGTGCATTCTTGCCTTTCTTTCCAAGCGGTAGATTGCTCTCCCACTGACCGAGCCAGCGTTCGGCAGCTTCGTGTTTGACAATTGCTGCTGGCTCGTCCTCATAATTTTCGAGTTCATCTTGAGCATTGTCGTCTTCCATGTCGTCTGCACCTGCTTCGGCCTGAGCTTCCTCTTCCTCGTCATTGAGAGCTTGCTCTTCTTCTACACTAAGCATGGGCGGTTGACTTTCGACCTCTGTAGCCTTTTTCGGGACAGTCTTGCGCTTTGGACGTGTTTCGCCAGCCCGCTCGCCATTGCCGAGAATGATAGGCTGATCAAGTTCCCACAGCGCCGGCCTAGGCGGCCTGGGATCCATCATGGTCCTCGCTTTTTCAAGCTCTCGAANAAGCCTGAAACCTGCATAGGCATCTGTAGCGGCGTACGCAACTTGCTCCATCGACAACCTCCTTGACCAGGCACTCGTCCTAACGTTTCCTTTGTCAAGTGGGAGGAACAGCATATTTTGTACCTGCTCAGCTAGTGCCAATGGCTTCTTGTTCACCTTTGCTGGCTCGTTTTCAGAAAACTTCACAAGCCTGTAGAGATGACTCAACTCGAATATTGCCTGCCNCTCAACCCCCAGGCATTTGCGTAGGCGAGTAAAGTCTCCTGCAATATTGACACCGGTCTTCAGGATTTCTGGAGACTCGAGAATAGCTTTGAGGGATGGAGGCATAAGATCCTCTTTGCTCTCCCCAGCGAATAAGGCAATCTGAAAGAGAGCAATCCTGTCTTCGCATGCAATCTGGATCAGCGATACGTTGTCTTTGATGTTGCCCGAGGCGACAGTGCTGCCCATCTCCCACTCGATGTCAAAGCCTATTATTGGCTCCTCCGAGAACAACTTCGCAACTTGCTCGGCCTGTTCGAACTTGGTACAGTAATGAAGAAGAGGCTTTTCGCCACTGGGCGATTTGTACAGAGAGTATCTCCAGAAGGCAGCCTGGCTTGTTTTCGATGCCATCAATGCATTTCGCAAATCCTGAGGAGGTATGTGGTACAACAATGGTGGTAGCAGTGTAGAACGATCGAGTTCTTCTTTGTCAAGGTAGTCAGCAGAGCTAGTACTCATAGCCTGACCCCTACGCCTTGTTTCTTTGAACATTGGCTTTGGAGGCTTGAATCCGACTCTACTACGAGCTCTGGGATAAACTGTCGTGGTCTTTGGCGCAACAGACTTTGTGAACTTGAACAGCTTGAAGGCAGGACCATGCGACTGTGTCTCCCTTGAGAGTTCTCTGTCGAGTCGCCGCTTGATTCTCCACTTGCTGTGGGTTCTGGTTCGGTCGACTGGTTCCTCTCAGGACTGTGGTTGGTTTCTTGTTGGGCTGCTTCGCTCGTTTCGACGTCTGCCTTGCTTCCTGAGCTAGTGTCTTTTGACGTCATCTCTGCATCCGACGCTGATCTTGAAATGTCCTTCGTCGTACCAGTCTCTTCAACTACTGGCGTTGCGTGGTCCTCAGCCTCACTCTCATCAAGTTTTGTCTTTGCAAGAGCAGATTTTCTCAGACTATCTCTGCGTCTGGCTCTGGTGGGTAGCAAGAGACGTTTACCCAAAGCTTCTGAAAAGCGAGCATCAGTGATATCAGAAGATGCTTTCGTAACTTGTTCGAGTCGTCGCAAATAGCGCTTGGAATCTTGTATGTTCTCTTGACGATACTTAGCGAAGACTTCCCTAATCTCTGCTTGGTCGTCCTGCGTGAAGGCGTTCTTCTTGTATTTGACGTAGGCATGTGCAAATGCAGCCCGTTCGTGGAGTCTCGATGCGGGAACGATGTTTTGAATCTCCTTTTTCGACAGAATCTTGTGACGAGACGTCATGCCCTGGCCTCTCAGGTCCTTTGTAACCATATCTATCTTGGTTCTGAGATGATTGTAACGTCTTGTGATGCGCAGTGATGTTTGCCAGAAGAGCTGTTGATATGCTGGCTGACGCGAGATCCAATCGGCTTCAAGCGCCTCCAGTTGCAAAGCAGAGAATGTGCGAAGCATTGCCAAAATGGATTTGTATGTGAAAAGAGCCTTCAACTGAGTTGCGTAAAAGTTCGTCAATGACTCTGTCTCGGACGCGTTGCTCGATTGCGCCCTGAGCACCTTGATCTTACGTCTCCAGAAGTCCAATCGCACACCGAGCGCCATGTTGATGTCGGCAATAGGGCGATCCAATTCGTACAAATCAATTGCAGAAGCTCTCGATGCTGACCCGAGCTCTGGGGAAAGTGTTCTTGAATCCATTCCAAAGCGGGTTTCTCGTAGAACTCTTCGCCAATCGTGTTGACCCTGCGTAATTGTCGCAAGTTTTTCTTTCAGCCCTTCGAGTCGAGTGATATACTCGGAATTTACTCTATCAGCTCTGATGCTAGAGTTCTGCAAGTACCTCTTGACTTGATCGAAGACGCTGTCCCGGTGTTGTAGACGCTGTTCCAACTGGTGGATCGTCCGCTGCCGTAAAGCATCTCGCTCCTGAGGATCATGAATTTCCTTCTGAACCTGCTCACCCGCTTCCCAGAATCGAAATTGGTCTCCGCCCTTGGTCGTTACTTCGAAAGACCGCACGCTCTGCAAAGCTTTGGTCCAGTAGGCAATCTCGCGATTGTACCACGCAATTTGGCGCGGAAAAAGATCCGACACTGCCACGATTTTGCCGGCCTTCTGAGCACCATCGAAAACACTACTTCTGAAAGTCGGATAGTCCTTGCGCAACAATTTTCGAGCGGCCTTTGATTTGTCCTCTTGTTCGCGTAGACGTATAGTGGTTTCAAAGTGACGGTCAGACTGGCGTTGTCGCTGTTTGCTGGTATCTCTCTCGTCTGCCAGCTGATTTTCCAGTTCACGCAGCTGTTGGGAGAGCTCATTTCGCGCGGCCCCTTGCTTGGTGATGGTCGACTGAAGATCAGATCTTTCTTTGTCGAACTTCTTAGATGCTGCTTGTAACCTCTCCCGTGCCTGTACCTCCATGCGCTGAGCGTCTTGAATGGTGCGGGTGGATGACTCCTGTAGCTTAAGATGAGCCGTATGCAGCTCTTGGTAGTCTCTTCTGTGTTGTGCCAGAGCAGAAACCAACTTGGTATTCTTCTGTTCAATGCGTAGCACCTCATCGAAGATTGAGACACGACTCTCTGTAGATCCAACTGGCTGGTATTTACTGTTGGGGTGCGACTCGGTCGACTGCGACACAGGAGGTCTCTCAGCAGCTATGACTCCTTCCGGGACAGCCACATCATCCACTGCATGCGCAGATTGACGGTCTGGTGCCAGGCGAAGGGGGTTTCTGATGAAGTGGGTGGTGCCGTGGAAGGAGGACTGGCTTGCGATTCGCGTTGCCGAGGCGGAGAAGGCGCAGGCGCAGCAGGACGTTGGTCTGGTGTAGAGCGGTCCCGGCTTAAAACTGAAGCTGGTGGTGCTACAGTCGGAGTAGCAGCTGGTTCTGGAGGTGCAGACGCACTGGGTGGTGGTCTGATGACAATGGAAGGTCTGCGTATCTGTGGGTCGAAGATTGCATTGGGAGAGCCCGAGGAGATGTGGTCGTTCCGCGCTGGTATGGATTCGAACTCAAGAGTTTGCCAAAGTCAATCTTGGCGGAAGAGGCAGTATCCCTGCCCTTGTAGGCCAGCGGCTTTGCGGTATTCGGCCTGGTCTCGTTCGGCTTGGGACGGGCGGGGGCTTGCTTCTCAGGTTGTCCAGGCCTGGACTTGGACGAGGCATTGCGCTTCTGCACGGCGGTTCGCGAGAAGACGAGGGTCGAGGCATTGTGCCAGTTGGGATCACGGCGTGCACGAGGAGCAGCGAAGACTATCGATGAAGCGGGATTCCAGGTGTGGTCGAGGGATGACGAGGGCGAATGCGCGAGGCAAGTGGTGGACGAAACAACAGGGTGCGCGAGAGTATGACGAGACGAAGGGTAGAGCGAGGTTTGGTGGGAATGTGTTACGGCCCGTCCTGCGGATTGCATTTCACCTCCATGTCCAAACAGCCAACTGCCGTGTCGAAGAACTATGTGCATTCGCCGCTCATGACTTTGTCGTGATTGAAGCTCAAAATGTCGGCCACATCGTCCGAGCTTTGTCGAGGGCGTCACTCTCCCGCAAGCATGTGAACATCGGCCGACCTGCGTCTGCAAAACACCCTCCCAAAGAACACAAAAATCACCAAACATGGCTTCTCAATTGCTGCCACTAGAGCTCATCGACAAGTGTGTCGGCTCCCGAATCTGGGTCATCATGAAGGGCGACAAGGGTGCGTTCGATATTGCGCCTGACCATGTCTGCATCACTTATTGATCATGTCTGCGCNNAGAGTTCAGTGGCACATTACTCGGCTTTGACGACTTCGTTAGTAAGTCTATTATCTTCTCCTGTATCAACGCTGCAATACTGATGTTTGCGTCAGACATGGTCCTTGAGGATGTCACCGAATAGTATGCCAATCCATCCACTCAATCTCGTATATATCATCAAAATCTGACCTACATTNNAAGCGACTACACCGGCACCTCGACCAAGATGTCCAAGATTCTGCTGAACGGAAATAACATCTGCATGGTGAGCTCGCCTTCCTGAAGGACAAGTCGGAGTGGATCCGCTAACAATCACATCTAGCTCATTCCTGGCGGCATGCCTGAGCAATGAACCTTATGACAACGTGTCGCACAGTCATTAACTATCAGGGCCATCTCGAAGGTTGGATAGTAAGACATGCTGTGTGCCCGTATATTCTCCGACCAGAGACAAAACCAGTCACGGTTAGGCAGGAAAGCTGGCCATGATAGTGAATCAGAGCGCATTGCTCCATCTACGTATAGATTGGAAGGAGCTATATCTACAAAACGGCGAGAAGCAAGTAGATCACCACTGGCTCCTATGCACAGCTGAATTAGTTGAATCAAAGCCGCGTGCCTCAGCATACGAGAAGCACGGTAAACTATTTATTATACATGACTTTCTTCAATTTACGTTTCCCATCTCCTGCTGTTCCTATATTGACGAGACTTATTGCTTCTTCTTCTCCTTTTGCAAAGCTTTCTTTTCATCATGCTTCTTGTCCATCTCTTCAATCTCGTCGGCCTCCTTCTTGTTGGCATACCATTGGCCGGCCTGTAGGATCAAAACACCAACGAGCAAAAGAGCCAAGATAGTATCGCTGGCAGCCAGAACCTTGAGCGAGTCTTCCCTTCCAAGATAGTCGCCAGAATCATCGACCTGGCCCTCGGCAAGGGCAGGGTTGCCGTAGACACCCGAAGTGACGACGCGCATGCCTTTGACAATGTTGGCAATGTAGACGGTGACGCCGCACATGTAGAGCACGAGACTGGCCCCATCAAACAGGAGATTGGCTTCAGAAGGTCTGTAGAGCTTGGTGATGAAGCCTAGGAGACCGGTACCGATGACGATATGGAGGATACGCGAGATCAGAGGAGGAGACGCGTGGATGAACTTGAGATGGTTCTCCAGCATTTGGTAGTAGGGCTCGCGCGAGTCCACACCGGGGACGAGCGACGGGGGTGTAGTCCACAGGATATTATAGTCGTAAGGGAACGATGCGAAGAGGACTCCCAGGAAGAAGCATGTCGCNNTATTCGATAATGTCAGTCGCGGTCTTCTACATAAGGTAGCTCTCTTGTTCTTACGTCCGACGATGAGAAAAGTCGCAAAAGGCGACGACATTGCAGGCATGTTGAACAGCTGCGCGCGATGTGCGTATACGAGACGGTTACGTGCGACTGGCAGCAGGTGGGACAAGACAAACAGCTAACAATATCGAGAAGCTACTCCGTACTTGTACCTAAATTATCACCGACCCCATCCCAATCAATCATTCTTGCCAAGCCGCCCCGCGATAGGCCAAAGCCTAGGCCTCTTGTTTTCATGTGATTGACTAATTGATTGCTCTCCTCTCGTCCTCACCACACGATCCAGAAGGAATTTTTGACCGAGGCAAGAGTCGATTGAAGTAGACAGCTAGGTACGCTCAGATCTCGCTCGAGATACACCCACTCGATCCAGCACCCCTTGCGCCTCAGATCTTGATGTAGATGGTCTTCATCTGGGTCCAGATATCAAGGGCTGCCTTGCTGAGGTCAACTCCATCACCCGAGGCCTTCCATCCTCCAAACGGCATATCAAGAGCATTCGCCATTGGAGAGGTTGTGTTGACACCCACCATACCGCTCTCGAATTGCTTGGCGATACGCAACGCCCTCGAGAGGTCTTTGGTATACACACTCGCAAACAGACCGTACTCGGTATCGTTGGCTCTCTGCATGACTTCATCCTCATCTTCAAACGTATTGAAGCAGAGTACAGGACCAAAAATCTCTTCCTTTGAGATACGACTATTGTGGTCAGGATTGCGGATGATGGTGGGTTCGATGAAGTAGCCTTTGTCGGTTTGTTTCTTGCCTCCAAGGAGAATCTCACCACCACTCTCCTTGGCCAGCTCGAGATATCGCAAAATGTTGTCGAATTGCGCCTTGTCAACCTGGGGACTATGCTTGGCCTCGGGCGAGAGGGGATTGATTCCTTCGGGTGGGTTTGCAGACATTGCCTTGATGCACTCGGTGAGCTTCTCCTGGAACACATCTGCAATCGACGAATGGACGTAAAGTCTTGAGGATGCAATGCAGACCTGTCCAGCCATATACAAGATGCTCATAGCCGCGCTAGGGACCGCCTGGTCAAGCTCGGCGTCTTCAAAGACGACAAGTGGAGACTTGCCACCCAGCTCGAGTGACACTCTCTTGAGGTTGGATTTGGCTGCAGCCTCTTTGATGAGACGACCCGTCCTGCCAGAGCCTGTGAACCCAAGCTTTCTAATTTTTAAATGAGACGCCATGGCTGCACCAGCAGGGTTTCCGAGTCCACTCAAAATGTTGACAACGCCAGGTGGGAAGCCTGCCTCTTTGACCAGTCTCGCTAGTACAAGAGCAGTGAGAGGCGACTTCTCAGATGACTTGACCACGAGCGTGTTTCCTGTGACCAATGCTGGAGCCATCTTGGTCACAACGGCCATGATAGGGATATTCCAGGGCACGATCGCACCACAAACACCGTATGGCTGACGGATGACCATATTGACATGACCAGGTGTAGCCAAAGAAGTGCCACCCTGAAGGTCCAACGCAAGACCCGCAAATTGTCTTAATATCTTTGCTCCGAAGATATGCTCCTCTGTTCCACGTTGTCAACTTTGCTCCATGGCCATTGAGAGCTAGAGATGGTACTCACGGTACGTGGCAGCGATCTTGCCAGTCTCCTTTGATTCCAATTCCGCAAGCTCTTGTCCAGCAGCCTCCAACAGAACCGCCAACTTATAGTAGTATGCAGATCGGGCAATCGCACCCATTTCTGACCAGGCAGGCAAAGCAGCTTCGGCGGCTTCGACAGCTCTATCGACATCTTCTGGAAGTGCTTCGTAGACCGAACAGATGACCTCCTCACTGTAAGGGTTGACGACGTCGAATTTCTGGCCACTGATCGACTCGACAAATTCATTGTTAATGAAGAGGCGTGTCTCGATCTTGCCGTCATCTTTGGTTTCCTCACGAACGGGCATTGCTGTAGGAGACATGATTGCAAGGTTGAGTATTTGTAAAGATATGTGTTTGGAGCTAAGGACGCTGCTCATCGTTTTATATCATGACTACCATGCTCTGCAGCCTAAATACGGCTGCAAGATCATATATTCGTGTAAGCACTTTTGATTCCTGAAACTGCATTTGGGAAGTGGTCAAGATTGATAACGCAGATCTCCGTCAGCACTATGCCCTACCCCGCTTGTGATACACGTAACACCATGCTGGCTTTGATCCTTCATGGATGTGCACGTTCTGATATTGTGTATTAACAGGCTTGTCGGAAGTGGAAGGATCCTTGTCCACGCAGGCTAAACTGCATGGGGAATGCTTACCGCTCCAGATTGCTTCAGAAGGCATGCATGTTCTTCTCGACATCCTTCATGCTGATCTTACGCATTTGCCAGCGCCGCTGCCTGTTTTCCTCGTTGTCTTGTTACTTGGATGTTGGGCATTACTGTGTTGGTGTTGCTGGCCTCCCGGCTGGATCGTTCTCGTCTTGCTCGTGATTGGCTGCTACACTGTTGAGGTCAAATATGCCAGCAGGGTTACCTGTTCTATCACGAGATATGTTTCGTAGGGCTATCCGGCTCCGAACATAGGGTCGAACATAATCAATTGTCGATGTTCCTGACCAGATCCAGTGAGCGCTACTACTAAGCATGTGGTGCTATAGCACACAAGAGATTTAAGACAAATTGTGATAGCACTTTATACTCAGGGTGTGTGCACGCTCTGATATAGCGTGCTGAAAATCTTATAGATAGCGAAAGGGGATCTACAGCAACATAAGCTATCCTTTGTGATGTAGTGCCCGCATAGCATTCCTCCGTTTTGACCAAGTAAAGACATGCATGTTTTCCCAATGTACACCATGCTAATGCTTTTCATCCAAAACATATTCCCAAGAATCCAAGACGTGACTCTTATGCGGCAGCCGGGAGGCCATTTGCTGTTCCAGGCCAGGCAACGGGGCCGCCAGGTGAGTCGGGCAGACGTGCAGTCAGGACTTCAATACCGGTCTCTGTCACGAGAAGAGTGTGCTCAAACTGAGCAGAACGCTTGCCATCAACGGTAACACTAGTCCAGTTGTCGGGCCATGTTCGGTCCTTGTGGGTTCCGAGGCAGATCATGGGCTCGATGGTGAAGCACATGCCGGGCTTAGCCATACCAATGGCCTTGTTCTTTGCGTAGTGAGGGACGTTGGGAGCGCAGTGGAACAGAGTGTTGATTCCGTGACCGCAGTAGGTCTTGACGGTGCTGCAGCCTCTGTCCTCGGCGTGCTTTGCGATGACCGGGCCGTATTCTCTGAATAGCGTGTTGGGCTTTGCGATCTTGATAGCCTCGTCCAGACACTCGCGGGCGGTCTCGACAACGCGCACGGAATCGGGGTCGGCCAGAGCCTTGTCGCCGACATAGTAGGTCTCGTTGATGTCGCCGTGGAAACCGCCGTGGTACAGAGTAACGTCGATATTGATGATGTCTCCGTCCTTGAGTACACGCTGATCGGGGATACCGTGACAGATGGACTCGTTGACCGAGGTGCAGACGGATTTGGGGAAGTTGCAGTAGTTCAAGGGAGAAGGGTATGACTGTGAGGGGTCAGTTCAGCGCGACATGGTGAATGCCATTTCGTGTCTTACATCTCTCTCGACACAAGCATTGTGGACGACCTCGTCGATGTAGTCGGTAGTGACGCCGGGCGTAGCGGCACGAGCGGCGATATCCAGGACCTCACGTGCTAGTCTGCAGACCTTGCGCATGCCTTCTTGCTGTTTCTTGTCGAGGATGGTGATCTTGTTGCGGCCGGCAAAGACCTGCTCGGAGCGCGGAATGCCATCTTTGGCGTAGTCGGGGCGCGGGATGTGTTCGGGGACCTTGCGCTTGGGCGACAGAGGGTAGACGGGTCTGAGATCGCCGGTGTATTGGAAGGCCGGGAAGGGGTTGTGGGTGCCGGTTGCTGGGTCAGGTTCAGAAATGACTTTGGGAGCAAACAGGGAGCGGAGAGGGTTACTCGTTGGCTTGTGCTTCTTCTTGTGCTCGCNTCTGGAGTATGTCAGTGGCCATGTCGGCGGGCTGCTGGCTGCGGTTGACTTACATACCCAGTTGCGCTTGAAGCAGTCGTTGCTGCAGAAGAAGCTGGTCATTCCCTGCTTCTGGCAGGTTGGGCATTGCAGCGTGCCTGCCTCGTTGCTGCAGTCTGCGCCCTCGCACACGCGCTTGTCTTCGCTGGCCATTTGACTTTGTGCTCTGTCGTCCAGATAGTCTCTCAAGCGTTTCGGACTGTAGTCGTCTCTCTGTTGTCGTCGAGTCGCGCCGAGTCGAAGATGAGTGAGTACTATGCAGATCCGCTGGAGTGCCCCTCCACTTTTTGCTGTTTGACAAACACGGCCCTGCACTTTGCTCCGCCCGGCGCCGTTGTTCCGCCCCGGCTGCCGGGCCGTGCACCTTCGCACCCTTTCGATGATGCCATGTATATCTGCGCCTACCTAAAACCCAGTCTCTCCAACATATATATGCTGTTGACTTCAGATCTGCTTTCCTAAACAATCATGTCAAAGCAAAAGACTGTCGTTGTTGGTGCTGGTCCCGTTGGTGCTCTCGCTGCACTTTACGCTGCTGGCCGTGGCCATGAGGTAGAGGTCTATGAACTTAGAGGAGGTATGTCTTGATCTCTATACTTTCTTCACTCTAGACTCGAACCCCTGGTCTTTTATGACTGTTTTCTGGGCTTGAAGAAACTTGGATCCGCGTGAGAATACGACTGACATACAAACTANGATCTCAGGGATCCTTCTACTGTTCCACTCAACTTTACCAAGTCTATCAACTTGGCTCTATCAGAGCGAGGAATCAATGGGCTCAAAAATGCCAATGTTCCCGGCCTGATTGAGTCCGTATTGGAAGAGACTATTCCCATGCATGGCCGCATGATTCACGGAGCAAACCAAGGAGAGGTCTATGAAGAATCTCAAAACTACGACATCTACGGACGGGTACTTTCCACTGATTCTTACTGTAAGTATCGGAATATCACTGACAGTAATTCTAGNGCTATCCGTGCGGTTGATAGAGCAGGCCTTAACAAGCGTCTCCTTGACGAGCTAGACAAGATGCCAAATGTCAAGCTGCTGTTCAATCACAAATTGGTAGGTGCCGATTTCAAAAAGAACAAGGCCTGGTTTGAGAGGCGTGACGAGGGTGTGCGACAAGACCACGCTCAAAATCCGACTCAAGGAAAAGACACCTCTCATGCTTCCACCGAGATTGAAGTGACGTTCGATTTCATGATTGGTACAGATGGTGCTCATTCGTCTGTCCGCTACCACTTGATGAAGTTCACGCGCATGTCATACCAGCAGGAGTACATCGAGACGCTATGGTGTGAATTCCACATGGACCCCTCAGCAACAAACGATTACCAAATCTCACCCAACCACCTGCACATTTGGCCCGGCGGCGAATTCATGTTCATCGCCATCCCGTCTTTGGACAAGACTTTCACATCAACACTTTTCTTACCCGCCAAGATCTTCGCTGAACTGGACAAGGATCCTTCATCCTTGGTAGACTTCTTCAACAAGAACTTCCCAGGAGTGGCAGGCAAACTCATCCCCGAAGCCGAGTTGCAGAAGCAATACAAGGAAAATCCGCATCTGCCACTGATCAGCATCAAGTGCTCACCATACCACTATGGCTCTTCTGCCGTCATTCTGGGAGACTCAGCACACGCCATGGTCCCTTTCTACGGTCAAGGCATGAACGCCGGACTCGAAGACGTCCGCGTGCTTTTCGAACACCTAGACGCAAGAAGCAACGATGCATCCGGTCGCGCCACAGCACTCGACGAGTACTCATATAACCGCGCACCCGACGCAGCAGCCATCAACGACCTCGCCCTCCGCAACTACTAGGAGATGCGCGCAGACGTGGTTTCACCCGTCTACCGCCTGCGCAAGTGGATCGAAGAAAAGATGAATGTCTACTTGCCCTCCGCAGGCTTCGCAACCCAGTACTCGCGCGTCAGCTTCGGCAACGTCCGCTACTCGGAGGTGGAAAGACTGGCGCAGAAGCAAGGCAACATTTTGCTGGGTGGCATGGCAGGTATCGTGGCATTGCTCATTCCTGCAATGGGATATGCCAGCTGGGCCCTCTGGAGATGGAATCGTGCATCGCATGCGTCCAGAGTCTCTGTCAAAGGCATTGCAAGCTTGGGCGACATTACCGAGAGGATTGGAAGAATTTTCACATAAAAGATGACAATGTCAATGAGTGTACGATACAATGCTGAAGAGGGCAAAAGCGACTTATATAACTATGTATAGTGACTTTAGATACATAATATTCAGCTCCTTTACACAGTTGAGCTCCCTGTGCTAATTTCTACCACGTGCAACTTCACGGCGATGCAGGGCGATCTTTGAGCTATGAAAATGCACAGTAATATTCATCACGAAGAGAAGTCCAAGGAGATCTGGATATGATATTTCCTCTCAGTGGACTCTGCTCAGACGCTTGGAATACTGTGCATTTTGATAGCTCAACCTGTGAAAGATGATGGCACACAGGGAGGTAAGAGATGGACAAACAACATGCGTACCCTAGCACTTCGTTCTGAAGTCGATTATCCTCACCAATTACAAAGATACCTAGCCTAAAATCCACCTATCCAAACCTATCTACTCAAAGCCTTTTCTTTGATAAACCACGCAGATATAGCAGCTCCGGCTACTAGGCCAATCTCAAGCCCAAAGGCAGCACGAGTACTCTGCGCATAGCACGCTCTGACCAGCGCTCTTACATTGGGCTCGAGGGTATTGATATACGCCAAGCTCTCTCTGACACGCTCTGTAATCTCAGCAGCGGCGTCGCCGTTGCTGAGTGCTGCAGCCAGGCGATCGCGGAGGGCCTGGTTAGCGAGAGTGGCAGAGAGAGAAACGCCAAACACGGAGCCCAAACTGCGGAAGAGGTAGGAGCAGGCGGTGGCAACCGCTTGATCTTCGCGAGAAGCATTGGCAATAAGACCGATCAATGTACTCGTTACACCGATACCATTGCTGAATCCGCACATACACATGCCGACAATGATTCCAGCGGTGCTGTTAAGCACGAAGCCTGAGAAGAGGAAGACAAAGGTCATTCCGATGACCAAGCAAGTGTATGCAATGACAGTCAGGTAGTAGAACTTGCCCGTACGCTGCATGTAAAAGCCGCCAAACAGACTGCCACTGACACCGCAAACAATACTGGGGATAAGCCGTAAACCTGCTCCTGTGGCTGTCAGACCATCCACTGCTTGGAAATAGAGAGGAATGTAGAACAATGCAGCAAGCCAACCAGAGAAGGAGAAGAAGTTGCAAAGATAGCAGGCGAACAGCGAGCGGTTGAATATGATGTGGCCAGGTGCAAAAGGTTCCTTCGCAACTTTCATCTCGATGAGGATGAATAGGATAAAGAGTGGAATGCTGAGACTGATCGAGATTATGGTAATTTTGGCTTTCCACGAGACATTGCTACCTCGGTCGAGGGCAAGCAGGAGAGTGAAAACAGCACCAATAAGGATAGCAGCACCCANAAAGTCAATACGACCAAGCTTCTGCTTCCAATCGGTCTGTTCTCTTTTGGGAAGCTTCAGAACCAGACTCACAACGACAAAGGCAAGCACACATAATGGTACTTGACCAAGAAAAGACCAGCGCCAGCCAATTGAGTCAGCAAGGATTCCTCCTAGACCACTGCCTAGACCAGCTCCCGTTGCGTAGATGACATTGACATATCCCTGATATGTACCCCTTTCTCTCAGAGGCACAACATCGGACATCAAGATAGACACCACAGTTGTCATGCCACCACCACCGATACCTGCAAAGGCTCTTGCAGCGATGAGTTGGTTCATGTTCTGAGCAAGACCGCAGAATAGACAGCCCAGGCCAAAAATGGCATATGCGAACAACAAGCAACTCTTTCTCCCGAATATATCCGACATCTTTCCATACAGTGGTTGGAAGCTCGTTAGAGTCAGGAAGTAGGCAGTTGCGATCCAGGAAGCATTGTTGAGAGCCTTCAGTTCGCTGCCAATCTTGCCGTAGCTAGAGACAATAATAGTCTGATCGGCAGCAGAAAGAAGAACACCGATCGTCAAGGCCGGAAAGATGACCTTCATTTTCTTCCTCATCTCTGGCTGGCCCTCGTATTGTTTCTGTCTTTCTTCCAGGCTGGTCTGGCGTTCGAGGTCACCGCCATCCTCTCCTTCTGCGATGACTCCATTGGCAATGGCACCGTCGGGAGCGATACCGTCGCTAGGGTCGATTATTTTCGGTCCTTGCTTTCCTAGCAATGGCGACGTCTCGCTCGCTTGTCCAGACCGGGCTTCATCTTCGGTCGTCATGTCGTGCTTATGGATGAATATGTTCGGAGGACTCGGTATCGGGCTTAATGGAGATAAGACTAAGAATTGTATGACGACTGCTGTCGCGTGCGTGCTCTTTCACGTTATGTGCAGAGCGGAGACGTGATGGACATGCCAGTCCTTTACAGGAGTCTTGAAAGAAGAAGAGACAAAGATTGGCTTTGGCGGAAAGACTGTCTCTGGGCTTCTCACCGTACTTGTACAATTGCACCATTGGATCGCTCGGCCTGAAAGTGGACCTGCCGGCTATCGCTCCCGCCTATCAACTTCCTCTTTTGTCTTCTTCGGCCATGCCCGCCTGGCCGCATATTGCTAATACTCAACAACGAAGGGCTCATCAGAGACCCACCCAGAGGATAGTATACACTATATTGTGCAGGTGTATATCTTGTTGCGGCGACCGAGGTCACAATCGGTGAAGCCAGCGCTTTCCCGTTCTGTCCGCTTAGCTTGCAAGAGGAATATCGTCAAACTCTTTGCGCATGAAAAGTCGCGCCTGCTCGAGCCCTTCCTTTACAACTTCCGTCCTGTTCACGTATCCAACCCTGACATAGCCCTTGAACTCCTCGCCAAAGCAGTCTCCGGGAAGGAACATGACACCCGTCTTCTCCTGCAATTGCTTGCAAAATTCTCTAGCATCGATAGGCTTGTCGTCTCGACTAAACTTGATGAATGCCGTCGTGCCTGCCACCGGCTTGACCCAGGTACAGTATTCGTCATGCTTGATGACAAATCTTTCCAGCAGCTCTAGGTTAGTGCGTGCAAGAGCGATGTTCCTGCCCAGCAAGCTGTGTATGCAGTTTTGGTCAAGAGCAAAGGCAGCAACTTGCTGATCCAAGATACCGACACTGATGGTGGTATAATCACGAGCTTCGGCACATTTTTCGATAATGTCTCGGTTTCGTGATGCGACCCAGCCAGTCCTGATACCAGCCAGAGAGTAGGCTTTTGAAAGAGAACCTGTGCAGATGGTGTTCTCGTAGCCCATAGACAGGATTGAAGGAGGGAACTCGTTCTCGGCGGGAGTGATGCCGTGGAAAAGAGGTCTGTACACCTCATCCGAGAGGATAGTGATGTTGTTCTNCCTGGCCAATTCAACGATTTCTTGCAACAGCGACTTCTTAAGAACAGCGCCGCTGGGGTTGTTTGGGTTGCTGCAGAAGTTAGCAACAGTTAAGGACATTGTACTAGGTCATTGTGCTCACTTCAAGATGATCAACTTAGTATTAGACTTGATCATACCCTTGAGCTCTTCAAAGTTGGGAACCCATTGCTTCTCTTGCGTGGCCTTCCAAAGCTCAACCTCTGCACCCAATGATGCCGGGTAATCGTACAACTGTTGGTACGTGGGATAGTGACAGATGACATGATCGCCAGGGCCAATCAGAGTGTATAGTACAAGAGCATTCGAGGCAATAGCTCCGGGTTGGATCAAGATGTTCTCCGCGGGCAAGGGGTTGCTTGATCTAGATGAATATAGCCTAGCAAGGTTTGAACGCAACTTCTCGCTGCCTCGAATGTCTCCGTAGTTGAGTACAGTAGACAGGTCCACTATTTCGGCACTCTTGTTCTCGGACAGTTCGCGCAGTTCGTTCACTGATACGGAAGCAGCACATGTCTCCGCTATATTGTACTTTGCAGTCGTCTCATAGGCATCCATCCNACTAGTGAGGTCAGTTAATTATACTTGTTGGTTTTCGTTTTGGCAAAGAAGCAGAACAAAAGGCTGATAAGTACTAACCTGCTCAACTGCAAAAGGCTTGATATGGACCATGATGGATGACCGGAAGTGATATAAAGGATTGGATTCGTAGGATCAATGACGAGATATAGCGCTTGACCAATGTACAAGAAGATAGGTTTGCAAGAAACCTTACAGTAGTACAGTAGTCTGAGTTTATGGCAAAAGATACTTGTCAATTAAAGGGCGTACTGATGTGACTGAGGACACCGAGATGTTGATGGCCGAGAGCGGGGACACTTGTCCGGGTCATGGGCAACTTTAGCCGAGCAAGCCCGCCAAATCTTCGACATGTCGACATCTTGAAGATGGTCCATACGATTATCGAAAAGCGACTTGTCGCAGAGCATAACACTACTGTCACAGCAACGTATCTCGACCATGTTCACACAAGCAACTCGCTCGCTGCTCCGCGCAGCCCCCGTGGCCCGCAGCCCCCTTTCCGTGTGCGCGCGCACTGCCTTCAGCACCTACTCGGCCAACTCGCTCATCTCGAGAATGTCGCAAATGTCGCTCGCCAGACCCGTCGCATCGCCCACAAAGAGCCTGGTGGCTTTCCAACAGACAAGAGGAATGAAGGTCCGAAGTTCGGTCAAGAAGCTGTGCGACGGTTGCAAGGTACGGACAGTCATAGCAAATCGTGCTGGGAGGAGACACCAGCGTTGGAGAAAGAGAACAGTATACTGATGCGATCTTGCANNGAGTGTGCGCAGAAAGGGTGGCAAATACGTCTACATTATCTGCAGCAAGAACCCCAAGCACAAGCAGAGGTATGGCTCTTGGACATCTGAGAAGCGCAACATGAGGCTGACAATTCTGCAGACAAGGTTGATTGGAGACGAGAAAGAAGACTACACTGTACAACAACTGGCATACCCTTTCTGCATATCTGGTGGCGGCGTTCTAGAATGGATTCTTTCGGGCTTTACGACCTTATTTTGATCTCTCAACTGTGCGGCATGTGATGTTACAACAATGTTTGACGTGAAGCAAATATATGGGTCGCTGAAGCCCAGACGATCGAGTCCACTGACGCTTCTGGACTGTGTCTCATCTCTGTAGCCATGGATCTGATGACCTCCAATTGGCCGCCGTCTTGCCTCTACTTGACACCAAACACGTCCTTACCATATGTTAGATCAGATCCGAGAAGCCTTCAACCATCCCATCTAGCCCAATGGCTACTCGAGCTACCGAGAACCCCTGTTTGAACCCCATCAGTATCGCTAACACGCTCACCAGAAATCATTTCGCCCTTTTCTCAAGGAGCAAAAGGTCCCAGCGAGACTCGAGATGCGCATCTCAGTGGCAACGGTTGCAAGGCAATCTGAACCACACTCGTGGATCGAGTTCAAGGAGTTCAATTCACACCCAAGTCTACAGTAGCACCCAATGAGTTGTGGCAGATGATCTTGCAAACACAAGGATTCGTCACTTCGCAGAAAGGTGCGAGGTAGCAACCCTGTTCCAAAGTGGCCAATGGAAGCAGGTAGGATTTGATTCACGGAATTGTAAGTACAAGAAACCCCTATCCTTCCATTCCAGATCCCCGGTAGCTCGAGTTCTTTTGTTTTACTTCAGGTTGCCATTTTTGGCATTGCCTCGCACATAGGGCTCTGTGAGTGAGCAATAAAGTTCATCTATTCTAACTATCTAGACAAATTATACTCTTCGGAGAGGTCTGCTTGTATCTTGGATGGTGTTCATGAGTGCATATTGTTGGGTATCTCTAGAAAACGCCATCTTAACCAAATTCAGCAAACCGTCAACGCGCTGACAGCACCGTTGTGCATGACCTCGAACATGAGGCCAGGGAACTTGTAGAGCTTCGTGTTCCGCAGCCATCGCTCATCTCCGTTCTCGTCCTTCTTCTCACGCTCCCAGCCGTCGGAGCCATTGACGAACTCCATATCGTCCTCCATGTCCATTTCGCCATTAATAAGAATGGCAGAGCCGGTCATGCTGTCTGCGTCGCCGCCCCAGCTGCGTACGATGACCATACCCTCCGACATGTCTGACGCAGGCCATATATGAGAGAAGCTCTTGACTAGTGTTTGGTGGAATGACGGAAACAGTGACTCGGAAGTGACGGGTGTCTCGCAAGATGGTATGTAATTCAGAGACCATCTGCTCCTGCGATGGCGATTGAAAGGATAAGAGCCTGGGATATTACCATGGAATATTATCTGCGTGACGGTGAGGTGTCCATCAATTGCTGTCAAGGTCGACCGGAGAGCCTCGTTACCTTCATCCGCATCCTTGGGCATTAGGGAGATATCAACTGGCGGACCGAGTAGGATGTCGAACCCGTGCTCAAAATAGCAGTAGTACTGCTGTTCGTTGGCCTGGCTAGCCTCCGCGCCGTTGGCCTCTTCGTCGTCATCGAAGTCAGTCTCATACGTGTCGGTGTTGGTAGACGAGTAACTGGAAGGGTTTGAACTGTAGGAACCGTGCGAATTTGGTGCAACACGGTTGGGACCGTTGATGCTGTATGCGCGGTTGCGGGCGACTCTGTTTGGTGGATCATCGTTTAGACTGGAACGCGGCATAACAGCATCTGGTGGACCCAGTTCAGTGACAAGATCTTGAGGCGTGGTCTGACTCAGGATGATAGGGGTCTTTGAGCCGGAGCGTCGCAGAAGCTCAACTCTCCCAGCGCCGTATATGTTCACATGCTCGACCTCGTCGGCCGGACCTTCCTTTGGTCGTCCCAATAGTGATGAACTCCGAGGATTGGCTGGAACATGGGTAAAGAGATCTTTGCGAACTTCGGGCCAAAACCTGCCTTCGTAGATTGCCATGGCTGTGGCTGGTGATGCCGAGGCGGTAAGCATGGCTGCGTAGTCCTTGTTCGGGGTGAAGGAAGCGACTGGAATAGGGAAGGTGACAGACAAGCCAGGCCATGAGAGGACATAGAGCCCCATATTGGGGTCGTGTTTCAGACGAATATACTCGCCGGGGTATGTAGGACCGAACAGCTGATAGACCCTCTTATAAGTCAGATAGCTTCGGCCGTTTGCCAAAGACTGTGCAGGAACAAGCTCTCCGCCTTTGAAGGTAAAAAGCATGCGGGTGAAGTCGGTGATTTCAATCAGGCGCAATCGCTGGTCTGGAGCGTCGAAGCGAAGTCTAAAGCCATTCTTGGGAAGGCTGACGATGATGGTTGTCTTGAGAGGAGTTTCGGACGAAAAGGTCAGGTCGATCTTGGAAAAGGTGCGTGTGTCGCTTTTGAGCTTTGTCAAGACGTCAAATAGCGAGGCACCCAAGANCTGCGGAAGTGAGTTAGATGGAGGGAAGGTAAAGCGTGGGTGCAGCGGCAAACACGTACCCATGAAGCCCAGTGAGTGTGCGGCTCGGAAGGGGAGCGACGTTGGTTCTGCCATGGTTGGTGGGTCAGAGAGATGCGAGTGTTCTGCGTGTATGATATGCCAGAGCTAGAAGTCGTGGTTGGGCAGGTGTTGTGTATTGACGTCTGGTCGGCGTGTCATGTGCCAGTGGTGTTGGTCATTCGATGCAGCAGTGGTTTGTGAGCAGAGCCGTCGACTTTGTGAACGGAGATGCAGCGTCGGGGACTTTGTTGCCGAGTCGATCTCATGCGGCAGGCGCACAAAGACGACGAGATCATGCAATCAGGTAGGTGCTTGTACGAGGCAGGAACAACCCTGATGGAAGAGGGAGGGGCTATCGGGTGCCGGGGTTAACGGCGTTTGCTCGGCCCACACGTCACGCTAAAGCATTCCACTGTTTATGGTTTTTGTTTGTAAACACAGACACAGGCACTGCGATCCCGTCCAACCGTCAACGACTCTGTCCGATATATCTTAATCTTCTGTCATGTCGGCTCCCAACAGACCGGGACTGGCTGTCAAGAGACCAACAATGCGTCCGCCGACTTCTATGCGCCCGCCGCCCTCGCGCACTCCCTCACGCGCCCAAACAGCTACTCCCAGCCTCAGCGGAAGACCCTCAGAAATGCCCCCATCGCCCGCACAATCGGTCCAGGGTGGGAAGAGAAAGGAACGCGACTTCGATCACCAGGATCAGGACCACGAGACAAACATCAATGTAGTTGTGCGCTGCAGAGGTCGCAATGACCGCGAGTTGCGCGAAAACAGCGGCGTTGTTGTCAAGACCGAGGGTGTCAAGGGCAAGAATGTCGAGCTCTCCATGGGGCCCAGCGCCCTCAGCAACAAGACATATCAGTTTGATAAGGTATTTTCGCCTGCTGCAGATCAGGCCATGCTCTTTGACGACGTCGTCGAACCCATCCTCGACGAGGTGAGAAAGCCCCATCAATATATGCCACATTCCCAATTTTCTGACTTTTCANNGGTCCTCGGCGGTTTCAACTGCACCATTTTCGCATACGGCCAAACAGGCACAGGAAAGACGTATACCATGTCTGGCGACATTACCGATATGCAACCCTTACCCGACGCCGCTGGTATCATTCCCAGAGTCCTGTACTCCCTGTTCAACAAGCTTGGAGAGGACAACGAAAGCTCTGTCAAGTGTTCGTTCATCGAGCTTTACAACGAAGAGTTGCGCGATCTCCTGTCTACTGAGGACCACGCAAAACTGAAAATTTACGACGACAACAGCAAGAAGGGCCAAACAACCACTCTGGTCCAAGGCATGGAGGAGTCACACATCAAAACCGCGTCAAAAGGTCTCGAGCTTCTTAGGAGTGGCAGTCACAAGCGACAGGTTGCCGCCACAAAGTGCAACGACCTCAGTTCTCGCAGTCATACTGTTTTCACAATCACCGTCTACATGAAGCGCACCACTGAGACTGGCGAGGATTTTGTCAGCGCTGGAAAACTCAACTTGGTCGATTTGGCTGGTAGCGAGAACATTCAGCGCAGTGGAGCCGAAAACAAGCGTGCTGCAGAGGCCGGTCTCATCAACAAGAGTTTGCTCACTCTCGGTCGCGTTATTAACGCGCTCGTTGAAAAGAGCTCTCACATCCCCTACAGAGAGTCCAAGCTCACCCGCCTTCTACAAGACTCTCTTGGAGGTCGTACCAAAACCTGCATCATTGCCACACTTTCACCAGCAAAGAGCAATCTGGAGGAAACAATATCAACTCTGGACTATGCTTTCCGCGCAAAGAATATCCGCAACAAACCTCAGATCAACCAGATGGTCACAAAGAAGACTTTGCTCAAAGAATTCACCATGGAGATCGAAAAACTGAAGAGCGAACTCATTGCAACTCGTCAGCGCAACGGTGTCTATCTCACTCAGGAGGCTTACGAAGAAATTAGCGTCGAGAGCGAGTCAAGACGTATCCTCTGCGATGAACAGAAGGACAAGATTGAAACCATGGAAACCAATTTGCGTAACAAAGTTCAAGAACTTTTCAGTCTGACCACTAACTTCAATGGACTGAGAAAAGAGAACGAACAAGCAAAGTTGATGCTCGATGGAACCAAGAGCCTTCTCGAGAAGACTGAAGTCGTGCTCACTCACACCAAGCGTAGTTTGATTGAGGAGACATTCATCAGAAAAGCTCACCAGAAGACGGAATCTAAACTCGCTGGCATTGGAGAAGATCTACTTGCAACACTTTCTTCCACGACCACAGATATTTCTGGCCTCCACTCGAAAATCCAGCGCAAGGCAGACTTGCACTCACTCAACCGAGAAAACTGGACTTCGTCGAGGAGCAGAATCACAGATACAACCAGCACGGTCGAGGATAGAGTAGAGACTCTCAGACAACGCCAGGAACAGCTTCTTACCTCCATGTCTACGAGAATGCAAGGTTTCGTTGCGGACGAGCTGCAGGAGCTCCAACAATCCCAGAGATTCTTGCAAGAGAAGGCCGAAGCATTCCAGAGATCCGAGAAGGAAGTCAACATCCAAACCGCAAAGGCCAAAGACGACGTCAATGAAGTACTCGAGGAGATTAAGATACTCCGTGAGGACGTCAAGCAGAATGTCGGAAATGGCTTGAACGATCTGTCTGCTGCTGCTCAACGCATCACTGCTGGTATTTCTACCGAGCTTGAGAACTTCCACACTCAGCTCCATGCATCATACGTTTCGCTAGGCAGAGAGTTCAAATCGATCTTCGACGATGTCGTCAAGCAACTGAGCGAACAACAAGCCGAGTCTGAACGCTTGCGACAGCAAATCCTAACTGCCAACTCAACATTCATGGAGGCTGGTCAGGAATCTCGTCAAACGTTCGAAGAAGCTATGGAAGAGGAGCGTCGTCGCGCTGCTGCTGACCGGGAGAAGATGCTGTCTCAAATCAGCTCTATGATCACGACTTCCGCTGAAGCTCAGGAGCGCAGGATTACCGAGCATATTGCGCATGCATCCAAGCGCGTTAAGACTTCTGAGGATGACTACAGTGTCGCTCGCGAGACTTACAACGAAAACTCCGATGCCTTGATCACAAAATCAAAGTCACTGATCGATTCCTGTGTTCGCTCGCGCGAAAACGTCAAAGCAAAGATTAAGGGAGATTGGAATGCGGCCAACGACCAGACTGAAAAGATCAAAGCCACCACCGAAGTCGTCCATGGCGAGACCGTTCGCATTGTCGACGAACAGATGTCCAACATGGACACTCAACTTATTTCTCTCGATGAGATCGTGTCTCGTATCCGTGCTCAGAACGACACTCATCACACCGCTCATACAGCCTCGCTCGCTCAACTCTCGAGCGATGTACAGCAATCATACTCGAATATCGGAGCCCACATGGAGACATCCTACACGCGCACACAAGGACTCGACACCGATATGCAAGGTCGCACCGCAGACCTCGCATCTACCCTTCCCGAGCTTAGCTCGTCTGGTGAAATTGTTCAGACTCTGCACACTCTGCGTGATGAGGTGAACGCTACTGAGCTCACTGAATACGTTCCCACCGGTCAAACCCCAGCCAAGATTGCCTACAGCTATCCCACAAACTTGCCACGAACCGCTAACCACGAATCTTTGCTTGAGCGGCTGCGCAATGGCAATTCTTCAGTCGAAGAAAGTCCAGTCAAAGAATCACAGATCCGTAGCAGTCCCAGAAAGCGGGAGGGTCACTCTCCTTCGAAGAGCATTGTTTACACAGACAGCCCTGCTACCAATGGCATCACTGATATCTCGTCCGACGCGGTAGACAACAGCGATGCCGCCCGCAATCGCCCTCACAGTTTGCCTGGACAGGTCGGACTACGAGAAATTGATGTCAACGTCAATGCAGCTTCGTTGCCCTTCTCTGCCGAGCACCCTGAATCCAGAATAGGTGTGCTCAAGAGAGGCAACACTATGCCTCAACTCGATGCCAATGCCAGAGTCGACAGCAAGTTGCCTATGAAGCGACCAACTCGTATGACAGCTGGCTTGGTTGCCGAAGGTAGAGAGAACCTTGGTCCTGCGGGCGGTGCAGGCAGTCGAAGATTGAGACCTCGTGGTAGTGACTGAGGTCCTAATCGAGTCTCTTCCTGTCGATGTCGATGTCGATGTACTTCCTTCTACTGTACACACTTTTCGTATTGTTGTTTTTCTTCGGTTTCTGTTGGACAAGTATCTGGGCTAGGGATAGGAGTGCTGGAGTTTAGGAAATGGTGGGCATTCTGGGGTGTCTGGACCGATTTGTTCTTGCCCAGTGGCATTGTCAATAAGAATCTCATTTGTTGATGCAACGATCTTCGAGAAGAAATTGTGAACAGTGCTTGCCGGAAATGGAAGAAGAGAGGCCAAGTTATTTTGCGGCTGATTCTGTCGAGAGTTCAATATCACTATTGAGATAGGTACGATGCTGCACGTCTCGACCATCGAGCTTGCTCTTGACTGATTCACACTGAGCATAAGTCCGTGGGACAACCACTCGTAGGAAGGCAGCGGCTACTCGTATTCATGGGACCAAGGCCATCCCATCGAGGCACCTCATCCGATCCTTCTATAACCGCAAACTTTTGATACAGTTGGAAGTTCGATTAGGGAAGGCCGTTAACACGGCTGAAAAGGCCAATTCCATCGGTAGAAATAGAGCATAGCCAACATCCTCGGTTGAAGAGCACCTTTTCCAAGGACTTGTCATGTTTCCTGGGCTCTTGGATTGGATTCGAACCATTTTCTGCATCGCTAGCAAAGTTTGTCACATCGATTTCTCCTTGATCGCACCATAGCACCACATCAGGACTTTATGATCCGAGTATAATGCACATACGAAAACACTCGATTCGTAATTGGACGACTGAGACAAACCAAAGATAATAAATAAATCTGTCGTTGCTGCCTATACTACCAGAAGACCTCCTTGTTTCGCTATGTGTATGTGACAAACTTTGGCTCATGCTGCGCCCAGGCCAAGTCAGCCAAAGTTTCTTGGATGACTTGGACGACCTCCCTTCCCCCAAACACTGCCCCACGAGACTCGCATATCTTGGCCACCAAGACTGACAGTTTATCCGCTGTTCTGCATTGTCTCGTAGGAGTACAGCACTCGTCAAGAACAATGGTTGCAATGACACTTCGTATTTGGCCCGGTGGCTTGGCCCCTATGCTATATGTTTCAATGGATGATCTCTCATGATCCGCTGCATGACTTCAAAACCAGAGATATAAACAAGGCGACTGATCATCAGATTCTCTCTGCATCATTTTGCATAGAACCCAGCCAGAACAGACGTCCCACTTCTCACTCCAATCATGAGATTTCCCAAAATCCACAATCCTCTGTTTATCGCCGTTGTGGCTACGCTTGGTGGCATGCTCTTCGGGTTTGACATCTCGTCCATGTCAGCCATCATCCTTACAGACCAGTACAGAGATTTCTTCAACAATCCTGGTGGAGTCAGGCAAGGAGCTATCGAGTCTTCACTTGCTGCTGGCTCTATATTTGGCTCAGCGATTGCTGGACCTTTTTCTGATTGGATTGGACGTCGTAACTCCATCTTCTAGGCTGTCCAAACGTTGGCGGATATCCAAGCTGGAGGTAACGTAGATGACCCCATTGTCGTTGCTGAATGGCAAGAGATCACGACTACGCTAGCTGCCGAACGCTCTGCACTTCCTGGCTGGCGAAAGTTTGTATACAACGGTATGTGGAAGCGTACGATCGCAGGCTTCAGCGTTCAAATGTGGCAGCAGAACTCCGGAGCAAATGTCATGACTTATGTAGGTAGTCCGGTCTGTTGCCCTTACGTCCGGATCTTGCTGACATGATTAGTACGTTGTGTACATCTTTGGCATGCCTGGTCTGTCCAAGAATGTCAACCTGATTTCTAGTGGTGTGCAATACGCGCTTTTCATCATAGGGACCACCATCATGTTCTTCTATGTCGACAAGGTCGGCAGAAGACCCCTGTTGATCTACGGCGCTATCGCCATGGGTGTATGTCATTTCATCGTTGGAGGTGTGCTCAGCACTGGCGCCTATGTGCCTGATGGCGTTGATGGCAACCCGAACATAAAGATCTTGGTAGGAGGGTCGGCTGGACACACGGTCATCGCCTTTTGCTACCTACTGATATTGTTCTATTCCATGTCTCTCGCGCCGGTCTGTTGGATCTACGCAGCCGAGGTGTGGTCGTTGGAGACTAGAGCGACTGGTATGGGCATCGCTGCCATTGGAAACTGGGTAAGTCGAACAGATCAGTGTTATCAAATACATACTGACTGGCTTGCAGCTCTTCAACTTCGCCTTGGGCATGTACATCCCTTCTGGCTTTCAAAATATTACTTGGAGAATATTCATCATTTGGCGTCATGTGCTTCCTGGGCGCAGCACAATTTTTCCTAACCTTTCCAGAAATATCTGGTAAAACGCCTGAGGAGGTTGAGCTTCTGTTCTCAGGAAATGTCAAGGCATGGCACACCAAGCCTGGCCATTCAAAGTTGAATGAGATGATCGACGAAGCCAAAGACAACCACTTCACGATGTCTGAGAAGCACAAATTTGGACATGATGAACACGTCGAGGTTGCTAGTTATACGAAAGTCTGAAAGATGTTATGGCAGGATGGTTTATGATGTTGTTCGTGTAGTGGATAAGGTTTCGGTCTTTCTAGCTTGGTCGTAAATGTTTAGTGGTCTTTTCGGCGAGAAGTGTTGTACTTGTAGATTGTGCACATGTAGCGAGGAGAGCTTGTGACAGACAGCAAGAATGTGACAATTATGCGTGTTTCACAGTGAGGTGTGGATGTGCAAGATTTGAGTTGAGATTGGAACGGGGAAGTTGCGGAGATTTGGGAAGTCGCGCGGACGGCATGTGCATTCTGCAGCCATCCAAGCCGTCCTGCCTTCCTTTTGCAACGCCCCAATCGTTCGACAAACCGTGCGACTTTTCGAGAGAGTCCTCGTGCAACGCCAGTCCAAGACTCGTCGCCAGACAATTCATCCGCGCACCGCTAGCGACCTCGAATCCACGACTTTGTGTTCCTCCCCTGAAGACGACCAGACCGCAAAGCCACTTTGATCCACCATGCCCAGCATCGGCAGCATTGTCTACTACGGCACCCACCTCGGGGAGCTGAGAAACATCATCCAATGGAAGCTCTGGCACGATGCCGTCCACGAGCGCGACGAGTCCAAGGAGAGCCCTGAGCTGAAGGAGTGCTTCAAGTACCTCAAGATGACCAGCCGCAGTTTTGCTGCCGTTATCCAGGAACTCCACCCCGAACTCCTTGTCCCCGTCTGTCTCTTCTACCTGATCCTGCGCGGTCTCGACACGATTGAGGACGACATGACCATTCCCTTCGAGACCAAGGAGCCCCTGCTCCGCGACTTCCATAACATCCTCGAGCAAGACGGCTGGAACTTTACCGACAATGGACCTAATGAGAAGGATCGCGAGCTCTGTGTCCACTTCGACGTCGTTGTTGCTGAGTACAAGAAGATCAAGCCCGAGTACAAGGTCATCATCAAGGACATTACCGATCGCATGGGCAACGGCATGGCCGACTATGCAAAGATGGCCGATGAGGGCGGTGCTCAGAAGGTCGAGACGGTCAAGGAGTACTACAAGTACTGCCATTACGTTGCCGGTCTGGTCGGCGAGGGTCTGACACGTCTGTTCGTCGAGGCCAAGTTGGCCAACCCTGCCCTCCTGGAGCGCGAGGACCTTCACGAATCCATGGGTCAGTTCCTGCAGCAAACAAACATTATTCGTGATATTCGCGAGGATCACGAGGACAAGCGCTACTTCTGGCCCCGCGAGGTGTGGTCCAAGCACGTGGACCAGTTCGAAGACCTCTTCCTGCCCGAGAACAAGGACAAGGCGCTGGCCTGTAGTTCCGAGATGGTGCTGCTGGCTCTGCGACGTGCCGACGACTGCCTCTTCTACCTGGCTGGACTCAAGGAGCAAAGTGTCTTCAACTTCTGCGCCATTCCTCAGACAATGGCTATCGCAACGCTCGAGCTGTGCTTCCAGAACCCTAACATCTTCGAAAAGAACGTCAAAATCACCAAGGGCTCTGCTTGCAGACTTATGGTCGAGAGCACACAAAATCTCCAGGTCGCATACAATGTCTTCAAACGCTATGCTCGCATCATTCACAAGCGCAACAATCCGCAAGATCCCAACTTCCTCGAGATCAGTCTTGCATGTGCAAAGGTAAGTTTTTATCCCCCTTGGACTTCTGCGTTCATGTGTGTTGGACGACACAATAATGATGAGCACGGACCATATTGAGCACACAGCGCTGACGCAACAAACTCTGCANNGATTGAGCAATTCATCGAATCCATCTTCCCTACACAGACTGCTGCCACCTACCGCCAGGGCGCTCCTGTCCCCGTCGATGCGAGCGGTACAACCCTCACTCCTGAGGAGCAGGAGGCACAAAAGAAGCAGCAGGCTCAAGACAAGGAGGAGTTCTTCTATATCATGCTGGCTGTTGGAGCCACGCTGTTTGTCATTACCGCTATCATGGTATGTACATTTCTTCAGCCATCAACTCCTCTTCATCTGCTGACAAAATCCGCANNGTTCTTCACCGCTTGGATGATGGGCGCACGCTTCGACATTGCCTGGCAACAGCTTCGTAACGGTAACATCTGGGCACCCAAGACCACAGATGAAGCCTTGGTTGCTCGTGATGCTTACGATGCCGCCAAGTCGACTGTTACAGCAACTGTCAAGGCCGTCACATCGAGTGTCATCTCACACGGCGAGCTGTAATGATTCGCAGCTACTGCCTGCTTTTGCTTTGCCTTTTTCACGTATGACAGCTGATACAGATGAGCCAAGAACTAACCATGCGAAAGATCAAATCCCGTAATTACCTTTGGACCACCGAGTGTGCATTTTGGGTTCGCACACTCGAAACCCTGGTTCTGTAGACATACTGACTACCCTTTTTCTCATTTCCAGCCAGCTTTCTTCTTTACTTATGGATACCTCAAAATAGTTTCTTCTTCTTCTTTTTCTCCTTTCGCCATCTTCCACAACCTCTTTCCTTTTCCCTCTTTTCAACCAAGCACTCATGTCAAATTGCAGCCTATGCCTATTTTCAGTGGCGACAGACTGTGCCGAAGATGTGCTGATATTGATGCCTGCGCTGGCGAGTCCGAAAGGAGACTGTTCATATCACTTCAGTGTTTTCGTTCACTGTGGTCGGCTTTGGGCAGGAGTGCATACATATATTCCTATACAATAATCAATCTGTAAATTATCTGTTCATGTAAAAGTTTCGCGTTAGTCTGTGTATTGTGGTAGAACAACCTCGGCCTCGTCATTGGTTGCACCGAGATCTCATCGATAATCATGATGTGCAACTCACCGGCAACTCCTTTGTTCCTCTTTGGACTTTTTGAGTGTAGTCTCTGATGGAATCGGCTTGTCCATAGCCTTACGATTGAGTTTTCCAGTGTGCAGCATGGTGTCGTACTGTTATCATCTGCAGCAATAGTCGACTTCATTCTACAAAATCTACAAAGTTCACAGACACTTGAATGTGGAGTTTATTTTCTTAATAATCAAATATAGCATGCATATAGACTGCGATATGCAGGCGACTCACATAATGACAAGTATAGATGCAAAGGTAGACGTGGTTATGTGAGGGTGTCATGGAGGCCAGGGTCGTACTCCTAGCAAGTTCTACTTGGGCACAATCATGGAAAGTCTCCACTACTTGATTGAGATGCGGTTTCCTATTGATTGGCATAGCTTTTTGACAGGTGAATTAGATGTCGACACTGTTGGTTTCGTCCTCTTCACTTCGGCGAAACAGTCACAGACGTCTCTCTGCTGGTCCATCTGGGTAGTGAGGTCACGCGGCGCAAAACGCGTCCCCCAGTATTTACATCTAAGCACAAGCTTTTGGACTTTCTTTGATCACAAAACCAAGAGCCATTTCATCCATTACATCGACACGACATCGTATCAATGCCTCCCAAGAAGGGCAAGAAAGCGGCGCCATCGCCTGAAGAGGTGCCATCGACAGTCACGACCCCTCGAGGCAAGACATTCGATACGACAGCCGCCGCCGCAAGACCGAAGCGCGCCATTACTACCACCATGCCTCCTCGCGATCCACCGAACCTAAAGAGAGCCAAGATCGCCGAGTCATCGTCGGCCTCTGAAGTTACTCCCAAGAGACGTGGTCGTCCACCTAAGGTCTCGACTCCTAAGACCGTTGCGGCCATGACACCTAAGGCACCTTCTTCGGCCACACCCAAGAACTCCAGAGTCGGTGAAAGACAAAGCGCTAGGCTGGCTTCGACTCCTGCCAGTGAGAAAGCGTTGCCACCACTAAGAAAAAGCCGCGCCACCAAGTCAGCCATTCCACCTAAGCGTGGCAGAGGCAGACCGCCGAAGCCCAAGCAGCCTACCCTCAAAGACGGTCATGAATCTGCCCCCGACGCTAACGACGAAGCGAGCGATGGCATTGATTACGACGATCCGACACACGATGCCAATATCACTGAGGCCACAACTATCATCCAAGCCGATCGCAGCTATTGGCTCATGAAAGCCGAGCCCGAGTCTCGCATCGAGCAGAACGCCAACGGTGACGACGTCGACGTCAAGTTTACCATTGACGATCTCCGCTCACGCACCGAGCCTGAACCATGGGAGGGCATTCGTAACGCGCAAGCCCAAAACAACTTGAAGGCCATGAAAGTCGGCGATCTTGCTTTCTTCTACGAGTCGAACTGCAGNAAGCCAGGCATCGTTGGCATCATGGAGATTGTCAACGAAGCCAGTCCTGATCCTAATGCTTTCGACAAGAGCAGCGCTTACTACGATCTCAAATCTGATCCTGCAAAGCCCAAGTGGATGCTCGTCCACGTCGAGTTTCGTCGCAAGTTCAACGAGAAGTTCACGCTCAAGGATCTCCAAAAATTCTCTCAACCTGGAGGTGCTCTCGCTGAGATGGAGGTCTTCAAGCAGTCACGCCTCTCCGTCACCAAAGTCACCAGGCCTCAGTGGGACTTTATCATGAGCCAGATCGACGAGGACGATGAAGATGACATGGAGGATTTTGTCGAAGAAGGCGTCGACGGCAGTGGTGGTGAGAACACAGATTTCGGTAATGACTTTGCCGCTGCGTTCGAAGCCCCTGCTAACCTCCGCACTGCCAACGAGATCCCTGACGTTGTCGACCAGATGTCCACTTACGTCGTGAGCGCCCCTGGTCCCTCCGCCAGAAGTGTATCCCGTGGCCGCAGAAGCAGACCAATGTCAGTTTCAGCTGGCCAGCCTGCAGCTTTGCACAACGCCGCTCTGCCTCATCAACACGACATTGATGCCCCAGCCAACTAGGAATGAGGTACACGGCTGCTACATCAACTCGACGTCGACGCTCCATCTGACTAGGAATGAGGCGCGCGGGCTGTCACTCCTTTCTTTGCGTTCCTTTCCTTTCTTTTGCTTTACAGATACCCCCATTTGTTTTCTGTTCCTTCTTTTTGCATTACAACGCGAGCAAGGCGTTACAAGATGGCTGCGTGTCGATGGAGGAGACTTTTTTGCATGCAGGCCGACAGAGGTGAAAGTCAATAAAGACAGGTACATAGGACAGCCAACCCAGAGTGGCTAAAAGAAGTCGACTAGATATTGTAATCAATAACAACACAATTGCACAAAATTATCGCGAATGGAGATGACATTGAAGGCGCCTATGAACGTGAACAACACTTACCCATAGACAGTCTCACAAGTCTTACGAGTCTCACGTGCCTGTTTGTCGGACAAATTGAGTGGAGCAACATAGATCATAGTGCCTAATAAGAAGAACGAGTACGAGACAAAGACGGATTGAAGGTTCATGTGCAACATTTGAAACATGGATATCATTTGAAAGAGGTGTTTTGAAGTTTGCGAAGAAAATGCTTTTTGTGCTTCTCTCATTTGAGGCGACCTAAGTGTTTTATCTCGGACGTGCCCACAGCTTTTTTCATTTCACCACGACTGCACACCCGACTTCATCTTCAACCTCCACACCGCTGCATGACTAGCAAGCGCGGCGAGACGTTTAGTAGCGCTTGCCCTGGCGGAGGACATCGGCGTACTCGTCGAGAGGAGAGCGGATGAGCTTGGTCTCCTTCCACAGGTTGGGGGTGAGGAAACCGTAGGTGTTAGTGATGGCGGTGAAGGTGGCCTTGAGGGTGTTCTCGAGGGTCTTGGTGGAACCGGACGAGGCCGAGTAGGCGTCGTTGACACCAGCAAGCTGCAACAGACGCTTGACGGCGGGCGAGGCAACGAGACCGGTACCGCGGGGAGCGGGGATAAGCTGAGAAGAAAAAAAGTCAGAGGGGTTGATGGGCGAGAACTGAAGATGGAAGATGTTGCTTACTCTGACGGTGACGGAACCGCACTTGCCGCTCTCCTTGACGGGGATGGAGTGAGGCTCACCAAGGTTGGAGCCCCAGTAACCACGGCGGATGGGGACAACGGCGAGCTTGGCAATGATGATGGCGGCGCGGATGGCGGTAGCGACTTCCTTAGAGGTCTTGATACCGAGACCGACGTGACCGGCAGAGTCACCGATGACGACGACGGCCTTGAAGCGGGTACGCTGACCGGCACGGGTCTGCTTCTGGACGGGCTTGATCTGTAGGGGAAAAGTATGTTAGACACTGGCTCTTGTGCTCTTTCTTTCAATGCGCAGAGAGTTGCTGATGTTGTCGCTGTCGCTGCAGGGGCATTGCTAGTGGCTGCAAAAACCCTCACTCCTCTCTGCGCATGTCGTGTGTGTGCGCACCTTCATGACCTCGTCCTTGAGGGTGGGGAGGAAGAAGTCGACAATCTGGTACTCCTTGATGGGCAGGGAGTGGAGGTAGATCTCCTCCATGGACTTGATCTTGCCGGCCTTGACGAGACGACCGAGCTTGGTGACGGGCTGCCACTCCTTCTCCTCGTTCTTGGGACCACGGCGACCACGGCCGCGACCACGGCCACCACGGCCACGGTCACCACCACGGTCTCCTCCACGAGATGCGAATCCGCCACGGGTTGCTCCACGGTCAGCCATTGTGTTGATATGTGCTTGTTGTCGACGGAGAGAAGGTCGTTGGTCGTAGTTCGCAAGGTCGCGAGCGGAGCCTGAAATTTCGCTTTTGCGCTTCTCGTCCGTGGGCGCCAGCGCCAGCCTTGGCTAGTGCGTCGGCTAAACCCCGCATCTTTGGCCATCTTATCTCATCTCCTCTCACAATCACCTTGATAACCAAATAGTTAATTCACTCCGTCTTCATCGCTTTCAATCATTGCATTCGTGACTGGACTAACCACCGCATCAACGCCCCTTTCTCCATCCGAGCCTGGTCTCTCGACCTCTATTGCCGCACCCACGTTGAACAGCTATCCTATAACACCTTCCTGTCCACCATGACAAAGTTTTGGCCGTCTTCATGACCTTGCATGTCGCGTGCTCCGTTCTCAAACCAATCCCGAAGACTGCCGCCATTATAGCTTGCAGACGTTTCTGAAAGTTGTTGTTCGACTCGTACGTCTGCACGCATGTGTGCTTCCAAGATCCTGCCTGTGTATCTCCGAGGGCTCTTCCATATAGACTATCTTTCAAGTCTGCCTGGTTGCTACTCGTGATTCATGTTGATTGGCTTAATTTATCGCGTTCTCTGGAAACAGTTGCCCCCACATGTGCACCGATCCCGTGCCACATAACTATGGCAGGACATTCACCTATGCTCCAGTCGATGCGTTACATGAGCTAGTTGTTGTCTTCCAACTAGTCTAATAGCTCTGGGGGTATTGACTTGCGGGNNCTGCAGCACAATTAGTATCCTTGATTCCTGAACCACGAATAAGTCCACTACTTACCGGACTGTTGAGCATGTTTTGACGTTCGTTTCGGCCCTTCTTAATGTGTCGTTTGAGAGCACTCGAATCCAGTGGCTTCAGCAATTCGAAGCTGCACAACAGCTCACCAGACACGGACATGACAGCTCCCCAGTTGTCAAACTCTCCACAGTANNCTGCATTCAAATGTTAGTCGACAATCAAAAGCAGATCCAACCATAAATTACTCACGTTTGGTGCCGAGAATACAGTGACCAAGACTCTGTCAGTGAAGAACTCATAACCATCCTCAACCACCATGTGCGCTCTGCACACCAGGTCGAAGTCGTGCTTCGCGAGGAACTCCATGATAACCTTCTTGCCGAAACAGTAACTCACTCCTCGTTCGTTGGCTTCCCAGTCATTATCCATATCTGCCGGATCGCTCCAAAGCAGATCGTTGAGCAGTCCATAGTCTGGAACGTCGGTCGGTCTAGCAATGTTGCGAATGTCATCCATGTGCGAAAGACTGGGCGATAGACCTCCGTGCACACAGAAAATCTTGTTGGCGACAACAGATGCGATGGGCAAGCAGTTGAAAGTGTCGACGAATGATTTCCACACCTTGATGTTACAACGACGCTTGCATTCGTCATAGAACCCATAGACACGAGTTACATTGGCGCACTCGTGATTGCCACGGAGAAGGAAGAAATTCTCGGGGTAGCGCAGCTTGTAGCAGAGCAGCAAGAGAATGGTTTCCAGACTCTGTTTACCGCGGTCCACATAGTCCCCTAGGAAGAGGTAATTTGAGTTGGGAGGGAAGCCGCACATTTCGAACATGCGCAACAAATCAGTATACTGACCGTGGACATCGCCAACAATCTTGACTGCAGGGGCGAGTTCCAGTAGAGCGGGCTGCGAGAGGAAGACCTCGCGAGCGGCCTGGCAGATGGCAAAGATTTCGGCATTCTTCAGGCAAACCGTCTTTGTGACCTTTCCGGCGTATCCTGCATCGATCAGACGTTTGATCATGTCATCAAGATCCGACGTCTTGAGGGCACCAATGTCCATATCCTTTGAGGCCGAGCCTTCTGACAGGGCGAGTGCTGCGGCGGTGGCGCTCGGCTTGTGGTCGGCCTTTTTCATCAAGATGGACTCGGTAGGTTCGGTAAGGTTGTTGTGTTGCAGGGTGCCGGTAGGAGGAGCGTCAGAGACGTGTTCGACTTCGCCGGATCGCTGGGCCTTGGTGATGTCGGAATGGCCGTGGCCGATGGAGGATGAAAGAGTGGGAGATGGAGGAGCCTGGACTTCATCCTGATCCTGGGCATCATTGCTTGCTCCGCTGCTTCTGCGCGACGTTTCGGACAGAGAAGGAGCGGAAGGAGAGCGTCTGTGTTTGGAAGCAGAATTGGACTGGATAGCGGCGGCGTCCAAACCTGGTTCGGACTGTCTCTTAGGCGAGGCCAGCGAGGATGACGAACCGCGCAGGTTGTCGGTGGATATCTTGGAAGGGATCTTTGAGCGAATGGAGCCGCGGAAAGAACGTGTCGAGCCCTGCGTGTCGGACTTGGAGAAGGAGGGATAGGAGCTGAGATCAGGGCCGTCTTGCGAGCCCTTCTCACCCTTGGACGGCTGATTACCCATGGTTGCGGAGCGAAAGTCGGAACGGGGAATGCGGGTGTGTAACGAAAGAAGTGGAAATGGGACAGGCCTCTACACGATGCTGTCACGACCACGGGCACATGTGGAGCACGCTGGAGAGTCGCACGAGACAGCGGGGTCTGGCAAGTTGCACCAGCTTGGGATCAAGACACTATTCTGGTTGGAGGGATGTGATTTCGGATGGTGATGCGAGAGACTGTGATAGTGGTTCGGTGGGTTGGATAGGTAGGTGTTTTCTGGTGTTTCGTGCCAGTGAGCAAGAGAGAGAGACCATGTCAGCCAAGACCGCAGGCCAGACGAGCTGAGCCACGCGCGCTTCCAGCCCTTGCCCGTTGCCCACGGGCCTCCACCTCTTCTACAACACCAGAACTCAACATCTGAGAGACTTTCAAAATCACGCACACCTTGTCATCTCCGTCTCCACTATCTGCTTCTCATGCCTTTCGAACGGCCGCTGCGTGTCGTTTTTGCGACAGCTTGTCACCCCTCATCCGTGTGCAGAAGACAGTCACAACCCCACGATCCACCCTCTCCCACAATCCTCTATAGTGTGTCATTATATACTATAAGGATATTCAGCTGCTTTTCCAGACAGAAATGTGGCCATTGAGATGTCTGAACGTAACATCTCCTACGTGAATCTTACTCTTGGAAGGTATTGTGCGTCTCTAGCTACACCGTGTGACTATCTATCGCACACATCGAGGCAGTGACCATCGTGAACTTCGTTACCTTGGCCTTGCATCCTTCCATCCACGCCCCACTTCATATATCCTTGCCTATCTCTCTCTGCCTCATCCTCATCTGTCTTGCAAGTTTTCCTTCCACTTTGACCTTGAACTGAAAGTCCATTCCATCGACCGCTTCGTCAAAATGCGATATTCTCCAACTTTGCCTTTTGCTTTCTGCATAGCCACTCAATTTTTGCCTTTGACCTTGGCCTCGTCCTCACATCCATCGCAATTGTTCCTCGGTAATCATAGTGCCCAAATCACCGACAAAACTCCACTCCATCCTTCTTTCGACTCGTTTGTCGACCGTCTCATGCAAGAATGGCACATCCCTGGTCTTGCTATTGCCGTAATTCACGAGAACAAGACATGGTCCAAGGTAACACCATTTCTCGTACTAGACAGTACTTACATTGCGTAATTGGGCAGCATCTTTCAGTCGCTTCTGTTTTCTCTGTATTTCAATAATTGCTGTGCGCCTTCATGCGTCTGGTCTGAATGCTTAGAGCCCTCGAACTGACACGCAAAGGGCTATGGCTACGCAACTCTGCCTGACGTGCCGTTCACACCGCATACACTATTCCAGGCCGCTAGCACTACCAAATCCTTTACGGCTTCTCTCGCGGCTATACTGATTCAAGATCACGATGACTTGGAATGGGACACTCCGCTCCACGACATTGTTGGCAACGACTTTGTTCTTAAGGACGACTATCTGACGACTCACGTCACTTTCCTCGATGCCATGTCCCATAGGACAGGGATACCTAGACATGATGCCCTGTGGTATGACCAAGGTCTGGACGTCAAGGCCCAGACATATCTAATGCGTCATGTCGACACGAGCGCAAGCTTCAGGACGGTCTACCAGTACTGCAACCTGTTCTTCACTGCAGTTTCGCATGTCCTTCAGTCTGTAACCGGAAGGCCGCACGCAGATCTGCTGCGTGAGTGGATCTTTGAGCCACTCGGAATGAACGAATCATACTACTCTCGAGAAGACGCAGCCACTTGTCAAACATCGAATCCTAACTGCGTACTAGCCGATAGCTATCAGTGGAACAAGGAAACAGCCTCTTATCAGAAATGGGCGTTGAACCAATCCAATCCCTCGAACGGAGCTGGGGGTGTTATTTCTAACGTCAATGACTATAGCAAGTGGGTTCACACCCTCATGTACGAGGCTGCTCCGGTATCCAAAGATGGTCATACCGCACTGAAAACCCCCTTGTCTGTGCAAGCCTTCGGGGAACCGCCTTATACAGGGCCTACCTGGTATGCACTGGGACTTGAAGGAGGAATCTATCGCAACGAGAGAGTCTTTTCGCACACGGGTGGGATTTCCGGGTACGCATCAAGCTTCGCATTTTTGCCCGATCGTGAATTCGGTCTTGTGGTTTTTCAAAACTCAATGAGTACTGCTTTTGCGGCCATGCAAACACGATTAATCGATGAGTTCCTGGGTGGCCCGGAGAATAAGTTTTACGACATGAACAAGACGTGAGTATACACGGCATACTCTATCCGGGCTTCAACTGACGGGATACCAGGNCAACGTGAGCTGACAACGAAGCGCGAAGAAAAGCTAGAGGCTCTTCCTTCTAGGCTGTATCCCAAAGTACCATCTAGAACGGTACAGCCACAGCTTCCCTTGCGAGACTATACCGGAACCTATACAAACGCCGCTTATGGAAACCTCAGCATTAGTCTCAAGGCACCTTCAGATTTGTTGGAGACGTCAAGGGGCGGAGAAATGGACTCATCAGGTTCGCTGCTCTATGCGAAATCCAAAGGTGGGAACGTGTTGTTCAGCTTTCGGCACATATCTGCAGAGCATTGGCTTTTGGAGCTGCGAACTGTGATCTACGATGCGAAGGTGGCAGACGACTACAAGAGGGCTAAGTTCGAGATTGGAGCAGACGGGGTCGTACACAGACTCGGAGTGGTCATGGAAGCAGCGGTTCCTGGGGAAAAAGGATGGGCGTGGTTCGACAGAGTTGATGGTTGTTGAGGGTCGAGGGGTGAATGTCTGTCACATGTCTCGCGATGAAATACGTCAGATGCCAAGCTTAGGGCAGGTGCCTTGCGCGGCGCTTCAGGCATAATTTCCAAGTAAAGTTGCAATACAACAACTCGACGCCCAACATATTGTCTTACGACATCGGGCTACCGTACATTTATTTCCTTATAAGACCTGGATAACCGCATCTCTCGAAGTACACCGAGTCCCGACGACCTACTCGCTGCCCAGGAACAAGACCAAAGACTTTCACGACGGCCAAGATGGTCAAGGACACAGCATACTATGACGCGCTAGAGGTGCCNCCCACTGCCACTGAAGTCGAGATCAAGAAAGCATACCGCAAACTCGCCATCCGCCTGCATCCCGACAAGAACCCCGGCGACGAGACGGCCAGTGCCAAGTTCCAGGAAGTGCGTCGCCCGCCCGAGTCCCCTCGCAGTATCATATCTTCTGACCGCCTGTCTGTTTAGATCGGCGAGGCTTATCAAGTGCTCAGCGACGAGAAACTGCGCAAGCAATATGACGACTACGGCAAAGAGGGCGCAATGCCCAACACAGGCTTTGGTATGAGACCCGACACAGACCATGAGCTACGACAAGAGTTGACGCCCATACANGAGGACCCTTCCGAGATGTTCAACGAGATCTTTGGTGGCCACGCCTTTGCAGACTGGTAAGCAGCCTGACGTAAACCACGCACCGTGCCAACTTTGGCTTACAACATTGATAGGATCGGCGAGATCTCCATGGTACGCGACATGGAAAAGTCTATGGAAATCACCATGCGTCACGAGGAAGAAAACGCTGCCGCCGAAGCAGAGGCCGAGGCTGCAGCCGCTACTGTCGACGAGAAGAAAGCAAGCATGGACAAAACCATCCACGAATCCACCGCTCAGTCCCACGCCGGTGCTGCCGCCGATCTGAAAGATGGCATGGAGAAGATGAAGCTCGCCGAAGAGGAGCCCGCACCGCCCGCCTATTCTCAGGACAGACCGAAGGGAGTACCCACACGTCTTGCCCTGACCGATCGTGCCGAAGAAGAAGCTCGTATGGAAGCCGCTGGCGTCACCGAAGCAGAGAAGAGCCTGCGTGCAAAGGAGAAGAAGAAGGGCGGTTTGACCAAGGAGCAAAAAGAGGAACTGGCTGCGTTCGAGGCCGAGCGGGAGCGTGCTCGTGGGGAGCGCATCGAGGATTTGTCCAAGAAGCTCATCAACCGCGTCAGTGTATGGACCGAGACCGACAAGGGCAAGGACGTTACCACCTCGTTCCGCAAGAAGATGGAGCAAGAAGTCGAGAACCTCAAGATGGAGTCATTCGGTCTGGAGATCCTACACGCCATTGGTCAGACCTACACACANAAAGCCGCCACTTTCATTAAGAGTCAAAAACCCATTATTGGTGGTGTGACCGGCTTCTTCTCGCGTCTAAAGGACAAGGGCACGCTCGTCAAGGAGACCTGGGGCACCGTCAGCACCGCTATCAGCGCGCAGATGGAGATAGAAGAGATGGCTCGCGCAGAGGAACGTGGAGGTGACGACTGGACCGACGAGAAGAAGGCCGACTTTGAGCGCCGCGTGACGGGCAAGATTCTAGCTGCCGCATGGCGAGGCTCTAAGTTTGAGATTCAGAGCGTGCTCCGTGACGTCTGCGACAAGGTGCTTTACGACAAAACTGTCAAGGTCGACAAGCGGGTCGAGCGTGCCCATGCTTTGCTCGTCATCGGAGATGTCTTTGCCAAAGCTGCACGCAGCGCCGACGAAGAGGGCGACCATCTCGCCTTCGAGCAGCTTATGGCTGAGGCTGCTCAGAAGAAGGACAAAAGAAGAAGGACAAGGAGCCCAAGGAACCTAAGGAAGCAAAGGAGCCCAAGGCGTAGGAAACCCCTTGATCTGCCACGGCATTCATAAAGTTTCGATTCTATCCTTCACGCAATCCCTTCAAGATCTTTGGGTAGGACAGTCGACAGCGTGTGTTTATAAGCGTTGTTTCTCCTCTCTCATGATACACTGGCGTTTTTATATGGTAGATACACCCCATTAAGCCTTGTCCGCATACCACAAGCATCTCTACCTCCTACTTTTATGGATGTGTATATGATTCAGATTCGGATCAAATATTGCCATTGGTTGTCATACTGCTCTTAATTATGGTGTCACAATGCCCGTAGGGGACTACAAGCATATATTGAGTCATTCGAAATAAGGATGAAAAGCCGAGTGACCATGATTCCGCTTTCAAGAACGCCAGGGTTGCCACAAAGAAAGTGTTCAGATCCATAGCAAATTCTCTGTGCAATCACAACCGTGCATGGCATCAGTCTACACATTTCAGACTGTAGTTGAGAGAGATGAAGGAATCGTGTCCGGGGATCATGCCGAAACCACAGAACCCGCGAAAGCAGAAAATCAAACATCACTAGATAGACTTGATCATTTGAGGCATTGCTACGGAATCAAGACACGACAAACTATGAGGCTAGGTCTGTTTGTTTGACGATGAGCGTACTCTTCTTTCTTGAGTCTTCCTAAGACACCTTTTCGTTTGTCAAAATTATCAGTATGGGAGTGAGAAGGGGTGCGAAGTCAACAATCTGCTTGATTATCTGATACTCGACCAATATCTGTCACTGTATTCGGACAAGTCTCTCTGGAGTTACATCGTGCTGACTTGGTAGGCCCTCCAACTTGCTATATCCTCGTTAACTTGGATGAAGCATGGACTGTATATGCTGTCCAATGGGGCTGGGATTCCCCTGTGCGGTTGTAGATGCTGGCGTTTGGGGTGCATGAACACATCAAGCGGCCAATGTGGTGTGGTGTGGACCAGGTGAATCTAAGGACAGGGTTGCTTTTCAGGGGTAACCAATTCCAGGTCTGTCGAGTCCAAGACTTGATACAGGGAAGTCCGACGGACAAAGGTGATGAGGTACAAGAGACCGATACACCACTCGCATTCAGTACTGTACTGCTCGTGATGCCTTCAACTCTTTATCCCTATAGTACGGCGTTGATTAGTGGAGGGCACACGATGTACACCTGCTCATGCATACTGTATGCAAGATCGAGAGCAGACCAAATAGACAACGTCCTGAGCCTATCAACACTGTAGTCTGCTGACTCCAGCCTGGTCTGTGGATCTGGCAGGAAACGGATCTTCGAGTGTCTTGCTGATGGTGTCAGGCTCGCAGGACGTCTGCACAGCAGTTGCAGAACTGGCCGAGCCTGTCGTTCAGCCTGTCGTTCAAGCAAGTTTTGTTTTCCAACGGTGACTTGAGCATACAGATACAGTACTCCAGACTTCGTGACTTTGATACAGTACCTCCCCAGACAGCTTGCTTTGATACCTCGTGATCCAGACTCTGCAGGTACTTGAGTTAGACTCCAGTCTCCAGAGGGATGTCAGCTTAGACCTGAAACTCGACGCCTCAGGCAGGTACTTTTGCTTGGCTAAAAGTGTCGTTGGCCGTCCCGTCGGCTGACTGACAGGATGCAAGCGCATGGTGATGCGCATAAAGTTGCACGTCGTCGACCATGTCGGCAGATTGTGTACATGCAGACTCTAGGTGTCGCTCAGCCAACGCCGAAAATCTTGTGAAAGCCGCATGTAAAGTACTTACCAAGCGTACAATACAGCTCATGCCAACACACCTCGGTCGCGGAATGAAGCTGGACCTGGAGAACATCCTGGAGTAAGTGGGTCGGCGGTGGTGTGAGTGACGCCTGAACGAAATGCCATGCGCTGTCTGGTTGCCTGCAAGCTCGCTTGCTCAGACAGCTTCCAAGTTTGTACTCGACCAATGTATACGACACTTGAAAGTGCATGTGACTTCTCCCATGCACTGTTTCTGCATGCCATGCCCTTGCTGTAGCACAAGATATCGCTGAGTAATCTCCATACAGCAACGCAGGTTTATGTCCGTCATCGATTGGGTAAATTAATGCTTATCGTACATTTAATATAGCATATATCCCTCGATAGAAAAACTTTTTAATGAAGACTTCAGGCACGTGGTCCTGATCTTCAGTGCATATGCGGCTTGCAAGTCCGTGATGAGTGATGCGGTGTTGACCTGTTCATTTGGAGAATGGGCCAGGATGGATATGGCAGTGGTTGCGAACTCTAATTGCGATCCACACCGCGCCTGCCGCTGTTATGGTGAGGATGCTGGTCGTCTCTGCACTACTGCACATGCTGGTTGGTCCTCCTGCATGAACTCGGACGTCCAATGAATCATCACAGCATGCTGGGTTGCCGGCCTGCCTCGCATAAAGAGCCTTTTTGTTTCGTGTGTCGTCGAGTGCAGGACAGACTGACAAGGATTGGAGTGGTGTTCTGCCGTTGCCCAGTCAGAATCGCATGCAAATCAGAGGAGGCTCAACAAGATGTCTCCACGAAAACGCAAGCCACGCACCCCGCCCGCCCGCCCGCCCGCCATCCTCCGAGGACCGAGAGGTTATTGATAGCAAAGTCAATTTTGTCGCCGTAAGTGGAAGTTGCTGCCTCATGTCTTGCTCCTTCTAGGAATTGGTGGACAAAGGTCGCCAAACATTTGGAATCGTTCGCACGTGCTGCTTTGAAGAATGCTTGGCTAGCAGGAAGGATTCAGGATCAGTCGGTGCTTGCGACTATCTGATGACGAGGTTGGAAGAAAACAAATCGACCCCTTTTCGTGTCTGCCACGTTGCGAAAGCGAACCACAAAGAAGGCTGTTTTACGTGTCGGCAGAGTTCAGAATCTCATGGAGATACAGTCGATCACGGCGCAAGATCTCGATGGCAGACGCCATATCAACTTTACGCTTTCGCTCTGAAACGTTGAGGCTCTGCGGTTCTGTCATGTCCAACTATTTTTCCTCCGGTACTGCATGCATCATCGTTCGTGCTAGCCATGCAGGAACTTGGATGGAGAGAGATGATGTAGTTGCACCAATTCGTGATGTCTGTTGAGGCAGTTAAAAATCGATCGGACTTTGAAGCACAAGTGTGTTGCAGTTCATGCCGTACCTGACGATCTCAATTGTAGAGGAGCCCATCATCGCGCACCCCGAACGACTAAATGATTGAGTCAGTGACCTGCAGCGAAGCGAGAACAACCATTGGAGACGAAAGACATTCGCTTTTGTGCTGAGCTTAAAAATGCGACACAGTGGGGTGTAAGAGGTAAATCGAAATTGAAAGCTGGCTGCGTGGAGAACAAGCGCGCTGCAATTGGAGATAGAGTTAGGTTACACTTCAATGTCGAGTAAAGCCTCTCACGGGGATTTGAAATGGACACACAAAGGATCTTGAATAGCTGCAATGTTCTTTGATTGTTAAAATGGAATTGAGAGGCGCGATTCTGTCTGCTGCCATAGGGTATAATAATGCCAAAAGATCCCAAGTAATAACTCCTTCATAATGATGATGCCAAGACCGACGACCCGAAGAAGTAATAGCAAAGTTCATAAGGGCATGTCGAAGACATGAAGTCGTCGATTAAAAGGCGTGAATATGATATGCAAGACGGCCGGCCGACCGGTGTGTAATGCCCGTTTGATTATAGCATGGAAGGACAGAGGTGTTGTCTTTTTGAATGCATGCTCACGAGCAAGCGGGGTTGCGGAGGAGGGCAAGCACAAGCAAATGCCTGGCGGACCGCTGATTTACACTGGCGGTGGGGGTGGAGCCATGCATGCTGCGGATCATGCTTCAAATAGAAGAGGTGGGGATCCAATGAGAACAGATGCTCGAGTGTGCCCGCTTCCCAGATGCAATCAAGTCAATGCAGGTGCAATGCTGGAATGGGGCAGCTGATGGATAGACTGATATGCACGCCTGGCGTGCAGAGTGGCATCTCCTCATGAAACGTTGGTGTAGTGATGTAGTTGTTTGATATCTTTCAAGTGGTTGATGGTTCACTTGGGAAGAGGAGGCAGAGGCCTGTTTGGGGAGGGCCAGGGCAGGGAGGGAACTCGACCATGGCAGGCATTGTGGAAAAGAGTTGGTTGTTGGGTGGTGGATGATTGTTGTAGAGTAAAGTGGGTTGGAAAAGCCGAGTGCTGGTTCTTGAGAAGCTTGTAGCGTAGATTGAGGCTTTGTAATGGTTTGTGTGTGGAATGAAAAGAGCGGATAGAGTGGGAGTAGGCAGGCATCTATATATCCATTGCAGTGATAAACGCCTCGAGTAATTGGCCCATGATGCAACTCGAAGCGTAGGGTGGGTGACTAACGGCCAAGCGAAAGGGCCATGGCCCGTGGGTCTGACCAGGACTGCGCACGCAAAAGGAGACACCGGGCTAGCTTTCGTATCCGTCCGGCAGCAAGGCTGACATGACTACTCTAATCTTGGAACCACTTGGATTGTGACGTTTCTATTCGGATGATCAGAAGGCATCAATCAATCAATCAATCTACATCATCCTTGTTTCATGTCTGGTCTTGCAGCCTTCGGATTCCACGTTCCCTGCTGACTGTGCCGCAAGAGCAGCGGTGAAGTGGCCGGCTTGCCATTGTGCATCGCTGCTGCCCTCGAGGTACCTGCTCGAGTCGAAACCTACTGCCCGTGTCCACTGTCAGCAAAGGATGGCTTGACGGGGTGCCTGCTCAGCTAAGCAGCACGGCGGTTACCCTAAGCATGCAAGCGATCCAGGTCAAGGTTTGGTCGGTTTGAGACAAAAGCCAAAAGCACCGAACCGATCACTAACGGTCGACCGTCGACCGACAGACATGTGTCTCAAGGTGAAGATGCGGGTGCCGGGATTCGTGGCAAATTGCGCTGTCGACGAAGCAAACGCTCATCAAACGATTTCCAGGCATGACTCGTCCGTCCACGTCGCTGACCTGACGTCGCACCAAGCCCAATTTCTTCAGCTAAAGCATTTTCAATCTAAAGAGAGGTCTAAGCGAATGATTGTCAGACCGAAGGCCTGTAGAATTTTTGTGGAAGAAGTTTTCCTTCGGCGATCTCGGACCACTTTATCTGACCTGGTCAGCCAAAGCAGCTGTGTTGCACGCTGTTCTCTCGAGCCCGGAATGCCGGGAGCACGACAAGGTGGATGAATCGCAATCTCGATGCATACTGCTGACATCTCCATGAGATCGGCCCCTTTGAAAGGGTGTGCTGGAGTTCCCGCACTCGCACACGTGGCTTACTCGCATAGCTGTCAAAATATCGTCGATTATCAAGGGGGAACCCACTCTATTCCGTACCCTCGTCATAGTTATCGCAGAACAGTACGGAGCTACTCTAAAAGTCCGGAATATGAGTGGGCAGTGGAAACTTGGAAGTGCCAGCAGAATTCCGAGTTCCTGGTTACTTTTACAACTTACAAGACACAGTTTCCCCGGATCAACAGGGGTGCACTTGCGAGCGGCACGATTTCTGCTTTTTCTGCGATTTGGCTGCATTCCCATTAGACAACGTTCCATGATCTTTCTATCCTGATTCTGGTTCTCTTGATTTCTGCATAGTCAGTCACACAATGATATCCCATGGCTGAATTTGTATTCATGTCGCTCATATCCGGTCGCAATGTTCACTCAGCTCATACGATCTTTTCGCTTCCCGGCAGCCCCGAGACTCGGGTTGTACACCCGACTTGTACAATGGTAAACACGTAGCTCGCGCAGCCTTGCTGGACAGTCATCGTATCATGCATGCCGTTGCTATCCCAGTACGCAATTATAAAACAGATCACTTTAGGAGCCGCAACTTGGTGGATCGATGCATTTCTGCATCTTCGTTGACGCTATCAGACGCGCCATGATGCAGCATTGCATTCTCTGTTCGACCAAAGGAGCACAGCCTCGGCGTGCGAGGCTGCGATTTTGGAATCTGCTGCGCGTCTCTCCTGAACCTCACCGCCAACGGCTGCGAGCTGCCCAGCCTTCAACTTGCTGGACCTTTTGCAACTTTTTTGCCTTCGGACTGGACCCTTGCATTAGATTCACAGACCTTGGAGGCATCTATTCTTTTCCCCTTGACTCGTCCTCAAGAACAAAATCTTTTTCTAGTCCCTTCCACCTGGTGCAAGTAAAACCTCGCGTTTCAAATTTGCTTAGACTGCCGGTCATTTCCCCAGGTAGACCCTGAGATGGCCCGTACCGCTTGACACCTGGCTACCCAAGGCCTTTCATACCAACCCTGATAATTTTACGCATGGCACGTGTAGGTTCACAGACCCTGCGGTGTTGTTCCAGACGAAGTCCCTGGCCATTTTGTCAGCAAGTTATTTCCGACTTAGCTGAGGGCCCCCAGGGACCAGATCACGAAAGCACAGAACTGACAGACGGCGCACTCCTCAAAAGAAGAAAAGGTTGTATAATGGAAAATCTATTCATGTTCTTTCGGCTCATGCACAGCACGGCCGCGCCGTCTCTCCATATTCAGCTCCGGATTCATGTGCTCATGCAGCTGCACCAGGTACCTGGTTACTGGCTTCGGACTTGTAGATTTCTTGGTCTGAGGAGATATTAAGACGTTCGGCGATGTTGGTCGGTGCTTGCACATGGAATGAATCCAAGTGATTTGACATTGCATGTAGATCTCTGTCCCATGCAAGCATTGTCAGATGTTAAGGTCAGATTATCCAACATGCGTACATGCATACGAGTACGCACGAAGCATATGCATATCATTCAACCGAGCCAACACTTGTTGCGTGGCAGTACTCAGTACAGTTACGTCCCCCCATCGTTTCAGTTTCGAGAATCTCTGCTGTAATTGTTAGAACTTAGCTCGCCGCAGCGGGATGATCTTCTGGGAGTTCGTTGTTTCGTGGTTAAACGTCGGTCAGGCAGCCGGGACCCTGAATGAGCCTCAGCCTCCATGAATTTAGGACACTTCGCGGACACTTGAAACGCCTCAGCACTTCTAGCACGACCTACTATTTCGCTACGCATTTCTCATCAACTATGTGCTTTGGACGATTTGGCGGGATGAGGGTTAGATTAACACGGAGAACCCTTCCGACTCCTTGTAGCCCTCACCGTACTCGTGTTTCGCGTCAACTTCATCATTCCCGAACGACCCTGCCCTGATTGCTATACTCGGATCAAAGCAGTGGCCCACGACACTCGAAATTTCTCGGACACATCGCGACTACCTTGAAAGTTATGGTTGGACTCTTTTCAATTTGCTGGTCGTTTTCCCAGACATCGTCAAGCAATATCATATCAGAACCTCCATCGCACTGTACTTTGTTGCAGTCAACTTTTCTTACGGCAACACATAACCACGACTTGAGCTATATAAACGCAAAACGTCTTGACACTAGAGGTCTCTCCTTTGATAGCCGTCGAGATAACGTGTCTATGGATATCGCTTCTGTTTCGGAAATACTGTGTATTTCTATAGCTGCAATGATATGACAGAGCTTAGCACATCGACGGATCGGATCTTCTAATCCACTTTGCTCCGCTGTAACGGTCAGGTTTCCGATGCCAGATGGCTAAGATACCTACAGGATGAACGATGAAATCCTCCCACAACGCCTTTTCAACGGTTATACTGACTCCACCATGACCTGACGCTCGAGAACCCTTGGTTTTTAGCAGGAGCTCAAACGAAGCAAAGATCGCTCCTGCCTAGCCTTCACCCAGCGTACCTCTTGCCTGATGGGGCCAGCTCATCGGCATACAGGCACAGCTTCAAGAACCAAAGAGGACCATCCTTCCGCAGCATTATTCACATGCCCAGTCAACACTTGGGTGTTCGCACTTCTACGATGCACTCTACCATACCATACCTCAATGAGAGCAATTCAACCAACTGAGCGCATAGAGACTGGCATTCAACAGCGGACCCCTAGAATCTGACCATTACCCACTTCTATGTTCACCGAACGTTTTGGTGAGGCTACGACGGACCGTTCCTTGACATACACACGCAAAGGACCGCTATTATATGGAGAATATGGCCGCAACGTTCAACCACTGGTCCCCACGAATCACTTCAATGTCTCACCAAAGATCCCGACTCATACGATTTGTGGACAGAGTCACGAGATCCTGCCACGATCCATGTTCCAAAGGGCTCTCCGTCTATGCGTGTAGCAGATTTGGCGATCAAACAAGCTCGGCATCCAAAAGTCGTGCAACGATCTCGAACGGTGTCGTCTCAGCACCAAGAAGTGCGGAGTGGACATAACGGCGTAACTATCTGACGATGGGACCCGAAACATAACGGTAACGACCCATATATCAGCGGCACCACCCCGCTGTCTATGTTTCGTATATCACTAGAGTTTGGCAGTACGAGCAACGTCTTGTGGAGACACAACCGCCTCTAGAGACTAGATGTCTAAGGGCTCCAGCCTATAGTGGTCTTTTCCTGCTATAACGCTTGTAGTGTACGCAGATCTTGTAGGATCGTCCAACACTATCGTTTTACATGCTGACTCGTCGCGGCTCATTCAGACAGAGTCTCAGTTGTATGGCCAGATATTTTCATTATGATTCCAGGACCGAATCAATCACCTCTCTTAGTGGACAGGTTTACATCTTATCACCTTTGGAAGCGGGTCCCTCCAGGTAGAGGGAGGCTCTCATGAATTCTCTGCAATCACTCCAGTCTCTGGCTTTCTCCGTTTGCTTCAAGTTGAGAACTGCATGTCATGTTCTCAATGTGACGTGGTCGGAAGTTGCTAGCTAGGACACCCTGGCGCAACACCCATGACTATATCGACGACGCACATCCATGCTACATCCTGGTGTCCTATAGACAACGGAAAGGACTGGTGCTCAAGGCATACCTACAGTCGTGCCTTTGGTTGAGAAAGCAACTGTACATTTTTGTAGCTGCACTGGGGCATCCTCTGGCATACGGGCAAGTGTGAAACTTTTGCATCAGATGGACTTAATGTTCAATTTCGTGAGCATATCTGCGGATCATATGATGCCTCTGCCCGACCTAACGATGAGAATACCACAGCCGATCCTTTTAATGTACAAGACTTGATGAGAAGCAGCAGTCTCTCGAATCCTCTAGATCCTCTAGATCCTCTAAACCAGGCCTGCATAGGCTAGCATCGCTCCTCTTAGAGCAGCATATGCCATACCCAGACGTTCTCTTTGGCCTGCTATCATGGCTGCCCCCATACGTTCCATAAAGATGGTGCCTTCAGCCCTGCTCAAAAGGTCCATACCAAACTCAGCGACGGCGCTCGAAACCATCGTCTCATACTCCTCATCCAAAAAGTCACCAGCAGCATGTGCCGAAGTGGTAACCAGGGTTGTCATAATCTTTGCAAAGGCATGACACAGCGCAAGCCTGTTGTCTTCTCTGACCGCCTGCTCCAGAGCGTTGACATGGGTAGCGATTTCTGGCAGTTTGAGCACGCGTACGCCATATGTGTGACAGATCTGGCATATCATCCACTGATATTCATCTTTGGCTGGTAGTGGACTGATGATAGCGCGAGCTGGTGCTACTTCTTCCTCTTGATCGTTGGCGTCATCTTCCAGACTCTGCCTAGACTCGGCAATCGACATACCAGNGGAGGTTTGAGCAGAAGAGGCAGTGGTAGTATCAGGAGGAGGAGTGGAGAAGCCATCCATGGAGGAGCCGACCACCGGGTCTTCTTCATCGTCCAGGGCGTCGGTACCCTGCAATCTGTCGGAGCGTCGACGTGCCTGCGGAGAGTTAGCCAGAACAAAGGCTCAACTATCTGTCGCATACCATGCTCTGCTTTGAGCTTACGCTGCGACCAGCATCAACCTCGGCCTGGGGGCTGGATTCAGAGCGTCTGTGTCTATTAATTAACGTTTGCGTTCTTCCAGGGTCAGACTACNGCAAGGATATGCTTACACGGTACGTAGAAACATGTCGGNGGACACACTACCATCTTCCCTCTGGAATCGATATAGATCGAAGTAGTAGTTGCGGCAGATGGTGATCATCTCTTGACCTTGTAGATGAAAGATGTATCCGATGAGCTATTCATCAGAGTCAGTACACATGCAATCATTTCTCATCCAGATAACTCACGAATCCAGTTGNNTCGAGCTGGAAGAGTTCGAGTCGACGGCAATCCACTCCATCTGCAGAATCTCGCCACGTGCTTTACACAAAGCATTCGGACAGGTTGCTTGTTTCAGAGCACGTTCACCACGTTGCAGTTGCTGGAGAGCTTGGCTGCTGGCCTTGGTTGCGACTCCTGGAAATGCTTCGAGCCACTGAGCTCTTCTGCTGGTATTTGGCTTTGCATTCATGGCTTGCAACAGGTTGGCCTTTGCCTGGGCAAGAACTTGGCGAAAGGTCATGCCGCCATTGTAGCTAGCGTCAAGGTCGTTGCGGTAGCCGATCCAGGTCTTGCTCTGCTTGTCTGCATGATGAGTGGCGTCGTTAGAGAAAGGCTCCCTCTGGCAATCATTGTGAAGTTCACCCTCTGGTGCGAAACAGACGTAGGGTTGTGCGTTGCGTTGACGAGGCATGTTGGCAGATGCCGGTGGATCTGGGAGGAATTGTGGTTACGGGAAGGTGCAGACGAAGATCTGAAAGTAATTGGGTTGAAGGATTATGTATAAGTGATGCTCTTTCCCAAAGGATGCGCAGTGCCGAGCAAACGACACATGTATGTGAACAAACAAACGAATGTCTCGGCTGTTTGGACTGAGACGATTTTGAGATGCAGAACTCACAAGTCAGGAAGGTGGTTGACGCGGTATCCGAAACCAGTAGGTGATGTCAGCGGAAAGTGCAGTACAGGTTAATTTTAGAGATTGGTATGACATCTGATGAGTATGTGGACTTCAGTAGCCACTGCGGTAAACACATCTATAGTCCGACTGCTTTCAAGCTGGTTTCCCATAAACGATCCTCCGCTGCCTTGTCGTATGCATAAGTAGCATAGCCACATCTTCCAATGCCCTCGTCCTCTGCAAGTGCTGGAGCTACTCCAACCTCCGCCAAGTACACTCCACCGTGGGTCTCAAAGTAAGGGCTCAAAGCAGCCCATACAGTGGTAGCAGCACCCTGTTGTGCATTACACTCGATCTTTCTGAAGTACTCTGGGTCACCGATGCTCTGAAGATCTTCAACCTTCTGGTGACGCATAAGCTCAGTCGAGAGAATGACACCGGGATGGACCGAGACAGCACGAATATGCTCGCCATAGACTCTGTCAATATAGTTGGCCATGTAGATGTTTGCTGTTTTGCTCTGTCCATAAGCGGCATAGGGGTTGTAGCTTCCTTCCTTTGCAAACTCCATATCGCCAAAGCGGATGGGACTTATAAGATGGCCACTGCTAGACAAGTTGATGACGCGAGATTTACGCTCGGGCGAAGCTGATGACAGCAGAACAGGCTTGAGTAGCTCGAACAGCAGGAAGTGGCCGAAGTGGTTGCTTCCCATGTGCGTCTCGAAACCACTAATGGTCTTTCCCTGAGGCACCGCCATAACGCCNNTTCGCGTCGTTAAAATCAATGTTGACAAGTTTGTTTGACATAAGATAGACAAACCTGCATTGTTGATCAAGATATCAAGCCTGTTGCTTCGCAACTTGAACTCAGCAGCGGCTGCTCGTACACTCTCAAGATCGCCTAGATCCAGGTTCAAAAACTCGATCGACTGTCCGGCTGGTGCGCCTTTTGTTATAGCCTCCATAGCAGCCCGGCCTTTCTCAAGGTTGCGAAATGTCAAGTAAAGCTTCGCACCAGTCAAGTACAAAGCCCTTGCAGTCTCAACTCCAAGGCCGGCAGAGCATCCGGTGATGAGAATGACAGCATTCTTGAGCGTTCCTTCAGCTTTCAGATCCTGGACAATCTCAAGAGCGGTAGGCCTATCGTCGCCAATGCCTCGCAAGTCTGCATGTCTGGCAAGATATGGTCGAAAAAGTTCTGTGGTTGGCGCCATTTGGTTGTAATGAGGTGAAGGATGAAGAGATTAACGTCCTACACATCCATTGTATATAACCTAGGAGTACGGAGTATTCAGGCAGGACATGTTAAATAATCGTTTCACATACAGTGGCTTGTTACAGACTGACTCGCAGCAGATTGTCAGGCTGGTTGGGGCGAACTTTCGAGAATAGTAAAAAGATGATAGGGTCTTGCAAAGGACCACCTCTGACTTCGATCTAGCCATAAATCCAAGTATCAATGCCACATTCATGTAGTATGGTAGTAGGTATGAGCCAGTGAGGTAGGTGCAAAAGAGAGGAAAACGTACAGCAGCAGGGATTCCCACGTGGTCACCCACCGTAGTACTAATCTGCCGTTCAACTGCTTATGTATGGCAGAGCGGACGGGATGCCCAGTTTTCAGCTGACTGTGGCCGTACGTGCTTGTTGTCCAAATCCAACACTTCATGTCCTACAAGACAAAGAGTTAGATCCAGAATGCAAACTTCCAAAGATCGACATGATCGGAAAAATGGATGCGGTAGCTTTTCTAGAAGAATACGACTACAAGAAGAGTCGACGGAACAACAATCGCAAGGAACAGGACCCATCCTCATAAGTAATCGTCATCATGTGTGCTTTGTCCCTTTAATAACCCGAGACTCCCGCTAACTGCAAAAAGAAGAAGAATCGAACAACACCAAAACCAGAGTAGCGGAGAAGAGAAGTTGTAGGCGGAGATCCATATGCTCTACCTTTTTCTGTAGCCATCAAGGCCAGGATCGCCGAACATTTGTGCTGGGCTATGACCTTTCGTCATGCCATCAAGTCCGGACCCAGAGTCACTCCTGAATATCTCAGACTGTGCGTATGGATCGGACTCCCACACCTCGAGACCTTCGAGTGGTAACGACTCTCCATAAGCTTTGTTGACACCATATTGGTGGAGCGCACCGTTAATACCAGTGAGTGCCCACGCGAAGACAGCTTGATCCCGGATCGAATTCATAAAGTCATCCTGAGCAGGTCCTCCAACTCTGATATGATCGGGCTGGGCACTGAAAGGACCCAGAGATGGTGCAAAGTTTGTAGCAAATGGTTGCTGTGGGCGTGCCTCCATTGGTGGTAGGATCGGTTCTGTCGCCCAGGGAGCAGCGAAAAGACCGTTATCGTATCTCGAGCGTGCCTGTGTTGGAAGCATATGGCGAGCCCGCCTCAAACATACAACAAGACCGTCGGATGTACAAGAAATAACTGCTTCCAGTTCAATCGGATCTCGCTGGATAGNGGGTCTGACACTTCCGTCTGGTGAAGTGGTAGAAGAGGCCGATGATTCCTCAACTATCGAGTCTCCGAAGATAGCCGAATGTGTGTCGCGTACGTCGGTGCTGCTGTGCCCTGATGTAGTTCTAGAGTTTGAAATGTGGTTTGATGAGTCGACATCCATGCTCTCAGATGCTGAATGCGAGTCGTCGATATGAACGCCTCCACCAACTTCCTGGTCGACGCTGCTCTCTGCTCCCATATCATCGTCGCTTTCTTCATCCATTGGTGTCGTGGCGTCTTCATCTATACGAGGGTCGCGGAACCAGAATCTTAGGTATGCTATCGAGTCGTTTGCTTTTGCGTTCTCCAGACATTTGATAGCATCTTGAAGACAGTTCTCGGCGATACAGTAATAAAAACTGCGACCTCTCATGTATTCGGCTGGAATGCCAATTACCTCCTCCAGGCCCGCAGTAGCGTACATGATAGTCAAGGTACGAGTAAAGCGATTCAAGAACAGAGCGGCTCGAGGTTCGTGGCTTGCCTTTGGGGCAGGTCGCCTAAACTTGCCCGAGATGTGTGACAACATGTGGTAACGGGGATCGCGTGGTGAAGACGAGAACAAGCGTCGAATGATGGGTGCTTCTTCGGCGCGNNCTCTGCAACAGACGTCAGCTGAGTGGTTGGTTGCAAGAAGCCATGTCGACTTACTCTGACTCGGCAGCCCCCTTCGATAGACGGATGTGCAGACAATCATGACATCGTAGACGACGGTAAAACAACATTCAACACCAGTCCATTGTCCTTCCTTGTTCTTCACTCTGCAATATGACAGGACGGCAGCCTTGTCCATCTGAACACCCTTCTTGTGAAACGCTTGAGCAAAAGGCAGCTCATCCTCGCAGAAGAATTCCCAGCACGAGCGATTGACGACTTCATCGGGGGTCCAGCCGAGAACGTCGACGATAGAATCCGAGGAATAGAGGACACGGGCATCGGGAGTAAGGTCNNTGTGTTTGACTCAGCATAAAGAAGCAGACTGTGCGTCTGAGAGGGGCATACCGTGAATTGAGATAAAGGTCAAGTCCATGGTGGCGAGGGGTGTGGAGAAGGGCGCCCGAGGTAAGTGGCGGCCGGGATTGTGTTTTGTGCGTGGCCAAAGAAGTGAAGTGTATGCAAGTTGCCACTATGGGGTGGGTATTGCAGGTTCTGAGCAGTCGAGGGCTCTGCAGAGGGAAGGTCTAGGGTCCACGAGACAGGGAGTCCGGCACGCTCTAACGGGCTGACGAGCGAGAGGTCGAGGAAGAGACTTCAGGTACTGGGTCGAGTCTAGTATCTGAGTCGGCGGCAGAAGTCGTCTAGGGCTGGGAGAGGCATGGGTCTCTAACTCTTATAGTGGGCGTGGTGCAGGGTAGGCAGGACGCAATGACGAGCCCGGCTCGGCGGTTGACTCGGGGCTGACAGGAAGTGGTCGTGGTTGCGCAACAATATACAGCCCTGTCCGTGCTAGCGACGATAATGCAGTTGGCGACCTTTGACGAAGACTTGAGATGCGACTGTTACAAAGTAGGGTAAAATTGCGGCCGACAAGAGCCAGAGGGCACGGCTCTAATCACCCTCGCCTCTGCCCGAGTCGAGAGTTGCACAAACTGTCGTCGACGTCACATACTTGACCTTGGCGCGCAGCAGCACTCTCCTGCTCATGACCAAGCAACCAACCAAGTCGAATTCCGTACATTGCGAACCACAGCATTGGGTCCGTTCCCGGAAGGAGCGGCCATCAATATACCTGACAGACGACTTGTCCAATAAAGTGATAACCTAGCAAAAGTCGACTCTAGAGTGGTCGTGGTTGCTGTCGTGCAAAGTGCCGCAATTGCTTTAACTGCCCGGCCTCCAGCTCCGCTCCCAGCTCCGCTCCCTAACAAAGACCAGCCAGCCTAAGCACAGGTTAGTGTGTGTGTTCTTGGCTGCCTGAGCTTGAATCGAACTTCTGGTCGCCATCGCCATCGCCATCTCATCATGTCAATCACTGATTCTTGTTTCCCATCGTCGTGCTTCCGATCTTCTTGCCAGTCACGGAAGAGACACTTGTTGTAATTCGGCTGCCATATGCATAGTGATATAAATTGTAAAAGTGCCAAAACAAGCGAGTACGCAATTTCGTTGATTGTGAATTCGACGATCCTCTCGTGTTTACCGTGAGAGCAACTTCCGTCCAAGCAAACACGCAGGAATTTGGCGTTGGCGCTGGCGTTGGCGTTGTTTGTGCCTGCCTCCACCACAATTACACCTAGCTCCCACTGACCCATGTGCATTCACTGGTCCGTTATACGTTCACTCTCACAGTCGCTCCGGTGCACAAACATTTCTGTGCTTCACAAGTGCATTTGCCTGATTTGGCCACCACCCACCCACAACGCAAACGCACCATGCAACTTCCATCCTGATAGCAACCATCCGAGCGAGCCTGGCTATTTGTGGATCCCGCTCATCACTGTTTTCCAACCATGGACTTTCCACAGCTAAAAGCATTTCTGCGATTATCCGTACGTGCAATTCCCTAAAATTCGCAAGAAATCTAATCCTTTCGCTAAACATATTAAAAGGATGAAGGACAAACCGGTACGTACGCAATCAACTCAGCCGGCGACAGACTCTTCCTCCATCAACTGGACATCACCTGATGCCCTTCTAGTCTCAATCTACGACATAAAGTTCTGCCCATATTCAGAGCCGGGTGAAGATCCCGTCTTTGCCGCCGTGGCAGAGAGAGAAGTAAGCATTATACAATCATCGGTCAACAAACTGTAGGGTGACCAAATTAGNATCTACATATGCAAGCCTATTGGCAAGTCAGCCACCTCTAAGACTAACGGTCTGGAGGTCTTGATGGTGCTTGAGGACCCTGATGTATGTTCGCAGTGTCCTTGCAATGCTAATCCAAGTATTGATTTGTGTGCCATAGCTGACCATCCGGTCAGNGAAGATTCTTCTCTCAACAGTGTTACATGGTCAGTAGACGTCGATACTGACGAGCCCCTCGTTTGTGTCGCTGGATCTGGATCGAAAAATATCAAAATCTGGAATGCGACTACTGGCGAGCTGGTTCGGATTCTCTATGGACACGGCGGTGCCATAAACGATTTGACAACATCACCAATCTCGCCACAAATACTGGCATCATGCTCTGCCGACTACAGCATTCGGATATGGAATATAGGTTCTCAGCACTACAAACAGCCATGTACAGCGATATTCTCAGGNGAAGGCCACGAACAGACAATCCTTTCTATCGTGAGCGGCCCAATTCCCGACACTGCACCGCGCTGACGAGCACTGCAGGCTTTCCACGACAACGGTAAGTGGCTATTGAGTGGCGGTCAGGATACGATGATCTGCCTGGTAAGTACTGTTCCTGTTGGGAAAGGGACAGTGTCATTGCTTACCCGTGCANNGTGGAGCATACCAGCCGTGTCAGACGAAGATGCAGGGACAGACAAACCGACTGTCGTGGTATATCCTCATTTTGCCAGTATTGGCATGCACTCAGACTATGTAGATTGGTACCAGTCAACAACACCTTTCTTGTCCAGTAGTCATTTCACGCTAACAGACNNGGACAGTGTCAGATTCTGGGGTGACCTCGTCCTATCTAAAGCATCTACAGGAAACAATATCAAAGTCACGCGCGGCGAAATAATGCTCTGGAAAATCGATGGCTTCTTCTCAGGCGACAACGATCCACCAGAACCACCTATGCCCGGATATGGACGAGCCGTACGATCTGCCTTCGGCCACAGTTTCCAACGACTATGGACGTTCGACATGACTAACATAGAGCCGTTCTACATGCGCTTTGGCCTATTCAAAGAACACGGCTACCGCCCTATGCTCGTCATGGGCAATATCAAGGCTCGCTTCTCTTTCTGGGACTTGCAAAGGTTCGAGGAGCGCCGCACTACCGGCAAGAATCCAACTCCTGTTGTCGACAAGAATAAGCGGATCAAGGACGGTGTCGAACAAGTCTTGGAGAAGAGGAGAGCTGCCAAACAAGTCTCGGAGAAGGGAAATGCTGCCCAACAGACTCTGACTATCAACACACGAGCCGACAGTGCTACTGATAGTGAAGCCAGCGACAAAGATCCAACTGCTGTTGCTAAGAATAACAAGCGGAAAAGAGGTCTTGCGGAAAAAGTCCTCATCAACAATACAACCAGAGCTACTAGCGCTACAAGCGATCTGACGAGCACAAGCGGTCGTGGAAGTAAGCATTCCGGAGGTACGCTATTTTACCACACCCTCTGATTGACCAACACTCTAACCTCTACAAAAGCTTCACCTGTGCCTCGCACTACATCGGCCTCTGGCACAACACCCGCCCTGACTCCAGATTCGTTCAACGCTCTCGGACCAAACTCTGATACCCCAGATCCTAAACCAGAGAAGCCTTTTCGCAACACGAAAAACTACGTTCGACAAGCCGCTCATAGATCGACGGTGGTTAACTGTCCCATCGACTTTGCATGCAGAGCCATCGATTGGAGTGTTGATGGCAAGTGGTGTGTTGGGGTGGGTGATCACGGCATGGTTGCAGTATTTGGACGCTGGCTGGATAAATGACGTCCGCTCAGAATCTCTTTGGCTCTAGTCCAGACTCAAGCGCAAAGAATTGATTCTGCTCTTGGCGAGCTATATGTCCTAGCTCGAGGCCGATGGTTCACATTGAAGAATACTGCCCCTATCAGTCGAATTATTCTATTATCGATGACCTCGAAAATAGACACGAGACTTCAGCAGGTTGGCACCTGATGCTAGCGGGCCATGCTTTAGAGCACTGGGTCTGCTGAGAGAGCTGCATATAACTACTCCGAGAGTGGAGCTGGCAGCAGCATGGACGCGGTATGGAGAAGGAGAGAAGTTGCATTAGACGCGTGGCTAAGTTACTGACAAGAGCCCTTAGCTTAGCATCCAACTAAGCACAGTAACACTACCTAGGTCCTTAGCCGGCTGATAATAACAAAAGCACACATTTGCTTCCGCTCTATCATCCTAGCCCTAGCATCCACTTCACAATCATCCAGACTATACTGACAGGCCAGAGCATTACCGCCAGCACTCTTCCCACAGCTGCTCCGATGCGCACGACAATCGCTAGACAGCACAATATCATGATTGCCCGTACGGCCATGAACGTCAAAGCCTTTACCGCCTGCCAACGCTCGACGGGCTTAGTGGCCGAGTCAGATAAAATGTGAATAGCTTGAGTGAGACCGATATTAAGCCCTTGTGGTGATCCATCACGCGTTGAAGATGATGGTTTGGAGAACACTTGATTGATCGCCCATGCAAGGAACCCAACTACTTGGGTCTCGAGGGGAGATAACGACTCAGCCACTGAAGTCCCAGAGACAGAACTTGTGCTCGAGTGACTCAAGTAGGGTGGAGGCGGAGTCGAGCTATACTCGCGAGGCACTGGCGCAGTCTTCTCGTGTCGTCCCTTTACAGCCGGGCCCTCTGGGTGAACGACACGGACTCTAGGTAACTGTCGCAGATCCTGGAAACGGGAAGTGTTGGAGTTGGACCGCGCACGCTCAGATCCTCCTAGAGTGGGACTCTGACTAGGAGAATGTTCCTTTTTGCGTTCGGAGGTCGAAGTTGGTACGCTCACGCCAGAATCTCTGCGCTCGTATCCGGGAGCTGGCGAGCACACGGATCTTCGGGATGAACGTGGAGACTCGCAGAACTCAGGGAAAGCAGATGTTGGTGGGGAAGATGCAGCTGCCTTTTCTTTTCTTCCGGCAGTGTCCTCCTCGCTATGCGTCGAGGAGCGAGGATTGCTAAAATCTCGCAGTGCCTTCGTGGCTTGAGCAAACTTGCGAGGTCCAGCACCGATGCTATGCATCCTGCCATTCATTCCTTCTCTGTGAGACAGACGCTGTGCTTTATCTTTATAATACTGCACGGCCTTGTCTTGGTCTGCTTGTTGATACGGTTGCGGATCTTTGGCCGTCGGCATAGGAATCACAAAGCTGTCCTCGCTTGCATTGAAGTCGGCTCTCGTGGCTGATGAATTGGCGGTAGTGGTCTTGGGAGATCCGGCTTCCGTGTCTGGTTCCATGTTCCATCCTGTCGAGTCTTGACGCCATCGACTTCGTGGACCTGCTGGTCTCGGTCTGGGGTTTTNGGTACGCGGCTCCTCGGGCATTCGAGTTTTCGGGGAGGAGTCATGTGGTGGTGCATAGTCGTTTCCAAATAGAGAGAGTGCTTCGGCTGGAGACATTGGTGTTCGGGGAGTCAGATTGGTCACAACACTCGGGCTGATGAGACCGGTCCTTGGGTTGGCCGCCCGTGCCGTGAGGTAGTCGTCGGTACCTCTGATGCCCATATCTAGCTTTGTGGTATGTCGCTGCGATGTTCTAGGTGGGGTGCGAAAGGTATCTCTTAACCATACTCGTCTCTTAGGGCGATGAGGGCGATGATCTGAGGCCGGACAATTACAAGCACTTGTCGGCGAACTTTGTTTTCGTAAAGGATTGGGTTTGGAATTTTCAGCAAACAGTCGAGCAAGTAAATGATGAAGTCGCTGGGTGACAATGTCCGTATTTCTAGCATCCATGGAGGGGAAGAGGAATGTGGTTTTGGTTGCGATGTCAACCACCAACCGTTTGCAGTTCTGAGACGGAACCTGGGGAAGTCCTTCCGATCAGTTGCTATCTCAGTCGCTGCTTCCAAAAATCGAACTATCATCGACAGTTCATAATGCAAAGCCGTTGAACATGCGTCGCAAGTTTGCAAGTCGCAATTTCGGTCCTGGCGGAAGGGTCTCAATTATCCCCAATTGCGTCGACTTCAGCATACTGCATCCATTGGTCGTTGTTGGCTTTCTTCCAAACCTGCACAAGTCCATCATCACCAGTAGACACCAGTAGGTCGCCNNTATCAAAGTGGTCAGCTCATGGTCTTTGCAAGGTAGTTGGCTTGTCCTCACCCATCTGTGAAAAGCCGACCCTCCAGACCGCACCACTATGGGCAGAAAGCTCGGTCGCAAGTCTTGCTTCCTGGTTGACTCTACCCGGGCGTCCTTGTTCTTCGCTTCTACCGCTACGTGGTCCTCCAGCGAGTCCAGCGCCTATGCCAGACTGACTTGGCTTGGAATGCGTCGGCGATTTGAGTCCAGATGAAGCTTCTATAGTGTGTTTGGATTGTGTTGCTGAAGTCTCCGAGACACCGGNGGTGTGCACCTCATATACTCGAACGTAGCCGTCTTTACTGGCAGTCGCGATCACGTCGAAGCCGCGCATTGAGCCATTTGCCCATGCGACGTCTCGTATCAATGCGTCTGATCCTTTGAGCTCGGCGGCCGTGTAGAATTTGCGGTCCTTGTCACTGCGAAAGATCTTGACAGTATCCATGACCGAAACGGCTAGCGACAAGCTCTTGCGATCGAGTCCAGCCATTATGGCAGGCCATGCAGGCAGCTTCTCATGATGCCAGCTTAGACGGAAACCTGTCTCTTCTGTCCTTTGCGGGGTCTTGCACAAATGATCTTGCCACAAGATCTGCCATTCTGAAAGGTTGTCGTGATCTACTGGCTCGCAGACTGTCAGTTGCCCGTCACGGGAGATGACGGCCAGATATGTTTCAATGCCGATATTCTTGAAGTCCAGAGACATGTACGGTACCCGCGTTGCTGAAGGTTGCTGGTAGATTCTCTTGAACCTACGGCCAGAAAGAGGTGCTTCAAGCAAATCCTCCTGCCATATCCGTAACAGACCGTCTTCTCCGACACTCCCTATGATCTCGCCCACAAAGGGACCATTCCACTTGACNNCTAGCGAAAGTCAGAAACAAACCCATGTGGATCTATAGCATTGACTCACATCGGTAACCTCGGCATCATGCGCTTTCCAGACATCGGTTACCGTCCATCCATCGTCCTTTCTGTCCCAGACTTTCAATCGATGGTCTGATGACGCGGTCACCATGCGCGTGCCGTAGAAATTGTAGTCCACCGCTAGAACGAGATCATGATGACCATGACTGAAATGATGGAAAGAATTGTTAGTAGCCATATTACGCCCCAGTCAAACACAAGAGCTGTGTTACAAGCTGCTGCAGGTAACACCAGAGTGCTTTCGCCGACTCGCGTCCGTGCGTCGCCGGTGATTGATCGTATGTCGCTGGAAGTGATCCTCTCTCGGATTGTTTCGGAGACAGCGATTTGAACGTGTAATTGGGTCTTAAAAGTGAAGCGAAAGTGGGTAGAGAACTATTTAAAGGTGATGCGACCACGCGTATATCTTAGCTTCGGACATACGCGGAGTTTAGAGCCTGCCTCAATCAATGCTGTGTCTTCGGGCGACACCATCGTTGTCTTCGAGTGAAATTTTTGATATCACAATATTGGTAAGAGTAGTTATAGCAAACACAGTGTTGTTGTAAGAAGTTCGTCAATTGATCTCTTGAATGATATAAATATACATGAAACAAATAGTAGGCAATGTAGCCATTCGTGATATCAAAACAACATCAAATTCAAGACTGGTATCGCTTTTTCCCATTGCATCGCATTAACTCCCATGAAAGCAGATGTTCGTTGCACTGGCGTAGAGCTCTACCACTCAAGAGGCTCGGTCTTCTCCTCACCACGGTTGGTCTTAGGAACTGGCGCGGCCTCAACCTTGACGGGACCCTTACGGTCGCGCTTGAGGTAGCCGGATCCGTCGAGCCAAGGAGTCTCCTCGGTACGTCTGCGCTCGAACTTGACAATCTTGTCATCCATTTGCATAGTAAGACCAATGTCGTCAAGACCGTTGACGAGACAGTGCTTGCGGAACTCCTCAACGTCAAAGGATGAGAGGACAGTTCCGTCAGCCTTCTTGATCTCCTGGTTCACAAGGTCGACCTCGATCTCTGAGCCGGTGCTGGCTTCGTCGAAGATGGCCTTGAGAGCCTTCTCGTCACCAATACGGATGGGAAGCATGCCGTTCTTGAAGCAGTTGTTGAAGAAGATGTCACCGAACGAGGGGGCGATGATGCAGAGGATGCCGAAGTCGAGAAGTGCCCAGGGAGCGTGCTCTCTGCTGGAGCCGCAGCCGAAGTTAGGACCCTGGACGACAAGGATCTTTGCATCACGGTAAGGCTTCTGGTTGAGGACAAAGTCAGAGTTCTCGCTCTTGTCCTCGTTGTAGCGCCAGTCGTTGAACAAAGCCGAGCCAAGACCGGAACGCTTGATGGTCTTCAAGAACTGCTTGGGGATGATGGCATCGGTGTCGACGTTCGAGCGATCGAGAGGAGCGGCAAGACCCTTGAGCTGAGTGAACTTGGGCATACCAGTCGAGGTGGTAGGGGCACCGCTCGAAACAGTGTTGCCCTGAGAGGTCTCGTCGAGGTCCATGATCTCCTCAAGGTCAGCGTCGCTCTCGGGTGCAGCTACCTCGGGCTCAGCAGAAACCTCACGAGGAGCCTTGCCGGTGACCTGCTGGTAGCCATCGAGCTTGCGCACGTCGGCTAGCTTGCCAACGAGGGCACAAGCGGCGGCCATGGCGGGAGACATCAAGTGGGTACGACCCTGGGCACCCTGTCTGCCCTCGAAGTTACGGTTGGAGGTAGAGGCACAACGCTCCTTGGGCGAGAGGATGTCAGGGTTCATACCAAGACACATGGAGCAACCGGCCTCTCTCCACTCGAATCCAGCATCAACGAAGATCTGGTCGAGACCCTCGGACTCGGCGCGCTGCTTGACAAGACCAGAACCAGGGACGACCATGGCGCGCTTGATGTTGGAGGCAACCTTCTTGCCCTTGACGATACCTGCGGCAGTGCGAAGATCCTCAATACGGGCGTTGGTGCAAGATCCGATGAAGACCTTGTCCAAGACGACTTCCTCCATGGGAGTGCCAGCAGTAAGTCCCATGTACTCAAGGGCTCTGATGCAGGCCTTCTTTCTGTTTTCGTCCTGGAAGTCATCGGGACCAGGAACAACACCGTCAATAGGGATGACGTCCTGAGGCGAGGTACCCCAGGAGACAGTGGGAGCGATATCCTTGGCGTCGATGAAAATATCGTAGTCGAACTTGGCGCCCTCGTCGGTCTTCAATGAGGACCAGTAGGCAACGGCCTTCTTCCACTCAGGGCTGTCGACCTTGGGAGCAAGGGGCTTGCCCTTGAGGTAATCAAAGGTGATCTGGTCGGGAGCAATCATTCCAGCTCTGGCACCTCCTTCGATTGACATGTTGCAAATGGACATCCTGGCTTCCATGGAGAGACTGCGGATAGCAGAACCACAGAACTCGATAACACATCCGGTACCACCTGCAGTACCGATCTGACCGATGACATAGAGGACAATATCCTTGCTGCTGACGCCGGGAGCGAGCTGGCCGTCGACCTGCACACGCATGTTCTTGCTGCGCTGGGTGATGAGGGTCTGGGTAGCGAGCACGTGCTCAACCTCACTGGTACCGATGCCGAAGGCGAGCGAACCGAAAGCACCGTGGGTCGAGGTGTGACTGTCACCGCAGACGACAGTGGTGCCAGGGAGGGTGAAGCCCTGCTCAGGGCCAATGATGTGAACAATTCCCTGTCTCTTGTCTCCCATACCGAAGTAGGTGAGGTTGAACTCCTTCACATTGTCCTCGAGGGTGGTGCACTGTAACCTCGAGTCATCCTCCTCGATGAATGTGGCAGCGCTCTTGAAGTTTTTCCTTGATGACGTAGGCACGTTGTGGTCGGTCGTGACAAGAGTGCAGTCGGGTCTTCGGACTTGTCTGCTGGCGTTTCTGAGGCCCTCGAAGGCCTGAGGCGATGTGACTTCGTGGACGAGATGTCTGTCGATGTAGAGCAAGATGGTGCCGTCATCTCTCTCGTCGACAATGTGGTCTTGAAAGACCTTGTCGTACAAGGTTCTGGGTCCTTTTACGACGCCGGGCATTGTGAACGGCTTGGTTTCTGTGATCAATTGAGAAAGTGGAGGAAACAGGTCAAGGCGTCAGTATGGAGTGACTGAAGCGTGGGTATCAAAGACGAAAGGAAGAGGCAATAATGAGATTCGAAGAGATGTTTCCAACCGCTTCGACCTATACTTGTATTTCTGTCTGCTCTCGATGACCGCAGCCTCCGATCTCGACGGCCTCTGTTACAAACTGCTGCTTGTGATTGGCTTGATGATCCCCACGATGCCCGTGCCCCTCACAGCTCGCCCCCGGTTCCGGCATCGCTGCAGCCTGCGCTCCGATCTCGCCCATGACTCTCCTTCCACCTGCACCACTGTCGTGATGATGATCTGTTTACCATCAAGCTGATTCAAACAATGTCAGGAGATCTGCTTTCACCTGCCTGTTTCAACATTGGTTATCTGCGCATTCATGCTGCGAAGTGTTGGCATACTGACCACACGTCTATCTAGCCTATCTCGCTGACTGTAGATGTTCGAGCCATCCATCTCTCCCACTGCCGGTTTGTGTGATTACGTACGGCCTTTGCAGGTTTACCTCATAGAAATAGACTTTTAGATGTTCTCCATCGGCATCCCCGCCTTAGGGCGTGTTTAGAACACCACTTTATGATACAGATTACATGCAGAAGAACAGGTAGTCAAATGCTAGTCGGACTTCTATATCATGTCTATATACATTTTACGATAGAGGACTATAGGTTGTCTTGCGAGAATATGACCAGAGCAAGACGGTGTCTGACTGCGAGACCGAGGAGGCCTACAAAGGTCTGCATGGCCAAGATCTCGACCGCAAGGCGATCCTCCCTCTTGGGCCCTCTCCAAACAAGCCACAGGTTGAGAATGGTCAGATTCGTGGTAGACACGACCGTTCCCTTCTCATCCATCTCGACACGCAGCAACTTCAGGGTATCCAATACCTTCAGGACTTCCCCTACCCATTTGTTCAAAGGCTTTTCAGGCGAGAAGGTGGCCTTGGATGGCTCTAAGAGTCCAGTGCGAGCATTGAATCGTGGTAATCTGTGGCGAGGGCAAGGGACGATGTGGAAGAGTTGAGGTGCGGAGTAGATGAAGTTAAAAATTTGAGGGATGAAGAGAAGCATCAGAGTTTTGCTGAAGTGACCCATGATGCCCACCACGGCGAAGACCATTCCAGCAAAGTAGCAGTATGTGTCTCCGACAAACACCTTGGCAGGGAACCAGTTGTGTTTGAGAAGGGCGAAAGATACCCCGAGGAATGGCAGCAACAGGTAGACAGAGAACAAGTGCGAGTCAGTCGCTGGGTGGAGAGTCGGAGTTGAAGGTACCAGATAGAACGCGTCGTTCAGGAGGATCAGCATGGCAATCACAATCGACTGAGCAACCTCGATGCCATTGATACCAGCAAGGATATTGATGCTGTTAGGGCAAAAGATGGAAATGGCTGACATGTACAAGTAGTACAACGATCCCAGGTCTACAATCTCTCCAAGGTAAGGCCTGAGTGCGATAGGGACAACGACGTGAGTGACACCAAAGTCGACAAAGTACAACCCCAAGATGGGAAGCGATGCAAAAGCTGGGATGAAGAACTTGTGCCTCCATCTGATGTCGAAGAAGTCATCGATGATGCCCAGAATGATGACAGTCGCCAGAGTGCCATATGCAAATCCATACGATGCAAGCTNTGGTTTGTTAGAAACATCCTACAGTATGGTTCAGAATGCTACACTCACCTTCTCGAGAGGAAATCGATGCAGGAATCTTCCTGTCTCGACTACTTGGGCTTCGATCACGACATCCTTGTTGCCGCCCCCTGAAGTTGCCGCTACGATATCGTGCTTGAAAGCAAAGGGTAGGAATGCGATGATACACAACAGATAGACAAGAGCGCTAACTAGACCCATCATCTCTGGACTATATACCATGAGTCAGCACAAGTGTTGTTTTCCCAGAGGAAGTACTACTGACAGTTCAATGGGTTGCTTCTTTGACATATCCTTTCCTTTTCGCCCGACTCGGATGAACGCGTCTCCTGTCCATCTTATGATGGCATAGGATGATGAGAATGCCAAACCGCTCAAGGCAAGCGATGCAAACACCGGTGCACCATCACTGCTCCAAGTGTTAGAGAGTACGCCAAGGCTTGCTACAGAGCAAGCCAACAGTGACCACGTCTCGGTGTTGCTGAGTTGTCCAGTCATTGGTATGGTCAAGATGAATTCAATCAGTCGAATCCATTGATTGTTTCTGTCCCCGAGTGATCGTTGGGAGGGGTTTGTTGCACAGTGAGCAGTTGGAAAAGGTGTCAACTTTCACATGTTCGTAGTGCTCCTGGCTTTAAAGCCGCTTATGTCCGAGACTAGGTAACATCTATTTGAGCCGCATCACTTTGGTTCTCTATCACTCCTTTACCAACTAGCTTATGCTACGAGAGGACGCTCTTACACGTCTTCTCTTTGTGAATAACTTGTACTGCATCAAGTTTGTAAGGTCTCTTACGATGGCCCACCGCTCAGAATCTCAATAGTCAGTCCGCATGATTTACCTGACAGAGTCAAGACTGAAGATTGAAGGACTAGCGAGCATTGTACGAGGGTCAAACGTCAATGGCGAGAGCTTGAATGACAGAAAGAAGCATAAGTGAGTGTTTCGTGCATGTGTACAAGCGATACACCGGCACATTGTCTTTTATATATTGAAACAACACCAGGAACAGGGTCATACCTACAGCATAATCGATGTCGAAACCTCAAATCGACGACAAACTGATACTATGGAGGCCTCTCAGGAGCCGGCGAAGAAAGATTGAAAGGATTCGAAGTTTGCTTACTTATGACCTTCAAAGCAGTCCCTACTCTTACAGATTCTCAGCCGGACCAACACCAAAGCCTAGTTGCTATCGACACTGCTTGTATCGCCAACCATGAGACCCAATTTTGATATGTACCATGCGAACACTGAGCGGAAGCCGTTATGCCCGGCTTATTTTGTACAGCGAAAGAATCGGACCAGATACGAACACGGATGCCGACCATTTACCAACCCTGCTTTCTCATCTTGTTGACCATCTTGACTGTACCACGGAAAGCCTCCTTGAAACGTTTTCTCCAGCGCTCAGAGTGTAGACGCTTCCTCTTGAGACCGGGACGTTCGTGAAAGCGCTGCTTGTTGAAGTCCTGGCGGACTCTGTTTCTGCCGCAAAGTTGTTCGACCTCACGGAAAGCACGGCCAACGTCACCTCCGTTTCTGACTTGGACGGTCTTGCCGAGGGTAGGGCCAGGAGTGAAGTCTAGATCCTTGACAGGTCTGATCTCTGGCCTGTAGAGGCTGCTTATGGAGTTTGACGATCTGTTGGAGGGTCTCAGACTCGTGAGGAAATCTTCCATAGAGTCCATGGGCTTAACACGGTGCTTCTCCTGAGCAGAAGGGGTAGCGAAGCGAGAGGTACGGTGTTCGGCGACATTGGGGACGCCCTTGGTGCCATCGAGGGCACTGTCCATCAGGTCGACCATTGAGGGAGTCTCATTGCGTTGTTGCGCAGGTGCCGGAGCGGGTGTCGAAGCAGCATCTTCTCCAGCGGTGGCAGATACGTCATGGGACCGTGTCTCTTTCTCTTCCTGTTTGAGTTGGCGGATGAAGGCGTCGGGTTGGTCTTGACGCAGCAGGCGTGTGGTGGTGAAGGAGCGGATGGCAAAGGGCGAGAGTTGGTTGCGGTATAGCGGCGACGAGTATAGCGATAGTGGACGACAGCGCGTCAGCGCCGCGCGGCGGCTTGTGACAATTCCATGGTGGAGGGTGTGGGAGAGAATGTCTATGTCGCTCGTGCTCGCTCGTGCTTGGGTCGGCGACTTTTCCAAAAAGCCGCCAAGCATTGCCGACAGCGAAGGCAGTCGCGCAGTCTCGAACTCGATCCATCTTCGATTTGCTCTTTCCTGTTCCATTCACTCTACCATCTGCGCCATGGCTTACAACAACTATCCCCGTATGTTCTGTTTCCAACTTTGTTTCGCTCTGTCCGTATGCTAACCGTCCACAGCTCCGGGATCATATGGCAGGCCGCCGTATGGCTTCCCGCCCAACATGGGCCCTCCGCCAGCCATGGGTACGCATCTACGAACCATCAATCATGGACGAGCATGCACTGACTAGAATCTTCCAGGTGCTGCGCCTGCCATGTCCCCTCCACCAGGCATGAGCCCTGCTGCAACTCCCCTTCCTGGTCGTCCTACCTCAGTCGCTGCTCCCTTCGCTCCGCCGCAAAACTTGCCCGACATCAACTTCAACGCTCCCGTCATTCGCCTCGGTGTCAGCCAGCCTGCCTCCAAGCCTTCTTCTTATGGCTACGATTCACGCGCTCCTGACAATGCCTCTGGAAACCGGAGTCGCATAGGTCTCGGCGCCGACCAAAGACTGCCGCGCGAAACCGTTCAACTCGTTCCTCCCACTCTGGAAGAAGTCAGCAGAACCATTTTCATCGGAGGTCTGGTGGATGGCGTTCCCGATGATGCCCAGCTCGAGGATGTTTTGGGTGCCGGCGGCCAAGGTCCTGTCAAGCTGCGTCGATGGACTCGTGTTACTGATGCCGATGGAAAGCCCTGTCGCTTCGGTTTCGCCGAGTACGAAGATGCTGGTGCCCTACAGCTTGCCACGGAGATCCTCAAAGACGTTAACGTACCTCTGCGGGAAAAGGGCAAGCTTCTAAAAGACGAAGAAGGGAACGTTAAGAAAGCTACACTCTTGGTGGTTGTTGATCAGAACTCACTCGAGTACATCGAGAAGTGGTCAAAGCCTTCTGCTGAAGAGCTTCAGTTCCGCCTGGATACCGCCAAGGACGACCTGAACCGTGTTCTGGCTCACTTGTCTTCTCAGGATTCTTTGACCAACGGTACAGACAAGAACGGAGATGTTGTCATGGAAGATGGCCACAAGCCAGATGGTGCAGAAGTTATTACTATTCCTGTCGCTGCTGAAGACGAACTGTCCGACATTCCCGCCGAAATGCGCGAGACGGTCGCCGCCGAGATTGCCGCTTTCAGAGACCGTAGTATCCAGCGCGACCTTGAGCGCCTACGTAAGGAGGAAGAGCTGGAAGCCGCCGAACGCAACCGATCCGCACCAAGGCCCAGTCGCCTGGCTTCTCCACCTCCTTCGGGTCCTGGAGGTGTTAACGGTGTACCTGTAGGTCCCCGTGATCGCACTGTTGCCGGAGCCCCATCAGGTCCAAAGGGGTACAGGGGCGCACAAATGCCCAAGGACTACGTCGATGGTGTCAACTTTGTCAACGGGAAGCATGAGGACGACGACGACCCGGCTTCTGACTCGGAACTCGAACGACGCCGCGAGGAGAAGAAGAACGCAGAGTTGGAGAAGGTGTATCTGGATCAAGAAAGACGCTGGCTCAATGTGGAAAGAAGACATATCCAGGCTCTTGCACGTGCCGATGCGGAAGAAGAAGCAGAGCAAAGCGCTCGCCAGCAGCGTCGTGAGACTCTAGCACAAAAGTATGGCGAATTCGACGACGAGGAGGAATTGCGCAGACCCACCGAGCTGTTCTACCGCGACCGCAAGGCATGGATCCGCGCACGCAGAGACTTCAAGCATGCCGAACGCTCTAGAGACGAAAAGGATCGCGAGGACGAGAGGAAGGAACGCGCACGCGAGCAGCGCAAGATGGATGGTGCTCGCGGCATGGCCGACGATTTCCTGGCTGACGCTGGACAAGAGCTGTCAGCCCGCAGTGCAGCGAAGCCGCAACCCAGAGCATTCACCCTCAACCTGGGCAGCCTCGGTGGCAATGGCGCAGCTCGCGAGGAGTCGGAAGAGCCGGAAGAGCAACAGAAGAGGGGCGTGGCAAAGCAGCAGACCATGGCCGAGATGGAGGGTCTGCTCGACGACGAAGACGATACCACACAAGGCAGTGGAGATCGCAAGAAGGCACTACTGCGTGCAGTCGACTTCAAACCTCTGGCTGCTGGCGAGAAGATGAATGACGACGAACGTCAAGCCGCCACTCGCGCACTCGCCGCCTCCATCCCAACATCCCTTACCGACCTTTTCGGCTGGCCCGTCAAATGGGCACATCTTCCCGACTCGGTCATCCGCGAACAGCTACGTCCGTACGTCCAAAAGAAGATTTTCGAGTCTCTGGGTGTGCAGGAAGACATGCTTGTCGAGGTTATCGAGGGTGTTGTGCGCAGACATGGTCGTCCAGAGGAGATTGTGGAGGAACTGAGTGATACGCTCGACGAAGAGGCCGAGGGACTGGCAAGAAAAGTTTGGCGTATGGTCGTCTTTTTCTCAGAGTCCGAGGCCAGGGGTCTGGTTGTCAGAGAGTAAAAGACTCGTTGGAGTCATGATATGTAGTTGTACGAAGACCAGTCTCATTAACACATGTCCCGTATCTTGGACTGTGACCTGTCATGCAATACTTTGTGTTCACAAGATCGTTACAACATCCAAGTGTACACAACAAAGGAAGAAGGCGATATCGCCACTCCAACGTTCATGTATCTACAAAACATCTACACCTCCTCAGCACCCCTCGGCAAGTCAAACAACCTCCGATAATCCACCTTGACACCCCNCAACACCCCCATCCCCTTCTCTTTGCCCCCAAACATTGACCCCACACNCCCTCCCTCACCATCACACCAAAAGTCCGCACAATTGCGCATGACGCCCTTGGTAAACGGATTCTCCCGTCGCTGTGCAAGCACTTCTTGGGCACGGGAGCCGTGGAGCGCGGTAGCGACAAAGGTATCAACGCCCAACAGACGTTTCCACTGTCCAAAGCAAGATTCCTTGCTGGTGGTGGCGCGGGACGTGCCTGTTGCAGGGCCACCGCCCGAAGCTCCAATGCCGCCGCCTTGTTGCGAGGTAGAGCCCGTAGCGAGAGCGGTAACTAGAGGGCCAGCATGACTATTACGCATAGCTTCCCAGGTCGTCATTGCGCGGGCAATTTGCGTAAGTTGGACAAAGAGGAGCATAATCGTCCAGGTCATTTGGATACTGCCCCAGCCGTTGACGAGCAGTGTAAATGGGTCTTTGGACCATTGGGCGCAGAATTCTGCTTTTAGGACTTCGCAGTGGATGGATGATGGTGGTGGTGTGGGGAGTAGGGTGAGGTATGCTAGTGTGAGTTGGATGAGGAAAGCGATGCCGGTGAGCAAGAAGATTATGTAGAGGACAAAGGCTCTGTGGTTGTTGACGCCCACACAGTTGTTAAGCCCTAGAAGGAAGGTAATGTTAGCAATTCTGTCGCGCCTGTACTCGGAAAGAAAAGACTCACAAGGGCAATGGTGATCATGTCTGGCTACACAACGATTGCACCGCCTGCAGTGCTTGCTCCGTAGTGGTTTTCTGATCAAACACATTGTGCAGAAATGCTGCTCATCAAATGCTTTTGCACCAATGAGCTCCTCAATGGTCGCTTTCTGCTGTCCGCGAGATGCCGAGCGAGGAATATAGCCAGGATCCATGAGCATGGCTGTAAAGTAGTAATATGCACAAAGGCCAAACGAGGCCACGAAAAACAGGTTAAGGAAGAAATGACTCGAAAAGGNTAGCTGCAAATCGTTAGCGGATGCAGAGAAGGGTACATTGATGAAGGTCCTACTGGGAAGAATGTGAGTAATGTATCTGATGCCCACCCACGCAAGAGTCGCTGCGAAAACTCCAGCCAAGAATGGCTGTTCAAGCAGTGTCAGCAACATATTCGAAAGACATCGATGATGAGTACGTACCGTTTTATGCATATGATTCATATCGCTCGGCGCCCATTTCAACAACTTCTGCGATGCCAACTGCAAAAGGTACGACGTAATCATAGAGATGGGTAGGCCAAAGTATACCGGCATGATAGAAAGAATGTACAAGGTGACACCAATAACAAACAATGGCCAGCAAAAGAAGAATCTTTCTAAGAACTTTTNTGAGTCCTTGACAAAAGCCAGGGNGAAGTTGCGAGGGTTTCCAGAGGGATCGAAGCCACTATCCGAGAGGGCGCGATGCCATTGCCTCGTCGAGTTCATCTCTTTTGCAGTGACTTCGGGCGTCTTGCCGTCATTGTTTGCGACGAATCGGTCGGCACCATATTCGAGGAGTTTTTGGATGCAGTTGTAGCTGCCCTTGACCAGAGCCCAGTGTAGTGCGGTAAAGCCCAGCTCATCTCTTGCGTGCACATCGGCACCCCATTTCAGAAGAACATCCAGGCAGGCCGGGAAACCCTTGTAAGCAGCCCACATGAGACTGGTGTGTCCCTGCGAGTCGGGAATGTCGACAGGCACGTCTGCCTGGTGCAGGAGAAGGATAAGCTGGAAGACATTCCCGTCCAGAGTGGCCGAATGTAATAGGTTGTATCCTTGGTCGTCGGTCAAGAGAGGGTCTGCGCCCTGTTGGAGAAGGAGATTGACGACATCCAGATGGCAGCGCTTAGAAGCCCATAGCACAGGGGTTGCCTCGGCGTCACCGCCTTTTGCGTTGACGTTTGCGCCGGCTTCGATGAGATAGTGGCAGAGAGCGTAGTGTCCGTTGATAGCAGCCCNACTGTGGTGTTTTGTCAGCGCTCCTGCTGTCTGGCGCATCTAGTCCGAGAGTATTACATGCAAGGCTGTGATGCCTTGGGGATCTGCCGATGTTGCCGATGCCTTGCCGCTGTCGAAGAGTTTCTGTATGGATCGCAGTTCACCCAGTCTGGCCAGGGCCATCAAGTCCTCCTGGATGGGGTGGATGGGCGACGAGGGCATATCATCGAGTTCGAGATGTCCGTTGCCGTTGCTCGTGGGAGCAGTCGGGGTCGTGATGGCTGCAGGCCGCTCGCGACTCGACGGCGCAGAGCCTTCTTTGTTTGCCATGTCTGGTTACTAGAAGATTAAGAATTACAGTCGCATGCTGAACGTAGTCTGGAATATACGGGCTTGTATGGTAGCGCGTGCTTGCTTACGCAGCCTTTAATTCTTGTGGCGCAGACCAATCTAATCTACCCTGTGGCTGAGTCGCTCTTCCGTCTTCCGCTCGGGAGTCCTTTCCGCCCGCATTGTTGTCTTGGCATCTACCTCCTCTCTCCCATTCTAGTTGGTGTATGCCCTTTCTTTAGCAGCAGCAGCAACGTCTTCCTCAGAGACATCCCATACCGTAGTCGAAAGTCAAGTCCCNCCAAAGCTTTTGCTCGGGCAAGACTCCGTCCAAGTATTTCTCGGCGTAGTCTTCGTCTTCCATATATTTCTTCAGCGAGATCGAGGTCAAGTGACCAGTCAAACCATCATTTGCCCATTCGCCGTTGAAAAGAGCAGACAGATTGGTTATGCTACGCTTCAGTATCGCGCCAATGTCCGGCTCTAGTGTCTTGCGCATCTGCTTGTTGCTCATGCGTGCTTCATTCACGATGACTGGCTGAAGCGCGTCGACCTTCTCGGCCGCATCGCTGATTATCTGCTTTGTCTTGGAGAGTATGTCCATCCCCACAGCCTCGAATGCTGGAGCTGCCAGCTTGAGGACGTCCGAACCACGACAGTGCTTACTCACGATTTGCTGAACGAACACCTTGTTGAACTCGCGCTTGAGACATTCATTGAACATCGGGATTGCACGTTGCAAGTCGGTACGGTTGTCCCAAGGCTCAGAGAATGTCGACATCAGCATTGATCGAGCTCTGGAGCCAAGCGGGCGCTTGTCGTCGATGCCATATGGTGTGATGCGAGTAATCTCCGTGCAGCTCATGCTGTATTTGTTCCACTCCGTGATGGGCTCGTACCAACCGTATTGTGCTCCGGTGAAGTCAATGGCATAAACCTCTCCCGAGGGAAGGCGTACCTGGAGGACCTCATGAAGAAAGTCTTGGTCCCATTCATAACCGACGTAACGGGCTTTTCGGACAGGCTTGGTGACTTTCACTTTGGTTTCCTTGACGTCCATGCAGATACCTAGTGGGAGTGAAGTCAGCCTCATCATCATAATAACAATTCTCCAACTTGACCTACCTTTGAGCAGCCAGTGGTTCACCACGTACATGTGGCTCAGCGAGTCGGTACAGTACAGCAGATTGAGACAGGTCTCTGCATCCTGCTTGTTCTTGAAGATGACGTCTGGGAACTCGCGGTAGAAACCGTATTCTCTCTTGGTCGGCTCAAGATCATAGTTGCCCTCATGGATCAACAGCTCTCCATCGACTTCTTCGGCCTTGACCACACAGTTGTCAAAAGATTCTCTGCGCACAGTGTACCAGATCTTCTGTAGCAGCCAAGCAGCCCTGAACAGCGCATTTCTTGCCTGTAAGTTCTTGCACTCAACGCGATGGGCAGGCCAATGAGCCTTCTGGCACTCTCCACTGCAGTAGCGAGCACCGATCTGAGGAGTCCCATCAATGTTGGGTGCTTGATAACAACCGGCACAGTAAGCCTCTGCGTCCGTGTTGTCGCAGTTGGTACATTGCTTCTTTGGGTTGACTTCACTGGCAGGCTGGCTGACGTTGGAGAGATCTTCGGATTTGTCGTCAGGTGGTTCAATGTTGAAGAGATCGTGAGAATCACTAGTCGAGATCTGGACTTTGGAGAGATCGTTGGTGATGGCGGCTGTAGCGGTCTGCAGTTTTGATGCTGCGATAGGACTATGGTTCATGTTAGATGCTGCGCGAGAGTGTGGAAAAGAATGACTTACGCATGGTCAGGATGGACGAGGAGGTCTTCTCTAGAAGAAGGGGGTTGCTTTACGGAAGCCATGGTGTGCGTGTCTAAAAGGAGATCTTCTTTTGTGGTTGGCAGACTGTGCAATAACTCGCAAAGAAAGGATGTTCGAAGTTGTGGAAGAAGTACCGTGAAGGACTGTGGTGATGGCGACAAGAGTGAACAACAAAGTGAGCTTATGAACGACCAAGTCCATCAACAAAACGCGCCGAGGTTCACCTCATCACATAAACAGATTCAAGTTTTCTCTTGATGAACCATTGCACTATCTTCACTCCCAACATCAGACCCACTCAATTTCCATTCAAGCTCGTCTTTCCCTCATCAACAACCCCTTATATTCCATGCAACTTCATCTTTCTTCAGCAATCGGTAGAGTTGGCCCAATCGGTATCCACCACTCCTCAATCCATTGCGATAAAACTCCTAGAAGTCCTTGGTTCGGCCCTTGGATGTAGTGGAACATTATGTTCTTTCTCTCCTGCAAAGGTAGAATACTTTGCAGGCAGGAGGGGTTTCCCAGACTGGCTGTTACAGCTAGCATGGTTTTTTGCTCTTTCTATTGGGACGAATCTGTGTGCTCACAATTTTGCCTCATATCTCTTCCGATATGTGTTGGTGTTTGTTGTATCTAGCTCGCAGGAATGTCTGAGTTGGTCGCTAATTCCACCTCGTGAAGCGCTCTTTCCCTCTTTAGCGTCCTTTCTTGAGTGGAGGCTTTTGCTCTTNTGCTCCATCAGCCACAACTAGTTCAGCATGTTCCTTCCGTAGCATCCAACAACCAAAAGCAACAACACTGTGTAACAGATCGTAGCTCAAAGTCTGGACTGCCGGGTGACTGTTCAATGCCTCGAACAAGACTGCAGGCATCTGGTCCCACGGCCCCAGATCTCCGATCCTCTTTTGAGTGAGATATTGAACAGTCATCGAGAAGGTGAATAAGCGTAGAGTGGCCACATGCTGGAATGTATTGGGGCTAGTTCCTGGAGCTTCATTGCTCAAGCTGCGCAGAGGAAGAACCAGCGGGAGAACAAGCAACAGACGCGCAGCAAGGATAGTATAGATGAGCCACTCTCCCTCCCCGGCATAATCGGGTGCTTTGCTGAGGCAATAGTTGTATAGCAGAGGCACAGAATACCAGAAAGGCCAGTAAGACAGCAGTTGATGATTCGAGTTCGCCGACTGTGGCTTAGTGCAAAGCATGATATAAAACAGCGTTTGTGTAAACGAAGTAGGCAGGATCTCGAGAAGTGCAAAGAAAGCCCAGAGATTGGGTACTTTGCATCTTCTGCCCTCGATGCCCATGTATATTGTGACCGCCAGAGTAGACCACAAACCAGAGGAAGAAAGCAGATAACGAGATTTGGTGGCCACGATGGCTTCTCCAAAATTCCGAAATAGTGAAGAGGTGATTGACCATTGCCACAAATGTAGAGGTGTCCTGTTTGATCCGATCAAGGCTCCCAAAGGGATATTATGGCGAGCTGTCCATTGTTGGTAGGAGAGGATCAAGAAGTTGAGCATATAGTAGGAAAGGGTAGCGAAACTGGATATGGCCAGGATTTTGAGTAAAGGAGGGATTTCCGATCTGCCATTGTTCTGGAGGTATGACTGTCTAATGGTGTTCAAGACAACTCCAGTAGAGGCCAGGGCAGCTGCGATATATGCCCAGAAGATCAAGGCTCCTGAATAATTGGTAGTAGCGTCTATATTCATCTTTTCATGTACGTGTTACCTCGAAGGTTGAAATTTAGATGGAAAGCAGAAGTTGGAAATGATGATGTTAGAATGGCCAGCGCCGATCACTTCCCCGTTGAGCATTCCATTTTGTACATGTGAGAAAGTGGACACAAATGCGTGGATGAATATGTACAGAAGATGAGGCGTGATAAGAAGGTACATATGGTATTCTTACAAGAAAAGAGAAAACTTGGACGCTTAACCTCTGGTAGTCTTTCTCTCCTCGACGCGTCTCTTGTATCTCACTTCGGCCTTTCTTCTCTCACCACCATCGATCTTGTGACCACGCTTAATCTCCCAGAGACCCTCCTTTGCGACAATCTTTGCGGCGCCGGGCGTCTCCTTGATGGCCTCCACGAACGAACCACCGATGATGTTTGATCTGACGACCTTTGTGCCTTGGACGGGCTTGATCTTGTCGAGTGGTTGTGATGGCTTGTCCTGACCAGCAGGGACGTTGACAACAATCTTGCGCATGCCAGGAGAGCTGGTGAGGGTAGCGGTGCCAGAAGCAGCGGGTACCTCGACAATCCTCAGTTCACCGACACCGTCCTGTACATCGGTCAAGTCACCACCGATTCCGAAAGAGCCTTGGCGGAACTTGTTGCGCCAGTGGAGTAGATAGCGGCGACTGCGAGCGGGCTCGACACCAAGTTCGCGCAGTTGTAGTGATGAGAGGGAGAAGAGAGCGTTCCAGTCGGGGATCTTTTGGGCGTGCTGGGACATTTTACGGCCAATGAGAGTGAGGAAAGTTTGGGCATCCGGGACGAAGGGTGTAGGTCTCGGTATGTCCTTTGCGGCGACTTTTGCGTGCAGGCATCGTAGCTGTGTCTGGACGAAGGATGTGGTGGTGGGCAGAGCCTTGACGGGGAGGGACCGCCTGGCGAACATGATTGCTCCGAGTTGTGGTGTTTGCACGAGTTGTGATGAGGCGTTTCCAAGAGTGTAAGGGCGGAGGACTGAAGAAGGAGCGAACGGCGAGTGGTGGGCACAAAGGCTCTCTACTTCGGTTGAAGGTGAGCGCCTGCCAAAAAGTCGCTGTCGCTGCTGCTTGTTGCACTTGGTCCGTGTGGTGCGGCCCGGCCCGTAGAGCCGCTCCGCATCATTGTAGCCATCGACACTCAAGTCTCGACTCTCTCGGTCCTTCCTTTACTCGACGACTTCGAGGTTGACGCACAAGATGGGCAAGGGTCTCTCGCCTGCATCTCCTGCCATGTTCAGGCCCGAAACCGGCGCCAACATCAAGGCAGCAACTCAGATGCAAGCCCAAACCCTCGATCCTGCCCGCTCTGCTCGACCTGCATCTGCCACAAACATTGCCGAGCAGCTGGACGACCAAGAGCGTCGCAAATACGTCAAGGGTACGCCGTCTTCCTTGAATCTTTTGTGACTCCCACAGACACTCATATTTCGCNNAGGCAAAAAACTCGGTTCCGGTCAATACGCCGACGTCTTCTCCGCCCACCTCGTCTCGGATCCCACCCAGCTCGTCGCCATCAAGAAGATCAAGGTCGGCCCCGAAGTCCAAGAATGGGGCATCTCGCACGATTCCCTGCGCGAAATCAAGTTCCTCCAAGAGCTATCACATCCCAACATCATCCGCTTGTTCTCCGTCTTTTCCACAAAGAACCAGAACCTCAATCTCGTTCTCGAACAACTGCCCCAGGGTGATCTCATGAAGCTGATCCAGGACACCACCATCGACTACAGTCCTAGCGATATCAAAGCCTGGATGAGCATGTTGTCCCGCGCCGTCTGGTTCTGCCACCAAAACTTCGTCCTGCACCGCGATATCAAGCCCAACAACTTGTTGATAGCCGCCAATGGCGAGATCAAGCTTGCCGATTTTGGTCTTGCTCGTAGTTTCGCCGATCCTCACGCCCCCATGACTTACAACGTCATCACCAAATGGTACCGTCCTCTGGAGCTTTACTACCAGGCCAACTTCTACTCGGGCGCCGTTGATATCTGGTCCGTCGGCTGCGTCTTTGCCGAACTTGTCATGCGTTACCCTTTCTTCTTCCAGAACCCCGACGGCGACCTTGCTATGATAGGGAGGATTTGTGAACAAGTCGGAACTCCTACAGAAGACAACTGGCCGGGTGTCAGCAAACTACGTGGCTACGTGCCCGTCGCAAAAGAAGACGTCAAACCGGTCAAGAAGCGTGCAGACTGGGAAGCCAATTTTGGTACCGTGGGTCCCACAGGCGCAGACTTGCTAATGCAAATGTTTGCCCTAGACCCACGCAAACGTCCGACCGCTGCACAGATCCTCGAACACCCCTACTGGACTGCCGATCCTCGTCCTTCACGTCTCGAGCAATTGCCCCGTCAAGGAGGAGGTTTGGATGCCATGGGTGAAGATCTTAAGAGACGTGGCGGCGAGCTGCCCGACGCTAGGGGTGCCAAGGTGGCTCGAAAGATCGACTTTGGCTCTATGAAGGGCTGAGAGATGTTTCGATGCCATATGAACAACAAATCAGCCTAGACCAGGACTTCCCTTGCCACAAACAGAGCCCTATACACCAGGTCTTTAGGATTACAGCGGGGCTGTAGCAGGACAGGTATCTGAGCTCTCACAGATGAGCACTCCGGTACACATTGACTTGCAATGATGGCAAGGACTCGTAAAATTCATGGGATAGCCCCATGATAGGCATAGCATGAAAGGGGCTGTCACTTCCTCGTCGTACCTGCTGCGCAGCTGGCCACTGATATGAGAAGTCAGCGAGCATCCACTCCATCGCAAGGGAACTCGAGTTCTCCAAACCTCTATGAGGTTGCACTCCAGAAGAAAGGCCGAAAAAGCTATAATAAGCTTAGAGAGAAGAGACTGAGATGTAAAGGAAAGCAAAAACTCGAGGATATCATATAAAGCATAGACTAGGTATTAGTTACGTAGGACGTGAACGCGGCAAAAGGACAAAATCAAAAAGCGAACAAATTCGTCACCATCACCACCATACCGTCTCATTCTCCTCCAACCCAAGCCTTCGACCCCAGGATATCATGTTCTGTCGTCCACCTCCCCTTCTCAATCCCACTACGCCCCATCCCTTTCCCAAGCAGTCAGCCTAAAACTCCTCTTGGAACTTGGTCTCGCGGGCCGGGCTTTGGGTCTTTTGCTGTCCGCCAAANNAGGTAGGTGGGGGAGCAAGAGTTTCGTCAAAGTGGTCGCGTGCCTCTTCGAACTCGTCTTCGTCGCCGCTAATGGCACTGATGCTGCTGCGTCCGCGGCGGGCAGTGGGGCGTGTGGTGGGCAATTGCTCATCGCTAGACACAGAGGAAATGCTGTGGAGATCAGTGTCGTGGCGGCGGAACGACGAGTCCGAGACTGTATCGCTGGTGACGGGAGCCTCTGTTGTCACACCGGTGGTCGATGGCTCAGAGGTCGAGAGGCTCTTCTTTGCATCTGTGGCTGGGAGGGTGACGGCAGTGGTTTCGGAGGATTGGGTCTTCTCGGCGGGCTTGGACTTGCGGTTGAAGCGAGAGAAGAAACCACTCATACGGCTGGACTTGCGACCTTGGAAGGGTACGGACTTTGCGGTCGCAGGAGAACTATGTCCGACAGGCACCGATTCAGCGACGTTTCCAGAAGTGGCCACGACGGGAGGCAGAGCGATAGCATTGGCCGAAGTCTCGGGAACCGACAAGGGTATAGGCTTGCTGTCCACGGCCTGTGTGCCGCTGGCCACGGCTGGTGTGTTCCCATCCTCGTCGATGCTGGAAAGACTGAGACTGCTGCGTGCGCTCGAAGAGCTGGAGCTAACAACAGTGGAAACATGACGATCAAGCTCTGGACGAAGGCCGCTCTGAGTGCTGTGGACTGTACCGCCAGTAGTGATTCTAGTCATCATATCTGGAGAGTCGGTCTTCTCAAGGGGAGCGCCGTCGGAGGTAGCGACGTTCTCAGTGTCAACAGCAGGAGTACGGTCAGTATNCGACAACTTCTTCGTCATCCTTGACTTTGGAGTGCTCGTCAGTAACGGCCGTGGCGCTGCCAGAAGTAGCTGGTTTCTCGGCGTCGTGGGCAGCGGCAGAAGCCTTGGTGGCTTCTTCAGTCTCCCTCTTGATCTCCTTGGATCTGCGCTTATCTTCTTTGCGAGCTTGCTTCTCCTCAGCCTTGCGACTCTTCTCAGCTTCCTTTTCAGCTCTTCTTGCGGCCTTTGCGTCGGCTTTTTCTTGATCTGGACCGTCGTCAGTAAAAGTATGGAAGCAGATTGGACTTAGCAGCACTCACCCTTCAGGCGCTTTGTCTCAGCCTTGACTTCCTTCTCACGCTCCTTCTCGCTCATCTGCGTGCGTCTTCTCTGTTCTTGATCAAGACGAATTTCTTCATCTCTGGCGCGTTTCTTCTCTGCATTATCGTTGATCTCGTCAAGAGTGGGTTGCAGTCTGCTCTGAGCAATGGCGTCCAGCTCAGACTGGTCCATGTACTTTCCACCACCAATACTGACCTTACCGAAGTTGCGCTGCCTGTCCTCGCTCTGGGCTGTAGCACGAGCGCGAGCCTTGGTCTCCCACTCTTCCATCATCGCAGGTGTAACCTGACCTGTCTGTTGGAAGACTTGCTCGTCCATAGTGTGCATCTGAGCTTGAACTCTTTTCTCGGCGGCAGCAAGTAGAGCAGCACGGTCTTGATTACGCTTCTCGTCTTGCTGAGCAACCGAGTTGTTCAGAGAGGACATCTGGTTGCGGATTCTGCGCGATCTGAACTCGTCGTCAGACGAGTCATCCTCGTTCTGGACGGGCTTGGGGTTGCTGTCGGCACGGTTTCTGCCAGTACGGTTGCGCAGGGACAAACGATTACGAGGCGACTGTTGCTCGTAGCCATAGTGAGCACGATAACGAGCAGCGCCATCAGGGTCCATCTTTGCAAGACGCTCGTTGGCAAGCTTCTGAGCAGCTTCCTGAAGGTGAATGTATTGCACAGCCTGCTGGCGTAGATCGGGCTGAGTCGAGGCTGCGGAAGGCACGCGGTTGTGCGAGACAGTGGCAGCGCTGGTTCCGAGGCGTTGTTGAACTTCGGCGGCCTCCTGGTCGCGTCTTCTCTTCTCGCTCTGGTCGTACATTTGCTTGGCCATTGAAATGGCAGAAGCACGGAGAGCGGCCTGCTTCTTCTTCTCTTCGACCTCCAGGTCGACTGGAGGAGCACCACCGAACATCTCGCGCGGTACGTTGCGACCCAAGTTTTGTACACGAGCAGCGCGCATGGCGTCAGACTCGATGCGATTCGAGTCTTGAGCGGCAGGTGACTTGTTCGAAGGTCTGTTAGCCATGGTAGCAGCATTGAGTGCGTTATATGCCGAGTTAGCAGAATCAGGGTATCTAGGATGTTCGACCGGAGGTGTTCTGGTCGATTGAGACTTGCCCAAAGCACCAGTGGCAGCCATGAGGGCCTTCTTATGTCCGTCCTCGGTGTAGCCGTAGTCGAGCTTGGGACCCAGGTTGCCCTTGCTCATAGCAATGCCGGCGGCAGAGTTTCCTTCGGCCGAAGCCTCGGGCTGCCAGAGGTTCAGTTTGGGGCCATCTTTGTGTGCAAGTAAAGCAGCCTTTGAGCCAGCTGCGCTCAACTCTGGTTTCCACAATGGTGCCATCTTGTAGTCCTTTGCAGCCATTGCTGCGATTCCCGCATTCTTAGACGGGTCGGGCTTCCAGTGTTCAAATTGCTTGTGTCCAGAGTTTGCCAAGTTGGCAGCGGAATGGGCGGAGTTGGTCGTTTCGATGCCGACGATAGGGTAGCTGGGAAGGTCTCGAGGACTGGCATACTTGAGCGACGCTGCGGCACCTAGAAGTGGTCAAATTTAGTGGGAAAAGATAGAGACTCAACAAGACTTACTGCGCGACGAAAGCTTGTTGTTAGCGTCGAGAACATCCTCCTTCTGCTTTGTGCTCTTGCCAGTCTTAGTGACATATAAAGCAGCAGTCGAGGCCTGCTCTTGAAGTCTGGTGTCGCGATGAGCGGTGGGGTCCGGACACACGGGCAGAGGTACTTGGGAAGCAGAGGTCGTCACGGGTAGCGGAGCAGTAGTAGACAGACCAGAGGCAGAGGTCGTCACGGGCAGCGGAGGGGCAGTGCTGGAGTCGCTCACGGTGGAATTGCGGTTGGTGGCCGTCACTTGCGGAGGGAGGTCAAGAGCCTTGGAGCCGGGTCTGTAGCTGCTTCTAGCGTCGAGCTTGCTGCTGCTCGTCGTGTCGCCTTTGTCGCTGGTGGTGGTCGCCGATCCAACGGACTTCTGACTGAAGTCGTCGGTCTGGTAGACGTTGGTCGTCGTCTTGCTGGGAGTGTCGCTAGTCGCCGAGGTGGCAGAATCGCGAGTCGTCGCGGCCGAGTGATTCTCGGCGGGGTCTGTGGTGGAAGCGGTTATGTGGGCTTTGGCAGCCTCGATGGGATTGGTTTCGCTCATGGGCGCCTTCTTCTCTTCGATCGGAGTGGCTTCAGGGGTGTGTTGCTCAAGCAGAAATGCTGTGTCGCCTGTGCTTTTGACTTGGGCAGACTCCATTAAATGCTAGGAATGAATGATGTGACGGCGGTTAGATGGCGGAAGGACAGCCAATATTGCGCCCTCCGAAAGAATGCCCCATCTCCAAATATGCCCTACGTCATTTTCAAACCGTTACGTCAACAGCCTTGACTGGAAGCCAACGGTGCGACTCGACAACCAAGCCTGCGGTCTTGTCACATCTCCTCGAAACTCGTCCATGGAGTCGAGCCATCTTACCACTGAATTCATCTCCATATGTCACTGCTCTGTTGACGAGCAAAGATTGATTGAATTGTACCCCAGTTGTGATCGACGTCTGGGTTTGTAGTCCGAGCTCCATTTGTCCAGAACTTGATTTGGGCCCATGCGTGTCCAGCTTTCTTGTTGATCAAGTGCTGCTTTATGAGAACCTCTGCCTCTTACTTGTATCATTGACCTTCTGATACTAGAAACGCAAACACCAACAGCTCACTTACGCTTACTGCGCGGATCTAACCAATTCCTGGTGTTTCATATCACGGTCAAATCACGAACCCAAAGAAGCCCAAGCAATCATGGCACACGTCGACAAGTTCGACCGCTTGCTTAATTTTCGTGATGTCGGTGCATTCGTCAACGAGCTGACTGGCTCNAACGTGAGACTCCCTATACAAGTCATTGTCTACACTCCATAACACCCCCTTAGAAAGCTCAAGCCTGGTATGCTGTTTCGAAGCGCCAGACCAGACGAAGCTTCAACTGAAGATCGTAGACGACTAAAGGACGACTACCATGTCCAAACAATCATTGACCTGCGCACAAAGTCTGAACACATTGTCCAGGCTCAGAAACGATCAATCCCCATACCATCAGCCGAGCCTGTTGCTCCGTCCAACAATCAAGCCGCCGAGCCCGTCAAAATCCCTGGCCTAAACTATGCCGAAATCAACTTCAACGGTTCCTCGTACTCATTCGCACTGATCCGCCAATTGCGATACTGGTCTGCTACCAAGCTCATCGCTCTTATGGCTGCAGGATACCGCACTCAAGCCATTAGCATCCTGGGTACAGAGGTCATGTCTGAGCGCGGGCTCATCGGTCTGGCTTATGACTCGCTCGCTCACTGTACCTCCGAAGTCCTCGCCGTGTTTCGTGTTCTGGCTGACGAGAAGAGCTATCCTGTTGTGGTGCACTGCACACAAGGCAAAGATCGTACGGGCTTGACCATTCTGCTTGTTCTTTTGCTACTGCATGTCGATACGGCAGCCATCAACACTGACTACATGCGAACGCAGGAAGAGCTGGTCTCTGAACGCGAAGCTAGGATTGTTGAGATAAGAAGCATCGGTATGCCCGACTCATTCGCCGACTGTGATCCTCAATGGGTTGACAGTGTGGCTGCTCATATAAACGAGAAATATGGCTCGATCGAGGATTACTTGCTTCGTTGTGGCGTCAACAAGGACATGCAGCAGACCGTCAGGCGTATCTTGTTGGAGTAGCCAACACAGAGCATTTCTAGCGCTTCTACAGAACTAAACATCAACTCTCCACTAGGATCCTCCATTGAACACTAGATATCATCCTCTACACTATATGTAGTATCTTGAGGAAAAAAGAAAAAATAAGGAAAATAAGGCATCCAAACATCCGTGCCAAGCCTAATTTCCAAACGCTCTTTTCCTCGGCGCACACCCTTTTGACCCACGCAGCAAAAAAATATCTCTTCCACCCCTTGCAAATAGTCAAAAGAAAGGTCGTACCCGGGATCGAACTGGGATTACCGGAATCAGAATCCGATGTGCTAACCATTACACTATACAACCATTGATGGAGGGCATGTTGCTTGGGAATAAATATATCCAGTCACACCACAAAAGATCAACAGGGCCTATCGAAAACCGTGAGTATCAAATTCACAAGCAAGTGGTACGCAAGGTTTCAAGTTCGTGCCATGTTCAATGTTTGTCATTGATCTCTTGTCATGCCATCGTATTGAGTTGGAACAGAAGTTGTACACAGTACTTTTCATTCTTGTCCGAACACAGATTGTCGGATGCTAGAGGCGTCCTTCTACTTCCACGTCTGGTAAATCAATGCTTCTCACAACTAGCCAAGAACGAGGGCAAAAGAACTGTTTCGCAGGTACATTAAAGTATACAACCAGTAGGACATCTCAACTCGCGTATACGTGGTGATGAGTTGCCTAATGGTGCACGGCGTATGCTTCGAAATGATGGCCATGATTTCGCTGTACAGCCGAAAACAAGCGCGCGTGTGTCGAGAGATCGGTCCTGTTTGATCATTCGGCCTTGGCAAAAATCCATTCTCTTTCTGGGTTGAACCACTAACATCCTTCTGCTTAAAGGACGAAACAACCAAGCTATGTTTCTCTGGCTTGAATCGTTCTTAGAGTCAGGGTTCCAATCTGGAGTGCTTAGCTCGATGCAAGACTTCCTAGATAGGTGCACGTTTCAGGCTCTTCTGACAGCATGGATAAAACAACATCCTCTCAAGGACACTCTTTCCTTCTTACAACCACAACACACAGTCGTGCTTCTCAAATATCTTTTGCTGGCTATCCCGGTCTTCTCGTTGGCCTCTCACGAAGTACCCGTTCTAGGAATCAGTATCGGAGCAAAGGATCTCGCCGTTGTTCAGAGCCTCGCAGATGGATCCACGTCATTGATAGCCCGAGTCCCAGCAAATACCACGTACATTGACTGGTTTGACAAGGTGGTCAAGCTTCCCGAGCAGAATAGGTTATGGTCATCATGCATATAGTGCAAGCTTCATTCTAACACAACCCCTNNCAGGACCATGGTTGACACTGCCGCGCTGCATGAGGCTCTACTTGCCGCACAGTATACAGTTACTCAAAGATTTCAACAGCACGTAAAACTCAACATCTTTACCTCGCTAGAGGACATTGAGGATCTGGTCTATGAAGCCTTCTCAGTACTCGAGCTATTTGCGCCTCAGGAAGCGGATGCTTTACGTCACATCAGGCCGGAAAGTGCGATGAACTATGCTTACAGATTGGGCACCTGTGGGGTCGCAGGCTTACCTGAAGGCTGCGACCCAGAAGATATCGATGGAGAAGCGTTATGGCTGGACTTTGACGCCGCCTCGCTAAACGTGCGTCTCCTGAGGTTTGCAGAGTATGGTGGAGACGCCCGTGCTGGATCCGTGTTCTTGGGGCTGAAAGGAGGTGACTGCTCAGAGGTATGATAGCTCTCAAGCTGAGTCACTGAGGACTCGGCTTAACTTAGCAAACAAAAACAAAAGCAATGCATGATCGACGCTATGCAGGAGCACGTCAGCGATTATCTGGACCAGAACACCGTCCTAAAAGACTTCCCAGGTCGTCGTGGCGACAACTATAAACCACTGCGCTCTGATGTCAAGGCCATCATCATGTCTGGACATCCGCCACCTGGCTCTCTCGAAGCTGTACAACTTGCCATCNNTCATCGTGTCTTGCCTGATCTGGCGAAGCTGTTCCCAGACTTTGTAAANCCAAGTTCCGCTATGGCGGTGGGAGCAGCACGACGAGCTAGACAGATATGGGATCATCCTGAAGAGGTCAGAATATATCCATGTCCTCCACTCATGCCCTGGCACGACGAGTTGTGATCTGCCCATATCTGCATGAAACGTCTATTAGAGCCCTTCAGAGAACATATAGTAGCCAACAGAGAATGCATAGTCAACGCTAACACTATGGTGGTAACCAGAGACAATATTATCTCCATGTCTTGTGATGACCGGTTCTGATCAAAGAGAGGAAACTTTTACCAATAGTTATTGACCAACTGAATCTCGTATGAAGCACATACGGCCACAGTCAGCTGAAAACTGGGCATCCCGTCCGCTCTGCCATACATAAGCAGTTGAACGGCAGATTAGTACTACGGTGGGTGACCACGTGGGAATCCCTGCTGCTGTATGTTTTGTTCCTTTTGCTCCACTGACTTCTTTTTTGGTTTGTTCACAGTCAGCTATGCAGGGTTGTCTCTACAAACTCCGTGAAGTGCTGCTGTAGTCACAGCGTCGTTCCCTAACCTCCACCCAGGTTTAGAGAGCGAACAATGACAACTCAAGATTTCGCTGTATGTCGCTATCTTTTGTGAGAGCCGGGTCTCAACAACAGAAGGATGGCAAAACAAGCAGATATCAAGCCAGATCGTAAAGCACAGAAGAGACATAGAAAGCAGGACCAATGAACTTGTGAATTTATTACAAGAAAACATTATACATTTTGTGAGAACAAATGGTATCCAAACTAAAACAGCCTCTATCCCAAAGAAGAAAGCAGAAACATCAACGCCCGGGACCGCGCGTAAAGTTGCGATGCGATCCATATGTGATCCTTTGACCCCTTGTGGCAGGATACAGCTGAACATTTTCCGCCACCGCTCTCTTAGCATTGCTCTTTGCAGCCTTGGCCGCAGAATCAGAGTACAGGCCCGAAGAATAGCCATACGCAATGCTAACAGCAGAGTTGGTGACATTGAAGTATCCGGAAGTATCGCTATCGCTTTGCTCGGAAAAGTACTGCACGCATTGCCAGAAGCCTGCGCCTTCGCCTGCAAGTCCTTGGCCGCTAGTGCTGATGAAGTGGAGATCGAAGGAGAGGTACTCGTTGGGGTCGTCGAAGCGGTAGTAAGCATCCTCTGCACACTGCTGAACGGCTTGGTCGGCAGTCATGGTGGTGGTGTAGTTTGAGACGACGGGAGGGAAGTTGTCCGAGTAGTAGGCGTTTCCGGGGTTGTTGGGGTCTTCGGTGTAGCCGCAGCCTCGGTAGAAGCGCTGATACTCGGTGTCGCCTACGGTGACGGTGGCAGAGGGGGTATTGAGGGGCGCGAGAGAACAGGTCGATCTCGGATCCGATGTTGTTGACGCAGAAGCTGAGGGAGCTGCAGCACCAGTGGAGGTGTATGAGATGGCGGCAGCGGTCTTTTTGGTCGACGTGCTTGATTTGGAGCTCGACTTGGATACTAAACTCGATCCTGAGCTCGATTTAAGGGTGATTACCGTAGTTGCAGTAGTCGCAGGCGTTGTACCAGCTTGGGTCAAAGTGTTGGTGATTGTTATGATTGAAGGATAGAAAGTCACCACCTTGGTGGCAGTGGCTTGAGCCCCAACCGTCTTTACACTCGTCACAGTTCTAGTAGAAACGATATGAGCTGCGCTCGATGCTTTGGCGGTGCTCGAAGCTCTAGCAGTCACTGTGGTTTTCGCGACAGTGACGGTCCTCTGAGGGGAGTCGACTGTCTTGACGCTGGTTACGGTCTTGATCGATGCGCTCGATGTTTTTGTGGCCCCAGATGCCTTGGCTGTGATAGTGGTCTTTGCAATGGTAACAGTCTTCTGAGAAGATCCAGCTGCACTCAAGGTCATGGTTTTGAACACTGTGGTCGGTTTGACGTTTTGGCTGTTCGCCGTGATGGTCGTTTTCGTAATCGTCAAGGTGGATTTGGCGATAGTGATCGTCGATGTTTTCGCTGGAGCAGTGGGCTTGAGGGTGATCGTGGTCTTTGCAATTGTGACCTTCTGAGTTATGGTCGTCTTGGCAATTGTCTTTGTATTGCCAGCGCCAGCACCAGCACCAGCATTTGAAGCCTTGGCTGTCACAGTGCTAATGATGGTATGTTTCTCGGTGATGGTTGAAACGCCAGTCGTTAGGATGGGTACGGATCGGACTGTAGTCAGAGCAACTGTCGATTTCGCGACCGTGATCGTGGAATATTGGACAACAGTCCTGGTGGCAACTTTGAATGTCGAGATTGGGTTCCAATCAACACCGACTCTTGCTGCTGGCTGGAACTTGCCATCAATGATACATTGACAAACGTTGAAAACTTGTTGTGTGGTTAGACCAGGGACTGGGCTTTGGGATCGAGGNNGCTATCGCATGTTAGCTTACAAATGGTATGGTATGGTTGTAAGAGAGGCTTACGTTGCGACGTAGAACTGGCAAAATGGAAGGCCATACTTGATATCGTCGTTGAAGATATCTAGATGAGACACGACGCAAGCNNTGGAGGTTGTATGAATACTCGATGTCCTGCTCTTTTGTTCATAAGGACATACCTGTTGCTCGGGGACGACTTCGAGGCTTTCCCTGTCGGTGTTGGATAGGGGTGATGCAATAGTGAGTGATGACAGCAAAGATGCTGTGAGTACAGAAAGGAACCGCATAGTGTTTTCTCTTCAGGCTGCCAGAGCCCAAGGTCGGATAAAAAAGAGTAGTTTGAGAACGTCGAAAGACGGCCTGACCTTTGCTTCTTTGACTTAATCCTGAGTGATGGAATCGCCTATAGCATCTGTCCAGTGAGACGGCAGGGAAGGGCTTTGTATCAAACCGACCGGTGCCTCCCTCGATCATCGCCCATCGTAAAAGCAGGTTTGCTTGATAGCGCGACGTTTGCACTACAGCGATGCGATCACCATACGTGCTCATCGTGGCAGACCAAGTGGATGCCGGCAATACAATAACCTTCAACGCTCGCGAGGCGCTTCCATGCCGAGCAAGGGTATGGTATGAGGGCATGAACCGTTGACAACTAGGTGGGCCTTTTCCAGATAGAGAGAGACAGAGTTAAGGATCATCGCGGCCGAGAGTGTAAAGGCAGAAACATCAACGGTTCGGCGACAACAGTTCTTTCTTTATACATGCGCAGCCCTGTATGCAGTAGACTTGCCGTGATGCGAGTTTCTGCGTCATGTCGTGGTCGCGCCTACCTCGAGTAACTAACGAATACGATCACTTGCATTGTGCTTCGGGTAAGAGCGACACAGGCATTCGCTGATCACTCAGTTTGATGGAAATCATAATATTGGTAGATGACCAAAGCAGGCAGGCACGTTGCAGAAGGATTCCCTCGGACGTCGGTCTTGGTGGGGGTGTATCTGAAGAGATCATTATTGACGCCCACTGCTGGATGTGTCAAAAGGGATGCAAAATTGCTACTACACGATAATCCTGACACGACAGATGATACCCAGAGTGTCCCGCTCAATTTCTCAGAGCAGTATCCATCCGCTTGTTAGCTTGTTCTAGAATTGTCAACTTATGCCCTTTGAGTGGGCGAATATGGTAGGAGTTTCAATACCAAGACCCTGCATGTGGGTTATTTGCTTGGCTAATTCCACAATTGATCGATCCATCATCATAACATCTCCTTGCCAGCCTCCTCTTTTTCTCACAACCCGGAAATATTCGTACTCGTGATACAGATTACCTATTATACCGGTCTGGACTCTCACGGGAGTAGTCGTTTTCCAGAGGATGCGTCGTTTGTGGCCGTTTATTTTTAATAGCTTCGGCGTCTACCAGCAACACTGGTCTGGGCTCTCTTCCGGCTGTCAACATACCAGCATCGGATTTGCTACGGGCTTAGTACGTACCTATGGTTTGGCTTTGCTGCTGTTTGCTGACCTCACACCCTCGTGCCAATTTCAACTGTGGGCAATCTGGCATGAATCATTGCACTAATGCCTATTTGTGGTCCTTGCCTTGATATAGAGGACGGCCACCATGGAGCGTGCATTCCAACTCGCCTGCATAACCCCGAGACGAGTCTCAAAAGAGCCCTCGCAGTCGTCTCTATTCTAGATCTTCTTGTTCTTCCAGAATGGGGTCATGACCAAGGTTACCATCGCTGGAGTCATGTCCATGACTCGAAAGCTAGCAGTTTGGAAAAGAGTTTCAATTTCTTTACCATTTCGTCCATTTCTGGGCAACCTGTCATTCCGTTTGGTCTGACGCCCTAGGCTCGACACTCACCCCGAGACTGGATTGGCTTGCATCGAAGGCGCTTCCAAATTTCCGAAAGACATGTTCCCACTTCCCGGCCTTATGAGATGTCTCGTCCTCCCGAGACAATGAGCCATGGCCTCATGACTACCAAACGGTCAACGTTTCGAAGTGCAAGACCAAGTTGGGATTCTCGTACGAAAGAACGTCTTTGCAATCCTGACAAGACTTGGGACATCATTTTATTAACGGCAGGCAACAACCCAAGTGGATTGTCTAGAATATCAAGGATCGCGATGCCGTGATCCGTATAAGAATTTTCTCCCTTAGCATAATAATCAACGGTACAGTGCCATGATGGGCAACTGATCCCCACTCAAGCAGCTACAGCTCTCAAGACTCCGATGAGAATACAACCTCAACCGAGGATGTCTACTGTCAAAGATCGAATACGATGGACCTTGAGCCAATCGTCGAGCACTTTCACGCTGTTACCCTTCGTCTCGTCCTTAATGATGGACGTAAACTTCCAAGCAACCGCGGGTACGAATGCAAAATGAGCAGCACTAAGTACTGCCCCAGCGGTATACCATTTTGCTGAGCCTGAGGCAGCAAGAACTTGACCATGATAGTAAAGGTTTGCGCTTGCGGTCAAGATGGTTGTTGTATAGGTTGCAATCAGTTGGCCAGTGTATCCGTAGAACCAATCGCCAATGTATGTCGGCAGTAAAGGATTGCTCTTATCTCGATTTTTGTGTCGGGTAAAGATGCTGATGAAGACGTTTTGTGCCCAGCAATACGATAGTGCTGCAGAGGAAGTGACGAGTGGAGCGACTCGTAAAAGGACGACAGGATCAAAGAACTGACATGAGATCATGTTGAGTCCTTTCCAGTATGGTACGAACCACAAATGAGGGACGAGGTTGCTGTTACTGGCCTCAAGAAATCGTAGGACATGACCTGCTTTTATCCTACCATTGTATGCGAAAATCGCGTGATTGTGGAGCGATCTATAGGATCAACAAATGCGTCGCAAGTTGCCATCACAATCGATATTTTGTCCTACCCAGAGAGCCTCACGAAGTCGACGGACTTTTCCATCACGTCTTTCTCGAGGACAACCAGTGGAATTTCTTGATCTCTCGTGGAATTGGAAGTGCGTGCTTGACTTTCGGAAGGCGGTGAGCCCCGTAGATCCCTCATCCGAGCGGGCCGACATCCGGCGGCTAACAATCTTTCGGCGAGCATTGGCCTATCTTTCGCACCGCAATACGGCCTTGTGACCGTACAGGGCAAGAGGTCTGTTGCACCATAATCGTCGATGGTCGCGTGCAATCTGACATTCTTTGGTCACTTCCGTATCACGACGAGTGGCACTGCTTCTGTATCCTTGAACCAGACTGTGTCTCTGTAGTGTCAACGTCGAGCAGCAGTAATGATGGCAGCCTCTAATAAGGGGCAACCCGAGCGCCGCCTGCCTGTGCAGCAGATGTGCGTACTGGTAAGTAAGCATTGTACGGATCATTTGCTCTCTGCAACTTCGTAGACGAACATTACTGATCCGATCTGACAGGCTCTATGTCGGATGTCAGAACCGATCGCGTTCACATCAGTCTTCCCGTATCTGCCAGAGATGATCGAGAGTCTAGGTATACCACAGACCGATGTGGCATGGTGGGCAGGATTCACTGTAGGCATGTTTCCCTTAGCACAATTCTTGACTGCTGTATCCTGGGGCCGGGCTAGCGATCGCTATGGCAGAAAACCAATTATCTTGCTCTCCTTGACTTGCACCATGATGACATCTCTTCTCTGGGGATTCTCTAATAGTCTGGGCATGGCCATCGCTGTACGAGCACTTGCAGGAGCCGCCAATGGCACAGTTGGTATCATCAGAACTGCCGTCGCGGAGATGGTACCTTGGAAAGAGCTTCAACCTCGTGCGTTCAGCGTTATGCCCCTTGTCTGGAACATCGGCAGTATCTTTGGTCCTACACTTGGAGGTGCTCTTGCCAATCCATACCATGTCGAGCCTGGTCAGCCTCTGTCAAACAACCCTGCNATTTTTGAGCGGTTCCCATATGCACTGCCGAATATGCTTGCCGTGATTCTGTTTTTGGTAGGTATAGCCATCGGAACACTATTTCTGGAGGTAACATAAAGCCTAACCTATAGCTTGTTACCATTAGCTGATCTGTTCAGNGAAACCCTTGCAGCGAAGAAAGACCGCCGCGACTACGGGCTTGANACTGGGATTACAATTAAAGTACTACACCAAGCAGGCGACTAGAAAAGTTACACGGATGCCGAATGATCAGGAGAANNCTCGCAAAGAGAGCCGCTTCTTAAGCCACAGTTCGCACCTTCCTCAGGTTCTGATGAAGAATCTGGAGCACAAGCAACGCCGAAACCAGCACTCCCTCCACCCAGTTTCCGCGAAGTGCTTAATCGTCAGACCATCATTAATCTGGTCGTGTACACCCTCCTTGCTCTTCACAATATCGCCTTTGATCAACTCATACCTATCTTCATGCACCACCCTGTTCAAGACCACTCTGCCAGCAATCCCGATTTCCAGCCTCCTCTCAAGTTTGCTGGTGGATTTGGACTCGACTCTGGCCGTATCGGATTCATCTTTTCGATTTACGGTATCTCTGGGATGTTCGTGCAATTCCTTATTTTTCCACCAGTCGCAAGAAAGTATGGTGTTGTTAAATGCTTGCGAGTTTGCGCTGTGTGCATGCCCGTCATCTACTTCTTTGTTCCTTTTACTGCCCTGCTGCCCGGCAGGACCACTCAGGAGGCGGCGATATTTGTATTGATGGTTGTCAAAGGATTCTGTATGTTGTCCCAACACTCCCTCTGTGAGACCCTCTCCTAACGTGCTATCNNAGTCTCCACTTTCGCCTTTCCTTGTTCGACCATTCTTCTTACCAATTCTGCCAGCAGTCTTCGGATCCTGGGCACACTGAACGGTATTGCCACGAGTGTTGGTGCAATCGGTCGAGCAATTGGCCCAGCAATCGGAGGCTCGACCTTCACATACGGTGTCAAGATTGGTTATGTCATTCTGCCATGGTGGGTTCTGTCCTCCATTGCCGCGCTTGCAGCCATACCCTCTTTCTGGGTCGTAGAAGGCGAAGGTTTTGGTGGTGACACGGACAACGTCGAGGACGACGAGGACAGCATTGTTGAAGAAGACGAACAAGAAGCAGATTATGGCAGTCCTGGCCCTCTGCTCAGTCGCACCGATACTATATCCTCAGATGTCATCTCAGAGGACGAACGCGAGTACGACTCTGATGATACTGCTCGTGACATCGCGCGATCTCCACAAATCAGAAGTAGGCGTGTATCGGGTAGTCATAGTCTCTCTCGCCGTCCTTCGAGAAAAATGTCTGCTCCTATCGGTATGGAGAACCGCACGATCTCGAGACGATACAGCAGCAACCTTGGACAGAGTTTTGGAAGTGCTGGTAGCTATAATCCTTAGTTCCAGTTTTCGTCTCGTGGAATGCGAGTTTCTGGGATACTTACTGGAGGATACAAAATCGGACGGTTTACAAAGAGGTTTGTTGAGAGTCTCTATACATGTCTTGTCTCGAGGGCTCTCCATGGAAACGAATCGACTGATTAATTACGTTTTGAGATTTCACTCAGCACGTATCTGCATCTTTGGACAGCGTACTGGGATATGAATGACTTGATGTAGTAATGCACTTCTGCACTACATGCTCCCTGTCCAGAGCATGGTGCTATGATTTCGAGAAGATTTAACAGTTGACCTCAACTTGGCAAGACCATGTCTAGGGATTGCTGAAAAGGTATGCATCACTTCGAAAGAAATCCAGACACGGCACGTTTCACACCCTCAACATATTCAAAGACATGCCAGTGACCCACACCCTCCAGGACTTCGACCGAGCTGCCTTGAGGCAGCGATGCCGTATATCCCTCACACAACTGCGGTGGCGACACTTTGTCCTCCGATCCAGTGATGATCAAAGTCTGTGGCTTGATAGCAGCAAAGTCGAGCTTTGTAGTCGCGTCAGCAAGAGCGGAGCACGCTTTTGCGTAGCCCTCTGGATCTTGGCCAAGCAGCGAGAGTCTAATGGCTGCGACAGCTAGGGGATTGTGGGACTTGGTCTTGGTGGAGGTGCCTGCTGTGACGATGGCGTCGACAACGGCAGACATGCCCTTAGTGCGCACGAGATGAGCGCGTGCATGCGAATTTGTGCTAGCTGCTGCGGGCAGAGGTGATGGCGGTGGACCAACGAGGATCAACTTGCTCACCAGGCCTGGGTTGTCTAGGACGAATCTGACTGCTATGAGGCAGCCCATCGAGTGAGCGAACAACGTGGCGCTTGAAGAGATACTCGCATGATCAAACACACCCCTGATGTCTGCTGCAAAGGACTCAATGCTGAGTTTGCTAAGGGGAGAGGTGGGAGAGAGTCCATGTCCCTCGAGATCAAGGAAGTGGAGATTGTGGGTTTGAGACAGACCGGCGGCATCCATCAGAGGAGTCCAATAATCTGATGTACCGCCTAGTCCATGGACAAATACTGCGTTTGTTCCGGAAGTATCTCCTTGCTGGCGGTAGTACAACAACTTGTTGTTGATCTTAGTCAAGCCGATCGAATCAACGGCCTTGAGATTAGAGAATGGGATTTTGCCCATCTCCTGAACAGCGGCAACAGTTGGATTGGAAGATTTCGGGTCGCCAATACGGTTCTTGAGAGATCCAAGGCCAGTCACCGAGACTTCGACCTCGTCGCCGGCTTTCAGATAGGTGGGAGGACTTTTACCAAGTCCAACTCCGGCAGGCTAAAACGTATGTCAGTGAATGACCAAATTATGGTCATAGAGTTCGCTGCTTACAGTTCCAGTAGCCAACACGTCTCCAGGCATGAGAGTCTGACCCTCAGACATTGTTCTTAAGAGGAAAGGGATGCTGAAAATCAGATCATCTGTTGTGGCATCCTGTCTTACTTCACCATTTACTTTAGTTTGGACACGCAGGACTTTGTTGAGCTTGTCTGCTGGTACAGCGATCGGGCNCCTTGATGTATAGTCAGTCTGTTGCTCACGTCTAGTCGAAGATAGCAGCACACATACCATTGGACAGAAAGTGTCAGGTGACTTTCCAATGTAGAACTGCTTATGGTCGCGCTGCCTTTCACGAGCGGTCATGTCGTTGACGATGGTATAACCCCAGACGTGTTGCATAGCGTTCTCTTCGGAGATCTGGTGACCTGCTTTACCGATAATGACACCAATTTCGCCTTCGTAGTCGATAGTCTCAGTAAAGCCAGGATGAGGGTAGATTTCCTGACCAGAGCCAATGATGGAGGTGAAACGCTTGGTGAAGATGACAGGATGGGTAGGTTGATCGACCTTGTCGGAGCTGTCGAAACCGGAGCTGTTGAATTCTTTGGCATGTTCGGCATAATTCTTGCCTACGCATAGCACGTCTCGGCCATTGATTGGTGGCAGTATATTGACGCTAGAGGCAGGCACACTTTCGCCAGAGGTAACGATGCCGGACTCTCCGACATGAATGACTTGATAAAGATCTTCGAGCGGAGTGCCAGAGGAAAAGGCGAGCGGCTGGATAGTGTCGTTTTCTGGATCATAGTGACCAATTGATTTTCTCCCGGAACCTCCAGCTTGATATGCAATATAGTTCGTGAGCGAGCTGCGCCCAGTTCCGTTGGATCCGTTGACGCCATTCTGGCCATTGGTATGAGGTCCGGTCGTCATTGTGGATGATGAAGATTCAGGTGATGCGGGTTTGTTGCACTGCCAGATGCCAAAAGCCAGGCGGAGTGAACCCTAGTTGTATAAAAACCATACCTGCAAAGTTATCACATGCAATGTTGACATGACGAGGCTGTAGCACGTAACCCCGCCTCTCAAGCTCTACCCACACCCCACCTTCCTGTTCCGCTTACCCCGGACAAGGCGGACATGGCGGACAAGACTCCACAAACCTTCTCTCTACTCTCCAGCTGTGCCCTTTCGTCCTCAGATGCTGACATCCTTGATTCAGACAACGGTATTGATCAAGATATCATCTGGAAGAGGGGCATTGGCAAGCGGGGTTGACAACCACCAGATGAGGGCCGAACTCTATCCATCGCAGTCGCTGGACGCAACATGGACTTATTATATGGCCTTATGCCACAGGATGCAACCTGAGACCATAGCACTCGCCTCTTATCAATCTCTGTGAAACATGTCTGCCTCATCTACAGCCGAGACCTACGACCGTCTCCCAAAAGTCGAGAATAATGGCGATATCCAACATCTTGAGAGACTGAGGACTGCAGGTGGCCATGTCGACGATCGGAGCCAGCCTTCTCTGCCTGTTGTTCATCGCTCCTTTGCCAACCCTGCTCCTCTGGGTCTACTCTCNTTTGCAACAGGCATATTCTTGATCTCGATCCTTGGTGTCCACGCTCGCGGCATACAGACTCCAAACGTGCTTGTCGGTGTACTTTTATTCTTTGGTGGAGTATGCCAGTTCATATCTGGCATCATGGAGTTTGTCGCTGGAAACACAGTAAAATCTATGAATTTCGTCCACTCGAGAACCTGCCCTTACGTTATCGCANNGTTCGGAGCTACTGTTTTATCTTCTTACGCAGCCTTCAACTTCTCATATGCCATGATCTACATCCCTGGAACGGGCATACTCGCGTGTCAGTATCATCCATCAAGAGGTCATACATGAACTAACAAAGGCATCATAGCTTACACCGACGCCAATGGACAGATCAGTCCAGACTTCAACAACGCGCTTGGCATGTACTGCTGGGCTTGGTTCATCCTGACAGCCATCTTCACTATCGCCGCAATGCGCAGCTCATGGGTCTTGTGGTTCACCCTATTCTTCCTCGATATCGAGCTGGTACTCCTGGCTTGCGGGTACATGTTAAACAGCTCTGCCACACTTGTGGTCGCAAATTCTGTCGGGTTCGTGGTGGCTTTCTGCAGCTGTGAGTTCGCTTCCATCTTCCCTTTTGTGATATCGTACTAACTTCGACCAGATTGGGCTGGCTGCGCTGGACTATGGTCTGGAGGGCTGACACCTATCGATTTGCCTACCTTTGCCATGACCAAGCAGACTTAAGTGGACATAAGATCTGTAGTCAGTCGATGTAGTCAAGATCTGGATTGAGCTACTATGCATGAGGAACCTGGGGCAGTGTATGAGCAGAATTCGAACCTTGTTCTCTCGCAAAACTTTAAAGTTGATAAGACGGACTGTCCTTCGCGTGCTAATATGTCAAAGTGCTCATGTTACTGAGATGACTTCTAAGCAATATAGTGGATAGTTTTCCTACAGAAAGTCTAGCGTGTAACACATCCCATATCATCTCTATGCCCCGAATTTACTGCTTTGACGCTAATGCAAGCCTCTCACCATCCGCAAGCTTCACAGAAGATTTAAATCTACGAAGCAAGGCAATGCACGCCTCTTCAATAGATATACATTGCTACAACCCCTACTCCACTCAATCCCATCCCTCATCTGTATTCCCTAGCCTCCTCAACCCGACATACCTTGCCGGCTCTCTGAACGGATTCTTCACACCGTTTGTCCGACCAACCCTCAACCCCCTCCCATACACTCTCATGCGCTCCTGGGTGTGAAACCTCCAAAACTGCCACGAACAATCTTTGCCCACGAAACTGTTGATCACTGTGCTGCCACCTGGATGCTCGGAGATGAGATCGGTGCAGTCGTAGACAATGTTGTCGATGACGAGCCAGAGTCTGTGGTCCCTCGATTCTGCGTCGAGGACCGTGGGTGCTGGGACAAAGGGCAGTGAGGCATCTGGTAAGTCGATTGCTACTGGTGGATAGCAACGAGGTTGGGGATTGTCGATGTGGATGTCCTCTATGTGTGTCGTACTATGATCTTTATGCAGAGTAGAGTTGTTGTGGGTGGAAGAGGGAGTGATGTTTTGGCGGTTGAGCTGTAACCAGCCCATGATGGTATAGAAGGCGACTGTACTATGTCCAACAGGAAGTGGCTACGAGTTCACTGGAGCGTGCATCAGAAGCAAGAGGCTGAGTTCCATAGAGTCCGCGAGATGCCGAATGGCCGACCACGGCCCCTGAACGTCCTCGTCATCCACGATATTGACCTCTGGCTACACTCATGGAGTCTGGAAGCAGCCGACAGCAACGCGGATATCGGGGACATGGAAAAGGCGGAGAAGAACGGGGAAGGAGTCTAGGACCCGTGGGGAGAGGGATCAATCAAGAAGCGGAGTTGACGGTGAAGGCGGAGGTACACGTTCAGGATTTGAGATATCCGGCCACCATCCAAACAGCACGGATACACCAGACCATGCACCCCGCACGCATCCTCCACACCATGTATCGGTGTCATGTGCAATGCTTCCAAACCTTGGTCTTACACAAGTTCGTCCCATACATATATGGCTGGACGCTTTCTCAAGGTGAATCGATACCCTCAAAAGAACTCAGCATAACAAACATGGCACGACACTCTAACCGAACAGACTCATTCGTGACGGCAAACTCGAATGAGAAACCGAAAATCACTAAATCAGCACTACCACGCAATGTTAAGTGGATTGAAGATGTCTCATGGGACTCAAGCCTGCAGCCCAAAGACTACGAGATCCAGGGCACTCACCCAGACTCGAAGATATTGTTTCTCAATGTAAACATTGTTGACTCAACAGGTCGAGAACCCTACCTTGGAGATGTGTTGATTGAAGGTCAAAAACCTGCCTTGTTAACGAAGTACAAACAAGATGGCTTACAGCATAACAGGTCAGACNNCATCACATACGTAGGGACTGTACCCAATGTCGACGAACTCAGCAAAGACCCCAAAGTCCGAGTATTTCACGGTCGAGGACGCACCTTGATGACGGGCTTGGGCGATGCTCATACGCACTTCACGTGGAATGGAGGAGATCTCGACCGCCTGGGCGAGCTGGGTGTCGAAGAGCATACTCTTCTGACAATGCGGAGCGCGCAATGTTTCATTGACTCAGGATACACCATGTGAGAGAGAGTCTGAATCGTGACAGAGCAGACCCGAGTACTGACGGAATTTTCGAAGNNGTGTTTTGGTGCAGCTTCGGCAAAGGATCGACTCGATGTGGTCATCAGAGACGCCGTTAACGCCGGCGATATCCCAGGACCCAGATATCTCGCAAACGGTAAAGAGATGGCTCGGCGAGATGGCGAGTTGGTTGCAGGTATCACTGCCTTTGCGGATGGGCCTGAGGAGATGCGCGAGGTCATTCGCCATCACGTGGACATCGGTGTTGATAACATCAAGCTCAGCATGTCCGGCGAGGAAGTAAGTCTGAGCAATAAACGTACCATGTGCAGTATCCATGCTGACCGGTTGCTCAAGATTACCGAGATCCGATCGGCGCAAGATTGCTACTTTACAGACGAGGAGACCGCGGCTTGTGTCGATGAAGCCCATAAGCATGGAAAGCGGCTTTGTGCCCACGCTCGAGCTCGAGACTCCGTCAAGATGTGTGAGTGTACTGACTCGGACTGTCAGTCGTAAGCCTGCTGAACCACTATCTAGGTNGTTCGTCACGGTGTAGAAGCCATCTACCATGCCTCTTACATTGACGACGAAGGCATGGACATGCTCGAGGCCGCAAAGACCAAGCACATCGTGGCACCGGCGATTAATTGGCTGATTGCGACTCTCAACGAGGCCGAAGCTTTCGGCTACACCCATGCTCAAGCTGAAAAGGTGGGCTACAAACGCGAGCTAGACGCAGCCATCAAGGGTCTTAAAGAGATGCATCGTCGGGGCATAGTCGTCCTTCCAGGTGGCGACTATGGTTTCGCATGGACGCCGCATGGAACATATGCCCGGGACCTCGAGCATTTTGTGAAGCTTCTAGACTTCACGCCACACGAAGTCATCGTCGCCGCTACAGCTGGTGTTGCCAAGTTGATGATGCGTAGCAACAACCTTGGAAAGATTCAGCCAGGGTACCTCGGAGACTGCATTCTGGTAGATGGAAATCCTTTGGACGACATCACCATTCTGCAAGACCACTCCAAGCTCAACATCATTTGTATCAACGGCAGGGTTCACAAGGCTGGACGAAAAGAGTACATCCCTCCTCCAGTCGCAGGACAAGACAATAACAGTCATGTCATTGTGCCAGACATGGAGTACCCGGACGTGGAGAGGGCAATGCAGAAGCAGTATTAGTAGTTTTGAATGCAATCATCATGCCCATGATTTAACCTATCATCAAGACCCTTAAGCATCATTCAAAGGTAAATCCCAATGTCCCCAGGAAACCGCCGATGGTGTTAGCCATTGTTGAGGATCAAGATGATCGAAGATCTGGTCCAGATTGCCAGTCTCATCGTCCGCCGCGAGATTCGAATCGCGAGCGGTCGCATCAGTCACGTACCCAATCTGCATTTGCGACACTTCGACAAACTGATCGGTATTCATTGCGAGCCCAAGCCCAACACTATGAATCAAAAGTCGGCGTCTGCACGGGATGACCTTGTGAATGACTTACAGTAGTCGACGGAGTATCGGTGCTGCACGCTGACACACCAAAATCAAATCTGCTAAATTTTCGAATCGCTCGACGCACTCCCTTAGCAAACGAATGCTGTCTGGCAAATCTGGATCCGGTTCGCTAGCTTCGGATATTGTAGCAATCAGGACTACGGCAGCGTGGAATGTATGGAAACACCCTAAGCCTCGATTATACCATTGGAAAGGTCCAAATTCCGGGTTGTTGTGCAAAGACGAGTGTATCTCTAGTAAGGCACGTGCGCTCTCAATGCTCTTCGATCGTGCGTTCTGTTTTTGAAACGGGTCTGAAGAGCCCTACATAAGTATTCGTCGGTGGAGCAATAACGCAAGCTGATGCGAGAAGCTATGCAAGATCTTGAGATGTATCTTGTGGTACGAAGAGAGCTCATCTTGTCGAGAGTGATAAAGATATATAGAGCTCCACAGATCTCGCTCATGGATTAGAGCCTTGTCGAGTTCAGCTATGGCTTTGGTATCGATGTTGGTAGAGTTTAACACTCGAGAGCAGATTCTGCTCCCTATATCGTAGAGGCGGAATTTAAGAAGCAGATAGGACATTTGAGTCGCACGTCCAGTGTGTATAGGTAAGGCTGTTGACTCTGGCGTCAAATCGAAGTCGTTGACATCTGCTGGCATACGCACGGAATAGTAAGAACTATTGTAGTGAGGTGCCAAGTTCCTCATAGATGTGTTTTGCAGCGTACAAAGCATCATGACGCAAGCCCAACACCTGCGTCGCTCCTCACATTCCACGAGATTGAGCTTAAAACTCGAAGGGTCTATGTGGCAACCAAGCGAGAGAGCCATGTGGTACGTAGAACCAAGCAGCGTCCAGGATTGGCCATGGCTGTGATTTATACTGTAGATCAGGATGATGAGAGCCTGCAGGGTCGTCATGTTGTGGCGCCAAAGGTAGTTGTCCATCTCAAGACACCGCATGGCGCTTGCCCTATACCTCTCAGAAAGGTCACGAATCTTTGCAGAGACGGTTGGTTGTCTGCTCAGATCGTTCAAAAATGCACTATTTGCATCGCAGGCACTCAAAGCGGTGCTAATAATGGCAAAAAGCAGCGCAAGCCATGCCAGGGGCACAGACTCTGGATTCTGTTCGAACTCGACGAATTGCCGATGGAATGTTGGATCATGCAAGACGTGAAACAGAGGAGAGAAAGACTCAAAATAGATGTCCTTCAACCGAGCACACAAGTTTGCAGGAGGTAGCATCGCCAGCATGTCGGAGGATCTGAGGCCATGAGTCATGCAATGTGTACCAAAGGGAGACACAAGACTTTCGAAATGATCAGGACAAGTTTNCATGAATCGCACATGGCCAGACGTCGATACCTGCAGAGCACCATGACCACCGGGATAGTTTTCTGTCGTGGCAGAGTTGGGCGATGCCGAGTCCCCTGACAGGGACAGATCAATTGTCGACTCTTGAGTCTGTTGCTGCTGATTCGTTAACATCCTCTCGATTCGTGTAATTCGTGCGACTAGGTTTCCATCCGGCGCCTGTCCTGGAGATCTGCCTGCGGAAATAGGTGAGATAGGCATGCTCGGCCTTGGATTGGATTGAAGAGAATGGCTCGAAGGCCGTTGAGCAAATATGCAATTCACTGCTGGAACTCCGCGTCTCTTGCAAGTCCCACATGGGGTGCCATCACGAGAACATCGAATCTTTCGTATGCGACATGGTTCGCAGTTGATCGGCATGCGTTTTTGACGACTGTCCCGCATGGTAGCAGTGGTTGAGGCTGGAGCGTGTGGGATGCACGGAGAAGGTAGGCAAGTCCGCCTCTTTTGTCATGTCCGCTCTGCGCAACCCCGCTCCGCACTATCAAACTTTCATCGACGTTGGAAGCCTTCTGGCCGAAACAGCGAACCTCGACGTGAGCTATGAGCATTGAGCACTCTACTCGACAGATCCTTGATTAGACGTGACCAACGTTCTCGACAAGATGCTTTCGAGGCGTGTCACATTGGTATACGACCGACAAGAGCCATCTTGAGCCCGTGGTATCTGACCAGTCGGCTCTCGTGAATGGTGCATGCGAAGGCCCCAAGAGCGTCGAGGAGCGAGGAATTTGCCATGATGGCCAGGCGGCTGATGGCGATGGTGAAAAGTGTCATGTAGTTGTCGAAGAGACAGATCCGTGTAATTTGTGATGAGAACAAACAAGAAGCGAATCGCCGCGTGCGAGAACCCTTCCTTACGAATGTCCTCGTCGACCCGCTGAGCTTGTTGAAGGCACCAGAGCGAGAGCTCTTGTTGACGCTAACGACGGCGACGAAATGAAGCTGCTGTAAGCGGTGACGAGGGACTTACGCTATGCAGCATATCACAGTCTCTGCGCGAGAACTCTGACATTGTTGTTTTTGCGGGCAGTCTGCCGTGTACGCGATCTGTACTGCTACCTCGTCCATCTCGGTCGACGTTGACAAATCTCTACACGGTCGACGTTGACGAGCCTCTACACGAAACAATGGCAAGCCGCCTTTGTGTGACGGTCAGGTATGATTTACGAAAGTGACACGGAGACCCAGCTTCGTGATGCGTTTCCGCCTTCTCCATATTCTCGTATGCAATAACAACGACAGACATGTACTCATATAGAACTCTCGTCACTACCGCCCATTTTATGACAGGAAAATAACCCCGTTCAAGGCTCATTTCGAAGGACGCAGCGATATCGATAATAATAATACATGGTGTTTTCATGATCTCCTCTGGACATGCTTCAGATCTCTACCGTCTAAGGGATTCGGGGAGACGGAAGGAACGACATTATTTTCATGATGTCCATGAGATGGAATGCAAGAATGCAGAAGAATCAGTAAAGAGAGACCAAACGCTTTGACGGAAATGAAATGCTAGACTGTCCTTCGAAATAACACTCCATATCCCTTCGCATACAATCTTCTCTAGAAAAGAAGAGCAGAAAAAAGAAAGAAAAGGCTCGCGTCCAATACCCTACACACCCTAAATGCTCATAAAGAAACTCTTCTCACCCTCCTGAGGCACAACCATACTCCTCTTGATGATAGGATCAGCACACGAAAGCCTAATCCTCTCCACCGTCGCCGGGCTATGCAACTCCAGTACCTCTTCCTCACCCCACTGCTTCCTAGCCGCCTTGAGTGCATCTCTGATGGCAAAGAAGACAGCACTGCCCATAAACAGTGGTGGCTCGCCTACACCTCTGGATCTCTGTATCGTGCGAAGGTTTTCCCAATTCACATCTTTTAGCAAAGAAACATTGAACTCTTGAGGGATATCGCGGAAACCAGGGATCTTGTAGGCGCCAGGGCCACGAGTAAAGATCTGGCCAGACGCACGGTGCCAAAGCGATTCTTCCATAGTGAAAAGACCCATGCCTTGGACGAATGCGCCTTCAATCTGGCCATAATCGATGGCTGGGTTGATACTGCGGCCGACGTCCATTTTGATATCGGCGCGACGGCAGGTCCATTCACCGGTCAGAGTGTCAATCTCGACTTCGGCAGCCGCAACACCTTGGGTGAAGTAGAAGAACATTTGGCCAGTGTTGGGGCCCCAAACGTATCCAATGTCAGGAGTCTTATAGTGGCCTTGAGCTGAGAGGTTGACGCGGTCAAAGTATGCGGCGTGAGCGAGCTCTTTCATCGTAGCTTTAGGACCGAGTTTCTCTCTGTAAGGGGCGAGACGCTCGTTCAGTTGTGCGCAGGCGTTGTGGATGGCATAGCCGTTGAGATCGGAAGATGCTGAAGCGGCAGTGGACGATGTGTTAGGAACGGTGTTCGTGGCAGTCTCGCTGATGAAGACGTCCTCCATGGCGACGCCGAGGTCTTCGGCTGCGATGGAAATCATCTTGGTGTTAAGACCTTGACCCATTTCCGTTCCACCGTGCGCGACGAGTACAGATCCATCGTGGTAAATGTGCACCAATGCACCTGCCTGGTTCAAGAAAAGTGCAGTAAATGAGATACCGAACTTGGTGGGAATCATCGAGATGCCCCGCTTGAAGTACTTGCTCTTTTCATTGTAGGCAGCAATTTCCTTCTTTCTCTCGACGTAGTTGGATTCTTCCTTAACTTGCTTGTACATCAGAGGCACGTAGTAATCCTCAAGCTTCTGAAGGAAATGGGTCTTGTCGCCAGGCTGGTACAAGTTGATCTCGCGAAGATCATCGACGTCCATACCGAGTTTGTCTGCAATCTCCGACATAAAGGTCTCGGTGATGAACATGCCTTGAGGGCCACCAAACCCACGGAAAGCAGTGTTTGATACTGTGTTGGTTTTGGCAACGCGTCCGCGAACGAAAACGTTGGGGATCTTATAGACGTTGTCGACGTGAGAAAGAGCACGATCAACGACTGCACCACTAAGGTCCTGGGTCCAGCCACCGTTGTTGAAGATATCAGCGTCTAAGGCTTGAAGTTTGCCGTCTTTGTTGACTGCAACCTTCCAGCGAGCAAGGAAAGGATGTCTTTGGCCCGAGGTCAAAATGTCCTCATCACGATTGAGCATGCAACGAACCGGACGTCCAACCTTCTTGGCAGCAGTAGCAACGATACCTGCAAGTTGGATGGAACGAGTTTCCTTGCCACCAAAGCCACCACCCAGTCTCTTGACACGACAGACGACCTTGTTGGCTGCGACCCCTGTCACTTGGGCGACATAGGTCTGAGTCTCGCTAGGATTCTGCGTGCTGCTGAAGATCTCGATCTCGCCATCTTCAGGCTTAGGAACAGCAACGCACGCATTTGTTTCGAGGTAGAAGTGCTCTTGACCACCCATGCGAGCAACACCAGTGAACACATGGTCAGCTTCGGCAAAAGCTTTGTCGACATCGCCGTTCTGAATATATCTGTAATGGTTGAAGTAGCTCTCTTTCAGGATAGCTTCCTCGATGGTGAAGATGGCGGGCAGTTCCTCGTAATCGATCTTGACCGCGCGAGCACCAGCCTCGGCAAGCTTAGCTGAGTTGGCCAGGATCATACCAATAGGTTGGCCTGCGCAGAAGACTTCATCCACGGCGAAGAAGGTCTCATCGCAGGTTGGTGCACCCCACCAGTTTGCTTCTGGGTTGGGTAGGTCTCTGTGGTCAACCCATTCGATCACACCAGGAATTTCCAAGGCAGCCTCGTAGTTTACACCAGTGATCTTGGCGTGTGCTTTGGTCGACAAGACCATGTATCCGTAAAGCTCGTTCTTTTGAACAGGAATGTCGTCTGTGTATTGTGCTTCTCCAGTACTCTGCTTCATAGCTGCCACGTGCGGTTGCTCCTTTCCGAGGATCTTCTGTTCATATGCTTCTCCAGCCTTGTGATCCTTTTTGCCAAAGGAGATAATACGCTCGATCTCGCCAAGAGCGTCATGATCGATGTTCGCATCTGTCACCGGAAGCTCGGAGAGAATTTCGTGGTAGAAACGGTAGAAGAAGCCAAGAGCTAGCGACTTGCGGTAAGTGGCCATACCACCCGGCACACCAAATCTCAAGTCAAAGTCCTTCTCCAGTGCATTCATGACGGCCTCTAGAGTCTTCGGGTCGGTAAACTTCTTGCCAGTGAGAGCTTTAACTGCCTCCTTGGCGGAGATTGTGACAGGAGCCATGCCACCGTAGACCAGACTGCAGTCCTCAACATCGTTTGAATCGCTCAAAACCACGCGAAGGGCAGCGTTCACAATGGCAATGTCGTCGTCTTTTCTCTTTGACACCTTGTATGCTCGCATGTGTTCGTTCTTCTCTTTAAAGACGGGTATTCTGATGCTTGCGATGATGGCATCTGGAGGCAGAGCAGTCAATCTGTATGCTTTGAAGAAATCGGACATTGGGATCTCGGTGGTCTGTTCGAGTGATTTGGCAACAATGGTAGCGTTTGTAGCCATGAATACGGGATTTAAGTCAGAAATGGGTGAAGCTGTAGCCAGGTTTCCGGCAGGGGTGCCTACGTTTCTGATCTGGCGTCCAGCAAAGTACTTGAGTTGTTTGAGGATGGCCTTGAAGGGCTGTCCCTTCTCGGGTCCGTATCGTTCAATGGCATCGCGAGCAATTTGCTCGAGATCTGTCAAGACGACGTTGCCGCCAATCTCTAGGTAGTCGTCGTGGAACTCATATTGACGCAATTCTGCAATGTCACCAACAAAGACTGAGGCAGTATACTGCATGCCCTTGAACTTGACTTCGATTTGTGTCTCGGACGACCCACCAATGATCTTTGCTGAGGGATATACGCTCTTGATCTCTAGCAGTTGTTGTAGTGTGACTGGTCTGAACCACTTCTTTTTCTTGTTGCCAAATGCCAGTGGCCTAAGCTCATGCTTCTTCAGTGCCGGAGGGAAGATGAGTTGTGTGTCTGGGTTGTATTCGATGAATCCTGGGGGCGTGAAACGCTTGATGGGTTGGTCATCGACGAAGCCATTGCCGTCCTTGCAACAACCGCCTACTCTTCCACAGCCAGCCGAGGGAGGTGTGATCTTTGTGGAATTTCCGTTTGTCTTGCAGCATCCTCCTTCGGTGGACACGGCTGCGGCATCGTCTTTGCAGCAGGCACTGTCGTTCGAGGATGACTTCTTGAATGTCTGGGCGGCGTCGAGGATTGGTCTGTACCCTGTGCATCTACAGAGATTGCCGTCGCATCCTTCTTCGATTTCATGTTCTGTCGGTTCTGGTGTGTTTCTTAATAGGGCGTAAAGACTNNCTATCAAAGGGTATTAGCATTTCTCGATTGAGCAGAGGAGAGGCGCTCATACCATGACTATGCCAGGCGTACAGAAGCCGCACTGGCTTCCATTTCCTTTGGCTATTCTCTCTTGCACAGGGTGTGGGTTCTTGACACTGCCAATGCCCTCGACGGTAATGACATGCTTTCCGTCAACGCTGACCAGAGGAGCCAGACACGCATTGACCGAGGCATGGTATATCTTCTTTGTTGTTGGATTGAATTGTGAGACGACGACTGTGCATGCACCGCAGCCCCNCTCTGCACACCCAAGCTTTGTTCCTGTCAAGCCAATACCACGAAGGTACTCGAGCAATGTGACTTCGGGGTCCGCTGTGTCGAGTACTACCTTTGTCCCGTTCAGGTAGAATCTCAGCGTGTCATCGTACTCCTCGGTCATGGACGACAGGGTACGCACTGCCGACTGCGAGACGGCAGGCTCGGGGTCGATCAATCCAGGTGCCATGTTGGACAATGATAGATCGGTCTTGGTCTCAGTTCATGTATAGTTCAGCGAAAGATGGAGAAGGGAGAAGCGAAGTGTGGCGAACGGCGGACGTTTCTAGGGATCTAGCTTCTCGAGCATCTATGCAGAAGGAAAGGAGTCAAGTGATCAAATGGAAACACCTTTGGAGGCATATCAAGTTACCTTTCTGTGCCTTATCAGTGGCCGCCGCCGCTGTCCACCATCGCAAACAACGTGGGGCACAGCGGCCGAGGCAGGTCCCTGAATCTCTCACCTGCCAGAGCACCCATTATCGTCGCACAACCCCAGCCGTGCATCTGGCCCACAAAGATACGGCAGTTCACCGAAGAACAACGCTTGTCAACCTTCATCCTGACCTCTCAAGTAATCGCTCGAGTATCTGTCAGTCATGCCTTCTGTGGAGTGTCGAGCGGCGTCCGCCGGGCTAGATTTTCCATCGTTGTTTTGCCGGCGATATCGGTTTTAACACAGTTTCTCAGAGATTTGACACTCGAGATAATGCTCAATGATATGAATTATTTACGGTACTAGTCAAGCACTTCTCATCATGTGATACCAATGCTGGCAGAGCCTGTTCATCTTCATTGGTCTAGTGGTCATGATTTCCGCTTGTCAAGAGTTATATCTCGTCAAGCGCGGGAGACCAGGGTTCGATTCCCTGATGGAGAGCTTCACTTTTTGTCCTTTTGCTGCCCGTCTACATCTGTCTTTCGTCTTCTGAGAATTTTGTTGTGAGATGCAGAGATTACGTTTTTGGTGCTCGGAGTTGTCGTGTGACAGTCGCGGTCAAATTTGAGCTATCAAAATGCATAATATCGTCAAGGAAGAGGAGATTGTCCATTGAGAGGTATTGACTAGACTGCTCTCTATGGACATGCTTCTGACATTGAATACTGGTGCACGATCTCTCAATTCTTCTATGTGAGAGGAGCTAAGCTTAACATCTCTCACAGCATTGTATAGCAAGAATCTAGCTATCGGAATGCAAGATTATGTTTAAAACCAGAGATGTGACCAGAGAGAGTCAACGAGAAGATAGCTCTCCGCGGATACTATCCTGTCACGCGAAGATATCGTGTGTTTATATAGGTATGTATGTAACAGCTTCAGCACTTGGGAACATGACACTTTTGGACGAAACTTTCCTGCATTGTGACAATCTAACAAAAACAAAACGCAACCGGCCGAGAGGGGTATCTTTCTTTCCTATGCTTGACCTGGGACCCCTAAAAACATGCTAGCCCCGACTCCTCTCCAAACACCCTTGCTATGCAAACCTCTCCTATGCTGTATGCCAGAAAGAAAAACGCAAAAGCCAAACCGACGAGCACCGAGAAAGCCTACTGGCCGAGAGGGACATCGACCTCCTCCTCGTAGGTCTCGTACTCGTCGGCGGCAAAGTACTTTGCCACCGTCTCCTTCTCGCCACGGGCGCGCTCGGCGGAGAGCATGAAACGGACGGTGCCGTCCTTGCCGCGCTCGCCGACTCTGCTGCGCGCACCCGTGGCGGAGGTGGGGCCCATCGCAGGAGGGGAGTTGGGGCTTTGGTTGGAGGCGCCAGGGAGAGCTGGGGACACTGGTGAGTGCTTAGAAGCACCATTGGCTGCGCCGTTGAGCACCGATTTGGGTACATCGATGGTCTCGGTGTAGCGAGGGAGGTTGGCAGCGGTGGCCTCCTTGTTCAGAGTAATGCGGATGGCGATGTAATTGTCGATTGAGAATTGGTTACCGACAATGGTGGCGTGGCGGTGATGGGTGAAGAGATCGAGTAGGTCCAGCATGGTCTCCATGATTTCGCCACGGGTGGTGGACCATTTCTCGAGGCTGATACCCTCAGGACCCACAACGGCTTCCATGTTGAAGTCTGTGGTCAGGTTCAAGAGGCGTGCAGTCAACTCAACACAAGCGATTGCCATGGTCTGGGAGGTCTGCTTCAGAGGTGCAAAGGTGCGGTAAATGTCAATAGACATGTTGTAGGCGGTTCTGCCCAGTGTGTCCTTGGGCCATCCCGAGTCTCTGATAATCTTGACGACGGTTTCCTGGGGGTGTCTGGTTCTGAAGTCGAAGCCTGCAGACTCGAGCATGAGACGCTCGATGCCAACCACAGTCTTGGATGGCTGTTCAAAAACCTGACTTTCATGAGCATTGAGTCCGGCAGTCCAATCGGACACAGACTTACCGGNGTCATCAGGACTCAAGTGCTCCGATGATGGAAGCTTCAGATTCCAGGCGGCGCAAAGAACTTCGCGGGACTTCTTGAGAGTGTCCTCGATCTTGCAAGCAGTGAATAGCGCGGCAGCGGCAGCATNCCTATCAGAAATCAGCAAAAACATCAAGTCAAATTTCACAGACCATGGATCACTTACAGCCCACATGTATTCGTTGTCGGCATGGACCAGGCGGAACTTGTGATAGTAGACGACAGCAGTGTTGAAAGTGCGAATGGGNNCCTAGATGAAGAAGCGAAAGTCAGAGATCGTGGCATACACAGCCAAAAAGACGACTTACAGCTGCAAAGCCTTTCTAACACTGTCGATGTAGTGGACGCCCTGGAGACGGATGCTGTCTTCCTTGTGTTCAGTTGCGCCAAGAGCATTCAAAGAGTTCTGCAACTGTTGCTGGAAGATGTATGGATTGGCGACCTGGATGAAGGAGGGGTGTGGCCCAACACCATTGTCGTTGGGAGCACCGCCGTTCTGAGACATCTCTCTTGACTGGCTCATGTTGCGCGATGGTGAGAGATTGATGGCTGTCGAGGTGGAAGAGCGCGATGGTGATGGAGATGCACGTGCTCTGATGTCCGTGCATTGGAAGTCGCGTTCGAACCTCGAGCGACGACGCTGATTCTGCCTCTCATCAACAATCATCACTCTCGGCATGACGACTGGAAGCTCGTTCTCCTTGTCTTCTTCCTCTTCGTTGGAAGCCTCTTCATCGAGCTCGGCCAGTCTCGAGATCTCTGTGGGAGATAATATCAGTAATCATGTAGGTTGACGAAGGCTGACCAAACATACCATATTCGCTGTCACTGTCGTTCATATCCATGGGAGCACTGCCGGCGGAAGCTTCTTGGTCCTCCTAGACGGTAATCTCGTGCTCCGGGCCAGGAGCTATAGTCAAGTCAGACAATATCCTCCAGTAAGTTCGGGCTATGATTGCGACATACCATCGTGAGTCTGAGCCTCGGCCATCGAAGCATTGAATGCGTCGGTCTGGGATCCAAGATCCAGGGGCGTGTTGCGGCCTGTCGAGTGTCAACAAGCAGGCTCCACACATCGGCTCAAAAGATATCAAGATGGGCGCCTTACCAGATGTACCGGCCTCCATGTCGCCAGCAGGGTTGGCGGCAGCCCAACGCTGTGGACTGCTTCTCGGACTGCCCCAAGTGCTCTGGTCAGCCTCCTGGCCCATCCCGCGGACCGATGTCAAAGAAGCAGGGAGCACAATCTCCTGCAGGGGTCGTCTGTCCCTGTGAACAGCATGGGAGCTAAAGTCCCAGCTCAGGTCACAGGAGCAGGGCTGAGGAACAAAGCCCTCAGCAAGCACAGGCAGCGCATTCGACCCCTGAGGATCGACGTGGCGGGACTCGCACTGGATGCTGGTCAGGGNGCAGCGACCCATCTGCCATATACGGCAGACGGGCCTGTTGTTTCTCTGCCACATGGCAGGCAAGGGATCCATCTTGCTATCTCCACCCATCAGTAAGATCGTACGCTCGATCGGCGGCGCAAAAGTGGATCAGATACGCCCATCAATACCGCCAGGAGAATGTTTGCTTACCTTGTTTCCTACGAGATCGTTGCAACCGAAAAGCGCTGCTTTGATGCAAAAAGCTCAAGAAGTTTCTGCGGGCAGTGCGCAGGAGACAGCTTCGTCACTTTGGCTTGTTTGGATGGCTGCTTTTCCGCTCTTCGTCACTGCGTGGGTGTGGAACCTGCCGCGAGTAATGCGTGGTGGTTGGTATGGGCTTCTTCGATACCCTCAGCGCACACCATGACTCGTAACAGCGTGTCTTGGACACCCCTGAGCTCGGGCGAAATCTACCTCGTTGGAACAAGGGTACTGGTCCTTATGGAGTAGGTATGCAATACCTGGCCTTGGACCTTGACAAGGGGCTATACACTCTCCATATGCCAAAGACTGTCACACTACAGCTATAGAAATGCATAGTACTTTCCAGCATGGAGTAGTATCCATTGAAAGAACGTTAGAAGAAGGTCTTCCTATGAACATACTCCTGTTTGCAAAGCAACTATGCGTTTCTGTAGCTTACCAAATCATCACATGGCAACGTGAGAGATCGATCGATCTCTCGAGACCGTGTCAGTCTTCAGCATATGAGAAGTGGTCTTTTGGCATCTAAGCACGATGCTAGGGTTCTTTTATGATCAAATGGTTCCATCTCTATCTAATGAGATGATATGCTTGCCTCCAGTAAATGCGGGTATATGCTCTATCAATGCAATGATCTTCCAAAAACATCCTATGCTATTCAACATTCGGTCTCTTTAACCAATCAATGTGTTCAATTGAAGCCTCTTTGAGGACTCATCAAATGGCTCTCCACCTTGGCCAACTCCTCCCGAGAGGGGATGGCACCTAGCCAACTCTCACCACTGGAAATCTCTAGCTTGTTCTTCAACTCCTTGGTGACTTCTTTAACTTCCTCCTCAACATCGAGGTACCAACGCAAGAATTCGCCGACCTCTGTATTCTCGTGATTGCCGTGGAGCTTCTTTGAGGCATGGCGATTAGAGGAGTAGATGTTGACATCAACGGCACTGTGACCGTGGGTACTCCATCCGGTCTGAGAGCGCTTGCTGATGATATCGGACATGGTCCATGGACTCAGGATAGGGTGCTCGATCAGATGGTCAAGCTCTTCGCGAGTGACGTCCTCGATGCCCAAATTGTCGCTGATGAGCTTGGTGAGATACTTGTGTAGGTCGGTGCCGAAGGACTTGGAGCTTGACAGGTGAGAGAAGTACAGACGAGCAGTGTGCTCAGCGCTGTGAGTGGCGTTGGCAAGGACGCCAGGATACCAGAGGTATTCAGGGTAGTTGACGTTCAGTTCNNTAGAGACATTGTGAGCAGAGTCGTAGTAGAGAGAATCAAAAAGAGACATACGTCTAGCAGTAGCCAGGCCACCAGTCTCGTGGTCACTGGTGGCGACCATGAGACCTTCGGTATCGTCTTCTTCGAGGAAGTCGATAACAGCCTGCATGGCTCTGTCGTAGGCAAGCACCTCGTGAACCTGAGCAGCAGGATCGTTGTTGTGACCAGCATGGTCGATTCTGCTTCCCTCGATCATGATGAAGAAACCTTGATCACTGTCTCTTGTAGCATCTTTCAGAGCACGAAGGGCGGTCTTGGTCATTTCTTCGAGCGATGGGTATTCGTCGTCGACGTGTCTGCGGTCGATCTCAAAGGGAATATCGGTAGGTGCAAACAGGCCAAGCAGAGGAAGCTCGACCGATGAGCCAAGGTTGTCAAAGTCTTCGCGGGAAGCAATGTAATTCCAGTCGTGTTCATGTGCCTTCTTGATCAAGTCTTTACCATCGGCTCTGCAGCCTCCGGCAGTCGTGTTGGGCAAGAAGTGGCATCTTCCTCCACCAAGAATCAAATCGACGTTTCTTCCCAAAGGACCGTTGCCGATGAGTTGGTCAGCAATCTGGTCCTCCATGGCGCGGGTTCTGACGTGCGAGGCGAAGCACGCAGGAGTTGCATCGGTGATGCGAGTGGTGACGACCAGACCGGTGGTGTAGCCAGCCCTCTTCGCAGCTTCCATGACACTTCCACAGGGAGTGTGATCGGGCATGACGCTGATGGCGCCGTTGTAAGACTTGTGACCGCAGCTAAAGGCAGTGGCTCCAGCAGCACTGTCGGTGACAAGACTGTTGCTGCTTCGCGTACGGCTGTTTCCAATGAAGTGCTTGTCCAAGACCAGAGTGTCGTCCCACGGCAGAGCATTGACATGCTGTCTGAAGCCGCGGGTCAGGGCCAACGAGGTTGGGCCCATGCCGTCACTCACCATGAAGACGAGGTTTCTCTTGCCAGTCGGTCGGTCGCCATGAGCCTCGGGTGTCGTCTTGGAGGTCTGGTGTTGGTAGACGACGGCCAGAACGATGACAGCGGCAGTGGCTATGAGGCCCCAGGTGAAGAGGACGAGCTCGCGGTATCGGGCCCATCGGGAGGCAGAGGGTTGGCGGCTTGCTCTCTGTCCGGTCAAGAGAGCATCTTCTTCGGTGGCTCGCTCGTCGTTGTGCGACGACGGACGGCGCGTCAACATGGGTTCCTGTCCTCGGGGCATTGTCTTGATCGAGAGGAAGAGACCAAGAGTCTCGCAGACAAGTCAAGAGAGCACTTGGTCACTGCTATCGTCCTCATGACCCAAATGCTATGACGCTAGTTCTTGGCGTGCTTTTCGCATGTGAAACGCCTTATCTCGGCCGATAGCTAGCCGCCCGCTACTATTACTCCTGCCTTTCTATACCATTTGCTCACCTGTCGATGCAACCGTTGGAACGATGCTACCAACATTCTCCCGGGCCGAGAGGACAATGAGCGACCCGTCGACCCCTGTTTCGACTCTTGAGGGCCTCTGTCGCCAAGTCAAGCCAAGAATATCTCATTCCATCACCTGCACATAATCAATGTCTCCATCATCAACAGCAGTACACACTACCTCTCACTATCAAGATGCATCTCGCCTGAATACTACGTTGTTTCAACAACCACGCGAGTTTGTCTCTTGCCTTTGAGACCCCTCCAATCTCCTACCTTGTGGCCCAAGTCTATGAAATAGAGCCCCGAACAGGACAACATGAGTACTGTAGATGATTTCGTCTGTCCTTTGTGTTTCATGAACGACAGCCAAGCAGTCATCGATTACAGTCAAGCGGCTTCGCATACCATCGTCGCCATACAGACAATACGAAGCAGACTCGCCAAGCAACATGGCTCGTGATAGAGGTCGAGTAACAATTTTATCTTTGTTTCTTGTTTGGTACAAATACCCTTAACGATCTGATATGCTTGAATCTCAAATCCACAGATTACCGCAAACATGCCGACTCAAGATGGTCCAACACATACTAAAACCTATCTCCCGACATCCATGACAGCCCATCTGCCAAAGACACGTGATGATGAGGCTTGGGGTGCACAGATACGTACTCACTACACTGCCGAGGAGAATAATGATAAGCTACCGGCCAATCTCGGAGTGCTCGAGGCAGAACGCGAGAAGAGGAAAAAGAACTATGCTCAGATCGCCCACGAGTAAGCCTTGTTCCACACCAAACGCCATGACTCCAAACGCTCATACATACACAGCTACTATGAATTGGTCACCCTGAACCTCGAGTTTGCTTGGAACAAGAAGTTCCATTTTGCTCCGTTCCTCGATGACAAACAGTCAATCCGAGAGGCGTTGGCTGCACATGACCATTACCAATTTATGACCATGGGAGTCAAACCAGGTATGCGAGGCTTGGACGCTGGTTGTGGTGTTGGCGAGCCTGCTCGTCAGTATGCGACATGGGCCGACGTCCATGTCACTGGTGTTACTATCACCGAGTACCAAGTCGAACGTGCAAACATGCACGCTGAAACCCAAGGTATATCTGACAAGGTTGAGTTTGTTTGGGCAGACTTCTGCGTAAGTATCATCCCTATACGCCGACGCCCATCTCAGAGCTGACGTAGAGCACCANNGAAACTGCCCTTCCCTGACAACACCTTTGACTTTGCATATGCTCAGGAAGCCACTTGTCATGCTCCTGAACTGCGCGATGTCTATGCCGAAATATGTCGCGTTCTCAAGCCCGGCGGTGTCGTTGGTATAGGTGAATGGTGCATGACCGACAAGTTCGACCCTGAGTATCCGCAACACCTCGATGTGCGCCGCAGAATCGAACGTGGTGACGGTATCGCCAACATGAAGACCACCAAGGAAGCCATAGCCGAATTTCAGTTTGCCGGTTTCGAGGTCACTCATGTGGAAGACCATGCACTCAAGGGCTTACAGAGTCGTCCTTGGTGGACCCCTCTAGACGGCGATACTTCGAAATTTCCCGATCGAAGCGATTGGTGGATGGTGCTTTGGCTCAAGCCTGCGGTGTGGAAAGCCGTAAAAGCTTGGGTTTGGTTCAAAGGCAAGATTGGCATGTTCAGCAAGGTTGATACTGACTCNCTTCTTGAGGCACTCAACACACAGGGACAATCCGTGTGGGGTCTTAGAGATGGTGGTAAATATGGTAAGTTTTTTGCTTTGTTGCAAACCTGACATGTGTGATTGAGCGGCATACTAACTGTACTTTAGGACTGNTTCACACCCATGTTCCAGATGTATGGCAGGAAGCCTGAGAACTGGATTCATCCACAACCCGAGAAGGCTAGAGAGGCTGCAGAAAGAGTGGCAGGTGCAGCAAAGGCCAAAACTGTTTGAGGTGGGGTTTTGAGCGTCGGCGGTCCGCTTCTTCCAACTAGATATCATTGATACGGCATCTCTCTGCCGTGCAGAGATGGAATCTAATAAATTTCCTTTGTAGTAAACCATATCTTAACCTTTATCCTCATGTCGCGTTGGTTTTGCCATCCACAAGTATCACCATTTACCCGACTCTACTCGCTCATGCCGGAAACATCTGCCATGATATCGCTTGAATAGATCCGAGTTTCCGCATGTCAAACAGGCAGATCCGAGTCTCCACACCAGATGGTGCATCCCCATGCCGCCCCACATTTCCAACACGCACCCCGCACATTTTGGAAGGGGGATCCACTCTTGCCGTAACCTTGCACGTACCGCTTCTCCTGCTTGTGCCTGGTTTGGTTTCTCTTTTGCCTGCAAACGCGAATACCCCCACGGCAGTTGGGATCCACTTGTCGATGGGTACTCCACCTTGTCCACCTCGATTGGAGGACTCCACTCTAGTGACAGGAGCGGAAGAGGAATCGGGTACAAGGACGGGGTGTACAGTTTGGCTCCACTGTCCGTTGCGTCGTTCCGCATGTATATAAGAGTAGGATCGTCCCCTTGAGTTTCCACACGGGTTCCTCTAGATTTCGTTGCTGCATTGATACCATTCTTCTGTCTCTCCTCGCAACGCTCTCTCTCTCTCTCTCTCTCTCTCTCTCTCTCTCTCTCTCTCTCTGTCCTCTTATCTGGTCTATCGTGCTCGCTACAAGACACACGTGTTGTACTTTACTGTAAACACCAGCAACCATGTCCGCGATCCCCAATCTCCCAGAGCAAGACCACCACCCCAGCTCCCGCGAACACGACCTCGACACTGTCCTCTCCACCTCCATCCCCCAACTCGCCACAAAACGCATAGATTCACCCACAAACACAGCCTCCTTTGCCAATCCATCTTCCTCTGGCTTTGCTCTCCACGATACAGTGATAGAAAACCAGAGACCCATCAAGGTTGTAGTGGTGGGAGCAGGTTACTCAGGCATCTACCACGGCATCCGTATCCCCGAGCGTCTACGCAATGTCGACTTGACCATCTACGACAAAAATGCTGGTGTGGGTGGAACGTGGTATGAAAACAGGTATCCGGGGTGTGCTTGCGATATCCCATGTGCGTACTCCTCTTCCTCCTCCCCTTGACGCAAAACAGAGGCAAGACACTGACACCAGCAAACAGCACACTCCTACCAATACTCCTTCAACCCAAACCCAAACTGGAGCAGCATGTACTCCCCCGCCGCAGAAATACAAGCCTACCTTGCCGCCACCGTNAAAAAGTACTCAGTCGATCGCTTCATAAAGCTCTCCCACGAGATAAAATCCTGTGCTTGGGACGCCAACACTTCAAAATGGACTCTCAAAATCGAGGACTTGGAGAACAAGCGAACATTCGAGGATACTAGTGATGTGCTGATTATGGCAAGAGGAGGTCTAAACCATATAGCTTGGCCACAGATTGAGGGGCTAAAGAGTTTCGAAGGCGAAGTTATGCATTCGGCGGCTTGGAATCAAGAGTATGTTGCTTCTCCTATATCTCTTGACTTAAGGTGGGCTCTTACTGACACTTCCTTTTCAAACAGCTACGACTTTACAAACAAACGCATTGGAGTCATCGGCAGTGGCAGCTCGGCTATCCAGATAATACCTTCTCTGCAACGTCTGTCGGGCACAAATCTCTCCTGCTTCATCCGTAGTCGTACTTGGATATCCCCTCCCTTCGGCCAGGCAATCCAAGACAAACTAAAAATGGACGGCTTCAAGTTCAGCGAAGAGCAAAAGAAGAAGTTTCGCGACGACCCAGAAGGCTTCCACAAGTTCCGCATGGAGATCGAGGAAGGAGGCAACGAGATCCACTCATTAACGATCATGGGCACAGACATGCAAAAGGGGGCTCAACAGCACTTTGAAGAGAACATGAAGAACAGGTTGCAGAAGAAACCCGAGATTTATGATTGGTTGAAACCTAGCTTTGCGCCTGGGTGCAGACGATTGACGCCAGGACCTGGCTTCTTGGAAGCTTTGGTCGAGGACAATGTCGACTTCATCCGCACTCCCATCACAAAGATCGAACCAAAAGGAATAGTGACTGAAGATGGTACCCTCCACGAGATAGACGTCTTGGTCTGCGCTACAGGTTTCCACACCGGTGCACCTCCTCCTTTCCCCGTTACTGGCGTCGACGGTATCGCCTTGCCAGACCATTGGGAGCAACGAGCGACATCATATCTCTCCATCGCCACCGACAAATTCCCGAACTTCTATATGATGCTGGGACCAAACTCTGCAATCGGATCCGGATCCTTAACGATGATGATCGAGAGCGTGGGCGATTACGTCGTTAAATGCATCCGTAAACAACAAAAGGAAAACATCAAATCCATGACGGTGAAAGCTGGCCGAGTACGAGACTTCTTGTCTTACTCGGATGAGTATTTCAAGAACACGGTCTTCATGGATGACTGCAAGAGTTGGTACCGTAAAGGCGACACGATAGTAGGATTGTGGCCGGGGTCGACATTGCATTGCATAGAGGCTTTGAGAAGTCCACGATGGGAGGATTTCGAGTACGAGTATGGAGAGGAGAACCAAATGGCATGGTTGGGTAATGGATGGAGCACCAATCAGCTCGAAGGAAGGGATCTTGCGTATTACTTGCTGCCACAGTTCCAGCAAGTACCGACGTCGCCCTTACCAGAAGAGAATACCGAGTTCAAAATACGCGCGTATTCGCAGTAGAGATGGCGGTAACGAATGATTAGATGAATGAATGGACGTGCGTCTTTCGTTGTTATTGTTGACCTGTGAAGAGGTTCTTTGACACGTGTTGTCGGTGTCATCGATGGTTAAAGAGTCCAGAATCTGTTCAGGTGTCAGTTGGAAGTCGACCTCTCGCACACATCTAAGGTCACTCCAGCAGACAACTCACCAAGGCTCGTGAACGATTACCACGGCAAACGCCCACGGACCGTCCTCTGGAGGGCCTGGAGGAAGAAAAGTGGCTGCAATCTAAGCAACAACGCTAATCAACACTTCCGTGGTCGCTCGTAGCAGGACACGGGCTGTGTAGCGGATGTAGAAGGGCAAGCCGATGGCCAAAGCAATCCAGACGAACAGGTAACCATATACCAGCCACGGTAACATGCCGGTCATCGGTGCATCGTGCGAGAGAAAATGCGAAATCTGGTAGAGAAATGATACGCAATGTAGCCATGCCCACACAGCTATGCAGAAGCAGGGGAGAAGTATAACGACGTCCATGGTGAGAACAATAGCCCGGATGTGTGCAAAGATGTATGTCGGAGTGAGGAAGCTTGACAGATTAACAAGGAAACAAGTCAGCACGCCAGGCATGTTGCGAAAGGGCAGGAGCAATCATCCACGAAGCTCATACCATCGCAGTCTCTCGACTTGATCATCGCAAATGCAACTTGTTCTTAATATTCTGCTAATAGTCAGGACAATCGCTGGCAAATGCGCAACACTAGTCTGTAGACGCAAAACGTCTATGAACATTTCACTTTCAAAATCTCTCGATTTACTGCCCTGCAACTCCAGATGTGTTATGCATGGGGTGAGCCTTCGAGCTACACCAAAAGCTTATGATGTAGAATGTGGTAAGGCGTACTTGGAGTGTACGACAGTGTTCTTGAGCACAAGCTAAAATGCAGCCATCGACTCAACACAAAACGCATGCTTGGTTTACGATTGAATGAGCTTGTGAAAATCTCGGCATGGCCTTGAGCGAAAGTTGTTGTCAAAGGTCGCAAGTGCAGTGTAGAAATTATAAGAATAAGGTTAGAGAGCTTTTGAGCCGAGCAGAAAGTGAAATTCATATGTTAGCGATGACATTCACTGCGTATATTTTTGAGAACTTTTGGAAGAAGGACGTTTTAAATCAAGATCGCCATAAATTCTTCTTTTCTGTTGCTACAAGGCGAGGAGGGGGAAATCGTAGTCAAATATTTACAAAGTGTCTCTGAGGAGCTTGTTCATCTTGGCGATCTTGGATGAAACGCTGAGGTCGATGGTGCGGTCGCCAATCTCGACAATGAGTCCACCGCGGATGTCGGGGTTGACCTGTGCCAATTGTCAGAGATGTGTACATGTAGGCAGCGAGAGTGTGGAACATACCTTGGAGACAACCTTGAGCTTCTTGCCCTGACCGACGTATGAGGACTTGGAAACCGAGTTCTCGAGCTGACGGAGGACCTTGGCGTCGAGGGGNNCTATTACGAAACATGTCAGCAAACAATGCTGTTGTGTGGGTCTTCTCTTTCTTCATAGACGTACAGCAGCGCTGACGACAGTCAACTCAACCTCACCACGGGCGGCGCTCATGAGGGTACCGAACTTCTCGGCAACACCCTCAAGCTGGTTGAGTCTGTTGTTCTCTGCCAAAGCCTCGAGGAAGTTCTTGATGGTGTTGTTCTTGTCCTGGACACCGAGGGACTTCTGGATCTCGGCAATGATCTGCGACTTGTCGGCGGCGGTAAGAGTGGGGGCCTCGAGGATGGTCTTGAGCTGAGTGTCTCTCTTGAAGGTGGCGGCGAGGTTCTCGAGACCCTTGGCGGTGGAATCCAGAGACTCGGTCTTGACAGCGGCGGTGTAGAGGGCGCTGGCGTAGGTACCGTCGAGGCCGAAGAGAGCGACCGGAGGCTTGGAGGCAGCCGACGAGGCCGAGGCGGCGGCGGCGTAGGATCTGGTGGCAATGGGAGCGCGAGGAGCGGCCACGCGGGCGGCGCGAGCAGCGATGCGACCGGACAACATTTTGCAGGCGATGGCGAGGTTCAATGAGCGGAGATGGGAGTCAACCTTTAACACAACGCAGCTCTTGCACCCCAAAGCCCGCCGTCGTCGCGGAACGGAAAGCACGGCCCACACGTGACTTTCGACATGGCTTTTCATCCACGGTCGCTGTTTCCATCTTCACTTTTCGGCATTATCATATAATTAGAGCGTGCAATTGTTCAGTCGGCTACAAACAGCATCTAACATGTCACAATACACAGATTCAGTCAGTGATAAACAAATATTTGATATACTGCGGTATGGTATAAGCACAGACGCTATCTACAACAAGGAAAAGGGAAAAGGAAAATCAGTCAAAAACGTCCACTCTCCTACTTCGATTATGCGTCAATCAGGTTCTCGCTCTCTTGTTGTCTGTCCTGGTTGTCGCGAGTGTCCTTGTTGGCATTCTTGTCTGAGGGACGGCGTGTGTACCACTCGTCCAGGGTCTTCTTGGGAATACGGTTGAGAAGTTCTTTGGGGTAGATGCGAAGCAACTCCCATGCGGTGTCGAGCGACTCGAAAATGCTGCGTTTCTCGTATGCGCCCTGGTTGATGAAAGTCTTTTCGAACTTGTCCAAGAACTCGAGCGAAAGCTTGTCCTCGCTTGACAGAGCCTCCTCACCAACGACTGCCTTCATGGCAGCAGCATCACGACCAATGGCGTACTTGGCGTACAGCTGGTTGGAAACATCCGAGTGATCCTTACGGGTCATGCCCTCACCGATGGCAGACTTCATGAGACGCGAGAGCGAGGGAAGCACGTTGATCGGAGGGTAGATACCCTTGTTGTAGAGTTGACGGTCAATGAAGATCTGACCCTCGGTAATGTAACCAGTCAAATCGGGGATAGGGTGGGTGATATNCTGCAGGTCGATTAGCATCATTTCCAGTTGCTCATCGAAAATGTTGAGCATACCATCGTTGGGCATGGTCAGGATGGGGATCTGAGTGATGGAACCGTTTCTGCCAGCAACACGACCAGCGCGCTCGTAGATGGTGGACAAATCAGTGTACATGTAACCGGGGTAACCACGACGACCAGGAACTTCTTCTCTGGCGGCCGAGACCTCACGAAGAGCGTCACAGTAAGACGAAAGGTCAGTAAGAATGACCAAGACGTGCTTCTCGAGCTGGTAGGCGTAGTATTCGGCGGTGGTGAGAGCAAGACGAGGGGTAATGATACGCTCGATACTGATTCAACATTAGTGACTTGGGCAGAGAAAAAGCACGACGGAATGGACGTACGTAGGGTCGTTGGCCAAGTTCAAGAAGAGAGTAACTCTCTCCATACTGCCGTTCTCCTCAAAGTCGCGAGTGAAGAATCTGCTGGTTTCCAAGTTGACACCCATGGCACCGAAGACGATGGAGAAGTTGTCCTCGTGGTCATCGTGGATGCCCTTGGTGGGCTTGACCAAACTGGCCTGTCTACAGATCTGAGCAGCGATTTCGTTGTGGGGCAGACCGGCGGCAGAGAAGATGGGAATCTTCTGACCACGAGCGATCGAGTTCATGGTGTCGATGGTCGAGATACCGGTGGAGATCATCTCCTCGGGGTATTCNNCTGCATATGTCAATACACCGCCGTCGCATGGCTTGACATGATGTTGACTGACTCTTGAGTAGGGGTTGATGGGTTGACCGTTGATGTCGAGGTAGTCCTCAGCCAGAACCTTGGGACCCTTGTCGATAGCACGACCGGAACCGTCAAAGACACGACCAAGCATGTCCTCGGACACACCGAGCTTGAGCGAGTGGCCACTGAACTCGACTTTGGNTCTACTGCGCGTCAGCACTACTGCTTGGATTCGGAATTGATTCTTGATTTGCCGCACCTTCTTGACATCGATACCAGAAGTTCCCTCAAAGACCTGTTGTCATGTGTAAGCTCCATGCTCTTTTGTGCCAGATGAGCAGTCGCTATTATGTAGCGATCGGGGTGGAGGATACCTGGACGACGGCACGGTTGNCCTTTACAGGAATTTGTCAGTATGCGGTTGCTAGGGCGTGTCGGGGGTGCAAGGCTTACCGCGAGCTTCAAGGACCTGACCAGATCTCTCGGTGCCGTCGGGCAGGGTGAGCGAGACGATCTCGTTGAATCTAGGGAACTTGACATTGTCCAGGATGACCAGAGGACCGTTGATGCCGCCAATGGTGTTGTAGCGGATGCGAGGCTGGACGTGCATCATCCTGGGGTCGACGGTGAAATCTTCTCCGGCCATGTTTGCGGTGGCGATAGCTGAAAGAGGCGAAGGTTGGTGGTATGGACTGCCGTACACAGCAGACTGGTCGAGCTGGGTGGTTGAACTCTCCGACCGCGTCGTTAACCACCAAGAGACGTTGGTCTCCCCCGTACGTCAGGCCCGTCTCCTGGTTGGTCTGTGCGCCATCTATAATTCCATCTGCTTGATTTATGTAAGCGCGACTACTGCTACTCTACGAGACTGCACATATCTTAACATGCGCGAAGAAAGACGAAGGCCTCAAGTAGATCTGAAAAACATTGGATAGAAGCTTCTCCAACGCGGTCGACTGGTATACAGAAACCAGAGCCGAAATCTAGTAAGTCTTTCTCTTTGTCCAGCAAAACTGCTTAAGTCTTCTTCATCTGCCTCCAAGCAAATCTCAACACTCAAACCAGGCAAGTGGATGTGAAGGTGTTGCTCATGCTTGTGACAGTGTTGTGTATCAAACGGTCACGAAGGTCGAGCACATGAATCTTGTGCAAGCGCACAAACAGTGTACAAACTCGGAAATGACTTCAGCCAAGACTGGGGTAGCGAGGGTTGATTTCAAGCTCTCTCACAGGCCGAGAGTGAAGTCGAACTTCTCGAAGCTCTCTCAGTCTTTCCTTAGCAATTGCCCAACAATGCATCTCGACGATAGCGCGTCGGAAGAACTCAAGGCCTGGGTCGTCAAGCGTCTGGAGGACATCTCGGACGCAGACTCGGACGTCCTCGCCGACTATGTCATTGCCCTGATCAAGTCCGACGAGTCTGACGACCAAGTCAAGCAAAACTGCCAGGACAACCTGCTCGACTTTCTGCACGACAGCACCTCTCAGTTTGTCAACGATGTCTTCGCCCATCTCGCAAATTCCGAATCCAAGCCCCTACAGCCCACCGCGACCGCTTTCCAACCCACGGCGCCTGCCTTCCAGCCCAGCGAACCCGCCTTCAACCCTCCCTCAGGCCCTGCCTCGAGAAAGCGCGACTTCAACGACAGCAATGCCTTCGACAGCCACGCTCAGGGTTATCAGCAAGATCGTCCCATGAAGCAAATGCGACGGGGCGGACGCGGTGGTCAAAGAGGAGGCTTCATGGGTCAAATGTCTGGCGCCCCTCAATCCATGCCCCCTTTCGACCCGAACAATCCTATGGCTGCTCTTATGGCTATGCAGCAGGCCATGGGTCTACCTGGTATGCCTCAGATGCCTGGTATGCCCCAAATGCCCTTCCCTCAATCACCTGGCGCCTTTGGCAACCCTGCACAAACCCCGCGCTCTGGTCAGAGATGTCACGACTACGATACCAAGGGCTTTTGCGCTCTCGGCGCTTCATGTCCTCATGAGCATGGCAACGACCCCGTCTTAGTTCCCCAACAGGCAGACGAGTACGATCCTACGAATGCTTCGATATCGCAAGGTCGTCCATTCGCCGACAGAGGGCGTGGCCGTGGTCGCGGTAGAGGCGATAGAGGCGGCGCCTTTCGTGGTGGCCGCGGAGGTCGTGCCGACTTCTCGTCTGCTGGTCCAAACCACGATCGCTCCATCACACAGGTTGTTGTTGAGCAGATCCCTGAGGAAAACTTCAACGAGCAATCTGTTCGCGACTTCTTCTCCGAGTTTGGAACCATTGAGTCGGTCGAGTTGCAGGATTACAAGCGTCTAGCTATCATCAAGTTCGAGGACTACGACGGTGCGAAGAAGGCATACGACAGTCCCAAGGTCATCTTCGACAACCGCTTTGTCAAGGTTTACTGGTACAAGCCCGAAAGAATGCAACGGGAGCGTCATCAGAACGGCTTTGGCAAGAGCGACGGCGATGTCGACATGCAGGAAGAAGAGAAGATTGATCCTGTCGAGTTCGCGAAGAAGCAAGAGGAGGCACAACGCGCCCACGAAGAAAAGACAAAAAAGATTAAGGAGGCCGAGGCACAGAGACAAGAACTGGAGCAAAAGATGAAGGCTCAGGCTGAAGAGCGCAATAAACTGCTCGCAAAACTCGCCGCGAAAGAGAGAGGAAAGTCAGGTACTCCGGATCAAGCCGCTGCTGTCGGTCAGAACGGTGCTGCCAATGGTGCCGACGGCAATCGTACACCCTCGCAAACCGACGCTTTGAAGGCCAAACTTGCAGAGTTGGAGAGAGAAGCAGAGAGCATGGGCATAAACCCGAACGAGGAGCAGCCGTGGCAAGGCTTTGCTCCACGCGGTCGTGGTGGTTATAGGGGACGTGGAGGATTCCAACCGAGAGGCGCATGGCGAGGAGGAAGAGGCGCTCTTGCTCCACGCGGAGGTGCTGTGAGAAGGCTAGACAACAGACCCAGGACTGTTGCAGTCATCTTCCCAAACAACGACCAAATGGATTCCACGAAAGATGAAGCGCTAAGGCAATATCTGCTATTTGTGAGTAGCCGCAGAAAACTTCTTCCACCAGTACATCACCTTACTAACCTTCTACAGAGCGATCTCATGGAATCCACACAGATCAGCCCTCACCCTTCACGCTCAGATGCCGCCATGCTTGCATTTTCTGAGCGCTACCAAGCCGAGAAGTTCCTCAATCACGGCTCTGACATTCCCCATCTCGGCAAGGTCGAGCTTTCATGGATGGCAAACCCTGCTCCTAGCATTCCCGTCGCCTCTGCACAGCCGGCTTCAGAGACGTCCAAGGATGTCAACATGGACGAGCCTCAGGATCTTGGACCCCCAAGACCAGCGGCCGAAATGGATTACGACGTAGCTGATGATGATGACAACTGGTTAGTCGAATAACGAGGGAGAACAGTTGGTGCATCAGGCTGTCATGTTTGCTCCTAGTTCATTCCAGGTTATATATCCCACATTCTGTTGAATCGGCCAGAGAAAAAGGCCATTGCGACAACTCACATTTTCTGTACATTAGATAAACACACCAAGGCCATTTTCCAATCTTTGATGTCGAGTTTAAAGACATCTTCGCAACCCTTTCTTTTTCCGTTAGCAGCCAAAGGGTGACCTTGTCCTCTCTGGCTATCAAGCCACAAACCAAAACACGACTCGCTAAACATGACTTTCTCTCCCACATCCACACATGCTCCTTGACACACAACAACTCAGAATCACGCTCGCCTATCGCAACACACCTGAGCTCTAGAACGTCCTAAAAGGTGGAAATTAGAGATGCAAAAGCGACTTGACTTGATCGGGCAGGTAGGCGCTGATAAAGGCAGAATAAGGCCGTGAAAACACTATGACCATTTATCCGACCCAGGCCAGCTACACTATACAACGTGGCTTGAGAGACGAGATACGGTGAGAGGCACGCCGCCGAGTGGGAATTTGGTGTATTTGTCTCCAAACTTGGGAGAGAGTATAGATAGGTATTGGCTGCCCTTTTCCATCCTTGTTTGACAAAGAAGCAGTTTCCCGGCAACATCGCGCCTGTAGCAAGAATATCAACAACAATCTCGCAAACCATTGCAAAACCTCCGAGAGAACAACCCATACATCGCATCAAGCACTCCAACAAAACCAAATCAACAAAAAGCCAACCCACCTAAACGCGAAACCTCCAAGACCAATAACAAAAATGTCACTCCAAACCACCAACCTCACAACACACCTCACAACACCCTCCTGCCCTGACTCCATAGTCTTCCCTCACGTTACCGGCCCTCTCTGCGTTCTCCCCTCCTCCTGCACCAACAGCACCGCCATAATGCAATCCTGCTGTAACGGCAACACCCCCATCGAATACACATACCCGGGCATCAACGAAGGCAACAAGACCTACCAAGGACTTTACTGTTTGCTAAACGGGACTTATGGCAATATGACGACGTCGAATTGGGGGGTTGTGCTAGTGAGTTTGGGTTCAAGGGGCCGAGTGGATGTGTTGAGGGAAACTTTACGAGTAAGAAGGGGGCGGGGCAGAGGGTTGAGGTGGGGTGGATGGGTGTTGTGGTGATGCGGTTGTTGGTTTCTGGACTTGTGGGTTTGTGAGAGGGTAGGGAATGGAATGTGTGGACTAACGTATCAGGAAGGAGGGTTGGAAGAAGTTTGGAGGACTCCGGATAAGAGGATGGCGAGGTCCGGCACTGTCAGCGCTTTCAACTCGCTCCATTCGTGTCTGCCCTGGTCTTGTACCTATGAATAATGTTTGTATATCTCTCTGTATCTTCACCAATATCAAGACTCTCGATGGGCATCTCAGATCCTGGAACATGCCTCTGCATTTTGACGATGAATCGTCTCTTTGGTAAGCTATGAGGAAGGCACTGTCGTCGATACTGGCTACATAGACTTCCTTCCCTGTTCAACGTGCTTGGACCTCAGAGCGATATTTCTATCACGCTTGCATCACTCTGCTTCTTTCTCATGTAGCTTTTCATCAAGACGAACTTTCGTGGTGTAGACTTGGTTGCAAGTTTCTGCTGAAAACAGTTCGGCTCTCAACAGCACTGTGCATTGCGATAGCCTTTTTGGTAGCAGCAACATAGATGGTGGGAGATGTATAATGCTAGTATAAAATGTAGAAGAAGATGCGAGAAACAGAAATAACCTATGATAGGATGGCCGAAGGACAGCAAAAAAATCTCGACTGCATGGCCCTGATGCACTACACAATCATCCGATCTTGTTCCTCCATACGCTCTTCACCGGCCGCAACCATATNCTATGACACAAATCAGCTTCTAATCAATCATTGAAGTAAGACAAACGACAAATACTCACCCATCCAACGATTCTGGCCTGGATATCTCTCCCTCTTGATTCTCTCAACCTCATCAAGTACCCTCACTTCACCACTCCCTTCCAGCCTTTCTACGCTCTCAAACGTCAAACTAGCCACCACAATGGCGAGTGTCGAGCCCTGAGCAAACATCCTTGCTCGGACGAGTTTCTGGGATTGACTGAGGAAAGGGTTGCGGTTTACCAATGTCAGAGCGAATGCCATGGAGATTGCCCATGAGCTCAAGACAATTCGGTATCTGTTGTCTGAGACCAAATCTGCAGCTCGTTGGGACAAAGGCTGTTTAGCGAGAAGTGATTGTTTGAGGAGTGTCTGAGAGTGAGTGTAGGCATTGTCTGGATTGTGATTTGCTTCGTAGTTGCGAGAGTAGCGGTCTGCATTGATGATGGCTATTTCTGTATCAACAAATCCAACCAAGAGTAAAAAGACAGTGATATTTCAACCTGCGAAGCCACCCGTGCCAGTCACCAAGAAGGCATGGAAGGAAGGATCGAGGTTACGGATGGCATGGAACCTTCTTCCAAGAGCCCAGAGCAAAGCCGTGCTGACTGCTGTTCCTCCGATCAGACCTCCCCAGCCGCCTTTGAGGACATTGCTNNATGTTGGTTTAGTTCTGGACAGAAATACATGGGTGGATGGGACGTACGAGTAGTGCTCTGTCTCTTGCTCTGGAGTCAAGAGTTTCATCTTGGACTTGATTTAGTTGATTGTGAAGAAGCTTTTAGCTTAGTGATAGGGCAGATGGCTTTGAGTCGGTTTATTCATCCTTGAAGTCTCTGGTATATATACCCTGCTCTTCGAAACTCTGGTCTCGCCATGTTTCGGAGACCACCGATAGTCGTCCAGCATATCATCTTCTCAAGTAGCAGATGTATGAGCGACTCATGCCACTTCACGAGATATCTGCAAGTAGATGTGATGACCACATGTTGTACAGAGCGGAAAAGAGGTTGACATCAAGCACACCACTGCTATCTGTGTGTTCAAAACATCTGCTGCAGCCGCCCACGGCGTATGATATTTGTGATTCAGGTGTCGCGGTCTCGGTTCCATGCCGGCATCTGATGAGATGATTATGCGACGTTGATCTTAGGCTCCTCATTTGATACCATTGCTCTCTTGCTACTTATTGAGAGTATTGTCGATGGCTTGCTGCAAGACAAGAGGCAGTTTGCAGTATCCCTGAAACTCGGTAGAGGTGCTTATGCCGCACGCACGCATGTCTAGTTGCAGTAAATGCATGTAGCCGCTTTTCTATGCAGTCAAACACTTTGAGTTACACCTCATGAGACACTTTGTGCAACACAAAGTACTCGGATGGTAGTGTCACGATATCGTGATATATCATACCACTTTGAACTGCTTGTTGTCAGAAAAATCGCAGGATAACTTTGGGCAAGTGCGACACGACTCTCCGCGCTCGTGATAGCCCTTTTACCACGGCTGTTCCTTCCTTGCTGAACCCCATATCCTTGCTTTGTCATGTGCAACCTCTCCTGCTTCCTCTGCTGCTGAGACGAGTCTCCTGTCATAATGAATTGATTTCTGCATGCTCCCTGCATGTCCAGTCCTGCACACTCCGGTTGTCAACTGAGGCTGTTGTAAGAAGGACGTGTTGCTCACAAGAAATAGTGGATAAGACGAAAAGCGAGTGAGCTTTATCGACAAATCAAAGTAATCTTGCAGAAAGGTCGACGAGTGTAGACTCGGGGAGATGATCCTGGAGAAAGTTCTGTTAAGGGCGCTGTGAACATGATGCGAGAAGTGATGGGTGCTAGAGATGCGTTCTAATTTGGACTTGAGAAATGACTCACAGTCATTGGTATCCAACAAGTATCGACATGAAAACAGAAGGGACGATTGGAAAACAGAAACGAGTTCCAACCTTTCCATGGACATGGTCTTCTTCTGGATAACACTGCGTGTTTATACAGCGCACGTTGACATCAGTATTTATTGTGAGAGTGTTGATGTGCCGAGAGACGATAGACCCCTTCATGTGAGTTGCTCCATCTTGTCTTCTTCTGAGCTCGTGACCTGCGCCATGACTGTTGTAACAACACAGAATCCTTCCTAGATTATGGCCGCTGCCAGGGAGAGCCCTTTAAGTAAACGTTCTCCACAGACGATGATCAAAGCTCTCGTTGAACGCGTTCCTTTTCTGAGGAGTACTGTGTATTTTGACGACTTACGTTGAGATTGGCTTCCATTGTGAGAGCGTCGAAGTGTCTAGGCGTGATAGGAAGGCTCTCAATATGTCCACATCTACCGCTATCTCTGTTCTTCCGCCACGGCCAAGTGTTGCGAGTATGGGGACATTGCAAAGTCGTTTCTGGGACATAGTCATGTCCAGAGGGTGTGTGTCGACTTTCGAGTAGTCACCGCGTTACAATGCCACAAGCGTGTAGAGAGCATCAGTCCCATCACCGACCATCCCATCGCCAAATTCGACCACCCGCCTAACTCCAGCCTCAACCCTGAGTTCTCTACTGTCCCATTGTCCTTGGAGCCCGACTCCTCCGTCATCACATTATCCGTTGTATTCCTCGGCTTGCCAGGAGTATTACACGTCCACTGATGCACAGCCTGCAAAGCATCTGTACACTCTTCAAAATCCTCAGGAGTCTTGTTGCCCAAATGGCAATGAAGGGCCGCACGAGCGTAGGGATCGTTCTTGTATCCAGGACTGTGGGTTCCATAGGGCCATTGGGTTACTTCGAGGGGTGACGCCGTCGCAGCAGCGATCCGTAATGTTTGTGTTGTTGCCGCAGAGGGTCATTGTGCAGCTGGGTCCTGGGACGGACATTTGGCCGAACCAGTATACATGGCCTTGGGTTTCGCAGCCGGGGATGGGTTTTGTGAGCGCAGTCTCGTTCCAACGTGTGGTTTTGTTCATCTTGAATATGTGCCGTGTGGATTCAGATGAGGTTACGTTGTATAAAGGTAAAGTGTGAAGGTTTGGGTTGCAGGAGCAATGAAGTGACGTAGACCTGTAGTGTAAGATTGCACGAGTAGCAAGGTTATATATACCTACCGTGAGAGTGTGTCAACGCCGACTCAGGGGCCTTACTATACCGAGTCAATGACAGTGAATCAAGACCATATTCTGGTCGGTCCTGATTATGGCCTGAATTTGATCCTTCGGCGTGCACGTACTTGTCTGGACTACGTACTTAACACAGCGAGTATTCCTTCTCACATTCGAATCTCCACCTGTCAAAGCTCCAGGATCAAGCAGGCCTATTTCTTATTTGCTAAGCCCCATCGCAGCCACAACAGGTACATCCCTCGGATCGATGGTGAGTGCAGCGACAGGTTGATGCATATGGACACATTCAACCTTGGCAAAATACGGCAGAGCCTGGCGAGAGCATAGAGAAGGATCTTCTAAGCACATCGTGAGACGGTGTTATAACTCTGAAACACTTACTCGGTAAGGAAGGGATCTCGAGTCAGTGACGTTGCAAGGACGCGATGTGGTTTGGTTGTCGCACGGATGAACTTCGGTACTTCTAGCACTTTGTATACAGTATCACCCTGGCTATATCTTAGGAAACCACTATGAACTCCGTCAACGGCAGCATTGGTAAGAGCAGGCCAGCGAAGGACGGAATTAGTGTGCAGCATCCCTTGGAAATGGCTTTAATTCATCTGAGAGTTCTGGCGCTTGGTTTTCAACCATATACATTCAAGCCAGCAAATCCTGGGAAGGATGTAGCGATGTCAGTGCCAATCGCGGTGATCAGCCAACAGTCAGGTATAAGATCGATCACGAAGCGACAGGGAAACCGGAAGGCACGATACAGTTGAGGCATCGAACAGTAAACGGGCAATCACATTGAATGAGACAGTGGATGATGACTATGCATAGAAAAGTTGAACATTGCACATTGTTGGCTTTTGGATATCTCTACATCTTAACAACACCCTCTAGATGTTAGAGAAGAAGAAAGTGGGGTTTCTAAATCACAATTGTCAGCAGGTGAACTCATCGAATCAAACCCTAGGAAGATGAACTTACGCAGGAACAGCATTCTCAGCCTGGGGCGGCAACTCGGGCATCTCAGTGCCCTTAGCAGCAGCGGCTTCACCCAAGCTGGCGACAACCTTGCCGGTCTTACCACCTTGCTCGACTGAGATGACTTCAACGCAAATACATCTTTGCACTGTGCTCATCAAGCCAGGAACCATCTGGGCAAGCACATCGACTTCGTTGTAAGCGAGCTTGCGCTCGAAAACAGTGTTTGAGTCGATGCCACCCTCGAGGCTCTTCTTGAGGGTTTGAATGAAAGGCATGGCCTTCTTGCTGTCAGCCTTGTCGACCTTCTTGCTGATTGCCTTCATGTCAATGGTCAGGCCGTCGAAAGCGTCACGGACCAAATCGATGACCTTGGACTGCCAGCTNNAGGGTATTCGGTTGCCATGAAGATGGTCAACTTCTTAGGCTGCTTGGGGTCGTAGTTTGTGGCCTTGCCCTTGGTCATACGCTTCAGTTGNAGCGCCCTCTGCAGAGGTGATGTTACCGCTGGTTTGGCGGACGTACTCACGAGCGGCGGTAAGCTCAGGCTTGGTGGCAGAAACTTGAGGGAAGAGCTCGTTCTGGACGGTGCTGGGCTTTCCAAGGACCTCGAGCCATATGTACTCTGCCCAATGGGGTGCAACGACGGTGATCATCAAGGCTTGCAACTCGACGTACTTGCGGACGAGGTCCTGGTGCATGCCGATACCGGAAGACTTGGTAATCTCACGGTAGAAGTCACGAGCGCTGGTGAAGTCGTAGAAGCCGGACTTGAGAGCGGACTTGTAGTTGGTGGCAGAGTAGTGCTCTCTTGTCTCGCTGACCAAGCCATTGAGCTCGTTCTCGAAGATGTCGTCCCAGAAGGATCTTTCACCGGTACGCTGAACGCAGTCGTTGTTCTTGAGACGCTCGTTCTTGTTAACCTCGACGTAATTCTCGCCCTCCTTCAGGAGGCGAGCACCCTGAACAGTCTCCTCGCACCACTTTCTCAGCTCAAAGAGCTTGAGAATGATGGCGTTGGCGACAGTCTCCTCGAAGTTGGCATCTTCGATCGAGTCTCCAGCATCGGCAAGAGACACACGGGTGGCATCGGCACCGAACTTCTTGGTTGCATCGTACAAGGTAAGGAAGTTACCGGTACTCTTGCTCATCTTCTCACCGTTCAAAAGCAGATGGCCGTTGGCACGGATACCGCGAGGCCAGTACTCGCGAGGGAAGAGGGCGACGTGGATGTAGAGGAAGAAAGTCAAGTGGTTCTGAATAAGATCCTTGCCAGAAACGCGGACATCAAGAGGGTACCAGTATTCGAACTCTCTGCGCATGGTCTGGAGGGTCTCCCTGGGGATATCACTCTCGACGTCTTCGCGACGAGTGAAGATGTAATCCCAAACCTCATCTGTCATTTGCTCAGCAGAGATCTTGCCAATACCTTGAGTGTCTCCGTAGATATCGGAGTGCAAGTAGTGAGCAATTGTGTAGTAACTGGGGTAGATGGTAGAATCGGAGAGGGATTCTACGAGGAACTTCTGATCCCACGGAAGCTTCGAGCCAAGACCATAAGAACGAGCGCAAGCCCATTGACCCAGCCAGTCGAGAGTCTGTTGGAAGGCGTTCTTGGCCTCGGTGGAGAATGTGTTAAGCTCGCCGTTGACGTGACCAAGGACTTCTTGTTGCCAGGCTTCATCACCGTTCTTGCCGTAGTTGAGATACCACTGATCCAGATGTCCGGCGACACACGAATCACCAGAACGGGACATGACCTCGCCATCAGGCTCGGCGTAGTTGAAAGCGTTGCCGGCGTCAATGAGAGTCTGTCTAACAAGCGGCTTGGCCTCCTCGACTGACTTGCCCTTGTGCTCACCGTAGCACATGGTACCCTTGTAGAAGCCTTCCTTGTAAGCAAGGTCCTTGGCCTCGGCAAGCTGCTTGGTGTCCTTGGGCGAGGCGATCTTCATGTCCTCACAGAGCTTCTTGGCAGTCAGGTTTCCGTAGGTAGGGGTCTCAATGATGGGAAGAGGCTCGAGGTCGGCCCACTCCTTCTTGATCTTGTAGTAGTCGGCCTTCTTGACCAAGTCCTGAATGGTAATGTAGTCGTCAGGAGAATCCGAGGGCACACAAGTGACAACACCAGTACCCTTGGAAGCCTTGACGGTCTCCATAGGCAGAATGCGGACGTTCTCGTAAACGGAAAGAGGAGCGTTGATGAGAGTGCCGACAACGTCAGAGCCTTGCAAGTCGGCGACCTTAGGGAAGACACCCCACTCAGGGAAGATACCCTGGAAAGCCATGTTGCGAGCGGCTCTCTCCGAAACGAAGTAGTACTCGTTCTCAGAGACCTTGTAGATTCCGTAGCTAATCTTGGGCCCGACAAAGCAGCAAGTTTGACCGTACATGGTTTCGGGACGGAGAGTAGCGGGGACGAAGTAGACGTTGGCGTTCTCAGGGAGCTTGCCAGCGAGGATGTTTTGTGCGGGCTCGGCCCATTCTTGAACCTTGAGCTTCAGGGCAGTGTACTCCTGAACACCAACACCCTCACCCGAGCTTCTGTCGTGGTCCATACATGCTTGTCCGTCCTTGGGAGAGTAGACAGTGTAACGCTTTCCGAACTTGATCTTGCCCAGCTCCTTCAGACGGTTCATCTGCCAGCGGACGAAAGCGTCGTAGTAGGGGTTTCTGTCGGTGGTGACCATACTTCTTCTGAAGTCGACTCTTGCACCAATGTTGGTGAGATCGCGCTCGCAGAGAGCAGGGAAATAGTTGAGCCAGTGGTCTGAATCAGCGAATTTGTGAATTTCCTCCTTTTCGATTCCAAGAGCACCCATGATCTGGAACTGGTACTTCATCGAGACAGCCTTGGCTGCGGCCTTGCTCTTCTTTGCGCTGAACTTTGTAATGTCGGCCTTTGTGGTTTCCTGGGTGGGAGCGGGTACGGCGTCCTCCTCGGCGTCCTCCTCTTTGTAGTTTTCAAAATTCTTGCCGAACATTTCCATCTCGCGGGCCAGTTTGTCGGCGCACGACTTGATGGGCATACCGGTACAATGGTATCCCTGGGGGAACAAAGCTCTCTTGCCCTCCATGCGGGCCCATCCTGTAGCAAATTCGACCTTGGAAACTGTGAATGCGTGGCCTGCGTGCAGGATACCGTNTCTGCAAAGACAAAGTTAGCATGTTTCAGATGCAGTAGACGGCTATAGGCTTCAGACCATGTACGGATAGGCGAGAGTCGAGCTAATCGTTGTTTAGCATGTGTTTGGTATAGAGACGCCTCGGGTACGTACAANTTGTTTGGGTTGTTGCTCGCGGAGCTCGGCGGGGGTGATGGAGTGGAAGGGAACATCTTGGAGCGAGGGAGCGTCGGATTGGAAGATGGCGTCTTGCTTCCACTGCTGCTGGTACTTCTTCTCGGTGGCGATGAGGGTGTCACGCTTGTCGGTNNCTGCGCAATAACTCATCAGCATTGGGTGAAGTAGGTAGAGGCTTCAGCATAGCTCGTGACTCACGTTCTCAATCTTGAGAGTACCCTGAGTATCCTGGGGAGCGGCCATGGTGAAAGAGCGGTATTGAAGAGGCCTCGATCGCAATACCCGCAGATTGCGCAAAGAAAGACTGAACAACGACGTGGTGGGCAAAGGAGGTTGCTTTGCTCAGTCGAAGAGAGTTGGTGCGATTGCGGCGCTGGCGCTGGGCTGCCCAAAAGTTTCCCCAGACGACTTTTGTTTCTGACGCCCGCTAGTTTGCCTTGTTTGACACCGCATGCCGCGCTTTGAATCTATCCACGAGGGTGCTCCTTCCAGTTCTATAGCATAATCACCATGTTTTTCCCAACTCTGCTACGGCGGGCGAACGCTCTGCCCAAATTCGATTTTGCCAGGAATCCATACAAGTCGAAACGCACATGGCCGCCGGACTTTACCAAACTCTCGCAGAAACATCAGTTTCGTCTTGAACGCCGCTATCGTAGGAGGGCCAAGCTGAAGTGGGCAAGACCGACATGGACAAAGTTCGTCAAGCTGTCCACCTGGGCCACTATCTCGTGTATGTACAATTCAATCTTATGCGACAAGGACGTACTGACTCTGTGCTTAGTTGTCGTTGTCTATGGTCTGCTGTTCATGGACATTGAAGAAGGCACCGTCTTTGGCACTGTATGTCGACCTCCCCAGAAACTCCGGCGACTTGTGCTGACATACTCANNGATCCGCGACTACTACGCAAGAGCAACCAACGACATGTTTGGCACAGCGAGACGAACTCCTCCTATCAAGCCACGTGCTACCACCGAAGACGATCAGTCCGTGTCATGAGCCGTCGAGAAATACTGTAACACAACATGAACTGTCAAACAATCCTGCTGTGACCACCTACCAACCACTGTGGACAGCCAGCTTGGGCCGGGCACACAACAGAGTGGTAGTGACAAGAGACGAGCACAAGCCTTGTGGACGACTGCACTCTGTTTGCACATGCTCGTCCCAAACATTCGGTCTGTGACTCGAGTCTCTGCGGCAGACGCGCACAATGAAAGACCGAGGACGAGCACAAGTTTGGAGTACTTGAGATTAATGCTCTCAGACTATGAAGTAGTAGCTACATGAGCCCTTGAATCAACCAAGAGAGCGTATTAGTGTATACATGCCGCCAAGCTGGACATGCCGTATATGAAGATTCAGTAATTTACCGGAGTGCAGACCACGTCTCTTCTTGTAGTGCGTTGCTGCAGAGAAGGATCTTGAAACATTCTCGACGAAAAGTGGCGGTTTCAGTCATCATCAGGAATGCATTCCATGCCTTTTGTATCCATGTGGCTGGCGAGGAAATACGGATGCGTTCCTGGACATGCTTGGCAAGCTTGCAAAGGCTTCGAGGTGCATGCCTTTGTGTGAAAGAACCTCATCTACCTGCCCAGATACCAGGTCCGAGGCCACCTGAACGACTGCCCTCATTGACCGGCCGTTTAGCAACCTTTCCTTGCGCCTTGACTCCTTGTACCACTCTGTAAAACATTAGAAACGAGCACAGAAGACCATATTCAAACACATACTTATCCAAGCCTGTTTCGATTACCACGCCACCAACGATCATTTCGCCCAGTACCGCATGTAGCGTTTCAAAGTTGAAGATGAGATCGAGTTCACAAACGTTCTCAAAGAGCCTGTCCAGTGATTCGACAAAGACCTGGATCAGGTCGAGCAAGGCTAGAGGGGACTCGGTGCTAGTACTGATGACGATAAAGTAGAGAGTCGCATAGTGGCGGTAAGTGACCAGAGAAGGTACATCGTTGTGGGAATCCGATACAGCTCCCGCGGACTGAGCAGGTGCGAGAAGAGGTGGTAGCGGTAGAAAATTGCATGATGATGAAGGTCGGGCAGAGACTAGAGTGAAGATTTCGGAAATCAGGCGTTGCTGGACAGCAGTATNCCTAGAGGAAGCGTTCAGAAGAATGTTTCGATGGCCATGTGCTTCTCATCGTACCAGCTGCGTGTAGAACTTGGTCAGACGCGGTTGGCCATTGTTATTGAAAACCAGGACGGCGTTGATCATTGCTGCTGCTTGACTCTGTTGTGCTTTGAGGTCGAGGGATATCGCGACAATCTATGTGCTTGGCTGGAGTGAGCGTTAGAATTTCGACCTTTTGTATGTGCAGCACGTGGTTGTATGGTTCCCAGGAACAAGCATCGATCCGAGGCGGTGTTCGAGCTTCACAGGCCCACCTCCACATGGCCAAAGTTTGTCACTTTTGCTCTTCTCAATCGTGAATCCAAACATGCGTGAGCTATCAGAACATAATGCAACTTCATAGGTAATGTCGCATGTACGACATGTATCCCGGGTAGCTACCTCTTCTTGGTTCTATCGATGACTAGATCTTATGGGTGTTCCTAAACTTCGTCAAGTGACAGATTTGAGGTAGGTAGGAGATTATATGGGCCCAGACCCCCGCATTGATCAAGCTCATCGTCATTGCCTGGAGCTCGGTCAGTTTGTCGCAAACAACTTCATCTCGTCCTTCACACCTTAAGGCGTTGACCATTGATAACTACAACCACTTTGGCAACATCATCATCAATCGTCGCCCGCCAACTCACACTCGCAAACCCGACTATGTCTGCCCCTAGATCAGCCCGCTGCTTGCGCCAGGCAGTTCGCAGTCTCTCGACCCGTCCTGTAGCTCCCAGATACCTGTCCAGACAAGCTCCCGTCGCATCACACGTCGCTACTCGCGGCTTGTCCTATACTTCCCGTAGCTACAAGGGCATCTTGCCCGATACCGACGAGCCCACACTCAAGGAGAGAGAGCCTCTGCACGAGGTCAACGAGCCCACACCCATCGAGGTTGAAGAATACCACGAGAGAGCAGACCAATACCTCGAGGAGCTCGTCACCAGGGCCGAGGAGCTGGCAGAGGAGAAGGAAGGTGTCGATGTCGAGTATTCTGTAAGCATGCTCGTCGCTGCAACTCTTGCATGTGCTGACCATCCATCAAGNGCCGGCGTGCTCAATATCGTCTACCCTCCCAACGGCACCTACGTTATCAACAAGCAGCCTCCGACCAAGCAAATCTGGCTGAGCTCTCCCATCAGTGGCCCCAAGAGATTCGACTGGGTCATTTTGGGCGAGTCGCAGCAACAGAAGGAGGGCGCTGCATCTGGCGACTGGATCTATCTGAGAGACAAGACCAGCCTGACCACTTTGTTGAGAAAGGAGCTGGGCCTGACTGTTGGCGAAGAGTCCAACCGTCCTTGATTCCATCAGCTAGCCTTGAAACACAACCGTCCAAATGCACAGTCATCCTAGACAGACACTCTCCACTGTGAGAAAGTCCGTTCACCTCTCTTTGCCCGCATACACCAGCTCCTGAACAGGACTGTGCATTTCTACACCTTCAATCCTACTACCGTGTGCGTGGGAGATGAAGAGCATTGGTGCATTCAACAGTCGCGGATGTCTTCCGTAGAGTTACACTAAGCATTCGCATATCATTCAGATTCGACCTCGATGCAAGGGCAATCCCCGACAAGATACGATATCAATGTAAGGATTTATTTGTTCCCAAACGTGCCTACAGTGAGGAAATCACCTTTATTCGCCGTTGCCACGTCGCTACTGTTTTGACCACTGCTCCATCTCCAGTCACCGCTCATCAGCCAGCAACCCATGTTTGTTTGCTCTGCAGACGGTAATGAAACCGGTTCAGACACTGTCACAGGTTTCAGCGGCCAAGCATCCCTTGCCGGACGTTCGTTCTGTACTGTACATCCACATTTGCGCTATCAGGATTACCCCATTGACAGGTAACACCCTGTTAACGAGTGATAGCGCTGTATCACCCCTGCACTCCACACTTTGCCCGCGTATCCACTTGCCCACACTGCAGCAACAACGCACCATGCTATTAGGTTGCTCCCTTTCGATCAACCGTTTCTCGCGGGGATATTAACAATGTACCCTCCAAGAGTCAGCTATACAACAACAACAAGGCTTGTATCGCATGAATGCAAGTTTAGGCAATTACGGAAGCTCAAGGTGTGGTGAGGCTTGAAAGGCTGTTGCGGGGAGTCGCTCAGTTGCAATGACCTCGGCGGTTCGCCAACGGTCTCACATCCCAATGCCTCATCGTTGCAAACAACCAACAACTACTCGTCAACTGAGACATCTCATGCTTAGAACGGCATTGCGAGGTGATGGCCAAGTCATCTATATGCCGGCTTTGGCCATGTGACTCTTGTCGTATTGGCCCAACCATTTCAAACATGAGATGCTCCCCACAGCCCAGCCACCAGGCGATGGAGATCTCCTTCCTCCCTCACCACCCCTCAATGTCTTGTTGAATTCTTGCCACAGATCTGCCTGCATGTCATCTAAAGGTATACTGTACCTCATCTCGCGAGCCGGTGGCGGAGGTAAGCAACACAGGCGCCACCATGCCATCACATCACTGATCAGTACGGACGTTTGAATCATGCGGCCGTTTTAACGTTGGTGGCAGATCAAGAACGAGCTCACTAACCATCATGCTTGGGGTGCCGGCTAGCCGAAACGTCTCTGATTCACCTGCTCAGGAACAGAGACACCAAGGAAATGAAATGATGCAACGAATGAATCGGAGTGGCCCGAGGAAACCAAATCGTATGTTTTGCAGTGGCTGTGACTGCGACTCATGGGAGGCATCAACCGCGGAGGGTCTGGTATGCAACAGATAGGCTTTTGTCATGATGCGTCGATCATTGCCGATGGCACGGGTGCTGCTGCTTTCGGTCAAGCCGTGTATAGCACGCAAACCTTACTCCTCTTTACCTCGAGCTCCGCCTTGCGGACGAGATGCTTGATGGCTGGATTTGAGTTGTAGATGCTGCACGTGAGGACGTCCATCTCGCTAGCTCGTCACAACAAATCATGAAACGAGCACGAAGGGCATCCATGATCCATGGTATGCAGGCTGGGAACTCGAGAGTCGTCGTGTTCGAGTGGGGCGCTGGGATGTCGTTCCCTTGCCGGCCTTGGCGGCAGATCCTCCCTCAACCCTACATGGATCCATCAATTCTCATCGGCTTCATCGAGCATGTCGTTGCCCAGTGATATCTGGCTCGGCAAGCAAGGAGACATAATCTCCCAGGTTGTGCAACGATTGTCCTGCAGAAAGAAATCTCCAAACAATGCCTCGACCAGCAGCTGAGAAGCTGTTGAACCTTTGTCCTGCTAATACCAACAGGGCTGACTGGCCTTAATTCGCGCGTGGGGAGGCGCTATGCGTGCCACTTTGTGGAGAGAATACTTTTCCCAGTCAGACCCCGCCCCATGCATCAATCACATCTCGATGGCCTGCAAAAGGGTGATCGTATTGCGAATGTGTAGGATGGCTGGGCGGAGTGGGCGCGGGACATGCTATGCGAGCATACGCATGCAGTGGTCATGGAAAATTGTCAGGATGGTTGGAAGAGCTGCCAGAGAGGTTGCTAGGGTTTCTATTTCGGTCATTGACTTGACTTTCCAAGAAAGGATTTACGTCCGGAGTTACAATAGAGATCGTCACCAACCATTTCATCGAGAGTTTGCGAGTCGGTTTGGTCAAAAAGCCGGACATCGAGACGTCACCAAGAGATGGCTGGATTCGGCATGATTCTTCGGTGCTTCTCTCGCAANGTGAGGGTCCGNCATGTGCTTGANGGGTTGCTGATGAGACGACTGGAAACAAAGACATGCATGGGTGCTGCGGCTCGCCTGCGGGTGATTGGTTGCGCCTGCATGCTTCCCGCCTGTCCCTCCCCGCCACGGCTGAGTNNACTAAGTAGATCCTGGGTTCGTCACGCAGTACGACCACTAAGAGCCGCAATGCTTGGTGGTCGCTGTTTGGGGGTTGTAGGNTTTGAGCAATTGGCCGGTTTCGTCGTTCATCTCCAGATCGTTGGTACGACNATGAGCCGCCGAGCCGGTTTCTTTGCCCAAAGCCTGCTCGTAAGNCCCGCTAACCTCCCAAAGCACGTCCGTTGCTAACCTCTGCCCGTTGCTCGCAAGCGGCCAACGGTAGGTACGTAAGTGCAGAGCGCTACAGCCCGTGTTCACTCAAGCCAAGCGCTGGAACCATATTCTGGTGGACGAGACTAACGCCGCCTGGCCCAACCACCCCTCTCCCTGGCATTCCACAGGATAATGAGCCTGGGATATAAGAAGGTGGAACATTCCTCCCATTGTTGCTGCTCTGTTTACACATCAACTCGCCTCACCAACCTTAAGAAGTCACTCCAAAGGCCGACCATCGCACTTTCCTCCGGTCACAGAACTCACTTTCGCTCTTCATCGATCACATCTGTCACCCACACCTGTCGTTAACACTGCCATCCATTCTTCGCTGCACATAATAATCTCTGCATCAACAACTTCTCTATCACCAACAACATCATCTCTACCATCAATATGAAGTCCTTCGCCATTGCTGCCGCCTTTGCCGGCGCCGCTGTCGCCATGCCCCAAGGTGTTACCCAGTCCATCTCNCCCAAGACCGGACCTCCCTCAGGCTGCTCCGAGAACTTCGATGGCGAGTTCAGCATCTCAATTGCTAACGTCACCACCAACGCCAAGCGTGACCTCGAGACTCGCCAGGACAAGGTCCTCACCATCACTCTCAAGAATGGTACCTTGACTGATGACGAGGGCCGCACTGGTTACATTGCCGCCAACAACCAGTTCCAGTTCGACAAGCCCGCCCAGACCGGTGCCATCTACACCTCTGGTTTCTCCGTCTGCGGTAACGGCACCCTTGCCATTGGCGACTCTGCCATCTTCTACCAGTGCTTGAGCGGCGACTTCTACAACCTCTACGACCAGTCCACTGGTGCTCAGTGCTCTCCCATCTACATCAACGTCCTCAAGTCTGGCGCTGTTGCCTCCAGCGGTGCTGCAACCCAGATTGGCGATGGTCAACTCCAGGCCGCCACCTCCACTCAGGCCGTTTCTCAGATCTCTGATGGTCAGATCCAGGCTTCTACTGGTGCCGTCCCTGTCACTCAGATCTCTGACGGTCAGATCCAGGCCTCCACTGGCGTCCCTGTCACTCAGATCTCCGATGGCCAGATCCAGGCTCCTACCTCGACCGCCGCTCCCGTCACTCAGATCTCCGACGGTCAGATCCAGGCCCCTACCTCGACCGCCGCTCCCGTCACTCAGATCTCTGACGGTCAGATCCAGGCCCCTACTGGCGGCTCCACTCGCGCTTCTAACGGTACTGTCGTTGCTGGCGCTGCCACTGCCTCGAGCGTCATTGCCTACACTGGTGCTGCTGCCATGCCCACTTTCGCTGGTGAGATGCTCATCGCCGCTGGTGCTTTCGCCGTCGCTTTCCTGTAAGCACCTTCCTGCCTGCATGGATACTTTCTTTACACAACCACTCTCACGACCTATCCGCTTCCGCCATGATTGGGCTCGTCGGGAGGTGCTTGTTCGTGCTGATGCCCCTCGTCGATGAGATAAGGGTCAATATGAGCTTGAGGTTTGGACAACAGGACTATGCCTACTAATGTTTGATCGAGGTGGAATGAGATGCTTCCTCAAGGAAGGTAATAAAGACGTCCGCCGTCTTGGAAAACTGTTTCCATTTTCTTATTTTGCATTTTCTGGCTAGCATGATACCTTCTTGCATCCCGGAGCCTGCTTTTCTCTGTCTTTCTTTGTGCATATAGCCTTTACTCTTTTTTTCTCTCGGATAGACACTTTGTCTGTCAATGAACCAATTCTTTTACAACTACCTATCTCTCATTCCTACTCGTGACTCTTCTTATTGTCGACATGCTCTCATAAGAAACTGACCTCGACACTTGACAGGCTAAAGACAAAGTGACCTTCCCTTCCGGGACGCGTCACCACATACCTCGGATGGAACATTATAGTGCGAACCCTCACCAAGCCTTGGTGGTTCGGAAGCAGGTCCACTCCGTCTCTCGCTCGTCCAGCCGCGCGACCGTTGATCCCCATTCAATGAATACGCTGCGCGGGCTGCCCTGATGCCACTACCCTCTCGTTGCGATCTCGGACTTCTTTGGTCTACAAGGATGTCTATCTCTCAACAAAATCGACTCGATTCTTTCTAAGTATCAACGATTGAGTTTGCAGAGCATGTAAGTTCTTCTTCATGCAGGAACCCTTGTTGATGATTCCTAAAGCGAGACCTTATTCTTTTTTGAGTGTTGGAGCTTGGCAAGCGACGTCTGGCTCTTTTTCGTGTCATTCATCCCCGGAAAATCTGTTGGGATGAAGGCTTGCGGCGTTCCCGCTGTCGTTTGCCGGGGTATGGTGCGACGGGGCTTGTGGGTGAGTCCCGTATTGCGTGATGTGATGGGAGTATTCTCGGGAAGATGAGGATGGAGAGGTGGCTAGAGAGGTGTAAGGGTAAAAGAGCCGAGGTTTGAGTTGGGAGAAATAATTTGGATGTGTATGGTGCTGCACCTGAAGTCTGGTGGTTAGGCTGGGTCGTGATGGTAGTGGTGGTGGATATGGACAAGCAGGATCCCACAGCATGAAGTGTTGAGTTCCAGGGGCAATTGCATGGACAGGTATGAAACATCAAGAAAAGAATACACATCTCACCGTCGTCATGCGGCCATGGAAAGATGCTGCTGAACAAGAGACCAGGGTGTCCCTGGAAGCATAGCAAGTTTTTAACACTACAAAATGTCGGTGTGCAAGGATGCTACTCTTACAAGAGAACGAATCATTCATTATATTCTAGTCGTTTCTAGCCTCACTTGAAGATGCATGTCTTGCATGGCTAGTCGGTTTGAGGTATACTGACAGATGCGGCCATGATTTAAGGTGCGGATCTAGGATTCGTCGACAGTCCACAGCGTTTGCGGCAGATAAAACGAGCATCGACAAAAGGTAAATACATTGTTCTCCAATATTGCCTGTTCCCTTTGTTGACAATGCTCTGCACAGCTTTTGCCATCCGCCTGAGAGGAAATTAGAGACTATGTAGGGTCGCCAAGAGCTGAAGAGTTGGAAATGAGATTGCTGCAAGACAAGGCTAGAGGCGAAGATCACGCTGCAGGTGCGTTGTCTCTGGATCTGCCCGGCAGGAAGGGAAATTCTTGGGAATCCTTCTTTTGCACATCCGGGTCGTTGGATCAGATATTCGTGGCTTTGATTGATAACCAAGTGAGTTCAGGGTGCAAGCTTCACGTGAGAGACAATCGTTAAAGCTCAGATGATGTTTTGAAAAGACGGAAATGTGATAAAATATTGTTTGATTAAAGATTAAAACTAGGTAGAGGATTCGAGGTCGTCGATCTATGTCTTTGAGATGGTCAGCAAAAGATTCGTGCGAAGCAATCAGGACCAAAGGGTGAGATGTGGAAAAGAATCAGACATCCAAGGAAGATGTTGCGCTCAACGACCGTCTAAGATAGGTTCTAGGCGACGGCTAGCGTGAAAACTGCGAATGTGGTATGGGTTTCATCATAAAGAAGGGATCGTGGTGTGTGGAGGGCAAGTAAAGAGCGCGAAGCGACTGACCATAGATGTTGGTGGGCGCCGATGCTGTTTAACAGTTGATCGACACCCTGTGTATGTTCCAATAACTCCTTCTCTTTATCAAGGTCAAGATAAGATGCGAATCCTATGCTTCAGCGCTTGTTAGCACGATGTTCCAACAAGTGTGATGCGAAACGAGGTGGTTTTGAGTGTGGTGTCAGACAAAAATATACTGGCAAGTATACAGGCTGCCAGCGACGGCTGCCCGAACAGATGGTCTTCGTCAAGGTCGAATCTGTTGGGAAAAGAAGACATAATTGTAAAAGTTGTCATCATTCGGACGATGTTGGGAAGAACGTGTGCAGTGCGCAAAGAAAGAGGGGATACTCACAGATACTACACGGGCCGTCGAATGTCGCGCAGACAGGCATAGCAGATGCGCGAGAGTCTGACAACGACAAGCGACGGCGTGTTTTGATGATGAAAGGATTTGCTGCTTAGAAGAAAGATTCGGCTTGATCACAAATAAATACTGGCGTCGATCGACGCGCACGGCAAATCTTCGGGCATGCCAAGCAAATCTCGTCCAAGCGTTTGGTATCGACGTGTCGACTTGTCCAACTCGTCGCCGAGGGACATTCAATCAGTGCTTCGTCAGACCAACACGTTCCACAAGAAGATAGACCGTCAGGTGTTCGTCGATGGGAGAACGGTCAGCTTCGAGTGCTGATGTCGTTGATGCAAGCGCATACGGACGAGAAGGCAGTTAGGTTGGCCGCGAGCTTGGCAGGTGCTGGATAGCAAGCGCAACACGCTCATTAGTCACGCACGAGCCCTGTCAACGGACAAATCACAACGAGTGACTGATGTGAGCGTCGAGTGAGACGAGCGACCATCGACTGGCAAGGCACCTTGTGACAGGCTCGAGTGTGCATTCGCATACCAACGTGCAACTCTGAATCCGTGTGCGCAGACTTTCTTTGCAGACGGCCCACGAAGCGGTGCATGAATCAGTGAATAGTTTCTGGTGAGAAGTCGCAACTGCTGGACCCAACGTTGGCCGGCGACAAGCGCCATAATTCGAGACTCGGCCGCTGCGAAGCTCGTAGATCCGGACGGAGAGGAACGCGCCGTCCACTGTCGCTCGCTCTCCCAGTGCCTGCCCCAAGCGGACCCCGGTTCCCTTGACCAAAGTAACCACCTCGATCCTGGCACTTGTCCTTCGCTCGCGTCTTTTTGGCCTCTGCACCCATCGTCACGGCCTCGACGTCCCTTGACGCCCACGCACACGGCACTGCTCTGTACAGTCCGCTGTCGCTTGTCCAGGCTTCCAAGGCGCGTCTACCACCCATCACCACCAACCACCTCTGCGCATCCAGAGCGACAGCAGCCTCGGTCGATCTCGTGTTCATACATGCATCTGAGTGCACCCTTCGTCGCGCTCTCTTCAATCCGCTTCTACCATCGCGCGTCGTCGACTTGACCACCCTCCGTCTCTGTCGTCGTCTAGTCTGATTCTACGCGTTCGCTTGCTCACTCCCAACCACTATGATGCAAGGCATGTCCTTTCCTCCACACCCGACGGGCATGCAACCAGGCGTGCCCCACGGTCATCCTGGAATGCCTCCCAATGCTCAGCATATGGGCCAGCCGATGCAGATGCCTGGTGTCTCGGGTCCTGGTGCTCCTCACATGGGTCAACCAGCTATGATGGGCATGCAACCCGGCCAGCAGAACATGCCTCCCGGTATGGGTCCCGGCCCGGGTGGTGGCATGATGCCGCAGCAGTCGATGGGCGGTCCCGGTGCAAACGCTATGGCAATGAGCCATCTCAACCCCCAGACCCACATGATGCAACAGCACCATCAGATGCAGCAAGCAAGTATGTTTTACTCCTAAGTATCCACTGGTGTCAATCAAATACTAACCATTCCTGTCACAGTGGCCAACAACCCCCAATTGATGATGCAGCAGCAACACATGGCGCGTCAACGGCAGATGATGGCAGCGCAACAAGCCCAGCAACAACAACAGCAGCAGCAGCAACAGCAGCAGCAACAGCAGCAGCAGATGAACGGTATGGGGATGGGAATGGGCATGAACGGCCATCCGGGCATGAGCCCTCAGCAATTCGCTCAGATGCAGGCAAATCCCGCCTTCCAGAATGCCCAAATGGCCAATCTGCCGCCTCAACACATCATGCAGATTCAACAAATGCGACAGATCCAAGCCGCCCAAGCTGCTCAGCAACACGCAGCGCAACAACAACAGCAGCAGCAGCAACAGCAGACGCCGCATCCTCAGGGTCCTCAGGCTCCTGCAACACCTCAGTTGCAGCAACAGTCAATGGCGCAACACATGGCAATGCAGCACGCTTCATCTCAGGCGTCGCACCAGAGTGCGCCCCCAAACAACCAGCCTCCGCCACAGCAGCCGCCGCCAGCTCAGATGAGAAGCCAATCGCAAATCCCATCTGGTCCTGAAGGTCAGGGCCAAGCATCGCAGCATGCTCAACCCCAGCCTCAACAGCCTCAGCAACCCCAAGGACAACCTCAGCCCCAACAGCAACAACAACAACAGCAGGCGCAACAACAGCAACAGCCTCCTCAGCCCCCCAGTGCCCATCCCACACCACAGATGCAGGCACAGACGCTACCTCTACAGCCTCCCTCTTCGCAGCCTCAGCAGCCCAACCAGCAAACTCCTCAGCAACCGGGTTCCGCTCAATCTCAAAACCAGCCGCAGAATGCGCAACAGCAACAGCAGGCGCAGCAGCAAGCCCAGGCACAGCAGCAGCAGATGCAGAATGCTCAGCAGCAACAGCAACGCCACCAGATGATGAACATGAACAACATGAATATGATGCGTCAACAGCAGGCTATGGCTGCTCAACAACAACAACAGCAGCAGCAACAGCAGCCAAGTCGTGCGACCAACGGGCAATTCATCCTCAAGCTGATCCAATTCTCTGACCACCTCAGCGCGTTCAACGCAAGTGTAAGTCGACTCCAGGGACCAGTTCAGACCAGACAACTGACCAGCGAGACANNGTCACGTGAGTCGAATTCATCAGAGCATTGGCACAATTTCGTGAACCAGTTCTGGACGCCAGACGGCCGGCTCGTACAACATGTCCTTGACAACACGAATTCATCGACCAAACAGTTCATGATCAGCGCCTCCTCACTCGCACGGTACTACTGGACATGGTTCGACAGTGGTGTGCAAAACATACAACTGCAGCTAGAGGGCGTGAGAGAGATCCCTGCCACCAACAATGCTCACTGGGTGACGTGCACCCGTGCTCGCTACATCTTCTGGTTTGCAAACAACACTCAAGTAGATCCTCTCCTGAATCCTGTATCAACATCCACTAACTCATGTTGTAGNTTGATCTGGCAAGGCAAGCTGACAGCCTCGTTNCCTGCTGGCTTGGACAAGTTCGAATCGCTCGAGTTCGAAGTGTCCAAGACAGAGGAATTCATCCCACGCTCCGAACTCGCGCGTGTCGTCGCCCAGGGCTCACCCCTGATGAACAAAAGTCCCAAGATGAGCAGAACACCGGCTAAGAAGGCAATGCAAAAGGCACAAGGCGGTCTTCAGCTCGAAGATTTCCCATCCGCCCCTGTCAATGAATACGCCGTCACCCCCGCTGTTATGCAATACCTTGAGGTAGATGTGNNCTTGTTCCAGAGTTCCAGCTATACGACCACCTGAACTGACCAGGGCCAGGTAGCGGAAACCATCTTCTTCATGAAGGACCTGATGGAGTACTCTCAGAAAAACGAGCTCCGGCCCCACGACGCCATGAACCAGATGGTCGCCCAGATCGAGGAGGGGCAACAATTCGGCCAGTCTCAAAACATGGTTCCAAACCCCATGCAACCCAACCACGCTCAGATGGCTCTGCAAAGAAACGGCATTGTTCAGCCCCTGCCTCAGGGTGCCGGCACTCCCAACCAGGCCCACATGCAGTTGCCTGGCCAAACGCCCATATATTCCTCGCCGTCAGTCCCCCACATGAATTTGCCGATGCAGCACCTGAACGGGCAACAGATGATGGCTATGAATGGCTCACCTCACATTGCACACCCGGGCTTGCCCGGTGGCTCTTTGATGGCTCCCAACCACATGATGGGACAGATGCACCACTCCCCAAGCCCGCACATGGGCCCACCGATGATGGTGCCGCAGCACTCGCAGCAAGGCAACAACCCAACTGGTGCGCATCAGTCCACATCGACAAGCCCAAACCTGAGTAGTAAGCGTCGGCGTTCACAAGTCAAGCTTGAAGGTGATGACGGACTAGAAGGACCACCTTCACAACGCATGAAACCTAGTCCAGGCCTCAAGAAGAAGTGAACACCACCATTTTCTGCTCAGTATGGTCTGACTGATATGTGCATTTCGTCCTTGATAACCTTCTTTTTAGTTTGCTGCTCTTGCGAGAACTCACGACCAGAGGAACTGGAGGAACGAGGGGTTTTACGGCGTTCAAAGTTTTCTCAATCTCATCACATCTATCCTGCGACACAAAACCGGCGAAGTGGTTGGCTCGCGAGACCACGAGGGGGAGGCGTTCACATGCTTCTTCTCTTTTTTTTTTTCTATCATCCACTGTGCATTTTTCCTCACCCTTTATATCGTCTATCTCTCTGCTTTTTCTCTTGTCATCTATTTTGCGTTTGTTTAGCAAATACGAGAGAGAGAGAGAGCTACGGTGTAGCAGGGCGTACATGCTTTCTTTTCGTCTCGATCGGACGGCTTTGTGCTTATTCCTTGGGGACCATTTCAACGAGAAAAGACGTCAACGCATGGGGATTCGCAATATGTTTATGTAGTGCTGTCGTTTGAGACATGTGAGATGTACATTATTTGGCTTACCAATATGTTTCAACTTTTGCAACACCATCGTTCCTTCCCATATGTATTCGAGCAGGGCTAGAGGCTTCTTGAAGTATGAATGAACCTCTCTATGTGCCTGCCTGTTGAGAGTGATTATGGTTTTCACAACAAAGACTACGTTTTGCTCTTCCTGTAGGAACGAGTCACTCACATCTGATCGCGTGGCTAGGTGCTAAAATGACAGTTTCGTCTGCGTTGAGTGCTTGCTGCTTTGTTCTCCTTACTGCATCTATCTCCTACCGCTCTGAAGCACATGGGTTCCACAAGGCCAGCCATGTTGCAGCGATATAGCGCACTGAGCACGCTGGCCCATGAGCAGCGCTATAGTTTCTCTGTCACCTGTTTGTTTCTCTACCGGCTAGCCACCATCCACTAACAACATCAATGGGGGAGTGTCGAGGAACAAGCATCCTTGTTATTTACTTAACGAGGATACCCTGAGGAAGAATCCAGAAACAGAGGAGTACAAGACAAATGATGTTGGTAGAGCTGGGTAAAAAAGAAAGGAAGGAGCAAGAGGACCAGGAAGATTTTCTGGGAGAACGTAACGCAGCTGCGTATAGACTCGAGACTTGAGCAGCAAGGTCAATGTAATAAAGAGTACAGGTCGACGAGAAGGAGGGTCGACGACGAGGGAGGTTGTGGGTCGACTCATTTGTGTCTCGTGACGACATCCGATAAATGATATGACCGGCTCATACAAGAGAAATGAGGGCCATGTGTTTGTAAGAGATGCTCCCATCGTTAATATTACCAGTTCTTCCATAAATCGTTCTCATTATCATCAAAGTGGCGACCACTACCACCTCTGCGGCGACTCCAATCTTCGACTCCGTCTCTCCTTCTTGCCGTCCTTCTGCCTGGCCTCCCATTTCACCTTTGCCTCTCTCTGCTCTTCTTTCATTTCATCCCGATAGATCCTCACTCTGTTCTCTAAGATGTTGGCTCCGATGCCACCGATAATGGCACCTAGAGCTGTACCGCGCGTCTGATGGCGGTCGCTGGTTTCGCGACCAATATAGCCGCCGATTAATGCGCCTGCAATGCCGGCTCCCAAGCCTAGAGTACTCCTGTCCAAAGCCATTAGGGGCTGTCCTGGAAATCGCGGTTGGAGGAGCGGGAGCGGGAGCGAGAGCGTGAAGACGAGGAATAAGAGCGGCGGCGTTGTCGTCGTGAGCGGGAGCGTGATGGCGAACGGTCCTGGGGTCTCGAATATCTGGCCATCTCGTTGCGGGGAGGACCTCGAGTTGAAGATGAGGGCGTGTAGTCACCGCGAGACGATGGGCGTGGTGAGTTGTCGTAGTATTGCGAGTTGAGTGGCGCGTTGTCCCTTAGCCGTGGGGCTGCAGATTGGTATGGGATATACTGAGGTGGGTCTGTAGCTCGAGGATGGTAGCTCTGTCCTGGAGGAGAGAGTCTGCGTGGTCGCTCGTCTTCGCGCTCGTCGCGTTGTCGCGGTTTCCTGTCATCGCGATCATCTCGTGGGTCTCGTCTTCGTCTCGGCCGCTGTTCGTAGCTGTCGTCTGAGCCACTGGCATAGCCGCGATCACGTCCACGTGCCTCGCTCATGTTGTTCTGGCTGCCACTGTCTTCGCGATCGCCTCCACGGATATGCTTGTGTACTTTGTCGTATCCTTTGTCGAAGTATTTATCGGTAGTCTTGTCGAAGCCTTCCAGTCCAAGTTCCTTTATTCCGGACAGCGTCAGAGCGACAGGTTCGCAGGAAGGGTTTCAGCTGCCCAGTATGGATGTGCAACTGAGTAGTGGGAAAGAGAAATGATGACAGAAGGAACGATGCAAGAGACCTACAACAAAGTCGGCCATGATGGATGCCTGGTCAGAGCAGGGTAATACCAGCAAGCCTCAGCAAATGCGCCTCTACGTAATGAGTTCCTTGGCCGAATACCGGGATATTTTAAGCTCTTGTGTAAGTGACAAGGATGGTCAAATGGTTGCAACGAACGCCGATCGAAAGTCAAGAATATGGCAAGAAGACGGGGAGAGGAAACATATATAAGGGCGGCACAGGCACATCCCTCACTGCCTCAGCAAATCTCAGTTCGCTGCACGCATGACGCAGCCTGGTGGAGGAGGCTGGTTGAACTGCCAGCAGTGGGATGCGGGTCGCCAGAGTGCTCAATCTTGGTGGAAGTTGAGCGAGGAATCTTGTGACGTCTTGGGCGGCATGCAGGGATCTTTCGGCACGCGGAAGCTGTTTGGCCGGCGAACTTGCCCTCGATTCTCTTGATCCCACGCCAGCAGCTGCAGTCATGCATATTGCACAGGGTAGTTGTGATATCCTTTCACATGTCGTACACAGCATTATAGATTGCCTGGAAAGTGAGTCTGATGATGCAAGATGCTTGTTCACCGAAGACCAGCGCAGAGATGAGAGGCTCCAAAGACGGGTCTTGGGCTCATTCTGTTCAACAAATGGATTGAACAGAGTGGTTCCGGTTGCATCTTTTCTTTGTCGAACGCGACCCAGCTATTCATTTCTCGCTGAAGAGTCCAGCAAAGAATGAGCGGGAGTTAGCATGTCTGCCTGCCACTCCCTCTTACAGCATGTCGTGATGATTGAGACGTAGGGACAGACTACTTTTTCAAAGATGGAGGTCTATTCGGCATAAGTAGACCAAGAACATGTAGTCAGGCTTGTCAGAAGCTCCTGGTCATAGAGATACTTGTATGTTTAGCAGGTGCATAAAAGAAAATGCAGAGCACGTGAAGACTGGTGTTGAGATACTGCCCAAGTAGGAAAGAACGACTGGCCGCAAGTCGGTGCACGGGCCACGCCAGACTCATTCGCTAAACTTTTCGACAGCGACGCAACAGCAAGGCGCGACGACGAGACGGCAACCATTCATACCAGCACCCACACATCCGCAATCATGTCAAACGAACCAGGACGCACCGACTGGGCCGAAGACGACGAGCCCGATCTCGCCACCGCCCTCCCTCCGCAGCAAATCTCAAAGAACAAGGACGGCAGCGAGACCATCGTTACCATTTTCCTCAACGAGGACGGCAAGAAGGTCAAGCGCACACAACGCATCCGCAAGGTCACCAAGCGCACATATGAGAAGGCCGGTGTCGCCGAGCGCCGCGCCTGGCCCAAGATGGGTCTCGAGGCAGGCCGCCCTGCTGGCCCCCAACCCGACACCACCACTCTCGGAGAGAACATCATCTTCCGCCCCCAGGTCGGCTTCAAGTCTGGTGCCGCCGAGCAACCCACCGCCGAGGAGGACCAGAAGCAGCAGCAGCTCAAGCAGATGAAGATCAAGTGTCGTATTTGTTCCGGCGAGCATTTCACCACAAAGTGTCCCTTCAAGAACACCATGGCCCCCGAGGGCGAGGCTGGTGCCGGTCTCGCCGACCTTGACGGTGATGTCGGTGCTGCCACTCTTCAGAACCTGGCCGCAGGCGGCCCTGCGCAAGGCGCCTCCGGTCCCGGTGGCTCTTCCTACGTGCCCCCACATCTCCGCAAGGGCGGTGCTGCTACTGGCGAGAGAATGGGCGGCAAGTTCGAGAGAGACGACCTGGCCACTCTGCGTGTCACCAACGTGAGTCTTTGCATCTCCGCCTCCTATTCTACACAGCCCGCTAACATGTTTGATCACAGNGTCTCCGAATTCGCCGAAGAAGACGAGCTCCGTGCACTGTTCGAGCGCTTCGGTCGCGTCACCCGTGTCTTCCTCGCAAAGGACAGAGAAACAGGCAAGGCCAAGGGCTTCGCTTTCGTCAGTTTCGTCGACCGATCAGACGCCGCCATTGCGTGCGAGAAGATGGACGGTTACGGTTACGGACATCTTATCCTGCGCGTCGAGTTCGCCAAGAAGGCCACCTAAAGAACTGTATCACAGTTGGGTAGATGAACGGGCAGACAGAAGACGGCCCAAAAGGAGAGCCAAAAAACAAAAGTCAACAGTTTGTTTGTACAATTGCACGACCTCTTTTTCACTTTTTCCAGAACACACTTTTTGGCGCTTTTATGGGACATGATGGTTTCTTATATTTACGTATTCTTTTTTGCTTTTCTTCTCTTTGCGAATGCATACCGGAAAGAGAATGGGCAAAAGGGAGGGGGACGAAGAACGAAGAGTTGGAGAGGTTGGGAGAAACGATGAGAAATACAACTTGTTATATACCCCTTGTTCTCTGACTTTTTGTGTCTTTGTATGGTTTCCATCACTGCTGTCTATATGCGACGACAGCAGCCACGCGTTGCCCGCGCCCATCCCAGATTTTGTAGCATGGAACGATGGTAGGCTGTCTCTCCTTCACCCACCCTTCAGGCAAGATCTGCGTAGTATACACAGTGCAGACCTGCGTTACCGGCGGACTCACCTTAGTCAAATCACCAACGGTGTCAACTGCAATCCAACCAGCCAAATCTACTTCCTTGAGCCCAGACCTGATGTTCAAAGTCTGTCTCGTACATACTTCCTCCTTGGTTTCTGCATTGTCTCGGTTAGCAACAAAATCAAAATCATACAAGAAAAGAGGGCAAACATCGCATACCTTNNTGGTCTCCATAAAGCCATCCAAAGCCTTGACACCAACACTCGCCCACTCTATCGGCGCATCCCTAGGCAAACTCTCCACCTCGGCCACAAAACACGGTGGAGCAGATGCGTTCACGATATCCTTGCGTTTAGTAGACGTTGTCGCAGTTCCTGTATTGCCGAATTGACGTTGATCCCACACGTCAAAGTGTTCGTCATCTTGTTCTTCTGCTTCCTCTATAACAGGGGGTTGGTGAGCTAATTTCCAACTCTGCAATGCGGCGGTTACTCGAGATTGCGCAGATGTGCTGGCAGTAGAGGCGATGAATGCAACAGCGCCGAGGAAGTGTGAAGTCTGCATGATTTGAGCTATACGCCATAGATGTTGCAGAGCCAGAAGAGCTTGGGCTGCAAAGTGTGCTTCCGAAGTCAAGTCTCCTTGTGCTGGAAAGTCCATTGTAGGTGGGTGAAGAGGGATTTGTCCGGCAATGTGAATGAGTTGGGGCGACGAGGAGGCAGAAGACGGTGTGATGATGGCTTGGGAGTAGGGACCTATATTTGCTGGAGCCCAGTAGGAGCGAGATTGTACGTGGAGACCTTGCTTTTGTGCTGCTATGTCATCGTTCAGTATCATCACTGATAGAGAAACATGGATGTTAGCTGGGAGTGTACTGCCACAGGCGATAGTGACTCTCGCTGGCGGGTTTGGAGTGGTGAATTGGGATCCGTATGCCAGGTTTACTGCGCCAAACTCGGACATGTTTCGTAGAAGGATGGTGGTGAAAGCGATTGAAGAGGGCTTGACGTTGTGGTCCTTGAGCAAGCGGTTCATAATGTTGGACATTTGCTCTCTTGCTGAATTTCCGTCTGCCATTGCGTTTGAGATGACAGTGCAAGCATCTGTTGTTTGAATCGTCCATTCAGAGGTTGGGCTTAGAGCTTCTGTCTTCTCTGCTGCTTCATCAGAGGCCTCTGGAGTTCGTTCGAGAATCTCGTCCATTCGTGATTCCAGTGCTGCAAACTTGTCATCCAGTGTCGTCGGTTTCCGCAGTTGCTCATATGAAAAGTCCGAGGATGACTCTTTTGGTACCAGACGTGCAGTCTTGATTCTTAGAGACGCAGCTCCTGCTTCTCCAGTTACGACCATCTTATCATCATCGTCAACCTGAATCGAGTTCTTCCATAACGGCCACGGTCCATCTACCGCAAGGGTCTCAAACTCTCCTCCCTCGCCAAGCGCAGCACCATCACCAATGATACCGAACCTCTCCATCGCCCGCACAAGTCTAGCCTTGGTACGGTAGTTGGCCACGTTTTCCCACAAGAAGCCATCATCAAGTCCTCCCGAGGCGACCTTGATGATGCGAGCATCCTGCCCAGCAGCAGCCATATCGTCCAACAGCGAAGTCTCGTTGTAAGGCGGCAAGAAAGGGTACTGCCAGAGATAAGACAAAGGCACCAGACCCAGCCTAATAGCCACAGATTCCACTCTCGTGCGTTGATAGTCCGAGAGAATGGCTCCAGTACTAACGGCATTGACTTCGGGGTGTGCAGCCATGACTTTACGCAGCAAAGGCACCAAACTCTCCGTCTCGTCTTGTTCACTCTGCTGTGCGGCGGCGGGAGAAGCATAGCTCTTGTTGCTATCCACAACCCCGCCCAAGATTTCCTGTCTGTAGAGTGGAAGACATAGTGCTTGTTCGTAGAGTGGAATGACGCTGTGTCCTATAGTCTGATACATGTAGCTGTCGATATCCTCGGATCGCTCGCCATCTTGAGTGGTTGGGTGCAGGTTTGCGAGAGCGACGACCTCGTGTCCGTTTGCATGGCAGTGGAGTATAGAGAAGAAGGAGTCTTTCCCTCCAGATATCAGGGCGACGACTTTTAGTCCAGGCATGTTCTTTATCTGCAAGGTCAAATTCTGATGTCGAGATTCGAAGAGAAGATTTTGTTGCTCAGAAAATTGTTCGCGAGAAAAGCTGGAGGTGTCATACAAGAGCACTTCACAGTCTTGGACCAGAAGAGAGGTTTGTAGACGAAGTGATTAGCTCTTAGAGCGTTTACATAGCAAATGGTTATAGGACCTCTCAAAGCAGGACGCTTGCGCTTCTTGCAGGCCCAGATTCCTGCAAATCCAGAATTCCCCACCAGACGCAGTCCACACATCTGAACTTTCGTCTCGCAAACAAACGGACGAGCAAGAACAACTCGTGAACCCGCCAGCACATCACAAGACTCAAATGGAGTCCACATCGCAAGTCACACATCTACAAGTTCAAGGGAAGAGATGTCCAGCCATCAGCACACCAACAGAGCCAATTAAATAGTAGGCTCCGTCGGAAGTGGCTGATGAGACTAGGTATGCAATATTTTTGATCTGTGTCCACGGGTTGACGCCAGCCTCTCATATAAAATCAACAGTAAAGTTTGAAAGACCAGCAACAGGGGAAACTGTATAATACCCGGACGCCGCACGAATCGAAAAAGAGAGGGTGCAAGGGAATGCGCCGCTTATATAGAGTAGAATTTCCTCGCGTGGACGCGTGGGCCAAATATCTTGGCTGCGTACAGTCATGAGTTTTGACCGCTTTGACGCAGACGGGTTTTCTTGAAGCTGGGAGAGATTTTTCCTTACTTTCTTCTTTTTTCCTTATGGCCGTTGATGAACGATGCTCAGGCATCTTTATTTAATAGGAAGAGAATGATCCACGCTGTGGACTTGATCTCAACATGACACATTTCTGAGGCCAGTCACCAAAAAGCATTGCTGTTGTTTTGCTCGGAATTGAGAGCGCAAAGTTCTGGGAGGGCATATCTTCAATATCACAAGTTAATATGCTCTGAGCCACACTCCAATTCTCTGGAGTATTGCTAGGGTTGATTAAGAAAGATGCAATGAATAATGTGTATATGTGATGTGGACGTATATTCTTTCAAGTTCTAAATGTCATCTTCCTTCGAGCCTTCATGAGAAAATGGCTGCTTATACAAACAAAGATTTAACAGACTCGCTGGTCGATGCCAGGCGTTACATGCTATCTTCCTTCCATCTACTCCTGACTTTGGCAAAGTCATCCTTCTCCTTCTTTCCACCCTTGTTTTCAAGACCCATTCCACGTTCAACCCACATCTGCGAGCCCATCTCAGATAGACGCGAAAGTGCACGGGCAAATGCGAAGGCTTCCTCGTCGCCAGAGAAGAAGTTGCTTTTCTTCAGCATGTTCATGTTCATGCCGAGATCATCCATCATCTGCCGCATCACATCGTCGACATCTGCACCATCATTCAAAGCGGCCTTTGCGGTGCTGTCACCCCTGGCTGCCGCTTGCTTCATCGCTGCATCGACTTCTTCGCGAGAGAGGAAGAGTTCGGTCAAGGGTACCGCAGAGGTGAGCACGAGTTTGGCATGTGATTCGTAGACGGCATCGATGAACGTGATGAAGCGGCGTGCCCGGTCGCGGCTGCGATGGTCCATTTGTGGAACATTGCTGACGATGAAAGCGTCGTAATTACGCATCAGCTCAATGTAATCGGCAGCACCAGTAGCACGGCCAATCAGTTCGTCAAAGTCGAAGTGTGCGGCTTTCCCACTCGCTTGAGGCACCTGAATGGGTCGTCCCCAGACATAATGTTCGGCTGGGTGAGGGGNGTCCTTCTCAAAATCGCCCAGGTACTTGAACCAATGCGTGATGTGCGTACCCGCGGCCTTGTTCAGCGGGAAATGGTATACACCAGACGGGGGTCGAGGAATTTTGCGGTAGTCGGTTGGCGAATCGAGGTTCAAAACTCGCAACTGGCGCTGGAGAAGGTTGATACAGGGGACAAAGGACTCGCGCTGGACACCGTTCTTGTAAAGTTCCGTAGGATGACGGTTACTGGTAGTCACAATGACCGTACCATGGTGCATCAGAGACTCGACCAGTCTTCGAAGAATCATAGCGTCTGCCACATCGGTACACTGAAACTCGTCAAAGCAGAGTACGCTGCTGCGTTTGGCGATATGAGCGGCCACGAAGGGAATAGCATCGATGTCCTGGCCGTACTGCATCTTGACTTTGTGCAGATCGCGATGCACCTCCTGCATGAAGTTGTGGAAGTGGATGCGCGTCGCTCTTTTGATACTCTCGGGCAACGTGTCGTAGAAGAGGTCCATCATCATGGTCTTGCCGCTGCCGACGTCGCCATACATGTACAAGCCTTTGGGCAAGTCAGTGGGCATTTCCAGGCTGGACTGCATCTTTTGGCCGCCGCCAAAGATTGCCGAGAGAAAGCCCTTCTTCTTAGGTTGCAGGGATTCTATCGTTGGCTCCTGGACTGTCGGTGGGTTGTAGTTGGCAAGCATGTCATGCAGATCTTGTAGTGATTCGATAATNNGGCTTGAAAAGATTAGCCTAACTCTTCCCGGGTGAATGCCGAGTTCGTTGAACTTACTGCGCTGATGCTGGTCGTCTCTCAGGACGCCAGACTTGACACGGCGATCGTATTCGGCCACGGGGCCATATTCNNACCTTGAAGACGAGGGCTGTTACTGACTGCAGTCGGTTGTATCCAGGGATCCCTCGATTCACCTACTCTTTCTGTAATCGGCCATGGAGATGGTCGAGTTTGAAGTGGCATAGTTTCGCTTCTTCATGTGCTGTGCTCCCCACTGGCCTCTGATCCGGCGGTCGCTCCAGGATCCCATACATCTTCGTGATTGTGTCCGAAAGTTGACTCGGTTGATGTATTGTGCTTCGGTCGTCCACGAACGGAGAGACGGCTTTCCAGCATTGCGACTAACCCTGGCCAACACTCTCAGGCCATTGGCGCACACTTGTCCACTCATGGTGCTCTACCAATAGCGGGGGGTCGAGGTGACGGTTCCCAAGCTGCAAGGACTCGGTGGAGAGCAATGCGAGATGGTTTTGTTTGGTGTCCACGGAGTTTTGTCGTCACAAGAGGCATCCAGACGTCCCAAAGCTATTCAGGTTGGAGAGTTGGAACCTGGAAGTACAATGGCCCAGTCGCGATTACAGGCCGGTGACGCCGCTCTTGATTGCCGCGCCGCCGAAATGCGGGCACCTCGGCTTTCGTTCGGCCAGCACATTGCGTTTGTACATCATGCACAAGTTCAGCACAGCGAGATGAAGAATGCTCCGCTGGGGATAATCTGTGTATTTGTGGGTAGCCTGGTCTACAGCAATATCGTAACTCGTTGTTGATGGTGGGTATATGGAAAAATAACAGCATGCCTCTCGCCTCGGTTCCTCTCGTCCTCATCCTTTTGCAATCCACCCAGACCAGACGAAGAAGTCAAATAATTTTCCCGCCTTGGTCGTGTCAACCCTACAAATCTCCTTGACATTTTTCCGTTTTAGACAGCCGTTCGAGCGCAGCGCCTCTTTTAGCACGGCGTCCTTCATGACCAAATACGCTTTTGGCTGCACACGCACTACCCTGCATATTTCTTGCTCGTTCTCGGTCAAGAGATGTGTATCTTGACTGTTGTTGCCATACAGGTCCATCTTCGATACACCTGTTATGGCTTGTAACGGAAATCTTGGTGCAGGGTTGGTATTGCTAGTGCTTGGTGATGTTGATTCGGGTGGAGTTTGCAAGCCAGTAGTGTTGGGTTTTGGTGGCAGTTCTGGTCCGATCAAGGCTGACGCTGCCGATGGTGGCTCTTGAGCGCTGGGTTTATGCGGTCTACCGGGCAACGAAAAGCGGTCCGCTGTTGCTGCAGCTCTCGCCTGTCGGGCAGCTTTCTCAACTTCGTATTTTTCTCCAGTCTTTAGATCGCTGATCTGCATGCGACGCCAGTCTTGTAGTTGCTTGATAGCCTGTCGTATACTGTGTTCATATTCAATTCCTGTCGTAAAGGCTTCAAAGTCGGAGTGGTTCATCATGCGCGCAAACGGCTTCATCTTGTTGCTCAAATCGCGCTCGTCTTTGGTCCTCTTCTTGTCGACTGCCGTGTNTTTGCGGTACTCGAGCAAATTGTGCTCGAAAAGTACCTCCTTCCTCTCAACGCGAGCGGTAAGACGGTGATTGTAGATGTCCATGACGGTGATCTTGAGATCCATTTCAGGTTCGAGTTCACCAGTAGTGGGGTTAATGCCATCGCCAGGCTCGAATTGCATATGTTGGACTGCTTCTTCGGCTTCGTTAAAGTACTCAGTCTCGAACTCGAGACGACCAGGCATGAAGCCTTGAACTTCGTGACATGACGGAACACTGGAAGTGGGCTTTTGCTTAGAATCGATGATGGCTTGGTTCTTGGCTGCCTCTTTCCGCTCCTCTATCCTCCGTTTCTTGCGGGCCTGAAACTCATCTCTGGGTATGGAGTCGGAAAGGGTGGTATCCTTAGGACTGGCGCGTTCTGGTAAGGGGAACTTTGAGCTGTTTATGTATGTTTCAATGTAGTGCTCGCGCACTTCGTCCTTGGTTCGATAGCCTCCAATGTGGTCCGCAATGTCGGCCCATGATCCCAGACCGTAAGTTTCGGCGCCCTCGAGCAAAAGCAGCTCCTCGTCGGCACCCCATTCTTCGACATAGATAGGAATCGAATGTTGTTCTATTACTTGGAAGGAATGCGTGGCTGGGTCGTGTTTGCCGGAAGACTTGCCCTCTCCGAAGCAGGGAACACACAGGTCGTAGTTCGAGCAGTCATCGTCGGCGCATCTGATGCGGACCTAGAGTGGCCATGTCAGTCTACGGCGCACAGACCAGGCAAGAGTGATAGGTAGGCATAGCAGGGTACGTACAGTGGCAGTGATGTCGGCCGAACAGATGTCGCAAATGTATTTGATGCCGCCCTCGGTAGTCCTGACGGCCGTCTTCTTCTTGATGAGGCCCATAGTGGGTCATGCGCGGGCGCGGGCCCGAGGTGTTGTGTGGAGTCGTGCGCGTCGAAAGTGGTCGAGAGCGAGATAGAGTAGTGTCAATATGGTCGCATAAGACAAGCGATTGCGTTGTCGCAGTGAGTGAAGTGGATGCTGATGAAATGGTGCGAGTAGCGGTGGTTGGTTGATGACTCGACGCGCGACAGAGGGGAGGTGCAGTAGTAGGTCGGTATACGGCATACGAGCTCCGTCAACGCCGACGCCATCTCCAGACAGCGCCAAGCCACTGTCTATTGCTTCTAAACTTAACATCACCCATCAAAACAATCCCACGACTCCGTCTTCTTCACTAGCTACAAGACCGACTTTCTAGCAGATCAAAGGGAGAGACATCTGGTCACGCACAGTCTACTCGGCGTGTTTAAGGTCTTGTTAGGGGCTTTTGGCAGTGGTCTAGGGTCTTCGGTTCCTCTCCTTTTCTGGCGGGCCGTTACAAGCATCCCCACTCTCTCTGTACTTCAGCCTTATCGACTGCCAGCAGCCAACTCTATTCTCTACTGTCAAGACTCGACAAGCACAACCACATCCCACCACCCACGCTTGTCCTCTCGCCATGTCGTGGAAGCTCACAAAGAGTGCGTTACCTGCCTGACTACGTCTCCCTGATGACGACCATCGCTGACCGCCCCAGAACTCAAGGAGACGCATCTGGCGCCCTTGGCCAACACTTTCAGCCGTTCGTCTTCCACCTCGACCATCACTCCTTCTGAGCCTACNCCCAAGCCGCCAAACAGTCCGCTGGCCTCATCCACTGCCGTCAACGACCCCAATGGCATCGGTATAACATCCCCGCTGCCGCTTCCTCGACATTGCCGCTGACACTGTACAGCCGCTTCCGAAGTCAATTCCTCGCCTCCTGCCCCACCTCTCAAGCCCGGTATTCTGATCCTCACCTTCCACGAAGGCCGCGGTTTCTCTCTTCCTGCCGGCGCCGAGCAGATCTTCCAGCCTCGCCACGGTGCATCTCTATCCAGCGGTAGCGGCTTTTCTGTAGCTGGTGCACGCCCTGGCTCGGCCAGCAACTCGGGTTATGGCTCTTATGCTCCTGGACGTCCCCAATCATCACAAGGAGGCATCAACGCCGCCCCCTCGGTCCACGGCCGCTACTCTTCCAAGTACCTNCCTTACGCCCTTGTCGATTTCGACAAGCAACAAGTCTTTGTGAACTCCGTCTCAGGTACACCAGAGAAGCCCGTCTGGGCTGGCGAGAACACACAGTACAAGTTCGATGTGTCTCGTGTTTGCGAACTTAACCTCTCCATCTACATCAGAAACCCCAACGCTCCTCCCAACGCCGGTAGAAACGACGACATCTTCCTGGGAACGTGCAGAATCAACCCTCGTTTCGAGGAAGTTCACCCCTATGAGGAAGACCCTAAGCTGGGCAGAAAAGACAGAGAAAAGGCCGCTTTCGCCCATGCTGAGAAGGCAAAGACTCAAGGCCAGTCTGGCACCGAGTGGGTGGACCTCCAGTACGGAACCGGATCAATCAGATGTGGCGTCAAATTCGTCGAAAACCGACAAAGGTCGCTCAAGATCGAGGATTTCGAACTGCTCAAGGTTGTAGGCAAGGGCAGTTTCGGAAAGGTCATGCAAGTGCAGTGCGTATTTGCCTACCATCGTCCTGTCGCGGACTCAGACTAACGCTTCCATTTAGANAAGCGCGACACCCGCCGAATCTACGCCCTCAAGACGATCAGAAAAGCTCACATCATCTCACGCTCAGAAGTTGCCCACACTCTTGCCGAGCGTTCGGTGCTGGCTCAGATCAACAATCCGTTCATCGTTCCCATGAAGTTCTCGTTCCAATCTCCAGAGAAGCTGTACATTGTGCTGGCCTTTGTCAATGGCGGCGAGCTTTTCCATCACCTACAGAAAGAGCAGCGCTTCGACATCAACCGATCTCGTTTCTACGCTGCCGAACTCTTGTGTGCGCTCGAGTGTCTACACGGGTTCAACGTCATTTACAGAGACTTGAAGCCCGAGAACATCTTGCTCGACTACACCGGCCACATTGCTCTGTGCGATTTCGGTCTGTGCAAACTCGACATGAAGGATGAGGACAAGACAAACAGTATGTTATATATTCCCAGGTTTAAGGGGCTTCATACTGACCAAGATTGTAGCNNTTTCTGTGGCACACCAGAATATCTCGCACCTGAGCTGCTTCACGGCACTGGCTACACCAAGACGGTCGACTGGTGGACACTGGGTGTCCTCCTCTACGAGATGTTGACAGGTTTGCCGCCCTTCTACGACGAAAACACCAACGACATGTACCGCAAGATCTTGGCAGAGCCCCTACACTTCCCTGGCCCCGAGATTGTGCCCCCTGCCGCACGCGACCTGTTGCAGAAGCTGCTCGACAGGGATCCGACAAAGAGATTGGGAGTCAACGGCGCAGCAGAGATCAAGGCACACCCCTTCTTCCACAGTATTGACTGGAGAAAGCTTCTGGATCGCAAGTACGAGCCTAGCTTCAAGCCTAATGTGGTGAGTGTTTGTGAATGCTGTATGATAGCTAAGCAGACATGCTGACATGATCTTGTANNGCTCGATGACAGAGACACGGCCAACTTTGATCGCGAATTCACATCAGAAGCACCTACAGACTCGTACGTCGAGGGACCAATGCTCTCATCAACGATGCAACAGCAATTCGCAGGATGGTCGTACAACCGCCCGGTTGAGGGATTGGGCGATGCAGGAGGCAGTATCAAGGATCCATCCTTCATGACTCACTGATGGAATTTACAATAGAAGGGCCGGGCTGGTCGTGTACATTTGCTCGACGCAGCGGGACTGCAACAAAGAATGACAGCAACCTGGCTAGGGTAGATTTTAGACTGGACGATATGGGCTCAACAGTATCAGAAACAGCAGTCACACACACGTACGAGGAACCGTCTAGGCGCACGAGTTTTACAGCAGGAGACAGGGGTGAGAGAAGACGAATTGACATGGCAATCAGGCGTGGCAGAATTGATTTGGGCCGAAGAAGCAGCCCGATCGGCTTTTGTGCTGGCTTGTGCACGTTCCGCGTGTGCCAGAGTGATGCCCCGCCTGAGTTCGTCATACGTTGTATTCACCCGGAGCTCGTCGGCCAGCTCGTCCCCATCACATCTTCAAATTGTGACTTGACCATCGCTGTCTCTTTCTCACTTGCATACACTTTCCCCCTCCCTTCCACCTCTCCATACTCGTACGTGCCCTGCCAATTCCAGTCTTTCACCTCTCTCTAGCTCTCTGGCTGACCTCGCTGCTTCCACGTGCAGTACACGCATCACTCCACCCCACCTTTTCCCAACAAACATCAAGATGCCTGGTTTCGCCCAAGCAAGCGATCTGTCGGCATGGAAGTCGCTTATGAAGCACCACCAAGAGCTGGGTCGCTCCATTGTCCTCAAGGATGCCTTTGCCGAGGACCCTAAGCGTTTCGAGAAGTTCTCGCGCACCTTCACCAACGACGTTGACAAGTCCGAAACCATCTTCGATTTCTCGAAGAACTTCATCACCGATGAGACCCTCCAGCTTCTATGCCAGCTCGCTCGCGAGGCAAAGGTCGAGGAGCTCCGTGACGACATGTTCAAGGGTGAGAAGATCAACTTCACCGAGAAGCGCGCCGTCTACCACGTCGCTCTCCGCAACACCGAGAACTGGCCCATGCAGGTCGACGGCAAGAGCGTCGTCGAGGAGGTCAACTCTGTCCTCGAGCACATGAAGGAGTTCTCCGAGGAGGTCCGCAGCGGTAAGTGGGTCGGTTACACCGGCAAGGCCATCAACACCATTGTCAACATCGGTATCGGCGGTTCTGATCTGTGAGTATTCCTCGTGCTTCTCATGTATGCAGTCCACCATTCTAACTATTGTATAGCNGGCCCTGTCATGGTCTCCGAGGCCCTCAAGCCCTACGGCAAGCGCGATATGAAGCTTCACTTCGTCTCCAACATTGACGGTACCCACATGGCCGAGGCTCTCCGCGACTCTGACCCTGAGACCACTCTCTTCCTTGTCGCTTCCAAGACCTTCACCACCGCTGAGACCACCACCAATGCCAACACCGCAAAGAAGTGGTTCCTCGAACACGCAAAGGACGACTCGGCTATTGCCAAGCACTTCGTTGCTCTTTCGACCAACGAGTCCGAGGTCACCAAGTTCGGCATTGACAAGAAGAACATGTTCGGCTTCGCTGACTGGGTCGGTGGCCGTTACTCCGTCTGGAGCGCCATTGGTCTCTCCGTCTGCTTGTACATTGGTTACGATAACTTCCACGACTTCCTTGCTGGTGGTCACGCCATGGACAAGCACTTCAAGGAGACCCCTCTCGAGCAGAACATCCCCATTCTCGGTGGTCTTTTGAGCGTGTGGTACTCCGACTTCTTTGGTGCCCAGACTCACCTCGTCTCTCCCTTCGACCAATACTTGCACCGCTTNCCTGCTTACCTCCAGCAGCTTTCCATGGAGTCCAACGGAAAGGCCATTACTCGCAGCGGCGACTACGTCAAGTACACCACCGGTGCTATCCTCTTCGGCGAGCCCGCTACCAACGCCCAGCACTCCTTCTACCAGCTCCTCCACCAGGGCACCAAGCTTATCCCCACTGACTTCATCTTGGCCGCCGAGTCGCACAACCCCATCGAGGACAACAAGCACCAGAAGATGCTTGCCTCCAACTACTTCGCTCAGGCTGAGGCTCTGATGATCGGCAAGACCCCTGAGGAGGTTCGCGCAGAGGGCGCCGCCGATGAGCTTGTCCCCCACAAGACCTTCTTGGGCAACCGCCCCACCACCTCCATCCTGGCCCAGAAGATCACCCCTGCCACTCTGGGTGCTCTCATCGCCTACTACGAGCACATGACCTTCACTGANGGTGCCATCTGGAACATCAACTCTTTCGACCAGTGGGGTGTCGAGCTCGGCAAGTCTCTGGCCAAGAAGATCCAGTCCGAGCTCGAGACCTCGGGCGAGGTTTCCGGCCACGACGCCAGCACATCTGGCCTCATCAACGCCTTCAAGAAGAAGGCTGGTATCAACTGAATCCATGACAGCGATGCCAGAGATAGAGAGAAGAGCCGGCTTTGAGACATCATTTTCGAAAGCATATCTAACCGAATGATGGTCGGCGTGTGACATTTGTTTGAATTTTGTAATTACCCCAAGATGACGAAACGCAATGAGAACCAAAAGATTTTAATCTTATACTCGCTAATACACACTACGTGATTAGAGTTGTGACCATGGCTAGCGACCGCGAACGCAGCTGCCGAAATGCCTGACCACGACGTCTAGGAGCAATATAACCTCTTCCGTCACCAATTTCAGCATCAATGATGGTCGATCACCACTACATTCCATCCAGTAGATGCCGTCCCTAAATTTGCCATTTTTTCAGAAAGGAAAGTACGACCGGACGCTCAGGCTAAAACCAGGAGACGGGTATAACCATCTATTCCGCGGCTAAACAATTTATCGTAGAGAAACCATTTTCAGATGCCAACGACCACATAACCCAACTGCCTCAAACCGGCGCGTAGACTGTCGAAAAGTTGTGATGGCGAAGTGAAAATCGAGTCGAGGAAAGGGTTTAGTAATTCTTGCCTCGCCGCAGTCGAGTGGAAGGAAGAAAGGAAGGAAAGAAAGTTCGCGTCTCAGTACTTCCTTTCTTATCACTAATTGACAACTTCATTGTTTACTCAAACTTCTTGAAGCAGTTCTCCTCAACTTCATCGCTTCTCATTCTTCTTCGTCATCTTGGATCCGAACGCCATCGATATCATTCATCCACAATAAGTCCCTTCTCGTTCTCATCGCCATCTCCTTCACACAAAGCAACTGCATCACTGAACCGCCGCCGCCCGTTCTCCATCCTGCCAAGTACATCGACCATAGTATCCTCCACCATGACACACCTCGGCAAACGAATTCCATCAAGCAGTCGACGACTTTCCATCAAGTACTCGACAACCTTCCACGCCAACGAGTATCGAAGGGCCAACCTGGGTATGGAGAGGGTCCAGCTTGCCTCTCGAGAGCATCGAATAATCCTGCTGGGGCCACGTCATTGACGTCAGTGTCTGTATCTGAGGAGACCGCGCTTTACACCCGCAGAATCCAGTGAAGCAGCAGACCTCCTGTACACGTTGCCGATAACTGCAGTAGCTTGCTCAAGCTTTCCAAGCTCGCTGGCCACGCAAGAGCCTCAGTCCCATTACGACTTGATCAACTTGGAGCGTGGAAAGTATGTTTAGAAAGATTCGTTCGATGCAACACCATCGCTTTTTCGAACAAACGTCATGAAAGGTGCCCTGGCATACGGATCGCCTATTACTCTTTTCCACCCTCGGACCCCTGGTCGGCATTGGAACAAATGCTTGCCGTACGAGGATTGTTCATTTCGTTCAGTCAAGGTCTCGAGGGTGAAATAGGCCATGTAGGCGTTGATTGTGTTAATCGATCGGGGCCACAGGCTGTCAGACTCTGGCGTGTACGTTGTACGATAGATGGCATAGCCCCAGGTCACGCCGGAGTAGGCCATGATGTCGATTGCAAGAAGGACAATCGAAGTAGGGAGTGGTGAGAAGTAGTAGATAGTAATGGGAAGCTGCCAAGCGCCAAGACATGTCTGCGAATTATTGTGATTAAACAGAGATGAACAAGAAGGAGAGCTCATGATACACACACCAACCTCTCACTCATGCTCCGAGGCATGAATCAAGTGCCGAGTCCTCTCTTTCAAAGCATGATATTCCGTATCCTCGTCTCTCGATCCCGCTGTCATCAATCCATTCCCATTCTCGTTGCGTATAGCAACAAATCTAGCTTTACCAATATGTTTCGGCAAAGGGTCCTCGCCACGTCTATCTCGCTCTGCGATTAGTACATCCAAACTTTCGTCCCTGGAGACTCGTAAGACGGTGGAGAATTTGTAGCTGTACGATGAGCCAGTGCTGATGATGGTTTGAAGACCAAGGACAACTGTAATGAATGTCACGCCAATGGCTATACCGTAGGCTAGGACAAGCCGTTCCCAGTGGTAGTTGTAGATGGTGTAGAAAGTCGTGATGGACATATTGGTCTCGTGTGATTGTGGTGCAAGAAGCTCTGGTATAGCAAGGAGCGAGAAAGTCATATTGCGAACCAGTTCTTCGATTGATGATGCCAAAGTAGTCAGCGTGGGTGGTGAGGTGGATGAATCTCCCGAGAAACCTATGTAGATTGCATTGAGTTCTTGCGTGAAAGCCAGGTTTGTGTCGAGGACTCGTGTTCGATCGGTGACGTTTTGGGGCGCCATTATATGGACATCTTTGGTCGGAACATAATCACCATTCCCTGAGTGGAAACGCAATGAGCCACTTAAAATGTCACCAAGCAGATCCATCACGGCTAAATACGAGCGGTTTCCAGATTGGGATAGACCAAACATATCAGTGGGGTACCAATGGTTTTCCGAGAGAGATGGTCGAAGGATTGGATTGAGAAGCTCAGGAGTGGCTATGTGAGCGACTTGTCGGCCATTATCGAAAGCAAGCGAGACAGCGTAGCTCGCGTTGAGCAGGGAACAGTTAAGTACAGACCAAGCCTGCGACTTTGCATCTACCCGAGAGGCTACAAAAAGTTCAACGACATCGTTACTGTCTGCACCGAGTGTGGAAGTGATTGGAAAAGCTCCTGTCGTACTGTTCGGTTCCCAGGACACGACTTTGTCATCTGGTGTCCAGGCCACATAGTAGTAATTGTTGTTACCATCGTTGCTATCGTCACATGAGGTGAGAGGTTCAGGACATCCATTGGTGAGTACAGCCGTCAAGTTGGCAACGATGGGCTCAGGGGCAATTCCCTGGCATGTGACAGCTGGACNCAAAAATTGCATGTTGTAGGAAGAGTTTGTGGCTGGTGCTTGGAGGGATGGTATTTGGCCTTGATATGCTACGGATGCAAGATTCCGTCTGAGTCGATTCGTCGGGCCATTCCATCGCGCCGCTCGCCAACCTGATAGTCCTTGTGAGTGCCCGGAGGGATCTAAGTCGGCCAAAGTACCTTGTGCGACCGTTGCATAGGCGTCTGCGTTGGTGTAATTAGGTAGTTGGAGAACATGACCATAGACGCTTGTGGCATTGGTTGTTATGACGGTTAGAGTAGCGGGTGGGAGGATGACTGCGACCGGGACAAGCCATGCAAGCAGTGCCAGTGACAGAAGCAAAGGACTAGCTTTGCCAGCGTTTACTGACAAAAGCTCTTTCAAGTTGCCAAGAATACCAGCCAGGCTGTCGATTGTAGAGATTGACAGACCGTGGTGTAGCTTCCTAAAGAACACCTGCCAATATGTCGCTGTTATAGCGACCACCAATGTAGCGCGAGCCAAAAACGCAAAAGCAGTGCCCACAGCCGTGTTGTATTGTTGCTTCAGAGTTGCATCGTCGACTCGTTGTTGTGNCAGATGTGCGTAGAAGTAGTGATGTCCAACAGCAAAAGCAACGCCGGAAATAAAGGAGATACACAGTGTAGTGGGAACCATCCAGTGAATCTTATGAGATTGACGCTCTTTCATTGTGATTCAGTGTATCGTAAGATGACGATGGATTCTCAGCTGCTCTGGGATAGCTGACAGCTTTATCTTGTCCATGGGAGCCCATGGTGGTTGGACAATCACTGCTGGACCGGGCACAGCAGACAAAGGCGCGTTATGTGCGTGAAAAGCAATGTCACCTGGACTTATTTATGCAGGTTGGAGTATTGTACCATTGGTACTTACCACAGGCGCGTTCCTTGACGGGAAGTCTGAAGACTGCTGTTTATAGGACAAGGCTGATGGTCCAGCTACGAAAAGGTGGCCGCAGCATGCTCATGCATGCACGCGTTGACAAATCTCGAGACCTGCGCAGTGTCAAGTGTCTGACAACCCTCGAGGAGTTGACGACACCAAGCGAGAGGTGCAAAAGGCCAGATGGTATTGTGACGATGAAGATGTCTTGGAATCCGTGTCCGACAGATGGGGTTTCCGGTATAGCAAAAGGATTGCCATCCCGTGGCTGGTGGCTGACCGACCGCGCGAGATCCGGAACCTTCATCGCGCCGCATGGTGGCGCAAGTATGCAGCATGCGGGGGTGTGTTTGGTCGAGATCTATACGAGGTATGGGTGGCTCTAACATGGTCTAGATGTGGTCGAAGAAGTCTGTGATTGGAGGTTCGACGACCAAGTACTTGGTAAGAAGCAAACATGATTCTCTCATGACAGCGATGCGCCGATGACAGCTTGAAGTAAATAGTTTCTTCATTGCCTAAGCTACACAAAGATAAAGAACACCTCCCTTTGCTAAACAACTTTTTGTGCATCGTATGCTTTTCTCTACACGACATCAAACAGACCCTTGAGGTGCTTGGCGATAAGGTTCCACTCCTCCTTGGTAACCTCATCACGGTAAAACTCCTTGAGTGTATCGATAGAAGCTCTGCTGATGTGCGAGTACAGAACCATCTTGTCTTCGAGTTGACGACCATAGGTAGGTTGGTTGTTGCCCTCGATCTTGACAGCGACGGCGGGTTGTCCCTNTTTGCAGAGGGGAATTTGCTTGTGCTCGCGCTCGATCGAGGTGACGCGGCCCATAGGGATGACTTCCTTTGCACCGGTGACCGAGTTGATCTTGACAGCTGCGATGGGGGTGTTGACGCGGAGGGCGCCGTCCATGACATCGACACCGACAACAATGGGGTTGGTCTTGTTGAAGACTTGGATGGGGTTAAGGATGCAAGGGAAGACTGCCAACATCTTGGACTCTTCCTTCTTTTGTGCGGCAATCTCGGCCATGTGCTTGGTGAACTGGTCGAATAAGTGGTAGATGATGTCGGCGGTAAAGATCTTGACGCCGACCTCGTCAGCGTAGGCTTGAGCTTCCTTGTCAACCTTTACGTCGAAACAGAGCATAACGGCGTATTGCTTGTGCTTTTCCAACATAGTTGATGCTGTGATGACATCTCTTCTGTGAACGTTACCGATCGAGATCGAACCAACAGGAATTTTCATCTGCTTCAAGAACTCGAGCAGAGCCTCGAGCGAACCAAGAGTAGATGCTTGCACGGTAACACCACGTCCGGATGTAGAAATCTTGCTGAGCAGGTTCTCGAGATCGGACATGACATCGTCCATGAGCTCCTCCTCATCATCGTCCTCCTTGACCAAGAGCAGACGAGAACCAGCGATGGCGTTCTCCAGACCGTTGGCAGTAATCTTGACACCCAATGCGGCCTTGACCTCCTTGTTGTGGACGTAGGCAGACTTGACACGCAACTCCTTCATCTCAGCAGGTGTGAGCAGAGCTCTGATGTTGGTTGCGATAGGTCCTTCTGTACCGCACAACACGATACGATCACCCTCCTTCAGACGACCGTTGGTGATGACAACGTCGATGGTAGTACCAAGACCCTCGATGACCTTGACTTCCAAAACCGTACATTCGACCTCGGTGATGTACATGAGCTGGCCAGCCATTCTCTCCTGAGTGAGCTGGGTAATGAGCTTGAGCATATCGGGGATACCTTCACCGGTGTGAGCGGAGGTGGGGACGAGGGAGACGTTACGAGCCATCGACTTGTTCTCGTAGAAGACTTCGGAGTTGAAACCTTGCTCAGCAAAGGCGATCTTGGTCTTCTCGAGTCTGTCGGCGAACTCGTTCTGGACACCCTTGTTTTGCATGGCAAGCGACTCGCGGAAACCGTTGTTGGCAATTTGCTTCCAGCCGTAGAGACGATCGATCTTGTTGAGGGCAACAATGAAAGGAGTCTTGCGGTCTCTGAGCAATCTCATCGACTCGAGAGTTTGAGGTTCAAGACCGTGCATGATATCGACGACCAGGATAGCGATGTTACAGAGCGAAGAACCGCGGGAACGGAGGTTGGTAAAAGACTCGTGACCAGGGGTGTCGATGACCAAAAGACCGGGAATCTTGAAGTTGAAGGAGCCATCAGTGTTCACGACAGCAGTCTTCTTCTCCAAAGCCTCGACAGGGAAGTAGGTAGCACCAATCTGTTGAGTAATTCCACCAGCTTCACCCTCCTGAACGTTAGTTTGACGAATCTTGTCCAAAAGCTTGGTCTTTCCGGTATCGACGTGACCAAGAATACAGCAAATAGGCGAACGAAGGTTGTCCTTGGAAGCAGCAGCTCTGGCATCTGCGATGGTCTTTTGACGTCTCTCGGCAGCTTCACGCTTACGTTGAGCGAGGGCACGGGCATTTGCGCTCTCTTCCTCGTCAGAAGATGAGTCGGAGTCCGAATCGTCCTCAGAGTCTGATTCAGAGTCGGAGTCGGACTCGTCCTTGATGTTGGCCTTCTTGCCGGCTGCACCGTCCTGGACAGGCTTGCCATTGACAACAGGCTTGACAGTCTTGGGAGCATCCTCGTCGTCGTCCGATTCAGCGTCCCAGCTGTCCTTGACACCCTCGGTCTCCAATTTCTCGGCCTCGGCCTCCCAGTCTTCGAGCTCATCTGACTCTTCGGCCTTCTTCTCGAGAGCATCAGCCTTGGCCTTTTCGGCCGCTTCCTCAGCGGCCTTCTTCTGCTCTTCGACGAGACGCAGCTCCTCAAGCTTCTTGCGGGCAGCCTCCTCCTCAGCCTTTGCGGCCTCGGCAGCAGCACGCTCTTCAGCAGCCTTGCGGGGTTCTTCTTTCTGCGGTCCTTCTCCTTCTGTGCCTTNCTTAGCGTCGTCCGCTTCGCCGGAAATACCGGCAACAATGGCACCACTCTCGAGCATCTGCTGAAGACGAGCTTGCTGGCGGGCCTCGGCTTCCTTCTGGGCCTTTGTCTTGTACTTGCCCTCCTTCTTGAGCTGCTCAATCTTCTCCTTCTCCTTTTGCTTCTTGAGGGCCTTGGCTTCTTCTCTAGCCTTTGCCTCCTCAGCAGCCATCTTCTCCTCTTCCTCGGCTCTGGCACGCTCCTCGGCCTCGAGGCGAGCGGCCTCCTCCTCTCTGGCCTTCAGCTCGGCTTGTTGTTTCTGAAGGGCGGCAAGGGCGGGATTCAGCTTCTTCTTCTTGCCACCAGCTGCGGGCTCGGGGCGGCTGCCACAGGCTCGACGGCGCTCGGCGAAGGGGTGTCTCTGATGGGCTGGGGTTTGGGTGCAGCAGGTACAGCACCACCTGCCTTTTCTTGGCTGCGGCCTATTTGGTAGAACAGAGATTAGCTCTTGTGTGTCCCTAGCATAGCATAATGCAGCTGACCTGTTCCTTCTTTCTCTGCTTCTCGCGCTCCTTCTTCAGCTTTTCCTTCTCCTTCTTGGTCAGAACGCGACCACTGGAATCCTTCTCGTCGTCGTCGTCTTCGTCCTGTGCGGGCTCGGGTTGCTGCTTGCCGCCCTTGCCACCCTTTCCTTNNTCTTAGCGGGTTCAGGATAAAGGTCCTCGTCGTCCATGGTTCCCTCCTCGGGAGCCTTGGCGGAGAGGTCGACGGGAGGAGTAGAGGTTCCATCTTCGGTGGCAGTAGGGTCTTCACCGAGCTCGGCTTCCCAGTCGTTGTCCTGCTGCTTGCCCTTCTTTCCCTTCTTGTTCTGTCTGCGCTTGAGAGCAGCCATCAGACCGCCGGCAGGAGCTGCGTCCTCCTCAGCATCCTGGGCAGCTTCCTCGGCCTTTGCCTCTTGCTCGGCCTGAGCTATGGGGTCGACGGTCTCGCCGAGCTCGGCCTCCCAGTCGTCCTGCTGGGCCTTCTTGTTTCCCTTTTTCTTGGGCGCCATGGTGTCGTGTCGGTAGGGCGACTCGAGAGGTTGTGTGGCGGCGGTGTTTGAGGTGTAGGCAGTCGCACGGTCAGTAAAGTCGTGTGACTGGTGGTAGCATGTGACGGCGAAGGGTCAGATCAGTTGGCGCACGTCGAGGTGGGTGTGCGGGACTGAAAGCGATGATGGAACCAGAGGCAAAGCCTAAATCCGCTTTTTCGTCCCACTCCAAAATGCCACCAACCAAGCAAGAAAGCCGACCATCGAGTTTCGAGGATATTGACTTAGATCTCATTGTCTCATCGTCTACCGACATCGGAATATACACTAATCTACGTGCTTTTGTGAAAAACATATAAACTGCTCATCGTCCAAATCCAAACCAGCCCTTTTTCTTTTCCTCCTTGGGCTTCTCTTCGGCTATCACGTTGCTCACAGCCGCCTTTGCTTCCACCACTTGCTTGCCCATGGTCGGATAATCAATGTAGTTCCATGCGACGTCAAAGAATAATGGTTTGACAGGGATCGGCTCGATCTTGGGAGGATATGTGACCAGGTTTTTGAGGTTGACATTGACGCCTGGTGTGGAGAAGTCGCTGAGGCGTTGGACAAGAGGGGCGGCAGTGGACATGTGCTTGGCTGCTGCGATAGCTGCATTGTCGTGGAACTTGTGCAGGTCCACCAGTGCTTGATGTCTGTACACGAGTTGCTGGAGCTGATTCTGAAGTGCATCGGCTTGAGACTTGTGGATGTCGAGGGTAGGCGCAGAGTTTGAGTCGGATGGAGTCGATGGTAATGAGCTTGCACACTGCTTTGCAAGTTCAAGAGCGCGGGCTAGCAGAGCAAGAGCGTTGACATGCTCCGACAAGAGAGCGTGCGAAACTGCAATGTTGAGGCATCTCAAGGCCTGGAAGTAGGCACGCTTGCCGTCCACCTCGCGCACAAAGCTCTCGTCTCTCATAGCACCTCTCAACTCCTTGATAGAGTCAATGCTCTGGATAGTCGAATCGTAAAGCACAACTCTCTCGCGCAGACGGGCAAGTTGGCTCCCTCTGGGTTCCGACTTGTGCTGGTCACGAGCGCGTTTGCTGGATTTGGCCTTCTTTTCCTCAAACAGTCTGCCATCTTCGGATCCAATAAGAACACGGTTTCTGCCCACGCGCCAGCTGACAAGAGCGTAGTTGACGGCAAGACTGGTGATACGCAAATCTTGCATTCTGTTGTCGCCCTCGTCTACCTTTTCCTTCTCCAATTCTTCGATGGCTCTTCTAGTGGCATCTGCAGCGTCCTGGCTGGCAATAAGAACATTATCGTAGGCACCGGCGCGGTCTCGAGTGAGCGCAGAAGCATTAGACTTGAGGTATGAGCTTAGTTCGGGTTCGGCAGACGCGACAGCAGCAAGAGCTTGACCGATTGAGGCGTCTACGATGTTGGCAGTCATGGACCGCCAGTTGATCGTGTTGGGGATGTTGGTTGTGCCCAGATTTTNGGGAGCTAGCATGCTTCGTTAGTGACTTTGGTGTACAAGACTAGATGGCTTCCTTGACATACTGGTTTCCGTAGTGGTCTCGCTGAGGGCGTTGGAGTCGAGTTGTTGTAACAGGTCGACCAGAGTAGAGTCATCCTTGGGGAAGTAGCGCAGAGCGACTGTAGATACGGGAATGGAACGAGGAAGGCGGGCTTGGTAGGCGGCATAGCGGATAGCAGGATCGACGGCGCTGGCGAGGATCTCACGGAAGAGGTCCTTGTTCCCTTGAGCAAACAGGGTGGCATAGATGATGCGGGCAGTAGAGTACTCGCGCAGGCACAAATCCCATCTCGAAGGATTCTCGGTGTTGACGCGACCCTCGGACTGCTTCTCGAAGTGTTCGGCTCCGGAGAGGGAGGCGCGGTAGGCTTCGGCCTCGAGCAGATCCTGGTGGCTTGTCTTTGAGGCTTGGTAGTCCTTTAGGATGTCGGTAAGGTTCTGGGCGAGGCGAGCGGCCTTGTGAAAGCGTGAGACGATGTGAGAACGAGTGGTTCCAGTGATGCCGTTTCCTTGATTGTCTTCGGAGTGGATGGACTTGATGTGCATGGCGTGGGCCCAAGCGCGTTCGCAGCTGAGCAGCAGGAGACGGACAGTNNCCTTCAGAAGGGTCAGCTAGGCGGTGCATGGCGTGTGGATGGACTAGTAGTACTGAGGGTTCTGGGCGACATCTTCGGCGGTGACAGTCGACTTGTTGGAGTACTTCTGGCCCTTGTTGGTAGAGCGGCCCAGACGCTTGCGCAGAGCGAGCAGTTGTCGCGAAAGTTGCTTGCGGTATGCATTGTAGTCGGCGATGAGCAGGGCAGCGTCGCGGTTGCCTACGGTAAAGGCGGTGATGTCCATATTCGCGTGTCGTGTGCCTGTCTGGCTGGAAGCTGGAAGCTGGAAGCTGGAACAATTCTGGTGTCAAGCTGTCGAAGTGTCCAATTGGTGGGGTTGCGTCGTCTAGGGCACGCTGCACGCTGCACGCTGCGAGCGAGTCTTGCCGGCCGGCGATGAGCAGGGCAGGGCATTCCGAGGCTTGGCGATCTCCAGTGCTGATGTCTACGAAAAGTCTCCCGCAATCAACAGCGTGCAGCTCTCCGAGAGAAACATACAGAAGTCGCCTTCGTTCGCCGCCCTCCACCACCGCCGCCTTTCCTCTCGTCCTCGTTCGCACCTCAATCCTCCTCGCCGTCTTGAGTCGCCGCCCTACCGTCTCATCCTCTTGGACATATCCGTGCAGCCTTCTCGCTTCACGCCACAGCAGCAGCAACCTTCTCGCTTCCTCTCGGGTCCTGGCATGAACCATACTTCTCTCGGCTGCTTGTGGTAGCGCCGTCGCCTGTGCCTGTACCACACTGAGACCAGTCGTGGCATGCTAGAGCGCACGTCGGCATGTCTCGACACTGGAGTTCGCTTCTCTTTGCGCCAGAAGAGTCTGTTCCCCAAAAGTCGCCGACTGCTCCACTCGTCCTTTTGGGCAACTAACGCTCCTAATGTCGATCACCTCTGCCTATACTCGAGNTCTCCCGCCCCCGCTCCCGCTACTGCTGCCTGCTCCACCGCTCCTGCCTCGCCCGACCCCTACGATGCTCCTCCCTTCCTCGACTTCCTCTACCCCGCCCCAACCCAGGCCTTCATGACACGCCTGTCTCAGTGGGAAAGATGGTCTCGCAAACACACTCGACCCAATGTCTTGAGAGGCTATTCCTCTTTGACTACCCGGAACGGCTCTTCCGCCTCCTCGATTCGCCCTTCTCGTGCTCATCAAGAGCTTCTTGCCTTACTGGACTCCCCTTTGCCTGACCGGTCTNNTTTCCTCTCCTTGGACGTCGACCGTACCTGGAATCTCCTCTCTCAAATTTCCGAGCCCACTCCTGCCCTGCTCTGTCGTGTCATTCACTGGTTCTCCAAGACACATGACAAGACCGCCGATCGACACGCTGCTGACCTCTTCTCCAACCTACCCAATGAATCGAAATCGCCCACTGTTTATCAAGATGCAATCCACTCCAATCTGAGACTCGGTCGTCAATCTATCGCCGCTGCCTTGCACAAAGAAGCCTCTCTACTGTCAAAAGAAGGTCCCATCGCTTCTGGCCATCTTATGGCCTCTGCCGTCCAAGAAGGGGACTGGTCTTTGGCTATATCTGTTCTAAAAGAGTGGGAAACATATAATGCCTCGGCGCCCTCCACGGTGGACTCTGCCAATTTCTGGAACACTGTCGTTCGCCCTTTTCCATTCATTCTTGTACGGCTGCACGATCTCCGTAGGCTGTGCTACCAAAGGACAAAACACGAGGAAAAGGACGAACTTACTCAAGAGTCACTGCGTCTCTATGGTCTCATGATGGGTCGATGGGTTCACGCTCAATCAAGAGATCCTCTCTTCATGAGACAACACGATTCTGCTGCTGAAAAAGTTCGTGAGTCTGTGAGGACGTTGATCTTGAGGACACACGAGCGTGGCTTGGCCTCGGCTGATCTATATGAAAACGTACTCATGTCGCTGTTGACTCTACCCCACTGCGCCGAGAACCCAGCCTGCACTGCAATTGTCGCTGCTACCTACCTGTTATATCGGCAGTCCGACTTTTATGCGCCTACTGAGAAATTGCTCTTGCAAACGACCAGTTTCTGGAAGGAGCACTACCTTGCTTATTCTCCAAAAAGGTCCAAAAGCAACTTCATTGGCAAAGAGAAAATTCTGGAAGACTTCTTCAAATACCATCAGAAACCCAGTGATAGAGCCCTTCTTATCATCATGAGTGCCTTTGCTCAACGAGGCGTTGATGGACCTGTCAGAGAGCACGCCTATCTATACAAATCTCTCCATACTAAGAACGACTTAGATGCTAAGAACCTTTGGCCTCTTCTCACTGTCCATGCAGTCAACCTCAAGCCTTCACTTGCTGCTCAACAACTTCATGACATGAAGAAAGACTTCGGCGTCTCGCCAAACCTGAAATGTTGGAATATTGTTCTGCATGCCTACACGCGGATCGACGATTTACCGGAAGCTCTTCAACTCTTCCGTAAGATGTTGGACTCCGGAATTGAGCCTGACGAGTACACATATGCCTCGCTGCTCAACGTATACGCTAAGCGAGGAGACGTTGATGGGGTGATTGACCTGTTGGATTTTGCAAAGTCAAATGGCGCGACAAGACCTACCACCTACATGTTGAACTGCATGATTCTTGCACTGACTAACAGTTATGAAATAAATGGTGCTCTGAAGGCGTTGGATCAGACTGTTCAGGCTGTTCGGCAAGACAGAGCGGATGGCTCTCTCACTCTGTGTTTCAACACCATGCTTACTGCCTTGGCATGGAAACGCGACCTCAAGGGCACTATGGCAGTCTACCGTCGTATGAGGGAAGAGAATGTGCCGCTCGACGAGCGATCATATGGAGCATTGATGCTGGTTCTCTGTCTCGTTCGCCAATCACCATCAGCGCACAAAATCCTGAAATCGGTCATGCCTGCAAACGGCATACGACCTTTGGCCTTCCATTATGCCATTCTCACAAGTGGCTATATGGGCCAAGAAATGTACACAGAAGCGATGGAAGTGGAAGACGAGATGAAGCTGGCACGAGTGCGACCGACGTCTAGCACTCGAGCCATTGCGCGCAAAGCGAAAGCTGTCAGTCAAGACAGCATCACACGCAGTCAAACAGATGAAGCCGGCCACTTGTCACCTTTGAATCTTGCGATCGAAGATTTCCAAAAAGTGTTGAACGACAATCGAATTTTCCGTCATGGGTTCCAACCTGAACCGCTTGGCCATGAAGTTATGGACATAGGTCATTTGATTTATATCCATGGCCGACGTAGGACATTCGAGGCAGTCCAGCATCTGTTTCAGATGTTTCAGGGGAAGCTTGCAGAGGTGGACACTTATCACAATCAAGTACCAATCGTACTTCTGCTCACAAATCTCATGTTCGTACACAGCCAAGCTCAAGAGTGGAGCGAGGTCGACAAGTACTGGGATCTGATCAAGTCCCGGGTGGACGACATACGCCTGTTGCACATCCCAGCATCGAAACTGGTGCAGTCTGTTCGACAGGGTCCGACCACTCGAACTCGACGAGAAGCGGAGACCGTGCGAGTACCCCCATACTACCGCTTCATGCTATCGCGACCACTACAGTACTACATCCGCTCTCAATTCGCACAATCCTCAATCAGGAAGCTTGTTCCGATGATGATAAAACTGCTTTCCCAGGGCTTCCGGTTTGCCAACAACACCTGGAACGAGCTCATTGTACAACTTTGCCAGACAAGCCCTCCACGTGCATTGCTCGCCTACACATTGGTCGAGAAATACATGATGAAAGACTGGCCTGGCTGGATTTCCTATAAACATGGCGCGATAAGAAGACCTGATATCGTCTATCTCAAAAAGCAAACTCACAAGGAAGCACTGCAATACATCAGTGCGCGATACATCAACAGAGATCAAGTCATTCCGCAGTATCGTACGATGGTTTATCTGGCCAGTGCATTGTTGGAAGTACGTGGTCTTACTAGTCGCGGTCTAGGCGACTATCACAAGGAATCGGGCATCAGCTCGGCAGAGCTGAGACAACAGATTGGTACAATTTCTGAGATCCAAGAACAGGCACCCAGGACATTGCACGCTATAAACAGCATGCCCAGGGTTGTCGACAGGCTTCAAGAGATCTTACTCCGTACGTAATCGTGGAGCGTGGGCAAGGCCAAGTTTGGGAGCAATGATATACGAACGATAGAGCTGCTATTTCTCCGGAGTTTTTGTGTTTATGATCGCATCGCATGGATAGCGCAGCGGTATTTTGTGCTGTACGTTTTTCTTGTAACAACAATAGCTGTACATATAGGCATCTTTCGACATAGAGGTGGAAGGAAAGGCGTGCGAGCGCGGCACATGGGCATGTAAAAACAATTGCATTGTATGTTTTGAGAAAGGAAAGAAATGTTCTCTCAGTGCTTGAGTCCTCTCGTCGCGTGCAAATGCCTCACCGGTCATCTCCGTGCTACTTTGTTATACCGTGATGACGAATGATAGCGCCACAAAAGAGCTGAAGCTCGATCCGGAGAGCAAACACGAGAAATTTGGTTCAACCCACCAAGCTTGCGTCGATCATCGCTGCATCGCGCAACGACACGTCTTGAGGCTCAACTGTTTCAAACATCTCTCAAGCACGAGCAAATATCTGAGATGCCCGTTTTGAGCACTTGTGAACTGTTGCATGTCAACACGATGTATCGTAGAAGACTACAGAAGCCCTGGATGTCACTCTGGCACTAACCCGTTTCTTCCGCACGCGACGTGCTGGTAAGCTATGGAACCTAATTTGGAGCTGTGGCTGCTCACAACTTCTGAAGCAAGTGTGCCAGAGACCGAACCACCGGGTTTTCGTTCTTGACAACTCCTGTAACGACTGCAAGTCTGCAACAATTTGGTGCGGTGCAGCAGTGAAGTTGTGGTGGGATTGACGGCAGTCAAGCTTTACGAAGGCGACGACGCTTGCACCTCCCGCTCTTGCCCTGGACTTGCAAAATCACACAATCTTGCCACAGGACTGGAACCTCTCTCACTCTGCATTCTATACGCGCGAGGCGTGAAATACACTCATGGTCGCCGACAACATCTAGCGAGCGTCAACTACTGGACACCTAGGATCACATGCATTCTCGGACGGTGGAGGGGGCGGCGTATATCGTCAATTGGAGCCGCAATGGAATCCCATCTTGATCGTGGCATCCATTGCCATTTCCTTCCTGGGAGCTTTTACCTCGACACAACTCATGTGCCATGCAAGGATGTCATTACGGTTTCACAGTGTTTTGCTGTGGGTGCTGTTTGGCAGTTTCGTGTTTGGAGGTTGTTCTGTTTGGTGTCTACACATGGTTGCAATGCTGGCGTGCGAATTTGATGTGAAGATGGGTATTAATACGCCACTCACGGTGGTGAGTGCCTTTCTTCCGGTCTTNTTCACATTCTTGGCCTTGGGATGTGAGTTGCTCTGGGAGCGCTGGCATCACGGCCGAGGGAGGAAGAGACGTAGAGGTAGAAAGACACGGCAGAAGACTACTACGCTGAGTCCTATGAGTAAGAACAGGATCAGCTTTCAGCCATCCATGTCGCTTCGTGCAGTGGTCGAAGAGGAGGAGGAAGAGGGTGATGACGACTACCAGGACGAAGAGATTGCTCCTGACCAGCCACTTTTATCCAGACCTCGCCAATCGCCTGCTCGAAATCCGGAAAGTCAAAGCTGGAGCGGGCCGAGGACAGACTTCTTCAGGTCTTCGCAAGATGGACCAGGTGCTTCATTCGATCAGAGTCTGTTGCCACCATCTCCGGGTATCGCCATGTCTCCTAAAATACAGCCACGCGACAGTATACGACCCATCGTGGAACGGAGTGCCTCTGGGCGTAGTATACCCAGCCTGAGGAGGGTTACAACGCAGAGTCTTCGTGATGACACCTCTACCGGATTCAGGGATGACGCATCTACGATTAGCTCTGGATCCTTGGGCAAATCTTCTAGTGACGGATCGACTTTACGTCGCGAGTCGTCATCTGGATCGAGTACAAGCCATGGTCTCAGTAGTGCCATGGGACTTGCATATCGTCGAGCTCCAGCATCCACAGTAAACGCGTTCGTGGCCACGGCAAAGATTCTGTACTTCGGCATGACTCCGAGGAATATACTCAAAGGATTCCTATGGTCGATCGCGATCACCAGCATGCACTACACCGGAATATATGGGTTAAGGATCCCTAACGGAAAAGTTGTCTTAAATCCTTGGATTGTTATAGCATCTGCCCTCATATCCTGGCTAGTGTGTACAGTCGGTTGCATATGTATGGCCGAAATGGAGGCCATGCTATCTCAGCAACTACTCTTTTCAGTTGTCGCAACCACGGGCGTGGCCGCAATGCATTTCACTGGTATGAGAGCGGCTACTTTCTGGTCTACATCCCCACCATCGGAGCTTAGNGGGTATCCACCTGTGATCGCAGCCGCAGTGGTGTTGATTGCATTCACAACATGTATAGCTGCGAACGGATTGCTAGCCCATTCTGCTACCGTTTCTCGCAATAAGCTTGCCGAGATCATATGGACGCGTCGAGAGTTATGGCGAACAATCGCCCAGAAAGAGAATGCAGAAGCGGCTGCTCTAGCGAGAAGTGAATTTATTGCAGCTGCCAGTCATGAGATCAGAACACCATTGCATCATTTGCAAGGTTATAGTGATCTCCTCTCGCAAACACCGTTGACTGAGGAAGGTCGAGCTCATCTGGCCGCCATTCAAAGAGCGACAAAGACACTCTCGTTGATCACTAACAACGTGCTGGACTGGTCAAAGCTGGAGAAGGACGCCAAAGCGGTCTGTAAACCCGTCTCATTGGATATCCGAACAGTCTGCGAGTCAATTATCATTCTGCTTCCCAACAAGGACGACGAGGCAGATGTTGAACTTTGCGTCGTGGTGGCTCCAGATGTTCCGACCTCGGTATTCCTGGATGAAACGTACATTCATCGTATCTTGATGAATTTGCTTTCCAATGCCTGCAAGTTCACGAGATCAGGCTATATCATACTCTCTATAGAAGTCAGTGGCGACAAACTGATAGCATCAGTAAGAGACACTGGTATTGGCCTTGATCCGACTTTCATTCCTCAAATGTTTGAGCCCTACAAACAAGGCGAGCAGAAGGGAAACCAACGAGGTACGGGTCTTGGTCTCAGCATCATCAAGCAACTTCTACAAGCCATGAATGGTACCATTACCGTGGAATCGAAGTTCGCCTATTCGCAAGATGTGGGACCAAATCAGAGTGGAAGCACATTCACCGTCACCGTGCCTCTGCAGCCTTCTTCTTTGCCCCCACAACCGTCAGACCAACGAGATGAAAGACATGTAGCGATACTGTCCGAGTCGGACACCAGATCTCTGCAAGGCATAAAAGCAGCCTGGGAAATGTTTGCTCATGAAGTCACGGTTGCAAGCAACATATCTGAACTCCCTGAAAAAGACTGGAAATACATCTGGGCCGATATGCCTTTTCTTCTCAACAACAAAGACCAATTCCGCCGCCTCATGAAGCGACAAGATTGGCTGGTGTTAGTACCTTACGACACGCAGAACTCTCTGTCAGAACTACCTGGCATCGTAGCAGCACATCACGTAGTCCTCCTCCCACGCCCACTAGTCTGGCACTCATTCGCTACTCGCGTCGACGCTGCAAATCGCCGCAGTCGCAGCGCCGCCGTCTCACGCACCTTGCGCTTCGCTCCCACGGTAGAAGTGATGCAAGACATTCCCACCTCTTCCCTGCCCCACTCCAACTCCGAACAAGAAACACGCCAACATCAGCAAAACCAACAAAAAGCCCCTTCTTTCAGCGTTGAAATTGAACAACAGCAAAAGGCAGGCTCGCCAGTGCAAGCGCAACCACAAACCGTGTTGTTGGTAGAAGACAACATTATCAACGCAAAACTCTTCCAGAAAATGCTGGTCTCGCTTGGGCATAAAGTCATACTGGCTCCTGACGGTGAAGCAGCCGTGACTCAAACGCTGACACACGACACTGCTATTGATATACTCTTTATGGCAAGTCCTCCACTCCCTAACCCCCATCTTCTCATTTTCCATCCTCTTTCTTACTGACACGTAAATAGNGACCAATCCATGCCCAGAAAGGACGGCATAACCGCCACCTCCGAGATTCGCGCTTTGGAGACGTCGGGAAAGTTGCAACGAAAACATATCATCGTTGCATTGACTGCTGTCGTGAACACGGAGTCTAGAGCTAAGTTCAAAGAGGCAGGAGCTGATGATTTCTTGGCCAAGCCGTTGAGTTTGGGTGGGTTGAAGGATGCGTTGGCTGTGCATTTGGGGTGTTAAGGAAGGAGGAACATGAGGGAAGGAAGGAAGGTATAGGGATGGCATATTACTTGTATAGTCTTTGTAGTGTTTTGTTTTGCGAGAGGAATAACTGGACTCTGTTTTCGGGTATATGTATAATCACAGACGGCGTTTTTGAAGGCAAGAGCATCAGCTGTCATCTACTGTCTGACTTGGTCGAGCTAGCTAGGCGATGTGCAACCACTATTTTATACAAAATCTTCCAGCGTATGCTCTTATAAGTCTATGTGCATAGTTTCAGGAAGCCGATCCCCATATCGAGATCTACCGTCAAGTGTGTATCGTTGTGACCGTGTTCTCACACTGTCTCGTTGCTCATTGTTGTCGAGAGTTTTCCAGCTTTGTCGATGTTAGCATACCACGATTTCTGTATTTCTACTTTACTAGACTCATACCTAGATATCTATGTACATACTTCTAGATACTGTTAGCCATACGCAATCCTCATATTACTGTAGACAAATATTGTATGACAGGAATTAGAAAAAGACAGGGTTACTTTGTTAACAAAAAGTCTTGCGCATAGCAAAAACAAAAACTAATGTATCTTGTCTTCTATAAACAAAAGGAATTGGACTTCCTTTAGTCAACTTACAGTTCTAATCGCGTTTTACATAAGAAGTATTTAAAGCTTTAGAGATATTATATAGATAGTCTTCTATATAGACACTCTCTAGCATCTATTAAGAAACTATAACTACGGTTCAAAACAAATATGTTTACCATCTATACCACTTTACTATCTCTTTACTATTAATAGTCCACAGTCCATAGTTATATAAGAAGTTGCATAGAAAGAAGAATAAACAATTGCATAGAACAATTCTAGAAGAAAAAAAAAAAGAAAAAAAAAGTAAGTCCTCTCTACCGAGTCTGTAATCGCTCTTGCTCCCTCTAGGCTAAATAGAATTACAAGCAGCTATAAACATGCACAATGCTTTCTAGAACGGAGCAATGTCCAAGGAGAGACATTATTTGAGAGCTGCTGCTGTGGTCACACATATTTTCAGTAAGCAACTGTGCATTTTTATAGTATACTATTGTTCTCTGAAGGGTGCGAGGAGAGACGGTTTGTGAATTAATTTCAAAAGAATGACTGTCTAAACTACTCTAGCGAGAGAATCTGCGGATGAACTTATCGAGTCCCAGGTGAAATTCAGCTCTTGATTTCCATTCGGGCTTGTCTTTCTCAAACTGCAGTGGTGTTTTCCGCCACTCAAAGCCATCACGGTCTTCGTGGTCGTACCATATGGTGACGTTCTTGAACTTCACATGGACAAGCATCGGCCATAGCTTCAAGAACTCGAGGAACGCGATCAGTTCTGCATAATCATTTCGTTCTGCGACGATGATCTCGACGTTGGACAGATACAGAAAGGTCGACGCTTGCTGAAGATGGCCAAGGTCTCGGCAAGCAAGCCTTGCGGTGATCTTGCAATTCTCAATGACCACTGATGCGACGCGGTGAAATTGGAAGATCCTCTGGATTTCGGCGCACCATGTCTCAAANNATAAAATGGGTACAATCAAAATTACTGTACAGATCTGTCGAGAGGGACAGAGGGCCTGGAATCTGACGGGAATCTTGTGGTATATGTAGGCGCTCGCGTCCCGGAGAACACAGTAGGAGATTAGCGGCGAAAGGGAATCCAAACCGCGAAATGGAGGATTTGAATTGATCTGTTCAAAGCTGGGACAGGTATTCGTAGGATAGGACTGGTCTTCGAAGGCACTGATGTCCAGAGATAATACGAGGGGTGTCATCCAAAGGGCTTCGAAGAAGAGGTTAATGACCCGGACGGCGATGGTATGCTATTTCGTATCGGGATCGGTACCCCAGCGTCCATAGTGAGCATCAAAACCAAATCCTCTGGTTAGGTGGTTGAAATGAGCTCCATCGCTGTCATCTTGAACGATTAGATGAACCTTCTGGTTTCGCAAGGCAAGATGTTGGAGAGCTTCGGTCAGAAGTCTTAGAGGATGGCCTGAGCTGAGAAAGCGTTCTTGTTCGGCTATGCGCGCTTTCAGCCTTTCAAAGTCTTCGGCGTGCTCGAAGGTGGATCCACGCTGCATGTGCTCAGTTCTGCGAGATGAGACATCGGTGGTATCCATGGTCAAGGCACCGAAGCTGATTGAGCTAACCCTGTGTGTGCCCGGAAGGTTCTTTGACATTTCGACCAGGTCTTCGAGACTAGACTGGGTCAGGATATAGCGAGCATGGCCATCCCAAGGTTGACGTTCCAATTGATCGCGAAGCTCCTTGCTGACACTTCTGTACATCCTAATCGCTCTGGGCGGCAGGTGACTTTCAATACTTTGCAAGATCTTCTTCGGCAATTTAGTGATGTGAGGCATGTTTGTTGACTAGCGGTGGTAAACTGGAGTATTGGTGATGCTGAAAGGTAGTGATGGTTGTTGTCATGTTCCGAAGTTGGAGTGTGTCAGCTGAAGACGAGTTCAAGAGGTCGAAAACAGAGAAAGTGCGTTTTGGGAAATCACGATGCACATTGCAACTGCCTTGTCCATTTCCTCTTGGCCTTGGCCAGCTCGAAGGTCTTTGCAGGACTCTCCATACCGACATATACTGCCGTTCAATGCTATAAGAATGCACAGTTAACTAGTAAAACAGAGGCGTGACCATGGAGATGTCCGAAGACAAGGCCACCTCCGTGGACATTGCTATTTCGTGGAAGGTATCGTGCATTTTTATAGCACACTGTGACAATGTTTAGTACACGGAGGGATGGGAATGGCCTTCGGTGCATGGCGACAGGCGTGAACACTAGTCATTGGAGAAAGAAATCTCACGTTGTCATGCAAGTCAAGCATAAGGACATTGACATGAGTATTGATGACTATGTGGCATGAGTACGGATATTGCGTGGTGTGTGTCCGGGAAGGTCGTGGTCAAGAGGGCTGCCAGGCCGAGCACCGAGGCTTCTCCACAGAAAGCGATTGCCGAGGTGATGGGCGCCAACTATTTACATGTGCCTGTCTGCCACCCACTTGTTCCAGAGAGATCATCCAAACTCAGTATAACAACTGATACCACCTACACTCACAATGGCAACCGAAAGACTAAGCTCAGTGCTCCGCCACATCACCCCCGGCAAGAGCCCCCTCGACACCATGTAGGCCGTCCCTTGCCCCACCATCAACTACCCCGTGGAGAAGACTGACATGGGCGACAGCACACAGAAGAACCCCGACGACATTGTCATTACTCTCGCCATCCGCACACCCCTGACCAAGGCTGGTAAGGGAGGCTTCAAGGACACCCATCTCGATGGCCTCGTCTTCAAGCTGCTCGAGCAGGTCGTCCAAGTAAGCCCCTCCACACGCCTCAGAAGACGCCACAGCTGCTGACGCCCGCTNCAGAAATCAAGAATCGACCCTCAGATGGTAGAGGACATCTGCCTGGGCAATGTCTCGGATGCCAAAGCCGCCTACTACATCCGCGCCGCCTGTCTGGCCGCCGGCTTCCCCAACACCACCGCCGCATACTCGACCAACCGCTTCTGCAGCTCCGGCCTCAAGGCCACCCAAGACATCGCCAACCAGATCATGGCCGGTGCCATCGAGATTGGTGTCGCCATCGGTGCCGAGTCCATGACAGATGGTGGTGACCGCCTCACCCGCCCCTTCGTCGACGAGATTGTCAACGCCAACCAAGACGCCGCCGACTGCCTGCAACCCATGGGCCAGACTTCCGAGAACGTTGGCAAGGACTTTGACATCTCGCGTCAAGAGCAAGACAAATACGCCGCCGAATCATACCGCCGTGCCGAGGTTGCCCAGAAGGCTGGTTGGTTCGACGACGAAATCACCTCAATCACCGTCAAGGTCAAGGACCCCAAGACCGGCGAGGTCAAGGATGTCACGTTGACCAGAGACGAGGGCCCTCGCTACGGCACCACCGCCGAAGCCCTCGGCAAGATTCGTCCTGCCTTCCCCGACTACGGCAACCGCAGCACCGGCGGCAACAGCTCCCAAGTCACTGACGGTGCCGCCGCCGTCCTCCTCATGAAGCGCTCAAAGGCCCTCGAACTCAACCAACCCATCGTAGCCAAGTTCGTTGGTGCCACCGTCGCCGGTCTCGCTCCTAGAATCATGGGAATTGGCCCTTCAATCGCTATTCCCAAGCTTTTGTCCAAGTACCAACTTACCCTCGACGACATCGATGTCATCGAGCTCAACGAGGCTTTTGCTTCCATGGCTGTATACTGCCGTGACACCCTCAAGATTGACTGGAGCAAGATGAACATTCGTGGTGGTGCCATTGCCCTCGGACATCCCCTGGGTGCCACTGGTGCGAGACAGATTGTTACCGGACTCAGCGAGTGCAGGAGACAAAAGAAGAAGATTTTGCTCACGAGTATGTGTATCGGTACTGGTATGGGTATGGCTGGTCTCTTTGTCAACGAGCAGCTGTAAACTTTGCATAGTCTCCATCTTAGTTTTTATTCACGAAAGCGTACGAAATCCTTCTTACTTCTGTTTCTTAGAACCCTATATTGCCAGAGCTCTCAATGAGTATAACTGGTGCTCGAAGTAATTCATGACTTTCTATAGTAGACTCTGGTGAATGTGTTTCTGTAGGAGGGATGAAAAGATTGATGGGAGGAATCCGCTGGATATGGATCGAAAGCTTTCAGTGGACAGGGTCAGTGCTAATATCAATTTATAACTTTCCACAGTAACTTTTGATGCCTGCGATTGTATGGGAGAGAAGGAGACATCAAGAGGCACTTCACATTTTTTATTATCACAAATATACTTTGATTTCATTACTTGCTATTACTCTGCTGTTTCTTTCTCGGGCACTGGTAACATCATTCTCTGCTTTGTTCTTTCATTCCTTGTTCTTTACTTCCATCCTCAATTCTGCTGTCACGCAGAACAAACTCCATCACCGTATCCCGTCTCCCCATCTTGGCGGAACAGTGTATGATCGTGCGTAGTAACAAATACACAGAATCTAGCGTTTCATGGGCGAAGGAAGAAGACCAGGAGCCTTCTGGGTCTGCTTTTCGGGGGCAGAGGAGGCTTGCTGGGGCTGGTCAACCGACAGACGAGCGCCGGGTTGCTGAGCAGCAGCTTGTTCAGGGGCAGCTTGCTGAGCACCCACGTTCACGGGGCCGGGTTGCTGAGCAGGCAGCTGCTGAGGACCAGCTTGCTGACCGCCGCTCTGTTGGACGATGGGCTGCTGAAATGCAGGGTGTTGAGTGGTAGGCTGCTGATTACCAGAGAAAGTGCATTGACCGGGCTGCTGAGGCTGTTGCTGAGCATAATGCGGATTCTGGATCAGATCACCCACACCCTTGCGCGTCAAGATTCCCATCAAAGACTGTGCGACAAGCCCATCAAACTCCATAGGTGGGTAGGCAAACATATGACGCATCTGTTGAGTAGTCTCTTGCAACAGGCTTGCACGCATCTGTTCTTGTAACGTGGTCATCACGCGAGTGTTTTGCAGTTGACGGATGTACTCGATCTCCTGCTGGTAGTGGTTGATGACACTAATCTCGCTCATGTTTTTGTGGGTGAGCATGTGGGTGGTCAAGTTGCGTAGGCGTTGGTGGTTGGGAGGACCAGGGGCTTGGCCGATGAAGTTGGGGTGAGAAGCATAGAAGTCTCCGCTGGTTATCTGGACGGGTCTGAATTGGCCTTGTGGGTGGGTGGCAAATGTGGGCTGGCTGGCAACGGGATGGATGCGACCATAGCTCTGGCCTTGCATGTGTCCAGCTTGAGGAATCATCTGCGGACCCATGTTGCCAGGAGGAGGTCCCATACTGCCAATGGGACGCTGTCCGTTGTTCGGCATCTGCTGAGCATAGCCTGCAAATCCCTGGCCATTGGGGTTCATGTGTGCACTGGCAGCCCTTGCGAGTCCTTGCACCTGTTGTTGATACTGTGCTTGATACTGTTGTTGAGCCAGCCTGGACATGTTAGATTGTGACCATTAATATGTGTAAGACAAGAGGACTACTCACGTAGGCATCTGAGGAAGGGGTCCAGTAGGGTTGTTCATGGGAACTGCAGGTGGAGTTTCCATAGAGGTGGCCTGTTTAGCACGCTTGGCTGAAGGCGGACCTGATTTGGGTCCAACTGGTTTGAAAGAAGCCGCATGGCCCTTCATAGGACTCTCCTTAGCTCTGGCAGTNNAGGCTTAGCACGGAGACGAAGAGGTGCTGGCGATGGATCGGTGTCATCGTTGTCCTTTGCAACGAAAGGGTCAGAAGGTGCCTTGGTCTGGGATCTGGTCTTCATCTTGGGCTTTCCGCTCTTGCTCTGGTCTTCTTCNTTCAGAAGACTCATTCTCGTCAGAAGACTTGTTCTCGTTGTCATCAGAGTCTTCTTCTTCTTCATCAGCAGACTCATCTTCGTTGTTGTTAGAGTCTTCACCCTCTTCACTGTCGCTCTCCTCGACCTCCGTGTGTTTGCGCTTAACAGTTGTAGGGTTCACATGGCTAGGTTCCGTCAGTTATTGATGACTTGATGTGCTTTCGGACTCTGATACTCACGGTTTAGGAGGTCGAGGGCTCACTGTGATAGGCAGACCCTGGTCGCGGGCGTGCACATCTCTGACATGGCCACGCAGCTCCCAAGGGTGCAGATATGGCTTCTTAGCATCAGGTCCAGCACAATATCCGCAGAAGATCTCGCATTTGGAGATGACCAGAGTGCCTTCCTTGGGCCAGTTGTGTTCGTGTGTCTCGTCCCTGCAAGGCATGGTGTTGTTGACTTGTTGTAGACAGAGTCAGTTTTGAGAATGAGGAAAGGTGATTGTTGAAGTTGAAAGTCGAAAAGCCCGACGCTCCTCTATATGTGAGAATTGCGGCTGCGCGCAAGTGAATGCCTACACTGTCGACCAGCCTGTTCCGGACTCCGTCGAGAGATTCCTCGACGAGAAACTGCTCCACAAAAGATATGGTATGGACTGGTCGAGTCCAGGCCATAGTAGCGTCTGTATCAAAGAAGCTTTGCGACAGAACTGACAGTATGTTGTACGCAACTGTGCAAACGACTTCAAGGTTGAGTTATGACCCCGAGACAGCACCACTGCCTACCTTGCCGTACCAAGATTTGTACTACTCGACGCAGCTCGAGGGATTTCTTGATCCGGGCCAAGCACGACGGTACGACGACGCTGGCATCAAGCATCACTAACAGCTTCTCTCGGCCATAGCACCTATTGATCCGCGACCTCATGGAATCTCACATGAGCAGGCATAGCGAACGAGGGTACCGACATACCGCAGACGCCACATCTTTCGTCATCCTCGTTCTCTTCTTCCAACCAACTATTGTCTTCCGCTTCAAAAGTCAGATCAACAATGGGGGACTTGAGCTCTTCTACACTCGTCTGTCGGACTGACTCTACCTGTAATGTCGCTTGCTCATCAGCATACGCAGTGAACTCCTTGTGGACGCTTTCCTGGCGCTTGAACATGCTGCTGATATCGCGACCGTTAGCAGTCTTGCTCTCGCCACCTGCTTCTGCCATGTTTGTTACAGCAAGGTTGACCAGACTCAGATTCCATCCAGCTTTTTCTGGATGAAGCTTTCTGAACATCCCTATGAGCGTATCGTGAACAAGCCTTTCTGCGAGTGTGTCAACATTGTCTGTCAAAGAAAGAACATAATTTGGCAATGGCGCAGAATGAGAGATTCGCTTGAAGCTTCGAGAGCGGGTGCCGTCGAGATTGAGTGGCAGACGAGGTCTGGTAGATAGGCGGATGGTCTTGGGATGGGCAAGCCATCTGCTTGGTGATCTGGTTCTTGCTGTCATTGATCTCGCGGACAACTTCGTCTCGAACGGCATATATCCATCTTTGATATCTGTGGCATCCCTTCCAGCAACCTGATCCTGCTCGGGCTCATTATGTCGTGGAGATTCATCGAATGCGTCATCATCTGAAGTGACAAGATCTACACGCATCCGATCTATAAGGCTGCAGCTGAGCTTCTTGAGCTGCTTCAGTACTTCAGGCAAGGTATCGAGGCGGATGTAGCTGTCTTCAATGCTGATCTGACTGGGCACAGCCTTTGCAAAGTTCACTTCCGTATCATCGATGCCATGCAAGAGTGCCCAAATCTTGATGCCGATACCATTAGGGGAGCCAGGTCCAGCCAGTATCTTCTCCAGTGTGTCGGCGGTCATGGTGTCCGCAAGACGGACTTCTTTTACGGTCACCTGCTCTCTGGTCTCTCCATAGACAAGACCTTTCTCAAAGTCTGGTTCATGCTGCAGGATATGTCGCCGTATCTTTTGGGCAAGCTTAGAACCAATTCCAGGAATCTTGCCGATCTCGTAGCCATCGAGAAAAGAGTCAACGTTGCTTACCTGTCCATCTCGACAATCGTATGGAGGTAAAAGCGTCGTTTGACTCTTCGGTTTATGCAGGTTGCCAACCAGCTTAGACAGCAGCTTGGAGGTGGATATGCCAACGGTTGATGTATATCCTGTCTTTCTCTCAAGCTCGTTGCGAAGGTGACATGCCAGATGAGAGCCTAGCCTTAGCCTCAGAGACAAGAGCTCGTCATTCGTGGAGGCATTATCTGGCGATGTGGGACCCGCGTAACAGGTAGCGTCGAAAGCAAATCCTTGGGTAGGATCATCCTTCTGCAGAACAAAGAATGACTGAACTAGATTATGCGGGTTCAACAAAGAGATATTGTACTCAATCATGTCGGTGACATCCAGCCACANCCTGTCAAATATTGAGCCCATCAGCAAGAGTGACAATCACACTGACAGGAGATTCACCTCATCAAATCCCAATCTCTCTGCTCTGTCATTCCAGGAAAAGCCGCGGAGGAACTGATACAGCATCTTGCTGGCATCTCGGAAACGACTGATATCTTCGCCGAGTACGATGGTAACATCTGGACATATCTCTTTGGCATCCTTGATAAGTTGTAGCTTGCGCAAGCCTCTTCTTCGGGCTTCATAGTTACAGGTGANCCTGCGTGATTTCTGGTCAGTGCCTTTTCGTACTCTCTGATACCTTGGCACAAGAATGTGTGTTGGCAGATGTACGATGATTTGTTTTTGCTGTACAGCTAGAGGCTTCTCCTTTAAGGCTGGATTCTCAGCTTCAAAAACGGAAGCATAAAAGCAGTCATCTTAGACGGTGGCGGTGTCAGCGAGCTGCATGTTCCATGTTGTTCTATGCAGGTCGATGTATGTACCTACNNAGTCAAAATGAAGTATCACCCTGTCGTCTTTTCTGGTGGGTAGGACCTGGTGTTTGATAGGCAATACGACACCGTTCTCGCCTTTGCTCATGGCACCGATAAATGGGACATTGAAGATGAAGCTCGATGGATGCTCTCTCAGCCTCCCTGACTCTCTTGAGAAGATTGTGGAGGCAGGAACGTCCGTGCGTCAACTGCGAAGCTCTTCCCCGATGCTCCCCGCTCCCATCCCACCTCGTTGAAACTACTCGGTCATCCGACTCCAGGCTAGAACGGCCTTCGAGAAAAGGTGCAGTCGTCGGATGTCACGGCCTATGCAAAGCCGACAATAGGCACTGCAGCTATATACTGAAAACGGCAGAGGAGACCATCAACCAGGTACATGCGCCAGCCAATCTGCCAGGACGTGCAAGATGCCCGTTTCTTTAAACTCTCGGGGGCACATGCGCATGCGCTAGAATGGCCTAACTTTGGGGGGTTGTCGCACGCCACGCCGTTCGTCGCGCGGGAATATTTGTATGCTGCTGATTCCCTACTTCTCACTACGTTATTCCGCTCGCGTTTCCTGTTTCGGTCTTGACTCTTAGTCCTTGACCCTTCTCTTCTGGTCCTTCTCTAACTCTCTTTACTCCTGTCGTTCTCTTCTTTACTTCGACATCCATGTGCTCTTTGCGCGTCACATTCTGTTGACGTGTCAGTCATGGCCGAGCCGTTCAAGTAGGATTCCCGCAGCCTTAGATATACGTGCTGTTGGTTGACCTTTTCACAGAACAGAACATATCATCATGCAAGATTTCAACGATGTCATTCAAATAGGAGAAAAATCCACAGACAAGATGGATCGGTATGAGACTAATCCCTGCAATGTGTTTGAACTGATGGCTGAGTACATTACAGTCGAATGTCAGCCTCTCTGCGCGAGCGACGAGGCTCGAGTTCAACAGACTCGGAAGCAGATGCAAACCTTGTTCTGGACAGAGCCCGAGTTGCACTTGAAGAAGAGCATTCTATGACATTATGGTCGGCCATGAAAATGTACCCGAAAGCCATAGGTTGGTCTGTACTGGCATCAACATGTATCGTCATGGAAGGCTATGACTTGGTGGTCAGTTCAGAGACATGTTGTTTTCAAGTACAAAGCTAACGTATCCCAGGCNNCATCTTCAGTTTCTTTGCCTTTCCAGCTTTCACNAAAAAGTATGGTCATCTTACCGCAGATGGAACATACCAAGTCACCGCGGCGTGGCAGACAGGTCTCACTAATGGCACCTGTATTGGCGAGATGATTGGCCTCGCATTGACTGGTATCTTCGCAGATAAGTACGGTCAGCGATGGACAATCATCAGCGCTTTGGCTCTTATCGTGAGTACTTGTCGTCTTTTGGTCAAAACTCAGCACAGCTAATCACGGTTCAGNACATGCTTTATCTTTATCACCTTNTTTTCTCCTAATATTCATGTTCTTCTTGTTGGACAGATATTGTGCGGTATACCTTGGTAAGCGGTCGGTGGCTGGAGACCTGCTCGTGCTTTGCTGACGCATATCTTAGGNGGCGTGTTTCAGACCATCACCCCTTCCTACGCTGCTGAGGTCGTGCCAATGGAACTGCGGCCGTACCTCACTTGCTACGTGAACCTTTGTTGGGTATTTCATTTGCATTCCCGATTGGGACCACAGTTCAAGACTGACATGAAATAGGTCATGGGCCAGATCATAGGCTCAGGAGTACTTCGAGCACTCGTTGACCGAACGGATCAATGGGGATACAGAATACCGTATGCATTACAATGGATATGGCCAGTCCCACTCGCTGTGGCCATGTTCCTAGCGCCAGAAAGTCCTTGGTGGCTAGTCCGACAAGGTCGCATCGAGGAAGCGGAAAGATCAGTGAACCGACTGACGAGCAAGCGAGGTCAAGAGACATTCGACAGCCAGAAAGCAGTGGCGGCCATAATACATACCAATGAGATGGAGAAACACGTCACGGCGGGCACATCGTACACGGACTGCTTCAAGGGTATTGAGCTTCGTCGGACGGAAATCTGCTGCATGGTCTGGATGATTCAGATTCTTTGTGGTGGAGGCATAATGGCATTCTCGTCGTACTTTTTCGAACGCGCTGGACTAAACACGGCCTACTCTTTCGACCTTACGATGGCACAATACGGACTGGGCGCTGTGGGAGTATTCATTGCGTGGGCTCTGATACCCTGGGTCGGACGACGAACGCTATTTCTCGTGGGACAGATGATCATGATGGTCCTCCTGCTCATCATTGGATTCATCGGCGTGGGGCCCAAGAGCCAGGCATCGTCTTGGGCAGTTGGGGCGTTGCTTCTGGTCTACGTCTTTGTATACGACATCACAGTCGGACCACTAACCTACTCATTTGTTTCGGAGATCTCGTCGACAAGATTACGGCAGAAGACGATGGTGCTAGCACGGAATGCATACCTGGTGGCAAACATTGTCAACAACGTGCTAACACCGCACATGCTGAACCCAACATCATGGAACTGGGGGCCGAAGACAGGACTGTTTTGGGCAGGAGTGTGTTTCTTGACAATAGTTTGGGCGTACTATCGGCTGCCTGAACCAAAAGGACGTACGTGTGCAGAGTTGGATGATTTGTTCGAGCGCAAGATTCCAGCTCGGCAGTTTGCTAGCACAGTAGCGAATCCGTTCGACAATGGTCGGCGGCATGGATCGGTGGAAGCAGGCTCGAGAAGGCAAGAGTTGCGAAAGGCGGAGGCGAACTGAGGCATTGGCTCTCAGATCCATGTAACGACACGATTATGAATTGGTATATGAAGCGACTAGGCATCTCGGATGGGATAGGATTCGCTTTTGCAAGTGGTATGTTTTGGACGAATCTATGAGACTTTCGCAAGCATGTCCAGATTAGGAAGGGGTTACGTTGGAGATGGACCCTGAAGGGCACGAGGCGATGACGGATGGCTCGACAAGCGGGGTCCAAGTTGACTATGATTTATACCATCGCTCCTTCCTACAAGATGGTTCTCCGGCTATCTGACTCAAAGGTGGCTACGATCATGGCACCTAGTATNCCCCAAGTGCTCGATGTCCGCACGCCGGCGGCGAGACGGCAGCTCGCAAAGACAGGCGTCGATCTGTATGTCGACTGAAGCCTGAACTCGTTTGACAAGCACTAACAACTGCTACACCAGACTNNACGCAATATTCTCTTCTTGTTGTTCCTCGTGCGATACTCACGAGTCGCTTTGATCCATCTCCACGGCTATGGACCCGTCGCCAGCGCGAAGATGGGCTACGCCGCCCTCCGCAAGTCTCTCTACCGCATATTCCTAAGGCTGCCAGGCGTACGCGGCAAAGTCCAAGCCGAGATCAAACAGACATTGGGCGAACTAGAAAAGAAACTCGTGCCCTCTGGTCCGGGCATCACGAGATATACAGCACTGCCTGCATCGGGATGGGGTCCCGAGCAGGTGCGCGCCGAGCTGGAGAAGTTGCATGAGATGGAACACACACGCTGGGAGGATGGCAGGGTCTCGGGCGCCGTATACCATGGCGGTAAAGAGCTCCGGGAGCTTCAGATGGAAGCCTTTGGCAAGTTTGGTGTCGCCAATCCTATCCATCCAGACGTCTTCCCTGGTGTGAGAAAGATGGAGGCCGAGGTAGTGGCAATGGTCTTGGGCATGTTCAACGCGTCTGCAGATGCCGCGGGAGTCACAACCAGTGGAGGCACAGAGTCCATCATCATGGCTGTCCTCAGCGCCAGAGAAAAGGCTCGTATTGAGCGCGGTGTCACCAAGCCAGAGATCATCCTGCCCGAAACAGCACACACTGCCTTCCGCAAGGCAGCCGCCTACTTCAAGATCACCGTCCACTATGTACCTTGTCCGGCACCAACTTACAAAGCCTCTGTCTCGCACGTCTCTCGTCTTCTAAACAGCAACACTATCCTTCTCGTTGGCTCTGCCCCAAACTTNCCCCACGGCATCATCGATGATATTCCTGGCTTGTCTCGCCTTGCTCTTCGCAGAAACATNCCTCTCCATGTCGACTGCTGTCTCGGCAGCTTCCTGGTCCCTTTCCTCGATCGTGCAGGCTACGACTCTGAACCCTTTGACTTCCGTGTCAAAGGTGTAACCTCAATTTCCTGCGACACCCACAAGTATGGCTTTGCTCCCAAAGGAAACAGCACATTGCTTTACCGCTCCGCTGCCTTGCGCAAGTACCAATACTTTATCAGTCCTGACTGGAGTGGAGGCGTCTATGCTTCGCCATCAATGGCTGGCTCGAGACCTGGCGCGCTCATTGCGGGCTGTTGGGCTAGTATGATGAGCGTAGGCGAGCAAGGCTACATTTCCTCTTGTCACAGCATTGTTGGCGCAGCAAAGAAGTTGGCAGAAGGTCTTCGCAGCCGAGACACCTTGCGTAACGACCTCTTCATCCTCGGCAAGCCTTTGGTTTCAGTCGTCGCCTTCTCCTCTGACACTCTTGACATTTACAATATTGCTGATGGTATGAGTGGCAAGGGCTGGCATCTAAATGCTTTGCAATCTCCTGCTGCCATCCATGTTGCTGTTACGTTGCCTATCGTGCCTGTGGTGGAGGACTTGCTTAACGACCTCGAAGCATGTGTCGAAGAGGAAAGAGAAAAACAACGACAAGCTGCTGTGGATGGCAAGAGCAAACCACTCAAGAAGGGAGATGCGGCTGCTCTGTACGGAGTCGCTGGTGCTTTGCCAGACAAGAGTATTGTTGAAGACTTGGCTGCCGGCTTCTTGGATTGTCTTTACAAGGCTTAATGCTGCTTTTCTCTTCGCATGGTTCTTTCTTTACAGCGAGCATGTTTTCGCATTCTCTATTTACCATCAATCAAATTGAAAGAAACGAATTTGCATGACTCATCGACAAAGCATCAAGAACTTCCCTCTCATCCCATTACTTTCTTTCCTCGAACGTGTCAAATCGTATATTTGAAACACTAAATCAGCAAGACTGTTAGTGACCATCAGAGCTATGCTGTCTTGCCATGACCACAGATGTGAAAACTTGTACCAGAACTGGACTTGGGTCGCTCCTTGCATACTCTGTCTTTGGGTATTACATCTTCCTCTTGATCTCAAGACACGAAGAATTTCTCAACATCCAGCAGAAAAGGAGCTATAGACTATCAAAGCAATCATTGACTTGGCGATGTGTAGAACAAAAACCCATTCCACAAAGAGTCTGAATCTGCGTTGTTGGGATATTGAGTTGAGGATTCGCTGGGGGCAAAAGAGGTGGCTTTGGCCAGTTGCTTTTGCATATCGTGAGTAGAAGCGTGTAAGATAACTACATAAGCCGTAATTCGTGGTGAGAACGGAGGCTATAAACCGCCAGATTGTAGTAAACACTGACAGTTCACAAAAGGTGTTGTTACATTGTTTGGATAATCCATGACGTTGGTGGGTTTAAAGCGCGATTTACATTGCAACAAAGACTAAGAGGGGCGCACAAATTGCAAAAGGACCAAGCTAACTATACGAAAAGAAAAATCAAACGCAAGAAACAATCTCATATCAACTCGTGTACCCATAACTGCGTGCATCGAAGCTGATACTCAAGAGCAAGAGTAAAGCCGTGTTCGAAGCTCAGGCCTCAAACCTCATTCATTCTGCGCAACACGCCTCCGACGAAACACTCGATGCTTCTGTCAAACTCACGTCTCTGGTCTGCCATGGGACCGCAGTAAAGTTCTTTCTGTCTGAGATACATGACCTTTTCGTCAGGATCTTGATCATCAGATCGGTGTGTCTGTTGTCAGGTGTCAGTGCTTTGTCGTGGTGTAACATTATGGAGAAAGAGTTCAAGGTGCATATATAGGTTGAGGATTGCTTACCGCCTGTTGCTGTTTCTGCCAGGCTGCTTCAAAGGCTTGCTGGTTTTCCTCGACATCGGGTTCATTGAGGATGGTGGTGACGAATGTAGTGGTTGCTGCATCGTACTGGAGGTGTAATATGTTAGGTATCATGTGAGAAGTGAGAATGTAGTGTCGTGCTTACATCGGCGGTCGATAGGCCAGAGTCTTCAGAAGTTTGTTTGACGGCGGTCAAAAAGCGATCCACCTTTGATAGAACTTGATGTCAGCGTCGATTTTTCCAAAGAGCGAACGTGATCGTAGGTGGGGAAAATGGTCTTGACTCACCTTGTCAAAGTCCATCTTCTGTGCTGAATCAATCTGCATCGCCTCTTCGTACTCTCTACGAGCACGTTTGCTGTCAAACGTTTTCGACACTGTCTCGAGATAACGCTCTGTCGACCATCCATGTCGGGCATCAGCAGGAGCCTCCCAGTCCATGTCCCTAATCGTCCCGCTCTTGAATCTATGGGCTTCCGCCTCCATTTGGTCGCGTGGAGTAATGATGCCATCCCAAACCACAAACGAGTTGGCATACCTAGCAAACATCCATTCTTTGACCTCGCAGTTCTCGGCTGCATAGTATCTGGCACTAGTGAACACGGCAGTGGCGTACCACCAGCACATCGTACTGCGCAGATCGTACTTTGGCGCGCGCTGAGTGATCTGCGCCATAAGTTTTGCCAGTTCGAGAACGGGGAAAGGTCGTTTAGGGAATGTGAGCGACATCAATGGCATAGGCATGTCATCCTGGTTTGACGGGTTCTTTGGGGATGCCCAATCACGGCCTACGATGATTCGGTCGGGAAGCAGGCCTTTTTGTTGTTGTCCTGGCGGTCGGTGAAAACTCTAGTACGAGTTCCTGTGGACGTGTCCTCGACGATGAACTGGACGAACTCGTGGAGAGAGCTGATCGCAGAGCTTTGGCCATGGTCACCGAAACTACTTTGCAGTTCTCGTAGGTATGACTGGAAGAAGACAGTCTGTCATACCAGTCGACCGTGCTGCATTCCTCTTGCTGAGCGGTAAATAAATGCGGAATATCGATGGATGGTTGCTGATATGGGATTGGTGGGGAAGGTCAGGGGCTGCTGGGGTCCTGAAGCGCTCGACGATGAAAGGGATGATAGGAAGAAAGGCCATGCTTGAAGATGTTCGTTGCTAGCCTGATAGTTATCGTTGCTGATTTGATGCGTGGGTGGAAGAGCAGGTAAGGAGGGCTTTATATGTATGTTCACAGCACACAAGACGGTGGACCGTATGGTCTGGTGACGAAGATGAGATATATTCCATCTTCAGCTCGGTATAGCCAAGACCATTCACCCAGAAGACTTTAGTTGTCAGACACTCATCACGCCAGGTTCACACTTACAACGTGAATGCAGTTGCTGGACTTCCAGTTGCGCGCTCCAAATGATGAGCGTAGTGGTGTGTCGTAGCGACAGTCAGTCAGGAGCGGGCCGCTCCATACGGGAATGCCGACGAACTAGTCCGGACAGAGAGGGACGTCTGATCAGTTATAGCTGGATGCTATAGATACTTAAGAACCAAGAGCTGAGTTTCTGCAGGTAGCTACGGCCTTAGCAAGGTCGCTTCCTCGCTTAGAAATTAGCATCGTATTGCGGGGTTGGGAGTTCAGCTGACGACAATACGCGAAACAGCTGGCGCTTTGTATCTGCATCGAAGAGCGGACGAAATGTCTCGCTTGAGGAGAGTGAGGAAGTGCGATTGGAGCCTAAGCCAGCGCTATGATGTGCAGAAGATAGAGAGATGTCTGCGTGCCGCTTCACCTGAATCTGGGCAAGTTGCTGCTTTTCAGAAAGCGATCCGATTGGGAGGTTGCATTTGATGATGTTCCGGACAATGAATGTAGGTAAGGAAAATTCGATTAACGATAATATAGAATGAAAAAGGAATAAGACATGTCAGCTCCGAAGTCTCGAACCTTGCACCCATGAAAATAGAACCCCTGCATAGCAGACGAGCTCAGAGCACAAGGCAAGCGGACAAAGATAGCTACATCCATGTCGCCCGTCGGAAGTGCCAACAGACGACCGGGTTTTTCTCGGGCAGAGAATTGATACGCATTTTAGTTATAGTGAATTAACTTGTGCGCCGTCCTGATAGCTGCCCTTGGTGTGTGGAGTGGGGATGTGTGAAGGAATTGAGAAGTGAGAGAATAAAGGAGATGATACACAAACTGAGAGCTTGCGTTACTATACTGATCAAAGAGAGCCCTTGGAAAAAGCGCTGCTGTGAAGAGTCGCAGCCATAAACGTCAAACGGCCATGTCAAGACGAATACAGAGCTACAGGAAGCTCGGGGTCAGTAATAGAATTGGGCAATGAGATTATGTCCTCAATAATGGATGCTATCGACAGGAGAAAAGAGGATCTGCTGCCCAAAACGCCAGAAGTGGATCGATTCGTCGTCACGCGTGAGACAGCGTTTACTCGTCCAGCTTCATGGGGAAAGTGCCGTTCTCNNTGCATTGTATGATGAGTGATGTGTTCTTGTATGTAGGATTGATCTGAGACTCACCGCGCTGGTCGTCCCATCTTGCGGCCCAGCCACTGGGGCAGAGGGATCTGTAGGCGAGGAAGAANNCTATGTGTGCGTCAGACAGTGTGACGGGTGTTGACAAGGAGAGGTTGTGTACCTGACGGCAAGGCTTGAAGTCCTCACCCTTGGCGAGGATGCACTTGTGGTAGTCGACGTAGTTCTGCCAGCAGTGCTTGGTCTGGTTCTGGTTGGGGAAGCGCGCATCGAAGCCTGGGTGGCGTGTCAATTGAGTGTGTCGAGCAGAAGCTGTGTATGCTCGGCGAAGGGAGGGAGATGTGAACGATCATGGGTGAAGGGTGGAACAGGCGGTGGTGGGGGCGGCGCATGGTATAGGGAACGACGTACCCGCTACAATCAATCACGTCAGTCAGCATTGGAACTCGATGTTCTTGCGGGCGGGCTCATGCGTACCAGTCACGAACTTGAAGGGCATGGTAACTCTGTCCTCATCGTCGGCCATTTTTGCGGTGTTGTGATTAGATGAGAGGGGGATTGAGGGGAGATGGTCTGTAGGAGAGCTGTGGCAGTCGCGGGCAAGCAGAAGTCGTGGTCGTCTTCGGTCGTACCTGACAGTCTTGGCGAGGTTTCGCAGAGTCAAGTGCCTGCCGCCTTGTGATTGGCTGCTCGGCCCCAGCTCCAGTTTGCATCCGCGAGATTGAAGCTCTGCTGACCTCACGCGGTGCTATAATCTGTTCCTTCCACTTCTCGTCGATAGCCCAATTCAGCATGATCTCGAGTCGTGTCTTTGCCTCCGCCTTGCGCGCTCAGGCTCCTGCTCTGCAGGCAGTCAAGGCCCGCCCCGCCGCCCGCATCTTCCAGCAGACCCGCGGCTTCAAGAACACNCCCAAGTTCAGAGAGCCCGTTCCCGTATGTTGATATGCGCATGCCCGTGTCTTGCCAATTCAATGCTGACTCCAATTGTAGAAGGAGGAGCACTCTGGTACGCCACCCTGAACCCAACCTCACGACCACAAGGACACAGCCCTAACGACAATTCACATTGTAGCACACACCATCTCCCAGCGTATCCGTACCCTGAAGAAGATTCCCCCAGAGTTGATCCCCATCGGTACGTCTATTTTGCCTGATCTCTATAGTCCAAAACTAACCATTCTACAGGTATCGTCCTTGCGTAAGTCCATGTTCGATTCGCCGAATACTTCCATCAGTCGTCTAACCCCTTGANNCAGCGTTGCCATCGGCTTTGCCGCCTACTCGCTCTTCCGCAAGCTCTTCACCGACGGTACCCTCCGTCTGTACAGATCCAGAGGCCACAACCAGGCTTCGTCTCCCTCCGACACCAAGCCCTCCCACTAGATTGTCGACAGAAGCAATACATATTTGAAAAACTTCATATTACAGTGTGTACCAGTGCGCCGGCTTGTGTATTCAGTTTTCTTGTAGTTCTCGTCAAACACCATCCCGGCTGGAATATATCCTACCCGAATATCAGAGCATTGATGGTTGATATGCGGCATTTCCTCGTTCCTACAAATCATGGCGTCCCGAAAGCGGGTTTCCACCTTACCTACTATCTTGTCCAAGGATGATGCGATGCTGGAGAAATCACTCGTATGGTGCGGAGCTGTTCGTTGCATTGCGTGGGCATTGCGCGTGTGCTCGCGATCCTTGACCAATGTCTTCTCGACTTTACAGAAATATTCAGAATTGCCTATCGGAAAGTGTGATAGAATATAAGAGGTGGATCGAGGGAGAATAACCTGATGCAAACGGACTACTCTGGCTCTTGAAGCCAATGGGCAGCTGAAAACTCCAAGAGTACAAAACTGCAATGGCTCCAGTACGGCCTCTTATGCGATATAGCAGATTAAAACATTTTGACAAAATTGAAACTGTACACACGCTGTTGTTCTCCCGTCTTCGCCCGTGATGCTGCAAAATGCAGCGCCCAACCTTGGTGACACACTCAAACGCCTCGCTATGATTTGAACAAAAAGCACAAAGACTTTTAGGCTTGTTGGGGACCAGCAACGTCGAGACCCTCCAGGCCTTGCATGGGATCCGCGGGGCCATCGTGACCATCTTCATCTCCTCGTGCAGCCATGCGGTCCTCATCGCTGACTGCATGCTTTGCGAGATATCCTTCNNCTACAGAACCGTCAGTATCTTGTCGCCAAAAGAAGTCAGTCAGAACACTCACTTGCTCCCAGATAGCAGTCTTGCTTCCCAGGCCTTCTCCCTCAGCTTTCTGTTCCTTGGCTAGATTGACCTTGATGACACGTCCAAAAAGTTCGCTTTGGTCCATGTTATCGATTGATTCTTGGGCATCCTGAGGGCTTTCGAATTCGACATATCCAAAGCCGCGATGAGGTTCAGGATTTGATGGTAATTCTGGCTTGGGCAGGGAAATGTTGACAATGGGACCAAAGGGAATGAAGGCGTTGTGCAAAGTATGGCTGTCGACGGCGGAGGTCAGGCCTCCGACGTAGATGGTGGCTTTCGGTCTGGGTGCATCTGACATGGTGTGATCTTGTGTTGGCTATTTTATATGTATGGTCGGAGATGGTGGTTTGGAAAAAGGCTAGTGGAGCGGATCTCTGATGCCAAGGCTTCTGCTGCGATGGGCCCCCAGGTTTTGGGACGGAGCGTGCGGCGGAAGGCCAGCTGGAGGTGTGACGAAGGGCAAGTCGTAGCTCGCGCCCTGTAACGCTGGTCAATAATTATCCCAAATCCGCCCCTTTCTCATATCCCACTCACGGTTCTCTCTTGTTTGCTGTATGCTTGGACTGACCTAAGTGTATTGCTGACAAAGACTCGACAATGGTTCGATTGCGCGAGATTCCTCGCACTGCGGCCTTCGCATGGTCGCCTGGCTCAGCTCCGCCATTGCTCGCTACTGGTACCCGTGCTGGCGCTGTCGACGACGACTTTTCCAACGACACGAACCTGGAGTTGTGGGACTTGCAACTAGACCAGGTCGATGCCTCTCCCGAGCTGTCGCCTGTTGGCACCATCTCCACAGACTCAAGGTGCGTACCCCACAACTCGACACGCTATCTCGCTGACACTATTGTNAGGTTTTACGATATCGCATGGAGCCAACCTACCGCCGATCGATCTCGTGGTATCATCGCTGGTGCTCTCGAGAATGGCTCACTCGACCTGTGGGACGCCGAGAAGCTCCGTTCCAGCCCCTCCGACTCGTTCATGTCTAGAACAACAAAGCACTCTGGAGCAATCAAGACTGTCCAATTCAACCACACAAAGCACGACCTTCTCGCGACGGCAGGCGCCAAGGGAGAGCTGTTTATCTACGACCTGAACAATATTGCCAATCCATTCAGACTGGGCGGAGGTGCCGCAAGAGCTGATGATTACGAGTGTTTGGACTGGAACAAGGGCTCAAAAGTCCCTCACATCCTGGCTACTGGTTCGAGTGGAGGCTTCGTCACCATCTGGGACGTTAGACAAAAGAAGGAGAACTTGACATTGAACAACTTTGGTCGCAAACCTGTCAGCGCTGTTGCCTGGGACCCGGATGTTGCGACCAAGCTCATGACCGCTATCCCCAACGACCAAGATCCTCTGATCCTCATGTGGGACTTGCGTAACTCCAGTGCTCCTGAGCGCGTTCTCCGTGGACACGAGCTCGGTGTTCTCTCTCTGTCATGGTGTCAGCAAGACTCGAGCCTGTTGCTTTCTTGCGGCAAGGACAACCGTACTGTCGCCTGGAACCCTCACACTGGCGAATCATACGGTGACTTCCCTGTCGTCACCAACTGGACCTTCCAGACTCGCTGGAACCCTCACAACCCTGGCCTTCTTGCAACTGCCTCATTCGACGGCAAGATTGCTGTTCAGACCATTCAGAACACAAACTCAAAGGGTGAAGAAAAGACGACCGCTCAGCAGGCTTTGGAGGGTGAGGACTTTTTCAACCAGGTCCAAGACCAACCACAGCACGTCTCTTTCTCCTTGCCCAAGGCTCCCAAGTGGATGGAACGCCCCGCTGGCGTGTCTTTTGGATTTGGTGGAAAGCTCGTCAGACTCGCTACCGACTCGACTTCGAGAAAATCGACTGTCAGCATCGAGACTTTCGCTGTCGACTCAGCCGTTACCGACGCATCCCAGAAGTTCGAAGACTCTCTCAAGAGCGGCGACCTTGCCGGCATCTGCGAGTCCAAGATCTCCGCCGCAACCAACGAGGAAGAGAAGGCCGACTGGCAAGTCATTGAAACACTGAACGCTGGAAAGTCGAGGAAGAAGCTGAGAGAATACCTTGGCTTTGCCGACGAGACTGAGGTGGCACAAAAGACGGCCGACCTCAACGTCAACGGTGATGTTGAGAAGCCCAAGGAAGAGGATGACAGCAACTTCTTTGGCAACGCCAACGCTGATGGAGAAGATGGCGATAACTTCCTGGCCGATCTTGCAGCGACCAAGGGTGCTAAGACCAACCAACCTTTCCACATCTTCAGTGGTGAAGAATCCGACGCAGACAAGAACATCACACGCGCTCTCATGCTGGGCAACTTTGAGTCTGCTCTTGATGTTTGCCTGAAAGATGGTCGTATGTCAGATGCCTTCATGATCGCCATCTGCGGTGGACAGAAGTGCATGGACAAGGTGCAAACTGCCTACCTGAAGCAAAAGGCCAAGGGACCCAACTACCTACGTCTTCTTGCCTCGATCGTTGGCAAGAACCTGTGGGATGTTGTTCACAATGCCGATCTGTCGAACTGGAAGGAGGTTATGGCAACTCTATGTACTTTCGCCGACGAGACCGAATTCTCGGACTTGTGTGAGGCTCTTGGTGACCGTCTTGAAGAGTCGCTGTCAGATGTTACAGACAAGGGCACTTTGAGAAGGGATGCGTCATTCTGTTTCCTTGCCGGCTCAAAACTCGAAAAGGTTGTCACCATCTGGGCTCAGGAACTGCAGGAGAAGGAAAGCGCTGGGTTGGAAGCCGCCGACGGCGAGACCAGCTTCTCTGTTCACGCCAGAACTCTGCAAGACTTCATCGAGAAGGTCACTGTCTTCCGCCAGGTTGTTGGCTTCCAAGATCCTGACCGTCAGGCTACCGATAACTGGAAGCTTGCTCCGCTGTACACCAAATACACCGAGTACGCTGATATTCTGGCTAGTCATGGCCAGTTGCAAGTCGCTGAGAAGTACCTGGATCTGCTGCCTTCCAAGTACCCTGCAGCAGAGGTCGCTCAGCAGAGAGTCAAGCTTGCCAATAGAACAAAGCCTGTGGTTCCTCAAGTCCAGAGACAGCCCGCTGCCGCTGCTCGTGCTGCACCAATGGCACCTTACTCTGCTGCGCCAACCCCAGCACCACTTGCTGCTGGAAACCCATACGCACCAAGTGGGGGCATCATGTCGACGCCTGCTCCTGCTGGTGGTACGAACGCTTATGCTCCTCCAGGCGCTGCTCAGCCTCCTGCTGTGTCCAACCCATACGCACCTCCTACGCAAGCTTATGCTCCTCAGGGATATCAGCCTCCGCAGCCTTCAGCATATGGCCAACCAGGACCTTACGGTGTACCAACTGCTCCCATGGCACCTCCTCGTGGTATGACGCCCAGTGCTGTTCCTCCACCGCCCAAGAAGGGAGAGACGCAACAGTGGAATGACCTTCCGGAAGGCTTCTCCAAGCCGGTCCAGCCTGCGAGAAGAAACACNCCTGGCATGGCCGCTATGTCTTCCCCTTTCCCTAATGCTCCTGTCATGTCACCTCCACCTGCTCCTGGCAGCGCTTACGGTCAACAGCCTGCTGCCGCTTTGCCTCCGCCACCAAAGGCAGGCCAGATGCCTCCTCGAGTCATGTCTCCATTGTCAGGTCCTCAGCAAATCCAGCGTCCCATTTCTGCTGCATCGAACGCCTACACCCCAGCTTCAGTACAGCAGTCGCCCGCCTCGATGATGCCTGCTCCGCCTCAGGCCCCTCCCCTCGGCCGTGGCCCTTCGCCTTACAACCTTCCCCCCTACNNTACAGCGACTGCAACTGGCCCTGCAAGCAATCGTTATGCACCAGCGCCTGGATCGCAACCGACACCCGTAGCCAGCGGCTTGCCACCACCACGTAATGTTGCTCCACCACCTAACCCGTACGGTGCTGCAGCACCCTCACCATACGCACCGGCAGCTTCCGCATATGCACCGAGGGCACCAGCAACACCTTATGGACAACCATCTGCGCAACCGCAGCCGCCCGCTCCTCAAGCCGTTCCACCCCGCCACAAGGGCCGCCTCGTGGTCCTCCTCAGGGCCCTCTCAGAGCCGCACCTCCACCTCAAGCGACACCCCCTCAAGCCACGCCCCTCAGGCTACCCCTCCCCCAGTAGCTGCGCCTCAACAAATGCCTTCGCGACCCACGACCGCACAGTCTCAGCGATCCACACCCGCAGCCGCCAAATATCGTAAGTTCTTGTTTTCCCAGTTCATCCCAATCGGTCATGCTAACACTCAATCCCAGCTCCTGGCGACCGCACCCACATCCCCGGTAACGCCATGCCCGTCTACGAGATTCTATCCGCAGACATGGCACGCGTAAAGTCACGCGCCCCTGCCTCTTTCCTCCAACAAGTCAACGACGCCGAAAAGCGCCTCAACATCCTGTTTGACCACCTCAACAATGAGACTCTGGTCAAGCCAGACACTGTAGCCATGTTGGTCGATATCGCCCAGGCACTGCAAGCCAGAGACTTTGATCGTGCTGGAGCCGTGTTGACGGATATGATGAAGGCCAAGTTGGAGGCTGAGGGTGCTCACTGGATGGTTGGGGTCAAGAGATTGGTGGCTATGAGTAAAGCTACTCCTGTGTGAGAGGATCTGTTGGTGAAGAATGTGGCCCTAGAGCAAGAAAGCAGAGAAGAGGTAGAAGTTTAGCACGTTTTCTTGATCGTTTCCACAGTATTGTTTTTATGAAAGAACGTCCTTTTTCTCAACAATTCTCAAGATGGAGTGTGTTTTGAGAATGTGACTGTGGTGATGGGTTGTAAACACTACCTCCTAAGAAGTAGTCATCAGCTTGTATCGTGCCTTCCCGATTTGCACTCGAGAATTGGCCAGTTCGATTGGGTGATGATATATGTGTGGTTCGCACTTTGCATATCAATCTCTGCAATTTCTTGCGACCCCACGGCAGACGTCCACAGTTCCTTCCCGTTCGTCATCATCGATACCCACACCATTAGCTAATAGTGAGCGTAGAGAAAGGCGAAAATCAAACATTTGAACTTTTCCGTCCACACTTTAAACACACTGTGGAGTTACGAGCATTTGTATCTAGACAAGAAAAGTGATCGTTACGATCACCACAGCCGCAAGACTAGGCAGCCCTCAAGTGTTGAAGCGGAAAAGTGGTGACTTTGTTGGACCAAACAGCATGGACCAAAGATACAGTAATTCTCTCTAGCTACTAGCATCACTAGCAGAAGCGAGTAAGAGCGCGGGAGATTGAGGAATAGTTTCTAGTTGGGTTGCTAAGCATTCTCGACTTCAGTGTTAGCGACGGCGACATTCTCTTCCTCATCTCCCCCAGCGACGGTGACGCTTTCTTCCTCATCTTGCTCGGTGGCGATGAGATAAGCCTCCTCTTCGGGATCCGTCAATTTGGCAGCATACTCTGCCTCGACCTCAGCAGCTTCGGCGTCAGTCTAGAAGCTTTAGGTTTCCTTCCAGTCGTCCGGTCTAGAAGTCTTCAAGTATTCGGAGACTTCGTCGAGGGTAGTGCGTAGACTCTGTCGAACTCTATCGACGCCTGGGTAGCTGCCAGTCAGAATAAAGATACACAAGTGGGCGTATGAGTTCTCGGCGCAGAAGCGAAAGTTCTGGATCTGATGTCAGAAGAATCATGAGTTATGGGATTAGTGCTGCATACCTCTGCTTCGTACCAGTCACCTGGACAGCATGCAAGAAGTGCGTCGTAGCGCACACGCGCATAGTTTAGGACGTTGCCGCGACACACGGTGTTAATGTGCGCAACGCATTCATCGGATTCCTCTGCATTGTAGAGGCTGATAGCTTACTTAGCTCGCGGGAACAAGTCATGATGAAATCGTTATAGGTAGCAAGATTTGAGTGAGCTACGTATTGTCGTCGTGGCACGAATCTGAAGATGGGTTGGGTGCTGTTGTTGTGGTTGCTGGGTAAGTGACGTGAACATGGTGATTCACTGCGTTTGCGCAAACAAACGCCGCCTTCAAGTTTCTCGAGTCGCGCCCCGGAACCTGCATACGACAACGCGAATATTCATCTTCACACGCACTAGTCACTCATCCCCTACAACCGTCACTCTCTTCAACTGTCACATTCCCAACTCCCGTCGTCCTTTCCATTGCATATTCATACGTGCACTCTTTACACGGCATCTCTGCTCATCTGGCACACCCGTAAGTAACCGCAGATCGACCAGGGGCTCTGCTGCGGCTCCGGCTGCGGCTGCTTTCAACAGTTCTTCTAGCAGTTTGTCCTCATCAACTGCGGACCCCTCCAGCGACTACGAGATCGAGCCACAGCCCAAAAAGCGCGGCAAGTGCAGGCAGGGCGGCAGGGCAAGAAGGGGGGCCAGGGCAAGAAGAGTGGCAAGGGAGGTAAGTGCGGCCAGTCCAAGTCTCGTGCATCTCCAGTCGATCCTGATCGACATACATACGTCCGTGCTTGCTGTCAGTCAAATTCATGCAGCATCAGGAGTGTTGCCATCGTGTAGACCATGTTCTTGTCGAAATATCTCCATCCATTGGGTGTCGTCAGCGAACGTCTGATTCCATGGATCGTCGCTGTCGAACCACAACCGACGAGATTCTTGTTGGAACATCTCATCTGTAGGTACAACCCCAGCCTTGATCTTTTCCTGCGCGAATCTGCCAAGGTGAAAGGTCAGAATCTCCCATGCCGTCTCGAATTGCTGGTTATTTTCACCCAGACGCGTATCTGGAGAGGGCGAGGGATCTACTATAACGCTGTTGCTGTTGTTTGGTACATCGATCAGAGCAGCTCTTGAACTAATTTGCGCCAGGAGCTCTGAATGTCCAGGCTTGGTTGCAGAGAAAGGGACTGGTGTTTTTGACTCAGAACCGATCAGGAAGGGAGGCATCGAATTTGTGACTTGGCAAGCGACATGTGGCTCGAAACCATGCGTACCCCTCCAATCCAACATCCTCTTTCCGTCCCGGAAATGCTTGCTCAAGTGATCAGCCCGAGCTTTCCAGTCGTTCATCTCAGCGCTACAGAATCCACAACGTGATTTGATGGGAAGCTCTGGAGGCTTCCACTTCCCAATCGTAGGAATGTTGTCGATCTTGTGGACCAATCTGAGGTGTTGTATGAGGTGATCCTTCCGCCTGAAGCTTCTAGAATCTATGTTTTTGTGTGCACAAGCAGTGGAGTTGTGGCCTTCCAAATGTTCTTTGCTTGGCCGAGGGATCAAGCAGTATGCGCACAGTTGGTCACCCGTGGACGGGCAAGTGACCACCTCTCCTTCAGGAGTGCAAACCCATTGTTCAGGGTTGAGATGCAACGACTTTTCATGTCGACACCAATCGAACTTATTCTTGAAAGTGTCACAGCAAAATGTGCATGGAAACGGTCGGTCATCATTACCAGTTCCCGGCCGGGCTCGAGATTTGGTGACTTTGCTACGAGCATTGTTGCGATGATTTGAGCTCGTAGACTTACGAGATTTAATCGAACGTCCCGATATTATAGAGTCCATGGATCCATTCGAGGTACAACTTTCGAGACTGCTTGTTGAAGCAGGCCTCGATGTTCGACGAGCCGCATAGCCAAAGCCTTGTGGCTCAATACCGGGTGTGCTACCTCTGCTACTGTTTGCAGACCCTACAGTGAGATGCTGATCAAGATCAGACGAAGCTACTGCGTGACTGATGGCATGTATCGATGCCGGTTCATTCTCCGGCGGGCTGTTTTGCCAGCGCTGTAACGGATCCAAAGTTGACCAATCTGTGTGTTGCTGTTTTGGTATTGAGATTGGCACTCCGGAATTCCTCGAGTACAATGACCTGCGTCGTGGGAAGCCTTTTCTAGAACTACTGTCGCGCCTTACAGAGTGTGCAAACCAATTTTGCATCTCTTGGTTGTTTGCAGTCATTGCAGCATTTTCTGATTGAGTTTGGTAAGGAGAACCGTAGCCTGCGGATAATGATTGCCCATAAGCAGGAGTGACCACAGGTGAATCCAAGAACATCCCCTGGCAGTCTTGCATGGTTGGCGAATTGAAGGCCAACATGTCCATGGCATTAGGAAAGTATGGACACGATGTGGCTTCCATGCCATTATTCCACGATCCCACGCCAGTCATAGGCTCGTTGAGAGATGCGTAATTCTCCGGCATCCATGAACAATTCGTTCCATATTGTATGGGTACTTGGGAATTTGACAGGTTTGTCTGATTCTCAAGCTCTTCCGAGGGCAGTCCCGGTTGACTGGTCGTTACGCATCAGTGCAAATTCTCTCGTAACAGGAAGAGAAAGACCAACTGATTCGCCGAGTTGGACGCAGAATGATCCGGTCGTGGCATAGCTGACTCAAAGTCGAAGCAATCCATTGTCGGTTATACACGGTCTATGTGGTTGTTGCAGTCACGATAACATGGCAGACAAGAGAATTGTATGCATGGAAATGTGTTCTAGATGCCGATTGGTGCGGCTGTCCTTTCTGGGAGCCAAGGATGGACGTCGTCGACCGGAGCTTCAGAGTTTGCCGCAAACCGTGCGCGCCGCCACCCGATCAGGCAGTCCCGGTCGCCGACCTCCTTCCTCCTCAAGAGCGATTGCTTCAAGCCTCTCCTCCATGGCAAAGCTGGGGCACTTGACACTCCCGTGTATCTCAATTGTTTTGCTCTCACTTCCTTGAGTTCTTCGATCGATCGACGCGGCATGTTGCCATGGACCCCTTGTCCCCAGTGTCGCTTCCCTTGGCCAGGCTTGATCCTTCGTGACGACCGTGCACACAGGGAGACAACCGCTGCTGCTCTCCAAATTTGCAACACGCGACTGGCAGTTGAGCAAAGTATACCAATTGGGCTCACTGTAATTAGACTATCAAGACGTTGCTCTACCAAAGCCATCTTCATTCGGATCCTGCCTATACTCCGATCTCAACTATGTCGTAGTGGCGGAGCGTATTTTGATCAAAGATCCCGCGAGTTTCTCCCCATAACACTCAACGGCTTCCCCAAAGGCTTGTAAAAACTGCTATCGTCCCTTCTTCCATGATGTCAAAGTTGATTGCAGGTCTTTTCGCATTATTGGATTAAAGCATTCTAATTGCCGATGCCGATTAGCGACACGTGAGGGGTTGGACTGTTCCTTCGCTCGCATGCTATCTTCATCTTCGATGTGCGTGCATGCATACAGCGAACATGCATGATGGCAATTGACAATTGGCAACGTCTGCTGTCAAGCTTCCCTTGTCGAGCCGTCCCCCTTAGCGGTCTCGTTGTAAGCCCACCGGCTTTTGCTATTTTGTGGTAGCAAGTAATCTTATCTCCAACCCAACGACAACAGTTCTGACGCACAATCATATCGCTAATCCATCTCTACTGACTGCCATGCAGGAGGAGTCTCGTAATGGAGATTGAGATCCACAAGACAGGTACAACGCCTGGAAGAGGCGAATTAACCAAACAACGAGTCAATGACAGACTCCATCCTTAGAGAATGGCATATATATACCATCATCCATCTCTGCTTGTAGTCTCATCATCCAACAACAGCAACAGCTTCCTCCAGCAGCATCTTCCAGTCTTTGGCTTAGCCGTCCACTCTTTACAACACTCTTTACTAATACCAACCCGACCACCAACCAACTAATTCACCACCACCACCAAAAATCAAAATGCCTTCCTTCACTGCCATCTCCGCCGCCGCCATCTTGGCCTTCTCTGGCATGGCCTCTGCCATCCCTCAGTACAACTTTGCCAATGGCACCACCGCTTCGCCTGCTGCCTCCGGCCGTCCCGTTACCAGCATGTCTGCTAGTGCTGGCCGCCCCGGTAGCAACTCTACCTCTTCCGCTGTCGCCGGTCGCCCTAGCTCCAACTCCACCGTCCCTACCCTCGACGGCAAGTTCTGCCCTGGCCTCGACCTCTCGCTCTACATCGACAGATCGGGCTTCACCTTCGAGATCGAGTGCGACACTAACCACTTCGGCACAATCATTGACATCCAGGTCAACCTCACCAGACGTGCTGTCCCCTCCAGCCTTGACGACTGCATGAACCTTTGCGATTCCACTGCCGGATGTGTCGGCACTGCATTCGACACCAACGCTCGCTCCTGCACTCTCTACAGCGATGTTCAGGCCGCCTACGCTCAGCAGGGCATCCAGTTCGCCCAGCGCGTCGCCAACGGCAACGGAGCCGGCAATGGCGCTGGTGCTGGTAACGGCCAGGATGCTACCACAATCCCTGCTGGCGGTCTCCTGACTTCGACAATTTACTCGACCAACGTTGTTACAATCCAGTCGTGCGCTCCTACTGTTACCAACTGCCCTCTCAAGAACGGCCAGGGCGCTGTTGTCACTCAGGTTCAGGCCGTCTCTGAGACTGTCTACGTCTGCCCTACCCAGACTGTCATCCCCGCCGCTCCCATTGCCTGCAACAACTGCCCTTACACCACTTCCACCGCCACCGTCTTCTCGGCCACTGGTGGATCTATGGTCCCAGTTTCGACCACTGTCTACCAATGCCCCCAGGCCACCGGAACTGGAGTTTCCACTATCACCACCACAGTCTGCACCGCCTGTGCTGCTAACCCTACTGCCAACATGAACAACGGTAACGGCAACAGCGCTGTCACCTCCACCGTCACTCTCTGCAACGGCGAGAACTGCCCTGCCACCGCCACTGGTGCTTCCACTATGGCCTCGTCCACTTCCATTATGGCCGTGTACACTCCCACCACCTCCCAGATGGCCATGTTCACTGGTGCTGCCTCCAACGTCCAGGCCGGCGCCATGGGCTTCGCCGCCATGTTCGGTGCTGCCGCTCTCGTCCTCTAAGCATCCTGCTTAGCAGTTGACACTTGAGCCTTATCCCAAGGCAAAAACAAAACCTTTTCGTATATCTTTTTTCTTCTCTCTACGTACATCTTGGTGGTGTTTATCTAATTAGCCTTGGTTGGCATTCAAATGGTTCTCATTTAAAGGGTTGGTTCTGTTTCTGGAATTCTTTATGACTTTTCATATACATATAAATGGATGCTGCTGTTTCATTTCAATTATTCTGACCACTGTGAACCGTGTGGAATGTCTGATTTGCAATGACAGTGATGTTTTCCCCCTTGCTTTAAGATCACTGTTGGTCATTACCCTTTTGTGTTGTTGATGATGGATGCGAACAAAACTGTGGTCTGCTGTGCGTTTCTGCAAGGGAATGCAGAGACTGATGTGGAAGGAGCGACTCACGCATATCATCACCTGATCGGGCAATGTTTGAGTGCGAATTGGGAAGGTATACGATCCTTCTTAGTATTCACATCTAATCACCACAGTTGCAAGTGGCAATCAGACCAATTCGCAGTAAGGTCCATGCATCATCTCTGTCTCCCGACTTACATCTTTTTCGCACCATTGACTCCGACACTACTGATCGATGACTGATAAACCCCACTATATCCCTCGCCCTCTCCGTCCATCTGTTCCAAAACAAGCTGTGCCAACTTTGCATCCTTGTACAAGATAATCCCATGCGGGTTCTTGACCTCCATCAACGCACCCATCGCACCCTCATACCCAGCATCCACAACCCCGGCCAACACACTTACACCACTCCTCCACAAGCTAGATCGCGGAAACACGCTCCCCATACAATCTCTAGAGATCTTGACAGTTTCGTTGAAGTCGACCAGATATGCGCCAGGTTGGAGAGTGATGGTATGTGTTTGTGAGCAAANAGGCAAGATGGAGGTTTTGGCGCTGCGACGGTGGGTGTTGTCGAAATCGATGGTGGCTGCAGAGGTCCAACTATATATGCAGCGGAGGGTGAGATCTACTCCGCAAGGTTGTTGTTGATGGGTTGCGTTCAGGAGGTTTCGCACGATTTGGCGATTGACGATGTTAACGCCGCCGATGATCATTGTGTTCTAAGATTTCCGTCGGTTTTGATGTCAATTGTGATGGTGGTAGTTGGTTTTGCACTTCCATGAGCAGCAGGACACGTCGTTTGGATGGTGCATTAGGGGAAGGAACAACTGGTGTGCGTGCAGCATAAGTGCATAAAGTCCCAAATGCACAAACATAAAGTATGCAGGAAGTCTGTGCACAAGGAAGAGATGAATTTTTCGACTCTTGCAAACACCAAAACTTTGACCGAGCTGGTTGCTCAATCCGACAAAAATGATCACGCCAGGGGTCGAACCTGGAATCTCTTGATTCGTAGTCAAGCGCCTTGCCATTGGGCCACGCAACCTATTATATTGAGCACTTAGACTAGATAATAATATACTTATGCATCCGGAGCATTAGCACGACCTATCCATTGACTCGGTTCAAGAGACACAGCTAGATGTGTGTAAAACACAAGTCCGATTAATTTTATTGCTCGAGTTGATCAAACAGCCAACATTCTCGGTAGGTTCTTCTGTGCAATCACACTTTTTCTCCAGTCTTCCCACAGTGTTATGTGTTGTCGTCTATCTGCTCGTTTGTGCTGCTGCTATGTGTGACCCTGGCAAGCAAAGAGCCACGCCAAGAAATACTTTACGCGGGTTGGAGGCAGGCGCGTCTCTCGATTCGTTTCGCGTCATCTCGCTGGAAGTCGTTCTAGCCATCCACATCACCCTTCAACAACCACATCGCAATGGCTCTTCTCGTAGACAAGCACCGCCCACGCTCTTTGGAGACATTGACATATCACCACGATTTGTCTGAACGTCTGCGATCATTGGTGAGTAGCTTCGTACAGCGACGGCGAAATGGCACTGACGTCTTCACANNGGCGCAAAGCGGAGACTTCCCACATCTTCTGATCTACGGACCTTCCGGAGCGGGCAAGAAGACAAGAATCACAGCTACCCTGCGCGCACTCTACGGACCTGGTGTGGAGAAAATAAAGATTGACAGCCGTGTCTTCCAGACAACGAGCAACCGCAAGCTCGAATTCAACATCGTCTCATCCAACTACCATCTCGAGATAACACCTAGTGATGTGGGCAACTATGACCGTGTTGTCGTGCAAGACCTGCTCAAGGAGGTTGCTCAGACGCAGCAAGTCGATGTGGCGGCCAAGCAACGATTCAAAGTTGTCGTCATCAACGAGGCAGACCATCTCACTAGAGACGCCCAGGCTGCTCTGAGAAGAACAATGGAGAAATACAGCCCCAACCTGCGCTTGATCCTTCTGGCCAACAGTACGAGCAATATCATTGCTCCTATTCGAAGTCGTACCTTGCTCGTCAGAGTTGCTGCACCCACCGAAGACGAGATCTGCACAGTGCTGGCTCAGGTCGGAAAGAAGGAGGGCTACACGCGCTGCGAGGGTCTTGAAAAGAGAATCGCTCAAGAGAGCTACCGCAACCTGCGTCGTGCTCTGCTCATGTTCGAGGCTGTCCATGCTCAAAAGTACCGAGCCTATTGAACATGTCACTTTCATCCATGCTGACTCTTCATNAGCGACCAAGTTACCGAAAAGACACTGATCCCACCTCCGGATTGGGAAGCCCTCATTTCTCAAGTTGCCGACGAGATTCTTGCCGAGCGCAGCCCTGCTCGCATCCTGCAGGTCAGAGCCAAGCTCTATGATCTGCTTACCCATTGCATTCCAGCCAGTACAATTTTGAAGACCCTGACTTTCAAGTTGATACCGAAGATTGACGACGCTCTCAAGACTGAGATCATCAAATGGTCAGCTTTCTACGAACATCGTATCCAGATGGGCACAGTAAGTGACGCCTTTGTCCCCACTATCCATCCTCAATTGACATGCGACAGNAAATACATCTTCCATCTGGAAGCNTTTGTTGCCAAGGTCATGCGCATCGTCGAAAGGTAAGTAACCACGACCCTCATCCACTCAAGTCAAGATCTCCGTTGCTAATCTGATTCTCAGCCACCTTATGGGTATGGATTTTGATGACTGAGTTCCGCATCTCCGATCGAGCAAGACCCTCTTCTGCACCTACTCACCAAGAGCGTCTTGCGGCCTTGAGGAAAATTCGACCAGCCACCAAGTCACACCTGCTCCACGATATCTTATAATTGACTCGGCTCTTCGTGCAAGTAATTACAGGCGCCAGCAAAAAGCTGATTCGGCCTTTCTATGGAGCATCGCCTAGAGGGAGGCCCCGATATCGCATTATCCCGATGACGAGTCACCTCATTTTCTACCGGCCGAGGCATGGAGGCGGTCGTAGCTTCTTCCCGTCTAGCTCTCGGCAGACGCATAGAACATGGTTCTTACATAGCTTGACGTTAGCAATGACATTATGACCTTAATTAAGATAGGTGATATGATGTCGAAAGTTCTTCAGATCTCACCCCGGTCGTGTGGAAGCTCTTGTCAGGCTAGGACCTGTATAGCACCGGGTATCCGGATTGCGTATGTACGTTAGTCGATCGATCTTGTCACGAGCATTGTCGGGCTCAAGATCAGAAGCAACAAGATCTGCTCATGACAGGTGAAAGCCCTCGCGTGTCTTATGAAATCGGGAAGGATTTGCGACCCTCGGTTTCACGGGAAGCCTCAAGCAATAGGCAAGCGCCACCGAGCATGGCAGCTTCTGCGTGGAGATGGACAGAAACAAGTCTGCCCTTATCGCGTGCATCTTCTGTCGTCGCGAATCTCCAAGTTTGCGGCTCAGGGTCTCGGTCGCCGAGGAAGGATCTGAGAGCGAGGTGATTTGCATATCACTTGGGACTCTGCATACGAACGTACGTACGAACGCATCAACGTTGAGTTGGGTTAAAGCCGGCCGAAAGCACATGCTGATCTTCCATGCTTCTCGGTTCTTGACTCCCGAAGTTGAAACAGCGATATCTGGGCGCTGGTGTTGATGATAGGGCTGGTTGTTCAACAGACTTCTGCCTCCAGCCTCCAGCCTCGAGGTCGCGAAAGATGGGGTCTACTGCTCTGCCGTGCTTATCATTTTCTGCAACCAATAGGACACTCACGGTACTGACGTCTTCCTCTGCCGCGTGTTGTATGGCTTACGTGAAGTCATGATTGGCAGTACTCGAAGCTCGTAATTTCGCCTAAAAGATCTGATATGCGTTTTGGTGAGTCTTCTCGAATGGCCCTAGCGAAACTCTAGTTGGCGAATGGACTGCATCCTACACGCCTCACAGCTCCACCATCTCTTATCCACATCGCGGCTTTGGTAAGAAGAGCACGGTTCCGTTTGGCATGGGTGATGTTCCGCGAGTTTTGAAGATTCCTTCCGAGATGCTTACCTGTGCTCTGGCGCGTACTTGTAAGGTCGGTTCCCCGGATGATGTGCCCTGGTTCTGCTCATCTATACACAATCAAGACCAGACAGAAATATGATCTTTCCGCTTCGTTGACTACCATCTACAAGGGTCCAAACTAGCATGATCTCTCCGCAAGAGTGCTCGACCTAACTCCAGGTTTCATTAAGCATATTCACAACTCCCGCTGTCATTGTACGAGCTCGGTCCCGGAGAGCGAAGTTCTTACCTAACCAACACCGGAGCCCGCCGACACCCTCTATACAACCACCCAAACATGGGGGCCTTTTCTCTGGAGTTTCAACATGATTTGCAAAAAGAGTCCTGGGCATTATACGCACTGGGTATAGTGGTTATTGCTCTCCGCATGTTCGTCCCCCATACTCACTATGCTTAGACCAATGCTTATTGCTTCTTGTCTAGTTATGCCAGGGCCAGGAAGCTTGGTCTTCGGCATCTGGAATTTGATGACTATCTGATCTTGGTGGCTGCTGTCTTCTATACAATTCTGATATTGACATTAAATCTTACGGCACAAGGCGGTGGTAGCGCCCTTGCTATGCCAGGGGAAGATGTATTTGCGCTCACAGAAAAACAAGTCAAGGACCGGCAGAGAGGAGCCAAGATCGATCTTGTGGCTGAACAGGCCATGCTTAATGTCATCTGGATCTTGAAAGTATGCACTTTGAAGCTATACAGTCGTCTCACGTAAGTGTGCTATAACTCGGGCTTGACTTTTATACTGATCATATCCAGAATGGGCTTGAGACAACAAATAGCAGTCAAGATTCTTGCCATCTACGTTGCTATCGGCTATGTAGCATGTCAACTAGCGTTCTTCCTCGAATGCCGACCATTTACGAGTTACTGGCAGATCGCTCCTTCTCCACCGCTGAATTGCATGGTCCTCTATGACTATGCCATCGTTCAGGCAACCTTTAACATCTCATCAGACATCTTTATGCTTGTTATCCCTTTCCCATTGATCTTGCAAGTCTCCATTGTCTTCAAGCAAAAGCTCGTCCTTTTGGTTAGTACCTTCCAGTTTGGCAACCGAAGAAAAGTCACTGACATGTTCCAANNGTGCGTTTTCTCAATGGGCATCTTTGTCATCATCGCAGCCACCCTCACCAAAGCCGAGTTTTTCCGATCGGTCTATGCAGAGGACTACATGTTCTGGTACACAAGAGAAGCCTCGGTCGCCGTCTATGTCTCAAACATGCCTTGCGTGTGGCCTCTTCTCCGCGAAGCCCTACCGGCTCTTAAGAGCTGGACACCAGGCTTCGTCAGCAGCTCAGCCTACAGACGGCGCGGCGCTAGCACTACAGGCCTCACAGCCCGCACACGCACACGCAACACCCAAAAGAGTAATCTAGGACTTTCCAGACGCTCCATGGATGATTTCCACGCTATCATCGAGCCCACACGACCGTTGGAGGCAAAGACGACGACGAATGTGCACACGAAGGAGATTCAGCACTACAACAACCATATTCGCAGCATGAATCGGGGCAGCAGCAGTGAATCTAGTGTTGATGATTTGCCCATGCATGGAATTATGGCGTCCACGACGATTGAGATGTCGGTTATGGCTTCCGATCGCAAGGACGATGATCGCGATGATGCTTCTCAATCTTCGACTCGTGCGTTTGCTCGTGATCTTGAGCAAGGATTGCCGCATGCGCGTTGAGATATTCGCGATGTTTTCTTTTGCAACTCTCTTTCCATTATTTTCTTAACATAGAGACGGGTCATACAGCAGCTGGGCTATGGCAACAGAACGACCGGTAGGAACAGCCTAGTTCTGGATGGATTAGAGGTTCTTTCCAATTCTCGATATATAGATACCCCTTTCTTTTCTTCTTCATGTACATACTTACTTCCTCCTATAAAGGAAATTGTACAACCAAATCTGTTTCATGAATTCGCTTGTGTCTCTTGCACTTCAGTCTAAGCTATCAAAGAGAGAGGTTGCAAGTGTTCATGAGGAAATACAGTCCAAGAATACTCGATGGGAATGGAAGGAGCAAATGAGGTCTGGACAACCTTGACAGTTCCTTCGCTTGCTGGACGCATGTGATAACTTCATGAAACGGGAAAGTGCGAACAGTTTTTGGCACAACACTTTTGGCATCTCCTAGAAGAATGGTGATAATCGTTATTTCTATGGATTCGATTGTTGACTTTGGTCCTGCTTTTCTAAATATGCTTGAGCATTTCGATTTGGCACGACGCTGCTGCGTTTACACCATCAGTGCTCTTGCATCCGCGCAAGCCGTCCTTGCTATCTTCTTCAACTGCGCCTTGTGTTCCGCCTCACGATACATATCCCAATGATCTAATCCCTCCTTGGCCTCGATACTCAACGTCTCATATCCTTCTTTGATAATCTTTTGCACTTCTCTAGGGCTCAGATTTTTGGATTTGCCCTTTTGGCTTGCAATAAGATCGCTGTAGTGCTTGGACACATGCACCAAGATATTCATTGCAGCTGCCGTTTCGCCTTTTTGTAAGGAGTAGGCATCGCGGAAAGAGAGTAGGGAGGGGCCGAATTCAACGAGTTTGTAGGAAATGTCGTCGTAGCTGGCTGTGTCTGGAAGAAAGGTTTCGCCGTTGGTGAGGGAGAGGGAGAGTAGGCAGGTTAGGGTGTGGATTAGTTCGTCTATGCGGTGGAGAGAGCGTAGGTCATCGGCGTAGATGGTGAGGAAACGGACAAAGGCTAGGAGTGATCGCCAGAGCTCTGGCCAGTGGTNATGCTGTTTTCTCAGAGTCAGCCTATTGCTAGGTATCGTGTTTAATGCATGTTTCGACTTACTCAGGCGTATTCTTGCTTTGCTGAGGTATGTGACGAGGCGCAAGAGAATACCGACGTTCAGCATGTACAGCTCGACATCAAGCTTTTTCCGTAGGTTGTGGTTGATGCTGTCGATCATGACATCGATTATGTTTGCGGCAAGTGTGCGGTCCCCGGCAACCAAAGGCAGCTGCGGCGGTCGTTGACGGCTCAGACGCACTGGAACAGTCGTCTCGCACAACTTCTTCACAACATCCAGATCCTCGACCAGGTTTTGTATCGTGGATAAAGTGAGGTGAGCATACTGCGTCGCCCTTTGCGAGCGATAGGCGTGCTGATACAGGTATGAGCAGAAAGAGAGATATTGAGCTATCGGTGAACTCTGTGTCTTGTCCTCTGTGTATGCTCGAACAAAGTCTGCGCTGAAAGACTTGTTGGCAACCACAAAGTCATAGATTGTGAGTAGTGTTCCTGCTTGTGGTTGCGGCTGTTCAGCAAACTTTGCTTTCATCTCGTCCTCGGTAGGTGCAGGGGTTGCAGGCTTTGCACCTGCAAGAGCTCCAAGACCAATGTAACTCAAGGTGCCTCCGATACTCCAGGCTTCAGGAACATCGTCCTGGATGGCGACGTATTGATCTCTCAGAAACACACAAGTGCTTTCGATTGATTTGCAGATCTGGACAATCGTTTCGCGGTTGACAAAGTCAGCAAATCGGGCATGATAAGGGTTGTAGGTTTCGAACTTGTTGTAGTTCGCCAGGAGTCCCGCTAGAAGAAGTGGATGTGCTGCGTCCAGTGGATCTTCTAGGTCATGGATGAGNNCTATTGCTATTAGTAAAGGTCGCAATGAGTTTATTCTTATACTCACTCTCATCAAGGCAGGAAAGAAGTCTCGTTGTGTAAAGTATGTGAGTAGGCCTGTTTGGAAAGCCCCTGAGGCCACGCAAAGAGCCACTTGTACGGCCTTCTTCTGTATGCGGACTATTGAAGATCAGAGATTATTACCTGATCTTAAGCAATATGCCATACCTGTCTTTCCAGAGCTTATGGTCGTGTCCAGTACCGTCACAAGGTCGTTGAAAACAGTATCGATGTTATCGAGTCCGGCTAGCACTTCAATGATATCTGAGCTGGGATTCGTGTATCTCTTCGAAAACACTTTTGTGAGAAACACTGTCAAGTNTCTGAGTTGTAAGTTGGGGTGAACATGAAAGTCAAGAATATTACATACATCAAGAGCGTTCTCGTCTGAGGGCGATGTCCCGGATTTGGCATACTTGATAGCGTGGGAGACGAACTGTTCGCAATGATGCTGTTACAGGTCAAATTATGGCTCTGAACAAGTATTCCTGGAAATCCTTACCGAGACTTGTAATAGATCTATGGCTTCCAGGTCGTCCAGTATTTGTCCGAAGCGTGCGTTATCTGGCTTTAGGAGAAAGAATTCCCTCCAGAAGCCTTCTGGCTTGTTGTCTTCATCACGATCCTATCTACTTGATTAGCAAGGTCATCAAACATCTTCTCAAGGCCGAACTCATACCCTGATAAATTGACGATAGAGCTGTACGACCTTGGGTTCGAACGTCTCAGGGCGTGATTGTTGTGTCAACGGTGATTGCTCCATACTGGCTCTCGACGAAATTTTGAGACTTTGCCCTTTGCGGAATCATTCAACAAGCCACACGCACAATAGAATATCGTCAAATCAGAACGAAAGAAGAAATTCAGGACAACACTCGTTGACCGAAGAGTTGTTTATTGTAATCTCAAACCGCCTAGCTCGTGCCAAGGCCACGTCAGCACAGCCAGCTTCGTACACCCAAGGCCGACAACCTGTCAATCTCGGTATCAACATTATAAGGCATCGATGAGCGCATCAGGGAACAAGGCAGTGCTGATAGGCGTGAGCGGTGTATCATCGTCGGGAAAGACAACGCTCGCCCGGTTGCTCAGAGATATCGTGCCGAACACATTCATTCTGCACGAAGACGACTTCTACAAGACGGACCAAGAAATACCGGTCAACGAAGATGGAGTACAAGATTGGGACTGCCTCGGATCACTTGACTTGGATGCGCTAGAGCAGGCTCTCGACTTTATCAAAACGCATGGACATCTACCGCCAAATCTAGAGTCCAAGGAGGACAAGAATGCTGTGGGTGAATCTGGAGTCGACAGACAACGGGTGGCAGAACTTAAGGAAGCAGCGCACAAGAGGCTGGAGGCAAAATCCGACGTGCCGGTCTTCATTATTGACGGGTTCCTGCTCTTCTCACAAGAGATGCAACACATCCGAGAACTGTTCGACATAAAACTATTCCTCCGAGCGAATCACAAGACAGTCAAGCAACGGCGAGAAGCCAGAACAGGCTATGTCACGTTGGAAGGGTTCTGGGAGGATCCGCCTGGTTATGTTGACTCTGTGGTTTGGGCAAACTATGCCAAGGATCACGCATTCCTGTTCGAGGATGGAGATGTACAGGGGAAACTGAAGAACAACCTCTGCGAGGAGTTGAAGATCGATACGGCGCCTCTGCAAGTACAAGGCAACATGACGGCATGTGTGGAATGGGCATTTGACAAGATATCGAGTCACTTGTCAAAGAGAACAGCAAGTGAGGACTAGATTTGGAGAGATTTAATAGAGAGGGGAGACGGAGCGGAGATAGACGTTTGACTATCAGCGACGACATAGAAGTTCGCAGACTCAAGGAATAGATGAGAGCTATATAGAAGCTTCTTTGTGTACCTGCGCATGTTTCGGAAGGTCGAGTTCGAACAAAGTGAAGGCAGTTGCCGGATCGGGAACGAGAGAAGTTGTGGCGGGGCCAGCGTCGCGTGGCCAAGGAAGGAAGGCTTCTTCTCTTAGTGACGATTTCTTCCTTTGCGCGACTTGGTCCTTCCCTCTCACTCTTGCCAACCCGCACTTTCTTCAGCTCGTCCTGCTTTGAATCTTCGCGCGCGCAGTCTCGACAACCAAGGCTATCCATACGAACCACTTCTTCCCACGCGATTGAAGGTTGCGACAGCATGGCCGGTCAAGCCGACATCTCGAGCATTCTGGCCGCTCTGGGTACGTGTTTCACCTCCCTCGACTCGAGGATACCTTGACTAACAAACATTGCAGCTCAGCGCCCTGCCTCCAACCCTGCTCAGCCTCAGCAACAGCAAGGCCCTCCTCCTGGTGGCATGCCCCAAGGCTACCCTCAGAACCTCGGTCCCGCCCAGATCCCCACCCCCTCACTCGCCGGCTTCCCTCTACCGCAGCCATCCAGCTCTGGCAGCGTCGACCTGAGTGCAATTCGTCCCGTCAACACCGGTTCCGTCAGCATTGCTGAAGCTATCGCGAAGGCCAAGAGCATCGCTGCTGATCGCGGCATCTCCTACGACAACCGTCCCCAGCAACAAATTCACCAGCAGCCNCCGCGCGGTGACCCTCGCCTCGCTGGCAGACAACCTTATCAACAGTCCAGATCCCGCTCCCGCTCGCCTGCTCGTCGCGACAACTTCCGCGGCAACTTCAACCCCTACCGCGATGAGCGCCGCGACGCAGATCGCAGAGACCGTGGTTACAACAACCGTGACAGGTCCCACTCTCCTGGTCCCCGTGGTGGAAGAGGAAACTTTTCGCCTGGCCCTGGCCCCGGCCCCCGCAACCCTCGCTCTCCTACCTCGCGCGCTGCTCCCGCAGATAGCGATACCATCTCAGTCAAGTCCGCCCTTGTTGGTCTGATTATTGGTCGCAACGGAGAGAACTTGCGACGCGTCGAGTCCGAGAGCGGTGCTCGCGTCCAATTCATCCCAGCCAAGGAGCCCAATGCTGTCAACCGTCAATGCACCATTTCTGGACCACCGCAAGCCCGTGAAATCGCAAAGCAGGAGATTTTCCGTGTTATGGATGAGAACGGTGGCAGCGTGCCTCCAGAGCGCGGTCCCGCTATGGGTCGCCCTCAGCAGCCCATGATGCAACAAAGAGATCAACAGCCTGCTTTGCGCGAGGGTGAAAACAGTGTCCAAATCATGGTTCCCGACAAGACAGTCGGTCTCATCATCGGCCGTGGCGGCGAGACCATTCGTGACTTGCAGGAGCGTAGTGGTTGTCATGTCAACATCGTCAGCGAGAACAAGAGCATCAACGGTATGCGTCCTGTCAACCTTATCGGCTCGCCCGAAGCTGCTCGTATTGCAAAGGAGATGATTCTCGAGATTGTCGAGAGCGATGTCCGNCCCCCTCCCGGTCACCCTGGCCACCAACCTGCTCACCAGGACTCTCGAGGACCTGCACCCTTTGACCCTTACCGTGGAGGTATGGGCAATGACCGTCCTGTAAACGACAAGATTACCGAGGAGATATACGTGCCGTCAGAGGCAGTTGGTATGATCATCGGCAAAGGCGGTGAAACTATCAAGGAAATGCAAGCCACTACTGGATGCAAGATTAACGTTGGCCAACCTGAACAGCCCGACGTTCAGCGCCGCATAGGTTTGGTAGGTAGCCGCTCTGCCATTGACGAGGCAAAGGGCGCCATCTGGGAAAAGGTCGATACTGTGGTAAGTCTCAAGTGCAAGCTGTAAATATGCAGACCGCTAATCATGATTCAGCAACAACGTGATCGCAATGGTGGTGCAAGAGAACAACGTGCTCCTCGTAATGATTATGGTGGTAACAACCAATACTCACAACAGCCTCAGCAGCAAGCTTATGGACAACCCATGGGTGGTGCTGCTCAAGCCATTGCTCAAGTCATGTCCGGCACGCCTCAGCAAGCACCTGCAGCTGACCCTAACGCGGCTGATCCATATGCCCCTTACGGTGGTTACCAAGCTTACTGTGCTATGTGTAAGTCAAAATGAATGTGTATGCTGCAAATATTGTGCTGATTATATTTCCACTATNNAGGGTATGCTGCTCTCGCTCAGAACGGCCAGGGTGGACAAGGTCAACCCCAAATGCCGCCCCAATAGAGCGGCTCATTGCTTTGACACCGTGATCGCGTGACGGTTCTGATCGCTATGCCTGGAACATCACGCCCATGACCATGATCTTGACGACGACAACCCACCACTGCATCTATTGCCTATAGGTCTGCTTGATGCCGTTTTCGATGCTGGTAGACATGCGTGACACGCTGCGCTTCACATGCCTGGTCTTGATGTCGTCTGTCTCTTTCTCCTGGATTTGACCCACCTCCTCATTCCGAGTGCTTGACATAAGCGTGGATCTGTGACAGACTCAGTGGCATTTTTGCGTGCTTTGACGACTTCTCGTTGCTCATGCTTCCTCATTCATCGTGGTTGATCCCCATCGTGGAACAATGATTCTGGATCATTCTGGATCGTGGACTTTTGTCAATTGACCTGCACTCGTACTCGAGTTTGTGCCATGGACATGCATGATGCTCTTATGTCAGCGCCGCTTTGAGCAATAACTCCATTTCATCGTCGAACCTCCTGGACATCATATATCATCGTCTGCCATGATTGACACATATCAGTTCTGGTGACACGGCGTTGACCACTATGCCTATTCATGCATGAAGTCTCTTACATCGATGAATTGTACAATCTGCGTCGGCGTGCATCGCGATCACATCTTGATCTTCTTCGTCATCCTCTTGTCTTTTTGACCATTGCCCTTTTGTTCTGTATTCTAGCAAATCAATGATACCATTCGTGTTCCTCTTCTCTTTTCACCACAATGATGTGTCGCGTGTGATATATAGTGGCCTCGACGTGCTTGTGTTTCTTCCACGGACGACACAAATTACAGGATGCTCGGTCACACGGAAGTATCGTACTTCGAGATTGTGTGGTGTTCTTGACGGAAGTCTTGTGGACTTTGCGAATGGACATCACAGCTTTTGCTTCGAATGGACTGTACGGAGAAAGCTCGATCAGTGCACTTCAATGAAGCACAGAAACTCTCTCCTAGTGCAACACCATTGTATTCTCGGTAAAACAACTGCTGTGAGACTACTGACTACTCGTTGTTGCCCGATACAGAGGTATGTATTGCTAAGACCGGGTCGCACCCACAACAATTATTTTACCTTCATTTTTCTTCCATAATTTCTTATCTTCAGGGTTCAAGGCGCTCGACCCACACCTTCGAAAAACATTCGGGAAGGATTCTGGACTTTCGGAATGTGGCTTTCGCTTGGCGACAAGTCAGGAAGGAGGCTGTTTTAGCTTTGATGACTGGCGACAGTCGGTAATGGAATCTAATCATGCTCGAATTATGTAAATTCGTGATGCTAGAAAGATGGGTGTGGTGTCGAAGACGACAGTTCTGCCTCCAGCCCGAGAGAAGAAGCAGACCTTCTACAGGAAAGAGCCTCCAGAAGCAATTCAGCATCGAGGCTCAAAAGACCTTGTGATCACCGTTACATGCTGCCAAGTGGGCTACTTTTACCGAAGAAAATTCTGCGGCGTTCCTTGGGATGCTTGTCCCATGCTTGACTTGCTTGTCAGCTGTTGTGTCCAACCTCGAAAATGCTCTCGAGAATCTCTCAATCGAAAAGAAGACAGCGCGATGCGACAATTGATATTGTTCTGCAAGCAACATGTTCCTGCTGCACATTTTTCGCTTCTGGTCTTGCGCTCCACTGGAAAGTATGTTCAGGGTTCAAGATCCTTGTACGTAAAGAAATATGGACAAGAGCTTTGACCTGGTGGGCGGCCGCGCGCGCTCGACATGCTTTGCGGCGGCAATTGCTCGCGTGGGAAAAAAGTGGTCGTCTCCGACAGCAAAGGATACAACAGTACAGAAGAACACCACACTGTATATCTGTTCTCAATAGACAATCATACGTGATTGGATGCATGTCATCTTATCTGAGAGGCAAGCAGGCAGGTAGGCTCCTCCCGCCTCGAATAAGCACAAAACAACTCTCTCGCTTCAGACCGACCCGGACCACGCCGTCTTATCAAATCTCGTGTCTAGACACGCACGGAAGATCTTGAACCGGAGCGAAACGAGAGCGTTTTTGTCGCGAAAATTGGGGGCGCGCTTCCACTTATCTAGCCGGCGCCCTGGCACACAATCATTTTCCCCATCGGCGAGCTGCGACACCTCTTACTTATATCCTGTAGGACCTCTCCGACAGTTTGTCAGAGAAATCCCAGCTTTGTAGCCAACCCCAATTTCTTTTACCTGACCGTTCGCCCTCTCATCTCGCCATCTCGCGACTTTGCGGTGAACTGCGCCAGCCTACCCCATACTCTTCGGTGAAGTCCTAAGGCTATACGCACTCCAGAGATGTCGCACGTTCAGGATCTGGAGAAGAACCCCGTGGAGTCCGGTGTTGGCAGTGTCCCTTCATCGGGAGATTACCCGTACGACGATGCTGCTGTCCCCGGGGAGAGCTTTGAGTATGGCGACGGCTACTATGGCAAGTTGCAGCGCCTGGCCGGCAAGTTCAATATTGAGCAGCGTGGTATTGAGCGTGTGCCCGAGAATGAGAGAACCGAGACTGGCATCAAGGCCTTGTTGAACGTCATGACAATGGTGAGAACTTGAGGCATTCGCTGGAACGAGCGAACCTCTTGCTGACCATACCATCCANNGTGGCTCTCAGCAAACATGGTCGTTTCGTCGTTCGCCATTGGTATGCTTGGACCTTCGACGTTCGAGACTGGCTTCGCCGATGGTATCTTGTGTATCCTCTTCTTCAACATCATTGGTATCGTTCCGGTATCATTCTTCTCTGCTCTTGGTCCTAAGTTCGGTCTCCGCCAGGTTGGTAGCACGTGTCATGACGGGTTTTCTGCTCAAAATACTGATTTCGACCTANNGATGGTCCTTTCGCGATTCTGGTTTGGATGGTGGGGCGTGAAGCTCATCGCCATTTTCAACGTAATTGCCTGCATTGGCTGGTCCTCGGTCAACTCGATTGTTGGTGCTCAGCTTCTCAATGCCGTCAACAACGATGTTCCGGGATGGGCTGGTATTCTGGTCATCGCTTTCTGCACCTTTGCTATCACCCTCTTCGGCTACAAGATCGTTCACATCTACGAGTTCTGGTCCTGGATCCCCACCTTTATCGTTTTCTTGATTATTATCGGTGTCTTTGCTCACACTGGCGATTTCTACAACATTCCGTGGGAGACTGGCAAGGCCGAGTTGGGTGCTGTGCTCAGTTTCGGTGCTACCATCTATGGCTTTGCTACTGGTTGGACCTCGTATGCTGCCGACTACACTGTCTACCAAGCCAGCACTCAGAAGCGCTGGAAGGTCTTCGTTTTCACCTTCATTGGCCTGTTCTTCCCTCTTCTGTTTACTCAGATGCTCGGTCTGGCCGTCATGACCGCCACAAGAATTAACAATCAGGATAACATCTACGCTCAGGGCTACGCGCAGTCAAAAACTGGTGGTCTTATCGGTGCTGTCCTGGTTCCTCACACTGGTGGATTCGGCAAGTTCTGTCTTGTCATTCTTGCTCTTTCCATCATCGCCAACAACTGCCCCAACATTTACTCGGTCGGTCTTACCGTCCAAGTCTTCGGCAAGTGGATCCAACGTCTTCCTCGCTTCCTCCTCACTGCCATCGCAACTGGCGCATACATTGCCATAGCCATTCCTGGCTACAGCCACTTCGAGTTGGTGTTGTCGAACTTCATGAACTTCATTGGTTACTGGCTCGCCATCTACACCGGAGTTGCATTCGCCGATCACTTTGTCTTCAAGAGATCTCTGGATGCTTATGTCGTTTCAAATTACGATAAGCCTCAGAACCTCCCCATCGGCATTGCCGCTGTCCTTGCTTTCTGCTTTGGTGTCGCCGGTATGGTTACCGGTATGTCGCAGACATGGTTCGTCGGACCCATTGCCCTTCATGCTGGTGATCCACCCTTCGGTGGTGATGTAGGCAGTGCTCTTGGCTTTGCGTTTGGCTTCGTTTCGTATCTATTCTTGAGACCTCTAGAGCTCAAGCTTATCGGAAGGTAGTGAGCTACCTTTTTGAGAGATTTGCGTTTTTGTTTCGCTGTTTTGTGTCCCATTCGAAAAGAGTTTATGATCGAGTTTTTGGTTTGAGATGATATCCGTGTGCTTCTTTGGTGGAAGCGCTCCTTCTTTGTATATAGCTTGGGAATGATGTGTGTAAACACTACTTTTTATTATAATCTACACTGCTCACGTACAGCTCTCTCGGGATGCTTCCGTTTCATCGGGAGAATTGTGCGTCTTCAAGGCCACCGCGTGACATTGTCCCACAGATCCACTATCGAAACCGCGGACTTCATTTCAGAAGCGCCAAGACCTAATATTATCCCGCAAGACAATATATCCCACTCATCTACCAACAAGCTAGCAACTTTCTTTCACACTCATACACACTCTTCTGTCGCCTGCGCATATCCTCCTAAGCTTCACGCAGTATACAAAAACGTTTCTGCTCTCTAACCTGTGAACTTAAAGGCGGTTAACACTATTTTCGATTCCAACGCTACTTTCAACTCCAGGACTACTTTCAGCCACACGAGGATGGTCAACGATAATTTTCACCCCTTTCCGCGTCTACCTCTTGAACTTCGCGAGGAGATATGGCGCCTCTGCCTGCCGCATCGGGTGATTCAGATGGACGAACCTGACTTCAGGATGGTCTACGATGTCGACGAAGGGGAAGATGTTCCCTGTACGCTCTATTCAACCAGTAGAAGCAATGCTCGCCCGCCGTTACTCACGCGAATCTGCCGTGAGTCGCGCAGAGTTGCCTTTGCTGCAGGAAAATGGGTTTCGAAGCTGGAATGGCGAGGAGCAGGCAGTTTTGACGGGCCGCGCGAAGCTGATTGGAAGACCGGCAACGTTATAGACCGAGGTTTCTGGGAGGATGCTTCCCGCGACTCTACGCATATGATGTGGACCTCAATCTATGACATAGACTTTGGCCCTATGATACCTGGTCACCCTTTGACTACTTTGGCCCAGGAAGCGAAGCGTCTGAATAGATCAGCATCTTTCATGCTAGACGAAATGACTATTGGTATAGGGGAGGGGGAGCCCTTTGACGATCCTATACCTCAGTTGTTTGAAAGAATACCCTTGGACAAAGGCAAGCCGGATGACCTAGCGGCACTGAAGCTACTGCCAGAATGGATGGTAGTTGTGAGAGTGGTCGTTATACACCTCGACCTTAGACGAGCTGCCGACAGCGGTCTGTTTGGGCTGTTGGGGGACGAAATTATACAAGTGGTGGAAGCCACTCTGCCGTTGGTCGAGCAGTTGTATGCGCTGGCCGAGCATTGTGAACGTGGAGCTTCCGCCGTCACCTGTGCTCAGGACTTCACTCGAATGTCTGCAGACGACATGGACGCCATGGTGAAGCGTGTAGCATTCAAAGTTTTCCACGACTCCGAGATAGGCAAGCGTCTGCGGCCAGCAATCATGTTTAGGCTGTGTACACAAATGTGTAATCACATCAACACGCCGAAACAGGAGGAGCAAAATGTCTAGACTAGACATGGTGGGACGAGATGGAGCCCAGGCTGCACAGTGTAGGATGCACAAAATGTGCGTGATACTCTCACGTATAAGGAACTCGACTGGGTGTACAGGCTAGCCACTTCAATATCGCGACATTCAGACTCACGATATCTCTATAACCATGCAATCGTTGTCCTAGCCGATCACTCACATTAGGCTCGATATGGCTTTCTCTCGTGCGTAATTCCTGGATTTTATAGAATAAGTATGTGTTGCGAATTTTCGCAAGGTGTTTATCAGCAATGTTCGCTCTGTAAAGGCAAGCCGGCATTTGACAAAGAACACAGTTAAATAATCACCTATGCACATGGTATTTACTCTAGGTTTACCATATGTGAATATACATAAAGGGCGTGGTTCTGCTATAGTTGACACGCGAATTCGAGGACTTATTCTTTCCCATCATGTGATCGTATAGAGGGTTCATGTACGTCTAAGTTTGTTGTATAGATGTATTGCATAACAAAGGTGCACGACGCTGTTGTGATTGCGAATATTGCCGTCAACAGTTATCGAAACAACCATTTGCTACCTTCCTACGTGCTGAAATTTGTGACATTCATGCTAGAGGACTCGAGTTCAGCAAAAAATGTTGTCATTGAGATGGTGATGGATGCCAACCTATGCGGATTATATACGCAGCGTCGCTAATAATCCGTCCAACGCTCTTCCCGCGAGAGCATACAGCGAAGTTCTCGTCATCAAAAGGCACAATAATCCCCAGACCAGAGATATCTCCAAAAAGAGCGCGGAAATCATCGCATCTCGATGGATGAAGTCCCGTCTTTCGAGACTATCGTGTCTCAGCTGCAACTACCATACAGACGACTGGCAGCGTCTTGACACGCCATGATGGCGGCATTATGGTTCTTGCCTTGGTTTCCCTTTGTGTAAACCACCATTTGTCGAAATCTTCTATCAAGGCAATAACTTTTGGCTTCAAGTCATCGTGATTAGCCAGCGTCTTGTCACTGTCGAATTCCATCCAAGTCCTTCCGGATACACCCTTGAATTCCTTAGTTTCCACTTTCTAAATTTGAATATCAGCTTCCTGCTGCACGAATGACAAGCAAGCGGAGGACCAGACGACATACCCAATCTAAACTCCTTTTTCCTAGCTCCTTGTTGATTGCCTCAATGCGGCCGCCGGCTTGCTCAAATAAGCGAGCTTCTTTGATGTAGTCCATCATGAGTCTCGCGCTTTTGAGCTGTCCGTCAACTTCGTTATCCCCCAATTTTTGACGAGCCGCCTGGATTCGATCTGTGATCGCCCCAAAGACTTTTTCCAGCGAGGGCGACTGGCCTTTCGCAACATCCATATGCGGTAACAGGTTCTCGTGCTTCCAGGCGGTATCGTAGCCAACATCGCGCAGCTGGTCAGCCGCATGCACCGGGTCAGGGGAGAGGTTGTTGCCTATATCAGTTTTGCCCGCGGGCGTGTTACGATGGATGTGCTTCATCAACTCGTCGAATGTGCAGCTGCCATCGGGGCCTGACCCTCTGCAAGCTGTTGCGATTTCAGTGGCCCCGACGCCGTAAGCCATGACGTCCATTTGGTAGGCGTAATAGACGTAGACATTCTGCACAGATTAATTAGTGATCGTGGTCTTCGGTCTTTCATCATTCTTCGACATTCCGACTTGCGACTCTATAAGGGACGAACATCCAGTCAGAGGTCACGGCTACCAGAGTACGGTGGCATTGTAGTGTCATCTGTGCACCTGGCTGTTCCTTTCTCGAAGAGTGTAGGAGGACTTGCCTGGTATGGACCTGCTGTTTTGCTGCAACTGACGCCAGTCAGAAAGCAGCATACGTACAGGAGGAGAGCGAGAGGCTGCATAACGAATGGACGATCCGTACACCGGAGCAATTGACAAGGGTATGAGGAGCGAATCCTCGTGAGCGAAGATGAGGACGACGATTTGTATCAAACACAAAGACGTGCAAAGAGCTCACCGTTCTTAAGGGAGTTCGGGACTCTCTTGCTCCATGAGGCGCTGTGGCCTGATACCTTGGGCGCTGCCTGTGTGTAGTATCGGGTGGAGCATTCTGGTACGCCAGCCTTATAAAACAATCTCGTTCGAATATTAGCGTCCAACATCTCGAGATCACTGTTGAGCCAACATTGACTGGCGCTACAGACTCAACCCACGTCCGACGGGTAGCGTAGTGTAGCGTAGGATTCCACGTCCTTGCAGAAGGATGTTTAATCAAAGACAGTACTGCCAAGCTCGTTGTAAGCAATGTTCAAGCTCATGCTAACCGATGGACGTGGGAGCTGAGTCTGGAGATTGCACTGCCCTTGTGTCTTGGCAGGGTTGGACGTCTCGCTTCGGGCAGGCGGTCCGGGTTTCTGCAGTTAGGCAGACCACCTTCGTTCGAAGATATGAGGTTGATTTTGCCGTACCGAGGTGTATATCGTAAGTAATATTGAAGTGTGCTCATAGCACGGCAGGAAAGAGTACTTGGCAGGGTCTCTCTCTTGGCAAAGGGCGGCACAGTTCTTAGTGTTCATGTATGGATATGAAGTGGATTGTCGTTCTGTGCTTCCAGAGCTTTCGCATCTTCCGCCCTGACTAGACGAGACGTGGATCTTCTAGTTAGGGTTCACCAAGAGCATAGATACAACGGCTGCTCTTCCACAATCCTTCAGAGTCCCGTCTTGCACATCTGTGCCTAGCAGATACTTCGCGTGCTTTTTACACTCTTCAGAATAGTCACAGGGTTTCTTCGGAGTTGATGCATGGCGCACACATCTATGCGTCTGCGTGTCATTGCAGCCAATAGATGGTGTTAACAAGTCAGACTGACATCGACGAAGGAAAGTGAATGACTCGAGTGACGGGAAGATGAGACTACACCCCAGCAACTCATGAATCAGTCGCGCGCCAAGGAGTTTTATTGTCTGCTTGCAAGCGGCCGAGGCTTACTCGCGCACAAGCGACCGACCCAGACCTTTGTACAATCACTTAAATCTATACCAACGCCACATGGAATCCTTCGCAGTGCTTAGCTTGCTATGGCCGATGAACGTGCTGTTGCTCTGGACCGCCAGATTTCCTTGTTCATTTCGTCAACCTCTGAATTCAGCTCTGTGGCGCCGGTGGATAGTATGTTGAGGAACCGCCTTTTTCTGTTATCTACGACTTGAATGTTGTGGTGAGACTAACACTATACTAGCGAGGCAATCATAGGAAAGAGTGGAGTAAGAACTACTAGGAAAGCATGTAACCAAGGGCAGCGCCTCCTTGGACTTACTCATGCGGCGTAGTGAGACTCACCTGGCAACAACACATGCGGCACAGTAAAATGAGAATGTAGATACGGCCGGGAAACGAACATCACCAGGTTCAAACGACCTACATTGCTCCAGGCCCTTGTCGAATCTTCAAGCGACAGCGTGCTATGCGAGATGAGCCTTTCTTCCAGTGTCTCGGGCGCCTTCTTTTGAAATTTCCCTCAGAGGCGTGAACACTGGGATATATATCTACGAATTGGCCCAGATCATAAGTCTTCTCATCACAGAATCCAATCGCCTCCGGTCTGTATCAGTCCTCAGACCGATTGTCCGGGTTTTGTAAGCTTCCCTCTGCTCTTGCATAACACAACTGACTGAATCTAACAGGTTTGCGAGATCGCTTGCCTTTGGAGCTTTTTTCTCTTCCGCTGGGAGATGCACCATCGTCCAACCATCATGAAGTCTTTCATTCTCACCGGCCTCACGGCATGCTCGCTCTTTTCAACAGCCTTAGCAAACGCCTGTCCGAATCCTGTTATCCTCCCTGACAATGCTTTCAAGAATCGGCAACTATACGCCACTCCATACTACGCTGCCAAAGTTGCAGCATCAGTCAAAAACATTGCGGATCCAGACCTTGCCAGAAGGGCTGCAATGATTGGAGATGTTGGAACCTTTATGTGGATGTTTGTATAATTCTTTCTGAATTTGAGAGATGATATACTGATTGTTTGACTTGACAGTGATCAGAAGGCAGTTATCCCGACCATAGATGCCATGATCAAAGGCGTTCCTTGTACGCACATCATCGGTCTTGTTATCTACGATCTTCCAGGTCGCGACTGTGGTGGAGATGCTTCCGGTGGAGAGTATGACACTGGAGAACTTGATCGTTACAAGGCTGAGTACATCGACCGTATGTTATGCAGGCCTCCAGCTCGACAAGAACTTAGCTAACATCCTGGCTTTCTAGCTCTTCGAGAGATCTTTCTCGCGAATCCAAACACTGCTATTGCTCTAGCGATAGAGCCCGATTCTCTCCCTAATGCGATCACATCTTTGATTCACCCAAGATGTGCCGCTTCAGTACAGGAATACAAAGATGGCATCGCCTATGCGCTCAAACAATTCGATCTTCCGAACGTTGTTCAGTACATTGATGCAGGCAACGGAAACTGGTTGGGGTGGGATCCAAATGTTGGTAAGCATTAATCTTCTCTTTGTGTTCATATATCGTCTAGGACTTCGACTTCTAGGTTTTCCCACTAATCTTTCAGCTTGAAATTTTATCGCTGACACTCAACAGCACCTGCTGCCAAGGTCATCGCCGATGTTTGGAAAGCCGCTGGAAAGCCGAAATCATGCAAAGGTATTGTAACAAATGTCTCGAACTGGAACGCATGGTCCATGAATCCAGGAGAATTCGAGAATTTCAAGGATGCACAATACAACAAAGCGCAGGATGAGAAGCGATACATCCACATTCTCGGCGAGCAGCTTGCAGCCAACGGTATGCCAAATCACGCCATTGTTGATACCAGCCGCAATGGGCGCGTGGGGTTGCGCACCTATGGTGGCAACTGGTGCAATGTGAAGGGCGCCGGCTTTGGAATTCGCCCTACTAGCGAGACAGATGATGATCTATGCGATGCTTTTGTCTGGGTCAAGGTTGGTGGAGAGAGTGATGGTGGTAGCGATCCTTCACTCCCTGGATACGATCCAACCTGCGCCAATGCTGATGGTAAGTGCAAACATGCAATGGTCTACATCGTGCTGATGACTAGTGTCTTGATTTACNNAGCCTTCATCCCCTCTCCGCAAGCCGGAGCATGGAATCAAGCCCAATTCGAGCAGCGTAAGTGACCTAGAGCGGATTCTTTCCTTCTCCAGCTTCGTCGACAAGACTCCAGCTTCTGTTCATATGCAAAATTTGACTCACGTTTTTTCACAGTGGTTGAAAATATCATTCCGGATGAGTACACAACGGATGGAAAGTGCCATGGCAACATATTCTGCGGATCGTGGGCTGGGGGTCCCTGCTGTTACAACGGCCAATGTGGAACGATGTGTGATGCATCAGCTGGCTGTACATCGGGTTGTACTGCTCCACCAGCTTCCGATTCTCCTACGACAACACCGGTCGATACTGACGACGACAACGACGACGACGACTTCGGGCCTGATGATTACGTCCCATGCGATTACACCCTGAAGTTCGACAATCTCGACGATCTCAATGCAGCTTCCGATGGGTTGCGGGTAGAGTGCCTTGCAGCTTATACCATGTCAACATTGATCACCATGCTCGATACGGCATACGACAACTACACCTCGGTCAATGACGGCTACGATGAAGAATTCGGGTACTATGTCACATATATCCAGAAGCTCGTACCCACCGTGCTGGACGAGAGCTTTATGTTTGACGTGGCCAGTGCGACCCAGTATGAAAACATCACCCTCCGGGTCCTGGAATGAGTTGTGAGTACTGCACAATCTTAACAGTCGCTGACATGCCCGATACTGACTACATTCACCAACCAGACTTTGACTGTCAAATTGACAAAAAAGGCAGCAAGACTTTCCCATGTACTGATGTCCGTTTGAGTTCGCATTATGATGACATGGCATCTCATAAAACTTTCATGACTCTTAGAGACGAAGATGGATACAATCTAGCCTTGGGTAATGCCGGACTTACGCCTGACTGGGTCGTATTGGGAGACCACGAAGTCACCAAATCCTTTACGGCACCTCATGCTAGCAGGAAATTCCAGTATCAGTTCTCTGGCTACCCCATCGAGAATCCCGACATCTCTGTGCCTAATCCAAAGGACCTGGTCACCAAAGGTCTTGGCAGCATACCAGAGCTTCGACTATCTATGCAAGCGATGTACCTGGACATTCTACTTGGATTGTACGTCGGCGGTACCACCATGGATGCAGCAGAGGCTTATAGTACGCCCGTCTTCATGTTAATGCAAGCAGTTGATAGTATGGCCCAAGCAAAGGCCCTTGGCGCCCAAGAGGAAAAGGAAGAAAAGGAAGAAGAGAAGCGACGCAAGAATTTCATCCTGCTCATCGTCAGCGTGGTCCTTTTGGTATGTGACGCTCTTTCTATTAACCATCCATGACTCCCACTAACTCCTTGTTCTAGTTCGTTCCCGTTGTGGGTGAAGAAGCTGCATTGGCCGCTGGGCTTGCTTCCCTTGCACGCACGATTGCTATCACTGGCGAGCTTGGTAACGCCGCACTTGCCATCTACGATACTGTGCAAGATCCGAAATCCGCCGTTGTCAACGTCCTGGGCATGTTGATGGGTGTTGGTTCGATTGCCAAAGTGGAACGCTCTGGCAAGGGTTTTGGCGACGTCGCCAGGCTAAGGCGTGGGATGAGTTCAGCAGACGTCGCAGGACTTGGGTCTGTCTTCAAGAACAGTGACGATAAGCTGCAAGCTATCATCGGAGTTTGCAGGCGGTAACAAAATAGAGTGTTGGTGTTTTCCATGATCCACAGACCTGGTATGATGACCTTCTGTTCGATCATCCATCTCTGCAACATATGATTTTGCATCGCAACTCAACGTTAAGAGTCGGACCTTACAAGGCTGATAAACACATTCATAGGCGAAACATCTGCGACTACTATGTAGCTATCCACAAAGCTGTTTTGATTTGATCTGATTTTCTCAAGCTATTTATCCCGCAAGGAGTATAAGCTGTCTATCGTGTTAAGCGAAAAAAGCACTGTTTTACGCCTAGTAGCATCTTTCGTTTACGACCCTCGGGAGCTTTGCTAGGCGGGGACGTTATCCATTCGTCCGGTCTTTCGGTCGCAGTGACCGCGAACTACAGACCACATCCCCTCCAATCCCTTTATTGCTTTACACATTGCTCGATCGCATCCAATCCAGAATTCGCACTATGCCAACTTGCGAGATTACACTTAAACCGGAATAACGATGGCAGGCTCTCGTGGCGCCCTCGTAGTCTTTGGCTCTGGTCCTGGCATCGGTCGCAACGTCGCTGCTGTATTCGCAGAACGCGGCTTTCAAAAGATCGTTCTCTTGTCTAGGAACAAAATTCGTCTATCGCAAGATGCCAACTTTGTTCGTGCAGCGAGCGCTGGAGCAAGCGTGGACGTCATTGAGTACGACGGTGTTAACATGGAAAGTGTTCGTGCGGGTCTTGAGAAAGTGGAAAAGACTATGGGCGACGTGCCACTTGAGTGTGTACTGTTCAACCACGCGAGACTGGGACCGAGCAAATTCTTTGATTTCACTGTCGAGGAGCTGGACAATGATCTCCAGGTATCGTTTCGTTGATGAGGTTTTCCCTCCTTGTGACATTGAATTCCTGACACACAACACAGNGTCAGTGTTGTCAGCCTCTACGCTGTCGCGAAGTGGGCGATGCCTAAGCTGCTTGGGACGGCGGAATCGTCTGACATAAAGACGCCATCGCTCATCGTCACCAGTGGTATGTTGGCAAAAGACCCGTTCCCTGCCATGTTCTCTCTTGCGACCTGCAAAGCCGGGCAGCATAGCCTGGTCCACTCACTGCACAAAGAATACGAATCCAAGGGTGTGCATTGTGCTTTGGTTGTCGTGGGTGGAACCGTGGATGAGAAGATGTCTGTCACGAACCCAAGAAATATCGCTGGGGAGATTTTCGAGTTGTTTGGACGACCTCAGGGGAAGGGTCAGTTGGAGCTGGTCTTGATGGATCCGGAATACCAGAAGCATATTCAGAGAAGAGAGCAAGGAGGAAAGTGAGCCGTTCGGAGCTATGTGGAGAGGACTTGGTACCGGATCAGGTGTCATCATTCGAATCGTGTTTTCAGTCAAAGAGTTGGACAGTCTCATGTATCTGGATTCCGCATACCAAATTCTGGCTCGTCAAGGCCGTCAATTTCGAGCCACAGATCCGTCAAACATACACTGCAAGGTTAGAGATGACCAAATAGGCGGAAGCTCCGTAGTCGCTCATAGTTGGAGTGTGAGCGTGCGGACTTCTACGCATATGGAAGCAAAGCGCGGATTTGACATTCTGCAGCTTGATCGGAGCATAGCACGAATATCCGGATCTGCGTGTAGCTTGGCGCAGCACCGGGTTATCCTTGGTGTCAGGAGGAAAACATGATTCCGCAGGATGATCTGGTCGGAGACGTCCCAACGCGAAAGAATTCAGGCTGTACTGGTTTTCCGGTCGAAAGACTGCAAGTCATTGCTCAGACTTGATCAGCTGGCATCATATGGCGCAAAAATCAAGATACGAGATGCCGTGCTGTGATAAGGTGTGTTGTTCGCTTGATGGGATGGAGCAGGGTGATGATATCCGAGTCCTCTTTTCGATGAAAGCGCTCCTCACCTGCTCTATCGTATTGTGATTTGTTGTATTTCCTTTTCTTTTTACCCCTTCAACAATATTATAAGCCATCAACATGCACGATTATGTTCTATAACAGATGTTGCTTCCAAGCTTTCTTTACCTTTGTCCCTTAGCTATGTTAAGGGACATCCGGATCTAGGAAGGGGCCTGGCCGCGCATACACGCGATGCGAGTCACTAATGCCTGTTATCATGACTTTGGCTTGACGAGCGTGCTCAAAGGTATTGGTAAAGCTAGAGGTGCTGCTATGCCCAACAACAATGAGGGATCGATGGTTACAGGGTCAAGAGAAGAGGGCACAAAATATTATGGTATATATAAGGAGATTCGACATATAGTTTATATTTCAGAGCGAGAGTGAGAGGTTGAATGTCTATCATGGACTTTTTCTGCTGTGTCTTTTACAAATGGGCGACAAGAAGTCTGTAGCAGATTGTAGAGGGCCTCGGCTTTTGGTATTTCTAGTTATGCTTCGTGCCCTCGTAGTGGTGAGCACATGATACAGACTCACATGGCAAGAGTAGAGATTGTGCATGGTGCAAGGCAGAGACAGCCAAGAAAAGATTGCGTAGTCTTGTTGGTAGGTCGAGCGGCGGCAAGAGCAATGTCGGACGCGTATTCGTCGGCGTCAAAGGTGCATCGCCAAGGATCAGGTGGCCAAGCGCTTTACAGTCCTTGGGTGCGGCAGTGCACAGTGGTTTCACGCCTCCTTGTCATGTTTTGCAGGAACGTGATGTCTCTGGCTGGTCGCGGAAAGCATGATGCAGCCGTGGTAGAGATGATAGAATAGCAGGACAGGAAGAAAGTGAGAGAAGACTCCAGTTATTGGTATTTCTATATAAGACGTTGTGTTGGAGAGGGATAAAAATAGAGAGAGTAATGACGATCCCGCCGGACTTTACGACGAATACGACGGAGTTTTGAGAGAGAAAACAAGGGTCTCGAGATGTTGGTTGCTAGGCCAAGGGAAAGCCATGGCTCCAAGCATTTGGTAGCGCCTCTTCGGCCGACGAACATGGTGCTCGTATCAACCAGGTCGCTGACATAGACCATCACTCTCGCTCGTTGTTTGATACCATTCATTCGACTCGACCTTCATTTGCAGCTATCCGTGTCGCAACCATTTATCAACTTAAAAACAAAGACGCAGGGCAACAACGCTCCACTGTATAAGACGCCCGCTCCTTGGAATAGGACGCTAGACCGTCCCGCCACCACGCGCGTCCATGGCCACGACTGCCTTCCGCTTTTGTCTACTTTGGGCTCTCTTCGCTGCATTCGTCGTCGCCAGTTCGACCACACGCAANCCCCTGCGTGCCATATCCACAATCCAAAATGCCACCATAGACACACATACCCATCGTGTGACGGCTTTACATCACTTCGACTTGACCTTCGCATTGCGCCCGGATCTGCATGTCAAGCTCTCTCTTGAACCCAATGATGACCTGCTCCCAAACTCTGGCCTGGTCGTCTCGTACTTGAACTCCGACGGAACTATCTCTAGGACTGAGGACCTGGATCGGCTGGCCCATAAGGTCTTCCGAGGAAGTGCCTGGTACCGCCAGGAGAATGTCGACGACGAATGGATAAGATCAGGGTGGGCAAGAATCACAATCGTCAAGGACGGTCTGCAGCCCCTGTTCCAGGGCGCCTTTTCTTTAGATCACGACAACCACCACATCCAACTTGCCCCGCACTTCGCTCACACACGCCATGACCTTGATCCTGATGTTGATACTGCAGACGAAAATGCAATGGTTGTTTACCATGATTCAGATATCCTGCTGGACCAGGACATCGATTATAATATGCAAGAGCTGAGAAGAAGTCTGGACTACGATGCTGGCCTCACCTGCCAGTCAGACAACCTAGACTTCAATAGTCAACCCGACCATCCTGTCTACACCGCTATGCTACGACGATCGGATTCTGTTCTGGGTAGCGAAACTCTGGGAAACTTGTTCGGTAAACGCCAGGTCGATAGCAGTACTTCTGGCAACTCTGCAGGTGTCGATCTCAGTTCCACCATTGGCCAGACGAGAGGTTGTCCCAACACCAGACAAGTTGCCCTTGTTGGCGTCGCCACTGACTGCACATACACTGCTCAGTTCAACTCGACCGAGTCTGTACGCATGAATGTCATTGACCAGATGAATACAGCATCTAGCATATATGAACAAACTTTCAACATTTCGCTTGGTTTGGCCAACTTAACCATTTCAGACTCGAACTGTCCGGGAACGCCCAACTCTGCAAGTGCTTGGAACCAGGCCTGCAGCGATAGCGTCGAGATCCAAGATCGACTCAATCTGTTCAGCGCCTGGAGAGGAAACCAAAAGGACAGCAACAGCCACTGGACATTACTCAGCACTTGCAATACCGGAAGCGCAGTCGGTCTTGCCTGGCTTGGTCAAGCATGCGTTCAGACAGCCTATTCTACAAACAGCAGTACCACTGGCAACGGACAATCTTCTAGCGCTGGCGCCGAAACCGTGACAGGTGCGAACGTCGTCGTTCGAACCCGAGGAGCTTCAGAGTGGCAGATTATCGCCCACGAGACTGGCCACACTTTCGGTGCTGTTCACGACTGTACAGATCAAACCTGCGCACAAGCCTCAACCGTCGGTAGTCAACAGTGCTGTCCTTTGAGTTCTTCTGTCTGCAACGCAGGCGCGAACTATATCATGAATCCTTCGACCAGTTCTGGTGTCAAGACCTTCAGTCCATGCAGTATCGGCAATATCTGCAGTGCTCTAGGTCGCAATAGCGTCAAATCCACCTGTTTGACTGCCAACAGAAACATCAAGACCATCGGTACACAGGAATGTGGCAACGGCATTGTTGAGGAGGGTGAAGACTGTGATTGTGGTGGCGAGTCTGGATGTTCAGGCAATTCATGCTGTGACGCAACAACTTGCAAGTTCAAGAACAATGCCGTCTGCGATGACAGCAATGAAGGTTGCTGCCACAACTGCCAATTCGCCTCCAACGGAACTATTTGTCGCGCTTCGACAGGGTCCTGTGATCCCGCAGAGACTTGCCCTGGAACCTCGGGCACATGCCCTCAAGATGCGAACGCGCCTGATGGTGATAGCTGTGGAAATAACCTCCAGTGTGCCAGCGGCCAATGCACGAGTCGTGATCAGCAGTGCAGAAGCGTCATGGGTGGCTACCAAGGTGTTGGAAACAACACTTCGGCCTGCGACAGCTCAACCTGCCAGATCAAATGCTCGGGTGGTCGTTCCTCTGTATTCGGAAATAATGTCTGCTTCGAGGTGCAACAAAACTTTCTAGACGGCACACCCTGCGGTGGTGGAGGCAGATGCGACAATGTAAGTTCTGAATATGAAACAAGACAAGCAGGAGTAATAACTGACATTTCTACANNGGGACGCTGCAGAGGCACAAACACCGGAGGCGAGATTCGCTCATGGATCGACGATCACAAGGCCATTGTCATCGGTGTGTGCTGTGGCGTAGGCGGCCTTCTCCTCTTCCTCATCTTCGGCTGCTGCACTCGTGCCTGCAAGAGGCGCAGAGTCAAGCCTGCGAAGATGCAATCACCACCACCTGGCTGGGGCACCCAGATGCGTCCTATGCCGCAGAACCCTTCTTACCCGCCGACCCAGCAACATTATGGCCAAGGGTATGGGCAGCAATGGGTACCGCCGCAAGGGCCGCCTCCACCGGCGTACACACCGGGAGCGAGGTATGCATGAATAAATCTTGCTTAAGTTCGTGGTGTTGGTCATGGCTGTTTGGCGTTGAATCAGGGGGTTTTTGTCTTTTCGACATGTTTATATCTAATCTTTTCGGAAATCGCTTGTACATAACTTTCGGAAAGGAAAGATTACGTGTATGATTCCACTTGTTTCTTCTCTTGGTCACTCTTCAATAAGCTGCTGAAAGTATGTGCTGGCAGAACATATGCCGGAGATTTTCTTGATGTGTATATAGCGAGATTTGAATAATCTGATATCCATCTAGATTGACGCTAATGTAACTACTCGTTTAGTCTGACTTGTCTTTGACTGTAAGCGCGAGTCTGCACTTTGTGCATCTGACCACGTCTCGTGAGGCAGGCAATTGCATGCTCCAGTAGAGTAAAAGAGAACCATGACTCTCGCTGAGTTCTACCAGCGTCAGGCTTAAAAGTCAGGTTAGGCCGCGCTGGTAGTAAATCCATAAGGCACTGCCGTGAGACTGTTCCCGATATCCTGGACTTTGGAGGAGGAGGAGGAGGAGGAGGAGGAGGAGGAGGAGGAGGAGGAGGAGGAGGAGAAGCTACAAGACCCCAACGGTGGTATCTTGATGATTGTGAATAGTCTGTGAAGAAGTGGGCCAAAAGGGACGATGGCATGGATCTTTTTTTTTGGGGCGCCGCTGCGGCCTTGGATATCGTTGTAGGGGAAAGTGCGTTCCTCTGCTGAATCTGCGGGTGTGGGATGCAGTTTCCTCAAATGCAGGATACTATCATCTGATGCTGGCCGCACCAATCTAGCAGTTGCTTTTGGAAGACATACTGAAAGCTCCATCCTCAATCCTAGGCATTTGTGGCACGAAACAAACGAATCTCTACACCTTATAGAGACTCATCATCGTCGTCACTCAGAGGAAAATGACCAACACTGACCGGCCCATAAAGCTTTTTCTCCTCGTCATACCTCTTGAGAGTCATTGCCAGCATCTTGAATGCCGCAGCGAGATTTTTAAGCTCCCGCTGCCCTTCCAAGATCCAAGGCTCCTCCACGGCAATCTGATGATTCGATAGCTCGAGTGCGAAACGACAAGTAGAAGCCAATTCTGCGTAGTCTGCTGGATACATGAAGCTCAAGATCTTATACAAAATCTCCAAGGGAAGTGTGAATAGAAGACTTGGTGTTGTTGGCGTCGAGTCCATGTAGAGTTGTTTTGATCGGATGGAGAGCCTTTCTTGCAAGCCGTGGCAAGGGCTTGAGATGGGGTCTGATGGGATGGGAGGTTGTTCTCGCAAGTCGTGGGTTTCATCCTCGACCCTAGGCATCGAGGGAAGCTGATCAAAATCGAAGTCATCATCCTCATCATCCTCGCCATAGTTACCATCGTAACCAACGCACATTCCCTCCCACTCCTCCATATATCGCCTCCCGATCCTGCGCCACTCAGCAAAATCGAACCATGGCATCGATAACAGCACCCCAGCCTCCATATACTCCCTCCAGTCCTTGCTCAAAAAGCAAAGTTTGTCAACCATGGAACCTCCTTCAGCAGACCAGGCTGTTCTATGGCAACCTGATTGTTGCAGAGCCTGAGTGCAAGCCGACAAGTAACAGCCAAACTCGCATAATCTTCTGGATTCATGACGCTTATAATCCTATACACAATTTCCAGAGGCAGCGTGTTTAAAAAGTTAGGGGCCGTGGATGTGTGGCCTGCGTAGATCTTCTCTAGTGAGATCAGAGAAACCCACTTCGGTGGAATGTGAGAATGTTTCGATGGAACAGGAGTCCTGTCTCTCAGATCGTAGCAATAGCTTGAGACAGGGTAGACGAGATTGATTGGGACTGTGTCCAGAGCTGGTCGACGGCCCACGCAATAGCTTCCGGTGGGATATCTCAGTTTTGTGGCAGTCCTGTTGGGCACCAGAGTGTATTCATTGGCGAGTCTCATCACTAAAATTGCTGTCTGATTTAGTCGGGTTTGGTGATCAAGTGATAGAAACAAAAATACTTGGGAGCATAGGCCGAAATGCAGTAGATGCAGGCAACCAGAGCATACTCTTGGCATCTGCTGACTCATTCTGCATGCCTAATCTTAGTTAATCTACCACTCGATCTTTCATCGCATGCAGTTTCGTTACAAGAAAAGAGAAAACAGTGCAGTGCAGAGGTTACCAGCAATGGTGTCGGGTCATTTTTTGAGTGATGTGACATTGTACAAGTTGAGGGGAAAAAGGCAGACTGGTCTATCTCCCAATGGAAATGTGGTTTGTGCATAAAATCATGTCCGCAAGCCCTCGTTACCTCGAAGGACGGAAGAAAACGCTCGATCGGATGAGCAAAGGAAGCCTCTTGAATAACGCCATTGACTCCGCCGCCGTGATGGAACCCTTCTATGACCAGAACCAGAAAAACGCAGTAAAGTGGGCCATTGCCGCTACCAAACCAATCCTCTAGTCGACGGGAGCGTGCTTGAAGAGGAACGAGACGGACTCGCCGTTGTGAGTACGACGGCAGGCTTCGGCGANGCTGTAGTCGTGAGTGTCAGTACATTTGACCTCTTTTGAGTGGAGGTTAGCTTAACTCACAGTAGGCGAGATGTCGATGGTCTCGATGCGGTCGCACAGGGCCTTCTTCTCCTCGTGGGGAACGGTGTTGGTGACAACGAGTTTGGTCAGCTTCGACTTGTTAAGCTGTTCTATAGCGTTGCCAGAGAGGATGCCGTGGGTGACGATGGCGATGGCGCTGCTGGCGCCGTGCTCGATGACCACTTCGGCGGCCTTGCAGAGAGTGCCGCAAGTGTCGGCCATGTCGTCGACGATGATGGCTACCTTGCCGCGAACGTCACCGACCAGAACCATACGAGAGACCTCGTTAGGGCGAGCGCGCTCCTTGTGGATAAGGGCGAAGCCAAGGTCGAGGCCGTCAGCGATCGAAGTAGCTCTCTTGGCACCGCCAGCGTCGGGAGAGACAATGACACAGTCCTGGACCTTGAGGTTGTCGCGGATCCAGCGCAGGGTGCTGGGCTCGGCGTAGAGGTTGTCGACGGGGACGTTGAAGAAGCCCTGAATCTGCGAGGCGTGGAGATCCATGGTGATGACGTGGTTGCAGCCAGCAGTTTGAAGCATGTTAGCCATCAAACGAGCAGTGATGGGGGCGCGAGATTTGTCCTTCTTGTCCTGGCGAGCGTAGGGGAAATTGGGAAGGACGGCGGTGATGCGGCGGGCAGAGGCAGTTTTGCAGGCGTTAATCATGATGAGCAGCTCCATGACACCGTCGTTGATGTCGCCAGGGGCAGTGGACTGCAGAACGAAGANCTAAGCGCGGCAGTCAGTCTTGTGCGTCTTCCTCTCGTTGCGCGTTCGGCGTCTTGATTGTGTCATACCATCCTCGTCACGGACAGACTCGCCGATGCTGATGCTGGACTCATTGTTGGAGTACTGGAGGACCATGATCTTGGCCAGCTCGATTCCCAGNNACTGTTGCACGCATTGTGTCAGTCCTTTGCGCACCGTGTTGGGCGTTTGTGCATGCGGTGAAGGATGGCCGAAAGTTTTTGTTTGCGCAAGCGCGGGGTGATGATGTTCAATGTAGACAGAACAAGGAAGGACCTACCGGCTAGCGACCAGCTCAGCCAGCTGAGGATGGCTGCTGCCAGTCAGGAGCTTAATCGAGTTGGTAGCCATGACCTAGATGGTGTCAACTTGTGGTTTTTTGAAAGGCGCGATGAGCTCTATGCCAATTGGAACCTACAAGCGGAGGAAGAGGAAGAGACATTGCGGAGTTAGGGCTCTGGTTGATGGTGCTTGCGAGGTTTAGCCGAGATCCGAAGGCGGTGATGGCGTGGCAGAAAGTGGGATGGAAAGTCCAAGCGCGGCGTGCTTCAGTAAACGAACTTCGTTTGACATCTCACGGCAGCGTCGAGACAATCTTGTCCTGCTCGACGTCTTGCTCTGGTTCTTCACTACACTAAACGACTTTGTTGAGCTTCATACCGAGCCTATCTTCACATCAAGAGGCAATGATTAAAGAAGAGTATATCTCGGAATATATTTATTCATGCCGTGCATTCATATCGTACAATCTATCAAGACCCTCCTCACGCTAATCTTACACAACCACGCTGTAAACTTTTGTCTAAAACAAGATTCTATCGACTCGGCTCATCGGGTCTGACTCTAGCACCAGTCTCATCAATAGCATTACTGGAGCCCAAACCAAAGCCATAGCCAGGCTTCTTTGTGCGAGCTCTCTTCTCGCCGTACTGCTCGTCAAATTTGCGGATTGCACCCAGTGTCGCCATGTCCTCAGACACAGACGCCGAGATCTCCTGCAGAGCCTTCTCAAAGTGCGAAGGTGCGAGTGTACGACGCTCTGGTAACTTGAATTCTGTGTCACCCTTGGCGCGGGCGGCCTCCAAAGCATTGTTCTCATCACGTACTGCGGCGAGCGCGGCAGCCACACACAGGTTCTTCAGGTCCGAACCGGAGTAAAGAGGTGTGTTCTTGGCAAGATCGGATAGTGAGACAGCTGGGTCGAGGGTCTCGCCCTTCAGGTGAATGTTGAGAATACCTTCACGGTCTTTGGCGAGGGGAAGGTCGACCAACAAACGACGAGGCAGGCGACGCAACACAGCGTCGTCTAGGTCGAAGGGCCGGTTGGTGGCGACCATCATGAAGACGCTGTGGTCATCCATGCCATCCCATCCACGAAGGAATTGGTTGATGATCTCGCGGTGCGTGGTACGATTGTTGGCACCGCCGCGAGAGCCGAAGAGAGCGTCTGCCTCATCGATGAAGACTACACAGGGTGACAACTTCTTAGCCAGCGAAAAGACTGCATTGACCATCTTCTCGCCTTCTCCGACATATTTCTCGTAGACTTGTGCACCGCTGACCTCGAGTACAGTGGCAGAGGACTCCTTGGCAACAGCCTTAGCAAGCAAGGTCTTTCCGGTACCTGGAGGACCGTATAGAAGAAGACCAGGTAAGCGATCGGCCGCGAGTACACCGTAGCTGAATGCTTCCGGGCGAAGCAGTGTTAGTGAAGTCAAAGTCTTGAGCGACTCAATGGTGTTCGGGTCAGCATGCACATCGTTGAATGTTGTTCTGAGGCTCGCAGGGTCAACGACCCCTGACAAGAGACGTGTCTCATGTTTGGAGCATGACTNTTTCAGCTTCTCCATATCCAGTTTGGCAGGAGTGGAGTCTTTTGGCCCAGCAGATTCGCCCTGAGATTCTCCACGCTCACGAGCTTGAGGGATCACAGAGTTGACGGACAGGCTCCTAGCTGGGGGTTCGAGGGCACTGTCAACAGTATTTACCAGCATGGCAGCAAGCGCAATGTGAGAAGTTGCGAGAGAAGGACTGGTGGTATAAAGTGATCGCAAGCTGTCTGCACAAAGGACTATTCTTTGCACTTCGTCTTGGGATAAGGTCCTATCTCCTAGTCTTGAAGTCCCTGGAATATTGAGGTGTGCACGGGTGGGTCCCGAGAAGAAATCTTCAGAGAGAGGCAAACCTAGATGACGAACCATGGTGTGGATATGGCGCATGTTAATCTCGAATAGTCTTTGAAGAGCGGGTTCGGCCACACTACGCTCCAACTTTTGCTGGTTGTGAGAGACGAGCATCAATTGGCTCGCAATGTTTTGAGTCGGAGATGACGCAGAAGGATATCTTAGGTATCGGAAATGAAGCTCGTCGTCGTCTTCGCCAGGAGGCGGAGGGGCCTGATTAGAGTTGGCCGTGGTACCAACGATAACAATTTGTTCACCGTCCTTTCTTCGACGTTGCACAGCATTGACTAGCAAGTTGATGATAGTCTCTCCCTGTGGCGCATTGCGGATATGATCCATATCACGGACATGGATGATGGTCCGTTGCTGTGATAGACTTGATTGTGAGGGGGCAGAGTCTTTCTTGAAAGCCCAATCCATCTTGTGTGCCTGTGTGGCAGAATCAATGCGCTTTGCAAGGAAGTCAGCTAAGAAGCGTTCAAGTCCATCTTTGGTAGGCGGCGAAGAGGTGATTGTGTCTGGGGTGGAGGGGATGGCTTCGTAGAAGAAATCGCGGGCCGCGTCTTGAGCGGGCGAGTCTTTTCTGATCTGAACGCTGTCCATGACAGTATCGAGAAGAGTAGAAAGCTTTAGCTCGGCCCATGGGCTAATGTCGGCGGCGCGAGAGCGAGCTTCTTCTGAAGATTGGTTGTTGCTCTTTGGCATCTCTGCCATAACGACGGCAGCTCCATGTTTGTGAGCTCTGGCAAGAGCCCTGCTCATTTTCTGTGAGTTCTGCTGGAGAAAATCGGCGAGATCGCCCATACTACCACCCATCATGGGAAGGTTGCCTAGGTCAATTTCAGGCATGTCGTGGGCATGTTCAGATTCACCATCATCCTGACCATCGTCTCTGGCGGATTCATCCATGATGTTGATTTGGATGTCATCCCTTCTAGTGGTAGCACCCTTGAAAGTGTCATAAGCCAGAGATGAAATGGAGCCAGGGGCAGGGTCTCCTCGCTCTACGTAATCCTGAGCCAGTTCGGCAATGTCGTTTGCGTCGAGATGAATCAAGTCGGCTTGGACCAGGTCGGCTATTTGCTGCACATAGACATCAAGCTCTTTATGGGCAAAGTCCCTAGTGTTCAAGTCGATGTTTGATTTTGTGTAACGAGCAGCCGACGGGCCAGTCTGAGAGAATGCAGCATTGAGAAGGAGTTGTAGTTGGAGCGACAGGAGAGTACGCGGATCTGGGGTTTGGAGAGCAAAGGGAGCGGACAAGTGATTCGAGACGGCGCGAGCAACATCATCCTGAACAGCATCCTTCTCTTCTAACTGTGAAACAGGCTCTTTGGTTTTCTCCTCCTTGGACTGGGCCGAGGGTGTGAAGAAGTCGTTCGACTGGTCCGATGGATTGACGGTAAAAGGGAGAGTCAGGACAGTGTGGCCTGAGTCGCGATCAACCAGAGTCCAGCAGCGAGATTCCTTGTTGGCCGTAGCGTCTTCGGTAGGAGCATGAAGACGAACGTTGTAACGCAGAAACCAGTCAGGCACTGTGAATGGAGTGACTTCCTTGGGGCGACGTTGTGCTAATCGACCACGACGTGTGGAAGGAGCAGGCTTGGTCGTAGCTTCTGGAATCGCATGTTCGAGGTTGGCGGTTTCCTGATTCGGACTGGGATAGGCTTCAAGTTGACCAGTGATGGAATGGAAGGCGCGACGACGCTGAAAGGGCAAGCGCTGGCCTCGCTGTGAGAGGCGAGTAAGTTGTTTGCGCCATACGTGAGTGCGCATAATTAGTTGATGGGCAGCGGATCCAGACGAGAAGGCGAGTGAATGCTTCAGACATGTGAATGTGCCTTCTTGGCTGACGCTCCACAGTGAGTGTTTGCTGCTTGGCCAAACACGCTCTTTCACGCGCGCATCCAGTCCAGCCATCTACACATTAATCAACTGCTTGCATTCTACCACCGCCACCACCCCCTTCGCCGACCTCTCGACTCGATCACCACCCTCAGCATGGACTACGACTACCGNGGGATGGATGCCGATGACTCGGGTCCGCGCATCAACATCAGTGAGACCACGCCCATCTCGGCCAAGTTTGTCCTGAGCAACACGACCTTGTCGCTAGCCAACAGTATCCGCCGCACCATGCATGCCGAAGTCCCTACCCTCGCCATCGATCTCGTCGAGGTCGAATCAAACACGTCCGTCCTGGCTGACGAGTTCCTGGCCCACCGCCTGGGTCTGATCCCGCTGTCGGCAAAGAACGTCGACGACCTGCTATACACACGCGACTGCGACTGCGATCAGTATTGCGAAAACTGCGCCGTCGTCCTGCGCCTTAGTGCTGTCAACCGCAACTCGGATGAGACTGTCAAGGTCTTTGCCAAGGATCTCTACATCGATGCATCTTTCAGCCAATATCGTCCGCACGCCGATACTGATGGCCCCCAGCGTGGTGGCCCCGTCATCATGGACCCTGATGGCAACGGTCCTCTCATCTGCAAGTTGCGCCGCAACCAAGAACTCAAGCTCCGCTGTATCGCAAAGAAGGGAATCGCAAAGGAACACGCAAAGTGGATGCCGACTGCTGCCATTTCATTCGAGTACGACCCGCACAACGCCCTACGCCACGCAGACTTGTGGTATGAAAGTGACAAGTTAGAGGAGTGGCCACCAAGCAAGAACGCCGAGTGGGAGGAACCGCCGCAAGAGGGCGACGTCTTTGACTACGACAAGGAGCCTGATCGTTTCTACGTCAACATTGAGGGAACTGGTGTTATGCCCCCAGACACTGTCTTCCACACCGCTATCAAAGTTTTACAACAAAAACTCGCCACTGTCATCCAGGAGTTGTCTCCTAATTTACAACAAGTACACCAACAAGATCTTGCCCAACCACCACAGAGCCCGGATATGATGGACATGACTGGTGCTGCCACAGCATACAACAACACAACTGCTTACGGTGCCGGTTCGGTCTACGGAGGTGGTTTCGGCGGCGGCAACACCAGTGCTTGGGGCGGTGGTGCTGGAAATGCTGTTCCGGGCGGCACTACACCTTACGGCGCGACACCTTATGGTCAAAACGGCTGGTAGTCTACGAACACCTCGACACTACCATTCTCTTGCAACATGAAAAAGTCCAGCGGGGATCCATTTCACCATCGGCGGGCGTTAGGGAGCAGGCGAAACAAGGGCGGAGGGTTTCTGAGCCCTTCAGGGGTTTCTATGCATGTTCATTTCTGGGGCACAATACATTGAAGACCGAGCACAAAATTAGATGCAACGAAGAGTTTTTCCACACTGGATGGAAACATACCTAGTCTTTTGAAGCGCTGCGTGAACCCAGGTTAGGACTAACTAGGAAGACAAGACCAAAAACAAGCAGATAAAGGACCATTCTTGGAACTCCATTGATATGCTATCCACAGTGCTGTGCACGCGACAGCTTTCCTTCTCTTCGGCGCTGGATGCGATTGATCACGAGACCTTTCCTTCTCTTCTCCCGTCTTGAACAGTACAGATATAGTACAACAGATATTGAAGCCTCGTTTGCATGGTGCCAGAGGCGACTGGTGGTAGGATGCTGCTTGAGGAGGAGAGGCTTCTGCAGTGTATGTTCGCTACAATATGAACCTTAGCTCGATCAAGCCTGTCATACTATAGTCTTCTTAGCTGACAGCTAACTTGTAATAGCACCTACTTTCCTCTTGCGTGCCACCCTTCCCCTACAACGGTGTAGAGCAATGTGTATAGCTATACATGTTACATGCTTTAGCACACGGGGAGACTCGACTTCTGCTCGCGTAGGGCCACTAGCTCTTGTACACGGTACGGTAGATGGCTGATGGGTATGCTGCAGGCAGTGAACACCCCTGCGCATTTCGTTCCATAGTTAGCAAGGCGCTGTCGAGCGTCGAAGGCAAGATGAGGCAGGTGTCCCTCTCTCACGCTTCTTGATGATACAGTACTATCATGCAGGGGCATTGCAGGCTGTAACTTCATTGCATTGGCTGAGTGCACTCAGGAAGATACCATACAATCAAGGCATGAAGAGACAGGTACTTGTTGTCGATGTAAGCCCCGAACAACGATATAGGGTCGAAAGACAAGAAGCTGGCAACGCTTTGTGGTGTCGTCTTCAAGCACTGGACTTTTCACCCACCATTTGTACCCCCCACACAAGGGTTCATGGAGCTTGACATATGCCACGGTCCCCTAGATATGAGATAGTGACAACGGTAAAGACGGTGAGCGGACTGGAGAAGTTGGCGCTCATGTAAGATGGCCTTGGCGCAGGAGCTGAATAATGGAGGTCGTTCTCTCCGGCAATAAAAAGCCAAAAAGTGAATCCAAAGCCCCTGAGAAATGTACTTGGCGTGGCTGAGATTCATGAATCAACACCGGTGTCGCATGATGGTGCGCCACCAAATGGGAAAAGGTCTTTATGCCACGAGTTGTGTAGATTGACCTGCGACATGGAGAGACGCAGGAGAGTGGCACAAGCTTATGGTATGCAGGTAATGAGCTTAGATGTCCCGGATATCGAGTAATAAAGGTAACACGGGAGGCTGCAGCGTGTGAGGCGGTGAACGNGTAACGCTGCTCGAGCCTCGAGGGTTTGGGTCCGAAAAACGCGTGTGGGACATGCTCGTGGTCCGTGCTACCTATTTAGTCAAGGGGACGGATGGAATGGTCAAGGGAGATGAATGCGTGNNAAAGCAGCAACTCATGATAGATGCANNGACTCTGCAAGAGCAATGATTTGGAGGACCAAGAGTGTACAGAATCAGGCTGGATCAAGACGACGTGGAGGTAGGGTGTAGGTATCAAGAGGACCANGAGTATCGTCAGCAGCATCCAGTTACGCAGTTTCAAAAGCAGTACGCAGCATGGCTTGAGGAAGGCGTGCATGCGATTTTGCAGCCAAACAGTGTTGGACAAGCAGAGCAATTGGATTGTCTAGAAGCTACGATGAGCTTGACGATAGTAAGGATCAGAGATGAAGATGTATGCGGTCTATAAAAGATGTATTGGCGCAGCAGTGGTGGTGGCTAAACGAGAGAGAAATAGAGTTATCCGTCGTCGTAACTGACGGCTGGTTTGGTTTGAGATCCGCCGTGTCTCCTGCAAAGTCCAAACACACTCGACTGCACTGCTCTGTCGACTGCTCCCACAGCTCCCATCGCATGCGTGTGCACGTAACGACGAGCAATCGACACCGGACGAGGTCTTGCACCAGGCCCCGCCGTTGCCCTCTCTGCCCGCTGATATAGCCATTCCACTCGCTGAAACACCCGCCCTGCTGCTGCGAAACACATCCGCTGCCCGTTCGCTGCACCCGTTCGCTCGTCCGCGCCATCGTCACCCACGACCTTACACGCCCGGGGCCCGTTGTATCTCTACTTAGCCGGCGATTGACGGCCGCACCTTCGTCAACACCAGGCTGTCATCTCCTCCGCCATCGCCGCGACCGCGACCGACCAAGATGGATACCGACACCAACTCCAACTACCCAGAGTCCCCCACAGAGGAGGACGAGGTGTTTTTGTGCAAAGGCTGCGGCGAGGTATCCGATTGCAATCATTGCCGTGTGTCTACAGCTCGACTGACTCTCACGCTACGCAGNATTCTAGAACAGGGCGAGCCTTTGAGCTTGGTAAGTCACACACAGCGTCGAGGGGTAGTGCACTTGCTGACAGAGACGTGTATAGCTGGCCACCGATGGCACCTTGGCTGCTTCCGATGCCACTCGTGCGCCACCCTCCTCGACTCGGACGCAAACCTGCTGCTGCTGGGCGATGGCTCTCTCATCTGCAACAACTGCACATACAGCTGCAGCTCCTGCGGCAACAAGATCGAAGACCTCGCCATCTTGACCGGCGACCAAGCCTTCTGCGCTACTTGCTTCAAGTGTCGCAACTGCAAGAGGAAGATCGAAAACCTACGATATGCGCGTACCAGCCAGGGCATCTTCTGCATGAGCTGCCACGAGAGCTTGATGGCCAGACGTCGGAAAAAGGCAAAGGCTTCGAAACAGTTGGCTGCTGCAGGGAGCAACCCCATAGTGCTAGACAAGAGCCTGCCTGCGCTTCCACCAAACGCCGTCTCTCAGAGCGCCCTGCGAGAGCCTTCGCCTTCAGGCTCCTACTCCAGCGACCACCTCAGGGCCAGCCATGACAGGAAGCGGGATACATCGCCCATGTCTTTGTCTGATGATAGCAAGAGAGGCAGCAGCCGTCACTTGTCTCACATGAGTGTCCCCTCGGACCAGACGCCAGACACTCTTACTCTGCCCGCGAGCACATACAAGCAAGAGCGCGCTTCGACCATGTCATCTAACACCATGACTTCCATTTCTGATGCCGACGACGGTTTCCTTCCCATGGCCTACGACCCCAACCCTGCCCCTCCGCCTCTGCCACGTCGTGCAAACCCCGAAACCACGCCGAAGATGTCCGACAACCTCTCTCCTCGAGGTGCCTTCTCCAAATTCAACAAAGACCGACCGTCATCGTCACGATCGGTATCGACCGAGCGCGAGAGCATGCGCAGTCCTGGCGTTGGTCACGCCGACAAGAGCCGTCAACAGGGTCTTCGCAATGTCTCGGGTAGCAGCACACCTGTCACTGCATCAGCCGTCGCTTCGCCCTCGTCTCTTAATAGCCAACAACGTCCTCGTCTGCCACAAGCAAACAGCGCTTCCTTCAATCTGGCNACCCCAGAGCCTTTCAAACTCCAAGACGTGCCCCGCGATCGTAGAGTGTCGCGCAACAGCCCGCTTGTCGGAAAGAACTCTCCCACCTCCTTGGATACCCAGCATCAAGCGAGGCACACTCCAACCGACTCGAACCTATCCCTATCGCCAGCCTCTATAGATACGCCCAGCTCGAGCATCAATCCTTTCGATGACCCCAAGCTCCGCGAAGCTTCGTCTAGCGCCGGCCCACCAGCTGCAAAGCATCCCGCCAGAGGTGATTCCCTGCCACCAACCATCGACAAGACACAATCCTCAAGCGTCACCTCTCCCGAATCTACGCCCGCTCTCAAACAGTCCGATGCTGCTCACGAACGCAAACAGTCTTCAACCTCTGCCCAATTCGTCGATGCCCCAACTCACGCCCGTCCCGAGGCCGAGTCTCACAACACGGGTGATATGGGCATACCGACTGCACCACCCAGAGCTGCCAATCGTCCTTCTGCCCCAAGCAAGTCTGTTGCCAACGACGATTTCATAGCTCCTAGAATTCCTCCTGCACCTCCTGCGACCGAACGCCCTCGTGCCGAGTCTGTCGGCAACACTCAACATGATCACAACCCCGCAGCCTCACCCAAAGGCTGGCGTACACACCTGCCGAAGCATAGTGCTGGGGAAGCATTCTCTATGGAAGAAGAAATGTCCCGAATCTTGAGAGGTGAAGAGCAGAAGAGAAAGGAGAATGAGCATGCCGGCGTCCTTCGTCGTGTTTCGAACGCAGTGAAGCATGGCAGAAGCTTCAGCGACAAATCAATACCCCTTCAAAAGACACCCACCATCAGTTCGGCAGACATCAGCAGCCCTATCCTCATTACCAGCCCGATCTCTTCGCCTGGTCAGATGGACGTCGCATCTTTGAGGTCGCAATTGCGTCGTGCCCAGCAAAAGATTGCAGAGCTGGAAGCCGATAAGCTCGGTCTCGAGGAGAAGATGGACACATCGGCCGATATCAAGCAGGTCAACACTGAACTGCGTGAGAAGCGCTCAACCATGGCATTCCTCGACACTCAGCGTGAGATGGTAGTCCGTGAACTAGAGATTATGACCGAGCACCTGACCAGAGCCAAAGAAAGCAACAAGCCTTTGGACATCAGTCAACTCAAGTCTGAGATTCTACAGGACTTCGCACACTCTTTGCAAAAGTTGAAAGACAATCTTGGCTCTCAGATCGAAGACCTTGTGCACAAGAGAAACGAGCTCACAGACGACATCTCAAACCTAATTCAAGTCAAGGACAAGGGCCTGCAGGAGTTCGAATCTCTGTCTTCGAAGAACCTTCAGCTGGCCGAGTTGAACAATCAGCTCGTCAGCGGTATTCAAGAGATGTACAAGTCCTCAAACGTAAAGAATGTCAACATCGAGCGGTCACCCCTCACTAACGGTCTGGGTATCTACAACGGATCGAACAGAGGCGACATGGCCTCGCTTCATTCCGCATCGTTGCAAGAATCTACCAGTCTGCACGACCTCCTACCACATGCAGCGGATGCAGAACCAGCCACCGTCCTCACAGCGCCACAGGTGGTCAATATCCGCAAAGGACAACCCAAGAAGTTCAACTGGAAGAAGGGCTCATCCGGTCTTGCTAAGAACGTCACCAAAGGCATCAAAGGTGCATTCGCCGGCAACAACGATCGTGGAGTTCCCATCAAGGCCGACGGTACCTACGACATCACCGGTATGCCATACTCGCAGATGCAAGCAGGCCCTGGTGCAGTCATGGGTGATCAACCCCTGCAGAGAGCCGGTGATGCAAAGGGCTTCGGCTTCTTTGGGCAAAAGAACGGTCTCAAGCCAGGGGTCCAGGGTGCTCATGGAAAGAACGGCAGCAGCTCCAACCTACTTGCCGAGAGTCCTTCTGGTGAGTCTTTGACGAATATCTCATTGCCTAATCAATACACTAACGAATCTTTAGTACTGTTCGGATCTGATCTCCGTGAGCGTTGCGACTATGAGAAACGTGTTCTACCCTCGATTGTTACGCACTGCGTCGAAGAGGTTGAGAAGCGTGGTATGGATATGGAAGGCATCTACAGAAAATCTGGCGGCAGCGGTCAGGTCAAACTTATTCAGCAAGGCTTCGAAAGAGACGGCACCTACGACATTGCTGACCCGGATCTTGACATCCATGCTGTCACTAGCGCGCTGAAGCAATACTTCCGCAAGCTACCGAACCCGCTCATCACGTACGAGGCCTATGACCCATTGCTCGAAGCGGCCCAGATCACGGACAAGGAAAAGCAGATTGCCGCCATCAAGGCTGCATTAGAGGCTATGCCACAAGCTCATCACGACGTGTTGGAGTATTTGGTACAGCATCTATGCCGCGTAGTCAAGCAGGAGTCGGAGAATTTGGTAAAACATTTCCTTCCACCAAATCATGGCCTCAAGAACTGACAGATTACANNGATGACACCCCTCAATCTCTCGGTTGTCTTTGCACCCACCATCCTGCGACCTTTGAGCATTGAACGCGAGATGTCGGACATGCAAGCCCAGCGTATGGCAGTGCAGGCGCTGCTTGAACACGCGGATTCCATCTTCGAAAACTAATGAATGATAGCGCTTGTTTTCGATCCGGGTTTCAGAACCAAGTCCTGGTGGTCATGCAAGCCTTGCCGTTTTACAGAACTTCTCTTCTTTCAACACCACTTATTCGCTTTTACCTTTTCCCTAGCAGATGTTTCATGAGCGCCTCTTTATTTGGCGTGGTTTAATGAATGCGGAGTTGAGGCATATACTTTGACGAAATGCGCATACTCAGATTTTGAGAGAGAAATATTGCTGGCAAATCTTTTTTGATAATTAGCTAACGCTGAACCTGCTCAAGTGAACAAGAACAGTCTTTATACTTGCCCCGCCAAGCCCCCCACAGGGCGATCACAAACATGGAACGACCTGACCTCGTATGTCACAGCAATAGGACCATCACGATAAACTGACTTGTCATTAGCACTGACCTCACACGACCACTTGCTGCTTCCACGACTAGCTCGGTCGGGCTCCACTATTATGGTTAGCGAGCGGCATGATTCTATACAGACCGCAGCAGTACCCAACGGGAATGCAAGAAACCCTTACTCTTGGCAGGCTCTACTGTCGGTTTGACCATCGTGCCTTCCAAAAGGTTTGTTGTAAGACTTGGCCTAGAGAAGTCGTTCGACTTATACCCTTACTGACCTCCAAGAATCCCACTTTTCTGCTGATCACCTGTTAGCAACCCACAATGAGGCAGAACCAAGAAACTCTCCGAGACGGCATGAGGGGAAGACTTCTTTGCTACCCATATAAGGAGGAGGCGCTTCGCGTCCTGCTTCGATTTTGGTCACACGAGCATCGAAGAAAGTACGTCGCTCAAGATGTTGCTCTCCAAGGCAATTGCTCTTATGAGCATTGCTGCTCGATCAACATCCGCATTGGAAAGCAACATTGGCTCCACTCTCTCGACAAAATTTATTGAGCGCTCTACCGACTCTGCAACAGCTTATTCGACGAGTTGGCGTGTCAAGGATGCTCCTGCCACAACCGATCCCAGCGAAAACGGTGATGGCTGGACTGTTGTCTCTGAATCATAACCCACCTCGACAAAGACCCATGAAACGACCCCAGTCAACGGAACCAACCCCAAGCCACCTATGTTCGTCCAAACAACGCCATGGTTGCTCATAGGATGGCTACCATTGCTGGTGTGGAGTGGGGTAGATTCCCTACCAAGACAGACAACGAAACCGAGGTGAGTTTGTTCTCAAGAACGCATCGTGTCGTATCGAATTTTCCTCCTTGAATACCGGCGAAGTCCATGTACTCTTCAGGCCCCATGCTAACAGTGTCTTCCTTTCAGGCTTGTGCCAACAGTACCACTGTCGACAATGGTACAGAGCATATCAGATACGACAACTCGACCGTCAACTGCACCGCCTTGATGTTTGGCGACAGATGGCAACGATGGGAGTGTAGCCGAGCCTGCAGAACCGCACTCGGAGCTGCAGTACCTGCAACAATTCTATCAGTCGTGGGCCCAGATCTGGCCAACTTGGAAGGAGTCCAGCGCGCCATCAGAGCCACCCGGGAGCTGCTGAGTCGACGTGTCAGTTTACTGCGTCTGGGAAGATTCTTCGGGTTCTTGCGGCAGGACAGAGAATTTCTTGGTGAAATCTTTGAAGAACAGCCAACCCTGATGGAAAACTACCTCGCCGACCTAGCATTGCATTTTCGGGACGAGACCGAGAGAATGGCTCTCGATCTGCGTCTTGACTATGCGGCTGAGGATCGTCTCGTAGACACCTACCATGAAATCCTGGTCCAAGCCGACGTCACGTTTTTGGTGAAAGTGAATTTGACGAGAACGGTCGGATATGACTCCTGTCACCGGAACGTTTTGATACCTTGGAAGAGTACGAAGACTACATACTCGACCGTTTGGATAGACGAGAATGGATAAGACAAGAATTGGATAGGATCACAGAACCAGATCCGATTCTCGAAGAGATATTCCGACAACAGCCTGACCTTCCCGAAGACCTGGCGCAGCAATTGCACCATAGAATTGCAATTCCGCCATATAGTCCTGACGATCCAAATCCGCCGCCTCCAGTATACGAAGACCCACCTGCTTATGAATCCAGGAGATACCGCGCGGAACAGGATCTATATGACTCAGTAGCCTGGCTTGCAGAGACGCCTCCAACCAACTGGGAAATCGAGAGGTTTGGAAGGTACAACTCGTGGCCGACTCCTGTGCCTGTCCCCAACCCAACAATTCCTGTCACGACAATTCCTGACACGCCTTCGATCCAACCTACCATCATGCCGACAGAAGTTCGCATCCCACCACCAAACACACCCGGGTCCAGCGAAATCGACCTGGCCCTCGACGGCACCCTCACCATCGCTGGTAGCGGTGCCTGGGCCATCGCCGCTGATATCTCTCTCACCCTAGTGGGACGTCTCACCACCTGCACGCCTCTAGACTCCTGGGTGTTCATTCCCCGCGCCGGTACTTTTGTCGCTCACGCAACACTCGCCGCTTGGAATGGTATTGGCGTAGCAGACTGTTTCGCCAGAGAGATATCTGGACTCGGTGGCCCATCAGTCGAAAACGTCGTTACTCAAGGCTTCCAAAGAGTACGAGCTGCAGATCGAATTGGAGATCAATCCTAATAAACCACCTATTGAGGATCCTAGCCCGGGACCGCCTAATGAGGAAGGACAACCCAGCGAGGAGGGACCGCCCCAAAGAGGATGGCAGTCCAAAGAAAGACAAGAAGCCAAAGAAAGATAAAAAGCCAAAGAAAGACAAGAAGCCAAAAGAACAAAAGAAACTGAAGAAGTGTAAGTGGTGGCAGATAATTCTTCGTCTTGACCTATGGGGTGTCTGCTGTGCATAAATCAAAGCCTTTTGCTGGGAGCGCTTTCTGGTTTCTTGGCTGTTATCAGAATATCTCTTCCTGTCTTCTTGTTTATTTTGGTCATGTTTCTGGGGATTGTACAGGGAAAAAATCATGAGGTCGTATTGTGGAAAGTGAGAGATGTGCTGTAACTCATTGATTCTTCATCTTTGTGGTAGCTACAGTATATAGCATAACTCTCAGAAGGCTTGTTTCATAATATTCTCAATTCGGAATGTGAAGAACAGTAGATCTTGGTGCTGTAAAGTATCTCTTCCTCGATCTTGATCTTCTTGTTTCAAAACCTAACTTCTGGTCAGTGTTCTATTCCATCCATTTCCAGACGCTGATATTTGTAGCTCTCAGCTTCCTCCCACAACCGAATATCGACCTCCTGTAGAACGACACACGGTTCTTTCTGAATCAGTGGTGAGCCAGAGAGAGCCACTTGGACGTTCTTTCCCAGTACATATTACAGTACTTGGTTTCTCAACACTATTGTGCATTTCTGTCGCTACGTGTTCCATACTTTGGCACATGGGGAGGGTGCTACATTGGCTCTTTGAAAGCGATGATGAGGTATGACATACATGAACACTATTCTCGTACTGAGGACGCCGTTGGGGCACAGTTGGCAATCTTGTACCATCAGGGCACAGGTAGATTGCAGTATCAAACGGTGATGCGTGGATCGAAATGGACAAAGCAACGGTCCAAGGCTGTGCAGAGGAAAGTTACGCAGACAGGTTGTACGAAGCAGAGGATCTCGAGGGTGGAAGAGTGCCGTGTGTGGTGAAGAAGAGGTTCTTTTTGGATTATAGAGTAATTGTATCTGTCTTTTGTGGAAAAAGGGAATCATGGTCCTTGTCTGTCTATGGTATCGGACAAGAAGGGGGTAACGTAAGAAAGGAATGCAACCAGGGCATTAAAGAACAACAGGAAGTGGCAACAGGGGTATGGCCTTTCTTTTCCTTTGACATCATTAACAAACAGAAAACACCAACGCCGCCATAAGCATTAATTTCAAAAGAGCATGTGAAGACAGATCGTTTAAGCAACCACAGTCGTAGACTCGGAAGATACAGCGGGTTTTGAGTCGGTGAGTGAGCTGTCATCGCGGACAACGTCACTCAGACGGAGGCGTTTGGATGGTGGTGCTGCTTGTGACTTGTATGACTCGACCTCGGCTTCGAGGCCCTCGATCCTCTTCTTGAGGGCAGCCTCACGAGTCAAGGCAGCGTCGAGGTCGGCTTTGTATTGGTCTGCGGCATCGCGGGCAGAAACTTCCTTTGCGCGGGCGTCTTGCTCGCTCTGTTCGAGCTCAGCGACACGGCCGCGGAACAGGTCGTTGATGACTTCTAACTCGCTCACGCGGGTCTTGAGAGAGCCGTTGTTTTCCTGGTACTGGTGTCCGTGGTCGGGGTGCATTCCATTGACTGATGGTGCGGGAGAAGGTTGGCGAAGGGCAAATGTGGGCAGGCCAGCAGGTTGGAAGGACGACTCGGACAAGGAAACATTATCGAAGACGTGCTGAGGGGCAATGTTGGGATTGTGATGCGAGGCTATGCCAGGCGTGTTGTTGCGAGACGAGGGCGAGGGAGAGCGTTGGTGTTCGCCAGAAGACATGCGGTCCGAGTGACGGCGGTGGGGAGGGTAAGCACCTATAGGAGTGTTGACATCGTGATGGAAGCCGGGCGACTCAAGCGAGGGCTGGGGTTGTGTCAGTATGCGACGTTGATGGTGAAGTGCGACGAGTTGACCAACCTTCTTCTTGGGGCCGGTGGCCGTCTTGACGCGGTTACGGCTCTTGATAACGTCTGTCTTGAGACTGATAGGACGAGGGCGACCGTGCAACTTGAGGAAGAGGCCACAAGCATTGCACAGGACCGAGCCCATCTCGTCGCGACGCCATAGCGGAGTGGTGCTTGTGCCGCAGTTCTGGCATACAGNGCTGTGCGGAAGAAGGTCAGCTCGTTATCGATAGATTTGGAAGATAAGGATAAGACGAGGGTCCTGTGAAGCGCGAAATGCGCGTCGCGACCGACGCTTAAGAAGGGAATAACGTACAGGTCCGTTTTGCTGACCACCGGCAGTGGCAGCAGGCGCCGAAGTTGCGTAGTTCATCGTGTGCATAACACTAGAAGTCCTGCGAAGGGAAAGAATCAGTCCTGTGTCAATTGCGAGATGTCTTGACAATGCCCATGCGCTGATAGGGTAGGGCAGAGATCCCGAAAGCTTGGGCCGCCTTATCTCGGGCGTGCTTTCCCTATCGCCGAGGCTGCTTCCCACCTTCCCGTGTGCTAAAGACTGTCACAATATAGCTATAGGAATGCACAATTGTTTCCAGACAAGAGACAAGGACCAATGAGAGCTTGAAAGCTTACGACTCTCAGTGGACGCTGCTCTTTTCTTACAGTATTGTGCATATCTACAATTGTGACAGTCTTTAGCACAAGGAGAGGACTTTACCCCGCCGCTTCCAAGCAACAACAATAAATTCAGAAAGGAATGCTTACCTGGGCATCATTGCCATAGAGTTTCCTCCAAACGGGCCCAGACTCGACACGCCCGGGAGTTGCATCGGTCCGCTGAAAGATCGCTGAGGGACAGAGTAGTGTGGTGCTGAGTACATGGGAGCTGCTGAAGAGGGTCGAGGAATTTCATGTCCCATGTGTGCAAAGAATGGTCTGTCGTCGGCGTAGATTGGAGGTGTAAGAGTGACAGGATAATGAAGGCCCATCGAGGACTTGGGTCTGTAGGGATCCATCACAGAAGGTCTGTACGATGTATCAATCGAGGCAGGTCTGTATGCATCCATGGAAGATCGGTGAAGCATCGTGGCGGCAGTTAGGTCGTCAATATCTTTGGAGTATCGTCGATCGATTAGGTCTTGTTGAAGGTCGAGAAAGTATGGACCGAATCAAAGGAGTGTGGATCAGAAGGTATTAAAAGAATGAAAGACTGAATTAAGAAGAAATTAGTAGTAGTGTGCCGAACAGAAAGAGTGTCGTGGTAGAGGTCGTAGGTCAATTAATTAGTTGTCAAGCGTGTGCCTAAGTATACATACGTCCTGAAGCCTTGCCCAGGGGTGGCGACCATGTAATGACAACGGTAGAGGCTTGGAGTTCGGCGTCGAGGTAAATTGCCAAAACAACAGCGAAAGCGCAAAGCGGTTCTAGTAAGCGTTGTGTCTACCGTCCTGCGTTTCTATCTTACTTGATAGCTGTGACAGCATTATGATCCATGGTAAACATTGAGCTTGTTCTGCACTACTCCACGGCTATTCACGTCTCTTCAATCGTGCGTCTGGTCGATTTCAAAGTGTCTCAACATTCCGCATCTTTCGAGCTCAGATCGGTCGTGCATCTGTCAGTTCATTCCTCAGGATAGACAATCGATGCAACTTTTTTGCGGCGTCATCTGTGGAGTCAAGAAGGTCAACAGTAAACAACGCTCCTTGGAAGAGCCGCACGCAGCTGTAATCAAAGTACAGCTTGCCTTCGACGGCTGCGTAACGGTCGAGGCAGGAGATTGGCGGTAGACCAGTATACGAGGTTTATCCCTGACCTGTCACGCATGAACAGAGATGAGGTCAATCCTTCGCGGAAGAGATCGCCGATCGATTGTAGGTATGAATCGTCGTGATAACAGTAGTCGTTGATACTTGATTGTGATTGACATGATGTATAGCAAGGACAAAGAAGGCTTTGCTTCGAGGTGTCAGTAAGCTTGGACCCTGCCACCGCCTCGCTGATCCGGGGAACAGGTTCATCAGGGGGCCTTCGAGGGGTTTTCATTTACCAAAGACTCTGCAATGATCCCGGCGTACACAAACGAGCATGGTTCGACTACTCGGGGCGGTGCAATCATATGCGAGGGTTGAAATCTATTATCGAGCAACGACGACTGTTCTATCGCAACCATCGTTGACAAGTCAAGCTACGATAAGCAGCTACTACCCAGGTCTACAATGTTTTCGAAGAACGATGTCTGCCTTGCGTCTCGTGTCAGACTGCAGTATAATCCCTGCCAGCAGACAGCAGTGGGGTTGAGTGAATGGAGATGAAGGCTTTGCAACAGTCAAATGTTCCAGGTTTTCTGATGTCGATACCAACCAACCCCTGTATCTGGTACCTGGGGAGAAAGCTTGGCACCCCCGGTCGTCATTCCATCGACATGCGTGTTCAAGCTGGACACAGCCCAGGTGCCCACCTTTGACTGGCCACCTGTCTATCTCGACGACATTCAACACAGCTCATGATGGGCAAGTCCAGACCAGCTACATCTGGCTATGCCAGGATTGCCCAAGCAGAAGAGGAGGACGACGATTCAGTATTCTCTGATGAGGACATGCACCAAGGCCAGTCCCGTCTTTCGGTCGACGCGGATGGCACCACATACGCGCCTATACAACCAAAACGCCGTGAGCGTATGGATTTACCTGAAGGTCGACCTCCGCATCACCGACGACGACGCACAAACTCTGGAGTCGACATCAAGGCCATCAATGCCAGGCTGGAGAAGTGGGCTGATGAGATCGCTCAGAAGTTCAAGATCCGCAAGGTCAAAGGCAAATCGCAGGAGGAGGAACATCTAGAGATACACCACTCTGTTTTCCAAGCTCCCGACTGGATCCGACCGGCCACTGCCGAAACCTTGGCCTCAGAATTGGACGAGCCCACCGGTGACAGGATATCCAAGATCGAGTTCGACGACATTGTTGAGAGCGTCAGAGTCGCCATTGAGATGGGTATGCAGCCCAAGCTCATCTCTCAGGGCAGTTCTGGAAGTTACTTTGCAAGAAATACCTCGGGTAAGATCGTTGGTGTGTTCAAACCAAAGGATGAAGAACCATACGCTTCAAAGAACCCCAAATGGACCAAGTGGATCCACCGCAACCTCTTCCCGTTCTTCTTCGGACGAGCATGTCTCATTCCCAACCTCAGCTATATCTCCGAGGCCGCTGCCTATGTTCTGGACAGTCGTCTACGGACCCATCTGGTACCTTATACGGATGTCGTTACCCTTTCCTCCAAAGCCTTCTTTTACGACTTCTGGGACAGGCGTGCACATTACCGCAAAGGCAAGCCTTTCCCTGAAAAACAAGGCAGTTTCCAGGTCTTCCTCAAAGGCTTCAAAGACGCAAACATCTTCCTCAAAGAACATCCATGGCCCGATCAACACAACACAGGGTTCCGAACAGATGCTGCGCCCAAGAGAAAGAAGAGAAGATGGGGAGAGGACTGTCGACCCAGAGGCGCTCCTTCTGACGATGAGGACGAGGATGCGGATGCTTCTCAGGCACCGTATAGTGATCGCCAACGCTCTCGCAACGTTTTCTGGACTCCCGCTCTTCAACAGTCATTCCGTGAACAGCTGGAGAAGCTTGTCATCTTGGACTACATCATGCGCAACACCGATCGTGGACTTGACAACTGGATGATCAGGATCGATCAGCAGAGTCAGGAGGCTGAGATTGTTATTGAACCACCCAACAAGCCCACAAACGGACAGGCCGACCCATACAGGAGACAAGAGACAATGACCGCTGGCGGTCAAGCCAACTCACAATCTTCTGCCACTGTGACCCTTGGTGCCATCGACAATAGTCTGTCATGGCCCTGGAAGCATCCTGACGCGTGGAGAAGTTTCCCATTCGGTTGGCTGTTCTTGCCGGTATCTTTGATCGGCCGTCCGTTCTCAGAGAAAACCAAGCAGCATTTCCTCCCTCTGTTGACTTCGAAGCAATGGTGGAGTGAGACTCAGGTTGCTTTGCGCAAGTGCTTCGAGCAAGATGCCGACTTCCAGGAGAAGATGTTTGCTCGTCAGATTGCTGTCATGAAGGGACAGGCATGGAATGTTGTAGAAACACTAAAGACACCGGATCATGGTCCTCTAGAACTGACGAGACGTGCTCGCGTTTGCGTATGGGATGACCTAGTTGAGATTCCTGTGGCCGTTCCACTGCGTCCGTCGAATGACCTTCGCCACAAGCACACCGACATCATCAAGGGCCCTGGAATCAGGGAAGAAGAAGAAATGGATATTGGTGCTGCTTATGCTTCGGCACCTCCACTGAAACTGCAGACCGACCTCCTTGGACCCGACCTTCCGAACAACAACCGGTTTAACATTTCCCGACAGAACAGCAGTGGTGATGTCCGAAGAAGCGACGAAAGCAACGCTCCTCTGTCACCTTCTAGCGTACAAGGGTTCACTTTCGAGACTGCGAAAGAGTCGAAATTCAAACGCCCCGTTGCAACTCGCACAAAGTCCAGACTCAGTCTCGACGAGACAAGAAGACTTTTTGACAATCTTGGAGAACGCAGGAGATTTTCGTTTGCCATTGGTAAGAGGAATGATGAAATCGACGTCGATGATGCAGAGTTGGATGGCGATCTTGGTTTCGCAGCAGCAGAAGATCAAGAGGGTTACAGGCGCAAGGTCATTGTTGAGAGGATCGAGATGGTCAAGGGCAGGGCTCCTGTGTTTACTTGGTGCTAGTGAAGCATGGTACTCGGCGTTCCGGATTTGGGCTCGGACATGGGAAGGCTCAAAAACACGGGTGGGCGGCATTGCAAGGCGCTGTACTTACAGATACCACGTGTATACTTAGGAATCCTGAATTGAACGATTGATGACAGTCAGTTGATGGTGTGCGTTTTCCGAATCTTTATGGGCCAGTCTTTCTTGAGCGAGCCACAACCCTGACTCAATGCATCAGAAACTGTCGAAAGTGTATGTCGTTACTACCTGAATTCCAAGCACTGCCAGAACTGAAAACTCTGGGTGGTTACTACCATGAGACAGTGTTATAGTCTACTATGGGCGTTGTTGTGTACATATAGGATGGTTCAAAGTCGAGCACATCGATCAGACTGGACGAAAGACTCGGTTTCGAGTCCGAGGGTCCAGCGATGACAACCGAGACTGTCCAATCTATCAAAATAAACAATGGAGCCACCACAAACGAATCTGGTTCTATTTCGACTCACAGTCAAGATTGTTTAACTCTCAAAACATGTTTGTACTGCCACAGACATCCACGTCGAGCCCGTTGGGTGAGACGCGCTGGCGACCGACTCGATGATGACGAGTGCCCCAGACCTCTTGCCCAACTTGTGAATCAACAATCACCGCCACTTCACCTGTCTATCCAAACATCACGGGTTACTATTGTTGTCGCATGCTCACTCGGTTCCCATTGATCACTCGATTACTGGGTATTGTCAGATGAATGCCGCGCAGAGGGCCGCGTTGCTCAATCCCAAGGCCGCACGCAAAGCAGCAGCAGCAGCAGCCAGTAAGTGACGGAAGCCAAATTCAGTTGGTTGTCTACCACTTTCCGTTCCTATTCTTCACATTTGCACTCTGTTCATTGAGATAACTCAGTCTGATTTTCACCTTCGAGTCTTCACCTACCCCAACTACCATTACCTTTCCTTCTCTTCTCTTCCCTTCCCTCTTCCACATCATCCACCACCTCCATCTTTTACCTTAAGTTCTTCATCAACTGTCTCTGCCATCCATAACCTCGACCAACAAACACTCTCTGCTTTTTGTCTTCTCTGCACCCATCATGGAACAAGATCTAACAGTTCCTGAAGGCAAAAAGCGTGATCAAGATGATCTCGCCAAGGAAGCACACGAACACGATGAACCAACAGCTGGTGTCGGTTCCTTTATGGAGCGTCAGTTCAATCTCACAGATCGTGAGGCCATGCCGCCAGCAAAGAAACAGAAGATCTCCGAGAACGACAACGATGCGACCAAACACAAGGCAACGTTCAAGGGCGGCAAAGGCGGCGTGATTGGTGAGTATCTCAGGGAACAGCATGACCAGGGCGCTCGCGAAGCAGGACCTCCCGCGGCAATCGATCTCACAGCAGAGGACGATGAGATCGAAGTGGTGTCTGTCAAGTCGACTGCCCAGGATCCCAAGCGCGAAATCTGTCTCGGTTCAATCAGTGCAAAGATCATGGCACACAAGGTTCCTGCCGCGAACAGAACTCTCAGCAGGTACTCCGAGAACTGGCCACCAGCCAAGATGCAGCTGCAACCCAGAGTCGGCCAGGAAAAGACGTATCTCGCAATCGACGGCAAGGGTGTCGAGTTTGGCAAGCTAGACATCATCACCGCTGCCGCCATTGCACCTCTACTCAAGAGCGCCTCCATCAAGTTACGCCTCGCACCACTCCTGAAGGAACGTCCCAAGGAGGCTGGCGAAGAGCCTGGACACTCGATATCGAAATCTCTGGACATTTCCATCACTCTGTACAGCGTCGCCGATGCTGCCAAAGGAATCGGAAGACATCTCAGTCAACGCCAGATCTTCTTGTACAAGCCGCTCATTGTCCCACACGGCACTGAGGTCCTCAATCCTCATGTTCCCAACTACAACGTCGTTCCAAAGACCATCACCGCGACCGTGGCAGCTCAAAGCAGTGGTTACCGAGTTCGTACGACCGAGGAGATCAAGAGCGATGTTCTTTCGATGTTTGACAGACTCGGAAAGACAGAGGAGCTCCCCGAAGCTGAGTCCGATTCCACACTTGTCAAGACGGAGCTCATGCAGCATCAAAAGCAAGCTCTCTGGTTCTTGACTAAGCACGAGACTCTCACACCACCTGAAGAGGATCCTCTCTGGAAATTCGCAGTTCGTAAGGACGGTAGTAGAGCTTGGTACAACGTGATCACAGGCGATGAGCTGAAGAAAGTCAGCCCTATTCTGGGTGGTCTCCTGGCTGACCAGATGGGTTTGGGTAAAACACTCAGCATTCTCTCCTTGATTTGTGCGACTCTCGAAGAGGCCAGGGCTTTTGGCGATGGCGATTTGGACGACACCGATCGCGTTAACGAGGATGTCGCTCGCCGATCTGGTGGCACCCTGCTCATCTGTCCCAAATCAGTCATCTCAAATTGGCAAGAGCAGATCGGCCAGCATCTAGACAAGGTAAAGGTCAGCTACTACATGTACCACGGCAACAAGAGAGAGCAAGATCTCGACGTCCTCTCACAGTACGACATTGTTGTTACTTCATATAGTATCGCCGCCAACGAGTTCACCTCTTCCTCTAAGAGCTACAGCGCGCTTGCAGAGATCGCATGGTTCCGTATTGTCTTGGACGAGGCACATCAAATCCGTAACCAAAACACCACCACCTTCAAGGCCGCATGTGCTCTGGTTAGCAAGCGTCGTTGGGCAGTCACCGGAACTCCCGTGCAGAACAGACTCGATGACTTTGGCGCTCTTGTCAAGTTCCTCAAGATTTATCCCTTCTCCGACAAGGGTGTCTTTGAGAAGCACTTTATGGCTCCATTCAAGTCAGGAGATCCTCAAGTACTCGACAACCTTCGTCTGCTTGTGTCCAGCATCACCCTCAGACGTTCAAAAGACAGAATTGAATTGCCTGATCGTGTTGAAGAGATTGTACGTCTGGACTTCACATCCGAGGAGCAGGCTCTCTACGACGCTTTCGCCAAAGATGCCAACAGGAAGGTTCGAGCCATGACTCGCGGCAACGACCGCCTCAAGGGTAGAAGCTACGCTCACGTCTTGGTCAACATCACCAGATTGAGACTGCTATGTGCCCATGGAAGAGAGCTGCTCAGCGAGGATGACATGAAAGTGCTTCAGGGTACTTCCTACGAGACAGCAATTGACTTGGGGGAGGAGAGTGACGCGGAAAAGCCACCCATGAACAAGGAGCAAGTTTACGACACTTTCCATCTCTTGCGTGAGAGCACCATGGATCTCTGTTCATGCTGCAATAACCCGATTGAGCAGCCCGAGCCACCAGCTGGCAACGGGAGCGAAACCTCTGACAGCGAAGACGAGGTGGAGGACATCATCGGATACCTCACNCCCTGCTTGCACCTGGTATGCCCGGCTTGTGCAGACAGATACTGGAACGAGCTCAGAACCACCCAGACTCGCGACAATTACGCCACTTGCCCGCTATGCGAGCAATACGTCAAGGCCATCCTGCATCCAATCAGCCAGAAGGATGTGGACGACGATCTCGAGGCCCGTCAAAAGAAGAAGGGCCAAGTCAAGAGCAAGAAGGGCGTTGAGTACGGCGGCCCTCACACTAAAGTCAGGGCCCTCATCGCAGACCTCCAGCGCCACGCCCAAAAGTCAAAGGAGCTGATCGAAATCGGCGAGCCTCCCATCCGCAGCGTTGTCTTCTCCGGCTGGACCTCCTACCTGGACCTCATTGAGATCGCCCTCAAGGACAGCAACATCGGCTTCCTTCGCCTCGACGGCAAGCTGTCAGTCAGCGCGCGCACCGCCGTCCTCGACCGTTTCAAGACCGACCCTAACATCTCCGTTTGCCTCGTCAGCATCAAGGCTGGTGGCCAAGGTCTCAACTTCACCGCCGCCAGCAACGTCTTCATGATGGAGCCACAATTCAACCCCGGTGTTGAGATGCAAGCCGTCGACCGCGTGCACCGTCTCGGCCAAAAGAGAAACGTGGTCATCAGACGCTTCATCATGGCAAACAGTTTCGAGGAAAAGATTGTTGAGCTGCAGCAGAAGAAGATTGCGCTTGCCAATTTGGCGACTGGAGGCAAGGCTGTCAAGCAGGACGTTAAGGAGATTTTCCAGAACTTGATGAGTTTGTTCTGAGCCGAGCGTAGCTGGTAGAAGGAAGGAGAGTGAGATGGGAAGGCAGACAAGAGATGCAGATGCGTGGAGTGTGCATCGGTAGACACGAGGAAGGGACAAACGCACGCTCGAGAGGAAAAAAAGCCATGCGTAGGATTGGATGACGAGATGCTCAGAGGGAAAAAGAAGAAATACTCGAGAGATAGAAGAAGCAAAGAGGTTGCTAGGAAGACAGCATAGGAACCTACATATATAGCCAGCTCTTGCTGAGCCAGGAGTTCAAGTTACCTAGCAATCAACCAGATGCATGATCATCAAGGCATTTCAGTCATTCGTCATTCCCTTCCTGCAATCAAACGTGCAATTCGCCTCCAGCGTCGTTATTCCAGGGGTAGGAGTCTGCCATGCTGACCATCCTGACCCCTTGTGGAGCGGCTGAAGAATGAACGGACAGAGGATAGAGAGAAAGGCTTGCCGTGGAGCGGCACTACAAAGGAAGGTATGTGAGACAAGAAATAGGTCAACTTCGGATACAGAGAACATCAAGATTGCTTTCATTCCGCTACGCATGATCATTCAATGCGCGCCCCACCTGTGGTATTTACATATGCATCCAGTAAAGTCAAGCTCTTTTTCATGGCATGTGTTTGGTTCAATCAAGAAGCAACCTTGTGATTGGCAAAGTCTTATTGCTTGAGCTTCTCGGTGAGCTCGGGAACCTTCTCGAAAAGATCGCCAACGAGACCGACGTCGGCGACCTGGAAGATGGGTGCATCGGCGTCCTTGTTGATGGCGGCGATGACCTTGCTGTCCTTCATACCAGCAAGATGCTGGATGGCGCCACTGATACCGGCACAAAGGTAGAGCTGGGGAGCGACGTTTTTGCCGGTCTGACCGACCTGCAGACTGTTGTCTGCGAAACCACTGTCAACGGCAGCACGAGAGGCACCAATGGCGGCACCGAGTGCATCAGCGAGCGGGGGCATGATGCGGTCAAACTCCTCCTTGGACTTGAGACCGCGACCACCGGAGACGACCTTCTCGGCAGTGGCGAGGTCAGGGCGGTCCGAGGTAGCGAGGTCTTCGCTGATCCACTGGGTAGGGCACTCGGCCTTGGGGTCGACACCCTCCTCGACGGAAGCGCTACCGCCCTCTGCGGCACCCGAGGGGAAAGCAGTACCACGGACGGTAACGACCTTGGGGCTATCGGCGGTTTGAACGGTAAGGATGGCGTTGCCGGCGTAGATGGGACGGACGAAGGTATCTTCTGACTCGATGTTTGTAATGTCTGAGATTTGCTGGACGTCGAGCAGGGCGGCGACGCGAGGCATCAAGTTCTTGCCGAATGCAGAGTGGCCGGCAAGGACATGAGTGAAGCCGCCTTTCTTGATGTTCTCGACGAGTAGGGGAGCGAAATTCTCGGGCAGACCNNCTAGATAGTATCATGAGCGACTGTGTTCTTGGGGCGAGAGACTGTTGCACACCTTGTCATACGAGGCATTGTCGACGTAGATGACCTTCTCAAGGCCCTCGACCTTTGCAGCCTCTTCGGCGACAGCCTTGACGTTTGATCCAGCGACGAAACCAGTGACGGAGCCACCAAGCTTCATGGCAGCGCTCACAGCGGCAAGCGATGACATGTTCAGCTTTCCCTCTCTTTGTTCCAGGACGGCCAGGGTCGAGAGCAGGCGAGCGAGGGCGGCATCGCGCGAGAGTGGTGCCGTGACTCTAGGGCGCATACATGACGAGCGGGCTTGCCGCAGGGCAGTCTGTCGTGCTGCTGAAAACATGGTTGTATTATGAGCAAAGAGAATGGAATCCCGAGTCCAGAAACTCCCCGCTCGCTGCCTACAAAGATGGTTCCGCGAAGCCGAGGTCGGGGCCAAAATGCTTCCCCAGCGCAGGGAAGTCACCACCAAGGACCATCTATCACATGCTGCAACCACCAGATTCAAAAGTATAGTGCCATAAGGTGCTTTCTGTCATGAGTTGTATCGCACATAGATATGGAAAGAGAGCTTTCTTGATATCAGTCATACTTAGTTCTGGATGATTTTGTGCTACAGCATTGCTCAAGGGAAGCAGTTAAGTCCCGTTATGCTCCATTGTGTTCCCACACGAGGCAGTCACGCAGAGAATGAACAAACTGTCATCTGTCTCGCTCCTGCCAAATGGGGACTCTTCATGGATAATAAATAGCGACACTCGAAGACTCACTGCCCTCGGTGCGGCTAAAGTCCGGCTTGGCTGGTTTGCGGAGAGTGCAAGCGCGGAGGATCAGACGCGTCGGGCCCTTTCCATACCAAGTTGTAACTCCATCTATCAATTCATCCATTCACGCGTTTCCACCTTCCCGGACTGTCGCATCATGGATTCTCTTGCAAGCGAAGATACCACTAATGCGCCCGGAGCTGTGTCTGATGAAATGATTCACGCCGAGAACGACCAGATTGAGGAGCAACAGAAGCAAGAAGCTCAAGGTACACCAACTCGTCAACCAACACCTTTGCGCCCAGCGCTGACCAACTCGCGCACATGCAGAAGACACCTCGATGATGGAAGACGCAGATACCAAGCCACCCTCGGACAACCCGCTGGATGCGCCTGACGCTCCTCCTGCCGAGAATGACGGCCAACCCGCCGACGACGAGGATATGGCCGATGCGGATGCTAAGGATGCCCCAGAAGCTGCCGAGGATACCATGGATGCAACACAAACACAAGATACACAGCATCAGACAAAGTCGCAAGTCGAGGCCTCGGCCCGCTCACACCTGATTGAGCAAACCCACGCGATCATTCTGCCCTCATACAGTGCCTGGTTCGACATGCACCAAATACACAATCTCGAGCGCAAAGCCCTCCCCGAGTTCTTCAACTCGCGCAACCGTTCAAAGACTCCCGCCGTCTACAAGGACTACCGTGACTTCATGATCAACACATACCGCCTCAACCCCCAAGAGTACTTGACCGTTACAGCCTGTCGTCGCAACTTGGCTGGTGATGTTTGCGCAATCATGCGCGTTCACGCCTTCCTCGAGCAGTGGGGCTTGATCAACTACCAAGTACGCTTGCTTGCAGCACTTTAATCGGTAGTCAATAAGTTAACAACTCCNCAGATCGATCCCGATACTCGTCCCTCGAACATCGCACCGCCATTCACTGGCCACTTCCGCATCACCGCCGACACTCCCCGGGGCCTGCAGCCCCACCAACCTGCTCCCAACTCGACCGTCACTGCTGGACGTCCAAACCCTGGTACAGACCGTCTAGCAAGTGCTACNCCTGTCATCAAGTCCGATTTGAACCTGGAAGTGAGAAGAAACATCTACGAATCCACTGGAAAGGACCTCACCTCCAAGCAGGAGAACGGCACTGATCTTGAAGAATCCCTCAAACAGCCCAGCAAGCAGTACTTCTGTTACTCATGCGGCAAAGATTGCACCCGTGTGCGCTACCACAACGCCAAAGCCCCTCCGGCATCAGTCGCTGGCAAGAACGGTGCCATGCTCAAGTTCGACCTGTGCCCCTCGTGTTTCATGGAAGGAAGATATCCCAACTCAACTGGTCCTGCCGATTACACCAAGCTGGAGAACGAAAAATACACAACTATCGCAGATCGCGAGGCTCCTTGGGCCGACTCGGAATTGCTGCTGATGCTCGAAGGCTTGGAGCTGTTTGATGAGAACTGGGAACAGATCGCCAACCACGTCGGAAGCCGCACAAGGGAGGAGTGTGTTCTCAAGTTCTTGCAGCTTGAGATTGAGGACAAATACCTCGAGGGCGAGGACACGGTCGACGGCGCTTCAAACAACCTGGGTTTCTTGAGCAACGGCCGTGTTCCCTTCTCACAAGCAGACAACCCCGTCATGTCTGTCATGAGTTTCCTTGCTGGTCTGGCTGACCCCGCAGTCGCCGCCGTTGCAGCAGGCAAGACGGTAGAACAGATGAGGAAGCAGCTTCGCAGCAACCTGGAAAAGGACTCGGCACCAGTGGAATCCGAAAAGGAGGAAGCTTCGACCGAGCAAGCAGAGCCTTCAAAAGACGACAACTCGATGGAGGTTGACAAGCCCACAGCCGAAAAGCAATCCACAAGCCCTAAGCCCCTCAAGGAGGANAGCCAAGGACGCTGCATCTTCACCTGCCACATTGGCTCTCAGTCTGACAGCCGCTCGTTCCTCGGCTCTGGCCTCACACACCGAACGTCACGTCAGCTCGCTAGTTTCTTCGGCAGTCAANNCCTACACATGCAGAAGCTGGAGCTCAAGCTACAACAGTTTGACGAAATGGAAACCCTACTCCAGACCGAGCGCAGAGACTTGGAACGCCAACGTCAACGTCTCTTCTTTGACCGCTTGCAATTCAAACGCAGAGTTGCAGACGTCGAGACCAAATTCGCAAGCATGGGTGTTTCCGTAGACCGTGATGTCAGAGCAGCTGCTCAGGGTGAAGCAGAAGACAAGGGCGACAAGCTCGGGGTTGCGGGTACACAGGAAGGTGCAGCTGTTGCTCAGCAGAGCGACGATATCAAGCCCGCCAGTGCGGACGAGGCTGGTTACAAGATTGCCGAGATGTAGAAAATCTAAACAGTTTTGCATGGTCAATGGATTATGGTGGCGGCCGGCGTTCTTGCTAGCACAAGCACAGGTTTCTGGGGCTTTACGATTAGGGTAAAGATCAAATTTCTTTTTCGTGTTGGAGTTGTTTCCTTTCAATTGCCACTGCTACTTTTTACAAAAATACCAATCCGACTTTACACTTTCGATCAACACATCATCGTCTCGTATATCATGGTATCTGCAGGTAAGCATTGACCCATCGAATAGATGATCGGATCCCTGTTACATATCTTCATAGCATGAACTTTCAAAGAACAGAATGTTCGTGGACCTCATGACTATGGCAAGTCAAAGGCTATAACGCAAAAGAATGATACTGTTGCAGCACATGGTAAAGACTAGACAAGAAATCATCCGAATGGAATAAGAAAGAATGCTTGCTCTGGTCTCCTCTAGCGCAAAAGAGAAGGATATATATAATCTTCTCCTTCCGCTCACCTCACTTGGCCTTGCTTCCTTCAACCACTCTCCTTCCATACAACCTCTTTCCCTTATACACTCTCTCCTTTGATACAATCTCTTCCTTCCTCTCTGTCACTCTTGGCCTCTACCTATATATACTGCAACATCTCGAGATCTTGAGCCCCACGATCCTTCTGTTCGACAGATCATGCTCAAGCACACCTGCCAACCAAAGATCTTCGTCGGCGCCGGCGGTGCACTCCATACCGGAGGTCCTGCATCATTGATTATTGGTTTCTCAATCATCGGTGTCATGTTGATGGCAACGATGCAGGCTTTGGGAAAGCTCATAGTTCTGTACCTTGTTGACGGTGCATTCCAGCACATGGCTGCTCAACAAGGTCCTCGTGCTCTCTGTGAGCCAAACTCGACCGCTACCGACAAAGAATGCCATCAAGGTCAAGACAGAGCCAAATGACGATGAAGTAGCTCCGCAGTATATATCTCTTAAGAATGCTAAGGTTATACTAAAGTTAAGCTAATCTTACTTATCGATTAGCCTTACAAGATATAGGATTACTTGAAAGATCCACGAACCTCCTATTTGGCAACATAGCATACACTCGTACGATGGGAAAAGACATACGAATGTCTCACGCAACACCAAAGAAAAAGACAAACCCCTCTCACGAAATTCGAGAAGTTCTACGAATGCCTCTTGCAATATCGTACGCTTCTTAGGAAGTTTAGGAAAAGATGAAGAATGCCTCTCGCAGCATCGCATGCTCTTGCGGATACAAGAAAAGTTTCTGCGAATGCCTCTCGTAAAGGCAAGCAAGAGGTCTACGAATGTCGCTCGCAACATCCCGCGCTCTCCGAAGGTCCAACGAAAGACTGACAAATGCTTCTTGCAACATCAACACACTCTTTCTTCGGTGAACCTCTTGACGAACTGTTGAAACAAGAGTGGGACGCAGAGGCTGCAGAGTTCACCATGCGGTTGGGCGAGCATGTAGATTGCAGAGTTGAGGAAACGTGAGCCATGCGCTGTGTCTGAGCGAGCAAGAATGAAGAGACATCACTCCATGTAACCGCCGCTCTATGGCCAAAAGTGAATGCCTTCGACCACCCGGCTCAGGCAGCGATCCCGCTCGCTGGATGTGCTTTGATGCCTCTTTGTAACTCATCAACATCTTCCGTGTCGTGCCTCTCGATGTTCACATCCTTCACGTTTCTCCTGCCCTTACCACTCAGATATTGCGCTTGACTTCTTCTTCTTTCCTCACCTCACCTTGACTCTGCTAACTTCAATCACTCTTCTTTCACACAACCTCCCTACCTCTGTATAATCTCTCTTCCTCTACAGAACCTCTCCCCTCTCATACAATCTTCCTGTCACCCTCAACCTTTATCGACACGCAACAACACCTCGATTACCAGCATCCAAGATCTTCCTACTCATCTCGCTCAAGCACACCTGTACGTGCATTTTTGCGTTCTGACACATGTGTTGATACACTCTCAGACAAACAAGGTCTTTCCCAAAGATGGTTCGCACCATCGTCAGCGTTCAAAAGACGGAGAGTATCGAAGCATGAGATATCGTGACCCACATCCATATATCAGTTGGAATGAAGTTGCCCAAGACTTTGCTTACCTAAACATTTTCCGACAAACGAGCAAATGCATGATCGAGTAAATCTTGGTTAATCAACAGATCAGTCAGACAGCACAAAGAGAATTGCAATCTGGAAGAAAGTGTTGTGAAAAGTAGAAAGATATCATAATTTCTGGTTCGTAGCTATGTCTGTTCGTCCATAGCAGGTATAATGCTTAAATCATGAAAAGGCTTTTGTCGCAAAAAGACCCTATCGTCGTCCCAAAACTCCAAGGCTACATTATAAAGAATACATGAACACCATCTCGCTTAGATGAAAGCGGATGTGAAGGACTTGAGCTTACCCTTGAAGCCAGTGGCCTTGACTTCATCCTCCTCATCAGCTTCAAACTCGCGCATGTCGGTAACAACATCCATGTCTGAGGCGCTGATCCACATCTTCCACTCGCGAGTCCAGAGCTTCCAGATGACGTAGAGAGTGAAGATGACGGGTCCAGCGAGGTAGGACTCGAAGAAGTTGGCAGCGTCAGGCTTGCCACCGATGGGGAAGAGGGCAACGTAGAACTGAGCAACAAGACAGATGACGTTGAGGAAAAGACCAACGTAGCTGCCAATGACACCAAACTTGGCCTTGTAAGGAAGTTGCTCGACGGTACGGCCAGATTGTGCCCAACCCTTGCGGAAACGGATGTGAGAGAGGTTGATGCTACCCCAGACGAAGAAGTTGGCAAGACCGGTGAGCGACAGAAGCCAGGTGANAAGAACGCTGCCAGCGGCGGCCAAGTTGACAAAGGCGAGCAGGCCCATGGCGAGCTGCAAGATGATGGTGGGGATAGGACGACCCTTCTTGTCAACGTAAGCAAGGATCTTGGGAGCCATGCCACGAGCAGCAAGAGCCTGGAGAGTGCGGGTAGAGGCGAAGGCAGAGCTGTTGGCGACACTGATGACGGAAACAGTGATCACGGCGTTGAAGATAGACGGGAGGATCTTGATACCAGCAAGGCGGATAGCAATGACGAAGGGAGAGTATTGGGAGTTGGCACCGTGGGCGTGAAGAAGATTGGGGTTGTTTGCAGGAACAACGAGGCCCAGGATGAAGAGACCGACGATGTAGAAGAAGGCAATACGCCAGAAGACCTGCTTGACAGCCTGGGGGAGGGACTTTCTGGGGTTGGCAGACTCGGCAGCTGCAAGGCCGACCAACTCAGTACCGCCGAAGGCGAAAGAGGCAGTAACGAAGACACTGCAGAAGCCCTTGAAGCCGTTACGGAAACCATGGCCGTACTCAGCGCCCCAGTAAGTGGCACCAATGTAGCCACGGGTGTCGGTAGGTACACCACCAACATCGATGACAATACCGAGGATGATGAAGCCGATACATGCGATGATTTTNNACTGTAATGAAGAGATTAGTTTATTTGGTGCAATGAGAGGTATGGGGGTTGCTCTGTGGGGGAGTGGTCAAATTTTGGTGAAAACCCACCAAAATTTGACCACACCTTACCACCAGGCTTCACATTTGACTCACATTATTGAGAGGACGAATTCCACCTCGCCATAAGCTCTAACTCCGAGGAAATTGATTGCGGCGAGACAGACCAGGAAGATGGCAATCCATACACCGACGTTGATGTGGGCGGCTCCCTTCCAGAAATCGATAGTGATAGAAGCAGCGGTCAACTCGAAAGGAAGAATAGTCAACCACTGAATGGCGTATTGCCAACCGATAGCAAAGCCCCAAGACTCGGAGATGAAACGGCAAGCGTANNTCTGAATAAAAAGTTAGCAAGGTGTCTCTCCACGCTCAGCACTGAAGAGGGACCATCATAAAATGAACATGACTAGTACGCGACTAGTACGTGCAAATGATGTGTGAACTTACGTGAAGAATGCACCGTTAACAGGGTACAGAACTGTGAGCTCTCCCAAAGCCTGCATCGTTGCCATCAACATGACACCGATGATTGAGAAACCAATGATCAATGATGCAGGACCTCCGGTATGGAGTGCACCGCCGGCGCCGACGAAGAAGCCTGCTCCAATAGCACCTCCAATTGCGATCATCTGCATGTGTCTGTTCTTGAGCGAACGTTTGAGCTCATTCTGCTGACCAGACTGGATCTCATATTCAGGAGACTCGCTGACAGTTTGAGAAAGGCCCTTCTCGGCATCGAAAGCCTTGTTGGCGTCCATATTGAGGACTGGAAAGAGTGTAGAGGGAAAGAGAGGAACGAGGGTGTCGAAAGAGGGACTGATAGATTGTGATCGTCTGCTGATAGAATGCTGGGGAGGAGGGCCATGGTATAGGTATTTAATGTGTTCGAGCATCTCCAGTTGCACCGCCAGTCGCGTGGGCTTCTAGAACCGAGTGGCGCACCTGGAACCATTGGAGGGTTTGGCGAGATCACGCTAGCTAAAGTATCAACGGCCTTTTCGCATAATCAGACCAGTTATCATTTGGCATCTCGGCCGAGTTTACCATGTGCCCGGAGTCGTAGAACCAGCAAGCAACAAGCACGTCCAAGGAACACTTGATGATGCTTGGTGGTTGATATAAGGATTCACCTTGCCCGTTGATAGTAGAGCCTAGTCATATGAGAATGGTGCTCATCCATGCCAGTCTGCCATGGACGAGCGTCTCTGACCACCCACCTTCTTTGCGTACCTTGGTCAGATTTCCGATCTCGCACAACGATGGATATTGAATTTGGTACGGTGTCGCTGTCTCTCGCAAGCAAAAAAGATAAAGATGAATAGAGTGAGCCAATCACGGGCCGAGACCTACACAAGGTGCACGCGATGACCATAGGGAAATCGAATGGTGAGAACGTCAAGAGACATTAGCGCAACGGCGACCTACTTCTCCATGGGGTTGTCTGGTCGGTGCTCTGCACCAAAATGAGCCTCGAAGTCGAGATGGCGTTCCGGCGCTCTCAGGCCCGTCTCTAGCCGCGACGAAACAAGATATTTGCTAGCAGGCAAGAACGAGACCACCTGCCTAACATCGGCACAAAGCCATACCAAAGTCAGGTCGTATTGTCAGAGATAGCCTTTCCCATGGGGTATCGCGATAAGGTCTCATAGTCTGACATCTCGGTGGTGCGGACTTGCGGAGAGGGTGAACTGCTATCAAGGGGCAGAGCTGAGGAGGGAGAAGCGAGCAGAAGTACAGTAGCACCGAGCATTTGACCGGCAGAGCTGGCACCATGGGAGTTTGTAAAGAACAACCGATGTTTGAGTAGAGACACACGCACCGTCGGCTTCGAATCTGTTGCAACTTGCCAGTCTGCTCTCCCCTTGAGACAACATCAAGACTGTATTGCAGTGTTTGATTCAGAACAACTGCTGTATTACTGACTCCGCATGTCAGTCTGTTGTACTTTTCACTCATTCTGCACTCAAGACATGCCTAACAATACAGCGCCCTGTCGAGGTGTCCTTGATCTTTTTTGTTTTCGGAGCACGTGCTTTTCTCTGTTGTCTAGCAAGTTTGTCATGTTCAGTATCAAGTCTTTGAAGATACACATCCCATCGGTCAACGCGAAAAAGAGGAAATGAGAAGAAACGCACAAGAATTTGGCCGAGCACTTCTCCGTTGGTCTTATCAACAGCTATGTTTCTGGGCTACGAATCACAGCACGCCATGCTAATGAGAAGGTAAAAAAGGTGTATCTTCATGTGTGTGAGAATTTCATTTCTTATCATTGGTATCTTGAAAACAAAAAACAGACCAAAATCAACATCAAAGCACATGGCGCCATTGGCCGCTCCGAAGACTCAAGCATGTACAGTGTTTCTGGTTCTGGTAATTTATGAGACGTGTTCAACGCGATCAGCGTACTCCGAATCATTGCGCTTCTCCTTGAAAGTCGTTCCGAGTGCCTCTGCGGTATCCTCATCATGAGTAACTCTCATGTCGCGACCCTTGAACTCGGGACCAACAAGAGTGAGGATGATAACATAGGCATACACACAACCAAGGAAGATACAGATGACCTTTCCGTAGTTGTATCTCTCAACCTTGCCAGCAGGAGGCAGAGGGAACTGCTCACCAATCTGAGCCTCGATAGTCGAACTTGCGCTGGAAGCAAGGTTGCCAAGCTGGTAAGATGTTCCGACGACGAAAGTTCTGAAGGCACCAGGAGACAACTCCATCAGGTGAATGGGAATAACACCCCAAGCACCTTGTACGCAGAACTGCTCGAAGAAAGCAGCGGCAATGACGGCCTTGGATGAAGTGAAGGTGTAAGGGTATAGCAATGCACCACCAACCACGCAAGCCACGATGATGGTGAGACGACGACCGAAGATGGTAGAACAGTAGCCCATGGTTGTGCCACCGGCGATTGCACCAAGGTTGGCAACAACTTGAGTGACTGTGACAGCGTTGGCGTCGAAGCGGTACTGGTTCTTCAGCATGGTTGGGTAAAGGTCTTGACTGCCGTGAGACATGAAGTTGAAGCCGGCCATCAACAAGACCATGTAAGTCAGAAGGAGCCAATGGCGCTTGAGAGCAATTTTTCCCTCGGCAATGAAAGTACCTCCGATGCTTGGGCTGCCAGATTCACGCACAGCTTGGCGTTCGCGGTATGCTTGTGTCTCGGGAAGGCACAATCTGAAGATAATGATCAGGACAGGAGGACAGGCACCAAACCAGAAGAGAGGTCTCCAGCCATGAGTAGTGGTGTCAACGAGACCACGAGCGAAGACTACAGCGAGGAGGTATCCAAAGGCATAACCTTGCTGCAACATTCCACTGATAATACCGCGAGCCTCCTCTGGGCAGTCTTCAAGTGCAGTCGCAGCAGCGTTTCCGTAAAGGCCGCCCATGGCAATACCGAAGAGTGCACGAACAGCAAGGAACTGGTTGTAGGTTTGGCAGAAACCGGTGCCAAGTTCAAGGATGATGAAGAGGATGTTGTTGACAACGAAAGGCCACTTGCGTCCGTAACGATCTGCTGCAATACCAAAGGCAATAGAGCCCACAGAGCGGAACATCAGGACCAGTGTGATACCCCATGTAATGTCCTTTGTGGTCTTTCCAAACTCCTTGGCGAGGTCGGATACTGTCAATGAGACGGTGAAGAAATCGAAAGNCTGAGGTAGAAGCACATTTAGCAAGAATTTGGTAGAATGTATTTATGACCTTGACATACCATCCCAAGTCCATGCGATAAATGCGACAGAGAAGAAGAGCCATTGTTGCAGATTGAGCAGTCGTAGGAGACCAATGGGATTCTTCACCTTGGTCATTGGCGGCTTGAGTGTGGAGATGCGAGTGGCAATGTATCTTCCAGCAGTCATCTTTTCCTCAGTTTCGCCAGTAGCAGGCATATGCTCCTGGTGATCGGCGTGGGCGTAGTCTTTATCCATCGTGGCAGGATATCTGTCTTGTCGGCTGTTAGCCAAGTTCCTCCAAGAAGCGTGCTGGGGCTTGACAGAGCTTGACACTGCGCCAAGCGCATGACAAGCTCACTGCCCAGACAAAACGCCCAAAGTCGAAGCTCATACCTGGACAAGAAACGATGGAAGAAAGATTGCGCGACGTCTGAAGAGGGCTGGATCAAAGATACCAGAGTCGGTAGACAGCAGAAACAGTGCTCGATCAGAAAGAAACAAGAGGGGTCGCACACCCTCCTTAAATACCTTGAGCGACCTCTTTAGGATCTCCGGGAATTAGAGAAAAGGATTGGCTGTGCCATGGGGAGACATGGTAGTTCTCGCGCTATTGATGCAGCCTTACTACGTTGGGCATAGTTTGGCATGGAGGCGGCTGGATTGTGAGGAGACTCCGCGATTTCTCCATGATAGAAAAGCTAGAGCCAGGGTTTGCTCCGTGGAGTCAACAGTTGTTCGATCACTTTCCGGAGAAGAAGTTCTCGAACCAGCATTTGACAGGCCAGCACCTCAGATTGCGAATCCGGACGGAGCTAAAAGCCTCGCTCGACGCGCCACGAACGATATGGCTGTATGGAAGCACTTTCCTTGGCGATGACAAGCATTTCTTGGTGAGCTCGTAAGTACCCTTGGCGTTGACGTAGATATGAACCTGAGAACTGATTGTCCACTGCTAATTGCATATGGTCAAGAAGTCCTGGCTATGCAGTTCACCTTGCTCAGGCTCGACGAGATTGGTGTCCATCTGTTTGGGTTCAGCGCATGGCAGGCAGACAGTGCGGCGGCTTCGGAACGTTGCTCGACTCTCGGTGCAAAACTTACGAGAAATCCCCGTTGACAAATTTCGTGGATTTGTACGCCAGTGACATTCGCGAGCAGTTTCCTGTCAACTCGCTTTCTGCGAGAACAATCCGTACCTCGGAAGAGGACATAAGGTTCCGAGAAAACGCCGCCATGTGATGAACAGCTGCATGGCATTCCGAGCGTACGAAGGTTAAATTGAGACTCTCAAAAGCAACAACAAGTAGGTACAACAGAACAACTTCTTGGTATGAACCCGACGAGATTCATGTCAATAAACATCTCTACCAGCCTCTGGTGCCTGGTGCGCCCTTGACAGACTTTCTTATAATATCGCTGGTCATCCAGCCTCCATAAAAGTCACCTGGCTGTGGCTCGACCAGTTCTCCATCGACGTAGCACTCCCATCGTGGGTCGGCGTAGAATGACACGTAGCCTTTAATGTCTGTAAAGGTTGGAGTGGGCTCGTTATAGGTCCAAGCACGACTGTCTACCAAATCGCCTGCTGGTGTCTTGAAGGTAAAGTAGTTGGCGACGCCTTTCCATTCGCAAAAGGTGCGTCGGGATGTGGGAGTCATGACCAACTTGATGGAGGCTGGGGGTAAGTAGTAGGTGGGTGGATGGTATGTCTCGAGCACCCAATAGGCACGGTCGGTAGAAGCAATGGTGGGACCATCAGGGCCAGGGAATTTGATCAGTATATTCTTCTTGATCTGCTGTAGGGCAGGAGGACGAGGAAACGTCCGAGGGTCCAACATGGTAGATTGGGTTAGGATGTGATTTGTTAAGAAGGAGGCAGGTGGGTCAGAGCCAGACTTTATCTTGTGGTTGATATGGTGAAAGGTGTGTTTATGCCGACGGTATAGAAGATCAAGTGGCCGAGAGATGCAAGAGATGATGACGCGGGAGGCACATGGCTTGGCAGGGTCCATAGCCAATCAACCGGCTTTGTCGATGCTGCTGACCCGTCTGTTGGAACTTCCATGAGCAAACACAGCAGTGCGGGGTGTCACGGTAAAGAAACAATCGGTCTTGCCTCGAGCGCGAGTTGAATTGAATTGTCTGTCTCTTGATGTTCCGAGTTTCTAGAAGCGCGGCAATCTTGCGGTCAGCGACGGACTAACTGAGTCGAGAAGGGGTGCCGTGTGCCTGAGAAGCTCGGGCTATTCTTTCTGCGACAGCGTGCGGTATCTTTTCAGTCGTTTGTTTGTTTCGGGCACCTACAGACTGCAGCACAATCTACCGACTCGTCGTCACACACGCCCAACACGATGCCGACGCCAAATTCGCGACCGTCGTCGCCCTCGCAAGCGGCTTCGACTCCTCGCCCGGTGCTCGCACACGTGCCTGCAAACCCGTCCGGCTTGCGCCAGTCGCATACCCTCTCGTCGCCCGAGAACCCTTCGATGATCCTAGACAATGCAAACAGAAGTCGGTCGCCAGAAGCCATCCCGGACTCCAACGGCGGACAGTCCGAGCCCACCGTGCGCACCCGTCTCATAGAACAGCAGAGCTGGGATCAAAGACCCAAGTTCATGCAACACTACGGCAGCACCTTCAGCACCGACTCGTACGACCCAAGAGAAGGCCTCGAGAGCGGCGCTGTGACTCCTCACAGCTTGCTCGATGAAAGTATCGACGGTCTCCTCGGTTCTGCCCCTGACAGCAACATGAGCACAACTCGATGGCTGGCCAAGCAGCATGGTGTCAAGAGTGAGCGGACCATGTATGTAGCAGAGTCCCTCTCCCCAATATATCTCTTCTGCTTTCTAAACCTGCTCTCCCAGNNGTATCTCCAATACTATCTCCCTGTGACCAACTGGATCCGCCAGTATCAATGGAAGTTTCTGCGCGGTGATCTGATTGCTGCCTTGACCATGGCATCTTTTTACATTCCCATGTCTTTGTCCTATGCCTCAAACCTGGCCCACCTTCCACCTATCAATGGTCTCTACGCCTTTGTCTTCAATCCATTCATCTACGCCATATTTGGTACTGTACCGCAACTGGTCGTCGGTCCCGAAGCTGCTGGCTCTCTTCTTACTGGTCAAGTCGTGCGTGAGAACATTAGTTCCGGAAAGCACAGAGACAACGACTTTGCAAGTAACACCCAAATCGCTGGAATGGTTACTGGAATCTCTGGCGCCATCATTTTGCTTGCTGGTCTCTGCAGACTCGGTTTCCTCGATAGTGTTCTCAGCCGACCTTTTCTTCGAGGCTTCATCAGTGCTATTGGTGTTGTCATCTTTGTCGATCAGCTCGTACCCGAGACCGGCATGACTGCACTTCTTGAACACGACCCTAGCGGTGCTGCACACGGCAGCTCTTTGACAAAGATCGTCTATCTGATCAAGAATGCAGACAAGGCACATAGATTGACTTGCGCTGTGTCATTTGGTGCCTTTGCCATTGTCATGGTCTTTAGGCAGCTGAAGAGAAGCCTGCAGCCCCGTTATCCCTCAGTGGCTTACTTCCCTGACCGTTTCTTGGTCGTTGTGTTCTCTGCCTTGTTTACATGGGGCTTCTCGTGGGACAAACAAGGTCTCGACATCTTGGGTGACCTGAAGACCACTGGCAAGCCTTTCCAGGTGCATTTCCCATTCCAGCCATCCATGATGGAGCACGTTACCGACGCCTTCTCTACATCATTCCTTATCGCTCTGCTTGGCTTCTTCGAAAGCAGTGTCGCAGCCAAAAGTCTCGCGAACAGTACGACAAAAATCGAGAAGAAGGTTGACAAGGATGGCAACGAGTACGAAGAGGCAGACGGCATTGTCAACATGAACGTCTCTGCTAACCGCGAGTTGGTCGCTTTGGGTGTTGCAAACATCCTTGGAGGCCTGTTCATGGGTATTCCTGCCTTTGGTGGTTACGGAAGAAGTTTGGTGAATAAGAGCACTGGCGGCAAGACGCCGATGAGCAGTGTCTTCTTGTCCCTGATCACCGTCTTTTGCATTCTATTCTTACTGCCATACTTTTACTACATTNNCCCGTAAGTCTACACTACCCAAGGTATATTCATGGTATAAGCGACCGATACTGACACAACAAAACAGAAAGGCGTACTCGCTGCTATGATCTCAGTGGTAGCGTACTCGCTGATAGAAGAAGCGCCCCATGACATCCACTTCTTCTGGTCGATCAAGGGCTGGAATGAGATCATCCTCATGCTGCTGATCTTCCTAACAACCTTCTTCTGGAACCTGCGCATAGGCATCGCCGTCGGCATTGGCCTTTCCCTTCTGCGTCTCCTGAAACACGCCACTCGCCCACGCATTCAAATCCTCGGTCGCGTCCCTGGTAGTCGCAATCAATTCGATAGCGCTGAACACGGCGGATTAGAATCCATCCCTTACGTGCTTATCGTCAAGATCCCTGAGCCTTTGACCTTTGCCAACACAGGGAGCCTCAAGGATCGATTGAGGAGACTCGAGGCTCATGGCACTAGTGCTGCTCATCCTGCTCTGCCTCGCGTGCGCCACCAAGAGCATAATCGCAATGTGGTATTCGACGTTCACGGCGTGACATCCCTGGACCCTGCAGCTGCCCAAGTCCTTCTCGAAATCGTGACCGGGTACCGCGAGCGAGGCACGAGAGTCTTCTTCTGCAGAGTGCCCAGTCGCAGATCTCAAGTATGGAAACTCATGCTTGCGAGCGGGATTGTCGAAGTCTGTGGAGGCGAGTCACATTTCACCAGGGGTGTTGAGCAGGCGCTCGAGATGGCTGACCATGAGGAAAGAGCTGATAGTCTAAGGGAGGACGGCGAAAGTTTTGAGGAGCGTAGGGCGGCAACAACCTGAGCCTCCGAGGAGCCGTTGTAGAAAACACGTTTTTGACGACGCATGAAGCATGAAAGGAGAGAGAAATGGTGGGTGAATCGTTATTGTTCGCGTATAGAAGAACAGTGGAGCGAGGTCTGTACAGCTTTACCTCGTGCTCCCGAATTGGAAACATCCGATTCTTGATATCATGGCATCGTTGTTGGCGCTTTAGCCATCTGCTCTTGTCTTCTGCCCGCTTGTCACCAACTTATGAGAGTGAAGAACTAACGGTGTGCCTTGGTTGTGAACAGGGTCGTACCGTCAACATACTTTTCCATCTTTGATCTTTGCATCACTCCCCAGACCTTTGATCGAACTGTAAAGGGTGTCAAGACGACTCACAGAGGCATGTACTATCATCTCTGACCCATGTCTTGGTAGTTCAAGGCTCCAGGGTCGATAATATCTCTATCCTTATATTTCGAAATTCGACTACCTGAAACGCACGGCATGACGACCGCCTTTACCGAGTTTTTGGTCAACAAGACTCTCTGTTCATTATACCCTATACTAGATCGATCGTATATCAAACGATATACTTCAGTCTGTTCTGCTCGGTACCAGCAGGAAACCGCCTGCTCGGTAGTCGTTCCTTCCGGTTGAGCAAGGTTAGAAGCCGAAGTTGAAGCCGAAGTCAAGGCTTCCGTTCCGAAGTTCGGAGACGCACTTCTACTCTCCCCATCACAACAGCAAACACAATGATCAGAAAGCATGAATTCGGACGCTCTTCTGGCTCGTCGCCTGCTGCAAAGCGTCAAAAGATAGCGGTTGCGTGTGACGCTTGCAGAATACGCAAGATCCGGTGTGATGGCAAGGAACCAGTGTGCACTCAATGCGTAAGCGGAAGGAAACTGCATACCTGCACTTACGGGCGGAAGCCACCCGAGGTTCAACGAGAAAATCTACAGGACCTAGAGAGTAGTCTCGTACAAGACGACACACTGCGAAGCACGAGGGAGAGTGCGGATGCTATGTCTACAGCTCAAACCAGACTGAATGGCATAGCTGCGGCGTATACTGGTCCTTCACGTCCAAATATAGCTTCGGACAAGCCTCAGAATGTGGTCTTTGGCGAATCCCCATCCACGACATTCTCGAATCGACTGTCTCGTCATCCAGAACATCCTCAGCAAGGCTTCAATTTCATCGAGACGAACAGAGTACCCTTCAAACTTGGCGGCTCTGCTGAGAAAGCAGGGGTGTTGCCTCGTCGTCGTATTGCAGATGAGATAGTCGACGATTACTGGAAATTTGTGCATCCTCTATTTCCGATACTACATCGACCCACATTCATGGCTGCATACGAAAAGTCATGGATGTCGCAGCCAAGCCAGGGTACAAAAGCAGATGAAGGCCGACGAGAGTTCGAGGAGGCTCTGTTCTTCTCGACTCTGAATATCATGTTCGCGCTTGGAACCCGATTCTGCGACAGCGTAGCAGCAGCGGACAAGAGCGATATGGTAAAAGAGTTCTACAACAGGTCAAGGCAGGTCTTTACGTTCGATGTCCTCGATCATACTTTCATGCCGGTCTTGCAAATGGTGCTGCTTCAGGGTGTTTACCTACAGTCCACTACCGAGGTCTCGAGATGTTGGAATGTGATTGGCGTCGCCATTCGAATGGCTCAAAGCCTAGGGTTACACTCGGAAAAAACATATCAACGTCAGAAGACACAATATACTCGTGAGATGGGAAGGAGGCTCTGGCACTCTTGCCTTGTTCTGGATAGGTAAGTTCCTGTTGGTGCAACCACGAGTTGAGGCATTAACGTTTTGNNCAGACTCGCTGCTGCTACCTTTGGATGGCCCATGATGATCCAAGGCCAAAATAGTATACCCCTTCCTGTACTCGATGACAATGCCATGAGTCTACAGGGCGAAGTATTTGTCCCAGTGACACCGACCTCGGCCATCCAAACTTTCAGATACACCTGCAAGTTGTTCGGTATCGTTGAAGATGTAGTATCAACACTTTATCATAACAATGGATCACTACTGCCGGCGAGTGTGGACCGGTGTCAGCATTCTCAGATCTTATTACAGGTCATGGGCTTAAATGGTCGACTGGAAGCATATCTAATCTCGTTACCAATCTTGATTCGCGACTTCATCGACGGATGTGAGCATACCAATCCAGATGGTGCTTGGAAACCTTTGCTTGCTACCCAGCATGCCATTTCCTGCAGGTAATACCCCTGTCACCGTGTGCCACTATCGTTACATTTGCTTCACTAACATACTTGTTTNAGATTCCTTTATACACGAATACTTCTTCTGCGCCCAGCACTACGGACACCTCTGGATAAGTCAGACTTGACTGAAGAAGGGGATGAGCAAATAACCATGCATGCTATTAACATTTGTGTCAAGGCTAGCCATCGTCTCCTGGATATATTGTACACCAGTGTTGACTCTTCGTTATACATAGCCGATTGGCATGTTGTTTACAGTAAGCACTCTTCACAGAACGATGAACAAAGCAGAGTAAAGAAAGCCCGGAACTGATTGTCCATAGTGACATTCACCGCTGCGACATCTCTACTAGCCATCAAGAAATCTGCCTCGATGCCATTATTTGAGCTACACGAGCCGCTCGTCGACTCGTTGCTGAGGGTCTCACGCCACATCCTTCAAAACATGAGCCAGCGAGTACTCGTTTCGGTTCGAGCCGTCCGCTTCTTGAACACCTTGGAGAACCAAATCGCCCTACAGAATGCTCGACCTCAACGTATTGCGGAAGCGACCGTAGTGCCCAGTGTAGAACAAGACCTTGACGACCATCCACTAGAGAGCTTTGGGGATCTGGATGATTTCGATTGGTTGGTGAACCCGAGTGCATTGCTTAGTAGGCAAAGCCCTGGATTGGATATGAGTTGGCTGGAGGGAGCAGACTCCTGGTTGAGCTAAATGAGATGATTGACACGTATGCACCTCTGTCCGCGGATATATAAGCGAAAGTGTGCTCTATATGATCGATTAGGTCAAGGACACCGGACCCAAAACAACCTCCTCCCAAGGGGTAAAGTAAACCTCACCGAATCATCATATCAATGTCTATTGGCTTTGTCCACATCGAACCGACGGAAAAGCGCAGTGGTAGTAACCCGTGTCTCCCATACATGCGGCTAGAGTCCACTGCTTCGATTTTCCTCTGGGCCAATTGTCTAAGTCGCCTCTTTGTGCCAGAGGTCCCGGTAATCCTCACCCCGACGGTAATAATGATGAACGCTTTGCTTTCTCTTTCCTTCCTAGCAGATATGGCGGCTAGAGAGGTGTTTCTGTTTTGCCGGTTCAGTACGGTGCTTTTCTTTTTAGTATGGATGGATCTTAAATGTGGTGTACTTGCGTTTGGATAACGAAACCCAAGCGTTTGCATCATGATTTGCGTGTTGTTGATTATAGTTGTTGAAACTGTGATTTCTAGATATTCATAACACTCTAGGCGTTTCCGCCCTCGAGTACCTCGACTACACCGCCAACCAAATGCAGACTACCAGTAGCAAGAACCATGACTTCTTCTTTCTGCTCTCCGGCCACTTCTCTCGCAGCCTTGACGGCTTCTTCCACGGTTCTGAGCACACGCACATTGCAAGTTTGGTCTACACCTCTCCAAGTTTCGGCGAGGGCATTCTGCACACTCAAAGTCTCTACATCGGAAGCATTGGTATTGATGCTCGTGAGATCGGGACGGAATCCCGATTCAGCATAGGTAGTGTTGGTGCAGANAAAGGCGTGAGAGAATGGCTTTTGATCTGCCAAGGCAGAAGCAAGAGTTTCATGCAGTTTCAGCGCCAGCGAAGAAGCATCACGGGTTTGTTGGTTGAAGATCAGGATACGAGTAGACGAGTTTGGAGAAGAGGATATGAGACTGCCGAACCAGCGAGCGGCTAGCTCGATGCTTTCGAGTGTGTGGCCGCCGTCAATGTGCCATTTCAGGTTGGGAGTTGTGGTGTCTGTGCGTGTTTCGCAGCGGCCGCCGAGATGGACGTCTTCGAGGCCTTTGCGGAAGAGGGTGGGTAGGTATGTAGGCGTGGGTAGGTCTTCGACGCCTGCACGACGCAGGTATGCAGCTGCAGCAGCAATGGCGACTGAGGCGTTTGTCTTTTGGAAGTCTGCGGCGAGACCGAGCTTGATGTTGTCGAGTTCAGGGTGGACGTTGACAACTTCGAGGTGGGTATTGCGTTCGGCGGCGCGTTCGTGAAGGACGCGGATGGCTTCTTCGGGTTGAGAGGCAGAGAAAGCAGGGACGCCGGGTTTGAAGACACCGGCCTTGTGCCAGGCAATGGAATCGATTGTATCGCCCAGCATGGCGACATGGTCTATGCCCAAGCTCGTGACAGCTGTGACGCTGGGCTTTACGAGAATGTTGGTACTGTCGAACTCGCCTCCAATACCGCACTCGATGACAGCAGCATCCACGCCTTCGCTGATGTACGTGTGGAGCGCCATCAAGGTCAAGAAGCGAAAGTAGACGGGCTTGGTCTCCTTGCTGGTGGGATCTTGATGGCCAGCAGCTTTGGCGGCAGCCTCGAGTCTGTTCCACGTCTCGAAGAAGTATTTTGCGAATTGCTCTTCAGTCAGGGGCTTGTTGTCGATCTGGATGCGCTCGCGCACGAATCGCAAGTGGGGTGAAGTGTAGAGACCAGTCTTGGTGACTTTGCCTTCTGCGACGTATTGGCCGAGGATTGATGAGACGAAGGAGCTGGTCGAGCCTTTGCCCTTTGTTCCGGCAACGTGGACGGCCTTCAGTCTGTCAAAGTCGGCGGGCTGTAGAGATGCCGCGTCAGTCATGTGTACCAGCACTACCTCTCACGGGTGAACGCACACCTCGTAGCCCAGCTTCTTGACCCATTCGACCATCTCGGGGATGGCATTCTTGTTCATTCCCCTTCCAGACTTGCGGATAGCGTCGACGATGGAAAAGTTGCTCTGCAGCGTGTTCAATGCCGCTACGGCTGCCTGTCATGCTCCGTCAGTCGATCATCTTCAGACGAGTGTCCCTTGACCCTTACATTGTAGTCGCCCTGCATCTTGACGGTGAAACAGAAATTGCGATTGGAAGGTTTATGAACCAAAGATTGCTTCCATGCACGCGACAAGAGATTCATGGGCGCATGAGCATGTTGAGAGAGCTTTAGGGTCGAATCCACCTTGACGTCTTTCGCGACGCCCGACTTCGGCCAACGTCACCCTCCATCTACCACTGACATCTCATCACAACTCTTCTTATCCACAAACATCTGATACCGACTTGAGTTCGGTCGTCCCCAAACTTACTAAACATGATGCCGAGAACGCTGAAATGTCTTGACCGTATCCCTCTCAGCGTCCGAACTCTCCATGACAACTTCGGCCCCCTTCCGAAGTCGAATCTCGGATGATCCGCGCTCCACCAAAGACGCGAGAAAGATGCTCTGCCCTGATGACTTTGCAAGAGCTATATACTGCGTCTTGTCCTTCATTGTCCATGCTTACTTCCTAGACCAAATTCTCCTTCCAGAAGCCTTTTGACAAGCCATCTGCAAAATTCTATAATCCACTCAAGAATGCCATTCGTCACAGTCCAAGGTGCAAACCTGCATTACGAGACCTTTGGCACAGGACCGCCTCTCCTCTTCATCACTGGCGCTCGCGGTAATGGCTCAGCCTGGCATCGAGCAGCCCAATATCTTTCAGTCCACTACACCACAATTTGCTACGACCGCCGCAATCACTCGGCCAGCACCATCACCGGACCCCAAGATTACGACCACCGTCTAGACACGGATGCTGAAGATGCCGCCCACCTCATCAAACACCTGAGTCCCTCTGGCACAGCAAGCGTGGTGGGAAACTCTTCTGGTGCCATTGTAGCTTTGAGACTGTTGCTCAATCACCCTGATTGCGTGGATATGCTTGTAGCCCACGAGCCCCCTGCTTTTGGCGCTTTGCCCGCCGACTTCAGAGCCATGGGAGAAGCAGCAGTCAACCACGTCTACGCACAATACAGGAAGTCCGGCCCCATGGCCGCAATGGAAGAATTTACCGCCAGTCTCGGTACAGGGAGTGAGGGTGCACTCATGCGTAAAGTCATGCATCCTGCAACCTCGCTGGAGATGCGTGCAAACTGCCTTTTCTGGTTTGAGTTTGAGCTTCGCCAATATCCTTGTTCGGACGTTGATGTTGTTGGTCTTGTCAAGCTTAGGGGAAAATTTGTTCCTGCTGCTGGAACTGACTCGGGCGATGGGGTTGGCGTTGCACCTATTAGTTCCATTGCGGCGGCTGCAGAGAGGGATGTCTTGAGGCTTCCTGGTGGTCATGTGGGCTTTATGGCGCAGCCTGAGGCATGGGTCAATGCGCTGGTTAATGGTATCAAAGCATACTGAATTCTTCTAGTTGTGTCACAGTGAGTTAGTCAAACGTTGCCACGATCCAAGGATTGTGTACACTCAAAAGCGATATGAACAAGACACAATTGTGTGGGTAGTTTTGTAATGCTCTTGTCTTCATAGCATGACTATAGTACAATAAAGGGTCGTATCCTCATAAACATGTTTCTGTATAGAAAGGGTCCAGCCCTTGACTCTGCAAGTCCATCTTTGGGATGTGATGTGTTCCCTTGCTCAGGCATCATGATTGATCGCGTTGTAAAGCAGTTTACTTCATGTTGGCATTGGTGGTGCTCTCGGTCGAGACGGGAACGCCCTTGATGCCCTTCTCTCCGGGCTGGTTGCTGCCATTGTCGATGCCAACGTTGGTGACGCCAGAGTCGGAAGCGACGGGGGCTTCGCCAGGAGCCTTGCCTTCGGTGTGGCCAGCAGCGTTGGAGGCACCATCACCGTGCACTGTGGTTTGGGTCAGTATGAGTTCGAGAGTTGAGTACAAGGTCAAGCAAAACGCACTCTGAGCTTGCTTCTTGGCTTCCTTGTCGGACATGCCAGCGCCACCGGGAGTCTTGGAGTGAGGCATTGTGGATGTGTGTGTTGTTTTGGCTAGTGGTAAGGTGTGAGATTGAGTTGTGTGTGTTTGAAGGGAAAGAAGAAAGGTAGCTAGCTTTGATAAATATACCTTTTGTGACTTTCCTAGAGCTTAAAAACGTACCTGATGTCATCATCATCCATGACGCATAACCGATCTGAGATAACAGTCGTGATTATTTTTGTACGCTGAAGGGATAGAGACTCCACCTTTTTGATCCTTTGATGAGTGCGATGCGATTGTTGAGATGAGTTGATCGCGATTTTGGGTGGTGTCTCTCTTTCAACAAGGTGATCGATGTTGGTGGTGAAGCTTTGGTATGCGGTAGTGAGATACCATCCTTTTATCATCGTCTGACTCGGGTCTTCTTCTCGAACTCAGAGCAGTCATCTTATGACCTGATAGATGCACTCTCTACACTCAGAATTGAGAGATACAAGAATCGAATCTTGGGTCACTCTGCTTCGCGTTGTGGTCTGATAGGGAGAACATATGCGGATTTGACTTTCGCTGCAATTCACACGCTGACCAGCTGGAAACCTTCCATTGTACCTGCATAAGATCTATATCCGGCGCTGGGTTTTCCGAGCCCATCACGCGCTGTTTGCTGTTATTCGATCACATGGTTTGTTGTGGTGAAGGTCGGGGCTTGTGTTTGGGAGGCTCCACCACATGGATTCGGGTGTCAGCGATCTCCCGGATTAAATATGAAACGGGAGAGCTTTCCTTACACAACACCGGAAAAACGGATGCCTTTCCGGCATAAAGATCTGTCAACCCTTATTCGACAAGGTTTAAGCGCAATAGAAGTGTTTGGTGATGGGATGTGATAATCATTGCCAATGAGCCGACTTCGCCATGGTAGCTGCTCATATCCATCGCGACTTCCGTATTGTTGTTTGGACTGCCGAATCGTTTGACGCTGGATAACAAATACTGAACGATCACCTATTTCTCGACTCGAAAAAGGTCTGGCCAACCGTTGTACATGATGAATCTACGTCATTGACAATTAGCTACTGCCGCGATCAGGGACGAACGTGGATTGGTTTTCGCTCTCTGCAAAGAGGCGTCAACAATAGCATCGACATGGAAGAGAGTGTCGCTCTGCCAGCACAATGGTAGACCCGTCGAGATCACAGGCCTCGTCTTTTCGATCGCAGAGCCCGCATCGTGGCTTCATGTCGCCAAAGTCAACATCATCGCAATCTTGCTCCGGATCGCTCTTCTCCAGCTTGACCGACATCAACTCCCTGCTCGAGTTTCTGAGCGACGATGACCGGCCCACTTTCTTGATCGAGGTCCTTTCTTCGAATGTTGCTGTTCCTCACATCCCTCGTGTCGTATTCCAGAATGCCGCTTTCTCCTCGTTCCTCGAGCGCACAGTCACCAAAGACTCGTATGATGACTGGCTTCGATCGCTGTCTACGAGCGTAGCAATACCTAGTAATCGACCCGTGAAACCTTTCGGAGGAAGAGCCTGGTCGAGTAAACGTTTTCGCAATGCCTGGAGGGTTGTCTATTGCAGCCAATGGGAAGATGACAGAAAGCTGGATAGCGTTGCCGAAGCACACACAACGCCACACAACCATGGCCAGGAAGACACAGACATGACAGGCTCGGAACATGGGCTTCAACCTTCTCCTTGGACAGATGCACAGGAAAAGATAATTGACTGGACTCGCTCCCCTCAGAAAGTACGCCAGTCGACATGGATCGACTTTATCAAAACATACCCTTTCGAAAAGACCTTTCTTGGGCCCATGTCGCGATGGTCGGATGACTTGCGACGTCTGGCAGTCCAGATCATGTCTTCACCAGCTCCTAGGATGGTATACTGGGGACCAGAGCAGGCCATCCTCTACAACGAGGCAGCTGCAACTTTGCTTGGTTCCAAACACCCCAATTTCGCTCTAGGAAATCGTTTCATTGATGTCTGGGGTCCTGAGATACACGAGAAGCATATGAAGATGATTAGAACAGCCTTGGACCGAGGCCAAGTCGCCGAAGCCCGGGAGATGGAAGCTGTTCTGGAACGTAACGGGTTTGTCGAAGAGACCTATTGGGACGTCGTATTACAGCCCTGTAGCGGACCAGAAGGTCATATGGTTGCCGTCCTGAACACATACCAGGAATGCACATCTTCAGTTTTCCAAAATCAACGACGGAAACTCATCGACAAGATCCAAGCCATTATACCCACCGTTGACAGGTTCCCCGACCTCTGGACATCAGTAGCAGCGGAGCTGCGTAACCATCTTCAGGATTCAGCATACTCCTTAATATACACGGCCGTCAATCAACCTACCGAGTCAGGCTACGCACATGCTAGCGATCGAGTGGATACCTTCCAACTGGAACTGCAAATAACGTCAGGAATCGCATCGCAAATTTTCGAGTCTGTTGTCCACACTGGCGAGCGATTCCATAGACCTTCGTTAGGACCCGTATTTGCCGAAGCTCGCGAGACCCAACAAATTGTCGTACTACAGCACGACAACCTTCCNCCAGAGCTGGCTTTACTCATACCAGATCGCGGGTTTGTGACTACGGCTTGTATCTTGCCTATCGCAAGTGTATCTGGACAGCAAATTGCTTTCATCGTCCTTGGAATGAACCCGCGGAGGCTTTTTACGGATGAGACTCGTCTCTTCATCAGCCATATGTCCGATCTAGTATCCAAAGCTGCTGCTATGATTTCTCTTCCTGAGGAGCAGAGGCGAGATCAGGAAAAGTTTGAACAAATCAACTTCGCACTCTCCCAGCAGCTGCAGATTATCGCTTTGAAGGCCGAGAAGAACGAGGAGACTTTTACTCGTATGGCACAGAATGCGCCCTTTGGAATGTATGTTTCGCTCTTTGTACTTTTGAGGCTATAAATAAAGTGGACTGACCTGATTGCGTAGNNGTATATGTTTGACCGTGACGGCAACCCGAAATACGTCAACGACGCATATCTTCGACTGATTGGCCTCGATCGTGATACGTTCGAACAGGCCGCATCTCGTGGACTAGCATGGAGAGATACAATATACGAAGAGGACATAGATCTGGCCACACACATATGGACGCGAATGAGAGACTCGAAAACACCACAGACGTTCGAGTACCGAGTGAAAATGGCCCCTACACAACCTGGTGAGAAGCCTGGCACCCGAACACTCGAGACGATCTCTTTCCCAGAGATCGATGAGAGTGGACGTATCATCACAGTACAGGGCTGGCTTATGGACATTTCTCCTCGTAAACGTTTACAGACTCTCATGGCACAGCGTCTGGAAGACGCTCTCGAAACCAGACGAGCATCAGAGAACTTCATCGATATGGGTAGGCTGGCCAGCTCTGCTTTTAGTACTTGTACTAACCAACATTANGTCTCGCATGAGATGCGCAATCCATTGTCAGCCATACTACAGCTTGCGGACGGTATTCTTGGCTCGCTCGATACTGCCCCAGTGCAGGATCCCGTTTCCTTGCCAGCTGACACGATCAATATGATGGTCGATGCAGCTCAAACCATTGTGAGCTCGATTGAGTATTGAGACTTTGCGAGTTGTTAGACTGACTTCGAACGACAGACTCTCTGTGCTCAACATCAGAAATGCATTGTAAGTTTGTTTGAAGTCTAAATACCAAGGTCATACTGATTTGCCGTTGCANNGGTTGACGACATTCTGACCTTGTCTAAGCTTGACTCTTCATTGCTTGTTATAACCCCGGATAAGGTCCACCCGCCAACACTCATCGAGAAGTCCCTCAAGATGTACGATGCCGAACTTGCCAGGGCAGATATTGAGGCCAAACTGGTGGTTGAACAGAGCTACCTCGACGCGCGCCTGAATTACGTGATGCTCGATCCCAGCAGAGTACTGCAAGTCATCATCAATCTCTTGACCAACGGAATCAAGTTCACTCGAGATTGCCCGACGCGGAAGATCTCAGTATACTTGTCAGCGTTCGAGAAGCCGCCAGTTAGAGGTCAACGTAGTGTCACCTTCATCGAGCCACGACCACGACAATCAAGTCTCTCCACCTCACCAGAGTGGGGTCCTGGNGGAGAAGTCTATATTCAATTTGCGGTGCAGGACACTGGAAAGGGTTTGACAGAAGATGAACTCAAGTTGCTATGGCAGAGATTCAGCCAAGCAAACCCCAAGACTTACAAGCAATATGGTGGCAGCGGTCTTGGTCTATTCATCTCTCGTGAGTTGACCGAGTTACAAGGNGGGCAGATTGGTGTCCACAGCGAAGCCGGTGTCGGAAGCATCTTCATGTTCTACATCAAAGCCAGACGCTGTGTCGACGAGCCAAAGAGCCGACAGACGAGCTTCTCCGCCCCTACTGCCACTAGTCCGGTCCTCCTNCCCCACACAGCGTCCGCGGCAAGGAGGGCCAATGTCAGCGAAGGCTCTGTGCATACCCTGTCATCGCCTACTTCCACCGTTCCTCCTCAAGATATCCATATCCTGATCGTCGAGGATAATAAGATTAACCAGCGCGTAAGTGATCGTCTTGAGGTGTCCTAATCTCTGCTGACGAACCTTGTGCAGGTCATGTCACAACAGCTTCGCAAACTTGGTTGTATCGTCCACACAGCCGACCACGGTCAAGATTGTCTCGACTTCCTAGAAACGACAACTTTTGCTTCCGATTCTAAAAACATACCACTCTCTATAATTCTCATGGATCTAGAGGTATGTTCTGCTATCGCCATGTGCTTGTATCTCAACCTGTAATATTGATCTTTGCACAGNATGCCAGTAATGGATGGCTTGACCTGCGTACGGAGGATCCGCGAATACGAAGCCACAGGCCAAATCATCAGCCATGTCCCCGTTATCGCCATTACCGCCAATGCGCGAAGCGAACAGATTAACATTGCCATGGAGGCAGGCATGGATACTGTGGTGACGAAACCTTTCAGGATCCCGGACTTGGTGCCTAGGATGCAGTCGCTGTTGTCTGAATATCCGGCCAGATGAAGCTCATTTTGCTTTACAACCTGAAAGTTGTGATGGGTTGACGATGCTGCGTGGACGTGTAGAGAGAGCATCGCTCTTCACAGGACCAGGAGTCGAGATCTGAGATGACCGATGGCGTCGTGGTTTGAGATTATGGGTTCCCGGGAATTCGGACCCAGACTTCGATGGTTTGACGGCTGTGGACAAGATCTGCTTTTCTGGAAAGCACAATCGAGGCCAGCAAAAGCAAAGGGCCAGCGCAAAGATGCCCCTTTCAAAGTGCCAATATAGGATCTCTCGACAGATCTCTCTTCTGCAATTGTCTAAATTCATGAGCACGAACAGAGGAACAGACACACGCGAATAACCATAGACTTCTACCACGTTATATAATTACTTTGACAAGATTGTTGGAATAGACTTGCATCACATCATCAGTCAATGTATCATCATAGAACCTTGAGGCCATTGCTTCTCTTTATTGCACCTCGAGCCCAATGCTTCTCGTACCTCTGTACACCAGCAATACGACCCGCCAACTCAAGTGTTTGTCTGTCCAACAGGTCCAGCAAACGCATTGTTTTTTACATCTGCACCCTCATATCTCACGACCTGGAAAGCAAAACGAGAAAACAAGATCGCGAAGCACGAAGCTTCATCTGGTGGTCTTGAAGCAGCGGCAAGGGAGCAGCGATGCTTGTGTTGTCCATGAAGTTTTATGGAAGGAAGCAGAACGGCGATTCGCAGTTTCCTTGACACTTTTTGCTGCATCTTCTTCTTTTTCCTTCTAAGTGTTACTTGTACCTTGCAGCTTGACAGTACGATTTAAGCTTATGAGATGTAACCCACTCAGACGAATGCAATATCTTGTAGGAGCAAAACAGACCTTGTTTGCTTGGGCTCTGTATTCTAGAGCCCTTCCGGGAGACCAAAGCCGTGAGTTCCGGTTTCGGCGAAGAGTTGGCAATCTGCCTCTAGCAACATGCACTCGCAGCAAACAGCAGAAACAAGCAGACTTGCCACTATACCATCATCTCTGCAAATCCTGTGTCCCTCCAAAGGTTTTCTTGCGACCAGACAGGATAGGAATATCGACGTGATCAGCTACAAGAACACCCCAACAATACTGTAAAGTAAACAACGAAGCATTGAGGCAAAGACACAAAACATACAAAAGAAAAGAAGAGATTAATTTACTGATGAAGGGGTTATGAAAGTCGCGTACTATATACAAAAACGGATTCCTGGTCTATCTGAAGAGCGGGTCAGGGGTGTGTGATGGGGTATCATGAAGCGATGAACGGAAAAAGACAAACGGAATGAAAAAGAGGTATCAACCAAAGTGTTGACTGTTCAAAAAAGCCGGCAAAAATGCAGGATGCAAGCAAAAACACAGGCTTGACGTATTCAAGCATGAAGGGCATGTGCAAAGATTAGTAGATCTTATGATCGCAATGACTTTCGCAAAAAGAAGAGAAGATGAAACAAATGAAAAGGATGGGTCAAGAGGTGGGCAGTTCTTCAAAAGTGACCGATCACTCGCGTTGCATGCCGGCGAATGCGACAAGGCCATCGCAAAGCTCTTGCCAGGGGGTCTTGTGGTCCACTTCGTCGTCTTCAGAGGAATAGTCGAATTTCTCGCCGCAGGCTGTGCACAGGTGCTCCTTTTGGCAGCAAGGCGTTGAGGCTGGAAGGAGTTGAGCTTGAGTGGTTGTTCCTTGCTCAATCTCGTTTTCAACCTCGTGCCCAGCCTCGTCTTCGGCTTCAACTGGTTCTATCGGCTCTGTTTGTTGAGACCTGATCTCAGATGTGGAGAGGGATGGCTCTTTCTCAGTTTGAGTTCCTTGGGTCACGGGAGTCGACACTTCGGTTTGAGTGATGTGGTCCTCGGAAGGCACTTCCTCTGTCTGAGTAGACTGCTCGGAGTAGACGATTTTGACGGTAGGCGAGGCAGGGATATCGAAATGTGAGTCAATCAGGGCACCTTCCTCGGTTTGAGTTTCAGGCTCATCAACGCGCTTAAGAGTGATCGAGTGAACTCTGCCATGACGGTGCTTGCGAGTCTCAAGCTGCCAGTTGCCCTGATCTTCGGGCTTGATATTTGTCTCATTATCCAAATCGGGCAGATCCTTGATATCAGCAGATGTGACACGGTTCTTCTGTCTTCTCGAGCGCAAACGAGCATCGACGCTGTCCCAATCAGCCTTCCATTGAGCAAAGTCTTCTGCAAGTAAGACATGGTTGTTGTGATCGTAATTCTCCTTCTGAACCTCGAGAGCTTGCAGCTGCAACTTCAAGAACAAAAGTTCCGAGTGGTCGAAGCCCAAGTCCTGCTTGAGGCTGTCGTTCTCGGACTTGACAGTCATCAGTTGAGTAGTCAGTTCTTCGATTTGTACGGATTGAGTGTCGCAAACATCCTTGCTCTGGTCATAACGCTGGCGAAGAGAGTCGTTTGCCTTGGCCAGACGCTCGACTACCTCTTGTAAATCAGCAACAAGACGGTCATCGGTGGTCTGAGTGGAGACATCGGCGTAGTTGTTGATCCACACAGAAGACTCGGCCATGTCCTTTGACGCTTCTTGTTCAGTCTGTGTGGCTGAAGTGGCATAAGAAATGGCAAGACCATGCTGAGACTCATCGACGGTCTGAGTGAAGGTATCGGCATACTCGCAGGCATCGGCCATCCAGACATCGGACAAACGAGATTTGTTGGAATGCTCAGGAGACAGAATACGGTCGCGAGTGTCGTGACCTTGTGAGTGATCCTCAGTGTAGAGACGTCCTGGAAAAGAGTCACGACGATCTCTTTCCTCGATCGCGGAGCCTGCGTCGCTAAAACCGCCATCGTTAACCATTGCTTCCAGGGTACATAGTTTCTCGTTGAACTCCGAGAGCGAGTCGTCCTGCAGACCAAGACGTAGGATATCACCACCAAGGTTGTTTAAGCGCAGCAATAGCTTCTGGGCAGGATCTGAGGGATGATAAGGGGCATTGTGGTCAACGGATTTGGCGTCATCAGTGAAGTAATCGGAGAAGGGCGAGCCCTGGAAGCGCAGGTTGTTGAAGTTGTTGCTGGCGAGGTGAGGGGAGCGTAGAGGGGTGGCAGGGTTGTTGCGCGGCTTGATGGTGTCGTTGGGGTTGTAGACATAGTCCTTGGGCGAGTCGCGTGTGAAATTGAGACGCGCCAGGGGTGAAGCGATGTTGGAAGCCTCGGTGTATGAGGAGCGGGTCGAGAGTGAAGAGTGATTGCGCACGTGTTGGCCTGTGGCGCTGGAGCGAGGAGTGGGTTTCGGTCTGGCATGCTCGCTCTTGTGGTAACGCGTCGAGGGGCCAGGGACATGCCATGATTTGGTGCGCGGAGCTCCTGAAGGGGTGCCGAGGGGAGTCGTGGCAGTGTGCGAGCCCTGTGATGTCTGGCTCGACACGGACGACGAGAATTCCGTCGACGTGGCCATGCTGGAAGAATATGGTGGATTTATCAAGGTTGTCGCGTTATCGAGAGAACGGTTGGCAGCTTTGCGATACTCCATGTTTTTGGAGCGAATAGTCGGTGGCTGGGATGCCCTTGGCAAGCACACTCCTGCCACCTGTGCCGTTTAGTGTCCGTTTCACAATGATGAAATTGTGATAAGATGCTGCTAAGAGGTGCGCGTCAGTGAACACCGGCTGAGAGAAGTTATATCAGTATAGGTGAGATTGCTCTGTTTGGAAGCGCAAACAAATCACAGACAGCTCATGCAACAGGTAAACGGCCGAGGTCTAGCATATCCAAGGGCGTGGCTACCTGCGAGGGGCCTGAGGTGCTGCGGGAGGAAAAGCTTGGCTCGGGTCATGGTTCGCTCCTGCCGGATGCGCCTTGCATATCTGAATAATTATTGACGATTGACTCAACTTTATCCTCGACCCTTCCTTCCTCCGTAATCCGCCTTCCTTCTTGTTTCACCTCTCTGTCGAGCATCTCATTAAACATGGTAGGCATACCAAGCGACCCTACCCCAACTCTAGAAGTCTACAGCTGCTAATCCCCATCAACAGGCAGGTGTACAGCCAACTCTCCCCGAAGTGCGCCAATTGCTGCAAGAAGCAATCAAGCTGCCCAACCCGCCAAACCTCGTACCGCTATGCGCCTCCATCTCGTCCGAATTCTTGACTCCCTCGTCGATATACCTGAAGGTGTCGGCAAAGTCAGTCCCACTCTGCCGCGCAACTATGACAATAGCTCATTGAACTCCTCCANNCAGTGCCAAATCGAAACACTCGTTCCTCTTCGAAAGCGCTGCTACAACAGAAACCATCGGCCGCTATAGTTTTGTCGGTGCCGATCCGCGACACATGCTCAAGACTGGAGAAGGCCACGGCCCCGAGACAGACCCGCTACCAATCCTTGACCAGGAGCTTTCAAAATGCCGCGTCGCAGAGATACCCACCCTCAAGCTGCCTCCCATGACTGGCGGTGCTGTTGGTTATGTAGGCTACGACTGCGTCAGATACTTCGAGCCCAAAACCCGTCGCCCCATGAAGGATATCCTCAAGGTCCCCGAATCGCTATTCATGCTGTACGACACCATTGTTGTTCTGGACCACTTCTTCCAAAAGGTCATGGTCGTCACGTACGTCAAGGTTCCCGAGAGCCTCGACAATCTGGATGCCGCCTACGACGAAGCAAAGCAAACTGTCAATCGTATGCTACAAGTCCTAAAGAAGACCGAAGCTGTTCTGCCGACACAAGAGCCCGTCAAACTGGGCAACGAGTACACTTCCAACATTGGACAGGAAGGTTATGAAAAGCACGTCCACACATTGAAAGAACACATTAGCTCCGGAGACATCATTCAAGCTGTTCCCTCACAGCGCATGGCTCGCCCCACCTCTCTACACCCCTTCAACATCTACCGCCATCTCCGTACTGTCAACCCTTCGCCATACCTCTTNTATCTCGATTGCGAAGATTTCAACATCGTCGGCGCCTCACCTGAGCTCCTGGTCAAGGCCGAGAACGGCCGCATCTACACCCACCCCATCGCCGGCACTGTCAAGCGTGGCCCCACAGCCGAACAGGATGAGCAGCTCGCTCAAACATTGCGCGACTCNCTCAAAGACCGCGCCGAGCACGTTATGCTGGTCGATTTGGCTCGTAACGACGTGAACCGCGTTTGTGANCCCCTGAGCACCCGTGTCGACAAGCTCATGGTTGTGCAAAAGTTCTCTCACGTCCAACACTTGGTATCAGAGGTCAGTGGTGTTCTACGTCCTGACAAGACAAGGTTCGACGCTTTCCGCAGTATCTTCCCTGCCGGCACTGTATCAGGCGCACCCAAGGTCAAGGCTATGGAACTCATCGCAGAGTGTGAGGGCGAGAAGCGCGGTGTGTATGCTGGTGCTGTAGGCTACTTTGGCTACAGCAGCGTGAACCTTACCACCGGCCAGGAAACCGAAGGTGCCATGGATACTTGCATTGCTCTGCGAACAATGCTTATCAAGGACGGCGTGGCGTATTTGCAAGCCGGCGGGGGTATCGTCTTTGACTCTGATCCGTATGACGAGTACATCGAGACTATCAACAAGCTCAAGGCCAACACGACATGTATCGAGCAGGCTGAAAAGAAGCACTATGATGAGCAACAAGAAGATGTTGAGACATCCAAGTCAGACGAAAAGCCACACATTGACATGGCCGCTGGTTAGGTCTTGCATATGTCTTCACAAAAAGTAATAAATCAAGAATTCATGATGAAAGTTATGATACCCAATATTGTAGTGAACCGGACTTCGGAACAAGCAGCCTGCAACAACGGATGCAGAGTTGTGTCATGTACGTTGTTGAAGATTGTGAAACGCGAACAAGATCTACGCGGGCCGACCCTGATTGAAAGTCGACAACATGTGATCGCTTGCTGTGTTTACCGCGCCCAACATTCTCGAGTTGATCAATCTTCTCAGAACCCATGAGCTTACTCTATCACTTGACAGAAGCCACAATACTTGTGTTGAATGTCGGGACAGGCGTAGGATCAGTCTGGCTTCTAACGGATGTGCAGAATTCGCTCATGCATAATGCAAGTGGCTCCATGAATGATCATTGATCCCGCTCTTTCCTCGAGGCTTGCATGTACCTCGAACCAGTGCCTTCAGCTCTCAAATACACACTCCCGACAAAATTTCCTGGATATTAGAGCATTCGAATTGTTCGTGGCTACAATTCTTCGTGATAACATCCTGCAACTTTCCTAACGTTTCACACGACAGATTTCTGGCATCACTCATGGCCAGATGGCATGACGCCCAGGACTGTGGAAACTATGGACTAAAATACATGGCCAGTGGCGAGCTGAAGCCATGCATCCTCAGCCTTGCCCGAGAACATCTGACAATGCCCGGGCTCAGCATCGTGGCCATGGCTTCTGAAAGCCTAAGCCACTGCTTCGATTGCTCCACCTTCAGACAGAATGCGCCATGCCGCAGACAGCTGGGATGCGTTTAAGCACTGCCGCCCTGTGAGTGCCTGTTTAGGATGAGGGGTAGGCGAATGGCATGTCGAGCCTTGACCATATATGAACCGTAAGTCTTGCAGCTTACTTCTGTTTATCACTGAGCTCAGTATGGACAAGCTAAACAATCGCCTTGAGGAGCACCTCGACTCGTCCTCTTTGGACCTTTCGTTAACGCCTACCATCTCATCGTACTCACCATGGAAACCCCACAACCATAGCTTCACTCCAGTGATGCAAGACGACCTCGATACTCATGAAGATATACACGTTCTGAACCTTGAGATAGACAGGAAGGCTCCGAACGGGGAGACAATCGAACTCGAGAACGCCAGCGCTCGTGAGAAATCATGGCCTGCCGCTCCCCAGACTTTGTCACGATCCTTTGCAAACATTACCCTGTCGCTCTTCCTGGACGTGATTCTTGTTATCGCCCCAATAATCTTCCTGGGTAATGGTTGCCATGCCTCGTACGAATAGCTTGCTAACAGTNNAGTAGTGCTCGCCTTCTCAGCCGCTCGACTCAATCAGCAGCCATTATCAACATGGGGCCACAAAATCTCGCGATTGCAACAACTGAGCCCAACTCTGTTTCCCATCATATTCGCTGCCATCGTTGGGAATCTCATGAGTACCATGGCGCGATGGCGAGCGCAGCGCGGAGACAAACTTGCTGTATGTGCTATCAAGAGTTCGATTCCTTGCACTCTCTGATACTTTCCAGTCNNACTCGAGCAGCTCAATGGAAGCCAAAGCTTGGCATCTACGTTGAGGATTGCCATACTTCTGCGCCGCCTCCATCCGCTTAGCATTGCTATCGTCATGATTTGGGCTCTTTCTCCACTCGGTGGACAGAGTGCCCTCAGGATGATGCATCAGAGACCGTCTGACATATCCAGAACTTCTTCTCTGCGATATCTCAACACTACCATGTACTTTGATTATATGGGAGCTTCTGAGTGGCAGGACATTGTCGCCCAAGTCACCGGCCTCTTCCAAAGTTCATTGGTCACCTCGTCCTCAACACGACTTTCAAGCAGGGACCCTTGGGGTAATGTCAAGATTCCAATGATTGAGCCTCTCGAGAAACTTCTAGGCCGTAGCATGTCGAACAACTCTTGGATCTCCTTGGGAAAACCACCTTACAGTTATTCATCCTTGGTAGGCTTGGTTGTTGTTGGCCTGCCAGATGATGGAGTCACGTCTTTCTCGATGGAGTCATCATATCTCGCTCTGGACTGTCGCAAGTGGCTGACCATGCAAAAGAGCGGGAGCAGTAAAAGCAGCGAGAGTGCGGTTGATTTTCCTGGCTTCATGATAAACCATACCGATCCCTACCGATGCCAAACGCCAAATTCATTCTCATTGAATTACAACAACTACACGTTAAGCCATATTCCCAACATCATTGCGGTGCAAGCCAACTCGACCGGGCCAGAAGTTACAGTTGCAAATTGCACCATTTCGACCTCACGAGTAGAAACCCGGGTAAGCTGTCAGGGCAATTCTTGTGCAGCAACTGACATTCGACGTTCGCAACTCCCTCCTCCAACCAATCTATTCACACCGTTTGACGAAGACTTTGTCAGCTTCTGGAATCTTCTGCGTGCCTTTCCAGATGCTGCTGGCTGTACAATGGATTCGAGTATGGTCTCGCCTATACTGGTTTACTTAACAGCTGACCCCGAAAATCTGTACGCCGATTTGGACATAGCCCATTGGCGACTTGCAGACACTTCGATCGAGACATTCTCCACCCGGCTCACACAGCTTTGGAACAGTTTCATGCTCGCAGCTTGGGCTCCCAAAGTCACTGCAGGTGGCGCTTCCACAAATCTGTCCTTGTATGAGGCATCTGCCATGAACAAATCGTGGACCAACCCATGGGAAGCATCTGTGTGGGGTGATGAGCGTGTGTTTCCAAGTCTGCCCATTGTTACCAACACCACATTCGCCAACGGGTTTATGTATCAGGTGGATTGGATGTTCATCAGCCTCCTGGTGGGAGTGACCTTGGTCATGGAGCTGTGCGCCATAGCCTGCATTGTTCTCAAGACCTTGTGCAAGACACCAGATATACTCGGCTATGTCAGCAGTCTGACGAGACAGAATGCGTTTCTGGATTCTCCCACTGGTGGCTCCACCCTCGATGGATGGGAAAGAGCTCGCATGATGGGTGACATGAGAGTTCAGATTGGCGACGTGAGATCTGGTGAGAGTGTAGGCCAAATCGAGTTGAGAAGATTGCAAACAATCAAGGACAAAGCCAGACAAGCAGTTGTTAGAGAGGGAAGAATTGACAAACAGGCAAAGACCAGGGTATACTTGTAACCAAGCTCGTACTGCGACAGCATATGTCACCTCCAACCAAGTTCTTTTACCAGCATATAAACACTTCAGTGCCTCATGACTCCGTCCTCATCAAACTCGTCTTTCATCTCGGTAAGCACAGCAGCTGGTCCAATGTTCGCTATGCCGTAGCTGTTCTTCATCGCATTCTCAACAACCATTCTGATCTCGAACCATCTTGGTCTTCCTCCTCGTTGCTCGGCATCTATCCGATCGCTGATCTTTTGCTTTGCTTCTTCCACCCCAAGATCTGCCGGTTGTGTCTCCATTGCATCATCCTCGTCGTTTACTAGACATTGGACCAAGAACTTGATGTCTTGGTCATTCATATCTCCAGCGTTTCTAATGTACCTCGACAGAAGCTCATCACTTCTTGTGCNCTGTGGGTTTGGATGGTCAGTCAGAAAAGCGCTTTACTCGGACTATACATATAATGTTGAACCTTTGTCCCAAGCCAAGCGTACCTCTGCCTCTTGAATCGCATCCACAATTTCCTTTACACAGAACGAGATTGTATTGTCTTGAGCCGTCCTTGCATCAATAACACCAAAAGCATCGTTGGCCAACCAGTCCATATACCCCTCCTTCTCATCACCAAGACCATTTTCTCCACATTTGTTTTCGACAAAGTGCTGTAAATCTTCCACTCCAGCGTTTATAAATCCGCTGTGGAAGGGGTTAATGGGAGCAACACTGGGTTCAGCGACGGTGGTTTGGGAGGGATACTGGATCAAACTCCATCTGTTTTTAAAGTCTTCATCCTCTTATTTTTCCAGGGCGGCGCTTCGGAGCACTAAGTCGATNNGATCTGAGAGTGTTTAGGAGTTTGTGGGAATCGTTGGAGGTGTTTGATTTACCTCTGTTGGCACGTCAGAGGTTACGAATAGTGGTAACCATCTAGCTTCACCCATGCTGTGATCAAGGTTCAAGGGATTGGAGGTGTTTGAGAGGGATAACAGACTAACGCAGGAGTATTCAATGACCAGTCACGGGTATCAATACTCGGATTCAAACAAATGCCCAGGCTCAAAGTAAAAAGGCCTAGAATATTTTGATGGGTGTTGATTTCACACGCGGACTTCCAGACACCTCAGGACGCCTGAACCACGAAGCAATTTCGAAACACACCAAAACAAAACACACAGGTGTAGACTAGTCATGAGAGGTGTAGCACAAAAAAGCCAAACGTACAGCAGCAGGGATTCCCACGTGGTCACCCACCGTAGTACTAATTTGCCGTTCAACTGCTTATGTATGGCAGAGCGGACGGGATGCCCAGTTTTCAGCTGACTGTGGCCGTACGTGCTTGGCATTCTAAATTATGTTCTCATGTACTCTCACTGCTGTTGGGCTCCGGCGGGCAGCCAAGTCCAGTGGAAAGGACATGCATACGAGTAGTAAATTGTTCATGGCATGACTAAACGTCTCGCTTCCAGCCACCTTCTGCTTCAAAAATATCACCTACTGCCCTGCTTACAGCTAGCAAGTGCCTATCGTGATAGCGCGGTGCGACGAGGGAAACACCGATTGGCATACCATTGTCGCCTTTGAAGCCTGGGATGTTGACGACTGGCGTATGTAAGGCCTGGATTGGTGTTAGCTGAGGCTCGAATCGGACACTTCGAGCGAAAATGACACTTACCGTCCAGATCAAGCAGAAGGCTGCACTGCCTGTCTTTTCGATTCCCAAGGGCGCCTCGTCCGGCACGCTGGGGGTGAGGACGGCTGCATACTTGCTGAGGATATCATCCACTACTGGTCTTGCAGCAGCAATACTGTCAAACGCATCCAATTGCGCCTTACGCGAGATTGTCTTTACGTTTTCAACGTGGCCTACGAGATCTTCTGAGAGATTGTGCTTTGTCGTGGTATATTCGGGTAAGAAGGCCGTGCGACCATCAGAGTCGAGTACTGTGGCGCGCCAAGCAGGCAGGTCATTGAGATGTTCGGGAAGCTCGATCTCTTCGATCTCTGCACCACGAGCACGCAAAAGGGATACAGCCTTCTCCATCGCGGCAGAGCCTCCAGAGCCTATCTGTGGCCAGACCATGGTCTTCAGGACCGCGAATTTTGCGCCTTTGACACCAAAGTCCAATGGGGCCGGCTTATCATCTGCCAAGGCAAAGACATCGGCGAGAAGGTCAAGGTCTGCAGCACTACGGGCATAGAACCCCAGCGTATCGAGAATGAGCGAGTAAATCTTCTGGCCTTCGCGAGTGATCGAGTTCCAAGTCGGTTTGAAGGCGTAAATGCCATTGTAAGAGCCCGGTCGGATTGTGCTGCCACCCGTCTGCGTACCCAAACCGATGGGAACTTGCAGGTCTCCTACAGCTGCTCCGGAACCCGAGGAAGAACCACCCGGAGTACGATTCGGATCGTGTGGGTTGCGCGTCTTGGGACCAACAGTGGTGGCAGCAAACTCTGTAGTCGTCGTCTTGCCGAAGATGAGCGCGCCAGACTTCCTCAGTATGGCGACCGAACCAGCGTCTACTTGAGGAGCGTCGTCAACATAGATGGGTGAATTGAATTGTGTGGGCATGTCTGATTTCCTTTTAGCTCTATTCCGGTCAGTAGAGAAAACGAAATTCTTCTCACCTTTCGTATATATGACATCCTTGACGGCTATTGCTATGCCGTGCAACGGGTCACGTTCAGACACAGGAACTTGATCCAGCGCTTTTGCTTGGCTGATTACATGGTCGCGGTCAAGATATGCCCATGCTTGGACAGCCTCGTCGCGGTCATTGATCCGTTTCAGCAATGATCGTGCGTATGCTTCTACTGTCAATTTGCCAGCCTTGATCTCATGCAGCACTTCAGTAGCCGTCAATTGGTGGGGTTCGGCAGTCATTTTGCTGGTTGCAGCCTTGATCGAGCGTCGGTCTTATTTGATTGTTAGAGAACACAACGCGACTGTTCGTCTTCTTCTATGATGGATGAGGTGAATGGAAACTGAGTCCTAGAGTGGTAGGGTGATCATATAGGCGTGTCGGCCAGGGCAGAACTCGGAGATAGGCAATACGTTTCCATCATTGTGAGTGCATGCACGCTGGGCAATTGTCAAGATAATTAGTAAGAGGTTGAGATGTAAGCGTCGGCTGAGCACGCATCTTGCCGGTGATGACGGCTCGGATTGGCCCGATGCTTGGCCGCGGCGTGAGGGTGGGGACAGTTGGTTTGAGCGGGCTTTTACCACCACCTTCCTTACTTGTGGAAATCGGACCATACATCTTGCTAATGACGCGCCATTACATGGACACTCTACGGACTGCAGCCAAGGCCTCCAATGTCCGGCCTAGACATCCAGATACCGCGATGAGAGGGATCGCTCCCGATGGCCTGACGACGTCGTGCGCCTGGCATTGTAGAAACATGCGTGATTTTCACTGAGCTAAGTCTTGAGCTTGATTGTTCTATTCATTTGCTTGAACCCAGTCAACTGCTCTTAATTCTTGGAAATGGCTGAACTCGTAGCTTCACAAAACGGCCATGACGATATCTGCGCAAGCAAGAAGCACATTGCTGAGGTTGATGGCACAGCATTGAGATCGATTGAAGATAATGAAGGGGGTGTCATCACCAACAACGCCATGCGCTGTATACCAGCACCTGAATCTGATAACGAGCAAGTATTAGATGACAACAGCGATGCGCAGTCTGTTGGTGGGCANAGAAACACAAGGTTGAACAAGCGACTTATGATTGCTCTCCCTGCCCTCTCAGTCTGTCTTCTTGTCTCATTCGTCGACCAAACTTCCGTGTCAACTGCGACGCCGGCCATCGCAAGCGATCTGAACACAGGGAGTGTTATTTCCTGGATCGGAACATCGTTCCTTATTGCTTCNAACGGCCGACTCTCGGACATATTTGGGCGGAAGAACATGCTTCTGATCTGTCTCTTCCTTATGGCCTTGGGAGATCTCGGATGCGGCTTTGCCCGGACTGCAAGACAACTGTTCGCCCTCAGATCAATCGCAGGCATTGGTGGTGGTGGCATCAACAGTCTTGTCATGATCATCATAAGCGACATAACCACGCTTCAAAACCGGGGGAAATACCAAGGTAACATCTCAAAGTCTCGAGATTTTCTCTTTGCTAAATCGGTGCATCAGGCTATNATTGGTGCCATAATTGCCCTTGCTAATGGAGTTGGCCCCTTNCTCGGAGGCGCTGTCGTCGAAGGCGCCACTTAGAGGTGCGTGTTCTGGATGATTCCTATCATGACGATACCCACAGCTCTGGTCATCCTCTTCTTGCTGCCATTGAAGCATCGCTCGGGCAACTTCGGTGAGAAGCTGAAGAAGACCGATTATGGTGGCATCGTACTGAACATTGGGTCCACGCTTCTCATTCTTGTACCGCTGTCAAGGGGTGGTGTGACTTATCCGTGGTCATCAGCTTTCTTCCTTGCTGCTACTATCATCGGTGTAGTCCTGACTATACTCTTCGTACTCTACGAATGGAAAGCCGTTGCCCTACCGCTCATGCGACTTCGACTGTACCAGGCCCCGCACTGTTGGGTGCTCTATCTTCAAACTTTCTTGACTGGCCTGGCTTATTACGGGAACCTTTTCTACCTGTCCATCTACTTTCAGTCGATTCTAAGGTACTCACCGCTAGTCTCTGGAGCCTTGATTCTNTCTGTCGTTATTCCGTCGTCTATTACATCCATCTTAAGTGGCCAGTACATGGCTCGGGTCGGTAGCTATATGCACTGCACTGTGGCCGGTTTTATTCTTTGGACCTTGGGAAGTGGTCTTACTTTCATATTTGATCGAAACACTGGGCTAATTCGGCTCATAATCATCCTTATTATAGAGGGTGCTGGCATTGGATTGACACTGCAACCTACGCTCATCGCGATGTATGCCAATGGCCGTGGCGAGGACAGAGCCGTGATCACCGGGCTGCGCAACTTTATCCGCACTATTGGCGGAGCCTTCGGCCTCGTCATATCTGGTGTGACTCTATCGAACACTCTCGGCTCGGGCTTGAAGAAAGCTGGCTTTGCATCAGATGGTCTGATTGCTGAGCTCACATCTTCCACGTACGCTCTCGACAAACTTGATTTGAGCGTGGTCTCGAGGGAGAAAGTCTTGGATGCGTACATGTTGGGACTACATTACATCTTTGTGTTCTTTACAGCATGTGGCTTACTATCAAATTTCTGGATTGGCAATACTAGTTTGAAGGCACCGAAGCAAGTTGACACGGAAGCGACGAGCAAGGANATTCAGTGTCTTGATGACATCCAGCTGGACCTGGAAAGGGGCCATGTGCAAGAGAAATCGAGCACGTGCATAAGCAGCAAATAATCTTTCGGAGCAACATGTATTGTCAAAGCTGATGGCGTGAAAAGATAAGTTATCGGAGAACACCATTGCGTGAGGTGACCCTGGCCACAAATCCGCACACCATGAAACACAGAGCCAAAGCTCCACTCCATACCAACACGTCCGTGTTCATTACTACCTCAAGGTCGCCTATAATTTGCGATACAGAACGACAAATTCGTTCTGATTGCCAAGCAAATTCATCTAGTCTTACAACCTGTTCATCTGCTCATCTTGATAAGGCTGTGCTTATCACTTGACTAAAACCACAGCTGCACTGCCACTTGAACAATCAGGAAGGCACTGATACGTGTGCTGATTGATCAAGTGCCCCACTTCAATATAGGATGTACAACGATTGAGCAAGCCTCACGAAATCTGATCAATTCGGCTCGTTCGATGCCGTTATCGAGCCATGCTCCCCAAATTGCATCCGACGGAGCGAACACCCCGCACTATCAATCTATGGCCTAGTGTCTAGTGACTATCACTTGCTTCGGCCTGTGAAGAACAACCCGAGGTCGTGACTCGATGCGTCGAAGAAGGTCACGATATCGCATCTCATGCGTACCGCTGGACTGATCACAAGGAACTGTCTGTCGAGGCTGAGAAGCAGCACATTCGCAACGGTATTACTGCTCTCAAGAAGCTCGCTGGTTATGCTCCCAAGGGATGGTACTACGGACGACCATCTCCCCAAAGCAGGGCACTCATTCCTGCTGTGTACGAGGAGATGGGTGAAGAGCTTCTATGGGCGAGCGACTGTTATGCCGATGACATTCCCTACTGGACTGATCTCCCTCAGGAGCGCAACAGCGAGCAACCCAAGGGCTGCTTGATGATTCCTTACAGCTATGATTGCAACGACTTCAAATTCCTCACCCCAGCTACTGGCTTCCGCGACCCCAATGGATTCTACACTCACATCAAGAATGCTTTCGATGTGCTTTACGAGGAGGCAGGTGCACCGAAAATGATGACCATCGGCCTGCATTGCCGCATTATCGGAAGACCTGGTCGTTTCAAGGCTCTGCAGGATTTTGTCAAGTACATTTCTGAGAAAGAAGGGGTTTGGGTTGCAACTAGGACCGAGATTGCCGAATCTTTCAGAGAACAGTTCCCATACAAGAGGGGACATCTAGCATAGATCAAAGCACTACAAGTGCGAAAGCAGCGTCTCTAGATCAGTTTAATGTCTCATCCACTTCTCTTACCATCAAAATCCGCTAGACCATCGGCTTACAGTATGGTGAACGCTAAAACATTTGTACTGATCTTATGCTCTGTAGGTCCAATCACCATCAGTCATGGCGCCATAATTTTCCGTGTGCATGACCGCATCTTGCACAGGATCCACAGCGTATACATTTTCATAGCCCTCCCAGCTCGCTTGTGCAAATGTCTGTCCATGTACACGGTATCCCGGGTCCGGGTCGACCACGTGAGAAGTGTTGTCACTGACCGTTTCGTTCCACATCCGCCACCCCTGCCAACCACCTGGAGCCTCTTCATCAACCTCCATGAATGCTTCCCTGATGGCGGCCGAAATAATGGGAGTGTTGACGACGTTCGCAGGTCTGTCTGAAGGGACCACAGTATGTCCATACATCGCTTGCTGAGTCTGCTGTGCTTGAATATGTACGCCAGAGGCATTCTCTGAAGTGACAAGACTCTGGCAAGATCCAAGAGAAGGCTGGCGCAAAGGTCCTGGATTGACAATGCTTTTGAGAAGATTTCCCGAAAGCTCGTCGAACACGTCTCGATATTTGACTGCACCTGGCCACTTTTCGCCAAAGATGGTCAAACTTTGTGAGCAGTCTCTTGTTGCCTCGAGGATCTCGTAGGAGAACAGGGATCGATCTCGCCAGATGCAGTAGATTAGGGTTAGACCGGCGACAAAGCATGAATGCAGAGAGATCATAGTATATGTCGGAGTCTTGTTCTGGTTAAGTCGCTTGTACGCAGTGCAGACAGCGGCTGCCGAACTAGCGCAAACGTGGAAACGCGAGTCTGACGTCTGTAGTGTGGGTAGAAAGTTGGTGAAGAGGAAGAGAATCGACTTGTGGTNATTGTCTGCAGAAGGTCAGAGGGCAAATTGGAACGCTTGCTATTGTTGTACTTACACGCCATAAAAGTCTCTAGCGTCCAGGTAAGCGCTTTCCGGATCATACATCCAAGTAGTCTTGTTTCCGTTCTTAGGTGTCTGAGGGTAGCTCTCGATCCACTTGTCCAAATCTGCCCTGATGGTTGCCATCTTACGATCACGCTTAGCTTGTATTTCGGCTGTGCCCTTCAAGACATCTCTGTCTGCCCGAAACACGACCTTATGGATTCTTGAATGAATTCGATCAAGCTTAATGATGTGTATAAAAGGATCAACATTAGACCAAACACTTTGAGTTGGATCTCGAATCTCTTTGTGGGTCAGCGTCCAGAACCGACTGGCAGCACTCGGAAGCTACAAATCGTAAGCATTTTCCCATCGAAACATACGAGTGATGCGATTTACCTCCACATTAATGTCCCTGTCAGNCATTGCAAAAGCTCGACCGAGCACAATGCTTGTCGAGCGATCTAGACCATAGCAAGACCAGAAAATCCTACGACGGAGTTCCTCATCTCTTGCTTGCTTCTCTGATTCTGGGTGCGACCTCTTTCTATGTAGACCCATCTCGATGCAAATCGAGGTAGCGTAACGAATCTGAGACCAGGCTCCAGCACCATACGGATATCTTTGACCATGCACACCAAGGAGCACTAGAAACTGAAGACTTGCAAGACTGTGTTGTTCGAGTATGCAGCTCATTGGCCCTGTGGCAGCGACGAGATGATGNNCTGTGCCACCTCAGCTTGTGTCCACGATCTATTTAGCAACATTTCTTACCTCAGGGTCGACAGTCTGTAGTCTTTTGGTCAACGACAAGAAACGAGCCGTGATAGCATATATCAAGTGGAAGATACTTCGCTCAACAACCGTCAGAGCTTCGGAGATAAACTGCTTCGCAAACAAATCTTCGTAGATCCTGCGGTCCAGTATGGGCCAGCGACTGTGAATGCGTTCGAAGAACTTATCAAAGAGCATGCGAGCTTGCTGCATCTCGGGAAAGCCAAGAGGAATCTCATCAGATTGAACTGTTTGGGGTGGCGGTATCGATCCTGATCGGTTTTGTTGTTCTGTAGAAGCTGCAGCTTCGTTCACTGTCCTTGATTTCGAATGTCCAGATATCGAGGCTTGAATGATCCGTGCGATCATGGAGCCAGAGCTAGATCCGACGTAGTACGGTTCAGACTGCGAATCGATTGTACCAGAAGCACATAGAGACAGATGAGCTACGCCTCCTACCAGGGACGTTCTTCCCACGAAGTCCGTATCATCGGACATCAGATCTATTGGAGACGAATGAGGCGAACGATACTGTTCAGCCATATCGCCCTCTGGCACGTTTTGGTTTTGACCATGGCTGGTATCAGGTTGAACTTGTACTTCGGTGACCATATGATCTTGAGCATGATCGGGCAGCCGAGCTTCGAGGAATGCAATGCGTTCTTCTAAGGCGTTAATATACCTGTTGTGTTGTTTAATCGACCGTGATCACAGATAGCCATGATAGAATGATTCAGGTTTGAGATCTCCACGTACAATAATTTGCCACCTGGGTATTGAGGCCGAACGGCTTTCTCGTATGCACATCCTACCCCTGCCTTGTTACATGATTTGCAACGAGGACGGGCGCCATCACACTGTAATAGGGTTATCCATTGTGCAAATGATGGTTCCATCCCGGAAAGCATACTCGCTGCTTCCGACGTTTACACCTCTTGCAAGCTAGCGATACACGAGTTTTCTGCGGCGCGGTCGGTAATCGATCTTGGGCATTAGAAGAATCCATGCTCTCCTGTCCTGGTCCAGAGGTTGATTCTGCGTTCGTCATTGTCATGTCGCCTCTTGGTCACCTCGACAAATGTAGGCAAATTTTGGACCGACACCAGAGGAAAGACATGTGGACCAGGCATTGATATCGCCCGCAATATCGCTCCAGCTCTTCGAATGCCGAAGCTACAATGCAGCGATCTATGGGGACCAGATAGGCCAAGATTGGCCAATAGGAGGCATCAGCCTAGGAGCCTGACTCTGAGTTGCCAAGTCGCTCCATGCAATCATGCTGAGTGATGGATGCCGCATAGCTGCTTGATGAGCGACACCAGCTTTCGGAGCATCGAGCAAGCTTCATAATCAGCAATGTCTAGACAAATATGTCCTGCGGAAGGGCGAAAGAATCCCCGCACAGCCGCTTTGATGGACTCCATCTCGTCGGATTCCCTGACCCGATGGAGTCGATCTTCTCGCGACAAGGTGTGTCATGATGGTCTACGAGCCTTCCAACATATGATACATTGATGAGGTACAACGCAATAATTGAATCTTGTGCTGCTGGTGGGAGATAGGAAGCAGGTATGACAATGCCAAGCAAAAGAACGGCACCTTCCAAGCTCATTGTCTGCGAAATCTATCCTCCTCCAATCGCCACGGGCCCTATCTTTCTTGACTTGACGTTCAAGCCACACCAATTGACTCAATCATCTCATCCATGCATCCTCAAGTTAGTGGTGCCTATCATGCAAACACAAAGAGCGAGGAGTATAGGCCAAAAACTGGCCGAAACACTTGTGACACAGGTTGCGTGCTTCTCTGGCACACATCGTTACAGCTCTATCAATCAGCCAGTATAAGGACTATGCTGATCCTCGGTCTTCACCATGTGGCTCCTATCAATCAAATCAAGTGTATCATCTTCCGGCATACCGAACAATCCGAGCAGAGATTCTTCTCACCGATTCTCAGCAGGATTCGACATTCCTTGACCAGCTAGTACATTTGCAAAAATGGGCAAGCTTTCTATACCTAGCAAAGCTGAGATAGCTGCACCTTTTCAATCTAGAGAAGCATCCGTCGAATTCTTGAGGGCTCCAGAGAGCAATGAAGGCCACACTACTGTTGGGGATCCAAGGTGGACAAACAAGGACTTAGCACCGCCACCCCTGGAAGACAGAACATGGACATGGTAACATTTGTCTACCAAGACACAGAGCCACGATAAATGCTGACTGTGGAAGNNGTATAGTTTACCTCTCTACTGGTTCTCCACGCAGTTCTCCATTGTTGGATGGAACACTGGTTCGGCACTGGTCACCGCCGGCCTTGTAAGCGAGTTTTGGGTGAGATCTTGAGTTCATATGCTGACGCTACGTAGATANTGGCAGCAGTCTTTCATATCTGCGTGTCTTGGTTCTTTCCTTGCAGCTGTCATCGTCGTCTTAATGGCTCGCCCAGGTGCCAGATACCACGTCAGCTTGTATGTCTGTGTCGCACACTGAGTCTTAACAGAGTCTGACCATCTTTAGNNCCCAGTGCTCGTACGCTCAGTCATGGGAATGTACGGATCTTGTTTTTTCATATTCATCAGGGCAATCGTATGCATCATCTGGTACGGGATCCAAACATTCTATGCAGGAAACGTCCTTTCTGTGATCTTACGCTGCATCTTCGGGAGCTCTTGGAACAATCTCGATAACACCCTACCCCTGAGCGCAAACGTGTCTTCAAAGCAGCTCCTGGCATTCTTCTTGGCATGACTCATCCAGTTCCCANNTTTGTAGGCTATACTCCAAGCTGTCAACACCTTGGTCCACAGTGCTAATATGACGCAGATGTGAGTTCATCCGAAGAGTATCCATTACATCTGCACAGTCAAAGGCTTTACTATGCCTATAGCTGCTTTGGCTCTCTTTGGCATATGCATGAGCATTGGTGGAGGATTAGGAGACATAGACATCTTCTCAAAAGCGGGTGAACTCTTGTCGTCCGTTACACCTTTGGGCTGGTCCATCATGGCTGGTGTCAACACTATCTTTGGAGGCCTATCACCCATGCTGGTCAATCAACCCGACCTCGCTCGCTACTGTAAGAAACCTCGTGATGCTGGCTTCCTCCAAGGCGTATGTGTCTTCTTCCCTTCGGTCCTCGTCTTCTTCTTGGGAATGGCCTCAACGACATCCATTCAGGTAAAGTGGGGGACTGCCTATTGGAATGTTTGGGATCTCCTCGATGTTATCCTTGACCACCACTTCAGCGCTGGTGCTCGCACTGGCATCTTTTTCATTGCCTTAGTGTTCTTCTTCGGTGTGTTTGTGACCAACATTGGCGCCAATTCACTTCCGTTTGGCGCCGACATGACAGGTCTAGTTCCTAGATTCTTGACGATTCGACGAGGATAGACTCTCTGTGCGGTTCTGGGGGTTGTCGTACAACCTTGGCAGCTCATGGCAAACGCATCAGCTTTCCTCAGGTACGTTGAGCTTACAAACACTCTTCCTCATATGGCACTAACATCACGAAGCTTTCTCGGATCGTACAACATCTTCATGGCGCCACTCTGCGCAGTCATCATCGTGGACTACTTCATCGCTCGTAAGGGCAATATACACGTACCCTCGTTGTACGATGGCAAAAGGTCAGGCCTATATTGGTACTGGTCCGGCATCAATCTAGTCGGCGTGACTGCATGGCTTTTGGGCACGACGATGGGTATCCCAGGCCTCATCGGACAATACCAGCCACAAATCATCAGCACGGCAGCAAAAAATATGTACAGGCTTGGATTCTTGTTGACCTTTACGACGGCGGCAACAGTCTATTATGTTCTCAGGTTGTTCATCAAGCCACGAGTCTTCCCTGTCGGGTGTGACAACACGTCTTTTCAGTGGGAATGGTTAGGCAAGGAAGGACGCGAGGGCTTCTTCAAAGATGAGAAAGTCGACAATGAGCTCTTCGCACCAGCAATTCCAACTGCCACAGAGGCCGAAGAGGTTCAACTGGGCGAGAAAGCGTACGGATCGAAAGTATGGAAGCGATTTACTGGACGCGATATTGTACTATGACTTCTTCGAGAGATCAGAGACTGTTGATACACTTCCTATCTCTCATAAAGCTATGTAGCATGGAACATAAGGCTGTGAAAACAATATATTTGATTTGGCATCCGCTTGAAGACTATGCTTAGCCCTAAAGAGAAAAAGAAAGAAGCTCAAACCTACTATTTGCTCCATCCTTGACACCAATGGTGTATGCAAACCTGGCCATCTCACTTATCTTGAGAGCATAGCAAAAGCAAAGTGCAAAACGTACAGCAGCAGGGATTCCCACGTGGTCACCCACCGTAGTACTAATCTGCCGTTCAACTGCTTATGTATGGCAGAGCGGACGGGATGCCCAGTTTTCAGCTGACTATGGCCGTACGTGTAAGCAGAGAATTTTCAACATCTCATATAGCTTGAGGTCAAAGGAAAGGGTTGGTCTGCCATGCCTCTTCTTGAAAAAACAAGTATCGCTAACATCCATTATGTGGCCAAAGTTGAGGTGCCTGATCATTGAAGAGAACTCAATGATTTAGGTAGTGTTAAGATGTGACTGTAGCATGACTTTTTGCTTACCAAGTCTACCTAGCTCAGAAGTGGTATCAAGAATGAAACTCTGCGATCTCCGATTCTAAAGATATGAGGGTTGATGGGCCGATAGATGGAACTGTGCTATAGTTGTTTTCATTAGGATCACGAGTATCATGGATTGACAACTAATACAAGCATACGAAAGGGAGAATACTAATGCTACGTCTTCCGTGCCATCAAGCAGCCATTGCTGTCTCACCCACATCACACAACCAACACTCTGTCTGCCACTTGCCTTCCTTTGCACAACACTCCTGCCAGCGTCTCGGTGGCTCTCTAACATCCTCGTACTGCGCGCTAATTCCTCCGCGTACTGTACCATAATGCATGCCGATAGATTTCTTGCTTCGAATGTCCTTGTGTATCTCCAGACTGTCTTCAGGACAACAGTGAACATTGCTTAATAACCATTCGGGTGAATACAGGCCGATGGGAATCATAGCCAGATCNNAACCTCCAAAGACTTCGCCTATCTGCTTGAAAGCTGGGCATACTGTCTTTGCAGACGTAGCTCTGTATGCCGTGTCGCCAGCAAAGTAGAGTTTCTTGTTTGACTGCAGGTCTTCGACAACCCACGAAGACCACAAACTTTGTCCGGCATCGAACGGTGTTCGCCCGGAGGTGTGCTGTGTAGGCGTGCATGTGAGATTGATACTGCCCACGCCTTCAACCTCAACTTGCTGGCTATCCCACCAATCGCATTCTGTAACCTCGTCTGCGGTAATCCCAATGCCTGCATTCAAGAACCATTGCTTGTTGCCCAGCGCAGCAAAGAAGTGTATATGCTTTCCTGCTGCTTTTGNCTTCTTATACACATGTGAGATTGTCGCGATATCCAGATGATCATAGTGGTTATGCGAGATCACCACCAAGTCAATCTCTGGCAATTCGTCCAGCGTGCAAGGTGTCGGTGTATACCGTTTGGGCCCAAACCAATCGACAGGGCTTGTTCTCTCACTGAAGACCGCATCGAACAAAATTCGTATACCTCTGGTGCCTGTTCGCTCTTCGGCCGAAATTTCGAGTCCTGTCGCTGGGGCTGAGCAAGCCGTCTCTACCAAAAACCCAGCATGACCCAACCAAGTGGCTTTTAGCTCTTTCTGCCATCCAACCAATCCTCTACCCCAATCTGGTTTGCGGACTTTTACCAACTCGTCTCTGGTCTCTGGTACGGGGACAAAGTTTCTGTTGTTGCTGAAGCGTGTCTTGAATATGTCAAGAAACCCGTGCTGTTTGGCGAAGCTGGGCCAGGGGTTTTTGAATGATGTTGGTGGGTTGTTATTCCAATGTGCAGGGACGTCTACTGGCGATGGGTTTTTAGAGGGTACAGAAGTGACCTTTATTCGTGCCATCTTGGTCAGAATGTTCTTGTTAGGTCGGAAAATCATGGATTGTGGATGGAAAGTAATCATAGTCAGGGTTGTATATACAGAAAGTCGCCGCCTGAAGTGCTGACGTGGTGGAACCTGTAGCGAACGCAAAGTTTTTCTTATCCGGTGTACGTTTTTCTCCATCTGCAGAAAGCACAACATTTCTGTAGAAACCATCCTTGACCGGCATACATCGTGAGCTTTGCTCGTTGACGAGACATATTGTCCGTAAATCGTCTACTGCTCGAGGTGCTTGCCCAATAGCATCTTGGCCTCTTCAATGTACTCCTTGACTTGGCCATTCCACAACTTTTCATCTCGCTCTCGACACTCCTCCTCGATCTTCTTGAAGTCTCGGCCAACACCTTCAGCCCTCCACTCATATAGATCTCCTGAGCGTCGCGAACTCTGCACAAGCCATTGTGTTCTTTCCAGTCGTTGCTCGCTGTAAGCTTGGAACGCAGCATCAAATCCTTTGTGGCCAGCTTCAGCGACTCTGGGATCGTTTAGGAGTTCTGCCATGACTGCTGCATCTTCGATGCACATGCCGGCACCGGCACCNNTATCAACAAATTCAGAATCAGTGGGATTTTCTAGAGAAAGAGGAGGACATGATGGCCTCAAGCTGAGCTGATCTCAGCCTCGAATATACGTACCGTGATGCGGAGAAGTGGCATGGCCAGCGTCACCAACAACAACCACACGGCCCTTGTTGTAATAAGGCATTGGATGATCACCGGTATCGTAGATAGCCCAGCAGTCAAGGTTTGGCTCTAGCATGTCAATGATTTTGTGCACTGTCGCACCAAAATCTTTGAAGTCTTTGAGGACGTGCGATTTCTCCGAAGGCAAGGTGAGTTTGGTGTCTGACGGCCATTGGCCTGGATCAACCTTGAACGCAACCACATTCATAGTTGCTCCCTTGTTGACGGGGAATGTGAGAACATGACCATCCTGTCCCATATGCATTTTTGCGTTTTGAGCCAGATCATCACCGAGTTCCTTTCTTGCCCTTTCCATGGGAATCAAGCCACGGTAGGCGTACTTGTGTGTATAGACTGGTGGACTGCAAGGGTTGTTGGTACCCATCATCCAAGCTCGCACCTTGGATTTGATTCCATCACATCCGATGANCTTCCAAACGTTAGCCTGTTTCTCTCTTTAAAAGGCCCACTTTCAGTGGTCTTTACCTGCATCGGCTGTAGCATCCGTTCCATCATGAAATTTCAGCTTCAATCTTCCGTCTTGAAGTTCCTCGATGGTGTCCAGATGCTTTCCGAAATGTGTCACCCCGTCAGGCACATGCTTGACCAATTCGTCCAAGAAATGTGCTCGATGTACTGCGTTGGCTCCGAACTCGTTGCTGATGCTAAAAGCATATTCCTGCTTTCCGACTTCGGTGTCATTGTGGCCATCGACCCAATCGAACCACACCGATCGCTTATCCTCGCCCTGGTTTCTGGTGGCCACTTTCTCGAATGCTGTGTAGACGCTTTGCGAGCAGATTTTCATTGCTCTTGCAGCGGCGGGGTTGAATGCCACACCTGCGCCAATCTCGCCGAAGTGGGCGGCTTGTTCGAAGACATTGACATCGAGTCCGCGGTCGAGGAGAGCGATTGCAAGAGTCACACCACTGATACCACCACCAACAATGGCAATCTTGCCCAGTGGTTTCGAACCTGTCATCTTAGCTGTTGTGAGATGTGGAGAATGAGGTACTTGTTGGTTGTTCCGCGAGCAAATACCACTTGATTCGTGATGGGTTATCCGAAGTCAATATCCGAGGTCAATGGGGTGGAGAAGGTCGCTCCAATATGTAGATGCAGGAAGTGTAGGGATAGGCGATCCAATGAAGTGCACCTTCCTACGATATATATTCTGGCCTCTGGAGCGCGAAAGACCTACAACACAATCCGCGACATCCGTGATGGCATCTCAGTGATCATTAATGGTTTCTCCACTTTCCCCATGCTACACAGTGTTAGTGGACGGTCAATCGTGACGTAAACCTTCAGTTCGGCATCTTGCACTCGGAACAGGTCCCATCCGAAAAGATCTTGAGCCTCAGATTGTTCTGCTTCAAGCGATTTCTTTCATTTGACTTGACCATGTCGCGAATTGGGAGCTAGGTAACGATGCTGACTGGGTGGTGATGCTTCCGGAGTTCTGTGTTTCGGAAATGGCATCGGAACATTTACCAGAAACTGACAACCAGCTTGACCAGCATGATGCCCTAGCAGCATGATGCTTGCCCAAAGCCGTCATGATAATGTTTGCACAAACAACACTTGTGCAGTCTTCCTCTTAGATTTGGGAAGGAGCATGTCGACCCGAATACCTACATGTGCTGTTTCAGCCTCTAATCTGCGACCCAACTTCTTGGCCTCACAATAGATCCTCGGTCCGAGCTGTCCCTACTTGGCATAGGTCTCCCTACACTGACATGCGAGCTGCTGGAAACACAACACATTTTTACATGAGCATTAGAGGCTCTGACAGATTGCTTGTCTGGCATGGGTATCCTAAGACCTATCGCTCGAATGAAAAGACAGCTCTGCTGCGGCTCTACGCGCTTGCCCATCAGGCAGTGATCAAATTATCTGTTCAGTCGAAAGGAAAAAAACAAACAAAACAAGAATACTCGAAGAACACGAATCTCGGTGTCTCGTGGAGTAGTTAGCCGCATGAAAAAGAGCAGCATAATCTAACGCCTATTTTATGGTATGCCCTGTCAAGTTGGAGCCAAGCAAATGCGCCTGCCAATTCTGACTAGCAGAACGGCCAGGATTGTTTGGGCCATGGCAGTCCATCATCGATCCGAGGGCCTCGAATGACTTGGCTTGTTCGGAGCTGTTGATCGCGATGAACCACGTACGGCACGAATCATTCCCCTTACTGCACTAAGCGCATTTGGGGGATTGTATCGGAGCATGATCCGTGAAATGCAATGGCCCAACTGGACAGCATCCTCGCACCGCCCGCCTGGCATTCTGTCCTGTCTGCCACCACCCGCCGGTCAACGATTCTGCCGTACGCCCTGAACGCTTGGGAGGTCATTGTGAGGTAATAGTGACCATGATGAGCTGGTGCATCAACAAGATACACCCAGCAAGAACCACAGGCAGGGCAGATGCTGCTACTTCTGCGGATCCCGATGTGTGTCTGCCGACTTGCCTGTCTTAGGAGTACGGTGCGAAGGACCGTCACCCCGAAGGACGTGACGGCCGGATGTTCTGTCCGATGGCGGCGATCATCAGCTCGGCTCCTTGTACTCAGCCATTTTATCGGCTACGCGGCACAAGAACGAGTTGGCATTCTTCAATCTCTGATGCTGAGGCTGAGTATTTATCCTTGAGAAAGGTAATCATGATGCTTGATACGTGAATACTCCAAGATCCACACATCCATCAGTCGCGGAGTCGGGGTTCGTGTCTGAAGGATCCTGCCGCCAGATCTTGGGTCGTACAAGGAAGCTTACGGTGCGTACGAAGTACACTCATAAAATGGTCTGGCCCAATCGCAGGCCCCGGAGGCCGGGTCCGAGCCTTAGCTCTCCACTTGACATTAATCCGTTCTTCCATATATCTAGTTAAGCCTCATCCTAAAATCCGCGGCTTTCCCCTGGTTGCTTCCCAATCTTTTCCTTCGATTCGCTCCAAATTCTCCCGGCGCAATACGACCTATCAACTCCAAGCCCTTCAACATCGATCAACATAACACAGAACCAGAGCAGAATGCTTCTTTATGAACAACAGCCTGCTGTTGGATATCCAACATTCCCCGGCAATGTAGAAGCACTTTCAATACCAGCGAGCTCACCGGAGCGTCGTCCTTCAAACGAGTCATCTTCGTCCACATCCACAACAACTCTCATGTCACCACCACCAAGAGCATCAACAACACAGTCACAAACTCCAGATATACCCAACCTTTCGTCAAGGCCAAAGCGCAAACAAACACTAGCCGCATGCCGACCATGCAGGAAACGTAAATCAAGGGTGCGTACAACCCTTCTGCAAAACAATCCAAGAGCAAAAACAGCAGGCATCATGATCTGACACATGACCCTANNGTGTGACGGTGCCCGCCCTCGATGCAACACCTGCCTCGACAAAGCAACACCCTGCGTCTACTCGGTCGAAGAGGGCAAAACACAGCAGCAAGCCTCTCGAGAGGAACTCAAAGCCTACAGAGCGATCGTGTGTATGCTGCGAAAAGCATCGCCTCCGGATACAGAATTGATACTTCGACATCTCAAACGATACGAAGATGTGAACGAAGCTGTCAAATTTATAGAGACAGACATGATGCTACGAGGTGCTGTGATCTCGGCCCAAGCATGAGATTCAACGATTTGGTGAGTTATCCTCGAGTCGCTTCTAACCATCTAACGACAAGTATGCTAATCGTCATTAGAAGGCATATGCATAATGCACGTCTTGGCCGGGAATGTCATCACGATCGACTGTTTCTCTTTTTCTTCATATACCCAGGACTAATTCTTGTCCTTTTTGTTTCCGTACACATCATACATTGGTCCAGCATTTACCATGAAACTGATCATTTTCATCTCTCTTCGGTTTTGAGACATCAGTATGACCGTGCTCGTGTGGTTCAACAGGTGCAGAGTGCCATGCACCATCACTACACATGTTGTGAAAAACATTTCCCAGACAATTTGACAATGCGTACACATGCACACAGAGGGACCTGTCAAACCCAAAGACTAACTAGGCTTACTTCATGCCCTGGTTTTGGTCAAATACATCAGAGGAAATAGCAGTTTTTGCTCTCCAGCGTTCTAAACCCGACATTCGTCAAGGCCGTCTTCCCAAGTGGTCGCTCTTTCCCTGATCGTGGAGTTTGTCTTCTTGTACCCTGTAAGAGAACATCATCATTCTATGTGCGAAACACCATCACAATCTCTTGACCGACCACTCTCCCGTGATGGAATGTAGAGATATTGTAAGCTACTTACGAAGAGACACAGTTGCTTTCCGAACCAAATTGAGATATCCCACCGTAGACAGATGTTACGCATTCGTGTAATCAAACAACGAAATGCCAATGCGCTTCTTGGATCATCTTGATCGCGAAGTCACGAAGACCCTTTTGGCTCTCAAGCCATTACAAATGGTTCAGTTGCTATAAGTTGTTTGACTCTGTGGTCTGTGTATGATCCTATGATATATGTATCCTCGCGTACTCTATACCCTTCCACACACCATTGCACCACCTCATCCCCAAATTATGCACAAACAAATAAAAATCACAAGAAACAGAAACCTTTGAGGAGAAAAAACAGGTGTGAAGCAACAATACAAAAGCTAAGTAGCATGTGCCAAATCAGCAAGCCGATCAATCTTTGGCGTCAAATCCGCAATCCTGAAAGGTTTGCTAATGGAATCGTCCATACCTGCCGCAATAGCCATACTAGTCTGCTCAGGCCTTGCGTTTGCAGAAACACTGAGGATGGGTACATGACCCTTCAACATCCCCGATCTCTGCATCTCGCGTATCTCTTTGGCGGCGGTGAGCCCATCCATAACGGGCATTTCTGTATCCATGAGAATGACGTGAAGCTCTTNTTCTTGGTGATCTTTGGGTTTGTCGGCATTGTTCCAATAACGGGTTTGGCGTAGAAAATCGACGGCTTCTTGACCGTTGTCTGCTGTCCAGACTACGTAGCCTTTGTTGGTGAGCTGGCGCTTGAGTACTTTTTGATTGACTTTGTTGTCCTCGGCGACCAAGACATGGATTTGTGCTATCTCGTTGCTGAAGCTGGTCTGAGCAGATCCGCTACGAGAGCGGAAAGAAAACTCGTTAATGGGTCGTTGTTCTACGATAGGCGTGGTTGGACGCGTCTTTACGAAGAACGCAAAGGTTGAGCCAACGTCGAGTTCAGTGGCGATGCCTATTTCGCCGCCTTGAAGTTCTGCGAGTTCCCTGCTGATGAATAGGCCTAATCCTGAACCGCCATACTTTGAGTAGGTTCGTGGAGATGCTTGCTGGAAGCGTGAGAATAGCTTGGTTTTCTCATCTGGCTTGATTCCTCTTCCCGTGTCTGACACGGTGAACCAGATGAAGAACGTTTCTGGGCCTGTGGATAGCGCCTCAGACTCACGAACGGTATCGCTCAGGGTATGTGGCAACGTGAAATCAATGGTCGAGGACAGCGCACCGTCTGAAGGACGCTTGTCGGAAGAGCCCATGGTAATGGTGACACGTCGCTTCGGTCGATCTTTGGNTACTGGGCCCAAGTCAGTGTCAGGATGCCAGATAGTCATAAGGCGCACTCACAACTTCAGTGCGTTGGTAATCAGGTTGATCAAGATTTGATGCACTCGTCCTGTATCGAGCATAACGTGATCAACGCCCATTGCCTTGATTGAAGGGTCGGCTTGAATCCGTAGTTCGATATCAGCGCGACCAGCCTCAATTTCGAATATGCGTTGCATGTCGTCCAAGATAGTGGTAGCGCGAACTGTCGACATATTTATTTGTAGAAGGTTGCTGTCAAGTTTGGACAAGGTCAAAGATCATCAACGATTCTGGTAAGTCAAAGATTAGCACATGTGTGGTAAGTAACGAACTAGAAAGTCAATCGCATACCGCTTCTGATGACTTGAGCATGATGTGATGATTTGAACAGCTTCTGCACTGTTTGCAACCAATTCACGTAGACGTTGACCTGCTTTTTCGTCAGAAATTTGCAGCTTGTCCATGATAGACTTCATCTCTCCCAGAGACTCGTCTATGGCATCTGCACAGTGTACAACTGCTCCGAGAGGGTTTCTGATCTGTGAGGAAGTCAGTACACCCACAAAGATGGCTCATGTGGCTCGATAATGTACCTCGCTAAGAACACAAGTCAGTCAAAGTCATTCAATGTGTCGGTAATGTACTCACTGCGATGTCATGTCGATGAAAACTTCGTTTTGGCGTTTGGCCTCGAGTGCTTCCTCGACCCTTGACCTCTGCACAACTTCTGCCCATTTCAAATGACTGATATCTGTTGTCGTCGTCATGATAGCCTTGACTGCTCCGTCGTCGTCCAATTCAGGATGAGAAGTCGATGAACCCCATGATTGGTAGCGATGTCCGTCACCACTGACAAACATGCGACGGAATCTAAATTGCGTCGTCTGCGGCTCGTGTGTGGTCATAATTTGCTGGACCGTGTTTCTTATCAAGGGCAGGTCCTGTTCGAGGATACCATCGGTCCAAGAAGAGTCTAGCTGGCTAACTGGCACAGGTGTGATGCCGAGCATTTCAAACCAGGCACTGTTGCAAAAACTTATCACTTTGCTGGGCATTTCAATAATATGCACAGCTACTGGAGAGCTTGCGGTAAATCGAAGAAATCGTTGCTCACTCGCACTCGCTCGTTCAAGGGCTTTTAGTGCTTGGAGGGCGTCGTTTTCAACTTTCTTCTGGGCATCAATATCGGTCGTGCATCCAGNCTACGAGAGCATCAGTCCGACTTTAATACGCGTTATGGTCTTGGATGACTTACCAATACTGACAATCTTGCCGTGCTCGTCCATTACAGGGAGACACACAGCCAGAATCCACCTTCCCTCTGGCCGATCAGGACACTTCCATCTCATCTGATNACTGCGTAAAGGTTAGCATCTGAGATGGTTACTACAAACTCGAACTTGACTTACAGTGACCGGTTTTCCTTGAAGCATGCTGTGCCAGTGGGACATGACCAAATCCTTGTCTGCATCATAAACCGATTCCAGCCAAGAAAAAGCAGGCACCGGTTCGTTTTGCCGAGGAAATGCTGAGAGTCGATACCAAGACTCGTTGGCTTCAAGCAAGTTGCCATCCCTGTCGCAACTGAATATGCCAACATCACTGAGCTCCATGACCTTGACGAGATGGCTGTATTGACGACTGATAGTATTGGCCTTCTTCTCTCGCTGGGCAAGTTCCAGGGCTGCGATCTCCTTTCTCCTGAGCGTATGAATGGTGCTTCCAACTGTTCTTCTCAATTCCTCACTCCAGTTTTTGTACGCAGCGTCATAGTTCGTTCGTGTGGAAACCCCCAAGACCAACAACGCTCTCACTTTGTGGTACCGGTTGGACTGTAGAGGAAGGATCACGGCTTCTCTACAAGCATCACCCCAACCGCGTGTGAGCGCTGCCTTCGACCAAGGATCTGGAAGACTGCCATCTTCTGTTGTCAGAAGGACGGGGTCTTCGGCTACCAAGGCTGAGCTCAGACTTCGATTGAGAGGATCGTTGCTGGTACCGTTCAAGTTGAGCACGCGTGCAAGTACTGAGTTGTTCTCAAAATCTCCAACCGAGCCTCTCAGTTGGAAAACAACCTCGTCGTCACCCCTAGCATCAGCCTCAGGTGCGTAGAGGAGAGCAAATGGACAATCATGTTCTCTAAAAGGTTGCATTACAATTAGCGACAAATCATGTGTGTATATTGATTAATCTCGTCGTCAGGACCAGTTTCCGGGCATCGTTAGACACCACGAAGGGAGCCACCATCTCTAGACTAACTGTACGTACCTTTCAGACAAGCTTCCAAGTATAGTGTCCCATAAAGAAGGCGTACTTGTGGCCAGATTGACGGCAAGACCTAAGTTATGACATGTAATATGCCTTCTGTCCGACAAGCATTTATGTGTCTCATCACGAAGAATGACCGAAGTTCCAGTAAGTGAGCTTGTCTTGGNGAAGGGGACAAAGACCCACGACATGTGGATCTCCAAAAGCCGACCATTTCTCGTTAGAGGCATGCAGAAACTCTCCTCGATTGAAGCTCTGCCAGTAGAAGTAACGTGATTCACAATTAAGATGGCCATGTCGTATGTTTCCGGAAACACTATCTGGAGTGGTCGTCCAATAGCTGCAGGGTGCTTTTCGCCAACCAATTCGGCGTAGGCTTCATTGTAGAGGAGTAAATTGTCCAGCCCAAGGATGAGTATTCTAGGTTGCGGATCCAGAATGATCAGATGAAACAGCAATAGGAGTTCCGGTGGCCAGTCATCAATAGCACCTATCGATGTAGCGGCCCAATCGACATTTTGCACCAAGCGGAGATATGCATCAGTTTCTGGTGAGCCCGACGGCTCGAAGATAAGAGATGCCATGTCGAGGATTCTCCAGTTTGCGACACGTCGTTGAGTATCCCACACAGCGGAGGCTGGAATTAAGCCACTTGGTCGAATCGCGCCGTGTTCATCCGTTCCGGCGGGCTGGTCGAGAGGAGAGTTGATCGCGTGCTACCCGAGTAGATGCGCTACACAAAGTACGAAATATCGAAGTAATCTGTCACTCCTGGAACGCCAGATATCAGGAATGCAGCTCCGGGCGCGCAAGACGTTTTGAAAGTCTTCCCTGCGCAAAACATCCTCAACCCTCTGGCCAACTCGTTCGCAACGGGCAGCTCTAACCCAAACGATCTGACCTGCCGCGGAATTCGGTCCAGATCTCCAGTGACGCGTTTGTTTTGTTTGCGGAGGAAAGAGCTTCCCGAAGCTTTCTTCTCGAAGCCTTCCCAAAACGACTTTTTGCAACTTTTTAGCCAAATTTTTTACCATCATTTACTCGCATTAACAACACTAAAAATTCTTACTGGAGTTATTCAAACAGCATAATGGATCACCAGCAGACTTCGGAGCAATCGCAGCCCAGCAAGCGCATCTATATTGGAAACCTTCCTTACGCAGCCCAAGCCGAGGATGTGGAACAATACTTGGAGGAAGCCGGCTTCCAGATTGAACGACTGGATATGTCTACCGATCCTTTCACTGGCAGAAACCCATCATACTGCTTTGCTGAGCTGTTTTCGGTAGAGGAGGCTGAGAGAGCCATTAGCTCGCTTCCTGGTGCAAGCTTTATGGGCCGTCCTCTGAGAGTCAACGTGCATACACCAAAGACCCGCGGAGCAAATGGCACAAACACTCCTCTGCGTTCTTCTACCAGATCTCCTTTCTCTGCTGAGCGTACCTGGCGAGGCTCACCTGCCGTCAACGGTGCCGAGACTCCTTCCAAGACTGGCGAACGCGATTCGTATGCTTCCAACCGCTGGGAGCGCAATGACGCTGCATCCCATTGGATTGCACCTGTAGAGACTGGTCGCAGACTCTATGTTGGTGGCTTGCCGCAAATTGATGGCCCAGAAATCATCAACGAGGAGATGAAGGCACTGTTCAGCGACTACACAGTTGAGGCCGTTAGCAAGTTGATCTCACCACACGAGTCTACAGCAACCTTGCCTGGCGACCACCACTACTGCTTCGTTGATTTTGCTACCACCGAGGATGCGCAAGCAGCTGCCAACGCAGTAAACGGAGCCACGACATCTACAGGAAACAAGCTGAAGGTCAACATGGCCAGAGAGAGACCCAACAGAAAGGTGGTCAGAGAGCAGAACCTGCCCGAGAAGGAGAAGCCTGCACCAGTCAGGGATTTTGGCTCTAGCTGGCGTAGGGCCAATTAATGCTCAGGAGTAAACTCCTTGACTGGACCCAAGAAGGAAGATAGACATCGGCTGATATAGATGGTTGCATTAGGATACAGGAGCAGGAAGGTGGTGGCTGGTTTAATTTCTGTTGATTTCGTCACATCTTTGCATCGATACCCCATTGCAAAGCCACAAGGCTTTGGTTTAAGGTTCATTCGTTCCCGGAAGAGGAAGCGCTTTGTATGATAACGAGAAGAGCAATTTTCGAGAGTTTCTTCTCAGTTCCACCAAANACTCATGCTGAAGCTCGTGCTTAGACTCTCCACATGATGCCACCATCCCACAGGGATGTACAAACACTCGCCTGGGCCCAGCACGCCCTCTGTGCATCTTGCATCCTTGAACAATGGGAACCGTACCTCAAATTCCTGTTTCTCCGATTCGTCTGCTTGGTTTTGCTCACTCGGTATACACAGTTTCCTCGCAAGGGAGATGTCGACGTTTGACGTGTTTTCCATATTGACGCCAGTCTCGTCAATACCACGAGGGTATAGTTTCGCAGTCTCTGATGGCGCATACAGGCGGACATACTTATGGCCCACGACTTGGCATAATATATTGTGGTAGGGGTCCGTATGTAACGGACTGATAGTACCTGCAGGTCCTAACCAGGCATTGCGAAGAGGCTCGTCGAGAGTCTCGACCTCGACAGTGGAAGATAGGGATCCGGGCGGAGGTGGAGATGTGTAACAATAGTCTGGTGTATTTGTGTCTGCGCTCAGGCTTGGGACTTGAGTGAACAGGTCGTGTTGGGCGAGATAGCCAGTTTTCTCTTGCTTAGGTTGCAGAAGATGGCTGTTCATGTATTCAGCAAAGGTCATGATGCGCTGAGACCAATCGTCGTCTGTATAGCTTCTCCCCAATTCCACTGGCACTAGTCGACGTCCTCCGAGTGTAGCTTTGAGCAGATATGATGGATCACTCCATCGTCGATCTTGGATAGCTATTGCGGGCCAGTCATCAATTACACCTTTGATTATGATTGGAGTCGTCTTGGTGTTAAGATGTTGTTGAAACTGTAGAAAGTCTAGCCTTTCGACACGAGGGAAAGTGTCATTCTGTGATCGGGGTATTGGTGTGACAGGAAAGGTTTTAGAAATGTCTTTATGTTCGTTGGGATCAAGGAAATTCTGCAACGAGTCAAAGATACTTAGTATGAGGTGGCGATGCTGAGGCGCACCAGTAAGGATGACTGCCATATCGAGCAGATGGACCAGACGGGTGATGTAGTCATGTTCAGGAGGTGGTGAAGCATGGCGCTTGCGCTTTTGACCACGCACACCATGATCAGTGAGGAGAACGATTGCCTGATATAGACTGGCTTCCTCATACAGGCGCCGCCAACAGAGCGGGATACTATCGAACTTCCAAGTGTGCAATTTCTGGTGAGCCAGAGCTAGCACGTCTTCGGGTCGTTGTTGGATGATCTTGAGCGGCGCATCGCCACATTCATGAATAGAGTCTTTTGGAGACAGCGAGGCCAGAGCATGTCGAATATTCTTGGCCAGAGAGAAGGCGTCCGGCAAGGCCATGGTTGGCGAGTTGAAGATAATATACCCCATCGGAGGTGAAGATGTTAGGCCGCATTCAACACGGCAGGTGCAGCCGAGAGAGGGTCGAGTTTGCATCATGTTTGCCAAAAATTAATCGAGGCGCAAAGAAGCGTCTGCTACTGTTCAGTCGCAAACCATGTCTCAGTCCATGATGGCAGCAGAAAAGAAGGTCGCGGAGCAGAAGACGACGGACAAGTCATCAGCAAGAGCATGGGAGGGACTCACACCGTCGCTGTCGCCATGGATGCTGGACGCCATCTCCAGCATGGGCTTCCAGCGCATGACGCCTGTGCAAGCAAGCACCATTCCGCTCTTCATGGGCCACAAGGACGTCGTTGTCGAAGCCGTCACCGGTAGTGGCAAGACTTTGTCCTTCCTCATTCCCGCTGTCGAGCGTCTTTTGCGCGCCGACGAACCCATCAAGAAGCACCACGTCGGCGCTATCATCATCTCTCCGACAAGAGAACTGGCTACCCAGATCCACTCGGTCCTCGTGTCGCTATTACAGTTCCANCCCCCGTCAGCCGCCGCCCGGCCGAAAGGTATCGACGACGAAGACGAGGAAATGACCGACGAAAACGCCCCCCCGAAACCCACCTTTCCTTCATCGACTCCCAAAGTTGTGCCGCAACTGCTCCTTGGAGGCACCACAACGCCCGCCCAAGACCTGTCCGCTTTCATCCGTACCTCGCCGAACCTCCTCATCGCTACTCCCGGACGTCTATTAGAGCTACTCTCTTCGCCCCACGTACATTGCCCACAATCCTCTTTCGAGCTTTTGATCATGGACGAGGCCGATAGATTGCTAGATCTTGGTTTCAGTGACACTCTGCAGAAAATCCTCTCAAGACTGCCCAAGCAGAGGAGAACGGGCCTTTTCAGTGCGAGTGTGTCAGAAGCCTTGGACCAGCTTGTTCGTGTAGGTCTGAGAAACCCCGTCAAGATTGCAGTCAAGGTCAAGAGTGCCTCCGGCGCTCATGACAAGCGTACGCCAGCCAGTCTACAAATGGCTTATCTGGCGACAACTCCTCGTATGAAGCTACCCGCTCTTAGCCGTCTGCTTACCCAACTTCCCTCAACCCCTCAAAAGACCGTCTTGTATGTTTCGACATGCGCAACAGTCGACCACTACCAACACGTTCTTTCCGAAGTCCTCCCAAAAGAATTCAAGGTTGTGCCTCTTCATGGTAAACACCCGCCGAACGTACGCACCAAGAACTTTGGCAGATTCGTCAACTCGACAGAGCCGTCGATCCTTCTCACCACCGACGTCGCCGCGCGAGGCCTGGATATCCCTGCAGTCGATCTCGTAGTACAACTAGACCCGCCCAGCGACCCGAAAACATTCCTTCATCGATGCGGACGTGCGGGAAGAGCAGGAAGAAGAGGATTGGCTGTGACATTTTTGAGCAAAGGCAAAGAGGAGGACTACGTCGAATTCTTGCGTATCCGAAAGACACCTATTTCACTTCTTACAACACCGACCATCGAGGCGACAGAAGAGGAGGCCAACGAAACGACGCAAAAGATTCGGGAGGTGCTAAAATCTGACCGAGCATTACATGACAAGGCACAAAGAGCGTTTGTGAGTTGGGTGCAAGCATATAGCAAACACTCGGCAAGCAGCATCTTCCGAGTACAAGATCTAGACTGGGAGGAGTTGGGACACAGCTGGGGTCTTCTCCGACTACCAAGAATGCCGGAGCTGAAGAAGTTCCAAGGAGACAAGTTGCTTGGGCAAAAGATTGACTGGGACACATTTGCATACAACGACAAGAAGCGAGAAGAGCACAGGTTGGAAGAGTTGGAGAAACTAAAGGCTAATGGAGGGCCGGCGAACAAGAGAGCGGGTGACGGCAAGACCAAGGAAGAGAGGAGGAAGGACAGGGCGTGGACAGCACAGAAGGATGCGAAGGCGACAAAGGAGCAGCGGCGCGAGATTAAACTGGCACGCCGTGAGCACGAGAGGCAGAAGGGTCTCACGCCAGAAGAGAAGAAGAAGGAAGCCGAACTGCAAGCTATGATTGAGGCAGTACGAGCAAGAGGAGAGCCGGAGAGCGAGTTTGAAGGGTTCGACGATTGAGTCAGATAGTCACAGCATGAATGGCAGGAGACGGCGTGACAAAGAGTTGGTGGTCAAAAGCGGACTTGTGATGTTGTTGTTCAGGTGCAGGCCGAGGCGTCGCGTGGGCTTTGATGATGCGGCCGAGGCCTTTGACAGCGACGCTCGAGTCATGGTTACCCATCTGTACACCGACTCCTCTCCTCCTTCCTCTCTTCTTCTCTGCTCGACTATCTCAACATGCGCGACCCCTTCCCCATCGCCGCGCCGCAGTGGCTTGCCGAGGCGGTGCGCCCGCTGGCAGACAAGCTGTCGCTGCCTACGCTGCCGCTGCACATCCACGAGGTCCTTCTCGCCGTTGTCTTCTACCAGACCATCAACGCCGTCATCGCGCCCGCCCTGTCGCGCCGCTTCTTCCCGCAGGCCTACAGCTCCTTCAACCGCCGTACGCGCATCAACTGGGATGTGCACATCGTCTCGATGGTCCAGAGCTTGCTCGTCAACACGACTGCTCTGTGGATCATGTACTACGACACGGACCGCAATAACATGAACTGGGCCGGCAAGATCTGGGGCTACGATGGTGCCTTGGGCTTTCTGCAGAGTCTGGCTGGTGGCTACTTTATGTGGGATCTCTTCATGTGTACATACCACATCAACATCTTCGGCCCTGGCATGCTTGCACACGCCGTCTCGGCCTGCACTGTCTTCTTCTTTGGCTTCGTAAGCTCCTGTTGATCATGCTCCCGACCTCAGCTGACTGAATCTCCACAGCGCCCCTTCCTCAACTACTACGGCCCCGTCTTCATCCTCTACGAGCTTTCGTCTCCCGCGCTCAACATGCACTGGTTCATGGACAAGTTGAACATGACAGGCAGTATCTACCAGCTCATCAACGGCATCATCCTCATCTCGACTTTCTTCTTCTGCCGCCTTGTCTGGGGCTCCATCAATTCAGTCCTTGTCTTCAGAGACATCTGGACTGCCATGCAGAACGGTGGTGTTGTAGGTCTCGATCAAAACCTCGGCCTCAAGTATGGCCTCGACCAGCCCGTGTCCGCCGTTACTCCTCAGGACCAGCCCTACACTGGCTCAGAAGACATCATGCGCTTTGCTGGTTCTCGTAGCCTGCCTGCTTGGCTCGCCCTCAGCTACCTGGCCTCCAACATTGTGCTTAACGTGCTCAACTGGTACTGGTTTGCCAAGATGATCGAGGCTCTTCGCAAGCGTTTCGACCCGCCTTTCGGCACAAAGCGCCCGGAGAAGAAAGAGACGGCTGTTGAAGAGCAGACACAAGAACCCGAGATCGAAATTCAGCGTGGTCTGTACGCCGATGGCAGAAAGACTATCGAGATTACCGGTACCCAGAGTACTCCTCCATCAGTCAGATCCAGACGTAGAGGTTAAATATGTCAGGCCCGACTTGGTTGGCCATTTGGTTATGACACGATCTTTGAAAACTATCAACAAATCATCAAGCTATTGATGCCTCGAACTGTGCAACCATAGCTCAACTTTGACCATGGCAGGGGACTTTGTCATGGTTTTCCATGTGCACTCGTGGTGGAGCGTGCAGCGACCCAGTTTCGAGTTGTTCGTAGAACAAGACACAGGACTTCGTTTTGCATAGTGCCTAGCAGCTGAACGCTGCCGATTTCTTGCACTTGCGCCGCAGTGTCGACACCGGCTAAACAAAGCGTGATAATCGTCACAAACCCCAACTTCTCCCCACTCTCGGAACAACCGCCTCCGCAGACAAGATCGTCCTTTCTGCAGATCGACCTGTATCGCAACGTCACACTCTGTCCTTCTTCTCTTTGTCCTTGAACCTGCACTTGTTTTGAAGTGAGGTCCGGCATATAACTCTACCGAGCCCTAGAGTGTGATTGGAGGAACAACTATATTTCAAAGAGACCCCTCCTTCTTTCCAGATAGCGCCTTGTGCATTTGACTAGGTTTCGGACTCTGTGCAAACAGGACTATATAGAAGTCTCAAGGCAAGAACAACATTCTCTTTGCAATACTATTCTCTTGTATCCATCATGACTTCTTTCCTTCGACCCCTGATCTTCTTGCTATCCCTGCTCCCTCTCATCGCATCTGGTCTCCCTTCTCCACGTCACTTCTCCGCCCTCAGACCTGCCTATTTCCTTCTAGCAGGAGATAGCACGACTGCAACACAAAGTGTAGGAGGAGGCGGCTGGGGCGATGGCTTCCTCAACTTTACACTGAAGGAAGGCTCATCAGGCCGCAACTACGGACACAATGGTGCCACGACCAAGAGCTTCCGTGAAGGCGGTGATTGGGATCGCTTGATTAGCGAGGCAAAGACAAAGACGACAAACCATACCGTATACGTGACCATTCAGTTCGGCCACAATGACCAAAAGGCAACTTCTGGAGTGAATCTTACACAGTATAGCGATAACCTTGTCGCTTTTGGCAGAGAGGTGGCGGCTATCGGAGCCATTCCTGTAATCATCTTCCTTCTCTTTGCTGTGTGTTGTCTAACAACCAACAGNATCTTCGTAACTTCATTGACTCGCCGCAAATACACCACCACCACTCCNCCAACCATCATCCAAGACCTAGCCGTCCAACGCAACCTCACCATCTCCGCTGCNCGCCAAACTCACTCAAGGTATATCGATCTCAACATCGCCTCGACAGACTACTGCAACGCCATTGGACCTCAAGAGGCCTGGAAGTATAATTTGAATCCCACGGATTATACGCATTTGAATGGGTGGGGCAGTGTGGTGTTTGGGAGAATGGTTAGTGATTTGATGGTTAGAAGGTTTGGGGATGTTGGGGCTGTGACGGAGAGGAATGGGACGTTGAGTAGGGAGATCTGGGAGGGGGTTGCTGCGTAGAGGGTGTGGTGAGGCTGGCCTCATTCGTGTTCACTAGGAAGTGAGTTATACAGATACTTTATGAGGATCGCTCTTACATTTCATCAAACCTTCCTTTCTCTTCTGATCTTCTCATCCGCTTCATCCACAAGGTCATCGCCACATCTCCAGAACTTCCAATCATGCCCAGCACTCTTACTTTAGTCACCATCTACACTATCCTCGCACAGTGCCCTCCCAACTGGATGAACGCATCTATGTCAGAACCAATCGCCTCCATGGCTGGCTTTCTAGTCAACAGCGCCTACCTTGTGAGCGGCATGCTCTTGCTGGTTGGCTTAATCTATCCCAACACCACTTCTTCGGCTTTGCTGGTTTATTCGGAGTGTCAATGGCATCCTGTTCTTGGCTGGTAAGATGGTAGAACAGAATTGGTTCTTGATCTGTCGACTGATGTTTTGACAGTGTATGGCACTGCTGTTGCCCAAGTGTGCTTTCACGTTGGCGCCTAAGACTTTCTTCGACGACTGGCTACTCCGTCACTCTCAAAAAAGTTGTCGGATCACAAAGGAGGTTGACGTCCTGTAATCTGTGCAGAAAAGGAAGTCTGGGGCATTAACTAGCAGATCTGGGAGGGTCTGCAGCTTGCGAAGCTTTGCATGTCATAGGAGTGAACTTGAAGGACGAGGAACGCGGTGGAAGATAGCGAAAGTGAAGGATCCTACTGGAATATGTAGCTGTCTGCTGCCTCACCGTCAGCTTCTACAGCGTACAAATGAAGCACTTCATTCACTCGTGTTGTGTTCACTAGGAAGTGAACCTAGAGATCGTCTTTCTCGACCAACTCTTATCTCGAGCACCTCACCAACTTCGTCCAGTCTCCTTCCAATCCTCCCTTCGCATCACCATCAACAAGAACATCTCCCTTCAAGAGATCCAGTCATGATCGACCCCAAGCTGTTCGAACAGGACAATGCCTCTGAAGGCCCGTGGACCCTCCTCAAGCAGCTCAGAATCCGCGATGTCGTCGCCGCTATCAAGCAGATCGTTCTCGAAGACTTCCAGCACCTCGTCAATCTCGTCAGAGGCCGTCCTTTGAACCTCGAGACCATCACCTTGCTCTCCAAGGAATGCGTCAAGGAACGCGCTGGAAAAACCACTCTCATCACGCTCGCCGTTCTGGTTAGCATCATCCTCTTGGTTTACCCCATGACTGTTGCCTCGTCTTTCCTGGCTGTCGCCGTTTTCACCACCACCGGTCCTGCTGCTGGTAAACTGCTTAATGTGGATAAGTTTTCTATCACTCGCTAGTGCTTTGGCAAGNNATCGGTCGCTGCTGCTGCTCAGGCAACCTACGGAGTTGGCGCAGTCTTCAGTACTCTTCAGAACGCCGCCATGGCTGGCTATGGAGTCACTGTCGTCGCTGGTATCGTTCAAGCAACTCTTATTGCCAGTACTGCTGTTGCTGCTTTCAAGCTGTGAAACATGCACAAGCGCAAGCACGCCTGAGTCTCGCCCAATGACCGGCGTTTTCGATTGGTGTTCGCAGAACCAATGGATTATCGGGAGTTGGAGTGTACATAAGGAAGTTCACATGCTGTCGTCCTCTGCCTCGGCAATTGAATGTTTACCGAGCTCGGGTGATTGTTCTCCGTGTTGGTTTCGTGTTGGCTTCGTGTCCAGCAGAGAGATATGAACAGCACAGCTCTGTCTACAAGGTTAGACAGTCATGAATTGATCGAACGGCTTTGCAGTCGCTTCCAAATCCCTATACAATTTCAGATGAATGGCAGAAAGGAAGGAAGAAAACAAGGTTGCCGACGACCATGTCAAAAGATATGCCGAAGTTTAGGCATGATAAAGAAGGAGGGTCGCGTCATGCTCTGTTATCACGGCCGCACGACCGAGGCAGGTGCAAGCTACAATCCCTTTTGGTTTTCATCATCTTGTGATATACTGTTGCTCCTGTGAAAAAGTCCATCGACCCTCAAGAAATCATCGCATCTGAACCCTGGAAGTCTCTGGAATAGAATCGTTTCTACAATACACAATGGTCGCTGACGCATTAATCTACCACCCCGCGGTCGCGCACTACAACAAGTTTGTCGCGACGACGAGTACGTTCGACCCACAACTTTGTGTATTCCTCGTATCTATGGACAACCCTGACTGACATCTTTGANNTACAGTGGGTCGCGACAAGGCCCTCCGGCTCGTGCAATACCTCTCGCGCTTCCTCGCATGGTACACCCTCCGCACCAACAGNCCCCAAGCAACAGTCGTGCAATGGGCCAAGCTGAAAGCCAACCTCGGTCTCGTCCGCAAGGCCATGCGCATCGGCAAGTTTGTCGAGCACTTCCGCGCCGCAGCAAATGCCTACGACGCAAAGACCCTTGACCCAGTCATCCGTTTCTGCACCACTGGAAGACAGCTCGGATACGGAGCTTACATGCTCACTGATACCTTGACGTATCTGGATGCTTCGGGCGTGAGACCTAGTGCTACGGCCAAGAGGATGCAGGTTCAGGCTTACAAGGCGTGGATGACGGGGTTGTGCTTTAGTGTCTTGAGTGGTGTGTACACTATCTACAAGAGTAGGAACGAGGAGGCTGCGCAGACGGATAAGGCTGTTGCTGCTGAGAAGACGGTCGAAGTTAAGAAGTTGCAGCGGTATGTTTTGACTCTCCCTTTGTCCTTCCATGTCAAGGTCCTCGTCACACAAGAACATCTTTGTTGACCTTTTATAGTNGAGAGAAGTGCTGCTCAGACACAACTCATCTCGGACCTTTGCGATCTCTTCATCCCCGTTTCTGCTCTCGGATACATCAAGGTCGATGATGGCGTCGTCGGTCTGGCTGGTTCCGTCAGCTCCCTGATCGGTCTGATGGCACAATGGAACAAGACTGCTTAGGTTGTTGTGATGCTGCTCAATCCTGCCAACATTGCGATCTCTGAAGGGCGTCTGCTTTACCATACTCGGGTGTTTTGCTTCTCCGTACGAAAGGCTATTTGTAGTTTTTCTCCTGATCTTGCTGTATACAGCTCCGTCTCAATTTCATCTATCGGAAGGTGCTTTTGGGAAAGGTGCTTCTATGTCTCCTTGTTTTCGCCATTCTTTCAATGCATAATACGTATACGACGCCCTCATCCTCTTGCTTTTCTTCCAGCAATCGATTGTTCTTCACTCTTGACCTTGCAAACTGGAGAATGAGTAGCCAAGCATTATCATGTAGCTGTCGCTATCAGCCAAAGCATACCATACGCTACCCTTCTTGGTTTATATGTATGATAGCGATGATGATGGAGGCCAAACCCCCAGAGCCAGGGTCATACCAACAGCAAGAAAAATAGTCCATAAACCGTAAAACAGTAAACAACATCCATTGCTACGAGAGTCAAACAATGCATGGATGATGGGACGTCATCTTAATCAAGCGTACAAATATGGAGAGTGTGGTAGCAAAGGCGTTTGTGCCTGATATTAAGAAGAAGAAAAGGGGGAAGTCGTTGTTAGAGGAAGAGGGGGAAACACGCCTGGCACCCTACGTGCATGAGCTCTGATGAGAATGGTCCACGTTGATCGGTGAACTCTGTGTCAAAGCGACCGGTGGGACATAGCAAGACTGGAGGGATGAATGTATGATTACGAATTGGCATCCTAACACGAATAAGATGGACGCGGGTTGGTAGAGTGACGATGAAGTCTCTTGACTAAAAGGAGGCGATGAAGGTGAAAGGGACTTCAGATGGATTAGAGAAATAGAGACATGAATCATGAATGGCAAAACAGAGAAGAAAAAGAAGATCGTCAATTCGTGTCAAAGGGCAACCTACCCCTGAATCCATCTTCAGTAGTCGGTGAACAGCCGTGTAGACATGGTAGGTCTCGAGCCCCTTCTCTCGCTCTGCACGGGACTCGCCTTTCTAATGCCCTGTTCCTTGCTCTCCTTGATGATCCACACACCACCACTGGTACCCAATCTGGTAGCACCAGCCTTTAGCATGGTGGTGGCATCTTCGACGGTTCGGACGCCTCCACTAGCCTTGACTTGCATCCTGTGACGGTCGGTACGTTTGTCCGCCAGGTGGTCGCAGGCAGCACGCATGAGCCTGACATGCTCAACTTTTGCGCCATGTCCATGGAAGCCTGTCGATGTCTTGACAAAGTCGAAGTTGGCAGCCGAGGCAATGGCGCAAGCAGCGACGATATCCCTAGAGCCGAGTTGAGAGGTCTCGAAGATGAGTTTAAGGACGGTGGGATGGGGTGCCATGGAGCGTATGAGGGCGAGTTCGTGGTAGATTTCACTGTACTCTTGTTGTTTGAGCAGAGGCCAGTTGATGACAACGTCCAGCTCGTGTGCGCCGGCAGCCAGTGCCATTCGAACCTCTTGCAGTTTGTAGTAGGTGTCTTGGGTGCCTTGGTGGAAGCCAATGACGCTGGCGATCAAGACGTTGCTTCCTTTGAGATTGGCATGTGCTTGGGCGACATAGTTGGGTCGGACGCAAACGCNTCTGCACAATACAGCGTCAGTGAACCTGGCCGAAGACAGAAGTGACAAGAAGAAATATACAGCAAAGTTGGCGACTCTGGCCTCGGCGCATAGCTCATCGACCTGTTTAGGCGTCGCGTCCAGTTTGAGCAGCGTGTGGTCGATGGTGCGTGCAATGTCGATTTTGTTCGTGTCAGGACAGTAGTCCTGCTCGTAGACCTGGAGCTCGCGCGCAACATCTGAGATGATGGCGCGCCATTCCGATTCTGTGTATCTCGTCGTCGTCATGCTGGAGGTGCTGTGTACTGGTTGCTGGTTAGAGGCGCCGTCTTCTCCTTTTCTCGTGTAGCCGCCCAAACGACTGCGCTAGTCATTCTGCATGTGCTACGTCCAATTCGCACCGTCATGCCATTCCAAGCTGCATGTCGAACGCTGCCTGATTTGATCCAACTCAAGATCTATCGACATGGAAGGTAGGTCGATAATTAGACAAACACAAGAGATGAATGGGGTCGTGTTTGAGACAGAGACCGTCTTCACCGTCAAGCACGGTGATGCAACATGCCATCACTCTATTTTGGACCCGTAGGGCTAGTCTTCACTTTGCACGTGGCACTTGATGTCTAGTTTCATCGTGATCACCAAATATATCAAGCAATAGACAAATCAATTCGCAGAGCTAGAACCAGGCAAGCAAGGGTAGCCTTCCTCAATAGCATACAAACTCCTCGCTCCTCAACGTAACCAACGTTAGAAGACAGGCAGGCAGGAGATGCCATCTCGTCTGTCCCATGCATCATGTACAGAAGAACAGCAAATGAAAGAAGTAGAAAACTCCATTGACGATAGCAAGAGACCTGTAAAAGGGAAAAACGAAAAAAAGCCGTGGCTTAGGCCTTTGGATATCCGGAACTCCCTTTTGTGACGACGGCGGTCGAAGTTTTGGGTCATGAAACATGTTGCTTTTTTGGGGGGCGAGAGCGTTTCCCTCTTCTATCCACAATGCGCGCGGCTGACCATTGTTGGTTGTGTGTGCATCTTGATTGGATTCCATTCCGCTTGATTGATAATTTGCGTCCGTCCAACCCTCATCCATCATCCACTCCTCGTTACGAAAACCAAAGACATGCTTTTCTTTTTCATTTGGTTCAACGAGTCGTTTACTTTCTGCGGAAAGAGCAGCCCTCGGTCAGGCGGGCCTTACCACCGGTGGGCTGGCAAAGAACCTGGGAGCAGCCGGCGCAGACAACGACGGTCTGGGCGTGCGAGAAGACGGTGGTGATGGTGAAGCAACCGGGGCACTTGACGTCCATGAAGAAGGAGCGAGGGCCGGGGACAAGCATNNCTGCTAAGAGTCAGACGATGGTTGTGTGATTGTGAGCAAGTCCAGATGTACGCACCTTCAGCTTGTGCTTGCGGGCCTCGGCCTGAGGAGTGGGGTTGAGGAGATCGACTGCGAGAACCTAAAAGGCACTCAGTCAGTCCATCTCTTTGCGATTGCAGTTGTGTGTCCATTCTTCTGAGATGCGACGCTGGACGGTGGTGGACGGGTGGCGGGTGACGACATCTTTGGATGCCTGACAGCACTTCGTTCTACAGGCAGATCGATAGATTGGATGCGATATTGATGGTGTTCGATGGTAGATTGATGGTTGTCGCCCATGTCGTGTGCCTTCTCTTGTCCTTCGGTCGAAATTTGCCACCCGTGGTCGACTGGTCCAGCGCGCACCTCAGAGGTCCGGGAAAGTCGATCTTACCATCTTGACGGTGTTTAATTGACGAGTTTTGTGTGAAAAAGTCTCTGCGTAAGTGGTTGGTGTATTGGCTGTGCTGGTTCGCAGGTAGGCTCGCGGTCGACAGGTCAAAAGAGTCGGGGCAAGGGCGAGGATAAAGCTCCCGCTGAATTTGCCTACTGTGGGCGGACTAGGGCCTTGGCACCCGCTTACTAACCGCGATTCATCCGTGCTTTGCCTCCAGTTCCATCAGTTCGACATTGAGTAACATGTCATGTGCTTCCTTTTCCTTCTGAGCATCATATCTGTCGGCTCTTGAACCTGCTTCACTGCTCTAGATCGTACTCTGCAAGTTTGTTGCGCGAAGCTGGCTTGCTAGGTGGCGAACATCAACCCCTCTCGGCCGATGAACGCCTTTGACCCGGCAACCGCATCATTCACTATCTGCTCCGTATATCCTTCAATACTACTTGTCCAACACCATACTTCATTTGCATATCTGGTCACATATGTCTGCGATTCTGAACATCGCTACCTTCAGTTCACTGGACATGATCTGAAGTCAGATATGCGTCATTGGAGAACTACGTTGCCCATGGTGCATCACTTCAAAGATGTTTTTGCTTCTGCGAGATCGACATACCAAAAGATAACCTACTAACCTCAACTCTATTTATGAGGTTCGAAGACGGATTTGTTGTCGGCAACTCTAGCTTCTGCACCTTTCGGGTCCGCTTCCTGGCATCATGACAACACGATAGTCCATCGTTGCCACCATGATTTCACAAACTTATTTACAGGACTGATGAACAATGCATTCGATGGTAGGACTCATAGAGATATGTCAGATGACCGCCAGTGTGGTTCCCATCAGGACTCTGTTCAATCATCGACATTGGTGGATGTAACATCACCGTGGGCCAGAGCCCACCCTATCACGACTTATCTCGCAAGACACATTTGCTTGTCTTGAACGTTATCAGTATCTGTCCTCGCCTCGTCGAATGTACACTCGCCTCTTTGTACCATCTCCTGAACTCAAGAGCCACTTTCGATTAGCTACTAAAGCGGACTTGGTGGTCCGAATCGGCATCAACACTCATCTTTAGTTGCCAAATCGTTGCTCAAGCATGACGACGGGAACAAGTTGAGCATCGACCAGGAATTCCTTCTATCGCAACGTCGCTACAGCAGTTGTCTGCATCGCCACCTTTACGACCCAATCCTATCGTTGTTGACAGCACTAAACACTGGCTACATCTTACCGATAATCAATGGTCCCCTTCTCTCTATGCTGGGCAACTGAAACGAACAGTATCGACACAAATGCATGCTTCTCAGCACCGCTCCTACTTAGGCACCTCGTTCCTCGCAAGAGGTCTGTATGGACTGAGGATGCATGATCCAGCGCCAAAAGTTGGCGAACCTGTATCATTCAGGAATTCTTGCTTTAACGAGATGCACGCGCACTGGTAAGGGGCTCACCGCTGATGGCTGATACTTGCATCTTCCAGGTTGCAGCCAATTTCATCTTTTCTGGATCATACAACCTGGAGATAAACAAATCCACGCAGAGTCCTTGGGCTCGAGCTGCCATTCTCGAGAACCGTTCACGCATGACCCTCGGATTGACTCACATCCGACTGTCATGTCCTCGGCCGTCACTCTGCATTGTTGTTTGTTGAGTGATCCTGCACACAGTGTTCTCAAGCGCGAGTGGGGAGCGTGCAATCAAAGCGCGAACAGGTTATGGTTCTGTCTATCCACTCTGCTCCTATACCGTACCGTCCGCGAAGATCGTGCTTATACTATGCCCTCAGGAAGTTCTGGCATGAACCACGATCATAAAGTCATAACCCGAGTTTGATCAGCAACATTGGATTACCAAGTCAGACTTTCATTCGCACCAATTTCGATGGCGATCCGAATTGATCAAGAATCTCTTCAATGAAACCCTCTCATGAACCTTTCTGGTGCTTCCGGTCATCTCAGAGCAATTGATAATTACGGGGTGCGAGAACGCAATCAGAAGTCGACGCATTGCTGGCCATGTCCAAGAACACCTTCCCAAGCTTAAGCAACCATATTCTAGACCAACCTCCCAAGCAACGCCGCCCAGACAATGTAACCTTGATCTGGAAAGAGAAACTGCGTTCAACCCTCCCAATCTTAACTGGATTACCTCTCAAGTCGACAAACACGCTGAGATATATTCTCAACATCACAGCTTGTCAAAAGCCTAAGGATGCGGAAGTGAGTCTCGAGAACAACGTTGAGATGTGTCAGGAAGGCCTTGGGACAAGACGACCACTGACCCGCTCAACCGATCGTTTCGAAGACCTTCACAGTACCCAGCTCGCCAACAAGACGGGACGGAACCTACTTGTTACGTCCGACTGCGATATTTCTCCACGATCATCACGCACTCAGTGACTAAGAGGCAATGCCATTCGTCACTTTTCAGGGACTATATGAATTCATTAGGCTAGGACGAGCGACTTTGCGCAGTATCATATACCGACAAGTCGATTCTGCTTTCATCAATTCAGTATACCTGATCAGGTCTCGTGGTCTAGCGGTATGATACTCGCTTAGGGAGTTGCTTCATAGCAGCTTGAAAACTCTAAGCCAATTGCGAGTGGTCCCGGGTTCGATTCCCGGCGAGACCCTTTTGCCCGTTGGGCATCTCTCGTGCTGGTTGAGGTTGAGAGAAAGCAATGGTGAAGTCTTGGAACGTTCATCAAGGCTTTGTTTGAGTCAGGTTGAAGGCTCTCAAGAAAGTTTGGTCACAACAACAACCCAACACCATGGATAACAACCTTAGCTTTGCCTTTCTTTTGCCAAAGACACTAGTCTCAACACAAACAGAGAAAGCCCGAACCAGGTTGGTCATTATTTCCCCTTCATAAAAATCTGTCCTGCGCTTTCTTTGCCAAGATCTAAATTCTTTCTTCTCACGTGTTTCAACCACGCTATCCCACAAAATCGTAAGCCACACCCGAGCTTCCGAGGCTTCACAAAGTCTTGGCATAAAAAAGTTCTTCGTCTTGGGACCTATACCACAACCCAGGCCAAAAGAAAAAGAACAGACAGCGTTGTGTATAGGAATAGCCGAAGGCGGGGCTCGAACCCGCGACCTTGAGGTTGTACTTTATCGCATGATAAGAGCCACACGCTCTACCGATTGAGCTACCCCGGCAGGTCTGATGATCTAGTTCACTGTGTGAACTGGCTGCTGACTGATGGACGACAGACTGCCTGTTGGGTATATGTACCTAGGGTCTCTTGACGAGCATGCTCCTATCTGATGTAAAATGGTGTCAAGCTCTTCTCATACTTGCTCGCAACGTCTACAAACATGGACGACGTGTCTGGCAGAATATTGAATCTGATAGCATTGTACGTACAAGAAGATATCACAATAGTATCCTCAAGACTCCTGCAACCATATTTGGATGCAACGATTTCAAGCATTATAAAATGACGAATTGATCAAGGGAGATGTCATTCATCCTTCTCTAGTACGCAAAGTCTTCGACAATAGTATACATGGTCCAACAGTAGAAATGAATACCCTCTGGTTCTTTCCATCCTTATAGTCTCAATAGATATGGCTCTGCTATGTTGTTTCTTCTTATATCGCCTCTTTCTCTTAGACCTCTTCGCTCATCTTCTAATGTAATCGCACGTGCCACTCGTGTCACGACAGCATTTCTACGCTCGTTCTCATGCTGTTGTCCCAGCAGCGCGTCGTTGTTGCTTATAGCTATGTCACCTCTTTTTACTTGATGTTATCTGCTCTGACAATATGGCACACACGTTCTGTATAACACAAGCCTTACTAACAAGAGATCTTAGAATGTGCAGATGATGACGGACGATACTAATAACTACAAGGGAGCAGGAAAACTAGAATTGGCTAAGTGGGTGCCTTGTAGTTTCTTTTTAGACACTAAAGACAGCAAAGAAGAAAAGCTAGACACACAATCTCTTTCTCTGTCTGTATAACATATACATGCTGTCCAATCGATATATCCTAAGGATATCAAAAATAAGGATAGCAGTGCAATGTTCTATACTATCCTACATTCAAACTTACGTTTCATTACAGCAACTCGTCCAATATCATCCATTGACATGGATACACCGAACTAACATGCATCTTAAAGATCGCATCTATCCAACAGAACAGTAAACAGCGCCAAGTATAGTTCGTCGTCAGAGCCAAAACCCCGAGCAGAGGCCATTAGTCTTTACAAAGAAAGAAAAGGCAAAGTCTTCTGCTATGCAGAAACAAAAGGTCAGAAAAAAGTAGAGAAACATCATAATATCTACACAAGACAGACACCGCGCAGTAAGACACATTGAGATATCAAGCAAAACAGGGAGTTAAAGAAGAAAAACCAACTACCATGTAGAAGCTATCAACCCTCGACTATCGACGTGTAACAAAAGCAATAATCAAAAGTCTAGGAAAAAGCTACCCGGAAGGAAGAACGTACTCAATATTAGCAGAAAGGCGTTGAGCAAAGAAAGGAGTGCGCAGATTAGTAGTCTCTCTCTGTACGATAGAATAAGAACATGTATCAGACAGGGCTAGTGATATGTAACGAAGGTGCAATATCTGACGATCAAGACCGTCATACAATGCACGATGGAGCAGCAAAAGTCAATAGAGAAAGGAGCTCTCGAGCATGAGAGATCAAACAAATGATCTCAAACTTGATATGAAAGAACGAAAATCAGGCAAAAGGGGAAGGTGCGACCAACAATGAAGGAAAGGAGCAGTCAAACGCAAGAGGGAGCACGTGAGGAAGGAGCGTCAAAGCCATAGCAGGAAGGTGCGATCGAGGTCGAGAGGAAGGAACAGACAAGCTTAACAGGAAAGAGCTAACACTTTCAAGAGCAAGGAACGATTGAGAAGGAAGGGCAAAGACAGATTCGAGAAGGTACGACCAGACTCGGATGAAAGGTACGACTGAGCATAGAAGAAAGGCACGATTGATTCCAGAAGGAAGGAACGATCAACCAAACATAAAAGGAGGGAGCGAAGACACGAGGAAGTAACGACTGGCACTGTAGAAAGGAACGATCGACCATAAGACGAATGAGAATCTAGGGAATTCTATTCAGGTGGAAGGCTTGATCGGGCACTTCAGATAACGAATAGCTGAGAGGGACAGGAAAGGAATCTCGAGATACAAAGTAAGCAGATGTGCTGCCAAATCTTTGAATATTAGCATGGCCAATACAGAAGTGCACTACAGCTTTGAGTTTCTAAACCACGGATCCATCGAGTCATCTGGAACTCTTACAGAGATGCGGTCATGTTCCACAAAGAGTCTGTGATCGAACCACCAGCATGACAGCAAAGAGTCCATATGAAGCTTGACAAAATGAGGAATGCCGTCATCACTGCTGTTTGTACTTTGATGGAAGATGATGGAAGATGAACGAAGAGCAGGGTGACTGGATCATCTCTGAACCAACGTTTTTGCACAAAACAGTCGTGAACCACCTGCCTGTTGGATATTTAAAAGGTCATCTGACACAAGGACATCATCAGTGGAGAGTGACGCTGACAAACTTGGAAATAGCTGGCGATTGACCATGACTCGCCAGATCCTGTGGCCTTCCAGTATCCAGTTTCAGTTAGAACCTCGCCAAAAGGTCCTGGTCGGATCTGTTGATCGGTAGCTGATATATTGATGCTCCCTCGATGGAAAATAGGAATAGAACATTGTGGTGCTATTAGTACTCTGGACGTTTCGACCTCGAACACGGACGGAGGCGTATATAATGCGAACCTGTCAATCTTGCAGACGTCGTGTACATTGCATTAGCGAGAGATCGGAAACCAAAAGCACCTTGTCGATGCAGCGCAAAGACCACTCAGGTTTAGATAGAGGAGCGACAACTGTACACAAGCAAGACGTTCTGCTCTTGTGTTCGCGGCTGATACCACAGCTTCGAATTCAATGCTTGCAGTCACCGAATCTGCTTGTCGAGGGTTGGAATGTCTGATCGTCCATGCCTAGATCGATCAGAGTGGATTTCAAATAACTTGTTCTTGATATCGGCATCGACTTCATATTGCGTCAAAGCCCCTTGCAGCAGAAACGCGTGAGATGAATGGGCAGACACGTGTCTCAGCTGCAAACACCGACTCCTGGCCCGAAGCAAGGGATCGGTAAGTCAGAGATGCAATTCAACTCCACTGCCAGGTCACAGACCTTCGCAACGCGATCCAATATCGCTGGGTTGGTCGACATGCAGGATGCCTGAAGATCGAGTCTTTTCCGAGATGTTGGAATGATGACCCAGGGTTGCTGGGACAAAGATCCGACCCTCCATGTTGGGAGGCGAAGAACCAGGGGCACAGAATCAAAGTCCCGTGTGAAAGGTCGGAAGCCGAGGTGATCCTTCAAGAACAGGTGACTGGTCAAGAAACAATCTAAACGATCATGAGATTCTTCAAGTGATATCACAAAGTGAGACGAGGGATTTGAAACCGGACGAGAACGAGAAGGAACCAGGAATTGTCGTAGCGTAATGTTCGGCGCAAAAGGTGCATTGCATGAGCACCAGCAGATGATGCTGATTCCTTACTCGCCGGGGCACGCTCGGCGAACTGATCGATTTGGTCTTTGTTAGTTCCTGGGCATCGTGTATATTTTTGAGCGCGGGTCACAGATATTGAAGATCCAGAGCAATGGATCCGCGACAGACCAAAAGATGGACTATCAGCATAGCTGATCGACGGGGGAACGATGGAGTGCTGTAGTAAGACGCTCCTGACGCTTAAAGCTTGCGCAATATATTACTTGCATTGGCGCCATCTGCTTTTGGAATACCCGCGCAAGGGGCACCGATTCGCAACCCTCGGAGAACCCTGGATGTTCGGAAGATTGGGCTTCCTTCGGATGATGCTGAAAGACATCGTAGATGGGACATTAAACCGAACCTCTCGTTGGACCCCTCAGCTGGGTCGAAGAAGTCGGACGCGGCTGTTCCAGGGATCGCCGGATAAAAGTGATTTTCTTTGTGCCTGGTGAGTGTACTTGCGATGGACGAATTGCAAAGCGACCTTATGCCAGGGAGAATGATGTACCTAAACGACCCACTCAAATTTGACGATCTTCTTGCATGATGGCATTGCTGGACGTCCGGTTTGCTTCCATTTCATATAAAATAGATGAATTGAATCCAGACACAAAAGGAGAGTGATGGGATTTCGAGATCTGTCCAGCCCCGGTGGATAGAAAGAGGCTGGCCTTGTTTGGGTCGATGAGTGATCAGGAAAAGGAAACACGTCTTTCGGGGAGACCTGGATGGGTTGAGCCGACGTGAGATTGATTGGCTGGAGAATGATCTGTCCCGTCCCTTTTCTCAAGCTTGTCAACCTCTAAATCCTTCAAACTAGTCAGCCCAATCTATCTACCTTTTGTTCTACACTCGACTACTGTCGGTGCTGTCGAGTAATGATTTGAAGACTCAGCGACCTAGACATGCAAGAGATTCAACCAAGTCTGGAAGAAAATCGCGACCGATGCGCCAAGGACTAGATCATCTCATATTTCCCATCTTGGCTTCCACCTGGAGTTTTCAACTGCTACAAGTTTCTTGAACTAGTGGTAGCAATATGGAAACATCCTGCCTTGTCAAAGATTGATGAGCTGTCAGGTGGTTGATACTTCTGTCAAAATCACGGGCGCGGCGCGGTCCGTACGGAGCTGCCCCGAGCTCGACAGCGAGGGTCGCTGGGCATGGCTGAGTTGGCAGTGAGCATGGACAGTGGGCGGGCCATGGTCCATACTTTCGATAGCCTCAATACGCAATGATGGGCTTCTCGTCCGAGAATAGGACACGAATTGCCGGAGTTGCTCCTAAACGGCAATGTTGGAATGCAGAGGCGTGAAATGTCATTGGCGAGCAATTTTCTATGCGACACATCGAGTGGAGAAGGTTGATTGTTAGATTTGGAGACTAGCTATGAGAAAGGAAACAACATCGTATCGACCCCTGGTCCGGCATGTCCGAAAGAAGGAGCTACGACTCCTTGAACGTGAAATCAGAAACCTGGAACTCCGCTGATTTTGTGACTCGGTGCTCTTTCGAGGGGTCCGCAGGCGTTAAGACATATCGTCATGGTAACCTTCGCATAAACCCGTCCGAACGCCATCCATAAGTAGTATCCAGCAAAGAGAAAAGGAAAACGGAACGAAGAGATGCAATAGAGACGCACTGAGAACGCCTTCGCTAAATGATACTTTGGTGGGGCTTGAATAACCTGAATTCTAACAGAAAGAAAAGCAGAGATTAAGGAGAAGGGGTGACCCTGAGTTATGTCTTGTGTCGTTACGTCGTCATACTGTGGTTGCTGTGGCTGTCGATTTAGAACGAGTGGAAGGCACATGGTGGTTGTGCCGAACGAATTATGGACGATCGAGTTGCCGTAGGCAGGCAGGCGAGCGAGAGTCATGCACGATCAACGGCTCGACTTGCTCTTGCTGCGTGGATTGGGAACAATGTACTCCTTGCTGGGATCCCATTCATCGGGGTGGAAGTCAGGGTTCAAGAAGTGGGTGCGATTGAAGTGAGAACTGCACAACTTAGTCACTCGAAGATTGATTTAAAGTTTGGATCGAACTTACTGCTTGAACTGAGCTGTCTGGCAGACAGAGTTTTGAGCAGTTGCATCTGCGACGTTTTGTCCATTCTGCTCAAACATATGGGTAGATGGCCTGAAGTTTCCTTTGCCGCAGTAGCTAAGCTGGTCGTAGTTGAAGAATGTGGTTTGGGATACAGGAGAGAAAGTATAATCGGCGGTCGAGGTAGGAGAGGGAGTCTGAACGGCGGGAACGTAGGCTGGGGTGGCAACGGGAACGACGGGTGGTGGTACGTGGTGCTGAACAGGCATTGGTGCAGGAGCTGGCACAGGCGGAGGCGGCACTGCAGCAGTGGGGGCAGCATAGTCAGACACGCCATAGAACTGGTTGGGCATCCAGTTGGACTGGCTAGACAGCAACGACATGCCAGGAATCATGGTCATGAAGTCGGAAATGCCGAGGTCCACGACGGGCTCTTCATAATGATGAAGAGAGGACTGCAAGTATGTCGGCACAGCAATGGGTTGGCTCGGTGGTGGCTGCGAGAAGATCTGCTCTGGCTGATACAATATATCATAGTGACCNNGCTGCAAGTCACGTTAGCGATTGTCATGAGCCAAGCAACTGCATACCACTCACGGTCTGTAAAGGAGACGGATGGCGTGCGCGTGCGTAATACTGGGCGCAAACTGATGCGCGTTCACCTCAGTACCAGCGCTACGATCAAGGTAGATGACTTCCAGAGCGATGCCAGCAGGTTTGAGCAAGACGTCAGTCAGAGCTTGCATTCCAGGGTGATCGATCTCGATCTGATGAGGATCGATGTTGGCGTCGCAATAGCTAGGAACAGTGTGAGGAAGCACGAATGGAGCATAGTCTTTGGCACGAGTCTTCATCCAGGCCGAGGTAAGAGTCTGCTAGAGTAAGTAAAGGAACACTTTGATTGAACTAGTTGCACATCGTACCTTGAGGTATGTGATGATCTGGTTCTGGATCTCTTCGTTGTTGAAATACTCGAGGAGGAAGGCCTCGGAGTTGGATGAGTCGGCCGACATGCACTTGCGTAGCAGGGCATAGATATCATCAGCGAAGTCTTCCCAGATGAACTGGCTATAGCCAGCCATGTTGATGACATTGCCCAAGGACTTGAGACGAGTTTCCTCCTCCAAGAACTTGGTCCTGTCACCTACGCGGAAGAGATTTTCGAAATAGCCGAAAGCAACAGCTGATTCGTGTTAGTACGCTCGAGTGTGGTAACAAGGATTGTATGTTTGCTTACCTCTCCAACCACATCTTCCATCGCCACGAGTTGTACGATAGTGAGAGTACTTGTGGGGAGTGCCTAAGACAGAACGTTAGTGACATGTGATAATGAACAACGAGAGATAGCATCGCACCGAAGTTTTTGTGCGATAGACTGGATCGGCAGCAGCATACTCTTCGATGAGAGCACTGGTCAGTTGTTTCTCACCGACGAATGGTCCCTGTAAACATTGGAAGTCAGCCAACAGGGTCCGAAAGCTTGTGCAACGACACAACACGAGCGGGTGCGGGGATGGGAGCAAACTCACCGTCACTTCAGGCTGGAATTCAGCTGACAACTTCTGAAGCTGCGCCATTTCGTCTTCCGACTGCGAGTATGCCATGACTGCAGGCGTGTGTTGAGACTGTGGGGGTTGATGGTGTTGATGAGAGTGAATGTATGGAGAGTGGTCGATCAAGGGTTGATGATGGTGCTGCTGATGATGAAGCTCGGGCATTCCAAGCGCCGAGGGCCGCATTGGCATCTGCATCTCTGCTGGTCGGTACGACGTGGTGTAGAACGGAAATTCGCCATAGGGATACATTCGATCGCCTTGGTAGTAGTTGGGCACTCCCACGTACGTATACATGGCAACGGCAGTCGGGTTGATGTCAAGCGATTGAGTGTGTCTTGCTGATCAAGGCCGATCGTAGGAAGCAAGAGCAACAGGAAAGCAGGTAAGCAAACGGGTAGCTTGAAGAGCAAAGAATGATGGGAGAGATGCGCAAAAGACGAAACAAGATGAAAACACCGAGGTAGCAGGAGGTCTTTCACGCAGGTGGTGGGCGTGAGGGGTGGATGGGTCTTTTCACACAATAGCCTTGTCCCCTACGTGATAGATTGAGGTGCAGGGAGCCGGGGAGGTACTGGCACGACGGTGGGAGCAGAAAAGAAAGGGATCCGTAAGTCTGGGAAAGGTTGAGCAGATGTTCGGTTCCCTTACTGCAGTAGAACAAGAGGATACAGGGGCACTATATGAAGAGACGCGAATGAGTATAGGTCATGCGGCTTGACTCCTGCCAGGCACCAAAAGCGCGTGCCGGGAAAAAATGTATCAGAGCATACATGTCCGATCGGGTCACGAAGGTGGAGCGTGGCAATCGACTGGGACTGCTGCACAGCTGGGAGCCAATCTAGAAAACCACTAGACTCGGCGCCTCATGCACATCAAACTATCACCACACTTGTACTGTGAAACAGAGGCTGATCTTCGAGTAGGACAAGGTAGAATGGATTGTCTATGAGACAATCGAATCGATGAGGGTCGGCTCGTACACTCCGAGCCCAGATACAGAGAGCCTGACAGCACTTTGGCGATTCGAACAAAGTTGTCATATTTGACACATTACGATTTCAGGTTAAAGTGATCTAGCACGCCGAGTGGGAATCAAACTTCAAACAGTGTCTCTTAGGAGCAAAACGCGACAGGTTGGGAGACTGAGCGTAGTGGGTGCTCGACGACCCGACAGAGTGGGTAACTAATCTGAGCGCACAGGGTTCGTCGATGGTAGGCTGGGTTTGATGCCAACTAACCGATCAGGAGCTTCCGGGCCGCAGAAGATCATTGGGCGGCTCCGAAAGAGCGGGGAGTGATGTGTTCATATAGTAGTACAAGACTTGACTACACGACAATGCAGCATGCAAGCTCTTTACCTGTCTCTCATCGGCAAGACCTGTTGTTTGACTGCAAGCTTACGCGCACGGGATGATCCCATGCAACATCTATCGCTGCTTCTTTAATATATCTCATCCTTTGCGTCGGGTTTGCAGTAACTAATCATTGTAATTCGTTATTTTGTTGGCCTTCTATCCACGTTGCTCGAGCTACACGACCTAACACCTGCCGCCCCACCCTTAGAGCTGCGACCTGTCTGTGCTGGTCGAAGAAGTTGATGTTTGTGTTACCTCTGAGCAAAAAAAAAGAAAAAAGCCGTTGTGCCCACACGAGTCTCCAGAGCGTATTAATGAGAGGAGACGATTACGAGCTATATTTCATCAATCGCTGACGGGAGTACAAAAACGCCCAGAGGGAGGTTGGGAGGGAGGGGCATAGACCGCTTTGTGTCAGCAGCATGCGCAAGCGAAGAGGCGCATAATAGTTCTTTCAAATAACGTTCCGGGTATCGCCAGGTACGCCATCCGCTGCAGATTTGTGGCAACATTGTGGAGGTTTGGTGTGGATGCAAAGCAAAGGGCCGTGATTGGATGACACCCGACATGCATGCAAGTCATGTCGAGATGGATTCAACCTGGGACTCGGGATTGAAGTCTGCGCTTCCCAGAAGGCATGTTGGTGCGATGCGTAGAGGGAGGGAAGTACGCCTCGGGATTTGCCATGGATGGTGCTCCATCGTCACCTTTGAAGCCCTCACCATCGTTCAAGACGAATGCAGCCAGAGAACGCACAGCTGATGTCCAGTCTGCGACTGCGTGCATGCGATCCAAGTCTGCCCTACTTTCAATGTCGACAGTTCCGGCTTCCTGGTTGATCTTGCCGTGGAGCTTCTGGTCCATGATCAAGAAGCCCACAATGTCTTGGACTTCTGGAATGGAGATGTTCAGCTGCTTGGCAATGAAAGAGAGGCGGAAACGCGTGTAAGGAGCGACCAGCTTGACAACGGCCTTTGTGCGCATGTTTCGCGTGACTTCGTCGATATTCTCGGCAATGAAAGGGTCGGCCAACAGATCCTTGTTCTTCTGCAGGATCGACTCGTACCGGTGAATGTCATCTCGCTGGTAAGCATCGACCAGCTCAGTCATGGCAGCGATACGAGGATCGTTCTTGTATGGCTTGGTCTCCTGTGAATCAAAGGGGTTGATATCGGAGCCCATAAGCATGGTCGTCAGAACCAGATACTTGAGCACTTGAATTCTCTGCAACGAGCCGGCCTCATCATAATTGCGGAACGACTCGAAGAAGTCTGATTGAGCCTCCTTCCAATTTTNCTGCAGGGGACGGGTCAGCATTGGGGGTCTAAAAAGGCGCAAGCGTGGCGTTCCCGAACCTTCACTCATGTGCATCTTGCCTCCACATTCTCGGATGATGCCCATAATCTTGGGATGTGGCACGGCCGATCTGACCTTGAGGGCACGCTGATAGAGGGCNNCTAAAAACGAGATGTAAGATTAGCTTGTGGCTCACGGCGTCAATCACAAGCATAAGATGTTGGCACGGACCTTGAGACGTTTGTTGTTGCGAGTTTCGGCATACATGAGGATTTCCAGAGCGTAGACTTCGAGCGAGTATGTGCCCTTGCTTGGATCGTCGGAACCGTCTTCCAACTGACAGGCCTTGTGTAGCTCGCGCACCTTGTCGGTCAGGCGGCGGTAGTCCTTCTGATCAAGCCAGAGACGGGCCAACTTTGTGTTTGTCTTGAGCCAGAGACGTTCGTTATTTGTGCTCTGGAACGAGTCAAGTGTCTTGGAGTAGAACTGCTCCATGCACTTGTTGGCAGCGTCATCCTCTGCGTTCTTCTCGATGAAGTCGAGCATGTTGTTGATGGACTTTTCCGAGTAGTTGCGGGTGACGGCGGATTTGACGTAGGTGAGCAGCTCCTGGTAGTGTTGGACGGCCTCATCGTAGCGGCGTAGCTTAAACTCGAGCTTGATGGCCTGCTTCAAGCCTTTGAATCCCTGGCTGGTGTCAGTCAAGGAGTCGGCTGACAAGGACAAGGGTACGCACCAGTCTCNCTTCTCTTCCTCAAGGGCAGGGACGCCCAAGAACTCATCGATGGCCTCCTCTGGGTTGTCAACCTTCATCTGCTTGGCGTTGTAGTACTTGTTCTCGATGTCGACATCGCCGGCCTGGTCCTCATCTTCATCCTCGTACTCAAAATCGTAGCTGGCCGACAGTCAGCACTTGATCGGGTACGCACAAGGCGCAGGGCATGATTCCTACTCTTCCTGATCAGAATCCTGCATGAAATCGTCGTCGTCGGACATTGTGGCGGTGTTGAGATGCGGTGAAGGAGAGTTGACAGGTCCGTTCTTCTGTGCGCGTTACAGTGGTCGGTTGCACACGAGATGCGGTGAATGAGGAGGGCACACAGAGATTCAGAAGCTGGTGGACGGTTCTCTGCGCAAGGCAAACAAGTGATGGACGAAGTTGAGCTTCACGCTGATGACGGTGTTGGTTAGGTGCTTCTCGGTCGCCCGATAAGATAAGAAGGCTTGGCGGTGAACTGAACTTGCGCTTCTTCACTTCTTTTCGACGGGACATGGATTTTCAGCCTCGATGGGATTACAACATGAGGTCGGCCATCTAGAAAAGCTAGAGAGCAAGTATACATGTACAGTGTACTTGTTCGAGCTGAGTGCCTGAAACATATGCCAAGAGGTCTGGATAACGAATTTGTTCAAGTTCAAAGCATACGGACCATTACCATCCCAACAGACAGATTTGAACGGTCTGGACGAAGTGAAAAGGAGACTCAGTTCCTACAGCTTTAATTGAACTCCTCGATGGCATCACAGACAGACACCGTGGAAGATGGTATATAACATTTGTGGAGTGGGGTTGGGGTACAGGTGTGTGGCCTGTGCGTAGGTTTGGCCCACCGGTGACGCTCTACGAACGGCGGGTTCGCTCTCGTAGCAACCAGAGTCAAGACCAACGCTGTATCAACGTCGAGTCTGTCCTGTCTTGTCGTCTGCTGCATCTTGACCGCTTATTGCTATCTGTCGACCTGCGCATCTTTCTTCAATTGCCATTTCATCAGCCACAGACAGTGTCGTCGTCGATTGCACTCTACGTCAGCCTCGGGACCAGGTCAAACTCTACGCCATCATCCCCAGCCTCTGCCGGCGCACTAGACCTTGGACCACCGCCCACCCAAGATCCACTCGGACGCGCCCACCTCGCTGCCCTCTGCCCAACCAACCCTCTACCACACAACACTCGAGTCCCGATATGCCTCTCTGCGGTGGAACCAAGACCGTTCAGCGCAAGCTGGTTTTGCTGTGCGTCCAACATGACCGAACATGGCCCTCTTGCGATTGAGTATACTGACAACGTCCCGCGTCCAGAGGTGATGGTGCTTGCGGAAAGACTTCGCTATTAAACGTCTTCACGAGAGGGTACGACTGACCAGCGTCTTGACGTTTGCGACTCTGCTGACACGCGACCAGATATTTCCCTACAGTCTAGTAAGACAACTCGCAATCTCGTGCCCGCCGCTCATCGCTAACCCGATCCCCCGCCTGAAGCGAACCCACCGTCTTTGGTACCGCCCCTCAAACATACCCACACCTGTCGCAGTACTGACGCGACTCAGAAAACTACGTCCACGACATTTTCATCGACAATGTTCACGTAGAACTTTCCCTCTGGGACACGGCCGGCCAAGAAGAATTCGACCGCCTGCGCTCACTGTCCTACGACGATACCCACGCCATTATGCTTTGCTTCAGCGTATGTCCCGACCGTTCAGAGATATCCATATTCGACACTCGGCTGATTAACCCATAACAGGTTGACTCGCCAGACTCGCTCGAGAATGTCGAATCCAAATGGGTCGCCGAGATTGCCGAAAACTGCCCAGGTGTCAAGCTCGTCCTTGTTGCTTTGAAGTGCGACTTGCGAGAGCAAGCGAATGATGACGAAGAGAGCGCCGAACCCAAACGTCCCATGATTGACTACAAGCGCGGTCTCGCTGTAGCCGAGAAGATCAAGGCGCTCAGATATCTTGGTATGTCTCACATGTAAAGCTCAAAAACCAGGCGAACATACTGATAATGTGCGTANGAATGCTCGGCCATGAAGAATCGCGGAGTCAACGAAGCCTTTACCGAGGCTGCCCGTGTCGCCCTCCAGGTCAAGAATGTCAAGGGCGACAAGCAGAGCAGCTGCTCCGTCATGTGAAGGCTCGCCCTGTCTTCTCCATCACCACGCCCTCCTATCCCTCACCTTTCCCATGTTTTTTCTCTTCTTGCACAAACATTACTATACCCCATACCCCTTTTGTTTGGCCTTGCTATCTAATTCACGCCCCTTTCCATATCTGCTTTATGACTCAATCCACCTTCTGATCTACTCTTTCAAAACGTCATCAAGGGCGACTCGTCTGGCTATTGTAAATGCCCTCTGCACCCCGATATCGTTGCTTTTATCGCTAGTCTTCAAGAATTACATATACACGTCCGCAATGAGTCTGACAAGGCCAACAGTCAGCACCTTCATCTTTCAGCGTGTTCATCCATGCGTAATTTGACGTAAATATATGAATTTAATCGTGTCTTATTCTAATGCATGGAAAATCAGATAGGCAAGAAAGATATCCCCGAAGTTGTTGGTAGTGCGTGGGTTCGATTTCTGACCGGGTCATTTCATGTTTGATGGATTATATGGGTTTTGTGGGCTGAATGGCAGGACATGGAGCAGTGGCATTTAGGTCGGCAAATTCAAAACAGTAATCAACAGCATTGTCGATGTGTTTAGATGAGATGAACTATACATTAAGCGAGTAAAGATGGTGAGAAAATGTGTCTACAAGGTGAACCATCGCTACCTTGCTCATCCTTCAAAGATGCCATGGTTCAATTCAATGCCCATATCTCCCGCCACTGCTCTCATCTGCTCTTCAATATCTGCATCCATGCCTTTGCCCAATCCGAGCCATTGCTTAATCTTGGCATACCAGAACCACACATCCGTGCCTACCAACACAGCTCTAAACACCAAATGATTGGCATAATACTTCCAACGCTGAGAAATGGTAAGATGAGGTTGCTCCGTCAACGCCCTCGAAGCCCACAACCCAGTAATCTTGACACGATTGACAGGCGATCCCAAGAACTGATTGTTTCCTTGCACGATACGCAGATTACGACCGATAAAGATGAGTTCTTGGGGCCACTTTTTCTCGTCGCCGAGGATTTGACGGATGCCGTTGCGCATCTGCATTTGCATTTCGTAGGCCCGTTGTTTTTGCTCGGCTTTGGTGAGTTTCTTGATGCTTTCGCTGGTGCTGTTATCGCCGCCTGTATAGGGGCGCATTAGAGTTGCTGAGGCGAAGAGGTCGGGAGAGTTGATGCCCCAGCCCTTGACTATGCGGCCAATGGTGGCGTTGTCGAAGGTCATGAGGGATTTCANGAAGAGAGCGTAGTCGTGGCGGAATTCGGGGGACATGCGGATGTAGAGGCCGTGGTCGATGAGGACGAGTTCGGGTTTGCCGTTGGGTAGGCGGCGGATAAAGATGTTGCCTGGATGGGGATCGCAATGAACGAGGCCCCAGAGGAACATCTGGGCTGAGAAGAGGGAGACCATGGTTTCCATGACGGGCTTGTAGTTGAGTCCTAGACCGCCCTTGCCGGATGCACCGCGCCAGTCATCGCGGGTAGGCTTCAGCTTCTCATTGTTGGGATCGTTTGAGAGTTGGACGTTTGTGGGAGGGGTAAGAAGCTCTCCACCAGCGCCGGGGCTGCCTTTACGCCAGCCGCCATGCCATGTTGCTTCGATTCCTTCTTTGTCCCACAGCCTTACACCCTCAATCCACTCTGCAGTCATGACACGTCTGGAGCTGAGTTCGCGGTAGACTTTCGGAATGTAGACCTTGCCGCGGAGACGAGGCTCGTTCTGAATCAAGTCTCGCATCTCGCTGGCATTGTTTGCTTCGTTGACAAAGTCGGTTTCGAGCATCAGGCGCTCAGAGATGTATGGTACCAGAGTGTACAGAGGAATGTCGAACCACCATGTGTAAATCTTGGAGACGACTTTGAAGGTCCACAAATCCCAACCGACCTGTCTCTCGATCTCTCGCTTCTGGATCTTGATGGCAACTTCTCTTCCATCGGACAGACGAGCCCAATGTACTTGAGCGACACTGGCACTTGCTCTTGCTGTCCTCTCCATGATGCCCTTGTTGTCTTGTACGCCGTCAAAGCTCACGCCAAAGACTTCTTCGACGTCTTTTCCAAAGTCCTCCCTGATGACCTGCCTCACGTCCTCCCAGGAGTTTTGAGGAGCGTCGTCAAACATGGAGGCGAACATCTTCTGGAACTCTGGAGGCAGAATGGCACTCTGCATGGCAATGGCCTGTCCGATCTTGAGGTAAAGACCGCCATTGTTGCGAAGAAGGTGGAAGAGGCGTTCGGCGCTGCGATGGTGGACGTCGGCGATCGAGTCGGCAAAAGGAGGATTTGCGCGAAAGTTGATCTTGTAGTCGAGGGCTACAACCAGACCCGTCTTGAATGTGCGAGCGGAGCGTGTAACGACGGCGTCAAAGAAGTAGCTGTCGACTGCCAGGACAGCGGCCGAGAGAAGTCCCAACTGGATTAGTCTCTTGAGGAGGGCTCGTGTCCGTCGGTACTGCTTGGCTGCGACGGGCTTCCCTAATGACTCGGGCGACGGCGGTACCAGAGGTTGGAACTGCGATTGCTGTCTCTGTATCTGTTTGGTGACAGGGCCTCGGGTCCATGAAGGCGACAATCTATACGGCACTCTGCTACCGTGCGCAGGTCGTGACAGGGCTGCGATGCAGGCGCCCTTGCGGCATGATGGAAGCATCTCTTCCTCTGCCTGAATCCTCTCTCGGACAACTTGTTGAAATGTCTCGTTCTCGTCAGGAACAAAGTCGTCCTTGTCGCGTGGAATCGAAAGTAACCCATGACGTATACTATTCTGCCAAGTCCTCATCCGCGCCGATCTCCGCTTCCTTCCATCTCTTCCTCCCTTGGACTTCTATACCACTGTCCCATCACACAAACCATGCATTGCATTCATAACGACATGTAAGCTCTGCCTTTGCCTGACTACAGTATGTAGATCAGCACTTCTCTCCGCTCCTCTGCGGCACATCTCGTCAATCCCCCACCCTTCCCCAACTTTCTCCGCTTCTCATGCATCAGATCTGCCGTTTGCTAGGCCCAATGCTTTAGACTATCGATCCAATCTCATAATTTTTCCATCCACTCGATTATCTCCTGGCCATCCTGTAGGTCCACATGGTAGGTTTGATCGTCTGCGCTCTGAGCATCAAAACCCAGCTTTCACACTCTTCGTTTCGTCAATCCAGATCCTCCAACATGCATTGCTTATTGTCCATAATCTCGCTAGTGACTCTGCTCCCTTGTTTCACTCTTGCATCTTCACCTGTAGTTACCACCAAGAATGGCACCGTACAAGGTCGTCACTCTCCCGAGTGGGATCAGGATTTCTTTCTAGGCATCCCTTACGCTCAACCTCCCCTTGGAGATTTGCGATTCAAATGGCCTCAGTCCATAAATACGTCTTTCTCAGGAGTCTTCGATGCTTCTCGCTATGGTTACAGCTGCTACCAGTATGGAAGCAATTTCAATCTCAGCGAAGACTGTCTGACCATCAACGGTACATTGTGCTCTCTGTTCATCTGTATCACAGCTAACCATCTTNNAGTCGTACGTCCCTCTGGTTACGAGAATCAGACCCTGCCAGTTCTGGTCTGGATATATGGTGGTGGCCTCACGCTAGGTAGTACCGCCGACCCGCAGTACAATCTGAGCGGCATCGTAGAGGCTTCAACACTGACGGAGAATCCATTCATTGCGGTCAGCATGAACTATCGGCTCGGCGTGTGGGGCTTCCTCAACACTCCAGTCGTTCATGCTGAAGGTTCTTCAAATGCAGGACTGCTCGACCAGAGACTTGGGCTTCGATGGGTTCAGGAGAACATAATCTCGTTTGGCGGCGACCCTGCGCGAGTGACTGTGTGGGGAGAGAGTGCCGGAGCTCAAAGCATTGGCTTACACCTGACCAGCTACGGTGGCCGCAACGACAACCTCTTTCACGCTGCTGTCCTAGAATCTGGAGGTCCCGAAGGTGCTAGTCTAAACACACTGCCCTTTTACTCTGCTGCCACAGACAATCTGACGAGGACTGTGGGATGCCCCAGAACCTGGACCGACCCCTCTCAACTTGCTTGTCTACGCAATCTCAGCTCGGAAGCACTGTTTACTTCTAACTACACTGTCGTGTGGAACCCCATTGTTGATGGCGACTTTCTGACGGATTATCCCTCATCTCTGCTAGCACAAGACAAGTTCATTCGTGTACCGTTGCTTACTGGCGCAAATACCGACGAGGGGGTTAGTTTCAGCGTGCAGAAACTCAACACTACGACCGACGTCTATAACTCTCTCTTCTACTGGCGCAACTACGCTTTGTCTCCTCCTAGCATTCGGAAACTATTGCAGCTCTACCCCAACGATCCTGCTATAGAGCCTCCATACGCCAACCATGCAAATGTCACATATCCTGCATTTGGACAGCAGTGGCGACGTTCTGCTGCAATTGGAGGTGATCTCGTCATGATAGCACAAAGACGCAGGATGGCAGAGCTCTATACTATAGCTGGCCAGAAAGTCTTTTCCTACCGCTTCGACACACCTCTGTACAACGCCACGGTACCTGGTTCAGTCAAGCACTTTGACAATGTCATGTTCAGTTTCCAAAACATCTCGGGAGCCATGGGACCTCTACCACAGTATCAGCACTACAAAACATTGAGCACTGGTATCGGAAAGCTATACGCCAACTTTGTGGGTACACACAACCCGAATGGCATCAACACAACGAACAGCACTGGCTTGCCTCATTGGCCTCAGTATAGTATCCATGCACCTACAAACTTGGTCTTGAATGCCACTGGCAGTTTTTTCGAGGCAGACACGTTCCGCAAAGAAGGTATCAGCTTCATCAACAGTATTTGGCGGGAATTGTTGGCATAAGGTACAAGAGTGACTGAAATGCTTTCTCCGCTGAGAAGTTGTTGGCCCTGGATCTTCTCCGCGGCCGGCCACTATCGCGTTCAATCGCGATCTCCTCCTGGCGGGGCTTGTTTTGGTGGGGAGGCTAGAGAACGTCTGTTACTAACATTGATGCTACTCTTCGAGTATCTGGCGATTTTCTCAAACACTTTATCTATTCTGGCCAGCTTGACCAGATTTGACTAGTCGAGACAAAACATGCACATAGCCCATGATCTTATCTTATACCGCTTGAATGGCGATGCGACTGTTTTGGTGAGAAAGCATGGTTACGTTCGCTAAAGAGGTTGCGGCTAAAAGTGGTGGGGGCGACCAATAACGAGACGGGCATTGGACGGAGGCAATTGCGTTATCGCGGCCGTCGCGTTATCGGGCTTTGACTTGGAGAAAAAGTAGCAGCAACCAAGAGATATGAGTCTCGTGTCTTGTGTTATCTTTCTCCTTGGGATTACTTGATATATCTGCCTTTTATACTGCCGACTACTTGCCACTCCTTTGGTTCCTCGCTGCTTCTTAATCTTGAGACGATTTGTTTTATTCTCGAATCTCCAAACGACTTTATATCCATCCGAAGCTTGGAACAATAGGAGGCGATTGCTGTCAACATGGCTACCCCGGCGTTGCTTACTGCTGTCGACTCGATCAACCACATCCACTTGATTGTTGGATCCAACCCTCTGGCCGGTGCACGTTGCAACCGAGCACTCGAAGTCGGTGCAGTGCCCAAGATCATCGCACCCGAAGACGCCCAAATACACTATGGACTGGCAAAGAAGATTGAAGAGGGCAAGGTAGAATGGATTAAGAGAGAGTTTCAAGACTCAGACTTGACAAGTCTGGGTCGAGACGAGGTGGACAATGTCGTGGATGCCGTCTTTGTGACGACGGCGGGCAAAGGTTCTCTGAGTGAGTCGGACTGCCGCATTCAATCTTGAAAGCAGGACTAACAGATATACCAGGCNACGCACGTCTCTACACTCTGCCGCAGACTACGAATTCCTGTCAACGTCGCCGACGCACCGAACCTTTGCACCTTTACCCTCCTGTCCACACACTCTTCGGGCCCTCTACAGATTGGTGTCACGACGTCCGGCAAGGGCTGTAAATTGGCCTCTCGTATCCGACGTGAGATTGCCGCTGCTCTCCCCTCCGACCTTGGTACTGCTGTAGAAAGACTCGGTACGATACGCCGTCGCATCTGGGAGGAGGACCACGCCACCGAATTGTCCATGGACTTGGAAGCTGAAGAGGAGGATGCTGGTCAGAACGCACAGTTCAACAAGCTCATTACACCCTCCGACCTCGAAGCCGCTAGAAACAGGCGTATGCGCTGGCTCTCACAGATCTGCGAATACTGGCCCCTCCGCCGCCTGGCTGCCATTACCGATGCTGATGTTGATGCTGTGCTGGCTTCGTATAGCCAGGAAGCTGCTATTGAAGCCAGCACACCTCTGCTCAGTCCTGGTACCCTCGACTCGAGAAGCCGCAGAGGCCGTATCATCCTGGCTGGATCTGGTCCTGGTCACCCGGATCTATTGACCGGATTGACACTGAAGGCCATTCGTGGTGCCGACGTGATTCTGGCCGACAAGCTGGTCCCAGCTCCTGTCCTTGATTTGATCCCCAGACGCACGCCTGTCCACATTGCAAGAAAGTTCCCTGGAAACGCCGAAGCCGCACAAGAAGAGTTGCTCTCNCTCGGCCTCGCAGCAGCAAAGAAGGGCCAGACAGTTCTCCGCCTGAAGCAGGGAGACCCTTACCTGTACGGCCGTGGTGCTGAGGAATACGACTTTTTCCGCCGTGAAGGCTACGAAGTCAGTGTATTGCCTGGCATCACCTCTGCTCTCAGTGCTCCTCTGTTTGCCAAGATCCCCGTCACTCACCGTGCCGTGAGTGACCAAGTCTTGATCTGCACCGGCACTGGTCGCAAGGGAGCTGCTCCCGACCCACCTGTATACCTGGCAAACCAGACTTGCGTCTTCCTCATGTCTCTGCACAGACTCAGCGCTCTCATCGATAGCCTTGTTGCCGAGGGCAAGAACTACCCAAAGACCACACCTTGCGCAGTCATCGAGCGAGCAAGCTGTACCGACCAGAGGGTCATCCGCAGCACGCTCGAATACGTCTGTGCCGCAGTCGAAGAAGAGGGCTCAAGACCGCCCGGCCTTCTCGTTGTTGGCCTGGCGTGTGAGGTTTTGGAGAAGAACCACCAGAAGTGGGTTGTCGAAGAGGGTTTCAATGGCTTTGACAATCTGGGCGAGAATAGTCTCGATGAGCTGAGTGCTGAGCTCCGTGGAGAAATTGAGGCTTGAGCACTTTTGTTCGAGACATCATGGCGTTCGGTTTTGGCAGCATTTTCGAAAAGATACCCCTGGATTTTACAAGCATAGCTAAACATAAATACATTCATCATAGACATATAAATAAACTTGATCACAAACAAAAGTGTTTCGTCGCAAATCGTTTCACTTTTGGACTCGGAGAAGGTGCTGGCGTGTTTCACTTCGCGCCCACTTGTTGGTTGCTTCTCGCGCTCTGCAGTCGCGCCTCTTACCAGCCATCAACCTATAACAAACACGCTTCACACTCCCACATCGACATCTCGACCTCCACACCTCATCAACATGGCCGACAACCTCCACGAACTCCCAGAGTGGCTGAGTCAACTCTTTGCCAAAGTCAACCTCGAAGACATCACTCTTGCGATGAGAAACATCACACTGCGCGACTTCACTCACCTCGTAAACTTCGCCAGGGGCAAAGAGCTCAACGCCACCACCATCACCCAGCTCTATGAAGAAGCCAGCAAACTCTCTGGTGCAGGAACAGCCCTCCTCGCCGCTGCTCTGGTGATCGCTGTCATCATCTTTTGCTTTCCCATGGCCGCTGCCACTCCTTTTCTGACTTTGTTGGGTTTTACCAATATTGGTCCTGCTGCTGGTATGCTTTGTTCGGGCCTCTTTCGTCGTTGGTGTTTTTGACATCTTTACNNAGCTTCGCTGATTGCCTATTTTCAGTCTGCTTGGGGTGTTAATGCTCTGTTCAGTCTCTTGCAGAGTGCCGCTATGGGTGGTTATGGCGCTCCCATTGTTGCAGGTGTGGTTCAGGGAGCTTCTGCTGTCAGCGCCGGTCTCTCGGCCTTTAAGTTGTGGTCTATGGGCAACTGGACCATGCCTTGGAAACCGTGAATCAGAAATGGGAATCTCTATGTAAAGAGAAGTCTCAACTCCGAGGATGCAAGCGACATACGGCTTCAGGTTATGAGAAACACGACATCTACGACAGAAACAGGAGGATCGGATGTTGTCATCTTACGCATACGACGAACATAGATGAATTGAGCTGCGGACGTAACTTGCTAGATGATATCGGTTCCACTATTTTGACCAGATGATACCAAACTGCCAAAACCATAGCTCATAAAAATCAATGCATCACTTTGCCCTTTCTTTACACGCCTACCCTTCAAGTCCTCCGCCATGCACAGAAGCCCATCATCCTTTCTACCGATTGCCATGCTACTCACAGACTAACCATTTGCAGCATATGAACAGGACAAACAAACAACATCAACAACTTCTTGCCATCTGACTCCAGCCACCAACACCTTCTACTCACCTCCACTCCCATACACCAAACATCAACAAAACTAAAACAATAAATGCACACCAAGCATATATATGATACAAGGATGTAGGTCGTAAAGCAAAAAGAAATGCGAAACGTACAGCAGCAGGGATTCCCACGTGGTCACCCACCGTAGTACTAATCTGCCGTTCAACTGCTTATGTATGGCAGAGCGGACGGGATGCCCAGTTTTCAGCTGACTGTGGCCGTACGTGGTTAGTAGACTTTTAAAGCCAATAATATACCTTAAGATCAATCCGCTTGTCGAGCACGTTTGCCGTGGCTCATCTTTCGGTTTGATTTTTGGTCATTGCAGGACATGACCAAAAACTCGAGATTGATGCACAGAACACAGACTTAAACTCATGCGTTTAGCAGATTCCACCATATCAGTCCGACTGTCTCGATCCGAATCGTCGTCTGTTCAAACGTGCAGAGAATGGAACAAAAATGCTAACGGCGAAGATTTCCAAACCATGGACGTGGATTGATGGCTCTGGATGATCGTGGCGACGAGGAGCAAGAGACAGAGAAAGACGATAGTGGCAGGAAACATCAGCTCTTGCCAGCGGACTTGAAAGTACTGGACTTGGGTACGAGTCTTCCCAAGTACCTGTTCAGTGTAGGGTGTTGTCACATTCCGGAAGATATTGGTTGGATTTTTCGTCAAACTCTCCGCCATGTCTGACCTGGTGGGGTTGTTGAGCATTACTTTGCCAAAGTCGATCCAGATACAAAGCATAGTCTCGCGTCTACAAGACCGTGACCCGCCAGCAATGCCAAGTCATCAAGTCCGAAATTAGAGGGATGGTCGAACGCCATAAGAGAGTTTGACAACGGCGAGGTACCGTGCTGCCACATGGCAACTGTACTTTGAAGGTCGGTCCACACCTACGTTATTCTTCAGTGACGATGTGCGAGCGAGGGTTGCGACTGCCGAACGAATCTACGGGCCAGCGTGGGAGAGATCTGATAACAATGCTTTCCCGCACCAAAGGTGAAGAGAGAGTTGCTTCCAGAGTGCGTTGACAGAAACACTGTTATGAATCGCGCGTTGTCGGATGAGCCGCAGGATACTGCGAGTGAAGCAAGGACGATATCACCTGGACGGCACTGAAGATGTCTGACCTCAATGTGATGGTCGCATGTTTCCGGACGAGTGCTCCGGACGAATGCTTCCAAGATCGCTGGTGGTTTCTGGAAGAGTCTCAAAATCCAAGCCATACCGCTTTCGGGGGGGCTTGTAGGGCAGCGAGCAGAATTTGTGAGGTGCAACGGTCAACTCGGGAGTTGAGGGCAAGAGCCGGGCACCTGTGAGGCAGTCGAGACCGCTGGATCGCCGTCCACAGACTGGCCGTCACGACCATGGGGTGACGGGTGATTTACACAGCTTGATGCCCGAATAGGACATTTGAAGTTGGGGCACAGAAGCCAGACGGTCTGCGAGAAGTGCTAGGAAGGATCAAGAGGCAAAGTAGGGCTGCGAAGCTTAAACAGCCTGGTCTGTGCCGCGCCGGCAACTGGTTAAACTTTTGCCCAACTGTCAACCCAGACTTCTGGTGCAAAATCGAAGCATTTCAACCTTCCACCATGAGTCGATTGTGCTTCCACGGCTAGCACACTGTGGATTGTACCTACCCACTCGTCATAGCCGCTTACTTGCCGTAGGGCACAGACATGTAGCTATCCCAGCGGCGGCCCAGCGGGAACGGAACGAGCGACAGATTGCTTGTCTTTGATCGAGCTTGATGATATCTCTACAAATCCTGGTAGGCCTCGATCGGGTGACAAACAGTATAAGTAGTCCTGAACATCTTCACCAGACACAAGACATCTCATCTCATCTCATCTCATCTCATCAGCTTCTTCAGCTTTCACCTTCCTTCCTTCCACTCTCTGTCTTTCTTTACATTTGCAACAATGCGTACCTCAGCTGCTATTGCTGCTGCTATCCTGGCTGGCTCTGCCACCGCCGCACCTACTCCTAGCCTTCTGAGCAGCATTCTCGGTCTGATCACCAATGATCTCAACTCGCTCCTCAGCTCTCTTGGTATCAAGCTGCAGACCAACGCCAACATTCACGGACCCGTCATCCCCTTCCACGATCAATGCCCCTTCACCTTTGACACCTCGGTCAGCGTCTCCACTAACCTCTTCAACCACGACATCACCTGGCCTCTTGGTGTCAATGGCGGCAACTACATCAACTGGAAGACCTTCAAGGCCAATGGCGCTAACCTCGGCGGATGGCTCGAGAAAGAGAAGACCCATGATCCTATCTGGTGGTCTGCAGTCGGTGGCGACAGTGCCCCTGATGAGTGGACCTTGTGTGAGACTCTCGGTTCTCAATGTGGTCCTATTCTCGAGGCCCGCTACCAGAGCTTCTTGAACACCACCACCATCGACCAGCTCGCCAGCGTGGGTGTCAACGTTCTCCGTATCCCCACTACTTATGCTGCTTGGGTCAAGGTTCCTGGCTCCCAGTTGTATTCGGGTAACCAACAGAAGTGGCTCAAGGCCATCACCGACTATGCTGTCCTCAAGTACAACATGCATATCATTGTTGGTCTCCACTCTCTGCCCGGTGGTGTCAACAACCTTGACATCGGCGAGGCTCTCCTCCACGACAACTGGTTCTACAACGCCACCAACCTCGACTACAGTTTCCAAGCTATCGACGGTGTCCTCAACTTCATCAAGAGCTCCGGCTACCAGAACGCCTTCACTATCGCTCCTATCAACGAGGCTTCTGACAACCTGGCTGGCTTCGGATCTGCTGCAGGTCTCTCTGACAACGCTACCAACTGGATCAACACTTACGTCAACGGTGTTCTCAAGAAGATTGCCGCTGTTGACAAGCGCATCCCTCTCCAGCTCCAGGACTGCTTCAAGGGTGCATCTTTCTGGGCACCTTTCTACGACGCCAGCACCAACATTGTTATGGACTCCCATGTCTACTACTTTGCTGCCGCCGGCACCTACGCCAACTACGTCAACCCCGCCGTCTGTGGTCAAGCCCAGTACATTGCCGAAGAGACCAAGTTCCCAGTCTTCATCGGCGAGTGGAGTCTCCAAGCCATGTACAACAACACTCTGAACGTCGCCACTCGCAAGACCCTCTTCGATACACAGCGTTACGCTTGGCAGAAGTATGTCGCTGGTGGATCGTTCTGGACTGCTGTTTCTTACTCGACCGCCGCTGTTGATGGCGAAGGCACCCAGAGAGATTACTGGTCGTACATTGATCTCATCAACCAGGGTGTCATCACCAAGCAGACCAACGCCTCGTACTGTTAAGCAGTATAGTGGGTGATAAAAAGAGAAAAGATTTGATTTTTGAGTGGTGGTGTTGAGCCAAGACAGAAAGATACACAGTCTGGACTGGAAAACAGAATTACAGTCAAGCATAGAAGAATCATGAGGAAGACTTTTGGCAAGAGCGATTTTTGTACATATTTGTTAAGACAGCGGCAACGGTCAATTTCACGAGTTATACACTAGCCCTTAATCTTGAGGTGTAGACAGTCTTCTCACAAATGATTTGAGAAAACAGACATTGTTTTAAAATCTTGGACGACCCGATTAGTGTTGAGTGAGTACCATGATCTTCTTGATTGAACATCTCCATGCACCGTTTGGGCGGGAAAGGGTAAACCCATGGTTACAAACTTGCACACGCTCATCAAGCACGTACGGCAATGGTGTTTCCTCTGCTCGCTAATGCTCAACATACTAGGTTTGCATTGACGCTTGAGCTGTTCGATTGATGGAGATCGCGATGCGCTTTCGACTGAATGAGTGTCAGGTTTGGCCAGTAAGTTGCATTGCTGAAGGTGAAACAGGATTGGAAGGAGAGACCGTTGATGATCACAGGCGTAGTAGCGTTGACATCAGTTGACATCAATCAGCATCACAATCGCAACAGAATCTGACCCTCGAGATGTTCCATTACCTATCGTCAGTTGATCATGTGCAGCTAAAGCTGCATCGCCCACCATCCTTCCCTACACGCTTCACTGTTCTGACGAATCATCGATTATAAGTCTGCTTCACGGAAGATGACTCTGGAAACGATGCACTGCCCAAGGGCCATTCGTGGTCACCGTCAAGTCGATTCCGTATTCAATAGTATTGAGCTTGAGCTGCTCATGAACATACTCCGAATATTCTCGAATCAAGAGCGGGCCTACATGTGAGGCGGAGTGATGAGGCTAAGCGCCCTGTTTGCATGCAGAACGCAACAATTGGCCGCCGCCGAGTTGACAGGATTCAAGACTCTTCGTCACCACCCACCAAGAGGACAGGCTACGTCGGACTTCGCATCTGCTCCCTGAAAACATTCATTCTCATAATTCGATTCTCGAACTTGCTTGTACGTCTTCTGTGAAAATGTCCGACGAANTCCGACGCATATACAGTTGCATGGATAGCGGCTCTTCCGCATGAACGAGCGGCTGCGATAATGATGCTGGATGAGAGACTCAAACAACCAGAGAACTTCTCCAAAAATCTGAATGATCCCAACAGCTACACCTTTGGCAGGATAGACAAACATCTTGTTGTGATTGCTTCATTGCCATCTGGAGAGTACGGAACTACAACCACAGCTATCACAGTTCAAGGACTACGTTTTTCGTTCCCTCACATACGTATCGGCCTGCTCGTAGGGGTTGGAGCTGGTGTGCCCGGAGAAATCTACAACACTGACGGCGCTGTCACCGTAAGGCGCGATGTTCGTCTTGGTGACGTTGCGGTTAGCAATCCTGACGGCAAAAATGGAGGGGTCGTACAGTATGATTTTGTCAAAGCAAAAGGCAAGCTTGAGCTCAAGGGGTCGCTCAACAGTCCACCACAGGCTTTTCGTAATGCGCTGTCTGCCTTGCAGGCCGAACACGAACTAGAGGAACCCAAGGTCATGCAGATCATGGCTCAAGCGACCAATAAGTATCCAAAGGCAGCGTCCAACTATGGTCGTCCAGACCTTGAGTCAGATGGATTGTTTCGGGCTTCTTATGCTCATCCTGGTGGCGACGACTGCGGGAGTTGCGACACTGCGAAACAAATTAGACGCGCGCCACGGGAGGGTATCCAAATTCACTACGGTATAATTGCCCTTGGAAACACCCTCGTCAAGTATGCTGGCTACAGGGATGAANNAATCATGACTAGACTTAGGTCAGCTAACGTCGACCCCATCTGTTTCGAGATGGAGGCTGCCGGCTTGATGAACACATTTCCCTGTCTGGTTATCAGGGGGTTTTGTGATTACGGCGATTCGCACAAGAACGATGTGTGGCAGAGGTATGCTGCAGCGACAGCAGCTGCTTTTGCAAAGGAATTTCTCAGCTTCGTTGATGCTGAGGATGTTCGAAGAACACGTGGACTTCATCAGGTCCTTGAAAACNNAGTAAGTTGGCCACATTGCTTTCCTTTGTTTCTCTCACTGAATAATGTTGACAAGAGTCCAGTTGAGGACAAAGTGGACAAGGTCCTTGTGATGAACGAAGAGACCAAAAAGACTTTTCAAGAAACCAAGGCCGATGAACAGCGTTACAAAACCTCTTCGTGGCTCTCAGCTCCAGACTCCCCAACAAATTTTCATAATGCTGTGCANAAACGACACCCAGGGACTGGCGTCTGGCTTCTCAAGCACGAATCTTCTCTATCTTGGAAAAAGACTCCGCAATCTTTTCTTTGACTCCATGGTCTGCCTGGGTGCGGCAAGACAATCATCAGTTCTACGATCATCGAGGAATTGCTAGACAAAGGGGAGAACGAACAGATTCTTCTTCACTTCTTTTTCAACTTCAGCGATGCTAACAAGCAAACACTAGAGGGTATGGCTCGTGCATTGATCAGTCAGCTACAGCACAGCCATCGAGACTGCAGCGAGCACGTAGAATCTTTGTATCTGGCTTGCAAGGAGGGCAACAAGCAAGCTAGCTTGAATTCTTTGCTCAACACACTCAACACCATGATCTGCCAATTCAGTGAAGTGTCTATTGTTCTGGATGCCCTAGATGAATCCCGGACCAGGAAAGAGGTATTGAAATGGATGAAGTCCTTGCTCGAGACGAAAGGTTTGAAGGTGCACGTGCTTGTTACGTCTCGAAGAGAAGAGGATATTGAATCGAGTATATGAGAGTGGCGTCGTGATGATGGAAGTATCTCCATTCGAGGCAACCGTGTTAATGGTGACATCCGTGCACACGTGCGTACAAGAGTGAGAGACGGCCATGGCTTCAACAGGTTGACGACACGACGAGATGTTCAAGATGAGATCGAAAATACGCTCATCAAAAGAGCAGATGGATTGTAAGAAGACTCTTCAACTTTTGTGCTCTAGGCTGAGACCGATGGTCATAGGTTCCGCTGGGTTGTATGTCAACTGAACATCTTGGAAGACTGTTTAGACTATCCAAGTCTTGAGTTCGCCCTTGCCAATTTGCCGCAAGACTTAAGTGAGACTTACGATCGGAGCTTGAATAACATCCCAGAAACGTACAAGAGCAAGGCTATAACCATCCTGAGCCTCCTCACATGGGGCGAACGTCCACTACTGCTAGAAGAGATGGTGGATGCGATCGCAGTGCAGCCCGAAAAGACGCCCGGATTCGAGAGAAAGAACAGAGTGCCGATGCCCAGAGACATATTACGGATTTGCCCCAGTCTTGTCATGCTTGTGAAGGTAAAGTCGCGGAGAGGAAGGCAATCAGATTGGGAGCTACAACTCGCACACTTCTCAGTCAAAGAGTGTTTGATGAATGGTCACACCAAGACGCCATTCTCAGAGCACATGAAATAGACGAAGGCGAGAGCAGCTGTTGCAACAATCTTTCTTGCGTATCTGACAGCTTTGGACCACACCCTACCATTTTCCGAGATAAGGAAGGAATATGTGTTTTCACAACATTGCGCAGATTACTGGTTTTTGTATGCCAGAAAGGCAGGAATGGACGATAAAACACTGCAATATCGGATTCTGGAGTTCTTCACCAACAAAAAGCCAGCATGTACGACCTTTTACAGTCTTTGCCGTTATCCGGTGTTCAGAAAACCGAGACAGCTTCTCCATCCTGTAGAGATCGCTCATATACTCCGTCTACCACAGATCCCAGTGATGTTGCTTGAGCAAGGCATAGATCTCTTTGTTGAGGAAGGATTGACTGGCCACTTGGCCTATGAAGCTTCAAGTGCAGGCTGGGACGGAGTGGTGCAGAAGCTTATAGAGAAGGGCGCAGATGTAAACGCTTTTGTCAAAGCCGGTTACAGTGCACTCGCGGCAGCTTCTTGTGAAGGTCATGACAGCATTGTACAGATGCTGCTAGACCATGGCGCAGATATAAACTCTCTGGACAAAGATGGTCACAGTGCATTGGCAGTGGCCTCTAGTCGTGGTCAGATCAGAACCGTACGGATATTGCTCAACCATGGCGCAAACATTTGCGCTACAGACAAAGATTACAGCAGTGCATTGACGGCAGCTTCTCGTAACGGCCACGAAAAGGTTGTAAAGATACTGCTGGACAAAAGTGCTGACATTCGCATCGATGGCTGTTAATGCAGTTCAAGGATACATGCGTACGTGGTATTCTGCGTCCGGAAGAATTCATCTTCAACCTGTCAGACGCAGTGCAGACACCTAGCGGATATTGATGGTCATTACTAAGTCCAGTAGATCTAATTTCGTTGCAAGCGGCCCAGATTCTTCGCTGTATACCTTTTAGGCTCTCGCCTTCTTGTTGCTATTACTACTTCTATACAGCTAAGAGTTGTCCAACGATGGAGGCTGCAGCAAGCTCTCAACCTCTCAGCTCTTCAATCTCGCTCACGATTTGAGGCATAGGCCATTGACATTGGCATAATCGATAGATATGTATCTCGTTCATATCATCGCTTCCATTCACACCGATAAACATCTTACCAACCCATCAATGTTCAATATTGTTTCCACAACAATGGTTGATATGATATCTGGTGCAAACAAGCCAACTACCTACGGTCTAAGGCTTGACGGTCACGCTCTAGGCCATTGTTTACGAAATGTGTAACAAGTAGACATCGAACAGCAATAGAATTTGCCTGGAAGGGGAGAGTAGTGTCAACATACGCTCACAAGAGTTATTGTCGGTCAGCCATAAAACTAGCATCTTCTAGACTTGACATTCAGCAGAAGATATAGAGCACCGGAACGATGAAGTCAAGTACGCGAACATGGAAAGAGAAGGAAGCAGAACAGGAGGTGAGGTCGAGTTGGAATATGAGCTAGAAGTCGGCTTGTATCGGCCCTGGTGCAAGAGCATTTCTCGAGGCTTGAGCAAAGGAGTACATGGCAGTGAGTATTTGAAGACGTGCAGATGCACAGTCGCATACCGTGTTGATTGCGCGTGTATGGATTGACCAGGATAGAACTCGAATGGTAGGGAAACGTGTCCGGTCTAGGCATCAGCATCAATCTCCAAGTCACACGACCACCTCATTGGAGTGGTTGGACAACCCCAAAAGATATGTGTATCCGTTTTCGTGAGCGAGAAGGTTGTAGGGAACAGTTCGAACAAAAGGTCTATATGATCGTATCGGAGGTATCTTTGCATCATGACAAGGCAGAAAGTGCGCCACCAAAAGCATAGCGCAAGCTATTTCTCCCTTCTTCGGTCATACCTCTTTCCAGCGCTTCCTGTAAAGAAAGCAAGAGGCCAAGGAGAATCGTCATCCTTGGGCCTCGATGGGCAAAGTCATGCTTCGTCAGCGTGTAGTGTAAAAAGAAAAGCGACCCATATGTGCGCTGTTTTGTGACATGAACATCTCTCATCTTCATCCTATACCAGCCAGCCGGGGAGCTCAAGTGTGCGCGCATGCGGCTGTGGGAGCGAGATGCAGCATGTTGCAGCGGCAGCGAATTTGAGGTTGGGAGGGTGTTTATCGGCGTGGTTCGGCAGGTTGCATCTAGTGCGACTCGTCGCGGATAAGGGCGACGATCATGCTGTAGAGGTAGAAGAAGAACATGACGAGGTGGAAGCCAAGCTTGATGAAAGATTCNNCTGGAGCAATGTCAGCTACGTGCAAGTCTTGATAGTGGTCGGCACAAGAGCTTACCTTCTTGTGGACGTTGAGCTTTCTGAAGATCTCGGTCGCATCCAGGAGGTGTTGGTTCTCAAAGANTCCTGAATCTTGTTAGCAAGCGCGTTTGTAGGTCAAGGACTTGAGTACTGACTTCTTTGCGTTCCAAGCAAGCAGAGGCAGGTTGAGGATCAAGGCGATCCAGTAACCGTTGACGAGGAACAAGATGGTGAGGAAAGCGTGGACGGCAGCTTCGGGGACGATGTAGGTGTTGAGGCGGTTGCAAAGGTCAATAGGGTTGATGTAGTCGCTNNACGAGGATAACAGGTCAGCATGCTTGGACTGGCAAGGCGGCGGTGAGGGTCGGGGTCGGGCATACCATTCCAGATCGCTGTACATGATGGTGAAGAAGACTTGGAGGAAGAGGTTGACGGCATTGATAAGGACGGCTATCAGGTATAGCCAGGCTTCTCCAGACATGATTGCGAGGGTGGACGAGGGAACGCGTCGGTGGTTGTGGTATTGGGTGTCGTCGTCGACAAGGCGCGTGGGCACAGAGTTGTACGGAGGAGCTTGATTCGGGTATGCAGGAGCTCGAGGGTAGATTCCGACGAGTGCAGAGTGGGTTGTATGCAAGAAGATGTCGAGTGCGCGAGGGAAGAGGGTGGAATCGAAGCAAATTAGTTGGGACTTGCCAGCCTCACGGCCAAAGCGCACGCGCCCAGAAGCGACAACTCTGTCTTGCTCCTTCTGTTCCAGCTGTCGGTGTGGGGTTCCTTCCACCAACGCACGTCACACCAGCCAGCTTTTTGTTACCAACATTGCTCTTGCTCTGGTCAGACTGTTGAACTAGACCGAATGATACACTTAAATACAACTGTACAGACAATCGCGACAGCATCGAGCCCTCCGTTCATCAATTCATGAATTCGTGGCCATCCCTCCGCCGTAACCGTCTCTCTCTCTCCATGCTCTAGACCTCTGCCTTGTCTCAAGATATGGCTTGACCTTCATCCGTCTCCTCGAGAGCTCAATCCCAGCCCTTCCCTGCTTTCCACTCTGATGCTGAAGTAGCCTTCAGGACTGGCACTGCCCGAAGTCCTCGCCATACTTCTCGTGACCAAAGGGCTTTGTATTCCATTGCCTGTCCCGGTCCTCCTATGTTTCCTCGCGGCTGCTGGCGATGCCGGTAACTCGAGATATCGGTTCATGTTCATCCATACAGCCTCTTCATCTGCGCTCTCGGGGTACCTCCAGCCTCCCACGCCCTCAAAGTCTCTATCCGTTCCGCTGCCAACCAGACTTGCGAATGAGGGTGTCTTTTTGAGCGCTGCCGAAGGTGTAGGCGGTGTCGTGTGCTTTTGCGTCGTGCGGGTCTGGCACTTGGNGGATGCGAGAGGCGTGGGAGGTGATGATGGAGTTATCGCGCCATTGAGAATGGCGAGGAATAGGTCGAAATATACGAACAGTAGGCGTAGGAGAAGAGTGCCCAGCGCCAGAGTGGTCGTGAAGAGGGCAAACAGCGCGAACGGAAGGCCCAGACAGAACANAAAGGACAGGCCTAGAAGCCTTGATATGCCCGAAATCATGGCGTGCAACCGACTGGCATGTATGGCGCTCGCATGCTCATCTCTCCTCGTGCCAGGCTCAGATGTTGAGATGCAAGTGTAAGCAATCGAGGCGGGAGTTGCTTCCGTTGTGGAGCCTGTGTTCGTGTGGGGAGAGCTCTTGGTCTTGGTCGAGTGCTTGAGTTGTTTCTTTCCCTCCTCGACTTTCTTTCTAGAAATCCTACCCGAGGAATACAATAATTCTATCAGACCATATGGATAACTCATCATCGGCATCATTATATAGCATTGATGTGCCCAACACCACATGCTGAGAGTATCACCCTGCCCTTATCCATTGACATTAACACATCTCGCATGGCCTCATACCAGTCAATGAACGTACTATAGAGACGAGTCATCTTATAGGATTATATTCGCCCTCTACGCTGCAAGGCACCACTCGGCAGAATGATCTAAGAAGTCGGGAGCCCCAGTTAGGGATCAAAAACACGTTTGATCTCTCCGAGTAGCTACTACTGTGCTCTCCCTATGCACGAATCTACCACTGAATCTATCATGACTTTCTACAGCGCTTTGGACAGCACACCGTAGACGGAAAGGCTTCTTCCGAAAGTACTTCAGACTCAACACTTCTTGTGCATCGTCTGCATCCTCACCAGAATAGTTTGTTGATACAGCAACAGCAGGACAGCGCACGGACTTCTACGACTCAAGGACGGCATTCCCGAAACGTTCGCATTGTTCTTTCTCTTTGCCGACCGGCTGGCTCACAGCTGAGCCCCTTTACAACGTGACTCTCACAACACAACAGCAACCCCAAACTAGAGAAAAGCTCATTCACAGCTGTGTCGCACTACTAGCGAGTCGTTGGCAAGACACGATGCCTCAAGGTCTCCGTTGAGTTTCGGCAGTCTGAAAACGCCTCCTGCAGCCAGGCGGTGCAGGGCTCACGTCTTTCTTTGAAGGCTTCAGCTACAAGCTATTTACTGGTATTTCCAGAAACCTTAGGTGATTGCTTCTTTGTAGTTGAAATCTGATTATTGCTCCACAATTGGAGACAGCATGGTAGGTCGGGCGAATGGCCTTGTTTTACTCAAGTCAGCCTACAATTCGTTTTTGACACAGGAGAAGAGCAAATGGCACTTACTACTACATCATTGAGTTAATCACAGTCACGTACACTGTTACTGGCGCACCTGTCCAGGATTGTTACCCTCCGGCTCTGGTTGATGCTGCCTCAACATGAGCAGAAGCCGGCTCTCCAGTCGCCATGTTTTGACATGATTTTCCTTCTTTCTTCTTTTCCTCCTTCTCCTTTTTCTGAATCATCATATGTCTATTCCCTTCTTTGGTGGCACAGCGAACCTGAAAAGGGTTTGTCTTTTGCCCCTTCGTTGAGCTTCTACCTATCCTCATTCTTATTCTTTCCATTTTTTACATCACCTACAGTATTCTCATGTCTAATGCATATCAAAAATCTCGTTTTATCGTCCTCTGCGCCTCTTGGAAGTTGTTCTAATATGATTGCAATTTCGAGAATTTCCATATAAGGTGATGCTACGTTTTGGTCGTTAATCACACTTAATCCCGCTCCCGAGATGAGTTCTCATAATGACGGGAAACGAGAAGAAAGGAGCGAAGGGGTGTCTGCCGGAACAGATTAGTTTCGAGTGTTCCTGCCTGTTTTGATAGTTGTTGAATTGGTCACAGTGCGGAGATGAGTTCTCCAGGTGAAATAAGTGGGAAGATGGAGTAGGGGTATTTCTGGATGTGGTGGGAATCGAAAAGGTTGGTTTGTGACAAAGCAGATCCAGGAGCTGAACGCACGGGGCTCCTCAGTAGGCGATCCCCCGGGGGAGGTCGCTGGTCCGAAGGCGTCAAAGGGGTTGAATGCAATTGACAAGGTTGATAAGTCCATCTTTCGAGATGCGAGACGGTGAAATTTTCTGTCCCTAAGTCGGAAGAAGAATGTTGGACTTGGATGTCCACTTGTAGCCACAAAGAAACAACATGCCGAATTCTGGGGTCATAAGAGTCGTTGTTGCCTGATTAGTTGCGTTTGTGCAATCGATCGATAGTGTATACACGCGAGAATTGGCTCAGAGTGATGAGTTCAGGTGGCCAAGCCGATGAAGATCTTTTTGAGTGTGGGTGTTCACATCCATCCGCCCTCTTGAGAGGGTTATCAATCACTCAAGATGCACAGCTTCCATCAATCTAATCATAAAGAACCCTCGGAGACCCTCCTTCATGACAGGGAGATGTGTATCTGGCCTAGTAACTATGATTGAACGGTTGGTTCTTTCTCCATGTTTTTGTTGATGTCCATGGTTCGACTCAGGGGTTAGACGGATTTCCTTTTTGCCCTTTCCATCTTCAATGAAGCCATTTCAGTAGTTCGATGCTCTGTGAGGCTTGAGACTGCTTCCTGGCGAAGAGATTGGTTAGATCCTAGCATGAATTTCAGAAGCAAGATGAGTGAAGAGTGCGATGTATATACTCGAGCAAGCTGTTTGGTTGGATACTTGAACTGCCTCTTTCTAGACAACACTGAATATTACATCTTTTCATGGCTAGATTCACGAGAATAACATCTAATCCACCACGATACCCTCCCGACACGTACGTTTATCAAGATGGGAAACCAATCCATAAGCAAAGTTTGACGGACAACTTGAAGATTATTCGATAACGAAAAGGAAAACAGTATAGTAAATGACCGACCAGTCTGCTACTGGAAGCAAAGCATCAGATCAATCGAGGCCAACATCTATTCACACAATACCTATGTGCTCATTGGTTCTGGTAGACCGAGCAGGAGGCCCAAGCGGTAGTCCATGTGCTTGTGCCTTTATAGGCGTGCCAACAGTGAACCTTCCGCACATCCACTGAGCCTCCCCATGTCTTTCACACCTCAAACGCCGCGCTAGTACCATAATAATGAAAGATTGGAATAATGATCTGACGGTGGGATGGTGCAGCGGTAAAGTTGAGCCCGTTGCTCCTTCGCTGTGAGCCAGAGCCCACCTGTTCGAACCAGCTCATCACCAGTCCGGTTCTCTTGAATAATGATGGAAGGAAAGCGCTGTGCGCCAGTACTTACTCTTCCCCCTGTTCGCCTGGGCGTTTCTGTTTTGCTAAAGTAATGTCGGGAGACGTTGCTTTGCGAGCATGCTCACAAACGGGTTGCCCTTTGGAAGAACATCACGTTTTGGATTGCGCACTTGGAGGATACCGATTTCTCGGTTTTGAGAGTAGCTTCGTTCTACTCTAATCGCATTCAGACATCTCGTGTTCATACGATTCATCCGAGTCTTGCTTGAAAATCAAGGCAACACCACAAGGAGAGCAGTCTCGACGATGAACCACTCCTCGAACGTGGATCATGGTGTCATCTCGAGGCCCATCGCAGACAATTCATATTGACAACAACACCAAAAGGACAGAAGAGCTCGAATAGGCAAGGAAAGGAGACGAGATATTCGTTGCCAAAATTGGCGTCTATAACAGAAGCGCACTAAAATTCGAAGACGTCCTACAGAGCTCACAGATCGAAACTTGATATTGACGGTGTCACGACTAGTCGTTTCTCCTGTCTGTTAGAAATTCTCGGACTCTTGGATTGCGTTTCTCGGCTGTGTTGTATGCGAGTCTCGCCTTGTACCATCGATACAACCCCGGCGACGGTAACATTGATGTAACTTCTCCTGCTCCAAGACAATATAGAATGACTTGCCTATTGGATCCAGGCTGAGGGGCGAAGCTCTATCACTGGATTCATTCGAATGGAAAGTAAAGAGTTCTCTTGGAAAGATTTTAACCATATTTCTTTCGTTGCCACTGCGTATCTCTCCATCGTACAATCCATACTCGTCAAGACGTGAGGAAAACATGATAAAACAAAAAGCAAAAAGTTCCCCTGAGCACCTACGCTTACATCCAATGACAAAAACCAAAGACAAAAATAAAAGACACGAATCGACAGTGTCAAGAGCAAGAGATGATGCAAGAAGATGCCAAGATCAAGCGGAGCCTGGCTCCTTGGGCGCACAGAAAGCATAACCCAACAACTCATCAGCTGAAGGTCTCTTTTCGTGTTCAATCTCAAATGTGCGCTCGAGGAAGAACTTGGCACTTTCACTGGCCTGCTCGGGCATATCAGGCCGAGCCTGTGCCGCACTGCTGCCAATCTTGAAAATAGCTTGCAATTGAGTACAGTTGGGGTGAGGATGCACACCAGTGAACATCTCGACAATGAGGCAACCGAGAGACCAGATATCTGCTTTGCGGGTATAGGCGGTTTGCTTGACGACCTCGGGTGCCATCCAGAAGACGGAGCCTTGGAGGGAGACGCGGGGCCCCGTGCGTTTACCGGTAGGTGGCACGAGGAGACTGGATGCTTCGACACGCTTACTGATACCGAAATCACTGATCTTGACACTGCCGTGGTTATCAACGAGGATGTTAGCACCCTTGATGTCGCGATGGATGATGTCCTTGGAGTGAAGGTATGCCAGACCAGAAAGGATTTGCCTGACAAAGTTGGCAATCAGGGGTTCGCCAAGAGAGCCGTAGTTGACGAGCATCGTAGCCACGGAGCCACCAGCAACGTACTCGAGAAAAATGTTGAGGTGAGAATCATCAGAGTTAGAGCCAAGATATTGCACGATGTTAGGATGCTTAAGCTCACGCAAAAGTCCTATCTCTCGCTTGAGAGCCTCCACCATGTTATTCTTCTTGGCATCGAGGTGTGTGCCAGAGGAGGAGGGCATCTCGACTTGCTTACAAGCCATAAGCTCACCAGTAATGGCATGGAGTGCAAGGTAGACGGTGCCGAAAGAACCTTATCCAATCATGGCACCCTTCATGTACTTGAGGTTCTCCCAACTGTCGTTTTCCAGATGTTCCATCAGTTCATCGTCAGATTCTTCGCCATCCTCAGCAATGACTTGACTGAGACGAGAGTTGAGAGATCCACCGTTCTCGGTATTTGCGGGACTGGTGCTACCGGTATCGTCGAAGTAGCTCTGCATGATAGTGTTTCCTTCTGGATCAGTGACAGCGACAGAATCGGACCCGCTGTCGGCGCCGAAAGAAACATAGGACTTGCGGTTGGGCTCCAGGGGTGACTCCTCGTCCAGAGGCTCAAGTACAGATGATGTGATCGAGTCGCGGTAGTTGGAAACGGGACGACCAAGACGTACAACAGAGAGAGGACGAAGAGGTTTCGGGTGGTTGGCCGAGTTCAACCAGCTGTCGGCGATGGTGGGAAGCGGAGGAGCGTCTTTGAGACTCGAGGCAACGCTGAAGCTACTCATAGTACTTAGGCGGTTGGCAGCTCTGCTGAGTCTGCGTGAGCGGCGGATCGACATGCGTACTGTCTTGTCCATCTCTTCCTTCTCAATGTCCGGGAAGTATGACGTGAGATCCTGGGTAATGAGTTCGGTAGGTGGGCGGGCGCCATAAAATTCTTTGAGTTTACGTGCTCTGGCACCGGCGGTATTGATGGCGGGCTGAGCAGCAAAGTATGAGTTTCTCTCACGCTCGAGCAACGAGGCAGGAGACATTGGGTAGCTGACAGCAGCCAAAGGCTCGCCAATAAGCTGCTCAATCTTGAGGTGGCTCTTTGATTTGTTGATGGGTTGCTGTACCTCAATTGCAGGAGGTGAGGGGGCTTCTTTTTCAGCAATCTTGGCGGCGATGCGTAGCTGCTCTCCCTCGGGCTCTCCAGCATGGATCTTGCGGAGCATGAGACGACNCCTCTCACCACGCACGCGATCATTGCAGATGCGAAGCAATTCCGTGTCACCCAAACGACGACAGTATTTCGGATCCGGGTTCAAACCATCGAGGAGGTAGAAGCAAAAGTTCTTGACGTGGTTCTCATTGAGAGCACCCTTCTTAAGAGTCTTGAGAACAATGTCGTCGGCAGTCTCGCAACCTTCGATGTTGATCATGGAGGAGCGGCCGCTGTCAAAGATGACTCTTATCAGAGCCTTGTCGGCAGGTAGAGCGCTGCTGTGAGTGACAAGGTTGTCGACGCTGGGGCTTGAGCGTATGTGACCGGCGACCGGGCCGCCGAAGCGTGGAGGAGTTTCGCCGGGGGTAAGCCTCTGAGATGGCTTGGGGAGATATGGTGTGCTGTTGCTCTTTTGCATGGGAACACGGGAACGATTCTCTTGGTCTATTAATGGCGAAGAAGGGCGGGAGTTTGCCTTTGCAAGGTCTTGACCGTCAATGCGACGGGAGATACGCTTGTCGCGAAGGGATGTAGGAGGAGGTTGGATCCGTGTGGTGGAGAGGACGGCACGCTCGCGTGGTGATGAGGCCGGAGGAGCGTTCGCTTGGGCATTGCCGTCGAGTGTGGCTAGGGAGANGCTATGCAAGTCAGCAAGCTGTCAAGGGACAGTCGTGTGATTTGGGCATACCCTGTTCATGTTCCTCTTACTCGTCTTCCTATAGACAGTCGTCCTGAACAGCTTTGCCTGAGAACCAATGCGGACGCGGTCGCCGATCTTGGTAACTCCCATCTCTTTTAGTGTGGCAGGGTCCATGTCCATAAGGTTCTCGCCAGTGATGTTGTTNNGCCTGCATGCCCGTTAGCCTGTGACAGCAACATGCGCAGGGACAAGAAGGAGCCTACTTTTGAAGATGTCAACATATTTGCCGCAGTTGATGCTGATCAGCCATTCGCCAACGCGTTGTTCGTCCCAGTTNNTCTGCAGATGCAATCAGCGCTTGTGTATGAGCGGTGCGTTGATGCGTGCATACTTTACTGTGTCAGACATTCTGGAAGAGTCGGAAAACTCGGATTCGGTAGGGCTGCCATATACTGCATTGTTGTTGTTACGGAAGGCGGGCGAGGTGTTTTGATATGTGGCCCCTCCCATAGCGGTGGGAAACGAGGGTTTGGAAGCCAGCATGGCCATTGTTGGACGACAAAGGTCGGAGTCAAAGACGAGGTGCGCAAGAGGCGTCCGGAGGCTATTGCTTCATTGTCTGGCGAGACAAAGCGCTTCTGGAGGTGATATCGTTCCGTGTACCGACAGAAGAATGGTATGGTGACAGGGAGCGGGCGGCGTGACGGTCACAGCAGCGAGTTGCGGGCGTGCGGGTTTATGGCCTATGTGGTGCTTGAGTGTTTCGGCGTCCAGGTCGTCACGTCTGCTTATGTAGATAGCTGAGACACTACCAGCCGAGCAGTCGCAGCTCTGGATGATTTGCAGAGGATGAAACGTCAGAGCGACAATCACTCGGTTACGTCGGAGGGCGCTGTTTCTTGGTGACACGGCGCGCCGAATGTCGAGGAAGCTGACCGTCTTTCTCAGCACAACACGGAGCGACGAGGAGCAACACGACCGACTCGGCGTGCGGTCAGCGTAAAATTGAACAAAATAGCTCTCTCGTCGTCGTCGCGTGCGCCCCGTGCCAAAGCCTCGCATACCTAATCGAATTCCTCCAAGAGTCGCACTAACTGAACATGAAACGCGCCGCCACAGCTACTCTCACCACCAAAATCCTAAACGGGACTGCAATCATCCCCCGTGCCCAACGGCCACCTGCTTTTGTACGTCTTGAGAGAGACTCCATCGACCACTGACCGCTCCCCAGCCTCTTCAATTACCAAGTCATCAAAGAGCGTGCGCAATCCCCAGAGCCTGGGGCAAAAGAGCAGAGCACTCACAGAGCCCGGCCTCAGATGCCCTCCTCACACGTGCTTTTCTCACATGCATTCTGCTAATGAGGTGTGGTGTGCCTCTGCTGCTGCTGCTAGTTACTGCATCACATCCACAACCCTCTGCATCCTGCAGCGTTGTAGCTAGGAGTAGCTCATCGTCATCTTCCTCCTTGGGGGAATGCACCACCCTCTCGGCCTTCATTGCTCCAGGAGCACAAGACACCCTGGCACTGCACTCCCTCCATCTCCAAGAGCACTGAGTAGGTATATCGTTCGGACAACATCAAGACTCACAGCGTGCTCTCCCGAGTACCCGCGCCATTGTGGGACTCTGGAAGCTCGGCGTCTAGGCGCATGTGTCAAAACAGCTCGCCGGCCCGGCCTGCAGTGAACATCAGCTTGCTAAGATTTAGATCTGCTCGACCACCGGTTCCTCGGCCGCTTTTGGTTTTTTGGTATTTCCGATCATGCTGATGAACCAGTATCCACGAACGTGTTCCGGCGAGTGGGAGCAAGAGAAAAAACTGTAGCGTCTTCTAGCGGGGCGGAGGGTTGTTGCTGGCTGGTAGCTTTGGCCGGCCCGGCACCCGTTTGTTGATCTTTGACTTTGTGTGTGTGTTCGGTAGACCTCAGCTTCCAACATGAAACGATGACGCCAATTCCGACCCTGGCCCTATCGTTGCTTTGTTGCTGCTCTTCCTCCTGTGCTGACGCGATGCCTGGTTATCTCAGTGTCAAAACGGTAAGTTATGTGTGCGCAGTCGCCGTTGATACAAGCAGTTGGTGTGGCAAGCCAATCTAGGGTCGACTTGTAGGATCAGCGATCGAAGCGTGCTCGTCTGACTGGCGCGCTTCGGTTGGTCTGCCTTATTATTGTTATCATGATGCTTGATGATTGGCGTGGCGCTCTCGTGTTTACAAACCTGCTAAGTCTCGATGTCAATGACGACGAGTGGCTCGTCCAGAGCGGCGCCCAAGGAATGGTGTCCGCCTTGTCGTACTTCACGACCTAAACCACCAAGTCGTCCAAGGGGACTCGGCCGGTTGAAACACAGAAACAAGGCACCTTCCCTATCCTTCGCTGGCCTGCGCGGATAAAGGCATTGACTAGGGCTTGCTCCTTCCTTGTGGACTTCTCCGTACTTCTGCGCCAGTCCCCCACAACCTCGCAGCAGCACTCGCATCGCATCGCATCGCATCGCCGTGTCTGCGCCTGGACCAAGGCTGACCGTCCTTTGTTTTACAAGCACACCTCCAACACGCCAAACAACTGCCACTTTTCGAATTCCTGATCACTGAAACCTTGTTAGAGCATCGGCATCGAGAGGACAGTGACGACCAAGTGACGCTGTTCAGCATGGCATCTGGAGACGGCTACCGCTCTCCGGCTGTGCAGTCTGCTGCAGACAGCTTCGAGCTGCGTCGGGACGACTATCTCCAAAAACCCGAGTCTGATAACTATCGTCGCTCCAGGCCACGAGGCAACTCAAATGCTGTCAGACCCAACAGTGTCTACCAACAAACCGCTCCAGTCGATCATGCCGTCAACCGCGCTTTCGAGCGCTCAGACGCAGCTGCGCAGCTAGACCCAGCTCTTGTTGCTCAGATTACCGAGCAGGTCATGAAAAATCTCTCGGCTTCTGGTATAGGTCAACAGCAGCAGCCACCTCCTTCTGCTCATACCCGATCTGCCCACTCGAGGTCTCCTGCAGACTCGGCCGGATCTCTCAATCGCCCTTATACGCCTCCTTCGCCAACGAGGGACAATGGGAGTAATAGATCGCTGTCTCCTGAACCTCCCATGTTTGCTGCGGATCCCTACAACAACAGTCAAGACGTTCCTCAGCCCAACAGAAGTGGTAGTGACGCATCGTCCGTCTATGCTGGCGACAGCAGATCCAGACCTGGACAGGCCCGTATGCCTTCCACTTTTGAAGAGACGGTCTTGGAAAAGGCATGGCAACCTCTGTTCGAGTCGGGACAGCCTACTCCAAGATTGAGCCAATTTCTTCGAGGTCTCGCTCTGCATATCATTGATGATTACGAGCCAAAGCGCAGTCTTGTCATTCCTCCGGCTAAGATGACTCAATTTTTCGACGATGTCCGATTGTCCACTGAAATCTACCCCTGGCGGGACATCTTTGGTGGTCGCGTCACCTGCGAGTCCATCTCGAGAATCTACCGTGATCTGCGCTGTCAACACCACTTCATTCAGCTGGGTAATCATTCTGTTCCAGATATCCCCGCTTTGACCCCTGATGGCTTCAACCAATTCATGACGATCCTCATCCAAGCACATCCGTCTGTGGAATATGAACGACTCGCGAAGGCTGTGTTGGATATGCCCATAAGTAATGCCGATAACCCTAAGGAACGATTCCCGAAGGAACTCAGCCGTCGACTTATTCCTAAAGAGGAGGATATCACACAGCAGCAACGACTACATGCTGCTCTGTCGACTGATCGCAACATCCAGCTGCGCTCAAGTAATCCTATGCCGCCTCCGCCCCCTCCAGTATCTTTCCAGTCACAACAACAGCCAGCTTCGCAATCTGCATCGACACAATTTGCTGAAAGAGAGCGGGCTCCCTACTCTAACTATTCGTCTGCTGTCGATGATGATGATTTACGTACTGTTCCTGGCCCAATTGAGCGTGAACGTCAACCTTACACTGCAAAGGAGGGCTCTGGAAAAGTGTATGAAGACGATCGTCGAAACACTGGTCGCTCGGAAACCGTGAATCGTACCTCACGTGCCAACTCTGCTGCACCTCAACCACAATTTGGTCAGAGCAGACCTACCGACATACCNCCCACAGGGCAAAGAGTTCATCGCCTTTCTGCGACTGGACAACGACCTAACTTTGGCACCCCACCTCCTCTTGGTTATCCACCTAACCCATATACCCGTTCTGAAGGCACCAACATCGGTGATATTCCATTCACACACTACAACTCCAACATGCACTCTGACGATCGAGACCGAGATCGAGTAAGATATGCACGACGTGAAGATGATTCTCGAGATTCCAAGCGCGCTTCATGGTACCCTTCTCGTGGCTACGACTACGACGGAGCCTACGATGAGAAGCGAAGACCTCCAGGTGGCTCTGATGGATACGGAAGCTACAATGGCCATCCTTCAAGCCAGAAGTACTAGGCTTCCCGACAATGAAGCTAGGCATGCTCTCATGTCCTGAGCGGATGATAAGCCCACAACCACCACTACTGCACCTCAAACCTCAGAGCTTGACATACCGAGACTTGTGAACATCAAGATTTCTGTTCCTTGTACCCTGCTTACGTTTACGCCATCTTCTTTATCCTGCACTTATATCTCTTACATTTCTCTCTCGCCTGTTTTTGTTTCCTTGTATACCCCTTCTTAGCAATGCTTCTTGTGTATGTTGGATATCGCTCGGTGGACAGCAGGCGCACAACGCACGCCTTGAATTTTTCTCTATGCTTCTATCAGCACTCGTTATAGTTAGCGCTCCAGCGATGAACACACTCTACAAGTTCTCACAATGCATTGACTGTTCCTAGTATCTGAGGATCCCATTAACTAGAGAGCTCAGTAGTATATCGTCAGATTATGTTCAGTGTAAGTATGCATAGATATTGCTAGGTTCCGGCCACGGCAACTGCAACCGAGACACAATCCCTCCCACATGCACTTTGTCACAAATCTGGGGAAACCACTGACGTCAACCGGCAGCTCAGCCTTGCTTGACGAAACCAAGAACCTTGCAAGGGGGGGTCTCTGATGAACGATGATCTGCGAACGTAAGCAAGCACCTGTTTTCTCCTCATTTTCCTTAGGGTCTGTTTTTAGCTTCTCTTCTCCCATTGTCAACAACAAATTTTACGCCAAAGCAAACCACTCTTCACATACAAACCACAAAGATATCAAATCATGTCGAGCAACAACCAAGACCCCAGCCACGATGAGAGCTTGAGCAACCTTCCTGCTGGCGGAACAGATGTGTCGCTTGGAGAAGGCCAGNNAAAGGTGTGTTAATACTAACTCCTCTTTTCTCCTTTGCGTCTTTCTCTGTTATCCTCTTGATCCAGTCTAATTTCTACCACTCTTCTCCTATCTCCCATTCACTTGTGTAGCTTTTCTGACAGAGTTCCAGGTCTTCTCGCACCCCTTGGCGATCCTCTGGGCAATGCACTCAACAAAGGGCTCTCTCCCGTCGGCACTGCCATTGGTGGTCTAACGAATGGAGGATATAGCAAGAGCAAGGAGATGGATAAGCCGAAGGAAGAGGAAAGTATGGGAGGCAAAGAACAGAACGGACAGAATCCTTTGGGACTGTAAGAAAGAGAAATAGAGGAAAAGGGGGCGTGGAGGAGATCTCCACTAAAGCCGGCAGTCATCGGTTCTCTTTTGGCTGTGTCTCTGGTCTGAGAGCGCTGCATGGTTTGACAGCTGCTTGAAGGACTTGAGTGGGCACACAGGAAGGTGTGAGATGCGGTGGAAAGTGAGTGCGCAGAGGATGTGGCATTTTGATGAACGTAACGGTAATGGATGACTTCTGAATTTTCTCTCATCAGTTCTGTTTAAGTTAGTCGAGAGTGACTAAGCCGCATCGTCTTCTGCTTTGGTCAAGACTCCATTGCAGCCCTAGAATCACCTAGAGAATCTCTTCCTCCCAAGCACTAACCGAAGATACTGGAAGTCGCAATCTGGGAAAGGAGCCCTGTGGTCTCGTCTCGACAGACCTGATCACGGCTTCGAGCCCTCACGCCCTCATCACCATCAGTGAACCCTTGTCGTACCGCAAGAATCATCGCAAACCATGCCACCTCTGGTTCTAAGCATCCATATCATGAACCCTGGCTCCCTCTTTTCATGTGCCCTTCTTGCACAACTCGCAAGCACAACCACTCAAGCCCACAGTCGAGTGAAGCATAGCATAAACATGCTTAGCAAACATTTCGGCCGATCTGAAGCGACCTCTGCGATGACCATAGAGATAATAGTCACCAGCAGGGACTGAAGAAGTAGGGGTAACGCTACCAGGCTGTTGAGGTTTATGGGTTCTTGGCTTGTAGAATAGAGCATATCCCAGAGGTAAATCAGAGAACACAGTGTCGTGGGGAGGGTATTGTTGGGGGTTGGCTTTTGCTGTTCGCACATTAGTAGAAGCTACAATGAGGAAGGAGAGAAGGTCGATGGATACAGTAGGCAATGCTCATGTTCTTGGGAAAGTTGGTAGGGTCGGCGGGTTGGAATGGAGGGTCGTTCATGGGCCAGTTGGCTTGATTGCCGTCGCTGTTTTGGCATGTACTGAGGGCGATGATGTTGCCGTTGGTGTTCAAACGAGCAACCCGATCATAAGGCAACTGCTGGCCAGTATTGTTGGTGCTAGTAGGAAGAGGAGGTAAGTATTGTATGAACTGCTGTTGTGGAGAAGAAGCCTGTTGATATTGCTGCTGGTACATGTTGTGGAAAGAAGATGCAGGGGGAAATTACTGCTGAGAAGACAGGTACATGTTGTCGTGAGGAGCTAGCAGGCTTGGATTGTTGTCGTTGTGGCCATGAAAGTGATCAAAAAGCTGCTGACGCAGTTCTTCATCATCGGCGAGATTTTGGTTGACGCTGTAATAGGGGCTCGAAGATTTCTGAGCCGTATTGCTAACGTCTGGGTAGGCAGGAGGTTGAGTCATGGTCGTTTCGTTGTACGGACTTGCTTTGATACAGTCGAGCGAGGATGAGGAGGGCGATGACGGAGCGTAGGTTGATATATATAAAAAGCAGATGATCACTAAGGCTTTTTCCGGAAGCAACTATGCAGTACAACCTACAATGATGTATCAGATGAAGCACGCGGTGGATACAAGACTCCTTTGTGCAGACATATGTCAGGCAAAAAGTCCATCAAACTGTTGTTGATCAGACTGACGAATCCGCCCTGCTCTTTAGAATATACAAATCTGAACAGCATCCTACTAGTAGAGCAGCAAACCATCAAATATAGCAAATAAATTGATCGTCTTCAAAGAACAAACATGGAGCAAGAAAGAGCCGCCTCACCCATGCCTCAGTTCTATCACAGACTATCTTGTCTACGAATTGGCTTTGGCTTACCGTCAACATCCGGGCTTCAAAGAGCCGAACTTTGCGTCAAGATACAGCTCATGAATGAATCATAATCTGATCGTGATCGTTCACGCGCTCAAGCTTCCAGTGGTTGATAAGCTTTGGTCATCTGCGGTTGTCTTTGACCAAAGCTACAGCCTTCAAGGGCAGAAGTCAGCTTCAATGGTGAGTCGCTTCAGAGGTTTATAATGGTATGTCCCTGAGATGAGCACTGGAGTCGACAGACAGCTTCCGTTGTCCCCTCCAAAACCACGTCTCCGGCTCGGCAATTCCCGGACCGAAACTTTGCGAGCCTCGGAGTCTTCCTCTTAAGTCCCAGTAAAGTCAACCTCCTCATCATCATCTTGCAACTTCCCACAATCGGTGAACTTATCGATTCAAACGTTAGCTATGGTTCGTGAGTTAACCACATCGTATCGAGACTAGAAAAGCACAATTGTCCGCTTAAATAACATCAACCCTCACGCTTGACCGACGTGTCATTCGCCTTGTGCAAAGCCTTCTCGGCACCTCCTCTCTGGAAAGCACCCGTTACACGCATCTTCTCGTCGTTTCGAGCCAGCTATGCAAATGCAGGTGGTTCCAACAGACCCATCAAAGAGCATTTCGTGGCTGATAAGAAAAGAGAGGCCAAAGATCGTCAAGCGGCATATGACAGGAAAACATATCAACGCAGACGAGAAGACCCTGAACAATGGACTGAATTCGCACTAGCGCAGAGACAAACTTATCAGATACGAAGTCGCAGCGATTCTGAGTACGTCGAGAAAAGGCGAGAGCGAAGTCTTTCGCACTACCATATAAAGACCGCTACAGACCCCCTGTATCCTCTAAAGCGGAAGATCTACTACTGGACGGATTTTCTTTGGGTACGCGAGCAACTCCCATGGAAGACAAACATCCCGATCCGCACTTAAGAGAAGGTCCGGCGCGTTTGTGCAAGTTGTAGAAACTTCAGGATAGATGGTCTCAAGTTATGGTGGCAGCGTCGCACTGCTTCGGACCCACCGTTGTATGATTGTCCAAGGTGTCTTCTAAAGACTTGGCCTTTGTTTATGCCTGAAGGCTATGAGGATGTTTAAACCTTTACCGAGCTAAAGGCACGCAAAAATATGCCGGACGCAAAGAAAGCACCTGGGACCGAACACAACAAGCAAGAAGGCTGAGCAGTCTTTGAAATTGTTAATATATTGATCAGGATACGGCACTGAGCTTCTGGAAACAACGAGACGCAATTGCAACCGTACAACAACGCATGTACATCATATCCGTCCAGCATATGAAGTTACAAGGCCAACATCAGGCACCATTTTCCCAAAGAGTGTGCAAAGGTATTTCTGCAGCTATGCTCTGTATGAGTTGTTAGAGCTATCTGGCAAGCACAAGGCTACAAGACCCTTATCTCTCTTCCGAAGATGGCCTCTCTCTTGGGTTTCATATCTGGACGTGCAAAGCGTGTGTTGAATGGAGGGCTACATCGACCGACAAAATTGGATTGTATGTTTCTTCAGAAGATGCTGCAAAGAAATGTCGAAGGGTACAGTTTTGTCGAACGAATGACATCTGGACTGGGTTGCGCAGAAATGCCAAATGGAGCGGAGGCGTACATCAAATGGTCTTTAATTACTAGTCGCCATCGCGACCGAGAGCATCGCTGTTATGAGCAACCAGACCTCTGTAGGACATCAAACTCCAAAAGCCACTACCAGACCCGGATGGAATTCCAGCAGGCTCAGCCTACGTTCCTCTCATCATCCGCCTTCCCATCAACCCTCCCAAATCAAGCCCGGAGACAAAAGCAACAAACAAATAGGGTATCCATCCACGTCCTACACACTCAATCTCAACCAAAATCCGAACGCTCTTAAATCCTCTTCTGCGCAGGCAGGTTGTTCCGATATGAGTGGTGTTCTCCTCCTTGTGTGAACGCACGCTTAATCGCGATGCCGAAAACTATGAAGGGGAAAGCGAGGACGTAAACCAAAGCGTCGGAAAGGCGTTCCATCAAGGTACGGCGGTTGTGGTTTGGACTTGTTATCGGCATTGTGTGGGGAGTGTGTGATTTGTTGATTGGTTTGTCGCTCGGTGGTGCGGCGTGATATGCGATTGACGAGTGTCGCGTGAGTGTTGAGTCCGATGTGAAGTGAGCGGATTGGCGATCAAGGTGTTGATTGAAGATATACGCGCTTCGCTGTACTGTACAATCTGCGCTCGAGTTGTTGGTGTTTCTGATCTATAATGGCTCGTACGCGTGTCTGTGGATTTAATTGTCAAAGATCAAGAGAAGCTGCGATACTGTGATTTGTTTCCATAGCGCGAGGCTTATTGAATTTCATGATGCACCCTCGTGGCGATGACATCACGGTATTTCATTGTCACAGCCTCAATCCGGAAGGCTCGGGTTCCGGATGAGCAGCTGTACGAGATATACGCCAGGAATCTGAGAGGTGCTTTAGTCTATTCTCTGACATCGCCATTAGTGTCTGTTCAATACATAAAACAAAGGAGGAAAGGGAAGAAGCGATGATCAAACACGAGAAGCTGCGGTCGCTTGGCTTCGGCGTTCCCCTTGCTCACGGACGCCAACGAGACAGGGTCGTCCTTTGTTGGAGCATCTCGAGAGCCTCATGTTCTTCTGAGAGGATATTCACGGTCGCAGAGCTGTTGAAGGAACCTTGTTAATTATTATGAATTAGCTCGCATTAACAAGGTTGATTATGTACACTTCTTAGAAGTTCAAACCTCGCTTTCAATCACCATACAGCCTCTCTTCCTCTTCTTCGTCCTTAGCGGTGCTGGACCTTCTGCTTTTGCGCCATAGCTGCAACCAAGAGTGGAATTCTACATTCTGCTGTGCCTTCCGTACTAACGACCTCAGTCTCTTCTGGTATGACACGCCTGCCACAAAACACATCATCCAAAGCATTATGGTGGCCGTGGTAAACTTCCAGTTTCCCTGGTTTGAGACAGTGCCTTTGCTCACGGTGATGATCTTGGAGCTGGCCAGTACAGTGCCAGCTTGATCGACCGCAACAACACGCAAGTATTGATACTCGGCACTGGGTACGTCAATCTCCGTCTCGAATCCATCCTTGCTCACTTTGACTGCATCGACGAATGTCAACTCATCGCTAGAGGTCGAAGTCCTGGCCGTCTGTAGTATCCAGTCGCTCACTTCGGTTGCGCCCATCCAACTCACGAATGCGTGTCCGTCTGCGGGGTCGAAATATACATCTGGTTGCGTGTTGGGGCGTCCAGACCAGGTGCTCGCTCTGAATGCGCGATAGGCGTGTACGAAGCCGAATGGGAATAGCATGGCTGGGTTGATGTGCGTGTCGCAGAGTACTTGGCCATCAGGAGTATACTCAGTATATCCTGCATGGTAGCCCCATCCCAGCAATACGTTGCCAGAATCCAGGACCTGCATAGATCCTTGTTGAGGTGTGCCGCGGGATCCAGGATTCATGAACTCCTGAACGAGTTCAACGGTCATATCTTCTGTGTCCAGGTGTACCAGCATTCCACGGCTTATCTCGCTGCCGCCTCCTAGAAATTGCTCGTGCCATTTCTTGTAGTTGGCATTATCGAAAATACTGAGTTGGTTGTCCGCTTGCACAGAAACATGGTGTTGCCAGGCAAAATCCGTCGCACGCCCTTCTGACAGATCTGCAAAGTCGTTGTTGTGGCCACCCAAGGTCCACAAGATGTCTCCTGTGTTGGCCGAGATGCAGACAATGCTGTGCATGAAGCGAGATGAGATGATGTAGTTACCATCACTATCTTTATCAACACTGTTGATGTGGAAGAAATCAAATGGTGCCTCGGGGCTTTGACCTGTAGAGCCTATTGGATAGAAAGTGTCATTGACAGCGAAATGATTCGATGCACGCCATTCGAACATGACTTCGCCTGTCTCGATGTCGATCTCGCGAAACAGACTATCGTATAACCAGCCTCGGCCCGGGACTCCTAGAGACGAGAGGTCTGTAGAGATTATGTCGTAACTCGTGAGTAAAGCGGTATCGTCGGGTGTGATGGTGTACTCATGAAAGTCATTCTCCAGTGTGTTTGACGCAGAGAACTGCTTGAAAACCTGATAATGGGAATCGAGCTATAAGCCATATTAGCTGGGATACTGGGAAGTTCGTGTGATGACACGAACCATATAATATGTCCCCAGCCCAAAACCAGGACCAATGTCTCCGGACCAGAACGTGATGTATTGCTCGCCTTTGTACTCCTGCACTTTCAAGTTCATCACATATGGACCAAAAGTCTCGTCCATCCATATCAGATCTCCGTCGCTATCCAGCATGATTCCAGCAGGGCTAGACACCATAGTTCCGCGAAGACTTAGTAAAGTATATCCTTGAGCACATTGTTCATCCCACCGGACAGTGTTCATCTGTGGGGGCTGCAAAGGCGATGATTTGAAAGACTGCTGAGGATATCGCCCTAGAAGACCCCATTCGTATGCTGTCGACCTCCAAGAACTGCTGGAAACATCCTGAGTACATTCGACTTGTGTTAGCAAGAAGGCAAATGCTAACAAGCCCAGCGACCAGTAGCTATTTATGCCTGAGCATGCCTTGAGAGAACAAAGCATTATGAGTGAACTTTTGGCGAGTCCAGAAGAATGAGGAAGACCTTCAGCGACCAGGCGCGGGAATCGACCCATCAAGACTCAGCTCCTACATGACACCTGCCAATACTTTGTTGTACGTATATCGTTGCCCTCTGCACAGTATCGTCGTGGCCCTCGGGACCAGGGCAATGACCTTCATCAACAATCGTCATTTCTACTACACACCTAGGATGCTTGGCCCGCGGCGACTGTCTGAGAATTATCGATCCTGATTCTAAAGGTGCGAAGATAATAATTTAGGATGCGCATCGGCACTGTATTCGATAACATCGAAGGCTCTCGAGACCGTCGCGCGTGCGCGTCGCGTTGCGTACAAGTGTACAGATTAATATCGATTTGCTAAGCCCCTGAAGCAGATCAAACCCCCAGTCAAGGAACAGGCTGCTGCGTGCAGTGCTGTTTGCGTCTGCAGTGTCGTCTTGATCGCATGCGCAATTGCCGTAAAAAGGATGACGTGGAAGGTTTGCTGCCAAGGCCTATCGGTGCCAATATTGCGGCTCTCTTGCAAAACTTGATGCAAAGTTTGGGAGGACATTACTCGGGCGACGGATCACCATCGTTGATGAGATAGTTTTTGGTTCAACTGATGGTGGAAAGAGAGGTGTCGGCGTGTTGCGATGTTGATGTTGCCGCCCGGGCGTCGACGTCGATGCATAAACTCCATGCCAAGCCCTGCTCTATGCAGACCTCGCATGCATAACACCCCTAACAGACCGCCATACCACGAGAAAAAATGCTTTCATACCAGAGACTCGCTCCAAAAGGTCAATGCCCCTGACGGAGTCGAACCGGCGACCTCGGCATGGCAGTCAAGATACTACTAGTGCCGCGCTCTACCAACTGAGCTAAAGGGGCTTGTGTGGCGAACGCGCTTCAACACAGTATCCGTACTATCGCACCTGGTGAAACATAGCCAAATTCGAATTCACTAGCAATCTGCCATCTCAGCCTAGTGTGATGGGTAACACATAACGCGGGAGTCCTGACAGTAAGTGGTAATGAGACTCTCGGAGGGAAGCTTTAATATCAAACATGTCAACTCATGGTTATGGTCAGATCTCATGGCTGCTTTATCTCTACCAGAAGCCCTCCAAGCTAGATAAATTCAGTTTGGAAGATAAGGATTCAAGACCTTAGTACGAGCATTATAGAATAGTGTTATGTTTCTAGTGCTTGCTTAAGTCCTAGCTAGAAGGCCAATATCCGTCGGTTTAGCGGTCTATCATAATATCATAGAGGTAAGCAACCTTGATTAAGGGCTTAACGCAGCTGTCATGTTGATGATAGATGCCGCTCAGAGAGAGAAATACAGCCGACTCATGATCATGAAGGACGTCTCGTAAGGAACTGACAGAAGGTTTGCATTCCTCCCTGCAGTGCTTTCCGGACAGATGCTGGAAGTTCCCAAAGAACATTCATCCATCGAGGTGGATGACATTCATGCAAATTGCAAGTAGGATAGTCGAACTACTATCAAGGAATGATAAAAAGGACGTGATGCATATCGCGGTGGTTCGACCAGACTTGTGTATATATGTATACAAGAAGTGGTCCGGCAATGGAAATGTCGTGTGTGGAAGGTCAAGGTGGTGTCTGCAAGCACGTGCCACAGCCAATCATCGGGGAAGGAATTTCCACTGCGCTGCCTGCTGGAGGTACGCCGGCGCCATCGGCATATCAAACAAGCTACAGATGCCATTCTCGATCACGTCTACAGGAATCTAGTCGCATGATGAGGCTTCGTCGTTGCATATTGCCCATCCTGGAGCAGCGGCACCGGTTACAAGTGCTTACTTGCATCATGCATGGCTCAGCCTTGCTGCCTTATCATCATCATCTCCGTCGATATGTAGCAACGGTGAACAATTCCACCAACGAGAAAACTGACCAGGACTGTCGAGAATCTTGAGAGCTATGTCACAGTCTTCCAATGGCGTGATTCCAAGGCTTTCACTTACCAGTCATCATGCAATCCGCGAGTGCCGCTATGATCAGTCATCGATACCTATACTGAGTACAGCCAGCCACTTGTGATAAGATATTACCTCCGGTGGTGCGTAACCACGTCCGGGCAGCTTAGGCTGGTCAAGTTGCATGAATATCTTGGCATTGCTGAAGCCATCGACTGCTCAACCCCGACCAAGAATACTATATCCAGACCGATGTGGCAGCCTATGATCGGCTGGCCACCGACACAGCCTGCTTTTACTTACATCACCAGTTTCGAATGTTTTGAAAGATATTCTACAGATTTCTCGAACAGATTCTCTGATAGCTTTGTGAAAATAACACCGGAGGGCTCACACAAGAGGAAAACATCTATTCTCAACATGGATGACAGACGGCTCTCGGTCGACTCAATAGATCTGTCTACTTTCCACGACTTGGGTTTCGAATTTTCACAGCCTAACACAGATCGATTTTCGAACCATACCAGTGCAGCAAGATCATCATCAACCACCGTTGGAGAGGGTCTAGTCGATACAGCACCATTTCTCAAGAAGAGTGACGAGCCACCGCAACATAATACTCACGATCGGCGAAGTGGGTTACTGCCCACTCAGTAGGAAAATTGCAATTGGCTCCCAATTATCCTCAGATTGCCATTTTTGGCGTTGTTGACCATTTTCTCGTTGGCCCTTGGACTGGGCGTACTTGCACTCACGACTTACTCCATGCACGATCATGGCTTAGGGTCAGGAAAGAGTAGTGATTCTCCAATTATCTTCTTTGGTTGGCGGTTCTCTCCCACACTAGTCGTGACGATATATGGTATCCTCGTGGCTTTGCTGCTCAACGATGTTCGAAGAACTGAAATCTTTGCTCGGATGTCCAGATCTGGAGGCGCGTCAGCTTCTAAAACGCTCTGCTTCCCTGCCAGATCCTGGTGGAACGATCCTTTCGATGCCCTAAACAAGAAAACGAATAACGGCGTTTACAGTTGGGCACTCTTGTTCACATCTATAGCCTACATTGTTGTTCTGTTAGTAATGGCGCCACTGTCAGCCGGTCTTCTAGCCCTAGTCAGCATCCAGTATCGCAGGCCCAGCTCGTTCAATCGTGCTCATCTTGCGGACAACTTCAACTGGCAGACTGATTCTTGGGATCTTACTACGTTTCGTACTATCTCAGGCGCGATCCTCAATCAATCAACATCGGCATGGTTGTCTGACCATGTAGTACTCCCCTTCTGGCCTCTTGGTTTATCCACAGCCCCGTTAGGAACTAGTTTCGGTGGACTCGAGACGCAGCGATGGTCAGCCGAGACCGACGTTTATAAGGTCGAGCTCAATTGCGTCCCCATGGAGCTTCTTCGAACGTATGACAACATCACAATAAGCCACGACCATCAAATGTCCGATGGTACGCATTACAATACCACCCTCAACGGTACCATTCTTGAACCAGATTCTCATGATGGATGTCGCGTCAGCATAACAGGCGAAGAAGGCTATGAAGATATGTGGCTTGAGCATGGTGGCGGTTGGTGGTCCAACAGAGCAAATCACAGCACAGCAAATACTCCTCATGATTATTCTAACGCGAGCGCCGGGTGTGGAGATCGCGCTTTGATCCTTGCAAAAAGTCCTGGACTCGATTTCAACTCCTCTCAATTCCAAGCTTATCTATGCTCGAGAGCTCTATACACTGTGAGCATCATGGCGAATGTCACAATCAACCAGTCTTCAATCTTAGTAACCTTCGATCGCGATGAATTCCATCGAGAAAGAGTTGCATGGCATCTCGAAGGGGATCACAATCTCTCCTCTTTCGAGCAAGCGTTTCTTAGCCCCGACTGGGCCACCAAGTTCCCGCACTATGCACAGGACCTTGATCATCAGGGTGGAGATGACATACCTTGGTTCGATGGACCTCTTCTGCCTATTGCTGTGGACGATGGCAATAATTCAACAGAGCTTGTAAAGCATGTAGACCTTGCACAAGAGGTCTACAAATTGTATCAACAATTCTTTGGAGAAATGCTGCTTCTAGCTCTGCAGTCGAGGTGGACGCAGATTGAGATTTCAGGAGAGATCACAGTGCTCGACAGGAGGATCTCGGTCAGCGCTGGCATTGGACTTACAATGGGCATATTGTTCTTGTTATTAGCATGCTTCGTCACTCTGGTTGCTTATCATATTAGACTATCAAGAAGGCCACTCAACCTTCATCAAGACCCAGGGGTATTGCTGCCGCTGCCTCTCTGATGACAGATCAAAAGACAAGATCAGACTTCCTAGGCACATATCATGTATCAAAGGAGAACCTAAAGGCTAGGTTGGGAGATCATACATTCTCCATGGACCAAGGCAAATTGCTGTTCGTGCATGGCGATGCAGCCGAATAGTACCCTCTGATCGTAATCGGGACCCTAGGCCTATCCTTCTCCGAGGATGGATGGGGCCAGTGTTATTGCTTGCTCTCTCTCTCCTTATTGGAGCGCTCGTTGTGCTTTCCCGAATGTCTAGAGCCAAGGCTGGCATACACCAATCTGCATTTATCTACCAACTCAATCTGGATGTTCTCGGGGCTACGACTACAATGGCGCCATACTCGATTGTGCCTACCCTCTGTGCCGTCGGTGTCAAACTTTGGTTCGAGGCCATCGGCGACATATTCAAGCGGCTGCAACCTTACATCACAATGACAAAGGCTCCGACCAGACTGCCCAATTCTGTTCTGGCAGGGTATGCTAATACGCCAACTTCATTTGATCAGTCAAAGCCATGCAGCACTCGCATTGGCTTTTGGCCCTGATTGGGCTAGGTGCGTTCGCCACAGAAGTTTCCACTGTCGGTATGTCTGCACTTTGGGAGCTAAAAGTAAGGAATATCAACGATACTTTCAGCCTACCAAAGCGACTTGCGTTGCGCGATACACCCTTGGTCGAGAGATAGTCGACAAGCCGGGCCCTACGTCCCACAACCTCAAAATGTCATTCTCCCAACTGTCTACACCAAGGCTGTGCAGTCCTGGTTGTATGGTGCTGTCGTGGAGACTTCCCAACCCGCCTTGACCCCGCCGTGGACGAAAGATAGTTGGAGCTTCCTTCCACTAGATTTGATGGACCTGCAGAACGCTGTTTCCCCAATGAACGAGCTGCACACATGGTTCCCAGGAAGAACACGTAATGTCTCATTTCCAACAGTGGCTATCCGTGCAAGGTTGCAGTGTGTGCCGCTCGACTATCCCCAGAACAAGTCAGCCTGGATCGAAAAGCTAGACTTCAGTAGTCCAGGATGGAATGCTTCTAATAGGCCTCATGGTCTGACCCACGGTTACACTTTGATTGGTCCTGCTAATGCACTTGGCGATTCCAACTTCACCTGTTGTGCCAACGAGACTAGCGGTATCATCGGAGATGCGGCCGTTGGTTACTGGGTCAACTATGATCAGTCATCCAAAATGTATCAAGATCATCTGTACGCTACTTGGATCGTTGGTCGCCCTCTGAATGGGACATTCCAACCGTCTAATGTTAGGAATCCGTTGTGAATTTGGCCGGAAGAGCCACGGATGTTCGCGACCAATTGTACACCACTAATCGAACAGGCCGAGGCAAATGTCATTGCCGAAGTAGAGACTGGGACGATCCTGGTGTACAACATCACCGCTCAAGCAAAGAACGCCGCTGTCGCGTGGTCAGATGATTTTCTCGAGCACCGCGCCTCTGTTGACTATGGATGTGAGTCTTTTCATTATACAATTCAGGAAGAGAATGTCACTGTCAGGTAAGATATCCCCCAATACTGTTTATGTCACTTTCTGACTTTTAAGCTGGGGCAACTTCTTCTGGGATACCTTAGTCAATTCTGGACGTTCTCTTAGTATCATGAATGGTCCCTTTGACTCTGAGTATATCAAGCCTTCTCAATATCGCACATTCAACTTCCAGGTCAATGGTCTCAACACCGATTTCATGTCGTTTGCCATGTTGGCGCTCGCGAACAACAGTAAGGAGGCTTTGCTTGATCGGAAGACCTACATGGAGCTGGCCAGTACAACATTTGGAGTGTTCTTCAAGCATTATGCCGCTGAGAATATCACAAGGTCCTCTGGAGGTCACATCTATGAGCCCATTGGTGACAATCTATTCTGAGACTTAGGTTCTGTCATCAATGAAACCAATAGGACACTGGTATCTAACTACCAAGGAGCCCTTGCGACAGACGATCAGGTTGATACAACACACCCAACCATTTTGGCGACCTACTCCATACCCATCGAGCAATTAGTCATGTCTCCCATTGCGGTCTACCTCTGCCTTTCGATCCTCGCACTCCTAGTTCTCACCACTGTCATCATGTACTCGGCCAATCGCAGTCACTCCAAGGTACTTCCTCGAGACGTGGATACTTTAGCTAGCACGCTTGCTTTTGTCCATGGAAGTGATAGATTGCTAGACTGGGCTCAAGATGGAGCTTCGACGAAACCATGGTATAAGCTTCCATCTCGGAAAGACAGGCTGGCACGGCAGCAGTCCAAGAAGTTGATGGCACAGATGGGACCACTTAAGGACCAAGACGGCAACGACGCTTGGGGTATCGAGTTGGTAGAAACTAAGGGTATGGCCTAGATGTATGGCGGTGATCAGGACTCGGTGCGCTAGCCATATCAGACTTTAAATAATTGCGGACGTGTGACTTTCTAATGATCGCAAAGGGACTTCGATCTGTCACTTATCAGGAACGATCCTTCGGGAATAAACACCGACGTCATAAGCCTTGGTATAGAACATCTATAAATACATCTACATGCGGGGGTACCCCAAACCCACCATCTACCACTCCATACCACAAACACTTCTCTCTCTCATCCTATACCACACACGCAAAACATGTCATCCCAACAAAACCCACCAACGACCCAAAACGCAGCCGATGCAAGCGCAGCTTCGAAATGGGGTGTGACACCAAACATCTCCACAACTGCCAAACCTCTAGACCCTCAGACCGGAAAACCGATTGATTGGGAAAATTACTATGATGAAGAGACAAAGAAAGAATTGAGAGCCAAAGGGATCAACCCAGCGTTAAAGGCAGAGATGGAATGGCACAAGAGTCAGAGCGAGGGAAAGGGGATTTGGGGCAAGGTTGCGCAGACGGCTATGGGTGGTGGTTGGATCAAGTAGTTGAAAGAAGAGATGGCGATGACGATGTTAGTCGCTTGTTTGGGAAATATCATTTACCTAAACGGAGCAGTAAGAGGAAGTTTGCGACATCGTCCTTGCCGTCTTGCAGGAGGACTTCTATCTACGACAGGACAATGGACTTCAGACCTTTGTTGGACAGTCTGTTACCACGCAGACACACCGAGACCATTTGCTAGAAGAAAGAGCGAACAGATCGATGTGGCAGGCCTTTCATGTTGCTTTGCTGCAACCTGGAACAGGCATCAGGGCCAACACTTCGCGACAACTGGCCAAAAACATAGCTACAAGACTCCGTGGCAACTTGATCAAGAAGTTCGTCTTCACCAACACTCTGTGCAAATGCAATAGCGTGTCAATAATAATCTGTTTCTGAGATACTGAGCCCCCTGACGATACCGGCCATCAGCTTTAGGGCCTGCTATGAACCGACTTCACTTTCATGCTCTTTCATCGAGCACAGGTATATGTGTCATCGTGCTATGTTTCCCAATCACTACTCTGAGCATTGAGACCACGGGAGCTGCGGTCGAAGCGGAAGACAAGGAGGCACGGTTGCAAGGTCCCCGGACATCTAAAGTTGGCCATATATCACATCTGAGTGGCACAATCAATCTCATGTAGGCAGGAAAGCACAGTATATGTGGAGCAATCAGTTGTCTGAACAGGAGCTGCATTATGATGATATAGTTCTACTGCCTGGATTCAAAATTCGAGAGGAAGGGCGGCCCGAAAGAAGACCCTGAGGTTAGTGATCAAGGGTCTAGGAGCATGGTCCCCAAAAGCGAATTGATCTTTCTCTTTAGTGCAAGGAAAACGATTATCGCCAGTGGCAAGTGCCGAAAGGCGGTGGAGTGTCGATATGTGCTGGCTGGAAAGAGAGCTGAGTGCTGGCTGAAAAGAGAGCTGAGTGCTGAATGAAGAGAATTGTTGATTGCCGAAAGAGATATCGACTGATGATGCCGATTGCAAAGCGTCGGATGCTGAGCTTCAAATGAGAAGATACTGACTAGCCCCAGATGCCGTACTCGCCGGGCCTGTCACGGCACTCACGGCACGTAACGCCACGGCAAACACGGCACCGGTAGTAGTCGCGGATGCGAGCACATCCATCGCAGCGGCGGCGCCCCCATCTCGGTTGCCAGTCGTGGCGGTAGCACTCCTGCGGAGGAGGAGGCTCGATACCACCTTCGGCCTGGAAGACACGCTTCCTAGCGACAATGGGGTACAGAATCTTCACTTGACATCGAACCGCATCGAGTTCGTCACTTTATATCAGTGGATCACCTTTTTCGTCGAGAGCGATATTAAATTGATCGCCAACCCCTAAGAGTCTCTACACAATCAACAAGTCATGTATAGGTGTTTTGATTAGATACGGAGAGGCATCAAGAGTGTTCAGTGACTCGACAGAGTCAAGGCCGGGGAACGCTTTGAGCAGACGATGGACTATTGCTCTACTTCAACCCCATGTACAGTTGTTCCCGAGTAGACACAGTTTCAAGTTCTTATTAATACGGTGCTGCTCACGGAATCTCCTATCAGTGAGAGACTCAGACGTTGTTAAGGTGGGTTTGATGAGCAAGAGTGACATCGAGCTAGATAAGGTTGCAACAGTATATAGATTGTAGCTGTGCTTAGATGTCTTGGACTCTTGGATGGTATTTCATGACCGTGGCGATAGTTGTTGGATCGGGTAGGGGCCTTCATGAAATCAGAGACCAACAGTTCGAACACAAATGCCGTAGTTGCACGGCGTCACGATATTCAATGATTGTGATTGTGATTGTGAAGCTGAGTCATAGAGAGATCCAGTACCGAACGAGGGATCAAGATAAGCGATCGGTCAGGCGTACGGCTCTGAACTCAGTATCAGATGCCATGGTCGCCCGCAGGGTTACGACACTCGCGACGGGTGACAATATTGCAACCAAGGCATCTGTAATGGTCGCGAACGCGGGCGCAGCCATCACAGCGGCGGCGGCCCATTGCCAATCATGGCGATAGCAGCCTTGGGGGCCGGCTTCGATAGCCTATCGCAGTTAGTCAAGCTCGTTGACAGTAAACTGTGGGCAGTTGCAGCGCTTCCAGAATGTTCCGCAGAAGTGTGGTTGTCGCACGCCGGTTCACCGGCCAGTTGGAGGCGCAAGTTCTGGTCGTTCCACTGGGTACAAGGACGAGTTTTTCATGTAGAGTCACAGACGTAGCAGAGTTGATGGCCGCATCTGTGACTACCTGAAGTCAACACTTGCTTCAAGAAAGATGCTAGCGTAAACACACGTGATGTGGTTGCATCCTTCGTTCAGTTCGATAAGCATGTTGCAGGCGCTACAAGTTTGCCAGCCTTCGGCGTAGGCGAGTTTGAGCAATGTAGCTGGCTGGGCTTATTTGCAGGTGGTCCATGTTACATGGTCGCACGTGTTGCAAGTTAGGGCGTCGTTGCCAGTACTCTATCCCAAGAAGGCTCCACAGTCCTGAGAACAGTATACACGCTCTTCGTGTAATGTCGCGAAGTCTCTGATGCAGCAAGTTTCCATGATCGAGATGGAGCTCGCGAAGCCACGCGAGAGGGTCCTCAGCAGACTCACGAACAAGGCGAACGTAGCCGAGACACCAGTATATAGTCGAATGCGGTATTCGTATAACTTGGATTTTGTGGAAACATCCAGGAAAGAACGAGTGTGAGAGGCGCTTGCCGTATTGGTCTGCTGACCCAATCATCCTGCGAGTGTCCCCTCGAGCTGCTCCTGCCACGCGATGAACTTTGAAAACTGTGAACGGCCTCGAAGCTCATATAGACGGGTATCACTCATCTGGATACCACATCAGCATCACAAATCTGTTCCCAAAAATGGCGGCGATAAACTTACCAGAATCCATGCTCATGATCATTTCGAACACTAGAAAGATAACTAGGCTATGGAAGACACGGAGCGATGCTTGTATGCCTGACCAGACACCCAACCATTGATTGCTAGTATACAGAGAAAGTAGCAAACGTGGGTTGTTGGAGAAACCACCAGACGTTGTTTGTCAAGAATTTCTTTATGCCATTCGCACACTTCTTGATGGAAGGTCAAGATCGTGTTTCCCGATCTGCATGTGTACATAGAACACTTTCCGGGTCAGTAGGACGCAAGTGCTGAAGATGCAGTAAGTTGGCAGGGCTGTACTTCCAAAACTCTTTGGGCATCGAGTGCACAGCAAACAGTGCTTTGAGCAACGTTGTTTGAGAGGCTTGATCAAGATCTAAAGGAACTATAGGCGGGTCTTGGACATTTGAATGCAGGTCTTCCAAACCTATCCACATCGTCCCAGAACTGCTGAGTAAAATGCTTTGGTAGCCACTCCATAGGCACTGGGGAAACTTCTTGAGGCTTGGTAGTATCGAAACTCTGGAACACAAGTTGCGGAAAGCCGAGCTGCATGATCTGGCCAGGCCAATCTTCTATTGACAGTCCGTAAGGCATTGTTACACGCCCAGAGATGGCGGCAACCGCGCCGTCATGGAGCAGGGATTCGTATGTCCACCTTATAGGAAGGATTTGTACGGCGGCTCGCAATGATTTCGACAGTTGCAATGTGAGCTATGGGACAAAGAGAAAGGGTTGATGTCTCGAAGTGAGCAGAAGGAAGCCCGGAGGAATGTCGGCAATGACGCGCAAGCACTTTGGTGGTGTCGCGAACGTGTCCGGAGAGCTTGAGCTTCCAGGGGACCGACTTGAGCAGGAGATATACTCTATACAACCATCGCAATGGCAAACCGAGGATACGATGTGGTAGTTGATGTCGATGCAGAGGTTTGTGACTGTATGCGCTCTGCTTCATCTGACTTGTAGACTGACCCGGGCGCAACANNGGGAGATCTCGGTCATACCGACCTGCAAGAGGACCTCGAATTCCACTCGTCCAGTGAGACCTATCGCCTTGTCGCATACTCGACCGCTCTATCTGACAAGACTCACCANGACTTCGAAACACAAACGTCGACGCGTGGCAAGCTTCCCACAGGCAACAACTCGTTCCTCCCCACCAACAACGGCAACCCCTCGGTGACCAACAGCAAACACTACCTCTGGAGCATCTCCTTCTACGCCCAATTCTTCGACGTCGACACCTCCGAGGTTGCCCGTCGCTGCCGCGCTGCCATCTTTCCTCTATCCAACTTCTTGGATGTGCTAGACGGAAACCCCGATCTGTACGGCCCCTTTTGGATTGCTACCACCGTCGTTGTCATCCTCTTCCTCACCGGCACAATCTCGCAATATCTGGCAAAGGAGGGAAAGAAACACTTCATCTATGATTTCACTCTGCTCTCGGGCGCTGCAGGTCTGATTTACGGCTACACCTTCATCATCCCCGTTGCCCTGTGGGGTGCTCTCAAGTGGTTTAGAGCAGAATCTGCAAACCTCCTCGAGTGCGTCTGTCTATACGGCTATGCCAACTTGATCTGGATCCCCGTCGCCTTGGTTTCCTGGTCGCCAATTTCCATCTTAAACTGGGTCTTTGTTGCCGTCGGACTTGCCGCCTCGGGTGTCTTTTTGGTCAGAAATCTGTATCCTGTGCTCAGCGCTACCGACGTGAAGACGAGCAAGATTTTGTTGATTGTCGTTGTGGCTTTACACTTTGGTCTTGCCCTCGCCATCAAGATTTTGTTCTTTGCGTAAGTCCTCCTTCTAGCCTCGAAAGGATCATGCTAATCATCTTGATACAGACACGGCAGTCCTGCNAAAAAGGACAAGGCAGCCAAAGGCGACGATGATGACAAGACGATGCGCATGTTCTTTGGCTTGTAGGTCTGATGGACCCTCTTTCACACTTTCTCAGTCAATTCCAAGCGAGCATGATAAACATAGCCGAGCCTTTTCTATTATATCGCCTCATAACGAAGCCCACTTTTCTCACCTTGCACTCACCTTGCACCGTCGCGAATTATAATCTCATGCATGCGTAAATGCACATAGAAATCTTGTAGGAATTGCTCTTGGATTCTATAGACTGCCGATGCAATGTGTGTATCTAATCTTTCATATTCGTGTTGTCCCATATATCCTTCCTTCTTCCCAAAAGCGCCATAGTTGCAATCAAATAGGTATCTAGTATCATCATCACTCGCCTTTACTTCATGAATCCAAGTCTCTTCTCTCTGACCTCTACATCTCTCATTTCCTCATCCATGACGTTGTTGAAGTGGTCTGCGCCATCAAGGTAAACATGATGACCAGCCTTGCGGATAATCACTACCCTGGCATCACCATTCTCTTTCTTCTTTTCCTCTTCCGTGGCAGTGGATAAAGCTTTTTGCTTTTCGGCTTGCATCTTCTCTGCTGCCGCACGTCCGCCGTCTTTGTCCATCCAGTCGTTTTCGCCGTACATGAGAACCACGGGGATACCTGTCTCGCGGACCTTGGAGAGACCAGTAGGTGCCGAAGAAGTGTCGTCAGGGGTAGGTGCAGAATGAGGTTCTGAGATCCATTGGCGGCCTACACCTTGAATGCGGCGGATCAAGGGACTACGAGCAAAGGCACCGGGAGCGAGGATGTAGGCCAGAGCGTACTCGCCTGATCCGCGCTGGCGGAAGAGGGAGTAGCTGTAGTCGTGAAGGGCTTGTGATTCCTCAGCTGGGAGGTGGCTGAAGCGACGGCTCGTCCAGCCCGACACGAGACGGGGACCAAGCGGGCCCGACCAACGAACAAACGAAAAGGGCGAAATGTTTGCGTCCCAGAGAGTGGTAAGCCATTTTGGCAATGGCTTCTTAGGCGGCCTCCCACTGTTGTTGGCGGCGTCTCTTTTCGCTTTGGCGTTCATGAAGTTGTTGTTGTCTCCCGTCTTTGCTGAGGCTGGAATGTCGGGGTTTGTGCCGTTGGTAGAGTTTGTCTGGTCCTGGGTGAATTCGTTGACCATAGTCGAGTCTTCGGGCTCAGGCAGATCTGCATTGACAGCGTAGGGATCTTCAGGGATACCGACAGGCGAGGCCAGGATGAGCTTGTTGAGGTGGCCAGGGTACTTCAAAGCATATGCGACGGCCATGTAGCCACCCATGCTGTGGCCGAGCAGAGTGAAACGGTCAATACCCTTCTTGACGCGCCACTCCTCGATAGCATCGATGAACCAGCTCTCGGCTTCTTCAATCTTGGCCTGACGATCTTTGGCGTGAATCTTGAAGGGCGGGCGCGATGAACGACCCATGCCGAGCATGTCCAGAGCGTACAACTTCCAGCCCGGCAGTCTAGACAGACTCTCAAAGTTGCGGTAGAAGAAACCGAGGCCAGCACCGTAGCCGTGAATCATGACAAGATTGTTGTCAACATGTTCACCGATCCTCTCAACCGAAAACTCGTTCAAGAAGCGACTCTTTCCTGAGAGTTCTACCAAGTCGGAATTCCATTGACGAGGGCCGTAGGGATCATTGAGGGTGGATGTGGTGACTGGATCTGCCTGACGGGCTTCGGTCTTTGTGACGTCCTGTGTCGAGGCGTTCGTCGATGCAGGGGCTGAGCCAGTCTGGGTGTGAGTCGGGGGCTTCTGAAGATAGGGGATGAAGGAGAGGACGCGGTGTTCGGTGACGGCGGGAGATAGACCAGCCCANNCTGATATGGGTTAGTGGGACGAAGAGCATGGGGTACATAGAAATATACACACCCATTGACTGAAGCCGTCCTTGTAGCCTAGGGGGAAGTAGCCAGCCTTTCCTGCGGTCCTGGTGGCCTCGGAGGGAGTGTCTTTGCGTTGAGAGGCCAGCATTGGTCGCTGGCCGCCGGATTCTGTGTCTGAAGCCATTCTTGGTCTTCTCTTTGGTGTAGTCCGAGTTGTCGAGGGGTGGCGGTTTATGCAGAGGGCGTTGTTGAAAGATTCGCTGACTTGGTTCCAGGCCTGTTTCCCAAGGCTCAGGGTGGCGCGACTGGCGCGCGAATATTGTAATCGGCTAATCTTGGAAGGGAGATATTCACGAGAGGAAGAAAAAAAGGAAAGAGCGACGGACAACGACTTTATTGCAATGCTTGACTAGGCAGGTACGAAAGAAGACGGTCTGATGACGATGCAGGCAACAGGGCCGGAGTTAGAGTCAGCCCGCGTGCCGGACCCGCCGTTGAATCAATCACCGACATGCATGAGCTGACGCCCGTGGTCATTTCTCAAACCATCACATTCTTAGACATTGCACTTTGCTACACACACCCAATCATGAGCTGAACACCCTCTCACAGCCATGTCGACGTCCACGCTGGATAGAATCGTCAAGGGCGCTCCGCCGCCCGACGTGTCTCTCGACCAGGTCGCACAGTCCGCCCGCCGCGAGAGCACCACCACCAAGTCGCATTCACACACTCGCTCACGAGGGGACTCCATCACCACGCCCCACCCACCTCCCACCTCCCAGTCCGATCCTCTCAACAACCTGCCCTCATCGCCTGAGCAGATCAAGCTCAATCTCCTCATCCTCGAATCTTCTCTCCGCGCCCAGTACCTCTGCCTCCATGCCCGCTTACGCCTCTACCTCGTCTTGATGACCGCCCTCGCCCTCTGGATCTCGACCTTTACATATCTGCTCTTTCTCCGTCCGCGCGAAGATGGCAAGGGTACCGGTGGCTCTCCCTACTGGGTTGTCGACATTGCCGAACGCCTAGGCTGGGTTGGAGGCCTTGTGACTGCTGGTCTTGTCTGGGGAACTGGAATGTGGGATCGCGGCATCCGCTGGCCGAGGAAGTGGGTCAACATTACAAACAGAGGTCTACGAGGCTTCAACCTCAAACTTGTCGTCATTCGTGGCCCTTGGTGGAAGGAAGCTCTTGGCTACCTCTTCTTCTTGGATCCTTGGGGTTGGTGGGGTCACGTCAAAGGCATGCGCTTCGAGTTTATGCCAAAAGACATTGAAAAATCTGCACTTGAGAACAAGGACAAGGTCGGCCTATGGGAGACTGGAGGCCGCCATGGCTGGATTGAAGAAGACGTTGCACCCGGTGGAGACGTCATCAAGCTCCTCTTGCTACCAAAACCTTTCTCGCCCGACTTCCGAGAGGACTGGGATACATACAGACATAATTATTGGGAGAAGGAAAACGAGAGACGCGCACAGCTGAGAGCTATCATCAAGACAAGAAGGAGGCAATTGGCAAAACAAGAAGGTGGCTGGCTGTGGTGGACTGGCTGGAGGGGTTGGAATCGTCTGCGACACCCGACAAGACCCAATCACGATCAATTGAACAGGATGCAACGCGAAGCTTTGCGCGAGAAGCAAAGTCTATCTCATATGAGAGAGAAGAAGGCCAGGCCGAGCTCCATCTTGCGAGATAACAGCCACTCGCGTTCAAGTTCAAGGAGCTCAACCCCTNNGAATCGCTTGGTCGTCGGTCTGAGGAGAAGCTACGCAGAATGAGTAGCACTCAGAGCCTCAGGAAGGAGCGTCCTAAGCCACCCACGGCCAGACGCTCAAGTCGATTGGCGTCTTCTGACTCCAGGCCAGGTACGCCCNAGTTCTGTGGGTACCGCATCTGAGCACGAGACTGTACCAACATCCTTGCACAATCGTGCGAGTAACTTAAGTATCAGCTCGACGTCAACCTGGACAAGTGATGTACTTAAGGAGGACACACCTCCTACTGACGTCGACACGGCCGAGAAAGATCAGACGACGCCTAAGCTCTAATCTTGCGATTGTTGAATATGATAACGACTGTTCTATTCCCTCTTCTAACCATCTACTCATGCTTGCTGTTCTGGTGACTGTGACAGAGCCTACACGCTCAACGACATTCCTGATCTGAGACATTCAGATGACTTGGCTCTTCCAGGGGCAAGTTTGAGATTTGTCACATGTTCGACTTGTACTACCTTGAGATCCACACGAGCCATATAGCCATCCCATGCTGTATCTTGACTCTGGCACAGACATCAGCGATTGGATTCGGGTGAGACCATGTCAACAAAGATTAGACAGATGGTTCTCGGTCTGCGCAATCTCAAAGATGGGGACTGCAGACCTTCGTTGGCATGTGATAACCATCGCCATCACCACCAGTAAAGCTCCATATACCATGAATCTGCCATTGTCATCATCAAATCACTATGGCCTGACGGTAAACACAGCCATCAATCACGCAGCTAACCTAATTCGGCAGTTACCACATCAATAACACCACCAATCACTTTACAACACAATCAACAACATACTCAGTTCGAACCTCTGCAGCAGCTAATACTTTCGCACCAGTTGGCTTGTCATCACATGTCTCTTGATATAGCGCCTCTGAGGGAAGAGGTCTGGTCACTATCGAGAGGCTGGAGGAGAAGTGAGGATGAGGACGAGGAACTGAGGGGACATTCAAAGCGACGGCTGTAATAAGATATGGAGGTGAGTTGGAGCTCCTATACCGTCAGGCCTGTGATTCTTTTTTGCTTGCGTCTCTCTGTTGTTTTCCTGTGTGCTGAAGTTATAGTTTCACCCTCTGCCCACAAGAGCGTAAAGCGAAGTGTACATATAAAAAGGCACAGTTGTTTTGCGAAGCGATGTGTAAGCCAAAGAGAACCCATAAAACATCGGCTCTCCATTGATACTGCCATTTTTCTTGAAAGCACTGTGAATTTCTATAGCTACACGCGTTACATACTTTAACACACAGAGAGGGTGTTTTGCTCAGACGCGATGGCTCGCGTCCACACCTCACATTTGGAGTGTCTCAGCTTCGACAACAACACCAACACTCATGAACACGATCTTATTCTTTGTTGTCCCTTTCTCTTTCGATCCTGCATTCTTTGACTTCTGCTTTGTACAACACATTGTTAGCTTGCATTGTCCGCGCTGCAAAACAAAGACCTATCGAAGAAGGAAAGAACAATGCTCTGAGAAGACTCTTGCCATCTACTTCATAAGCATCTATCAACCATGCCCATCTTGCATCTCCCCACGCAGAAACACTCGGGGATCCTGGACGCTAACTCACAGTACTCACCGCTCCATCTGACAGGCTCCAGAAACTCATAAACGCTCAGTAAGTTCTCAACCCCTAACTCCAACTGACAAAACACAGAACCTTTCTTCCGTAACAATGCCTTCTAGTCAACCTGGTGAGTACGAGTTGGCCAGCTGGACCGAGATTTTCTGCCAATGCTTGCCGATTCGCAACAAGAAGCCCTCTGCTGAACCAGACATTGAGTTGCAGAATATGTCTTCCTCTTCCTCTCACATTCACCCTGCCGTCAACAACCCTGTCGTCCCTGAGCACATTGTTCGCGCCAATAACCCTGATAACATACAGAGACCTTCACATGTTTCCTGGTGGCTGAGAGATGATAATTCGTGCCCTCTGCTCCTCCCAGCAGAAGTGATGCCAGAAACCCAACTGCTTCTCACCTTGATCCTACCTCTGGACCCAGTGGTATACGCATGCCTCCTCGCAGAACAAGCGCTTACACTTCTCCCAGACCATCGTCTTCAGTCTATATGGACTCTGGTTCTTCTAACAGTGGCCCTAGTTGGCGTCTGCCCGCCCCTTCATCAATCTATTCTTCTCACCCTAGCGAGCATACCTCAACCATTGATCCTCGTGTCTCTGCCCGCGTTCCTAGATTTAACCCTAGAGCTGCTTCGTATGCTGCTGTTCTTGATGTTCAGGCTGGGATTGACGTGTTGGGTCTTATCTCACAAATCGGCGCTTTAGTACGTCCATAGCTCTTCTATTGTCTATGTCTGACAGATCGTGTTTAGAAGGAACAAAAACATAAGCTAAATACTTGTTTCTTTGCAAAAGTCATCTAGTCATTTGAGAGGGACGAACAAGACAGGAGCAACAAGAAAGCACGAAGATGCACGAAGGGGACTACAAGTGAATGCAATGATTGCTGCAGAGAAGTTAGTACGCTGTACGCCATGAGTAGTGTTTCCATTGTCAAACCCCTATGCCAGTCGAGTCAATCCCCCAGAGTCCAATCTTACGTTTCCAACTATTCTCTGACAGTACAGTAGCCCAGTTTTATCCTTTTGCTCGAGGATACGTATGCGAACCTGCCCTTCCTATGTATTCAAGTGTGAGGAGATCGAGAGGGAAGCGATAGTCGTACTTCACGAGGATAGCACCGTCTACTTCCTCAAGAGTCATTGGATTTGAGTTGAGTAGCAGTCCCAGCACATTGATTACTTCGCGCCGTCTTTCGTGGAGCATTCGCATAGTTTGCGCATATGTCTCGCTCAAATTGTTCGCAAGATGCGCGAGCATCTGGCGGAGCCCATCCTGACTTCGGCATCTGCTTAGAGAGGTTAAAAGCACCAAACGAAGTTTGGCATTCGAAGGTCAGCTAAGAAAGACAAAACGAGTGCCAAGTGACTTACAATCCATAGACTCTAAATTCCATGTCGTTTTCGATCACCGCAAGTTGGTTGGGGGTTTATCTGGTAAAAATCCTCAAAGCGTAATCTGGCGTTGATACTGTATTCGCGAGAAAGTCCTTACAGATACTGACCTCCTGACAAATCTCGAGAGATTTGCCCTCAGTGTCATCGATACAAACGAGCTCATGAATCAAAGATAGGTTGCGGCGTGTAATGATCGTATAGGTTTTGGCATAGAACATTTGGTGTTTTTGCGTTCGTCAAGATCTTCCAAAACAGTGCGCACCTCTGAGGCATAAGATTATATGATCTAAGTCAAGTATAGTCCTCATATTCAATTCGCTGAGACGGTGATATAGGTTCATTTGAGGGTTCAGCATTATTCGCACTTCTCATACAGATGAAATATTACCGAGTGCATCAGAACCTACAGTCTGTACTCGTGATTCACTTGGGCCACTTTGAGAGTATATTGTGACCAGGTCTTTTGGCGTTAGATCGGTGATGGTTTTGGAGCCCAGTATGATCCTTCCGCAGCTGCGGTCACCATACAATAAGAGACTGCGGATAACTGGAAGCTTGTATCGGGTGAAGAGGTCAAACTTAGAACTATGATCCTGTGCCCGAGAATCGATGTTGGACTGCTTGGCGATAGTGTTCAGGCGGATTGAAGAGCGACAGCCTAGAGTCTGCAATTTCGCAATTGATCCCTGAAGCTTCGACCCGTCGCTTGAGCTCCTCATATAGAAGGGTGTTACGTACCATGACCCTGGTTATCATTCAAAATGCCGTGACGATGTTTCGGGTGGTGTCACCGGCGTGCAGGCTCGATTTGTCTCTGTTTGAGCCTTCGTCAAGGGATATTCTGTGACGGGCAGTGCTCTGCAGCAACCACATGGATCGCTGCAAATCTTCATGCCTTAAGAAAAGGTCAAAGTTAAGCAGATAGCAAAAACTGATCTCGAGCTTTCGAAGCTCGTTTGTGCTTACCCCTCCTAAGCGGGCAATACGCTCTTGCGTCCATCTATTGTCTTCAAGCGACTTGCTAGCTATTCGGATGGTGGCCAGTACTAGGCGGTGTACTGTACGTGGGGTGATTGGTACCATGGTCTCGACAACACAGAGGCGATGTATGTAGGCTGCAGCAGCCAAGTATACACCAGGCGAGTGTGGGCTGAATTTATGTATACGAAGGAGATAATCGGTGATGGAAAACGGCGGAGCAGCCTTGAGAAAGAAGCGTCGCGTGACAGCTGCGAGCTGCAGGGCGTGGGCCTCAGCAGTATCTAGCTCGGGCGAGTAGTCCGCTTGATATACGGGAGATATGCATACGACATCGCCGGTGATGTTGGATAGCGACTGCAGTGCCTGCGCTAGCATCTGCACAGCCGCGACACCTGATACTGAGTAGATGTCCCAGTCCTTGTCCTTGAGTATTAGCGGCTCGTTGCTTTGTTCCGTATCGACGTGGTAGTCGTTTACAAGGCGTCTCGATTCCGAAACGACGAAACGATTTGAATGGGCGGCTTCGTGGCCTTTGCCATTATTGGAATCTGCTGGTTCGTCTTCGTCGGCGAGATAGTCGTTATGCGAAACTGGAGGCTCAATTCTTTGAGAAGGCTGTACCTCATCCGGTGATGGGTCAGTAACCGGCCAAGATAGAGGCGGCAGGGAGAATGTGTGGATATGCTGGCCAATGTCATCCAGAGTACAGTTGTTCCTATCTCCACAGACCGGACATATTAACGGTACTAGCTCAGAGTGCTTGCATGATTCAGCAAAATCATCCAATAAGTCTGGGTCTAGGATCTTTTCATGGTTTTGTTGGACATGATAAACAAAGTCATTTGAGGTATCGGTCCTCTCCCTGCATGCCGGGCACCGCCAATAGGTGTTTTGAGTGTGGTCCTGGTATAGATGTGATTCCCAATCTTTTATTGAAGCATAACAGATGTCGGGAGATTCGCAGTCTCCAACCGGACACACGTACGTCACAAGATTTCGCCGGCTCAATACCGAATTGACCAGACGAGTCTGAACTTTGCTCAAACCGTCGGATGGTTTGGGGTTACTCCTAGATACGGAGAGCTTGATAGTCAGTTCCTGTCGGAGGGCTTTCTGCTCTTCGGTTGCGAGTGTTGCATGTGCCATTCGTAACCTTTCGGTATCCGCTGACTGCCGGATCTTGAACCCAAGGCGGATGAGCTGGCTCAACGTCGATTCCACCCCTTTCATAGATTCTGACAGATCACTAGCTGGTGCTTTTTCAGTGTGGAATGTGGTGTCAGATTCCATCGCACCAGTTTCAACAAAGATATCATGCTCGGAACTCTCGTCAGACCACGGCGAGAGATGACCAGCAGAAGAATCATCAGAGCGCTCGCCGGGGTCGGCCGTGCTTTCCGCATCTTCACCACTCTGAGGGTATGCATCATATGTAGCTGTCATAGTCAGTACCAGATCAAGAGCCATGAATCATATGTGTTACCAAAGGTACAACAAGAATTAACAAATGATTCCAGTAATGTTAGAAGAGCCGCGATGATTACTTTGTCTTCAAGATTGGATAGGGACCGTGTTTCCAGAGATGCTTGAGATCTGTCCAAGGCGCCTACTGCAATGATCCAGAGGCTAAAGTCCGCCAGCCTATTTTCTACCCATTCTATCATCGCGGATCGTGGTACCTGCGTCGCCGAAGGGTCGTCTTTCCTGCCTCCACCATCGCGTCCGCTGGTGGTGATAGATTCCCGAGGTGCGACAGCTGCGAGCAGAACGAGCATTTTTGGTGAGCGCTGGCTGTTTTGCTGTGGATCTCGTCGCGATCGCCGTGCTGTATCGGCGAAGTCATTGTTGATCGATATAGTCACCTCTCCGTGTGATAAAGCATGTCACAGTGTGGCTCTTGACGTGCACGATACCTTTCGAAGGCAGCAATGTCCACGGCACAACGTTAGTGTAAGGTATTCCTGTGGCCGCGCTTTTATTTTCAAGCGCGACTGTGCATAGCGTGGATCATCACTCTACGGCGGTGTGGAGGAGGGCTGATTGTAGAAAAGCTGATATCCGTGCAGAGTTTCTCCTTGACGGAAGATAACAGCTGCTCAGGGAAGGGGCGGATAAATCAGGGCGGCTATGCATGTAGGTATCCTGCCAAGGCACGGTGATTTCTGCCGCAAGAAGTAGAATCAGCAATAGATTGATGCTCTGGTAAGACTCGTTCAGTACGGTCGACAGCATGACCGCAGAAGAGGGCCTCAAGGACTTTTGTATTGTTGTGTCAACAAAAGTGGCAGGCGCCGCTTGCCAGCTTGCGCACTCGCTGTTGTCGCAGAACCGCGCTCCACAACCATCAGCACCACGCATCCTTGGCAATCTTGGTGCGATACTTGGAGGAATCGCGCATGATCTCAAAATTGGGATCAGACAAGACAAAGTATCTCAGAGCACAGGTTTCACAAATTCTTGAGACAACTCGAGACAGTTTGCGTGGTGAGCTTGGCGGCCGGTTTGCGGAACGCAAGGGACTGACATCGTATGAAGTGGCCAAATTCACCTGACTCTTCTTACCCAATTCTCAACAGAATAGCGCAACATACCATCGCCCCTGCATGCCTTGCTTCATGCCTTACAGCGTGGGCGATAAATGGGCCAAAGAAGGCAGAGGTTTACATCACTTCCTTCGACAAGTTTCTTCCTCGTGCCAGAAAGAGCAATTCAGCTTCACTCGAGAACTTATATCCTGACTTGAAACCGCTTATCGAAGAGCCTGTGCCGGACGCGGTGAGCCAAAGTCTATATGAGGCAATTTCTCGACATGCCCTATGTGCATGTAGCCATGATCCTTCGGGATCTGTGCGGCATTTCCAAGGTCGACTGCGGTTGATAGAGCAGGCTGGTAACAATCGAGTCAACGATTATCTTTTCGATACAGTTTTCATCGCGCCGGCTGATATGCATCGACCTGAGCCACTCCGATGCCAACTTATGCGGTTCTATGTCCCAACGTACGAAAGCTTCCATCAAGATCTGGTACAGTGATCTGATCCTAACTCACTCTTCACAGAACTCAGCAAATAACCTTTGTCGATCCAAACGATATCGCTTCTCACGAAGAGATCAGTCAGGGTAAACTGCTAGATGTGCAGGACTTCTGCCACCTTGTTCGACACAATGTAGGAGCTGTGAAGCTTTGTTTGAGAATTTGTGGCAACCAGCTCGTGAATATTCCTCGACCTGTTCCTTTGGGAGACGCCGAATATCCGATTCAGCCCGTACCAAGTATACCTCTCGAAGAGGTTCTTCGAATGCAGCATCTCACAACTCGTGATAGACTAGTTATTGCATATATACTTGCTAAATCTGTATGGCAGTACTACAACACTGACTGGCTAAATGCACTCTGGACCACAGACGACATACACTTTATGATGGAAGAAAGAGAGGACGACAAGCCTGAAGAACTCATACTCAACCCGGCTCGACCATATCTTGCTTTTGCCGATGATAAACATGGACATACGAGGACTTCTATCTCCGAGTCAGTCGACTGCTGCGTCAACCATCGATTCCCACGTATTCTGGCGTTGGGAGTTATCCTGGTAGAGCTTTTCCGCAAAGAACCTCGGCGCCGAGTACGTAACAACAGCACTTTGGACGCGTTCATGAACAATAGCCTGCTTGATAACTCGCGCACTATAAACAGAGACTCTTCTTGGCCTCATCTAGAGCTGGATCTGACATACCGGACTCACTTCAGGGATGCAGTTGCTGTCTGCTTTGACTGGAAAAGGCTTGAAAATATATCCAGCCATAGCCAAGATCTGACACAAGCATTCCACAGTAGGCGTGACTTCCTATGGAACGAAGTTGTGTCTCGTCTGCAACTGATCTGTCGAATTATGAAACTGATAGATGAGGATGGAGCTGTCATTCATGGCAGTTCTCACACTCTCGACCGTCTTGCTTTGTATCAGTCGTCGGTCCTCAACAGCAGAATCGATTCTGTAGCTCTGACTCCGCAATCACCGAGGCTAGTTGCCCTTGATTCGACCTCGAAGACTGAGGAACCAGCACATGACTGGGTCAACCAGATTCAAGGGTCCGGACTCGTGCGAACCTTGTTGCAAAGCGCTTCCAGGTCTGGCCCCAAACCAGTTCGTGTCGCCATATTAGATACAGGCTACAACGCGAAAAACGAGTTTTCACCGACGCCAGAAAACGACGTATCAAGTTCTCTCGCGACTTTCTTATGGAATCTGACACCGCTTTAGGCAGTGCTAGTGCTAGAGAAGGTCAAGATGCTGAGAATCATGGTACCGAGGTGCTCTCTCTGGCTCTACGTGTAGCCCCCTTCGCAGATTTCTATGTGGCACGGGTCTTTGAAAGTTCTGACGATGTGGCTTCGAGAATTAGTGAAATTGCAAAGGTGATTGCAAGACATGGATGACGGAAAGAGCACCAGCTAATGAGCACAGGCAATCAGATGGGCAGTCGAGGAGCACAACGTTGACATAATTAGTTTGTCTTTTGGGTTCACAAAGACCAGCCCGCTCATTCAGGCAGCGATCACAGAGGCATACTCCTACAAGAAGAGACAGATTCTGTTCTTTGCAGCCGCAGCGAATGAGGGTGCCAATGAACGAGAAATGTACCCAGCGAGGGACGACCACGTGTTCGCAATCAGAGCAACAGATCACCAAGGCAATTGGTGGAGATCAAACCCCCAGTTGATGTCAACAGAGGTTGGTCGTTCATGACGCTTGGTCAGGACGTGCCCACAATAAGCGGCAACGAGAACATGTCAGGAACCTCATACGCGACCCCGATCGCTGCTGGTCTCGCAGCCATGATACTGGCCTATGCTCGTCATCTGTTATACGCATCAACTCTAGGGAACGATCTGGAGCTTCTCCTTAGGCTTTCGAGACAAGACGGAATGAGAAAAGTTCTCAAAAAGCTGTCTATTGAGACGACTCCGCCGCGGTGCTCCTACCTCAACCCTATGAACTTCATACACAAAGAGGAAGATGAAAGACTGGCAATGCTAAGATATGCCGAATGAAGGAACTCTTCGCCTGGCTAGCATTGTCTCGAAATACTTCTCCCGGAGGGGGCGTTGTGTAATGTGCTGAGTTGTGCTTGTACATTATCAGACATGGACAATAGTTATACGTTGCATAAAGCTTGGACGCCCTGATCAGCCTAATCAAGCAGGCGTGACCCTTGCGGGAGTACGTGACTACCTGCCATCTTGACAAACCCTCAGAGATGCTGCGATCCATCAAATGCAGGCGCATCGGCGTGCAGATGAGGGTGATAAGCCAAACCATGGCTGTGCACTAGCTCTTCCGCTGCCTGCTTGTTGCATGAGCTTACGAGGCTGAGGGCGGCTATTCTGCCATGGACTGGTTATATGATGGCTCTTCCGCGCATGCAAACATGGCGTTCATCCTGACAGACTCTCAATTGTTCGCAAACGAGAACTCATCATGGCCATCTTGAAAACTTACCTTCTCGCCCCAAACTTCACAACTCACCTCGGTGCTAACGTTCAGCTCGGCTCCATCATCGCTAACCCGTTCCGTCCGAACAAGTGGATAGGAGAGATACCACTGCACATCGAGACAGACACTCACGTCGAATATGACCGGTCAATATCGCCTGGAATGTCAGCTTCCACGCACGTAAATATATTCGCCAAGTTCCTCGAGACAGCAAGCGGAACCATTGGCCTGCAGAAGGAAAAGAACATCCTTGACCACTATACAATGGACACTCTGGAGACCATCTCCTACAAACGCGATATCACTGACGACGAAGCTGCAGAGATGGTCAGAGCCAACAGCAAGCTTCAAGAGGTCATGAAGTCTGGCATACTCGGTTCTGTCCCGGTCTACATCGTCACCGGTCTGAAAGTTGCCAAGGGCTTCCATCTGACATCGGAGATCACAAAGAGCAAGGGAGCGAACATTGACGCAAATATCCCAGTCACCAACCAGGTTTCAGCTGGTGCTGACCTCAGCGTTTCACAAACCAAGACGCTCAGCGAGCAGTCCTCGACTGCCCAAGACATTGTATTTGCCTATCAACTACATGCAGTCGCGAACAGGGGCTATTGGAAAAAGAGACGGGTTGACATTGATATCTACGCTCCAAAAGCAGCTGCTCTTGGAAAAGACAATCGCACGACGGAAGATGCTGTTGCAGTTGTGGGGGCCACAACAGAAGATATCGAGGAAGCTCAATTCGACTATGGCGATGTGGCTGTTACTGAGCACCATGCATACGAGGGCGAGAGAGATTCACTGTGCATCTGCATTACCTTCAAGGATCAGGCCTGAGACGGCTCTCCGTAAGACCAACCTCCGGATAAAATCTCTTTGCAAAACACCGCTTTGTCTTGGAAAACATCGCGCGTCCATGTAGCTTACACTATCGACATAGAGCAACGATCGTGAGATGTGACGGCTCATAGCACATAGGAAGGAAGAAGCAGTCAACACCATTGCCCCCCTTCCCACCCCGTGAACAGTTACTAGATCAAGCTACAGGGCCACATCACCTATCAGTAACCACGACTCCCACGACTTCTCAGAAGGATCCCCATAACCTCAATCCTCCGAACCGAAGCCAACTTCCACAATCAAACCCCCGATATCGATTACTGACAAGAGGCTCAAACAATAGTATCAGCGGTCGAAGGATGTGGTTATGCACCTAGTCGAATCATTTGCCTATTATCTCCGTATTCTTATCTCTCAGGAACCGCGGAGGGGCTTGATTGTGGGGTGGTTGTGGAGGGGGTAGTAGCGGGACATGACTCTGTGCCAATCTGTCTTGACTCGTGGCACTTTGGTATGCTTTTGGCTTGAACTGGTTGGGCTGGTTTTGATATCGTTCCTTCCGAGGTCGGCGAGGGAAGGATAGTTTTGATAGTAGATGAATTGGAGGATCTCCGGTTGGTGAGTGAGGTGGTTTGAGTGGAAGGAGCTATACCATCCTCTTGCCATTTCTATCTCAACCACCAAAACTCAAGAAAGAACCTATGATTTCTTCCATTATCACATGTTGAGAGAGCAAGATCTTGACAGTCTCGAGATCCTGAGAACTGCTTTCCGCGCATAGCATCGGGTTAAACAGTTGCTGTACGTACGTTGGAGTATAAAATCCGGAAGGATCAATTGACTTTGTGCCTACCAGCTTCATCTCCGTTTTTGAGGCCACGTGCGATGAACCCTTGCATGATAAGGGAAGAAGGGACTTGGCACCCTGTTTGAGAACTATTGTACTTGGTGCCTTATCCTTCGGACCGAGAAGATTAGTTGCATCTGTAGAAGGCCACGAAACTTGGAAGATGGTTGAATGACGGATTAAATTGTATTGGAACAGAGATGGGGAGAAAGCTACAAGAAAACATGATGAGTGACAGATCGATCAAAGCAGAAATTTTGAAGCAAAGAAGTTGACATCCTGTTGGATGATCAAGGAGTTGGGTTGTGGTGTCAGAACAACCAAATATCTACAAATAGAAAGCTGGTGTATATCGTGGAAAAAGAAGTCTGATGTTCGACAGACCAGAAACAAAGAGCGCTAAATCTCGACAAAAGAAAAAAAAAGTCATCAAAGGCATTATCCTCAAACAGGCGAATCATTCTGACTCTGCCGTAACAACGCTTTCGAAGGCTTCCTCAGCGGTGAAGAAGACACAATCTCCGTCGTCGAGTTGGCCATACTGCGTCCACAATCGCTGCCACCGTCTCTACTACTGCTACTTCCTGGTTTGGGTTCTGCTGGCGCCCTTACAGCCCATGCCTCTGCCCATGCGGNTTCTTCCCCTGTCATGGAGTTGTTTTCGCGTTTCAAGCTCATAGTATCCTCGGATACGCAAATTTCCGTATGGCGATGGATGCCCTCGAAGTCATCTGGGTCCGGCATGAGTAGGTCCAAGTCGATTTCATCGTGGCGGGGTGTCTTTTTGCGGACGAGCGTTTCGACGCGTGTATGTGTTGTTGTGTAGGTGGGTGTGTATCCATTATACGGCGTGTATGTGTTTTTGCCGGAGAAAGAGCCCAAAGAGCGGAGTTTAAAGATTCGGCGGAGAAGAGCCCAGACGAAGGCGGCATTTGCTGTGAGGAGTGCTGTGCTGGATTCGCGGACATACCAAAATGTCCATTCTAGACCGAATGGTTGGTTGAAACTGTATACCTTGTTCAAAATCGCGCAGATGATGACAAAGGTTCCCAGCGAGAAAATACCAACAATAGCAATCTTCTTTCTCAGAGGCAGTCGTGTCTTGATAAACATAGGCAGAGCAACAGCCAATATCATAGCATCGGAGCTGATGTTGAAGACTGCATTGGTGATGAGATGATTCGTTGCAGCCGTGCATTGCGTGGTCGAAGGAACAGCCCAATACATGTTGAAAGGCCTGCACCAGACACCAAAGTAGAGGATTTCCATGATGACCCAGCTGATGCAAACGTAGAAGAAGAGCGCTGTGATCGCGATTCTTTCCCATCTGCCGACGGTGAGGCGACGGTAGAGCAATAACAGACATAGCTTTTCACACCAGACGGTCATGATCTGACATTGTTCCACGACAAGGACCAGTTTCGAGCCATATGAACGATCGTGTATTTGGTCGGGAGTGAGGCTGTTGACGTCGAACCCTGGCGGTAATAGATTGGAGTCGGATTGAGCGACAATGTTGATGGTGACAATTAATGTAGTGTAGAAACACATAGCGACGATGGTAATATAGTCATCGGCTTGGAAGCGTCTGATCGTGCCGAGACTCTGGTACCTCGAGATNNCCTGGCATACAGTCAGAATTGTATTGAAGATGACAAAAGGTCACAAGGGCTCAAATCACATTCGGCAAATGACACAAATCACCACAAAAGTCCACCATATCCACGTCTCTGCTTTTAGAGGTACCATAGTGGAGGTTGATTGACGAAGAATAAATGGCGTGAGGAAGGCGACTTCAGGGATATTCCTGAGGCGAAAGTGTAGTCCCTGCCTGTTGCTCCTTGGTCATACCGCGGCTACCACAATACCAGAGTTGAAGAAAAGGGCGGTGGTCAGCAACCGCTCAGACAGCGACAAGATGTCAGAAAAAAAAAGAGTGAGACGTGAGATTATGCGAGTGCAAAGTGGGAGCTGGAGGATTATCAACTGCCTGGACGGGACTGCAGAGCTTATTCCTACCTCAGTCCTAATTCGAGAAGGACTCTAGCGTCACGCGTATCCACAGCGCCCGGTAGAGACGTACATCCGCTCAACGGGGACCTTACAGAGAGGCTCTCGCCACCTGACGTGCGATAAGAACATGGTTGGCTTTCGCCAAGCACATCTAGCTTGTTGTATATCACCTGAAGTCGCTCCCTGGTCCTCTTCGAGCGGACTATCGCGAGAAAGCGTCCACGCCTGTTGGAAAACTCGTCTGCAGCAGCGACAAAAGTCAGCATGCATAGGTATTGTCATTGATCTGCAATGCAGCCCAGTCGATCGACTCCATCCTGCTTGAGATGCTGGGCGTTGAGTTTGAGGGCCCAGCACTTGGGAAAAGAGGGCAAGCACAGGCGGCACACCCCAGGTCCGCGGCCGAGAGGATGCGTGAACAAGGTCCGAGAACGGCGCATCTTGCCAAGCTGCGGCTTACGCCCCAGACCAGAATCGCATCCTCTATGATATACAATATCCGAATCAATACGATAGAAGAGCAGTTCCCTCATCGACAATGACAGATTCTCCAAACCGTTGTTGTTGTGGTAGTCATCACGCACCGGCCGGGGCGACTTCTCCAGTGTCCTCAAAGCGGGTGCGGCTCGCCCAAACCGTTGTGACGTGATCTATCAGGATTTGGTCAGCGTGACTGGAAATATTCATCTCGTCGCGTCCGAGCCAGAGACACAAATGGCTTGATTGACTCGTATTTTGGCACATGTGAAAAGAGATAAACCAGTTGTCCAAACAAGCCACTCATAATTTTTGCGAATCCTTCGTGCTGGATGCAAGAGTCAGGGACAGGGTTGCTTTGCCCCGGATTGTTCTTGGTGCGCATTTCGAGGGACGAAACGGCAACCGCGAGACACTGCTGCAAGGAAGAAACCTAGAAACAACTGGAGCCCTAATCGCATGCAACATGCCTTCTCTGAAACCGCCTCCGAAAGTAAGACGATAATGAAAGTGATATGATCATAACGCCCAGTGTGTGGAAATCTTCAGGCCCGGCCAGACGCCGTGCAAGTGTTTGTACCAAAGTGGTAATCCCAGAGCCCCCATTCACGCCATCGCTTTAATGCAGATATGCCCTCTTCTTCCGTTGCCTTAGGTCTACTTGACACGGTCGATGTAATCTTGAGTGGGCTGCTCGTACTCCTGAGATAGGTAGTTGCCTGCGTTCTTGCTGAGCCATTGAGTCATCTTGTGCAGCTCCTCGCGAAGACGGCTCACGGCCTGAGAGTCCATGTTGGTATGGGCAATCAAATCCGGCATGGAGACTGGAATATTTGTTAGTAAAGCTAAGGACAACGCGACAAACGAGACTTACCAAACAAACGGCACAGATGTTCTACTCCGTAGATGTCAGTGGGAAGTTTGCCGGTCAAGTCTCCAGTGCCCTTGTTAAGCTGAGCATGGATGTCGGACCACTGAGGACGCTCAAAGCGGTATAGCAAGATGCGTCCGATGCTCTTGTTGAAGTACTCCTTGACACCAGCAATCACCTCCTCGAGGATGTCTGCTTCGGCACTGCCTTCTCTGCGCTTGGCGCCCTCAGATGCAGAATAGTCTGCAAGGAATTGTGCTACTGGAGTTTTCGAAGGAAGCGGAACCAGTCTGTTCTCTCTGGTCACCTTCTCCCAATCATCGACGAGAATTGCCTTGAGACTGTCGGGCATGAAGATCTTGATTGAAGGCCGACGAAGAAATTCGTCCTCCTGTTTTCGTGGTTAGTGGATATCCTGGGAATATTTTTGCGACGCAACGAAAATCAAGCCGGTCAAGATCAAACAGACGTTGGCAGATCCACTGCTGGCTCAAAGAACGTCGGGCTGTGGTGCAAACAAGTTCGTGTTCGGGTTTATCTGGCGAGGGCAGACCTCCACACCACTCAACCACGCAAAATTCGAACAAATACGCAGACACATCTGAAGAGATTCACTGACCTTGTCAATTCCTTCGTACTCTCTTCCGCGTTTGGTTCCGCGAGTTGGCGCTGTAGGAGCTGTCCTTTCCTCGCTGCCTCTAGCAGAGCCAGTGTTGAGATCACGCTTTCTGGTCACGGTCGCCGTCATTGGTTTTGCTGCGGCTCTGCGTTGTGCGTTCATTTCTTGCCTCAAGTTCTTTGAGAGTTCAAGATTCTCGTCGTTGTACTTGCGCAGGCGATCTTGAGGGACCCAGTCATCCCACCTATAAGAAAATTAGCACAATCCAGGTCGGCAAACGCCCGAATCAGAATATTTTTCGACGATAAAGAGAGCTCTAGACGACTAAACTGTGATGAGTATGCAGGAGGTTATTCAGACCGTCCGTGCGATGGAATGAAGATGGAATATGTGGAGATAGAGATGGTGTTGTGGGTTCGGGATGCCGAAAGGGCCACAACAGGAGACATTTTGCTGTGCAGAGCGGTGATGAATGTTTGTAGACGTCGCAAACTCACGTGTTCTTCCAGCCCTTGTAATGGACCTTGTACTCGTAGGGGGGATTTCTTGTCATTTTGATCAGTGTGTCGCGAGTCGAGCACCTTTGCTTCGTAGAGCAATTCGTGATGGAAGCAGAGCGCCTTTTCGTCCTTGCCATACATGGGTCCTGGTGCAGCTGGCGCCATGTTGGGGTATGAGAGTGAATGAGTTAGTCCGGTGGCGATATTATTATTGTTGAATGAGAATTAAATAGGATCGAATCTCGAAGTTGGTCGGTGGATGTTTGATGGAAGTGGCTCTGGAGATTCAATCAAGGAGGAATCTGTGGAAGCGTGTCAAAGCTCGGACCTCCGCGTTCAAGTCTGACTCTCCTTCCAACTTCTAACCGTCCACAGTGCACTTGTTTGCCAGCGTTGTGTAATCTGGATCGAAGGTCTGATTGAGCAGTGAGTATGCATAGCGTGAACAGGTGATCTTAATGGTGAAAGAAGATCGTCCAAAATTATGGCGGCTATACATTTTCTAGATATTCTCATGAAACACCTCTGTGAACAACACCTCCGCCCAATATTAACATTCTCGTCGCTCTCATTCTACTCTAGTTTAATCTTAATATCAAAGACCCTTTCAAGAAGGCCCAGGAAGATTGACAGCATCAACGCTACTGGTGGTAGAGACAAAAAGATGTGCATTACATGAGCAAATCTCATGATCCAGACGATTGCAGTGCGCACTGCATGATCCATCAAGTTCAGCTGAGGCGCTTTGCCTCGCGAGAAGGTCGAGTCTTTGAACTCAAACGGCAGAGTCGCCCCTAGATGATCGATTGCGACCTTGAGGCCACTGCTGAAGCCGTCTTCGTGGAAGCCGTACTTTGTCCAAGCTCCGCAGTAACTGATCCCTGATGTGTTCTGAATCTCATTCAGCCTATTCTGCGACCGTACGGCTGCTGGCGTGTACAGAGGGTGACGGTATACAAATTTGCCTTGAGTACGTTCCGGCGCAGGCTCATGAGGAGGGTTCATCGTGACAAGTACAGGACCGAACTTGGATTCCGGTATATGCTGCAGCAAATTCATCCAGTATGTCAGACTTACACCAGCTGGGTGTTTGAGCTTGGATGGTGCGGAGGTCGTTAGATAATTCCATGCTGTGAAGACCGGTCTTCTCAATGGCATCAACGAGAGGTCAGAATGAAGATACGCGATGTTCTCAGAAGTCTGGAATGCACCTAGAATCTCTTGTTCCTTTTCCGATGGTGGCACTCTCGACTTTGCGGCGAGAAGAGGCAGGATGTCATCTCCATGGCAAGCCATGATCACATGGTCGAAAGTTGACGATTCCTGAGTGCCACTCAACGGATTTTTGTAGCTGACTTCGACCACAGACTTGCCATTCTGGTTCATCCTCGTGACACCAGTGATCGGAGTCGAGGTGTGGAAATGGAACCTCTTCTTGTCAGAGCTGCGCACGATCGCATCGATGTACTTCTGAGACCCATCCTTGATGGTCAGCCAAGCAGGTCGTGCGGCAATGGTTGACAGCAGATGATGGTTCCACATGAAGCGAACAAGAGTCAATAAAGGGAACTCCAGACTGGTCTTATCTGGAGATGTGCTCCATACTGCTGCAGTCATGGGAATGAGATAGTCATCCTTGAAGGCTTGAGAGTAGCCTTGTTCCTCCAAATAGTGACCAACGGTCTGATCAGTGCGTGAAGAGTCGTCCTCAGTAAGTAGATCAAGAGCAAACTGGTTGAAACGAATGATATCGAAGATCATGCGCCACATCTTAGGCTTGAAGATGTTTTCCCTCTGAGCGAAAATGCCTTCGCCAGAACCAGACCATTCGAATTCACCATGGTTGCGCGAAACACTGAAGGTCATCAAGGTGGGAACAATGTCTACCTTGACGTGATTCAGGAAGCGAATCAAGTTCGCTGATCATAGTCAGTGGGTTGGTATGGACTAAAACGATAGCTAGGACGAACGGTATGTGGCAGAGTTCATGACAATGAAGCCAGTATCAACAGGCGTAGAGTGTTGGCCATGTGTAAATGTCTGTGTATTTGTGTGACCTCCTAGGCGATCCGACTTTTCAAAGATGTGAACCTCATGGTCAGTGTTTTGCAATGCCCAGGCTGCACCCAGACCAGCACATCCACTGCCAACGATAGCCACGCGTTTCTTCTCTGTTGGAAGCATTGAACAGGAGATGTGAAGCAGTACAAGCAACACGACTTGAGGACGAAGGAAAGGTCAAGTCTACAAGGTAGATGTAGAGGAAGGTTTGGCAGGGCCAGTCAAACTGAACACGGGGACTCGGGGACGACGCATTTCGATAAGAGTCGGACGTGAGGCGTTAAATCTTAAGCGTCATCGAGGAAGCACTGGCCCACCAAGGATGCATCCTCCAGCCAGCAAGGTTGTGTCAAGATGGAGACTCATGACTGGAGCGCTGCTCTCGCTCTGTGGACTCTGGGCGACATGGATCACTGGAAGCTGCGATGAAGCTGCAATCCGAACACGGCAGGATTGAATTGCCGCAAACACCTGAGATGACAGAAGAAAGAAAGAACGAAGTGGTCTGAGCAACCGAGGAAAGTGGTCCGAGCTTGGCGTGTCGGTGGCCGCGGTCAACATCATCGTCCCTTCCCCGACTCGAAGCACATGAAAGAGCAGAAGACAGACACAACAAGACTGAAACCAGCCGAAACACTCTACATCTTGTCGCAGGAAGCCAGACTTGCTGACAACAACTTTCCATCCACCTCTCACTCACACGCACGTCGAGCGCTCCAATACCCTCCGCAGTCTACAACAGATAGACCCTATCCCAGACATCATGGCCAACCCAATGGATAGTGACGCTGGATCCGAACTCTTCAACAACTATGAAGCTGAACTCAAGCTCGTCCAAGCCGATCTGAACCAGAAACTCGACCAGCTGCCCGAACTCGCCGGAGAGGAGCGCAAGGCTGCCATCGGCCGAGCACAACGTTCCTTGGAGGAGGCCACCGAGATCGTGAGTTGTCTTTAGACTGAACGGCACATCTTCCTCTGACCCTTTTCTCACAGNCTGGACTCAATGCGATTGGAAAAGGAAAACCTGCCCGCAAACCAAAAGACCAAGACGAACCAGCGCTTCCGCAACTACACACACGACATCGACATGGCCAAGCAGAAACTCAAGGGCCTGTCCAGCGACAAGTCCGCTCTCTTCGGAAGACGCTACACCGACAACCCTACCAGCGACGATCAGCTTGAGCAAAGACAACAACTCCTGTCAGGCACCGACAGACTCGACCGTTCGAGCGGCCGCCTACGCGAAAGTCAGCGCATTGCTCTCGAAACCGAAGACATTGGTCGCAATACTCTTGCCGACTTGGCCAGACAACGAGAGGTCATTGAGCACTCTAGGGATGTGCTCCTTGAGGGTGAGGGCTACACCGACAGGAGCAACAAGACATTGAAGCAGATGGCTCGTAGGTAATGCTGATCCATCTCCAACAAACACCCATACGACAACGGTCGACTGACTCCTTTCAGAATGGCTACGAATAAGATAATCACCATCGCCATCATCACTGTTCTGGTTCTCCTGATTCTTGCTGTCATCATCAGCAAGTTCAGATAGACGACCATTTGCCAACACGATACCACTTCTACTTTCTTGTCATTACTTTCCTATGTTTCTTCCTTTCTTTCTCGGCGCACATGGAGTTCGAGCGGCAGGCCTCAGGTTTCAATGGTTTGATCTGTCAATTATCAAGGTCTACCCCGATTCAAGACCACATAATACAGTATTCTCTTACTCTCGGGTGACGATTCAACTACAGCTTGGCCTGCTTGACGTACTTGGTCAAGAAACCAACAACCGCAGTATCCACCTCTCTAGCTTTGGTGTAGTTCAGGTAGTGAGGTCCGCCTTCGATGACTTGCAGCGTTGCATCAGGACTGTTGACGAAGAGTTTAATCTCCTCCTCAGCATTGGCCACACTGTACACCACATCCTGATCTCCATGCAGCCATAACACCGGGACTCGCACATCAAATAATCTACCATACAGACCGTCACGGTCGCGCAAGTTGGTAGCGCACATTCTGGCGCGTCTGCGGCCGTCATCACCACCCCAGTTCTTCTGGATAGCCTTGACCCAGAATTCTCCATCTTCGGCTGGGATATCCTTGCCAAATCCAGAAGCGTTCATGAAATGGCAGAACTCTTCTGGAGGGGTAAAGTCTGGTGTACTTTCGTTGGTTGTCCAGCCGTCGATTATTGGAGTGAGGCTTTGCTTTGCGTCCCAGCAGCCGAGTTTTACTGTTCGCTCGTTTTCTGTGTCCATTGATGTGCCGAGAGGTATTATACCAGCGACCTGAACAGTTTTGCCATCAATAACTTTGATCTTTGTCGAGTGTTTTTGGAGTGACTTACCCTNTTCAGGTGCCAACAATGCCATTCTCACCGTCTGCCATCCACCTTGGCTGGTACCCAATACGAAAATTCTGCCCTTGATCTCCAATTTGTCCAAGACTTGCAAGTTCATAATCGCACTGTCCCAATATGTGAAGTTTTCAATCTTTGCTCTGGTCTGGCCATGACCTAGCAATTCAATTGCCAGCAAGTTGACCAGTCTATTGAGCTCTTCGTTCTGGTACTGGTGTCTGTAGAGGTCTGCGCCTGTGCCAAAGGAGTTGCAGAGCACGAGGGTAGGCTTCGAGGGGTCATAAGGGCGAGGCATGTACGTGCTAGCGTCAATGCCACCTAGATGAGGCACTTGTATGATTTTGGTGGTAACTGGTGTAATGGTCATTTTGGCTGGTGGTTTGGGTGTTCTTGTCAGAAGATGAGATGTAGAGAAGATGCCAGTTTTGTACTTGTCTTATATGATCGACTGATGACACTAGTATCGGTGTGCCCTCTTATGATGATGTTCTTTCCCGCTCTCCACCCTGTATGCGAGCTCACGGTGACCTTGATGAGAATGTTCAACCGAGGTTGTCGAACTTGATCCGAGCGTCTGCTTGGAACCACACTTGCGACGCGCCAACTCACTCCCCTTGGCAACTGTAACACCAGCTCAATCGATTGTTTGCTGCTTCGCCTCGTGATCAATCCTCTTCGCTCACATATGAGGGCATCGCTGCGCCGTCGTGGAGCTTGGCTCAATGTTACCTGTCTTCCTCGCATAGCGACACCTCAATTGGATGCTGTATGATTGATCAGCTGCAATTCGACTGCAGATCGTCCTCTCTACATGATATACAGACCTCAACTAATGGCACCCTCTACCTTCTATGCCAGTGGCTTCAATGCTTTCGGTCAACTCTCTTCCGAGTTAGACAAAGACTTGTCCGAACTCACTGAGCTCGTTACATTCGAGGACGCTGACAACACCAATCTTCTTTTCGCTGGTTGGAGCGAGACGACCTTCTACCAACATGGCATTGGCAAGGAAAGCGGTCGGATCATGAGACTTGGTAGTACCAAGATCGCTCAGGAGGCACCTTTACCTGATCTGGTCACCGGGTTCGGAGACCACAATGGTCTTCTTGGTGTGCTCAGTCGCAAAGGTGGTGTTGCGTTTACCGAAGAGAATCAGGTCGAAGCGCACACAGTATCAGCAGACTCGCTCTCGGACGACGAGGCGCCGGGTATCTCACACTTGGCCGTAGCAGGCAATGGCCATGTTGCTGTTGTTCTCGCATCTGCCAGTTCTCCTCGAAACAGCATCCTAGAGTTCACGTCTTTCGACAAGTTTCGCCAATGGTTCGACGACGAAGTCAATGAGCTTCATGGACCCAGCTTCAGTCATATCGTTCCAGGACGCGTAACCCAGTCGGTCGCCAATGTAACAGGTTTCGTGTGTCTGACGCAGGATGGCAATGTCTATACCTGGGGAGATGCAAGACACAGCTCCCTGGGCCGCAGCGTTGCCGAGACGGAAGCCAAAAGTCCAGGTCTTGTGGAATCTCTTGCTGGCATCCAAATCAAGAAAGTTGCGTCTGATGGCTGGATGACCGCAACATTGTCGCAAGATGGTGCGGTGTATCTCTTCGGTACAGGGACACCTGGAACTCAACATTCGCTCTCCTGTCTGGCTGAACTGGACTCGATGGGAGCAGCACTGGTCGATATTGAGGAGAAGGGAGAGCCTCTGGACTTCCTGGATGTTGCCGTGGGCGATGGACATGTCTTGCTGCTGGCTCAGGACGGGCGTGTATTCGCTGCTGGTGACAACCGCAATGGTCAACTAGGCCTTGGACCGAAGGCCTCGAGTTATATCAAAGACTGGCGAGAAGTCATCATGCCAGATCAACGTCGCTGCGTTGCCATATTTGCGGGTCCAAAATCATCGTTCTTCCAGGTCGCTGAGAGTTGAGTGACTTGAGATCAGAAGCTACTTGGAATGGCTATCAAGAAAGCATACGCGTCTCACATGGTCTGCCTCTCTTCGCTTAAATTCCGACCACAACACGTCGTCATCAAATTTCCAGGTCGCTGGTATTGATGCCAAGGCGGGCGGCGCGCGTGGTGTGGATTTGCAAAATACGGCTCTGTCTATCACCGACTCACTGCGACATCTTCAATATCCCGCCGGCGTTCTTTTACCTTGAAGCTTATGGATACTGACGAGTTTGGACACTTCCTTTTGCACATGCAAATGCACACGCGAGAGCGGACCATACAAACCACCACCAGTACGCACCTACCATCATGGCCAACACTGGCAGCCACGTGCGCAACTGTATTGTTTGCATGAAAGACCAGCCTTTGGACTCTTTTCCTGACATCAGCAATGACACTCGCCACCAGCATGGCGCTAACACCTGCCGCACATGTTTCAACAGATACCTCATCCAGCAAGTCGATGAGGGCCAGGCTCGCGCTAAATGTGCTGAGTGCCAGGAACTCCTACGCCATGCACAGGTTAAGATGATCGTCTCCAAAACCACTCTTTTGGAGTATGACAAGGTCCTGCTCAAGATATTCGTTGAAGAGGACGAAGACTTCTACTACTGCGTAAGTGTTTCAAGACTCGCGAGGCTGACATCCCAGAAGTGTCGGGTCTTCTACTTCGGAGGAATACTGCTGACTATATTCGTCTGCAGATGTCGGCCAAATGCAAGTCGGGTCAGATCCATATTGGCGGCGAAGATATGCCTATCTTCTGCTGCAAGGTCTGCGACCATAAGCAATGCATGGCCTGCGAAATTCCATGGCACGAGGGCGAGACGTGCGACCAATACCAGGCCCGCCACGACGATGGAATCATACAGACCGAAGCCCTCATCCGTCAGACATCCAAGATCTGCCCCGGAGGCTGTGGTACTCGAATTGAGCGCAATGGAGGCTGCCCCCACATGCTCTGTAAGTTTCTATATACTCAACACATGAGCTCGACTCTATGTATACCGTGGCTAACAGATGCTGTCTTAGGCAGAAGATGCCAGCACGAATTCTGCTGGCTCTGCCTCGGCGACTGGGCTCCCCATCAGGCACAGGGAAGATGCGCCGATTCTGTCTCTGGTATCCCCGAGGCCGACTTCTACTCCGCCGAGATTCAGGCGCGTCAAGATATGCGTCAAGCTCGCCAGAACGTCCGCGACTTCGACGAGGAGCAGGCCGAGGCCGTCATCGCATCTACCACAAAGCCCTGCCCCAAGTGCAAAGTCCGCATCGAAATCGACGGCGGCTGCGACCACATGACTTGCGCCCAGTGTTCGTACGAGTTCTGCTTTGAATGCCTCGCCGACTACAAGAAGATCCTCAAGCATGACAATCGTCGTCATAAGCGCAGCTGCGTGTACTTTTCTGGTCAAGCCCACGGCCGTGTCATGCCTCTCAAGACCGGCATCGACGTCGACGACGACGACTTACTCTCGTCGATCGCCACGACGAAGCACCGCGCCACTGTTCGCAAGTCGACAGTGAAGGAAAAGAAGCCTGTCGGCGTCACAAAGAAGAAGGTCGTCGTCGCGTCGCCCGTCGCGTCGCCCGTCGTTCGTCGTGGCACTCGCACCGGTTTGCGCAGCTCGACGGCTGCAGTGAGCGGTCCCGTCACTCGCTCGCAGACTGCCGCTCGTAGATAGATTTCTGGTTTGGCTTCACTGTTTTCGTTTCTTTGATACCCCCTCTTCACTTTTTTGTGGTATAATGAATCAATGGATGATGATGGTTTTTGCACTTTGTGGTTTTCACTTGATATGTGATATGTTTGGTTCTCATTCAGTTTTGATTCAGTTTTCGATCACTCCTCATCCAGTTCTCGTTCAGTTCATTGTTCAGTTTTCCCTCGCGTATGATAATGTCTATTTTTAGTTTTCCCTTTCTTCCCTCCCCAACTATATAGAACATCTTTCGATACTCTATAAAAAATGCAGGATAGTTTACGAGATCAAACGATATCCGGTGAGATTTTGGTTTTTCGTGGCTCTCTCTGGACATATCTCTAATTACGAATACTATTGTGCATTTTTATAGTGTACTAAGTAGAGAGCATGTCCAGTGAGATGTAGTATTCTATCAGCATTCTCTGGACAGTAGCTGCCAGTCAGATGTTATTGTATATCTTAATGGTATACTAAAGGGTGGGTGGTGGGTATGGAGAGCGACCTATAATGATACGATTGCGTATCTCTACAGAAACACGCTGGACAAAGATACTACTATGCATCTTATAGCATCAAAAAACCGAGGCCTTTCCTGTGAGATTCGGTATTTTGATTACTCTCTGTGGACATTTCTCTATCTCGTGATATGTTTGTACATTTTTATAGTGGTATATACTACCTTGCTTTGCTGTGAGATAGAGACCAAGACCGATATACTCCTCTTGCCACCGACACTCTCCATAGACAGTTTGCCCGACATGATAGGTGTAGAAATGCAAGATATCTTCTAGATATAGGACAATGTCCACTGAGAGCTATGGATTTCAAAGTATTTCGATGGGACTCATAATAATATCAGACTACTTTCTACATTTTGACAACGAAATATTGGTCTACCTGTGTTAGTGGAGACATTTCCATATCACCAACACTCTACTCTCGGGTTCCTTGCTCTCAGTCTTATCTCTTACTACAACAGAGTGCAAAATTCAAGCTATAGAAATGCATGAAAGTTTTGGAAACTGGGTATAGCTGGTGAGATGCTCTAAGTGTTATGCGGTAAAGGCTCTCGATGGAATTGTCCAGTGTTTAGGAAACATTCTTGTGTTTTGATAGGTATGCTTTAAGCAGTCGATATTCTCGGGAGCATGATACTCGGATTTGGCAAAAAGACCGAATGTTGTAAGTGTAACCCTGGCTCTGTTTGCTCTATGTCTGCCATGTCCGTTGACGTATAAATCCGCTTTCAACTCTGATGTTTCTATGAAACTGAAGTCGTGCAAGACCATTGGTACTCGAAACAGTGTGAGCAAGTAGCATGTTGCCACTGCAACGTGATATATCGAATCAAGAACAAAATCGCAAGCTTCAGGTCCGTTGGCCAACAACAGAACATGTGTTTTCAGCCAGAGGGATCTCCCAATTCCAACCGGATTGCAACGGATCCAAATTGCATAGCCACTGCATCCTTCGATATCTTCCGGCCACGAAACAAGAGATGAGAGAAATATATCGCGCGCGTGCGGTTTCTGCAATCAGAATGCAAGCGGTCAGCGATCAGCAACAACATGCGGGTTTGTGGGGAGAGCTGTTTTTGTGAGAAGCCAGCTGCACGTCTTGAATATTTCTCCTTTTTCTCTCTTTTTCCTTTGCAGCAATTCAATATACATCATGAGAAACAGTCATCAAGCATCCAAATGCTTGCGGAATGATGTGTCTATTGTTTGAGATATCGTTGTTGCAAAGGGCGATACAGTAATGTTCTTCTGTAAACATCAACCAGGCAGGAACGAACGACTGGTCCCCGCCCCCAAACAGTGGTTCGCAGGGTGTCGTGCTGTGCGAGATTTTTGGTCCTTCCTTTCTCCTCTCTCTCCTTGCATAGTCACCACGCGGGTGCAACAGACAAGAAAGCAGCTGGACACATCAATGAAAACGGTGCTGGCTGATAATAATTCGCGCATCGCAAGCAAAGCAAAAGCAGCCAGCCCAACAAACAAAGGCGCGGGCAAAATAATCGCGCAATGCATACCACGTGAAAAGGGCCATTTTACAAGATTGGTAGGAGGTTTTGGAAGGATGAAAGAGGGTTCTCAAGACACATACATTGGTGAGATTTTGCCAAAGATGGATTGGGTCAGAGGATTTTCCTCGTTTCTGTTGTGGGATTTGTGTGTGTGGTCCTTTTGATGTACCAAGAGGATAAGAGGCACGGTAAGAATAGTCATATATCCTTTTCTTCCATTGTTTTGTCGACTCTCTTTTCATTCTTACTCTCCTATCCCTTGTGTTCTCAGAGTTCTTCGAGTCTATCGCTCTGACAGCGACTTTGTTTGCGTCTTTCTTGCGTAGATATCTTGGTAGAGGGTTTGCAGCCATGTCTTCTAACAATCAAGAGGTGGAACTGGCCGAGCANAAAGTCCCTCGCATCACCTATGCCGACGATGTGGAAATCCGTCCTCGCACTGCGGCAAGACCATCACGTCGCTTGTCTACAGACTCGATGTCAATTCGTTCAATATCGCGCCAGAGATCTGTTGACCCGTCGCTGGTCCTGCCGCCTCAGTTCAGAACTTTGTGAGTAAACCTGCTTGCCACGTGCTTTTGATGGTTTACCCATGGCTGACGAGTAATCAAGNNGTCCTTCGATGTTGAGCAGAGCAAGGCGAGAGATGATGCTCCGGTCAAGGGTGCGCTGAAAGGAATAGAGAAGGGTTCAAATGGTAAGTGCTGTGCAATATTTGCGTTGACAACATCGATACTGAGTAGCCTCAACNNAGACTTTAGCACCTACGACTTGCACACCATTCCGATCGAAGAAGTATTCGAGCGCTTCTCGAGTTCGCCTACGAGTGGTCTGGGTATTAACCAAGCCATGGTCCTGTTAAGAGATGTCGGGCTCAACAAGCTTACTGCACCACCATCCAACTGGCTTATGAAAACGGTGACATACCTATTCGGAGGCTTTGGCTCCATCTTGTTCGTTGCAGCCATCATGGTGTTTGTTGCATGGAAGCCTCTCGGTGACCCTCCTGCGCTTGCCAACCTTGCGCTTGCCATTGTTTTGGTATTGGTGTGGCTCATTCAGGCGGCTTTCAGCTTCTGGCAGGACTTCTCAAGCGGTCGTGTCATGGCATCGATCAACACTATGCTTCCCGACCAAGCAATGGTTCTCAGAGAAGGTAATTGGTCCAGTGTTGAAGGTATCAAACTTGTTCCTGGCGATGTCCTCAAGATTGGCATGGGCAACAAGGTACCGGCGGATGTGAGATTCTTTGACGTCTCTTCAGATGCTCGTTTAGATCGCTCCATCTTGACTGGTGAGGTAAAGCCTCTGGTTGCGACTGTCAAGTCGACAGACACGAACTTCCTGGAGAGTGCAAACATTGGTCTTGCCGGAACAAACTGCACCACTGGTACCTTGTACGGTGTCATCATCAGCACAGGTGACAACACTGTCTTCGGAAAGGTATACCGCTCTCAACCACAAGACTGACCGCAGTGCTGACTCGTCCCANNGACTGCAAGACTTACCAGTCACGCCAAACAAGGTCTCACTCCACTCCAGAAAGAAATTCTTATCTTTGTCGGCATCATTACTGCCTTGATGGTCTCCATGATTCTCCTCGTCATCATCGTTTGGGCAGCTTGGCTCCGCAAAGACTACCCCGATTGGATAAACGTTCCCACTCTGATCGTCGATTGTGTATCCATCACAGTCGCATTCATCCCAGAAGGTCTGCCGATTGCTGTCACTGCCAGTCTGACTATCACGGCTGGTATCATGAAGAAGAACAAGATCTTGGCAAAGTCGTTGAAGACTGTCGAGACGCTTGGAGCCGTCAATGTCATCTGCTCAGACAAGACTGGAACGATCACGAAGAATGAGATGACTGTTACCGATTTCTGCATCGGCTACCATCCTCATCCAGTAATCAAGGCTGCTGATATGGTTGATCAATCCCCAACAGTGGCTCGATTGGCCATGCTCAGTGGTGTCTGCAACGCCGGCGAGTTCGATGTCAGCACTAGAGACAAGCCAATCGCCGAACGCAAGGTCCATGGAGATGCCACAGACAGAGCAGTGCTCATGTTCGCCGAGAGCATCATGCCCACAGCACGACTCCGTAGTCTGTGGCGTACGGTCTATCGCATCGACTTCAACTCGAAGAACAAGTTTATGGTTAACGTTTGCCAAAACGATAATGATCCTCAACAAGGTATCCTTCTCACCATCAAGGGAGCCCCGGACGTACTCATCGGCAAATGTTCCACGTACATAGACCAGAACGGGGACATCCAAGAGCTTGGCAACGAAGGTCGCTCGGTGATCGAAACCATCAAGAACAGGTGGTCGTCTCAAGGCAAGCGCGTAATCTTACTTGCTCAGAAGCCACTGAGCCAAGTGAAACTCAACTCGCAAGAGCAACCGCAAGTTTATGAGGAGTACATCATGGGCAATGTCACATCTGACATGACTCTCGTTGGCCTTGTTGCCATTGTCGATCCTCCAAGACCAGAGATGTCAGAAGTGGTCAGAACTTTGAAGGGTGCCGGTATCCGCATTTTCATGGTGACCGGTGACTTCAAGCTCACGGCCAAAGCCATCGCTTCTGAGTGTGGAATCGTTAGTCAGGAGGCCAATGATATTCATGCTTTGGACTACGACGGTAGCTTGCACGATTCTAACGGATCCAAGGAAGGACATGCTAATTTCAGCGAATCCACCAAATCGATCGTACTTAGTGGATCTGAGATCCGAAACCTGGAGGAAGATCAATGGGACCGACTTTGTCAATACCAAGAGGCCGTGTTCGCTCGCTGTGTTCCTGAGTAAGATGCCATTGCTATTTCTTTGTGAGATCATGCTAATTGTACTTTCGCTTTAGGNGACAAGTTGATCATTGTCAAGAAGTTGCAGCAGAGAGGCTTGATCACGGCAATGACTGGCGATGGTGTCAACGATGCACCGTCACTCAAGGCCGCGGATGTCGGTATCGCCATAGGGTCAGGTTCGACCATTGCCATCGAAGCAGCCGACCTTGTACTCTTGGATTCGTTTGCGGCCATCGTAGAAGCCGTCAGATACGGTCGTGTGGCTTACGACAACCTCCGAAAGACGATTTCATACCTCTTACCTGCAGGCTCTTTCTCAGAGTTTTGGCCAGTTCTGACGAATGTTGTCTTTGGTCTGCCGCAGATTCTCTCGTCCTTCCTCATGATCATCATCTGCTGCTTCACAGATTGCGCCGCCGGTGTTACTCTCGCATATGAGGCCCCTGAAGCTGACGTCTTGAACCGACCTCCCCGCTCCAAGAAGGACAGATTGGTTGATTGGAAACTGATTCTGCATTCATATGCCTTCATCGGTCTGTTTGAGACAACTCTCTCTTTCACAGTGAGTTACTGGTTCGCTCAGTGCAAGGGGCTGTTTTTCTCAGATCTGTGGTTCGGCTTTGGCAAAACACCCGACGGCATGAGTGATGATACCAAGAACAATATCCTCAACATCGCGTCGTCGATCTATTTCGTCAACTTGGTCGTAATGTAAGCAAGCATCGTGTCCTTGTTCAAAGCAGGAAGCTAACTTCTTCAGNNGCAATGGTTCAACCTGATGAGTGTACGCACCCGTCGACTGTCGCTCATCAACCATGCGCCTTGGCGAAACCCTTATCTGTTGCCTGCCATCGTCTTCGCAATGACTATCGCCATCTTCTTCCTGTATGTGCCCAAGTTTCACAGCGTTCTCGACACTGCAGTTGTCCCAGTCGAGTATTGGTTCTTGCCCTTCGCTTTCGGAATTGGCTTACTGTTGTTCGACGAGACCAGGAAGTTGCTCGTAAGAAAATACCCTGGGAGTATCCTTGCCAAGATGGCGTGGTAGAGGCATTTTCGTGGGTTGATGGAGGGACAACATTGGAGGATAGACCCCCTGTAGATACTGCTGTTGTAGAGCGCCCGTGTGTTGATCCTTTCTACCTTTGCCTATGTACAGGGCCACGACGAATGCATGAACATCCTCTTGTCGATACTGTTCACCGGACTCCGAATACTCTGACGACAGCACCTAGGGATGTGTATGTCCCTATGTACAGCAGCACACTGCCGTTGTGTTTCGGAAGCACGCCAGGCTTTGGGACATGTTTCGAGATCAGCCCAAGTGTCTGCATGTTCGACGGCGTCTCAGACGACGTGCTGCAACAGACAGGGGAGCCGTTGTAAGTTAGGGTATTGATGCGGCTCGCTGTGTACAAGCACGTATGTCACTGTGAAGGCTGGAAGTTCTTCTTTTGGCGTGGCTGCGCGCCCCAGAGATCGTAAAAAGGTGACGATAATCGTGTTGAGCCAAGGTTCGGGCATGATGAAAGTCGATAAGATCCCGTCACTGCATGAGTGGCTGGTTGTTGACAAGCACATTGTTGAATTGTGCTGACTTGGCTGACTCGTCCTTCAGGAATTTTCGGCGCGATTCAGACTGATTCCCGCGTCACCCTGGAACCGTGGAAGAGTATCGCTGCAGGTGTCCCGGCAAGGGGCCAGTTTGACAGCATCACGTTGGGAGTTGCTTTGGGAAGTACTTTGCAAAAGTACACACCGATTTGTACTCTCGTCCCTGGACCAGGTACCGACCAAATTATTCCCAGCGGAAAGCCACGTTGCTTACGTTCAGGGACCCTTGACCAGCGTGAACTTGCAAGTTGCGCAGAGGATGTGGTGTGGTGGGGTTCTCGTTCAACCGAGGCTCAGAACGCGACGCCCAAAAAACGATGTACGCGGGCGGATGAATAAGAAGATGCTTGCCAGGTTAACTTTTGGCTGAAGGTTGATGTTGTGAGGAGGTTGGAACTCGAAAGTTGCAAGCCCCGCTCGAATGGAATCTGTCAGATTCGGGTTTGTGCAGCAGGTGCAGCAGTGAATGCACCTTCCTGACTTGCTTACAGTCGTTGACCGGCTAAGGCAAGGTCTTGTTATACTGGAATGCTCTGATCTGTTGTGCCTGAGACATCGCACAAGAATGGTCTATCGTCTCTATTGCCTATGTTTTTCGGTTTAGATGTAGTTTCAATGCATTGCCAGTCTCGAAGCCATTCAACAATGGTTGAGGCATGAAGCCAATTGGAATTTGTAACAACCTCTCCACTTCACCACTCTTCTTCCACACCAACAGCCAACCGCACTCGTCCGCTGACTGCGCCTCGTGAGTCGCCCAACAGTAACGAGATGCCCCACGTTGGCAGTTCTATCCTCGCGGCAGACGTCGTGCTGCATGTTTCCTTGATGACAAGTCTGCGATGCCACGAGTCACAANGATTGCCGAGAGAAAAACAAGCCACCAGGGATACGAGGCTGCGCATGCCAATGTGACGAGTTCGGGCTGGTCGTGCTGGGAGGTAGTGAACTTGGAAGTCCTCAACTCACAGTCTGATTCNNTGCAAGCGGAGTTGCTTTCCTCGCTTCTGCCGCGTCTACGAGCAATCCGCGGACAATGCTGGAGCCACCTCGATCGCAGACGCCAAGGCCAAAGGTGGATGTGAGTGGACCCNNGTGGCCCACGAGCGTGAGGTGCTCGGTGGTTTCGGCGATTGACTCTCCAACACTCCATGTCGAAGACCAAAGTGCTTTCACCCACCAAAAGCGCAAGCACTATTGAACGCCAGTGGGCCACATTATCCAACGCGGCGGGAGATGGACACTGAACTCGGTGCGCGATGGCACAAAAGATCTAGAGCCGTAAGAAATTTTCTTGCAGAGCTTCGGGCCAATCAGCATTCGCGAAAAAAAGAGTTTTCGTCTGATTTCTCCTTCCGCGTTAGCGCTGCATTTTGGTTTTTCTGTGGGCATCCATTTTNNATCCTACATGTCTTGCAGATGCTTGTGCTCTCTGCCGTGTTGAATTCGAGCTTTCTTCAACGTGAAGTTGCAGCACTTTTCCTATGACTGCAGCCACAATGGCCAATGGCATCTCGGCGCATATTGAGTGCATAAGCAACCCATGCTGAGCTTACCAAGCCAACCAGCCTCCCGAGCAGAGAAGACACACGTAACAACAGCACGTAAGGCTTGGGCTAAGATCGAGGCTTTGCAGCATGGCACCGTTCATCAGCCGCTGTACCAGCAATCGTCAAGGAACAAGTCCCGGGTGTGCCTGAAACGGTACACGAATGACAGCGCCAGGAAGACCGGGTACCTGGACCGAGTGGTCCGTAGCATCAACTTTCCGCACCCCCACCAGGACAAGGTCCGTCTCGGTCAACTCGCTGGCCGCTGTGATTGATCAATTCTTCGGCCACTATTCCTCGATAGGGTTTCGCGCGTGAAAAAGCACATGGTGAGTCCAACCTCCATGCTCCACATGGGGCGGCTCAGTATTTTTCAACCTTCTGTCTGGTGTGTACCCTTGGGCTGGACAAGCAGCATACATAAGAACAGAAGATTCCCGCTCGTATTTCCGCTTTCTTCTGTACCACCACTGTCCATCTCTATCAATTGCTCTGGTTAGCAACACTGCTGTGCAGTTCACTCTTTCACTGCTCGCCACATCAGTCTCTACCAACAAGGTTTCAACTCCACCTCAACTTACCGACAGTCCTTGAAAACATCAAGAAAACACCCCAGTCATCAAAATGAAGAACGCTATCTACGCTACTGCCGCCCTGGTGGCCGCCGCTGCTGCCGACTCTGTTGGAAGCGCCATTGTTGTCAACAAGTGCAACTACGATGTTACTCTTGTCAACGTGCCCTCTGCCGATGGTGGTTACTCTGAGGTTGACAAGACTCTGTCTCCCTACGACACCTACACTCAGGAGTGGACCTCCCTCACCAACGGAAACGGCTGGTCTATCAAGCTCTCTAACAGCTCTTCCCTCGAGAACATCCTCCAGTACGAGTACACTTACCAGAACGATGGAACTATCTGGTACGATCTGAGCGAGGTCAACGGCAACCCTTGGGACGGAAACTGGGAGATTACCGCCAACGATGCTTCTTGCACNCCCAAGCAGCAGGCTTACCGCTACGCTACCGATGATGCCTACGGCATGCAGGCTTGCCCCGCTGATGCTGTCATCACCGTCACTCTCTGCTCCGGCGACGAGTCCAACGACAGTGCTGCTTCCTCTGCATCTTCCGCTGTCTCAGCCGAGTCTACCTCCAGCCACTCCACTTTCTCGACCACCGTCGCTGCTCCTTCCACTGTCGGTGCTTCTGCCACCACTCTCCAGACCTCCGTCATCACCCAGGCTGCCAGCAGCTCCACTGTCGGTGCTTCTACCACCACTCTCCAGACCTCCGTCATCACCCAGGCTGCCAGCAGCTCCAACGCCGATGTTGTCGTGACCGTCACCCAGGTTGCCTACACCACCTACTGGGACGGCCACCACTGGGGCCACTCTGCCAAGCGTGATGCTCACCAGCACCGCCGCCACGCCCACGGCAACTAGATGAGCAATGCTCTGCGCGAGTACCCTGGATGTTGACATTCGGGTGCTTGCATGCTACGATGTTTGATTTGGATCTGATTTACGACAATCCTCTTCTTTCGGTCATGTGAGAATACTGAGCACAAGCCTCATGCCTCATGTGTTCGCCTTCTTCTTTTGAACTTCTGAATGAACATTCTTTTGGTGGTCGTGAGGTGCATCTCGATGCCCTCACTGTTTGGAGATTTTACTCCATTTCATGCGCTGGATTCTTTCGAGAATCGTCGGCTGATTGGTTTTTTTTCTTTCTTTCTTTCTATACTTCCCTTTACGAAGGTGAGTGCTGGTTTTGGCGCTGATGGTCGTTGGGATACAAAAGATTGGGGCTACCACATGGAGCCTAAGTTACGACAAGTCACGGCTGTCTGAATGGCTGGTCGGCATGTATGAGCTGCCAATCAAGGCAAGAACGAATTTCCTTTTCATGTAGCTTCTTCGACGACCAAAAGATGCCATTTGGGATCTTTTAGGATTCACGACATTTTCTTTGATATCAAATCCATATCGAGACACCAGATCTCATCTCCATTTGCACTCTTCACTTGTTCTCATGTTTCTTAATGCAGTCTGAGTTTGTTTATCTGGCTCGCCAAACTTTTGCGAGACATAAACAGACGATCATGGTCCACCAAGCTGTCACTCGCATAGTTGAACCTCGGGCACTAACCATAGTCGCCGTATAGCAGCTGTTTAGGCTGGCGTTCGGCTTTCGCTACCACTTCAGCATTCATTCGTCATCCATGCTCGATGATCATCCATGACGCTCTTTGCGTGTGGAGTTGACCGTTGCACATGGGTGCACGGAACTCCCTGCAGCTTTCACGCTCCCCATCGCATCCTTCGACTTTCTTGCCGCGGGCATGCGATCACCATCGACTGCCACCGCACACGCCGAATCTTCTCGTCAGCGGCGGCAGCAAGCGATATATCAATAATACGAGGTCCCCCAACAAAACCTGGTGAGGCAGCAGCAACCCATTCGCCTTAAGGTGACGCATTGCCGGCAATTGACGACTCGGTCAATTGCGATTCCTGCGGTCCTTCCCAGCCACCAGCAAACAACAAATTGCTTGAGCACTTGCTACCCAATCACACAGACAGTATATGAACATACGGCTAGACGACTCGGCACAGTAACGGTCAATCTTGTCTGCGGTGTGCTGTCATGAACGAGAGAATTCGCAGCATTAGGTAGGACACGTGCCGACGTGTCCTATCATGCGACCAGCATGCTGTTTGTGCAATATGAGTCGCAACATGCCAATTATTGCTGACAGAGTGCCTGATCTCTCACTATCACGTCCAGAAGGTCCTTTGATTCGTTATGCACTGCCCAGAGCTCGTATTCGACTTGCGTTGGCAAGTGTGCTTACGACGACTGATTTTATTACCACAATGTCGCGTGTCGTGGCTAGAGAATTCTATCTTACTAGACTACAAATGACTCTGCGTTAAAAATATTCTAGCATTCTTTGCAAGCTCCGCGGCACTTGAAATGCCAATGAGCATACTCCTAAAGGCACTGCACATAATCAAGGTACGTATCCTTGGTATGGAAGACCTCTCATCCGGTGTTGCGAGATCAGAGCTAATGAACCTCTGCTATTGGCCTGTCTCGTATATCGGACTAGCTGATCATGTGAACATGTTGAAACAGAGGAGCGTTTGCCAATCACAACACTCTGTACAGTCAAAGACGTGCCAGATTTGAAACCCCGGCCAGAAATATGTCAACGTAGGGAAGATATTCGATATTGGTTGGTTGCGAGTCAATAAAAGCTCGACTTACCGGTACATGGTGCAAACGAGCGAAGAAGAGTTCATGAAGTCGGAGGCTTGGCTACTTCGTTCATGTCTTTCATCGTGGAACCCGCCTTCCCAATACGATTTTCTAGCAATTGTCATCGTCGGGCCAAACCGTGCCTTAGTCACATGAACAACTCGCTCCTTCATGTTGTCCGTACAGACGATCTCAGAGCTACCCTTCTTGCTTCCTCTCGCAGTTCTTCTTTCCATCGACATACCACGCCTTGGTCTTCAATGATCCGCCGAGTACCTTATCTATGGCGCAAATTGAACACGACTGCAGCGATGGTCACAATGGAATGACTGCCCTATCTGAACATCGGGGGCTCTCCTTCCCAAACCTGCAACCAGCGCACAGCCTAGAGAGAAGAATGTAATACCCGCGGATGCAGCTCTTTGCCATCCAGTCCTTCATTTTGTTACAACAAGTCGCAAATCGCATCTGTCACTTGACACTTCTTAACAACCTGGCGAACGGGGCCCAAAATGCGTTACCCATTACAACGTTTGTCGCTCTATACTGTTACCGAGACGCCTCCGAACCAATAACAGCCTCAGATGATGCATGGTGCAGCCTCAAAATAGTCCGTTGCAGGAATTTCCACCAAGGACCTTGCGCCAAGCCTTGAAACACTTTATCGAGGAGCAGCAAACCAATTAATGATAAAGAGTCTACTATGGTTCCCTGAAAAGTTTGTTACGGTTGGATTACCCATCATGGCTGATCGAGGAGAGACACAACGTGCTCTACGTGATACTTTATACTTGTATTCTGAGGAGGATGACACTTTTTTTCGTTTGGTGAGAGTACGCAAGAACTACTTTCAGAAGAAGCATATGAATTGCAGCAACGAGGCTCGGAGTATTCCCAGGATTTATCTGTTAAACGAGTATCTCTTGACAGCCCAGAAAGAGAAACAGGACTTCTTTTAGGCGCTGCCGAAGCCAACTCAATCAATGAACAAGAACCTGACTTGAGATCGGTTCGAGCGTCTCTGGAGAACACTGATCAGTACATCCGCGTGCACAGATCTTGGTGGCCCCAACGAGGGAAGAGGTTGACAAAGCACACCAGAAACACGATTGGTGTGATATTGGAGCACCGAGCTTCCGAAACTTGTTCAAGATCGCCTGGAAAAGGCGAATAATCTGGATATGTCTCATGACCAGTTCCACTTTCCTGTATCTCATGTCTGTTCATCGTTTCATGCTTCTGTTCCAGTACTGACGGTTTAGTTGGAACTCTGCTATGTTCTCAACAATCCCGATCAGCAACTATCGCGTGGCCTTGGTGACAACCGATTATGCTTCTGACTCGACATTCTGGCCGACAACCCTGAATGACCAAACTCTATCCTTACAACGTGCGGAACAACTGAAGAATCTTGACAACAAACTATGCATCGAAAGATATACCAAGAACGTAACCGGCTCGCGAGACCTATTTCTTGTGGCTAAGAACATCACGATGGCAGACCATCTGTCTGTGACTGCGTCTNNAACGATTCGTCCCAGCTTTGCGACGCTCGATTCTCCTGGCTACTGGCAATACAGCCAATTCTGGATATGAGGAGGGCTGACCGCACCCCTGGACATGTGGCAGAAGTGGTGTGGTGCACAAATCGTCACTCCCCAACAATGGACCCATCCATACGGTGAGGATTATCCAATTTGGGCAGCCATCGACCATTGCGAAAGTCTAGGCTATGACGCGAACATCAAAAATCTCTGTGTGCTGCGATTCAGTGTCATGGTTATGATTTTTATCTGCTTCTTGAATCTGTCCAAATGCATTTGTATTGATTTTGCAGCTAAGTTTCAGCGCGCCAGTAAGAGACAGAGGCAGAGATCTGCTGATGGTGTCAATCGAAAGACTCTGGGCAGGAGAACCCCACTAGTTACGCTCGGCGATGCAGTCGCCAGCTTTTTGGTCAACGAGGACGAATCTACCAAAGCCCCAGCATTTCAGTTGGCTTCCAAGTCAGACTTCGCAACAAAAGGCTGGTCTTCTGTGGAAACGCAAAATCGTTTGCCAATACCAGAGAGATGGCATAAAGCAGCTAGCATGAAACGTTGGGGCCTCACTATCATCTTGTAAGTACTCGATTTCCCGTCTAACATCTGGACCACAACCAAAAGTGTAGTCTCGTGAAGTGCTTCGTTACTCACTGTCACGTCTTCCCTTCATAATTGGCTGACCTTCATATTATATAGCTGTGTAATTGCGGTTGTCTTTGTCGTGTATCTACTCACCAACAATCTGAAAGCCCAGAAAGCGTACGGTCTCGACATCGACCTCATATCACTACAAAAACAAGGACACTTGGAGAGGCCCGACCTTACGCANACGGTAACGTCTCATTTCTGGCCACGACTGAACCCAAATACCGGATTTTGGGCCGTCATATTCACTGCAAACATTGCTCAAGTCACCGTATCAGCTTTGCATCTGCTCTATAATGGCATAGCTACCACCATGCTTTAGATTTGTCACCACNNTCGAAAGACACTGCGGCTTTGTGATCCAGAGGGCACTCAACGCTCCTCTTACTTCCTTTCTATGCCGTATCGCTATGGTGTGCTCTTGACAACACTATCCGGTGGTCTGCACTGGCTTATCTCGCAAAGCATCTTTGTGATCCAAACCAGCGTCTACAACTCACCGGACTTCTCGGAAATGCTTGAGAAAGACCGCCCGATTGTCGGGTATAGTCTCACCGGCATTGTATGGGCTGTGTCGCTAGGTGTCACACTCATCGCTGCTTTGCCATTGTTCGTCGGATGGTTTCGGAGGTTTAAATGCAGAGAGGATGGTCCTGCCTCTAGCAAGAACTATCCTATGCCTTTGGTCTCTACTTGCAGTGAGGCTATTGCGGCAGCTTGTCACCGATTCTGCTTCTCGACTGATCGGGAGTCAAGTTAGCCTGTTCTCGGTAGGCAGTAAATTTCATGACAACAAGATTACTACACAGCCTCTGAAGTCAAGAGAATGGATTTGAGATTCTCGAGGGAGAAGCTTGGTTTGGTGAAGACACTCGGGAAGAGAAGTTTGCAAGCAGGCTGCAGAACCTGGAGGGCCTCTGCAGCAGAGCACTTGAACTCCTGCTGTGAAACCTCCATGCTTTCCACACATATATCTTTGCAGACGTATAATAAACGCATTTCGGGACGTTCACTAATGATTAGACGGCTCATGACCACTTAGAGTGGCGCTTGTAGCGTGCTTGGCAGTCAGCAATCCTCCGAGATATATCACCTCGCATGACTATCCAAATCAGCACTTTTCTCTCCTTCCATCCACATTCTGATAGCAATGAGCTATGGTCTATTACCCCAGCGAATACCGTGAGGTGCCAACTGTGGACCTGCTTTCCTGGATCTTCAAGAACAACGATCTAGATCCTGAAAAAGACGTACGGGAACACCTTGTCAATAAAAACAATCTAAGGCTCACATCAAGCAGNATATTGATCGATGCTGCCGACCACCAAAACCGCTTGAATACTCGACAAGCTGTTTCGTTGATCCGGAAACTTGTTGCTGGTTTTAGAGCGGCTGGATTGAAGGCGGGCGATGTTGTTTGTGTGCATGCATTCAANTCATGTAAATGATCAAAGATTAGGCCAAGATCACAGCTGAGACAAAGCCAGATCGTCTATCCCATACTATACTATGGCATAATCGGTGCAGGTGGAGTGTTTGTAGGATCGAATCCTGCTTACAAAACTTTGGAGCTGAATCACTTGGTATCGATTACAGAGCCCAAGTTTCTCATTGTTGAAGCTGGTCTTCTGGCGTACGCATTGCCTGCGACAGAGGTCTCGATACCTGCCACACGGACACTCGTCTTCAACACCAAGACTGGAGAAGGCAGTCCAGACAACTTTAAGTGCTGGAGTAGCTTGCTTCAACATGGTGAGCATGACTGGATCCGGATCAACGAGACGGATGCAGCCAAATCGGCAATCGCCGTACTTCAGTCAACGAGTGGTACCACCGGCTTGCCAAAGTTCGCAGCTACTTCACATTATGCTCTTGTTGCCGCAGGGGTTGGCATGCGGTGTTCGAATCAGACGCCGTACGCGGTCTCAAGATTGATTTCCCTACCTTTGTTCCATTCTTTCGGCGCTTCATTCGTACAAAGCTCTGCCTTCCGTCATGGCGAGCCGACGTATGTCATGCGCAGATTCAGCGCTGAAGAGTTCGTAAGTATACTGGACCGATTCAACATCACGGAAATTGCTGTCGTGCCCACTATGATCAAAGGTATCGTCAACCAGCGGACCTCGCCACTCTTACTGAAGAGTCTGCGCCGAGTATGGTGTGCTGGGGCATCTTTGTCTCCAAAAGTGAGCAATGCCGTATATAATCTTTTGCATGAAGATGCTGTCATCTTTCAAGTTTGGGGCATGACTGAGTTTGGTCGCATCACATCTTCTGACTGGGGCGAGAAGGATGATGACGGTAGCGTAGGCAGGTTGTTGCCGAATACGGAAGCAAGGTATGTTGTTTTTGTAGTGAAATTGACGCCCTCACTGATGCCTGCGNNTAGAGTGGTGGACGGACACGGAGTCGAAGTCCTTGACGAGGGTTACCATGGTGAAGTTCAGGTTCGAGGACCTTCGGTAATGAATGGCTACTCAAGTTGCCCGACCGACACTGCCGGAGCTTTCAGTAATGGCTGGCTCAAGACTGGTGACTTTGGGTACATGAAGTCCGGCAAAGTCTACATCGTAGGTCGTGTCAAGGTGAATATCTATCAAACTCGCTGGTCAGGGGTGTCTTCTTGGTAGCTGATCATCTCCAGNGAACTCATCAAAGTGCGCGGATGGCAGGTCTCGCCGAATGAGATCGAAGATGTTCTCCTGATGCATCCTCTGATAGTCGATGCTGCTGTGATTGGTTCCAGGCCAGGTGGCAGAGTCTCCGAGGACGAGCTTCCTCGCGCCTATGTCGTGACAAATAACAGGCGTCTTACTGGGTTAGATGAGTTGAAGGTCATGGAACATGTCAAGGATCGATTGGCCAGCTTCAAAGCATTGGACGGTGGCGTGGAGTTTGTCGACTCGATCCCAAGAAACCACAACGGAAAGATCATGCGACATCAATTGCTGGAAAGAGCGATGATGGATGTCCTTCCTAATACGATCGAGGCAAAAACCTGAGAACCAATGGCCATCCTGGCGGGGGCTCGGTTTGCTGAAAGACATTCATACTCGTATACTGCTGACATACACACGCGGAAGGATGATGTTAGCATCAGTCGGGGTTAAGCCACAATAACAGAGGATCGACATTTGCATCTCAGGTAGCCACTGACCATGTAGCCGGTGATTATTCACAGAGCAAAGTACGAGTCTCTATATCTGCGAACAGCAGTTGTTGCAACACCGTAGAACGGACATAGCAAGTGCAACAGATTGGATGAAGGTCTGCAAAAAGGACGAGGAATGCAGCCACTCGAACCATCAGGGCAGACAGACCAACGCACAGACCAACGCGTCACATCCGCACGCGACTGACCTCGCCAAGCTCACTGCTACTGCAGCCTTCATCCTTCGATAACAAAGAAATTTCTATAAAACTGTATCTGCTACTTTATGATCAGGCTTGCTTGTGTCAGCAAACATAAGCGAGCGCGGCAGAAGTTGACCCTTGCACGCACAGTAAGTATGCGGTGGTGCCCAACATGTTGGCGGACGCGAAGCTCGAATCTTCCTTTTCCTCCTGTAGAGATATGTTGTTGAATGACAGACGAGGTGATGGACGCTTCCACCGCCAACGGGCTGTCAAAGGACAGCTACGAGCCAATTGCGATTGTTGGAATGGGTAAGGTTCTCATGACCCATTGCAGACTCAGCCGGTAACGCAGAGTAAAGGCTGTCGATTGCCTGGAGAATCTTACACGCCCTCGAAACTCTGGGACAACCTGCTAAGAGATGGAAAGTCGTCATGGTCAGAACTGCCCAAAATTCGGTTCAACCTGGATGCATGGTATCACCCTGATGGCAGCAGACCAGGAAGTGTACATACACGCGGAGGATACTTCTTGAGCCACGATGAACATATACGCCAATTTGATCCCTCGTTCTTCGGAATATCTCCTCTCGAGGCAGCTGCCATGGATCCACAACAACGCAAGCTTCTCGAGGTTGTGTATGAGAGCTTTGAGAACGCTGGAGCTACTCTTGAGGAAGTTTCCGGTTCAAAGACATCCTGCTTTATTGGCTGCTTCACCAATGATATGCGTCGAATGACCTCCAGAGATCTCGAATATGGGGCACCTTACGAGATGACTGGTAGCGACATGACCATCTTGAGTAATCGAATCAACTACGTCTTCAACTTGAAGGGACCAAGCATGACAGTCGATACAGCTTGCTCGTCCTCGCTATACGCCCTTCACATTGCCTGTCAGAGTCTGATTTCGGGTGATTCGGATGCAGCAGTTGTAGGCGGCTCAAACGTCATAAACGATATTGAGCAACACATCGCGAGTGTAAGACTTGGAGTCTTGTCTCCGACGTCAACTTGCCACACTTTCGATGAGCGAGCAGATGGCTTCGGTCGAGGAGAAGGCATATGTGCTATATACATCAAGAAGCTCTCAGCCGCCATTGCCAACAATGACCCGATTCGCGGCGTCATTCGAGCTATTGCTGTAAACAGTAACGGAAGAAGCCAAGGCATCAATCATCCCAGCTCAAAGGGGCAAGAGGCTGTCATTAGAGAGGCATATGCCAAAGCAAACCTCAGACACGAAGACACTGGTTACTTCGAATGCCATGGCACCGGTACGCCCGTGGGTGATCCTATCGAGGTTCGATCGGCTGGAGACGTTTTTGCCTCTGGCAGGAGCCCACCAAACCCTCTTCTTCTGAGTTCTATCAAAACCAATATAGGCCATACGGAAGGCGCGAGTGGACTTGCAAGTGTCCTAAAGGCGGTATTGAGCATCGAGAATAATCTCATACCGGCAACGGTAGGAGTGAACAAGCTCAATCCAGCTATCGACTTAAAAGGCGGCCGTCTTGAGGTTGTCAGGGCCACTAGGCCATGGCCCAAAGGACTATTCAAACGGGTCAGTATCAACTCGTTCGGATATGGAGGCGGGAACGCACACTGTATCGTCGAGTCACCCGACATACTGCTTGAGGCTAGCCATGGCTACGAGGCCGTACGATCTGCCTTAACCGGGGTTCATGAAAGTCTAGTATCCTGTCAGAAGGTCGATACTTCTGCCTTTCAAATCCATCGAACTCCTAAGAAGTACCTGTTTACACTCTCGGCTCATGACCAGCTCGCCCTCACCCAAAATATCAACGCACTGGCAGTCGTGGCTGATGAATACTCTGCGGCCGACATCGCGTATACTTTGACTGCAAGAAGGACAAAACACCGTTGCACAGCATTCGCGACTGTCACTCAACCAGACTTGAAGTCCCAACTCGTGCCAGAGCGTATGAAACGTGGTTCCGAACTGGTTGCCGGGGATTTGATCGTCGCGTTCGTCTTCACTGGACAGGGCGCACAATGGCCAACCATGGGTTATGGACTAGTCCAACAGTATCCACTTGTACGCGAAACTATGGCAGCTCTTCAATCTGCACTAGACGTACTTCCAGTACCACCAACATGGCGATTAGTCGAAGAGCTATCGAAGCCCGCGGACCAGAGTCGTATGCATGAGACAGCTCTAGCTCAGCCTTTGAGTACAGCGCTGCAGATAGTTCTCACAATACTCCTGCAGTCTTGGGGCATACGAGCCAAATGTGTCGTTGGACACAGTTCAGGCGAAGTCGCGGCAGCTTTTGCTGCAGGCCTACTCACAAGTGCTGAAGCTATTGCGATTGCTTATTATCGTGGCATAGCAGTCACCAAGTATGGCAGGCCAGGAGCCATGATGGCTGTGGGGTTGGGATCAGGCGAAGTATTGCATTACATCAAAGATCAGCCTGATGTCGTTGTTGCCTGTCAAAACTCTCCTCAGAGTGTGACTCTTAGCGGCGGAGCAGCCGCGATTGCTGGAGTTCATGCATGCCTTTCTCAGGCAAGGGTCTTCTCACGTATCCTGAACACCTCGCAGAACGCTTATCATTCGCATCTCGTCAGAGAAGCTGGCCAATACTACGAAGACTCGTTCAGGTCCTCGCTTGCAGCATCGACGTCCATAGCCGAAACCACTAGCATTCCTATGTATTCCTGCATAAACGGAGAAGTCCTCGACAGCCCAAGCAAGGTGCGGATCGACTACTGGAGGAAGAATCTGGAGAATCCTGTAAACTTCACGCAAGCTTTGTCAATCTTGATCGAGGCACAACCAACTGTCAATTGTTTGATTGAAGTGGGAATGCATAGCGCACTTGTAGGTCCCATCAAACAGATCCGATCCTCTTTAGGCATCAAACCAGAGGAACTCTGTTACCTACCAAGCATTATACGAGGCGAAGACAATGTCGACAACGTCCTTAATCTTGCTGGAGCACTCTGGACTGCTGGTTATCCAATCGATCTGACGGCTGTCAATGGAGTAGGCAAATTCTTGCCGGATCTGCCCACCTATCAGTGGAACTACGAGGGAGACCTCTTGTGGTCAGAAAGTCGTTTGAGCCGTCAACTGCGATTTCGCAAACATGCACGCCATGATCTGCTAGGCACCTTGGTTGTGTCATCCTCCGCCAACAACCCAATATGGCGAAACAGACTAAAGATCAAGAATGTCCCATGGCTCGCTGACCATCAGATCGGGCATGACGTGATTTTCCCAGCAGCTGGATACTGTGCTATGGCAGTCGAAGCGGTGACACAATTCGCAGAATCTTCTCAGACAGCGGCTGCCGGCTACACAATTCGAAATCTATCAATCAAGGCACCTCTTGTCATTGCACCGGATGAGGAGGCTGAAACTCTATTTGGCCTTCACCTCCTGCATAGCTCCAACTCACGAATCAATCGCAGAACGTTCGAGTTCAGCTTGAGCTCAGTCAGTGCGGAAGATAAATGGACGGAACACGCTTCAGGCAAGATCATTCTCCAGGATTCTGATGAGATGCCAAGCATTCGAAGTGACTATGGCAACGGTATCGTGTGTACTGAGACTATGGGAAAGAGCGATGATATATGGTACGCAGCGCTTGCCAAGATTGGGTTGCAATATGGGCCGACCTTTCGTCCGTTGGCAAATATCCGAAGCACCGAGAAGGAAGCTGCGACTGCGTGCATTGACTTGCAACCAACGAAAGACGTCATGGTTGGCGAGTCTCGCTACGCTGTTCACCCCGCCACTCTTGATGCCTGTATTCAACTTGCAGTCATCGCAGCATGCAAAGGCGATGTCGCAAGTATCATGAAAGCATACCTACCAACAACTATCGAGAATCTGACGATCTGGCAGACTGCGGATCTGCCCCATCCACCAGCTCAGGGTCTTCTTTTCAGTCATGGTTCTTGCCATGGCATGCGGTCCGTTCATGGGTCATCTGAGCTTGTCAATCTGGAAGGGCATCCACTAGCGCAAATGATAGTATCCTTGCTTTCATTGGAAGGGGANTTTGCTGACCAGAAACTCGAGCAAGCTCGTGAACCATTCACACGGCTTGTTTGGCAACCAATCCCGGATCCGCTTGAAGACCAGACTTCACTCAATTATTTCCCAGATTTTGCTGATGACGGCCTTACACCGGCACCAAAACTCTGGCTGGTCTACAAAGACTCACCTCATTCTCTGGTCAAACAAATTGAGACATGTGCGAAGGGCTCGGACATCAATGTCCAAAGTATCTCTCTTTCAGCTGTCCACACCTATGTGTCTAAAAGTTCTCGAATTCTGATGCTAGCGGAACTCGAGAGTCCGATGCTCATAAACGTGACCAGCAAAGAGATGGATGCGGTGAAGACAATGTTTTATCTGGCTTCCTCTGTCTTATGGATCACTCCTGGTGGTCTACTCAAAGGCAAGAAGCCGGCATACTCTTTGTTTTCGGGTATGATCAAGTCCATCACGAAAGCGCAGCCCTCTCTCCGTCTATCAAACATCGATGTTGATCCTGACGACAATGATGACATACACACGGCCAAACTGATTCTTCAGCATGAGCTACGTCTTCACAAAGATAGCGACCGCGTTATTGATGATCAACTCGTGATTCTGAATGGTTTCGTATACGCAAGCCGTTACATTCCTGACGAACACGCAAACCACGATTTCGCACGTCAACTCAAGCCTGACCCAAAGCCATGTCAGATGAAGGACAATTTGGAACTGACTTTCGAGCAAGTCGGTCGCATGGAAAGCTTTTACTTCAAAGAGAAGCCCGAGGCACCATTTCTCGGATTCGATGAAGTGCAACTGAGACCAATAGCTTACGCACTCAGCCAACGTGAGGCCGCCATTCTCAAAGGTACACAAATTGGCACTCACTTCAGCAACATGTGTGTCGCCTTGGTAGAACATCTTGGATATCAAGCTGAGAAGTTTAAACCAGGCGACCGCGTGGTTTGCTGTAGTCCCGGCAGATTTGACAGTTCATTGATTGTAAGCGAGAGCCAATGCAAATTGCTGGGACCTGAAGAAGGTACCGAAGATGTGATTGCTTCATTGTTACCTTATTGTGCAGCCATCCACGCTCTCCGAAACGCCACAGAAGGACAAACGATACTGATCCATGAGGTATCGGAAACTCTAGCTATTGCAGCGACACGCTATTCACAAGCATATGGATTCAAAGTCATTCTGTCACGTGAATCAGAAGAAGATATAGCATTGTTCACGGCGAGGTATCCAGACATCAGCAACCATGCGCAATGTATAACCCACTCGGGGATGGCGATGAAACTTTCGACTCTGACGGCAAACCAAGGAGTCAGCCTAGCACTGATACATTCGAAGAGCTCAACTTCATCAGAGGTTTGGCGATCTCTGGCTAGATATGGCTGTCTCATGTACATCTTGGAAGACTCGGAGATGCCTGATCTAAGCTTGTTAGATCCGTCAGTCTTTGCGAGGGGTGCCTCGGTCATTTCATCTGATATGTACGACATGCTTGCTAAACAACCAGCGGAGATGAACAAGCTTGTTCAAACTGTCCTGAACCTGCTGCGAGATGGTATGCTTCCGAAATTTGCGCCTGCTGCGTCTTATGATGTGTCAGAACTGCCAGCTGCAGTTGCTGCGAAAATTCAAAGCAAAACAGCTCCTGACATCGCTCTTACATATGACCGTCACAACGTGGTCCCTGTCCATGTGCCCTACGAACAAGTCTCGTTCAGCTCAGAGTCATCTTACCTGCTTGTTGGATGCCTGGGCGGGCTCGGTCGAAGTCTTGTTCGATGGATGCTGTCTCGGGGTGCAAGGCACTTTGTCTTTCTCTCAAGATCAGGAACAGGCAAGCCTGAAGCAGCAGTGTTCATCAGCGAGATGGAAGCGCTTGGGGGTAGGCCTGTTGTTGTCAANGGCGACGTGAGCATCCGCTCAGATGTGGACAACGCTATCACGCAAGCAAGAACGCCAATCAGAGGAGTAATGCAACTGGCAATGGCACTCACAGTAAGTACCGTGTGTTTGTTTGTCATCACAATTACTAACCATCGAACTCAGAGCGATCTGTTCGAGAAAATGTCACTAGAAGACTGGCACAAAGTGTTGGCTCCAAAAGTGCAAGGCACGATAAACATCCACGAAGCATTACTGCAAGAACCGCTAGACTTCTTCGTGATGACCAGTTCAACCCTAGGAATTGCCGGAGCCTCAACCCAAAGCAACTATGCTGCTGCAAACGCCTTCTTGGACTCTATGGCACGACATCGCTGGAGCTTGGGTTTAGAAGCATGTTCCATCGCCCTTGGCATGGTCGTTGGCGTCGGACACATGGAGTCTCATCCCGATGTCAAAGCAGCTTTCCAACAAAGAAACGTGTACGGCATCCCCGAAGACGAGTTTTTGAAGATGATGGAGATGGCATGTAGACCTCGGGGCAGCGTTGCACCTGTCTCTGAGCATGATCCTCTGAGTGTATCACACATGATCACCGGCATGGAGCCCAGTAAGATTGCGAATTCGGGCATGCAATTTCCATGGCTTACTGACCCCCGTTTCCACGATATCGCTGCTGCAATCGCAAAAACCGGCAAAAAGAGTCCCACGTCTGCTGACTCTGCTGCAACCACCACATCCGCTCTCCGCACCGCCATCGCCTCGAAAGATGACTCCTCAGTCCGTTTGACCCTTCAATCCCTCATCCTCTCCCATTTCTCCAAACTCATCATGGCGCCGATGGATAAACTGACTGCCTCCTTGAATCGGCCCATGTCAGAGTTTGGCATGGATAGTATGATCGTCGCAGAACTGCGCAGTTGGGCATGGAGGGAGTTGAAGGTTGACTTGCCGTTCATGGTGCTCTTGGAGGGAGACTTGACACTTGATGGACTTGTAGAGTTGGTATGGACGAAGATGGATTGAGATGGTTGGAGGGTGGATGCATAGGAGGCATCGTATGTGTTGGGGAATACCCCGTTCTGTTACTTGTAAGTCAATGGTAATGCCTGAACATTACGCGTCTTCTGACCATCTGAGTTCGACGTCCTGTATTCCTTTGCTCGAACCGAGGAATGCCCTCGGGCTCGGGCCGATACGAGCCAAGCTTCTGCCCCATGTGCCAACACAACCTCATCTGTTCTGCTTCATTCCTTCTCTTCTGGTTCGTGTACTTCTATCGTTTCGATACTTTGGGTCACCTTCTGGGACGCGAGGCCCTCGCTGGCGAACGATCTGTTTCTTTGATCTCAGCGCTCCGCGATATTCCTCTGCAGATCCATGCATGACTTGTCTAGCTCCGCATCTTGGATGAGGCATGACGGTCGTTTCTGCCTGGGGAAAAGCATGACAGCTCTCTGCCATGCTGCCATCCTGAGGCCGAGTCTGCTTCTTTACCACGGTCAAGGAGGCTGGGCATACCGGTCTGAATACTGCTTGTTCGCCCACCGTTGCGGCGAGACACCTTCCCATTCGATGCGACTCTTCGGCTCCTCAATCAGCCGCAAGTAAACGATGAGTTGGCCTAGACCATGTCAGTCTGCTTCTGACGCCCTGAGACCAAGCTCCTCTACCTTGCTTTCGCTGGATACGGCTTCGGTCTCGGAGGAGGTGTGTGACAGAAGCTCGCCTGTCTTGGACCCTCCAAAACCTTGTGTCCTCGTTCTGCTCCTTCTCTTATGGTTTCCTGCCGCGGCCTTCGTGCCATGGAAGAGATCGGGTCTGCGGCATCGAAGGGAGACGGAACTGCCTGCCTCGAATCGGCGTGTGTATGCGGGGCTGATGTCTCGTGGGTGGCTGGCAGCCGGCGGCTGGCGGAAGACTTGTCGTGTCGTGAGATCATGCGACTGGGCACATAAAGAGATGGTGGACCGAGCAGACTTGCCATGAGGGCGTGCAGCTGGTTCTGAAGGCAAGTGGTTCAATGCGCGGGTCTGTCGTTCAGAGCTGGGTCCATGAGCCAGATGGGTAGTTGTGCGCCGGTGCAGCCCATGATCGGAAGAAAAGGGACAAACCCAGAAATACAATCCCAATTCCCCGTGTGCATCACATGATTAACATAGCTATAGAAATGCACAATTATTTCCATAATAAAGCAAGATTCATGGAAACAGAGTTATCCTCAGGTATCTCTTTGGCCGCACCCCTATTTCAAAAGCGACTGTGCATTTCTATAGCATATCATGGCGCTAAACATCAGCGTGAGAGCAAATGGGGGCAAGAAGACAGATGGAACATAGAATGGAGGAAAAATATCACAAGCAAGAGAAAATGAGAAGAGAAATGATGTTGAGAATGAGGTTGTTTTCCAGCACTATCAGATTTCGAAATATCCTTCCCGTCCTGCCAGAGGCCTTGTTCCATGATACTGAAGTGAAACTGAGAAAACAGATCTGCCAATGTCGAATCCTTGTCTTTATGTCTGTGTTCTTTCTTTGTTCACCCGCATTGAATGCTCTGCCTGCTCTTGTTCTGAAGATGAAACAAGCTCTCCAAGCCCCCACGAATCGCGCACCACCACCACCTAGTTGAGACACCAACTCTGCAGCTACCAACACCCGAACCGATACCCAAGCAGTGTTGATCAAATGAACCAGCTGAGATAGTCTTCTGCCCCGAACACCCAACTTCAAAGCTGAGCCAGTGACCATTTGCAGAAAACCCTGCCCAAGCTCGACACCTTTGTAGCTCTCCCAACCACCATCAGCGAGATGATTTTTGCCAGCGGCATACGTCAAATCGGGATGTTTGCTTTTCAGTTCCCAGACACCTGACGTTCCACCAACTGTTTCTCTGTTTTTGCACGCTTTTCAGAAGACTTTGACGACCCCTGCCCACAACAACACGCTGGACCTTCGCTGGTGATGTGCTTGTTTGCTGAGAAGCCGAATGGCGGACTGCTGATCTCCTTTGAAAGGCTGTAATTCGCGAGACTTTGTGCTGAGACAATGGCAAGAGTGCTGATGATCGAGAGCTGGCATCTATCCCAAGCAGCAGATGGTTGAGACGAAAACTCGAAACGCCAAAAGATGCCTGCCTCCTGAAAATAAATCTGCTGAGCGTCAGTGATTGCGCCAAGAAATAGTTTCTGCCGAGTACGAACTGTGATAGTGCCAAAACCTCGTAATTTGTCGAAGAACTGAGCTTGATGGAGAGAGAAGAAGAAGAAGAGAAAAATGAGTTGTTGATACGAGAGATGGTTATGGTGGAGAAAAGTCGTTGCCGAAGTGAGAAAGTGGTTGCTGATGAGCTTGGTGTCGAAAAAGATGGTTGTTGATGAGAGTGATGCCGGAAAAAAAGATTGTTGTGTGCAGCTTGTGCGATGAAGTGGAGTGAAGTAGAAGTAAAAAGGAGAGAATGGGTAGAATGTGCAGATTGGAGTGAGAAAATCAAGTGAAGTAGTCCTGAGTCGCTGTTTCCTGTAAGCAAAAAGGTCAGAAACAATGAAAGCAACTCACCTTTGAGAAAATGCGAAAATGCGCAGAAATTGCGTTTTGATGAGCGACATGCAGAGAGAGATGCTCAGCGCAAGTGACAAGTGAGCATTAAGTGATAGCTGAGAGAAGTGCCTGTGCATGGTGTGAGTGAAGAGAAAGGAGTAAACATGAGCGAAAGACTTACCATGATGGAATGTGAGAGATGTTTGGAAGATGTCTTGATGTTGATGCATCTTGGTGACCAACGTAGGTGGTGATGAAGTGGAAGATTGTTGACCGATGGTGTGGAAGAAGGAGGAGAAGACACTCGATGCCCAAGATGTGTAAGAGATGTTTGTTGGTGATCAGACTTGATGCGCAGAGGCAAGAGACGCGCCGAAAAGTTGTTGTGCGCATGATGAGAAGGCGCTGCATACCGTGGAAGTTGGAGTGCGCATGATGAGAAGCAGTTGTTGTTGATGATAAACAATGCCAATGGTTGATGATGAAGGTGGTTGATGAAGACGATTGATGATGAAGAAGGAAGACTGATGTTGAAAGAAGAGATGTCTGGAGAAGTAGAGATGATTCTTGGAAAGTGGATGGAAGGAGGGAAGGTGGGTATGTGCAGGGTTTATATACTCCCTCACCAAAAAGTGACGCGAGAGCCTGTTTTCTTCTCGCGGAACTTGACCTCTGACATCTCACTCACTTTCAAAAATATCCCACTCGGCCGTCGAACAGCCATCTAAATAGCAATAGAAGTGTCTTACAGTGTCAATGCAATGTCTACAATGCCTTCTTGATGTCCTCAGCTTGTTCCCTGCCGCGTTTTGGTATAGAGCTCTAGGCGCAGAAGAGACGCTTGCGGCTGAATGGCGGCAGCAATCGGGAAGACAGCGCCAGCGGTAGCTATACTAATCCTATGCAAGCAACCACAAGAGCATGAGACGGCCGTCCTGTATATGCGAGAGGGCCATTACTTGTGCCTGTCAACTATCTATGTGCTTGTTCGATGCGTCTCCTTGGGCTAGGCAAGCCTGCACCATCTATGAGTTTGCACACCAGCCACCTTCTTTCTCCGACTTCGCGAACACACACCGAGGCGGCTCTATACCCAACAGGCGCTGGAACGGAGACCCTCACTGTAACTCGAGAGCTACTCCGGCGCATGACTAACTGATCGGCTGTGGCAGATGCACTCATCAATCAACCCTCCAACGAACCTGCGCATTGCGAAGCTACGTACCTTCATAGCGACCTCACTCGATCTACACTTTTCCTTGTGTCCGACTGCATGTACGCTCGAGAAATCCCCTAACAGCTGCCGACTGTTAGCCACCCAGGAAACATCAGCCATCCAGACCCTCGACGACCCGAAGCAGCAGGTCCCCTTCGACTCGACGCCGCAATCTTGAGCCCTCCTATGCCCCGAAAGCAGCAGCAGACAGATCAGAAGAGAAGGGAAGCAGAGAGGAACCAGGGGCGATACAGAAAAAGCAAGTTCTCGTTACACAAAGCCTCTGGACCAGCGCCATGCTTGGCGAAAGCGAGAACATCGGTTGGTCTTGTTAGGAGCTCTGTCTACCTCAGAACAGCATCATGTTCTCTGATAGCTGCATTGATGTCTAGAGAGAAGCTCGGCTTCGGGATGCCAACAGCAGACCGCCATTGCCTCAGATATCTGGTTGATATCATCACACGAGAAGGTAAACCGTCACGATGCTTGCTGACCGACCAACAGCCAGAAGAGTAGGCTCAGCCTCCAGAGATCTGTCCGGTGAACGGTGAGACTCTCCAGATGACAGCATGGTAGATGCAAACAGCCGTCTACCCAAAGTCTTGTCGTCGACGTCTTTGCAAGCGCATCAACTCGGGCGAGCCGAGTGGTCGGCCTCCAGCATACCCATACTCCAGTGGCAGGGTAACTTCTGTACCTTTTCTCAGCACCGTGCTAGGGCCAGGCACACGTCCTGAGTATGGGAATTTGGGTTTGCCTTGGATGAAAAAGTGTACCAATCTCCCTTCGTATATGTCGTCGAGATAAAACTGATCGAGTGCTCGATTGGGAGAGATCAGGCAATCGATTAGTGGACGCAGGGAGCCACTTAAGCGAATGAATTCAAGATGTACGATTTGTAGAGATGGCGACATCAAGACTTTGAGCAGGGGCGGTTGACTGACGTGAAGCCCGCGTAGAGCCAGACTTCGAAGGTTTCTGAAGGAGACCTTTTCAGAGAGTTGATCAAACCAGCCTCGCGACAAGACGTCCGTGTCGCTTGGTGGATAGCTTGAGGTGTTGTACCATTGTAGATTGAGTTCTTCGACCTGTGAGGAGGCGAGAGCGAGAAAGTTGACCACGGCCTCAACTCCCTGCAAATCGGCTTTTGCATTGTCTGTTATGCTGTCTACGAGTTCGTCCTCAGCTTCTTCGTCAAAATCAGGTTCTGGGAATCGCTGGGTGAGGCTCATCGACAAGCTACGTAAACGCAAAAAACGGAACTGCTGGGCTGATTCGAAGAGGCTCGCAAAGACGGTACATGGTACACTGCATTCTGTTGTATCGTAGAGAAGGTTGAGTTTCTTTACGGGAAGGCCGCTGTTGCTAACTGCATCTAGTGCAGTCGTGACTGCAGAAGCTCCAGCAATGAAGCGTGGATTCAAAGGCAACTTAGACGCCTTGTCATCGATGCCGACGGTCAGGCGTAGGAGAGAATAATCTCTAGAGTGCTTGAGAAGGTTGCGGAACGCCGTACTTAGCACATCGACATGCTCCAAATCAAGCTCGCTGGTACCCGAAGTAGGTGGTACGCCATTGATCCTGAGGTATTGCAGAAGTACGGCAAACCGACTATACTCTGTGATGGCGGCGAACCTTGCGACTGCCTCGGTTTCCAGCTCGACCTCCTTGCTGGGGAAGAATCTCTGGAAGTATGCTTGTGAGGATGCGGCTTCGGTAGCACGACTGGCAAGGCGGAGACTGCAAATATCTCTTAGGTCCAGCAGGCATACTATACTTTCGACGATCTCGGATGGTAAATCGGAAAATCGAGCCATTCTTCCCGTGTCCTGGAGTCTGTCACAGTGGAGATGTAGCAATACACGGAAGTTTCTGAGAGGGCAGTGTTGTTCACGGAGAGGATATTCCTTTGGCCAGGCCTCTAGTCTGAGAGCGACTATGAGGTCTCACAGCTTGTTTTTGTCATTTATGTCAGCATGGGAATGTTAAACCGTGAGACCATGTTTTATATGGGTATGGACGATTCTTGCTTTGTGTTGTCGAAAGCAAGGGACGAAGGAGTAGAGGTCAACTCAAGGGGCGACCCTGCCATTATGTGGCTTGTGCACCGCGAGCTTCACAGTGACGCAGCACTTTGTCGCAAACATTCCACCTCCACAAACCAAACAAAACCAGCAATGGCAGACCAACAACTAGAACTGGCCAAACGGACAAGCACCAAAGGCAAGGTGCCCACCGGATACGCCGACGAGATCGTCATCAGCGAAACAGCCTTCCGCAACGCCCACCGAGCAGTCGAAGCAAACCACGAGCCCCCCACAAAAAAAGCGCAAGAGNNAGAGGGAAAGGGCGACAGCAGCGTTGTCTACGGCGCAAGCGCATACAAAGGGCCATGGGCGCGCTATGAGGAGGAAAGACCAGACGACAGTTCAGGCAGTGAAGAGGAAGTCGAGGTCGAGTACGAGGAGGATGAGATTGCGCCGCAGCCCGCCGCGCCCTCAAAGGCTGGCACTGCCTATGTTGAGTCTGATGGCTCGAAAGAGACGACCGAGTTCCATGGAAGCCAGCAATACGATTATCAAGGCAGGACGTACATGCATGTACCACAAGATCTGGATGTCGATCTACGAGGCGACTTGCCAGACGACTACAAGAATTATGCTCCCAAGAAGCTGCTTCATACCTGGAAGTCGCATACCAAGGCCATCACACAACTACGCTTCTTCCCTGATGCCGGTCACCTGCTGCTCTCGGCTTCTGCAGACAGCAAAGTCAAGATTTGGGATGTCTACCACCAGCGGGAGTTACTGCGTACCTACTCTGGTCACACAAAGTCTGTCTCGGACGTCTGCTTCAACTACGATGGTTCTCGCTTCATGACGGGCTCGTTCGACAGACAGATGAAGCTCTGGGACACCGAGACTGGCCAATGCATCAGTCGCTTCAGCACCGGCGCCACNCCTCACGTTGTCCGCTTCCAGCCCGATCAAAACTCAGCCACCGAGTTCCTGGCCGGTATGAGCGACAAGAAGATTGTCCAATTCGACACGAGGACGCCAGGAGAGTCGCCCATCCAAGAATACGACCATCACTTGGGTCCGGTCAACACAATTACCTTTTGCGACGAGAACCGCCGCTTCATCACCACTTCAGACGACAAGAGTCTGCGCGCATGGGAGTACGGTATCCCCGTACCCATCAAGTTTGTCGCCGAACCTTACATGTTCCCCATGGTACGCTCCAGTGCCCATCCATCTGGCAAATACGTCGCTTTCCAGAGCTCGGACAACCAAATCGTCGTCTACGCGTCCACAGAAAGATTCAGACAGAACAGGAAGAAGAGTTATCGTGGACACAACAATGCTGGATATGCCATTGACGTGGCCATCAGCCCTGACGGCGGCATGGTCATGTCTGGAGACAGTGGAGGTTATGTGTGTTTCTACGATTGGAAGACGTGCAAGATGTGGCACAAGATCAAGGCGAGCGAGTCTGCGGTTGTTGCTGCGCAGTGGCAGCCCAAGGAGACGTCCAAGGTTGTTACGGGCGCGTTGGATGGCTTGATCAAGTACTGGGATTAGATAGATCAACGGATCAAGGCGGGGACTGGCTCTTTGCAGCAAGTCCATCGAGTTCGTCTTTACGAGCAACCATGTCCTTCCATATCGTGATACCCTCGTAGCCTTCTGGCATTGCTGCATTAAGGTCTTGTGCATGGCAAGTAGGACAGTCGTATGTTTCTTGATCAAGCCTGACCCACCAAAAGCGCAAGCCGTCCAATCTTTTATCATCACAGCCCTGACAAAAGTGACGGACCTTCTCGGGATAGTAGAGCGGGCGGTGCGTCTTCCACGGCAGACTCGACATGATTTCAAACGTGTAATGGAAGATGATTATAGCAGGGAAGGTTGGAAGCCAACAATCTTTCCAAGTCTTTCGAGCATGTTCACGGTGCAACTTGTGATTTAGTAGTGCAGTGGAGTGATAGCCTGAGGTGCTGTCGGATGCGTTTATGATAGTGATGGAACAATGCAGTCAAGGTTGAATTAGAGGGTCGCGCTTCTGATGAGAAAGAGGAGAGTTGTGTATTGTCGATATGAGAACGAAGACAGAGGCAGGCAGCCCCACTAAGGTCCAACCTCTAAGGGTCTGAGCCAGCTGGAGCTTCGCGCGTATGCAAGCGACTTGTTTACACAACCAACCAACATGCCGCAAGAAGAGTCAAAACCCATAGACGCTCCTGTCAATCAGGAATCTCTGAATTATGCCGTCCAGGACCTCAAGCTATCCGAGGAACAGTCCGAGGGAGGAGACGCAGTGAACAATGCCGCAGAGTCGAGCGGAGAAGACACCAACCAAGACTCGACACAAGCACCCGCCAAAAAGTCGAAGAAGAAGAAGATCAAGGATGCCGTCGCCAGCATCGCCTCATCCTCCAAGTCCCCTGCCGCGCCTGCCTCGGCCGAAGACCCGCTGCCCGCCTCGACCCTCGACAAGTTGTCCGACTCGCAAATCAACCAGCTGGTACAAAGCAACCCGGCCCTGGCCCAGGCCATGCTCAAGGGCGGCTCCTCTCTCGATGCCCGCAGCATGCGCGAACTGCTCAAGTCTGTCAGCGCCGCCGACCTCATGACGGGCATGAGCTCGGGAAAGAATGCAAAAGACATGGCCAACTACAAATTCTGGTCCACCCAGCCCGTCCCTCGCTTTGACGAAAAGGCTGCTGCCCAGGAGAAGCCTGTCCAAGAAGGCCCCATCAAGGAAGTCGACCCCGACAAGGTTTCCACNAAAAGCCGTCCCCCCCTGGTCGCTGGTTTCGAGTGGTCCGAGATTGATCTACTGGACGAGGCCGAGCTGAAGGAGGTTCAAGAGCTGCTCTGCAACCACTACGTCGAAGACGACGAGGCCATGTTCCGCTTCAACTACCTCAACGAGACACTGAACTGGGCTCTCAAGGCTCCTGGCTGGCGCAAGTCATGGCATGTCGGTGTGCGCGCTACCAAGTCCCGCAAGCTGGTCGCTTTCATCTCCGGTGTCCCTGTGCGTCTCAATGTCCGCGATCGTCTTGTCAACACGGCCGAGATCAACTTCCTGTGTGTCCACAAGAAGCTCCGCAGCAAGCGTCTCGCTCCCGTCCTCATTATGGAAATCACCCGTCGCTGCAACCTCGAGGGCATCTACCAGGCCATCTATACTGCTGGTGTTGTTCTGCCCAAGCCTGTAGCCAGCTGCCGCTACTTCCACCGCGCTCTCGACTGGGAAAAGCTTTACAACGTCGGCTTCAGCCCCCTCCCCCATGGCAGCACAAAGATGCGCCAGATCTCAAAGTACCGTCTCCCCGAACGCACCGCAACCCCTGGCCTCCGCCTCATGCGCGCCGAAGACGCCGACCAAGTCACCTCCNNCCTACTCGAACGCTACATGAAGCGCGTAAAAATGGCCCAAGAGTTCAACAAGGAAGAAGTACTCCACTGGTTCCTCGACAAAGAAACCGACCCAAAGAGCAACAAGCGCGTCGTCTGGACCTACGTCGTCGAAGACGCCGACAAGAAAATCACAGACTTTTTCAGCTTCTACTGTCTCGAGAGCTCGGTTATCCACAATGCTAGCCATTCGAGCACAATTCGTGCTGCTTATCTGTTTTACTATGCCACGGAAAGTGCTTTCGAGACTCAAAACGATGACGATGAAGCCCTCAAGGCTCGTCTTAACTTGCTGGTCAAGGACGCCTTGATTCTCGCTAAACAGGTAAGTCTTTACCCTTTCCTTCCCTTCCTCCTTAACTCCATCCTTCATTCAAGAAACACCACTGACATTTCTACAAGNGCCAAATTCGACGTCTTCAACGCCCTCACCCTCNNCCTCGACAACCCCCTCTTCCTCGCCGACCAGAAATTCGGCCCTGGAGACGGTCAACTGCACTACTACCTCTTCAACTACCGCACCGCGGACTTGCCCTCTGGCGTGGATGCCAAGAACCAAGTGGACGCTAGACAGCGCGGCGGCGTGGGTGTTGTCATGTTGTAGTTTGCTTTGTTTCACTCCCTCTCATCCACATACTCTTATATGTTCTTTAGTGGATGTAAACAAGAGATGAAATCTTCACATGACGTTGAACAAATACTGCTTCGCGGTCCCTTTTTTGTTGCTTTCTTCTGTGTCTGTTTCTGTGTTATCTTCTTCTCTTTTATTTTCTTGGTGAGGCTGATGTGTCAATCAGAAGTGTTTAGCCAAAAAAAGAAAAAAAGAATCGGGAAAGAGCAAGTCAAACATGCCACAAACCAATCGAGCCGGGGTTTGACGAGCGTATCGTGCCTTCCTTTCAACACTCCAGATAAGTTTCCTTTACCTGCTTATGAATACGACAGATGTTCCAAGCGGGCGCTTTGCTTGCGATGTACGACCCTAAACGGGCAGAGGAGCCAAGACGTCTGGATCTTGCCATCCGCCATCAACAATCTCATACTTGCTCAAAGGCCTGGAAGATCACCAACAACAATCACACAGCAAGAACAAAGCACTTATGATTCAAACACCGTCAGACGGAGGTAAAGTATACATTCAGTCATCGTATATAAACTCTCTACCGCTCTCCAAGTCTTCCCTTCCTCATGCTCCCGAAAAGGTACGTTCATCCTCCAAAGCCACCACTCATCATGTATCAAAGTGTCTGTCTGTTGGACGTCAGCAAAGCTGACAAACATCACCGTGGTTCAGTCAAAAATGTTCTCTATTCATGTTTCCGAAGAGATAAGAGGAAGGATCAAAAAATATCATCATGGCCGATGAATCGTGGATAAACCCACCTTGGAAGTCGTAACAAGAATCAGACCGATGATGAGAACATCCAAGCATCCACTGGTATCGACATGGCTGATTGAGATTGGCCCGTGTTCGGAGCCGTGATGTGGTATCGATGCTGAGGTCGACGATGTCTGGGTCGTACGATATAAAGATGGCGGTTGGTAGTTGTTGAGCGAAGGCTGTCGATGATGCCTGTTGGACAGCGATCATGAGGGTGATCGAACGAGACTGATGGCAGGAGCTGTTGTAGATGGCAGACAGGCTTCGATGTATAGCGGTGGTATGTTCGATGCTTGATACACAAGAGTTTCGGAGACTCTTCAAGGGATGATTTAGAGACGAAAGTTCACTCTGCCCCTGAGATGTTTTGTTGTCTTAGAATTTTGGATGACACAACTTTCAAAGTTACCACTCTACAGATCATAATGTGCAACCACAGTGTGCAGAGTATTTCCAGATGTCTCGACACCTTTCTATTTTTTCACCCACGTGGAAGAACGTGGCATCGATTACTCATAGAATTGAACACTTTTCCTTTCTCTCTCTGCTCCTCTTATCCAAACTTCTCTCAAACCCAGTTACTTGCCTTGAACCACCAACCTCAAGCAACTCATCAGCTACAAAGTCACAGATATGGCGCACATCAATATCTCAGGCATTACTGCTTGTCTCAAGATCACTACCACCCACGACAGCATCAACATCCAAATGTCTTCAGGTCGAACCATCACCTTGGTAAGCAACGAACTCGTCACCATCAACATGTCTCTCGACCCACAAGCCCAAACTGATCTCCTCAACACGGAACACAAGCTGATGAGGAAAAATGCCCTGACAGGTACATTGGCAAGCTAAGAGCTAGGTGTCTAATTGACAACCCTATCGTTCGCGGACCGCGACAAAAGAAGAGAAAAATAGAGCATTCAAACCAGGAAGCAGAAGGTCTGAAGGGAAAGGCAAAATTATCTATCACTTACGCGGATCTGCCTAAGCCCACTGCTCCCCCAAACTCCAGGGAAGTGTCTCCTGGAGTTATCGAGGTCAGCGATGATGACAGTGATCTGCATGTGGGCTTTGGTAAGCTCACGGGCAAGACAAGCGTGCCTTCTCGTACGTATGCTTCGGTCGTATATTCGAGTGGAAGAGGCAGCGATACTACGTCTTCAGCTACCTTGGCTAGATCTCCATCGTCGCATGACAACTAAAGATACGGTATCAAAATGCACGGTTGTCTTCGAGAACAGAGATGAGTCCAGAGAGAGAGACAACAAAATTACGACTCTCAGTGGACATCACTCTGTGCTGTAAAAAGACTGTTTATCTCGATGACTACACGAAGAGTCCATAAGGATAGGGGAACAATGCTTTTTGTCTTTGATTTTCTGTTCTCTGCTTGTATCGAGATAATCGAATCTAGACTTCTGCGTTATTTCCTGCTGTTTGCTTCATGGACCTTCTCAACGAGTGCTTTGTTGTCCTATCATGGTAGCATGCACCCGTGTTGCCAACTCGCAGGTACCCTGGGCATTGTTGTCGATGATTCGACTGTAGCTGATCCCATTAGCAAACGCCCAATTCACAATACACTACTGCAACCCCTCATACCTTTGTCAAAGCATCTCCACCTTCTACTACCACCGTCATCGACCTCCTCATCACTCCTCGGTGCTGGCGACAGCGAAGATTCTTGTACCAGTCAAGCTGTAGACGGTCCAGTACACAGCAACAAGGATAGGCGCATAGAAGGCCATGTCAGAGTCGGTGATGGAAGGAAAGAGAGGGGCCAACAGCATGCCAGTCAACATGCCGAAGATGGGGAGACCGGGAAAGACGCCGAAGATGCTGAGGAGAAGGCACATGGCTTGGTAGAGTTGGATGACTGGGTAGAGGCGGAAGAGGTTGTTGATGAGGTTGATGATAGTGAAGGGAGACATTGTTGCTGGAAGATGTTGGCTTGGTGGTGTGTTTGGTGGTGAGGTGGTAGTTGATGATGGAGTGGAGGTTGGTAGTATGAGGATGTGGTTGTGGGTGTGGACGTGAACTGATGCTTGTTTTGTAAGAGAAAATGCCGAGAGTACATCGACGGGTCCACGAAGCGACACAACGATGAAGCTCAATACGCAGAAGGGGTCAGTAGACGTTTCTCGTTCTTCGTTCTTTATGGCAGTTTTGGAGTTGGTATGATGGTCTCGTCACCCCTTTGTCTGTAGCGGAAACCATTAGCAGAAGCTCCATACAACGTTCAGTAAGATGATGTATCTTACAAGAGCGGTAAATGCTTCTTAGAGATAGACCTCTCCATGAGGCACGTAATCGTCCCTGATCAAGATCTTGTCCACATGTTCCTTGGTCATATGCCTCAGATCTGCCACGATATGATATTATTGCTCCCCGTAGACCATGGCAAGATAATCCCTGTACCTTTTGGCATGTGCTAACGCCTGGAGCTCTCTTCTGTCAACTTCATCCTTAAGCTCTTCCAAGCTCCTCCGTGCAAGATCTTGTTTGGCAGAAGTCTGGTTCCAAGTGATCATAATGTAGACGGCGAGGACCAGGATAACGAACCAGTGGTTGGTAGCCAGAAAGCACGAGATATCGAGCACCACAGAACAGATTATCAGTAACGAAGAGAGACCACAGATAACAGGAAACATATGGTCAGGCGAGAGTTTTGCGCACGCGAAGAACCCAATTGCGACGAGCATAGTGCCTGCTTTCATTGCCCAATCAAGATAGATGACCGTACAGACCATGGCTCTCTTAGTGGTTGACCTTATGTTTTGCCAGTAATGGATCTGGTTACGTCCACTCTTTGGCGATAGTGTAATTTGAGCCGAAGTATGGCAAGTGTTCTGTAACTTTGTCAGTCAACTTGTATGCCTCCTCGAGATTCGAAAGAAGATGAACCTGGTCGATTGAGCAGAATTTGCTGTAGATGACGCGACTAGCTCATGAGTCTTGAGGTTGGGGATCGGTCGAGGCACTTACTGTATTGTCAAAAGCCAGATGTGATTAGCCTCGCTGAGCAGAGATTTTACGTGCGACGAGTAGCCGCGTGCAATCTACTTGGTTTGAGACTATGATGTTGGTTGAGCTGCTTAGGGAGTGTTGACAAAATTTGATGTGAACGTTTGTGTTTCCATTCGATGCACGTATAGTGTGCGGAATCTCGGCTGCCTCTTTGTTCACTCCCTTCTGCCCCACTGCTCTATGTGACACAACAAGCAAGATAATGTCTTTCCAATGTAAGGGTACCAATATTCCCTTGGTACATCTCTCGTATCCCGTAGAACCCAGTCAGTAGAGCTTGTAGCTCGAAACACTTAGAACAGAGCCCAGCTGGCTCCTCGTTGCAGACTGGATGCTATCCTCAGCCTCCCGATCTGCTCCCCTAATTCCCCTCTCTCCCCTGCTTGACTACTTGCTTCTACATACTCTTGGACTTCTTGCCCTTGCTTGAGTTTTCAAACTGCTTATCAAGTTCTTTGACATACAAGTCGAGTTCCTCCTGGTCCCCAGCCAATCGGAGAGACACCTTTTCGCCTTTTAAAGCCTGCTTGAAAGCCTGGTAAGAATGCCACATCTCGGTGACAATGATGGTCAAGATGACGAGGAGGTCCATGAGGGCCAAAATGATGCAACAAGACCAGTAATTGGGGACCAGATCCAAATTCATGTAAAGCATACCGATGGAGTATATTAGGAACAAGGCGACGAAAGAGTAGTGAATGGTCCAGATATTGACCGTAGCGCCTCCGTGGATGAGCATGAGCATGAGCATGGAGACGGTGGCGAGATAGAACAGAGTGTTTTCCAACACTGGACTTGCAGTCTTGGAGATGGAGTCAAGATAAGGGTTGGTTCGGCATGGTTGATCAGTTGCTTGACTTTGCTGAACTACGACTATCGTATTGGAAGGTTGAGAGGAAGTAATGCACCTTCTGACTTCTGCCAGCGCGCTGATGCGAGATACTTGCTGGTCGGTTCCTGTTTGCCTGCTAATGAGGGACTGTTTACTCAGACAGGAGGTTGATGGATAATGTGGACTCGGCAACTTGGAATGCAGATTTTGCGGCTAGAAAGTGCGGTGCTGGTTGAGCGAGGGACTTTTGTTGAAAGCCGAGTCTCCGATGCAATTTAGACAGTGTTTGACAGGGTGCCGCGGTAAGATGTGAGCTATAGCTACGTCCTTGATGATTGTGATTAGGTTGCGGCTCCTTGCTGTGCGGCGATTGTGTGCTCGACAGGAGAGGAGACGGAGGTTGCGAAAGAAGGCGCGGCATCAGTAGTTCTGTCTAGATGAGGCTGTGTAATTCTTCGTTCGATATCAAAATGGAAGGAGCGATGAAGCTATCCCTATCCGGTTCAGCACAGCAGAAATCTTGAGTGTTATGACGGATGGAAAGAATCACTTACATCAGAGACAGAGCATGAAGATCCTTCTGGAGATGTGTTTCTCTCTGGAAACACAACCAGTGCAGTGAATATAATGCTGCCAACGTTATGGTATCGCTTATCACATGCCACTTCACCACCCTCACTACCTTTCACCCCTGATAAACTGCCTAATTTACATTTTCCTCAGGTAGTGTCCTGGATGGTGTAGTGGTATTACTATACACCTGAATAGCCATGAATACAAACGCCTAAGCCTTCAACACCCGATTGGGTGAGCTTTAAACTAGTTGGCCGGCGGGTTCGATTTCCATCAGTGACGAGGTAAAAGTTTCGCACTTTCTTCAAGGTTGTTTGTCCCAGGGCAGAGAGGTTCGTAGGACCACCCTGGTTCTTTTGCTCTTTTTGGATGGTGTTTTTGTCTTTGTGCTTCTCTTGCTGCAGGAGAGAGAGTTTCTCGGCACAAGATCAATCGAAGACTATGATCATTCTCGAAAAAGTTTTGGTGGTCTGGATGACATAATCATGATTATCACTGTTCTGATCCGAATATTCTTATCATGATGGGTTGCCTGAGCGGAGTTACTTTTCATGTTCATGCATTAAGAGGTGTTTATCAAGCGACAATCTTGGCGAATTATGGTGCAGGTTTGATCAACGACAACATTCCGACTTATTTGACCATTTTCGAAGGACATACGTACTGATCAGCCCAATTTCCAAGATCGAATAGAAACCTGGTGTTTGGTTGGTGGATTTCGAGGTTGAAGGATTTTGTTATTGAGCACCAGAAATGGAAATGCGACTCAGCTTATTGATGCCAGAATGCGGCCTACCAAAACAACGGCAACTGGGTAGTTTTGTCAACCCTCCAATGACAACCACTATGGGGTACAAAGCAAGACTTATGTCCAAGACAGTTATTGTATCGAGTATTGAACTGCCGAGTCTGTGCCTTGTACAATCCGCGAGTAATGTTGCCTTGCTAATTTCCTCATCGTGGGTCGAATACAGCCTCTCGAGAGACATCCTTTGAGACGTTATTGTCGAGTTATCGAGTTCCACGAGGTCGACGCCTGCTCTCGTCCAAAGTGTGATCCTAGGCATGGCTAATGTGGTCCTTTGTCAAGTCTTATTGATATACTGTTGCAACACTAAACAGATCAGCGAAGAAACATAAAAGAGGCATCGCCATCAACAACTGATCAACCACTCACTATCTGAGTATCTCTTACACTCTCTTGTCCAGACTCGATACCCGTCATGAAGTTCACCACCGTCGCACTCGCCGGTCTGGCCACTGTCGCCATGGCCTCCCCTGCCGCCGAGGCCAACCCTGCACCCCAGCCTCAGCCCGAGGCTGCTGCTGACCCAGCTTTCTCCTCCTGGGGTAAGAAATACCACCCCAAACTTTGGAACGGCTGGGGCGATGCTCCCGGTCAGGTCTACCGTCGTGAGGCCGACCCTGCATTCAGCTCTTGGGGCAAGAAGTACCACCCTCACATCTGGAACGGATGGGGTGATGCTCCCGGTCAGGTCTACCGCCGCGAGGCTGATCCTGCATTCAGCTCCTGGGGCAAGAAGTACCACCCTCACATCTGGAACGGTTGGGGTGATGCTCCTGGACAAGTCTACCGCCGTGAAGCCGACCCTGCTTTCTCATCCTGGGGAAAGAAGTACCACCCTCACATCTGGAACGGCTGGGGTGATGCCCCCGGCCAGGTCTACCGTCGTGAGGCCGAGGTTTCTGGCACTGCCTCTGCTACCGGAGCTGCCAAGCCTGCTGAGACTGGCGTCTCCGCTGAGGAGGAGGAGAAGGCTAACTTTAACTTCGAGCGCCGTGACCCTGCCTTCTCATCCTGGGGCAAGAAGTACCACCCTCACATCTGGAACGGCTGGGGTGATGCTCCCGGTCAAGTCTACTAGACGCACCCTTTCGAGCTAGAGGATTAGTGATTCGTTGCTGGATCTTAGCCGGAATCGGCCATAGCTGTTTTTGCTTGAGTTAACCCTTCCTCATTTTCTTATTCTTCCATTTGCATATTTCGCGTTGTCGGAAGGTGAATCATTGCACTTCTGGCATGTTTTCTGCGAAAACAAAAGGACAAGGATTTTGCTCTGGATTTAGTAACCTTGCTGGTATCAAAGATTCTTGTCTGTACGTTTTGTGCTTTCGTATCTCTTGTGAGCCCATGTTGTTGTGAATTGTGAAAAATCGAATCCCATCTTAGTTGTTTGGTGTTGCAGTGACAGAAGATGAAAACTATGTAGTCAGGTGCGATGCTGTGACAGGCCTACCAATATCTACTGTAACGGTCAAGAAGATTGATCGCAGTCTGGAGATAGCGGCGAGAGCAATTTGATGAGACCGAGACCACTCTTTTAGAAGTGGTGTTGGAATGTTCATTCTGTAGACATGGTTTCGGTCACAGAATGTGATGTTCGGACTTTGTACAATGGAGTCGGCCGCCAGTGGTGGATGATGGTTGCGACACGGGTACGAGCTGCCGGGAGTGTGAGCAATCTCCGCTCAGGCCGGAACACACACTGATACGGTCATGAAGAGAAGCAAAGAGAAGACAGCACGCAGGGCGGGATGGGCAACAGGCAGTCCGAACGCTGAGGCGGATCTACGGCTGGTGGTACAACTCAGCAGATGGATATCACGTTGGGGCAGTGGTCTGAACAGAACAGAGATGGGTTGACGTTACGAGTGCCCTGATGGACAGGTGAAGCAAGCAAGATAACAACAGCTCTCTCGGCCCGATCGCGGCGGGCAGCACCCTGGAAACGTGAAGAAAGTGAGTCGAAGTCCGATGGCCTGTGCTCAGGCTCAGCAGCTTTGTTGGGTGCTTAGGAGGGGTTGAGGGCTCAAAAAGTCCTGCTGTCCACCACCGCCATCTCTCTCTTCCCTCTCTACATCCACAAACCACATCACAAATGTAAGAAAACACCTTCCTCTACCTCCCCGGATACTCTAGGAGCTTGACACGGTCGTCAATTGCGGGGCCCGTACGGGGACCTTGAACCATGAGCTTGAGCTCTCCGTTTCTGCCCGAAGACAACACTCCTCCGGTCTTCACTACGGCCCTGCTTGACCCTGCTATAGCCGAGGACCCTGTTCTATGAGCATTGGACATCGTCCTTGAGCTACAGCCTTGTCTGCTCCAAGAGATCTTCATAAGAACCCCGCATCTTCACCCTCATAGCCTCCTGGCCCCTCGACTAACACACCCTCTTTCAGCATCATGCCTATCCAGAAGATCCACGCCCGCCAGGTCTACGACTCTCGTGGTAACCCCGTTCGTACTCCCCTGCTACTCTCCTTGGATCAGGATGGTTGGTGTGGAGAGGGTCGCTCTGCCCTCTCCCTCACGAATCTGCCTGATCCGCACCGAGTACCACCCATTTTGTTGCACTCATAGCTGACTTATTGGCCAATTTGAAGACAGTTGAGGTCGATATTGTAACCGTTCGTTCGCCAGATAACGCCTTTGGATGAGCTAGAATACTGATTCTGGCTACAGGAAACTGGTCTCCACCGCGCCATCGTCCCCTCCGGTGCTTCCACCGGCTCCCACGAGGCCTGCGAGCTCCGTGACGGCGACAAGACCAAGTGGGGCGGCAAGGGTGTCCTCAAGGCCGTCGCCAACGTCAACGATGTCATTGCTCCCGCCCTCATCAAGGAGAACCTCGACGTCAAGGACCAGAGCGCCGTCGACAACTTCATGAACAAGCTTGATGGTACCACCAACAAGACCAAGCTTGGTGCCAACGCCATCCTCGGTATCTCCATGGCCGTCGCTAAGGCCGCCGCCGCCGAGAAGCGTGTCCCTCTCTACGCCCACATCTCCGATCTTGCCGGCACCAAGAAGCCCTACGTCCTCCCCGTTCCCTTCATGAACGTCCTCAACGGTGGCTCCCACGCCGGTGGCCGTCTCGCCTTCCAGGAGTTCATGATCGTTCCTTCGTAAGTCTTTGCATCAACAGCATTCTCCATCAAGCATTGGCTGACTATCTCTTTCAGGGACGCCCCTACCTTCACCGAGGCCATGCGCTGGGGTGCCGAGGTCTACCAGAAGCTCAAGTCCCTCGCCAAGAAGAAGTACGGCCAGTCTGCTGGTAACGTTGGTGACGAGGGTGGTGTTGCCCCTGACATTCAGACCGCCGAGGAGGCTCTCCAGCTCATCACCGAGGCCATCGAGCAGGCCGGTTACACTGGCAAGATGAACATTGCCATGGACGTTGCCTCGTCCGAGTTCTACAAGGTTGACGCCAAGAAGTACGACCTCGACTTCAAGAACCCCGAGTCGGACCCCGAGAAGTGGGTTACCTACGAGCAGCTCGCCGACCAGTACAAGGAGCTCGCCTCCAAGTACCCCATCGTCTCCATCGAGGACCCCTTCGCTGAGGACGACTGGGAGGCCTGGACCTACTTCTCCAAGGTCTACGACCACCAGATCGTTGGTGATGACTTGACCGTCACCAACCCCTCTTTCATCAAGAAGGCCATCGAGACCAAGGCTTGCAACGCCCTCCTCCTCAAGGTCAACCAGATCGGTACCATCACCGAGGCCATCCAGGCCGCCAAGGACGCCTTCGGTGCCAGCTGGGGTGTCATGGTTTCTCACCGCTCCGGTGAGACCGAGGATGTTACCATCGCTGACATTGTCGTCGGTCTCCGCGCCGGCCAGATCAAGACCGGTGCCCCCGCCAGATCTGAGCGTCTCGCCAAGCTCAACCAGATCCTCCGTATCGAGGAGGAGCTCGGTGACAACGCCGTCTACGCCGGTACCAAGTTCCGCACCTCTGTCAACATGTAAATAACTGCATTTGATGACACTGGAGTAATAAAGGACAGAGGACGGCCAGGAATTTCTTATTGCGCACACGTTATATCCCCTTTCTTAAAAATTTGACGACGACAAGAATAAAACACAGTTCAAACACATCTACCTTTACTTGCCTGAATTGATGCCATTGACGTGATTGTTGTGTTCTCCTTGAAGTTGTTGATAGACAGACATGTTGCATAAAAAGTTGTGAAAGACGCGGAGTCGGCGATGGGCTTGGCAGGTGCGGCGGACTTTTGAAAGTCGACGGGCACAAGCACGAGCAGGCATGGTATAGGTAGTCCCTGTCGCAACATGTCTGGATCAATCTGTCTGCGGTGCCTGGCCAGGCCGGCAGTGGGCACACTAGAGCAGAGCTCACTACGAATCACCGCACAAGCAACAGCCGCATTCTCAACCAGCGCCGCGCTGGAAGCCAACTCTGCCGTCAAGAAGAAGAGCGTCTCGGTCGTCAAGCCCGGCCGTGGAGCCAACGCCTCATTCAGCAAGGCCCAAGGGAAAATCCGCAAGGGACAGCCTGGAGGACGAACGGGCAAGCCGCCGGGCGAGGGCGAGCGCAAGGCCATGCGCAANAGAGTCGTGCTGTCCAACACCAACGCCGTCGAGGTCCAGGGTCTTGACAACTTTTCGGCCACCAACATTTACGATGCTGCGATTGAAGGGCAGGTCATGGGGCTTAGCAACGAGGTCATTGATGCTCTGCGCGCGACTGAGGCCTTTAAGCCTACCCAAGGATGGAGCCTTTTCCGAAGACCGGCTACTCTGGTGCGCAAGGAGACGGCCGAGCTTGCTAGATTGATGAAGGATATCGAGGCCAACAAGACTTCGGTGCGTCGTGTCATATACGGAGAGCGCGGCTCGGGAAAGAGTGTTCTGGCTCTGCAGGCCAAAGCAATGGCTCTGCTCAAGGGCTGGATCGTCGTACACATCCCCGAAGGTAAGCACCTGCCAGAGACACAGAGACCAAAAGAGCACGACAAACTGACCGCCTCATCACANGCCAAAGAGCTCATCCTCGGAAACTCGTCCTACGCACCCTCGACCGAACCCGGCATCTACAACCAACCCCACTTCACCGCCGCCCTACTCGGCCAAATCGCAAAAGCAAACCACACAGTACTCGCCAAACTGCGCCTTTCCCAGAAACACGAGCTATCCATCCCCGTGCAATCAAACATCTCGCTCGACCGTTTCGCCATGATGGGCGCCCAAGACCCAGAAATCGCCTGCGAAATCTACACTGCACTGTGGGCTGAACTGACATCTCCCTCACAAGAAGGAGAAGGCCTTGCTCGTCCTCCAGTGGTGTTTACCGTCGACTCCATCGCACACGTCATGCGCGACTCGGCATACATGGACCCCGATGTCCAGCCCATCCACGCCCACGACTTGGCAATCGTGAACCACTTCTTCAAGTTGCTGTCGGGCAAGCAAGCCCTTCCCAACGGCGGCATGGTCTTTGCCGCAGACTCGGGCAGCAACAGACCCACGATCCCCGGTTTCGACCACGCAATTGCGCGTAATGCCGCCCTCGCACAAAAGAAACAGGCTCCTCAATGGGATCCTTGGGTCAAGGTTGACCAGCGAAGCATCGATGTGCTGAATGATGTGGATGTCTGGCAGATCAAGGGATTGACCAGGGAAGAGGCCCGTAGCATCATGGAGTACTATGCCAAGAGCGGCATGCTGCGTCAAACCGTCAACGACAACTTGGTCGCAGAGAAGTGGACATTGAGTGGTGGTGGTATCATCGGCGAGCTCGAGAAGGGCACTGTCAAGACTCGCATCTAGAGGACTCCAAGAACGTTTAGATGTAAGATGTACTTTCTGTATGTATTATTCTACTTGTACAATTCGAGCAAGACTTCGAAAAATACTGGACGGCGTTTTGTTTATTGATCTTCTCTAGAGGCTCTGGTCATGGTCCCACTTGATTGCATCAAAGCTTCAGTATCTGGCTTGTGCCAAGGTTTCGTTCTCAAACTCATGCTTATCAAAAGACAGAATGCGACAAAAGATTCAAGTCATTTCTAGGGACACCGATTCAAGAACTTGAGGTTGAACAACATAGGTATTAGGTTGCTATCTATGAGACTCTTAATTTACGACCCCGCGTCATGCTTCATGTCATCACCATACTCAAGGCCTGGACGAGATGTGCTGGGAATCTGACGGTGCCTGAGCCTCGACAGACTTCTCAGGTGCGTTGTGCTGGGGGACTTTTGAACGAGGCTCAGTAGCTGCTTCATGCTTTTCGACCAAGACAGGCAGCGGAGTCTGCGTCAAGCTGGCGACAGAACTATCAGGCTTGTCGGCTGGGTTGGGCTGCATGGTCTGTGGTTGTGTAGCGGCTGGTGCTTCGTGCTTCTCAGATGAGATAGGCTGAGGAGTTTGAGTCTGGCTCAAGACAGAAGTTACAGGCCTCTCAGGTGCAACGGGCTGGACACTCTGTGGCTGTGTGACAACCGGTGCTGGCTGCGTAACGACTGGTTCCGGCTGCGTGACAACTGGTGGCTGGGCAACGACTGGCGGTCGAGTGGTGACCAGTGCTTCGGGCTTCTCACTATGCTGGGAGATCTGTTGTGCCTCAGCAGGTCTGTCAACCTTTTCAGGCGAGATGTGCTGAACTGTCTGTGTCTGGACAATGGACGGCACGATAGACTTCTCAAGCGATGTGTGCTGTGGATGCTCCGTCTGAGTATCGACAGGCCCTTGAGACTTCTCGAATGAGTTGCGCTGGGGAGTCTGCTGAGCAATGATAGGTGTTTCGAGTTTCGCCGGCGTGGTGTGTTGAGCAGCGTGTGTCTGCGTCTTGATAAAGTGTCCAGATTTCTCAGGTGGAATGTGCTGAGGTTTTGGTATATGGCCCATGACAGATGCTTCATGCTCTTGAGGCGAATGGTGTAGAGAAAACTGTGTTTGAGTATCGGCTCCTTTGTGGTGCTCAGATGGGACGTGCAAGGGGTTGTGTGGGTCAGGTGAGCCCTCAGGTCTGAGATGGTCCCTGCTGTCCATGTTGCTCAACTCGTGTCTGCAGTCCTCCCACCAGGCCGTGCTTCGAAGCTCAGCCTCGTTACGATGTATGTCCTCCTAGGCTTTACTGTCGTGATAAGGGTTGTCGAGGTTACCGTCGTCGTCGTCATCATCGTTGTCCAGATCGCTCTCGACACCATGATGGTGAAGGTCGACGGTCTCGCCCTTCTGCTCGCGTTCCAAGTTCTGCTGGTGCCATTCCTGGTAGCGGTGAGGCGTATCGACATCGCGATGGTAAAGTCTAACGTCGTAGTGTTCTGGCCATGTAGGCAGCTTGGCCAACTCTTCAGCAACGGCTGTGCTGCGATGGCGTCCCCTGACGCAGGCCACAGCGACCTTGACTTCAACCGGGTGGACGCTGTGGTCTTGGGTGTTGAACATCAAAGCTCTTTTTGTCTCTGCGGCCTCAAAGATCTGAGGTTGTGCTTCGGCAAGCAGTTGGTGGAAGGCGGGATCTGCGCGTAGGTCTTTGCGGAGGCCCTCACAACGACCATCGAAGGCTTTGCGGAGCTCAGATGGTGGATTGACGAGGCGGCAGGCATTGATGTGAACGTCGGGCTCGAAGCCAAGGGGTGGGCCTTTCAAAGCATAGCTAGTAATGCTAAGATTGGTGCTCTTGGGTGTAATAGTAGCGGGGTTGGTGTTGGAGAGCATTGCAGGGGTGTACGAATGGATGGATTATGGTATATGTAAGAAGGATTGATAAGGCTTGATGTTGGATGAACAGATCAGGGAGTTTGTTTGAGTTGAGGTTGGAGGGATAGAAGCATGCGAGAAGTTGGAAAGCACGATGCTCGCCCACAAGCACTTACACCTGCCTTTCGATGTCATGCCGTTGTCATGCCGTTGTCATCGATTTGGTATGGAAGGAACGAATGTCCGCTGTTAGTTCCGTAAAACACGCAGCTCTCCTAGAATGCTTAGAAGCACAGCGGACTTGGCGTCCTCATAGCTAGGTCACGCTGACCTCTGTTATAGAGTGCTCTTCGTGTGGACGAGGAAGGTTTCTTGCAACTCAAGGGTCTCTGTTGATCTTCGAGCTCGAGGGAGCCGAGGTTCTTCCTGCAGTGCGCCCTACTTTCCAGCACTGCCCATGACATCGCAAGTTTGCAACAACATCAGTAGCATCCATGTTGCGCTCCCGGTCAGATCCGTCGCTCCTTCACGTTTGATCACCATGGTATGCATGGGTATAGAACGAGCCGAGAGAGTAAGCGATTTGTGCTGTAAGCGCTTGGAATCTCGTGGCTGCCAGCACTCACCTGCTATTCGCTATCACCTCCGCTTCTTCACACAGCTTGCCTGCATGCCGCCTCGACTCCAGACCATGCATCTTGGTGTGACTTGTCCTGCCATGGGCGCTTACACTCCAGAATCACAATGGCAAATTTGCCATTCCGAGAGCTTGACCATTATTAAGCAGTGCTTTTCGACATCGAGAACGGGTCACGAATTTGTCTGCACCGTCTTCTTCATCTAGCACATCTCCGGTCAAATCAACTCGTGCTTTTATATCGTTGGTTCACGTGTCAGCGTTCTATTTACAAGGCACCCCGCCGTGCGGTCGATCAGATCCCAAGCGCCTATTTTAGAAACCAGCCCCTCTCGAGTCAAGTCTGACCTATCAGCGGCACGAATCAGCATCTGTAAGAGGTCAGTTACCGCTTATTTTTCTTGTACCGGGGTCGCACATCTGTTGGCGCTACGAGCCAGCCCCCAAATCTGACTACCTCTGGCTTTGGGCGTTTAAGGTGTCAAAAGCTTGCCATCTCCTGCACCGTTCTCTCCACATTCCTTCCCATCATATGCTATAAACCTTTACTGTACTCGGTTTTCCCCCAGTATCCTTCTCCTAGTCTTGCAAACAGAAAAGTACCGAGCTGGGCTCTCGAGTCGTGTTTCCTCTTGATACCCTCTGGAACCATCTCACGTCAGCCCCATTTTGGTTTTGGAAGCATGAGTACCAACGGCAGTCAAGTACCCACAGATAGCGACCCTACAAGACCTCGAGCTCAATCCACGAACTCGTTCGCTTCGTCCTTCAAATCTCCACGAGTCGCTCGTTTCGTCGAAGCGACGACCGTCAACTCACCCATCGACCCACCTCGATCATCTTCCATAGCTGTACCAACAAACCACTTTCGACCGCAGCCACAGCCATCTGACATCGGATTCGGGTATATTGATGACAAGCACACTTCGCACGTAACAGTCGAAATGGAAGACACAGATAACAACCATCTACCTCGAGGTAGAAGCGAGGCACCTTTGAGCCCACCTCTCAAAAGTGCAATGAAGACACCTGGAATGGCTCCGAGAAATTTTGGTAACCTCATGAGCCCCACCTTCAGAGAGGAACACGTCTTGGAGGAGAGAGAACTTGCTACTGAAAAGGAGCAAGCTAAAGATCTCGTGAGTGTTCATCGCGGGAAGATGACTCTCACACATCACTGATATGTCAATCAGAAAATCAAAACACGAGTTCGTGCGGCGAAAATGTTCTTGAGAAGCATCAACTTCGCGTGCTCACTCATTGTCTTGTCTATGCTTGGAACGACATTCGCAATCTTCAATGCAACCAAGAAGCTGTCACCTCGAAGTAATCTNCCTCCGTGGGCCGTCGGTACGAATCCATGGCCCCAGATCGTTCTGCTCGTTATTGCATGTATATCGATGGTATTCTGCATTGGTATATTCTGGGGATACTGCAAAGGCGGGCACAAGAGAGCCGAGAAGGTCCAAACTTACTACACTGTCTTCGCTGTCGGATTCTTCGCCTTCAGCGTCGTCATGTGGGGAATTGGCGCTGGTATTCTCAATACCACTCGAACCAACAGCAACGGACAAGATCTTTGGGGCTGGTCCTGCAAGGAGAACAAGCGCAAGGAACTTTTCGCTGATGATGTCGACTACGCCCTGGTCTGCCGTTTGCAGAATTGGTCTCTGGTGTGTGCAGTGATCGAGATCGTTGTCGAGCTGTGTGCAATCGGCTGTTACTCGTTCGTGTTCTACCGCATTTGGTCGAAGAGAAAGCTGCGCAAGTCTATGGCTGTCCGTGACCGCGCTCGCTCAGATCTTTATCTTGCTCAACTGCGTTCTCAATCTGCACCAAACACACCTGGTCTGAATGGACCTCTGAGCCCGAGAGACGGTGGTTGGAGGCCGCCTGTCGATTACTACAAGGCCGGTCCATCAGTTGAAGCCGGGCTTGTGGAAGACGAGGGTGTCAGATATGTTGATGCTTCTCAGCAACCCCCGGCTCCGAAGCCATTCGTACTGCGACCACCTCCCACCAAGGGTTCGACACCAAAGATTCAGCAGACCGGCTTCACTCCCCTCAACTACACTTCACCAGCAGATTCGAGGTCTCCTTCACCAGTCCAAGCACAACCTACGGAACAACAGCAAGAACACTTTGCTGCAGCTCCTGGTGAACGGGTCTATGAGTCTGTGCCGATTCCTGGTTCTTATGCAAGTCCTTTGAACTCGCCGACAGTCGCACCAAGACAGATGAGCTTCCCTCAAGTGAGTAGGCAGCTGTGATCCGTTTCCATAATATGACCATAATATTCTTTTTCCTTTTAATGGAGTCTCGAATATTCATTCAAATTTGGAGATACCACTCGGAGTTGGGCAGGACTCGGCCTTGCGTAGCCACCAATCTAGTGTTAGAACATCCATATCTCGATATATATCCAGTCCAACAAGCACTGAATTTCTCTATCTGTCGGATGAAGCTATGTTTGGCACGTCTTCAATCTTCTAGTTTTCTTGGCGGGAGAAGCATAGGCAACGCGGAAGCTTGACTTTGCTTGTCTCTTCCGCCGGCTCCTCCGGATGTCACCAAATCCAATGAGATAGGCACGGAGATGTACAGGTAATAAAACGTCAGGTACGAACATGTCGGCGATACTAGGAGAGAAGTCGCTCCTTCCGACTGGACACTGTTATCGCAACACAAAGATTAGCAGGAGCGAAGGGCCACTGCGGCTTGACCACGTGCTTCTACACATGCGCTCAACGAGAAAGTGTGATGGAAGGTGCATGTTCGAAGGACCTCCAACATCGGCTTCCTCAAACGGCGGGCAACAGCCAAATACTCCGTCCTCTTGTTCGATTGTCAGCAAGGCCAAACTCTTGTTTTCGTGGTATGGCCGCCGGGCCGAGAAACGAAATCAATGTCTCTTCTCCACGAAATCTCAAACGGATTTTTAACCTTTTTGACGTCACCGCAGTTCCGCGGTAGTGACAGCGCCGAACAACCCAATTATTGCGATTGTGGCAGTGTTTATACAGAGAGGAGGACCAAATGGATGCATTTGTCTTTGATCTCTTCTCCTCCATCACCTTTTGGTAAAACCTTGTCACAATCTCCAATCATATCGACATCGATAATCTGCCGCTCTCACGTAATCCCCACACGCGCTCTTGCATACCCGGGGGAACTTTTGAAGTATCGGATAACACGCCATAAGATCGGCTCGAATGCCTTTACCACCATGGATTTCTGGAAGCAAGAGCAAGGCGCCGGCTCCTAGCCATGGCTTCTTGTCTGGCGATGGCAAGGTCCGGAATCCCAAGAAGCCCAAGGCCCGTCCGCCCAAGTCGTTGCGAGAGACCGTGCTCTTGCCAGTGAGAGCGTTGCCAGCATATTCCGGACCATACTCTGTAGGAACCATGGAGATTGAAGTGCCTGTCGAACATGCTCGAACGTTTACCAACATCACGCGGAAAGGAAACCACGTACTGCAATTGAAGACTGTGCTGTTGACGATATACTACCCTGCTTCTCCGCCTCAAAAGAAACGTCCATCTCGACAACTATGGCTGGGTCGACCTCGAGTCAGTATGGCAACAGGGTATGGGCAGTTTGCCAGCGTCGGATCTCTTGGCGTGGCAGTGTTTCTACCCACGATGTTCACAAAGCTTCCGGCATTTCGAAATGCTCCGATATCGTCTCAATGGCCTCCTGAGTCTACAAATAAGCCCGGAGAAGAAGACAACAAGTCTGGTGAAACCACGGAGGAAGAGGACCAAGACGAAAAGGACGAACCTACGGACACTCCACCAAAATTCCCTCTGATGATCTTCAGTCATGGTCTAGGGGGCACCAAAACTGCTTACTCGAGTGTTTGCGGTGAGGTAGGCGAGATCGGATTTTCTCAGCAAGGAACGTACCTAACCTAGTACAGNTTCGCGAGTTATGGATTCGTTGTAATCGCATTGGAACATCGAGATGGCAGCGGACCTCGCAGCTTCATCAATCAACCAGGAACTGGTGAAGTCCGATTCGACAAGGCCGGTGAGCAACGAGATCCAGAGAAACATCATAGAAAGCATGAGGATACGCACTACGACATGATTGTAAGTATCGATCTCGGAAAAATAGTGGGTTCCCCTGGCTAACGCATGAACAGNGATTACCTCTTTCCNAAAAGGTTCGTTTCAGTTGTCCTTGAGTATTTGACATAGGTACTGACATAACAAGACAATCCTATGGATACGAGTCCGACCAATGATAAAGGTGTTGATCGTGAACTTAGAGGAGGTCAGCTGGATCTGCGCTTGGCAGAGATCGAAGAAGCTTACAAGGTCATAAACATCATCAACGCCGGTAGAGGTGAAGAAATTGCCGCGAAGAATATGCGCCAGAAGGGCTACAAGGCTTCGAGTACTCACGGTCTAGACGGCGTCGATTGGGCAACCTGGAAAGAGAGGGTCAATACTCAGTTCGTCATTGCCGCTGGACACTCCTTCGGCGCGGCAACTGTTGTGGATATGCTGAGGCACGAAAAACGATTCCACTGGGTTGCGCAAGGCATTATTTACGACATCTGNGGGGTAAGTTAGACACTTCTCAACCAAAGATCTGTACTGACCTTGTTTCTTTACAGAAGTGGCACACGGCCAGCAGCCGAGGAAGACCAGAAAATCCAAGCACCACTTCTTGCCATCAACTCGGAAGCTTTCACATACTGGCCATCCAACTTCGACCTTGTATCAAATCTGGTAGAAGAAGCTCACCCATGTCCAGCGTGGCTCATGACTGTCCGTGGAACGATACATGTCTCACAGTCCGACTTTTCATTATTGTACCCCAACGTCTGTTCGCTCCTTCTGAAAGCAAGCGCCGATCCCGAACGAGCTCTGGATATCAATGTCAACGCATCGTTGGAGTTCCTACAGATGGTGATGCCATCGATACCACTTCGCATCAAGAAGGCATTCCCCAACGAGGAGCTATTACAAACAGAAACCCACCACCTCGAGGATATCCCTCAAGTCGACCTGCACAAACCGAAGGATGAGAAGTGGATGGCAGCCAGATTGCGCATACCACACGAATTCACGTGGCGCGTTGCTCCCGGGTTGGCGAGAAGGATGGCGCGGAGGAAGATTTGCGAGGGAGGCGGTTCGCCAGACGATGAGATTTGGTTGCACTGCAAGCCAGTGGAAGGGACGGTCGAAAAATACAACAGCACTGTGGACAGAAGGAAGGCGAAGGACCCAAAAGATGCGAAAGCAGAACCTGGGTCTGTGGGTCCGAACGAAGACACAAAGGAGAAGCCGGGATGCAAGGAATGGAGAAACTGATGTTGATAACTAATGTAGATATGAATCTGTTTTGTGGCAAGCAAAGCCAGCTTGTCTTTCTACATGTCCCTGACTTTTCTTTCGATACTTGCTTTGGTCTCTCGAGAAGCGCTTGGTAAAGGTTGCATGACCAAAGTGTTTGGTCTGAAGGGACTAGTTGTCAGCGATTCAGACTTTGAGGTCGTAGCTGTGATTGTGGTGGTCTGCCAGCCAAAAGAAAAAAAAAAGTTCAGTCGAACAGAAGAAAACAAGAAAGTGCTCTTGGACATCAGATTTCCATACAACAGGACGATCAGTGATAAATATTAGGGGATGATGATCTTTTAAACAATCTAGTTCTTGTTTTTATTTAGTGGATTCCAACTCAAACATGGTTATCCACAGCAAATTTCATAGCTGCTAAAGTATTAGACCGAATGTGAATTGACACCTTCATTGTGACAACGACATCCATATTGCAATATCTATCTCTTGATTTACAAAACAACAAACCAGGATTAACAAGACAACAATCAGAGCTGTCGAAGGATATTGACCAGGAGATGGCAAGACCAAGTCAATGGCTGACATTATATACTTAGCAAACCAGAAGCTGAGTCAAGGATTGATTTCCTTGAAAAATTCAGCTGAGTGGCGCAGCGGAAGGTTCGTAACATTTAAACACACTCAATCTCTTGAACTCATCACTAACTCATAACAGCGCGCCGGGCTCATAACCCGGAGGACCTTGGATCGAAACCAAGCTTAGCTATCATAACTTTTTGGCCATGCGAGGACACCAAGCTGTTGTTTTGCTCTGCAAAGATATAGGGTGTATGGTAATTTATCTGAACAAACCTCAGCCTGGCCAAGGGCTACGGATCGAGTCCCAGCGTGCTCCAATTGCCAAAAGACATGGCTCGTCTTTTTCACATTTTGATGCCGAATTTGTTTGTTATGACTCAAATTTCCTAGATAGGAAACGCGTCGATCACCGGAGATGGCTCCGCTCGCTGTGACTTCGCTTTATGCTTCGAGACAGCATCAATGTTCTTTCCTCTGTCAATCGCACAAAAAGCGATCGTTTGATCAAGGCAGTTGCGAACAACGTCAATGAACTGCGCTCCTGCTATCCTGGTAGCCATGAAGATGTGTGACATATCTTCTCTGTCAATTCGGGTAGGTGCATTCCAAATACGTTGTCCATCTACATTCCTCTCCGTTTCTAGGACCAATTCCTCTACATCTCGTTACCTGGGAAGCAGTGCAAGAGTCTTACTCTGTCAACAATAAACAGATCTATTTCTCTACAAGCATATTGAGGAGCCTCTTCGGGATGTCTGTCGTCCAAAAATTATCCACATCTCTATCGCCATATTGTTGTCTGCCATCACAAGCCATAACTTGAGACCCTACAACACTCGATCATCATGCGATCTAGCATCTCGCTTCTCTACATGGCAACAGTGCTGGGCACACTTGGACAAGCATTCAGTCTCTGGGGTCACTCCAAGCCTCTGAGTCTGCAAGAAAGAGCCAGTATCTGGGGTCTACCTGATTGTGCCAGCACATGTGTCACTTCCAGCTTCGGTGGCTGCAACTCCATCGACGTCGAGTGTATCTGCAAGAACAAAGACTTTCTTGAGAATCTCGGTTGCTGCATGTCCAAGGCCTGTGACAAGGCCGATCAAGACGGTATGTGAATATACAGATAGAACTCGATGCTCATCCACTAACGCCAAGAAGCTGCCATCGGGTTTGCGAACAACTTCTGCTCTGCCTACAAAGTCAGCGATCTGCCTACAGCAGCAACTTGCAAGTCGACCGACACAGCAAAAATCACTGATCAAAAGACTACTCCTGGTCCAACACTCGACCCTTCTTCCCCAACTTCCTGGCTGCCGGCTTTGAGTTCGGCGGCTTCGGCAGCGATTGCAAACATCTCGAATGGCACGAATATTACGGGATACATAAGCACGCAGCGGGTTACTGTCACGGCGACAGTCACAGCTAGCAGTACTGGGCAGGCTCCCCGTGTTGCCGCTGAAGTGACTGGCTGGGCTTGGGGAGTAGGTGCTATGTTAGCTGGAGCTGCTGCTATGGTTGTTTGAGGGTAACTTGATTCTTGAAGAAGATATCCAGGGCGGGTTGAAGATGTAACGTGTGCGATATCTATGCCCGCAATGGGCAGTATTGTTTCTGTTCTCTTCGTAAAACATATACATGAACCTAATGCTTGGTCTTGTCGTCTTGGTGCGTGCCAAACTCGCTCTTTACGCATATCGAAAGTCATGGATGAGAAAGGGCTACTGCCATTGGAGCGTTACAAGATGGTAAGAGTGAACCAGAATCGCTCTTGTCTTGTCTATGAACTCCAACCTCTTTTTTTTTTGGTAGAGAAAAGCGCTATCAACAACTCCAACATACAGAGCTTCCGTAACTCAAGAACAGGAACAAATGACCTAGCATCGCACTTGCCATATCTTCATTTTCCAAAAGTCAACGACAGGGTTGTACCCTTAGCAATGATTTCGAGACCATCGACGGTGAGATATTAGCGAGACAGGACACTGACACTGTGTAAGCAGCTTCTATAATTCTTTACAGACTATCTCTATCCAACAAGTCGTTAGGATATCCGATAGAAGGGCTTTGGAAAACAAGATTTGCGAATTGGATTTCTTAATTTCTGCTTCTTAGATATCAGTCCACCAATAGGTCGTTATCATGGAGAACACAACAAACTTCAGACAATTTGTGTTTCATCTGAACTGCTTCTTCTACTTTCTCGTGTCATTTGTCCTCCTCGATGTAGAGAAAAAGGTAGAGGGGATGAAAAAGACAAAACATCAATGGAAATTGGAAGGAGCGACCATATGAAGTTCCAGGAAGGTACGGGCAGTTAAAGCAACAATGGAAGAGCGATGAAGTCAAACTATTAGAAAAGAACGATTGAAAACCCCTAAGAGGGTTGAGAACTGATCGAGAGGGTTGAGAACTGATCGAGAGGGTTGTAGCAAGCAGCAGTACGATTGACCAGGGACATCAAGGCACGAAAAGACGTAGATGTGGTTGACATGAGAGAAGTGATCGACTAAGAAAGAGCTTTACGTACAATTAAGGAAGGACTGCTCTTCCCTGCTCACGATATAGAGAGATGGCCCGTTGGGCAAGGGACCAACTGCAACTCTGAGACAAGTTCTCATTGACGAGTATCTGTTTAAGCAGGATTTCATCCAATCTCATTTACCTTTTCGGTTGCCTCTCTCAGAAGCCAATCAAACCCTACCGGAAGGGTAAGAATGAGAAAATAGCGGGAGGGAAGATAAACGACAAACTACTCATCGCAATGAAAGGTGCTACGTGTCAGAAGATTTGAGGAAGGCGCAATCAGTCATAGCAAAAGGGAAAGAGCCATGAGGTGCAAGAAACAAGTAAGGAGCAACTGATTGAGGACGATCGAGAGGTTAACTAAAGAGAGAGTTCTTAGCAAGCCGAATACAGATCACTTGCAGTTGACTTGAGAAACGAGGTAGAGAGATGTGCAGACATGGTTGTTAGAAAAACATTGCTCGGTCAAATCACGTAGGCTTGCTCTTCCGCTGTTTGATCGAAAGAACTATCCGAAAGGCCAAAGGTTTACATATTTGAAGACAAGTTGGAGTGCCGGACCGAACCCTTCTATCTCGAGCGGAACATGAATCGAATTTACTAGGAAATCATAGAAAACACAAGTACAAGATATTGACAAACAAGGAATTATCGAAGAGGCGATGGAGTATATCGAAATTGAGGAAAGAGCGATGGAGTATATAAACTTAGGTAGGAGCGACCGAGTAAATCAAAGTTAGGAAGGAACGATAGAGAAGGGAAAGAATGGAAGGGGCGATCGAATAGAGAAAACTTGGAAGGAGCGATCGAAGAAATGAAATGTGGAAGGAGCTACTAAGCTGACAAAAGTGAGACCGATGGATCGTAAAAGGGAACTGCTCAACCCGTATGCCTTTTCAGATAGAACGGCCGTATCCCAAGAGCTTGTAATAATAGTCCTATAGCATGTCGAAGTACCACTTCTTATTCGAAAGACCCTTGACGTGGAAAATCGCACTCACGGCTGTAGGGGAGGAAGACGCGGCCGGTTCACTATCAAAAGTGTCTGTTTCCTCTGATCATGGTAGCAGCCCTGATCGCGTGAAAAGGGGTTCGCTCGACTCTTACCATGTCTTTATCCTTCTTCTTGGTCGCTTCGATAGCGTTGCGGCATACCAGCCATATTTGCTGTAGCCATGTAAAACAACATCTTCAACCATGGAGAATCAAAGGCGGTATAGTTTGACTTACTATGGTGTTCTGTGTGATAAGAATCGATCGTTTCGGTTCGTATGGTTCAAGTCGTCCTGGTCGTTCAACAGGAACATCTGAAAGGAACTCTGCAAGCGCAAGAAATCTCCGGATGACAAGCACTAAACAGGGTGACCGCTTCGAAACATGGTTCGTCAGACTGTTCGAGCCCAGGCACGGATATAAGCAAGTCAGAAAACAAGACGTTCAAAGAATCCAACTGCCTCCATGTAACAACACACCAAGCCTGCAAAGCACAGTGTGGAACAAAGCCGAGGTCGTACGACATTCGTGCAAGCTGACCATAACATAGTACTTGTCGACAGCCTTATATTTGTTTGGGTGCGGGCAAGTCCGATATACGCGAACAAAGTGATGGATGGTTCCGGGCTTCTCAGAGGCATATGTGGATATATAAGAAGGTCTGACGGTTGATCGTGGTCCCAAGAAGCAGATCACACTCATACCCGCAACCGAGCACCTTGCTATCGGGGCACAGCTGCTATAGATAGTCATGAGCCCTTCAGTCTCACTCTCGTTTGAAACAGACACAATTCTCCTGACAGACGACGATGTCTACGACGCAGAGATTGCACTTTCCATATTGCTTCAGAGACACCTACTGCAGACATTCGCAGACCATCTCCAGAACAGAGTCCACAGACTGGCTATGCAGAACATCGTAGCACAGACAACGACTTCGTGAAAAGCATGGCAAAAAGCTGCTACGCATCTGTTCCTTTCGAAGGACTTACACTGCAGATTTCTGTTCATTGAACCCTTATCGCTACTTCTTGAACATGAACCCGAAAATGGTAATATCGGAAGGGAAGACGATTACACACTGATACTTCATGGAGTCGGTTTTGCAAAGGTATGTCGGGTACAATTCGCCTGGTACACCAAGCCCTCAGGGGTCAGGTCCAGGACAATGGCTGACCTGAGAGCAGGATAACGTAGCATCTTCGCCTGGGCCATGCAAAGGGCAGTAGTGTTGCACTGGCTAATCACTGCAGGCGATTCATCATATGCGTTGAGAGGAACGAATTGGGAATGGGTTGGTCGCTGCTGTTGTGTGGGCTTGCAGGCTGAGAGTCTTGGTCGAAACAGCACGAGATGGCCTCGTGAGCATCTCAGAGTCTCTATTAGTCAAGGAAATGGCCAGGAAGGGCAAGTGCCGGCCGAAGGATTGTCTTTCCCCATGGAGATTCAGAACGATAGACTGATGAGAATGAGAAGCATCTGTACCATGGTTACTTCTTTTGTGGTATACGCTTGAGCTTTGTGAGTAAGGTGGACTGCCTTGCGAGAACTGCGAGAAGAGAAGAAGTGGTCAGCAATCGCGTCGCTATTTCATTCTGCAATCGGCGTCCGGCTTATCATGGCCATGACAAACTGATTTCCCCAGATCTCGGGTCTTCCTGCGCTTAGGGGTCACTTCCATCTTCAAAACCGCTATGCACAGGTATAGCCGTAACCAGATTTCTTAGCTGGCGAACACGTTTTCACTACAAATTCCTTCATTTCTCAGCCCTTCCTCTCTTCTCCTTTCCTCATCTTTCCTAGAAACCAACTTTCCCGGCATCGTTTGCTGTATCTGTTCACGTTCTACATTCTTAAGGCCCTATCTGCCCCGCGATAACCCCACTATCAACAATTAATTTATCCAAACATGGCACCCATCGCCATTCACAGCTCGCCCAAGGACTCGCTGAACGCTGAGGCCGAGTCTTTCAAGCCCGTCGGCAACAAGCAGATTGATCCTTACCACTCGGCGACCTCTGCTACCGCCATCGCTGCCGAATCTGCGTACGCCGCACACAACTACCACCCTCTGCCAGTCGTCTTCTCCAGGGCACAGGGAGTAGACGTCTGGGACCCAGAAGGTATGTCTTTTGTGTGCGATCCATGTACAAGGAGAGACGCTAACTGCACGCAGGAAAGNCACTACCTCGATTTCCTCTCCGCATACAGCGCCGTCAACCAAGGCCACTGCCACCCCGAACTCGTCAAGGCTCTCGTTGCACAGGCCTCAAGACTTACACTCAGCTCTCGCGCCTTCTACAATGATGTCTTCCCTCGTTTCGCCGAGAAGGTCACTTCGATGTTGGGTTTCGAGATGGTCCTGCCCATGAACACTGGTGCTGAGGCTGTGGAGACCGCCGTCAAGATTGCACGCAAATGGGGATACAAGGTCAAGGGCATTCCAGAGAACAAGGCCTGGGTCTTCTCCGCCCAAGAGAACTTCCACGGCAGAACAGTAAGCACTCCACGACCAAAAGCGATTGTCCTTGTGCGCAAGCTAACTCATGCTTCANNGTTCGCTGCCATCACCATGTCCACCGACCCCGAGTCCAGAGACAACTACGGTCCCTACCTGCCCAACATCGGCTCTTCGAACCCTACCAATGACGAGCCCATCCGCTACAACAACGTCGCCGACCTCGAGAAGGTGCTTGAGGAGCATGGCAAGAACACCGCCGCTTTCCTGGTCGAGCCCATTCAGGGTGAAGCAGGTATTGTCGTCCCGGACGAGGACTACCTCAGAAAAGTACGTGAGCTGTGCGACAAGCACAACGTCCTTATGATCTGCGACGAGATCCAGACTGGCATTGCCCGTACCGGCAAGATGCTGTGCCATGAGTGGAGCGGTATCAAGCCTGACCTTGTCCTCCTCGGCAAGGCAATCAGTGGTGGCATGTACCCTGTCTCTGCTGTCCTTGGTAAGAAGGAGATCATGCTCACCGTCGAGCCCGGCACTCACGGTAGCACTTATGGTGGTAACCCTCTTGGTTCCGCCATTGCTATTAGAGCGCTCGAGATCATCGAGGAAGAGAACATGGTCCAGCAGGCTCAGGTCCTTGGTGAGATGTTCAGACAAGGTCTTCGCGATATCCAGGCCAAGAACTCAATGATCTCCTTGATTCGTGGTAAGGGTTTGCTCAACGCCATCGTCATCGACGAAAGCAAGACCAACGGCCACAGCGCATGGGATCTCTGCATGTTGATGAAGGAGAAGGGTCTCTTGGTAAGAAAAGCTTCGCTAATGTTGATGAAACTCAAGGCTAACGTCATTGCANNGGCCAAACCCACTCACCAGAACATCATCCGTCTAGCACCTCCTCTCGTGATTTCCAAGGAGCAAATTGAGACTTCGCTCAGAATCATTGCAGAGGCAGTGGACGAGTTGCCCAACTTGAAGGGTCAAAAAGAGGAGAAGGTGCTTCCTCCGGGCGAGAAGGACGTGCATATTGGCGTCGACAACTGAACACAGCCCAAGGACGATTCAGTGACAGAAGAGTGCGTCCCGCTCATTAACGTTTCCGCCATGATGCCATGAAGCCGAACCCCAGCATGTTTTATCGATTTCTCTAGCGTTTTGAGTCAGGACTCTGCATGGATACCCCCGTTTGGAGAGACTGCATGGGTGGTCGGGTTTAGCAACACTTCGATAGATGTTCTTCGACGAGCTCAGTGAAGCCACGTAGAATGCATCATTGTCACAACCATCCGGATATAAAGATTCGAGAAACCAGATCAACGTAGAATCAGGCGCAAGTGAGACAGCCGTCAATCAGCAAACTTCTTGGAATCTTGGGGTGGTGTTTGCTTAAGCTACCGACGAACCACAAGGACGTGTGGCACGTCGGCGACGGCCCAGAGCGGGCAGAGCAGCCTATCAGCAGGCATGAGAACGTCGCTTGGATAGTGCCTCGCGGTTGCGATAAAGCAGAGAGTGTTCGAACGGCCACGCCTCCACAACGTGCTGAAGCACTTCTGGGCCAAAGGTTGAGAAGCGCCCAGCGTCTTCTTTGCACGCTAGCCTCCGCGTAGCTTCGAGTATACTCTTAGTATTTTACCCCAGACTCGATTAGGCGGGCCGATTGGGGATAAATTGATTGCAAGGTTATCGAAATGTGCTTGAAACCGAATCGTTCGATGTCAGTCAAACAAATGCGGCACGTACGCAATCAACTTTTACATCTGTTTAGAGGGCCTTATCGAGCCGGAAACTATGCTGAGGTGTTCGTGAGTAGTGTCGTTCGAGATGTGCGCTGTTTGTCTGTCTGATCCAGCCGTGTTTCTCATGAGCGGCGACGAGGTGTCCAGGCTGCGCGTTTTGGAGGCGGAGAATGAGCCGTCGAGCGTTGCTGGCGCGCAGAAGCGTGCGGATCAGGGGTAATTAGGGTCTGGGCTCAGCAGACCAAACAGCGCTGAGAGCAGACGAGTCGAGAAGTTCATGAAGACGGGCGGGAAGGCTTGCACCATGTTCAGTTCGTCAATTGGCAAAACCAAAATGGAGCGCTAGAGAGGATTGAATGTTAGCTTGGAAAAACAACCTAGCGTATGGGCGTATTGTGCAGGTGCGGGCACAAGCCTTGGTGCTATCTAAACGACCGTGCAGCCCTCGCTGTTCGTCCTCCCCCGTTCCAACTTCCAACTCTCTTCTCGAACGACATTTCATTGTGACGCCTTTACCGTAGCGGCTTTTCTTGTCCACCTCTTATACCCTGCCGGCCCCTCTCCCAGCTCTTTGACTGGTTGCTTTTCCGAACCCATTGCATAGTGCCTCATCGTGTGCACAGCCCGTCGACCACCACCCACTACAACGACGCAAGAGCCGCTGCACCTCCGCCTCCCTCGTCCGTCCCCTGGTCCTCTTTTTCCAACGACATCCACTAGAGTCTCCATCGCCTGTCGATATCAATATCCCGAACGACCATTGACGAAACACCATCATACACAATGGGTGCCTCCAAGTACAACCACCTCGAGGATGAGGTGACCTTTGGTGCGACCGTCGACACACCCACCAAGACCCAAAACCACCTCGCGCCCAATGTTTTCGACACTCCCAAGTCGCTCAGTCCCGTTGTCACTGTCGACTCGCCATCGACGCCTGACGAAGAGCGTTTGACCCCATTCTACGCTGCCCCTTCTGCCGAGATCTCTCGCCAAACACTCCCAACTGCCCACGACAATGACCTCGAGGCTGCCCGCAAAGAGGGCTACTTCATCACTTCAAACCCCATTGGCTCAGAGCTCAACCTTCCTTCTGAGATGGCTACTGTATCGGCCGTCCCCACTGGATCCCGCTTGAGCTTCGATGGCCGTACCAAAGAATGCACAATGTGGCCAACCAAGCAAACACTCCGTAACCAGGATAAGGCCGAGAGAGCTAAGCGCAGAGCTGCCAGAGCCTGTGGTTGCAACAGCATCAATGCCTGGTGGAGCAGTATCACCAAGAAGCAAAGACTTTGGTTCAAGATCCTCATCGCTGCCTTCATCGTTGCCATTGCCTGTGGTCTGGGTATCGGTATCAGCAAGGCCGTCGGTGCTGGCGTCTTCGCTGGCAAGGGCCAAACTAAGCCCATCGCCAACGCATAGAAGCATCGTCCTGGCTTCGTCTTCTTTCCTCTAGGAGTTTTCATCGGCTGCGTCTTGTTTCATTGAAGCGTTTCTTTTCTTTTTTTTTTCGTGTTGCTGAGCCGGATGGCTGTTCTTCTTCATGTTTTCCTTTCTCTGTTGATTACATTATGTTGCACCTGTGGCAGTGATGCATTGATGTGGCGTTGGTGGCTGGAGCCTCGAGGGGCTATGGTATCGGAGTATGGGTCATGTACAGGGAGGAGGCTTATTGAGTATCCGTGGAACCTGTAACCAGGGCGGGTGTTTGCCTAACATTAAGAATATGATCTTCTGTCCGCTTAACCGCGGACTTTCTGCACATTATCTTCCGTTTCTTGTTGGTTGAATGTGCATGCCATGGCGTCGTACCTAAATGTCTATATGTCTTGTCGTCTCATGTAACGTGTTTATACTCACAAGGGCTTGTTCTTGAGATCCTGAGCATGCACATTGACACGGTTGTACATCCACTTCAGACAGAGAGTGCTGCAAGTCATGACGACAGCACTACCAGCGAAGAGACCGACCCTGCCAGTAGTGCCCAACACATCGAAGATGGGATAAGGATACCATCCATTGTGCCTGTAGCATTCCTCGACCCAGAACCAGTACGAGACGGCAATGCCACTACTAATGCCCAGAGCCGGTAGCACGGAAACTGTGTAAGGTGGAGAGAAGAAGAGCAGATCCAGGATCAGTGCGATTGAAGGTGCGGCGTGGAAGGAAAAGTCCGCACCAAAGGGAATCCTGGGTGCCCAGTCGGGAAGAACGAGACTCTCGTCGACCTGTTTTTGTCAGTTGGCGCCTAGAGATACAGGCAGAATGTCATGACATACTCCTTTGAGACCCCAGTACAAGATACTGATCAGGACTTCCATGGGTGCACTGGTGACAGAGAGGATATTCTTGATTTTGAACAGGCGCGTAGACATAGTAATGTCCGCAAGCAATCCGATCACAAAAGTCAAGGTGGCCAAGGTCAGACCGAGAATAGTCAAGTGTTGGAAGTGACGGCCATAGGAATCATTGACAGGGTTGGGATTTGCTTCCAGCCACCAGAAAGAGTATGCAAAGCTAGATAGACCAAGAANGCTGTGTTGCGTGTCAATCATCCTTGCTCTTACTTCCAGACACAAAAACAGTCATACGTGGAGAGCAGCACTCGTGCCTCGAGAAGGGGAGTCAAGTCTCTGTTGAGGGTGGCGTAATAGCAGTTCCTGAGCAGTTTTTGTCGACATGGTTACAGATGCATGTATGTCCAGCAAGTCAAGTTCCTAGCGGGCCTCTCCAAGAAGAAAGAGACGAGTCTGCCATTATGGGGCATTGGTGACGTTTATTAGTGAGCATGCCCACCTAGAGGTCCGCTAAAGCCGGCTTCGGATGCTCCAAAACCCGAAGCAAGAAGGTTCTGTCAAATGTCGCCGGAACAGCGACCAACCGATCGACCGTGGATATCCAGCAAGGCATAACTAAAAGATATGCAGACCATCGTGTAGGTGGCTGGTAAATATCGCTGTGTGAGAGCAATTCGGGTGTGTGCATGTGCTCTTCCTCGATGCCAATTGGTCAGCATGCAGGATTCTTGAAGCTTGGAAGTTGTTATGCAACCTGCACTCGTCTTGTTCCAATCGAGAGATTCTCAAACTCCCAGGCCTCTTTCGAATTACTTATTCCAAACAACTCTGTTTATGTACGTCAAGAGCTTCTTGCATGTATCAAGTGAAATCGTGTTCGCATGTGGGAAACCCTAGCCGTTTTGCCTTATCTCGGGTTCATCGGATGATTGATAAGAAGGGCTGGCCGAGGTGTATTTTCTCATCAAGGCCACTGAGTCGGTCGATCTCTAGAATACTGTCCAATAATTCTCTTTGAAGATAGTCATCAGACCATCGCATCGTATAATTCCTCCAAGACGGTCGACCGTGGATGATTCTGGTGAGAACTGGTCCTAGGATGTATACGAGACCGCATTGAACAAGCACGCCGAGCTCGCCCGACAGCTCAATATGCCTCAGAGCAAACCACCTGTCTCTGGCAACGAGCCAAAAAAGCGCTCTCGTACAGGATGCCACGGCTGCAAAAACAGAAAGGTCAAATGTGACGAAGCAAAACCCCGATGCTCCAACTGTGTGAAACAGAACGAAGAATGCGACTACTCTTTGAAGCTTCAATGGGGAGGCAGAAGTAANAAAGAGCAGAATGCCTTTTCAGCCATGGCCAATGCAACTTCTGGTTTCTCTACCATCAGTTTTGCTGCTCCGAGCGTGCCACCGACTGCAAGTGTCTCGTCGTCGATTCAGACACCATCTATGCCTGAGATTCAGAGCCTTGGTCCAGGAGCTACATCTGGAGAAAGTGGCAGCGATGCTAACATTCAATCAACACCACTTGACTACAATAGTGGACTTGAGTCTCGAGCAAGCTCATACACAGGTCGATCGCCGGCTCAATTTGAACCGACTGGTTCTTACTCCTCCTTACCACAATTCGCGCTGCCAGATCCGTATTCCTCCATGAATCCTCCAACGGGACAATACTATAAAAGTCCTAGTCTCACGCGACCACCTTCACCATATGAATTTGGATGGGCCAACGAAGATAGGGCTAAGAGAGTCAGATTAGACTCTGGCGATGGCCCGCCACGTAGTCTTCCACCACTGTTTACTCGACCTGGACTTCCTGAGCCTAGTAGCTCGTCCTTTTCGCCATATGATCAAGCTTCTCCAGGAGCATCTGCAAATCACTCTGCGCCTTCTCCCCTTACTCCCGGTCCTTCGAGTGCCTTCGCGTCCCCTAGCTTGAGGAGGCTCTCTGTGAACTATCTGCTGTCAGGTCCGGCTGGAGACCATGCTAGTCCTAGGTCATCTTACGAGCAATTCAGTAGTGGCCATCGAAGGTGTGAAGATGGTTTCATGATATACGGTTATGACTATGGACTACCTGATCTGGATATCCCCAAGAACGACGACAATGGCGCAATCAATCCACAGACACCTGCGACATCCATGAACTCTCCTAGCACACTTTCTGACGTTGCATGGTCGCCTTCGCAACTGTTTGATTTCTCGATCGAGAAACCTGCTTTTGAGCGAGGTGGCTACTATGCTCGCCCTGTGCCGATACGAATACCATTGGACCTTGAACCACTACCCGCACAACTAGCGGAGAGTCCAATGAACCTCATCTACTTTCACCACTTTTTGAATCATACGGCTCGCATCTTGGTGCCGCACGATTGTCCTGACAATCCTATGAAAACTACTTTACCGCGCAGTACGTATAACATGAGCTCAAGACCCAATCGTTTGCTAACATGGCGTCCAGTCGCTGTACAGAATGCGAATCTACTAAACCTACTCCTGGCGTACTCGGCATCTCACCGAGCGCGTCTGCTCTCCCATCCAGAACCTGTCAACCGTATCGCAACATGGCTACGCGATGTGTTCCCAGACTTACGACGGTCGCTCTCTTCGAACGAGCCAGTGTCAAATGCGACATTGACGACTGCAATCATGTTGGCTTCACGCGAGTGCATCAATCCTGACAGCCTTGATGTACCAATCCCATGGCAGAGTCATCTTGAGATTGCCCGACAGATCATCATCTCTCGCGGCGGTCTCAGAGACAAAGGTGATGGCGGCGATCCCTTTGTCAATTTCCTCGCGAGATGGTTCGCCTATCTGGATGTCATTGGTTCTCTGTCTGGACATCGAAATCAAGCGCCACTAGATGACGAGTACATGATGTTCGACTCTGATAACCAGTCTGACGCCTACGGATTCACCATTGATTGTTTCTTTGGCTTCACAAATTGTTGCATCAGTCTGCTCGCGCGAGTAGCAAGATTGGCTCGTCAATGCGGTGCCCAGCGTATCGATGCTCAAGGCAACATAGACCCTGACTGGCAACCCTCAGAAGATGTCCTCAAAGAAGCAGAGGTTCTAAAGCAAGAACTGTCACACAGCAGACATCATGTACAAAGAGGCTGTCGCCACAGCAGAGACGAAGACGAGAAAATCAGCGAGAGAACACGACTAGAACTCCAAGAAATGGTTTCGGTGAACGAATCCTTCCATCTCGCTGGCTTGATCCATTTGAATCGAAGGGTGTTGGGGAAGCAATCTAATGATCCGGAGATACAGGATTCGGTCAAGCTAGTCCTACAGGCTTTGAAGGGTGTAAGGAGAGGTGGCACTGCAGAGTCGAGCTTGCTGTTTCCGATGTTTACGGCTGGGTGCGATGCTCAGGACCCCGAAGACCGAGATATGATCTTGGAGAGGCTCAAGTTGGTCGAGGGATTAGGCATGACTTATGTGAGTATCTTCTTGGATGGCTCTGCAATCACACAGATGGGAAGACTAATCATGATGTGCAGNGTACGAAATGCACGACATCTCATGGAGAAATCATGGGACACTGGCAAATCATGGGAGGTTCTGGTCGCAGGCGAGTTTCTGGGATAGAGAAAAGGTTATAGTTCTTGTCACCTTGGCTATATAATTTGGGAGGATGTTCTTGAGACATAGGCCAGTCTCTGAAAAGTGATTTTGACATGGAGGATATTTGACAGACGAAAGAACAAAGACTTTTTGTGTGTATGACATGCAGAAAACCCTGGCGCAAACGATAATTTCATGCCCATGTCCCAGAACCGTAAAACGCCATCGCTGTGCAGATCCGAGGGAAAGGAAGAGATGTGATGGGTGGAAGATCATGACTTGTTGGGCTGGTTTCTGCGCTCGTTTGCGCGCATCCTCCTCTCGTTGCGCTTGACACGCTCGACTCTCTCCTCTCTCCTCTCCTTTCTGGCATCGTGCTCGCCGCCGTCCTTTCTCGTCTTCTTCTCGTCGACCTCGACCAGCCAGTCGTTCTCGCCGTCCTTGTTCTTGCCCTTGTAGCCGTACTTGGGTAGCCATTCGCCAGAGGCTTGGTCGTAGACGAGCTTGCCGTCGCGCTTCTTGTCCTTGATGCCCTTCTTCTTGGCAAACTCTTGCCACTTGGTCATGGGCTTTTCCTCGGGGACGGGCTTCTCGCGAGGCAGATGGGTGGTGGGAGTGGGTAGGCCGAGGGTGACGCTGGTGCTGTCGTCGGATTTTGTGATGGGGCATGTGGAGAGGAGTTGGTTGATGAGGGCCTGGGCGCAGTCGCGAGCGGCGTTTTTGATGTCGGTCTCGGCGATTTGGCTGACGGTGGGCAGAGGGTTGGTGTCGTTGCAGAGAAGGTTGCCCAGGTCGAAGGTGTAGGGAATGGGCTTGTTGACGGTGACGGGAAGGCGAGGCTTAGAGCCTGCGGCGACTTCAGAGTCGATTTGCATTTCGTCGATGCTCATCCTGAGTGATGTGTGTTGTGGTGTTTGGTATGGATGATAAAATGTCAGTTTGCTTGCGGCGAGACTTTTCGACAAGCCTCGGCGTTTAGCTTCTTGCTCCGTTGCTGGCGCTCGGACGCTCTGCAAGTGGGACCCTTAACAAATAAACACTCCGACACTTGAAACGCGACTTCTTCATCATCATCACAAACGCACCATGTCGTTCCTGTCGGGTTTTTACAGTCGCCTCTCAGGCACCTTCAGCCGGCCGAATGAAGAAGGCGACATTACCGTTGTCAAGGTGACTCGGTCAGATTCATCCAACTCCAACGATGCGTCAAGCCGCACGCTGTCTCCCGCAGACGACACAGGAGATGTCGACACTCCTGAGAAGGCACCTGTCTCTTCACGGTCGCATGTTCCGCCAACCCCGTCCTTCGCTCCTCCAGCCACTCCGTTCGCTGGCCAGGCCTCACCGGTAGTCAACCGAGCCGCTGCCGAACAACTCATGCGCGAGGCTGGCGCTTCTGCCCCTACTCCTGCACTCAAGGCTACACCCTTCTTTGGCATCTTTGCCCCGCCACAGACTCCTGCTGCTCGCAACTTGTCACCTGTCAGAAACTTGGCTGCCGAAGAGCAGCTCAGGCGCGAGATGCTGGGCGACGTACCCGAAACACCTGCCACCATCCAGGCCAAAGCAAGAGCCACCCCTATGACACAATACAAGACACCTGCCGCATCACATACCACACCAACTGAACCCTTGACGGAACTGTCTGTCACCGCAGATGCTTTCCAGACTCCCTCTATCATGCCTGCGAAGCGCCAACAAATCCACAATCAATCGCCAATCCAGGAAGAGTCGGAGATCGTTTTTGAGAATATCGTGCAGGAGCCACAATCGTCTTCAGCAGATGACATCGAACAGGACGAGGCAGAGGGAGAAGACTCAGAGGCCTCAGCAGCGTCATCGCCTCATGCAGTCGTTGACATGGATCTGTCTGAAGCAGGAGAGAACGATACTTCGACCACTTCGATCGAGTCCAGCGATTCCGAGAAGCGCCGCGTCATGGTCATTCCCGCCAACAAGGGCCGCAANAATCAACGACGCCCCATCCAGCGCATCACATCCAAGAGCTACGACGACAGGAGGACAAGAGTGCAGAAGCCAACACGACCAGGAGTGGGCAGAAGTGTTAGCGGAAGGGAGGAAATGTTGAACAGGGCACGCAGACGCTTCTACGATGGCAAGGCAGGCAACAACAACAAACTCTTTTGATTTTCTTTTCACAGCAGCATGGGAGCATTTTTGGGGCATTTTGGCGGGTTTCGGAGCGACGCATATCTCTGGCTTATGATACCCTTATGGCTGGGCTCTTTGGTCGATATCATGTTTCATTTCTTTCTTTTGTCCTATAGAGGAGTTACGTCTCCCTGCGTCACGCATTACCAGCCTCCAACGGAGAGCTGATTTCGTACATCTTGGACAATTATTGAGCACAAGATGATTGACAAACAAGAAGTTGCTAGGAAAATAAGCTCTGTGAATCATACCTGGACCCTGGTGGCTGGAAACGCCCATGCAAGATGTCAGGTCCGTACGCCCTACGGAGCTGATCGATCGTCAATTGACACCTTTTGCTCTGACAAGTCGCATCTTCTTCTTCTTACATCAATTGATTGTTGCTTCCTTTCGTCTGACAATTGAATCAGTTTGCAGTCATGACTACCTCGTTCCCTCTTCCTCCCGTCAACACCATTGGTACACCCCTCCATCATCTCCGTCCTCATACCCCGCCATAGCTAACTCGGTACATTTTTNNAGACTGGGACAACATTGGCTTCCAAGTTCGCGAAGGCATGTCGTCCTCCGGCCTCATTCGATCTCTCAATACACATCTCTAACACCTTGTCNNAGTCAACGGCCACATCGAATCCACCTACTCGAAAAAGACTGGCAAATGGACCGCTCCCGAATTCGTCACCTCGCCCTACCTCCGTATTCACGGCATGGCCCCAGGCCTCAACTACGGCCAGCAGTGCTATGAGGGCCTCAAGGCCTTCCGTACNCCCGACGACTCTGCCATCACCATCTTCCGCCCCGACATGAATGCCAAACGCATGCAACACTCTGCTTCCTTTGTCTCGATGCCCGAAGTCCCCGTCGAGCATTTTCAAGAGTGTGTCAAGGCTGCCGTTGCCCTGAACGCAGAGTTTGTGCCGCCTGCTAGGACAGGAGCAGCCATGTACATTCGCCCATTGCTGTTTGGCAGTTCTGCACAATTGGGCTTGAGCCCGCCTGAAGAGTACACTTTTGTGGTTTGGGTGTTGCCTGTGGGCGTTTACCACGGCGTGCACTCTGTGCCCGCACTCATCCTCGAGGACTTTGATCGTGCGGCTCCTCACGGTACTGGGTCCGCCAAGGTGGGTGGAAACTATGCTCCTGTGTTGAGATTCAGTGAAAGAGCTAGAAATGATGGTTATGGCATTACTCTGCACCTTGATAGCAGGACGAGGACCGAGATTGACGAGTTCAGCACTTCTGCTTTCTTGGGTGTTAAGAAAGAGGGCGAGAAGACCACTTTGGTGGTGCCGGATAGCAAGAATGTCATTGAGAGTGTGACGGCAGACAGTGTGTGCCACATTGCACGCAGCTTGGGTTGGACTGTAGAGAAGAGAGCTGTGCGTTTCTTTCCATCCCGACCCCTCTTATCTGCACAAACTAACGTCTTCCACAGNATCAACTACGACGAACTCAAGTCCTTCAACGAGGTCTTCGCTGCCGGAACAGCAGCAGCTCTTGTGCCCATCAAGAGCATCACCATGAAGAGCCGCGGCGACACCTTTACTTACCTAGACTCTGACGAACCTGGTCCTGTCTGCCTTAAGCTGCTTGACAACCTCAAGGGTATCCAGACTGGTCGCTATGAAGACAAGTTTGGCTGGAACGTCAAGGTTGAGCAGAAGAGTAGAGAGGCGTTTGCCAAGGGCGGAGATGAGACCAAGGGCGGTAACGTGGATGTTATGAACGCTTAGGTGTGACTCATGAATAAGAAATGTGACATTTGGCTGAGGATCAAGATATCAAGATATGATGATAGCTGGATTGCTGTAGAACCGTACGCAGGCGTGGATTAGAGCATCTGCAAAAGAAGATCTAGTTTGAGGTACAGCAACAGAATCATCTTTCATAGCTTTTCACGAAACTGATACCAGGCATCGAGGCAAATGCTATCCATTCATGCAGCCCTCCCCAAAAACGAGCAACCAAGCAAAGTACCTTCTCTCAATTCACCCTCAATTAGGTCTCAACGGCTTCCAACCAGCCATACCCCCATCATCCTCATCACCCAACAGATCTCTCTGACTCATACCCGTACCCCTTCTAGGAGGCAGCGGCGGTCCATCCTCACTGCTACCAGCCTGTCTCGACCACCTCTCAATCCCCTTATTGTTAACCTCGACCGCACTCCTCCTCGGCGGGGGAAGCACAGGCATAGAAACACTCTTCGCAACCGACTCCCGCGAAGACGGCAATGTATTGATCCTCTGTGGAAGCTTTGGAGCGAAACCCTCGTCTCTGGTATTGACCGGAGATTCTGAGCGTAGGGTTGATGGTTTCTTGGGGACTGGTGGGGCAGCTTTGCGGGTGATTTTGTGGTCTAGGGGAGGCGACGGAGGCGACAGAGGGTCTACGGGGAAGTAGTGGGGGTGAGGGTTCTGNNAGATTGGGTCGTCGAGGAGACTGTGGTGGGTTGACGAGGGTCTGGAGCTGGGGGCTGCAGAGGAGGCAGCATGGGCTGGCCACACGGGTGGTAGTTTGCGGTTTATCGGCGCAGCCCTGGTGTCTGAGATTTGGCTCGCTGCTGAGGGATTGCGTTCGCGGATTGAAAGAGAGCGAGGGGGAGGTGGATTAGGGCGAGGCACTTTGACCCAGTCGGGCTCGGTGGTGGCGCTGAATGGATTTGGGGCTCGTTGTGGATTGCGGACGTATCCATCTTCTGGGGGCTTGACTTTAGAGCGGGCTGGCATGCCATTGTCCAGCCACCATTTACGCTTGTCAGAACTTGCGGGTGGTAAGCCTGGCTCGATCGATTCATAACCTAGTAGGTCTTCGTCGTCTGTATCCTCGGCTCTGGTGTTGGCGGTATGGCCACCGACTACAGCACGTCGTTGTTTGTAGAGTCCCTCGCTGATTTCCTGTTTCTTCTTTTCGTCAATGACGGTGATGGTGCATTGGAAGGTGGCGTAGACGGGTCGGTGATCTGAGAACTTTAATGGTGCAGTGTCGTAGTGGATTTGACGTAAATTGTTTCCTTTTGTCAAGACACGATCGCACCATGCCGGGATACGAGCTTTGTCACTGCTGTCGTATTCGTCTGTGCCGACGTCGTATTTGTATGTGGGCAGGAAGGTGATTCTGGCCTCGTTGTAGTAAGGGAACGTCTTGCCGTGGACCATTTGGAGGTTAAGCTGATATTCGATTAGTACGAAGAGGCCAAGTCTAGACATTTTGTAACTTACCTGATCGTTCTCATACAGTTTCTCGAGGTCGCCCATCTTAACTAGCTGCCTCGTCTTCTCATTGGCCATACCGATGCGGTAGTTGAAGTCTCCAAGCCAGATGATGGTATCATGGTCTTCAATCGATCGATTCCTGGCGAAACGCAGTCCATGGCTGATTGTTCGGTAATCTTGGTTACGCTCCTCGTAGTTGGCGAATCCTGCAGCCAAATGTGCAGTGACCAAGCAGATGGATGTATTAGCGTACTCCATACGAATGGCCACGGCACCCTTGTTGCCTGCCATGCCGGACATGCCAGTCTTCTTCAAAGCGCCTTCGACGTTCTTGATATATGGCAGAATGCTAGCTTTCACAAAGACAGATAGTGAGCAACCGACCAATTGTCCACCTCTCAGCATGACATATTCTTCCGATCCTAGAGTCTGGGCGTGCTCGTTCAATGTCGACTTGACTGCTTCTTCCCATGCTTGTCTTCTGTGCGGATCAGTAGACATGATCTGCTGAGGACTAAGGTCGACAATTTCCTGGAACCCTACAGCCACAATTTCAGGCTGTTGCTGGGAGAGATCGACCGGTGGACAGAGCCAAGGAGAGAGATCCTCAGACAAGCCTCTAGTTTTGCCGTTGAGATTGAATGTACCAACATAAATGTTGATGTTGTCGCACGCCGAATATTCATTTGTTCTTTTGGTGAGCTCTGCAGAAACCCAGTCATTGATCGGATCGAAAAGGTGAACAGGTACTTGTTCCACCAGGCGACCCAAAAGCATATCGATAGTGTTCTGTCTGCCTTTATCCTCGAAGTTGTTGATATACAGTCGAGTAGCACTTTTGCGGAAATCCGCAAACGCACCTGCGAGAGACGACTTTCCATGTCTAGTGAACGAGGATTTTAGTGCTCCAGTACCTGCGTAGATTCGCGACAATGCGTCACCGTTGTCAGCCCATAGAGTGCCGTGTCTGACCCAGAAGTCGTTGGTCGCCGTCCTTTCGCCTCGTTGATTCAAGAACTCTTGGATAGCCATTTGACTGATAAGCGTCTGAATGAGGTTCGTTCTGTCCAGGCAGTCAAGACAATTGGTACGGAACACGCCTTCCTGCTGTAAAATGTTCATGTTTCTTCGCATGACTGATTGTGGTCTGCCGTTGGCATTCTTCGGCTGGTCGTCCACTTCTTCTGAGAGGAAGTAGGCGAAGTTCTCAATCGAGTCCTGGACGTATCGTCTGATTCCCTTGGCTGCTTCATATCCAAGAGCGCGGGTTTCTGCATGGAAGTCATAGTCGGTCTCTTTGATGAGCTCGTGGTCCTCGACGTCTTTCTCCCCGGGCTCGCCCGAAGGCAGATTTAGAGGACTGTTACGAACATGATATTGGTATCTTCGACTCAGCTCAAGCTCACCAGGCTTCTCGTTACTGAGCAGATTGACGACGTGAATATTGCCATAGTTGATCTCAAGGTCCGACATGTGTTTATCGAATGCAGGTTGAGATGCTTCAGCAGAGCGAGTAAGCTGGATTTTCTGTTGTCCTGGAGTAAAGCCTGCTGCTTGCTCCCAGAATAGAGGAATGCTGCCTCGTACTTGAACATAGGAGAAGCTTGTGTTTGCAGGTGTAGAGAAGATGACCTCGGTCTCGACAAAATTTGCAACGTTACCATCATCGTCGATACCTCGAGCGTTGAAGCGAGTACCGGCTCTGCGACAAGATAGACGAGATAGTAATGTTAGTGTGGAGGGAAAGCCGGAAGAGGAGTGACTGATTGGTGACGAAGCAGGCGGAACCGTTAGTGTCATGGCAAATCCACGTATGGCAGATGTTAATATGCGAGAGTCATCTAGCTCTCTCTTTTCACGCTCTGATAATCTTGAGCGGAAGCTGACCAGTGGTTGGATCATGTACGAATTCCAAAGGAAACCAGCATCGAGACTGTCAATCGCGACAGTTGCTGACAAGGATGATCNTGCCACGAGTCAGCTCGACATTGATGGATAGAAACATCAGTCAGAATACCTGTCTTGGAGACGTCTGGTTAAATCAAAGTCAGCGCTGTAGTAGAAACTGCCTCCACTGAGGAGTTTCTTCATGGCCATGCAAGGATGCTCCATAGCAGGATCCCTAGCGTGATAGTGATCGAAGCCATCCTCGTCGACATCGTCTGTCGAGAAGTTGTTGATACGGTCCAGAACGAGATAGTCATAGTCGGACTTGTTAATGCAGTCTGGTATTGATGAGCAATAAACTCAGCAAAAGTTATAAACATAAGACTTACGAAATTCAACAGAAGTAATCTTCAAGACGTTCTCGCCATTTCTCACAGTGGCCGCTCTTTGAGCTCCATTAACGACGCACAAGAAGATATCACCATTGACGGTGATCAAGCCGAGGGTTCCGAAGACCGAAAGAGAAGTCAACGATCGAAAGTCGGTTGTGTCAGTATCTGCGGTTCGAGCAAATTCGACCATACATCTTGGCTGCAGGGTTGCACTTTGGGTGGAGTTGACGGAAAGCGAAGAGGCGCCAGCGGTGGAGGGACTATGGCGGAAGGTTAAGATGTGGTCATCAGTGGCTAGTGCAACAGCGCGATGAGGATGGTCCCTCAGCAATACACGGATTGTCATGCCGCATGCTTTGCGCTCAAGCAATCCTTAGTGAAAGTCGATGTCGGTATTATCGTAGGAAGTTAAGTTAGGTAGGCATATCACAACCAGGAGATGAACCAAGAATGGCTTGCGAACGTCGGCTGACGCCGGAGTCATTCTACAGAACGTGTCTCGTGAGTGAGAACGCCTATAAATACATGCATGATTGAGAGTATCATGAGACGATACAATATTGTGAGCGTCTCTCCTATGTGATATCGTGTCTAAGTAAACAGGCAATCGTTTGGAGTATACGAAAAGGAGTTGGACGTGAATGTGAGACTTTAGGCTTCCACGTTTGGTCTACCAAATCAATGTATGTTCTAGGTGTATGACTTGCACGACATGGTGCTAGACATTTGCAACACAGAGGATTTCGATCTGTGCGCGGTCTGGTGGTTTGTGAAAATGAACGATATTGATACAAGAAGATATTGAACGCCATTAACCATGCTTCCTCTGATGATGGCACATCAACCAAATGTGATCATGCCAGACTCTGGAGCATCTCTTTACAGTAGAAGCTCGTCTTTTGTTTTGTACATGTGTCTGAGAGGGTTTGAAGGCGGGTATCAATGGCTGAGGGTAGATCTTTTCTTCAAAAGTCTTCTCTTGATCAGGTTGCGACCGTTCCTCGTGCGGATACGGGCAAGGAAACCACTTCTTCGCTTCCTGACGCGGTGCGAAGGGTCAAATGTATCTCTCTTGGGGCCTCTGGCCTGCAGAAGGGTGAGTGTGGTGGAAGCGGCTGGCAGAGTTGGAAGCTCGAGGGTAGTGTTGAGCGATAGTGTCGAGGTCGGGGTGGTGGGAAGTGTCGGACGTCTGGATGACAGCAGCGAGAATGTGCGACNTGCAAGCGATGTTAGCGGGCATGCATTGTGAGGTATGCGATGGGAGACTTGCGATTGTGCGGGCTGCGATGCGGCCAGAGGGCGAAGAGTCGACTGGAGCAGCGACGTGGTCGAGGGTAAAATGAGCGACGGGCGCGCTTGGGCGATATGCCGTGTGCAGCGTAAGAACAGCATGACGGGCGACAAACTGCAGGATGTGTATGCAAAGATGTAGACGACCTTGTCAGTCTCTCCCGAGCATCATCGTCGGCGCTGCTTGTACGGGCGCTCGGACCACGGACATTTTTCTCGACTTTCGCAAATCCCAATTGCGCTCCGCAACTGCTGCATCTTGCAATTGCATACACTCAATATGGCCTCGACCACNCCTTACCCGCCGCATCGCTCACATCCTTCGACTCGCATCTCTCCCGAAGATGCCTTCGCGTCATTAACCAAGTTCATCGCTGCTTCCGAATCCACTCCTTGGCTGCACCCGGATGCCCGTATCACTCCCGATGAGATCAAATACTCGACCAACGGTGGTCCTCAAGGTGGAATCATCATGCACCACCTACGCCGTATTGAGAAAGGTCTGAACGGTGAAACCCTTGCTCCCGAACCCGACGACATCTTCGACCTGCCCGAAGGTGACGATGCCAACCTCGACACTCTCGCAGCTGGTTACCAGTCTACTTTGGATGGTGGTTTGAAGAAGGGCTCCTTAAAGACGTTCGAGGAAGAGGGAGAGGACCCCGAGACTTATGCGCGCAATCAAGAGATCATCGAGGGCGAGGTTGGCGACAGAGACGCTAGTCACACTCAAGCCAGCTACGATGCCGACGCTATGGATGTTGACGACGAAGCATACGCTGGTACCGGTCTGACCAAGGCTGAAAGAGAAGCTAGAAAAGAAGCAAAGAAGAACAAGAAAAAGGCCGCCGCAAGAGAGAAGGCCGCTAAGAACAGAGCAGAGGATTGATCTACCCATGCCCACCTGTCTTTGAAACCCAACGACTACACCCTCTCTCCCATTTGTCACCAAGCACAAAGCCTGTGCCGCTTGGTCACGCAGTGCTGATATGGGCATTCCTTCGAAAAAGGGGCTTGTCCACCCTCGACACGATTTTAATTACGACACAGCTGCACTACAGCTCACGACCCGTGGCCTCGCCCGTCTTTTCCTCCAAAATCTCCTCCTTTTCCTGGGATACTTTCTTTTCGCTGGTCCAGCCAACAGCTTTCAGGCGTTCCGTGAGGATGGGGTGTGAGTAGTGGAAGCTAGAGTACATCCAGTCGGCATCCATGCTCGAGAGGTTCTGGATCTGGAGCTTGATCAGGGAGCTGGCCAGCTCAGCCGAGTAACCGAGCTTGAGCGAGAAGTTGTCTAAAGAAAGCCGCGTTAGCATAAATTTACATAGCATGCACTCATGTAACATACCGGCTTCGAACTCCATTCTTCTAGTCATGATGTTCATGAGAAGCTTAATGACAGAATCCGTGGGTGCCAGGACCTCGTTGAACAGGATGAAACCAATCATGATCGGTCTCTCGCGGGTGAAGCCAAAGGCGTTGTACAGCGACTGGTTGTTGATAAAGACGGAGAAGAGAGCGAACATGTAGAATAGGTGGACTTGCGAGATGAGAAGCAACTTGGTCGTGTGTCCCATCTTCCAGTGACCCAGCTCGTGAGCAAGAACGGCTTCAATCTCCTTAGTGTCAGACTTCTCAATCAGCGTGTCGTAAATGACGATCTTCTTCTTCCAGGGCAGACCGGTGAAGTAAGCATTGCTGTGAGCGCTGCGCTTGCTGCCATCGATGACTTGCAACTCGGAGAGAGGGAAGTTGAGGCGTTGAGCAAGAGCTTCGACGGCAACCTTGAGCGGGCCGGGCTCGAGAGGGGTAAGCTTGTTGAAGAGAGGAACGATGACGATGGGGTAGATGGTGATGGCGAAGAGCTGAACACCAAGAGCGAACAACCAAAGGTAGTAGAAGAACTTGTCACCAGTCTTTTGAATGATCTTCAAGAAAGCCCAGCCGAGCGGTACACCAAACGTTACAGAGAGAGCCTGTCCCTTGAGCAAGTCGGAGACCCACAGGCCGATGGTCTGCTTGTTGAAACCGAACTTCTCCTCGAGGACGAAGTGGTGGTAGTATGAGAGTGGCAGACTAAGGAGAGTCTCGATGAAGGACGAGGCGAAGACGAAGAGCAGCGAGTGGGCGATTTCTCCTTGACAGCTAGCAGGAAGGTAGCGAGTAAGGGCAAGACCAGTGAGAGCCCAGAATCTGGGATAGAAATCGTAGCGGATGACGGCGAGAGACTTGAGCTGAGAGATGACACCAGAGACGAAGCCGAACTTGGCTTTTGCGCGACCGTAGGCCTAGGAGATGCAGGTTAGATGAGATGAGAAACAGATGAGGGAGTGCATATAAGTTACCTGACTCTTGTCAAAAGTGGCCTGGTCGACTTCGTTTTGCAACTGCTTGGGCACCTTGGTCCCTTGCAGCACGCGATACTGACGGAATGCGAGCCAGTTCTCGAGAAGATACTCACCCAAGCTGAAAGAGATGATGAGAGACTTCCAGGNGAAGCCTGGGCGATCAAGCCATCCGGCCAGACGACTCAGGAAATCCATCTTGGAAATAGATGGAATGTGTCTTGTTCGGACAGAACAGCAAAGTCACTTTAGGTTAGGAGAGTTGACACATGCGTGTGCCAAGCAAGACGTTTGGTCCCGCGGCCGCTGCCTTCTTTTGAAACACTCGCAGCCCCGCAGCAAGCTCTCGTCTCTTTTCAAGAGCAAGGCTTCACAGGCAGAGCTCGAGGCCTCAGGCACAGACATGGACTCCCGACCAATCTATTAAGATTGGCGATGCCGCCGCTGTGGCACGGCGGGCGCATCGGAAACCAATCACGGGTTCGGCGACCAATGGTTGCCGCCGCCGCGAATGCACTCCCACGTCACTAGCAAGTTGGCAGCGCTTACGCTCCTCTCTAGCCCCATCTTGCAGGTTATTGCGCCAGCTTCACCTTCCGTAAGCATCGCGCTGCACAAGACTGCGCACCAAGGTAGGCCACGAACGCATCTATTGCCTCTCTACTCTCGTCTCGTCCAGTCACTATGATCGTCCAACTCTTTTGATTGTGCCCCACTATCACTACGCGAACCCAGCTTCACCGCCGCCCATACCAACCCCCTCGTCACGCGAAGAAGGCCAAAATCATGGACGGCGCCCACACCTTTCAAAGTCCTGGCGACTTCTACTCCCAAAAACCCAGAAAATCCGACCCAGAGACTCCAACTGTAGGTCCTTTGCGCATCCACAAAGTAAACCACTCCACTTCAACCACCTCGACCACATCGACTCCCTCCAGGACATCGTCAGAAGAAGCCGAGGTCGACGGCACCTCGCAGACCAGACGCGCCAGTCCTCCGTACCCCGATGATCGCTTTCGTCCTGTGCATGCTGCTGCCGGCGCACAACGTCTAGGAACTCCCGAGCTGAACTCGTCAGGCATGCGCCGTCAATCCTCGACTCGTGCCAAATTTGGTGCGAGCGATCCAAACNNTCGTCCTACCGTCTCTGGTTACGCTGGTACTCCACCACCATCCCTCACCCCAGGAATCAGAGGAGACAGAAACAAGCTTGCTCCAGAAGTACCAGGAAAGGAAGAGGTGAACAACGACAACGACGACGATGGCTTGTTCCAGAAGCCTCCACCAAAATCCCCCGCGCCAGCAGTGCCTGTGGGCGATGAAGGAATAGCTCAGTCTACGTACCAACAGTACTATCCACCCCCGGCGGCTGCTACGCTTCAACCTCCAAGCGCTGGTGTAAATCGATTGAGTTCGACTGCCTCTACGTCTACAACGCGTGCCCAAAGAGGGTCTCCACCACCACCGGATACACCCATACTCGGGAAGCCGACAGGAGGCTTCGAAGCCGGATACCCCTATGCTCAAAACGCTGCGGCCTCTCGTGCCAATCAGTATGCCAATCCTGTTGCCCGTCCTTCGACCATATCGCCATCGCGACAGCCAATAGAAGTCCCTCGGCCTTGGACGCCAACTGAACAACCGGGCAGCTATCCACACGGGCCCCCGGTTGCCTTCCAGGGCGGCACTGAGGTCCCACCTGCTACGAACTACCAGAGTCCTACCATTGCTGCCTACCAAAGTCCGCCTCAGCCAAGTCAAACCCGCACAAATCAGATTTCTCCCTCTCAGCCGGTCCAGCAATTCGTGTCACCGCCTGTTCCACAATTTGGAGTTCCCATTACTCAAACCCCTTCTCCTGCCCAGCTTGCTCGACCCGCCCAATATTTGCAATCGCCTCAGAACAACCAACCTGGTTCGCGTCTGTCTTTTTCTCCCCAGACACATCCTCTGGAGCAGGATATGCAGCGACTGCAGGTAGCCGATGAACCTCCACCGGCATATTCGAGTGTGTCTCAGCAGAGATTGTTCTCTGGAGCGTCTGCTCAAGGTTATCCAAATGAGAAACGCTTGAGTAATGCTTCCGTGCCTAGCTCCACCTCTTCGCAAGACCCCAATCTTCGTAGACACCCAGCCTTTGCCAACGACGCAGGTCAACCTATCGTGCAACAGACCGTGCAGCAGCCTGTTGCCTCCACACAGCCTACAACTCTAGCACCCATCCAGATCATGTCACCAAGCCCGGGACCCAGCATAACACCAGCATCTCCTCCACCTCTTCCCGAAGGATGGATAGCCCATCTAGACCAGAACTCAGGCCAATATTATTACATCCATCTACCCACCCAATCCACACAGTGGGAGTTCCCTAAAGGACCAACTCCACTGAATCTCCAGGAACCGCTTTCACCAACAGCAACTTTCGCGAACCCGATGGCTTCCCCAGCTCTGGGTGGCTTCCCACAGCCTTTGGCCTCACCTGGCTTCCCGCCGCAGAGCGCTTCGTATCATCGTGACAGCATGCTGAGCATGAATAATCTTGCAAGTCCCACAGTAGCTGGCTTTACTGGACCTCCTCCAACTGCTGGTGTGGACATGTACAGGGTTGCACCCACAAATGGCGTCTACTTCGGCCCATACTTGCGCTATACTAACATAGATCTCGAAAGAGGGCTCTGGCTTGGCTCTATCCTCCTTGTCACAGATGTGCCTCAGCCTCCTACCATCCATATTCATCAGAGCACAGACTTGTCTCCTAATCGTGAGTTGTATGTATATATACTCGGATCATTACTGACTCGAAACNNAGCTCGTCAACTGAAGGCGAATCCAATCTACCAGCATCAACGCTGGACGTTCTATCGCTACGATATTGATCTGGTCATGGACGAACAAGACACTAAGTGGACCTATGCGATCACGTCGCACCTTGGTTGTACCAGGTACGAGTTCCTTGTCGCTGGACGCTATGAGACGAGCTGGCGCTTCATTTCTCATTCTGGCAACGACTTTGCACTAAACGTCAGTGCCAATGAAAGAGCCAAGCTCGGNGGCATTGGCCTCATGTGGAAGGATGTTTTGCAAAAGCATGTCGAGTGTGGTGGTTTCCACGCCCAGCTTGGTCTCGGTGGTCAAATCTTTGGCGACCGTCTATGGAAAGAGGTTCCCGCCCTCAGACAATGGACTGCCATGAGTGGTAAAGAGAACCGCAAGAACGAAGCATGGACTGCAAAGCTTGAAGATGATGTGTCGCATGCTTACTTCCATTATTACTCAAGCCACTTTGATCAGCCCCATGTGCGAGAAGCTTTCGCACAGATCCCTCACGTTCTTACGCTTGACGACAATGATATGTAAGTTCATTGGTCTCAATCCGCAAACAACGACTAACAGTTACTAGTNTTTGATGGCTACGGCTCCTACCCTGACTACATGCAACAGTCTAACATGTTTAAAAACATCGGTCGCATTGGCGTTGACATGTATCTTCTCTTCCAACATCACACGACGCATGAAATTCTTCGCAATGTTTCGGGTGATCTGGACCTGTTCAGCATTACTGGCACCGGTTGGCATTTTGTCAAATATCTAGGTCCAGCAGTAGTTGTCGTTGGTCCAGACACTCGTTCCGAAAGAGATTCACACAGGGTCATGGCTGGCCCTACCTATCAAGGTCTGTTCCCTAAAGTTGCTACTCTGCCGCCTAGTGTGCAGCACTGTATCTGGATGATACCGGTGCCTCTACTCTATCCAAGGCTTGAGACTGCAGAACACATAGCGCACACCATGGCAACAGGCAAGAAAGCTGTCACCGGCACGTTTAACATGCTAGGTCGAGTGACAAGTTCTGTTGCTGGAGTGGTCGGCGCTAAAGGCGTCGTTGGCGATGGCTTCAGCTCAATTAAGAAGGCTGTCGGGAAGTCGGGTCTGATGAGTAGTGTGCTCAGTCCCTTCGGAGATATTGACATGCTCGATGAGCTGCGGGATATGTGGACCCATGATTCAAAGGTAGCCAACCTCATTCTGATGATTAGGACATGATGCTAACAACATCGAACANNGGACCTTGAACGAACATACTTGATTCGTACTCTACAAGGTATCGCGCACAACAAGTCTCTGCGCATGACCTTTTTGTCGGGCAGCGTCAACGCATGTGGTGCCGGTCTTGTGCATGACCCTTCACATCCTGGAAACCATAAGACCATGTACCAATTGATCGCTTCTCCCATCGTCAATGCACCTCCGCCATCCTACGTCCTCCGTCTACTCAACAGCAATCCCAAACAGCCAATATACATACCCCAGAACGGACAGCGCAGTGCAGGACCACACCAAGCAACACAATCAACCGACACAAAAGAAGACATGATGGAAATCTTCGTGGCAGACGTTAATGGCGCTCCTCGCGAAATGAAGCGTCTCATGGGTCGTAGAAACTATGTTGCAATGGTCGCTTACGATCCTGAAGTCGTGCGTGGATCTCATGGTTCCATAGTACCTGGCAGCAAGAGCTCGAGTCGTCTCAGTCTTGCTGCTGATTTCATGGTGCAGAATGAGGGTGCGTATGCGGCGCCTGTTAAGTACGGCCCGGTCATCATTCCCAGCTTGGAGTTTGGTCGATGAAGAAGTTTGGGTGTGGTGGGAGTAGGGGATGGTTTTCGTGTTGTTGTAAGTTAGCCTTTCTCTATCTGCCCTTGAGACCAGGGCGTTATGAATGCAATGATGAGTTTCATTCGGTTGCCATTTTGTCGTTGTTGTCCCGTTCGTATCTTTCAAACTCCATTTGTTTGCCTTGAAAGGGGCACTAGGTCATGATTGTTCTGATGCAAGAAGGGAAAGAACGACGGAAGTTTGGAACCACCATCGCAACTTCCGTTCTGTATGTCAGTCTTTCCTGTTGTTTATTTGCTTATTCGTTCCTTCCATCAATACTCCGATCAAAACAATGACAGCAAACCAACAATCTTGCCCCATGAAAAGACATCTCCCAATCACGATCACGCCGGGTACGAGAAAGTAACATGGGTCTGGGTGAGAATTGACGATTAAACATAATTACTACTCATACAGTCCCCGGAGGAGCAGCGGCGATGGCATGTTGCACCAGATCAAAGCCCCTTTGCCCTTCGAGTCAATCTTCATCCATACTCACATCAGCCTCCTGATAGCTGACTTTGGACTTGTTTGCCCTGCCGCTTGATCTTGCTCCAGCGCGTGGGGCAGAACGCTTGGGTGCATTGACAGGAGCATCATCTTCTGACGAGTTCAACTCGAGCTCAGAGTCATCGCTGGTGGGCGGTGTGACCTCGACTTTTTCCTCCTTTTTCACTTTTGGTGCGGGTGCTTTGCGCTTGGGTGCTGGCTTTGCTGCTGGAGTGGGAGCTGCTACTGCGGCCGCTGTGGGGGTGCGGTNTACGCTGTGCATGGCGTCTGATTTGGCTCGGGCGGCGGCGGCTCTTTGCTTTAGAGCCTCTTTGGCTTTCTTTGTTGCTGGCGTGGCTGCTTCTGCGGCTTCCTCGTCGGATTCGTGTTGTTCCTTTACTGCGGCCTCCAGGGCAACCGCATCGGCAAGTGCTTTCTTCTTTTGTGCTGGGGTGACCTTCTTTGCTGAGCCGGGTGCCTTAGGCTTGACTTCGCGCTTCTTGGGTCGAAGCCAGTCTTCCATACCTGGTGGCCAGTAGACACGACCCTCGGGACCACCCATACCGACTTCCTCTTCGGGTACCAGAGTAGAGGCTTCACCATCTACTAGAGAACCTGCATCGTCTTCCGTCTCTTCGTCCTCGTCTTTAACTTGCTTACCCTTCTTTTTGGCGTTGCCTTTTTCTTGTTCGAAGCNTTGCATGGCTGCCTTGTTGTCGTCATTTCTGACGTGAGGGATTATGTCATTGAAAGTGTCGTATCCAGGCAGCTTGAAGGTTCGCATGAGTTCGAAGACAGCCTGTTCTTTGTCCTTGGCCTCGATCATGAGATCCATATCGTCCGCGCAAGGCGGCAGGGTGGCCACACGTGGGTTGTGCTTTCTCCTTTGTCTGCCAGTGATGGCAGCAGGAGTCGGTTCAGAGTAATGCATCTTCTGCTTGATACCCTTCTTATCCCAAGTCGCCTTGATACGAGGATAAAGGTCACAAATATCTTTCGTTCCCTCGCGAATTTGCTCGGCATCAAAAATGATGTTGTGGTGGTGGTAGTCCAGGACCATTGGGATGTTGAGCTCTTCACAAACAGGCAGCAGTTCGTGAACCGACCAACTAACATCGTCGTTCTCGAGTACCAATCTGTTCTTCACTGACTGGGGAAGAGCCTTGTAGTTCTCGCGAAATCTGTCCAGAGTGGCTGCCTTGTCACCAAAGACACCTCCGAGATGCAGAATCATGACGGCATCCCTGTTCATCTGTTCGGGGAGCTTCAGGAGCGAAAGCATCTCGTCATGATACTCCAGGTCTCGGAGAGCGTTGTCGATGACCTGCTTGCGCGGCGATCCTAGTTGAGTGAACTGGCCAGGATGGGTGGTTACACGGTGGCCCAACTCGGCGACTACTTTGCCAACCTCTGCTAGTGTCTCGGCCGCGAAAGGAGCAAGCTTGTACCCATACTCCTCGTGAGAAGCAAAGGNGAACATCTCGCTGGAGAGACGCAAGAACTTGATGCCGTACTTGTGGTTCCATCTGAGCATCTTGATGACATCTCTAGCATTGGCCACACCAAGTGCTTCGACGTACTTCTGGCCTCGCTCTATACTAGAAGGTTGCTCGCGATCAGGGCGGTTCTTGGTCGGGTGCTCGGGCTCATTGGGATCGCGAAGAGGATGTCTATGTTCCAAAATCGAGGCGATGCGACATGTGCGGGAAGCAAATACGGGAGGTGTGCTGTAGCGGAGATAGGTGTTCAAGCAAGCNNCTATTTCTGTTGTTAGCATCTGCTCACGGTCGTAGGATTTAATTGAACATACATAACCAAGCCTGCCTTTCCAGGGAAGGGGAAGATAGTCACTGTGAACAGGAGGAGGTCGAGCCAGAGCTGCAGAGACGTCTTCCTCATCAGCCTCCTCGTCGCCCTCGGCTTCCGGGTCGTCCATATCATCGTTGGCGGCTTTCTTGACGGGCGTCTTCTTGGCTGTTGTTGCCTCAACAGCTACATCATCCTTCTCCTTCTTGACAGCAGCACCGGTCTTTGCAGCACCCTTCTTGGTGTTCCTCTTCTTGACCGGCGGCTCAGCATCAGGTACATCCGACAAAGGCGACTCTGATCCCGGCTCTGACTTGATAGGTCCAGGTGCGATGCGCTGATCCACATCGCTGTCTGGCGAAGCTCTGTATGCATTAGGCGCGTCAATGACCTCAGGATTCGCCTGAGGATTGGTGAGTCCATTGGGTGGCGGAGATGGAACTGCAGCAGGCATCGCAGCAGCGTTCCTCTTGCGTTTCGCGGCGACCATGGTGTTTTGGTATCGCAAGATTGGAGATAGTTTGTATGGGATTAGGAATGTGTTGCTCTTGTGCGCAAGGGATCTCACAGGCGTGTGAAATATAGTCCGAAGCATCAATTGAAAACGGAAGAAGAACAGTGCAGTTGAACAAGCAGAGATGCAGGAAAACAGATACAGATGAGCTCAACCTATTTACTGCTTACCTATGACGATGCTTCCTTTTTCGCAATCGTTAGTTCGCAAAATGTAAGAGATGTCTTGATCGTCAATGGAGATCGGTGGTGATGTCACGCATCTGGCGCTAGTGGGGAAGGATCGCGATAGATCTGCCAGGTTGCTGGCAGGATGACCCTGTATATCATTAATCGCAAACACACCAAACGCAGAAACACGAAAGAATACTTGGCCGGTGCTAGTTGTTGTCCTCGGAGAGGCGTTCACTGTAAGTGTGTACAGTTTTCTAATAGCTTTCGTGTGAGCCTGAGAGCCTGATAGTGATAATCGATTTTTATACGAACAATGATCTGATAGTCCCGTCAGCCATGTTCGAAAATCATATCGTAGTGTCGACCAAGTACATGAGATGTCATACATAAATATACGTAACGGGTATTTCAATTATCATTGCATGTACTTCTTCAGACCTCTGAGCCTGTCTTTGGCCTTGTCAAGCACGTCGTCGTTCTTGCAGATAGCAAATCGCAACCAGTCCTCGACGATATGAGCATTGTCATCGGTGAAGAACTCGGTGGGCGGGATGGCAGCGACACCTAGCTCCTTGATGATGAAGTATGAGAGCTTGAAATCACGAGGACGGCTTGCGACATGCTCAGGGAAAGGATAGTCGGCAGGAAGCTTCACCTTGGACATGTTTACAAGGACAAAGTAACCACCCTCAGGGTCGGAGTAAGGTAGATCAAGCTCATCGAAGATGGCCACGAAGCGGTCAATCTTGGCTCGCATCTCAGCCTTGGTCTCGTCCCAGAAGCCGTGCTTATCAGCCTCCTCGAAGCCGATAGCGGTGGCTTCTTGCAGCGGGCTGACACTGCTGTAACAGATGCGGGTGTGAGCAGCACTGACGGGTTGGATGAGGTGCTCGGGGCCAATCAACCATCCGACGCGCCAGCCGGTGCAGTAGAAGTTCTTACCTCCCGAGCCAACGGTAAGTGTGAGGTTGGCGATTTCGGGTGAAAGAGTAGCCATGCGGGTGAAAGGAGTGTAGTAAAGACGATCATAGACCTCATCGCTCAGAATGATAATGTTGTGCTCAACGCACAGATCACCGATGGCTTGCAGCTCTTCGCGTGTAAAGACTTTGCCGATGGGATTGTGAGGAGTATTGAGAACAATCATGCGGGTGTTGTCGTTGATGGCAGCTTTTAGCTCGTCCATGTTGATTGACCAGTCTCCAGCCGAAGTGGTCTGAGTAGCGCCCTTCTCCGGAGGGTGTAGGGGCACGTAGACGACCTTACCGCCAGGCATCTGAATGTTGTGGATATATTGATCGAAAAAGGGCTCGAAGACAATGACCTCGTCGCCGGGTTCGACAAAGCCCATGAAGGCCGAGAGCATGCCCTCGTTTGCACCAGTTGTGATTGTGACCTCCTTTTCAGGGTCTAGAGTGCGACCGAAGAAGGGGGAGTAGGCATCGGCGAGGGCTTTCTTCAGACGAGGTCGTCCCTTGGTGGGCGAGTACTGGTTGCATTCGACTCTGTCCAGAGCACCCTTGGCGGCGTCGATTACGAATTGAGGGGNGTTGTAGCCGAAGAAGCCTTGTCTATGCTGGCATTAGCTTTTGGTTGGCCAGCAGATACATATGTTCATGTCACTCACCCNCATGTTCACAACATCAGCGACCTTGGACGAAGCAGCGGCTTCGTTGACGATAGACCAGACATCTTGCTTCTGACCGGCCACACGGGCTGCGGGCTTAAAAGGGTCCTTGCGCATCTTGGGGTTGAATGTCGAGAACTGGACGGCGAAGCTCCTAGTAGACAGTGGAGCAGGGGCGGTTATGATCCTTGTGAAAGGGAATGGACGAGACAGCAATCTCATGGCCATGGCAAGAGTCAGCGAGCGTATATTATCTTACCCCAGATATTTGTCTTCCCCACCAAGTGACCGAGCACGACATCATGGCCCGATACCGCACGCCGCACCGGCGCGTTGCAGGTCATTGAAATGTCGTCTCGAGAGCTTAACGCGTCTTCTCAGCCGACCGCGTCTTTCGTATCAAACCATGTAGGTATCTTCTTAACCACGACCCATGTCATCCAACCAGCTTGTCGATTGTCCCATCTGTAGCAAGCCCGTCAAGGAGCTGAATATTAATCGACACATTGATTCTGGCTGTGAGTCTTTTGTCGACGACTCGCCTCCGACCACCCAGCAGAATGCACCTAAATCAACCCAAGTCACCAACTTCTTTCAAACTCCGGCTGCCAAGCGCACTCAGAGCATTCCCGCCTCTACACAGGCCGTGAATGGTGCTACAACCCCAAAGCCCACTCAAACACCCACCGCGACTCAGAAAAGACCCTTAGAAGATGTCAAAGACGAAGACATCCCTCAACCCTTACCCAAAAGATCCAAAAATGCCAACCTGGAGAAGGCTGCTCCACTGGCCGAACGGATGCGGCCACAATCTCTAGATGAGGTTCAAGGTCAGGAACTTGTAGGACCAAAAGGTGTCTTGCGCTCCTTGATTGAGACCGATCGCGTGCCTTCTATGGTATTATGGGGCGGACCAGGAACTGGCAAGACAACAATCGCTCGATTAATTGCGAAAACCGCTGGTAATCGCTTCGTCGAGATCAACAGTAGTTCGTCAGGCGTCGGTGAATGCAAGAAGCTGTTTGCCGAAGCTCGCAACGAGCTTTCTCTCACCGGCCGCAGAACCATCATCTTCTGTGATGAGATTCATCGGTTCAGTAAGAGCCAACAAGACGTGTTTCTGGCCCCTGTAGAGAGCGGCGTCATCACCTTGATTGGTGCGACAACCGAGAATCCAAGCTTCAAAGTCATAAATGCTCTGTTGTCAAGGTGTCGAACATTCACCCTTGCCAAGTTAGACGACGAGCACATCACAGCCATCTTGAAGCGGGCCCTGAACATTGAACCTCCTACAATAAAACATGCTGCAGACTTGTTGGAAGGGAACGACCATGCACTGCTCCATTATCTGGCAAGCTTCGCAGACGGGGATGCGCGTACAGCACTAAATCTCCTCTCTCTAACCCTGGATTTGTCAAACAGTCCCGAGACCACCATCGAGACTGTCAAAGAAAACCTGACTCGGACGCTAGTATACGACCGTCAGGGTGACCAACATTATGACACCATTAGCGCCTTCCACAAAAGTGTCAGGGGTAGCAATCCTGATGCAGCCCTCTACTATCTTGCCCGCATGCTGCAATCTGGCGAAGATCCGGTTTACATTGCGCGGCGAATGGTAGTCATGGCTAGTGAGGACATTGGCCTCGCGGACAACAGTTTATTACCACTGGCAACAGCTGCTTATACCGCAGCCAAAGAGATTGGTATGCCGGAATGCAGAATAAATCTGGCCCATGCAGCGGTCGCCCTTGCCGAAGCACCAAAGTCTACACGCTCTTATCGAGGCCTCAACGCTGCATATGCTGCTCTATCAGAACCTGGGGTTGCAGGACTGCCTATTCCTGTTCATCTCCGGAATGCCCCTACGAGGTTGATGAAAGAGTTGGGCTATGGCAAAGAATACAAGTACAACCCGGATTACAAGAACGGAAGGGTAAACCAAGAATACTTCCCTGATAAGCTGAAAGGCAACGTCTTTCTTCCGCAGAACCACCTCGGGGATAAAGTCGATCCCGATCTCCCTCCCGCCATGGAAATGCATCAGGGTCAAGTTGCGGACAACGAAGAACCCAAAGAGTGGTCAGCTGAAGATGATGAAGCTATTGACTATGACGGTTTGGACGATCATGTAGGTGAAGAAGACGGCGATGGCGAAGAGCGTATACTTAACCCTGATGGAGAATGACAATGAGGGCTCGGGACTGCCAATCCCGAGCATGTTTAAAAGACCGTCCGTATGTTCAAACGAGGATGCAAGATAGAGGTCAAGCAATTGTACATACCAGACTACAAGCATCGTACCCCAGCTATCGGTCCGGTCGTCCTTTAGATGCCCAGTTCGTTCTTGATACACTACCACCTGCTGTAGTACAGTCGAGGACAGTTTCGGCTGATAAAGGCTCGTCTACCCTCTACTTCCCATTGCTTCAAATACTTGTAGTAGGATGACGGTTTCGGTTCGCCAGCTTTTGAAAACATACACATAGCGATGGTACGAAACAGCGTGCAGAAAGCGGGACATGGCGGAATTGCAAAGGCGTCCGTGTGAGGCCCATTCCATGCAAAGCGCACCTGATGAATCAAGCCAAGTGGATCTGTACGCAGCTCTGGGACTTCATGGCCACACAAAAGGTCAAATGACATCTAAAAACGCCAAAGTTGATGTTGACGGAGGAGGCCTACAGATGTAGGTGGTTCCTTCCTTCGTCCTGGTGCCAAGCTGAGATGAATCTTGGAACGCAAGCCAATCGATGAGTGCACGTTGTCGTTACGCACGTTGATATCCATCAGGCCGACTGTTACAATTCATTGATCTATCCACACTTGTAGACACGGATGTTCACGTGAGAGTAGACCGAATTCGATAAGAACAAGGAGATTGCCACCGGCATCCTGGAGCGTGGACGAGAAAACGATACCGACATCGAGCTCGGCCTTCTTCTTCCCGCACCCGCAGTGCCACTTCCACCGACATCACCATCGCACAACGAATATTCGGCCGCGCGCCTCGAGAAGCTCGCGCGCATACTCGACATGAAGTTCTCCCACAGCATCCAATTCAATGCCGTGCCCGAGTGGAGTAACAACTACATCTCATACAGCAACCTCAAGAAATTGTCTGCCGCGTCCTGGCCGAGGCCCTTGTTTCCTGCGTACTGACGTATTGCAGANATTTACGCTCTCGAGAAAAGGCTTCACCAGGCCAATGCCATCCAAGAAGACGTCGAGTCATCACCACTTCTGACTGGTGACTCCGAAGACCCGGACAAAGTCTTTTCGCGCGCTCTAGATCAGGACCTCGAAAAGATCTGTACTTTCTACCAACTGAAGGAGCTGGAAATCTATGGAGAAGTCGAATCGCTACTACGAGATGAGCACGACTTTGAGGAAGAAACAAGAGAGCAGGACGGAGAGCACGATGCAGGGCCTGCTGCACGGAACGGTACCCTGGCAAGAGCGAGGAAGGCCAGCATGTTCAAGGGCTTCAGCATTGGTCGACGCCGACGCGCTAGCACCTTGAGCGGTCACCAGGAAGAAGCCGATAGCGACGACGAGCGCACCGGTCTCACCAAGTCGAACTCTCGGGACGGGAACCCATACGACATGTCAGCGAGTTCCAATGTTGACACCTCATCGCGCCGCCGCCCGAGCAGCTCCCACGACTTTGACGACCAAGCCCTCGATGTGCTCTACAACGAAGGTGTGACTCTCAAGAAGCGTACCGTCAGCCTCTACGTCACCCTATGCGAGCTGCGTTCCTTCATCCAACTCAACCAGACTGGTTTCGGCAAAGTCTTGAAGAAGTATGACAAAACTCTGGACCGCAAGCTCAAAAACGCTTATGTCAAGGAAAACGTCGAGACTGCCTACCCTTTCCAACCAGAGACTATGGATCGCTTAAATGTCAACATCGAAAAGATCGAGACAGCATACGCAGACCTGGTGACAAAAGGCGACATCGGCTTGGCTCGTCGTGAGCTGCGCCTTCATTTGCGTGAACATGTCGTATGGGAGCGCAATACTGTTTGGCGTGAGATGATCGGCATTGAGCGCAAAGCCCAAGCTGCCAACATGGGTCTTGGTCAGACCATGCTGGGTGGTATCGAGGATCGTGGTAAGGCACGCTTGCAGGGTGACGAGGAGCAAGAGGCTACCAAGGAGGTTGTGACACCTCTAGGCAAGTACAGATGCCCACGCTTCCTCTTGTCAAGCACTTTCTACACTCTGGTGGCTGTCATAGCTGTGTTCTTTGTTCTACTGTTCGCTCCCATCATGGAGTCTCCAGTCGAGCAGAACTGTTTGGCGCTCGTTGTCCTGGTCAGTCTGCTATGGGCTACCGAGGCCATCCCGTTGTTTGTGACGTCCCTGCTTGTACCATTCCTCGTCGTGGTCCTGCGCGTCGTCAGATCCGAAGCCGAGCCTCACCGCCGTCTGGAATCCAAGGCCGCAGCTACATTCATCTTTGGAGCTATGTGGTCCCCCGTCATCATGCTTTTGCTTGGAGGCTTCACTATTGCCGCTGCGTTGAGTAAGCACAATATTGCGAAAATGATGGCGACATTTGTGCTCAGCAAGGCCGGCACGAAGCCTCGTAACGTATTGATCACCAGCATGTTCGTGGCCATGTTCGCGAGCATGTGGATCAGCAACGTTGCCGCTCCTGTTCTCTGCTTTTCTATCATTCAGGTGCGTGTTCGGGAAAGTTCAACCGAAGACGAGAAACTGACAGTCATATAGCCCATTCTCCGAAATCTGCCTGCTGACTCGGACATGTCTAAAGCCCTGCTTTTGGGTATTGCCCTATCTTCCAACATGGGAGGCGCAGCCTCACCAATTGCTTCGCCTCAGAACTTGATTGCTCTGCAGAACATGACACCAGCTCCTGGCTGGGGAGTTTGGTTCTTCATTGCGCTTCCAGTCTGCATCATTTCCATCCTTATGATCTGGGCCCTGCTCCTGGTCACTTTCCGTCCTGGTCGCAACACCACCATTGTGCCCATTCGTCCTATGAAGGATAAGTTCACCCCTACTCAATGGTTCATCAGCTTCATCACCCTCCTTACCATCATACTTTGGTGTTTCAGTCATCAGCTAGAGTTCGTTTTTGGCGACATGGGCGTTGTCGCCATCCTTCCCATGGTTGTTTTCTTTGGTCTGGGAATTCTCAACAAGGAGGACTTCAATAACTTCCTCTGGACCATTATCATTCTGGCTGCTGGTGGTCTTGCGCTTGGAAAAGCTGTCAACTCATCCGGTCTTCTGCGCACCATTGCAGTATCTATTACCACTCGCGTCGAAGGCCTAGGCCTTTACAGTGTGTTGGTTGTGTTTGCTGCACTGATTGGTGTGGTGGCCACTTTTATTTCTCACACAGTGGCTGCTCTGATCGTGTTACCCTTGGTTCAGCAGGTTGGAGAGGGAATGAGCGATCCTCATCCTAACCTCCTTGTTATGGGCAGCGTGCTCATGGCCTCTGCTGCCATGGGACTTCCTACCTCAGGATTCCCCAACATGAGTAAGTGCTCAACGTCCTTCAAACAATCCTGCGTTTTCAAAACTGACATGCGATGCTACAGCNNCGCAATCATGATGGAAGAGCCAAATACTGGCAGACGTTATCTCCAGGTTAAGCATTTCATTACCCGAGGTGTACCTGCCTCAATCATGGCCTACGTTGTGATCATCACGGTAGGATATGGTCTGATGCTGGCTGCTGGGTTCTAAACATGTGGGAACTAGGAACTGGTGTTTTTGGATAAGACATCATAAGCTTTGCGATTCGAAGATCTATGATGGTGTACATTTGGAGAGACGATTGGATTTTTTTTGCGTGCATACATGGAAGAGGGGCGTGTTTTATGTTTAGACGGTTTTTTCCACATCAGCGCTGCAGTAATTCGAGCGATATTCAAAGAGACGATTCGGTCGTTTCGCCTACCATCATAACGTCTTCGGAGTGCATCCCATGTCCGGTTTTTGTGATGGTCCGATGGCTGGTGCCCCTTGCAAGCCGCACCATCCACAGATCTGATCTTGGCCAATGCAGGATGACGTAGCGTGGGGTATCGGGTTACCGTGCTCGAAACACCACACCAAGGCTCGGTGGACCGAGGAGCGCGTGTTTGGAGCAGGTTTTCTGAGAGCTGCAGCGTTCCTTCCAGTTTCGAGTTGAACGTTATCACTCCGAGGCGTGCCGGTCTTTCGTTTCCTTGTTCCTCTTCCCCTCCTTCGCCTGCCGCCTATCTCCAACTGGATTCTCAGGACTCTACGCGATCCGAATATCTGAGGTCGTGTGCGCGCAATCTAAGCACTCGGCTTAAATCTACAATAAATTCTCCTGTACAACAGGATGGGACTCATTGGAAAGACGTCGCATGTCGACACGAAAGACGAGCAAATTCGCGACTCGGACCATGCTGAGCAGAAGGGTGCTGCCGACCACATCAAGCATCCTTTCTCTGACCTGAGGCAGAAGCTGAAGGAGTCATCGCTGTACGACATTAAGGTCAAGGCCATCCATGCGAAACACAAAATCGGCAAGTGGCAGAACCTAGTCAATCCCAACCACCGTCACGACGAAGAGCACGAAAAGGCAACCGATGAGAAGAGAACGAGAATTGGCGAAGGTCATCGCTTTGAGAGTTTCGCTCCCGAGAGAGACGGAAACAAGATAAAATGGTACATTGACGGCCGTGACTACTTCCATGCCGTCTCGGTCGCACTTGAAAGAGCAAAGGAAACCATCTACATTGAGGACTGGTGGCTGTCCCCCGAACTCTTCTTGCGCAGACCCCCATTCACCACCCAGGATTGGCGTCTGGACCACGTCTTGAAGCGTGCGGCCGAACGTGGTGTTCAGATCTATATCATTGTCTACAAAGAGGTGAATCAAGCTCTTACTTGTAACTCGGCACATACCAAGCGTGCCCTTCGTGCTCTTTGCCCCGAAGGCACTCCTGGCCATGGCAACATCCATCTGTAAGTACAGAACAGCCCTTTTGCGCCTATCGCCGCAGGCCCTGAGCAGGTTTGAAAAGCGTTGCTGACCTCACAAAGCATGCGCCACCCGGATCACAACGTCTTTGAAAACGCTGGAGATATGACCTTCTAGTAAGTTAACCAAGTAGTATAGTAAAACCTCACTAACCGAGATAGCTGGGCGCACCACGAAAAGTTCATCGTTATCGACTTCGATCTTGCCTTCATCGGAGGCCTGGATCTTTGCTTCGGTCGCTGGGATCAAATGCAGCATCCACTGGCTGATGCTCACCCCGCCGGTGTCGAGGAAGAAATCTTCCCTGGACAGGACTTCAACAACAACAGAATCATGGATTTCCAAAACGTCCAAGATTGGAAGAGCAACGAACTGAGCAAGGCCGATTATGGACGCATGCCATGGCATGATGTGGCCATGGGCGTCATCGGACCTTGCGTTTATGATATCGCCGAGCATTTCCAGTTGCGCTGGAACTTTGTCAAGCGTGACAAGTACAAGCGTGACGAACGTTTCGACTGGCTTACTCTCGAGGGCCGCGAAGGCGAAGATGAGGATCTGATTGCAGTCCAAAGGCCTAAGCATCCTGTTGGAGAGTACATTCACCACCCAATCTCGCCCATAAACGTCAAGACTGGTAGACCGGACCCCAGTAATGTCCAAGGTAGTGTTCACGCACAGATTGTGCGGAGCAGTGCCGATTGGTCAAGTGGTATTTTGACCGAGCACAGCATCCAGAATGCATACTGTGAGATTATTCGAAACGCTCAGCACCTTGTTTACATTGAGAACCAGTTCTTCATCACTTCAACTGGTGAAGAACAAGCACCCATCCACAATCAGATTGGTAAGGCTATCGTGGATGCTTGTGTCAGAGCAGGCAAGGAAGGCCGCAAGTTCAGAGTCATCATCGTTATTCCGGCTATTCCTGGATTTGCTGGTGATCTCAGAGACAATGCTGCTGCCGGAACCAGGTAAGTCTTATTGATATACCACTTCTGATATAAAGACATGCTGAGACACCCCNNCAGAGCCATCATGGACTATCAATACAAGTCCATCAACAGGGGCGAACACTCTATCTTCGGTCAAATCAGGAAACAAGGTGTAGAGCCCGAGAACCACGTCTTCGTCTTCAACCTTCGCTCATACGATCGACTCAACAAGACCCCGGCGATGAAGAGGATGGAAGACGAGTCTGGTGTTACTTACCAAGAAGTTCAACGTGCTCAAGCTGAGGAAATCATGTCATCAGGTGTGCATGGTGGCGCTGAGTCATCCTCCTCAGACGAGGGTGAATCTGAGGATGATGAGAAAGAGCACTACTCGAGCCGCAAGAAGAAGTTCGAGGCCCGTAGAGCGGCAGCTGGACTTAAGAAAGATCAGATCATCAGTGAAGACAGTGTGGCTAAGAACGCTATGTTGGGCGAGAAGAAGGTTAGCGAAGAAAAGTGGGATGAGAATGATCTGGAACAGGAAAAGGCAAATTGGGTACAGGAAGAGCTTTACGTTCATGGANNAAAGTAAGCCAACTTTCTGTCTGCGGGACAGACAAACATGCTAACCTCTTGTCAGACATGCATTGTCGATGATAGGATTGCTATCTGCGGAAGCAGTAACATCAACGATCGTTCGCAGCTGGGCTACCACGACTCGGAACTCACAATCATCATGGAGGACACCGAAGCGCTTCCCTCAATCATGGACGGCCGCGAGTACCAAGCTGGTCACCACGCCGCAACTCTTCGTCGCATGCTGTGGCGTGAGCACTTGGGCTTGTTGCCCGCCCAGCCCCTGGACGCAAGCGAAGATCCCAATGCCCAACCTCCGGATGTCTGTCCCAACCACTGGCACGAGGGAGACGAGTGGGATAAACTTGTGACAGACCCCTTGTGCGACGATGTCTGGAACTTGTGGACTCAGCAAGCGACTACCAACACAGAAGTCTTCCGTCACCTGTTCCACGCAGATCCTGATGACAACATCCGCACATTCGAGGACTATCAAAACTTCCTCCCGAGAAATGATACGTAAGTTAAATTCCGACTAGATCCACTATCACGTCCTGCCAGGATGTTCGTTCTGTGTGTTGTACGAGCAGGATACTGTCTGAAGGGACATGTACCGGTCGGCTTTGTACAGATCGATCATACACGGCAGACAAAATCATGATATATAGCACCCACACTTGTGACTATTATGCTAACAATACTCTTACTCTAGGAAGCAAGGTCATTTGTATAACAAGTACATGCCCGACGAAGAAGTGAAACGCGCCCTTGACAAGATTAGAGTGAGTCGATTCCATCAGTTCAAATCGCTGTACCACTTACTAACTTTGACCAGGGACATCTTGTTTGGATGCCGCTGCACTTCCTCGAGAATGCAGAGATGGCCGAAAAGGGACTCGCGGTCAACTACTACACCGAAAGTATTTACACTTAGGTGTTTGAATGTGTCCAACGACGTTGAACTGATAAGACTGGTTCTGAAGTGGATGGTGTTTGATGAGATATCCTTCTTGGTGATGAGATCACGTTACATATTACTTGTTGGTATAATTTTATTTTGCATGTTCATGAGATACCTCCAAATTTATCCCCATGATACTCTATCAAGGATGATTGTTACTACATAATCTTCGGTCATCTGCATGGATCGGATCAATCTCACACCAGGCCTCTTCTGTAGAATCACACGGCAAGACTGTAAATATTTTGACAATAGAGTGGGGATTTTGTAGATGCAGAAGACGTGGGTGGAGAATGTGTATTCTTTTATCGTGGAAGTTTTCTTGTCCTTATGGAGGACTTGAAACGGTCAACATATCACATGCAGAGGCAGAAAAGAAAAGAGCTTCCATTGATATGTGCACGATGCTATTCGAAGTATGTCGAAATCTGATGGTTCCAAGAAGAAAGAATGGAATTCCAGAGATACGCATCTTGCCGCAACCGGCTCAGCAAATGCGGAGTCCATCTTCGTGGGGTGTTGTCCAAGGGATTAAATGGTTGTGTTCGTCATGTCGTCGTCGTCGTCAGAGGTGTTAAGTGAAGCAATGAGCAAGCGTTCGAGGAGGGAGGGGTTGCGCGGGGTACACCGACTCGGCAATCGGCAGGTTCGTGAAGATGATACCCTTGCGATTGTCCAGCATCAAGATGAATGTATCAGTTGGGGCAGGTCTAAAAATCGAGGTCAGAGAGATCGATGCAAGCATAATGTCTGATGGAAACACACAGCGCCGCAAGAGCCACAAGACTTTCCACCCGAGACGGCGGCACCGCACTTGGGACAAGCTGAGTGAGACATTGCTGCTGAAAACAAGATTTGTATTTTGGTTGACTCGAAGGAGTGGCTGCTGGTTGAACGAAAGCAAGCTGAGATATACGAGTAGTGTTGTTGTCGAGTCGAAGAAATGGGAAATAAGAAAGATGAAGTGCTAGATGGTCAGCAGATAGAGAGCTCCAGCCTCACAGCGACCACCCCACGCAATATAGTACACGTTCACTTGTAGTGTGAGCGGAACGACATGTGGTTGGAGGAAGTAAAGCTTGACCGCTACTTTCACCTGAGTCGCCTAACAGACCACTCGCTGGTATCTCATTGACTGTTCAAAAACCAGAGGATACCAAAGGTACTGTGTTTGGCCAAAAGTGTTGTCCTGGCGTCTGCATCAGGATACTATCACGCGACAGCATGCAGCTAGCTCAGATGGGGCCCAACTTGAGCTTACATCGTACACAGATCAACTTCTTGATTCTACCAGTAACGACCAGCGACAAGTGCTATATACAGGACAGTAAGAGGTGTTTGTGCGGGTGATTGCAGTGGTGCCAAGTGATATGGCGCTAGCGGCGATAACGGAGCAAGCAAGCAAATAACTTCTGGTGGAGCAAAAAAGGATCGAAGCTCACTACCTCATCATGTGAATAGAGCAGTGAAACAGAACTCGCCTCGACGCGATCAATTCAACCTCGCCCACGTCGAACGTCGAACGCCCGCGTCGCCCGACTTCCGTCACTCAAACAACAACCTCGACCGTCGACAATCAGCATGCGTCGTACCTGCGTCTTCGGCGGCCTCAGCCATCCAGAGCTGACCGACCTCATCTGCGAGAAGCTCGGCAGGAAACCCGACAAGGTCGAGCTCAGGAAGTTCGCCAACGGAGAGACCAGTGTCGAGATCAAGACTTCGGTGCGCGACCAGGATGTCTTCATCGTCCAGAGTGGATCTCACAAGTACTTATGCCCGACATGATTGATCGCGGGCCTGGCTGACCTCCCAGGNACCAACGACGATGTCATGGAGCTGCTCATCATGATTGCCGCTTGCAAGGGAGGCTCGTCCAAGTCTGTCACGGCCATCATGCCCTACTTCNNCCCCTACTCGCGCCAGTCCAAGAAGAAGAGCCACCGTGGAGCCATCACCGCTCGCATGATTGCCAACTTGATGCACGTCGCCGGCGTCAATCATGTCATTACCATTGATCTCCACGCCAGCCAGATGCAGGGTTTCTTCAAGTGCCCCGTCGACAATCTGGTCGCCGAGCCCCTCCTCGCTCGCTGGATCCGCAGCCATGTACAGAACTGGAGGGAGGGTGTCGTCGTCAGCAAGAACCCTGGCGGTACCAAGCGTGTGACCTCGCTGGCCGATGCCTTGAAGCTGAGCTTTGGCATCGTCACGACCGACAGAGTCCGCCACAACATGGGCCAGAGCATGTACAACAGCGTCATCTACCAATCCGCTACCGGCGAAAACATNGCCCCGATCGAAGTCCAGTCTGCCGCACCCGAAGAAGTCGAGGCCGAACAACACATTGATCTCGACCACGCTCCCCCAATCGAGCACGACTTTGCGCCTCAGGCCGGCTCCAGCAAGCCTTCCGACTATGCCAACTCTGAAGCTCGCCCCGACAACTTCTCTCGCCGTCCTGCTAAGCAGCGCTCAACAACCACATTCAGCAGCAGGCTGCTGGGTGCCCCTGCTCTTCCTAGTCCTTTGGCCCAGTTCTCGCGCCCCGACTCGTCCGACGGCGTGAACAAGGAGGAAGAGGAGGACAACTCAACCAACAGACCCAGCCGACCCAGCTTTGGTCTTGACGGNCCCCCTAAGATGCACCGCACAGCCACCGCTCTCGGCACCGTACAGCCTCCTGCCGAGCCCAGCACCGACAATGAAGACGAAGAGGATGCAGACGAATACACAGATGAGCGTGCCCGCAACGTTATTACCGGTCGCCTGATCCACGGTCATCTTGTCGACGATGATTTCCCTTCTCCAATCATGTCCGCCATGTCGAGCTCCACNCCCGGACTCTACCCCATGAAGAGCGCCGGCTCCGACGACGAAGAGATTCCTGACCACATGATGAACTCCTTCATGTCGAACACCTCATCCCGCCGTCCTGACTTTGCCCTCGGGGGTACTGGCGACGCCACAGCTTCTGACGATGAAGAGGAAGAAGCCCTCCAGGATCCCGAACTTGAAACCACCATTACACTCGTCGGCAACGTGCGCAACCGTCCCGTCTTCATTGTTGACGACATCATGGACAAGGCTGGCTCCTGGATCGCCGCAGCCGAGACTGTCGTCAAGAGGGGTGGTGCCACAAAGGTCTACTGCATGGCCACTCACGGCCTCTTTGGCGGCGACTGCCTCCGCGAGATGGATGAATGCGAGGAGATTGATGCCATCGTCGTCACCAACGCCTTCCCCATTCCCGAGGAGAAGCGCAAGGGTATCCGCAAGCTGGTCATCTTGGACGTGAGCACCTTGCTCGCTGAATCCATTCGCCGCAACCACCACGGTGAAAGCATTAGCCAGCTCTTCATGCATCACGATTGATTACGGCAACGCAAACGGTCAATGAACACATGAACCGGGAAAAGGGAAGAGAGGAGAATAAGGGGTCTGGTTGCTTTGATGTCGTTTCCTTGCTTTTAGTTGCATCTGGCTCTGGCGTATAAAAGGCGTATCATCGAGCAGAATAGGGAGGAGCATATGAAGAAACAGGGCCAACCACTGCATGTCTCTGGGACATTGCTTAGCATAACACATTTGATGTTGAAGCATCTTTCATCTTTCCACACTGTTGCGGCGTTTCGTGTGCACCTCTACCAAACAATCGTGAGATTGAAGTAATGGCATAACAAATGCTCAGCTATGCTCTTACAAGTGCTGATATCGATCCGGACGACATCTCGGGAGCCACTGACACGACTGCCGTCCTCTCGGGCCGCAACGGAGCTCGCAGCACAAAACTCCATAGCCGAAACATCCCGTCAACCCGACCTCCTCCACTTTACCAAGACAATTTGCACAAAAAAGTCACATGCAAAAACAGCAGCAACAAGAGAGATGATGGCGAAGAAAAATGGTATTTAGGAAGGACGATGGATGGGTGTATTGTTACAACGATAAACAGAAAAAGGGACAAAAGGCACGAATAAGAGATGGGAAAAAGGAGGAACCAAGAAACAGGGGAATATATAGATATGATGTTTTCGTCAAGTCTCTCTCTCTCTTTCCCTCCCTCACCACCATTCATGCCATTCATTTTGCTCCAGTGACGAAGTGGTATTCTAAGCGAGCTTCTGGATAACGGCGGCGGCGTACTCGTGGGTCTTGGCCGAACCACCGAGGTCACCGGTGATGGNTCTAGAAAACAGAGTTAGTATTATGTTGTGATAGTAGAAAGCAGAGAAAAGACATACCTTGCCCTCGGCAAGAACATCGAAGATGGCCTTCTGGATTCTGTTGGCCTCGGTGTGGAGACCCATGTGTTGCAGCATCATGATGGACGAAAGGAGAAGAGCGGTAGGGTTGGCAAGGCCCTTGCCAGCAATGTCGGGAGCGGAACCGTGGACGGCCTCGAAGATGGAGCACTCGTCACCAATGTTACCCGAGGNGGTAAGACCAAGACCACCGATCAAACCAGCGCACATGTCGGAGAGAATGTCACCGTAAAGGTTGGGCATAACCAGGACCTTGTCGTTGTAAGGAGTGGGGTCAGTGACGACCTTGAGGCAGGTGTTGTCGAGAAGCTCGGCATCGAACTCGACGGCGGGGAACTCCTTGGAGAGCTCGCGGGCGGTGTTGAGGAAGAGACCGTCGGACATCTTCATAATGGTGGCCTTGTGGACGGCGCGGACCTTGTTCTTGCCAACCTCCTGGGCGTACTGGAAAGCGAAGCGCAGGACACGCTCGGAAGCCTGGCGGGTGATGAGCTTGATGGACTGGACAACACCGTCGACAACGACGTGCTCGATGCCAGAGTATTCTCCCTCGGTGTTCTCACGGATGAGGACGGTGTCAACGCCATCGTAGGGGGTCTTGTAGCCCTGGATGGACTTGCAGGGACGGACGTTGGCGAAGAGGTTGAAGGTACGACGGAGAGTCAGGTTGAGCGAGACGTGACCCTTGCCAACGGGGGTNNCTAGAATGGGAGTGTTAGCGGAGGAGCGCATGCAGAGAGAATGAGAGAGGAGCTGGCGGGGGTTGCGCGGGCGGACGGTTGTGATTTGTGGACGTACGGCGAGGGGACCCTTAAGGGCAACGTAGTTGCGCGAGATGGACTCGATGGTCTCGTCGGGGATGACGGTCTTGCCGTCCTTCAGGCGGGNGGTGACATCGACGGGCTCCCACTTGATGGGGACGTTGGCGGCCTCGAAAATGTCCTTGACCGACTGGGAGATCTCGGGGCCGATACCGTCACCCTCGATGAGCGAGACGGTGTACTTGCCGTCGTTGCCCTTGGTACCCTTGAACTTGGCGACTCTATCGTCCGAGGCGACGGCGTAGGAGCGAGCGAAGGAAAGTCTGGTAAACTGCTGCTGTCTGGCCTGGCGCAGGCACTGGCGTGCAGGGGTGGCCAATGATCGGGATCCAAGCATCTTGAAGGTTGTGGGTAGAGGGACGAGAGACGACGACGGGAGGGAGTATGCTGCCGGTAAGAGTTGCGAAGCAGAGCAGTGGGCGGCAGCGACAGCGAGTAGGTACCGGTAGAGCAAAGTCGAAATGCCAAGGCTGCCGTCCAAAGCAGCTGGCCGATCGGTCAAATTCGGACCGCGACAGCAACAGCTGCTCTGCATAACCCCCACACTCGCGTGCATAACAGATGAGCCATCCCCACATAGTCATACTCCTAGCCGCATCCATCGACTTCGAGGCACCAAGCACTCTTCGATCACCCAAACACAAATGTCTGCCGAAGTCGAGCGCGAGCTGTTGAACCACTACAAGCTCGACTCTCTATATCCCTCCGAATGGCCGGACCGGGACGACGACGACTGCAATAGCGATGCCGACCATGACGCGACAAACACGAACCACAGGGAGTCCAAGTTCGCTGCGCTCGATCGCTCCGTCTCTGCTGGAGGAAAGAGAGCCGACAACAGCGTGCAGAAAGATGAACCCGATCCGCTAGGCATCGTCCCGAGTGTTGTCCACGAACTGCGCCGTCGTGGCCTACCTGTCGAGGAGAATGTCCGTCTGCGCAACCGCTTCATGCTGTCCTCGACCACCTTCTCGCCCAACCTGTTCCTGTCGCAAGTTCACCACGACGCTTCGACCGACTCACTCCTCAACGGTCTCCACTTCTTGTCTAGTTCCATTGAGCAAAAGTCTGCCTCACTCAAGTTGCTGGTCGAGTCCAACTTCGAACGCTTCGTCAAAGCAAAGGCTACTATCGACAACGTATACACCGAGATGCGCACCCAAGGCCAGCAGGCTATGCCAGTATCCCCTGGTCACCAGCGAAGACACTCGAGGCACACCAGTCGGGGAGGCATATCGCACTTCCGTACTCCTAGCGGAGCTCTGTCCCCCTCGGTCGCAAGCAAACTTCCAGACAAGAAAAAGAATGCCTTGACAAAAGAGAGCGAATACGGTGTTCTTGGCATCAAGGCTCCTCTGATTGAGCTTGGTGCCAAAGCTGAGGAAGTCTGGGGCCCTGCACTGGGCGGTCGTGAAAAGGAGGAAGATCTCAAGTCTGTGCTAACCTATCTTGAACAACATCGTGACGTTTTTGAAATCGGTCAAGCCTTGCAAGACGCAATTCGCAAGAAGGACTATGACTCTCTTGTAACCGAATACAACCGTGCTAAGAAACTTGCGAATGATGCCACGAGAAAAGCTGAATCTGGTCAAGAATTATCAGATTCTGACGTGCATCAGATCTTGGTTGCTGCAAAAGTTTGGTCAGATGCTCAGTCTCAAATTGGTGCCTTCAAACGCGAATCTCGTAAAACCCTTTCTGCTGCTAGGATCCGCCGTTCTACGCCATCTACTGCTGCTCAACCTGACACGACCATGACTCTAATCGCTACTCTTTTGCAACTCGACATGGACGACAACCCCATCACATTCTGGCTGTTTAGTCGATACAACAATCTCAAAGAGAAGCTCACTCGCTCCTTCGATCGTATGCGCATAGAGATCGAAGTTTCAAGGCGGCGTTTGGCATCAGCAGAACCACCTAATCTCCAAACATCGAAACTCCATCTTCAATCTGCTGTAGCCAACCTCGTGCAAGACCGAAACTCGAACAACACTTCTAATGCCATGGACGCTTCCAAGATAATCGATTTCTGGGAGAAGATTCAGAGTGCACTAAACAGCTTGTTGTCTGTACAAGGGGGTCTGTTGGGAGAGATAGTCGAATTTTGGGAGACTGCAGAATCGTTCATCTCTCACAAAGCCCAGAGAAATCTACCCACTGGAGTTTTTGCTTCGGAGGGCCGTCAACATCTTGATCTCAGGGAGGACGAGATAAACCGCCTTCGTCAATCTGCTACCGATCTGCTCAACAGTATGCGCGAAAACATCTACTCGTTCTTCGTCGACTCGCCAGTTGAAGACATCTCATCCTTGTTCTCGCCCGTTCCTGCAACACCCGACACTCCATCGTCTAGTCTGGCCAGTGATCAGCGCATGTTTTCATTCGATGTGAACAACATCCCTGAACCCTCACCGAGACGAGGAGAATCTTGGGAGAAATTTGCCTTCTGGGCGCCATACGCAAATTCTTTGAGTGGTGTTCATTATCTCAGCAATATTTTGCTCCTCGTTGGAACGTCAGCAGGCGAGGTTGCTAGTCTTTCCCTCGTCAGAGATAACTACCGTATGGCAGAACAGCTGAAGACCATGGTCAGCGGAGTGCGCGAACGCTGCATCCAGGCTGTTTGCGCTGCGTGGAACGTCGACTCTGACAAGACCAGATATCTCGAAGACTGGACGCGGCATACAGATCGCCGCGATCTCACCAACATGCCATTCCGCTTCAGTGCGTTTGAGGAAACCATCCTTAGTGATATGCAGAAAATTCTGTACATCTCTGGTGCGATGTCGCGTCCTGGTTATGAGGATGTCGTTGGACCACCGCCGACCAAGCTTCTCCAGATGGTCAGACATCAGTTCATCACCAGCATATACAAAACACTTAGTGGCGCTGTTGAGAATGCAGAGAAGAACAAAAAGATTGGAGATTCTGGGATTGATGACCCAGATGGTCTAACAGTACCGGTGACGCAAAGAGGCTCGGCCACAGACAGCAGCGTTGTGACCACACAAGCAACAGACAAGGTAAATCAGAGAACACCCGTTACAGCGTCAAGAACTAAAATTGATACANNGAATGTCCGCCTACTACTCACACTCAGCAACCTGAATCATCTTCGGCGCGAAGTGGTGCCTCAGTTGATTTCGCAGTTCGAGTCCTCTTTCTCAATCAAGTTCACCGACGAATCTAAACAAATCCGCGACGTACTCAAGCAGATCGATGATCGTCTATTCTTAGGCTACGTCAAACCTACAACCACACAACTTTGGGAAATCATCACGGCTGGCATCTCGTCTCCAACCTGGCTACCTAAGGCCTCCACAAGACCCACGAATGCTCGTCCCTACATCTATGATGTGCTGCTTGCTTTGGTGTTAGTACATACCGAAGTCTCAACCACAGCAAGCACGTTAACCTCGCCGCTTCTATCCCACTTCCTCGAATCCGCCAGCGAGTCCCTTCTTGCAGCTTTCTCTGAGCGTCGCTCCTACTCTCTGACGGCTCTGATGCAAGCGACCCTCGACGTCGAGCTGCTCGCCCAAACTCTTTCGAACTACACCACCGAAAAGGCCTCGGAGATCCAATCGAAGATATACTTGGTGCTTGACGAGAGAACGGATGCAGATGCAAGGACTAGATTGCAGGCTGAGTTGCCAGAGATGAGGGCTATCTTGAAGAGGTTGAGAGAGGGTACCAAGGGACAATTTGGATGCTTCAGGAGAGAGAGAAGGGTCAGAAGCGACAGGCCTGGTAGCTCGAGAAGTGGTGGGACTGCAGGAAACGGGTCGGTGGTCGGATAGAAGTGCAATACAACATAGATTTGTTCACCGTCAATTTGGTATTGTTATAGTTGTTGGTGAGAGGTCATCATGTCTCTAGACGCACACGGACTGCAGGTCGTGGAGGAGATACGGCAGGGAAAGCGCGAATGCGAAATTGCTCTTTCCTAGACTACGAGTCCCAGGCAGACATAGCCCTTTCCCTCAACACTTTAGTTCAAAGCGAAAGTAAATACAAACTTCTCAACCGACCTTTTCTTCATCTACAATCATTCCAGCCAACATCATCGAGCCACAGCGCATCTATCAGTGACGGAAGCCACGCGGCACGCTTAACTCTGCTTTCCTCAAGGGGATTGTGAGACTCGAATCTACCGCTCAGGCATCCCTCCGCTGAAGCTTTCATGCTGATTCAAGTCTGCTTTTGCGCTGTCGAATCGAGTTGCATGAAGAAGCGGGTTGGCCTATCAAAATATGATGACTTTCGTTCAGATGTGGGTTGTAGAGAATCGTTGAAGTTGAACTTGTGGGTTGGTGAGTCTTTCCGCTGATATATCGTTGCGAGCTGACGCGAAATAGACTACACAATAACCCCGGTCTAGAGAATCCTGGATGCAATACTCTCTTCCTCTGGGTACTCGTCGTATCCCTCTTCGGCCAACTGCTCACCAGCCATGACGAATCTGTCCGCATCTGTGCTCTCAATCCATCGTTCACCGACTTTGCCAGGCTGTTTCCACGTTGGCACCTCTCCCGGTCCGACCTTTCCTACGCCTCTTTCCCTCCACTTCTTCGGAGGCTTGAGACCTTGCTCGGCCATCTCGGTCCACTTCTTCTCACCCCTCTTCTCCCATCTCTCTCTTCTTTCCTCGGCTTCCTCTTCGCTGGGCTGCCATCTGCTCTTCAGAATCCGTCGAATGGCCTCTGGAGTGACTTTAAAGTGCTCAGCCAGAACAGCTGTGCTGAAGGTCTCTGGCGATTTGGCGTGCAAAGCTCTGATACCAGCCAACGCATCTGGAGAAATCCGTTTCCTAGGGTTCCAATTCTGCTCTCCGAATTTCTCTTCCAGAGCTGCTTTTTGAACCTTCCAGCGGTCTGCATTGCGGTTGCGCTCTTTCTGAGCCTGTTTGGCTGCCGCTTGCTCTTGAACAAGCTTTTCTACTGCCGCCTTCTTTGCAGCCTTTTCTTCTGCCTTTCTGGCCTTTATTGCTAGGGCTATTTTGTCGGCTTTTGCTTGAGAAATAGGCTTGGGACCTGTTGCTGACGCAATCAAGAAGGCGACGTCGGCAGTTTCTTGGTCTTGGGCCGCTTGTTCCAGGACGGCCGTTTGGACTTCTAAAGCCAAAGCTGCTCTCTTTGCCTTTCTGTCTGCTTTTGCCTTCGCTTTGGAGGCAGCCTTGGACGATACTACTGGTCCTGTTGTGGTCTCCAAGTTCCGAGTCGTCTGTTCCGGCTGGGTCGCTTGTGTCCCTGCAGCTTGCGCTGCTTTTCTTGCCCTCTTGCGTGCATTCTTGCCAGGATATTGATGTACTGCTGGGACGAAGAATATGTTAAGCCTTTGACTGAGTGAACCCAGCTCACTAGACTTGAGCTTTGGTTGTGCTAACAAGTCTGGGAAAAATATGGCATCGATCGCCTGGTCTCGATCTTTTAGATCCAGTTGCTGAATGCGGGCGTCCCTGACGATTGGATCGGCTGTGGTCTTCGCTTGCTCCTCATGTATGACTACTTCCGGCTCAAAATCTTCTATGCTTCCGAGCTCTTCATCCGGATCAAAAGGTTCGGACGTTCGTCGATCTTGATTCGATTGCGCCGGTTCGGACGAAACATTTGTGGTCGTAGCGAATTGCTTGGGTGGTACAGTGGTCTCAAAAGGTACGAAGGCGTCATCGAGGGAGCTGGCAACAGCACGTCCTTGAGAAGAAGGCGACGAATGGCGTATCTGGAGGCTTGATCGTGTGCTCAGGTTCCGAAAGCTGATGTTGTTTCGTCTCTGGCGGATGTCAAGACCAGCGACATCTCTGACAAATGCTTCTAGAGCTCGCACAGAGCAGGGGCACCTATATGATCTTTGCATCTGGTGTCTGAACACAATGGTTGTGTTTCTACTAAACAAGAAGGTCGAGAGACCGAGATAATTCGCCCATCTCTGTCCTAGACCGCCTGGCAGATCCTATCTCCGTCAACTCCGGACACCTCGATGGTCACTGCTTCGCTCTATTAACACGCACTCCGTCCTTCCGGGTATTCACAAACAACAATTCTGCTACGAAAAGCATACCCGGTCATCTTCCACTTAATTGGAGCTGTACAAGGCTTGGAAAAAGCACCACTTATGCAAAGAAGCAAGGACAACTCCAGACCCTCCTTAGGATGAGGTGTTTTAGTTATGATCAAAACGACCTTTGACAGCTTGATGGCTCTACAAAAGGTCCCATGCGCTCTTGACACCCCAGGTTGCTAGACGCGCTCCTAAGAATCCGACTTTGACCACTACAAATCCGACCACTGACACGACAGCGACGCCCATCAGCAACCACTTGAGACTCGCAATCTCAATCTCCGACTTGGTCTTGACTTCCTCAACACCGCCCATTTCGGTCATGATACTGTACTCGGGAACGTATTTGAAGTCAAAGGTCGACTCCTCGCCCTTCAATCCTCCCTTGACTATGATCTTCCAGAATATGTCTCGCAGCACTACCAACTTCTTCTGGTCTGTTGACTTGTTCATGCGATTGGTGTAGCACCAGAATCCGAAGAAGATGCATTGGCCAGCCATTAGAGCCGTGTAGTATATACTCGGCTTTGGGAGTGCCAAAGCATCGCAAAGCTTGTTGCCATTCAACCATCGAGCTCCAGCGAGCAGGAAATCAGCGGACGCGTAGCCTGGCGGTTTGTCTTGCAGACTTCTGATTACGTTGTTTGCGAGGATCTGTGATGTGCGTGTTGGCGCGATTTCGTGCATCATGATGCAATCGAGGATGCGTTTGCTCTGCTCTTTTGTTTCCAGAAGACCGTCGGTTGGACATCCTATCACATACGCTATGTACCGCCATAGCGCAGTGTAGTCCTCGATTTCTTGTGGACGAAGATAGATGCCTTGGCGTGGTAATGACAGATAGATTAGTGCGCTTGAGAAGCTGACAATCGTGCCAACGCAATCCATGTCGTTGATGGGCACTCCTAATTTTGCGGTATCGAAGTATTCCGGCCGTGTCTCTGCCAGTTTCATGATGCGGTTTCGTACAGTGGCATGCAATAGTCGTACTCGTATCGTGGCTGCCCATCCCTCGCCACCGGGCTGTATATCTGCTAGTGACTTCGTGCACTGTAGCAGATATTGTGTAGTNNTCTCGAAAAGACGGTTCCTCGCCACATCTACTGCAAATCCTCCCGTCCTTGATAGAACCTCTGTCACTCGAGCTGCACCGAGTCCGCCGAGAAGAGATTGATAAGCCAGTCCAGTGAGAACAGGCCCGCCATACCGGTAAAATACATCCTGGCCACGAGCAACCTGCTCCCAATCCACCCACTCGGGTACCGTGTTTACCTGCTGCCAGAGCTGCTGCAACACCTCGTCCTCTCCAGCATGATCACGCAGCAATGCAAACAAATCCCTCTTAGGTTTAACATCCGGCTTCGGTTGCTTTTCATCATCAGGAAATGGTTCTTTGCCCTCTGACTTTTTCTCAGGGGTACGTGGTGGTGGTGGCGAGATTTCGTTTAGTCGGTTTAATGCGTTTTCGCCTAGGTAGTCCCATGTGTGTTTTGCTGGGTTCATTTGTTCTAGTGTTAGGTGCTCGTCTGTGAGCACGAATTTGTGGCCCCATGCACNTGTATCACTAATCAGCTCTTTGTTCCGATGGTTGTGGGTTGATCGCCTCTTTCATACTTACTTGACTGTATTGGGCGGATCTCGTCTGAACCACGACATCTCGACCAGAATATGAGTATAAAAGAACAGTAAGACAGGATACTAAAGATAAGGATCAAGAATGTTTAGAGGAACTATTAGTCTCTGAAGCGGCATCAGGAAGAAACAAAAATCTAGTCTACACGACTATTGGTGTTTGGAACGGTATGTGGTGAGGTCATCAAGGCAAAATTAACCTTTTTGATGCTCGGGCGCCTCTCGATCTCCACGTGGATGGTCAGATTACCTTGCATACAAGTGTACCAAGCATTTTGCTCAAATCTGCAATTCCTCTATTGTGATATATCCAGGTGTATCTCAATATTCGCGAGGCAAGAAGCCAAGAGGGTGATTCTCGAGAAACTCGCCACCAGGTATCAAAGCCGAGCTTGCAGAGAACAAGAAATATTCTGTAAATCGCCGCGAGGCAGATGCAAAGTCTAGATAAACAAACGTATATAAAGGTATTGAAAGTATAGGGTAAAACTCCGAGGCCCTCTTATCTGATGAGCATGCTGCCAAAACACGCCATAAAAACAATCCTTTTCGCCGAGAGATTTCATGTTCGTTCCTGGGATCGCTTTCTTCTCCTTTCTCAACTGCTCGACATGAAAAGTCGAAGGCCAAAAATCATTACTTCATATCCATGCCAAATATGTCCAACGCTGGGTAAATAAATGCTGGGGAAAAGATCGGGGGAGTACTGTAGGGTTGACTATGCACGCCTGAAGAGCTCACGCAATCCTTTTCGGTCTGCGTTCTCGATAGAGCAGCTGCGTTCGTAGANGGGCCTGGGAGAGTGTGTTAGCTACGAGCTCCTCACTGTGCTTGATTCTGTTTCATTTACCTCATCATCTCTGATCATGTTGCTGTTCAGGATCAAAGCCCTCAGCTCATCGTTTCTAGGGCCGAGCATTGAGTTTCTGTATGGCAGACCTTGGGCTCTCTGGATGCCAACGATTGTTTCCCCCATAACCTCGAACTTGCGCCAGTTGATTCTTCCGTTGACCTCGTCACCAATATATGTCTTGTTGCCTTCTGCAGCAGCAACAAGATCTCTGATTGGTAAGGGAAGGTATGGTATTCTCTCTCCACTGGAGTTCTCCCAGGCCAGCCGATAAGCCGCGTACGAGCGAGTGGGAGACATCAAGATCTCCAACTTCATCCAGTCTCTGCCGGTCTCTGGCGATAGCAGTTCTCGAGTAGCGGCAAGTCTGTGTACAGCCGCACTGCTGATGCCAGCAAGGAAGGCTCCCAGAGCATTGTAGTTGTTCATCTCTCGCAGTTTGCGAGCGACATGCATGAGCTTCTCCAACATCAAAACTCGATGCTTCGCCTTCTCTCTAAGTAGGATCAAATTGGCCACCCAGTCTCGAATGTGGTTAAAATGATCAATCATACGACTGACGTGAACCAAGGACTTGCATTGTGCCTTCTGGCCCTGAGACAGCGAGACATGTCGTACTAAGTCGCGTGGACGAACAGCACTAAACATGATCCAGTCAATTCGTGTCAGCTCGCAGGCGATAGAATCTGTCGACGTCTCCATCAACACGTGCCAGTGCGATTTGCTGATGGGAGTTTTCGGTATCGGGACGAGTGATGGGCCCTGTCTCCTCGCTGCGTCGACGGTTTGGAGCATACCAAAATCAGTGTGCAGTGAATGCACTTGGTTCCTATCCTGGCCACCATCGAGAGAGAGACTTCCAAGATTGTCGCTGAAGTCAAAGTCGGGGTCATCCAGGAGTGTGCTTACTCGATACGACCAACTCAAGTCGGGGCTTAGAAGGCCGCGTTTCTCACGATCCATATCACAGCATGCCCAGTTGGTATCGTCGTCTTCTACTACAACGTCCAGATCGCAACTCATCTCTCTCGCTGCGGCGGAGAAGATGCGGGTATTTGACAATTTGGCGACAAAGGTCCGCATCCGACGGCGAGTCTTGATGTGTGCAAAGTCTCCCGGATATGTACCGATCCACTGCTCGATGACAGACAAGTAACGCAACTGCGAGACTGTTTTGGTCATGAAAGGACCATCCTCTTGTTCTAGAGCTTCGAAACGGTGCACTATAGCTTCGAGCAACTGGCCGGGAGCGGCAAATTTCCGGTACAGAGCCAGAAAGACGGCGCCGAATCTTGTATCTGCCTTTGACCTTGGTAGCTTCAGAAGGCGGTCGACAAGATTATCGAAGGAGTAACCACGTTCGTCAGAAGGGGCTTCTGATTGACTGTCGACGTCGAGACCACCATCATCGGACGAAGAGGCATGTTCGGAGTGGGAAGAGTCGGTCATGTCGTCGCGTGATTGATCCAGGGCTGTGTCGACGTCGGCAGACTGATGGGTGATATTTGAGGAATTTGTAGCGGTGGTTGTAGAGTCGTGTCGTGAATCTTTGCGCATGGTGTTGGACTGTATGGAGCTTGCCCTGGTGTGGGCTGGAGGTGGATGTGATCGATTAGCTTGGCCAAAGGCTAGGGCAGATGAGATGGTCCGACGGCGAGACAAGGCAGGGTCTCTCTGGGCTACTTGTCGGTCAGCAGATGCAATCGTCAGGAAAGTGGCGAGGCAGTGTGGACAAACAAGACTTGTTTGCGTGAGTGGGGCTTGACGGCGGAGGGCATGGGCTGGATGCGACTTGCCATTTACAGCTTGCAACAAGCTGGCTAATCCTTGTGCGTGCGTGTCGACATGCGATGTCGACGACTGGAGAGTTGTGAGGGAGCGAAGGATGGCTTTTGCTCGCTGTTCAATGTTGTTTGGGTCGAGCTGGCGATAGTCGCGGTCGCAGTCGCATTTGTTGGAGACAAGGAGGGAGGGTATCGAGGCTTTCTCGAGCGCGTCTCTTGAGGGTTAGTCTTGTTATCATGGTGGTTGGTGGACGGCGGGTTCAGACTCACTCAGCACGACTGGAACGTCCTCAAAGGAGTCTTTGTTGGTGATGTCGTACAGGGTGCAGGCAGCATCGATGGTGGGCATGCGGGCGTCTGTGGGCCAGGTGATTTTGTTCTCCCTGTCGATGATCACGTCCTGTAGCTGGCACTCGAGCATGCGCACCAGAAAAGTGGCCTTGTCGAGGTTGATGCGGCACTCGTTGACAGCGGTGGTAGGATGCGAGACGAGGCCCAGGCACTGCTGGATGAAGGACGACTTGCCCACGCCGACGTAGCCGACGACAGCAATGTTGACTTGGTGCTCGGCGTCGTTGTTGGTCTGCAGGAAGCCGTTGGAACGGCTTTCGGTATCTTCGCCCAAACGCTGCACGGCGAGCCTGCGAGGCGCTGCGCCCGTCAGTGAAGCCTGCCATGATTGCTGCTGGGCCTGGTCGTCTGCATGTGTGGCCGTCATGGTGGGCGACGAGTGCGTCCGCTCCAGGATACGCGGTCGCGTCAGGAGGGGGACGCTCAAGCCCGCCGTGCTGCCTTGTTGGTGGTATTGCTGTTCCGCCATGGTCTGATTTGCGAGGGCAGCAGCTGCGGCATGGCCAGTCCAGTGTACAAGTACTCTATAACGACATGTCTCAAGGAGCAAACGAGATGCGCCGCGACTTGCAGCCTTCGCCGTCCAGCCCAGTGCCCGCTCTCACGCCGCGAGTCCGCGACGATCATCTCTCTCCTGCCAAGCTAAACCGACTGCCCTCGTCTAATCGCTCCCCTTTGTCCTGTCTGCTCCGCCCGCCCAAACCTCGTCGTCTGCCCACTCTGCCCTGCTCCTGCTCCTGCATCCCATTGTAGACCTTTCACCGCCGCTGATCTGAGTCCACTTGTCCACAACTGTCCACGCTGTCTGCAAATCACCCTTCAAGGCAAGCATCTGAACCGGGACATGGGGTCTGGGTCTTCGGCCAGCTTCCGAACAACGGCTTCACGTGTCAGTCGCTCCACTAGCGCCCCTTGCGCTTTCTCTTTTCTGAATAGCATCCAAACATCCAAGCCTCACACACGAGACTGCCAACAAGAGAGTCACGTTCAGCTTGATCTGCTCTTGCTTGTTGCTATTTAAAAGGGCGGTCAAGTACCTGCAATCCACCCAGCCGCACCACTCGCTGCGGCACCCATCGCCTTGTCTTGGAACCAGAAACCAAGCCAGCCTTTGTTGGACTGTCTACACCCTTCTCGTGTGCTAAAACATGTAACGCGTGTAGCTATAGAAATGCACAAGTACTATCAAGACGCAAGATAGTATCCACTGAGAGTCAAAATCTCAGCGGCTCTCTTTGGCTAGGTACTCGTCTGCTCCGGAAAATAATTATGCCTTCCTACAGCGTACACTCCACGCTATCTCTTGTGGGAGAAGGGCGAAGTCACAGACCTTAGCACACTAGGAGGTAATGACACCCACGAGACAATATTGTTCTTCCTATTCTTCAATTGCCATGGCTGACTTTACACAACGTTCTCCGCTTATCGTTTCGTAGGCTGATATCTGTTTAACATACCTAGTCAACGTCTTCGGGCACGCAACGCTATAGACACCAGCATTCTGATATCACCAGTTGTCTTGCCATATTGGAAAACGGACGCACTCCTTCTTCGAGCACCAAACGCATGTTTCTCGTTTCGTTCTGCAAACTCATGCCAGTTTTAAACTCTCGATCAAAGGCATAATGACGTCAAATGTCGTTGATGAGCTCATGATCGAAGTACCTCCTTGTCTTCTCCCAGATCAATTCGACCAACAGATATCTGAACACATACTAATACAATGGCTCCGACTGGATTGGCAATTCTCTTGGGGGCGGGTCCTGCTACGGTGAGTGCATCTTCAAGCATCTGAGCTACCGGTGTTGATAGCGAGAAANNGGGCGCTGGCATTGCACGCGTGCTGGCTGATCCAGCTCGTGGTAATATGGCAGTCGCGTTGCTTGCTCGACGCACTGAGGTGCTGAACGATATCGTGTCTGGACTCAAATCGTCGCTCGATAATCCAGTCGTTGAGGCCTTCCCTTCGGACACATCACCCGATTCATTGAAGAAGGCATTTTCGGACATCTCCCAGCACCAATCTTTCAAAGATCTGAAGCTGCGCGTGGCTATCTACAACATCAAGCATTCATCGAAGAAGCCTTTCCTTGACGAAACTTATGATCAGTTTACCGACTCCTTGGAGACTTACGTGGGAGGCGCCTTCATGTTCGCGCAGGAGTCTCTCAAGCGCTTTTTCGCCGATCATGGAGAGTCAACTCTAGCAGAAGGTTCTTCCAAGAAAGGTACACTGATCTTTACAGGAACACTTGGTGCTCTGAGATGCAATGCCGAGTTTGCAGCATACGGAGCAGGCAGATCAAGTGTAAGACAGCTTGCCCAGACGCTTGCTCGCGAGTTCAGTGCAAAAGGCTTACATGTGGCACATTGTATTGGCAATGGTTCAATCGAAGATAAGAATGGCGAGGACCAGAAGAGTGGCAAGAAGATCTCGGCTGAAGCTGTGGGCAAGACTTATCTGTTTTTGTCAGAACAAGAGCCATGCTTGTGGACTCATGAACTTGACATGAGACCTGCACAGGAGAAGTTCTAAGCGGGCCATATACACTGTTAGGTCGTCAATGTCCGCGACTTCGTTGTGGACCCAGCCTTCTCTGGACCTACATGGCGAACCCCGGACCTACAATACTCTACGATATCGCTATCTACTTGTATCAGTCGTTTGTAATGCCAAGCCATCTTGATCTGTCCTGTTGTCGACTTTCGCCTCGTATTGATTATAACCTGGTCTAGATACTGAGGAACGGTCGATGCTCGCAGGTCTCGACGCGCCAACGCCAGCTCAGGATAGTTGCTGATCACGCCACTCGGTTGCGGGGGGACTGCGGATGAGCCTGATTCTTGGTAGTCACGGTATGACTGCGGCCTGCATTGGCATTGCCAATACAAGGATGATCCAATGTTGATGCACACAATTCTGGCATCCAACAACTACCCACAGGCAGTGCTATACGAAATTTTATACAAGCTACCATTGTCGACCATTGCGGGAAGAGCGAAACGTGCCACATATCTTCTTGCTGGTACGGGGCATACAGCCTTACATGACTGAGAAGTCCCCAAGAGCTTCAGGAAGATGGACACATGTGCTCAGGAAAAAGAAACTCCAAATCTCTTCGAAAGTACAAACAACACCTCAGGACTTTTTAGGAGACACATCTGTACATCCGGCGTCTTCACAGCATGAAATGCCCCCACTATTGATGTAGACATTACTATTGATGTTCCCTCTCACCACCCTTTCGTCTATCTCGACCATCGATCGATATCGATTCTTGTTCCTATCCTCTCACCTTTCCTCGCTCGAGTTTGTAGTGTAAAAGCGCAGAACGAATTAACTCATTCCGGAGTCTGACTGGAAGACTTCTACGCACTGGATCAATGCTATACTGCCAGTTATTGCGACATGCTTACCTTTCCAATGGCTGTCCGTATAGCAGGACCACCTGGTTCTCGTGGGGACTTTCTACCCTCGGACAGACAAGTTCCACAAGCATCATGTGCTTGTATCGTCCAACGACCACAGATGTGGAAGTATGTGCATTGGTGTTTGAAGAAGCCTCCTTGGCCGGCACTCATGGTTAAGAAGACTGCGTTCAATATTGCTTCACGACAGGCTCAAAAGAGAATGATCAGGGCTGACGGTGTCCTACTCTCATGTTGCGAAGCTCCTCTTGTAACATCTTGACTTCACCACAAGCTCGTTGTATCGTGAGCGATTCTGTGCCGTGCGAGTTGCATGCTGTTGGTTCTTTTATTGTTGTCGGTCTGCTCTTCGATACAACAAACAGAGAGGTGGAAACGCCACGTTATCGATGTATGTCGGTCATTGTCGTCGAAAGCGATGCTGTTGGTAGCCAGACTATTGGTTGGGCTTGCAGCTGTAGCCGTCAGAAGAGGGGTGCATATTAACGATACACATTTCGATGAGAAATCCAACAGCACCGACTGCATTCAGAGCAGCTGGGATAGGGAAGTAAATGGCCCGTCTCCTGTCTTACCGCTTTATGGCTCTTGTAGGGTTTACTGCTTTGCGAAGCACAGATGTCAGTCAAGGTCGGAGCAAGGCGTGCGTCTCTGTACAAGCTCGTCATTCTCGATGGTGACCAAGAACAACAAGCTTCACTATATTCACATGTAAGAAGAACTCGGACCCTTGCCAAAGGATGAACCAACTGTTGAACTCGGCGAATNNCTAATCAGGGCACGGAACAATTATGTTCGTAGAGACTTTGGCCNNCAACCAAACCCTGTGTCTCGAAGATCAACATCGGTTGCACGCGGCTGGGTAAAGTCAGCGAGAGGTTCAGGCACTTTAGCAGCATGGAGACATATTTAGGCGGATGTGCCTGGCCAAGGACACAGATAAAGGACTGTCCNNCGGCGCCTCGTCAAAGAGATGATGCTCATGCGGAGAAAGATGAGGTGCTGGAGGGCCGTGTGCTTTGAGCCGTTGCGACCCTGCCCAAAGTTTCCATCATTGCGGGGTCAATGCATGGAGATCTCGCGTAAGTGAACATGTTGCTCAGTGCAATGACTAATGAAACCGAAACCGAAGAGACTGNGCTGAGTTTCGAGGCGGGAGACAATACCATCCTGCGGAACTGGGTCAGAGGCTTCTTGCGAGATGAGCAAGGGGTGTTNNGTAGCAAAAGAAACTGCGTAGAACAATCGATAATTTGAACAAGGCATGGCGAAGATACGAACGGACCTGGTCAAGCAACGATAAGATGGCGGGCTTTGGCTCTCATTGGCGGGCTTATCGTTTAAGGGTCGTTCGCCCGTACTCAAGCCTCGGCTCAGACATGTCCCTAGATCCAAAGCCAATATGTCCCATCCTCTACAATGTCGCGTGAATCAAAAGTCTCCGCAGGGACCTTGAACCTCGAGGACTTACCCTTCTTGTTCAAACATATCATTTTGCCTCTTCCTAGACGACATCGTTGTCCGGACGCCAGTCCCTACCCTTCACGAACCATAATCACTTGACGTAGTCGACATCTGAGTGGCTGTGACTGCACACGACGTTGGACGAGGACGATTTGACGACTCATTCTGCTCGTACTATATATACTCTGCCGTCATGACCACGGCTTGTATCAAGCCAGAGGCTGAATTTGCTCTGGAGACTAAGCCCACTATCAGGAAACGTCGAAGGAGGACAACAACTACAGGCGCGGCCGACGATTGCTTTACGTGCCAGAAACGGAACGCCCCATGTGACCGCAGGAGGCCGTACTGTGGACAGTGTCTCGAAATAGGAAAAGATTGCTCTGGATACAAGACGACGCTGACATGGGGCGTGGGCATCGCCAGTCGAGGAAAGCTGCGAGGCTTGACATGTCCTGTAGCGGAAAAGACTGATGGACCGGTTGGTGTCACCAAACGAAATAGTCTATCGCAACCTCGAAGGAAGCCGTCCGCGACCGCGCCTGCCTCCGGGAGGGCTGTAGCCCCACGTATAAATATAAGCACCAATGCTGTGTCACCTGCCTCTCAAGAGCCTCTTTACACTCCGTCCTACGGCCTGCTATCACCGCTCGACCCTCAACAGCCCATCTTCTGGCAACCTTTGCAACAATACGCGAACTCCGGACTCCCGTCGCCGACCTCTCCGTTTGACAATACCCATCTAGTTCATCAGAGAAATCCATCCGAGTATCCTTTGACACCAGTCTCATTATCCTACAATGATGGCTTGCAGTCTTCTGCTAATTACAACCTTGTGGAGCCTTCGCCTCGATCTTACCCTGACTCCTATCCACCACCATCATCATTCTATCCCGATCCGCCTCTAGAAGCCTCTAGTGTTGCTGAAGAAACTAAATTCTCTCAACATCAAGATACCTCCTTCTTCGAGCCTGGATACGATGTGAATGGTGCAGATTACGATCAAACCATACAGTCTGATTCCTTCGACTACACCAGCCTCGATCTAACTTTGGCTGACCCTCAGCAACCTTCAAGCACACTACCAGAGTTAGCTATATCTATCCCGAGGGCCATGGCAACCTCCTTGTTCTACCATCTGTCGCCAAGGATGCAATATCTGCTGGATTATTATGACAAGCATATCTGCTCCGTTCTAGTTGCCTTCGATGATACCATCAATCCATATAGGATGCACATCCTTCAACTCGCCACTCATAACCAAGGTCTCCAAAATGCTCTTGCAGCTCTTTCGTTGAACAACATGCGAATGCGACTACACAAGAGAGCCCCTCCAAGAGGCTTCATTGAAGAGCTGGACAACAAGCAGCAGGATAACGACAACAGCATTCTAGCCCGGCCGTCGCCCGAGGAAAGTTACTACAAGAGTGTATCGATTGGTCAATTGCAGGCTCAGTTGGCCGATGCGGCCAATGCCCAAGACGATTCGGTCCTTGCTATATTGCTCATTCTGTGTTTGTTCCACGTCTGCGATAGTGGATTTTCCAAATTCAAGACACAACTTGAGGGTGTGCAAAGGTTGCTTTCCATGCGCGATCCAGGTGTTAGGACTGGCTTTATCGGTTGGGTCGAGATGTTCTTCGCCTGGTTTGATGTCATGACCTCGACTGTGAACGACAGAGAGACTGAGATTCAGGGCGACCGTCTGGATATGCTCCACTTTTCCTCCAACCTTGGCGCTCTGGAGCAGTTCTCGGGATGTGATGGTCGTCTGTTCAAGTTGATTGCGCGTCTCGGGCGCTTGAACCTTCTATCACAAAACCGTCCTGTACGTCCGGATCCTCGAAACTCGAGAGCATCCTATGGCGCTACTTCAACACCAAAATCGAAGGACTTAAATGCTTTCTCCACTCAAAGAGGTCGTCGCCCACGATCGCAGGTTGAACCGGTGGATTTCAGCCGACTTGACGGAAATGGCTGGGGTGCCTTGCTAGCCGACCCTCAGGAAGACTTTGACACAATCTACAAAGAACCTTCGGACACCCGACAAGAGTTCTGGAAGGAGTGGCATGATATTCGATCTCGGCTAGAAACATGGTCCATGGATAGCCCTTGTTTGTCACCCACAGCTCTCGAGTCCTCAGCAGCATCACTTGAGCCTGGACAAAGGGACCTGACGCACATTAACGAGTCTTTCCGTTCATCAGCTTTGCTGTACACTGAGCGTCTCGCCCACCCTTTCCTGCCATCGTCATCTCCAAAATTCCAGGCACATGTCCGCAACGCTCTTTCGCACATAGCCGCATTGGAAATCACTTCATGTGTCAACAAGTTCTTACTCTGGCCCTTGTTTATCTCAGGAACAGAGTGTGTCGATGCAGCTGATCAGGCACTCGTACGCGACAGGTGCATAGAGGTACAGATCGAGAGCGGCTTCTTCAACAACATTTCCGTTCTAGATGTCCTTGAGAAAGTGTGGGCTGAGAACGACACTCAAGATGTGCAGGACGCAGATTCTGACGAGGTGCAACGCCGACGAGACAGTGCTAAGGAGAATGGAGACCGTATACAAGCGTTCAGATGGAGAAAGGCCATGGACAGGGTCGATGGCGAGTATCTTGTTATTTGAGCCTTCTATCTGACCAAAAGTTTTGGAGTATACAGACATATACGTTAGTATGAAGAAACGAACCGATCCGCTCACCACAACGAGATGTGCCCCTGTCCCGCATCGTCTTGCAATCCAGGCGAGGGCTAAGTGACTGCTCTTTCTTCTTCCCATGGCATCCTTTCTCTGTATTCTCGCACGTGTCAACGTTGATCGCGGCTTCCCACCTGCAATCTCTTGCCTTCCTATTCACATTCTCGGATAATCGATTCCCTTCACTCGACTCTGCACAGCCTGCCGGTCTGCAAGTCGTAATCCCACCATTCCGCACCAGCTCTCGACACGGCATACAGCGACTCTGTAGGATCGTACTTTCTCTTGATAGCGGCAAGTCTATCGTAATTAGCACCAAAGAAATCGTGCTTCCAATTTGAGTTGTAAGGATTTGCTTCATTCATGTAGGCGCCTGTGTTTGGAGCCCACTCGCGCCACACGGCTTCTCTGTACTTTTCGTACCATACAGCGTCTTGTTTGATCATCTGGGCTGGAGTGGCTGTGTCTTTGGAGGCGGGAGCAGAGCCAGAAATTGCGTGGACGTAGGTGGTGCGCCAGACGGGGTTAACTGCACCTTGACGTTCCAGAGGAGTGTTTTGGACACCGGGGCCGGCCATGAGACCGAGAATTAGCATGGCACTGCCGCTTCCAGGTTCCGTCCACATGATACGGCGGAGGTATGAGGACAGTTGCTTGTAGGGGAGGGAGAGCTGGGCAAGGCCGAGCAGACGGCTGGTCTCCAGGCCACCGGATCCGGCGGTGTTGGAAGCAGTCTTGGAGCTAGTATTTCTGTCGAAAGGAGAAACTGTGGGATCACTCCAGACTATGGAGAGGCTAGAGTTGCTGCTGCCGGTTGTGTTGCGGATTGCTGCAGTGACAGGTTCGACCAAAGCAGTGACTTGAGATGCAGTGCTGTTGTAGGCTGAGAGTTGGGCAGTCAATGAGACCTCGCCTGGTGTTTGACCAAAGGCAATGATGTTGCCCCAAAGGCCTTTATCCATGAGACCAGGTATGTGGTTGAGAAGAACACCAAAAGCATCCCAGGTTATGCTACCAGTAGCGTTGTTGCCGCCACTGATTGACAATGTTCCCGCTACAGAGTTGGCAGGAGCTGGGTAGGTCTTGAGGACATACTCAGTGACGACACCATAACTACCACCGCCGCCGCCACGAACCGCCCAGAAGAGGTCTTGATGGTTAGTATCGTTAGCGACGAGGATATCTCNCTCTGTGGTCACAATATTGACTTGCAGGACCTGATCAGGAGCAAGGCCATAGGTCGAAGAACGGGGTCCGTAACCTCCACCCTGGATGTGTCCACCAAGGCCCACGCTACCGTCTGCACCGCCAATCACTACTTTTCCGCGCTTTGCTGCTGCATCATAGACGTTGGCCCATTGTTGTCCACTGCCGACGATGGCAACATCTTCAGTACCATTCCAATTGGGGTCAAACTTGATGTGGTTGAGATGATGAGTCCAGATGGACAGACTGTGTGCACCAGTAGAGCTATACATCTTATTAGCTGCTGTAACCAGATAGAAGATCTGAACCACGTACCGGCCATCGAGATCATGACCAGTTCCCTTGACAATGATGCGGATGTTGCGACGAGAGGCCCAACGCATCGCTTTTGAGATTATCTTATTCGAAGTACCGTTGACAATATATGCTGGATAAGCTCCCAGAGTGCAAGAACTGCCTTCAACATGCCCATCTGCTCCAGGAGGAACGCAAGAGTTGTTGGTCCAGATCGAGGCATCGATTGATTCGGGAAGTGTGGCATGGAAGTATGTCGAATTCCATTGGTCTTCCACTTCGTTGCAAGATAGAGTCGAGTTGAGAGGATTGCTAGCATAGCATGTAGATGCAACGGGGCGAGTTCGAAGAAGAGCGCCGCCAAGTGTGTGATTCAAGGCCATCCAATCCGATGCATTGGGCCAGTTGGAATCCAAGGGCGTTGGCTTGCAAACCAAGGCTGCGCCAGGACTGCATAATGCCAAAGCTGTTGTAAAAGTCGAGGTGTTTCTCATGGTGGTTGATGGTTGCTCGGGAGAGAGTAGTTGTGGCCGAAAAGGCCTTTTAAGTACATATTGTCTGGATCCTCCAGCTATGACGAAGTATTCGAATTACTTTGACTTGTCATGAACACAGTGGCTCAGCGTGTCGTGGCAAGAGGTCAAGATCCACAGCGTGTACCATACGCGAAACTGCGTATTCATATACGGACAGGGTTTGGCCTCAGAAGGACCCCAGCTCGTTACGAACTAACGTCCGGCATCATTCGGATGAAGAAATCTATGTTTACAGAATTTAGAATCGTATTTCTTTCGTAACATCGTGCAAACATATCAACATTATCCTTGCGCGTTCCGGCTTATCTTGGGAGTACTTCCGCGCCGTGTGATAACGACTCTCACAATCTCGTGACCGCACCACTCTCGCAGCAATATATCTTACTATTGACGGCTATGACAATGCATGCTGCTTTGTAACTAGGAGTGTGCCCGTGATCATACCCTATAGTAGCGACATCTCCTAGATGCCACTCCTTTCTAGAAACTATTACGCAATTTAACAGACACATGTGGACAGTGTTTAGCTCACGGAAGGTCATACGCTCTTGCGTCAGACACCTCTCCATACAGTGTGACCATGTATATGTTTCAAACTCAAAGAGGGTCATAAGACGTTATAGTCTCGCACACCAACGATGATGCAAACACATCTATTGGAAGCTTTGTGCCAGGATCTGAGGCTTGCGGCCATGCAAGTCTAAGATCATTTGACCAAAGAGTCCGTTCGCCCACGAAAACCATGGCCGGGTATAGTCGGTCGAATTAAAGGTGTTGATGCTCTCATGGATCAGACCAAGTCCATCGGTGCTATTGAGAATCATGGCGAGTTGTTCGGTGATCTCAGTATCGTTGTCGCTAGTCAATATACGCACGATAGTAGCCATGGGCCACGCATAACCAGGACCATTATGAGGACCTCCAATAGCAGAAATAACAGGGCCACGCATGAAATAGGGGTTGCGGTCGCTTAACAGCAGTGAACGTGTGTTCTGATAGACTTCGTCGTTTGTGTCGAGATAACCCAAAAACGGTGCAGACAGAAGCGATGGGATGTTGGCATCGTCCATTATATTGGCAGAGCCATATCCATCAACTTCGTAAGCGTATACACGCTTACCATCGATAGTGACGACACCGTGTTCTTCGATGCCTTGTCTGATAGTACAGGCAAGCTGTGACATTTGTTCGCAAGTGACGGCACTCGTTGAATCGTTCAGCGCGAGCATGATGGGAACAGTCGCTTCAAGGTAGTGAGCTAACATCATGTTGGCCGGGATGAGATATTGATAAATAGTCGCGTCGTCCGAAGGTCTGAAAGCTGAGCGCAACAAGCCAACTCCACCTCGATAGGGATTGCCCAGGCCGTCGTTTGTTAGAGTTTCGGTCGCGCGGTTGCTCACTCTAGTGAAGGTGTAGTCCGACTTCTGGACACGGCCATCGGCATCATAAGTCGAAGCGGATAAAAGGCTCTCGAAAATCTGATAAACATGATTGATGGCCTCGACCCAATGGTACTTGGCGAAGAAAGTAATATCTCCCGTGGCGTTGTAGTAGTCCGAGCTGATTTGTAAGAAAGCGGCTAGGGAATCCAACTCGTACTTGCATTCGAAGACTGAGGAATTGTCGTAAGTGGGGAAAACAACATCTTGGCTGGCCGAAGGATTCTTTGCGGGAGCAATTCCACTCTCAATTGGAGGCTGAAAGGCATTGCAGTAGGGCGAGGTGAGAAGGTAACGGGCCTGGAGATTAATCACACCCCGGAACAGTGAAGCGAGCGAGTCGACAGAGGAGTTTGCGGTCAGAAGAGGAAGGTAAGACTGCATCTGGTTGCTGCTGTCTCTCAACCACATGGCATCGATGTCTCCAGTGACGAGAAAGGTGAGCTCCTCGTCAGGAGAGTCGGCAGCATAGCCCTTCCAGCGCACGGCGGTATCCAGGGTATTGGGGTAGGNCTGGAATATGTCAGCACCAGGACGAAGCAACGGCGGACAATAGTTACCATTGAGGAACAGGCGGAACAGATCTGGGTCGGGAGTGGCATGCATGATGTTGGGCAGGACTTGGTTTTCTAGAAGAGAAAGGTTGAAGGTGCGGCATGCAGGGTCAGGACGCTGGTATGAGATATTATGAACACCTCCCGAGTATGGGGAGTGCTTCAGCGTAGAATAGTCAAGGTAGTCGGGGCACTGAGCAATGGCAATGCCAGAGAGCGGAGCAAGAAGCGAGAGCAGATTGACGAGCATGTTGGATGGATGGCGGTGGAGAAGAGGTAGACAGGAGGACGAAAAGAACAGAGGGACAGTTTATGAGGGAAGGAAAGATGGCAGTCAAGTGATGAGCATGAGCAAGAGCAAGAGATGAATTGGGCAAGGAGAGGAGCGGGGATCAAAGAAGCACCTGCCACTGTTGACTACTGTACTGACTTCAGGCATCGATCGGCGCCATGGCATCACATGGGCAACACACTTCGAAGTCTTGTTGTTTGTACACGAGCAGGCGGGATCCCAAAAGAGCGTACTCCGACGAACAAGACGGAATGAGACAGCATGTTGAGACTGCGGGGCAGGGATTTACAGTTGCACTCTGAGGTTGCGCCACGACGTGGGTAGATAGAGCGAGCAGCGAGCTTGGCGGTCCGAAGTGAAGACGCACGAGGGACAAGACGCAAGAGGGGTCGAGTGGTGTGCAGAGAGTATGGATGTGTTGGAACGAGGCAGGAGTGAAAGTGAAGGAGCGAAGGCATGAATGACGGCGGGCGTTGAAGGTTGACGTCGTTGCACCTCTCTACTTTATCGAGTCGAACATTCATCTCCCGACCACGCCAACAAAACACAGGCACCACACAACCGAGACGTCATACCAATCCCAACCGTCCTACACGCGCACACAGTCGATCCAGCGTGCAGCGCCATGGCCTCCCAGGCAGCCACTCTTCGAGGCGACGAGTACTCTTCCCGCCTGCCTACCCCACCGCGTATCGTCGTACCACCGCCGACAGCAAACATCAACCTGGCTCCCGAGTTCAATCTGCATCCCATCGCCCAGTCCGGTCCGCTCTCGGCCGTAGACTACGACAAGATGGTGACAGGCAGCCTCCTGGACTGGAGCTACGAGCGTCGTCGTCAAGCACAACAAATCCTCCCCTTCCTCTACCTAGGTCCTATGAGTGCCGTCAAAGATCGCGACTTCTTGCGGAATGAAGGCATCACTCTGCTCATGGCCGTTCGCCAACGCCACTCGTTCGAGAGCAAGATCATGCAGGCCGCTCTCAATGTCGCCGACGACATCAACATCCAGAAGAAGGCCCTCGACATGTCTAGCCCCTACGAAATTGTTGCCTCGTTCACTCGTGCCGCCAAAGTCATCAATGACCATATGAACTCCTTTCCAAATGCCAAGGTGCTTGTGTTCTGCGAGAGTGGAAATGAACGTTCTGCCGCTGTCGTCGCTGCCTATCTCATGGAAATCCTGGCCGATGTTGATCACATCAAGGCCATGCAGATCGTCCAGGCCCAACGTTTCTGCGTCAACTTTGACGACAACGTCAAGCGCTTATTACAAGGCTACTGGGACATCTTGCAAGCCAGACGCACCACTGCCAACTTCAACGCCAGTGGCAGGCCCAAACGACATCTTGAGAGGGACATGGACAACGATGGCATGGACATTGATGAGTCTGGCGACGATGGCGAGAGGTTCGAGAGCAGGTCCTTCGCTCCCTTTGTCGACACTGCTTGAAAGAGCCATTCTGCCTCCCTTGTGTTTTATGCGTAGCGTTCTGCTTTTACATCGAGATACCCCTTGTTTTTGTTTGCTCGGCGTTGGGGGTTTGCTCCTTTTCATGGCTGGTGGCACAAAAGTCATCATCTGGCTTCTATAGCGTGCACATTCGCGGCCTTGTCATATGCTACATTCATTCCTTCCATTCAGTACTTGTCTCGACCAATCGACACGTCCCCTTCCATTACACATTGACTGATACAAGCCAAAACATGGCTGCCAACACATGGGTATATACAATCATCTTGCCGCCTTCTCGTCATCAATCTGCTTTCTCAGATCACTAAGCACTTCCTCTCTCTTCCGTAGATGAGCTTCCAAACCATCGACTTGCTCTTTGACCATTGAGATCTCGTCACCGAGACCCTTCAAACCCTGGCCGACCTTTGCTCTTCCCTCGCCTGTTTCGAGGTCGCGCAGCTCACGACGCTTCCAATCAAGCAGTTGCTCAAGCTCGCGCTTCACCAAGGCAGGCTTGCTCTCATCCCGCCTGCCGCCACGTTCCCTTCGCCTTTTGCTTGCTCTTCGACCTTCTCCATCTTNCTCCTCGAGCTCTTTGAGTTGCTTCTTCAGGCGGACCTCCTCCCATTCAGCATCGGTGCGGGTGGCGGTGAAATCGGTACCCTTTGGTCTGTAGGCACCACGATCGCCAACTCCCAAGCGACTGAGGTATGCGTCACCAAACTTCTGCTTCTTGCCGCTCATGGTGGTATCATCACGCTTGGTGCCCCAGCGATCGGCGGCGGTTTGTACCTTGTCGACTTGATACTCAATGCGGCCCTGTTCGAAGGTGGCGCGGAGACTCGGAGGGACGGAACGAGGAATACGGTAGCCTTCGTGGCGGTTGGCAAGCATGTGAAGGAAGACAAGGCATTGATCTTTGCCAATAGCTGGGTCGCTACGGGGATTGACAAGATTCCAGGCACTGCGCATGTCTGTGTCTGGCACATCTAGCGATTCATAGAGCGGGTTGAGAGATTCGAAGGTGATGCTGCCATCGCGCGGATCGCGGTTTGCACTGTAGATTTCCTCGTACTTTGTGCGGTCGGACGGAGGCATGTACCAGTCGAAGCCATCTTTAAGTCCCGGGGTATCGTCTTCTAGGTCATCGACTTGCTCGAACTGGGCTTGGCGACCTGAGATGGCCTGAGAAGCTTGGATCAGATGTGCTTTGCTTTCGGGGACAAGCCAATCAGGCAATGTGGCCGGGACGTCCATGTATTCCTGAAAAGCAATTAGTTGTCGTGCTGGGGAAAAGAGTGTATGCCGGCATCTGCTTACACCGTTGACCAGATCAAAGATCAGGCGCATGGCGACGCAGAACTCCTCAAAGTCCAGGCTGCCATCACCATCGACGTCTGCGAGATCCCATACTCGTTCTAGCTGGTCGTCACGCAGTTGACTGTTCTTCAAGACCGAGGCTGCCTGGGCACCATTGAGATGTGTGCCGCCGTTTGCAAGCGAGGCGAAAATCTCCCAGTAGCGTTCAACTTCCCACTGCTCGATGCGCTTTGTCGCCATGCTGTGTGTCGCTGTGTGGCTAGGGGATACGGCTGTAAAATGCGGCTCGGTTGGCTTGTCGGGTATCGGTGGCTTGGGCAATCGCCGCTTTCAGGCACTTCCTTCTCGTCTTTGAAATGCTTTGTGACGGTGTATACAGTATTGTTGGTGGAAGTGGTTGTGTGAGCACTGCCGAGCATCCGTAACATCTGGTCGTGTTCCTGGACCTGAGCTGTGACGTTGGCCGGCGTCTTGGCTCTCCTTCCCCAATCCATCTCCGCCTTTCTCGACAATTCCCATCTGCACCGCGTTGTCGCGGTACGACCAACACAATTCCCACCTGGTCGCTATCATACCGGATATCACGGCTGTCAAACTCCACTTTATCATGTCTACAGATGTGTCAAGAACTAATTGGATCGATTTTCGGACTTCGAATTATGCAATACGACAACCTGTTGCTTCCCGCTGAAGCGTTGCGCGTCCTAGTCTTGCTGACTCGCCATAATGTCCAGACAGGTACGATACAAAGAGTTAGGTATATTGGACCTTGGTCGTGAGCTTCCGTCTGAAGACATCGGACGACCAATCCCTTCGACCTTCTAGCCTTTCCACCAGATCAAATTTAGGAGAGCCGCGTTCAAAGAGTTGCCGGCGCAACGCGTACACCTGGCCAAGATTTACGAACTCTATACCGACTCCTCATTAGGGACGACCCTGATATTGACTGCTCTCGTGCTCGTAGGTTCAGCTTGACAAGAACCATCTCCAGCGCCCATTTTCGATAGAAAGCGAGCCTACTCGCTTTATTCCCGAGCAGGCCGAGTGTGCTCATCCTTCCGGACAATACTTGCTCTCTAAGGTTCTTGTCCACTACATGAAAGTCTGTGTTCAGCTCGTCACAGGAGTACCCATGTCTATCGGCTGGCACTCTCTCAAGTCACCAGCGATCCTTCACTTACCAACACGACTCTGCCGTCACTCTACCTTCGACCCCGTTTGCCTACCTTCTCTACCTTGAAGGTGGTTTATATAATTGATCGTCTGTGTGATCTTGAAGATTGGATGACCTAAATGATGAGAGAGCCGTCAAGACAAGCATTTCTTGACGCTGTGGCTTTCTTGGCCATGTACGTAGGGCTCACATTGCATACTATTCTTGACATTCGGATCGAATGTAAGAGCCTCTTCTTACCACATTCCTCCAGTTCTTCCTCAAGTCACCATTCGCGTCTGTCCGTCGCCTTGACTCGGACTCTCCAAAACTCCGTAGCACTGCTAAACTCAGTTTTCTTTTGGGAAGATACGAATGCCGATCGGTCCGGGATCTACGACGTCACTGGTATTACTCCGAAGAATATGCTTATCAACTTCCAAAGCTGTAACATGCATGAGTGTTCAGGTGCGAGATCCTGTCCGTCTGGCAGTCCACAATCACGGTCCACATGGCATCACAAATCTGATTACCCTAATACATGCCGCTCTAACCCTCAAGATCTCAAGATCCAATCGTAAAATTTTGCACTAGTATGGATCTCTACACGGAAGCTTGCTTGCCATGGCTCTTGCACAGCCTTGTATCTACCAAAGACAGCGGCTGAGCTTGATATTTGCCTGTCAGTGTGGATCTGTACACACGCGATTCACATCACCCTGAAGCCGCTCTTCCGTCTGGCTGAAATTCAAATATCATGGCACATCGTATATAAGGTCGAGTCAGATGTGCGGTCCTCCTCATTCATCTTTCCTATCCCTCCTAACTGTTTTTGCTTCTTGCATATCTACGGAATTCCTCTACCCAACCATTTTCTATTCCGCCATCTCTAGATCTCTGACAAAGATACACCAATGCATCTGGGGAGCTTTACTGCCAGTTGCCTATTGGCATTGGCATCTGTAACTTCCGCTGCTACTCCAGCAAGAAAGTATCTATGGGGTAGAGATCAAATGGGCAAGATGGTTCGTCGCCAGCCCTCTTCAACCTCTTCGGCCGCTGGTGGCACCTCAAGTCTAGTCGCAGATAGCTCTTGCTCTAACGGCCCTTATACCCGCTCCTGCTGGAAGAATGGATACTCCATTGCTACAGAGTATGTGCTCCGCAGTATCCATCATCAAGCTTTGCTGACCATGCTTCAAGTNTTCGATCAAAAGTTCCCTTCTACTGGAAACACCGTTAGCTACAATCTTGAAATTACCAACACAACATGCAACCCCGATGGAGCACATGAGCAACAGTGTCTCTTGATCAACGGTCAACTACCCGGACCTGTTATACGAGCCACCTGGGGCGACACTCTCTCGATCACGGTCACCAATTCCATGCAGGACAACGGCACTTCGCTACACTGGCATGGTATCAGACAATTCAACTCACCCGGAATGGATGGAGTGAACGGCATTTCTGAATGCGCACTTGCACCAGGCGAAACCAAGACGTACACCTTCAAGTGCACGCAATACGGCTCCTCGTGGTACCACAGCCACTATTCAAGTCAATATGGTATGGGTGTGGTAGGAACAATCTTGATCGACGGACCTGCTACCGATAACTATGACATCGACCTTGGCACTTTCCCAATGATGGACTGGTATTACAAGAATGCCGACGTGGTGAACGCTTTGGCTCTTGTAGATGCTCAGGCTGGAGGTGGTGCGCCACCTTCGGATACCCTCTTGCTCAACGGTACCAACGACAACGGCCCTGGCGGTAAATATCAGTCTGTCGCACTCACCAAGGGCAAGAAGCACCGCCTGCGTTTGATCAATACCTCCGTCGATAGTCACATGATGGTCAAGCTTGATGGCCATCCGTTCACGGTTATTGCTGCTGACTTCATCCCCGTTGAAGCAACGCCTGCTGATGAGTGGCTGCTGGTTGCCATCGGTCAGAGATACGATGTGATCTTCGAAGCCAACCAGACATCAGGCAACTACTGGTTCAGAGCGGAAGTTGCTACTGCATGTGGAAGTGCAAGCAACGGAAATGGTCGTGCGATCTTCAGATATGACGCATCTGACACTTCCACGCCTGAGGACTCGGGCGAGACTGCTCCTACATCTGAGTGTATAGACATGAACACAACTCCATACTGGAAGCAATCTGTCGACAAGGATACTTTTGTCGCACAGGCTAAGACTTTGAGCACCGGCTTCGGTGACGGCGTCACGGTCAACGGCGAGAACCTGCTCTTGTGGCATTTGAACACTACCGGTAAGCATTCGTAGGATTTCATACATGTGTCTTTACTAATATCGATTNNAGCTATGTCTATCCACTGGGATAAGCCAACACTTGGTTACGTGTTCAATGGCAGCGACGCCTGGCCTCAAGAGTACGATGTAATCGAAATTCCCAACGAGGGCGTTTGGACCTACTGGGTCATCCAGCAGGTGTCTGGATCGCCTCCCATCACTCGTACGTCCATAATCTGAACAATGTTCTACAAAGATGTGCTAACGATACTTCATCAGATNCCTATCCATCTTCACGGTCACGACTTCTTCGTGCTCGGACACCAAGCATCGTCTAACTTTGACGCGTCGACCATGACTGATCAGCTGAACTTTTCAAACCCTCCTCGCAGAGATACAGCTACTTTGCCTGCTTCTGGCTGGCTCGTTCTAGCCTTCCCTGCCAACAACCCTGGTGCTTGGTTAGTAACAGCTAAATCATACTTTGAGCGAAAACAATGCTAACTCTATCCTGTTCAGNNGCTTATGCATTGCCATATCGCCTGGCATGTCTCTGAAGGCCTTGGCGTCCAGTTCCTTGAGGCCAAGAATCAGATTGTCTTGCCTGATGAGACGCAATTCAAGCAACAGTGTTCGAACTGGAAGCAGTACTCTGCTCACATGGCCTTCCCTCAGATTGACAGTGGTCTCTAGTGGTGTTCTTTGACGGTGTACATATTGGACAGAGTAAGACGTAATGAGATAATGTTAATGATCAAAACATTTACAGTACTCGTTCGTTGGCCCTTTTGTGATTGCTCGATGAGCTAGCCTACCATTCACCAAGCGATCTGTCCTTTCATGTTAACAAAAGTGCCAGTCTCGCCGTCCTCACCCAAAGTAGCCAGCTTGATGGCAGCCAGTGCGCCTTCATCCACAGGACCAGCCTTCTCGTCATGATTGCAGAAGTTCGTTTTCTATTACGAGGAGTAGCCAGCAATACATCCTCTACTTTTGAACCTTGCGACTTACTCNNCAAAACCAGGGCAACAGGCATTGATCTTCCATCCCTTATTTCCATACTGCACGTTATAGTGCAGCATTAACATGTTCAATGCAGCTTTACTGCACGCATATGCTGGAGCGAAATACTTGGTCATTGTGTACGAGGGCTTGAAATCTGCAAATGTGTGCAGACTGCCCACGCTACTCGACACAAAGACCAAGCGTGGTAGTCGGCTACATTTGAGGAGAGGGAGGAATGTTTCGGTCAGGTCTGCTGCGCCAGCAGTGTTGGTCGCAAAAGTGTCTTGCATTGCTTGACCTAGTGAGTATTCGGGGCTGACTTGAAAGTCGAGGAGGATCGCAGCATTNNCTATCAAAGTATCAATACACTTAGTGGTGTAGGATGGTCGTATTGATCATACGTTGATGAGGACATCGAGGCGTTCAAATTTGGTCTCGATATATTGTCGTGTGGCTGACATTGATCTGCGGTCGGTGACGTCGAGCTGAATTGCCTCAACACTTCCTCCAGCTTCTCTTATCTGGGCAGCACCTATCTCGCCTTTTTCTGAGATTCTCGATCCCAGGAGAACATGATATTCTGACGTCTGGCTAAGCTGTTTGGCAATTTCGTAACCAATACCCTGGTTGGCTCCGCTGACAAGAACTATGTTGGACATCTTGAAAGGATAATAAGTAGTCTATATGGCAGTCATAAAACATAAACAGACCACAGTCAGAGTGCCTCGAGATTGTGTTTATGTTTTATCCTGCTGTGAGAGTGGGTGAGCAAGATGTACATCGTGACCAGGGTTACCCCCGTGTCCGACTCTAAAGGCCGTGGTATGAAGGAGTTAGCGGGGTTTGAGGTCTTAAGGATAAGCAGAAGTACGAAGAATGGGACTCAAGTATCGAAGTGCCAAGATAAGATGCTGCAAAGTAATAGTCATCCGACTGCTGTAGAGACGAGCTATTGTCTTGTAGGATGACCAGCAAGAGTGTATAAGATGATGGATACTTCGGATGGAAGTGCAAGGACCGTCCATGCGCCTTAATTATTGAGATTGTTACTCATGGCTTGAGCGATATCCTTGACTGTCCAATACTATACATGACCTGATTCAGGCATCTATCGAGTCTTGGGAGATGATAGAGGACGTGAAGAAGAGTCGTATCTTATTGGTCAATCTAAGATCTGTGATCGGCAATCTGGATCGCGTGTCGCGCATGGACGCGTGAACGTCATCAGGAACACGTTCCGCGCCGAATCAAAGAACTCGAAGAGCAAGGGAAACTGCATCAGTGACTTCTCCCATCTTCATCATCAATTCATTGTCAACATCTCAATCGAACAGCTTCCAGACACTATATCCTCCAAAGCAGATTTACAATCATCATGGCTCGCCTTTCACGAGGAGCCGCCAAAGCCGAGGAGGCAAAGCCAACAATCCCTTCATTGAAGACCGAGAAGAGCGAAATCTCATCCAATATGGAAGCGGAAGAAGCAAAGATGGCAGAAGCCCGAAGATCCAAGGAAGAAAAACGTGACAAGGAGCTCGAAGCAGAGAGACAAAAGGATCTGAAAGGTGGCAAGAAAGTCGTCGACACAAAGTTCAAGGCCCTCGAGTATTTGTTGAACCAGAGCAAGCTATACTCGACCATCATGCTCGCTCAGATGCAAAGGCAGGAAGAGGAGGCACAAGTGACTGATGAGAAGGGCAAGAAACGGGCTTTGNNAAGCGGGAAGAGACAGCAGACAAAGCAGCCGAAGTCAGTCAAAAGAGCTACCCGGTCGGCAATCTCTGTACAGGAAACACCAGAGGAAGCAACAGAACAACCAGCCACCGGAGGTCGAAGAAAATCGGCCAGGGGAACTGCAACCAAACCCAAATCCAGCAATGGGAAAATCTCGGACTACCTTAACAAAGACGACCTGAAGGCCAAAGCTGGCGACAAATCGATAAACGAAGCCCTTGCTGAGGAGGCTGACTCTGATGTCAAGGCCGGCGGCATTGGTGTCCAGAACCTGCGATCTGCCAAGCAGCCGGCTCTCGTGAGTGGTGGCTTGATGCGCTCGTACCAGCTCGAAGGTCTCGAGTGGCTCACATCGCTTTACGAGAACGGACTGAATGGTATCCTGGCCGACGAGATGGGTCTGGGCAAGACCATCCAAACGATTTCGTTCCTCGCCTTTTTGCGTGAGAAGGGCACATATGGACCATTCTTGATCGCATCGCCCCTGAGTACAACAAGCAATTGGGTGAATGAGTTTCAAAGGTGGACGCCTGATATCCCAGTCGTGCTCTATCATGGTTCCAAGCAAGAAAGAGAAGAAATACGTCGAAAGAACTTCAAGAATCCTGGCAGCAAAGACTTTCCTGTCATCTGCACTTCTTACGAGATTTGCATGAACGACCGCAAGTTTCTTGCAAACTATGGCTGGAAATTCATCATCATCGATGAAGGCCATCGCATCAAGAACTTGAACTGTCGATTGATCAGAGAGCTGCAATCGTATCAGTCGGCAAACCGATTGCTGATTACTGGAACGCCGCTACAGAACAATCTGACTGAGCTGTGGTCGCTACTGCACTTCCTTATGCCCACCATCTTCGACAAGCTCGAGTCTTTCGAGTCGTGGTTTGATTTCTCTGCTCTAAACCAACGCAATGGCTACGAGGATATCCTTTCTGAAGAGCGTAAGACTAACCTGGTAACATCACTCCACGCAATCTTGAAGCCCTTCCTGCTACGCCGTATCAAGACAGACGTCGAAACCTCTCTCCCAAAGAAGCGCGAGTACGTGCTATATGCACCTCTCACAGCCACCCAACGCGAGCTTTACCAGGAAATTCTCGAGGGCAACAGTCGTGCTTACCTCGAGAACAAAGCTGTCGAAAGCTTGAGTGGAACAAACACACCTCGCAGCACTCGCGGTGCCAGTCTTAAACGCAATAGACCTGAAGACGGAAGCGCTACACCCAACAAGAGCGTCAAGTCTAGTCGGGCGTCTACCCCAGCAACAACAGCTAGTGCTCGTGGCAACAGACGAGCCAAGAAATCTCAGAATTATGAGGAACTATCTGACACTGCCTACTTCAAACAAGTGCAAGACGAACAGTCAGAGGAAGAAGAACAGTCGCTCAACTCGAGCGAGGAGGAAGCCCAAGAACAGGCACAGACACTGGCTTTGGCTAANAAACTGATCGGAGCCAAGAAGTTGCAGAACCCTGTGCTGCAGTTGCGTCTTTGCTGCAACTCGCCTCATAACTTCTTCTACCCTTTCATGGAGGAAGACAACAGTGACGTAGACGAGACACTGGTGACTGAGAGCGGCAAAATGCTGCTGCTAGACTCTTTGATGCCCACACTGCTAGAGCGAGGTCACAAGGTACTCATCTTCAGTCAGTTCAAAACCCAACTCGACTTGATCGAGACATACTGCGAGGTGCTGCGTGGGTGGAAGTGCAGTCGCATCGACGGCGGTGTCTCACAACCAGACCGACAAGACCAAATCGCTCAATTCAACTCGCCAGAGTCCAAGACCAATATTTTCCTCCTGAGCACGCGCGCAGGCGGACAAGGAATCAACCTCACAGCTGCAGATACAGTACTTCTCTTCGACAGCGATTGGAACCCACAACAAGATCTACAAGCGCAAGACCGCGCCCATCGCATCGGTCAAACCAGACCCGTCATCGTGTACAGATTTGCAACCAAAGGCACAGTGGAGACACTACTGCTGGAAAAAGCAGAGTCAAAGCGAAGATTGGAAAAATTGGTCATTCAAAAGGGCAAATTCAGATCAATGCGTGCGGGCGAAGTATCAGGCGCCGAGTTTGCGGAATTGCAGCAATTGCTTGAACAACAGGATGGCGAGAGAGTGGAGCTCGAAGAGGGGACCAAGGGTTTACTTTCGGAAGAAGAGCTGAATACCTTGACGGATAGAAGTGAAGAGGCCTACGAGCGGGCAGAGAAGGGTCTGGATGGTGGCGATAAGTTCAAGGCTGTCGAGACAAAGGCAGGAGGCGAGGGATTCTTGGAGGCCATGAGTAAATAAGGCATCAGATAGAAATGGCTGGCAACTTGATCAGAGACACATCATGTTGGACAGGAGGTGGACGCTAGTCCCTTGTAGACGATGACTTCTGTGATCAAACAGTGGGAAATTGCATCAAAGACAGGCTTGCATATCTTTTATCCAAAGCTGGCACGTGGCTTTGCGATAGTTGATCTATCTTGAGTGCTCTTTCTGTGTACCATAAAGCTGTTCAAAGGTGGGTGGGGTATCTGACAAAAATCACCATGACTTTTTCTGTTTATCCTTCAATGCTTCTATAAGACAAGACTTATTCAGTCTGCAACCCCGAACTCGTCTTTTGTTATGGCAGTTTTGGAAGGCATCAGCAGACGTATAGCGGCCATCTACAGAATTGTTAGCAAGCTGNNATACTAGCACACACACNNACAAGAAGGTACTCACTTTACGGCCCACTGCGAACACTAGTCTTTTACCTTCGGCATCCCAATTCAGACTTGGTTCATCGCCCGTTTCATCGCCATTGGGCAAGTTGTTCTCATCACCTTGATACCAATGTGTCGCAGCGGCTCGCCACGTGAGCAGAGGTACAGATCCAGCGTTGAGGTCCCAGATCTTTACAGCCTCCTCACTGGCCACAGCAAGACAAGAACCTGTAGGCGACCATGACAAAGCTAACGCAGCTTCGTGGGGGCCCATGGTAAACTCGTGCAGGGTCTCGCACAAGTTGGGTGCGACGCTGTAGACTCTCACGAGCCCAGAGTCGTGAGTTACGGCGAGGCGTCTTGGTAATGTCAAACCAGCATCGTTTGCAGTGTCAACTGGTTGGAATGCCATGGCAGTGGCACGTTTGCTGGCAGGACCTTCCGCAGGAAAGCCGGACAGGGGAACCCATCGAGGGCTAGTCTTGGCGAGCAATATGGTGCAATCATCAGACGATGAAGTTGCAGCAACAACACCGTTCACAGGGTCATAGCGTACCTTGTCCCACTGCTTGTCTGTGGGATGCGAATACTGTAAAGCAAAGTTTCTGGTGCCAGTAGAGGCAAATGAGTCGCCGTTCGCATCAGCACCATTGGGCAGCGAAGCATCGTGGATCTGATAGAAATCGAGACGGTTCTCACCACATACAACGATCGAGTCATCAGAAGCCCAGACGGCATCGATGACAGGCTGATTGAAGAGCTTGACAGCTACAGGATCTAGTGAAGTACCGGATTGACTGGCATCCCAGATCTCAACCAGACCACGTTTCATATTTGTTGAAACACTCAGCAGGCGTGTGCCAGAGTTGTTGTAGCGCAAAGCGACAATGATGGCAGAATGCTGGAGCAGATAACCATGGAGATCATAAAACCTTTTGGTGCCTTGTACAGTGGCATCAAACATGGATCTCACAGATTCATGACCACCTCCCGGTAAGCGACGGGTGGAGTCGAGGGCACAGGTAGCATATCGGCCGGATGGATGCCAGCAGGCAGCTGTGATGACGGAACCTTTGGGCATGGTCTCGGCGTCGGTGTGGTGAGCACGCTGAAGGCCGTTCTTTGTCTGGTGTGGCAGGTCGTAGAAGCGGCACAGGGACTCGCCTACAGTGAGCAAGCGAGTGGACTGGGAGAGCTGGGGGTTCCAAAGAGCATGCATGATGTTTGCGTCGGGTTGGTCCAAGGCCCAGTACATGGTCTCGGACTTTGACTTGAGCTTCTTGTCAGTTTGCGTGGCAGACGAGGTGGTAGGAATATGGTCCGGCTCGTTGGCGTCCGGTGTTGGCTGGCCATCTGCGTCTTGATGGTCGTCTTGGGGTGTATGGTCGATCTGCATGCTATCTGGGTTGAGATCGTCGTTGCTCTTGCGTGAGCGTTTGGCTGGAGGGAGGGGGAAGTCATGCTGATTCGTAGAAGGGCGTCTGTCGGTCGAGGCGCGGTGAGCAAATTGTCTGGTGGTCAAGTTGAAGCGTCGCGACTGGTTGGTGACTTGGGCCAGCAGTTGGTCGTGGAAGATGGCGTCCTGGATGATGTGTACCAGCTCGTGCTGCTTGACCAGAGGAGCAAAGGGCAGCTTCTCGGGGTCGCCATATTCTTGCGGACGATGCCAGTCCTGGTGCAGGGCTTTGGCAGCGTTCTCGTGTCCTGCTTCTTGTAGATAGCGGAGGATCAAGTAATTGATGTGGTCCGAGCCCAGAGCCCCGTCACCCATGGCGACTGGAGAAAGTCTGCTGCCAACGATGTGCAGATACCGACGGCAAAGACACTGGTGCAATTGATGCAAGCGACAAAGAATGTGTGCGATGTTATGCGATGCGATGCGCCATGCGACCAACCTCGACTGGGAAGGACCAGCCAGTTGCACCCGCGTGCCAAGTCGCGTTAGTGTCCGCTCCGCGCCTTCCGCTCCGCCGTCCTTGCGCCCCGCCTGAAGCCAAAACATGTGGGGGCTGACGCGCGACAGGGAAGCTGCTGTGTTGATTGATTGCTTGTCGAAGCTCGACCAAAGTCGACCCTTCCTTGTCGCCATGCCCGTCCGCATCAATCTACCGCCGCTGACCCGCGCCCTCCTGATCCTTCTGTTACTCCTCTCTCTGCTCAATGCCTCATTCAGCGTGCGCAGTCTCATCCGCGTCCAGGCCGTTCCTGCGCTGGCCATCATCCCTGCGCGGTCGCTGAAATATCCATGGACCACACTTACCGCTGCTCTGGTCGAGACCAACCTCGTTAGTTTCGCCATATCTGCCATCACCATCTTCTACGGAGGTCGATACCTTGAGCGCGCCTGGACTGGTCAAGAATTCGCCAAGTTTGTCATGTTTGTGACCATGATCCCAAATCTCTTGACCTTTGCCATTTATGCCCTGTGGTACTCTGTCACCGGGAGTCAGGTCCGAGCGTAAGTCCATACCTGTCCGCTACTAGGCAGACCTTCTTGCTGACATGGTTAGNNTAACACCATCATCAACGGCAATGTTGCCCTCGAAGCCGCTTTCCTCGTCGCTTTCAAGCAGCTCGTGCCTGAACACACCGTCTCCCTCTTCCGCGCCTCGATCCGTATCCGTGTCAAGCACTTCCCTGCTGTCTTTGTCTTGCTGAACAGTCTGTCTGGCCCGCTGCTGGGCACCGACACCGCTTTCTTCCTGTCGTGGTTGGGTTTTCTGACCTCCTGGATCTACTTGCGCTTCTACAGAGTTGCACCTTTACTAGCCACAACTGCTACGGGCGAAGAGTCTGTCATAAAGGGCGATGCTAGCGATACTTTCGCATTCAGCCACTTCTTTCCCGACTCGGTTCAGGTCCTTCTCGATCCCCTGGCCGATTCGGTCTACAAGACAATGGTGGCTTTCAGGCTATGTGTGCCATTCTCCGAGGAAGCCATTGATCAAAGCAACGAACAAGCTTCGGCACGAGCAGAAGGTGGACTGCCCAGCTTGATGACCGGCGGAAGAGGAGGACGTGCTGGCGGTAGGCGAGAGGAAGCAGAGCGGAGAAGAGCACTTGCTTTGAAAGCCCTCGACCAGAGGTTGAATGCTGCCGCGGCCGCGGCCGCTCCTGCCCCTGCTGAGACACCATCAGCACCTGCAGCTGAGACAAGTACGATGGAACCTACAACTGCTTAATTCAATTCATGTTCTTTCCATATGTCCCCAACCATGCAGAACCCATGACTGCATTTCCATTCTAATATACAATGAGGTTGTATGTCCATGATGACACGTGCTTCTGGATAGCACGCACACGGACGTATGCAAGGTTTGTTGCGGTCAAAGTGCCGAGGCATTTCTTGAATGTTGCTGTTCCTCGCGCTCCCAAAACAAACATGTAGCAAGTCCCTAGCTCCCAAAAAAAATCATGTCTTCTCTCCTTATACGCCTTGAACAGGATGGGATATCTTATGTTGGACTCGGCATGGTAGATGTGGCATCCCAGTTTGGTGTGGACAGGCGTACGCAGATGGCGCAGGCAGTGTCGGCAGAGGGTTTGAGTGTTAAATGATTGAATGCAATCAATCCATGCGTTGATCCTGGACGCGGCTCTCGACGTAGAAGCCAGAGTCAGGCCTCCTGAGTTCCTTGAGCTNCTGCGGGGAGAACTTTTGGTCGACCTCCTGGACGTCGATGAGTTCCTTGACGGCGAAGATCTGACCGGCGACTTGTTGCGAAACGGGGTGGTAGACGGTCTTCATGCGCTTGCGCAGGCCGAGGGCCTTGAGAACGCCCGACGCCTGCTTGGGCAGACCGATGGACGAGCGGAGAAGTGTGATGCGGAAGTATGACATGGTTGTCTGTCGAGCATTAGCAACGTCGTCGGCAGCGGTACGAAGGCCTGGTTGCTACTCACGATCGAAGTCGCGCAACAAACAGTCGTCAATGAGAAAAGCTGATGGCGGCGGCCAGCAATTGATCATGTCGGCCCGCGCATTTGTTTTCGCCGATCCCCGCAACTCGCTCCATCCACCTTCGTGTGCTCCTCCCGTCTGCTCATAGGAGCCTCGAGTTGCTGCTTTCTTTACAGCACGTCTAAGCTCGCCATGAATGACACGGATGATGTTGTTAACAGGCTGGCCGAGCTCCTGCGGCATCCTGACGACTTGGAAAAGATCTCGTCGTTGAAGAATGAATTCACACGCAAGAAGGCCGCCGTCGATGGCCAGCTACGTATAGGTCTCAAGGAGCAGCTCGAGATCACTCAGCAAGGCATGTCCAGCATCAATAATGGCCAACGTACTGTCAACTTGATCAAGGACGAGATGATCAAGATCGACCGTCTCTGCGTCGAGGCCCAGAACATGATTCAAGACTTTCCTTTCGTCGACAAGGTTGCCCAAACACATCGAAACTTTGCCCAGGTCGAGGACATGAAGGCCCAAATCGAATCTTTTGGTCGCAACCTGGATGAGCTCGAAAACCTGCTCCGTGAGGATGACGAAAACACCGAGAATCAAGACAATCTTCTTGCTATACATTACGGCCTCACCAAACTACGCGACATTCGGGATATTGCTCTGGACTCGATCAAGTCCTCGACCGAAGATGCAGGTACTGAGCTCATAAACAACCTCCAGCTTGGCGAAACAGGTGCCACCTTGCAAGACCACTTCACCAGGCTGGATGATGTGATTGACTGGTTCGACGAGCACGTAGGTACCGCATGTCTAAATCTGATCCCCCTTGTTCAGTCGGGCAACAACGGTATCATCGTAAGATTGGCCTTGATTGTCGAGAAAGAAGAGGAGAAAGACCGCCAGGTTGAGGCGCTTCAGCATGCCCACCGCGAATTCAAAGACCTCGCCTCTCGCTTCAAGTCTATGAATGCTGGCCAAAAAGAACTGCGCGGTTACAAAGACAAGTTCCTCAAAGCCATCGAGTACAACTGTCAGGCGCAATTCGATCAAGCTGGAGAGACTTTCTCCGAGGACCCGGACAAGCTCGAGAAGAGCGTGCGTTGGTACTTCAACGATCTCAACACCGTCAAGCTGGGCATGCAAAGCCTCATGCCCAGAAAGTGGCGTATCTTCAAGACCTACGTCGCTATATATCACAGGCTCATGCACGACTTCCTCGTATCCAAGGTCCAGGATGACCAGCTGAACCCTCCCCACATGCTGGCCATCGTCCATTGGGTTGCTAAATACTATGCTAAGATGGAAAAGCTTGGGTTATCCGCCGACCAACTTCACCCTCATGTCATCGATGACAGAGAAGCAGACATTATCCGCGAATACAGAACTCTCATCACTAATGCTGTTGAGCAATGGATGGATCGAATGTCAACTACTGATCGGCAGACTTTCCTGGAACGTAAAGAGAACACACTGGACACAGACGCTGAAGGCCACCTTCGAACCAAGACTTTGGGCGATCTGTGGCGTATGCTCCGTGAACAACTTACTGTAGCGTCGTCTTCTGACAGACCTGATGTCGTTGAAGGTGTAGTTGAGTCCATGATGCGCGCTCTGCAATCGAGACAGTCCATGTGGCAGCAACTCATCGACTCCGAAACTCAAAAGTATACTTCGCCTACCATGCCACAGGCTGAGCAAGAAGGCCTGCAGCCTTTACAAGATTGGCTCGTGGCCATTGCCAACGATCAAATTGCATGCATCGATGACCAAGAAGACCAGGGGCAAATCTCCTACCTCACGACCTTCAGACGCGAATACGAAACGATAGTCACGCCGGCGTACGCACTATCATCGAATACCGAGCTCGACACTTTGCGTGACGGCTATGTCGATCTCGGCACGCATTGTATATCCCTCTTCACAACTCTCATCTTCTCGGTTGACTTCCGCGGTATTCTTTCCGAGTTCTTCACTCCTGCTTGGTACAACAAGAAAGCAATGGCTCAGATAATATCGACCTTTGAAGATTACTTGGCCGACTACTCTGATGTCTTACACCCTTCTCTGAGAGACGTTCTCGTCGAAGAGCTTGCCGACGAACTGCTGGTCCGTTACCTGTCAGCCATTCGTAACCGGGGAGTCAAGTTCCGACGCGGTGATCCCTTCAACGAGAAGATCAAGGACGACGTCTTGACCGTGTTCAACTTCTTCTCAACTCAAGAGGCATCTTTCCCTGCCATCAAAGACAAATGGAGAGCCGTTAACGCCTTTGTCGAGCTTCTTAACGCCGAGAAGGGACCCGCAGTCGCAGACGCATATGAACAATTCAAGCGAGAGAACTGGGACCTGCAAATTGGTTGGGTCGAGGCTGTCTTGAGAACTCGTGACGATTGTGACAGATCTTTGATAGGACTTGTTAAGGCTCGGGCTGCCGAAGTCGAAGTTGAACGAGGAATGGAGACGGTCATGAGCAAAGTGAGATGATAACGACAAAGTTGCTTGGTTGTTCTGTATTGACACTGCGTGTGGACTTGCGTTCGGCGCGGAGGCTTGCATTGAGTTTTGGTTCCTGCATGGATTTCTGCACACCTGTTTATTGGTGGTAGCGAGGCGTTCCTACAGATGAGGTCTAAAAGAGATACCCGGTTTGATTAGAGACTCTCGATATAGCAAGGGGAGGTACTATGATGTGCTGTCGGACATTGTTTCTATTTAACCCAGGCATGATACATTAATCACGCTCAGGTGCAATCACGTTCTGTACCCCTATTGACTTTGCAATAACCATGCAACAGAAGGGTGAAGAGCTGCAAGCTTCGGGTAAGCCGCCACCTTACGGGCTCAACCGAGTGCCTGCCGCAACTCTGTCTTTTACCGCGTTCAACCGTCTGCTTCTTCGGTGAGAGGCTTGCAGCTGCTGTGCCTGCCACCCGAGCATCTCACCAGTCCAGAAGGCGCGCCACTCGTTGACGTCCGCCACATACAGCTCTGGCTGAGCTCACTGCACAAGAATAGAAACGGTCCGCCACGGGCAAGCCGCGCACGCACGCCCGGTCCTGTCGATCGCTTTTCGACCCCCGAGTTTCAAGTTACGGCGTGCGTTTTGTAGAGAAGCTTCCGAAGCATTTCTTCTGAAGGGTCTCGTTGTTGGGCGGAGCTTGCTTTCGACGCTGGTTTGCATTTGGCTCTTTTTGCAATGTGTCTCTCGATCTCGCTACAGTTGAAGGCCTGCTGGGTTACAGTTCAGCCCTTCCAGAAGCCAGCAAGGAATTTGTCCTCAATAGCTGCGCTTGGACATCCCCATGTTCCACTTTAATCTCGGTCGGATCAGTTCGTGAACTTCCTGAGGCTACAAGGTGGAGCTCTGCCTACTTATCACGACGGCAGTGTTTATTTGCGGTGGTGTAACACTGTGTATGGGCAGTCTTCGCATTGGCAGCATAGAACGGTTTATACAACGGCCATTGGGTCTCGAAGGAATCAGCCTGAGCAATACATACAGCCGTTGCAATTGTATCGACGCAAAGCTACGTCAAGGAACAGTGTCTCGAACAGATGGGTTGCCGCAGTGCTTTTTCGTCATCCAATAGTAAGTCGCCCAACCCCTTGTCGAAGCTCGAGTTGTTGAAGCTCGACTCTCAACGTGCTGCGGCGGGGAAAAGTAGACTTGGCGTTAGTGTAGCTCTGTAACCCGATTCTGACAAGGCTGTGATTGCTTCCGCTAATAATTTATTGTTGTGTCGTTGCCCCGAACCAAAGGCGGAGCTGGCAGGTTATAAAGTCGACGATCCTGGCGCACTCGTTTCAGCCGTCCTCCTTCCCTCTCTTCCCTTTCTCCCATCCACCCTTTTCTGAGTTGACCTTCTTGTGAGTTTTGTCAATTGCCCACCTTTCGTGTCTCCGCGAGCAGCTTCTAACCCTCGAGCTTGAAGTTCAATTCAGTTTCACAACATTCACAATGTCCTCCGAGATGGCAACCCACCTGAAGCCCAATGGCGGCGCTGAGTTCGAGAAGAGACACCATGGCAAGACCCAATCCCACGTTGTACGTTCACTGCCCCTCCACGAGCTGGTTGCGAATGTTTTGTCTGGACACGGTGTCATTGTTTCGAGGCAGAGAATCTGAAGATTGCTGCTACTTGGTGGGTGACCTCGCCCGTCCCTCTTCTCAGCTTTTGCTGAGCTGACACGAGCACTTGGCCCCGCCTTGTTGCATGCGCTTTCAATCTCACGCCTCTCATCTTACGCACATAGCTCCTTGGCATCTTTGACTGCGACATGTACCGTGGCGTAGTCGAGATGCCAGCATTTGCCAGCCCCACAGCTCTACAGCTCGACTTTGCAATCGTGCTAACCAAATGCAAATAGGCCTTCGAGAACACCTCGACCTCGGTCGCTGCCTCGCAGATGCGCAATGCCCTGAACAACCTGTGTGACTCGGTCACCGACCCCGCTGAGAAGCAGGTGAGTTTGCTGAGTTTCAAGCCGCTGTGCGCTTTCAGCTTCTGACGCAGACAAATANNGCGCTTCGAGACCGAAATGGACAACTTCTTCGCTCTCTTCCGCAGATACCTCAACGATAAGGCCAAGGGCAACGAGATTGAGTGGTCCCGCATTGCTCCTCCCAAGCCCGAGCAGGTTGTCGCCTACCAGGACCTGCCCCAGCAGGAGTCTGTTGATTTCCTGAACAAGCTCGCTGTCCTCAAGCTCAACGGTGGTCTTGGTACCTCCATGGGCTGTGTTGGCCCCAAGTCGGTCATCGAGGTCCGTGACGGTATGTCTTTCCTCGACCTTTCGGTCAGACAGATCGAGTACCTCAACCGCACCTACGGCGTCAACGTTCCCTTCGTCTTGATGAACTCGTTCAACACCGACGCAGACACTGCCAACATCATCAAGAAGTACGAGGGCCACAACATCGACATCATGACCTTCAACCAGTCAAGATACCCCCGTGTCCTCAAGGACTCGCTCCTCCCCGCCCCCAAGTCGGCCAACTCTCAGATCTCTGACTGGTACCCTCCCGGTCACGGTGACGTTTTCGAGTCGCTCTACAACTCCGGCATCCTCGACAAGCTGCTTGAACGCGGTGTCGAGATTGTCTTCCTCTCCAACGCTGACAACCTCGGCGCTGTTGTCGACCTCAAGATCCTCCAGCACATGGTTGACACCAAGGCTGAGTACATCATGGAGTTGACCGACAAGACCAAGGCCGATGTCAAGGGTGGTACCATCATTGACTACGAGGGCCAGGCCCGCCTTCTTGAAATCGCCCAGGTTCCCAAGGAGCACGTCAACGAGTTCAAGTCGATCAAGAAATTCAAGTATTTCAACACCAACAACATCTGGATGAACCTCCGCGCCGTCAAGCGCATTGTCGAGAACAACGAGCTCGCCATGGAGATCATCCCCAACGGCAAGTCGATCCCCGCCGACAAGAAGGGCGAGGCCGATGTCAGCATCGTCCAGCTCGAGACCGCCGTCGGTGCCGCCATCCGCCACTTCCACAACGCACACGGTGTCAACGTCCCTCGCCGTCGTTTCCTTCCCGTCAAGACCTGCTCCGACTTGATGCTGGTCAAGTCTGACCTCTACACCCTCAAGCACGGTCAGCTCATCATGGACCCCAACCGCTTCGGTCCCGCTCCTCTCATCAAGCTCGGTGGTGACTTCAAGAAGGTCTCGAGCTTCCAGAGCCGCATCCCCAGCATTCCCAAGATCCTCGAGCTCGACCACTTGACCATCACCGGTCCCGTCAACCTCGGCCGCGGCGTCACCTGCAAGGGTACCGTCATTATCGTTGCCAGCGAGGGTCAGACCATCGACATCCCTCCGGGTTCCATCCTCGAGAACGTTGTTGTCCAGGGTAGCTTGAGACTTCTCGAGCACTAGAAAAATTCATTTACAAATGGTGTGTCATTATGGAAAAGGATCAAAGAGACGCAGTAGATACCACGGAACATTCAGTAATTATTTCATTTCAAAGTCATGGCGTATTCATGCATCTTTTCATCAAACCCTACTAGAGCTCATTCTGTTCAATACTGTTGCCAACCTGTGATGCTGTAAGGTTCAATTACGGAGATTGCGGGATGGAGCTGACCTCGGAGCGTTCCCACCAGCAACAACAAAATACTCATGACGCGCTCTAAGAGGGACATGGCGGCATGCTGTATTACGGAGAGAGAGCTACAAGCAAGCAGATGAACACAAGCATGTTGTCGTCCTTGCGGTTGGCATAAAAACAAGGACAATGACATAGGGCTTTGACAAAAGTTGGTCCAGCTTGGCGCGGCACGTTTTACCTTTTCGACGGCTGGTGATGATGAGTGTTTGGGAGTTTGTTGGCGGGTGTTCCGGAGACGATCGTTGCGACCTGCTACACGTCTCGACAAGCTTGCAGCAAGTTCTTTGCACTCTGCGGATCGCTTGATGTCTGGATCTATCTGAGCAGTGCGGCCATGTCGCGTCGTGTCACCATCGCAACAAAGTCAAGCCGCCCTACCCGCACATCACCAGCCGCAGCCGTCGTGACCCCCGTGCAGTTCTCGTCGTCGCAGTCGCCATAGCCCGGCGATGCAGCCATCCCAGGGCTTCCCTGCTTCCGCCTCGAACCAAGCACCCGACTCGCAGTCGTCGACTCTCAACGCCTCCAACCACGTCTTCCGCGACTCCTCGTCGGCCGACAACCGCATTGTCCGCTCCATCCCGCCATGGGTCCATACCGAAGACGACAGCGACGATGAGTCGGTCGACCAGACACAGCGCCTCCTCCCTCCCGTAAACGCTGTCCCCGCCTCGCATCACTATCTCCCCGCTCCACCCACTCAGCACAAGGCCCCTGGCCGCAAGTGGGATCACATACGTTCTGCCGAACCTCCCCTGTTGGACCAGCCCATAGACACCAACCAGCAAAGATGGCTTCCCTACATGCTGTCAGGCCCTCAGCCGAGAGGCGTACCTGGCGCCAGACTTGTATCTGACGCCTGGATGGACGAAAACATGCCTCACCTCACCACCACCTGGACTGCTGCCGAACCCGAGAAACCCTTGGAGAAGACAAAGGGCTTATGGCTATTCACTCCGGAGAGACGGTCGAGGACTTTCGCGCGCATCAAGGTATTTGTGCATTCTGCGTTGTGTTCTTGCTGTCTTCTAATTTCTCGCAGNCGCATCATCCTTAAAAATCCTTTTGTTCCCCTCGTCTTCCGTCTCATCGTTCTTACCTTTACCGTGGCCGCTCTTGGATTGGGTGCCCGAGTATTCCACGAGGCCGACGCAGTCAACCGCCAGGGCGAAGGCCCATGTAGCAAGCGTGCCTCAACATACATGGCCATCGTCTTGGATAGCGCTGCCGTGCCCTACATCGGCTATATCACATGGGACGAATATCTGAGCAAACCGTGAGTAGTTTTCTTGCTGTATATGAACCTCGTTGACTGATGTCGCAACAGGCTTGGACTCCGAAGTGCCACAGCAAAGGTGTCACTCCTTCTAGTCGACTTGTTTTTCATTGTTTTCTACTCATCAAATCTGTCACTGGCTCTGGACGCATTGGACGATCCTCGCTGGGCTTGCTTCGACCACAACGAATCTCTACTATCAAATTGCCCTGCTTCTCCTCGTATATGTCGGTCACAACAGGGGCTATCCGGCGTTTTGGCTGTTGCTTTGATAGCGTGGCTTTTTACTTTTGTCATCAGTGTACTAAGAGTGGTGGAGCGTCTTCGTTAGCTAGGGACGACGAAACACCATGTTCCTTTGTAATCAATTATGCTATTCATATTCATGTATCTATTTATATACGTCTAGATCTGCTCCCCTTCTTACATCTCGTTCTTCGCAAGATGGCCATATTCGACGTCTCCAGATCTACCTGAAGGTCACAGCGCATGGGAAGGGATGGATCTGCATGGAGGATCGATGTAAACATGGGCTTTGTGTTATTAGCTTGTCTCAAGTCGAGTGCCCAGAGAGGTTTGTGGTCGAGAGCGCCCAAGGTGTGGCTGAGCTGTGGCTGAGTCCGACGTCACCAAGTAGTACAAACACATTTCGCGATCTCTCTCCTTCTCTTCCTGTTACCAGTGGTAGAACATCACCGACGATACGCTCCTTCCATAGTCACCGTGACACCGTCGTCGACTCAGCATGCGCTTATTCCTCCTTCCCATCTCAACGCGGCGTACGCTTCTCTATTGCGATCGCGTCGCAACTCAAGTCAACGCTAGCGGAAAGCTATCCTACCACGATCGCATCGTCAACAAAGCGAACGAGACGTGGGCATCCTGGGAGAACTCGCCCAACAAGTACAAGAAGAAGCTCACCGACTACGGCAACATTGTCTTCAACCGCATCTCCTACGAGGAATGGGGACTCAAGACGTTGCCTTCGTCTACTGCAGACCTTACGCCCACCGAAATCGTCTTCCCTGGCCGCTTCCTGGATCAGAAAAAGGTTCCGGACATCTTGAGAAAACTTGCTACCGAGAGACAAGGTCTGCACAAACAAAGGTTCTGGGGTAGTTTGATCGGCTTGCCTTTCACCATCCCCGTTGGATTACTCCCCGTCATCCCAAACATTCCTGGATTCTATCTTGCTTTCCGCGCGTGGTCGCACTTCAAAGGTCAGTGACTTCTTCCTGCGTTCTGTCGAGTCGGACGAGATACAAAGACTCACTCGCTAACTGCCTCTCANGCATTGTACGGCTCCAAGTATCTGGAAGCTCTGATCAACAGCAAAGAGCCCTTGATCAAGATGTCCCCATCAAAGGCTTTGGACGATCTCTACGCCGCAGGCTTGATACATCCTTCTCGAGAACACTCGAGGCAGGCCACTTTACCCTCAGAAACCGAATCCCAACAAGTTGCCCAACTCGTCACCCAACAGACAAATAACGATGCTTCGGATGTCATGCTTCTCAAGCGATGGAATGGCAAACTACTTGCCGAACAGTTCAACCTGCCCGGCATGGAGCTCGAGATCGAAAGAGCTGTTGAGCAGGTCCAAAAGAACATCGAAGCCGAGTCCGCGGCAGTGGACGAGAAGGGAGATACCAACACAACCACTGTGGACGAAACGCTTTCAAACGGGAAAAAGTAATGTGATTCTGCTTCGAATCCCAACTGTATTTGTGTCTCTTTCCAAACTCTCTGGATCCGACTCTTCATTGTCCAGCACCACTTGTGTATTTGTTGGTTCTATGTCTGGACATGCTCTCCAACCCGGTATCATGATTCTTTGTCGGCAATGTGAGGACGCGTTTCTCGAGGCTTTACCGGGCCGTATACCCTCCGTCGACTGGCAATGCGACCTGCGATACCATTAGCACATGTTTCCCATTTCGACACTTGATGCATACTCCTGTTATCCATGAAGAGTCTTCCGAGGCTAGGAACACAGCAGCACGTGCAATGTCGTCCGGAATGCCTAATCCTCGGAACGGATGCAGGCTGATTATGTGTTCCTGCGTCTCCTCGTCTCTCAGTACCTCGCTTGTCATCTGGGACGAGATCCCTGCGTNCTGGCATTAGTACCTGCTAATCCACTCAAGATACACTCACTCACAGCCAGGACAGATACAATTGACATGTATCCTGTGAGGCGCGCAATCCAATGCAACCGCTTTTGTCATGTTGACAATGGCACCCTTGGAAGCACAATAGCTAGCAAAGTTGCTCGTCCCTACCATCCCGAAGATACTTGCAACATTGACGATCCAGCCGCGGTCTCCGTTCGGGTGAGGATCTTGGTCGATCATCTGCCTGGACGCATATTTACACCCAAGAAACACGCCTTTCGAATTCACTTGCTGTATATCGTCCCACAGTTCCTCGTCGGCACTCCAGATCGGCTGTAGAGTTTCCAGGTCGAAGGTGATACCGGCGTTGTTCACGAAGCTGTGTTCAAGCCGTGTCAGTGACTAACATCGAATCCGAGGAAACTGAACTTACATGTCAAGCCGGCCATAATGGGACACTGTTGTCCGCACCAGGTTTTCCACATCTTGACTGCATCCTACGTTCGCGCTGACAAAGAGTGCATTGCAGCCACTCTTGAGGATAACGTTGTGTGTTGCGTCATCACCAGATTCGCTGTCGCTGTCCGTAGACGACTCTGTATCGGCACACACTACGTGGGCACCTTCACTCGAAAATCGAAGTGCAATTGCTCGACCAATCCCGGAGGATGAGCCTGTAANCGCTAAGTGTATGTCAGCTGGGTAATGCAAACGAACAACACCGGTCGAAGCTCTGGACCAGACAGATTTGGCAGTCACTTACACTGCTACTTTGTTATGCAGCCGTCCACAATGGCCGTTATCCATCATCATCAAGAAGGATTGCTCCTACCGCCGTGTTGTTGATTCACAAAAATCTTCCGAAAGGGATCCCGGAAGTTACAGCTTCTTTACTGCGGCCACGTCTTTCGACTAGAAATCCGTCACCATACGAGCCAGTCGTGGCGCAACAGCAGATGGATCTCAACAAAGCACAAGTGCTTGCCGGGTCAGATAATTTCTGTTCAAAGGTTGAGGTCGTTCGACAAGACTGGGGTGTAGACGGCTTGCCTTGACCTGTCCGGGTTACTCCTGCTCACTGTTGCGAAAACAGCCAGTGCTAGGGCTGAAACAACCTTTCAGAGATGATGTAGAGCGTTCGTAGAGACTGTTCGTTAGGGGAACAAGGCTTTCTGGCTGATGTGCCACCAAAGGGTCTGCGGGCTGTAGACCGAGACCGGATCAACGGTCGGATACTTGAGAGAGAGGAATGGAAGTAGGGTAGATGGCCAAGTTGCGGCTCGGGGCCCACAGTAGGGAAGGATGCGAGAACCGGTCCCAATAATGATTACCGATCCGCCAAAAATCATGCTCAACGATCATCCTCTACTCAGCCGGACGAACCAGCTAACAAGGACTGACCCGAGTACGCGTCTAACGGCGGCGGCGGCTTGTGGGGATTGCAGCACTCGGCACATACTCGTGCTCTGCCGACCAAACTATCCCAAATTGCTGGCGATCGACCGGCAGTTGTGGTTTTAAGGTGTTTATTCGGAACATGTGGTGACCCTCGATGGTTTGATCGTACCAAATGCATGCAGCCAGAAGGGATCGATCTGATAATAGAACATGTTCACTCCACTACTTGGTCATCGTTCCGCACATGAACACTCAGCTGATCTTGGACTGTGACAAAGCGCCTCCAGAACCATGTGATTCGATCCTATGCATGACATTCGGTTGTGAGTCGTAAACTTCCACTTTGCATGCTTTATCTTACTTTTAAGCCCGAAAGCTACTTGGAGTAGATTCAACGGTGAGTCCTTGTAGGCTAGAGTGTTCCAAACTAGCCAGGATCTGCAAATGGTCATTTGGATGTTTCCGCACGAGCTGCAAGACAACCAATCAATATCGATTGCTCGGGTTGACTATCTTCTTGCTGCACCACAGTGATGTGTTACATTGTTTTGGAGGATGAGGAGGGTTATAGGCACGCACGTGATCGGTATGTTCAGAGAAGATTCAATCAATAACGAGCTGTCGAGTAGGCGGGAATACGGACCGAGTAGGGTTTCCAGCAGTCGCGCCCGCCCGTTTGTCCACAGCGAACTGGTCGCCAGCCCCAAGCATTGCTATGGATCAAGATTCGGAATTAGGCACTTGCCGGCCGGCGGCTCTGTCTGAGTCTCTAGTGAATCGTGACATCTATTTGGGAAGAGAATAGACCAGCAATCTATGGCTGTGTAGAAAATTCGATTCAGGCTCTCTGGCTCAATGTCACCGGCGTGGGATGGAAGCAGCAACAGTTCCTTCCTTCCTTCCTTCCCTTGTTGTTCCACCGGTCTGCTCAATCAATTGATCGTCGTCTCCAGGCGCTTGGCAGCAGGAGAAACAAGTTTTGCCCATGCAAGTGTTTGGGAAGACGTTTTGGCGAATCGAGGTTCTCGAGTCTTGACAGGTGGGCACGACTCAGCCACATCTCAGAGGTCTGGTCCAGTGTCTCGACTCTTGTCTTGGGCTACAATTTAGGGCTTTGGCGCAAAAACAATCTTGACCCTTCCGTAGATCTTGACAGGGAAGTTGGAAGATTGTGCAGACGCCCAGCCGTCTTTCAGGCGCATAACCAAAAGAAGTCCGCGTCTTTCGAAACAAGCGAGTGTAACGTGCGATGTGGCCAGTCACGGCCTAAGCTAAAGGAGCCGCGATGCCAAGGACTGCAACTTTAATGGCAGTCCGACGACACATGGGGACCACGTACCCAGCGAATGTTTCCTCGTGTGTCCATCCTGCACGCGACGATCAAAGTTACAATAGCACGAGCAAAACCCAAGGTTCACACCAGATGGCTCTCGAACCATATGCGCTACGCGTACTGCATGCGATTATTGGAGAGTTTTGTCGTGCCAGGGAGACAGATGCAGCTGACCATGACCGCGCGGGAACAGATGTTTGTTGGCCCTTTTAAATCTTGGTCCGTCCCCTGAACGACGCCGTTCAAGCCCATCTGCGAAAGGATCAAGATTTTCATGACGTCTGCAAGCATTGGTCTGTTGAAAGTTTGACTCCTGCAGGTGTGTGAGCACACCGCAGTGTCGGCACAGAGTCAAGGAGAGAGACTGATATGAGCATTCATCCTTACTGGACGACCACCGGCGCCTCGTCACATCGATTTCGGTAAAGGTGTTGGACGTGCTGAGAGACCCCTGTCTGCGATGTCTAGCCCATCATGGATTGTCGCCTCATCGTTCATCTCAAACCTCAAGATGCTTCGAAAAGCCGTCGTTCTAGGGCTTATCCTGTGAGAAGCTGTCAAAACTGCCGTCTCAAATCTCAGTATCCTGTGGTTGTCATGGCGCCTCTTTACAGACCTGAACTCCGGGCTCGAATTCAACAGTCAGCTTCAGCTTCAGATTTTCCGAGAGTTTGAGCGTCTTATACTATTCCTGCCGATAATAGTGTATATCGATCCAAAAGGTTCTCAGCTCTCGTTACAACCACTCCCGGGTAAAAGCCTCGTGTTGCCGAGGTTGCCTTGTCTGTTTAAGGGTTGGTAGAAGACGCGGATCACACTAGATAATAGGATAGGTTGCTAAGCGGCTAGTGTTAGGCTGCCCTCGTCACCACTTGTCAATACATGTTCACGCGTTGCACTATCTCTTATACACAGCCCGATTACTTCAGCATCGGTACAGCTCAAGTCGGCTAGTCTTCGTGCGAAGAGCCATCTGGCACTGATATGGTCTCCAAGTAGTGTTTGCCATGCTGCTGCGAAGCAACTACAGAACAGTGAGAAGTACTACATTTTGGACACAGGATGTTCGGCCGACAGCGAATCTAACCTGATAGCTACTACTCATGAGACCAGAGAAAAGGATTTGACACCACGATCGGCATGAATACACTCGTGGCGCAAGCACAATTCCCTTATCTCTATATTTGACTTCTGCCATTTATTGCACTGCGTGGCTGCAGCGCCGGCATCCAACGGATCGACTCGTCTCGTAAATTCGCAATGTAGACGGTGACATTCCTTGGAGACCTGCACGATGGGCGCGAACAAGGTCTCAATCACTGTCCGAGCAGTGCCAACGCGAGGATCGTCGGATCACGGTCGCATCGTAGACACATGGCGCTTCGGTCGTGCGTTATTCCCGAAGGGGGTTTCAATTCCAGAGAGAGGGTCGATGCAGGCAGCAAGATGCACGAGCGGCCTAGAATTACATTGGTAAGATGGCCAGAATCGAGCTGTTTCGAACTTCGACGCCCGTCTTGCCCTCACCCTTGTCAGTAGTGCTGTCACAGTCATTCTCCAACCAGGCATCAGAGTTTGTGATACACACGTCCTGATCCTTTGGTCGGCGCGTGCCGGCAGGTGTTTGCAGTTGATGAATGCCCCGACATCAAGGGCACGGTGCATACGAAGAATCTTTGCAACAAGGCTATCTTTGTCAGCCACAGTCATCTCTTGGATACGTTGCTCGTGCGTCGTTTGTGGGTAACTAATGAAGATGGTCACTCCCTTTAGTGCTTTGTCGGCGCGATACCCGACTCGGCACGATGCACACATTGAACAGGTCGGTAGTTCTACACGAGGCAGGGTGCGGAATCAAACCGTGTGGGTGTAGATACCTGTGTGTGTAGATGCATGTTACACATGAAGAGCGATGAAGCAATGTAGGAATCTCGAACACGGTCTGATCTTTTATGCTATTGGATTCTTTGATCCCTTCCGCGGTCTCGAATGCCGTTCGTTAACCGAGGCGCGTGCAAACAAGTTGGGTACATCGCCAGACGTAACCCTGATGAATTGACAAAGTCGAAGGTCAGGAGAATTGTTTTCTTGTTAGTGAAGGAAAGTAGATTGGACTGTTGGTATCTTCCATTGTTCTCAAACAGATTTTAGAAATCAGGCTGAGACAACTTCATAATAAGCAAGTGCAAACGGTGCCTCTATTTCACACTCGCTTTTTCAAATCCATATTAAGCCCAAGTAGGTAGCAATCTTGACCAACGAGATTGAACAGTTCGTACCTGTTTAGAACTATATTTCAGCAAGGTTTGACAAAAATAATGAGATAGGCATGCTCGTATGCCCATGCTTGAGGAAGGAAGTATTCTGTGACTTCCTCCCCTTCCATTGGAGCCACGATGTTTTGAACCCATATTGAACTTGGCCTTCCAGCTATGCCTGCCTAATATCCGACACACTCATAGCGTGGCTTCGAATCGTGGAAGCAACCGGGCTGAAGCATGAGACATGGCTGCTTGCGAGCGAGCGTCAGAGCAATCTGCGCTTTCGTTCTGTTATGCATGTAACTAGGCATAAGATAATGACTTTATACACGCGTCTTATACGTACCGCTTCATTGGTTTTTCGAATAAATACCGAAGCAAATAGCGAATCCTCGGTCCGGAGTCCGACAGCAACCAAGAAAAATATTCAACGGCTCCTTTCAATCAGCATCGGTGGTGAATGTCACTACACACACGATATCGGATACGGTCTGAGTAGAGAGCTCAGAGAAGACGTACACGCGACGGAAGAGCCTCATTCTTCCGGGCTTCCGGTGCACCGAGGGTTCATGTTTTCGAAAGCCTCTTTTCCAACGTCCTTCGCTCGGTTCACGAGTCAGCTCAGAGAGATCTGGCACAAGTCATGGAATCTTACTCTTTCCGCTCCTCGGAAGCCTCCCCCGAACAGCGCAGCTACACAGCAATCACTGCCATCCGATGAGTCGTGAATCCCACGCCATCGCGCTGGGCTCGGCAACTCCACCAAACTCATCGGTTCGCGAGTGGGGCCGCCATGAGTATTCACGGTACTTGCCTCTGACTCGACTCGAGGTCATTCGGACTCCTTTGCTTTTATTGGTCTACCGTTACTCGTCAAACCACTAACAGCCTTGGACTTACCTACTCATCCTCGCCGAGGTATGCTTTGAGACCGTCGTTCTGTTTACGTGGGCTCGACATTCACACGTACATGCGCTTTTTCGAGTTTGGCATCAAAGTATGACTTTCACAGCTGTAGACATATATCAAGCGGTTAAAACTTTCAAGACAAATCAAGGCAACCCGGCTTTGGAAATGATTGTCAAGGGAAAGTTGCATAGGGTTAGACTACCTGTTGATCTCCATACAGGTAACAATGAGGACTTTCAGGATCTAGGACTGCTGCCTAACTCCACTCTGTTGTTGTGGTTATCAGCCAAGTCGGGTCCTTCCATCACGCATGTGCGATATACGGTACGTACGTACGCACGCCATAAGACACTAAAGGACGAGTGCGGGTGAGCCTGTCTAATAGATGTTCTGGCTTGGCATTGTTTGGTCAGCGGCAGGCCAGCCTCGATTTGGACTGCACCATCTTTAAAGACGCCACACGCTACTTCTGTCACCTTTGGACCGACAGGTGAACGAGTTGCGTACAGAGGTAGATTTTGACCATTGGAGAAAAAGGTCGACCTCGATGTGTGAGCAACCCACAGACGTAGAGGATTGGGTTACCAATGAAATATGGGCGAGGCAGTCTCGAGAGAGCGAAGCACCTCACGATGGGAAACTTGCATGGCGATACACCTTTTCTCAAGCTTAGGGTGAGTGCATGTGTGCCACGTGCTGTCTGCTCAGAAGGAATAGGGAGCCCAAAAAGACGATCGATTAGGCAAGCCTCAGGGGCTGCATACAAGACCAGCTGAATCCGAGCACACGCGTTGAACAAGCGGTGTTAGATACACGGCAGGACCACTGTCTTGGACCGGCTCAATCATTCGCGGCCGTGTGCTCACTCATGCTGTTGAACAACGACCAATAAGCAGATGAGGGTTGGCCGAGCGTCGAAACAAGCCTGCCAAAGACGAGCTACATGCCCTGTATGGTCTCATTGGAAGATGAGGTTAGAACAAAATCCTCTTCTGGTGATTTGTGGGCCTTGTCTTCCCTCGGCGGTACAACAACTCCTCCATCTCTTACTAAGCATGCCTGTTCTCCGTCGTCCGTTGCACAAAAGCAACGAGGTGGAGGATCGACATTTGGTAGCCCGACTGTTGATGTATCGAGCAGTATTCTCCACCAGGATCTCTGTGTATGGTATCGTCAGTCCACTGAGGCTAACCGGCTGAGTCACCTCAACAATCACTGACTCTCGATGAGCACTTCGTGGAGTCGTGCTTGGCCGATCAGCCTTCAGCTCAATGCCAGGCGTGTGTATGTTCAGGGATGTTGCGTGGCTGGGAGTATGGAACGTGAGGTGGGTATGTCAAACCCTGTTCAGCTTCATCTACATGACCTGTTCATTTCCGTTACTCCTCGCGGCAGAACGGTTCTTACCCACGTCCCTTCCTTACGGAGTCATGGATTGGTTTCTGTTTCACTCTCTCGGATTGAGTACCTCATCTGTGTGTGGGTTTCTTCCCCTTCTCCGTACCTCGTTCCTTCCTCGTCCACCAATCGGTCTTTTCCGCGAAAGTCTTTCCATTCGCTGGTCGCCGCTTTCCCTTGATGTTGACTATCCGCCCCTTCCCAGGATTTGTGACAGCGGTGACAGTGGTGATAGTGTCTCGACACATTGGATAGTGCATGCATGGCCTGCAGATTGCTTATTTCGACCTTGGTAACGCTCTCGATTCGCTGCTACCCTTGTATATACCGTTGCATTGATGTGCGCGCTACGGATATTAAAACACCTCTGTCTCGTGTACGGTTGCTCTCTATTTTCTCTGGGCTTCCCTCATTCCTTCATTTGCTTATCACGCACGTAGCAAATTCCATGCCTTTCAAGCCAAGGACCGATCACAGTGCCTCTTTGTCCAGCTTTTCTGCGAGTTGTTCTCTCTGTCTAGCTTTTCTACAGGGGGTTGCTGAGTACTCTGGTGGAAAGGCAAGTGGTGGGATAACACTGTCAAAGCCTACTGCGACGTGCCATCACCATTATTTCGTGTCTGTTCTTCTCTGGTCTGAAGGTTACAATCATGGTTATCTTAAGCTTCAGACAGTTGTTCGTCTTGCTCATGCGGCTGTTGGGGTTCTTGGCCGTGTCTACAGTGGTGGGAGAATACTATTAAAGCCTACTGCGGACCATCATTGCTCTTTTGTGCCTGCTCTATGTCACTTTTCTGATCTGATTCTACATGCTTGATGGTGTTTTGAACTTCAGACTGGTCATGTCCAACTTAATCTTGACAAAAGTGTTCGGCCTTGGCTCATGCTGCTCTTGAAGGCTCCATCCATGTCCTCAATTCTCCTGATTCTATGCATCTCGATTGTACTGCATCAACCAACACAACAATTCATACCTCTCAAACCAATAATCAGTCGTACTTCTCCTCTGCTCGGCTTCTTAGCACCTTCCTCTACTGCTTTCCTAGTGCAAAGACAGTTGATGGGAGGATAAAAGTCTACCATGTGCCATCACGATGAGTGTATGTCATGCTACTTCACTTTCTTGATTGAGACTGTGCTTCCACAGTCTTCAATATACTATCTATATCCACGACAGATTCCTCCCTCAATGTTGTGACGTCAGAAGAGTGAACCATCATACATGTATAGAATAAGGGGCGATGACTCGAAGCCATCAGAGAAACAATGGACAAGATCAGGAGAATTGAACACGCATTCGAGACGACTACGACAGATTGACAAGACGTAAGCTTGGTGTCGATCCGATAGTGTCTGTCATCTCAACCCTATAGTGCCTACCACCTTATGTGCAGTGTCATGATACTTCTTGACCAGATCATTGCACTTCGTAGATAATCGATTTTGGGGTTGAATCTCGCAGGTTCTGGTGGCAACAGCACTATAAAAGGTCGACAAATACTCATTGAACTGGTCTGTCAAAGTATAGTTGGCACGGAACAGATATGTGGCAAGTTATCGTCGATATAATGCTGTCGGTGGTTGCTTAGGGGGCCACCCTGTCTCATATCCACCTAGAATCCAACCTCTCAAAATCGTTCCCAGGAGATTGAGACAGCAAATGATAAACACCGATATGAAACACACTCTCGATGATACTCAGGACAAAGTACGCTAACATATTCGCTTTGCTACCAAACCTGCCAAATGGGCAGTCCTATCTATTCTACAAAAAGATCATAATCTCTCCCGACCCTGTTCACGGTGGAGTATGCTTACGTCTAGCCAGCGTGTTCAACAATCTCGCTGACAAGCTTACCGTTCTTGACAAAGGTACGGAACTGCTCGGGTAGAGGACACTCCTTGTAGTCGTCTTGTTCGGTCTGAGGAGGGAGGTTGACGTTGATGCTGGCACACTTTGAGGTGTAGATTTCAGTGTTCAGGCTCTCTTTCGAGAGATAGATGGAGGCACCGTCGACTTGGTCGAGCATGACAGTGGGAAGGCTGCCGAGAACCTGCAAGCCAAAGTTGGGGCACTTGATAACGTCGACGGATGAGATGAGATCGTCGATGACGAGGTTCGTGCGCGGACTGTTGTCGATGCTGATGGCGTTGGCCTTGCCGATCAGACGGATAGTGGTGTTTTTGCACTTCGTGATAAGAATGGATTGTGTGACGGAAACCTCAACTTCGATGGGAGCGTCGGCGTCCTCAAAGTTCTCGATGATCCACTTGTTGCCGTCGAGTTCCTTCTTGGGATCTCTCTTGGGGGTGGGTTGGGAGATGCCCTTTCCACGGATGCTATCGGGTTTGGGCTTGAGCTCGGGACCTCTGCTACGGCTGCGGTTGATGCTGTCTTGGCTTCCTTTTCGGTCAGTGACGGTAGAGCCAGCGCGTAGCGAAGGGTTTTTATGTGTCATCTCGCTCTTGTCGACCTTTCTCAGGCCAGATGTAACAGACTCGCCTCTGTTCAGCTGATCGAAAACAGCGCCCATGTCACCACCGGCCGACTTGGCAGGTGGAGGCGGACCTGGAGGAGGAGGAGGGTTGTCGAAAGTGGGAAGCGGCGGCGGCGGGGGGAGGTGGTGGGGGACCGCCTGCAGCGCCGGGAGGAGCAGGTGCTGATTGTGAAGAAGGAGTGGNNGAGCGTTGTTCGCTTCCTTGAGAGCCTTTGCGAGGTCCATGCCCTGAGGGTTCCATGTGACACCAGCAGCGTAGTGGCTGCGGATGTAAGACTGGAGGTTCTTCCAGATGGCGTAGTATGACTGAACGTAGGCGACGTGCTTGGGGTNCCCTAGTGCGTGGTCAGTGGGTTGGACTGGAGGGAGAGGGTAGGGTGTGTTCGCGACGGACTTCTCCTTGTACTCCTTGAGTACTCTGTTTCCGAACAATTGCACACCACCCAGGATCTCAGCAACGTAGTCGGCAGGCTTGCCTTCAAAGACAACCCACTGCAGACCACCCATGCCCTCAGCGACCATGTTGAGATGGTCTTTGAAGGGCGAGGCGCGGTTCGAATCCTTGATCTCGGTGACGGTGCCCATCTCTTGCTGCAGGTCCTTGATGAGCTCGGAGAAGGCGGGCGAAGTCATGTCGGGCTTCTTGGCCTTGTTGGCGACGACGAGGTACTGGCGCTGAGCAGCGAATGCGCGCTCGACGGCGTGTGCCTGGCAGGGGTTAACGGTCGGGGTTTGGTGCGTGCTGGATCACGGTTGTACCTGGGACTCAATGTTCTTGTCCAGACCCGAGGCGGATGTGACAAACTTGGCGACGTGCTCGTTGATCAAGCTGTCCATGTCCTGGATAGGTTTAGGGAGAGGGTCGGACTGGGTCGTGGGCGCGGCAGGAGGTGGAGGTTGGGTAGCATGTTTGGCGATGCCAGGGAGTTCGGGAGCACTCGACGAGGCAGGGAGGTGGGTGGCTCCAGCATCAGAAACAGTGCCTCTGGGCTGTTCAAAGTTGGCCGACGAAGTAGCAATGTCCTCGAGACGGGATGTGGCAGCTTCGAGTCTGGTGACGGGTGTCAGTACGACGCGTGCTTGGAGTGTGTCGGTTGGCAGCAGACGGACCGCTTGATCAGCGTGGTGAGGTTGTGCATGCCGAGATTGCTCGTTGTCGTCGCCATGATGGGTGGTGTGATTGAGTTGGCAAGACGAATGAGTGTGCAGGTGCAGGTACGAGTGCTCGAATGCCATTGTTGGCCTTGCCCCGGCCTGACGCTCCGCCAATTCGCATGCACGAGCCAGACACTGAAACAAGCCACTTCCGTCTTCCGCCAGAGTCGAGTCCGCAACACCATCGCCGACTCCAACCTTGGCTTCAGACACGCCCTGTTTCGACTCTTCTGATCTTGTCACAGATATTATGTATCCCATTGATTTTTGTACTACTGGCATGTTCATCATTGGTTAGTCGATCTTTCATCCTGTACACGTCTTGGTCGTTATCGTACATGCCAATCTGCAAATGCTAAGTCGTCTCTTCCANGATGACATCTACCCTGCCCCATCTGCTCATGATCAAACTCCTTTCTTGAACGTTCCTGGTGGTGCTGGTACTTATAGTGCTTTGGGTGCTCGACTCCTCTCTCCATCACCTCAATCTAAACAGGTCGGTTGGGTGGTAGATGCTGGTCATGACTTTCCCGAGCCTCTGCGTGACATGATAGCTGCTTGGGATACTGCCGTGCTGATGCGATGCCGCAACGGCCCGACAACAAAGGGCTGGAATGGTTACGGCGCTAACGAACATCGAGGTATGTTCACGTCCACAAGAGTCGTCTATCTTTGCTGAACGTCTTGCAANGCTTTCAAATATTTGACGCCCAAGCTCCGTATCACGGCAGAAGATCTGTCGTCTAGTTTGTTGACCGCGAAGTCGTTCCACCTGATATGCGCTCCAGCCCGTTGTGTTGAGTTGGTCGACGGTATCAAGTCTCGCAGGGCCGCGCTCGATCAGTCGCTTGACGAACCTCTCTTTATCTGGGAGCCGGTACCGGATCTCTGCGTGCCCGCCGAACTGAACAACACCATCGAAGCGCTCGAACACATCAATGTCATCAGTCCCAATCACGCAGAACTGTCAGATCTGTTCTCGGTCGTTGGGACCAAAGAGTGTGGTGATGTGGATCGTCAAATCATCGAGTCGTGTAGCAGCAAGCTGCTTTCCAGCGTGTCCAGCGAACGAGCATCCAAGGTATCGGTAGTTGTGAGGTCGGGCAAGGATGGATGTTATGTTGGTTCGTCATCCAAGCAAGCGTGGCTTCCAGCGTTTCATGCACCGACCCCGGACAAAGTCATTGACCCAACTGGTGGAGGCAATGGATTTCTCGGCGGATTGGCGATCGGTCTCGTCAGAACGGGTGATGTGGTCGAGGCATCCAAATGGGGCAACGTAGCAGCGAGCTTCATGATCGAACAGGTGGGTGTGCCGGTACTGCAAACAGAAGAAGGAAAGGAANNAAGATGGAACGGGGTGGTGGTGGAAGAAAGACTTGCAGAATACTCGTTGCGATGTATAGATGAAACAGCAGTTGGACAGTAGTGGTATTGTGTCGCTGGTCTGAAGAAGAAAAAATACAAAGATGCAGGCCCCCAAACTCCGATTTATTTCATATGGACAGCGGTTTACTCGTCGGTGGGTGCGAGGGATCGCTCGTGTTCGCGGATCTGACGGCTCCAGCTGGGTGATTGTTGTCAGTATGAGATTGACTTGCGAAGAAGCAGGCGGGATGATATGTACTATCTGCTGGNGAAGAAACGGCCCTGCTCGGGCATCTTGTAGCGGTGCTCGCGCTCGGCACTCAAGCTGAAGAAGACGCCAGCGACGAGGACGACCGAGAGGCCCATGACGGCAGTGTTGGCCTTCCAGTTCTTGGGTTGTGAGTACCAACCACCAGCGGGTGACCAGACGTGCTTGGGGTAGCTGGGAGCATGTTAGAAACAGCACGAGTCGGATGCGACAGTATATGGCAAGCGGTTGTCGGTGGTGGGGAGTCGGTTGGAAGTGGAGTGTTGGTCGGGGCTATCGAGGCCACAATGGGCGCTGCAGACGATGTTTGACGTACGGAATCTTGTCGCCGGCCATTGTGAGAAGCGGTTTACGGTGTGTTGGTCGAGGGTGGGCAACTGGGCAGCTCTCTCTGATGGTCGCGTTGATGTCGCTGCCCGGGAAGCCAAGACTCGCAGCGTGCACAGACGTTTATGCATGTTGGTTGATGTCTGGCAAAAATCTTGCCCGTCGACGACGAGGTGCCATTGCAACATCATGAAGCGCATTGCAAGCCAACACATGCGCCGCTCCCTGCTGTCGCCGCGGTCTGTCCGCCTGTTGTCGCCCGCTTCCTCGATAGCCCCCTCCCGCCGCTGTTTCGCCCTGTCGACTCGCCTCGGACAAGATGCTCCCGTGACAGCACCACCACCCACAATCGACACTCCCTCTGCCGACTCTACCGCCTCGTACACAAACGTTGGCCGCACCTCACGAAGGGCTTCTCGCGTAACCTCGCCCAAGCTCAGCGCTCTCCACGCCCGTCTCTCGCTCCCGCCGCGCTTCCCCGTCCAGTCCCTAGCACGCTGTCTAGTACATCCTTCGGCCGACCGCAACCCCCAGAAGAACAATGCCTCTCTCGCCGTCATTGGCCAAGACCTGCTCGCCTACTACACCGCCGAATGGCTGTTGTGCAACTACCCTCGCCTCCCCATGCAGGTCCTGTTCGCCGCCCAGTATGCCTACTCGGGTCCCAAAACCCTATCGGCCATGCGTGACGAATGGGGTGTAGAGTCTGTCGCTGCCCCTGGTGTAGAAGTCGATCCCGGTCTCCTGCAATTTGTTCGTCAAAAGCCCGGCAACGCCATGGCCGAAGGTGCCATGGTTCGCCTAAAGGACATGCCCGAGAACGACTCCAAGCCTGCCTCTGCCCGTCCCAACTCACTCTTCAACTACCGTCGCGGTGTCTCGTCCCGTATTGTATACGACAATCAGTTCGGCGACTTGCAAGACAACCCTGACTCCTCCTCTACCTCGTCCCAGAGCCCCGATGGCGCCGTCACTACCGAAGAAGCCTCGGCCAGCTTCATCAACGCTGTCTTCGGCGCCCTCTACCTACACGCTGGTGTCCAAGCCACACAGGCCTTCCACCAGGCTCACATCCTCTCGCGTCACATTCCCCTGCATACCCTCTTCTCTTTCACCCACCCAACTCGCGATCTCTCTCGCTTGTGCGCACGCGAGGGCTTCGAGCCGCCCGTTGCACGCCTGCTTTCCGAGACTGGTCGTCACTCCCGCAGTCCCGTTTTCGTCGTTGGCGTGTACAGTGGTAGCGACAAGCTAGGAGAAGCTGCTGGCTCAAGTCTGGACGAGGCCCGTGTGCGTGCCACTGCTGCTGCGCTTCGCTCGTGGTACCTCTACTCGCCTCCTCGCGAGAACATTGTTCTGCCCAGCCATTCCGCCACCACTCAATGGAAACCTCAAATGATCGACATTGGCGAGATTGTCACTTGAGATCGAATAATGACTTGTAAATTCTTGTACCATCAGTTATACCTGCGTCCACAGGCCAAGAGGCTGCTGGACTGCACCGCTCCCACCCGGACAGCCCTTCCGCCAGCCTTTATGCATACACGCATTGTACCCGTGGCGCCCCAAAAGAGCCGGGGAGAATTTGGACTCCCCTTGTTGTATTCTCTGCATACGGATTGGCGTCAAGGGATGGTGGGCTGTCGATTTATCAGGAGTATCTATGAATCTCCCTCCAAGATCCGAGGGGTTTCAGTGTGTAAATATACGTTTTCTTCACGAACCAAAGCCACCTAGTGTCCCTGTGATATTGCTGTACCTGCCGGTGATTCAAAACAGAATCCATATGTTTCGACATCCCCAGCATGCTGATCAATCTTGCTGCGTGATGAAGATTGAACCAAACGAATCCTTACCGAAAGCCGCAGAACGCCACAGCGCGTCCGTGAGTCATGTGTTATAACATGTCGAAGGTTGGCGATGTTGCTCTACTGGACAACGCCGAAGCCTGCTCTATAAACTTTGATACTCGAAGAGCACCATGGAGAAAGCCTTCCATCAACATCATCGTTGTTCCCATGTGTTCATCTAGTTCAGCTGATGTCCAGCTCGTCGCTTCTAGTTGCCTTGAGACCATCTTTGTAAGCTCAAGCCTGATTGACATATTAGCGACAGGACTGTACTGTAGGTGACTCATCAAAGTCACCTTCTGTGGGGTATGATTTTCAGCGGTGACCCATTCGGTTCTCTTCAGCTCCCCGGTTCGGCCAACGGAGGTTGGATGTCAGCCTATAGGGCTGATGGTCGCGTTTTTGCAGGCACCAAGAGACTGCATATGTCAATTCAAAGGCGTGAAGGATGAAAGCCTTGTCGAAACGTCGCCGACGAAGGCGTAAGATGAATGAGGATATTGGAGTCATTGCGACGCAGCTGAGCAGCATAAATAGCTCGTGGTAGGTTCATGTTTGCTTTGGTATATTCGAATCAAGTTTACCTCTGTACCATTTGGATGTACCTTGCACTGTTGCCTATTGCTGGACCATATCTATTCCTCCTCAATTCCCTCTTTGCTCCAAGAGACATTGCAATCATCCTCGAGTGCAAGTCAAACAACATCAACACACTCTATCATCTCAAGTCGACGGAACAATACAACAATCCACATCGAGCACATTCATCAGTCACCTACCACAATCACAAACATGCCATCCAACCCCTTCTCCCGCCTCACGAGCACTTCTAGCTCTTCAGATACCGCATCAATCAACACAACCTCATCCACATCATCATGGACAAAGCTACTACAAAAGAGCAACACCATCTCCACATATTCGACCATCAGCAGCACATCATCTACTGACACCAACCAACCCAAAAAGACCAAAGACACTCTATCGCCAGGGGAAAAGCAGAAGATCAAGCAAAAAGACCGTATGAGTATGCAAGCATTGGCTATGCATGCTGCACTCAAGTAGCTGATGCTTCTTGCCTCTTGTTCTCTTTCTCTCTATCCGGGGCTCGGATGGAAAGGTGATGTGCAGGGTCATGTATCTGCTGTTGGATGTGTTGCAGCGAGTATCAGGACACACTTATGATTTTGGATGGGCTGGGCAGCTATTAGTAGCATGGGGTAATGGGATTATAGGGTATACTTGCGTTATGATGGTGCTGTTAATGTGCTGTTTCTCAATCGAAATAATCTCGGATCTTGTCTCCCATCGCCACTTCCCCTGTCTCAGACCCCCATTTTCAACCACAATCTGGTTCAATGTTTACCACAATGTCTCGAGGAAGAGCATGACCACACCGGAACACAACTATTCCTTCGGCCTGAGAGAAGATTAGATAGGCAGGAGCGCACCCAGGCTTACCAAATGCAGCTAAAGAGAACGAGTCGCTCCTTCCTTCTCGCATCAGATGATCAAGAAGTGCGAGAATCGAGAGTATAAGGATATGAAAGAATGAGATGAAAGAAGAAAAGAGTCAATGCAATTCGCTCACGTAAAACATTAAAAAAAACTAAACGATTCCTCAAGCGCCGTCTCCTTTCCTTTTCCCTTTTGGTAATATCATGCTGTGTCATCCGCAAACCCGCTCCTTGTGCCCAGACCCATGAGATTGAGAAAAAGGAGAAAATGAAAAGTATCCTACCATATCGACACTTGTCGTCGATCAACCACTTCTCTCTCTGCGTGCGATGAAATAGACAATCAGGTTGCGTGCACTTTCTTGCAAGCCGTTCTTCTCCAGCATACTCCAGAACTCGCTCTTCGTATCGGCTTGGACTTCGGCGTCTGATGGCCAGCTCGTGTGCAATTGTGTTGCCAACTCGACTGACGACTTGCGCACCTCTGCGTCTTTGGAGCGTAGAGAGACGACAGCAAGACAACCGGCACGTTCACCCAAGTCCTTGGACAGAGGAGAAGCAGTGACTGTAGTCGACGCGATCAGAGCAGCCAGATTGCGGAGCGCGAGTGCCATCGCCTTGTTCTTGCGCACCATGCTCTCATCACCGTGTCTGGCCTGAATGGCAGCAACAGCGCCATCGAGTTCTTGCTCTTGCGTGTCATAATCTGCTTCTGACACACGACGCTCCAGCCATTCGATTATGGCCTTCTCGCCCTCATCAGGATGGATCTTGGCCACGACATCGCTGGCTAGGGCTTCTAAATCCTTGACCAGCAATCCGGAGCCTTCGACGTTCTTGCGTGCGTCAAGCGCTCCACTGAGAGCACGAGGGTACCAGCGTCCAGCAGCGATCCACTTTCTATACGGTGGTTGCTGCGCATTCAGCACTGTTCTCATTACACTGGTAGCCTGTCTTCTGAGCTCTTGCGAGTGTCGCACAGCAGGATTCGCTGCAGCATCCGAAGATTCAACAATGTAGTCGAGGAGAACACTGCACAAGTCATCAAAGCGTCTGCCTTCACCAACCGAGCCAAAAATCTCGCCCGACTCGGAAGATTTTATCAACTCGAGCACCTTTCTAAAGCCGTGTGCATCAAGAGTGCGACCTCGGATGCGTTCGATACCCGACATGAGCAGCTTCCTAGAGCGCAGAGTCTCGGACTTGGTTTGTGGGCTCTGCGGTGGTGAGTCCTCTGTTCTGAGCATCTCCTCACGATTGGAGCTTTCGGCAATCGAAACCTGGCTGAACTCGTTGACTGGCACCTCGCCCAACACACTGCGAGCGTCTTGCGATTGTCGCATCTTTTGTGCCTCTGACGCTTCTATGCCCTCCATGAACGGATCTTCGTGGATCTGGAAAGCTGCTTCTTCGGTCTGAGGAGCAGCAGACTCGATTTGAGCGGCCGGAGCCAAAGTAGGCACGGGAGACGCTGCAGCACTTGCGGATTTTAGAGGACTGGCTTCACGTTGAGGGCTGGGCCGGTGGCTGATTGTGATGGGTGAATCGTTTCTATCAGACGCCCGCCGTGTGTGTTGTGGCTCTGATGGTTGGGCATCCGTCACAGGATCGACGGTCGACAAATGCGAAGCACGACGCTCGAAGACTGGCATTTGAGATCTGTGTACGGTTGGCAACTCCATAGTAAAGGTGTCGTCAGCGACCACAGGTATCACGCTGTCCACAGATGCCGAGCCATTCAATGTTGGCCTGCGCAGTGTTGACTGTGGAGATGTTGGAAGGTGGCTTCTAGTTGAATTCGGCGAGGTCGGGAGATGGCTCTTGTACGAAGTCGGTACAAATGAGGCAAACTCGTCCTCCTTTGACACAGTTGGCTCTTCTGCTTTACTGTCCCTGCTCGAAGGTCGAGTTCTGTTTGCGGCCGATCTTGGCGAGAGGTAGGACTGACGGAACGGACTTGGTGCTGGACTGCCTTTGTCGGCACGGTTCTTGGTTGCTGATGTGCCGACAGTTGTATATGCAATCTCTTGTCGAGGGCTAGTGACGGGACTCTTGATGGAAGGTGTCTCCGGCCTAGCAAGTCTGCGGCTGGCATAGGGGTCTGCTGTGGCGGGACGAGTAATTTCCGGACGTCTGACAGGCCGCCTTGCAGCTCCAGACATTAATGCATTGGGTCTTGCATTGGTTGAAGTGGAGGATGAAGTCGATGCAGCTGACGGAACACGAGCAGAAGCGGGCGGTACAGCAGATGGCTGGCGAGCAGAAAGATTGTTTGACGACTTTGATCTGACAGTGGTAGGCGAGACGCTGGCCATTGCAGAGTTTGGACGGCTCTCGGCCTGAGCCTTCTTACGCGCTGCCATGATGGCATCTCTGACTGAAGACTTCGAAGCTGCACCTGCTCTACTCACGGTAGAGGTGCGAAGAGTCGAAGCACTGGAAGTTGACGCGCCTGGATTGAGCGAGTGTTTCTCAAGAGCAAGTTTTGCCTTGGGGTCGAGGGTATTCATGATAAGCTCGGCTCTGTTAGACCAAACTCTGGCCAAGGCCCAGTATGTAGCTCTCATGGCCTCCTTGACCTTGGGCTGAGAGTCGTTCAGACCATGTTTCACGCACTTTTCGGCAAGCTCGAGGCCTCCAGTGCTCTCGAAGTGGGATTTTGCGCCAGCTTGTCTGCTGAGAATAGTGCGGAGCCAGCCAGCAGCAAATGTTCTCGGTTGAACGTTCTTGTCCTGACAGGCGACCCAGATGTGTTGCATGGTACGGATGTTGTACGAGACGTATTGATAAATGGTGTCAACCGTCTGATTGCCGTTTTGGGCGGCAATGTTCTTTGTAGCTGCACACATCTTTACAAATGTCTGCAGATAGATCTCGACCATGGGATCAAGGGCTGGGCCCAGAGTCCTGGCCAATTCTTGGACCATGTAACATCCATTACTAGAAGTTGTTGTTCTCAAAGAAGAGGCGACTTTGATGATGCCGGCTTGCATCTGTTTCATGGACGACATGAAGAAATTGTGGTAATCAGTGGGAGCATTTCCCTTCAACAATCGTCTCATCTTGGTAACACCCTTGTCGCGATTGCCCCAATTCTCTTCGCTCTCCCTACCCTCAAAGTGGGGAAGCATATCACTGAACATGTCCTCGAGTTCTCTTTGCGAATGGACGAAGATGGGATCCATTGGAATCTCCTCGGATGGGGGTGGGCGAGCGGCCTCGCTGTTGATGCTCTCGGCGAGATGGGGATCGAGGGCAGGGAGGGAACGGGTGGATTGCGACATGTCTACTGCGGGCGCCGATGCTTTGTCTGAATCGATTTGCGTGAGGATCTGAGAGGCGATGCCGGTGCGCACACCATGCAGGTTCAATTGTTTCTTTAGATCGGCCTTCGCGCGGTCTGGAGCGTTTCTACAAGCAGAGGGTCAGACAAGCGGGCGCATTGCGATGGATGCGACATACCGGAAAAGATCAACTAAAGCACTCTTTGCCGAGTCGCGGACTGCACCGTCGTGGTCTTCGAGGTTTGCGACCATCAGAGGCACGAAGCTCTTGAAAGGCAGGGCTTCATCGTGGTTCATGCGCACAACCCAGTGCATGGCTGTGTCCTTTGCGCGCACGTTTGCGCCAGGGATGACTTCGTCGCGGATAATGTGTTCGACGTCCTGAGGGCAAAAATGCCAGGCATCGGCGAAGGCTTGCGAGGCAGCATTGCGATGGTTCTCACGAAGGTCGCCTAGTCTTTCCTGCAAGGCGACAAAGAGTTTGGGAGCGTGTTGGACAATGGCAGAGCCATCGGGGTCCTGGATCTTCAGCCGCTTAATAAGATGACCCAGCGTGGTGAATGCAGCAGTGGCGAGGGTGCTCGAGGCCTGCTGAGTCAGGGCGACTCGGAGACACTCGAAAATGACGGGCTGGGCGCTGTCGGGCACTCGGTGGTGCTTGATGTCAGACTTGAGATTGTTCAGCTGCGTGAGCTTCGCGTCCGAGGCAGCCGATGAGCGTTTGAGCGTCGTCAGCAGAGTCTGCGCCTGCTGGTCCATGGCGGAGCAAGGCCGAGATCGCGAGAGAGTCGAGTGTCGGGCGTCGAGGTCAGTTGGCGCAAAAGGGATGAGGAAACAAGACGAAAACCTTGGGCCAAAAGATGAAGGCTTGCCGGGCTTGGGCGTGTTGATGTCTCCCCGCTTCGTAAACAACTCCGACCAGCTGAACCTTGTACATGCTCCCTCTGCTTTAGCCGCCGTGCGCGACAAGTACCAGCGTATCTATCCTTACAGAACCTTGCCTGTTGTATGTCCTTGTACTTGAGACCTGTTTACTATCTTTGCAACCAGACTCACTTGCTCCTCGACAAATTGGAGAGCCCTGTAGAAATGTCAATTCTGACGCAACTTTTGGTCGGTGCGGAAACGGCTTCCGACCTTATCGGCCTTATCGCCCCGGCGAAGCTTTGTGCTGCAAAACACGTGGAACACAACTATGCAAACACCATTCGAATAAACAACTATCCACCTATGTACAAACACAACCACTACTATCTATGTGAAGATGATACCACCGTCAACAACCTGGCATTGCCCTGTAATGTAATCACTGTCCGGCCCAGCAAGGAACGACACCAGCTTGGCCACGTCTTCGGGCACACTGACTCGACCCAGCGCGATCAACTCATCAGTATACTTCTTGATCGTCTCACCCTTCTTGATTATCTGACCTAGATCATTGCCACGCTTCTTGCCAAGCTCCTCGTCTATAAGATCCCACATCGCCGTTCCAACAATGCCTGGTGCATAAGAGTTGACCGTGATGTGATGCTCGGCCATTTCCATTGCCTTAAGGTGAAGGTACAATTAGCATGGTTCGTATGTTTGAGTATGGAACAACTAGCAGTCCAAATCCCATCTGATGGGTTCTGGTGTGTGCTATTTGTACCTTTGCCTTACTTACATAGGCTTGGGTTAGACCTCTAACGGCCCATTTGGATGCCGAGTAATGTGAGAGGAGAGCAAATGGCTTGAAGGCGACAATCGATGCTGCAGCCAGCAGCTTGCATGGTGCGTCCGCAGTGGCATTACCCTGCGAGATGATCTGTCGGGCTGCAGCGCTGTAGCAGTTTTGAACGCCAAAGACGTTGATTCTGAACATGCGCTCAAAGTCTTCGGTCGTTAGGTCTAGCAACGGCTTGACCTGAGCGATTCCAGCATTGGCAATCCTGCAAAATAGATGTCAGTCATCAATCCTATCAGTGGAATCTGCATCGAGAAAAACCATGCGAGAAACAGGAGCGAGAAGAAAGATGTAAGCGTTGTGCATGTGCATTGTGCCCACATCGTTGCATAGAAATCCGAAGCTTGGCAAGCCGAAAACCAAAATCGTCATCAGTCACTCTGACCAGTCAGTCGAAGCACCAAAACAGATGCACACAAGCAAAAGAACAGCTCTCCCGGACAGGCTTGAACTGTCAACCTCTCGATAGCCAGATCAATGAAGATCTTAACAGTCGAACGCGCTAGCCAATTGCGCCACGGAAGATGTGAAAGCTGAGCTTCCTGTGGCTGTTGGGATGCGGATTTGCGGGTCTGGGGTCAATATATAACTTGACGATCTTGCGCCGAGGGATTGTCAGAGCACAGGACAGTTCATGCCTTGTCCAAGAGTGCCCTCCTTTACTCATGCACATCTGTCGTGGTGTTTCAACCGTTTCGAGCTCAGATCAGACTTGGTGAGCTGAGTGTGATCCTAGCGAGCCTGAAGTGCCATGCAAGGACAGATGCATGTGTCAGAGTCAAGCAATAACCGGAGGCTTGTGCAATCTTCAAAAAAAAAAAAAAAAAGCCCTTGCTCTTTCATGCTACGCAGCTGGGCAGAGTGGCCTGGTAAAGGCGAAAGAGAGAGAGAAAGCGACCAATAACTCGACTCACATTGTGTTCAAGGGGCCAAGCTCTTTGACCGACTTTTGTATAACAGACTCAACCTGTGAGAGATCTGAGACATCGCCAACAGCACCTACAGCATTGACGCCTGCTGCTTTGACTTGACTGACGACGTCGTCAATGCCCTGCTTGTTGGCCTCGACGTCGTTGATGCATAGATTGTAGCCGTCCTGAGCCAGACGTAGAGCGATGGCCTTGCCGCTGCCACAAACATCAGCATTGAATAGTAGGTCGACTGGTGTGAGAAGGAATTACATTCCACGACTCGCGCCAGTGACAATGGCTGTTCTCTTGTCCTCTCTTTGTAGAGTACTAGCAAAAGTCCTAGCCTGGGACGGACTGAACGAAGTTCTGACCGAGGTGGCGGTGTGCCAGACAGCTCTGTTGCTGAGTCTCGCGACCATGATGGATTATGCAAACAGAACGACAGGACTACGGATGTGTTTCGACAAGTATAGGCCAGAGGCAGATGATATTTTGAGAGTCAGTATAGCAAGATGGAGGCAGGAAAGTCAAAGCAGGACAGGTGTTGAAGAAATGGGTTTACGGAGAGATGGATGAGGTACAGCTGAACAACCCCTCTCGTAGAGGTAGTTGAGGATTTACAAGGCTCATGGACGGAATTGTTCCTTTCCGGGATACTGATCTGGGATGAAGGATCCAAAATGCAAGCCCCGCAGCTTGGCCGGTATAGAGGGCATGCGGAGCTGCGGTAGGCAGACGATGAGCCGATTGAGGGTTCGTCGCTCGTGGTGTGCTTGCCCGAAGGACGAGAGAGAGAGATGAGAAAGAGAGAAGTCATGCGGGGTAGAGTAGCACCTGTGTGGCCGGCTAAGGAGCATGAGCATCAAAAAGGAGAAGGTCGAGCGAGCCATCTGATTAGATGGGCCTGACAACCAAGTCGCGCGCTTTGTTTGTGTTCCTGACCATCATCACCAAAAAAAAAAATGTCGCGCATGGGAGCGCCGGCGAGCAGTCGCAACCTGAGCCTGACAGAAGAGCTCGAAAGACTTGAACAGTCAATTACCTTGACACTGCAAGGCACGTTGATCTGGTCGCGCGACCAAACAGGGCAGCGTTAACCAGAGCAACANGAAATCGACCACAACTTCAGCAAGGCTCATCGTATTGTAACGTCAAGCATCCTGCCCGTTGTCGACCAATACGCCCAACACTCTCGCGATGTCTGGGAAGGCTCTCGCTTCTGGAAGCAGTTCTTCGAGGCATCGGCCAATGTCTCCTTGTCTGGCTACCAGGAGGGCGCGCTAGAAGAGGATGCGAGCCACAACGACACAACTGCTCAGGAAACTCCCTACGACGAGCCCTCTGTCGACGACATCGCCGACAGGACTGTGACACCCACCGATCACGACTACGCCCACGACCACGATGACGACACGTCCATCATCGATTCTCCCTCCAACACGACGGGCGTCCACAGCACACCGCAGATCAAGACCAAGCAAAAGCACTTTGCTTCCCCTTCGCCCATCAAGCCCTCGTCAGACCAGATCAGCACCCCCATGCGCGACACGCTGAACTTCCAGTCGTCTCCATTCGAGCCTCCGTCAGCCTACCAACCCTCGACTGCCCAGCGCCAACAGAACCCCGATCCTCTGATGCACCGTATCATGGACCGCAACTTCCGTATTCAAGCTACACCCCACACTGCTCGTAAACAGGCGCGTCCCGTAGCTACTGAAACCCCTGAAACCGCCCACCAGAACCAAACACAAACACGTACTCGCAACTTGTTTGCCGACAGCAGTCCCATGAGCAGTCCTGAGATGGCCGCCCCTCAACTCCGCTCCGATCTGTTTTCTCCTCAAAAGTCTCCAAGAAAGACATTCCAAGTTCCACACACTCCCGGCGTCTCTGTTCAGACCCCCGGACGTGATCTCATGACGAGCACCGGCCGTGTCTTGTTCACCGATACCAAGGACAAAACTACGCGTACCCTCTGGGACCAAGAATCTGATAGCGACGATGACTTTAGTATCAGTCCTCCCAAGACTATGCAGTTCCACGTTCCCCAGTCTCGCCTTATGCAGACCCCAGCACGAGAGGCCAGCAGGATCATTGTTGATGATCTATTAGCTACAGCTGGCGCCGATCGTACTGAGTCTATCGAGGATGATAGTGTCCCCGACATCAGCCCCAGTCTGGTCAGACGGAAGTGGGATGACGATGACACTTTCTGAACACCACTATTTTAATTATTGATCAATATTCAGATGTGTTACTTCAGTTTACTGCTAGAGTCGTGTCAAACACCGCCTGACTACAGTTCCCTTGTTCCCTATCCCAAAATCATAACCTTTCATCCAATACGCCATGCAAACATAATCTCATCAAACCAAACGTCTTGTTCTTTGTTCTCTTGATTAGAAGAAGAGCAACTCATCATCGCGCCACCCTTGGTGTAGCAACGCGGCATGACAACTTTTCTCGAGTGCTTCAGGTCCACAGATCAACACCAGAGCTTGCTCGGTCGAATCGAGCTTGAGTGCTTCTTTACTGGCATGTTCAGCAAGTAGCGGCGCGGCGATACGCCCTCTCAGACCATCCCAGTGGTCTGGTGCTTGAGTGAGCGTGTACAGAAGCTTTGCTTTGTGCTCGTTGTCCTTGGCATAGCTGTCTAGCTCGCCCTTGCACAGGATGTCTTCGACAAGGCGATTGCCATCTAGCAATGTGCACTTGGTCTTGTCGCCAGCATCCTGCATCACTGCACGGAATACCTGGTAGATTGGCGTGACACCCGATCCACCGCAGATCATGACAAATTGTGAGATGCGTCGTTCAATGCCGTTGATGGCACATAGACCTTGGCTCAGATATTGGAACTTGCCAATTGGGCCTTTGAAGTCGACAAAGTGACCGATGGGTAAAGAGTCCAGAGCTTGCGACATCTTTCCTCCCTCTTGCGTGCCGTTCTTGAAATACACCTTGATCAGAATGTCAATGAAGCCCTTTTCGGCTGTTTCTGAGATTGGTGTATAAGAGCGGATTATAGCCTCACGCGTGACGGGGTCGCGCAAACGCATCATGAGGTGCTGGCCAGTAGGGAGACCAAGTGCTTGATCCTCAGTTTCGAGCTTGAATCTGAAGATACGACTGTCCCAGGAGACCGTGGTCTTTGATTGTAGGATAGCCTTCTTCCATGTACGTGGATGCAAGAAAGTTGCCGAAGGTGTCGCGTTTTCGTCGGGCTGCACTTCTTCGCCGCTCAATGCTCGCTTGCCTTCCTCGTCCAGCGTACCGATGTGATAAGTTGGCATCATAGCTTTGGCAGTCTCACTGTGGATGGCCATGAATTCGTCGGTACTGTCCAGTCCAGCTGCCGAGACGATGCTTTGGGCACCTCCAGGATGACCTTCCATAAATGCTGTGCCATCATACACTTCTCCATTCACGACGAACCACGGTTGCTGTTCAGTGTCGTGTTTGCGCAGATCGTCGATCGTAATCTTCTTGTCAACTCCATCTCTGGTCATTTTGACGTCTTCTGCTGCCTCTGTAACCGGCTCCGGTGCTTCTGAGCTCCCAAGCTGTTCGCCCCAATAGCCATTGGCAAGATTTCCTCCTAACTTCTTCACCCGTTCCATCCAGCCGCCCGGCATTAGAGCTGGTTGCGTGGGATGCTCAAAGCGCAGATAATCGTTTTCTCGGTGGATGGCAATTCGGTACCAAGGGTTATTCATCATGCCCAGAACACTCCAGTACATGTCGCGAGGCTGGACGTTCATGCTCTCATCCATGGCTCGACATATGATATCTTTGGCGTCCTTCAAGTCGTCGACCGAGATGTCGATGTTCCAGAATGCCCAGGAGAAGCAGCTTTCTCTCCATTCCATGTTCAATCTGCCGCCGTAGAGGTCAACAGGGCCTGCTTCTCGATATCTGTCTTCGGCATAGTCGACATTGGCAAGACGCCAGCTCTTGCCTTTGTCTAGGGTGACTTCAACACGGGTGACACGTCGACCACCACCACCATAGGCGTATCCTTTGACACGGTAGTTCTGTGGTGCACCGACAATACACAATTGTTCTTCGTGGACTGGATGTGCCATTGCGGAGTTGGTTGACAAGTCGTAGATGGCATATCTCTCGTCCATCCACCAGTTCTTGTCATTCGCCGATTCCTCAGGGGAGACGGTCGTTGGCAGAACCCGATTGTCGTAGATGTGGTACCAGTTGTCGCTCGGCTTGTCGGTGATGATGAGTCTCTTGAGCCACTTGACGCTACGACCTCCTATTTGACCCGGAATGATAGCTCGCAGAGGTTTGCCGTGATCTGGTGTCAACATCTCGCCGTTCATCTTGTAGGCCAGCATCATGCCCCTGTTGGGATCCAACGCCCAATTGAGCTTGACCGAGGTGCCGTAGTATCCATTGGNGCTGTCTTGATCAGTACATGTATCGTTCGGACATTAGAGCTCCTGGCTTACCAGCTTGTCAGCACCTTCCATACATACGTATCTTGCTCCTCTCTTCAACCCAGCCTTCTTCAGAATCTCATGCATCATCACACCAGTCCACAGAGCATTGGACACACCAGCAGCACCCCACGAAAACCCCTTGGTCTTACGGACAACGTTCTGTTCTTTCCGTCTGTTGCCAGCGCAGACGAGTGTCACAGGACATGTAATCTGGTCGTATTCTCGGACAAGGTCTTTGAACTTGATTGTGAGTGGCTTTTCGACAANGTCTAGCACTTCTTAGTCTCGCAATTTCTGAACCATGAACAACGAGCCTTACCCTTCTACTGTAAACTCCCAGTCTGGGATATCTTCATCGTTGACCTGAGGCACAGGACCATGGTTTCTTACATAGAACAGTTCGGGACTTGTCAACCATCCTTCGTTGTAAAGATCCGTAAGAGGAGCTTCGCAATTGAATGGATGTGCTCCAGTTAACCGAATAAGTCTAGAATCTCGTGGTAGCCATCCGTCAGGTGTCTTGTGGTCTAATGGGTTGATCTCTGTCGGTGGGTGTGATGGTGGAGGCAGAGGAAAATCTGTCGAATCTGTTTTGCTGGTCGACTTCTCTGTGTCGCTTAGATCCGAGTCCGGTGGTGTAGGGGNGAAGTCTGCAGACACTCGTCGCAGATGTACTCGCTCTTCATAAGTGGCTTGTACGATGGTCATCTTGAGAGACTGATTCTGCAAAACAAAAAATCCTTGTCAAAGCTCAAGGGGACAAGAAGAAGAGACAGAAGATGTTGTAAGTATGGATTGGACTTGGATTTGATTGTGCAATAAGGACCGATTTACGAGACGAGAATAAACTCAGATGCCCCGGAGAAAGGCTGACCACAAAAATATCTACACTTTGAACGCCCACATAGGGCAGAGGCTTCACATTCGTCATACCGGCATGTCTAGACATATCTGTGGGCGGAGAAGCAGAACAGGGAGCCTCATCAGATTGCGATAGACGAATCACCGCGGAATTAGAGCATACCTGCGACAGGAAGCAGGGAAACACCGCTGTCAGCGTCTCTGTGGGACGTGGAGTGGTTGAGAACGAGCAGAGATAAGGTCGTCTCTTTCTGGAATAGCGTCAGAAGCGAGAGCCAACATGCTACTCAGTTCGATGCACCCGTTCTCGAGATGAGAGTCTCCAGTACAAGCACTTGCCTCTACCGTGATTACATATGAGGCTCGAAGAGATACAGAGAGAACCAATGGTCCGCCATCAGCTTATCAGCGGTATATAGTTGAGCAGGTGAAGTCGAGAAAAGACTCTGCGCTTAAGGACTACTTGGTTAATCGTCCTGCCGTGATTGGCTGTACAAAGTCTTGTCAGGGTTTTTGCTTCTTTGCCGAGAAAATCCCATTATCGTCCTTATCAATGCTGCTCCACCTTGGTGCGGCTCCATGTCGACGCACCCGATTGCGCCCTCGACGATCTCTTCCGAGGAGAAAGAAGCTGATGTCCCTGTGCAGATGTGTTTTGTTTGGTAATTTGGAGTGCCGTGTATGGCCATGCCGCACAAACGCTGACCATGGTGTTACTTCTCCGGCCGCCGCGGCAGACGTTTATGCCATGGCATTTGCTAGGCTTGCATGAGCCTCAGTTGGTGGGCAGGTCAGATAGCATGCTGATAGATAGCTCGGTATGGCAAGGCAAGTCCATAAACACCGTGTCTTCCCTCTCTAACTCTAGCTTCTTTTATCTTGCTATACCTTTATTGTTGCCGTAACCCATTCTACGCAGCATCCGCTGTGCTTACACTAATACTCTTCTACTCCTGTTTGTTGATTTATATCACACCACATAGCAACATGAGTAACAGTGAGTGGAACGATGCCGAGGCAAATGTCCTCCCCGAGAAGATTGAGAAGATGGAGCAGAACGGCGAGCTTCCCAAGGATACAAAGAGAAAGCGAATTGTGGTAGTTGGACTGGGTATGGTCGGTGTTGCATTCATGTAAGTGTCGAGATCTCGAAGCTCAGAGGCCTGGACTGACCTTCTGCTTATAGANGAGAAACTCATGAAATTCGACGTAAAACGACGAGAGTACGATATCATCGTCATTGGAGAAGAAGCACATCTTGCGTACAACAGAGTTGGCTTGACCAGCTTCTTCCAACACCGACTGGTCGAAAACCTCTACCTGAACCCGGAAGAATGGTACTCATCAATGCCCGAGGGTTCATTGAACTACCACCTCAACACCAAAGTCACATCGATCAACCCGGAAGAAAAGAAGGTTGAAACATCACAAGGCACAACAGTGCCATACGACATCCTAGTTCTCGCAACTGGCTCCGATGCAGTGTTACCTCGCCACACTCCTGGACACGATGCCAAAGGCGTATTCGTATACCGCACGATCGAAGACTTGGAGAAGCTCATCGCATACTCCGCCACGAAAAATGGATCTGTCGGTGCTGTAGTTGGTGGTGGTCTACTCGGCCTTGAAGCCGCAAAAGCTATGATGGACCTCGAGGAGTTCAGCAAAGTCAAGCTCATTGAGAGGAACCGCTGGGTGCTGAGTAGGCAGCTCGACGGCGACGCTGGTGGCATGGTCGTCGAACAGGTTCGAGCTTTGGGCTTGGATGTGCTTCTCAGCAAAAGAGTCGGAAAGATCAACGTCGATGGTGACAACAGTGTCACTGGTGTGACCTTCGAGGACGGCGAACAAATGGACTGCACATGTATCTGCTTCGCCATCGGAATCAAGGCTCGTGACGAGCTTGCCCGTGCAGCTGGCATCAAATGTGCAGACAGAGGTGGTGGCATTGTCATCAACAACGACCTTTCGACGTCAACGCCGGACATTTACGCCATTGGAGAATGCGCCAGCTGGGAAAGCCAAACCTTTGGTCTGATCGCGCCTGGCGTTGAGATGGCCGATGTTCTTGCCTTCAACCTCACGCAAGCCAAGGCTCATGCTCCTCGACAATTCAAGCGACCAGACCTGAGTACCAAACTGAAGTTGCTCGGAGTCGAAGTTGCTAGTTTCGGTGACTTCTTCGCTGACCGTGATGGCCCGCAAACGCTCCCTGCCAGGCGTGGTGCTGGGAAGAAGGAAGGAACCACCGACCAAAAAGACCAGGTCAAGAAGCTCACTGACGGCCCCGCACCACCTCCTGTCAAAGCCCTGACCTACAAAGATCCATTCAACCAAGTCTACAAGAAATATCTCTTCACAACAGACGGAAAGTACTTGCTCGGCGGTATGATGATTGGAGACACCAAAGACTATGTCAAGTTGGTCCCTATGGTCAAGAACCAGAAGCCTCTCGAGGTTCCTCCTAGCGAGTTCATCATCGGTGCAAGCAAGGGTGACGATGATGCTGATGATCTCGCCGACGATACACAGATCTGCTCGTGTCACAACGTGCTGAAGGGAGATGTTACCAGAGCAGTCAAAGACGGGACCTGCAAATCCATCGGCGACGTCAAGGCATGCACCAAGGCCGGCTCTGGCTGCGGTGGCTGTATGCCCTTGGTACAGACCATCTTCAACAAGACCATGGCTGCCATGGGCAACGAAGTCAAGAATCATCTCTGCCCTCACTTCGAGTACTCGCGTGCCGATCTCTTCAACATCATCTACGTCAAACAACTCAAGACCTTCGAAGAGATTATGAAGCAGTGTGGAAAAGACCCTGAGTCACTGGGTTGCGAAGCTTGTAAACCGACTATCGGATCCATCACTGCTTCTCTCTTCAACAGGCACATTCTTGAGAAGGATGTTCGTGGTCTTCAAGACACCAACGATCGCTTCTTGGCAAACATCCAGCGCAACGGTACATTCTCTGTTGTTCCTCGTGTGTCAGGAGGCGAGATTACTGCTGATAAGCTCATCATCATCGGCACCGTCGCCAAGAAGTTCAACTTGTACTGTAAGATTACTGGAGGTCAGCGAATTGACATGTTCGGTGCCCGCAAGCAGGATCTACCGGCAATTTGGCAAGAGCTAATCGACGGTGGCATGGAGTCGGGACACGCCTACGCCAAGTCGCTGCGCACTGTAAAGTCTTGTGTAGGAACCACATGGTGTCGCTACGGCATCGGTGACTCTGTCGGTATGGCTGTCCGTCTCGAAGAGCGCTACAAGTCCATCCGTGGACCTCATAAGATCAAGGGTGGTGTCAGTGGCTGCGTACGTGAATGTGCAGAGGCACAGAACAAAGATTTCGGTCTCATCGCCACGGAGAAGGGCTTCAACATCTTTGTTGGTGGCAACGGTGGTGCAAAGCCCAGACACAGCGAGCTTCTGGCCAAGGATGTGCCTCCGGATGATGTTGTTCCCATCCTTGACCGCTACCTCTCGTTCTACATTCGAACTGCCGACAAGCTGCAAAGAACAGCTCGTTGGATTGAGAACCTGCCTGGAGGTATCAAGTATCTGCAGGAAGTCATCCTCGAAGACAAGCTCGGCATCTGTGCCGACCTAGAACAACAGATGGAGCAGCTTGTAGGCTCGTTCTTCTGCGAATGGACAGAAGTGCTCAAGTCACCTGAGCGTATGAAGCACTTCAACCAGTTCGCCAACACTGACGAAGCAGTGCAAACTGTTGAAGAGGTCAAGGAGCGCGACCAACATCGCCCAACGTACTGGCCCAAAGACTCCATCACAACCGACTTCCGTGGTACAAAGTGGACCGACTTGTCGTGGCAACCTCTTGCGCGCTCCGATCAGTTCCAAGACACCGCAACAGGAAGCTCATTGGCTGTCAAGCGTGGCGACACACAATTGGCCATCTTCAAGGTCAAGGGTCAATACTACGCCACACAGCAAATGTGTCCTCACAAGCGCGCATTCGTACTCAGTGACGGTCTCATTGGAGATGACATGAAGACGAACAAACTGTGGGTCAGCTGTCCTTACCACAAGCGAAACTACGAACTCAAGGGCGACGACGCCGGCAAGTGTGGCAACGACGAGAGCGTCAACATCGCTACCTTCCCGGTCGAGGCTCGTGAGGACGGAAACGTCTACGTCAAGCTGCCTCCTATCGAGGAGCTTGACTCGGTGTTGGGAACTAGCAACTTCATCGTCAAGAAAGACAACGAGGAGCAGCCTTTCGAGAAACTTGACAAGAAGATCCTCAAGGGCCAGAAGGGCAAGTTTGTCAGCCACTTGGAAAATGGCATGGGTATGAAGGTAAAGGCAAATGCCATCCTCGCTGGTGGTGAGAGAAGTGGTGGTATGGACTGGTAAGCAGTCTGCTTGTCTGAGATGATTTGATGAATCGAGCATTAAATGGTGTTTGGGAACGGATTGGGCACTGCAAGATATCACCTTTGTATAGTTTCATCTTTTACGTATATGACCAATTTCTAGATTTAAAAAACTCAATATTGCTCCCAAGCATGTTTGCTCGACATGTTCGTGACAAAATCTTAGTGCTGGACCCCGCGACAAAGTTTTCCCCTACTACGTGATAAACGACAGCACTGTCTTAACGACCTCGCTTGCTTTCCCTTGTTATTACTTTCTCTGGTCTACCTCTTGATCGTTCCATGTCTCTTGTGCGCGAGATGGAGCTCTACACACAAGATGTCATGCATCTCGAGCAAGGAGCAGGGTGATACCCTCAACCACCATTATTGTCAAATACAAAAAATGCAAACGACACCGTTCTGTAATATCATTGAGCGCAGGCAAATGTCTCCTTTAGCACAAAAGACCACCCGAAAGGACAGGCCGAGGCAGATTCGTGTCACCTTGGTGCGATGAGCGCAATAGGCAAGAGCGGCTGCAAGGGACACTCCACTGTAGAAATATGAGCAGATAGCTAAAGATGCACCGAGGTAATCATCAATGTATAGTATAGCTAGAAGTTGCACAACTCATGATCACGTCTTCATGTGTTTACAGATGAATGGACAAGATAGGTATAAAAATGCGACTTTTGGTCAGGGAGCCGAGTGGTTGGTATATAGAGCTGGCATAAACGATAAATCAAAATCAAGGCTAAGTCTTCGAACAGGGGTATTTTCTTTTGGAAAAGAGGCTGGAACAGCAGGACAGTGCAATGAAAAACAAAACGATGAAAAGCGGCAGAGATGAGGAAGAGGAGGGAGATGAAACATAGCTGGATGTATGTAGCAATGTACTCTCAAAATGCCGGTAAAGATAAAAAGCAAAATAAGGGAACGTCAGGCGGTCGGATATCATTGCGTGAAAAACAAGAAGCAAGAAGAGAACAGAAACTCCGGGGCAAAAAGAACTCCCTTTCTCCCTGGATCGGAAAGACATACATGGTCTGTAGAATCAAATCAAAATCATTGCGGAGGCCCTATGGGAGCCGGGTATCCAGAAGCAGGTGCAGTAGCAGCAGCAGAACTCGAAGGACGCGAGCCAACCGGGCCATGTGTAGATGACGATGATGATGCGGACATGTTGCCGCTGTTAGCATTGACAATCTCGACAGAAATCGAGGCTGACCGGTTGGCGTTGGTATGGTAGTGGGCGTTGTTGGAGGCGACGTCGCCGCCTAGCCCGGGTATCAAAGTGGTGTTAAGCGAAGACGTAGAGCCGTTACGCCCGGCGCCAAAAGGAAATTTGCTTTCATAAGGTGTCGACGAAGTAAGCGATGCCGACGAAGTGGCTGGTCGGCTGCCTGCCGCAGCCAGAGTTGCCCATCCGCCGTTTGTCTGAGTGCTGGCGCTGTCAGGTTCGGCGTCAGGGCCATTGTCGTTCCAAGGATTGCGATAGCCCGATTCTCGCGATTCCATGCTTTGCAGCGAGGCCTTGGAAGCATTGTTCGAAGCATGCTTGAACAACGAGGATGCTGGAGAGTTTGAACTGTTCTTACGTCTCTCAAGGAAAGACGAGAAGGACGACATGCTACCCGGTTTCCTAAGTCTATCGAAGATCGATCGATGACCTTCACTACTTTCTCCACTGCCAAAGTGAGTACGAGTAGGTGACTCTGCCACAACAGGTGGCTCCGCACGCTGCAGAAGCTTGGAGTCAAAGTATGGCATCGAGTCCTCGAAAGAGTCAGACTTTGGTCGAGGGATAGCACCCTTCACGGTGCTCGCGCTCAACCCATGGGAGACCAAGCCGAGGACCAGGAAGTCAATAGCATCCTTCAATCCACCAGCGTTGTTACGCGTGTAGGTGAGAAGGAGATTCTCAACTTCAATGTCTTCGTCACCAATCCTTTCGTGCTTTGGTGCTTGAACAATGACTTCAACAACGTACTGGTCCTTGAGCTTTTGCAGGACATCATCGTGGAACTCTGCAGACATGAGGAAATTGCGAAGTTCGACCGTGCTCGGGAATGAGATATCATGGCTCTCGGGAACCATACCCAGGAACTCGTCCACAGCTTGAGGTACTTGGTACTCAGGCCCGGAAACGGTAATAACATCGCTTGCTTGTTCGGTTCCAGGGAAGGTGATCTTGCAGTTCCACTTCTTCTCGAGCTCCTCAATCTCTGGCATGCGGGCGACCAACTCACGATGGTAAAGTCTGTCGACGACAACTTGTTCGGAAACGTATTCAGCGTCGACTTTCTCGACCATGTCCATGATCTCCTGCTTGACGAGCTCAAGATTGTCGGCGTTTCTTGCAGGGGTACGACAGATGACATTATCGACCTTGACATCGTCATCATCCTTGCCAATACCACCTCGGTCCATAGCGTTCGAAAACTTGACGAATACCGAGTATTTCTTCATGATACGTTGAATGTGTTGACCGCCGATGCCAATGATGCGCTTGTGATATTGATCCGGAACGTGGAAGGAGATGGAAGCGGGCATCTCCAGCTCGACCAGATCGAGGCCGTTTTTAGTAGCTTCATACTGTGCACCGCGCACGTCAATGTAGAAGTTGTATTCGTTAAAGCCGTCGAAGACGATCTGGACGTTGCTCTGGCTCATAATCTTGTTGATTTTGCCATTCTTCTTTCCGCTCACAAACTCTTTGTGTTCGTTGGCAAGCTCAACCTTGACCCGCAGAGTCGAGTTGGCCTTCTTGACAAAGGGCAGCGAGTTGATGATGGTCATGGCGGCTTTGACAGAATCGTCACTTCCATTGATGTGGAAGTTGAGCTTTTCAAAGTTGATCTCGGCGCCAGAATTGATACAGATGTCGGGCAGCATGGCGCGAATGTCGGAAGGTGTCGGCTGCCTTTGCATCGGGTCTAATTGAGTCAACCACCATGAAGCACTATAGAACTGACCAGCCAAAGACATGATATCGCGCACGGTGCGCTCGACATTCAGAATGTCAGTCGCTTGCACGCGCAAGAGACCACTGTGATTGCCCAGGGGAGGCAGAAGGACATAGGAGCCGTTCTGTTCAACGATTTTGCGGATCTTGTCCAAACGCTCGAGCAAGATGTAGTCAACCTTGCTGGTTGTAATGGCCACATCCTTGACGAAAGTTTTTGTTGTCAAAACCAGGTCTTGAAGACGTCTTTTGGCTTGCATGATGTTCTCTTGACTCTCGCCTGTGATGATGATCTCGTCTCTGGCGCGTGGATACGAACCAGCAGGGCTGTACCCGAAGATGCCAGGAAATAGCGGAGGGAAGTAGATGGCAGTACCGGTAGCTGATTCGATGAGNNGCTTGATGTTGCGGCGATGTCGGCCGCAGATGAGGGTATGGAGAGAAAGCTCAAGCTTGATCGTGTCGACCTGTCGCATGAGNNCTGCACTGGCTGTCAGCACGAAGATAAGACAAGGAGGAATAAGGTCTGATGGACGTACAATTTGGTCGATCATGATCAAGATCCTAGTCTTTGCATGCTCGCAGCATTCCATGTCACCAAAAATCATGAGACGCAACCTGTTCTCGACGAGGCTGTCTATGGTGCCGTGGATGCTGGCCGAGTCAACGTCCATGGGACGAGGGTTGAGCAAGAAAATGTCGGCTTTGGTGCGGTCCGAGATGTCGTCCATGTGTCTCAGAATGTCTGTACGCACGCCCTCGGTGCCGGGTACCATGATGAGCGTTGAGTCGACATCGACGGTAGCGGAGCGCTGTCTCGAGTCAGCGGGGTGCTTTGTTTAGCACGTCGTGCTGGTAATGCACCTACCAANGGTGATGGGGGTCTCATTCAAAATCTTTGCTCGCATCTTGTATACGAGGTCCGAGTCGCCAGAAAGGCAAACGTTTGTGACGAGAGTGTTCAGGGGACCTCGCTGCATGCCGGGCACGGGCTTGGGCCTGGCCGAGGTGACGGTGGCCTGGATCTGGGCATTGCTGGCTTCGGTGATGACCTTGCACAAGGATCGTAGGTTGTCGACGTTGCGGGAGTGGACAGGGAGCTCGTGGTTCGGCGGCGGAGAATCGGGATTGTTCGGCTGAGGGTGCGTCCAGCGCGCGTAAGCTCCAGGGCTGGCGTATATGACCGAGTCCGGGTCGGGGCCGTTGAGGTTGGAAGCGAAGGGGATGTTGAAGGAGAGGTTGACAAGATGGCCGGGGACCTGTGGATTCGGCTGCATCTGATGCGGCGTGGCCATGTTCCGCTTTATGTTGGTCGGAGCCATGGACATGTCCTGGTGGTGCGGACGGCCAAAACCCATTGCAGGCGTCATCTTGTCCCAACCATGGCGTGCTTGGCCAGTGAAGTTGGAGATCTTGTGCATCGGAGGAGGCGGGAGGCGTGAGTGAACGAGCGTGTGGGTTTGTGGTCAGATCGACGGTCGAGGCTGGAGCAGCACTCAGACAAGGACAAGGAGCACTCGAGGTCCAGGAGTCGAGTCAACACGGGCGCCCAGAGAGCCCGCCAGTATCAGAGAAGACAAGCCAACCGAAAAACGCTTGTCGTATATTGCAAACCCCGACGGTTCAATTTCAGGCTCGTCGTCGTCGTTTTTCCACACAAGCGCGTATCACCGCCGACAGTAACAAAGCCCACGCTCCAAGCACACCGGGGGATCACGTGGGCGACTTCCAAGTTGCACGACCCGTGCGCTCCAGCGAACCGCAAACCCTCGCCCAATCACTAATCTGTATGCCACGAGGAAAGAGAGGGGACCCAGAAACCTTCTTCCTGCAGTGTGTGAAAAGCGTAGTATTGTTGTCACAGGAGTGTGCAATACACCTTGAAGGAAAGGCCACAGAAAGTCATCTTAGGTTGTGTTTCTCTGGCCACACTTCTGGTTTGGAAGGTAGGTACTATGCAATTTTGTAGCTAGCTCCAACGTCACTCCTAAATTAGCACACAGGGAGTTTGTAGTCAATGGCGAACATACATTGCCTGCTAGAATAGTCTATTGCGCCTCGAACCTCTTGTTTCTTCTTCATACGTCAACATGCTTCCACCCTACCCCTTTTAATAGCCTACTCTTCTGACCTCTCGTCCATATTGATCTACAAAGATCTCCCGAGGTGCTGCTGGTATTTCCTCGCCGTAGCGTGGCCCCGCTGCTACATATGGACCAGCACCTTGACTTCCATAGCTATACCTCATCTCGACAGGACGTCCATAGTCGGACCCTGGAACAACACTGACAGCCCTCATCGGGGCGGGTGGAGGCGCCATTGTGGCTGCACGACCTCCCGATTCTGCCACTCGAACGTAGTCGCCATGTGGTGCCATGCTCGCCTGTCTCGACATGTATCGGACTGGCTCCACTTCGGGACGCACACTATACGCTCTTGGGGCATATGCTCCAGCTGGTGCAGATTCGGGTGGGTAAACTGACGCTCTGGGTCCTGGTGCATCCCTGATGTAAACGGATCCAGCAGCTTCCTCCCGACAGTACTGTGGCTCAGGAGCGCGAGAATATTCTCGCTGTCTGTAGGCCCGATAGTCGACAGGAGCGCCTTCGGCTTGCTCGACCACTCTGCGCACTGGCGGTGGAGGCGGTGGCATTCTCATTCCGTGTTCGTCCTCGTATACATTGTGCGCAGGCTGACTCGCATATACAACGGATTGTCTACTGGGCGCACGTTCGTACATCGTCTCGCCTTCTGGGTGCAGCTGGGGCGCGACTGACATTCTAGGTTGTGCATCAGGCTCGTTCGCGTAGTATCTGTTGCCGTACTGATCCACGACAATTCTTCTAGCTGGCGGCGGCGGTGGAGGTGCCATCATAGACACTGGAGCCTCCCTAGCAGCCCGAAGATGTGGTGGAGTTACAGATCTTTCCGATCGCATGTACTGCGTCTGTGGAGTCCTCATGTATTCATCACCATATCTTGTTCCTCTTTCATGGAAAGGTTGTGACACAGTGCGGTAGCCGGCTGGAGACGATATCCTGGCCATGGGAGACGCGGGACGGTGCGCAGCATGGAGACTAGCTACACGGCGTAGGTCCTGATCGTCTCTTCTAGGTCTGGCGTAAGCACCAGGAGATGAGACCCTGATGACAGCAGGAGAGGAGAGACCGTCCATACCATAGTGCATGGTTGGAGGAACAGNGGGTGGGGGCTCCTGGTAGTAGGGTTGTCTCGGACCTGAGACTATCTCAACATCTGGTGGCAGTTGATACGGACGAGTGCGTGAGGGTTGCAAAGCAGCAGGTGCAGAAAAAGGTGGCGGAGATATAGGTTCGGGCTTGATGTATGGCTCGGGGAAGGAACNGCTAGGCTTGGGGCGGTTTTTGCGAGCCTCTTTCGTTTCCTTGTCGGCCTCTCGCTTCCTCTTCTTGCCCTTCCCTCTTTGTTTCTTGAAGGCACCAAGTGGACTGGTCTGAGTCGAATTACGAGGCGAAGTGGTCGAATCGTCGGACTCGAATTGTGGGCGATAGGCGCTGGAGGATTGGTAGGCATAAGGTGAGGCAGGCACCTGTGTGTCGGGCGCCGAGGGATAGCTCGTCTGGGATTGGGCGAGGCCTGGATGTTTGGCCAGAGTAAGAGGTGACATTCGAGCAGGCTGAGGGGCAGCGAGTTGACTAAGGTGATTGGTGATGACAGGTGCTTGAGGCGATGGGATGTGGGCTTCTTGCGGCACGAACTCACTGCTGTCTGCTTCGTTACTTAGCCGGGTCGCGTCAAGGCGTATTGATACGGCACTTACCATCGTCCAGATCCATGGCATCAGCATCGGGTCCGCTAAAGGCGTTTGCATCTGGTGGAGAATATTCCTCCGAGTCTTCCCGTTCGGNNCATCATAGAGCGTCTCGGTCTCGTGCTGATCAAGAGTTGGCATAGGATGATGCTGCTTGTCATGATGTTCAACGACGACAGGGTTCTGCTTGGAAAGAGGAGCGCTACTTGCCAGACCTGTCGCTTGATGCGAAGAGGACAACGCTTCTGCTTTCTTCTTCGGCGAGCCCTCTTCTGACGACCAATCATTTGCCTGGCTAGAGTAATACGAGTTCTCGTCGAATGAATCACTCGCTGCAGTTTGAGCGTTAGCAGGGGCCTTGAGACCCGATATAGGCTTGACCAATTCCAGCGCTCTTTCAAAGGTCTCGGTCAGACCAACGAGAGGTGCCATGTCTTCCTGGTTCTTGAAAAAGGGCGTGTGTCTGCGCTGCTCTGCCGCATCCTTGAGTTGTCTCTCGATGCGCTGTCTCTTTAGCTGCATCTCTGCTTTTATCAAGTCTTCGGACTTTGTCAACAGAACTGGATCAATGCCGCTCCTCGAAGCAATTGTGCCTGCTGCTGTGGACGTGTTCTGTGAGAAAGCTTTCGCGTTCCCCAGACGAGCAGCAGCAGTAACAGCACCGTAAGACGAGTTGAGCATTGTCTGTTCTCTGCTTGAGGCATTGGACAGGCCAGGTAGCTGCGAAGCTGAGGCATAGTTGAAAGTCGACGACGGTGCTGCGGCTGGTTGAAGCCGCTGTCTTACAGCAGCTGGCAACTTGAATCGCGCATGTTTGTCTGCCAGGACCGTCTCCTTCAACTGCAGCCACTGGTCGTAGAATGCAGCCTGTACATGTTGCTCCGCGACAGCGGGCCTGTAGCCATTCACCTGCGTGGAAGCCATGACGAAAGACTATTTCCTGTTTGCGAGCGTCGAACAGCAATGTCACTAGTAGCAATGATACTCTGCAAGCGTCATGCCTATGCGATCTCTAGTGATAGTGAATGGATGGCACGCGTGTTGTTTCGACGAAGGGAAGGAAACAACCTGCGCTCAAGTTCGTGATGAAATTGTCAGATCGCCGTCCGCGACTCGGGAGTCGCCTTGGCATCCCCGGCTCTCGGTGACCAATGCGGTGGGAACCGACCGCTGGGGTACCCCTTCGTCTTCCATACCATCGACGTCAACGTGTTGTTTTGCCGCTTCTCTCTCTCTCTCTCCCCCTGTTTTCGATTTCTTGTTGAATGTTGCCCTCTCTTTATCGGTCCCCTTCTCTTCTCGGCCGATCGGGTTCTTTTGCTTCTCGGGGTTTCGTTTCTTCCACAAATAGACGCATAGAAATGGTTCAGAACAACATGGCGGACAATCGCAAACTCTTCTTCTTCGATATAGATAATTGCGTAGGTCCACATTAGGAAGAACCTACACTCCTAACACTCGCTAACTGTCTCGATATANNGTTGTATTCCAAGAGTGTGTCACAGTCACTTTAGTTTCAAGTCTAAAACTAATGGCATGCAGACAAGAAAGTGCATGAATTGATGGGCGATCTGATTGGTATGCTTTCTGATCAATGATCGTGTTGACGCGATGACTAATCAGGCGGTNNAGACAAATATTTCGAGTCCCATCTGTCGTTGTCACGAGAGGATGCCAACGAACTGCATACGCGGTACTACAAAGACTATGGGCTTGCCATCGAGGGCCTTGTACGCCATCACAAGGTCGACGCCCTCGAGTACAACGAAAAGGTTGATGATGCGCTGCCACTTGAAGACATCATGTCACCCGATCCAAAGCTGCGTAAACTACTCGAAGACCTTGATACGTCAAAAGTGAAGCCTTGGCTCTTCACGAATGCCTACATCAACCACGGTCGACGAGTTGTGAAGCTCTTGGGTGTAGAGGATATGTTCGAAGGCATCACCTATTGCGATTACTCGGCTGCCAGGTTCCTTTGCAAACCATCACCTGACATGTTTAAGAAAGCCATGGCTGAGGCTGGTGTAACAGTTGCTGAAGATTGTTACTTTGTCGGTACGTTGTACCTCAGGAACTGATCACGGACCCCTGCTGACACGTACTCTCANGATGACTCTGCTATTAATGCAGCCGGTGCGACCAAGATGGGTTGGACTGCTGCCCACCTGGTAGAGCCAGGAGTGACTGCACCCACGTCACAGGTCTCCAAATACCAGATCAGCAATCTTCAAGAACTCAAGAGCATCTTCCCTCAGTTCTTCAAGTCGACTTCATAGAGTCCAGATGATATGCTCATATCCCAACCAAGGACTTTACTATACAGCTAGACGATATATCAGCGTAATTTTAATCCTTCCTGGTTGGCATGTCAGCAAGACTTCTAAAAACGTGTATGGCATTCAACAACAAGGTATCAAGGTGCAGCTCTACATGACTTTATGGTCATAAAGAGACACATAAGCATTACAACAAACATACCATGCCTAACATTGAAATGGTCAGGTCTTGGGCTAGAGTCAGGGTTGCATGAGTAAGGTAATTGAAACGTTTAAGGAGCCGCGGCGGGTACTCAGCCCCTAGGAGGCTATGAACAAGCTCAATGGTCGAGAACTTGGCGTTTTTCTAGAATGAAAAGCTAGAAATCACGAAAATACAGAGGCCTGGCAGAGATGAGCATTTGTGTAGAGCACAACGATCAACAGACCCCGTGTTGTTAAAGCGAAGGTCCTGGATTCGGCGCTTTTGCATGCAGAATTGGCCGACGGCGAAGACGGGGTTCACATCCAAAAACTCAACAACAATCTCGTGAGGCTGAGGGGCAGAAGCCACCGACAAGCGAATCGCTGAACGGTGAAGACAATCACAAAAGATCAGAATTGGCAAGAAGAGTATGAGATACGCAGCAAAGCTGAGAGGAAGCCCGTCGGACCTTGCTCAATGTTGATGTCGGAAGTGCGAAGCCGCGTGTTTATCCCGTACAGTGTACATGCATGTGCCTGTCAGCACCGCAGCAACGGCAAGCGGTGCCTGTCAGCATGGTGATGAGATGGGTTTCAAACATTTTTCTGCATCGTCGATAAAATTCAACAGACATCACAGGCGTGGCTACAGAGTCATGATTCCTTTAAGAGTGGAAGCTGGGCAGCATAGAAGCATGACAGAAGGCAGAGGGAGGTTCGACTGGTTGTTTCATGGTCATGGTTCAAGTTGGAACAAAACCAAGGCCCTTGTCTGGTTCCTTGAAATAGAAGAGACGCTCGGGCATTACGGCGAGACGGGTTAGATGGGGCAAGTTGAGGGAGATTCAACCAAGACCTTTTGGGGCTGGCGCGGTTGTGGGAGTCTGGGTTTACGGAGGTTTGCCACGGCTCCTCCTCGTCATCACGGCGGTTGTGGCGATGTTTCGAGTGAAAAGATGCACGCGGCGTTTGAACATGTGCTGGGTATTCGAGCATGGTGCAACTGAAGGTTAGAGGTTCAAGCTTGGCTGGGCGAGGGTGGATGGCGAACGCGTAGTGCAATACGAAGACGCTGGGCAGTGAATTGAGATCGGCCGCAGTCTTGCAGGTTGCGGTGGTCAAAGGGTGGTGGACGGCGGTTGCTCGTCTCGCTGGCACGCTGTGCCAAAGCCCCTAATTAACACGGCTTGTCCAAAAGGCCCGTGTTTCGCTCCTGAACCTTTCGAGACTGAAAGCCCCCAGCACCAAGCACAGGCGCACAAACAACATAGCGCGCGACACCTCCCGATCAACAATCTTTTTGCTGCTGCTGTCGCTCCTCCTCTGCCCTTTGCATCTCGCTGTCCGACTCCCGCACCACCTCGTCCGCCCTACACCCGGCGACCTCGTCTCCGCCTCATAGCATTGCCCACGCAGGCCGAGGGCTGGCCGACCAGAGACACTAGACCATCCACGCCATCTTCTCCGCCCGCTACCTCCGCCATCTGTCTTGCTCCATCCCGTGCGAGTCCACCTCCCCTCCAGCAGTATGTCATCCCCACCGGACGCCTACCAGCCATCAACTCCTCACATTCGGCTGAACTCAGGCAGCGACGACCTCGTCACCATGGCCGACAGCCAAGACCACCAGGCCGCTCGCCAGCCTTCGTCTCGTTCATTGACGAGGCCCGGCACCGCTGGTTCTGCTTCTGTCCGCCCCTCGCTACGCCCCGCTCCCTCATCCAACAGCATGTACAATGCCGGCGCCCCCGAGTCGGCAGAGCTTCTCCTTCCACCCAGCCGTTCTCGTCCGTCACGGCGCTTTCGCGACGACGACTCACCCATGAGGTCGCCGAGCCAAAGTGGCTACAACTCTCGCCGCACGAGTTGGGGCTCCGAGTCGACAGGCAGCAGAGATAGCCGCGCCGGTCCTTTTGCCTCCCCCTTTGACGACTCGCGCGCCCCCTCACGTGCCGGCAGCGACGACGAGGGCGTGAATACCCAGACCGTCTCAGAGAAATACAATATTCTGCCTTCTGCTGGCCTCCTCCTCTTCCCTGAAGATGTCGANAAGGACGATTACTTGCACAATCCGGATCCCAATGAGAAAGAAGGCCGCATAACGTGTTCCGACTTGTTCTCGAAACGTGGTATCACCAACTTGGGTGGTCTTGTCCTGATCACCTTGGGAGTCTTCATGCTGTTTATCGGGTATCCCATTATGTATGTGCTCTCTCCCACGACATACTGCCATTTCCAATACTCACGCCCTGTCTAGNNTACATTCGCCGTCAAATACAACGAGCCAAAAGTCAACTCGTGCACTTCCGACCCCATGTGCATTAAGAGCGATGTGCCTCTTTTGAAGAACGTACGCCACAGTCTTATTGACCCTGCCACTCCCAGTTCGGTCATGACGAGGAAAAGCGTCAACGGTAAAACCTTGAAGCTTGCGGTATGTCGCATCAAATCGGGATTCAAACGCCCTTTCGCTAATTCCTGTCAANNGTTCTCCGATGAGTTCGAAACCGACGGCCGTACTTTCTACGACGGCGATGACCCGTACTTCCAGGGTGTTGACATTTGGTACGGTGTCACACAGGATCTCGAGGTTAGTTTGTCCAAATATGCCTGCCCCTGCCAGAAGCTGACAGTCGACAGNTGGTACGACCCCGACGCTATCACCACCAAGGACGGTGTTCTTGAAATCACTTTCGACGCTTTCCAGAACCACGGCCTCAACTACCGTTCAGGTATGCTGCAATCATGGAACAAGCTTTGCTTCAAGGGCGGTTACCTAGAGGCCAGTATTTCGCTTCCTGGCAGAGGTGACACGATCGGTTTCTGGCCCGGTTTCTGGGCCATGGGTAACCTTGGAAGACCTGGATATCGTGCCACGACCGACGGTACCTGGCCCTACAGTTACTCGGACGTCTGCGATCCTGGTATCACTGCTAACCAGTCTTCTCCTGATGGCTTCAACTGGCTTCCTGGAATGCGTCTTCCCGCTTGTACTTGTGATGGTGAAGAACACCCTAGCCCTGGAAAGTCTCGCTACGTTGCCGAAATCGACGCCATCGAAGCCAGTGTGTCTTATCTCGATCCCCTTCACTACGACGCGGCTGTTGGATCGGCCTCGCAGAGTTACCAGACTGCTCCTTTCGATATCTTCTGGCGTCCTAACACCGACTTCATCGAAGTTTACGATCCTACCATCTCGGAGATGAACTCTTACCAGGGTGGTGTCTACCAGCAAGCCCTCTCCACCGTCACTCTGTTGAACAACGACTGGTATGACGGTAAGGCTTATCAAGTGTACGCCTTCGAGTACGAGCCTGGTTCAGATGGATACGTTGCTTGGTATGTTGGCTCAGAACCTACATGGAAGATGACTGCCGATGCCGTTGGCCCCAACGGAAACGTTGGACAGAGAGTCATGCCTGAGGAACCTATGGCGCTTATTGCCAACTTTGGTCTCTCGGCCAGTTTCGCGCAGCTCAACTGGACGGGTCTGGCCGAGCTTATGCCTGGCAAGATGAGATTCGACTACATCCGGATTTACCAGGATGAGGACGGTGAGATGACGTGTGATCCCGATGGCTACCCAACGACGGATTACATCAAGAACCACTCGAATGCATACGAGAACCCCAACATTACAAGTTGGGAGGATGCAGGATACGACTGGCCGCAGAACTCATACGTCGACTCTTGCAAGAGCAGTCACTACAAGGGCCCGAACTAGAGACAACAAGGATTGTCGCAAAGCATTTTGACAGGCGTTTTGATGGAGTAAAAAGGAGGCCATGACATTCTCCGAAGGGGCGACGGCAATTTTGATTTTCCGACAAGAGGTACAGCGTGCATGGAGATTTGCCATGTCTTTATTTTTTTCTGAAGTGGTTGACGAAACGGAAAGTATCACACGATTGATTTTTGTACACACAAATCCCTTCCTTTCTGGAGCAAAAGGCATTCGGGCATACAAAGAGTTGGACGACCGAGATGGAGCTTTTGACTGATGGATTGAACGTTCTGTTTTTGATTTTGTGTTTGTTGTCTGCGTGTTTTGAGAGTGATTGGGAGGGTTTATGCTTTTGGCCTGATCTACGATATGAAAAAAGCAGTGTCGCTTTTCTACCTAGACGTACGAGTAATTAAGAAAAACACTATGAAACATACCTCAGACTGAGCAACGGAAAGAAGATTTGAATGTGAAGATGAGAATGTCAAGAGAAGAGCAAGACTGGGTATTTTACAGAAGGTAGTATATGTACAAGATGGGGGTGGTGTTGTGGAGTTTTAGGCCACGGGAGACAAATGGCCGTCCTTGTCGTACTTTGCCTTGAAGAAGGTGTAGTTGAGGGTGATGGTGTCGATCTTGGACATGTTTGGATCTCTCAAGAACTCGGGATCAATGTAGAAGAAGACGGGCATGTCGACAGTCTCGCCTTTGTTCAGGCGCTGCTCCTCGAAACAGAAACATTGAATCTTTGAGAAGTAGGGAGCGACCTGGCCGGGAGTGACAGAGTATGTGGCTACACCGATGATGTCCTCTTCCTTGCTCAGGTTGGTGGCGGTATAGAAGGCCAGAGCAGTCTCGCCGGGCAAAACGCGGACTTCCCTCTGCTGGGGAGTGAACTTCCAGGGCAAAACGTCAGAGGTGGAACCAGCAAAGGTGATACGCAAGCGGCGGGAATCGGTGACTGGGATGAGGCGTGAAGCAATGTCGTCTTCTTCGTACTGGCCAGCAGAATGGATGCTGATGGGTTGGCCGCCCCAGCCCATCTGCTGGCAAATCATCTTGTAGAAAGGAACGGAGCCATAGGATAGCGCGACGGTGCCGAGGATGATTGATAGGGTGTAGTAGAGGGTGTTGCGGTTCTTGTTCTTGAACTGAGCGCGCAGGTCTTCCTGGGTGGGCATGCGGCCTTGTTGCTTGAGCTGCGGACTGGTCTGGATACTCCTCCGGAAGAAAGTGTGTGGTAGAGAGCGGGCGCATTGTGTGCTAGGCCAAGGCTGTGATGTCCTTAGTCCTGCGCGCGCAAGGCTGCGACCAAGTAGCGATGTTGACTCCATGTTGGTGGTTTATGCAAAATCTAGACCGTCACGATGCGCCTCTCTCTCGGAGGTGAAGTCGCTGGCCGCAAAGCTTACTCATCCACATATTATCTTTGCATCATTCGACTTCACTGTTTACATCAACACAACATAGTCAAGATGGGGGAGATCTGTGCTGTGTGTGTGCAAAACGAGTCCAAGTACAAGTGTCCCTCTTGTCAATTGCGATAGTGAGTGATTCATGGCCAAAAGAAGAAGTCGCATTCTGACGGGCAGCAGNNCTGCTCGATCGCATGCTTCAAAACCCACAGAGAGACTCACGCCAACGACCCGCCGAAAGAGCAACCCGCTCAGACGAGTCAGTCTGCCCAGTCCGCTCCTTCCGCGTCGACTCCCTTACCTGCTACAAGGAACGCGCTACCCGGAAGTAGCAAGAAAATCGACTTTGCCGGCTTCGAATCCGACCCAGAGCTTCTACGACTGCTCTCGAGATACCCCAACCTGCGCATCCAACTCCAAAGTGTCTACGGCCTGACACTGGAACCTCCACCGCAAGAACAGCGCTCATTCTCCTTCAGGGGCAGGGGCAGAGGAAGAGGTGGTTTCCAACAGCAGTCACATTGGTCACAAGCAAAAGGCGACAAGGAGGCTACAGAGTCTTTCAGAAACATGAGAACTGCCGAGGGCGACGACAAAGCCCTGGCCGAGTTTGTGCAACTGCTCAAGATGAGGTTTGCGCCCGAAGCTGACCATGCTGCTACCTGAGCAATGTTACCGTCACGACTGCACCAAACTTTGGCTTCAGCACCATCAAGATCGAATATCAAAATGACCTCGGACTTTCTCTCAGGAGCCTCACGCGAGACTTGAAACTCAATGGCTCACCAAACGTCAAGCTTTCATTTCTGACTGTACCAAGTTATCCAATAGCATGGCCAGCAAGTCCAAACACCAGCTGGGCCATTCCAAAACTTCCAATCGTCCGGGCTATCCCAAGTCTTCCAATTATCTGGTCATCCTCCTACTTCAGCTCTTTCTTGCTGTCAACCGACATATCCGAGAGGGGGCCATCCTTGACCATGAGCGANNCTAAAACGATCCGCGTTAGCAACACCTATCAAACAATATCAGGCTTCGATTTACATACCATGACTTCGTACAAGACGTCAGCAGCGGCCATGGTGGTCAGCTCGGCATTGGTATCGTAGGCAGGAGCGACCTCAACCACATCAGCTGCGACAAGGTGGATACCCTCAAGACCACGGATGATGGTGCGGAGCTCACGAGTCGTCCAACCACCAGTCTCAGGGGTACCTGTTGCAGGAGCAAACGCAGGATCAAGCGTATCAATGTCGATCGAGAGATACACGGGGTTCTTGTGCCCGACTCTGTCATGGATCTTCTTGATGATACCATCAATGCCGATGGTGTCAATCTCGCGAGCTTCGACAATCTCGAAACCACAGTAGCCGTCATTGTCGTAGTCAGACATGCCGGAAAGAGTGGTGCGAATCCCTGCGTGGATGTTGGTGTCGTTGCGCAAAAGTCCCTCCTGAGNCCTAAACGATAAGGATACAGTCAGCATGGTTACTATGTGAGTATTGGCACGCTATGACAGAAAAAAGAGAAAAAAACCTACGGCGTAGAAAAAATATGTTCCATGGTTGATGGACGCAACCTTGGATGGTGCTCCTCCAAACACCTTAGGTTTCCACGTGTCTAGATGGCTGTCAAAGTGTATGACACTCCAGGAATGTAAGCATACATCGCATACGTTGACATAGATGGTTGTGGAGACTTACGTTATAGGTCCGTATGCCTTGTTCATGGAGCGCAGAAGAGGCAGGGTGATGGTGTGATCACCACCCAGAGTGATGACACGCGGCAACGTCTTTCCGTGCTTGGAAGGGCCAGTCATGTGTGCGTTTGCAGCAGGCTCGCGCATGAGAATGCTGTTATGGCCCTCTTCAATCTGCTTCAGAGCCCATTCGTTGTCATAACTTGTTACCGGAATGTCACCACAGTCAATGACGGTGGCCCATCCATTGAAAGGGTTCGNTCTACATCTCAATCAGTACTGGACCGCAAAATAGATATGAATGTCGCTACAAACCTGGAGAGGGACATTGAAGCCTCCGTAAAGGTTGAGACGTCTCGAACCTTGACGGATGCCACTAGGACCAAATCTGGCACCAGGACGGTAACTTGTACCGGTATCGAAAGGTGCGCCGATGAAGGCAATGTCATACTTGCGAGCGTCGCTGGCCAAACAAGGGTGGTACTCGATACGACCGAAAGTAGAGATGCCTGAGAAGACCGAATCGGCCTGAGTACCCCCGTCACCAGGAAGCGTGTTGTACCACAAGCTCTTGTGAGGACCTTCCTTGAAGGCTTCCTGGCTGTGGTCGCCGTGTGCAGAAACACTGGCTGTCAAGGCAGCGGCAAAGGCAATCAACTTGAACATACTGGCGAGTATGTTGCAAAGGAGCAATTGAGGAATGAGATGAGAAAGAGGATATGGAAAGTAACCAAGGAAGCAGCAGCAAGCTCACAACTAATATCCTCTCGATCTGGCTGCCAGGAACCAAAGAAACCTTGCAGGCGCGGTCTTTTTTGTTTACCTAACTGCACGTTGTCAAGATTGTCAACACAGGCTAAGCTATACAAGGGAGCTCAGAACGAAATCCATGTCACCGATGTCATTTTGTGCATGCCAACAATTTCTCCGGACTGCTGTCGTTATTCCAGGTTGGAGAACCTCGATATCAGTTCAACCCCGACATGTTGACACACCGGCCTTAGAGTGCAGCGGCGTAGATATGCCCTGTCAGTATTCTCAAGATCGGATCGCAATGTACAACCCCACCAGGCCCCGCAATCCTGGGGTTTGTAAAGAGGCTTTATAACACTGACGTCGACGCTATCGCTCGGTCCTCATCCTGAATTGGTCAACCTCTTTATATCGTGGAGATTGAGGTCTGATTGGTTGCTGATACCGGTCATTGGATCAACTCAATCGCTCGGTGTTCCTGCATCGCTATTGGGAGCTTCCTGATCAGGTACCACGATCTTACTCCTCAACCAACCTTCCACTTGATGGTATAGGCCAGATCTTGCGAGGGGAGTGAACAGAAATCTGGGCATCATTGTTTTGCTACAATTGAGCTGTCTATGTATGGCACCTTCACTGTTTGCAAGATGCTAAATTGAAACCTCCAACCAGAACCTGTCTAACGGCTTTCCTCTGCTTGATAGCCATAAACGCTGTTGGCCAAACCAGACTCTACTTGCTCCTCATGCTCCATTCTCTCGAACGCTTTGCGGACTTGATGATTCCAATCACTCCATGCAACAATTGCCCACTCGCCGAAACCAACTAGATACAGTGCAATGCACTGTCCGATCCACAAGCCAGCTAAGCCCCAGCCGTGGAAAGCAAGCCAGATTCCAAGCGGCAGGGCGCCGGCGTAGTAGCTGATTATGTTCACGAGTGCACCAACATGCTGTCGTCCCATTCCACGAAGAGAGCCACCACAAGAGCCATTTAGCCCGTCAGCAATCTGAAACAAGGCTACCCAAGGCATGACCTCTGCAGTCAGCTTGATGACATCCTGGTCGTCGTTGAAGATTCTAGCGTAGAAATTCTTGACCGACATCAGGAGGGCAAGGACAAGGGCTCCAAGGATCATTGACAGCCAAGCAGCAACATTGGCAGAGCGTGCCGCACCCTTGGCATTTCTGCCTCCCAGCAGGTTGCCTACTCGTGCTGATGTTGCGACTCCGACGCCGAACGGAATGGTGTTCAGGACTTGATCGGTCGTCATGATGACTGACTGTGCAGCCAAAGGGATCGTTCCGAGCTTACCTGCAGCGAGAGCCACGATCTCAANAGCCCACCACTCGGTGCCTACGTGAACAACACCGAGAAGAGCAAGTCTTGTGAATGTGCCGATGTTTTGGAATGCCTTCTTCGACCATCCTCCCCAGCAGTCCCAGCCCGAGACGAAGCGTGCATAGGCTAGAAGAAGCAAGAACGACAACCAATACGATACGCTTGTGGCCAGAGGGGCTCCGAGGAGACCCATCTTGCAAGTATACACGAAAAGATAGTTCAGGCCTGCGTTTACCGGCGAGGTGATAAGAAGCACATATGTGCCTGGTCTCATGATCCNCTGAGATTGCATTGTTAGTGCTAGATTGGAAATATGAAGATGCAAAGTTGTCTTGCCTTGAGCTTGCAGGTATTNTTTCAGGCATTCGAAGTAGATGTACCCGAGTCCACCGAGCGCCAGCACGCTGAGGAATTTGCTGCTATCTTCGGATAGGCGCTCATCCTGGCCGAGAGCCATAAAGACAGGTTTCGAGCACAACCAGAGAATGGCAACTGGAATGTACAGCAGACCAAGGACAAACAAAGCTCTCTGGAGAATGATGCCCAGATCGTGCTTGTCCTTGCTTCCGGTAAAACTTGCAGAGGCAAGCGTGTCGATGGCGGTAGTGCCACCCAATGCGATGAGCCAACCAGAGGCCATGGCGAACATATAGGAGAAAGCTGCTGCTGCTAGTGCTTCAGGGCTCAGTCGCCCAACGACGAGGACAGAGACAGTCTGTAGCGAGTTCTGCAGCATGTATGCGAGGAAGACTGGAATTGATCCATTGAGCAGTACCCAAAACTCGTGGATTATAAGCTGGGTACTGCTCTTTCCCTCGAACTCGAAGTCATCGACTGATCCGATTGTCGGCTCATCGTCAGGTTTGGGAAGAAGAGAAGTGTTCTCATCCGGTCCTTGGTCTTTCGATTCAGTTGACTTGCGAAGGAAGTTTGGCAGCCATGAGCTGGCGCTCGCGGTGCCGTCTTGTCGGCTATCCATGGTATCAAGGTTCAGGAAGAATCAGTACAAGGAATACTGAATACAGCTGATAATGGCGGTCAAAGACATGAAGTACATCGACCAGCGATCTACAGTTGCTGGAAGATAGGTAACGCGATGTTGTAAGCACTCTATGAACAGCGTTGAGTGCCGGCCACGAGAAAGAGGGTTTAGTCACACTGCTGAGCGAGCCCGACCTGGAGACGGGCTGAACATCTAGAAGGAGACTGGCGATAGGTAACAGCAGATGGCATTAGTGTCGAGTCAAGTGGGGTTTCTTCTTGAACAGCGGGATGCCGCCATGCAGGGCACGACTTTGAACATGCGTCTCTTATCAGAAAGATCTGCTGGGGTAGATTTAGGGAGTTGACTAAGGCCTGTCGCTAAGCAGGGATGACTACAATGACATGTCAAGCAGCCTTGTTATCGAACTTGCATATCTTATCGATTACATAGATCCGATACAACTTTATACGCCGTGCAAAAGATAATCATGACAGGCTTGAGAAGGAACCGTTCAAGGGTTGTCTGCTCCCAAAGTTCAAGGGATGTGGGCTGTCTTTGAAAGATAAGGGCCGGTACCGAAGCCCCCATCTGGGCGACTCTTCGCAAATTATCTGTATACAATGATGGTTCACAGAAACACGGTATCTCACAATTGCCATGTTTCTGTCGGAAATGTCGATTGTAGAGCATATGAATCAATCTCTGATGCTGGTTTCGCAGTTGCAAATAACTACTGGAGATGCTGTCACTCTATGAGGTACAGAAGAGGGTCTGACGGACGTGCACAGACCATCTCTCGATTGCTCCTACTCAGGTGCCACGCGAGCGAGCAACATCCACCAAGCACACTATATACTCGGATCAGAAGATCTGGCGATTGATTCCACAGAAGCATCTCCCACGGAGACATAATTCTTATACACATCTCAAGAGGAAGTCCGTAATCGAGCTGACCACTGACATGGCTGTGCGATAAGGTCTGTCACTCTTCATTCTGATATCGTTGTCAAAGGTGACACAAATTTGGAGAGTGCAGATGGAGTTACGGCTCTCAACAAATGTTACTCTATACACTAGAGATGCTGTGTAATTTATTGATAATGCACGTCACAGTTTTCTACGATCTTTGCTTACGAGGAAGGAGCATGAATATCGTCTCGCTCAAGGTGTGGTGGCTGTTGCCGGGGAAAGAGCCATGCAAGAATACAACCCCGATTGATTGCAAGTGTTTGCTGCTCCAAAACTGACTACACAAACCAGGATTAGTGCCGCCATGCACGCTTTTTGATTGTGCCGAGTGACCTAGATCCCGCAACAAACCCACCAGTTGAATTAGCTGAGACTCGAGATATGAGATTCAGAGATAACACCTGCATGATGAATTTGGCGAATAGGATCCTGGAAGGTACGGCACCTATCAGCCACTCTAAACCATCGAACAGGGCTACGAAAAAGTATCGTACACTTACACAGGCCCATTATCCATATGCAAAGATTGGCGTGAAGGTTGCTCCAATGCTCCTTGCTTATTTTTCTTCTTTAACATGGTTCCTCCGGCATCGTGCAACTCCCTGCTCATTAGATCGAAGTCAATGCCTTGAAAACGTCTACGAGTACCAAACATGTCCACCAGAGATATCAAGCACCTTGACTATGACGAGAAACCGCCGGTGGAATCCAGCGATCGCAAAACATCTCTTGAGAATGGAGTCGGCGAAATCATACATACAGTCAACGCTTCAGGCCATCAAGATCAACTACAACGGCATTACGGTCCTCTACAGATCTGTGGTTTGGCATTGAACATCGACTCTGCCTGGGTAGCCTTTGCCGGCTCTCTGATCCTTTCTCTACCCAATGGCGGCCCTGCTGGCGTGCTATACGAATTGATCACTGCTTGCATTTACTATGGCATCATTGCGGCATCAATCGCTGAAGTATGTCAGAAATCAGAAGCATGAACATACTCGGGCCATCTGCTGATCTAACGATAGCTTGCTTCAGCTGTACCTACCGCTGGAGGCGTGTATCACTGGGCGTCCGTCACAGCAGGTCCCAAATGGGGCAGAAGTGTTGGATTCTTCGCTNNGGGTAAGCATCACCTTGGTGATGATCTACAAAGGTGCTGACTGTCTGATAGGTACCTCAATTTCTTTGGGTGGGTGTTCGACCTCTGCTCAATCATCGCCATCCCCTCGAACGTCCTCCTACAAATGTACTCTCTGTGGCATCCCGATTTCGTTCTCGAGGCCTGGCATACCTACTTGACATACGTTCTCATCACATGGTTCTGTGTGCTGTTCTGCATTTTTGGCAATCGATTCCTGCCGCTTCTACAGAACATAGGACTTTTCTTGCTCATCGTTGGTGGCGTTGTTACGATCATCGTTCTTGCTGCGACACCAAACACACACGCTAGTAGTTCCTTTGTCTGGTCTGACTGGCAGAATACTACCGGCTGGGGTGGAGGAGTTGCCTTCTTGACTGGTGTCTTGAATGGATCTTTTACCATCGCCACAGTGGACAGTGTATCACACATGGCGGAAGAGCTGCCAAATCCACGTCGCGATATACCTCGAGCAATCTTTGCCCAGGTCTCTCTTGGAGCCATCACCGCATTCTTGTACGCCGTGGCATTGTTCTACGCCGTCAGTGATCTAGACGAAGTCATCAATACCTCTGGCTCCTTCCCTGCGGCCGTCATCTACCGCCAAGCAACTGGAAATGCTGGCGGAGCTTTCTGTTTGCTGCTCATCATCTTCCTTATTATCATGATATGTGCAATCTCAACCGTCCTCTCGCTCGGTCGCACCTGGTGGGCACTCGCTCGTGACCAAGCCACTCCTTTCGGGGACTTCTTTTCCTCCGTCAACGAGCAACTTTCCTGCCCAATTCCTGCCACTATTTTGGTTGGTGTCCTAGTCACAGGCCTTGGAGCCATCATTCTCGCCTCTGGAACCGCTTTCAATGACCTTGTCGGCTCCTTTATCGTCCTCTGCGCATTCTCTTATCTTTTGGCCATCTTCCCTCACCTGATCAGCGGCCGCAAGTACACCCCCAAGGGCGACTTCTGGATGGGCAAATATGGCTTCGTGGTCAACGCCCTCGGCTGTGTTCTGATTGTCTTTTTCAACATCATGTTCTGTTTCCCATACGCGATGCCAGTCTCGGCGGATTTAATGAACTACAATTCGGTGATCTTGGTGGGTGTCTTGATTATTGTCACTTTCTGGTGGCTCGTCTATGGATTGAAACATTACCCGACGCCGAAGGTGCTTACTGAGGCGATGAAGTGAGAATGTCTTTTTGGAGATATTCGTGTATAGATGAGAACGTATCTGCTGTATTGCTTGTTCTACACGAGTTTTGACCCTGTGATTGCTCGATCATTCCTTCCTTCTGGCGCACGGAAGTCCTGCTTTGCGCGATGTACATTTGTGTCTCTTAGGAACAAGAAGCTCGTCGTTGGTATCCCTCGCGAATGCTTTACAAGCTTGCATCGCATAGACAGAAGCCACAGACCTCGCTCCAGTGCTACCCGGACTTGCCGTCCTGCTGACACTGCTCTTTCTCACACCAGCCAGGTGGCTGGGGGTTCCCAGCATAGCTAGCGATCCTCGCACTCTTCTCGGCCAGGCGTCGAAGTTTTGATGACAGTCAATCATAACCCGTTATCTTTGAATTGTTCGGACACGGTTTCTATATTACAGTATCAAAAGCAACATCGCTGATTTCCATATCGCCCAGAATATTATTCAGTACCTTCTTCCATTACTTTACGCTTGTGGTGGCCAATTCTCAGCAGGAACGACGCCACCACGGCGTAGATAAGACCCAACACAACAAAAGGTAAACCTATAGATAGACCTCCGAGTTGCATGCCTCTCTCGAAAAGCCAAGCGAGTAGAGGGCNCCCGATCATCAAACCCAAAGTGTCGACGACACCGATGATAGTGTAGAGCTCTGCAACCCTGTTCGGCTCGACTAAACCTGTCAAGAAGGAGCGAAGGTAGACCGGGAAGCCACNCCCTATGGTTGCAACCATCAGCGATCCGGTGAAGAAGATGGCATTGGGAGAGAGGCCTATGGCGATCCAGCCAACAAGCATTAGACCAGCGCTCCCGCGAGCAAGAAAAAGATCTCTCTNTTGTCCGTTCATACCGGCATCGGCGAGGAGGCGATAGACCCAAGATTGCATGCATAAAAACATGAGGATGGTCACTCCAGCTCTGACTGTCAACAGCAGTGTTGCGCTGGCAAAAGTCATGTCATATCGCGAACTCGCATATTGTAGAAGAAGAGGCACAATAGTAATCGTCAACATGGTTGGGACGAAGGTTATGATCAAGATAGCGACTCGTTTGTCGTGCAGGAAGTACTCGGTGGATTCGCCCAGAGGCTTGTAGCATTGTTCCAAGAAGTTCTTGACTTGATACTTTGATGTTGATTGTGACTCTTCCTCGTCGCTGCGTTCTTCATCTGGTTTGATGACCTGCCGATATCCGAGTGTCTCCGGAATCCAGAGGGATAATGGAACTCCAGCGCAAAAGCATCCTATACCGAAGAACACTGCTGCCATAGGGTTGCGTGTCATAATCCAAGACACCAAAGGTGGACAGACAAGATTACCTGTGAGGTTGGCAGAGAAGATGCGCAAGAGAACGGCAGACCTCGAATCCTGGTTGGTGATGTCCGAGATGACGACAAAGAACAGAGCTGATAAGACTGGAGAACCTCCAAAAAGAAGGGCATGCAACGCTGAGAACCAAGAGACTCGCAAGTTGAAACTTTGCCAAAACCAACCTGACTGAACGTTAACAAAGCGTCCATAATGGACCGAGTACAAGATTGCTCGACGCTGGGAAATTCACTTACAGACAAACAGTTGCCACGCGATTTTGAGAGGGAAGGCACATAGACCAATCACCAGAATTGGTTTCCTGCCCCATCGGTCCGCTAGAATACCAACTGGGATAGATAATACAAGNNACCTAGGCTTGATTAGCAATGACCCACTCTCAAGATCGCAACTCCACATACTTGGTATGCACTCGAGGAACTGCTGGTAACCTTTCAGCATCGCAACTTGGCCTTGCACCTCGGCCACCTTACACCATCGCTCTTCAACACCACCAAGTGCACCAGGTCCCACAGCAGATCTAGGTATCAGAATTTTGGTAGAGTCTTCACGTTCCCAGTATTGATAGCAGTAAATGGATTCGAAAACCCTTGTCAAGGGTGCGTCCGAGAATTGATCGCCACACTGGACAATCAATATCAATACTCCTATGATGATTAAAATGGTGCGAGAGCTCATCTGGCATCGGCCATCATCGAGTGCTGCTCCGTTTTGGGATGTGGGGTTGCGTCCAAGGAGAGGAGTGACTTCCGTTTCGTGAACATCTGGTAGTTTGCTGACTGCTTGAGATGGTTGTTCAACTTCTACCACATCAATGGTGTCTTTCGAAGAATCAGCCGTCATGTTGTTGCGCAAAGAAGCAATGGCAACAATGCCAGATGAAGAAGCACCTAGACAAATGCAATTGCAAACGGATAGTCGAAGAAGGGGTAGACTTGTAGCATAGTATTTATTCACCTACCTTCTTGGGACTACCTTTTCGGGGTGCCATGCCGGACTGCTCCTGCCGGCGATTGTTTGAGATAACGCCGGCTCAAGGGGCATGTGCGACAAGGCATCCGCAATGTAGCGGCTGCCATTGGTTGACGGTCATTCAGCTGCCTGGATGATGGAGACGGATATCAAGTTCTATCATTGGCCGTGCATACATTGCTGACGAGATCGTCTGTGCAGTAGGATCAGGTAGAGCAGTATGCGCCTCAAGATAGCGGGGACTGTGGCGATTTAGCAGATGTTATATCGTTTGTCTGCTCTCATCGCACGCATCGATATGCAGACATCATATGGCGTTGTGACTGACGACTCGCAGTGGTCGGAAAGGCTGAGGCATCCAAGAGAACCTCCTCAGCTGTCGAACTTAGCACTGAAGCTTTGTCTCCGCGTGTCAAAGTCTTACGGTCATCAGAATCTGAGTGATTGCTCTTTACAGGTTGCAAGTCAGGCGATAGTGCGTTCGATGGGTATATACAGGCAATCTCATTAGACAGGCTCATCAGGTCAACAACAAAAGAATTTGAACACATAATACGGAAGGTGCTTTTTACATATAATTTAAAACCTTGTGATTTCATCGCCTTACAATGCAGACAACCAATCACTTCGTGTAAATGGTTCATCAATCGTGGCCAGCGCCGTTGCTTGCCTTCGGGCTGTTCCTTTCACTTTGAGGCTTGATGGGCCTCTTCTCTTCGTCACCACTGTCATCATAGTCCTCGTCCATCTCCATCTTGCGAGCCGCGGGCTCCAAGTGAGGCTGCTGAGGCTGAGGCTGTGGCGGGACCTGAGACTGGACGGGTGTCGGAGCTTGAGTAGGAGGCTGGGGAGGAGGGGNAAGCTGCTGAGTTGGAGGTGCCGGTGTGAGCTGTTCCCTGCGCTCATCTGTAGCACCAATGCGAGGAGAGGGTTGAGGGTTAACTTGAGCGGGTCCTAGGGCTGGTGGATGGTGTGCGGCTTCGGAAGGGTGGTAGTTTTCAGTAGCACGTCGCTGGTCATCTGCACGTCGCACCTCTGATGGGCTTCTGTACGGCGACTTCGGGATACGATCCATGCGGTCTGGTGGCGAAGCACGTCTGCTGCTAGGGTCTTCCAGACGCGAGCGGCTCTCTTCGTTTGCGGGCTTCTTCTGTGAGCTCATGCTTGAGGCATCATCTTCCCATTCTCTATGTCTCTTGGGAGGAGCGGTCGAAGGGCGGTCTTCGCGCTCCCTGGCTGCTGCTTCAGCTGCCTGCAGAGCCGCATTAGGTGGAGGAGCACCTCCGGCAATGCTAGGCGTACCAGAAGTAGGGTGATGCTCAAAGGGCTGACGGCCAAATTTGCCATTAGGAGAAGTCTGGTTGTCGATGATGGGACGAATCTCAGGAGGGCTGGCCATCCTGTTAGGGTAGCCGGGGGCTTGGCCCTGAGCTGGTGGAGGGGCACCCATGCTTGCGGCTGGAGGAGGTACACTAGACGATTGTGGGCCATAGTTAGGGTTGGCAATGCGGTTTGGTGGAGCCGGTCCCTGTTGCTGAGGCAGAGGCTGGGGAAGCTGGGAGGGAGTCTGTGCCTGGGGTGCAGGAGGGTAGGCGCCAGGTCCAGGAGCATTGTAAAGCACCTTAGGTGAAGGCGATAGGCCTCTGTGGGCTGGAGGGGGTGGACGCTGAGGTTGATCCTGGTACTGCCTGGGCTCTTGCTTTGGCGGAGTGGGTTGACGAGGAGGAACATGCTGGGCGAGACGATCTCTCGAGTCGTATGGGTTCAGCATCTGAGGCTGAGCGCCAGGGTTCTGAGGGTTCTGAAGGTCGGCAAGACGGTTGTTACGGGACCAATCTGCACCTGNGGGAGGCTGTTGAGCAGCTTGAGCTTGACCCGGAGGAGGAGCTCCCCACTGAGGAGCGGGTGGGCCAGCACCCAAAGCGCCCGGCTGGTATGCTTGAGGAGGCACATCTTGAGGGAGCGGTGCGCCTGCTTGGTTAGGCAGGCCGTTGGTAGGCTGACCCTTGAGCAGGGCAAGACGGGCCTTGATGTGCACGTTGGTTGGATCGAGCTCAGCAGCTCTAGAGTAGGCGTCAAGAGCGTCGTTGGTCTGGTTGTTGCAGGACTCGTACAGCGTGCCCAGGTCGTACCAGACCTCGGAGATGTTGGGATTGAGGCGAATAGCCCTCGAGTAAGCATCCAGTGCGTCGCGGTATTGGTTGATCTGGTAGTACAGCACACCAATCGAGCACCAGAAAGTAGGGTTGCGGCCATCACGGTAGACAGCTTGTTGGTAGGCTTCATAAGCCTTGGGGTATTTTGCTGAGACATGTAGCAGCGACCAAGGAGGTACCAGCTTTGTGCNATCAGTCTGGTCTGAGTTGACCGACTTCTCTAGGTATTCTATTGCCTGCTCTTGGCTGCTGAAGCTGGTGCTTTGCTGGTGGTGTAGCCATCCGAGTTGTTGCAGAACCTTGGCGTGGTTGGGGTCGCGGTCGAGGACGCGCATGTAAGCGCTCTTGGCTGAGTCATACTAATATCTGGGTCAGTCGTAGTGCGGAACGATCTCATCTGTTGACCTTACCTCTTTCTGCTGCTCGTAAACATGACCAATCTGGAACCAGATGTCCTCTTCGCTCAATGGTCGAGGAGGGTCGGTGACAATATATTTGAAACACTGGGATATGGTCAGTCTACCGGCAGCTACAGCGGACAGGAAAGAGGCATACCTCCAGACTTTGCTGGAACTTCTGTTGTTGCTTGTATANNTTATGCCGAGACGGAAGTATATCTCGTTGGCTTTCTCGAAGCGCGGGTCCATGCGCATGACTTGGGAGAAGGCTTCTTCGGCGTGCTCAAGCGAGCCATAGCGATCGTAGAGGATACCGATGCCGTACCAGAGCTTGGGTTNCCTGCCGGGTATTTAATATTGGTGAGAGCGACGACATTGAACAGGGAGGGGTTGACAAACCTTGGGATCAGGCAAGTGATACAGAGCTTGCTGGTATGCCGAGTACGCTTGTTGGAGATCATCCATCATGAGGTAGCAGTGGCCTGGACATAGTTAGCTCTGGTACAAAGGGTTGTCAGGTCAGAGTCGCGAACCAAGAGAGCTCCAGACCTCCCCATTGGCAACCTCGATGCGAAGAATCTGCTTAAGATACTCGACGGCAGCGGGGAATTGATCCTTGGAGCGAAGGATGCATGAGATAGCAAGCATAGCTTGCACCGAATGGCCATTGAAGCTAAGAGCGCGTTCATATGCCTGCGTCGCGCTATCGTACTCGCCCATCATCTCCGAAACACTTCCNNTACGTCGTGTTAGTAAACGCGTCAAGCAGCCAGTAAGAACAAAAATACCGAGCTGCAGCCAAATAGCCTCGTTTGCCTGCTGAAGGTAATGCGACGCTGGCTTTGCTTGATGCGGCGGTTGCAAGGCAACATGGCCATTGGGTTGGCCTCGACCCTGCTGAACAACATGATGCGGATGCATCGCCGCCGTGGGTGATGTCTGAGAAGCCATCATGAAGGTCTAAGGAAGAGCGCTGAGCCCTATTAGCATAAGAAGCTCGACACGACCAAATCGCGTGGTGTTGTGGTATTGGCGCGAGGATAGAAGACTTACTTGTGGTTACGCGAGACGCGCGCAGACAGACAGGATGCCAAGCGAAGAGAGACAAAGGTGGGGTGTGGTATGGAAAAAGAGGTTTTTAATGACCGTGATAAGTTGTGAATGGGAGCTGTCAGGTCTCGAGAGGTGTTCGCGGGATACACGCGACGAAACAGGCGACAAGAGAGAAGAGGGAAGAGAAGAAAATCGAGAGGGAAATGGCAGCAGTCGGATGGACGACGCTTCTCACAGAACCCTAACCCAGGTCCTGAAGGGCGCCGCACGCCCACATGTGCCTTGGCGACACTGTTTTTGATTGAGCCATCAGTGGATCCAGAGATCAGCCCCTGTCGCGGAACGCTAGCACGGCGTGTGGAGGATGATGGGGACTGCCAGAGCCAAGCATGGGACGAAGCGACCGATCGAACTACTTGCATCTGTTGACTTCGGTTGCCATCTCACAGAGACGAACGTCTTCAGGTTCTTGAAGCATTCCACCATCCCGCGTGCTGCCCCCACGGCGGCTATCTGCATGTTTGACTGCGACAGACTTGTTGGTCACATCCAGCACTGCGAGTCTCCTTGCCTCGAAGCGCCTCATCCTTGACAAGGACCCTAGGTTGGCATCCGTCCTCTACACGCCACCCCTTCCCGTCGTGGAATGCCCAGGCTTTTGCGAAAGTTGATTGACTTCGTGGGAAACCACGAAAACAAACTCAGGAGAGAAAATGATGCTGTCTGCACGTCCGTTGAACTTGGCAGAGCGCCATATTGCGCCAACAAACGCCTTTACACCGCAACGATTCGGCCGTCGAATCTCAATCTCGTGATTGACCAGCCACGTCGAATCCTTCGGTGTACATGATCGCTGTGTTGGGAGCACTCGCGATGCAGTCATGCACACCGTGCAAGCAACCCGGCCCGCTGTACATGCAAATTAATGCGCGAATCCGTCAAGCCTGTGGATAATCCTTTCGGCTATCTTGGTCTCTGCCGGCGGTTTGCTGCATATCTCCCCGCCCAGTCAAACGACTTGTACAGAACGTATCAACAATAAACACCCCGTATACAGGAGTTGGTTGGCTCAAAACGGTCGGCTGGCTGCTGAAATAGGCAGCCATAGGTCAGTGCAAGGACATCAAGACGTTTTGACTAGACGTGTACCGGACCAGATGCAACGGAGTCTACGAACCATCAGGTGCGCCACGGCGAGCCATCAACGGATTCGAATATCTCTAGGCGTCTTCGCTGTGGTTAGCCTTCGCTCACACCAAAGGCGCCTACAGTAGGTCCGGGCCACGTGCAACCTGAAGCTTTTGGGTTGAGTAGTGTGGATCCGACGCGCCTGCGGCTTGATGGCGTGCCTGGCTTGTGTGGCTTTGGCAACACATCGCTAGATCTCTCTCCGCACCAGCTTCAAGGTCTCGTCACAAAGTGTGATCGACAGTCAGATGTCCGGGACAACCCATTCATCCTTGGAAGTACACACAGCATGACACGGGTCGACTCCAGCTGATGTTGCACTCAGGTACTAAACGGGTCATTACGGCTCCACGGATCCACTGTGTGATGTTGCAAAAAGCTTGTTCCTGAAATGGCGTACTGTTCGATATCAAGCTTCCCAGTGCTTGCTTGGTCACCGATGATCTGGATATCAGCTCCAACGACCACAATTTGACCATGTCAGAGCATTTTATTTTCATCCATACTGAACAAAGACTTTGAGGCTGGTTGCTATTTCCATTGTGTTTTCTGCTTGACTTATCGGGCAACGACACATGTTTGGCAAGGTACCTACCGTATGCATGGACCTGCTGACGGCTTCTGGTGTCCCCCAACCTCACGTTGCAGTGTCTGCATGCCGCCTGCACGCATACTGATGCAAGCCCAGCGTTCCGGATGCTCTGCACAAAGATGTTTCATGTTGGGACAAAGCAATCCGAGGTCTAATGCTCCCGCCGCAACTAATGTCGACCAAAGGTAAGGATGCGAAGCGTGTGGCCAAACTTGCGCAAAACAAGAATGACAGTTACAACCATGAAACGTGCGGTTTCTAGACGGTCGCTACTATCACAAGACAGGTACGATGAGAGTAATCAAAGTTTGGCTATAATGTACAACCGGTTTCGATCAAGAATTTCGCTTTCTAGCAGTCCTTTGCCTTTGTTGTAAGCTTGTTCCACTGCGACGCAACTGGTGCAAGAACTTCTGGAGCACAACGGGACTGACCGAAGAAAAAGCAATCGAGCACAATGCCACAGAACGTAGTCAATCATGTCAAGAGAGCCACAGAACAGGAGCCGGCTCCAGCTGGTGTCACAGCTCCTTACTCTGTGGCTCGTCTCAACTTAGCAAGAGTTGCTTTTCCTGCGCGGCTTTCGTTTGGCTTGCCAATCTCGCTGGTAATCCAATCACCAATTTTGCTAATCTCAGACAGATCAATACCGGTGTTGACTCCGAGACTTTCAAGAGAATACACCAGGTCCTCGGTCGCAACATTTCCAGTCGCACCAGGCGAGTAAGGGCAGCCACCCAAACCACCGACGGCAGAATCAAAGGTTCGAATACCATGTTCCAATCCCACGAGAGTGTTGACCATTGCTTGACCAAAAGTGTCATGGAAATGCAGAGCTAGGTCGTTGTTTCGGATGCCCGCGGCAGTAAGGGTACGCAACAACTCTCTTGTGCGAGGCGCTGTGCCCATTCCCGTGGTGTCTGCTACCGAGATCTCATCTGCTCCCATCTCCAGAAGGCTAGCAGCTAGTTCTGCTACTTTGTGGGGGTCTACATCAGGTCCTTCGAAGGGACAACCCAGAGCAACAGAAATGTAAGCACGCACGCCAAACCCCTTGTCTCTGGCAGAAGTGATCAAAGGTTGGAACCTCTCAAGAGATTCAGCGATGCTGCAATTTGTGTTCTTCTGTGAGAAAGATTCGGTAGCTGCAAGGAAGATTGAAACCTCATGCTTTGGTTGCTCAAGACTGGATTTTGAATCCATAGCAGCGGCACCAGAAGTTGCAGAGGGCATGTCATTCGGGTTCTGAGTAGAAGTATTCTGAGCAGGACCAGAATCATGGGCTGGAGATGGTGGAGGTGTTGGGTAAGAAGCATCTCCCTGAGTAGAGTTTTGAGATTGAATTGAGAAGAAGTTGTCTAGACCTTTCATGTTAGGTAACAACCATTGGTAAGTGATGGGCTGGTAGGTTTGAGGAGGCTGTTGCAAGATGTTTTGCAGAACTTTGTCTGAGCTGGCCATCTGNNCTGATCATCAGTCTTGGTTCGCGATATATTGATATTGACTTACTTGTGGAGTCCATTTGGGGTGAACAAATGAACCAGCTTCGATAGTTCTGAGTCCAGTGGCAGCAAGTCTTCTAACCAAATCAATCTTGGTCTCTGGCGAGATTGAAGATTTTTCGTTCTGCAGACCATCTCTGGGTCCGACTTCGACAATTCTAACGTGGTCTGCAGATCTCTTGGATGTGACAGAGAAGCATCGTCTGCTCAGAGCCCTAGGTATCCTTGTATGTCTCAATGGACGCATTAGCCCAGACATTGTTATCCAAAATGTCGATAGAGGCGATGGTCGAGGCTTATTGATATGCAGCTCCGGAGCGATGAGAACGCAAGTCGTCTTGTACCAACAATAGTGCTTGGTCACAAAGATGGAGTGATGCCTCGGGTGGTGGGTGTGGAGAGAAGGGAGCGGGGGCGGCAGGGCGCGAGTCAAGGCCCGCGGCGTTTCTGTGGCCGATCCCGCATGGCGCGCCGAGGTGGTAATCATGATATTTTTTTGGCAGCTCATCAACTTTTTGCACCACACCCAAAATGGAGCAAGACCGACAACAAGCAGATCTCTCGACTCCGGAACTCGACGGCGAATCGATAGCCGTGTCTAGACAGCCCAAGAAGCGTTTCATCGGACGCAGAGCTGCCGCAGAGAAGGCGGCTGCCAAAGGCGAGACAAATGGCGGGATTGAAGACAGTGGAGCTATCCAAGGTCCGCACCTCTTTCTTCCTCCTCGCATCACATGTACTGAAAACTCGACACANGTTGCTGCACCTCGAAGGAGTGCCCGTGCCTTGAACCAAGTTCCTCCCGAGATTCTGAACGACCAAGACATCAACGCTGCCATCTCGCTACTCCCCTCCAACTACAACTTCGAAATCCACAAGACCATCCACAAAGTCCGCACCGCCGGAGCCAAGAAGATCGCCTTGCAGTTCCCCGAAGGACTCCTTCTGTTTGCGACAACCATCTCGGATATCATCACACGCTTCTGCCCGGACACGAGTACCTTGATCATGGGAGATGTGACATATGGCGCGTGCTGCATCGACGACTATACGGCGCGCGCCCTGGGCTGTGACATGCTCGTGCACTATGCCCACAGTTGTTTGATCCCTGTCAGCGTAACGCAGATTCAGACCCTGTACGTCTTTGTCGACATTGGCATAGACGTCTCACACCTTTTGGCCACCATCGAGCGCAATTTCAAAGCGGGTTCCAGGATTGCTATGGTTGGCACCATCCAGTTCAATGCGACGCTGCATGGTACGGCACCGCAGCTGCGGAACGCGGGCTACGACGTCGTGATACCGCAGATTGCGCCGCTGAGCAAAGGCGAGATTCTGGGTTGCACAAGTCCGGCGCTCAAGGACGAGGACAAGATTGACTCGATTCTATATCTGGGAGACGGACGCTTCCACCTGGAGAGTGCCATGATACACAATCCGACAATACCAGCATACCGATACGATCCCTATTCCAGGCGGTTAACACACGAAACATACGACCACGAGCAGATGATGTCTCTACGAAGTGAAGCCATCAGGTCGGCAGGAAAAGCAAAGAAGTGGGGGCTGATTCTAGGATCGCTCGGAAGACAAGGAAACCCGCATACAATGACCATGATTGAGCAGCGGCTGCAAGAGAAGGGCATACCGTGGGTGAATCTGCTGCTCAGTGAAATCTTCCCAGGCAAACTGGGAATGATGGACGATGTTGAGTGCTGGGTGCAGGTGGCATGCCCTAGACTGAGTATCGACTGNGGGTATGCATTCCCGCGGCCACTGTTGACGCCGTACGAGGCATTGGTGGTGTTGGGCGAGCGAGAAGGATGGGAAGGAGATAAGAAGGTATATCCGATGGACTTTTATGGCAAGGATGGACTTGGAAGAACAAAGGCAGAGGATGTGGCAGCGAGGACGCGGGCAGTCCAAAGTGTCGCATAGTAATGTCAGTCAAATAGAGAAGACGAAACGGCGTTTCTTCTCTTGCCATAAAGTTTGTGATGTTGTTGTGGTGCAAGCATGTTGTCAGCGCTGGAGCCGGCGTCGATGGTAACATGGATGGCCAGGGACGTGTTTCAAGAAAGCGTCCAACTCTCTGCGCTCCCTGACATGAGCAATTGAGACTCTCACACAACAATGGCAAGTCTGGCGCTGGGCGTGGGACAGACGATCGAGCTCAACGATGGACGGCACGCGATTGTGCGATTTCTGGGAGCGACGGGGTTTGCGCCAGGAGAATGGGTCGGTGTAGAGCTGGACGAGGCCACGGGAAAGAATGACGGCTCGGTCAAGGGCGAGCGCTACTTTGACTGCGAGGCCAACTATGGCATGTTCCTGCGCGCTGCAGGAGTCAGTCGCATCGTGAGTCGCCCATCGACGCGACCTACGAGCATCAACCTCCCGCCAGCTCTCGACACGGCCAAAGCTGCCTCTGCCCTGCCCTCNCCCTACCAAGTCGCCCACCAAGATCAGTCGCACCGCTACACCCTCGGCCGCTCAGCCTACTCGGAACGCCACCCTCCTACTGCCACCACGGCCGCACGTCGACCTCTGTCCACTGCCGCTACCAAGCCGCGCACCGCCTCGAACCTGAGTGGTCCCTCTACCCTGTCCGCTGCCGCCAGGAGATCATCCACCGTACCCTCGTCCAACTCGACTACTACAGCTCAAACTCCACGCAATCCTGCCTCGACCGCTGCACCAGCTTCATCTCGTTTGACCACCCGAACAATCTCCACCACCAGAGGCCTCACTCCTGCCGCCAGACAGCCTTCTACAGCCACAAAACAGACGCCTGCCGCTCGCCGTGTATCCTCTGCTCCGAGACAGCCCCAGCCTCAAGATTCTCCTTCACCCAAACCATCTCCCAGCGCTCCTGCAGACGACTCCCATACTCAACATGCCGAAGAGACTGAAGATGCTCCTCAATCCTTTGCTCCCTCTTCCAAACCTGCTACCTCTCCCGCTGCTTCTCATGCCTCGATACTTCCAACCAAGACTACCGCCCGCGAGGTCGAGGATTTACAGACAAAGATGAAGATTATGGANACGCAAGCGTCAGGAGGATCGCGATGCTCTCAAAAAATGCAGAATGTCGAACAGGAGCGCGACAAGTACGCAAACATTGTCCAGAAGATGCAGTCCAAGATGCAAGCTCAGTCGCATGAATTGAATGATCTGCGAGGTCAACTCAAGGACTCGGAAACCCGCTTGATCGACATCGAAGCCATCCAAGCTGAGCACGATGCCGTTGTCGAAATGGCCACTCTCGATCGTGAAATGGCCGAGGAGACGGCTGAATCTCTCAAGACCGAGCTTGATTCCTTGCGGACTAGNCAACGAGGAAATGCGCCTGGAGCTCGACATACTCAAGGAGGAAAACGAAGAACTGGGCAGGAGATGAACCCTGAGGAGCGCACAAGTCAAGGCTGGCTCCAGCTAGAACGCTCAAACGAAAGACTCAGGGAAGCTCTGTTAAGGCTGCGTGACATGACACAAGAGCAGGAGGCTGTTTTGAAGAGTCAAATCACTAGTCTAGAAGACGAGGTCAAGGACTTTGGTCTTCTAAAGCACGACTATGAGGAGACTAGGGAAAAGCTACTAGCGACCGAGGCTGACCTAGAAGACATTCGCCAACAGCTTGACGCTGCAATGGGAGCCGAAGACATGATTGAAGAGCTGACTGAACGTAACATGGCCATGCAGGAGAAGATCGACGACTTGGAATTGGTCATTGAAGATCTCGAAAATCTCAAAGAACTCAACGACGAGCTCGAAATCAACCATGTAGAAGCTGAAAAGCAGATGCAGGAGGAGATCGACTTCAAAGACAACATCATCGGCGAACAATCACGTCGCTCTGCACAGCAACAACAGGCTATTGAGGACTGCGAGTACACAATCTCCCGCTTCCGCGAGCTTGTCACCAGCCTGCAAGCCGACCTGGAAGACATGCGTGCCTCCCGCCAGATCACCGAGACTGAAGCAGAAGAATTGTCGAACCGAAGCCGTGCTATGATGGACCTCAACATGAAGCTACAAATGTCTGCCGCCAAGACTCAAATCAAGACTATTGATCTCGAGCTGAGGCGTCTCGAGGCGGAAGAAGCAGCTGAGCACCTGGCCATCGTACAGCTGTTCTTGCCCGACGCATTCAACGCTGAGCGTGACTCGGTTCTGGCTTTACTACGATTCAAGCGTGTAGGCTTCAAGTCTCGTCTGCTCAACAATCTTGTCAAGGAACGTCTGAACGGGCAAGGTACCAAGATTGCGGATGAGGACATATTCGCCGCCTACAGTGTGCTTGACAGACTCACCTGGATTGCCCAGATGAGTGATCGCTTCATCGACGGCATCCGCAGCTGCTCTGCCGAAGAGTTTGCAAGATACGAGAGCGCTTTGTACGAGCTTGAGCCTGTTGAGAGAGCGTTGAACGCCTACATTGATGCTATCAAGCGTGATGATCTGAAAGAAGGCAGAGTGGACGAGGAGCTGCAAAGATCAATGGCAGTCATGTCTCATCTGGCCTCTCTGCATATCAAGGAGTCGCTTGCTGCATCTGCCAGTGATATGCTCATGCAGGCCTCGCTGGTCCAGACCCATTTGGACAGCACCTCGTCGGCCCTCGGTCTGTGCAGGTCCCTGGTGCAGAGCCATGTACCGGTCGCCCAATCTGAAGAGTCTGAAGAGTCCAACCTGTTCACACAACTGGACAACATCATCTCCAGTCTTAGAAGTGCTCGTGTTATTGTGAACAAGACGCACCGCAATGTCACAGACCTGCAATCACGCTCACTGGCATTGGGTCCTGCGCACCTCGGACTTCTTACTTCTACAGAGAGTCTGACCTCAAAGCTCGCCGTCTTCGGACGTCGTGCAGGCGAGAAGATCCAGAGTCTCTTTGGCGAGGAAGGCCGTGAAGAGTCCGTCACCTTGAGCGAGACTGAGCTCCTCCTGACCCGTCTGTCCGCAAGCATCTTCGGCAGCGGCTCAGCAGAGACGACACCTTTCGCCACGTTGACAACCTACCTCGCCTCGCTGACCACCCAACTCAATGAGCTCAGCGAGATCTCCGCCAACCTCGAAAACACTCAAGAATTCGAGCGTCCTGCCGAGCCATGGGTCACTCGCAGCGTCACCCTCCGCGCAACCAAGCTCACCTCCGTCGACACTGAAGCAGAGGTCGGCCGTCTCACCGAGATTGTGCGCGAACGCTCTCTGCTCGTCCGCTCGAAAGAGCAGGAGCTCGAGGAGCAGAGTGTCCGTATCGAAATGCTCGAAGCACGCATGGCCGAAGCCACGAAACGATCCTCAGCCCTCGTAGACTTGGAAACCTCTATCGCGGTCTTGCAAAGCGAAAAGACTACCCATCAGACCGCTTTGACCGAAGCTGAGCAACGAGTCACAAGGTTACGCAAGGAAAGAGACGAGTGGAGGAAATTAGCAGAAGAGAACAGACCTGATGCCACTGCTACAAAGAACATGGCTACGGAGATGGGAGGCGCAAGCAAGATGGAGCTCGATAGAGCCAAGCTCCGCATCGACAGCCTGGAGTCTGCTATCCGCTATCTCCAACAGCAATCTGCGCCCAAACCTGCCACACATGGCTATTCTGATCTGGACTGGCTAGAAGCACCATTGATTTCACAGCTACCGAAGGCAGTGCAACGACAGAAGGCTCTGCAAGCAGAAGGAAAAACTGCTTTCACCGAATTGCTCAAACTCGTGACCGATTCTAAGCCAGTCTCTCTCAGTGACATGCCAAAGAACAGGCTGGCATGGCGCCCTGCGGCACACACTGCCAAGTGGCATGCTCAGAAGAAGAAGGAAGATTGGGCTACATGGCAAGATTGGGAGCGCGATCTTCTTGACCGAGTAGAGGGCAAGAAGCTGAAGAAGATCAGTAGGCCTTCGAAGAACGAGGCTCTCGACAATCTCCACCACAGCGTTGTCGTTGTAGGAGAAGACGTGTAAGATAGTCAAATCAAGAGATCCTGCAATCGTTGTTTTCTGTGTTCTTCTTGTGCCCTTCTCGTTAGTCCATAAACCTCGGAGCCTGTGGCCTGATTGGGCTAGTCTGCTAGGCATCACGTGCCCTGCTTAGGTTCAAATTTTAGGCCAGTCAATTCGATGATGAACGAAGGTTCAATTGTATATATATTTGAGGTGTTACACAGACTTCCTTTATCTGTACGGGTCTTGTAAAGAGCATGAAAGAGACGTCTTTTGCGTAGGACTCCAGACGAGTCGTGGAATTGAGTTGAACTTGGTGAGGTTGATTTCGGCTAAACAGAACATCTAGAGGGGATCTGAAGGAATTTGCTGATTGAACCATGGGTTTGAGTCTGGTGGATGAATTATGCATGGACAGATAAACGCAACAGACTCGGCTCAAGCATCCCTGGGGCAGATTATGCACGGATGGCCGATCGAATACGGTTTGTCCTTGCATATCATAACTTGGGCAAGTTTTGAGCAGAAAAGCATGTATGTCGGCGTCAAATATGACTTGGTGTAATCGTTTATAAGATGTTTGTGAAATTTTATAGCGATATATGCATACACTAGCCCTGGATTGACGTCAGTGGTTATGAGGGGCACTTGTTTATATCCAAGAAATCGACGAGGCACCAACAAACATGCAACGAACAACACTTCAGCTTTTCCGCAGAACACCAAGAATAATCTTCAAATCCAGAACACCACGCAGAGTTACCATATTTCAACGAGGGCTATCACAAACTCCACGTCTCGCCATGTCATCCGATCAAGAATACGCCAACTTTTTGGAGAAGGCCAACCAGGACACTGGCAGTTCGAGCGAAGTCAAGACCAGTGGATTCGCGCAAACGAAAGCTGTTGATTCTGCTGTGCCTGCGCATCTCAAGAGTGTGGATGCATTCTATCAAAGCGACACTGATGAGCCTTTCGAGCCTGTGGCTCTCAAGTACGGAAAGCAGGGTTCTATCAGTCAAGGTCAGAATCTGTCATGTAGAAGAGCGAGCTCGTACAGGCCAACACTAACGCGTGACNNAGACAAATTTGCCGACCTGATCAACCATTCTAGCGAGGTGGAGGAGATCAGTGTCAAGGACTGGAATGTCAAGAACCACTACGCCGAGGTTGTTGGGGCTGTCAAGAAGGCTGGCAGCGACAAGGCCGACGTGAAGGTATTCCGTGTCGCTCATGGTAGCACCCGCTGTGAGTACTACATCGTCACGCTGAACGATGAGGGTGTCGTTGTCGGTGTCAAGGCCAAGGCTGTTGAGAGCTAAAATCTCTCTTATCACATTCGGCGCCTATTTTCTATGCCTAGCTCATTCTAGGTAACCTTGATACCCATTCTCAATTCGATTCTATCCAAGCAGAACTTGGCAGCGCTAAAGTCGTAAGAGTGATACTTTAGGTCTACTGATGTACAAGACGCACACAAAGCACACTGGCTGCTGCTGCACTACCTCCTAGCCCAACCATCTTGAGGCCCTCATATGTCCTACTCTTCCAACTTCTCTCTCCCAGCAGCGCGGTCTTCCCTACACCAAAGCCGAACAGTGTAAATACCATAACCACCACTGAACAGATCAAGGCAACTCCTCCATCAGCAATAAATACGTAGGGTAATAACGGTATCAAACCGCCAAAGAAGTAGCCTAAAGCAATGCATACAGCACTTGTGTACAACCGTGGTGACACATCAGCAGAGTCAAAGCGATGTTGATGCTCAAGTAGAAAAGCGACAGTCTTGTCGTGATTGGCAGTAATATCGTCAGCCACAGCATCCAGCAGAGCAGCAGAAACGTAGCACTCTAGTGTTGATACCACTGCTGCTCTTGCCTCTGCAGGCGATGTATGCACCATTCCAATGGTGTTTGCTTTTGTCGTTGCTGCAGATTNGTCTAGTCCACCATCAGCAAGGTCAAAGGTGAAGTAACACGAACAACAAACTCACGCTTCACCACTAGCTCCCAAATACCCTCCAATTCCCATGGAAATGCTGCCAGCCAAAATCTCTGCCACACCGGCAAACACGACGATCTTTGTGTCACCCAGAGCTGCTAAGCCNNGCTGGAGGCAAAGGTACAATTAGCATACTTCTTGTATGAGAATAGTATACATAGCAGCTGAACCCCCATCTGATGGATTTATGTACCCTCATCTTACTTACGCTGTCAAGGCGAAAGGCACAGTTAGGCCATCGCTTAGTCCTAGTGTTGCGTCTGATATCGTACGGGGATCGATTTGCCATCTTGAGGATTTTGAGTATGCTGAAGAGAACTGTGTTGATGATTCAGATGGTGACGAGGGCTCCTTTTCTGAGTCGTGGTTATTGGAGGTCGGTAGAGGTGCATAGGCTCCGGAATCATCATTCCGGAATAAAGATGTGATGGTGTTGAAAGACATGTTTGTCAAAGTATGCACACAATTTGTCCTGTTGAGTTGTGTAAGAGCCAGATGTGAAGTGGATTGTATTTACAGTTGTCGAAGAAAGGCGCGAAGAATCAAGAGTCAAGATTCAGGTGCAGGACGAGGGAAGTCTATATATCCTCAAGCTCACCCACATGTTGAGCGGCACGATTTTTCCGCCTGCCCCGTCCCCGCAGGTTCGAGATAAAAGGTTCGTGACACTACGTCTTGTGGTACTGTGTACTATGTGGTGGTAGGAAGTAAGACTCGCTTGAAGTAAAATGGTTGGTTCTTGGAATCTCGAAATCAATGAGACTCATGATTATCACAGCAACTTTGAAGAACGAGCAATAAAACCAAATTTTCATACTCGTGCAGAAACGACAGTATCATCTAACTTTTGAATCAAAAAACGAGTCTATCAACGAAAATGCACATTCTGTATCTACGCCCAGCCTTGAGGGGGTGCATGCCGTCAGGGATCTGAACGGTGTTTTGATAGTAGGTCTGGTTCTGCAGAGAAGCATCACCCCAAGTACGAGCGATCTTGCCGAGAACCTTGCGACCGTTTCTGACGAGCTTGGTGTTGGGGACGGGCAAACCAGTGACTCTGTCGCCATCGCTGAAAGGGCCGGCGAATGAGCTGTTGAAGAAATGGCTAGTGTTGGGACCGGAGGCAGCGTCCCATGCCGTGTTCTCATCACCAGTCTTGTCGGCAACGAAAGAGAAGATGTTGGCACCAACATCCCAGCGACCAAGAGTGTGCAAGTTCCAGTTGGCCTCTACAGTGCTGATCTCGGAGTAGTGGTTGTAGAACAGGAGGTCAGTGGTGCCAACGAGCTTCTTGGGAACAGCATCGCCGAGAAGAATGCTGAAGACACGGTTCTGGATGGTGTAGGTGTGAGACTCGTCGAAGGTGACCAGAACAAGGGTGTTCTTCATGAAGTGCTTGTCGTTAAGAAGAGGCTCCAAGAAGCTGCGAGTCCAAGCACCAGCAGTGGTGACACTAGTGTCGTGGCCGTCGTCGGTCCTGAAGCGAAGGTACGATTAGCATAATCTTACCAAGCTAACTGCAAGACCTCCCCATGTGCTAAAGTGTGTAACGCGTGTACCTATCGGAATGCACAGTATCATCAAGAGACAAGGCAGTATCCACTGAGAGCTACAACCTCAGCGGCTCTCTTTGGCTACTCCTTTGCTTCGGAGAAGATTGTGCCTTTCCATAGCGTACACTTCGCTGTACACTCTCGTGGGAGAAGGATGGAGTGAAAGACTTTGGCACACGCGGAAGGATTACCACAGCTTACTCACATGTTAGGTGTCACAAATCTTCTCTTTCGTTAGTTTGCACGAATCTAGATGGGGATGGATCACTTACATCCACTGAGGAAGCTTCTTGGCTTCGAGGTCGGCATAGAACTCGGTCAAGTTCTTGTTCTTGGCCAGTCGCTCGGGGCTGGTGTTGGCATCGTAGATGACAGCAGGGTTGTGTTTTCTGACGTAGTCGTTTGCCTTGGTCTGCTGATTGACCCAGGCCTTGCCTTCAAACCCAGAGTAAGGCATGTGTTCTTGGTATTGCGACCATGAAACACCCTTGTCGTCCAGCAAGTCGATGATACTGGAGACGTTGCCAGGAATCGCGTTAAAGTCGTCGTTGTCCATTCCAAAGTTGTCGCTAATCTTTGTTAGAATTACTACTAGAGTAACCAAGAATTTTGAAAGTTCCTACCCTCCGATGGCAGCAACATAGTTGGGCTCACTAGGATGGGTGACTCCGTTATAATTACTTAGTGTGATACCCTTCTTAGCCAGCCAGGCAAGGTTAGGGTCGCTAGCGGCCTTGTCATAGTCGGTGTTCTCGAGCCAGATAGTCACGAAGCGGTCGAACACCTTGCCTTTGACATTGCTGGTCGGGCTAAGTGTCAAGGCACTGTCGCGAGCAGTGTCGACATCTGATGGGTCGGTGGAAGTGAAGTTGGCAGCAAGTGCCTGGCTCGAGAGAGCCAGTGCAGAAAGAACGAGAGTAGAGGAAAACATTGCAGATCTAATGAGTGATGTTGGACTAACCTTCAGGGATGTGCGTGGGCAGTGTCGACCTTTAACTAAATTATATCTCTCGAACCAGCTCATCTTACCCCTGCCGTCGCCACGGCGTATGCGCAAGCAGCGCGTACGGCAGCCATTCGACCTGACTGGAGCGGTTTAAGCGGCTGGTTGAGAATGGCTCAGGTCCATGAACCCTAGACACGTGTAGACTCTTGCTGCAGACAGCATGTAATAGCCGCGTCTTTATTGGTGCGTCGGAGGTCATTATTGAAGCTCCTGCTTTAGCAAGAGAATAAGCATATCGGTTGGAAATTCATGCTCCACTATCAAGTGTGTTGGACGATCGACCAAGGCATGAAGAAAGTCGGTTGAACTGCGTTGTGGGGAGCACATGGCACGAACACGCGGTCGTGATTGGCTCGTTGAACGTGGTTTGCTTCTCCGAGCACCTTCCTTTCGCGACCACATTCTGCGGATGTTCGGCGCGCGCAAATTCGAGAACAAGCACTGCCGCGATTTTCTGGGCGTGTCTTGATATGATTTGGCTCTCATCCTCCCGCTGATGCATCAACCTGCAGAGCAACGAAGTTCGAGAAGGTTTGCGTGTTGGGAGCCGCGATATTGACCTCGCCACATGATGTCGTTGTACTCATAGGTAAAGTTTTGGGACGCTGCACCGCAGCACTCCTACAACCAGAAATTTGCACCATTTGATCTCGCGTCTTGTTGTTACAGTCGGTCAAAGTCCGAAGGTCCCACCTTTTACTTGCACACAATGCCAGTAGCAGATGAAGAAGTCGCTTTGAGCGAGACTTCCGAGCAGTGGTCAGACGGCGATGCTCAGCGTAGAGCTTTACTGGACGAAGAGAATTTCCGGCCGCATGTCGAAGTGTGGTCATTCAAGTGGTGGCAGTATGCGCTGCTCTTCCTGATATCGGTCATATTGCTTGTACCATTTGCGGTCAACCTTGCACCTAAAGGCTCATCTTGGAAGGAGATTACGAGTATCGACACGTCGCAACCAGATCCAGATGTCAATGACCAGCAGTTTGGGCAATCCGAGTCACTCAGTCAACCTCAGTCCCCTGGTGGTGCAACACTGCCCAGAGACGAATACTTGCTTGATCCTGCTTGGGACTATGGAGCCGCTCCAACTACAAGGCAATATCATTGGACTCTCACCGAGACGGAACTAAATCCAGATGGCGTCTGGAGGCCGATGCTGCTCATCAACAATCAATTCCCCGGTCCTCTGATCGAGGTCAACGAACATGACACCATAAGAGTCGTTGTCGACAATCAAATGACCAACGCGACATCTATACACTGGCATGGAATATATCAGAATGGCACCAATTCTATGGACGGCACTGTCGGCATTACGGGTTGCCCGATCGCTCCAAATCACAGCTTCACTTATGAGTTCAAGGTATACGGGCAGAGTGGCAGCTATTGGTATCATGCGCATCAAGGCATGCAAGCATCAGACGGTCTGGTGGGACCTTTGGTCATCCATTCGAAAGACGAGAAGCAACTGCAACAAATTCAATATGCTAGCGACCGTATAATCATGCTTTCCGACCATTACCACGATCTTACTGGAGTACTCTTGAGGAAGTATTTGGCTCCGGACATGGAAAACGCAGAGCCCGTACCGGATGGAGCTCTAATTAATGGTCGTGCCATTCGAAATTGCGACGATCTGCCACACAGAAGATGCGATAACACCACGAGCAATGTTGGAATCCCTGCCTTTGACCTCGAGCCAAACCGACACCACAGATTACGCATCATGAACGTCGGCGCATTTGCCGAGTTCCAGTTTCAAATCGACGAGCATGAGCTGGCAGTCACAGAAGTTGACGGTACTGATGTGCGACCAACGAACTATCATCGTCTCAACATCAACCCCGCTCAACGCTACAGTGTAGTCGTCCACACAGACAAAAGGGAAAGAACCAGCTTCAGGATGAGAGCTCGAATGATTACTCATTGTTTCGCTGAGAAGAACCCATACATGGTCGACTCTGTACAGGGCATTGTGCAATACAGCAGCAACTCTGGATTCACGGCGGCAAACGAGCTACCCGATACTATTGACTGGGATGAAGCAATTGGCCTCGAATGCAAGGATCTGAACACCACAGAACTAGTGCCTGTTCAAGTTGTTGCAGCTCCTGAAAAAGCCGATGCCTTCTTCTATCTGAGATCCAACTTCGAGATAGGCGCCTACAGACTCTCTAGAGGCAAGTTTAATACGAGTAGTTGGCGTGGGGATGTCAAGAATCCCACATTGTTCCGATCCATCGATGGTCTACAGGCCAAGAACGCATCCTTCGACGCAGAACACGACGACGGAGCTGTATTTGTCAACGATAGGGCGTTCAATCAACCTACCGAGCTCACCATCCAGTCGTCAGGCATTCAAACTATCGACGTCTTGATATCCAACTTCGATGACGGGTGAGCCAAATTCTCCACCATAATCTTACGGCTCGCTAATCGGCAGACAGTNAACCATCCATACCATCTTCATGGCTACAAGTTCTGGGTTCTGGCTCAAGGTCATGGGTACCCTCCTAGAAAGTCGCTTGATGGAGCCATGGATTTGGACAACCTCTCACCGCTCTATGAATCCCTGGATCTCTCGAATCCTATGCGTCGCGATACAGCTAGCGTTGAAGCATTTGGCTGGGCCTTGATACGATTTGTAGCCGACAATCCTGGTGCCTGGGCCTTTCACTGCCATATCTCGTGGCATGCAGAAGCCGGTCTTCTCATGCAAGTCCTCACACGCACCGATCTGCTGATTGGTAGCGAGATATCAGAGGCGCATCGAGAACTTTGCAGAGCTGATGGTCTAGAAAAAGGTATGGGTCCGAAGGATGAGATTTATTATGATGAAGCGTGATCGCTTATTAGCGATAAGGGTAATTGGTCTGTCACCCTGGACTTATTCCCTCCTCCTTCACGTGTTTGTTCTTATCACCCCCATTCCTCTACAATCAACCGGGATGCATGTGTGTCATCAGCTGGATGGCTCAATTCTCCTCAGAGCTCGCTTGCTCCAGCAGCTCTAGCTGTTGCACTGGTAGTTTTGCTACTGATGGCACATGACCTGTGAAAAGCGGAATTCTTCCGCTAGCTGATCTGCTTGCCTTCACACACAACTCGCAGGAGGATTTTGGGACAAGACTTAGGAGGCGAGGCATTGATATCGTGTTCCGAAGGATACGGATCTGGGCTTCGGTAACACTTACCTTCGTGGTGATGCTCGCAAGACATTGATTTGTCTTGAAGACAAATGACCTTATACTCATTGGCCTGCCGGGACGTCTATCAAAGCGGCTATGCACATTCGCCTCGCTTCTGCAGCTATTAGCAGTTAAATCGGCATGGCAAACGGGCGATCATCCCTGACATGAGAGCCATCCACAAGTTCCGCTGCTGCCAAGCTGCCTTGGCATACCAATCNNACTTTCGCTCGCCAAGTCTAATTCCGCATCCTTACATTGCTTTGTCCTTTTCGACCTTCTTCTTTGGGACACACATCCTACCTCAGCATGTAANCAGAGGGTGGGTCGAATGTCTTGGATCGTGTCCGCACCTCATCTTNNCGACCGCTCAGACTCGAGTACATGTGTACAGCCGCCACCGTCGAATATTCGCTATCTCTTGGCTTTTGGCACCATTGTCAACCGCTTCTGATAACAATTGACTTGGTGTGTAACTATGGATCCGCGGTCTGACATGATAAAGTTTTGGCAGGAGGAATGTTGCACAATTTCCCCTCATCTCGACTAGGTATATAACAAGCTGTTCCTCATTCTGATGAAGACTCTCGGTTGATCTTGTGCTTCGTCCCAATCATTTACTTTCACGGTGCACTCCACCTAAGGACAATCTCGACAATGAGCAACAATACTCTCGATGCCAATGAGCTCGCCAAAGCTCATGTCCCCGATGCATCCATGCAAGGTACAGCCTTCGAGAGGAATGCTGGCCGTGGATCAATGGATGTCGGCAAAGTTGAGCCTCTCTACGAAGTGAGAACCCCGGAAACGGAAGAGTACGACGACACGCCTACTGAGGAGGACCTCAAAACTCTGCGCCGTGTCTCTGGCAAGATCAAGTGGGCCGCTTACACTGTCGCCTTTGCTGAACTAGCGGAACGTTTTTCCTACTACGGAAGCTCCATCTTGTACACCAACTTTGTGCAATGGCCTTTGCCTGAAGGCTCAAGAACAGGTGCTGGTGGTCTTCATGGCCAGCCCGGTGCGCTTGGCATGGGTCAGAGCGCAGCACAGGGTATCAGCTTGTTCAACCAGTTCTTTGCGTAAGTCCGCTACATCATGACCTCTTTTGGTGGGTTTTCGCTAAGACTTCCTAGATATTTCATGCCCCTGGTAGGAGGTTATGTGGCCGATGCACACCTCGGTCGTTACAAGACTATTCATATCGCCATCGTTATCGGCATCGTTGCTCACATAATCCTTGTGGCTGCGTCTGCACCCGAAGTCATCATCCACAAGACTAGTTCCACTGCCGCATTCATCATCGGTCTTCTCACACTCTGTGTCGGCACTGGTTTCTTTAAAGCAAACATCTCTCCATTGCTTGCTGAGCAGAACACTGATCTTCGGATGCGTGTCGAGACACTCGCGAGTGGAGAAAGAGTGATTGTTGACCCAGCCGTAACCAATTCTAGAATCTTCCTCTATTTCTACTTCTGTGTCAACATCGGCTCCTTGACTGGACAGATATCTATGGTCTACGTCGAGAAGTTCGTGGGCTTCTGGCTCGCTGTAAGTGGTTGGCATTATCGTCGCTGTCATCGTAGTATCTAACTATGGTGTTAGTTTCTCCTCCCAACCATCCTTTTCGTGGCTGCCCCTATTGTTCTCTTCTTCAACCGCAAGAATTATATTCTAAGCCCGCCTACTGGTTCTATCTTGTCTAAGTTCTTCCATATGCTTGGCTTCACCTGGAAGAACAAGCAAGGCAAATTTGATTGGGATATCGCAAAACCGTCCAATGTCCCTATCGAGAGACGCCCGATCTGGATGACATATGACGATGCTTGGGTGGAAGAAGTCAAGCGTGGTCTTCGTGCTTGCAAGGTCTTCCTCTTCTTGCCTCTATTTTTCGTAAGTGGTTTTTTTCCTTTGCTATAAAATTTTGAGCTCCATTTTCGCAGCGACCACATCTCGGAAATACTTGAAGAAGCACAGTATAACCGTCAAGAACGTTCGAGCATATTCGAAAGTTCTTTGGCGATTGAGAAGATTCTGCAAATAGTTCTGTGATGTGGTAGGCTCAGACTTCGGCGCCGGAGGCTTCTTACTACTGTCTATACCGAGCGCATACTAATAGCCTTGATAGCTCGCGTACAATCAAATGACTGGAAATTTGACCAGTCAGGCCGCTACCCTTCAACTGAACGGTGTCCCAAACGATATCATCCAAAACCTCAATCCAATTTCGATTGTCATCATGATCCCAATCCTGGATCACGTCATCTACCCTGGTTTCCGCAAGATGGGTTTCGCATTCACTCCCATTAAGCGTATGACAGTCGGGTTCTTTTTCGCTGCAGGATCTATGCTCGCCGCCGCAGTGATGCAGCACTTCATCTATGTGAAATCGCCCTGTAGAACTCATGCATCCGACCCTGACTGCATCGAGGAGTTTGGCAAGGCCGACATCAACGTTTGGGCCCAAGTTCTGCCATATGTCTTCATCGGTATTGCCGAAATCTTCACAAACGTCACCTCTCTCGAGTACGCTTACGCCAAAGCACCTGCCAACATGAAGTCCATGGTCATGTCTATCAACCTTTTCATGAGTGCCTTCGCCTCTGCAATTGGACAGGCATTCACACCTCTCTCTGAGGACCCTCTCCTTGTCTGGAACTACACAATCATCACTGTCCTTGCTTTCCTGGGTGGTGTGGGATTCTGGTACTGCTTCCACCACTTAGATGCCGAAGAAGACAAGTTGAACATGCTTGAGCGTAGCGTCATGCAGGGCAAGAACACTGTACTTGAACCTAAGGACACTGAAGCCCAGGTCCAACACGTTCACGAACAGAAGAACTGATGCATCGATCCTGATTTTGTATCGTCTCCTTAGCCTCGAAAACGTTCGTTACAAAATCCCCGACTGATAGTATGAAGTAAAGTATAATGAAGATGGTTGTTCATACTTATGCATCATCAGGTCTTGCTAAATATTATCGCTGAATAATACTGAAGACTATATATTGCCAAGTTCTATCCAGCTGTTATTGAAAGGAATAACACCTCGTGCATGGGCGAGTAATCCAGAGAAATGCGGGATAGCAAACTTGCAGCATTGGAGACGAAGGCTTGTAGCACTCATAAAGTCCAGATCAATCGAGCATGATATCATCAACGCCCAGCATCGGAGTAATTGATCACAAATCTCTGTCACATTCAATGTGACAGCCATGTTGATTTTAGCATTGGTCATGGTCATGAGGTTAGGAAGGTTTGACTAGTTCAAACGACGTTTTGCTTATAGCTTGGGGTTGTAGAAGGAAGGAGCGAGGGGCGCACTTGCCAGTCTTGCGGAGGTGTTGAACCCTCGTCTCGCCAGACCTCGTCTATATCGTCATCTTGAGGTATCTTGTTGCTCGAGGTCTCGGGAACTCTTTCCATCAAGATGGTTTTCATAGAGCTCCTGAGCCTCTCAAAAATACTCGAGTAGCTCGCTGAACTCAATTCATCAAATGTCTCCAAGCGAAGGCTCAGACGACATTGACTCTCGCAAGTGACCCCGAAGATCACGTTCCTATATTCCACTCGTCTCCTTGACGACGCGAGGCTAAATATGGTGCTGTGAAAATGCACAAATGTTTTGGCATAAATGCGTTGCCACAGAGAACAACCAAAACGAAGTCTCTCAGTCGTCACCTTTCTACTCCTTGAAAGCACTCTGCATTTATATAACGTGCACAGGCTTACAGATATGGTTTCACAAGGTTAGCGGACGATGACTGAGAGAGCGTGTCAACTGCGACTAGAGAGTGCTCCACTCTGCAGAACAGACTCGAGTCTGTTCAATCAAAAACACTCTTGTCTCGCTTTCGAAGAACTTAGCAGTGAGAGGCATGTTCCATCCAATGATAGCTGGCTTCCACAGGATATACTCTCCATGGTCGTTTGACAAGGAGATTTCGATTCTATGTTTCCTTCATAAGCTGATGGGGAAAAAGACAATCTAGAACCGACTAGCCGCTCCGTCATGTGTTTGGCTCGATTTATTCACATCAAGAGCTGGAGTGCAATGTTGTGGTTGCTCAGAAGTTACCAAGAAAGACGCTGTAGTGCTAACGTCTAGAGTTGCATATCTCTCGAATAGCCACTTGATTCCTGTGTCCGCTTCGGACGCGACATCGAGGTCTTGAATCTTTGATGAAGTGTCGGTGGTATTGGAGAGCATGACTGCAAAATACACATGCCTTGACCGGTTCCGCTACCGATCATCCAATCAGAGCCGTTAACGCCCCGTAAAGCTGCATGTACGACCAGTGGCTTGCATAGATGTCAGCAGTCTCCAGATCAGATCAGTGTTTCTGACCAGGCGCACCGATATTAGAAGCGGCGTCGCTTGGAAGAATGTAAGACGGAGTAAGCTGAAATGTCAATGATAAAACCGCCCTCGATCCCACATTCATAATCCATTGGCCATTCGTATCTTTCTAGTGCGTACTGCAACACTAACATCGGCCGACCCTCAGTTCTGTACTTTCGAAAATGGAGAAATTTGATGACCTGCTTGTCAAGCTTGGAGGGCGCGTCTACAAGCCACAGGGACGTAGACTGGCGTCTATTCCTACGGGTCCACGAGCAATCGACAAAGAAGGGGGCGTTCGTACCAAACCTATGAAGATTATACTCGCTAGTATGTCCAGGACTGGCACCTTCTGTAAGGATGACCTACTGCGACAAGTTCAAAGACATCAACTGACAAGCTCGCTAAGCNNTATGTACACTGCTCTACAGAGACTTGACTTGACTCCGTACCACATGGGTATGATGATTGCTGCTTGCAATGTAACACTGCTAACAGAATATNNAGCGGAGGCCGTGAAAATGGCATCTCGAGATCTGCCGATAGCATGCGAGGCACTGGATGCTCGTGACACCGAGAAAGCGTTCGGGAAAGAAGAATTCGACAAATGGATTGGTGACTTCGACGTTAGTGGATCTTTTTCTCCAAGAAAGGAACTGACATGTACANNGGCGGTCTGCGATGTGCCAATGAATCTGCTGGTCAAAGAACTCCTCGAGGCATACCCAGAAGCCAAAGTCGTCCTCACGACTAGAGATCCTGAGAAATGGCGCAGATCCATCGAGAACTCGGTCGGCCTCATCAGCAAATGGAGAATCTGGCCTTACCTCGCTCTGATCAGTCCTGACTGTGCAGCTTGGGTTCAGATGCTCAACACGATGGACAAAATCATGGACGGATGGAGCATATCTGCTCTAAACCGCCACAACGCAGGCGTCCGAGCAGTTGTGCCCAAGGATCGATTGCTCGAATTCAAATTGGGACAGGACGGTTGGAAAGAGCTCTGTGAATTCATTGAACTCCCGCAGCCTGATGGCGAGTTTCCGAACGTTAACGACGGCAAGATGTTTGTCGCTGTTCATGTACTCCTGATTAACATTTGGTTGATGAAGGCTTTGAAGGATGGAGTGATCCGCATGGCTCCTTGGTTACTCCTGATTGGATCTGTGTTGTTGGCTAGAAGGCTTAGATACGTCTAGAAGGTTAATAATCACAGAGTTGCTGGATCTACCCGAGGTCCCAGGGCGTAGACATTGCATATCACTTCTCCATGTGCAAAGCCTTAGGACTCGGGAAGGAAGGCGCATCCCCTAAGTATATATGAGTAACCATAGGAAACACGGGTTATTGTCGAGCCGAAACTTGTTTGCTTCATTATAGCTATAACGGTGAGTGTGGTGGGTAGCAAGTAATATGTGGTATCGGCTGGTGATACGAGAAGGGGCCGTACTAGTACTAGAGTAATCGATCCATAGTTCCCTGAGTACGGGTAATGCCTTCGATCTTGGTCCTCGTGGAAGTCCAAACTCCACCTCGATGTCGATTATTCGTAGGCTGGAAAAGTATCCATACCTCCAATCCCTTATCTTGGGATGTCAGGACTGTAGCTGAACTTCGGTATGAAACTGCCTTCAGAAGGTCAGATGTTGAACCAACAAGCGCATCGATCAAGACAGGCTTCTCGTTTATTTTTGTGATAGCTTCTTTAGAAGCTCCTCAGACTTCGAAGCATATTAGTTTCTGGTAGCCCTTAGGGCTGCGAGAAGCTGTAATCAGCTGTGATCAACGCCATAGTTTCATGAATCTCATCAAGAATTATGACGATTGGGATTCTAGAAGTCTGAAGATGTGTTGAATGAGACAGCCGAACAGGTGACCTAGATAGAGCGATCGTCGTCGACTTGAACAAGCAGTATAGAGGGGGAGCTATGGCATATGTCGAGAAGGACAGTTGGACCATCTGTACTTGATGCTGCGACGCGAGAACGATAATGAGCATTTGGTTGGCCTGGGAAGAGAAGTGGTCCCCGCCAAGATCCAGCACATCGTCTATTTTTCTCAAATGGGTTAGATCGTTTTAGGGCTGCATATCGGACTCTCTTCCGGCAGCTCACATAATCAATCCTTGTAGATGCGACAACGACTCAGGCTTCAGTGATTGAGGGAGTAGATGATCCATTCTGCGACATTCAGCGCTGTCCAATCGCTATCAATTGAAAAATTCCCACAGATACTTATCAAGCTTGATGCAGGAGACGACTATCCTAGGGTTACAATGGCGCCGAGCGAGAACGATGCCAAGCTGTCGCTTCGCCTCAGGATAAGTTCTCACGCGCAATCTGAGACGTCGGCGTCCTATTTTGACAACCTTGGCCTGCCGAGCCTTGCTCACAGCATAGCATACAGGGCTTCGTAGCCGATATTGGCATTATGCTGGTAGATATGTGGTACTCCACCGTAGACTTTGTAGGTATATAACATGTACGATGCACCTCGAAGCTGAACTGTCTCATCACTTCTTCATTTGTACCATTTCTTCTATTCTTTTCATCTTACCTCTGTCGCTCCTTTGATCATGAGATCTTTCGCTCTTTTCACGTCTGCTCTTGCAGCATTCGCCAGCACCGTCAGCGCTGCTGGTGTCACCGGTGCCGCTGAAGGTTTCGCCAAGGGCGTAACTGGAGGTGGTTCGGCCGCTGCTGTATACCCTACCACCACTGCCGAGCTGGTCTCGTACCTTGGTGACAGCACGCCCCGTGTCATTATTCTCAACAAGACCTTCGACTTCCGCGGTACTGAGGGCACCACCTCTGCCAAGGGTTGCTCTCCTTGGGGTACCGGCAGTCTTTGCCAGCAGGCCATCGACAAGGATAGCTGGTGTGAGAACTACGAATCTTCGGCACCCAAGGTTTGTTGCAATATCGGTTACGTCACCGGTGACACACGGTCTAACAGGAAATAGGTCTCTTCCCTGACTTACGACAAGGCTGGTATGACCGGTATCACTGTCAACTCCAACAAGAGTTTGGTTGGTCAGGGCAACAAGGGTGTCATCATGGGCAAGGGTCTCCGCATGGCCAACGGTGTCAAGAACATCATTATCCAGGTATTAAGAGCAGTGCGAGCCTGTTTCTGCATTTCTGACCCTGAACAAAGNAACATTGCTATCACTGACCTCAACCCTCACTACGTCTGGGGTGGAGATGCCATTACTCTTGCTGGTGAGCCAAAATGGGACCATACTGATATCTAATCTGATTGCTGAATCTCATCAGGCACTGATATGATCTGGATTGACCATGTTACTGTAAGTCCTCCATACTTCTGTCGAATCAACTACTAGCTCCTGAATTCATGGCTGACTTTGCTGCTANNGACCCAACGCATTGCCCGCCAGCACATCGTTCTGGGCGAGTCTGCTTCCGGCAGAGTCACTATCTCCAACTGCGACATCGACGGTTCGTCCACCTGGTCCGCCACCTGTGATGGCCGTCACTACTGGGCTCTGTACTTCACCGGTTCCAACGACATGATCACTTTCAAGGGCAACTACATCCACCACACCTCTGGTCGTTCCCCCAAGGTTCAAGGCAACACCATCCTCCACGCCGTCAACAACTACTGGTAAATGATCCACGATCAAGTTTGAAGCTCCTTGCTAACATCTCTAGGNTACGATATCGACTCCAAGGGCCATGCTTTCGAGCTGGGCCAAGGCGGTTACGTCCTCGCTGAANNGGGTACGTTTATCTAGCGTCTTTCCACATATTTATGCTGACCTCCTTGTAGAAACAAGTTCCAGAATGTTAATACGGTAATCGAAGCCGGAGCTACTGGCAAGTACTTCACTGTCCCTGGCAGTGGTAGCGTCTGCAGCTCCTTCATCGGCCGCAGCTGCCAGAGCAACGCCTTCGGCAGCTCCGGTGCCTTCTCTTCTGCCGATACCAGCTTCCTTGGTAACTTCGAGGGCAAGAACATTGCTTCTGCTGCTGCTGCCAGCTCTGTCTCCACTGCCAACGTTGGTTACGGCAAGATCTAAGCTAGGAATATGGCTTGGTACCCTATTCAACGATGCTTTGTGATCAATCGTGTTAGATTGTCTACACTCGGACCAATGCAGAAGAGGTCTTTTGGTGGTCATGGGCTTCTGATCGGTGCAGTCTCGTGAAACGGATCAACTGCATTGGTGACTGTGCGTGGAACGGACTGTCGATTATTCAGCTCGTTACTATCTTGTCTTCTATTGTATCAAACTCAGAGTGGCCTTTCTTGAAGCTTTCTACTATTCTCTACCAATTCCACGAGTGCTATGTGATGCATACATCTGAGTGAACATTTACAAATATCAGACTTCAGAAACACAAAACGCACAATAATCAACCACAACCAACACCAATTGACGGATTACCATCTCTATCATGACAAACACAGCTATGAATAGGCAGACCGATATCTAATACTGTTTTAGACAGTGCTGGTAGATGCAGAGGTGAGTTGGAGACTAAAATACTGCTGTCGAGGGGATGACCCTGTCTCGGCAGCCTGTGTGTATCTTTGTCACACCAGCCGGTCTCTAATTGGAACAGAAAAACAGCAGAGCTCTTGGGTCCATCTGGCGCTGTAAAGACTTATACTTCTGCATGTTCTTGCACATTCTCATAGAGAATCGGCTCTCAAAACAAGACTGACTGCCTTGTTTGCTGCCGAGTCCTCCACTTTGGCCGTCGCGAAGCCGTCCCGAAGAGCCGAAAAACGTGGTGGCCTGCCGAAGATCCACACCAACATCAACCAATATCCGACCCATACCGCAATGTTGTCCAATTGATTGTCTCATTTATGTCGCCAGGACAAAGCGCCCATCCGATACGATCATGATCTTACCGTTCGCAACAGCAAAGTTAGGCGCCTAGCGCTGAGGTTGTCAAGGTCTATTCTTCGATGAAAAATTCCGCTCTGGTCTACCAGTCGCAATAGAACGAACAGTGAACTTTATTGGCGAAAGGGGCTCCCACAACGCATTCTGATCATCGAAGACTGCAGATGCAGGAGCTCGCTAATGACACCCAGTCGAGAAATTGTATGATATTCACGCAAACCATTGGTTCTAATACACCCCGCCTTATAGCATGCTGTTGTAGGATCGAAAGTAACTGCATCCTTCTCCGCCAGATGCGCCCCTCAGCTACTTTAGTAGGCAGGTCAGAACAGCACTATCGAATCGCGCGCCTACTCATAAGCCGCCACGATATTTGCATTAGAACAAAGCAGTACAGAGGTCGTGTTCGTGAGAGCATGATCGTGATGAATGATGATGAACTCCTGGAACTTTCACATGCTAAGGCGCGCGCTTGTCTGAGAAGCGCGACCTTTGTGAACATGAATCCTGGTTGAGCCAGCACGAAGCGCGAAAGAATTTTCTACAGAGCTCCGTGCTCAGTCAATACTCACCCCGTGGAGAGCCCCACGCAGCTGAATTTATCCACAGTCCCCATGGTGAAGAGGACGTTGAATTTACCATCCCCAAAATCGATCGCCTCCCGAAGCACACCGCTTAATGTTTACCTCTGATATGATACTCTGGAGGATCAAACACCTCATCTTCGACTCGTGCTTTTCAGCCACCCAAGNCCATTCCAAGACATCACAATTTCGGCACTCGCGTGCGGCCTGCCTGTAAGCCTCGGATCAAGCAAACGCAAGCATATCCACAACGCCTCNCACGCTCGCCAGCGTTGCTTGCATGATGCTGCCCGTCCTTTCCGTGTTGGCAGTGGCATGCGCCCGAGACAACGGTCAGCCCTGAGCATCTTCAGGTCTTGGACAGGTAAGCTTAGCCTGGGATTTCCTCTTCATCTGACATACCGTGCAGAGATTTGTATGTGGTGGTTGTGTCACTACAACAAAGTCTGTTTTGACAATTTGGCACAAGCTCGATGCAATACCAGAAACGAGCGTCTAGTTAGGGCATGAGATAACATCCGCCCCGGCTTTGCGACCCATCTCCACTGGGGATCGTTTGGGGTGTTCAACAATTTTCGGTATGGCGCTTCTTTCTGACACGGATCTGAGGTGACGGCCCACTTCGGCCTTCGCCGCATGGTCTGACTGTGCAAGGATGTCTGGCCTTCGGCCCCGTGGAACACACGCCGTGTTGCAAAGGGCCGGGCGTCAAGCGCCTACCGAGTCCTTCCCCGAGTCCCCACCTCCCTCTCCAAATTCCCTCCACACACGAGAATGAAGGTCATCCCCACAACACGCGAGGGAGATCAACTCATGATCTCTCCATGATGAAAAACGTCAGGGTAAACCGTCACACGCTAGAATCACCATACGGTACAGTTGTGATGTACAAGTAGGTACATGTTCTTCGCTTGCATCATGAACTCCGCATTTGGTAGCTGAAGACATCTCATGGAGGAGCCAATCATGGTCGGCTAACATGTACGACCGACCCCGTACCTAAAACGTTCCAGGGTTAGGCATCGCGGGAAAGGTGGGATGGTTGCGGAGCACAAGCTCAATCTCTTTTTGGATTTTCTGTCAGACATCTCCAGACTTGACCACATAAACATGTTCATACTCTGCTATTCCGATCAGGAAACGGCCCGTGATTTCATTTTTCTGTTCCTCATGGCCGAGAAGCACAAGACCGCGAAGCATCATAGGCTGCGAGCTTGTCTTCGAAACCGTAAAATTATTGGATGGCCGAGGCTGGGCTTGCTCGGCCGGTCCTTGCTCGACGTTGGGTGGACCGTTAGTCTAAACCCACATCAAATTTGTAAAGCTTGCCCGGCGTCCCGTTGGTGAGGTTCTCGGCAGAAGCACTTGTTTTGTTGCCAATCAAATGTTCTAGATGGCTTAACGATCGGACCATGTGACTGGACCCGAGCGCTGAACGGCCATTTTCTCGTCGTAGCTCGCCGAAGAAGGCGTCTTTGGTGTTTCTTTTGGGTTAGATCGGGATGTTCTCGATGTAAGATGGGGCCACGCGGGGATCGAGTCGAGAACGAGGGAGGGAATACAAAACCACGAGTTCACGCACCTCTGTTGATGTTAGTATCTCACAAACAGTTCATTCTCTCAAGCCACCGCCAACATGCCTGGTGCTATGCTTGCTACCACTGCTGATGTCAATCAGATTGAGGCTCCAGTCACCTGGAAGGCCTACCTGATTTGCGCCTTTGCTTCCTTCGGAGGTATCTTCTTCGGTTATGACTCTGGTAAGCATCCTATCTTCACACCTGAGTATTCCTTCACTTGCTAACAAGTGGTATANGGTTACATCAACGGTGTCACCGGTTCTCCCGTCTTCGTCGAGCTCATCGAGGGCGCTGGCCAAACCACTCTCTCCGGTCCCCACAACTCTCTCATCACTTCCATCCTCTCTGCCGGTACCTTCTTCGGTGCCATCATCGCTGGTGATGTCGCTGACACCATCGGTCGTCGCTGGACTGTCATTATCGGCTGTCTCATCTACATCATTGGTGTCGTTCTTCAGGTCGCTTCCCACGGTCTTGGTCTCATCGTTGCTGGTCGTCTGGTCGCTGGTCTCGGTGTCGGTTTCGAGTCCGCCATCGTCATTCTTTACATGTCTGAGATCTGCCCTCGCAAGGTCAGAGGTGCTCTCGTCTCCGGTTACCAGTTCTGCATCACCATCGGTCTCCTGTTGGCCTCTTGCATCAACTACGGAACCCAGAACATCAACGGCACTGCTTCTTACCGCATTCCCATCGGTATTCAGTTCCTCTTCGGTCTGATTCTTGGTGGTGGTCTTTTCTTCCTTCCCGATTCTCCTCGTTACTTCGTCAAGCGCGGTAACGTTGAGGCTGCCCGCAGTGCTTTGTCCAGACTTCGTGGCCAGCCCGGTGACTCCGACTACATTGAGGCTGAGCTCGCCGAGATCGTTGCTAACGAGGAATACGAGCGCACCATGATTCCCACCTCTGGCTGGGTTTCTGGCTGGGCCAACTGCTTCAAGGGTTCGCTGTGGAAGCAGAGCAGCAACCTGCGCAAGACTATTCTCGGTACCTCTCTTCAGATGATGCAGCAGTGGACTGGTGTCAACTTCATCTTCTACTACTCTACTCCTTTCCTCAAGTCTACCGGTGCCATTGGCAACGCTTTCTTGATCTCNCTGATCTTCACCCTTGTCAACGTCTGCTCTACTCCCATCTCTTTCTACACTGTTGAGAAGTTCGGTCGTCGTCCTCTGCTCATCTGGGGTGCCTTCGGTATGCTGATCTGCCAGCTTATCGTCGCTGTTGTCGGTGTCACTGTCGGTTTCAACCACACCCACACTGTCCCCAACCCCGCCGGTGGTGACCCTCTTACCCGCGCCAACAACATCTCTGCCGTCAACGCTCAGATCGCCTTCATTGCCATCTTCATCTTCTTCTTTGCTTCCACCTGGGGTCCCGGTGCCTGGGTCTTGATCGGTGAAGTCTTCCCTCTTCCCATCAGATCTCGTGGTGTCGCCCTCTCTACCGCCTCCAACTGGCTCTGGAACACCATCATTGCTGTTATCACGTAAGTCAAGTTCAAATCTCAACTACTCAAGAATCTTTGCTAATCCTTCCTTAGCCCTTACATGGTCAACACCGACGAGGGCAACCTCAGATCGTCTGTCTTCTTCATCTGGGCCGGTCTCTGCACATGCGCCTTCGTCTACAGTTGGTTCTTGGTGCCCGAAACCAGNGGTCTTTCGCTCGAGCAAGTCGACCGCATGATGGAGGAGACCACCCCTCGTACCTCCGCCAAGTGGGTNCCCCACGAGACCTTCGCCTCGTCTGTCGGACACGCCAACGGTGGCAAGCTCGACCTCGAGGTCGTCGAGGATGTCGAGAGAAAGGGCAGTGTCTTTTAAGCGCTTCATATCTCTCACATCACTGGTCAAATTGCACAGGAGCAAGAACGCAGTACATACCCACAACTTTACTGTACATTCTTTGTAATGTCCATTGTCAATTAGTATACCACTAATGCATTTTCCACTTCAATCTTTTACTTCTACTTCATCTTTCCTAAAAGTTTCTGAGTGAGATCCGAAATGTACTATACTTCCCTTGAGAAAGAGCAACGCCCACTGCGGACCATTCCCTCACCAGCTGTCTGTAAAATCCTGCGGGTACTTCTACATGTCCACATGACAGAATCTTGTGCATGAGAAGGTTCGTCCTGTTGCGATTGAGTTGTGTTGGTCAAGATCTGCGGTCTGATCGACAGCGAACGGCTGGCCCGGTGTAGCTTGCCCCGAACGTTCAGAACAGCAACCACCGAAAGTCGTTCCGATATTTTCGTTCATCTCGTTAGAAACAATTTACTGATGTGCGATAGGATTCAATATTCCTTCAATAGCAGAGTCGGTCATGCATCCAGCTGAAGTGGACTTCTTTTCCGCTTGTACTTACGCCCCCACTCTTGCTCACCAGGCGCCTTCTTACAGCGATATGCATGACAGCCATTCGAATTTCAGAGCAGCCTTGGCAGCCTCTTCGGCAGACGCTCCACACCTCTTTGCTTCTCCTTTTGCAAGCACTTTCTAAGAACGGCCATTGTGTCGCTGAGTCGCAAAGCACGGGAGTTTATTCGTTCCCGAATTTGGCCACTTTGTCTTTCTTGTGTGTCTCGACCGTCGACCGCGCATCTTTTGTGCCACTCGATCATCTGGACTCTCGCCCCGCCTCAAGCGGCAACACCAACCTTCATGCGTTTGCGGTTCGTGTCGCATCAGCGATTCGATCCTCGGAAAACATCAACTCCCAACTCATCAGGGATGAACGTCAAGAAGTCGATTGGTAAACGCACAACGTCAATGCAAAAGAACAAGCAATAGCCACTTTGCGTGAATCGATCTTGCAGCGCTTGTTTGACTTCAACGTCTGCTTCTTTTTTTGCTTGTCTTTTGCGGACCAATTTCCAGCTGCCAAGTTACTTGGCTTGGTCGCGTGACTCGATGACCTCCGAAATCTCACCAGGACGAGTGGCATGAACGCAAACGAGGGTGCAGAGGTTATGTCGATACCGATCTCCTGCAATATATGGCTGTCGCGACTCGAGTTGCTCTTGAGGTCACAGCGACGTCTAGCAAGAGATTGCGGAAGACGCTGCTTTCCCTGGACGATTCCACGCTCCTCCAAGCATTGCGAGTCTCGATAGCTGCAACCCAGCATGTTGCGAGAGTGAGACTTCGCTATCACAAGGTCAAGCAAGGCGTGAAGCTTTTGTTGAAGAATTCTAAGCTGTAAACATCAGGGGAAGAGGGTGGTACTGATGGGTACAGTAAGTCATGTCGCCAAGTCGATCACATATCTCAAGTACTTCATTGTTGGCATCACCACATATAAGAGATGCCGTGAGCCTCATGGCTTTGTACAACAACAATACTCGGAAGTTTCTCATGTCCACGTCGTCGAGCATACGTAAGGCTGCGAGGGCAATTGAGGGTCATGGTAACATGCAGTGCTCTGGTCGCACACGGTACTGCTATGGAATAAGTTGTTGCTTCTTCTCTATCCTTTCGATTTCATTCTCTTCTTTTTACTATCAAACCAGATCACGTTCTACCACTTCAAACCCTTCCCAACAGTAAAAGATGCATCTCATAATATCAACTCTTATCGCTCTGGCGAGCCTTGCCCTCAGCCAGAACAACACCGATCCAACCTCAATAGACTCACTCTTCGCCTCTCAAGCCTCTGTCAACCTCGCGGCCGAGTCATCCTTAGTCTCTGCAGCTCTTGACTCCATCTCCTCAGCCGCAGCAACCGCAACCGGAATTTACAAATCACAAATACAGAGTCAATATTCTGCGTACTCGTCCGAAGCTTATGCAGGCTTGTCGAGTCAGGCAATCACCATCAGCAGTCAACTGGGTTACTCGGTATCTGTAGCCACGACAATGCCAGTGTCGAATTCGGTTTCAAGCTCAATATCGAAGTCTACCAGCTATTCACCGACAACAGGACTGATAGACGGTATTGTTAGTGCCAATGCTACTTCCTCAGGCTCTGCATCAAGTTCTGCAACCTCTTCGAGTATCGAAAGATCTTCAAGCTCGTTGAGTACTAGAGGTTCGTCTGCTTCGACTGGTGATTCTACAGCTACTCGCTCGATGGCTTCTCCATCGGCTTCGTCGACGTCCTCTGCTGGAGCTACAGCAGTTGCACTTCCTGCTTTAGGTGGTCTGGCTGGCGTTTTATTGGGCCTGGTCAATATGCTGTAATGTCTGGCTCGAAGTTGCCATGACTGTCAAGAATGAAAAAGCCTGAGTTCTTTTCTTCGCATTCTCTTGTCGCTCATAATACTCTTATCAGAACGATTTTTGGTTATATCAAGAGCCTCCTCCTATGCGCTCAGGACTGCCACAACCTATCTCTCCTGCGTCAATAGGTAGTACTATATTATGCTATCAAAATGCACAATCGCTTGCCAAATCAGATGAGTGACCATAGCAATAGCCCCGAGATTATTACTCTCCTTGGACATGATCTTGTTCCAGAAAATATTGTGTACTCACACAGGTTGTGACTATGTAGTCTGTCGCTGGGGGAGACGTTGGGTTTGAATCCAAGGTACCTCACCGTGTGCCGCACTCCACAACCTCTCACCGTAACTCAGAGCATCAACTCAAGTCACAACAATGCACAGATGTTTCGAGTTCATGAGTGCGTTCAGAGACAACCATCTTGGCGTGAAGTAATAAGTAAGAATGTGGGAAATCAGTGACGAAGATCATGCTGGAGACAGTCAATATTGATACGTGGATTCAGCGATTTTTGTATTGGATACGAGAGCAGCAGGTATACAACTTGAGAATGAAAGAATACTGGTCTCTACGAAAGTGACTGTAGCTTTAGGCTAATAGCGTCTGACCTTGCAATCAATGAACCGATGATGCACTTAGTGGCCTCAAGACTGTGAGAAGCGACGTTGAAACATCTCTCGCCCATGTGTGCGGTCAGGATCGGTGAAGGGGAAATTATCAATGGTCCTAGTCGAAAGTAAGTCGATGATTCTTTTCATGCGACTGACGCACTTGCCTGGGTACTGCTGAAACATCCGGGAGAGGATGAAGTACTTGAGACTCCTGAAAAGTTTTGGGATCGACCATCGTCTGCCGAGAACCATCGGTATGATGGGATACGGTGGCTCCTGTCTGTGGAGCAGCGAGGCGGGAATCGTGCAGAGGAGGATCTGGAGGAGTGTCCTGAGGCATCCGAGGGGTCAGAGTGGCAGAGTCGGGAGGTCGAGTAGCAGGCTCAGCGGGCCCATGAGGCGGAGTAGTAGACGGAAGAGGCTGAGTGTCGTTGGAATTTTCTGGGTGACCAGAGTGGTTGTCGATGACCTTCCTCTTATTTGTGTTAGACCGCTGTAGACTGCTGAACATGATTGCCAGTCAAATGCATACCATTGATTTTTGCCATTCTTCATCCTCGAACTCCACGTCGTTGGTTGTCTCCTCTGTAATCTCGAGGATCATCACCCGGCGTGCCAAGTCCTGATGACTGTAAACCGATTTGGGGTGAGACCTTTACAAAAGTCCACGTCGTCTGGGTTGGGAAATGGAACGGCTTTTTGTTCGACCCACATCTCCTGACCGTAACTGGTTTTTGTGTGATGCGGGTTCCAATTAGCTCGAGTTTTCCTGATCGTGACCAGTACCGGGTCTTCGTTCTCAGATGATAGCCCACTGTCCAATGGTCTGGCATGACCAACAACTAAAACACTGATAGTTCTTCGGTCAAATTGATGTATCTGGTGACCCACATCCAGCTTCAGGATCAAAATGCCTCTGTACTGCCACTCGCCCAACAGTTGGACTAAAGGTTCCCAAGAGCCTTCACGTATATCGATGACGCTTGGAAGATTGTAAGCATCAAGGGAATGCGGCGCAGGGCTCGAGTCGGCCATTGCGTTGTGCGTAGTATGTCCGGTAACGGATGGGACTATGAGAGGTTGTTGGAATTGATGATAAGTTGCTGTTTCTGTGATGCGATTGATGATCGTTGCAAATTTGCAAGCAAGCTCAAGGTAAGTTTTGGATCCGAAAGTAGATTCGTGTTGTTGTTGTATTCAAGGGCAGGAAAAGGCAGTGGCCAACGATAGCCACCTTCCTTTTGAACCTGTTCTTTCTGGAGTGATTCTGGTTCAGGAAGGCCTACTCCTGCTAGCAGCTGCCGGAGAACGCTGATCATAGCTCTCCATGGACACACTTCGGATGTCCATATATTGCTGCATCTCTATAACTTACAATGATGCTCTATGTCGCCGTGGGAGAAAAGTTGAGGACTAGATGTTGACAGACCTTGGCCTGCAGAACGGACAAGGTCACAACTGACAAGGGAACATGGTGAGGATCTCAACTTACACTAAAGGTAGGCGTATAGCTATAGAAGTGCACAGTGTTATCGAGACACAAGGCGGTATCCACTGAGAGCCAACGATAAAGGTGGCTCTCCTTTGCGCTACATCTGCTTCAGCAATAAAACGTGCCTTTTCATAGAGTACACATCGTTCTACGTTCTTATGGAGCGAGGAAAGATTTACAGACTCTAGCACTTTGGGAGGGAACACATCGGTGGTTGAGATGGTCAAGCTTGGAGGGTTGGGTTTCCCCACACTCGGTCGACGAAAAAAAGCCGGAGATTAAGCGACAAGCGATTTTGCACGAAATCTGCGTGCGAGTTGTTCAGCACTTTCGCGATCGGACGACGACAACGACAACCCTCGACAACCCCCTCTTTGTGAAGCCAGTCAATGTGAGTCGCTTCACTGACGGCGAGAGAAGACGCGACTGGATCGATGCGGCGACCGACTACTTGCAAATCTGGACATCGAGCGGCCCCGGCGCAGTCGATAGTGAAGGAGAAAAATTGAACAAGCACACGCACGCACAACCTTCGACACTCGGCCGCCTCGTCACATACTTCCTGTTACTGCTCTGCCACCGCTGCGAGCCTCCTCGATTGATCCAAATTTGCAACGAGCCACCGTACCGACCCTCCTCGCGCCTTCTCGCCCGTCACGCACATTTTCATACACAAGGACAGCACACTGACCGACGCTTTCGCATAGCAGCCTTCATAATCCGACAACATGGGTATCTCTCGCAGTGGTAACTGGAAGCGCTCCGCCTCTGGCGCTAAGCGGTAATTATCTGCTGTCACTCTCCACTCTTTGGGAAGCACTCGCTGACATTCCGTTCAGNNCATTCCCGCCAACAAGAAGCGCGGTACGTAAACAAACTGGTGTCCAACACCGTAACCCGATTGCTTGGCGAACTGTCTTTCTGACTTTTCGTCTCTACANGCTTTCGAGAAGGGCCGTCAGGCCGCCAACACNCGTATTGGTGCCAAGCGTATCCATCTCGTGCGCACCCGTGGTGGCAACCGCAAGTTCCGTGCCCTCCGTCTCGACTCGGGCAACTTCTCCTGGGGCTCTGAGGGTATCTCCCGCAAGACCCGTGTCATTGCCGTCGCCTACCACCCTTCCAACAACGAGCTCGTCCGTACCAACACCTTGACCAAGTCCGCCGTTGTCCAGATCGATGCCGCTCCTTTCCGTCAGTGGTACGAGGCCCACTACGGCGCCGCTCTCGGCCGTCGTCGCCAGGCCAAGGGTGAGACCGAGGAGACCAAGAAGTCCAAGTCGGTCGAGAAGAAGCAGGAGGCCCGCACCAAGGCCTCCGGCAAGGTCGAGTCNCCCATCGAGAAGCAGTTCGAGGCCGGTCGTCTCTTCGCCGTTGTCGCCTCGCGCCCCGGCCAGAGCGGTCGTGTTGACGGCTACATCCTCGAGGGTGAGGAGCTCGCCTTCTACCAGCGCGCCATCCGCAAGTAAACCATGACCCGCTGGTGACAAAGGATTATAGGGGATACTCAACATGGCTTATCTCACACATCATGGTTGGGCGTCGTTGTTCATGACATTGGCGTTTGCAGAAAGACAGCAAAAAGTACTGTTGCTTAGCTTATGCCAAAATTCTCTCTTGTTTCTCAAAAAGATTTCAAAGCCTTTCGAATACCCCCTCATATATGAGACTTTCATGAGATGATTGTGCTTTTGGTACTGGATCTTTTTTTTCTCATCGCACTCGTGCAGTGTTCACCTTACCTTGACTTACTTTATCCATCCACGCGCCTGGCCATATTTGTGCCAGCAATGCCTGAAACTCATATCTTCCCGATCACCTTTGACCTTTTCCATCTCTGCATTCCCCATCATTATCTCTTCGTCGGCAGGTCCAAGTCCACCACAAATGGCGCATTGACAGGACTATACCCAACATCCATAATCGCCGCATTAACCAAAAGTGTCTGCTCGCCCCTTCTGATCGTGTTTCCATCCACAAACACGGCTCTTTGCTTCTTTACATCCTTCTCTGCAACTTCAACTCTCTCAACCTCTTTGATGTGCCTCTTCCAGCCTTGTGCCTTGAACTGCTCCATCGTTTGCTTTCCTTCGGCTTCTGAGGCATCATTCCAAGTCACGGTCTCTGCACCCCATCCCTCATGGATATGCCCGAAACAGTGTACCAATGGCTTTGCTCTAGCCACCGCTTTGAGCAGATGCGGACATCCTACATTGCCATGTGCGGTGATGTCTCCGCGCTTGTAAGGTGGACCATGCGTACAGATGATATCCAATTCTTGGTTGGAGAAGGAGGGGATTGAGTTGACGGCGATGTTTTTGGCGTCAGAAAGGGTTTGGGATGCAGGGTTGTAGCGGTCCTCGTATTTTTCGTAAGGAAACGCCCAGTCGTAGAATTCGGGTTGATAGGAAGACGTGTAAAGCTGATAGGATCGTCAGTACTGACAACTGGGATATTGGTGATTTTTGCTTGTGGACAGCAGGATCGATGAGTCCCTCTCAAGCGGTACTTTCCTAGAAGAGTACCAAGATATCTCTTACGTAGACGCAGGAAGCTAGACATGACAACGGAAAGAGCAATAGAGAANACCACTTGCCTTCAAAAATGCTCCATTCCCCACCTCAACCTCCTGGATTCCCTCCTCCAACATCGTCACTCCCTCTGTCCTCGCCCTTCCCTCCTTTCCAAACCACATCTCCCGAGCCTCCTCATATGCTTGCTCCCATTTCTTTCCGTGGAGTGATCTCTCATGGTTCTTCATCCAAGTCTTGTCCAACGTTCTGTCATGATTCCCCGCAATGATCAATTTCACTGGGGCATCGATGGCAGCAAGCATATCCAGAGTTTTGTGGTACTCGGAGGTTAGGCCTTCCATGGTGAGATCACCACAATGGATGAGGACATCTGCCGAGGGAAGAGGGTGGCGGAAAGGTTGGGAAGATGAGGCAGGTGCGAGGGGTGTGGAGTGTGTGTCGCTGATTATCAGGATACGCGTTTTTACTGTTTGAGGAGTTGCCATTTTGGGGGATGTTGGTCTGTTTCTTTTGGCAAGTAGATTTGGTGATAGGAAATGTCTGAAGCTGCGCATGTAAAGTGTCTCGATTAGATGATTCTGTAAGAAATGGATGGTTGTCGAAGTCGGCTTTTGTTTGCCAGGGTTGCGTCACATGTGGATGCACAAAAGCTTGGTGCAGCTGTCTTGCAAGATGTGGATTTTGAACAAGTACTGTGTTAAAATGACAATATACGAGGTAGCAAAAGGGTATCTAGACAATAGTTGAAAAGATCAACGAAAAGAAAACAGAGGAAAAAAATGTCCATCAACCACTGACTTCGCATGTTCCGACATTAGAACCTCGTCCGACCGCTCGCCCTACTATGACTCCTGGTCCCACCATCTCCACTCTTATCCTTGCTGCCCAAGCTCAAGAAACTCAACCTCTTCTTGATAGAGGCACGTCGTCCTCTGGGTTTTTGTGCCGTCTGCTCGGTTTGTTGCGTGTCGATAGTCAAGACATCGCTTGGTGCTCTTTNCCGCATCGATGCAGGCTGCGGCACTTCTGTGTTCTGCCACGCTGCAGATCTCAACCGCCAATCTCTCGAAGGGTATATCGCATACAACTCCATCANAAAGCTGTCTTCGAAACTCGCTCGTAGCATCTCCTTGATGTGTGTGGGGATGTAGGGAGAAGATATGGCGAGTTCGATGCTGCGCGCATGGTCCTCAAGAGAGATAATGAGGATATCTCGTAGTTGTGATTCTTTAGTTTNTGGCTCGCCAAAGGCGTCATGGTAAACACTTGAAACTTCTGCCATAGTGTTGTTGGCAGTACTGCCTGTTCCCGGACGGGACTGGAGCGATTCGAGCAACTTGTGATACTCGGCTACACTACCACTGGTGCTTGTGTCCACACTCGATTGAACAGTGTCAATCAGTGTTTCTACATGCGATTCTCCTTTGCTGACGGTAGAGTGAGTTGCAACTGCTACATTCAGCGTTTTTCGCTGCGTGCGATCGATGGCTGCTTGCACCGGTGTCAAGACTACCCGCTCCTCTCGGGTGATGGAGCTGTAAGACAGTACTGTTGGGAACGCAGTTTGAGTGTAGAACACCGTCTTCTCAACGACTTGGTCGACCACACTGACAGACGGGTTGTCGTGACGGCTTGTCATTGCAAATGCTATGGGTTGCGTGGTCAAACAGTGTTCTCTGAAACCTGGTGCAACGCCGCCTTGCTGGTTGATAGGATGCATTTGGTTCTTGTACACAGTGACAGGACTGATCTTGACGGCGGGGTCGTGTGACGATGCTGTAGGATGCGTGTAGTCAGGTCCTAGGTTTGAGACGTACGGATATTGCACTTGGAGCAACGCCGAGAAACTCTTCCTGTCACAATTTGCAGGACCTTCAAAAATGAAGTGCTGACCGCGTACAGACTCTGGGAAGAGTTCGTGGTCGCTGAAAGCAACATGGAAGAACCGAGGAAGCGGTACTGGTCCGGCAGCCAAGGTATTGTAAATGCGTGCCTCGTCGAAGCGAACTTGCGCGATACCAGCAGCGTCCCAGGTAGCCTCACGTCCTCCAGAAAGCTGTTTGAGCGTCTTGAGGACGTTTTCCCAGCAGTAGCCTTTCTCAAAGTACGTAGCCATTGTCCGATATAGACGGTCTTTGCGTGACTGCACCAACTCCGCAGGGGTTTCGAGTCCAGGTATCTTCGCTGGAGCGAGAACCTTGGAAGGCTGACTCTCATTCAGTACCTCGATGTGAAGATTCAACGTACATGCCGCGCTGGAATAATTCTTGGCCTGGACGTGGAGCTCCGCAAGCTCGTGAACACGGCACACGTATGCTTCGTCCTGACCACTCAACCGTAAGAATTCCATCAAACGAAGTAGCTGCACCATGCGCGAAGCTGGATCTCTCACATCGCCCAAATCGGCCAATACATTGAACAACCGACCCACTTCTGCAATGACTTCCATCACAGCTCCGTAAAGCACGTTCAGCTCAGTATTTTNTATGACGACAAAGTGTTTGCCAAGTCGTTCTAGGAAAGCAGATGCGAAAGGACTTTGTATCGTGGTGTCTTCGCGGTGCATGGTGTCAAACGCATTAATGATGGCTGCTTGAACCACGGCCAAATTCTCATTTAGTTGCCATTCACTGACAACGATAGATCGCAGTATGTCAAGGCCAACAGACTGCAATTGATCGTGGAGCCCCATACAAAGTCTGACGACAGATGGAATCACCTCAGTGGACAGTCCCACTTGGTACCCACCAACTCGGTCCATGGGATAGAGCACTTGAAGATACTCTGGCGGGGCCTGCCAGCCTAAGCAGGCCCAGCCTTTCTGAAGTAGATCGGCAGCGTCTGCGCGAATGTCTCCGCCAATCGTCCAGATGGCTCGTCTTGTCTGTTCGGTAAAGGTTTCCATGGAAACCATTCTGCCGAGGGCAAGGTCGATCAGTATCTGGAACCAAAGTTCCCACAGATCGGGATTGAACTCCATAACATCGTTGACGCCGCTGTCATCTTCAGAAGGCACAAAATTTGTAGAGAGAATCTCGAGCAACCACTGAAGAGCATGGACTGCAACCTTCGCATGCGTAACATGCAGACTGAGCCACTGCGTAGGGAAAGCTTCTCCGTTGTGAATAGATTGGAGCACCTTGAAAGCCTTCATCAGGAAATCTTGCTGCATCATCTTTGAATCGGACGGAGTTCCACTCATAANAAGCTGACCTTGCGGTGACCCTTTCTGGAAGAAAGAGTCTAGCACAGCAGCGATCTCCATCAAAACCTCTGAAGGCACATTTGAGGTATCTACGGCCATGCTAAGGAAAGGATAATGGTCCGGGAAAAGATACGAAAGGGACTTTTTCGACCTGTTGATGGACAAGGAGGATACTCTCCCATCGATTCCACTTTTCAGATAATCGTTGATGATGTGATATGCCTCTACAAGTCTCCAGATGTAATGCATGGACTGTGTAGAATTGGTGATTTGCGCTTGCTGAGTGCGTAGGATCGAACAACACATTCTGACGCCTTCTGTTTTTTGCTCGGTCAAGTTGGACGCATCTGGCCAGTAGTCCTCAAGCCATCCTATGGTCAAAGCATGGAGCTTAGGCAGCGTCTCAGAAGTAGAGAAAGTCTTTTGACTAGATAATTCTTTAACCATGATCAGTCTGTGTACGCGTAGACCGCCCTTCTTGCTGGCTGATGCATTCATCATATTATCAACGACATCCAGGATATCATCAGGAGTCATGACATGAGCAAGCTCGGGTAGCCATAAAGAAAAATGTTGCATCAGTATCGTCTGGGTTCCGTAGAGATCCTCTCTTGGGTTGCGCATCAGATTCACTAGTGCCACCAGCACGGAGGAAACAGCATTATTCAAGGATGAGATGCTACGTGGCGATCCGGATTGACTGCGGTTCGTCACAAATTTGATGACTTGACCAGAGACTTTCAAGGTGCTGCGAAGCTCTCGCGCATCGTCAACCTCGTAAGGTCTGCTAATGAAGGCACGAAAGGCCCTACACACGCCCTTGGAAGCATCTTGCGAGTGTTGACGCTCCTGGATGTACTCGTCAAATAGACCCTTCGTACTATTGAACCGGCGATCGCGTGTGAGATGCAGCATATGGACCAGACACGACAACGCTCGCTCAGTGAAGGTTTCCCCAAGGTTGACCCCTGTTCCAGTATCATCGACCACACGGTAGAATACATCGAATATCTTGTCAAGCGCTGTCAAAACGGGTTTGAAGAACTTGACGATCTCGGCATCTGGGGCCTGCTTGAACCCTCCCAATAGGGGCATGAGACCTTGTACCGTCGTCCCATCCCATTGCAGAAGTGAGCTGATGGTCGGATCCTGAGGGGTAGTACTGCTGCTGAGCGTAACATCCACGGACAATGCAGCCATCGGAGTATTGTCCTGTATTTGAAGCTGATCCAGACGTGATGGTAGCATCTGATAAGCGCCTCTGCCATGAACAGTACTAGCTGTATACTCGCTGTAATCCCACAGAGCCAGTGTCTGTTGGCCATGGGTACACACAGCACCCTGATGATCCCATAGAGGTATCCAGGCCAACGCGAAAGGAAACTGATTGCCCTCCGCAATACTGAGAACAACATGAGCATGTGGCAGGTCTTCGTTGAGGACCGACAAGCGAATTGTCTGATTCCAGATTTCACTCCGGTCAATAGCTGATGTTCTATAAGCAGTATGTGGCGGGCGATTGGATGCTGGCCAGACAGAGTTCTCAATGCGTTTTCCAGCCTCAGTCCGCACTTCCAGCGTCAGTTGCAAGTTTCTCAAGTCCGCTTCATTGGGTATGGCAACACTTCCTTCCTGCGGATGGAAGCAGCGAGCACCGGATGGCAGGATGGGCTCTTTCAGCGTGAGGTAAACATCACTACGCTGCTGCGCTGACCCAGAAGACAGGTTGAGTGCTTGAGTACAATAGACATCCCTCAACAAAGCAGGGTGGTCTTTGATGAGCACATCGGAGTTTGGATGAGCAAAGGCATGCAGCTCGAGCTGAAACTTGCCAACCGAGGGCGCTCTAGTGAAGCTGCCCATCGGACTGCGGACAAGATTCTTGATGACATCTTCCCAGCCATCTGCACCGACAACAGGTTCTTCGATGACTTCTTCGAAGGCCTCAGCTGGAGTCCAGAGTGCAATGTTGTGGATAGTGTTGCCATGTTGACGAATAAGCTCGCCAATCTCAACTGCGCCGTAGCCAATGACGCGTCTCAACTTCTTTTCTGCTGTCGCGGGTCGTCCTTGTGTATCTATCACAACAGGTGTCTGTGGCCGACCTCTTATTTTTGATCGTGATGATTCTCGAGTTGGCGGTCTTGCTTGATCTCGAGAATTACTGCGTTCAAGATTTTTGCGACCGCGCTGACTGCCCCATAGGAAGCTGCGACGCGCTCCCGTACTTTCTGATCGGCTATGAGACTCAGGTCGGTCTGCTTGCGGCATTGCTTGGGA